GGCCGGCGTGTGGCTTAAGTACGGCTGAGCGGACGGGAAGCCCTGTTTTCCACACCCTGTGGTCGTATGTATTTGGATTTTGAATGAGAAGATATATATAGGACTTCCCTCTTCCTCACCCAGCTAGAAAAAAGCTTCTTTAAGCATCCTGACAATTAGAGCCGGTATATGGCTTATATCCAGCCAGTAGAGTATAATATCATAACTTTCAAAACATAAAAAGTAACATACAACAGCTGGGATTCGCTGGTGGTCACCCACCCAACTACTAACCAGCCGGCGTGTGGCTTAAGTACGGCTGAGCGGACGGGAAGCCCTGTTCTCCACACCCTATGGTCGTATGTACTTGTTTTCCTGTAAGAATAGAATATATAGTGTAGAATGATACAAATGCATGTCTGTTCTTACGACTTCTTTTCACACAAGATGAATAACATCTACTAAAAGACATTAATGTAAACTTTGCACGTTCTCTGTTGGCGATCTCACCGCGAAACTCAACACGTGAGCAAGTGAACTGAATTCGATATCAACGATGATAGTATTACAATAATAAGAGCATAAGTTAAGAACATCAGATATCAATACACAGCCAGGGGATAACCATGGCATAAGGAAAAAGGGGGTACTAGTTCGCTAGGGTCGTAAACATCTCTTCGTTTCAAAAGGCAATTCAACTGTCTTAGAAGCGCTGGGTGCCGACATTGCGACGGTTATCCAAGTCAGAGTCGACGCGAGGGTCAAGCTTGTTCGCCACGTTGGACTTGTGAGGGCCGGCAGTGGCACTACCACCCGTAGTGTTGTAGCTGCTGCTAGCAAGACCCTCATGGCGAGCACGGTTGTCCATATCAGAGTCGAAACGAGGGTCGGCCTTGTTCGCGAGGTTGGAGTCGTGAGGGCCATGAGTCGAGGTAGTAGTGCCGACGCCGGCGCCTGTGCCGTAGCCATGGTTTGCACCTGAGGCATAGGCACCAGGAGTACCGACGGCACCAGTGGCTCCAAGGCCGGCGGCGCGGTTGTCTGGGAAATGTAAGTTTCTGATATGCTCATGTGTGGAGAGAGAAGTCAACCTACCTCGGTCACTGTCAACACGGGGGTCGACCTTGTTGCCCAAGTTGGACGAGTGAGGGCCATGAGCACCTCCTAAGGCCTCGTGGCGGGTGCGGTTGTCCCTGTCGCTATCAACACGGGGGTCAAGCTTGTTAGCGACGTTAGAGTTGTGAGGGCCGGCATTGGTGGAGTGGGAACCGGTAGTTCCAGTAGTTGAGAATGGAGCATCTACGCCACCAGCAGCACCAACAGGGGCATGCTGAGGGCCGTGGGTGCTGGAGTGGGTAGTTGTCGCACCAGTAGGGCCCGTAGTGGTGGTTGTGTGGTGAGCAGCGCGGTTGTCTTATGTTCAAGAATTAGTTCCGTACCTCATGTACACAGAGCCAAAACATAAAAAACAGCAGACTTACCACGGTCGCTATCGACACGGGGATCGACCTTGTTGCCCAAGTTGGATGAGTGAGGGCCATGAGCACCGCCTAAGGCCTCGTGGCGGGCGCGGTTATCCTTGTCGCTATCAACACGGGGGTCAAGCTTGTTAGCAATATTGGAGTTGTGAGGGCCGTGGTTGGTGGAGGTGCTGGTGTTATGGGTGTCAGAGGTCGAGTGGTGGTTGCCACTGACGGCCTCCTTGACTTTGTGGACGACTCCAGACATTGTGTGTGTTCTGTAGTTGATAGTATCGAAATAGGAATGAAATGTTTTGCTTGAGGTCTCTAATATGAAGTCAGATAGACAGGAATAGAGAGTTGTTTATATAACCTCCTCCCCATCCTCGTGGAACCAGATTGTCCTCCCGGATGACGTAGCATCTAGGGTTTTCTTCTGGGGTTGAACTTTATAGTAAATGTGAGGCTTGATATAGAACAGTCTGATTCGACCATGTCTGCATCATGAGTGGGGCCAGTGTGGCGCCTTATTAAATTCTTTGAAATTCATTGAATTAAATTGAAGCAATTCCCCTTATGACGGCATAGGATGACACCAAATAGTGGGCCATAGAATGAGTCTAAATAAATCAGATAGAGCTCAGGAGAAACTACCTTAATTGGCCGGGGGTGCTGCAGGGCTGAGGTCATTGTCCGTCTAGAACCTTGGATCGACTACGAACGGATGGGTACTTCCTTTTAGAATTCACTACATCCTACACGCTGAATGATCGATAAAATTAGTACACGAAGCAGGGCAATTTTTGACAGCAGGTTTCTGGCCCGTCGATCAGTTGGACGGGATATGTACTCTTGTACGCCTTCAGGTTTCTGTACGATCTAACCAACGCAGCGGGAACTTGTTACACTTGGCCCAGCTGAGGTTCACGGAATCCACCAAAAACTCTCCCAAGCCATGGCAGAGACAGCTCATTAATTCCATGTAACAATACTCAATCAGCATATGTGATATTGACATCATTCAACCTTGTTGTGATCCTTGTCGATCAATTGCTGATCATGACCTCAGCCCGATACAACACTACGTACTGTTAACAATGCTGCACTCGGGTCCAGCCATACTGAAACCACTCATGCTTAGCTCCCAGTCCTCGTCTCTGTTCCCTTGTCCAACGTTGTCCCTATACCAGGCCAACTGCTAGCTGCACGGATCGACCCCATGATGATGACGTCATCGGGGTTAGAATGAGGTTGAATTTGATATCCACTTTTAGGAACGTTGTTTACGTTCTCTACAATGCCTTCGATGAGGGCATTCACCTTTTTATCAAGCCATTGAACCTTAATCACGGGTGTCAGATCATAGCTGTCCACAATGGGAATACACGTGGAGACGACCAGCTCTCGCAAGAACAGTCCTTGCTTTGTGCATTAGGAAGATAGACAGAAACAGATAACAGCTTCGCTCGTCCGAGCTTTACTAGTAAGTTCATATATAATGTCATTGATTTAGCACTAAATCGTTCCGCATGTCGTGGCAGGTCTTCATAATCTGGGTCCACAGCAGCTAGCAACACTCCATACACGATATCTACGCATTCTACGGTCTGTGAGCTACTCGCAAGGCATCAATACTCCCCCCGCCGTCCGCTTCAAGCCCTTTACATTCATTACAGAACCAGATATCGTACCACAGCCCAAATACCCGAAGATTTTCACGTCAGAAGTGAACTCAACTCGAATTGTTTCGCCTATATTCCACGAGCAATTGACAGCAATAACTGAATATATGGACAACGTCAGGGCTGTGATTGCTTTCTTTCCTTTTGTATCATGCTTCTTTGAGAACCGCTAATCGATGGCGTTAACCAGCTGGCCTTGCGACCAACAGACACTTTAGTGGTTGAATGATCACTTGACCGGGATACGGGATCATTTCAGGGCTATGGCTGACTTACTCACAGTCCTCAAGGGAAGGTTCTCACTACACAGATGGCTAATATCATCTCTTCGACACGAACTAGCATCGCCGCAGATACTTCGGATAACTAGAAAAAGAAATCGATTCATGAGTAATACAGCTTCCATCTCAGAGCAAAGAATGCAACCAAGTCCAGAACTCAGTCACTCGGTCAACCCTAGTGGCACCCTGAAAAGAATAGCCTCGTGCCATTGTACCATGATAGACCATAATCTCTTGATCCTGCTATGAGCGCTGGATAATTCTGTCATTCTGTGCGGTACATTTTTTTGTCACACCGAGTAGGAGACAGCTCCTTTTAAGCAGTTGTTTTTTTTGTTATCTCACTCGCGCTCACATGAAGATTCGAATTTGTCAGAGAGCAGCTCGACCCTCTACTGAAGGTGAGATTCCGGGTACAAGTTCGCCTGCGTCTTCGGTTTACGTGTCCAATCACAGGGCTCTTTGGATCTCGCAGTTAGGGTACGTTCCGTCAAGCCAAGCTTCGCACTCGTTGCCTGGACAGATCAACTACGATAACTTCTTTCATAACAGCTATCGTGACTCTAGAGACCCTTTGCGCCAGTTATGGGAGCGAGCAATTGAGTTCGTCCGTGCCACTCCTTGTTAAAATGCGGGCACCTAATTAGGCAAGTATCGACAGATATTCATCCAATTGACCCATTAAACGTCTCGGCTTCTACTATCGCACCCGGAATGACGTTTCCAGAAGTGCAGAGATTAGGGCATTCTGCATAACAAGTGCGGGGCACCAAAGGATCACGCAAGAACGGTCAACAGTGCCATCATCTACTGTAGGTATAAGAAACGCTATGCCCTCAACCCAAATCATCCCTTTCGCATTATTACAACTAACGCAAGAAACAATTCTTCGTGACTCTTGCATATTCAGCAAACTGAGATTAGAATATTCATTCAGTGCAGCGACTTTACCAAAGGTTAATGTACCCATCCTTGGCAAACATGTATCGACACAAGGCTGATCATTGTGCTTTCAGCACGCATGATGCGCTCGCTCTGGCTTGCTTCGCTTTTTCCCTTGGTAGCTGCCGACTGGCAATTTAAGTCGCGTCCCGACCTAGCGCCTCCCAGGCTGAACATCACCATTCCTGCAGCGCCAGATGTTGAGAAAGGTTATCTCTTCGTTGCCCCTTTTGCAGGTTTTCCCGATGAACCGGGAGAAATGCATGGCCCTCGTCAAGCGGCTCCTTATATCTTCCGCGATGACGGAGAATTGATCTGGTCAGGCTATGGCTATTACTCCATCTGGGCGACAAACTTCCAGAAGGCACGCTGGAAGGGCAAGGACATTCTCTTCAGTTTTGAAGGAGATCATAATGCGGGCTACGGTCATGGCCATGGTCATACTACTATCTTGGATCAGCATTATGAGACCATTCGGGAGCTGCGCGCTGGCAACCACAAATTGACTGACAAGCATGAATTCCATATTATAAATGAGGAGACTGCTCTCATCCAGATTTACCAGCCTGTCCCAAAGGACCTCACGCGTTGGGGGGCAAGCCCAGATCAAAAGTGGATTGTGGATGCTATCTTTCAAGGTAACGACTAACCTCCTATATCCGATAGCGATGGAACTAAATATGGTATAGAGATCGACATTGAGACAAGAGAGCTTCTCTTCGAGTGGTCTAGCTTGGAACATGTGCTTCCAGATGGTGAGTTTAACATTAACATATCTAACAGGGACAATACTAACGTACTACAGAGGCAATTCTGCCCATCAATCCCGGGCAAGCTGGGTCCGGGTACAACTCGTCCGATGCGTGGGACTACTTCCACATCAACTCCGTCGACAAAGATTCTGAGGGCAACTATCTCATCTCAGCTCGTGATGCCTGTGCTGTCCACAAGATCAACGGCACCACAGGTGAAATTATCTGGCGTCTGGGTGGTATCAAGTCCGACTTCGATCTTGGACCCAACGTAAAATTCTGCTTCCAGCATCATGCCCGTTTTGTCTCCAAGGACGGCGACATAGAAGTCATCTCCCTCTACGACAACTCCGCGCACGGGACCGAGAACGGCCGTGGCCATGAAGTTCACACCCATCCCTTTTCCCAGGGCAAGATCATCGAAATCAACACAGCGACTTGGAAGGCATCAATTGTCCAAGCCTTCCACCCTCCAGATGGCCTCTTATCAAAATCCCAGGGAAGCACACAACTCCTCCCCAACGGCAACGCGCTCGTGAATTGGGGTTCCGAAGGCGCGCTAACCGAGTTTCGTCCTGACGGCACCCCAATCTTCCATACATACATGGACTCCGGTTTCCTAGGCTTAGGCGTCGAGAACTACCGTGGCTTCCGGTATAACTGGACGGGTCTCCCCAATGAGTCACCAGCCATCGTCTCCCTCGAAAACGACCGGGGCACTACCGTGTACGTGTCTTGGAACGGAGATACCGAAACCAAGGTCTGGCGCTTCTACCATGTTACGGATGAATATGGCTCGCGGCAGTATCTGGGTGAGACAAGACGGAATGGATTTGAGACTTTCTTTTCTCTCGATGGCCGCACTGTCCACGCGGTGTCGGCTGAAGCTATTGGCGCTACTGGTCACGTCCTCACTTCGACCGGTATTGTGAAGACGGAGGCAGAGGTTTTGCCGCCTGCCAATGTCGCTGGGCTGTCATCGTCCGTTTCGTTTCTTGACAATATGCATCAGGCCTTTTTGGGTCAAGGTCACTGATAGGATTGCAAGGTGCTCAGGGTCGATCACTTCCGTAGAGATTGGTATGTTTTTATGCAACTGGTATAGTATTGGAAAGAAAGGCACAATAAGCTGAGCGCAGGCAATTCCATTCATTTAATCACATTGTGCCAGTCATATCCATGAATATAAACTAATTATCCCAAATCACGCACAAAGTCAAACGTATGAGACTTTAGAACAAATTCAAATTGACAAAAATGTCAAATATGAATAAATACTCATACAAAATACAAAGGACAGTCGCCCACACGCACACAGAGAGAGTAAGAGAGAAAAGACAGTCTCAACTACCCCAATATCCAAAGTAAACAATCCAAAGTAAACAATACGACCAGTCTTTATATCAACTTTTATCAGACCCGCTATAAAACCTATAAGAGCTTTGAAACCGTCTAACCTTTATCGCTTACTTACGTGTGGATACTAATCTAGACGAATGATATCTCGGAGCGGACATCCAGCATTAAGCTCCAATATAGTATGTTTCTTTGCCTCTATATAGCGCTTCTGGCACCGGTTCCCGACACACTTATTGCAGCGGCCGTACAAGAAAACCCAGCGGGGTCCCGCCTTGGATTGCGCTCTACTAGATGTTATAGTGTAGGTGTGTCTGGTGAGCTTGGAGGTAAACCTGATGAGCCTGACGACGATCTTCTCTGCGAGGCGCATACCCTGGATAAGAGAATCTATAGACCGTCCTTCACAATTGGCATGGAGATCTTCGGCGTCGGGTTTTGCTACATCCACCATCGGTATGCCTTAGCTAGCAGCCGAGTTCAATAGGTACAAAGCAATAATAATCGAAATCCGATACGTTTGAGCTAAGCAAAGCGCAAATCGCCAATTGTACTATCAAGGCAGAAGGATAGGAAGAGTGACAAGGTGCTTATTTTAGGCTTCAATTTATAGTTTTCACTTTTAAATACTATCAAGAGGTAATTTCATCTTTTCTTTTCCCCTTTTTGCAGGGCGCTCTAGAGCGCTAGGCGACAGGGTACCGTAAACCTTAGATAGACACATCTCGACCAAGGAATCTGCTCCGGTGGGGGACTGACTATTGGATGCGGGAGAGGGTTAAAAAAAAAAAAAAAAAAAAAAAAAAAAACATGAAGAAAAAAAGAACGGGGCAAAAAATGGACACACCGGTAATCGAAACCGGGACCTCTTGAATGCAAATCAAGCGTTATACCACTAAACCATGCGCCCTTGATGGAAAATTGGGGTGGCAATTAGAATTATCATTGTAAGACTTTGCGATTCTTTTGGCAGCAATGTCTTTAATTACCTTGCCAATGTTTTTTCTCTTACGGTTTTGTCAATGCATTCCTATGAATACTTTGACTTCACCATGTGATGTGTTACCATCGGTCTGTGCTTTCTTAAGAATCGCAGTACAATGTCGACAAAGGGGCTTAGAGCAAGGCCCTACCTTTCTGAAGCGATATTCAACTTGGAGCCGGATTAAAATCAGTCTCTGATGTAGAAGTCGAATTAATATGCAAATTATTAGCATGACAGCAAGGTCAAATGCTGCGGTCCTTCAGAGGCAGGTCTCCATGTCACAGGCAAGAAAAGGAGCAAGTCCCTGCCGAATATATGTGCAGCGAAAGACCGTGGCCTAAGTCATGTAGACATGATGGAGATATGGAGGGGCCAATGACAGGGTGAGAAGCTGCTGGGGCGCACAGTGCCTTCTCAATAGTCCGTTCTAATCGTTCCCTGCACCCATATTTCAGCAAAAATGGGGGGTAAAAAAGTTGGTCCCAGGGAGGCTCGAACTCTCGACTTCTGAGTTATTAGCTCAGCACTCTAACCAACTGAGTTATGGGACCAATTGATTGTTATACATCGACTCGAATAATGATATTATAACTATTATGTTACTTAAAGAATTTTCCTTAAAGTTGCGTGGTGCACTGACATTGTTCCGATGAGATGTTTCAGGATCCAAGTATCTCCTATAGAGTAAAGTTAACGCACGTCATTTTGATCGAATCATAATGCTCATGAAGATAGTAGGCTACATTGGTAGGGTTAAAATATTATGTTGCGTCTATTAGCTGTTGTGGCATTGGTTTCCACATGCTGAGAGAAATATATATTTCTGACCGAAGGTGGAGTATAGCCCTAACATGACATTATGTGCACATCAACAATTGACTACATTTTCATAACAAAAATATTTTTGGGCTAAAGAAAATGGATAATATTAAGAAAGTTAACTATGAGTACTTATATTAAACAATAGAGGTAAGTGCAAAGGTTGAAAGTAAAAAAAAAAGTACAGAAAGACTTGGTTGCCCAAGAAATGCCAGCCCCAAGCAAAAATCTGTGGACTCGCCGGTAATCGAAACCGGGACCTCTCCAATGCGAATGGAGCGTTATACCACTAAACCACAAGCCCTTTTTATTGGTTGACGATTCGGATAAGACCTAGACAGACCCATGGATCAACCGTGGCATATCGATATCCTACTCTGATCTAGAAAGCGACTCAACTATATTTACAACAGGCCATCCGGTCTTGTTCCCCCATTCATTCGTCTTCTCAATCAATTCGCGGACCATCGCTGGGCTTTTAAGCCATGGCCCACCTATCTATGTTAGCAACAATTCCAGGAGCCACCTTTGTAAGACTAACAGAAGGAGATGGGCCCGAACGAATTGACCCACACGGGCGCAGAATGGCTAGAAATGGCTAGGGAAGAGACCTGTATTGCATGATAGTCAAGCGCCCTTTCGAAGTCATTGATTCGGTCAATTTGCTGTCGCGCATTCAAGGCTGTGTGCACCGGCTCAGCAATGATCAGGGTTGCCAAGGCAGTGTGGTAGTATTGTAAGCTCGAGGCTGATTTTTGTTAGCCAAATATGGCATACAATACATAGTCATCGCGAAGCGTTCATACCATGCCACCCACTGACTGTCCATTGGCACGAGAATTCGCTTTTCCCATAGAGTCCCGCAGTATTGATAGGCTGGAAGGAGGCTGGTAGAGATGCCCGCCACGTGTCAAGCTCATCTTTGAGTGACTCCCACTCCTGCCGTTCCAAGGGCAACGCGTCTCGATCAAGGCATCGGTTGATGACCTTCCCTAGTAGGTATGTTACCTTGTTGGCAAGGCCATCCTCGCCCCCAACTGTCGAAGGAAAGTGCTCTTGGGAGAGGTCTATCATGAGACTTCGCTTCTCTATAAGCGCAACAGTGATATCTTCCCGGAGGTAATTCCAGAAACCAGAACCGAGTAAGCCCGTTTCAAGCCCGGCAGGCCGGCTTGCTAATAAGGAATACGATCCTTGAAGATGGTTTTGGCAACTTACATTTTCTACATCGAGTTAGCGTGTTATCAGACAGTGAGGGGATACTTACGTGATATTATTTCATAGGATCTTAGAAGGCAAATGGCGGCAAGCGTCTCGCCGGTCCAGAATTCATCTAGACTTTTCGTGAGCTGTAACAGTGTCTGGACGCTCTCGAGATGGTATGACTCCGCCAAGTCCCATAGGTCTCTATTAAGGTAACAAGAGCTCTGACTCGCAGCGGCAAATGCTAGAATTGCACTGAGGAGCAGCGAGTTCCTTCGAGCGCAGGAGGGGACTATGTCACCGAAATGTCGCTTTGCGTCATTAAGATCATACCATCCAGCTAGATGCTCGATATAGTAACGAAATATTTCGGCGATATGGGGGTGTTGAAGTGTCTTTTCGGGGTCTTTGGTTGAGACATACCCAGTAGGTCGAGGCCTAGAATTTGTGCTTTGACCTGGGTTCACCGGGGAGCTAGAGTGTTGCACCTTTGCAGAACCGTTGCTCCACTGGCAATCTCGAGAACCTCGTCGACAGCGGAGACAGACGGGTCGTTGTCCGTCGCCTATAATACATATAAGCCATAGTTCGGACCGCTGAAGTTAAATTGATGGTCACACATTTAATTTTTCTTGATCTGCATTCCTCACTATTTTGTGTTAATAAAAAAAGCACTGCTGGATTCAAACCGAATAGGAATGGAGTCTACTATACCACCCTAATATAATATGTTTGTGGCACTACATTAGTGTATTGGGACATGGCTTAGCAAGGGCTAGGCTTACTGTTTGTTAGAAATGGCCGAGGCATAGTTGATGCTTCCTGAGTCTCGAGTGGATGCCAACTCGAGTTCGCATTATCCTCGCAGAACGAAATGCGTCACATTTAAGACCTCCTGATACGGCCAATCAAATCGCGCAGCTCAAGTGGAGTCTCTGTTATTACCACTGATCTTGTACCACCACGCCCATAAATTGTGCAGGAATCACTTGAAGGGATATGCACACGGACTATTGCTATAGGCACACGGCATATCTGACCCACTGAAACACGAAATGCGAAGTGCGAAAGCCGAGCCCTCCGCACGTTCTATATTGGAAAGCGACAGTTATGGCAGACAAGGCTATAAAATCTCGCCCAATCCATCAATATGCGATGGAGACATAATTTTCTAGCATGCTCTTTCAGGAATATCACCCACCGACTTCGATTAATACCACTTTAGAGTGACATCTATTCGAACAGCAGTATGCAGCGCATCACCCCCATTATTGAACTCTGCAAGCCTCCTAGGCTGAATTTCTCATCCCGTCGAAACATGTCAAGTTTCCCCGCCAGAATTTCCCCCTCTCAGTCAGAAATTAGGAACCGCCAACTCTCCCCGCAGAACGTGGAAATTGCAATCCGGAGTCTCCACCACGATGGCCTCGTCGTAGTGGAGAATGTCGTGCCCCACGATGCTCTGGACCAACTAAACACGAAAATGGTAGAAGATGCGAAAGTCCTTCAGAATAGGAAGGAAAATAGCCCCTATAACTACAACCCCGGCAATATTCAGCAGGACCCTCCTCCGGTACGACAGTATTTTGATCCTGACATCTTCCTCAGTACGTATCCCCGGTCGACTTAAACTACAATGTATACTAATGGGAGACCAGATCCAATAGCTACCCAAATCACTTCGACAGCCTTGGGCTCGCGCCCAAAATGGACATTCTGCTCTGGGAACTCAGCCATGCCACCTACAGCAGAAAGCCCGCATACATCTCAGCCAGTCCACTCTGATGCGGACTTCGACCACCCTACACACCCGTTCGCCTATGTGGTTAACATTCCACTAATTACCATGACGCCAGACAATGGGTCTACGGAGGTGTGGCTGGGAACACACCTTGATTCTGGTCTGCATGTTCAAGAAGGAATGCACGGCGAGCGAGCAAGTGGGAGAATCCAACTGGATGTGCTGGAGAAACGGAGGACAATCCGACCGCCGAGTCAACCTGTTGTGCCTAAGGGTGCAATAGTTCTGAGGGATTTGAGGCTATGGCATGCTGGAGTCGGTAACAAGACCAATGAGGTTAGGGTTATGTTGGCGATGAGTAAGTCTCTGGCTTGCCCTTGATGTGCAAGTCAATTAACTGATGGCACCAGTTCATTTTGCGCCGTGGTACCGAAATACGATGAGGCTGGAATTTGCGGAGGACCTGAAGCCTTTAATACAGGAACAGGCAAGCTTGGAAGTTCCCGTCGACTGGGTTACAAAGTCAGTGGCCATGTCGCGGTATTTGAACCGGGGATTTGGAAACTCGTATGATTTTAGCCAGCAACCATGAAGGGCTTGCAAAGGTCAACTACGTAAGAAACTACGTAAGAAGACGTAGGCTAAAAAATATAAAGATATTAAGAAATCATCTGTTTTTACCTCATTGGCCTTTGGGGCCATGGGTGCTTATCCCGACAAACTGGGAGAATAACTAGTAGTGTCGTGAGAACTCACGGTATCAGAGTATCGAGCCATTCTTCTTTTCGACAAGGACTTGCTTGTCCGGATGGTGTTGAATCTCAATTTCAGAATCTCAAGAACTGAGAATGCTTAACACCTCTTAGGTAAATTTTTGTCACAGGGGCCAAGAAGGTTAGGTAGGGGCTCTTCCGGTAGACATGTCAGCTGAACCATATAATGTGACAGTCGAGAATCTGACCTTTAATCAAAACCTGATAGTTGATCTAGCTCATGATGCTATTTACGTCATCAAAGGTATGATCTTTATTTTATATACTGTTGTATACTAAGTGTGTATTTTGATGTAACCCGTGATGAGTAATAACGAGTTCAATAAGCATACAACTAATGGCTTCTAAGGCCGACGTGTCGAAGTTGAGATCGAGGGCTATCATTAAAAAGAATTCTCTCAGTGAAACCCAAATTATCTCTGGGTTGTCTCCATCAGTCGACCAAGCAACAGAGGGCGCGGCGATCACAACAGAAGTTGCTCAGCGCCAATTGTGGGTGGATTGACTTGAGTAGCAAGCTGCGCTGTGTGAGGACAAGAGGAGGAATAATACGTCTGCTAAGTCCTAGGTAGTATGATTTTGCTATTCTGAAGGTAAATTCAAGAGGTTTAGAGCTTGGCCTTGTTGGTACTATATGTACCTGGCGGATCATTATTCGGCTTCCCCGCCGCCACCGGCTGTGTCCTTGAACTGTGAGCTTGTTATCAAGCCCATCCGATACGACATTCCGGGCCTGTTGGATTGCTTGGAGATTGTGCCTTTTTCTTCTTTCTTCAAGGATCAGAGAGATTAATGATGTTGTGTATGTAGTATATAATAATTCACTTCGTATCTCAGCCCTGAGTATGCTTTAGTGAGCTAGGCATGAACGCTCTGATTTACAGGCTATTAGTGTCAGCAGGTGCTTCCATCCAATATACATATTTTGCTTCCCTGTTTTGTAGGCTCTCGTGTTTCCCTTCCATCTACAAATCCTCAAGCACATATTGGATATCCACTAAATTTCAATACTTTATCCGTCCATGATATCTACTATATAGGGTAGAAGATCTGCCGAACAAATAAGAATATATAGACTAAAGAGGATAAAGTCTGAGATTATTTAATACGTAGGTATTAATAATAGAAACTAATACTTACTTTTCTAATATTACCAAGATTCGCCAATTTTTAGCCATTTATAGCTAAACATCCTTCATCCAAAGAATATACGTTCCTTATTGAAAATTTACGTTCTTATAGCTCATCCAAGGTCGAGCTGTCTCTTTTTTCCTTCTTGTTCTTACCTGATATTTCAAGATTCAATGTACGTCCATTGGTTTACTAGACTTGCTATGACTATCAGAAAATGATAGAGTCTAGATGGCTTTGTAATGTCTTTGATCGGTAGAAATGTCATTCCAAGTAAAAAGGGTTATCGAGAAGCTATGCCTCATTAACACAATTTGGTTATAAGGTGTCGTTCTAGATACGGCTATTGATAGTTTCAATAATAGGCATAATTGATAGTCACTTGAAAAGAGAGGAAAGACGAAGAGTAGCGTTTTTAGAATGTATGTTATAAACTGTCCAAACAAAGTAATTAACCCCAGCACTTATAAGATAAAAGACACCCAAAAGATTGATTGTTAGCTCCATATATATTTATACAGGGTGAGAAATATCAATGCAGAGTTTAAATAGGGCTATGTTTGTATTAGACAAGGATACGAACGTCGAGAATATGAAGCACTACTCATTTCATAGAACCAGCTTGGCCAACACGCTATGTGTGTATCTAGACGAATAAGTGGTACCCCACATCCTGACTTGAACACAAGATTGACTTGCAAACCATCAAGACAGTCTGGCTCCTAAAACATTATCTCACCTGGATATTCAGTGTTTTTATGCCTGTCACAGATAAAATAGGGAGGTTCTTGTGATGATGCGCTCGTGAATTACTTCGCAGAATTCCACATATCTCTCGTAAACATTGAAAGAATTAGAAACCCCACGCCATGCTTGAAAATTCTTAAATCCATAATAAATACACAAAAATAGGTATCATAACATCAAGCAAATAGAACCCCCAACCCCCAACGGTATACCGTATCACGGCAAGTTCCTCTCCTTAAACTCCTTCCACCTCGCCCGTAACCCACTCTTCCCTCTATTAACCTCCGGAGCATCAGAATCCCCAGACTTCTCCCCATCATCCTTCCCCTTGATCTGTGCAGTAAGATCCGGATTCACCTCCCCCCCAGCAGAAGATTGTGACTGTGTCGACTCTGGAACAAGCGTCCTCTCTGACATAGTCTCATCGACCACTTTCCCTTTCTGCACCGCAAGTTCCCTTTCCCGTCTGCGACGTTCTTGGCCCCGTCGGACGACGGCCTCGGCGCCGCCTCGCTCGCCGAGCATGACTGTTCCTCCTGGGCCGGGAGTGATGGCGCTGTAGTCTAAATTCCAGCCCATTTTTTTTCGGCGGTTTTGGTTGTGGTTTTGAGGATGTGGATGTGGGCGTGGTATTTGGTTCTTTGTTCTTGGTAGATTTAAGGTGACAATTGTGAAACACAATCTTGCATATGAGATTGGATAGATTTATGGAGAGTATTGACAGAATCTGGGACCCGGAGATACATATACTGACTAAAGGGGCAGTGTTCCACCAAAGGAATGGGAAGAGGTGGAGTTAGCCCTATAGAGCGATTACCCGAAGTGGTAGGGAATGACTTTCCGGAATGACGTCATGGGAATCACTGCCACTTTACCCTAGTTTTAGTTGGAAGGGATACTTGTCGATCGTAGGGGAGTTTGTTCTTGGTGGTTTGTGTCGGTTTGGTTGTCGTCTTTCACTGGTTCGGATTTGAGATATGTGTGTGGAGCGTTGGGCACACTGGCGTCAGGAATGTATTTAAGTAGTCCGGGGGCTGGGCTGCGTACTCCGTGATCGACCTGATGTTTGATGATGTCGCGGGATGTATAATTCGTACTGTGAGGTTCTTTCATTCCTTTTACGGCAAGGAGACTGGCCCAGCTATCATCATAAAATGATTTAACCGTGAGAAAGGCATGTTCTACTGTGCAGGATCAAACGCCTTCTTAAACGTCTCCAGGGTATGAACCCAGACTTTCCTCGGGAACTCCTCCGCCCGGTACCCGCTCATAACCTTCTCATTCGTCGTATCCTCCCCTTTATAATTGAGAATATACGACCCTCCACCGACTTTCCCAGTCGAAGCAACGCTCGTCTTCAACCCCTCAACGAGCGGAACCCCGACATTCCCCTCCCTAGGCACAGCAGGCGGATAAGCAGCGGAGGTAGAGATAAACACATTCCGCTCGCCGCTCTCCTCCGACGAGATCGACATCGGCCGGGAAAGGAAGCCAACGATGGAACCCGCAATCGGACCGATTGTTTTATTCATGAGAGGTGTGCGGACAATGCCGGGGAACATGTGAACGAAGCTGATGGAGGGATGTAATGTAGCCAGGTGCTCCACGGCGAGGGAGTTCATGGTCGCAGCATAGGTAGTGGATTTCATGAAGGACCAGGATTTCTGCAAGTCGAGGTTGTCTTCTTCAATTTTGCCTTCCTGGCCGCCGCCCAGGACGGTGACGACGCGTGCTGGCGTTTCGGATGCGCTGAGGAGGGGGAGGAGGTTGTGGACGAAGCGCATACGGGAGTAGTAGCGGAGGGCATGATTATTTTCGAGGCCTTCTTTGGTGTCTGTGTCTCTTAGTATCTGTTCTGGATATGCAGGTGATAGTGGTACTTGCTTTGCTTTGATGTTGCGAGATGTCCTGTGGACAGGAATAAGAGATCGATGGCTTTTTCTTTCTGCTTGATTTCTGAACAGGCTTCATCTACGTTCTTCAGGAGCGAGATATCTGATTGAATGAAATGGAAGGTTCCCTCAGGATTTGCTGATTTCAGTTCCTCCAATATCTTTGATCCAGCGACCGCGTTCCGTCCTATGAGGTGAATGGTCGGCTTTTTGATGACTTTCGTTAGCTCCTTGGCTGTTGCTTCTCCGATTCCGCTGGTCCCTCCCACGAATACCGCGACGAAGCTTCCATTGCGGGCGTGGAGAGTGGCATTCGACCTTCGGACTTCGTTGATGCCCACCATCGTGGTTGTAGGGTTGGGGATAGAAGATAGTGATGGGATCAGACGAGGTCTGGATTGAAACTAGCTTGAGTGAATATGACTGAAGTTATCAAGGTAGTCACAGTATTGAGACAAATAATAATGATCACACCCTACTTGGTTTATGAGGAGATAGACGTGTTCAGCAATGTCGCGCGCCCGAATTGCTATGCCCAATCCATTGCGTCACCACCCGCTCGGCCAATGGGAGTTGGACTTGACCAATCAGTTCCTATGACTGTACCCTAACCAGACCACTCATACTTGGAATAAGGTGAAAAACGTAGTAATTCCCGATGAAGGTCGTTTCCAAAAGGAAGTTAGGAACCGGGACTACGAAGATCGTAAACGAAGGATAAGTCTCTATTCTCGTGGTTTTCATTTCTTCGTTCAGCCATCCATATATCATGGCATTAGAATAAGAATAATTATATGGTTAAAATAGAAAGCTCGCCTTCATGCCTTAACAATTATCGTCTGTCGCCACGGGTATTAAGGGAAAAAACTATTGACATGAGTATGAAAATACCCGAAAGAGATTAGAAGAAAAAATAAAGAAAGTTTGGTCGTAACTTCATGAAAATTCCGGACTATTCGGAATCGTACAGTAGTTGCAAAGTAAGCCGAGATGGCTTAAGTTGACGATACCGTCGCTGCTGATTTGAATGCTGCTTCAACATCAGTCAGTCGGAAGCCCGGAGCTCGCCCCAGGATAACCATTTTCTGCAAGAGTGCTAGGACACATTAGAATCCTAAGCTTTATAAATATTGTTCCACAGCATCGTACCTTGAACAAACTCCTCGATATTGAGGACCCAAGATCCTTGCCCTGTTACACCGCCCTTCAAACCTGAGGTGCGCTCAGGGTTAACATCGATATTCCGAAGCGGGGACGATTTAGGCTCTTGATTGCCACCTATGTCCATGGGTATGTCCTTTGATAGATCATAAGCGGTTTTCTGATAATTTTCCTGGTTTTCAGTTGCCGGAGTAGCGAAAAGACACGGCGAACCATCAAGGCAGAAGCCCTTTTCCTCAAGATAGCCCTGAACATCTCGACAATCGAGCCAGGTGCCATCGAGCCCGTGCAATTTAAGAAGCTCCTGTCTCTTTTCTGGCGAAAGTTTGTTCTCCATCCCCTGGATGCTGCCTGTCATTGAGCTAAGGATTCGACCCGGAAGTCGCATGTTTTCTGGAAATAGGGGCTTCCCATCAGCCTGCACCTGAGGATAATGAGTGCCCGCTCCACCGATGCAGTAAAAGGGGGCCTTGGATGGCTCCAACGGGTCTTTCGGCCCTGCGCGGACGAGAGCGGCAAGGTAGCGGGCCATTTTATCCTCTTGACGGATGCACGACACGAGACGGAAGACACGGTAAATGTCCTGTGGGTCGGTCCGAGGATCGGTAAACAATCGATAGGCGTATTCTATGCATTGACGATGAAGCCGACGGGCAAATGTTGACTCGTTGAAGCTATAGGTGAAGGCAGAACTGCCGTTCATTGGCCTCTCGACTTGCTTTGGGAGATTGCCGAGATACGAACGTTGCGCGTATCTGGAAGGTGACATTCGAACGCGGTCATTTCCTGGTTGCTTGTAGAACATTCCATTCGCCCGGGGACTCATGTTCATTGTGTAACCAAAGGTAAACGCATCGCCGGCTGCTCCTGTCGACGATAGAGTGGCTAGTCCGAGACGGTGGAGTTCTGCAGTAGACGGTGGACTCCCATTTGGCGAATCTTCGCTCTTCGCCTGCGATACAGTGCTGTTGAGTTGCTGGAACAGGTAAGGGTGAGTGAGATGAAGATCAGACTGGATAGCCATATGATAGAATTTGGAAAGCGAGCCAGATATCCTGCTCATGCTATCTTCTAGCTCCGACACGCGTGATTTCATATCCTGAAACATGGCTTCCTTCTTTAATCGATAGGTCCTCTGTGCAGCTCGGATCTGAGCCCGACGGTCCTGCTTTGCTGTTAGCTATTCCCTGGAAGGAAACCGACCCCCAGAAGGGCAGTATTACATTCGGAGAAGTATTGCCAGAGGACATTCTCGGTCTACCGCGTTTTCTCACTCGGTTCGCCGACTGCGAGGGCTCGGGTGTACTTCTCTGTTCGAGATTATGGCCATCATCCGATCCCGGTTTTGCACCGGTTGTCTCCGATATGTGCGGAAACCGATCGGGCTGATAATACCGCGCCGACAGAGTTTGTGATAACAGATAATCGGCCATGGTTACCGCCTCGTCCAGTGGTCCGAACGGTTGAGTTGATTATATATCTGCGGAACTTTTCTATAGTGATATAATCATGGAGATGGAAGCGATGCTGGTATATATTCTTATTGACGATAGTAACATGATGGAAATTGCATGATGCTTGGCTGTGGTTTTCTGTGGTGTGAGATCTAGATTTCGCCTTCCATGTGCCTCGGCTGTTCAGATAATCGACGGTCCTTGATCCGAGGATCTCTTCTACTGGCCAATCAGGGGCCGGACTTGTGACCCAATATTTGCCCTATTCACGTTAGCATCATGTTTCCTTTTACGATAAGATACCTCATTACGTGCTCTTAGTGGCGCCTAAAGGACACCGATTCCATCGTGGCACGACTAGTTCTCTTTCTGACCCCCGTTCCGAATACGTTTAGCGTGGTCTATCAATGAGAGTTGATAGATTTCCCTTTTTGGTTAAATATGAAACTACATCTTATCACTTGATGCGTTTTGTGGCTTTGAAGCAGTCACCATCAAAGCGACAAGAGCGTTTCTGCCTCTGAAAAAATCACATTAGTCTCAGCCGAGAACGCGAAAAACCCATCCGATCATGAAAGTTAGCCTTGTGATATCCATCCCGACCCATCACCACCGGACCGATCCCGAGGACGCTGGAGTCGGGTTGACTAACCAAATCTGCTGATCAAGGACGGGAATAGATACGGCAAAGCTTGTGATCAAACACTTCCCAAATACAGTTGATCGATATGCAAATAGCTTCTATACGGAATCGACCTTTACCTTTGATCCCAGATCTGATGATTCCCCTGATACCGGCAAGCTATGTGCACGATAAGGGGCGGAAGTGGGTTCTGAAAATGCGTATCAATGCCCGTTAATGCCCGACTGTCGCTTGTGATGTCAGTTGATTTTCAGCTGCCAGAGAAAAAAAGGAAAGATTTAGCTAACTTAGTGGAGCCTAGAACCTAGGATCGTGAGTACTTGTTTAGCTAATGGTCTGTTGTGCTTTCTCTTCGACCTTGTTCGACACCTATTGAGTCGGATAGGTGCTAGACATCCGGGTTTACATGCTTCGACGTAATGCGATAGTCCAATATAGGGATATTACACCGTGCCAAAAGAAACGGGGCCAGGGAGAGACTAACATAATGAAAGTTTGGGTCGTGTTATCCCCCCGATATACTCGATTGTAGTAAGGAGAATATGCCACTCGTAGAATAAAGTAGCGGTACAAGATATTCTGCTAAGGCCTAGGACCTTCCCTTCAGGTGATGATCGGCGCTTCTAGGGCTATTTAGGCCGACTACAGATTCGATCATGCCATAGTTGGAAGCCTCTAATCTCCAACAAGAAATGAAGTGGGAAAGTTTACTATAGGCTCTTCGAATAACGTTCAAGGGTCTAAGATAAAAGTTAGACCGGACTGGTTCGGAGCGTCATCGAAAAAGCCCGGACCGATCTATTCCCCAAAAACCTCCGCAGCATCCCAAACCCTTGCCATATATCAACTTTAATCTATGTATATCACACACCATAGCAGCATACAAAGAGGAGAGGGATGGATGTGCGATCAAAGCCGGGCTTCTCTGGAACTTCACATACGAGCTTAGGGAATCGGGCACTGGACGGTGACACAACACCGCTCACAAGGTTAAAAATAAGAATAGTATGACCATGATGTTATACATCCGAGCTGCACTGGCCGTGGTTTGTGCTACACTGATCTCTCCATTTGCGGGATCGGTGTAGGACAAGTGGCGCAAGGAAGTGATATTAAAGCTCTGGACAAATCTAAGCCCCAATATATGTAACGTCCGAAGGATGAGGATGACTGCATTAAGGGCTTTTGTCTCCGAGAGACTGAAGTGTTCCATCAGTCTTTTGTACAAATGAAGGGGGAGAAATAGCGACCATAGTCTCTAAGAGGTATATCTGCGATTATGGATAGTGCTATACTATATACCCACGAACTTATCCCCGGCTGAGACAAGAGCAACCTTACGTGCTTTATATATTAGTGGGACACACTCAATCAAGAGTTTATCGTAACATAGGCTCTCTGATAGATTTGAATCCCATCTATCTCAAGGTTTTACACCCACCAGCTGTGGACGTTGAGCATTACCTGGGTTACACATACAATGATACTATCAAATGTTCTCAATCGTTAATGAACCGAGCAGACTGATTTGTTGACTGGCTCATCACAGTTGAACAGGTCTCATACGAGACTGTCGTGTTCACTGCACTTTGCTAGGATATCGGTAACAACGCCGGGTATTGAGGTCATACAAGAGTCTATGTCAGCTTACACGTTGCCTCGAAGAGTATAATCTACCACACATATCCCTAAAAATGATATCTATAAACATCGACTTCAAAGAAGGCCCGATTAACATAAATATGTCTACCATAACCCCTAAGAGTTCCCTCTAACCAAGCAAACCAACCCATATCAGATACAGGCAGCCTATGCCCAAATCCACCGACCGTCAAAATGCGTTTCTTCATCCCATTTACCCTCATACTAGCCACCATTGCTCTCGCCACGGCCCTAAATGCCGACAACATGGTGGATGAAAACAAACTCACTGTAGAGGAAGCGGCGCGTTGCCTCCGCGGATACCAGAAGTGCTTGGAAGTAAGTGCCTGCTAACTTCTCACACCGGTTTTGCTATGAGCCCTTGCTGACGTTCTATTCTTTGCTAGTCGTGCCGCCGCCATCATGGTGGACAAAGATGCTACAACGTGCGTGATCTTGCCCCCTAGATTTAATTGGTTTGGTACTGATTTGTATACACGTAGGCGTGCCACGCCCATTACTGCGTTTGAATCACTCATTCGCTGGCATGGATTGGTGTGCTATCTACCTTTTACTTCTCACGGGGGTGTGGAATGGAATATGGCTGGTATTTTTGGAATTGGGACTTTTGTTCGCTAAAATTTTGCTTTTGATTTTAGCCTTTGATGCCCCCGAGGATAGTGGCCACTCATTTAAGTCATATTATTGCGATTACGGAATTCGAACTACGGGTTATATCTAAGACCAGTAGCAAGACGGGTGACATTGGAAACGTAAATATCATCCTACAAAAATTAACAGATAATGCCATAGAGTGCTTATCTTCAACCTCGATTGAAATGCTCATATGTAGTAGACGAGCGCATGTGCAACCAATGACTGGGCTAGGGCGAGAAAGACACAACCCGAAGGCCCTCTTAGAGATAAAGATTTCTTCAAAATCAAAAGCATTGAAACTTGGTTAATTAGAATAAAAAGCCTCCCATGAACCGTCCTAGTAGTTCCATACCCTAGATTTTGGAGCAACATCAAACACTACCTTCTAAGATTGTGCATATGAAGAAATAGAGATTGGCCGTTTCTCCACTGTCAGGGGGCGCATGAATGCGAGCTTCTTCAGAGAGAAGCTCAATACAATCAACGGGTTCCCAACATGCCCTTGCTTCTTCGATAATCGCAGCATTAGGCTCTCTCCGTTTGAAGAGGACGTCTTTCATTCGCGTTGTCCAGTACCCGTGCAAAACCTTGGGCAAGAGGAGATTTAGCTCGAGGTATTTATATCCAAACTCGGGTACGAGATCATCTAGTTCCTGGAGTAATAATCTCTCTTCCTCGCGCATTTCAGCAATGTCGTGACTTGGAGCGGACTCGGACCACTCTAGCCGGTTATGGTCCCGCCTACTAGTGTGTTTAAGCCCCGATCCTTGAAATGTGAAATAGCGCAGAACTGCTGAAGCAATTTCAAAGCTGTCGTTTTCATCTTTAAGCAAGAAATCGAGTAGGCGAGTGCGAACGCAAGTCTGTCTACCGTGAATGGTCCAATAGGATGTTTGAAGGTTCTCCCTACCAAAAAGTCCGTGTAATGCAACGGATATTGGAAGACATCCTGCACTAGGAGAGCATAAGCATGAACAACTATCTGGAATCTAAAGAACTAAGGCAATCTCTCCAGAACCGTCGTTGCGGTTCGTTAAAGGCTTGGAAGGAGTCAGCCACACTCTGGCGAACACGTTTGCAGGTCAATGGACTCCCCACACTCAGATTTTCTTGCACTGCTATGTACACAAAGCATCCGATGATACTGCTATAGAAACTCTAAAATTGGTGGAAAGCCAATTTAGGATGATATGGGGTCTAGGCCTATATCAAATAACTACATGGCACGCTCAAGAGCGGTTGCTGGATCAAGATTCCGAGGATGACCCAGTGAGCACTTGTCTCGAAACCCGGCCTAATACAGCGTCTTCATCGAGTCTAAACGGACTATTTTCTCCAATATGGGACAGCTTTATCGACCATCAATCTATTTGGTACAGCTATCCCATTCTCATTTACAAACCCGCATAATCAGGCCGCACTTCCATCGGGAAACTTTCCTGCTGCGACTTCCAAACGAACTAGCTCGTCTACTGTCAAGTCTGACTCAGCTAGAGCACGAAGCATGGGATGCCGTTCAATAACCTTCGTTATTAGAATCGTGTATATTTACGTGCTGGATGACATCTTGAGGACAGATATTGAAGACGGTACGTCAGCGCGGACTAACAGTTCCGTGGAAGATAGTCTTTTACACCGAATGGCAGTCAGTGAGTGATGTATCTCGCTGAGAGAATATTCTCCCTTTCTTAAAAGAAACTCTAAGCCATCTGGCCAAGTAGCTGCCGATTCGAGTGGCACGGTGTGTGTATACATAAAACTTGGGTTTGACTGCACCGCGCATTATAGAGCAAACCTTGACTGATGTAGAATTGCCCAAATAAAATCGGAGATTTAAAGAAGTTTCTCTCAGTCAGAATGTAGGTTGCTAAGCTATGGTCGACGAGGCTTGGTGAGTATCTTCCTACTTTGTGTAAACATGCGTACAAGATCTTTCTTTCTTCTATAGGTACTAATGAATGCCGTACTAATCTCTGTCGCAAAGCTGCCATGCAGTAGCTGCCGAAGGAGATCCTGATGGTAATTTGGTTCTGGGTTATCCAGGCCATTTGATGCGGGAAAAAACAACATGGGGTCCAGACCAGGGATCAAAGTAGTCCAGTGGCGTGAGACCATCTCGATCTAGTTCAGATAGAACGTGAGTATTTGTAAAAAGGCTTACAGGTCGGCTGCATTGTTGTTTAGCATCGGGAAAGCTTAGGAATTTCCAATATAGCTCCTGATAGGTAGTTAATGCTTGATCACGCATGCTTTGCTGGTTGAGTATGGTAGATACTAACATGCAGAATTGTATGACCCCGTGGGTTTATATAATTGGGTCTAGCTCTTCCTTCCTCATAGATTTGACGAAGTTGGACAATAGCAATGTTGAAAAGCTTAATCATACATTCTACGTTGAGTGACAGTCTATCCCTCCTGATTTTGTCAATTAATGAAAAGGTTGAGAGCCAAAAAGGACTGTTGCGCGAAGGGTTAGACGCGGGGCTAGCGTCAGTCCGCCCGGCTCTTGGAAATAAACAAGGAGGCGGATACTCTTGGTGGTCTTCGATACCGAGCCGGATGATATCGACTATTTGGTGACAATTCTCGATGTAATTGCGATCTATGAGCGAGTCACAGTCCTTCAAGACCGTACTTAACAAGTTCATAACCTTTGCATTAATTCAGCCTTCTGAGCAACGCGACTGATTTCCTCGTCTCCCCGCACGCCTGAACAGTAGTTAATTATCCCGCTACAAACCATGATTCCTAGCGAAAGGACGCCGAAAGCCCCAGTTGTGATAGAGAATGAGTCACCCATGCTGTCCATATGCTTTGGCTAAAAGAATAAGGGAAATTGGAAAGGAAGAAAAAGGTCCAGGTACAAGGAGTATGATGTGGAATGGGAAAAGTTGCAGGTCAATATGTGGAGTCCTGTGCCAGGCTTCAAAGGCTGATGAACTCACGTGGTTGGATTCGTGCCTAATGGTTATAAACCACGCTATAACTAAAGAATATTCAGTTGGCATATTCGGACTCGTTGGACGGCTAAATACTTATCTGGGATTATTTTATTATCTCGAAGTTACTTTTATCTCCCTTTCTGACGAAAGACTCAATACGCCGAGTCAGTCTATGCAAGCATCCAGCTCTCGATGATGTATATACTTGAATTCCAGGTCTTCGATTAACCCTAAATTTCTGTTTCTGCTAATATAAAGTGACACGGCCCGTTAGTTAGCTAGAGTCTCAGGTTTCAAAGTATTTTGTGGCTTCATGGATCCGGAGAAGAACCTAGCCATATCATCGTAATCATCAACCTCCCCAACCCAGCTCACGTATTGATCCGGTCGGACAATGACAGCAGCTCCATGACTAGGGTCAATACCGTAATTAACATAGGCTTGACCATGCCCCTCGTGGTATGACTGATCATCTACAAAGACCTTCCAATAATCCCAACCCATCTGCTCGTCATAGGGGTGGAAAGCCTCCGGCAGATCTAGAAGTTCTAGGCTCGCCCGCGGTCCGGCATGGATTGTCAGAACTTCAATAAGGCTGTCAATTGCCTGACCGTACGGTGTGTATTGACGAATGAATGAGTTCGGGCTTCCTAGCTTCGCACCGAGCTTTTGCATGCGCTGCATGTTTCGGGATGTTGTAAGCTGGCCAGAGAACACGATTACCCGCCATCGCCCGTTGCTTTTCAGGAGCTCCTGCAGATGCCATGGACGGGCGTCGGATTGATTGAGGACCTTGAAACTCGGCATACGTTTCCCAATGTCAATCTTTGATGCCAGCTGCGGCTTGCTGATGACTCGATGCGAGGGACTGCCGGCGACATCAGTCCCATCGCCTTGTTCAACAGAGCTACCTTCTTTCGCAACGATGACACTGGTTCCATAATTGACCGCTACAGGATTAGTATATGCAATATAAAAATGATGGCGGTAGAGACGAATGAGCTTACCAATGCCGCTAGCGAACTCATTTCCTTTCTCAAACGCGTTCTTGAACTCTTCCATGCTGACACCCTCTTCGTCCATCACGTCCCTGGCTGGACGACCAGAGAACAGCCTGGAAAACCAATGGTCGAAAGCAATTAGATCCTGTGCAATGCGCCTTCTCTCCGATTGATATGTCTTCAAAATTGATCCCTCGCTGTACCCTTTAACCACATGAGCGATTTTCCATCCAAGGTTGTACGCTATGCGAGCAGCCAGTCAGTGTTGTCTTCTAGTGTGGTGTATCGGGTATGCTTACTATCCTGCATGCTCACATTCATGCCCTGCCCCGCTTTAGGCGAATGCGTATGAACCGCATCACCAGCGAGGAAGACACGCTCCATTAGCGAAAACTGGTTTCCCACACGCTGCCCAATCTGATACGCAGTCCACCAGTCACAGTACGAATAGTTCAACTTATACGGGTGCAGAATGCGCTGCGCGGACCGCAAAATAATATCCGGGGTAATCCACGACCGATCCGCTTTACCTCCAGTCTGCGCGTGCTCCGTCGCCTGCAGCTGAATGTACAGCCGGACGAGTTTATTTTCCCGTGGGATCACCATGACGCTACCGGCGTCGGCGGAGTGAATGGCACACCGCTGGCGGATATCGGGAAAGTCCGTGATGGGGACAATGTCCAGTACGCCCCAGATGTAGTCGGTGGAGTCGCCCTCTAACTTGAAGCCGAGCTGACGTCGCACCCATGAGTGGGCGCCGTCGCAGCCAACCATGAATTTGGCCTTGACTGTCTCGACGGAGTTGGCGTTGTCATTTTTTCTTGCAACGCGGATGAGATCATCCGTATCGTCTGCCGCTAGATTGCAGCGGAAGAGACCGTCATTGATGACCGATTGAGTGCCGTCGGCCGTTTTGTGATGTTGTTGTCGCTGAGCGGGCGTCGCCTCTTCCTCGGATAGAATGCGCAGAGTGACAGATATGGGGTAATCGTTAAATTCTGCTGCTTTGGACTCATCAAATTCGAAAGTAGTGGGTAGCACGCCGCGCTCAACTATAATATCGCTATGCTCTTTTATCGAATCGAGGAAGAACCGCTCAATGCGACCCTGGTGCAGCACGACCTGCTGAAACCGACTGATCCCAGGAATGGTATCTGGGATCCGGTCCGATCGTCGGAGAATACCATCCTGGTCGGGGTTCCAGAGGCAAATCTCAAGCATATGGTTCGATTCTCGCCAGGCACGGTGCGCGAAATCGAACGAGTCGAAGATCTCGAGGGTGCGGCATTGTAAGCCATCCGCTTGGCCATTGAAGATCCGCAGCTCTGTTAGCTCTCAGTGCCAGACTGAGGGATAGGAAAAATATACTTTGGTACCGCGCTTATCAACAATTCGGGTCTTGACGTCGAATCGACTCAACCAGTTTGCCAGCATGAGGCCGGCAGGTCCGGCTCCGACGATAAGAACGTCGACATGGTCTTCTTTGGAAGCAAGTGCTCCAGGCATGAAGACAGGATTGAACACCATAGTACAATTGTTAAATAGGGGAATACCAGCGCCTTTTCATGTCTATAACTGTGATTGAAGGCTTGCACACCTGCATCCGAGCCGGAACCCATGGCAGGAATAGCCGGTGGGGCATATGTGTTTACCCCGCAGAAAATCAGATCAACTCACTCTATAACCCCAGGGTCGATCATTCCGGAGAATTTTACCGTCCAATCCCCTACCCAGGACAACATTCGGAAGCGGGTTTCGGATCTTGGATCGGAAGTAGAAGGTATCGGAAGGATCTCGAGAAACCTTAAAGTTGGCCCAGCCCTAGGTTACCATCCCTTCGCCCGATATACGAACATGCTAATTGGCCCAAGTCTGCGCCGGGAAGGCATGAAGGATCGGGATTTTGCATACTGATATGCAATATCGAAGTTAAAATCCTTCAGGGGGTTCCCAACCGCGACAACCGAGGATAGGCGGGAATAACGTCATGTCTTGGTAGGAGACTCGAACGTCGAGGCGGTGTACCATCGACTCAAAGGATTCTTTGAGCATCATTTTGTATATGATAGGCCGGGATCCTCGCCATTCCTCGGTTCTAACGATGGTTGGTCCATGGTGTGTCTATCAGTCATCCCTTGAATGGCTTTGTGGTCTTCTGAGCGTTTCCCTGTAGCTCGACTAACGCGAGAAAGTATTGGTGTACTCGTACAGTAAAACAACAGTGCCACAAGGTTTCTGCATTATCTATTTGCTGGACAGTAATCCTACGGGGCGTCTTCGGTAACCAGTATCAATATCCAGAGTCGTTGCTCTTGGTCTTAGTACACCAGACCCGGGACCCGGGACCCTAACATGCTGTTTCCCTCAAGCGAATTAATTCACTAAGATAGAACACAAAGTCCTTCAGTTCCCAGAAAAACATGAAATAAACTCACGCATAGATATTCACGGCAATGTGGTTATTCTATCAATCTGGTCAGATTGTTTCTTCTATTTTTAACCATTCTGGAGCCGGAGGTCCTAAAACGATAACAGGATATGGTTGACAAAGAGGGGTGGGGAATAGGGAGAGAGCAAAAGAGAGAGATATATATAGAGAGTACGCTGCTTCTAGGCGAGGTACTCGACTTCTCCTTTGGTAGTTTCGAGGAATCATACGATCTCATTGATGGGGATGGAACTATATCTTTCACCTTAGGCCGTCCACTCCATAAAGGACCAACGTAAAGCGGGGTGTATATGAGTGTAGCATTCCCTATACATATTTTAAGATATCTATTTACTTTAGAATAACGCTCTTCATAGCTTGAGCATCTGGAAACATGCTATCGCACCACTAAGTGTGGAATCCTGCCCTTGGATGTTCGACTGAAGACATTATCGGCTAAGTTCGGAAAGGTTTACCTTTATTTAGTAGCCATGTGTGAGATTTAAAATAGAATCATCGCTCTAATAAGCGATACATACACTTGATGGTCACCTGAAAGTAAACCTCTGGCCCCAAGTTTGGTAAATAATCTTACATCAAGCCCTTTTAATGGATGTAAAAGGGGCGTTTGATCATGTGGATGCTGCAAGACTAGTGAAGCGCATGCTAGATCTAGGCCTAGATACAGACCTCTGCCGATGGGTACAATCATTTCTGGCAGACCGCAGGATACAGCTAGTGATCGACCAACAGACGTGTTCTGTACAGCCGATTGAATCAGGAGTTTCACAGGGCTCACCAGTATCCCTATTCTCTTCATTTTCTACCTAGGGGGGATCTTCAAGGCTATTGAGCAAGCTGTTCCTGGTATCAGAATAATATCTTATACAGATGATATAAGTCTACTGATATCGGCCAGCTCAGTACAGCAAGCCTGCCAGAGACTAGAGCTAGCTGCTAGTATAGCTATTGAACAGGGCAAGCAACAGGCAATTCAGTTTGATATAGAAAAAACAGAAGCAGTTCTCTTAACAAGGAAGAAAGGGAAGGAGCTTAAGAATCGGATAGAAGAGCATGGAGTCTCATTTAACTCTGAAGCCACACGATGGCTAGGAGTAAGGCTGGATAGAGGCCTAACCCCTAAAGACACATTACTATACCTGTCTATGTAAAGCCCGCAAGGTAGAGGTACAGGTACAAGCTCTATACCCAGAACAAGGTCTTTCATCAGGCCTAGTACAACGCATTCAGGTAGCTGCTGTACAGGCAGTAGCTCTATATGGAGCAGAACTCTGGTGGCAGGGTCAAAAGGATCGAGTTAGGGATATCTAGTATATAATAAACCGACAGGCACGCTCAATCACAGGGATGCTAAAAACTATTCTACTTGAGCCACTTATTAGAGAAGCAGCTCTATATCCAGCGGAAGCCCTGTTAGATAGACGCTAGAGGCAGTATATCCTAAGACTACTGGGATTACCCAAGGGCCATCTGGCTCAGGCGATTCTACCAGTTAGCTTCCGCATGGGGAACTGCCACGCACAGCCTGGGGAACAGTCTATAGATGATCGAATATGGGCGGAAGGCCCTAAGTCACGTGGCCCATGGAACCTAAGTCAATATCTAGCAGCCAGGATGGCCATTATCTTAAAGATAGATCCCTCAGCAGGATTAAAAGAAGTAGTGGAGACTTTTCCCAAGGTATTTCCAGGCACTATACTAGTGTCTGCAGAGGAAGAAGCCCTCCATAGAGGCCTAATAATATGGTCAGATGGATCACGCCTAGAGAATGGACGGACCGGTGCAGATATTACATGGTTAGAGCTCTCAGGTGTATGAAAGACTAAGCAGGTACCACTAGGACAGGAGAAAGAGATCTTTAATACAAAGCTAGCAGGTGCTTGTAAAGCAATTGAAATAACTGAGCAGCTGGGACATAAAGGCTCAATTAGGATTCTATTAGATTCCCAGGCAGCTATAGCCCGGCTGTAAAACAATAGAACTGGCCCAGGGCAAAGCTGGGTAATTCAGGTCTAAAATACAGCCTGAAGGCTTGAGAATCAAGGATAACTATTTAATGGATCCCAGGCTATTGAGGGGTCCTAGGGAACAAGAAGACCGCCCAGAGACAATAATGGCTTGTTAGGCACTGATAAAACAATCTTACAGGGCCTAACAGCGCTATCAATCCTGGAAAGAGTAGAATCTAGATCCAGTGGCAGGAGCAGTACTAAAGCAGCTCACTCATTAGTACTATTAGCTTAAGGTTAGGCATGCAGCAATACCAACCTATCTGAGTCACATAGAGTTCTGAGGCTCATCTAGGTACCAAAGCTGCCAGGCTCCACAGGGGACAACAGGCAATCAATTAATAGAATACAGACAATGGTGCCGCCAGAGACAGGTTCTGTATAGGGCCTTAGTCAAAGCAGGAGTATCACCACCCGGGTAGAAAGAAATAGCCCCAGAATCCCATCTCTTTGCTCATTAGAGAGCCATAAAGACCTTAATAACCTTCTTTATAACGATAAGGAAGCAGTCAGGGAGAAAGATAAAGCCTCTAGGAATAATCTTTAGGGCATAGAGCTGGTAAAAGAAGCAGAAAGTAGAGAAAAAGAATAGCAGAAGAGACTATCTAGGCATATCTAGGTAATACCTAGCAAGCAATGAATACCGAGGAGAGTATAGCCTAAAGTCTCTAGCGCAGATAGGCAGCTCAGGCAAGGAAAAGGACTAGAATAAACACACAAACAATAGAGGGGGGCCGATAGAGCCCCTAGGGACCATCTAGAGGAAGTGGCTTAGGCCACTGCCTAGACATATGTGTCATAGTCAACGGCTCGATACGGACGTTAAACTTGATTAATAATAATAATAATCTTACATCATCTCTCGGGGACTCGGGTTGCTTTAACTCCGTCCCACCAATCTATACTCCGTAGCAGTAAAGCCCACGGAGTTACAACGGCCATATTACTAGGACATAGAGCTAGTACCCTATCTAGTCACCGATCTATGACCTTATTGGCTAGACCCGACCGCGCCATATTGACCTGGCGGCCGCCAGTGGAGACCAAGGTTGCTAGCAGCCAAGCTCCGCGACAATCCATTCTAGCATATATACTCGAATATAAAAGACTACGAAATAGACACATTCCCCCCAATTCATATCCCACAACAACCTCAAACAACTAAATTCCACAATTACTAAACTAGACGCCACAATGGCAACCACCTACGCCAAAGACCAACCCGCCGACTTTCAAAACGAGATCCGGCACGTCGCTATCATCGGCGTACACCCCCTAACAAACCATTCCAAACCATCTACTGTGTAAAGGTAGAAAACTAACCAAAGTCCCTAGGCCGGAGGTTCCGTCGGCAAACCCATCACCCAAGCACTCCTCAAAACAGGAAAGCACACCATAACCGCCCTAACTCGCGCCAACAGCCTGACCACCTTACCCAACACCATCCACACCATCCCAGTCAACTACGACGACGAGCCGAGCCTTGTAAGCGCCCTTACCGGCCAGGATGCGCTCATCATCACCCTACCCGTGATGACGGCCCCGGATACACAATCCAAGATCGTGCAAGCTGCCGCAAAAGCCGGGGTCAAGTATATCATGCCGAATGTGTGGGGGTGCGACGTCACGGATGATGCGTTGGCGAAAGACATCCCGAACTGGGATAACGTTCGTGGGATTTTCGATGAGATCGAGAAGACGGGCGTCTCGTCATGGATTGCGCTTATCTGTGGGTTTTGGTATGAGCATAGTCTCTGTCTGGGGCCGGGCGGGTTTGGGTTTGATTTTGCAGCAAAGAAGTTGGTGTTGTTTGATGATGGGGAAACAAAGATTAATATTAGTACACATGAGCAGTGTGGGAGGGCTGTGGCGAGGTTGTTGAGTTTGAAGGTGTTGCCGGAGGATAAGAGTGATGGGAGTCTGACATTGAGTCGCTGGTTGAATAAGCCGGTGTTTATCTCGAGCTTTTTGATCAGTCAGAAGGATATGTTTGAGAGTTGGAAGCGGGTTACTGGTGAGACGGAGGAGGATTGGACGGTTGTCCATGAGTCCAGCAGTGAGAGATATAAGAAGGGGCTGGAGCGGATGAGGAAAGGAGAACATGCTGCTTTTGTGCAGGCTATGTACTCTCGTGTCTTCTTTCCCAATGGAGGTGGGGACTATGAGTATAAATATGGTCTGGCTAATGAGGCCCTTGGTCTTTCTGAGGAGGGTTTGGATGAGCATACCAAGAATGCTAAGGGTATGGTTGATCGGGGATATCATTATATGACAAACCGGAACTGAGACCACCGTGTTTAATTTTCATTACAACGTTGCCCACCAGCAGAAGAAGGGGCTTAGGATGACGCAGATAATCTGTGATTGTGAATTTGTTGCGTTCTTTCCTTAGAATAATGAGTTTGATGTTGTCAATATGAGGCTTTGCCAGATATTTTTGATTACAGATAGCCACCTTTTAAGGTGTAGTGAACAGTACGGTTGGATTGAAACTCGAACAAACCAACTCGCTCTAGAGTCTAGCAACACAGCTGAAAGTCTTTATATACCTATCCATATCACGTATCAATCCGCGACGGAAGGTGTCTTTGTCGGTAATCTTCCTCTTGGTTTTCTTCAAGCGATGTTCCACCTTTGTACCATTCTTCTGCAGGAATGGTGAGCGTGAAAACAGAACCTTCAACACCCGTAAGTATTTACAAAACGATATAATTGTTATATGCCGTTCCCATAGTCAGTCCAATCCAGACACTCTTCGGCTTTTATCCCGTTAGTCGAAAATCTTGCCTGGATTGAGTAGACACCTTAGATATTATCAGTGGTTAGCCAACCAAAAGTTAGCTTCAGTGAGAGATTTAGACTTACTGAGGATCCAAACTGTGTTTCAATGTGCGCATAACCCCAACAGTCTCAGGTCCTAGCTCTTCCAGCAAACACTCTTTCTTCCCGAGACCAATACCATGCTCACCCTAGGATAAACATTAGGCAATCCATAAGAGTAGATAAAAGGCTTGGCAATTCGCCTTTCTGGAGTCGACATTACTAACCGAAACAGTTCCTTCCATTTCCACGGCCCTATGTACCATTGCTAAGACGCAATCCCGAACAGATTGCTTTTGGCTCGGGTCGTCGGGGTTATACATGACAGCTTGATGGAAATTACCGTCCCCGACGTGGCCTAGCACGCTTGAGAAAAGTCCTAACGTGCCGGACTCCTTCTTAGAAAGGTCTAAAGGAATTAGTCAACATGCTCGGAAGCACCTATGTAGGGGAACGCTGTACCAATGATCTCAGCCATTCTCGATAATGGCACGGCAACATCTGTAGACCAGATCTGGGTACCCTCCGGTCGCTGCGCTAGCATCGCCCACAGCGACTCTTTCCTAGCTGCCCAAAGGCTGTGCATTTCCTCTTCACTTTTTGCAAATTCGAAATCCTCGCCTCCGTTCTGCGAGCTGATTGCTCGAACCCGTTCAACATCTTCATCGATGCCTCTCAAGGTTCCTGAAAATCTGCCTCGCATTTAGCGGTGTCTAGGAGTACGAGCGAGGGAAGACGCACTTGAAAAGTAATGTCGGCTTTTCGGTCCAGAACCTACCACCCGCACCTCCGTTCTTATTGATCACCTTCATCTGAGTCTCGTCCATCATCTCCAAGGCAGCAATTTGTATTCCCGTGCGCATGATCTTGGAAGCTGTAGCTGCAGCCTCTCGGATTGAGGGGAATGTAGCCACCGCTACACTCTGATTCTCTGGTATGGTTGCTAGTTTTAGGGTGATTTCTGTGATCATCCCAAGCGTCCCTTCACTACCGGTGAACAAGGATGTCAGGTTATATCCAGCTGATGTTTTCCTTCTCACTGTCAGTCTGTGGCTGAGAGTCGCAAGGAGGCAACATACCGTGGCCGGTGCCTCGTCTTGATAACAGTCCCGTCTGCCAGAACCACAGTGAGGTTGACGACCCAGTCCTTCATGGTACCATACCTCACTGCGTTTGTTCCGCTATTTGAAAACGCGCCATTTAGAAATAGCCCCCGGGCTTACCATGGACGATACGGAAATGCATGGACTTACCTGCAATTGGTTGCGACCATGCCCCCAATCAAAGCCTGCGAATAGATCGATTAGTGAATGCTCAAAGGCACTCGCAAATAATAAGCGTACTGTGGGACTAGGATCAAGTGGTAAGAAGAGGCCACTATCTTTGATCGCGTTGTTAAGATCAACCCAATTAACCCCCGGCTGAACTACAATATCCATGCTGATAGAACTATCAGCTACTACCTTTCCATCATACTTGCGATAGAAAGAACTTACTCCTCTGGGTGGAACGCGATAACTTGTTTCATGTCTGAAAAGTCGATACTCAACCCGGAATATGGTGCAACAAAATGCCCCTCGACACTTGAGCCTCCAGCAAATGGAACTAGATATTTTTCATGAGCAGATCGTTCGTGCCAGGTCAGACGCTAAGGTGGCTTACTCATAGGAATCTTGTAGGCAGAGCAGACTTTCGCGATAAATGACACCTCGTCTGTACTTTTCGGCCGAGCCACAGCCACCGGCCGTGCCTGGCAATTCGACGTCGACAATTCGGAGTACCCGTGGGCCGTGATCTCCTCTTCATCCCAAGAGATGATGTCCTTTCCCAGAGTTTCTTCGATTATCTTGATTCCCTACCCGTAACACGTATTAGTATGGGCTACGGAATCAAGTACATGACTTTGGAAAACATATTTACCTTTATCATAGCAGTCTTATCCGCATACCTGTCATCCCTTGCAACAGCAGGCGTTGCGGCCTCGGGCGGAGACGATTGCCAACGTGAAACCAGTGCGTACCCTCCAATCCCAGTGACCAGGCCCGTGAGAGCCCATTGGGCGGAGTTGCGACCGTGAGAATCGCCGCGAATCCGCTGCGTGGCCTCCACATGGTTCCAGCGAGCGAACGACACCCGTGTTGGGGTAGTTGCTCTGGTCCCAGGGCCGAACCTTGGCAATAACACTGCTCTGGATGGCGGCCGCATGGGTGCTATTTATATGAAGCAATGTTTTTCGAGGTATAGTAACGTCTTTTGTACGCTGACAGCGGAGATGTTCTTCGAGATGATTGGAGATGGAATGGAGCCTCTTGAATGTTATTCATCACGAGGCGCGGCTTGTCCCGATCAGGAGTATCCGAGCCTGCAAGTTGTGATTATGTAAATGGACTAGACAGATCGATCGATATATTATTTATAGTTCAATTTTAGATTATTTAGCTACTCTCTGAGTGGAGGAAAAATAGATAAAATGTATCCATACGTTTAAATTTATATAGTAGTGCTTTCTTTATCTGATCCGAGTTGGGAAGGGGTTATGAAAGTTCTCAATGGCATTACATTCCTGAGCCCACAAGCACGTACTCGGCAGTACGCTCGAGCCAAAACGAGGGTTCATGATTCTTGACACATATATAGTCTAAATATACATGTATCTAGATGAAACTCATAGCTACCCTACTACTAAGGAAGATGGATCCGCCCAGAACTCCGTATTAATCCATGGTTATCCATCAAATGGCAAACCTTGCCTACCATTTCCACGCCTCAACTATGGAATCTAGGGCTGTGCCTAGAACCACAAGCATTGCCCAGTGGTCCATTCGATACAGCGTCGCTATTACTCTCAACGACTCGTGCCGGCATATGAATTCGCGCTATTTCCTCCCCCAATGGTAATAAGATACGAGCAGTGTTACCGATTCCAATGCAGTTCGAAGAGGTGTACAGGAGTGTCTGGTGGCAGGCCGTCCAATTCAATCGCCCGTGTTAAGTGATGGCTGCAGAATAGGGAGGTCTCTCGTTGCCTTTGCATAGCTGTGTTGGCTATTAGCTGGTCTTGGGTTTCTAGTCTGGTGTCGGTCTGGTGGTCGTTCGGCCGTCCTCTGGGTAGTGGCATGCATCTTGGGCGACAAAACAGAGCGACAGTTTGAAAAGTATGAATATGTATATTTGGAGGGGAATGGAGTGGGATGTTTGGGAAACGGATTTACGTCGAGCGAGAGAATAAGAAGGCGGATAAGTCGTGGTATCTGGATCCTATAAACATTGAGTTTCCAAGCAGAACACTCTCTTGAGTATTATTCCGATACTTTGAGGAACTCCCAGTAAGAGGATAGGGGCTCAGCATACATTTGCAAACGACCTGAAGTTCCTAGGTATATTCTTTACTAAGTCCTAAGGCTTAGTTGCGGGAGGTAAGTTGCATTAGTTGCAAAAGACATCACTGTGCTAAAAAGATGTCTTCACGCCGAATTAATCGGAAGTACTGTATTATATATACATTTGACAACAATACACTTAGTATTGCCGCAGTATCATGCCCTGAGTAGAGCTTGAATGGTCCCGAAGGAGGATTCTTTAGGTGATATCAGGTTAGGCTGAGTGCATTGCATGGTAGAGACTATTCCATACCAAATCATGGTTAGTACTCTGCTCTGCAACTATATGACTGTGTATATACACGCTATGGGATGTCACTTGAACAACAGTCTATTTAGATTATACCATCTTGCGCAAATGCCATCCTCAGTCTGCAATGTTGAGCCACTATCCTCAGCAGAAGCCCTTGCATACCTTTGCAAGTTAGCTCAGCCTCATAATGCTTTTGATGAATTGGTGTATGTTCTATGAATCCGCATACGTTGATAACTGAATACCCACGCACGTAGTGTAGGTATTTAGGCCTTCGTATATTGAATTTGTTTTGTCTTGGATTTCTGGGGTATTCCGCGCCTGATGACACACCACTATAAAACATGGATCCTTGCTCATAGCTCCAAATCTAGTAGAGAAAGTGTGGAGACGAAGTACCTATAAGGTAACAGGCAGGCGGTATACAAGATGGCTCAAGGAGATTCATCAGCAACCATGAGCTGCACCACAATGCCAGTATAACCAGATGTCAAGAACAAGGCCCGAAACACCTTACGCAAAGACATCGGCCCAGTATCGGTCCCCCTTCAAATCTTGAACCCATTTCAAAGCGGTCTGCTCGTCCTCACCGACCGCCTCCGCACGGATCCGCGCCATCGCTTTTTCAATGCCCAATCCAACCACACCAGCACCACAGATGTAAATCTGAGCTCCCTGGCGGAAGAAGTTTGCGCTCTCGTCCCGATCAGCCCAGATACGGTCCTGGATATGTTTGCAGTTCTTAGACGCCTGTGGGTTGTGCGAGTAGGCTCGACGAACATCAACAACGCCCTGTGCTTGCCACTTGTCGAACTCATCCCTGTACATATCGTCCTCATCGGGGCTGTTACAACCATAGAACAGTAGGGCCGGCCCTACTTTAATTCCACCAGCTTTCTTAATCGCGCGTTCTTCAACAAAGGCGTGGAAAGGTGCCAGGCCAGTTCCTGCACATGCCATAATAATTGGGGTACGATCATCCACCGGGAGGTGAAATCCAGCACGGCTCGGACGCAAACTGATATGAAGGCGATCACCAACACTAAGGCGTTCCAGATACGTACTCGCGACACCAAGGAACCGATAGCCTTGGCGACTACCCTTGGCGGGAGCATCAATCACGCTGTAGGTCAGGGTACACTCCGATTCGGAGGCTAGTGGTGTGGAGGAGATGCTGTACTGACGCAACCGCATTGGTGGCACAGATGCCAAAAATTGCCCTAAAGTATAGGTTGCTGAGGGGTAATCTTCAAGGAGATCCAGGAGAGTAACATTAGACTTCTGGAAATCCTCTTGTGCTGCCCGTTTCTCCAGCTCCTCTGCCAGGCGCGTGTCGGGGATTGACTTGATGAGAGCAGCGGTAGCGCGGCCAGTTGCAGCTTGACCAAGTTCCACCATGCCAGTCAGTATATCATAGATGGTTAAAGGTCTCCCAGTGGGGAGAGATGTCACTGTAGAAGGATCGATGGTGATAGTGGCATCCCACGGCAATCTAAACCGGTTTATGACACGGCGTACGGTCTCTGGTGGGTTAAGGGGCAACACAGCCAGGTAATCACCTGCCTGATACGAGAGCCCAGTTGGTAGACGTATACCAATGTGGCGCTTCCTGGGGGTCCCGGGCTTGGTCAACAAACGGACTTCACTAACTTCACCAAGCTGGACATCCTGCCGAAGGAGAGACGACCGGGTCTGGACGTTTACTTCGATTTTAAACTCTTTTTGAGTAGCTTTTTCAAGACCACCGGACTTTCCGCCGAGCTTGCGCACAGCCGGCCAGAACTGGCCATCTTGCCAGTCGTTGAATGTATCGAAGATGTTCCCTTGAGTGATATCAGCGGCCAGTCGTTCAGTGAGGCGCTCTGCTCCTGCGTTGCTGAATGCCTCATCTACCACGATGGGGATTTTTTGGTAGGTCGTGTGCCACTCCTCTGTAGAGAACCGATCAGTACATGTCGCGTTGGAACTTGACAAGGGAGCAGATACTTACTATTGCCGACACCAAACACGGCGAACCGAACGTCTTTTAGCTCTGATGGGTCCGTAGCCTTCAGCCACTCCACAAAATGTGCGGCATTGTCCGGTGGCTGTCCTTCGTAGCTGGCCGTGATTATTGCAATCGGATCCTTACGTGGAAGCGCAGCAGCTGCGCTATCCAGGCACTTAACCTGGGGGGAAAACCCATTGTCAGGTGCAGCGGTAGCTAACTCGTTTGCGAGAGCCTCGCATGTTCCCGTGTTAGATCCATAGAGAATCAGGAGTGGTGTCCCACCCTTTGAAGGAGTTCCTGGCTGCTTTGATGCCTTCTGTGTAGATTTTGAGGCTGCTTCCGAGCTACTGACTCCTATCTTGTTCAAGAACTCTGGATCTCTGATCCTTGCGTTCATGTAGAAGTCTTGTGGTTTGATTGTCAGGGTTGTCTTGATCTGGAGTTGGTACGACGCGTTATTCTTCGTGAACTGGAATACTTGAAGAAGTGTTGCAACAGCGAGCAGAGCTTCCTGCCAGGCGAAGGGCCGGCCGATACAGGCACGGATGCCGTTTCCAAAAGGCTATTTCTAGGTCAACTATCCCGCCTTTTAGAAATTAACGGGAAATCATGCGCTTACCTTCCAGGTATTTGGGGGAAGCTTCGCGAACTCTTCGTCCAACATACGGGAAGGTCTGAATTCTTCTGCGTTAGATCCGTAAACTTCAGGGTCTCGGTGAAGCTGTCCTAGAAGGATATTGATAGTTTCCCCGTCTTTAATGGTATATCTCCCATCAAGAACCTGATCGCCCTTTGCTTCTAGACTAAACCCAGGGGCTGTGGGATGGAGACGAAGGGTCTCGCGCAGACATGCCTCTAGATAAGGAAGCTTTGACATATAATCAATGGTAATGTTATCCTTTCCAATCACTCTATCTACCTCTTCCTGTGCTTTTCTGTATGCTTCCGGGTTCTCAAGCAACTCATAGAATAGGAAAGAGAGCAACCCGGACGTCGTCTCATGGCCTTTAACAAAGATGGTCAATATCATACTTTGGAGAATAATAGGAAACGTAGAGGTCCTACCAGCGATCAAAAAAGTAATCATGTTGCGAATGATGGCATCATCGCTAAGTTTCTCCCCAGTCTTTGGGTCTTTATTCAAGACTAGCGCATTTAGAAGATCCTTTTTGTCTGTCGGGTTCTTCCTGCGAGACTCTAAAAGCTCCCTGGCTGTTTGTGTTAGTTGCTCAATGTCTGCCTGGTATTGCTTTTCCTGATTCTGATATAAAAGGCTAGCGAAGCCTGGCCGCCGAGATCGAGCGAAAGACTCCGTAAGCATTCCACCCATTGCTGCAACAAACGGGTGCTGTTTCTCATGGTAAAATGAGTTGAATCGGTCGCCCATGGCACATCTTAGGCAGAGATTAGCGTTCAGTCAAGACAGTGAGTGGATGAGAGTGGGTGGCGTACAAGGCGATTGAGTCCAGGGTGAGCCTTGTGAAATCGTCTGCAACATTAATTGGAGTATCGGGGCCAAAGCGAGCCCATTTCAGCACCATTTGAGAGACAATATCCTGCATTTCTGGCGCCCATGTCAGTGAATGGGAACCAGATTGAGACCGAACATCGGTAGTAATCAATTACCTGGAAACATTCCTCTGATGGACAGAGGTCCGAAAGCTGGCATCAGAGTGCGATGAGCTATCTCCCAATTGTGCTCCCCCGGGTATGCTGTGAATAGACCATCTTTGGTTGCGTTTCGGACTTGCTCCAGTGGGCCACGCACTGCCTTCTGGAATTTTTTCTCATCAAAAAGATCTCGCGCCAGCGCATAGTTCGCAACGAAGATACGTTCATCTGGGAGTCGTAGCCTGAAAATAGGTCCTAGTACAGCATTAGATATACAGGTTGTTCTTCTTTTCCTTTACTACTTTCTTTTTTGTAGCTTTTGTTCCGTTTTATTGACATACCGTAAATCTTAGCAATTCGTGCAAGGCTTTCCTGTGGATGTTCAGGGTCCACATCGAGGACATTGCCGAGAATTGGAATGCCATGTGGAGAAGGAATAGTTTCTGTCATGGTGCAATAATGACTTATGTTCAGAAAGTGGGATAGTGTCAATATTTTGAGACTTAAAAGTAGCAACACAAGGTATGTGCTGTTCCCCAAAATTGCGCATCCTTTTATACACACCACTACTCGGAGAGTCTGGACGTCACCGATATTGTTAAGTGTAGACTGAATGACGTTCATGGAAACCATACTTGCCTCGGCCGAGCAAGTTAGCTTTGGAGGAACCGTGGCAGAGTTACCTTTATCGGGTAGATCTTAACATCATAGAAGCTTGTAGTTTATCGCTGTTTATATTATCTATCGGCCAAAGCCGGACTGGCTTGTTCCAAAGCAAATTCGCTTCTCAATATAAAAATTATTCGAATATCGACCCTTTGTAATCGATGTGTAGAAGCTGGAATAACAACGTGATATTGATGGCGATCATATAGGGCATGACTATTATTACAGAACTTATGTGTACAATCCTTGGATTTCATTACTATCGACTGTTCAAGGTGCACTGAAGTTGTAATTTTCTACCTTCTGGCGCTTTGCTAGCACATAATATCTGCAGCTGCGTTCTATGGCGCCCGTCAAAATCCTGCTGATTTTAAAACTGGTGTTCTATATGTTCTTGTGTTTCGATATACGGAGAAAGAAACGGTGTTTTCTAATTCTCTAATAGAGAAGAGGACGTTTAGAGTGGGACAATGCCTCGTATTCTTCAGAAATTGTCGAATGGTTCATACCAACAATATACGAGGTCTATGTTGGCATAGATCTAGCCATGTGAGGACCGTGTGTCAGCCTTACGAGCCTTGCGTACATGAAATAATTCTTAATCCGTGATTTATTTATTCATCCGTTCTCCACTGCAACATGTTATCCTCCCAGCACCCTGAGCTCCTTATTTGCGTGGCATCCCATCTTACCACAAGTAGCGATATAAATTCGCTATGCGCGATCTTCAGCCCGGGTGTATGTCTCTCTAAACCACTATCTCCACCAGCTCGATCACCCCTACGTGACCCTCTGGGCGGCAGCAAATGGCAAGGAACACACTCTGCGACTCGCAACCCAAATCGGAAATGATCTTAACGTCGCTGAATCCTATGGAGGAAGTACGCCGACGAGGTTCCGCCATGTACCCTGCGTGGAGATCCTCATGGCAGAAGACATCAACGTCCACCTAGAGATCCGCGAGAGGGAGCTCGGCCTAACCGCTCTGCAATACGCAGCAAGGAGCACTGACCTAGAGATTATGAAACTTTTTCTGCGCTGAAGCGCTGAATGCCGCCGTGAGCCGGTCGCGAACCGAAACGGTGCAGCTCCTCCTCCAATGCGAAGATTTCGACCTGAACACACGGCACGGTTCAACGAGGAAGAAACCGCTTTGGCAATTGCCACTAGGATAAATGCCGAAGCCATTCGAAATATGCTCATCGACGGGCCCCACGTGGACCTGAATGTGGTAATTGTCGGCGACAGCCTTTACACGGGCCCACGACATATCCCTGTTACTATACATTTTGATCCTGTATGATGGGGCCCTGACACGTCTCCTGCAATACGTCTCGCGCATCGAACCGTCTGTCGTGGATACAGATGGCAATACGACCCTACATGTAGCGACTAAGCACGATACGGCGGCCAGCTGTGCGGGCTCTTCTCCGTCATCTTCCAAATCTTCTTCACGAGCGGAACAATGCGGGTGAAACGCCGTTCTTCTCTGCTTTACAGGGATGTTCTTCTCTACCTGTGTGCGAGGAGCGAAAGGAAGTCTGGGCAGTGTTTCTGAACCAGGCGTTAGATTACGACTGTACTACCTACCAGGGAAGAACCCTGGTCATGGAATCGACTCTATCCAGAGACATGGAATTGTTCCTTACGATATTAGCCCGAACGGAAAAAAGCCACATGTTCCTGGCTGACTCGGGGGGAAATACCCCCCTTAGTAACTCCGCGACAGGAGCCCATGTGGAAATTTTGCGGTATCTCCTAGACCATGACGCTGATTTGAATCATCAAGCTCATATAGGTGAATCTCCACTTTTGCTCGCTATCAAGAATAAATGTTCGGCAGCGGTGCGGGTGCTTCTCGCTGATGATAGAGTAAACATAAATGCGCAAAGATCAGATGGGATGACAGCATTGATGATGGCGGCGGAACGGCATGATCGAGAACCTGCGAAGTTGCTGTTAAATAGGAAGAATATTGATCTTGATTTGAGGGATAATTTTAGTTGGACTGCCCTGATCGTGGGCCCTGTCGCCATCTGACCAGCTATGGAAACGAGAAGATGGCGAAGATATTTACAGTGTACGCAGCGAAGCTTAGTGTGCGGTTCCGACTGCGACGTCTTTTGTCGGGTTTGTTTTCATTTCCTCCAAGATACTGTCGTGGACAGAAGCGAAATCTCGCGGAATATCTGTGATGCGACGTTTGCCAAGTTAATTGTCTCTCTCTATTTCTCTATGAGCCGTTAGAAACTACATCAATGCTCAATTTACATTAGTGTTACATTAAGTGTTTTCGAATACATTTTAGCTTTTAGTAAGATATTGTATAGAAAGCTGGAAGTTTACGTAGCTTCACCCTAGGAAAAGGAACTCGGGCCCGGTAGGGGAGATCAACAGGGTCCTATTTGAGGCATATCCGTCATTTAGCTCGGAGGATTAAGCATATAGTAATATCGCAAGCGTCGCTACTGCTAAATAATCTAGCCAATCTCTTCCCACTCGCTCTTGACCCGTACTTCGACATTACACGAACTAGCTGAAGACGCGCAGCTATCATGGTGGATTATTCCTATCTATCAATGCCTACCTTAGCTCTCGGCCCACTTCGCATGAATTTCCCAACTAGGAGTAGCCCATCTATATTTCTCGATTGCGAGGAAAGTTGATATGTGGGGCAATATAAGGAGAAAGCAATTGTTAGGCATTTTCATCATGTGCGGTCTTGAGCTTTGACATAATTTGTAGTTTCACCGAATCCGACGCCCGAAATCTGTCGGAGTCAGTGACAAGTTATTCGGCATATCTTTTTTTGGCTTGTCACCAGCATAAAATCATCATCTAGGGTTAATCCATCGGACATGACCAAAAGTAACTGTATCATAAGTCCACCGCTCAATACCCTACAAATACCCCAATCTAATCCTGACCAAACCCTATCCATACAATTCATGGACTATCAAGTAAGGATGGGTTAACAGGTCGTGTGGGGTTGGAGTATGTGTGCCAATACGATAAATCTTCCGGACTGATGCGGAGGCGCCAGAATTTCCCTTTTTGGAGTGGTTACCCCCTCCCCCCCCAAAACCCCGGGGGGTGGATTTTTGCGTATGGCAAGATAATCACGTGACGGGTAAATGCATGAAGAAGTTGGCGTATAAAAAGCGCTCTCGTCTGGTCTGGATATCTCTATTTCTTTTTGAAAGGAAAAAGTGAACCTCCCATTTCACGATTCATTCTATTTTACTATACTTAAAAAACATGGAGGTTCGTTGAGGACATACATACAGCGTGCGCGCTAACCCATCAAACATCGCCTGACTGGATTATAGAACCCTTCTTTCGTTCTGCGGGCAGTGAAAGACGTGGTCATTGAGGACCGTCCTCGACCCGAACTCAAAGATCCTCACGATGTGTTGGTTCATGTATCTCAGACGGGAATTTGCGGTAGTGATGTAGGTTTTCGTGGTCACCTCCATCTGCAACTAAACAATATAACCTTACTGGCCGTATTCACCAGGTCCATTAGTGCGTGATTTCATTCAGAACACAAACAACCGCACCGACCGTACTAACAACAATAGTTGGCAACGAGGCCGAATCGGCGATTACGTAGTCACAGGCCCGATGGTCCTCGGACACGAATCCTCCGGGGTAATCGTCGAAGTCGGCGAAAAGGTAAAGCACCTCAAGGCCGGCGATCGTGTTGCGATGGAACCCGGCGTCCCCTGCCGTCGATGCGATTACTGCCGGAAAGGCTCGTACCATCTATGCGGGGACATGATTTTCGCCGCCACCCCGCCATGGGATGGCACATTGGCCAAATACTACGTCAACGCAGCCGATTTCTGCTATAAGATCCCCGACAACATGGACCTGGAGGAAGCGGCGATGACCGAGCCGGTTTCCGTCGCAGTGGCGATCGCCAAGACCGCAGACCTCCACGCGCATCAGACGGTCCTGGTTTTGGGGTGCGGGCCGATCGGGGTGCTCTGTCAGGCGGTCGCGAAGGCGCATGGAGCCAAGACGGTTATTGGAGTTGATGTCGTGCAGTCGAGGCTCGACGTGGCCAGGTCGTATGGAGTCGATCATACCTTCATGCCGCCCTGGGCGGAGCCTGGAGCGGACCCCATTGCGCATGCGGAGAATGTCGCGGCCATGATGAATGAAGAGCTTGGTCTTGGGGATGGGCCAGATGTTGTCCTAGAGTGCTCGGGTGCGGAGCCGTGCATTCAGTTGGGCATCTTTGCGGCCAAGAGGGGCGCTACGTTTGTTCAGGCAGGGATGGGCACAGAGAATGTGCTGTTCCCGATTACAGCTGTGTGTACTAAGGGGCTAGTCATCAAGGGCTCGATTCGGTACCTCGCTGGCTGTTATCCTGCTGCGATTGATTTGATTTCGGGTGGGAAAATTGATGTTAAGAGGCTGATCACAAACCGATTCAAGTTTGAAGAATCGGAACAAGCATTTGAGCTGGTCAAGGCCAGACGACAGGATGTTTTTAAGGTTATGATCGCCGGGGTGCTGTAGAGAGAAATGCGCCATTTAGATCAAGCTATGAGTAGCATTGCAGATATTGGAATATGCAAAGAATGTTCATATGCTAGCTATTTTTCTTTTTTTTTTTTTGATCAAGTTATTCCTCGGAACACGGTCTCAGCCAGATATATTCAAAGAGTGGATCTATTTAACAAATGCCATATTCTATCTCTCCGTTGTGTGGTTTTTATCAACCTCTATTAAAAGTAACTTGAATAACCGCAGTTTGTCGACAAGAGAGGTGCAAAGTTTCAAGATCCAAAGTAATTGGAGCAACGTAAGCGATCGGCATTATAATTCTCTGTGCATAATCTCTCTAGATTGCCATTAGTGTTGAGACAGTCTATGACATTTGATAAACGCAAAACGAAAGAATGAGGAATCACCGTAGAATGGTCCTGTCTAGGTCTGCCGCCAAACATGGTCGTCCAAGTATAATGAGCAAAAATCTTTCTCTCTTTGTTCTGGACCTAAAGTCAATTAGTTCAACTAAGATCCTATGAACCTATTCTCTTTCTTTGTCGGGGCGGGTTGGCGCACCGGGAAACATAGTCGGAGTGGCTTATTACAATCGCAAAATTCGACTGAACTCGGAAGAACACGACAGGCTCTTCGCCTCTGTGATCAGCCACAGTAGAAAGTCCTACGAGGCTAGCACAAACTATACTCTGAGAGCAAGTTCCGTCTTGATCTGTGCTTGCCACTAGGGTGGAGAGGCTCTCAATGGTTCTCATCTAAACACGCTGACCGGCTGGCGGCTTGATGCCGGGAGTTTACCTTGTGAAATCGGGCGTTGATGGCGCTGGAATATCTATTTGTCGGATAGTTATAAAAGAACTAACATCTTGACCGATAGCCTGACTATCTTTAGGGCCATGAGTCTGCATACGATCTAATTAAGGGCTTACACGGCCCTGATTAATCTGTATGCTTTGCTCCCATAGTGGCCCAAAGCACTTCAGAAGAGCGCTAAGTATGCGGCTCCTGGTCCCAAGCTTCTTGCCGTCGTCTTCCCCGTCGGGCTATGCCGCCAGCCCAGATGGCTTCCCAAATCCCACTGACATGTGTGGTATTAGGTGGCTAGGTGCTTTCGCTTATCATGGAAGGATAAAGATGTTATGGCATAGAGGCGCATTCGAGGCTCGTCGCAACCTGTGTCCTACTAATTTAGGTCAATAGTTCGCGGCAAGATTAAATGCCAGAACATCGCCAACAAAACAATTTAGTCAGTTATAAATACTTAGTCCGTGCCAGGGCATTGTGTTCGCTTTACGAAGGTACAAAATGATCCGAAAAGATTATGTCACCGCAAATACGCATGAACCAGATTCGTCGATGCTGTACCGCCGGTTGCTATATATGCAGATTGCGGGGAGTCGTTCCCGTAGGTGTCTCAACAGCTTTGGTATTCTCCATTCAATCAATGACTGAGCTTACCTACCGTGGGCGGTGATGGATACATCAATCGGCCAAGTCTCTTAGAACTGGGGACTGACGGATGAGTCGAAAGCAATAGTTGAGCTCAAATGCTGGTTCCTTCATGAGTTGGCGTTCTCGAGATGAGCATAGTAATGAGTGGTAGAAGACAGGATCCGTATGCTCCCATAGCTTTGATTGTGGTTTACTCCAGCCGCATATACATGCCTTTTCGAGTTAGGGCAAAGATGTACGGAGTTGCATATGCTGAGATTATATAAGGAACATGAATTCTCCGAAGCTCGCATTCCACCAAGTCAATATTAAAACAATTGAGTCTAAAGTTAACGCGCAAGGTTCAACATTGTCCGATTTTCTAGTGAGTGAGCCTCCGTGTCCCGCCGTGAGAAACATGAAGTTACTAAGCTATGCAATTCATACAAAGTGGCATCCCAAGCAATTCAAGATATCCTCGAAGCGGTACCATCGCGTTACCGGGGGCCGGGAGGAGCAGTTGCGGTCTTAAAGAATGGCGAACTGGCTGGGAAACACGCTTGGGGTTATGCCGATTTGCAGAGGCGGATCCCCATGGACTCTTCAACGCTGATGCCAATCTGTTCTATCACGAAACAGATGCTGTGCATGATACTGAAAGATCTCGAATGCAACCCGACGCCGGAGATGGCAAAGCGGGGCAGTGTGCGTCAGCAGTTTTCAGACAGTCTTGACCAACTACTACGCCCCGAAATAATGGGGAAAACGGGACTCAGAATAGCGCACCTTTGTAACAACCAGTCTGGGATTCGGGATTATTGGGCAATGTCCATGTTTTGGGGTGCCCACCCTGATGGTGGATTCAAACTTGGAGAAGATGCCAAGAAGACGCTCGACCGCACCAGGTCCTTGCATTTTGAACCTGGCACCCAGTATGCGTACTGCAACCTAAACTTCCATGTTCTCGCACGAGTTGTCGAGAAAGTGAGTGGAAGCAAACTTGGTGACCTGCTCGACGAAAGACTCTTCTCGCTGGCTGGAATGAAAACTGCGACCTTGTGCGAAGACAACGCTAATCTTCCGCCGCCCTGCGTTGGGTATGAAGGGTGTGAATCTTTTGGCTTCGTTCCGGCTACCAACTGTATGCAGTGGTCCGGGGATGCCGGGGTTGTAGCATCTCTCAAAGACATGGTCGCTTATGAGAGTTATTTGGACAAATCCTGGGACAACCCGCACAGTTTGTATCGAGCGGTCGCCCGGGAACAGTCGTTCAAAGATGGTACAGCGGCACGATATGGGTATGGCCTAGCGCACGGTACTGTCGGAGGTGTGGTCACTATCGGGCATGGCGGTGCCCTTCGTGGTTTTCGCCTTCACAGACTCCACGCGCCATCCGAAAGACTGTCGGTTGTGGTTATGCTCAATCATCAGGCTGATGCAGAAGAGGTAGCGGATCACATTTTGAAATCCGTGCTCAAGTTATTTGGGCACCAGTTGCCATTCCTCAAAACCGCCAAACCCTCGCCAGATTGGGTTGGCACATTCTTCGACCCTGATGCCCAGCTGGCAGTTGAGGTCAGTTATGGCAGTCCGGGCCAAGTGATCGTCTCTTATACGGGTGGCGATGAGACGCTTACCTGTGTCGATGAAGTCAATGGCCAATCGACTACCATGAAGGGGAAAATAGACCGCGACATCCTCACGATTCATCGCTTAGTTGATAATCGCGTCGTCAATGCCCGACGCGTTGGCTCTAGTCAGGAGCCGCCCAAAGAACATTATATCGGCAAATATCGCTGTGCGGAGATCGACTCAACTTTCTATTGCAGCGGCGCGGGTGGCATGTTATATGGGGCTTTCGACGGATTCTTAGGACAAGGGCCAGCACACCTTATGCGATACCTGGGAGATGATATCTGGGCTCTCTCGTGCCCTCGAGGCTTGGACGCCCCGGCACCTGGTAACTGGACAGTCGTGTTTAAACGCGACGGCCATGGGTATATCACTAGTGTTGTGATTGGTTGTTGGTTAGCCAGAAAAGTGGTATTTATCAAACAGTGAACTAGCATTTGGACGAAATGTAAGGAAATAGGGTTTATGAACACAATCTCCAGCAGCTCGCCAAATGCCATAAAATTTTAGGAAGATCGCTCCTTTAAATCCCTTCTACTGTGATCCCAATGCACTCGACCAGATTGCTTTACCAACTCTTTAGTTTCCACTCCAGATTTCATGGGCTCCCGGTGGTTGTTAGGTGCAAGAACTAACCTGGCTATCAGTACTTGGATTTACGAGGCGGAATTGCAGTAAGCCATATGAGCGTTAGCCAGGTAAGGCTTGACTAGTACTATGTGCCCCTACATCGGATGCCCCACTTATTCGTTAATTAAAGCAAAGTCGGGTTAAGATAGCAACACTTGCGACATGCCGACCATTTTTTCTGAGTTTTGGGAGTTAGAATCGAGTGGTTTCTCGGTGGTCCGATCCGAATTTGGAAATACGACCTCATGCTTTAGAAATAGCAAACGCATAACTATTCAACCCAAGAAAAAGAAAGAAAAGGCGACTATAAACGCACCCAACAGCCGGGATTCCCTGGAATAGTCAACTGGCATGTGGCTTAATTACGGCTGAGTGGACAGTAAGCCCTATGGTCGCATGCATCAGAAAATTTGGTCAATTACGGCTGAAGACACTTGGCCCAATGATCTATACTACCCAATGGCTGGTGGATATCTTGGTGAACCGCATAGACACTCTTAACTTCAAGAAAACAACTCGCTAGAATATACCTAAAGGGTATATTTGGCCACTAGTTGGTGTGAAAAGTGAAACATCCGGCACCCTCAGCAACTATTTTCAATGGAGCCTTTTGCTAAGAGCCCAAAAATCTGGTTGGGCCAAAAGCTGATAGTCAGTACGCATGCCGCTGACGTAGAGCTATGGATTTGGGGAGAAGAAGTCATGAAAGCAAACACAACTATGCTGCAGCACCATTTTCTGTCCTCGTAACACCTGTCGAGCGGGCAAGCCATGTCACATCAGGGCAGGTTCAAAGTCAATGACTCTATGACAGATGATACATATCCAACAAGGTTAGTTTAGGGCCATTGATGTTGGCGACGGTGATGTACTGTGTACGGAGGTCCATTTGAACTCCTTAGGTTTATGACTCGGCCATTCCGGTTATCATATGGGTAATGGACCCAGTGAAAACGCTGAGGGTACTGGTTGTTTGGGTAAAAAGGTGAGACATACGAGTTTAGCTCGCCAATTTAGCACACTGTCATACATATAGTGTAGTCGAGGTCACGCACTATCAGCACATTCATGTTCTCGTTCACGGCAAGGTTGCGATCTTAATAGGATGTGTTATTTTTAAATGTGCCAGCTCTCTATCTTCTTTCATCAGTCATAACAACTTCATCTATTCTTCGCAGATTCTCAAATTTCAGTCCATGACCTCGATTCCTCTCGATCGCAATACTCCATGTCCGCAAAGTACAAGTGGTTCAATCCCCAACGGGGAAACGACCTACCCCTTCGGCGATTTATATGACAAAAGGTCCATTGGCACGGTGCCGCGCCAACTGGCCAATATTGAAAAGGTAAGTCGACTGAAAACTAGCGCTCTCTGCCCTCTAGTGGCTGACATGTTATAATGATGAGGAGACTCCTCCATACCTTGAATATGGCAAGAAGTTGACTTCTGGATGGCCGTACTTGCACAATCTTTCCGACTTTGCGATAGCGACTGTAACGCCGCCGCGGTAGCCAGACTCTTTCATCCCCAGACGATGCGATAGGGCTGTAAGTGGAAGAACGAAACAGTTGAAAAGGGCCAGTTGAGGCGAGCCCAGAAGCCAAAAGTGTACAGGCTAGACTATTACTCCGATGGTGAGCCAAAACATGACACTTGCGATGACATAAATGGACTGCAGCAGCTTTTCGACGGCGACCTCAAGTCTGACGAACGAGCTGGAGATGCAAGGTTCCAGCTCTTTGTTGTCGAAAACATCTCACCACAGGTCATTGAGAAATTTGGTTCAAGGCTCGATGTTGGCCCCCAATCCTTCGCGTCACAACTTAGGGACTGCACCAGGTACAACCTCCTAGACCATTGGAGAGTTCCCCCAAGCATCCACCTTGTAACCCACGAGCGGTCTTAGTTTACCCTTCGATTCGCGACAGCTCAGTATTTCGCGGGTTCGGAATCCTCTGTGAAAGAGACTAAGGAGGTGGGCGCATTCAATGTTTCCAGGGGACTGGACGATGTGAGAACAAGAGTCGCTGGGATGGAGGCAATTGTAGGCACCATGAGGACAAGGGCGTCCTTCTGGCTATGCCCTATGGATGAAGAGCAGGCAGAGAACCCTCATCGAACCGATATTGGTAGGTGATCATACCCCCACTATATCTATGTGATGATGGGTAAGCCCTTTATTCTGTTGCTGACCCGCTTTTCTCTTCCCCTTACGTATCCTCCTCCTAGATCCTACCATCCAAGAGGACTGGCCTCTCTGGCACTACCTCCGTAACTAGCAGACTCCTCCGTCCATGAAGGAAATGGAGGACCACGATCAAGAGAGCTGAGAAGGGCGAAGGACCTTGTTTGACGACATCATCCATTCGGCCAAAGCTCTCGATTACTGGAAGGCCACGTCGTCACCAGAGAAGCTACGGTGGGCAAACGCTAGCGTTCCATTGCAAGCCCTCCTAGACCGTACCTGCGCCGAGTGGCTAGCCATGAAAGAATATGTCAAAGCTCGACTCATTCAAATCGTACTAGAGGTATCAATCCTAAATACTTCCGTGTCGTCGGCGTCAAGACCAACAACATCTTGAAAAAGCTGAGCAACTGGAGGCGACGGGTCCCCTATTTACCGGATAATGCTAGAAGTGGCGCTGGGAATGCTGTTGGGGTTTCCCCACAGTTATCTACATTGCTGGGTGGTCTTGACGCACCTGATCCCAGGTAGAATCACAGGAGGGGTTCCTGTGTTGGCCAAATGCACAACCTGCCAGGCGATGTGAACAAGGTCAGTGAATACCGCTACGAGGTTGCCTCACTACTCACGGACATGGACAAGCACCAAAAGTACCTCAGCCAACTCGCCTCAATCGTCACGGCATCGATCAGCATTAACGATGCGCGGCGGGAATACGAGGCAAACCAGAATGTGAAGTGGCTGACTATCATAGTGACCATCTTCACCCCTGCTGGTCTGATGAATTCAATGCTTTCGATGCAGCCGCAGGCCAAATAGGGCCAACCGTTCGAACTCTGGTTCAAAACCGCGGTCCCGTTACTATTCCTGGTTGGCCTAACTGCCCTGATCTACACCGAGGCTAGGCTCTGACATTGGTAAAAGACAATCAAGCGAAAGTGGGCCCGATTGCACTTGTAAAACTGGGAATCAGGATCATCGCGCAATGGTCATGTTGAAGGTGACGTCGAAGGGACTTTACAGCTCCTCGTCGGAACTGACAAGGATTCGGCGTCTCTAGGGTTCAAGTCGAAGCACATGACCCTGGCCAATTTGCTTAGTAAGCTATCAGGTGATGATTTGTCCATTGATTGTATGACATTTCGGGTCCTAATCCCCTACCGTAGTGTTTCTGCACCCTGAGCACACAGCGCTTCCCGCAAAACTGTTTGTTTTGTGTGTACCACGGAGTATACCTAGAATTTAGTATCGACCTCCAATAGCTAGGAATCTCGAACTTTGTCTATGCCCTGCTAAGGGATACACATCAGTGGGGTAATCTTAGCTTCGAGTGGCGCTTGTCCGAACAAGGCTTCGCGTAAGCTTTCAACATCCGGGCTGTTCGCTGCTCTCCATTGCCGCCTCGGCAACAGACAATCTCACAGAGGGGTTTTCGCCATGACACTTCAGGAACGTGGTGGGGAAGGTGACTGTCAGGAGACCCTTACGACCGATGCTACATCTGATCTAGAGAGTCCAACCAAGTTTCAGCGTGAAGATTCTCAATTGATATACAGGCATTCCTGATTCTCGCGGAAATTGATACAAACTGCTTCAACGAAAGCGGGTAGTTCCGACAAAAAATGTCGAGAATATGCATGCTACTTTGCTGATCTTCCCTTGGCCACATGATTAATGGTCACAGTGCCATCTTGAATGTGATAAGGATTAGGTTGTATGATGATGTCGCCTCTGGTGGTGCCCGGCAATTACTACATCGTTCGGCATGAACGGATGTATGCCTGCTCGTTCATCAAAAACGGGATACAATCTTCGTCCGATTAGTTCAAAAAGCAACATGTACAGTTTGCAAGGATCACTTGGCGCCTTGAACATCCAATTCAATATCTCGGAACAAAAAACACCCATGAGTTCTATGGTATTCTCACTCGACTTATCAAATTCTGATGCTGCGACAAATCCAATGCCGCCAAACTCCGGTAAATGAGTTCTGTTTCATATTTTGGGGGTGGCCCACTTGCGAATCGTCCAGATCACCCACGAAACACTCTAATCTTATAGGGTTACATTTAACTCCCGCCAAGAGCTTTGTCTATTATTCTTGCATGATCTTTGGTTACCTTGGCACTTTAGTCTTCTATCGCTCACAAATGAATTGTTTCTTTGTCCAATTACAGCATTCAACATCGGGTTTGGAAATGAGGGAACATGCATAGGGTGACAAACCCTCTCCTAGGATCCAGTTACCTCGTCGAAAATATACCTAAGCAGAAGGTGGACTGTCTGCAGAACTGAGAATCATGGAATTAGGTGCCGATGTAACGTGACGAAACTATAGTTTCTGCAGGTCTCTCTCAAGACTCACCTCTCATATACGCTTTTACGTACTGCTAATTGATATGGGTCAGGTACTGGCCTGCTTCCTGATCAACGCCGAACAGTTTGTTAGTCACTTTGCCCAACATTTGTGTGTAGAACGTGATTATTGCTGTCTCTCGGTGCTATTGTATGCAAATAGGGAATCGAATATAACATACAACTCCCTAAGCGCCGTCAAATGTCACCGTTCGAGCAACCTGAGTTCTAGTACATGGAGCCCTCATTTTGTCGGAGGAGCGTAGTATCCACACGACATCGTAGTAAATAGGTATCATGCCTCAATTAATTTATCAACGTAGCATTGGCGGATACCACATATGATACACTCCCAAACGAAGTGAGCAAAAGGACTAACGCCAACTCATCGAGGACATAAAGACATAAGAACCCCGACTTGCTATCCATACAATGGCATCTCCAAACTTGCTTTGATTCCTCCTTCAAGCCTACTGCTAGCCTTCTACAACGACGGAATTCAGTCCCCGAACAAAGATGCACCTCAACACGTACCTTGTGGCTACCTTTGTGGCTGCCAGCACGGCTCTGGCACACATGGAAATGGTCCGCCCTTTCGCCATGAAGAGTCAGTACGATCCCAACAACGACTGGTCCAACATTGACTATGATAATACCTCCCCACTCGAGCCCAATGGTAAGCCTCGACTCGCCCTTCTATCCCATAACTCCAATCATCACGCCCAATCTAACAATTGCGTCTAATTCACAGGATCGAACTTCCCTTGCAGAGGCCACCACAAGGACACACCCTGGCGCACCGTCGCCAACTACACTGCCGGTCAAAGCGATCACATGGGGCTGGCCCCTGGCAATAATCATCGTGGTGGTTCATGCCAGATCTCGCTCAGTTACGATAACGGCGAGACATTCCGGGTCATCCAATCTTACATGGGAGGATGCCCGCTTAAGCTTGAGTGGGATTTTGAGATACCCTCCTTTGCACCAAGCGGCAAAGCGCTATTTGGATGGAGCTGGTTCAATATAGAGGGGAATCGGGAGATGTACATGAACTGCGCGCAGGTCGAGATTCAGGGCAGCTCTGCTTCTAGTACGAGTGCATTTGACCAGCTGCCCGAGATCTTCACTGCGAATATAGGAAATGGATGCTCGACTGTGGAGGGCAAAGATACCGTCTTTGCTCACCCTGGCGACAAAGTTGGATATGCTGGAAAGGTGAAACCAGGTGACGCTCCGTTCCCCAAATGTGGTGGAAATGTGGAATAAAGAGCAGAGTAATTTGATGGCTGGTTCATCTATTTTTTGTTTTCGTTATGTTTCTATTCTTATCAACGTGTTATTCTTCGCTGAATATGCGCCTATTTACTTTTTTCTTTAGTTAGCTATAAAGTTGATCCTTTAGTTACCTGTGTTTCTCAGCAAATAAACTGTTTACTTTGTTATTTGCAAATCTTGGATGTAAGGAAGCAGCGCAAACAGGGTGGAGTCTACAAGTCTTGGTAAGATTCCATATTGTGCCCGACCTTTTTTACCTGCTCATCACTATATTCCTCTATGCTTGTCAACGTCTCTCGCTATCGCGCCGAAAATTTATCTTATAACTTATACATCTACCTCCCACATATATGCTAACTAACTTATGATAAGATGTTCTATTGGGAAAATAATGTTTGAAACAGCTCTACCCCACAGGTTTGTTATTAGCGCTAGGTTAAAGATATTTATTTTTGATCGGACCGGGCCTTCTTTTTTTCTCATGAACACAGATCCCCAAACTCAAGGTCACTCTGTTCTTCTGGTACATTGCCTACACCAGTCATCCTACAAAGAACAAGGTAGCAGTGGAATATATACGCAGACCCAGGGCGGGTGAAATATGTGTGATAAAGCAAATAAATACATCAGGAGACCTACCTTCCCACCCTCCATCTTGTCATGCCACAGACTTTATAACGCAACGGCCCTCTACAATGCCAAACCCATAAGAAAGAGCTGGGGGCTTTCTGTGCCATTCCGCCTTTCTTAATCTTGATAAACAGGAACAAAAATTTTTATTTATTGTGGCCAGAGAGACAAGTGCGAGTTTTATAAATTGATGCCTGGAATGCTGACTATGTGTCCGCTATGAGAGCTTGAACAACTCGTCCCAAAGCAGTCTTCAGAGAACGGACGATAGTGTCATCGTAGATTCCCCTAAGAGGGTAGGAGTAAAAAGCCTTCGCGGCCGAAGAGTGTACGAAGGCAGCAGAAAATCGAAATCACCATAAACACCAAACTCACGGATAGCAGCTACGTAACTTGGGAAGAATTGGGAATAGGTAAGAATAGGTCTCGTTGTCTCATTTAACTTACTTCTTTACTCGAGAACCCCATTGGAATAGAACTACCCGCAGTTCATGTTACACACAATGCAGCCAAGACGATCCCCCAATATACGATAAAGCGCCAAGCGGATTGTACAGTATCCAAACCAATGAGGCAGAGCACATCTCAGTTTAGTTGATGACCATGAGAGCCGGGAGGAAAAGGAATAGAATGTAAACAAAACATGGGTAAGAATTGGAGAACAGAGTAAGGCCATCTCTAGGTATGAAAATGCGCATCACTGCATTACATACATGTACATCTCTAGTCTAGTATTCGGCAGGGCTACAGAAGGCAATTTGGATCTACGCTACAGGGCAACCCCCGATCTTCGCCGTATTTTATGACCGCCCACACAACATATATCTTCCCTCCTCGCCACATGAGCCCGATCAATTCTTGTCCATCAATAGCGGGCACACACTTTGGCAACACTATGTCGTCTCGCCGAGACATTTGTCTCCCATCATCTTATGCATTTTAGTTAACCTCCGCGAATCAAGACTTTGAGTATGCACCATATTTCCCTCCAGTTTGTCTGCTAAGCCTCAAATTAAAGCGAACAAGGTCCTACTACCTTTGGTAGACCAAAAGCTTTGCAATAGGGGTAACCACATCGCCTTACTCCGGACTCCGTTGCTGTACCTCATGATAGACCGTCCTACGTTTGTCGCTCCCTCCGAACGACTCTTGATCCGGAGTAGCCCACAGACAGACCGCGATTAGCGTACGTCTTAAGTTCCAAAGTTTCATTCCCTGCAATATATTTTCCTGTCCACGTGCTTTGAGAACGGCCGTTACGTGTCAGGGCTCTATTGGGTAAAGATGCCGTTGAGAAATACATACATCTTAGACGCGGGATCTTGTATGTACTTCAACTAATGGTGTTGCAGATCTCGTCGCTTTCCAATACCACTCTGCCGTTACGTATTTTACATTTTGTTATGATTACACATGGGAAGGGGACTGGCGAGATTGCTGATTGGCATGGCATTAGCTCTTTAGCCTCGCTTGTCCCTACTCATTCGAGCGCATTTGCTGATATGGGAATCAGAGAGGATTAGGTCGCCCCTTTTTATTTTTTTGGGAACAAAAACAAAAAGGCAACCTTTTGCCGGGGCGACCATGATTCGGGGAGAGGCAAAGATGGGGGTGGGAGAATGAAAAAAGTAAATCAGTAAAATCCATCAATGTGAAAGAGATAATAAAGTCAACACAAAGATAATTATTGAATATACCCATGAAATTACCTAGTATCGCAGGCATCTGGCGTATACCGGTGAATTGACGTCTGCGGAAGTATGTACACTGTTGAATACTATGATAGTTAGGCCACATATAAAAGGCCTCATAATTCCCACCTAGATGGGCCTCCTAGATAGTTGAAGCAGGATCATAAAAAATTTGATCGTTTTGATATCGTTTCATACGAATATCCTACATGATATTCTACAATAATCAACAAGGTATTGTATCTAGGGCTTAGCGGTCAAGTAGAGATACCAACAGTTGCACTAGGTAGGGAAGTCATGTGTGTAGCATATATATATAAATATGCACATATATACAGAGTATAAATATTGCGTGAACCTTAGGGTCTATCTACTCCGCGAAAAGGGCATTTCTCTGTCAAATTAACTTGATATCCGACTCAACCATGAGGGGCTCTTCACCGCTCCTTGCGACGACCGTGTGAGAATGACAAAATATTATTACCATCCAATCGTCCATACATACCGATATATTAATAGCATGGATGTTTAAAGCAATTGCCAAGAAAGAGTGCCTGAAGTGGACATTGGCTCGGGAGGGTCCGTCATCCATGCCTTAACTGTGGTTCGGTATGGTACGGATATTGGTATGACGTATACCGAAGGGAGAGTTGCCAATCTGGAGGGTAAAAGAAAGGTACCTACATACGGAGTACTCAGTATGGTATGCCAATATGTTCTTTCTTGTTCTTGAACATCAGTATTAGCTGGACCCACGCTCCCGGCACTTAAATCGAGTTTTTGATACCAGTACCCGTACTCTACTGACGGGGTGAAGTTTGTACTGTACTAGTATGTATGTACATACGCTGGTAATGTTGGTCTCCACTTCTCTTCCCGCCCCCGGTCGCATTTCATTTCTTTTCTTTCCTTTCCCTTCGATTTCCCTTAACTTTTAGGTAGTCATTGCTCACTCAACACCCCCCCCCTCCGTTCGGAATTTTCCCACTCGATTTCTTTCGCTCTTCGAACCTTCTCTCCGTCAAACAATCTATAAATTTTGGTAGCAGACGGTCGGTCTTCCGCTTGGGATCCGTCTCAACATCCCATGGAACTTCAGTAGGATCCCCAAAGTGGGTGACAAGACTCCCGTAACGGCTGCCGCAATCTTCGACCTTATACCTCAGAACACCCACTCTACCCGACCTTCACTTTTACTGACGACGTGAACGAATTTTCTTCTCCTTTCTCCTTCCCAATAATACTACCTACCCCCAATCTCACTGGGACCCCATAATCAATCGACCTGTCCTTGTCTAATTCGAATCCGGAGTGGACCAGTTCACCCATGCCCACCGGTTCAATGGACGCCCTAGGGGCCTTCACCCACCTTACCGATAATTTACCTCCGTGGATCAATCGTATCTCTGACTTGGCCGCTCACACCGCTACCAAGCACGCCGAATACGCCGAGGCTTACAAGAAGCTTGCGGTTGCATCGGGAAATCCACGTCGTCGCAAAAATAGCTCCGTTTGCTCCATACGGACCGGTGAGTTGCGAAAAGCCATCACACAACCTCAGCCAAGCGCAGATGGACCGACCCAGGATCCCACCGATGCACCCAAATCCGCCTTGTCGCCGAACCCATCGGCCCCCAATCCTCGAAAGCGAGGAACGGACGAAGCCCCGTCTTTTGCGTCCGAAGAGAACCCCTTTGTGAGTACGCGTTACAACCTTGTAATCCACTACGATGGGGATACCCAGAAGTCGCTGGAGGAAATGGTCCGGCATATCGGGACTGCGAGGAATAACATCCGGAGAGGCCGGATGTCGCAGATGGGGGCTATGGGAGGCGGCATGCGTAGTGGCACCTTTAGCAGAAGCCCGAGGATGAGCAGCGGGCCTCCCCTTGTTTCTTCCGGGGATGGCCCGGATGATCAGCTGCTATCTACCATCCGTAGCACCCGGAACCGCGGACCTCCACCTCAAAGCATGACGACGAAGGAATCGCCGTTTGATCGAGCGGATAAGCAGCTAGAATTGGCCCATAGTTTGTGTGAGAATGCGGCTTACCAGTTCCTCCGGGCGGGTGACTGCTCGACCGAATTGCGTGGGGTGGAAGACAAGTTTAAGACCCTGCTCGAACTTGCGAAGGCCGAAGTGCAACGTCTCACGGAGGAGCGGGAAAAGGAGCGTGCTACTAAGGAGGCAGAGGCCCCGAAGGTCGAATCCGTACAATTGACCGTCAGTCCCACGGGCAACAAGTTACCGGCTTCGAGCGCTGGGGCGATCGAGGTGGACGACGGTACGGAATCCGAAGAATCTATCGACTTATCTACCTTCCGCGCCCGACGAATGATGAGGGCATAGCGTGAACTGTTACTCATTGCACCGACTTACCATTTAGGAACTCCCCTGGCTTAGAGCAGTAGAGTGTCACCTTCCGTGGGAGGTAAAGAGTATAGCTTGCCTTTGAGCAGCTGTTTTGCTTGTTGAGTTGTTTTAGCGATGATACCTGACCACTCCGTTCATTTTTAGTCTCACACTCTCACTCATCATTTATTTTTTTTTTGTGTGTTACTTTGGTCCCTTCTTGGTCTACCTGAGCGATTGGTTACTTTCCCATTGACTGTCTTTCGTTCCTTATGAGCATGTTGGGCATACATCGGACCTGGGAGCGTGGCGTTAGCATTTGTTAGCATTTGGCATTCGATTTTTCTATCTTCTACGTGAGAAGTATACTTCTCGATCTGATTTTGTCAATACTCGAATATCAGAAGTATATATCATCACACATGGCATTGATACCATCTTTGCTCATTCTCTTTCCCCGGTCTGGTCTGATCCTATTGTGAGCTGATGGGATCATGTGCCCCGTCAAATACGTGTCGCCATGACCGTACGATACGATACAGGAGTGATGCCCTGTGATAGGCTCATGTCTGACCCCTTTTTGGCCACTGGCGTCGGGGGGAACTCCTTCCGGGGACGCTTCGTGCATTCGCCTGTTTCGGGTATGATTAGCACGGTGCTGTTCGGGTTGACACTTGAACGCTGTGCAGAGTCGTCCTAGATCATCAATAGGAAATCCTGTATGCCGGTGAGGTCAAATACTCCCGCGTTGTCTTTTGCGCAAAACCACGGGCCCCCGAATCATATAAGAAGGTAATCCCCTGATAAAGCAAAACTAAGTCTCGGCGTCCGGTGTCAACCCGACCGGTCTGCGTTGTAGACAGCTTATCCGTGTCTACCAGACTTGGGGAAGAAGGGCCTGAGTCCGGGCCGTGGTAGGAGTTGGAAAAAGTACCGACTGCCTAAATCGGATGTCTGCGTAGTGCGTGATATCCCCGTCCACTATAACCCTTGCTGGCGGGAGGGAACCATTCCTACTTAGGTAGTCGGTCGAGTACACCTGGCACCTGGTACTGACATTACATAGGAGTGATGTACACATATAGTATGTATGTACCCTGGTGAAAGGGAAGCCTTTGATGGAACCTGCGTTTTACCGAAAGATCATCCCATTGCGCTTGATAACTTTTGACGAATTAATTCCGAGTACATCGAATTCCCTCGTAAGGAAAGAATCGAAAGGATAACTGAAGTAGCCACCACGGCACCACGACCTGAAGGATTCGTGGAAGGAGGTCTAAGCACAACACCACTCCCACCAATACTCGCTTGATACCTACATCCCGTACATACATCTGTAAATACGTACCTAGATGTATCCTCAGGTATGTTTTACTCAACTTTATCCGTCTAAAGAAGAAAAAAAAAACCTATCTTCTTTCCTTTCCCGCTCAGTTCCTGAGTTACAACACTAGAGTAATAATAATAAAAAATAACCAGGCTAAGAGTGAAGGAACGGCACGAGGCGGATACAAACCCCGCCCATCAACCCTAATTTGATATCCGGCCCACCTATTCTATACAGTACCGCGGGTACCGCTTAATGCCAACACGTCAAGCCTTGGTTTATCTTGGAGGTGAAAGAGAGGTGAGGTGTTGTGTGCAGTAGTGTCGGGGCTTATGTAAATGGGACCTTTTGGCTACCCCGCCAGTCTCAACTTTTATTTTGTCCGAAGTGGGTTGAGGTTTAGTTTTCTAGTACGGTACGGTGGCTTGTCAGGTTCGTTACTTCGTGGTCTTTTCTGCAGAAGTGGTGGGGATTTCTCTCTCTCTCTCTCTCTCTCTTTTTTTTTTTTTTTTTTTTTTTGGATAAAACGGGGAAAAAAAAAGAAAAAAATATTATCACATCAGCGTGTAGGTAACTGACAATCTTTTGCACTCTATCTACACAGTACTATAGTAATTAGCAAGGTGGAATAAGGTTCACGTAAGGATCAGAACATAAATATTAGATTCCAGACTTAATGACTTCATTAAATGTTTAAATAAAGAATACAAAAGATCTGTTGACCTGGCGTAACATTCTCCTTGACTATGATTAATTACATCAGATCTCTATCCTGCTTCGTATCCGGGACGGAGTGATTTCCTTTTGCTTTGATGCGGTAAAAGCTCTGTGACTGTGCAGTGTGAAGTTTCATATAACGCTTTCCTCTTCAATTTCTTTTTCCATTTCCCCTTTCCCCTTTTTTCCTTTTTGCCAAATAAATGAGAAAAAAGAAGGGTAAATTCGGGGGCATCGTGTGCTGTGGGTGCCATATAGGAACCTTATTCTGTGGTGGCTTACGGGAATCCAGGAATGAGTATGCCGGGAACCAACGTGATGGACAGATGTTGTGGCATGTATAACTATAGATAGGGCGGTGAGTAGATTCATGATTGGGTAAGTGGAGGTTCTAGAAGCCTATGTTCTTTGTCAAAGTGGTACCCCGTAGGTGGTGACCTGATTCTGGATAGCAAGTAAGAAACTGGTTGAGAGACGGGATGCTGACTATTTAATAGAGGTTGAATGCTGTATAGCGTATTTAGGTATTGTTGATGGGTGAACATGGGAATAGATGTTGTGTTAGGGCTTGACGATTCACGTTAGTGTGCTTACTTAGATCTCATTCGCCAATTCCACATAGTAAGGGGATGCCGGATTGCTCGTTTGGGAAGTGCCGTGGGCTACCTGCAAAGGCATCGATCGCCTTCTGTCTACAAGGAGGAGTTATCAAGGCTCTTTAGACCGCGGTAGATCGGTAGGAATCCCGAAAGCGGATTGTAACTTATTTATCATCAAGTGCATTATCCACATACCGGTGAAGGGGATGTCAAGGGGTCGACCGAATGGGGAAAAACCCACAAGTGGTTTGAAGTTGTTGTACGCCTACCCTGCCATCCACGTGGGATTGAGAAGGAACCTTACATAATATAAGCCAAGAAACGTTTCCCGAGCTAACAAAACGTCGAACATCTCCCATATATTACCTCTGTTCACACAACGACCTCTCACGATCATGCTTGTATCCGATGCACTTCAAATCTATGTCTGGCAGGCAACTCAATATTTCATGGACCTTAACTTCTAGGGGATACAAGGCTCCAACCCACTAAAAAAGTGCGATCTTGATGCCACCCTATTGAGTATGTAGGCCTCGCTGGGGCCGCTTCAGGACTCTTAGTGTGTACACTGACTTGCAACCACACCTTTAGTGGCCTGGTTTGCCCGGTAAGATAACAAAGTCGCCAATATCTCATAGCTTGCATGATTCTAACTTGCGAAACCAGATATGCCCCAATACACAGGATTATGGGAGTCTCTGCAACCAGGCCTATCATGGCCTTCCTAGGGTTCGCATACTGTTGCCGATATATTTCGCAACTGGCGTAGTTGACAACTACTGGCCTTTTTCTGGAACTAGCATCTGAATGTGTCGCGAAATTAGGTTTGGCCGCTGTTCAGATCTTCAGGCTTGCTGCTGGGTAGTAGACCGCATTCGCGTGTCCACTCCATTATCGTATTCTGTCTAGCTAAAAACTGAGCTGCGTAGACTGATGCATCATTGACCACCAAAACCTTCTTAAATGATAGTTGGTGTTGCCTATCCCACTCCCGCAAGATCAGATCTTGATAGGCTGGAAGGTTCATCAAGGCTCCCGACAGAATGAGTGCACATCTACTTGGGTCACAGATCTCAGCCAGCGGCTTGATTTGTTGGGCTAAACAATTGGCTGCGGATGTCAGGATTTCAAGGGCTTGTGGATCAGGATCCTGTTCCCTGAACCCTAGCTTTGTGACCACCCTTGCAATGTTGCTTACCTTTTCCTTAGGCTGGGCATTTGAGTGATATATGCCTTTCAAAACTCCTACTTCGTTAGAGTTGAGCTCGTTTAGGATTACCCTCTCGAACTCTGTGAGTTCGTGCTTAGCTTGGAACTGCTTTTGCTCAACGCTGGATAAAACAAGTTGAAGTGCGCGCTTTCCGATGTCAAAAGCGCTTCCTTGATCCCCAATCAGGTAGCCCCAGCCTCCAGTGCGGCCAACCTGAATTATCTCGCCAGCAAGCCCCTTTTTGAAGGCTGTTGCTACAGAACCTGTTCCAGCGACCACTGAGATTCCAAATTCAACAGAATTATCCATGGCAATACAGGAGCCGAGTAGTATGCCATCACTGGTAAGGCGAAGGGTTCCACAATGGGTCGACACACCAAAGAGCTCCTCGAGGCGGCGAGTCAGGGTTGCAATTTGATCCGCATGGTGCAGCCCGGCCAATCCGACCCAGACCTTAGAGAACTTTGGTGTTGTGGGAAGGGCAAAGCCCTGCCTGGCGAAGGCCATCGATGAAGCCTGGTCTGTCGCCAGCTTTATATGATTAATGATTGCTCCTAGGGTGACGGAGTTGAAATTGCAAGGACCGGCTATCCCTTGACCTATAACCCCTGACCGAGTTGCGATCGAGACAGTGCAATTCGTTCCGCCCCCATCAACACAAAGGCAGTATTCTAGCCCTTCCTCGAGGGTCACGGGCTTTGGAGAAGTTTCTTTTTTAACCCCTTCGACAAAAACATGGAAGCTTCCGCCTGCGGACTCGAGCATTTGTCTGGCAACATCTGGATGATAGCCAGAAATAGCCACGGCGCAGGCTAGCTTGACACTGCCCCCACAGCCCTCGATCAGGATATCAATGGCAGCATCTCCTTCAACTGTTTCAGGAATGTCAATCGCCTGTGGTGAGGGTAGTCCGTTTTGGTCTATAATGTGCATTGGGGCTCCGTTGCAGGCTTGGCGCACAATTCTTCTTCCGCGCGCTTTTAGTTTCCAATTCTTTACCCGAACGTCAATCATAAGTCCCTTGTATGTCTTTCCAAGCTTTACCATAGAGCACGTGCTAATCATATTGAGAATCTGTTTAGCAGCGCTGCCTGCTTTGAGTCTAGTGCTACCCGAAAGGAATTCAGGGCCAACCAAAGCACAGATGAGGTGGTCGACTCCGAGTTTGGCAATGCTGGATGGATGTGTGTTTGTGATTCCGGCCGTGAGTGCATTATTTTTCAGAGCTACCTGGAGACCTCCTAAAACGAATGGAGTTCGACCCGAGGCTGAAATGCCAATAACTGTGTCCTTAGTACTGAGCTGTAAGGCCTCCATTCGCAACGCTCCTTCACTTTCCATGTCCTCAGCACCTTCTTGAGCCTTGATTATAGCCTCAGTGCCTCCTGCAACGATTGTTATGAACTGTTGGGGGTCTGCCGAAAATGTTACCGGCAATTCACTGCAATCCATGAACCCGACCCTGCCACTATTGCCGGCGCCGACATAGATGAGTCTGCCTCCAGCTCTGAGCCGCGGAACTACATCATCAATTAAGGAAGCAATGTCCGACAGACAGGATGCGATAGAGCCTGCCACTCGGCTCTCCTCTTTATTGAATGCTTCGCAGAGGCCAAGCGTGTCGAGAAAGTCGATTTTGTCCGCTGTGGAGGTTCGGGCCTCTGTCTGCAGTAGGTGTAAACGTTCATGCTCCGATGGCGCCATAGGGACGGAAATTAGCGTCTGAAAGTGGTGCAGCTATACCTCGAACAGTGTCTTGTATATTAATCTTTATAGACGCACATATATGTAGTTCGACAGGGGTCGGGGTGTACTAGGGCTCGGAGACATTGATGTATCGTGGAGCTCGGTGGCCGATATCCGCCCGACATCCGCATTGCATTTTGCACGAGAATAATACGCTCATCAGGTCAATTCACGTGTCGTCTTTTTCGTAAATGTAACTTCATTAAACGCTAAGCCTGTTCAGAGTTGGCGCACCCACCATCCATAGCTCATCCGATGTCCGCTTGGCGCTAGAAACTAGACTCTTGCTGTACCTTCGGCTATATATGCACGTCACGTCCATTTCTGAAATAGATTTCTTCATGATGATTCCCCGTTGATCGCACCCGCACAATGTCTGAAACCAAGCCCACAGAGCCAGACGTAATTTCTTCCTCCCTAGATGACGAACGTACGCCGCGGGCACCAGCCCCCAAAAATGTCTGGTCCAAAATATACCATGACCCCTGGTTCCAAGTCTCCCTGATCTCATTCATTTCGTTCTGCAACCCGGGTATGTACAATGCTCTCACTGGAATGGGAGGTTCCGGCCAGGTAGACGGCACCGTCGCTGCAAATTCCAACGTAGCGACTCACGCATGCACCGCCGGCGCAGCCCTGGTCCTAGTGGGCGCCTTCTACAAATACCTTGGACCCCGATTATCCCTCCTCGCAGGCGGGTGGACCTACGCCCTTTACGCAGGATCCCTCCTGCACTTCAACCGAACAGCGAACGGCGCATTCGTAATTGCAGCCGGCGCAGTTCTAGGTCTTGGCGCCGCTTTCTTCTGGGTCGCTCAAGGCACAATCATGGTGACCTATACTAATGACGACACGCGCGGGAGAGCCATCGCGCTCTTCTGGGTAGTGTTCAACCTCGGGGGAGCCATCGGCTCCCTGGCCAGTTTCGGGCTAAACTACCACTCCAAGTCCGGCACCGTGACCGACTCTACCTATATCGCGTACATCGTCGTGATGCTGTTCGGCTGGGTTCTCTCAACACTCGTGTGCTCCACCGAGTCGCTGTCTCGGAAGTACCGGGGTAGCAGGATCTCGCAGGACGCGAAGGTCCTCAGCTGGTCGAATCTCCAGCGCTCGATTAAGGAGACGGTTAGAATCGTCTTCGATTGGAGGGTCATGTGCCTGTATCCCATGTTTTACAATGCCAATGTGTTCTATTCCTACCAGCAAAATAGCGTGAACGGCATGACCTTTGATCTCCGGACGCGCTCGCTCAACGGTGCGCTGTACTGGATCGCGCAGATGATGGGCGGGCTGTTGATGGGCTCCATATTGGATCTGAACTGGCTCAATCGTCGCACCCGGGCGCGGATCGGCTGGGGTGTGTTGTTCGTCACCGGGATGGCTATTTGGGGTGGTGGGTACCAGTTCCAGGTGTGGAATGATCGGCGTCTGGAGCATGGTGTGAAACAGGATATTGATTATAAGGCTGGTAGTCGGTATCTTGGCCCAATGTTCTTATATTTCTTTTACGGTGCCTTTGATTCGTTTTGGCAGTCGTATTGCTACTGGATTATCGGCGCTCAGTCTCAGAATCCGGTGGTCAATGCTGTGATCATCGGCACTTACTCTGCTCTCAAGCCGGCTGGAGGGGCCATGGCTTGGCGCATCAATGCGAACAAAGTCAGCGCCATGACTCAGTTTGCTATGAACTGGGGACTCTGTATTGGTAGCCTTGTAGTGGCTATTCCTACCGTGTTTACTCTCAGCAAGGGGAGAGATGCTACGGGTGCAGGTCACTGTTGAGTCGGCGGCGGCTGATTGCCAGTGGCTATTAGGTCACAAGGCTCTTTTAATTAACTTAATCAGATTTGTCTGTGGCCTCGGATTATTGTATATAGTCGCCTAGACACGGGGTCCTAATTTGGCTTGCTTGATGATGTGCAATTAAGATTCTACGATGAAAATCAAGTCTCCACCAAGGGATTTTGTAAAACACCTTGGGAGATCTCTGGATAGGTAATATATGACCCTGCGCGGGCGAAACGCTTTGATATTCATTGCGATACCAAGGCTTTTAAGGCTTGATGAGGTCAATGAAGTGTAAGCGGACGAGAAATACTAGTTCGCCATCAAACTCCATCAGACCATCGTGTTCCCAGAATTCCGTACAAATATTTCTGATCGACGACATTGACTCCGCAGTTACATACATACATACGCAGGGATTCCAGGATGTTCGTGGCTCCATGGCCAATGGATAAATTAATACGCATAGTGTTTCTTGAATACATGAAACTGTAACCCTCCTTTGGGGCCAATACCCCCAGCAGTCGCTATGACCTTTTTTCCGAAAGCATGGATGTTGGTAAGAAAAGAAACGGTATGAGATCCTTAAGATACACCCGGGGAATGGTAATTTCACATGCTGCTAAGTTCTTTCCTAGTAGTAATACCGTATACGTATGCTGTATTTTCATTAAGTTACCTCCTTCTTGTGCCAATAGCCTTATAGATGGCGGGATGGCAGTTGCTACCCTTTTCTAGGAGGATAAAACATGATGACGGTTAGGGCTAGATCGACTTACCGGAAATAGTGGCCGAGATCCGATAGCGGCGGAATTCGGCATCCGGGTCGGACTTCTTTGTCCACCACAACTCTCCCCACACATTTCCTTCCATAGGTGGTGCCTTAGGCGTTTGCTGACCTCAATAATAAACGGTTCTAGACAGCGCTATCTCTGGCTGGATCCAGAGATTTGACGTGACAATAATCTCCGCCAGATCCCCATTGCAAGGGCCATGGGTGGGCCGAGGAAATCTGCTAGCTGTCTAATCTGCCGTCGGCGGAAGGTACGTGCCCACACTAGCTTGGAACGATATACCGACATATATGTACTGGTGGAGGACCTTATTTAACGTGAGTATGGCCAGATTAAATGTGACCGTAGCGCTGGGTTTTGCACCAACTGCCGTAATCTCGGCGAGCAGTGCGTGTATGGCAAGGAAGCTGCGACTGATATCAACGTTGCAGATGACGGACTCACGTCTAGCGACTCTGTCACGCAGGCGGGGCTCAAACGGCGACGAGTCCTGCGGTCCTGCTTAGAATGCAAGCGAACGAAGTCCAAGTGCTCGGGCGGTTCTGCCTGTACCCGATGCACGAAAAAAGGCCTGCATTGCTCGTTCCATGAGATAGAACCAAACATCCAAGAGGAGGCCTTTGTCCAGAGGTCATCATATGTGATCCCGGCATGGCTCCTAGCGAGGAATCTGCCACCAATTGATCGGGTGCGCGAGCTCATTGACATCTACTTCGCCCAAATCCATACAGTTCGCTGCATGGGGTTCTTGCATATTCCAACTTTCATGGAACGTTTTAGGGATCGCAAAATGGTCTATACTGAGATGTCCGGGCTGATATACTCCATGTGTGCATTGGCTGCTCCATTCTATTGTGCGAAAGTGATGACTGCTAAGGAAGATGGCTCTAACTCTAGTGTGCCATTCTTCAATGCTGGGAAAGGCTGGGCAGAGGCCGCGATGCAATGCATGTTCTCGAGCTTTGGTAGTCCGGGGATTGAGTGCCTCATGACTGGGGTGCTTCTTCATGATTATTATTTGCGAGTCGGCGATTATGCCAAGGGTTTTCTCGTCTCAGGCTTTATTGCTAGACAAGTTCAACTCTTGCAGCTTAATATGGAGTACGATGAGGATATTCTGTGTCAGAAGAATAAGATGTCATGGGCCGCAAAGGAAACCAGAAGACGCGTTGTGTGGGCGTGTTATCTGCTCGATGCATCTATCGAGTGCGGCATTGACCAACTCTGTCTTATTCCCTCTTATGACGTTCAAGTGCAGATGCCCTGTTCGGAAGATCTCTTTGTGCGTAACACCCCGTGCATTACAGAGACATTGGTCAGAGGCGAAGTACTTCCTTTTGTTGATCCTCCCCGGATAGATCCAGCGGTTAATCTTGATATTCGCGCATTTTACATTAGAGCAATGGTTACTCGCTCGAAGATCTTGAAATACGTCAAGCATCTAGAGGGAGAAGTTCCCTGGGAAATCACCGAAAACGCACGGTTTCACAAGCTCGACTCTGAAATCAAAGAGCTTGATGCTTCCATCCCGGACAACTTCAAGATGTCCGCGGAAAATGTATATATCTTCAAGGCTTCTGGCCGCTTAAACCTGTTTTTCGGTGTACACATCCTCATTGCCCAGACATTCAACGACTTATACCGTGTCGGTGTATCGCGACTGGTATTTCCGAATACTGCGACTAAATGGATCCGGGAAAATGCGCCAGACGAATTCCTCAAACTCTGCCATCGCACCTGTATCAGCAAGGCCTTCTATATCGGAACCCTCCTCAAAGACCTCTGGAACTGCCACAGGCTGAGCATCATTGACCTTCCATATGCGGTGCATGCACAGATATGTAGCAGCGTCTTGGTCACCAGTCTTTCCTCATGGGGAGAACCCGATCCCCCGCTACCACACCTATCCCAAAACGACTACAAGAGCGTATTGCAAACCAACGTCAAGATCCTTAAATACCTGCAACGGTACATCAAAGCCGACCTGTACTACGAATCCGCCAACCAGGCACTGAGACTCTTCAACACACGCTTCTCACACGAAACGCCAGAGCGCAGAGCACCTGGTTCGCTGGTCGAAACCAGCCCCATGGATGGCACTGATTACAGTAGGCCTTCGCAGTTTTCTCTGGAGTATATCTTGAATCCCCTGGGTACCTACCCCATGGCGCGTCAGCAGGTCCATCATTCTGACCACGCGCATGTGCGTGATGGGATAGCGGACCAGCCATCGTCCTCGCAGTCAGATATTGGAGCCTTCTGCCCGTCCGCTGGAGATAATCCGCCGAGTATGGATGGGCTCTCGGGTGTTCATGATAACTCCTTTTTCAGCCAGTTTCCCGACTGGGCTTCAGATATTCCGATGATGAGTGATATGGGATATCCTACGTTTCTGGATCAATATTCCGTTAGTATTGGGGATCCTACTCTGATGATCTGATCGAGTCTATGAGTTATTGACGTTGGGGTGGGGGAGGTTTATCTAATATGTTTGAGTGGATTATGGAAAGGAATTGATATCTTGAATACTTAAATGACAATATTGTACAATACTATTGCAAAAGCTCTTTTGATGATTAATACTTAAGAGACTGCAGAAATACTGGTCAATCCATTGGCACCTAAATTTAAAGTCATATATTAGAAAGAGAAGAGTTTAAGTCTACTATATTATCGATTTTTTGTATCTCGATTCCTTAAGGTTAATCGATCTCAATTCTGGTTATCAAACCTCGGGCTCTCTGCTCCCTGACTCTAAGTGTATTCACAGCCAAAGCCTATTCAGGAACCCCTGGATGCTGTCGTGATATTGGCGTTTCTGTGGCCGTGAACAAAGCGAATAGGATGTTCTATCTATTCTTCCCTCGAGTTTCATTGTTCTAGGGCTAAGTATGATCCCCGAGAATCTGATATACGATAAGGGCAATATTACAGAAGAAAGATAACGGTAGTACGATTAATATTATACAAAACTCTGATTATTGAGATTGATATAGGTAATATATTACTAGAGGTGTATTGATGTTGCGCTCGTCCACATCACCCTGCCGTAGAGATTTATTTCCTGGAGCTCAATAGGTAAAGCTTCAGCTACTGTAGCCTGCTTCGGCCAGGATTTAAATTTAGACTATCTAGGGAGTTTATGACAAACCTACTTTATAAATTTGACATGGCAAAGATGAGAAATTAGGGTTTGTCGCGAGAGTTAGTAGTAAGCTGGAGGCATCTACCAATGGCAGGAATGTATCCTTTGGCCAATAAAGTGTACGGGATCCGTATCACACCACTTCTGATTTCTCTTGTATGACACACTTCAACGGTCCAAGAATAGGCTCATCGATCGGACGCAGTTATGGGGTATCTTAACGGAAGATGTTCAGATCGCTAAAAATTAGAAGAATAATGTGAAGCTGGATGACGAGCCATTCACAGTTTTATATCTGTCGGCCATGACCTGGATACAAGCCCTCTGATAATCGCCCCATATGAAAAGACATATTGTGTAGGAATCATTGGCTATCCTTTTAAAGAACATCTGAGGCCCACGGTAGGTCTGGTCACGAGGACCCTGTGCCAACCAGGTATTTGAAGCGTCGTGAGCCCCTGTCTTCCTAACTTAAACTCACGTTCCTAAAAACGCACGGCCACTATGTCTCTTGAAACTATTACAGCAGTAGAGTTCTTGTCCCACACAGGAATTCTCGTCCAAACCATCGCGAGAAATCTGCGTGACAACAGACTAGATCGAAAGACGCTGCAGACACATCTCCTGGAATATGCCGCTCGCGCCGAATACGACGGCCGGTTGATCAACGCATCTAGGCAAGACTCTCGATGCGTCGAACATGGCTTATTCCTAGCATATGTCCACGTCGAGTTGATCACATGGCTAGCCCGATTTAACTACACAATTCCTGCAACATCTGTCAAATGGTACAGCTGGAAGAAACTACTCACGAAGTATCGTCTTCCTCTGTTTTCCGTTTCGTCGCAAACGGCGGAGTTGAGGGGTCAGTTAGAAAACATCAAAGCGAAGGCAGATTTAGTACAGGAGGACCTTGGAATCAATAATGTATGACTGCATTTACATTTTCGGCTGCTGACTTGCTGAAGTCGAGGAAAGGTTGACGTCCCAGCCACCTCTATCAACTACCGCAAGGTTCCGGGGTCACTCCCAGCCGGGGCTGGGCCTGAAGGTAGGCCTTCCATTTTGCAAATTATATAGCATCGTTGTGCTGACTTTGATGCTTTAGAGCTTCATGATCTCCTTCGGCGTGGTCTGCTTGCTCAGCGACAGCTAACCTGGTCATCGGAGTGATCACTGCCAGCCTTTCTCTCCCACGTATTGTTGCACAGCACGTTTCATCATTTTGTTCTCTTCCTTCCTTCTCTCATTCATGCTCAAGCTCTTGCGTAATGGATAGCCTCTGTTAACTATCAGATATTCGATATTCGTCTCTACTTTGCTGCCTATTGTCGGTTGGCGCTAACTAGCTCAACACCTTGGGTCTGCGAGAGAGTCTATCTTAATTGAAGAAAAAGGCCCTAGCATTACCTAGTAGGCCTCTCTCCCGCATTCCAGACTAAAGAACCGTTGAAGTAGAGTATATTCTATTACTAAACCCACATAACTCTGTCTCTAGACTCTCGAATATTAAAATCAAATAATCTTAGATGTTTATTGCTACCACCGCTAAGCCAAGCACAATATAGGCACCGTTTTCAAGTTATCAAGATATAAAGATTGTTTTACATTTGGCGAACCACCCTGCCAAAGTTGCATTGGTGCACTATAGTTAGTTCAACGAATACTGTCCTCAATGAATAATTCCATTTAATATATCGTCAACTGAGTGAACACTACTACAACAGTAAAGGTTGAGAACAATAGCCAGCATCACATTTCACAGGAGAAAAGGGAATCAAATACAATATCCACATTCACACCTACTAATCTTGGCCCAATCTACTAATCCTAAATATGGATAACCTCTCATCCCCTCTCCAACTCCATCCAAGCCTCTCATTCCTCTATCTTACCGTCTACTGCATACCCCATTGCCAATATGCTAGTACGCTAAATAGTGCTAGCCTTGCGAGTAGAGACAATATGTCGTCCTCTCCTTCATACCAGTTGGTCACGCATCCTTCCGCAGTTGCAAGCGGTTATTAATGGATGAATTGCCGTGTTAACACAGGCATCCCCATATGAGCCTATGCTACACGACTACCAAATCCTCTAAATTCTGGCTTGGCACCGTCTATCAAACCACTGAGTCGCCTACACGGTCTTGCTGTGAGAGCAACTGCACTTAGCCTTGCCCCGATGGCAGCAAAGTCCTATTACGACAAAAAGCATTAACCGATTTCTTTTTTAATGCCGGCGATCGGGTGCTGCTACGCCTATACTAAGGATATAATGTCCAAACAACTGTAAAGAAACCGAATTTCAGTTTGTGTTTCTGTCCACTAGAGTCACATTGAAGCCTCCTCTCTCTATGCTTTGTATGTGCTCAGATGAAGTTTGATGCATGGAGCATACTCCATCATCCATTCCGACTAGTAGCCGCGAAGAACACGTCGAGCCCGCCAAGTTGATCAAGATGCATGTTAGAATTCCGTTCAATGAGAGTCTAGCAGTGAGACACCCCTACGCTCATAGCATTACTGACACGCTTCACCAGAAGGCATAGCCAGCAGTCTACGAGCTATGGGACCCAGTCGCAGAGTACAATGGATGTCAATTCTGCAATATCAGGCACTCGGATATCTAATTCCCAAGCGCAAAATTCAAACTTGAAAATCAAAGAATGATAAGTTATGTGTGATGATTTGGTTCTAAATAGGGGTCTGCGATGCACTTGAGTCACTAGTGGAATCTTTGCAGTTGGCTTTTTACATGGCATGATGTGGCCAGTCCGCTCATGGCCTTTCCTGAATGAAAGACCTAAATAAAATATGGGGTCATATCCACCTATCAGTGGGCCATTTCGGCAGAAACTCGTCTGCGAATAGATCCGATGCATGCGTTACGAATGATGACATGCACTATAGTGAGGACTGGTCCTCTACCTGTATAGTTTGCCATACCTGGGGGATCATGTCCGTTCAATTCCGCAGCGTGGCGGCTCGTGAAGCTACAAGACAGGACCCACTGGTCTCCAGATCATGAAATGGATATTTTAGATCAATGGTCAAGGCTTACTAGAGACGAGACCATTTGACCAGCTTGCCCCAGCCCCAGCTCCTAGGCAAATCCTCTGAGCGATATGGCCGTCAAGCGACCGTTGGTACTCTAAGAGTCAGCTCTGGCTGTGATATTACTATCGAATCTCGTGCCACGAGTGGCAGGACACCAAATTGTCACATGTAGCCCTTCCTAGGACATCTTGAAGAAGTCTCTGGGGGCATCTGTTGAATGTTCATACGGGCTCACCCTCCCGCCACCGGCCTAACGAAGACAAGAAAGCTCTATGTTGAAGAATGTACTGCATACAGGTCCATTCATCAAAGCTAATAAGATATTTAGGCCGGGAGAAACGTCTGCCCCCGCCTTGTGGTGGGCTTTTCCATGTCGTCTGGCCTTTTCAGGGGAGACCCTATCACTTCTATGGAGGATGGAGCATTTCAAAATTCCCAAAAGACGGTTGCTATGTTCTATATTCCATTAGCTGTGGCGTAGATATCAGGACGGCCTGGCCCCCTAAGGTTCCATCAACACCAACCTCACGAACTACTTTGCATACCTCGGAGGCAAACGGATTCAGTTGACCCACCACCCCATTGATAGTGTCCTTGGCACTCAGGATTTCTCCGTTTACGTTAACAGTGATACGCTTGCTCAGATTGCCCCGGGCGACAGCGGTTGTCAAGCATCAGTTTGTTCCGGGAGGCAAGACGATACAACATGACCACCAAAGCTTTAACACCAATCTCAATGGACCAGGTTGTAGAGAAGTTCTATATCAGCTAAATCGCCCTTGAGGAGTCGTTTGGGAAAAGGGGAAGGTTTGAGGGGTCAAGACGGGGGTAGGAAGGCTGCTCATATATTCATTTATATATGCTCCTTTATCGTAGCAGACATTTCAATGATGGTCTAAACCTAATATCGAAGCAAGAATGGTAAGCAGTATGTTGCTGATGTGTCCATAACGGATGAGTTCAAGATGTCTATCATCTATTAACAATCTCCTCGATATTAGAATAGCAGAGTTAACTACAGCCTCTGGTACGGAGACACAGACACTCAAGGCACGAAAAAGCATGATTACGAAGCCAATGCCGAGATGATGGTGGCCGTGGAAGAGCACGGGTGTTAGCTACGGTGGCATATGCTATCTTCTTATGTATATTTGGGTTATGTTGACTCACTGGATATCTAGTTTCTCGGACACTTTATCTTCGTTGCCAAAATTTAGCCTTTGCAAGACACGAAGACAGTGGTACTATCGACTTTGAATTCGAGGGTTAAAAGAAGAGACAATTGACGGCAGAAGATGGAAATATTCTCCCCCGGGAAGTCCCTACGGCTACTACGTGTTCCGCACACAAGGTTGAATCCACTGACGTTGTCTATCTCCCGTTTAACAGCCTATTGGGCTACGATCTCTAGGGTGGTTACAAGCTCTCCGGCGGAGATGCGGGCTAGCTGTTGACGATCTCACTGCGGCTGTACCTATCAACGGCTTTTGTGCACGTCTCTTTGTGGTAGTTGGTCAGCACGACGATAGAGTCCATCTACTGAGACACATAATTATCTCGGATGGGTTGACTAATGGCCTTTACCAACCAATTTTTTCTTTTTTTTTTTTTTTTTTTTTTTTGATAGATTGATTGTTTCTTCAGGGGGTGAGTCTCCTCCAAAGACTTTGGCTTGTCACAACTTAATCACTGATATAGAGCTCCGATAGCAACGCTACGACAAGCTATTATGGCCCTAGACAGTGCTATGATCTGCCAGCTCAACTGGAAGAAAAGCTGGGGGAAGCTAAACGTCTGTCCTCATCAAGCTTTGTCTCTTTTCCTCGAAATTATTCTTGTTTCTGGCCGTCGTTGGGAGTGAAAAGGGCACCTGCTAACAAAATGCTAGAATATATTGATCACCCCGATAGGGGCTGTTCAATGGTCATTTATCTCACACGAAGATATTCCGGTCTAAGGCCCTTCCGACAAGGCTAGGAATGGCTACATACCTTGCTACAGATGCCGAGTAAACAGCTTTTGTGCGGAGGAGATCTTTGCTATCGGCCAGGGTCTGAGTCTCTTTGATAATTAACTATATCCATAGTAAGGTTGCTATCGCTATGTTTTACCTGCAACGCGCCGGGCGAAATGCCAATTGTGACGCTACGAGTTCTTTTCTCTGCTCAAGTTTCGTTACTGATTTAGCCCGGCTTCTCTCACTATGCTCGGCAGTGCCGCGGACATCAGCCTTATACTTGAATAGATAAAGAAATCGTTTTACACGAAGGCCAGGGAGAAAGATGATAAGGTTGCTATTGCTTTCCCCGCGGAGGCTAGCGAACAAATCGCCACCGCCGCTAAATACTCTTAGGAACCTGGCCCGCTCACCATTAGTATATCCAATGCCTTCAGTATACGGCTACGGCATTGCACGATAATTACAAGCTTGTCCATAGCTGTTTGCTTGTCTACTGCACAGTTCCCGCGGCAAGACATGTTCATAAACTACGTGCTCTGGCTGTGCTCCTTAAAGCTGCATTTACAGGCGTATATTGGTCATTGGAGAAAACAGACAAGGAATATGGTCTCCGTGACATTTCTACCTTTAATCGCCCATGTTGCGAAAAGGGCTATCCACATATAGCCTATTGCTGGACCCCATTGATCAATCTGGACAAGACTTCGAATTTACTGCCGAACAACTTGAAGCTCTTGCTGCAGGATCAAGCGAGGCTAGCGCACCCTTCGAGATCCCCCGTTTGTTTTGTGAGCAAGGGCTCGTTTTCATGTCACCAGTGCGCTGAGCGCGATAACCTCAATGCGAATCGGTAAAGTTTGGGGTCGATCACTTACGCTTTCCGTGCTCATGCTGCTAGGTTATCTGGGCAATGACATCGAGGTTCAGTGGGGTTTGGGATGGGCAGAAACCCCCCCCCCTCGTTTGATTTTGTTTGGCAGTTGCCGATGGTGTTGTGGACGGTGGAGATCTATATATTGTCGCACTCAGTAGTACTGGTGCCTCGACAAGCGAAAGGAGCCAAGCTCAAGCTCGTTTTGCCTATTATAACTCACATGATAAGCTAGTTAGGTCGTCAGAGATTGAAGGTTGAATATCATCCTAGGGATAGTGCAGTTGTAGGCGTGCATAGCAATATTCTCCTCGCTCCCATCCTTTATGTGCTTGAGCTCACGCCCAGGGCAGTATTGGCAAAGAACAGAGGGAATGCTACCGTGACTACAGCCAATCGTCAAAAAGGGAGATGGCAGAGACTGGAACCAGGTATCCTTCGCACAACGAACCGTCCGTTTTGTTTTGCCTATTGACAGCGTTTAACTTCAGAGGATAGACATTAAGTACAACTGCATTCTGTAGTTGAAGGCATCTGGACCTCGGCTGTGATCAATGAATTAAAATTACTATTCTGAATCAACTCCAGGGAAAGGCCGAAACTAAGTAAATCAAACGTATTATCAGGGAGGAAAGGTGTGTGATAACATGGGAATCTCTTCTATGGGGGACAATAAAAGGTAAAAGTAAGGTAAAAGGGGGGAGGAGCTGCCAAGTAGGGAGAAACGAGAATAAGACGGGGGAGAATAGAATAGCTAGATGCATGCCGTGAAAAGGGTCAGATAGGAGTAGTAGGTGTTTGACCAGCATAGTGTCCACAGCACGGCCGTGAGGCTGCTGTGATATGTCGCGTAGATTGCAGCGCCGCACAGTAGCCTATAAAAGGACAGGTCTATAAATAACACGCCCGCTGGATGCGAAAAGGAGCTGCAAAAAGGACGTAAACGGACACCATAGGCCGCTTCCCTCTCCCTCGTTAGTCACCGTTTGTTGCGTCAGCAGTTCTCCCAAGGTCACTAGTCAGCGAATACACTGACAGATCTGAGAAACTCTCGTGGGTGGGCGCCGGTAGTTGCGTCTTTGTGGTGGGCTGCGTGGCTCGCTTACCAACGCAACTGTTTGGGGGAAGGTGGACTGGAGACATGAGATCGCGGGTTTGGCCGGGAAACAGGCCCTTGTCAAGGTCACTTTGCCACAGCCTGCGTGACGCATCGAATGCCTTGTTAACTAACCCGCGTCGAAGGTCTTCATACTCCTCGAATAACCGAGGTAACGGGGCGTCGGGATTCTGGGCCAGGAGCTTGGCAAATATAATTGCATCTTCTACCGCGTATGCGGCAGATTCATCGCGTGGTGGCATCTGCATTCATATCAGCGTTATTGTAACCAGATTGCCGTGACGAAGGAACCCACCGCATGTGCGGCATCTCCCAGCAACAGTATCTTATCCGTGTGCCATTTGCCTCGTTGGCGAACCTGATAAACCGGGTATAGCATCCAATTCTCCGTTCGGTCGATGATCTCCCGGATGTACGGTAGACTGGACATGCCAAACTGCGCCCGGACCAAGTAGCGCATTGACATTCTCATATTGTTCTGTACCGATACGTCCGTTCCTGGCATCGTCTGGTATTTCTCGATCAGCAGTTCGCTAACGCGGACGATCGCCGCAACAAAAAGCTTCTCGTGTTTTGGATCGCAGTAACTAGTCAGGAGCGAGCTATGTCGGGCGAGGTGTACCGCTGTTTGGTTAAAAGGCATCGGTGTGGTCAGGCTCCGGGTGTCGGTCATGCTTTGTATAAAGGAGATACCGGTATATTCGGATCGATTACCAGGATCCACAATCTTCGTACGTGTTGCCGAGTGTACTCCATCGCAACCTAGCACCAAGTCCCCGGTGACGGTCGAACCATCTTCGAATTGTAGTGTGACATTCTCCGCCGTCGTGCTTCCTCCGACCAGCTTCATATCATAGTGAACTGAAACGTTGGGCAAATTTCGAGCCACTACCAGCATGGCTTCTGAAAGAGCGCTACGCAGGACCCGGCGACCCTTGTAGCCACCATAGCCATTTCCGTTCTCGTCAGTGAAGCGGAGGGGCCCTAATCGGCGTCCGGCACGCACGGAAAATAGATCAATGGCGTCCACTTCGATACCGGCTCGGTCGCCCATCTGATTCAATTCGGATAAAATCCCTAGCTCATCGAGATACCTCTGGGCGACCGGTGTCAAACTGATGGCACCGCCAGATGTCGTAGATTCCGATGCGCCATCATAAACCGAGATGTTCAGGTTAGGGATGAAGGAGGAGAGCTCGTCGGAAATGGCAATGGCGCTGGCGAGACCAGCAATGCCGGCACCGACGATGAGGATATCGCGTGGCATTGTGAGTTATCCCGCAGCGCTTCGTTTCTCCTCTCAGGGGATGGTCGACAGACACACTGTCGTAGGAAGGAAAGAAAAGAGGGACGAGGACGACAAGAAATTGGTGGGAACCGGTCAGCGAGGGTTGCACAGGGGCCAGAATTTGCCCTGCAGTCGGGAATCATATTGTTTCGTTGTATGCGCATCGTCGCACTGGTGGATGGGATTAGTGTCGAAAAATTAATTTAATTTCCGTATTTTTTCAATATTTTTTTTTTTTGACTTGTTCGCTCTTTACCCTTTCCAGATTGGGAGGTTCTCCGCGTCCGGCCGAAAGTTCATCATTCGGTGGCTCGGTTACACGAAGTCGGAGGTCGCACCAATCAGAGCGTGGCATTGCCCACCCCTCATGTGTCATGTCCAACCGTGAAGAACTTATCCGTTTCCATTGCTTTTCTGATTGGCAGCCCCCGGCATAAGCTTATAGATGGGTCTAGACGTCAAGGTGGCCATCCTTCACGGAACGAACCGACCGTTTTGCCTATTATATAACTCACACATGATAAGTTAGTTGACGTCCTCGGAGATTGAAGGTTTGGTAACTGTATCCACTTCAATTAGGCATTATTCATCATGATCCAGGATCAATAGCGTTAATACACTACATAATATGTACAGGACTGCTCACTTTGCCAAGGAGCGACGGCGTCAAAGAATCAAAACTTTGAAAAGATTTTTTAGTCATCGTTCAAGGTGTACTTCCATATGCCATTTGGTAACAGCGCTTGGCGTAACGTTTCCAACTTCTTCTTCAACATCACTGTCTCCGCTTCTAGTTCTCCAATATAATTGACGGCATCGGTCAGGACTGCCATCTTCTTGGAAGCATGCTTCCTTTGACAGTAGAACCGGGGCCGACCACTCCCAACCCCTCGGGTGTAGTAACTTTGCAGTGACGATTCAAGGGCAGTAAAGTTCTTGCTCAGATTCTCCCGATAACGCTTTTCAATTCTATTATGGGCGGATCGCCGGGACGAGGGATGAGCGGGCCCTTCATGGGGCGTGGATCGAGACGATCCAGACGGGGAAGAGGGAGGTGGCGAGAGTGAGGCGACTGGGGAGCTAGTCGCCGAGCAATGAGACTGTTGCGGGGACCCGCAGATTCTAGAGGGCGCGTCCAACGCCCTTTGGATTGCATCTGGCTTCAGTGACGGTTGCACTGGCGCTCCCTCGAAATTGTTGGGTACCGCCAAGGAGTGTTTCAGAGACGTCCAGTCCTCGTACACGTCCCATGGGAGAAGGTTGGAAGAAGAAGCCGACCATTGAGGCAAGTAGCATGAGAGAGAGTCGAGGCTGTCTTGCGAATTTGGCTGCGTAATAATTAGATATGAGACCGGCTAGAAACAAAGGCGTTCTTTTTTTCTTTCCCTATCGGGGGACTTACTCGACGATGGAGACTTGTGGAGGGTGGTTCAACCATGGTATCAAACGCAGGCATCGGCGCCAAGCCAGTGTCTAGGCCAATTATATTATCCCAGGTATAAGGAAGATCTTGGGACTGAGATTTCCACGGCAGAGATGAAGTTGGCATTTTGCGTTTGGTCGGAGGAACGGGTGGTTTGAGCTATTGATCCATATATAACACGGTACAGCGGGATCAACATAGCTTTAAATAAGCCTGATTTCCCCGAACTGTCTCGGAACGAGGCGCCGCCCACAATACAAGATTGTGCCATGCTGTTTGGATAGGTCACGGCCAGGATTTGCTTTCCGACGTTAGGGACTTTTTTTAATTTTGTTTTCGTGCGATCCTTGTTGCAAATGACCTCATGCGACCCTGTCTGGACCACAAAACTTTTCGCTCGGCTCCGACTCGGCCTTTACTCTCCCATGTCAGAATCCGGGCTCAAGTCTTCCATTTTCATCTCTCTCCTTCCGTTCAGCCCTAAATTTGACTTGATTCGTGGCATTGACCAGGAAGGTTAGTCGTAGATATCCAATGACTCACGGAGAATTGATTGCGAGCGAATTCGTAGTCAAACTCAAGTATAGCAGTTTGTTTTTTGTAGGACGGTGTGGAGAACCCCTTTAAACAAATAAGTAAACATTAGTATTAATGTTTTCTTTCCTCCCCTCCTCCCTAGTACTTTTACCCTGACCCCAACCCCACTTTGTCACAAAATATTGTTGACCCTGGCCAGGATCTGACTTATGTCTCAAGTAAAGCGAAAATTAAAAAAAAAAAAAAATTCATAAAAAAATATGCACCGGAAAATAATCTGCTGTGTGTGGGTAGGAAGGAATTAAGTGAAACGCTGCACTGCAACCATCCATACTAGTTAGCGCTGTTGCTGAAAAAGGTGGCAGGATGACCCCCTGTTCAAGATTTTCATTAGCGCGAGCGATTGTATATTCTAGATTGATGGCCCGACCACTAGTCGATCATTCTTGTAGAAACATTATCATCCAGTCTGGTCCTGCGATTGGCTGGAGATTGCATATTGGCCGGTCAATGTCCTTTTAGGATTTTGCGGAGAGATGACCACGGACACGTCGCAGCCATTCGGTCGAAGGACATTTTCGCGCCTGTACGTCCGATCATGAACCCTTTCTAGGCACGGCATGAAGGCCTCGGGTAACCAGCTGAAATGGTCATGATGTCAGTTCGTACCGCATGTCGAAATTCGTTCGATAGGCTCGGTATTCACCCAATCCCTTTTTTCCCATCCATTGCGTCATTCCAGGTGGTGAACCAAGCGAAGAGCTGAGAACTTGGACTTCAGACCCAAAGATAAATTAAGTTTGTCTCTTAGCGGTGTGCTTCGCCCACGTGGGCAACTCACGAGGAATGAGGGGGTTCCTTTTTCTTTTCTGCCTGAACTCAATAACAACTCTTTATTTTCTTTTTCTTACCCTAAAATCTTCTCTCTTTCACAAAAGCTTCTCTCCCTAGGTCACATTACAAACGTCGCAATGAACGTTTTCGAAGAACAACGAGGCATGATCTCCCTGTTCGCCTCCAAAGGCAAAGAGGGAGCGATCGTTGCCGTCATTCTTGAGGAGCTCAAGTGGGTCCCTTGAACCCAAAAGAATCCCGGAAAACCTGACTCATTGACATGACGGTAGACTCCCATATCGCCTCCATGTGGTCGAAAACCCACAAGATATCGATGCGAAATGCCTTCCAGTGCTCAAAAACATTCAAAGCGACGGCGAGCAGATTGATCTTTGCGGCTTCAAAGACGTGGTGTCGTACCTGATCGAACGCTATGACACAAAGCACGTAGTGTCCTATAAGCAGGGCTCCCAGGAAGAGGAGGAGGTCAAGAACTGGGTCGCGTCTTTATCCGAACCACATGGCGCCCATTCGGAGCAGCATCGTTTTAATCTCGATGCCGACGATGGAGTCCCCTTTGCCAGGAAGGCTATCCACCTGTATCTCCACCTGGAACAACATCTCCAGAAGTCGCACAACAACTACCTCGTGGGCAAGAAGTGGTACGTGGTTGATTCATTTATACCTCACCGAAAGCTTGGTCCTTGAAGGCTGACCATATATAGCACCCTCGCGGACCTCCTTCATCTTCCCTATGTGGCTGCTGCGGGCTCGGCCGGCCTCGATCTGGAGCGGTTCCCGGAATTAACTACGTGGTTTGACCGGGTTTACCAGCGGCCGGCGGTGCAGAAAGGCTTTGCTGCTTTCCATATGAAGCTTCGTGGATAGAGAGAACCCTTTTCTTCCCACATCAATTGGCCCCGCCATTGGTCAGCTAGCACCAGACCAATTAGTCTTTGTATCGAACGCTTTGTCCCTTTTTTCCTTCCTTCGCTTTTCATGCTGCTGCTGCTTCTTCACTGTATCCACTATTCAATTTCCTGTATAGAGTAGTGTATATTATAGATATATATACTGGTGGTAAGCTTATCGTGAGCTTTGTTATAGATGGGGGCAAAAATGGGACATTTCATGATAGCTTCAATTCTCAGCTGCCGATGATATCCGCACCCTTGTTGATGAAGGAAATTATTTCCCTTAAGACCTTCCTTTATAGTCGTATGTTACAAGCATGCAACCGAGGAGTCTAGAATTTTCATTGCATGAATCAATCAACTATTGCGGAGTAAACGATCCACTGGATAAAAATAGGGGCCTGGTGACTAGACCCTGACCGCCCATCACACCAGATTAGGCTAGCACTCAGAGCTAGCCTTAGGTGGGAAAGCGGTATGTCATATGACCTGAAGAAAGCGCCTTACCGGTATCAGTTGTAGATACGCATCCCTTTTGATTTCCATTTAATTCTTTTATGGTATTTTGAATATATATAGCGCCATAATATGGTATAGAAAATGACAGGCAAAGGTCAGGCCAGGCAGATCAGATAGGGCTGTTTGGCCTACGGATATCTAGCATTGGGCCGTTCTAATTTCTAGACCGCCTACCTATTTAATTGGGGTTCATATTTAGGTACGGTGGGCAGTGCTTGCATGCAAGTCCCTAAGAATAGCAAATGCGGGGAGGAATGAAACATGTGACTTCTAAACGTTTACTCAGATATAATCAAATCAGGTAATCATGGTAATGATATCATCGTCCATTCGCTGGAAGAAAAAATATGCCAAGTTAAGTACTTTACTTGGCTACGCTGCGCGTTCCATCGTGGTCAGCCACAGACGCTGCAAAGTACAGAAAGTACCAGTCCAATCCATCGCCTGACCTTTGCCTCACCGGTCAGAACACCCGTACTTACCCGGCCGTACGAGATCTCCCGTATAGTCTGATTAATTCGTTGTCTAGATAAATGGCGGCCACAATCAGCTTGATCGCAATGATTAGCAGTGCTGGCTAACACGGTCAACTTCCAACTACTCAGAAAGATAGCCTACAATACCCAACAAATTCAATATGTGCATTGCTTTTTTCTCTACCGCTCATCCCCAGTATCGCCTCATCATCTGCAACAACCGAGATGTATGTCTTTCCTACCTAGACTAACGCCTCTGATCGCCAATACTGACCGCATCACAGGAATTCCTCCACCGACCAACCTCCCGCGCAGACTGGTGGCCATCTCCCCACTCCCACGTCCTCAGCGCCCGGGACCTTGTGCGCCCCATCCACCCCACCTGGATGGGAATCACCAAACAAGGCCGCATCGCCGTGCTAACCAACTACCACGAAGAGTCGTGCGCCAAAGCCGTCGGCAGATACAGCCGCGGCGAGGTCGTCAACCGCTGGCTCGCATCGCCGCTGGAGAGCTCGCAAACCACCCAAGAGTTCGTAACCCAATGGACCGCCAACGGGGAGATAGCCAACATTGGTGGCTTCAACCTCGTTTGCGGGAATGTCATGGAGCCGCTGGCGATCATGGCCAGCCGGGTGTCGGAGACGGAACCCATATTCTGGATCGCGGACAAACCGGGCCAGACGGTCGGGTTGAGCAATACAGACTACGATGATCGGTCCTGGCCTAAGGTTGTCAAGGGCGAAGAGGCCGTAGTTGATGCGATTGCGGCGCATGTGCAGAACCAGGAGAGTGAGGACGCTCTGGTTGAGAGGTTGTTGGATGTGCTTAGTGCGGATACGCTTCCCCGGCTGGATGGTGGTGCTGGGGTGCAGGAGTACATTCCTCATCTTCCGCATAGTGTTTTCATTCCGCCTATCGGTCGTGATAAGGAGGCGCAGGTTGATGAGGTAGGGTCGCAGGATAAGAGGGAGGAGAGTCCAGTCCTGCCTTCTACTCCCGAGGGGACCCCCAATCATGCGTATCTAGAGGGGTTGTATGCGACGCAGAAGCAGACGGTTGTTTTGGTGGGATTCGATGGACGAGTCCGGTATTTTGAGCGCACATTGTACGATGATGACGCTCAACCGGTGTCTACGGAGAATCGCGATCGGTCGTTTGAATTCATGATTGAGAAGTAGACGGGACGGGAATACGGGGGTTATTGATTTTCGTGCTGGTTTCGTCCTCCCTTGTACAGTTAAGAGTGTATTATGGCGTTTCGATGGGATGGTTTTCGGGTCATGTATGTACATAGGTAATTTAATGACAGATCTAACGACGCACTCTACCCTGTCTCAGTATGGTCGTACTGGTAGTATTGGTTCTCGGAAGGTCGACGAACCGCGACGCTTCGGTTGCCCACGTGAGTCGAATCAGGCCGTTCGTCACGTTGTGGATTCCGGGAGTCTTCGTCGGCATCCCGATCCCTTACTGCCTAAGGTTCAAGTCGCATGTTGTGTGGGTTCATTGTGGAGCCTTGATAATATCAATTGATTGATACCGAGCTATAGGATCTTACATACAACCCAGGACTATCGTTGTCCGTCTGATATCCTCGTGAGTGTCGAGTTGGCCCCCTTATTTGCCCGTACTATAGCGCCACTGATGCTCACTAGTAGTACTTTCGTCGCACACAATCTTCCGTCCCAAGAGGAAGGATCAGTGCCCAGAATCTTGAAAATTCCAAAATGCGTACCCAACTACCTTGGTAAGACAGGGGGTTCGGAAATCCCCGATCTACTCCCACGGTGCCACGGTATTCCTGATCCCCTTGGTCATGTTGTTTTCCTTTTTCTTGTTTCAGTGTGGCAAACATTTCCTGTAAACGCTTATCCATTCACTTGTCCCACGTCTGTGCCATTTCCCGCGTACCACATCGGACCATATCGGCCTGTCAGAACAAAGGGAAGAAACACTATCATCAGGCCATCACGGGACAAGTCATTATGCGGATAATGACAGGTTCTCCCCTGCACGCCATCGGAGATAAAACCTGATATGCTGCTGCCTTCATGGATCGGTTGTCAAATTTGTCTCACTTTTAAATCTACCAACATTAGCATTTCATCCTGTGCTCAGTTCACACCATGACCAACTCTATATTAGATACTAGTTACTCCTCAAGGCGCAAGCCCCACCGCATCGGTATCCTGACATCAGGAGGCGATGCACCTGGGATGAATGGAGCGATTCGCGCCGTCGTTCGCACAGCGATCCAGAACGGCTGCGAAGCGTGGGCCATCCATGAAGGCTATGAGGGGCTCATTCAAGGTGGTGCGATGATGCATCCTCTCCATTGGGAAGATGTTCGAGGCTTTCTGTCGCGTGGTGGGACACTCATCGGCTCCGTACGTTGTGACCGTTTTCGCGAACGTGAAGGCCGTCTCCAAGCTGCCAGAAACATGGTCCTCTTTGGCATCGACGCCCTCGTAGTCTGTGGCGGAGATGGAAGCTTGACCGGTGCAGACCTTTTCCGATCTGAATGGCCTGAGCTGCTCAATGAGTTGGTATCCACTGGTATTTTGACAGTGGCTCAGGTCGCACCTCATCAAAATCTGAACATCGTTGGACTGCTCGGCTCGATCGACAATGACTTTTCTGGCACGGATGCCACCATTGGGTGTTATTCTGCGTTGACTCGGATTTGTGAGGCGATTGATGCGGTGTTCGATACGGCATCTTCCCATCGTAGGGGGTTCGTCGTTGAAGTCATGGGCCGGCACTGTGGCTGGTTGGCATTGATGGCTGCCATCGCCACTGGAGCGGATTGGTTGTTTATCCCAGAAAGGCCCCCGCGTGATGGCTGGGAGGATGATATGTGCTCGATTATCACCAAGGTACTATCTCTTGTTTGCTTTCTCGTGCCACACCTACCGAGAACAGGCATAATAAACTGACACAATATTACTAGAACCGCAATCGTGGCAAACGTCGCACCATTGTTATCCTAGCAGAGGGGGCCCAGGACAGCAACTTGGATCGTATTTCGTCGTCCGCCGTTAAAGAAGTTCTGAGCAAGCGCTTAGGACTCGATACCAGGGTTACTGTTTTGGGCCATATCCAACGGGGCGGATCTCCATGTGCCTACGATCGCTGGCTGTCAACGCTACAAGGCATCCACGCCGTCAATGCGGTGCTGTCTATGACCCCTGACACGCCTTCTCCGGTAGTCATCATCCGGGAGAACCGAATCAAGACCTCCTCGCTGGCTGAAACCGTTGCTCTCACGAAAGAGGCCAACGCTAGTATGCATGCCAAAGAGTTTGAGAAAGCAGCGATCCTTCGGGATCCCGAATTCTTGGAATATTACAGCGCTTACCGCCACTTGAACACGACTGATCATCCCAAGATGCTCTTGCCCGAAGACAAGGTATGTGGCTAGATTGTATGGTACAGGAATTAGGTCTAATGTGTATAATAGCGGATGCGAGTTGCGATCGTTCATGTTGGCGCCCCAGCTGCAGGAATGAATCCAGCAACCCGCGCAGTAGTTGCCTATTGTCTGTCTAGAGGACATACCCCGATCGCCATTCACAACGGCTTCCCTGGCCTTTGCCGGCACCATGCGGACACGCCTGGGTCTGTGCGCCCAATGCACTGGCTGGAATCGGGTGATTGGGTCAACGATGGAGGATCAGATATCGGTACGAATTCGGGGCTACCTTTGGACGATATGGAAACCACGGCTCAGTGTTTTGAACGATATAAGTTTGACGCACTCTTCGTCATTGGAGGCTTTGAGGCATTCACGGCCGTCAGTCAACTACGCAAGGCGCGTGAGCAATATCCCGCTTTCCGAATTCCCCTCGTTCTTCTACCCTCAAGCATGTCCAATAATGTCCCTGGCACGGAATACTCGCTCGGAAGCGATACTAGCCTGAACACTCTTGTTTATTTCTGCGATGTCGTCCGTCAATCCGCATCCTCCTCCGGTCACAGCGTGTTTGTGGTTGAAGCTCAAGGAGCCGAGTATCAGGCGACGGCTGCTGCGCTGGCTGCAGGGGCCATGACTGTATATACACCCGACCGAGGCATCAGCCTTCAGAGTCTCTCCGGTGACATCGAGTATCTGCGCCAACAGTTCTCACAAGACCACGGCGCCAATCGTTCCGGCAAGCTGATCATCCGCAACGACCAGACGTCCACCATCTACAGCACGACAGAGATCGCAAATATCATCAAACACGAGGCCAAGAATCGCTTTGATGCGCAGGGTGTGGTGCCAGGACACTTCCAACAAGGCGGAAAGGTCTCCCCCATTGATCGAATCCGCGCATTTCGGTTGGCCGTCAAGTGCATGGAACATCTGGAGACTTTCGCTGGCCGGTCGCCAGATGAGATCATGGGTGACGAGAACTCGGCTACGGTTATCAGCATCAAGCAATCCCATATCCTTCTGCTGCCGATGGGAGGTCCCGCTGGGGTCGAAGCCACAGACACCGATTGGGAGCGACAGCGGCCGAAGACCCAGAACTGGTTAGAGATTCAAGAAGCCGTGGATTCCTTGTCGGGACGGTCTTCCATACGTGTCATTCCGAATTGAAGCGAGCATACCATACAAAATGCCCTTTTTCTTCTCCCGTCTAAGTAATTTCTACGAAGAAGATCCCATAATACAAAGCAGGGTTTATCGATACACGCTTTCTCAATTCTTGCTATTAACTCGAATGAATCAAATTTATTGAACAAATTCAAATCAATGCACTACTCAAGCAAGCAATCATGACCAAGAAGTCACCTATAATCAACATCAAAAACACCAGATAAAACAATAGGACACAAACCCATCCCAAAACACCAAAAACTACCGGGCAGAAAAACATATCCTCATAAATCATAACCCAAGACAATCTCAATCTTAAATCCAACCTGAAACCTCCTCCCTCAACCCCCTCGACCTCGCCTTCCTCTTCCTCCCCTCAACGCACCTCATCTCCCCCACCTCCTCGGCGTTCCCTTTCCGAACACCCGGAGCCCCAGACCCAGAAGAAGAAAGCGATGTTGATGACGATGATGATGAAGCCATACGATTCCTCCACCTCTCGGCCCTCTCCTTCCTCTCTGTCCTTAACGTTTCCACCCCCCGCACCAAATTCTGATACATCTTATCCCCCACCGCGCGGTTCACGGATGCATACCCGACCACATGCCGCAGGTCGGGCTCCGGGCGCGCGGACTCCTGCTTGATTTTTGAGAGTGAGAGCTTGCTTAGTCGGTACTCGAGGGATTCATGGGAGTTTGTTGCGTAGGTTAGGGTGCGTTGTTGTTGCTGGCGGCGGAGGGGCTGCGTCAGGGGTTGAGTGTTTAGGGCCCGGGTTAGGTTTTTTGTGAAGCTCATTTCTTTTTCCTTTATTTCTTTTGGGTGTGTATGTTTTGTGTAGTTATGGTTGTATGTGGTTGTAGATGTAAATGTGGAGGTAGCAATGGTTGTGGTTGTAGATGTAGTTGTAGAAATGTTTGTGGTTGTTTACAGTCGTAACTGTAAACGTAGTTGAAAGGTGTATATAGTTGTTAGGACAACTGTAGATATAAAACACACCCGACCAATAAGTCGTAAATAGCGATAGATAGATAGATAGATGGATGGATGGATGGATAAAATAGCCGTAGACAAAGCTCAGTATACTAGTAACAAACAATAACTAAACATCCCTCCCCTGGCCCCCCTTATGAAGCACCAGACAACCCTCCTCTCCCTTCCCCATCATTCCCAACGATGACTCGACTCGAAAATCAGACGAAAAGGCAACGGCGGTAGGAAAGCGATCATCCGGCGTGGCGATCGCGGTCCTGTGACTCCCGATCAGGCCACCAAGCCCTAAATCAGGCGGTGTCAGAGCCAATCACGCGTCGATCGCCGGGTGGATCGTATGTTTTATGATGTAAAGTTACTAAAGTTCCCGTTGATCGTTAACTATTTTACTTTACTGAATTATGGATTTGGTTGACCGGAGGAGGATCCTCCGTGTTTTTTACCTCATTGTACATATTTGTCTACATATTTTAGGGTTGGATGTGAGGGGTTTTTCTTTCTGTTTTTTGTGGCGGACTCATTACTGTGTGTGGTAGGCATTGGATTCCAGAGCTTAGGTGTGCATTTAGTATGAATGTATGAATGTATGATGTATGTAGTTGTTGTAGTAGTCTACTTGTGTACAATCCAGCTAGGTCTCTATCTAATCAATCCTCCGTAATATATTTCCATATCCTTCAACAACGAAAAAACAGGAATATTCAGCTCCACAACAATGAATGAAGTGAACATCGTTGGGCCAATTGCAGCCATCGTATTACCGTGACTTTGCTGGGATCATATCGCCTTATGTGGGTTTGGTGAGATGGTTGGTTTCGGAATCAGTCCTGAATGGAAGGGAATGTGAAACGGGAGGGATACTATACCCCGCTTTATCAGTTGTTTCCTATCTTTTGGGGCCGAGTTAGAGTTAAAGTTAGGTCGTTGGGAGGGGAAGTGTTGAATTAGGGTTAAGTCGACTAGTCCGGCGGTGATTGCTTCATTGGTTACCTGTACATAGATAGCTCTCGTAGGATAGGGTGTAGGTGTAGTAGGTGTGGAAAGTGGGATGAAGGGGATACACGTCATGGTACTCTATCTTTCTTGTCTGTAGTTTTCAATCGAGCGGTTGCATGTCGTATACATATCAATTGAGATACATGAGGTCCCGATGGCCCGACATCGGTACTGAATATATATGTAGTGCTCTCTGAGACAAGATGGGATAATTTGAGCCTTGGGGAGTCTATACCCACGATATACATGGCTGACCTAGGCTCATCGTAGCCCAACCACCTCCCGGCAACTCACATACGTGGAAATGACATCGGAGTACGACGATGTGCGGAGAGCTACGCCGGATCTATCGGAGGAAGGGCCGAGATCTTGTCAGGGATGAAGAGAGAACGGTAGGCCATAGGTGACGATCTTATCTCCCAGGGCTAGTCAGCGCTTGGGGCTTCGACCTCTTGGTGTCGTGATGACACTGGCTATCTCGACGACGCAAGAAGACAAAGCCGACATTATTATACGAAACTGGTTAGAGAGACGTTGCGAGGGTAGTGGCAGGTGAGGGACACAACGTCTTATGCTCCCTCCCTGGTGTGAGGCTATGAGGCTGCATGTACTCTGAACCGGATCGATGGTGGCTGGATAAGGCAGGAGTGATGGTCATGATCCCAAACCCATTTGCTAAAAAGTAACGTCTATCCTGGTCGTGGTCAGTGCCTTCCTCCAGCTTGGGACCTCCTGTCATTGGTTAACCTCAAAGTCAGTGCAGGCAATACTCGGCCGATGAACTCAACCCTGGTGAGATACTGCCGGTGTGTCACGTTGAGATTGAATCCCTCTGTTTTGCTCCAGGCCTTTGTTCTGCACCCTGCCTAAGCTGGCAGGTTACGTCGCATTGTCAATCCTCCACTGACGGAGCCGCGATGGTGGTACAGCATATCGGTGTGAAACGTCAGACATTCTGCCGACGTGCGACCATTGCTCGAACGGAGGACTGAGCTCAGAGCAATGGGCGGTGGTGTTTACGATTAGGTGATCTATCAAGGCAAGCCAGATACCTGCCTGGGTACCGATCAACCTGGATCTAGACTTTCTCTCGCTTTTTACCCTTCGCGATGTAGAAAAAAAGGACGAAAGACCTCGCACGCTCGAAGCGAACCACAGCAATGGATCCGGCGCAGTTTGAAATTCAATCTAAGATGCGTTTCTCCAGGTAGTCAATCCTCGACGGACTGTGTGGCCCCTGCTATTTTTATCCAATGGTGGAGGCGAATCTACCGCTGCAAAAATCATCGTAAGGCTCGCTTCGATCTCTAAATGAATGGACGGACGTCCAAGTCGGCTTTTTTTTTTTTTTGCTTTTCTCTGAAGATTACTATCTTTCTCTCGTTGGTCTATCCTATCCCCAATGACCTGGGGTTGGTGTTGCGTGGCCTGGGGATCCTATCGGTCTATGGAAGACTAGGGACTAAGGTGATATGTGTCAGCCTCGCCTCTACATAACGGAGATACTTAGGCAGCTTCAGTTACCTCTGGCTCGGGTATACCTGTCCTCGCCTTCCTACCCTCACTGCCACTGAGCCTTCTGCCTGAACTATTGGCCCCCAGATTGCCTTCGCTTCGTGATCGTTCCATGCCCTACGAAGGCCATCTTAACCATGTCATCGTGAGTACCTCCCAATAACCAGCCGCTGCTCATCAGATAAGCTGACACCTTATAGTACCCGTACCATCTCTAAGAGGCCACCTAAGCTTCGAGCTGCCTGCAATGAGTGTCATGCCGCTAAGGTAAGCGGGGATTCTCACATATAATTGCACAGAAACATGAGATATAACTCTTGCTTGTAGGTTCGCTGTTCCGGAGAGAAAACCGGATGTCAGCGCTGCGCTAATCTTGGACTGGACTGTATCTTCTCGATCTCTAGGATTGGGAAGGTGCCTGGAAAACGAAGCAAAGCCAACCGCGCTGCAGCGGCTGCTGCTGCTGCTGCCGCCGCCACCGCCGTTACCGCTCCCCCATCTTCCTCGACAGCCACTTCGCTCACGGTGCCCTCGCACTTAGAACCTTCGAATGAGACGGTTCTTACATTTCAGTCATTTCCACACCCGCTCAGGGATCAAGGTGGGTCGGCGATGACCTCTTCGGTACGCCATGCTCCTTCCAGCTTCGCTGCGGATTCAATGATCGCCCCGATAATGGTGCATGAATATTCGGGTAACATACCGTTTTACGCTGGGGACAGCTGTGCTCCGGAGACCCTTTCGCTACCTGACACGGTACCGACTTCATCGAATCATATTTCCCACCAGCTGGGCCCCAATCTTGATCTGGGACTTTCAGAACCCGGCAACTTCTGCTGGACCTCGGATTTGGAGCCTCTCAGCGCCAACAGCCTTCCCACCCCGGGGCTGGAAATATCGGCGAGTAGAGGCCCCCTAAGCCTCGATCGTCGACTAAGCCACGACTGGGAGATGGAGACAAACGTGGCCAACGGCAGCCGCGACAACAGTCGATCTTGTACGACCTCAATCCGGCAACCCGCAACTCCACCGGAGTACCTAGCCGATGAAGGCATATACCCAGTCAGCGCCCTTGGAAACTTAGGACCAGAAACAAGCTTCGCGGTATACCTACAACTCCTACACAGTATTGAACAGACACTCGTCATGGGCCGCCAGTGCACCAAGGAGAACCCTACACTCGATGCCGTACTGGCCGCCAACCAGCAATACCTGACCACCCTTCTGCAGCTGACCGAGAGCCTCAATTTCGACCAAATGTACGACGGTCATCTGCTTTTCACCGTTGCGCTAAGCAAAATCATCACCTTGTTTAGCTTCGGATACCGCGACTTCACCTTGCTATCAGAAGCCCATCAATCTATGGGCTGCGCAGAGCGTCTAATCCGCTTCGGCGTATTTGAGATCGGCTTCGTTGAACAAAAGGATATATGCCGCGGTATCTTTCTCAGAGAACTGAAGCGCGCACGATTGTGCCTATCCCGACTTATGGACGTGCTGTGTCGGGAGAAATTCCCATTTGCGAGCGGACGGCACGAACGATTGTGCGAGGAAATGAAACAGCATTTGGATCAGTTAACGACTGCATTGGAAGCAAGCGAGACATAAATTTTTTTTTTCCAATTCTTTTCACTTCACTTAGCCTAGTTTCTTGAGTAATGACGCTTTATAATGACCCGAAGATTGCGAACATTTGTCCACCAGTCTAGCTGGTTCAAAAGTTCTAACTGAGTATACCCTGGGAGAAATTTGGGTTTATATAGGCAGAATTGAGGATACATGTCTCCACTTATGCTTTTAATTGTCGTTGCTTTCTTCTTGGCCCATCCTAGCTTAGGATGAATTGAATATCTAGATACTATCCCGTAAGCCTGTCTATACTGTTGTCTTCTAACTTCTCCCTACCTGATTCAACCATTATAGTGTAATGTGCTGAAGATTCCTAAACATACGGTTAACATTCAGCATCTTGTGCTTTCGCCAATCAATCCAAGACATCTTACACTGTAAATCATATTCGGCCTCCGAAAAACGGAGCCGTATACTTGGGTTCCTTGGGAAAATATGTGCTCTCAGGGCTAGCTCTTCCGTGATTATGTACGTGAAACTTCGACGAGTCTACCCGGGATCAATGCTATGGGTCCGAGAGAACAGGAGTCGCTCTATCGTGATTAGACTTCAGCGGAAGCGGTTTCTGGGGTTTATCATGCGACAAATGTTGATCTGTTCGTAGTCAAGCGAATACAGAGCATTCCCACCGATACGGTCGATATTGTATAATTGCAAGGTGTTATCTAGCCCTTTGTTTCGTTTATTGAGGCGCCGTGGGAATGCTGTCATGTTGCTGCGCATGAGATCATGGATGATAGGTGTATATATTCAGGGATGGCTCGGGAGTCCGAGGTGGGTATTTGGAAGATGTTTGTAGTGAAGCTGTGAGTAATGATGTTGAATGGATGATGTTCATGCTTAATACATGGTTCAAACAAGTTGGGTTCATCCTTGTTGGGGGAATGTTCCAGTTCGGAGTCATGCATGTGACATGTATGTCTCTCATTCTAAGCAATATTGTTCTATCTTTTCTACCTTCACATAACCCCGGGCTCGTGTAAGTCCCTAGCTTGATAATAGAACACAGGAGCTAGAAATTCCGCATCTGTTGTATCGGTATGTTTATATTCTGCCCCCGGCTCTACATCTTTAACCAGGTTAGAAATCCGATTACTTTCTAGAATCAAAATGAACCGCAAATTATATTCATGATATAGCTAACATTCACAGGTCTTGTCAAAACAGCCATAGTACACAATCGCAGCTCATATATAAATTAGGTATTAATAGACCGGTCAGGATCGTATTATCTCGGACGCGCTGCTGATGAGACCAGCAGCTGCCACATGGGTATCAAACAGAAGGGATGGGTGTTTTCCAATATATGCTCTGGAGCTGACTCGGTCAGAACATTATTACAGAGTTCAAATGAGTGACTTTAGTAGTAGATCTTCTCCTCATAGATGGGTGGAACGCCCTTGTCCATGTCCCAGTGAATCTTGTTCTTCTCGTCCAGCCATGCATCCTCGTCCGTGATAGGGATCACTCGCGCAGTATGCTTGATTTCCTGCTTGCTCACTCCCAATTCGTCCCGAGGGATCCACAGGAGAGGCGGCTGGGAAGTAATGGAAGGGTGGAAATACGCGTCACGTTCAACTTCTGGGGCATAACTGGTCGCGGAGTAGGCGTTGGGGACAAGACGTCGCAGCTGGGCGTAGCTACTGTACTTATCTGGGCGCAAATACTTGGTCAAGAAATTTCCCTCCGGCTCCGGAACGGGTCTAGTCAGGCCCTTCTCGGCCGAGTCAACGTTGGTCATACCATTGTCGACGCCCTCCTTTCCAGCTCCACTGGCGCCGGCACCATCGGATTGCTCGCCGGCAGATAAACCAAGTTCTCCCTTCTCATGGGAAAGAAGGGCCTCTTCCTCAGCTTCCAGATTCTTAGGGAGGTAGTTGATGAGAGGATCCAGCGCTTGGTTGAGAGAAACGTGATAAATGACCATGAACACTAGGAAGATAATCATGAGGATGAGAGGGCCAAGGGCTATCCGACGAGCGCCCGTTGCAATGGCGAAGAGACCGATGAGGCAGACGTTGAGCAAGTAGCAGCCAACGGTGATATGCTGCAAGGCCCGCACATAGCACTTGCCCTGGGTGTCAATATCTGCATTAGACACATATAACATATTGTACCGATAAGCGAAGTAGAACAGGTAGAGACCGATGGTGGCGAACCCGAGCACCAATGGGGCAATACACGAGTAGGTGATGGCTATTCGTCAAGAGATGCAATTAGTCCCTTTCCATACCAGGGGCACGGTCAGATTAGAGTGCTTACCGATGACTACCAGGAAGGTAAACGCGGGATATACGGTTCCCCAGCCCAGACCAGAAAGCGAGGACCAGCGATTATACATCTTGCGAGGAGTGTTATCCAATAGCGTCCCAAGGACCTTGCCCAGAATCAGACCGGAAATCTGAAGAAGCGCACCAGCGCTGAAGGACAGTCCCTGCAAGATGATGTAGGAGATATAGAAATTGGAAGCTTGAGGGATCTTTTGAGCCAGGAGCTGCGCAGCAGATGTAGGGTTGTTGATGATGTCGGAAACTACACTAGAAGCGGACGACGCAATGGTGACAACCAAGAATACCTGGACGACTTGGAATGCGAAGTAGAAGTTCTGGGTGGTCAACTCAACAGCCGCAGCGCTCGGAGCACCGCCAAGCTTGGCCATCACTAACAAATCAATGAGCGAAGTCCAGTAGCAAATACTACGCAGGGAGAACTCACGTCTGAGGATGATCGGCAGTAACGCCATCAGCACGGACATTAGAATGGTAGGGAGAAGACCGGTGATAACACCTCTGATCCAACTTGGGACATGGTTGATAAACCTAAGGAAAGGAACTTTTTCGGTCAAGAAGGTAATGTTCGAGATGGAACCCACCACGGCTGTGGGGATGGCCCAAAACACGACCAGAGCAACAACGAAGGCGACAGTTCCAAAGTAACGAATGACGCGCTCCCACCACCGAATGCGGAGATTGGACCAGATAACCTGGGTAGGCTCCAGCCCAATATAGCGCGGTGCCATATGCAGAGGTAAATTGTGGGCCACTGTAATCATACGTTAGGCTCAAGACCTTGTGAAGCAGTGAAGTTAAAAGAGGGCCATGGGGAAATGTACCGGACTGGAATGCAGACTGAGCATCTGGCTGATGATAAAACTCGACAAAGACGGACGAAACTAACTTCGCATCACCAGCACGATGCTTGGCCTGAAGCTCTTCGATCTCGGGGGTCAGGCGCTCGATTTCTGATCTGGCCCAATTGATCGTATCAACCTTCTTTCCAATGAGCATCTTGAGCCTGTGCGTGGGCCTCTCCGACGGTTTGACCCAGCGAGCTGCAACTGAGCCCGATTCGTCACTAGGTTCTTCACTGGGTGTAAGTGGGCCGTCTTCAACGTTGCCCTGCTTCTTCATAGCCTTGAGGCGTGCACCATTTGCGAGAGTAATGAGCTTTGTTTCCGCCGCTTCGAGCTTCATGGCGGCATCATCCCGTTCCTTGACTTTCTCCTCCAATTTAGAAGTATCGGTAGCAATCCAGACATTCTTCACCTTGTCGACACCAAACATTTTGCGAATCTTGTCGCGGCTGAGATAGTCCTGAGTGACCGCAGTGAACAGAACGGTCCGGGACGAAAGTCGGCTGGCGTAGGCAGGGGAAAGGGCGTAGGCCTGGCGCAAATTAATGTAGAAGATGCTTTCGCGTGTAACGGTGTACATGACAAAACCTGTACGAAGCGACACGTAAGACCAGAGGAAGGTAAATACCCAGAAATTTTCACCAGTTCTTACCAAGGAAGAGCCATGCAACAAAAGCATGGGCGAAGTAACGCGCGTACTTGCTTTCTTCGATGTTGGACATGCTCAGGATGTTCAATTGCTGATTGTTCCCACCACCAGTTGCATTGATCGGGAACAAGATCGGGAATGTAATGAGCGCACCCACCAGGCAGATCATGGAAACCATTTTGAGGAAGCGAAGTAGAAGGTAGGCGTCCATTGAATGATGTTGCAGGACATACTCATCGGGTAACTTGTACATGTCCATGATCCATCCCCATGGAGTAGTTGACGAGGGAGGGGTGCGCTCCCAGGGCTGCAAGACTCCCAGGTACGTCCGTGGCATATACATCCGGCGCTCACTGCGTCGAAGGATTAAGAAGATCAAGACCATCACTGCGGCTGACACCAATGCGGGAACGAGAGTGGTGACGAGCGCCGATGCCGTGGGCGGCGTTTTACTGGGGTCATCACTATCCTGCGATCTGTCAGATACGCTCTCCTCAAGCTCCCAGATCAAACGAGGTATAATCAATCGTTGAGTAATTGCAACTCACATCACGACGGATGAGGTGATGAAGGCCCCTCAGGCCAACATCGTACATCGCCATTGCGGGCGCGTGTAAATTTTCTGCTTTCTGGCGCTATCTTCGTCCAAGCGCTCTTTAAATCGATGTTTGTTACACGGGTATAGTACTTTGGAAGGTGTGATTCCGAAACCGCTGCGGGCAAAATCCGCAATCAGGTCAGGAAACCAGATTGTACGGATGTGAATCGGTTTCGAAGGGAGGCTTCAAGAAATAAAAATAGAAATAAAATATGAGAAAAGGAGTGGAAAGATCGAGATAAAGATACGCGAAAAGAAAAGGAAAATAAAAAAAAAAAGGAAGAGTGCAATGGGTCAACCACAGTCCAGCTGAAGAAGGAGAGGTTAGAAAAGAATGATACAAGAGGACCCAGGGAACCAAACCCAAGCTTCAGGGAGGGGCTGAACAGTTGTTTTTCCCTTTTTTTTTTTTGGTGATCCTTCGTCAAGAAAAGTGAAAGTTAAAAGTAAAGGCACATACTGATTGGCCAGCCAGGAATGAGAGAGTGTGGAAAGGGGACACAAACATTTACGTAGCTGCCCCGAGCTGAAAATGCTTTTTGTGCCTATGGAAGTCGTGGAACCATGCGAGCCAGTCAGCACCTGAACCCGCGAGGAGTGAAACATGGATCTGAGATGCGATCGCGGGAACAGAAATCAACGACTTCAAGAAAACCCGATCAGCTTGAATTTAGCTTTTTCTCTGGTCCAACTCATAGCGCTAAATTAAAATTTAAATAATTGAAGGAGCTAAAAAATCTTTTGTGGATTATTCCGTCCGATTTGTCGACGCCGTAACAAAACTGTACAGTCATGAGTTTTCTCCTCGTTTAACATGACACCAGGACCATAAGGAATTAAGTAATTCAGTTCTATTCAATTTGTGGTGGAGGTCTAGATTGATCCTTATTCTATATTAGTTAGATAGTAGTCCATGCATAATACTCTTAGCATCCGGACAATCAAGGAATAATGCCACCATCGGAAACAAATTTCGAACGGAAGATAAGGAAAAGTTAAGACTGAACTAGACTTCTTTAGGGTCACGAAGTGGATGAGTTGGCTCAATAGATCGCTTTTAGCGTGAAAGGAAAAAAGAAAGTACTCCCTTGTAATGATTCCTTACCAGTGGAAGTATTCAGAATTGTGGCAACCCCCCATGACTCGAGTATTCCCAGGTACCATGCATCACTCCGAAGTACATCCATGGGTACCACTACCACAGTAGGACTTGCCTTACGTACCCATCGTACCCTGTACCTTGGGTTGGTACCCGTTCCTGTACCATACGTACGTCATACGTACTGGTACTCCAGCACAACTACTAGTAGTCTACTCTGTATGTAGTAGCACTGATGCTGCTGTACCACATGTTACTGTAAATTAAGCACCTGCAGTACGAGACCTGTGGAACAAAACCCATAGATAGACCCGTTTTACGGGGTAGATTCTTCAACCGTGTTACCCCTTCTTGACTTGGGATCTATTTCCGAAACAACTTGCTAAAGCCACGAGCACAACATACTATTTCATCGGGTTATATCGTGCATTTTTGTCTACTCCATACACCGTTAAAAGATCCACGGAAATGTGGCTTGTGACTCTTGTCCTTCAGCTAAACCTTTGCCACTGACCTCAGCTACGCAAACCCAATCAGACCAGTTACACGCAGATCGGCAATCTTCCCGTGTCCTTAGCACCAGCCACAATTTCAACCCCAAGGAGAATGAAGTCATGGGATCCTTCCTTTCCCGACCGAATATCCCCGTCCTACGAAATTACCTACGACTTACAACTGTCAATACAAACATCCAAACTATCTAATCGGAGATCCGAGTCCTCCAGGCCACGGCCAAGATAAGAACTCACCCTCCAAACCCTAATACTTATAATCCATTCCTCGCACTTTTCTCTCCTAGCGCGAACCGATGAGTACAAAAAGTCCCTTCGGCAACGATAGCGCTCCACACGCACCATGGGTCCACGCTGCTACCCATGACGCTTACACGTTCCTGTGACTTATCGTTGCTCCACTGCTGTATCGCTCGTATGGGCTGATTTTGGCCCACTTTATCCGGCACCGATCGCTCAAGCCACACATAATCAGTCTTCGCCATATTTTTAAGAGCTGCATATGGAACGTCATCTGCTCCCAGCCACTTTGTAGGTCAGGTCAATCATTGTGATATCATGTTGGGTGCCGATCTTGGAAGGTTCCTGGTTATGGCTGCAGGAGCAGATGGTTTCATGGTAGGTAGGTTATGGTTGTTTGCCTTGGTGACTGAAGAGGTAGGTGGTTGGTTTCCTTCTGGAAATGGTAGGAGATTGGGTTGCTACTAGAGGTGTACTTGGTTTGTGGGTTTGTCTGCAGGGTAATGGGGGACGATGGGGGAGGTGGATTACCAGGCAACTTTAATCCCAGAGACGGCTTGGGGGAGGGGGGCGGTAAACTGGAACATACTTTATAGGGATAGCAGAGAGGATTGGAAAGGTCTGCGTAAGTTCTAATTAAGACATCGAATAGTAATTATATAGACGCTGGATTTTCTACCTAATCGAAGATATATCTCTCCTGTGCCTAGAAATGGAAGAACCTTTGCTGCTTATATCCCTGCTTGCTTGGATACGCTCATCTTGTAGGATTGTGGCTTTGTTAGGACAATTGTTTTTGTATATATTTGGCATCTTGACTGCTCGCCGTACCCCTCCATACATGATACCCCGGAGCTGTTGCTTGTGGAATATTGACGAGGATAGCTGTATATGAGAACTCACTATTGTTTCTACTATCGCAAGATGAAGCCTAAGCCCTGCTGACTCTATTTCGGTATGTGTAAGTGATACATATCCCATGTTTATTAGGTATAGGGTAATTGCGGTAGCAAGAATGGGTGACAACTGAGCACCTGCTCTTTTATCTGTGGTAGTATATACAAGAACATGAAGTACAACCCAAGGAGTCAAAAATCGGACAAAATGGGCACACGGCTGCCTGCAAACCGTTGAAGGGGTTGTCGCCATCTGAAACAATGTGGCGAGCGTACATTTATATGTACATGGAGAAATCAGTGACCCAGTTTTCGAGGAGCTCAGGCTTCTTCCTGTATCTCTGGCATAGAACTTTGCAACTCTTTCTCGAACCAATCAATCCCCCGCACTGGTGGTGCTAGCATCAGAAGGCTGAACATAATCTCACTGAACTGGAACTGGAGGTCTACCGGGAGCTGCTTGTACATTTTCAACAGCTCAACTGTAGACCAGCTTCTTTCGGGTTCCTGTAGATCTGCTTCATATCCTTCTAGTAGAAGCAGCCATATGAATGACTCGCATGCGGGATACCTGTCCAAATCATGGTCTCTCACCAACGTGTGTAGATAATCGAGAAATCGGCTAGTTTTGCTGGGGGATCCCTGGAAATCCCAGAGGGCCACTGTGATGTAGATCAAAGCCGCAGTCCGAGTGATCTCCTGGGTTGGCGCATGCTTCGTTATGATATATATGCGAGAAGCGTGCGGGACTTGAGAAGGACGGGGTCCGCTGGAAAGTAAAGAAAACAAAGGGCTGTCCATTTGAAAGGCAGTGCGGCGTTGGGGAACGGACGACAAATACTTATCGGTACTGTGCTCAAGCATCAATTCTTCTGCGCCTCGAAGGAATGTGACCAGCCATTGCTGGCCACCTTCGGGAACTGTGGAATGGGGCGGCATCATCATAAACTGCACATAATGCAACCATGCCTCGGGAATACGGTTAGACCCAACCCTTGAACGGAGGATCTGGACAGCCTGGTCCAAGGTTCCTCTAGCGTGTTGCTTGCTGCCGAATCTTTCTTCTTGTATCGCCAGGCCCGTCAAAGCCATGGCCAGACTATCCATGTCAATCTCCATAGTGCCGTTCATCACTTGTTCGATGCCTTTTTTGCTTAGCCCGGCATGCTTTTCAGCCTCGGGACTAAACTCTAGGTGGTACGCCTGCGCCTTCCAACGAGCACAATATGCAAGAACAACCGCTCGAAACGACAACGGATGGCTGAGGGCCGCTCGAAAGACTTGTTCTTTAATGGTGCTATTCTGGCCGGACCAGTATGCCAATCTATTTGTCCAAAAGTCCAGCAACACATAATCCTCTCTGCTGCATGGTATCGGTAAGGAGTCGAAAGGATCTTTCGGGGAGGCATCAAGTATAGTGACGGGAGAAATGGGGTGTGAAACAGATTCTGAAAACTGGTATCCGATTTGCATCTAGAAGGAACAAAAATCCCGTTGTGTTAGTAAAGCAATGATAGTAGAATTGCACCGCAAAGTCCCGTACCGTAGAGCCTCTTTTAGGTGCAGTCTCATTGGCAGATCTTTTGTATTCAATAATTTCGTTTTGGTCACCACTTAGAAATAGCTTCTTTTGCTGCCACGACAGATAGCGGAGAGGCCGATGGACCCTCTTATCGGTGTCGCTCCGAGGATGTGTATGTTTTAGTTGTTTTCGTTTCTCTTGTACGTGATGGCGCATAACATGGGCTCGTTTTTCTCGGGATGACGAGTTTGAGTCGACAAAATAAAAAATTTGGTTCTTAGACGAGGAGTCTTCGGAGGTGGGCAGGTGGTGCCTACGCCTTTTGGCCCTCACCGGATGTTCGGGGGCATTCTCGGGGGCTCCTGCTGAGAAATCAACATCAGCTCATGAGAAGAGGAAAAGAAGTGGGTTGAATGCGCCAACCTCGTTGTTCGGAGCCCGGGGAGGGGGAGGTGCCTTGCGACGCTGAGCTTGGATCGGAATGTGTCAAATTAACCAAAAGGGGATTGCCCACGGACATTGCGAACCGCCTCGTAGCAGTGAACTCGGGCCACTCTGAATAGACGAAACAAATGTCAAAGCTCCCTTAGAGGCGCATGTCGAGAGGGTTACCAGAATATCCTCATCGGATGAAGTAATTCGTCAGAAGAGATCATTGCAGGAGAAGAGGATGACGGCCGAGACCTAAGGAAATAAGTCATAGTCGTGCTTATCTACCACCGGCGCAGGATGACCCCGGCTTGCCCGTACGGGGTTCTTATTAGGGATGAGAGCAGCAAGCCAGTGGGGTCATTAAACAGGTAAAAGGTCTCGTTGGTTCAGCTCCGAAAGTATAACCAAACGGATTCCTCTACTTCATTGGCCCTGGAGAGCTTTGACCCCCTCAAAAAGCACGCTTCTAGCTTCCCCATTGGTAGGGGAATGGCAATATTTAGGAAGCCCTGGGCTGAGCCGCTGTCGGTAACTGGGTTGGAAAGGATCCGCTTGGTTGTGAGCCTGAGAACCTTTACCCTAACTCGGCTAGTCTAATGATGGTCATTCAGGATAGTCCTAATCGAGTAAGGGGATCGTACTTTTTTTGATGACATAAGCATCACCTCCCCGAGAGAAAACCACTTAACACGTCGGGCCCGCAATAATGTCTTCCCGACGCGTTTCGCGTGTCCACCGCGTCTCTTGACGGATTTTTGGCAGGGCAACTTGAATGCAATTATCCCAACCATCAACAACAACAATAATCCCCCCCCCCTCCCCCCAAGATTACCCACAACCAATACTTATCGTGTGAAGGGGGATAAAACAAAAAAGCGGACTACGCCTAGCTTGCTCGTTCGACCCAACTGTAAAGCGGCCTTGATCTGGCTGCCCTCCCGCCATGTCGTCCCTTTTCGACGCCGTTCTTCAATCCGAGTTGGACTCCAACGCCGGCTCTCGCGATCAGCGTCTTCATTCAGATCAACTTCCCAGCTCTCGCCCGCACCCACCTTCTGAAAGCAATGGCCCAATGAGTGATATGCATGCATTTCCCGACGACCAGGTCGTTGAATTAAATGCTTCGACCGTAAACCGACTCCGGAATCCATATGTGAAAGGGCCCCCACCTGTGATCGACGTGGCAGGCGAGAAAGTGCAGCAGGCGTTTGCAGAACTGCTTGAGACTTATATGGAGGAGCCCTCATGGTCTGAGCCGCCGCCTTCTTCGGAAATCCTCAGTGACAAATACTACATTGCTCAGATCAAGGGCATGCACAAATGGGAGCTTTCCACACTCTATGTGGACTTCACCCACTTGACGTCAATGGAGAACCCAGTCCTGGCAGACGCAATTGTAAATCAATACTACCGATTCCAACCGTTCTTAACGAGAGCGCTGCACAGTCTGATCTCAAAATATGAGCCCGATTATTATGCCCTCCATCGCAAACTTGACAATGTGCCTTCGGATGTCGGCACGTCTATGATGGCTGGCAATTCAAGTGGGAGCGTATCTGAAAAACATAAAATGGGTGAATTCATGCAGGAACGGACACGTCACCAGCAGACAGATAAATTATTCTCTCTCGCTTTCTATAACCTACCTCTTGTCTCCCGTTTGCGCCAACTTCGAACCTCACAGATTGGGAAACTGCTTTCGATCTCTGGCACTGTCACACGGACGTCAGAGATCCGGCCGGAGTTGTCCCTTGGTACTTTCATCTGCGAGAACTGCAAAACAGTTTGCCCCGATGTCGAGCAAACTTTCAAGTACACAGAGCCTTCGGAATGCCCTAACAGCACGTGCGGAAACCGCTCTGGTTGGCGCCTGGACATCGGCAAGAGCACGTTTGTCGATTGGCAGAAAGTCAAACTGCAAGAGTCCTCGCATGAGATTCCCACTGGTAGCATGCCCCGGACCATGGATGTCATTCTTCGCGGTGAAATGGTCGACCGTGCCAAGGCTGGTGAGCGGTGTATTTTCACCGGCACGTTGATCGTTGTCCCTGATGTTAGCCAGCTCGGACTGCCCGGTGTACGGCCGGAGGCGGTCCGTGATGACTCTGCATTCCGCAGTGGAGATGTGGGTGGAGGAGGACTCACGGGTCTCAAGGCGCTTGGTGCGAGGGATTTGACCTACCGTCTTGCTTTCCTCGCCTGCATGGTCACCCCAGACACTACAACCCCCGGCCAGCAATCGAACCAGCAGTTGAGTGGACAGTCTCATAACATTCTTGCTTCTCTAAACCAACTCACCGAGCCCGAAGCCAATGAGGACAAAGCGCAGGAGGCGTTTCTTCACACCTTAACCTCGTATGAGGTTGAGGACTTGAAAGGACTCGTTCATTCAGACTATATTTATTCCCGACTCGTGGACTCGATTGCTCCCATGATCTATGGCCATCGCCAGATCAAAAAGGGATTGCTCCTGCAACTGATTGGTGGAGTCAGCAAATCTACAGAGCAAGAAAATATGCAACTCCGTGGTGATCTCAACATCTGCATTGTCGGTGATCCTTCGACAAGCAAAAGTCAATTCTTGAAGTAGGTCTACGAACTTCTCACCCTTTCTAACGGGATAACTGACTGTATCATCAGGTACATTTGCTCTTTGCATCCTCGCGCCGTATATACAAGTGGAAAGGCCTCATCAGCAGCTGGTTTGACCGCTTCAGTTGTGAAGGATGCCGAGACCGGTGAATTTACGATTGAGGCCGGTGCCCTGATGCTTGCGGTATGCATATACCTGCTACTTCCCCTTTGGCTTGCTCCCAACATAACTGACTCTATTGTGATATATAGAATGGCGGTGGTATTTGTGCTATTGACGAATTTGACAAGATGGATATCAGCGACCAAGTTGCCATCCACGAAGCTATGGAACAACAAACGATCTCCATTGCAAAGGCAGGAATTCACACGACTCTCAATGCACGTGCATCTATCCTAGCCGCGGCGAACCCCATTGGTGGACGATACAATCCGAAAGCCACCCTACGAGCCAACCTCAACTTCAGTGCCCCCATTATGAGTAGATTCGATCTGTTCTTTGTTATTCGGGATGACCCCAACGAAGCCGTAGATCGCAATCTCGCTAACCACATCGTCAATGTGCATATGAACCGAGATGAAGCCGTTCAGCCAGAGCTCAGTACCGAGCAATTACAGCGCTATATTCGATTCGCTCGGACGTTCCGGCCAGTCTTCACTGACGAGGCTAAGGCTCTGTTAGTTGAGAAATACAAGGAGCTCCGTGCCAATGACTCCCAGGGCGGCGCCGGCCGCTCTTCATACCGTATCACTGTCCGCCAGCTGGAGTCTTTAATCCGTCTTTCCGAAGCCGTCGCTAAGGCTAACTGCGTAGAGGAGATCGTTCCGAAGTTCGTCCAAGAAGCATTTGACCTTCTCCGCCAGAGCATTGTAACTGTTGAAAAAGACGATGTCGAAGTCGATGATGACGACGAACTTGCCAATGCCAAGGAACGTGACGAGGATCACGAAATGGGCGATGGTGACCGTGACCGAGAAGGCGACAGCCCCATGCGCGATGAGGTGGAAGAACAACCGGCAGCATCGCGCCCAAGGACCAAGATCACTTTTGACAAGTACATGAAGATCCTGAACCTCGTCGTGCGCCGAGTTAACGAAGACGAGTCCACTTCCGGCGAGGGCGTGGAGGAGGAGGATCTCATTGTTTGGTACTTGGAACAAATTGAAGCCGAGCTGGAGAGCGAGGAAGATCTACAACGAGAGCGCAGTCTAGCAGTAAAGGTCTTGAAGAGAATGGTCAAGGTTTGTTCCCTTGCACAGCGTTCACTAGTCGGATTGTATGCCTAACGATTTACCTTTAGGACAACATACTCATGCCCATCCGAGGAGAAGGCCTGGTTGATGCAGCAGATGGTGACCAAGAGGCGTCCTTCCGCACTGTTTACGTTCTGCACCCCAACTGTGCGGTCGATGATATCGTGGTCCCGGATCCTAATAAGCGGCGGTGATAAAATAAGCATATATAAGTTGGAGTAATACTGATTACGAGTCATGAGGTGTGCTTGTGAATTGTTCATTCGGGTTGGATGTGGATTTCTGTGGATATATCGGATTAGACTAATAGGTTCGGCGCGTACGGTGGTTTCATTCCTCCTCCAACCAATATGAAGATGATGAAGTTTGATGATCTCTATCTCCATGCTTTTCCTAAATCTGACTACCCAGACCTTTCTATAGTTTTCAATTATCTTTTCTGATTCCTCTCTCCTTGTTGCTCCCAATTGTTCCCCAACTCACCCTCTTCACTCACTACATCTTTTCTACCTTATCCATGCCTTCTTTAACTTCGTCCTATCCACCACCTACTACGCGTCTATAAAATACTCATTTCTCTTCCAAACATGTTCTTCTTATGTCTTGGCAACTATCGAGGACTTAGATCGCCGTCCGTCTTCCTTGTACCAAACACCTCACAGCTTATAATCCCTTTAGCCTACGCTCTGATAGCTATCCAAAGTCCTTCATATTTTGTTCACGTTCCCCAACAATGAGATCACTCTCCAGTCGTCCCTTCACATTTCTCTCCTTCATCTGTATCATTTATCTTATATTCAGTCCACTGCCCTTCGCTTTAGGCTCGCTTATGATCCACTAGCATCTCGCAAAAAAGAAACTACTCCCTATCAAATCCAACGTCTTCTCTCCTACTCACCTCCACCTCATAAACTTACCCGAAAACATATCCCAACCGATTTCCACCTAGTAGCTTTCCTTTTCCTTTCATACTCCACATTCCTATCCCCTTTACATACTCACTGACAGTAGCTTCAGGCTTTGCCAACGTGGAGAATCCCAAACTTAGGTAATATCGATGCTTTCTAACGATGATCCTGAAGTTGCGCATGTTCTCCAATCATTTGTTTACAGCTCAAGGCATCGTTAAGAAACTTCTTTCAAGAAAACTGGTACAGGAACTCATCTTAACCCCCAAAGAGGGGAGAGGTCCTGAAAACCCCTCCCGCACAATTGTACAATGGATCAGGGCATTGAGAAAGGAGATCATAGTACCCGCGGCCCCGCAGAACAGAGAAGGTACGGGTCCCTCTGTAGATGAGCTTCATGGTAATAAAGAGGAGCTTACAAAACAGTTCAAAGCCTCTATGATGACGCTTCACGAGAACGAGCAGTGGTTCGAGCGATTTAACAGAACCCACTGCTCTGACTGCCGGTGGGGACTGGTGGACCCAGTTATCACATCCTGCATGCATCCGTGCTGTGAGGAGTGCTATTACTTTCCCATGAGCGAGGGTGAAACCTGTATCTGCTCGAGTTGTAATACGGGCATTGAATCAGCGGCAAGGTGCGACTTCTGGAAGCTGGAGAGGTCGGCGGGCCGTCTCCTACCCTTGATATAGGGACGAGCAAGAAAGGATCTCCCAAAAAGAACAAGAAGGTAATTTGGGAATGGCCTCTCTACGATGGTAACGCATGGGAGAGATGATGATGAGAATGAAGAGCCAGATGACGATGAAGAAACAGACTGGATCACTAGTTGTGATGGAGATATGCCTAGTGCTAAATTGGCGAAGATTTCCAGAAATCGTCAAAGGCTGGATTGAGGAGAACTCGGACATGAAAAAGGCCATATTCACGCAGTTTCTTGGCTTTGTCAGACTGCATGGGTACAGTGCTGGAACCAGGCGTGGGGTGCCACTTGTGTAAGTCACGACTCTTGTTCTCGATCCACGGAAAAGAGTCACTGACTCCACACAGTTAACCGGAACATGAGCATGAGCACCCGTAACCAGGGCGTGGAGAGATTCAAGAGTCGAGGAAATTCGGATCTTAGTCGCTAGTCTTAAAGCCGGGGGGATTAGACTTGATATGTCCATGGCGAATAAGTGTATCCTCGTGGATCTATGGTGGAATGAAGCAATAAAAGATCAGGTACGATAGATCCAGGCCATTTGTTTGGTGACGCAACTAATTGTTTCTAGGCATTCTGTCGCCTTTACAGAATCGGACAGTCCAAAGATGTGGAATTCGTCAAGATCATCATGAAAGTCTCAATTGACGAGTACTTGCTACGAATGCAGACGCACACGACGGTTGAAATCACAAGTACTTTGGGAGACGAGGTTCTGAAGAATCGAGATTCCGTCGTTGAACTCCAGGAATTGTTCGGCGGGATACGCAATTAAAACGAATCAGGTGTTCTTTTTGTTGAACGCAACCGCAGACCTCGTTACTGGGTGTCATAACCTACAGATGAGATGAGGTGTGATTTGAATCCAACAGTAGTTGGTCTATTGTTGGGTTCCTCGTTGCAGATATTCGGTTGATCTACCGTTATTTTTGGCTGTGAATGCTTTTGACTGTGATTTTCAAGTTAACTATCTTGATATTCAAACGCAATTGACGTCTACTTTTCTTTTCCTTTGTATTATCGATTCCATGTCCTTTTTCCTATTACGCGTCACTCAACAAGCAGCACATAATGAAGATGGTGATTTGCAACTAAACAGAGCTAACAGGGTAGACGCAATATCAAAGTCAAAGGCTGTACAGTCAAGAACTTAGTCACCATAAGCCCGCTTGTTCGACTAGGCTTTTCGATTCCACATTAGTATTTATCAACTTCATCAGATACATGACAGGTACAAGATTCCCGAAAAAGAAAAGCTGAAAGAGAGGAATACAAACCATTAGTACACAGAACCCACTGGAGAGACATCAAATACACACCACAATCACTCAAAATACACAACAGGGCGAGGCCTCAAGCAACGACGCTGAGCACCACCAACCCGACCCTCGGCCTCACTCGACCTTGGAGAAGGAAGCTGAGAGGGCAAATGGAAAGTTAAAGGATGAAAAAAAGCACTCAACGCATGGAACGACTCTCTAAGATCCTCCATCTCGACCCCCCGAACATCGACATCGAAATGGCCGTCATCACTCACCGACCCATCCTCAACTTCGGTATCGGTCTCCTCCATATGATACCCGTCCCGAGGTCCATCGAGCACTTGGTATCCGGAACCGAAATCCCCGGCAAAGAACCGATCAGTCGGCGGACGAGCCCACATTCTGGGGTTAGCACTAACTCGCTGACGGGGCAGCTGCTCGTACTCATCCTCCGTGGAGTTTTCTTTATCTTCGTCCGGGGAGGAATACGTAGTGAATCTCGACGTGAGAATTGAGTGATTTTCCAGATGCGAGTTATCGGTGTCCTCGTAGATGGGGAAGAGATGTGACGGGTGAACAATGTAGGTAGAGGAGGGTCTGTTGTGAATATCATCAGTATGGACCTCCACGTCTGTCTCCGTCTCGATGTCCATTGCTCCTTCGTCAACCTCCGTCGAGACATTGGCCCCAGTGACCGAGCTGCGGGTATCCGGCTCAGTGTCAGACCCAGAGCCCATGTTTTGGTCATGGTGAGTAGTAGCTGTGTGTTTGGCTTCCGGACTGGCATGTGGGTATTGGTACATCCCCTCGTCATTTGGGAGATCGGACTCCGGCTTCTCTGTGGTTTTGAGCTTCTTGTGGCCCCGTTCAGTGTTGACCGGGTCATTGTCGATCTCGGTGCCCCCTTCTAGGTCCTCATGTCTGCGCACCTTGGGGTTGGGTTTTGTCGTGCTATCTTGTCTCGCTGTGTCGGTGGTGGACTGGGTAGATTGCCACTTTGGCTCGCGGCGGGGGGTGGGTACCTGTGTTTTGTTTTTCGAGGTGAGTATTGGACATGGGGGAATTTCTTCGTCTGGGGCTTTCGCTCGGATGGCTATGGAAGAGAAACCACGCACATATTGATCGATGTCTAAGCAAAGCTCGAAATCGACCTCGTCCATCATATCGCCCAGCTGCGTAGACGGTGTGTCGGTTAGCTATTCTTCTCTTTTCACTGTCCTCGAGGTCTAGAAGGTTTCGTATCCAGGTCTGAGCATCGATTACAGGTGGTAGGTTTGACGCCTCCACATCTCTGTTGCTTAGGGTTTCTGGCTTGAAATTATTAGGACTGAGGGAGGTTGATGGTGAAGATCGTTTGGTTTAGGGAAGAACTTGCCTCGTTCTCGGGAATAGATTTATTGCTGCGATGAAAAATAGTATACAGATTGTGGGTTGTACCAAGATAGAGATGAGGTGGGAGGGGATGTGAGGTACAGACACATTAAGTATTAAATGTACTTGCCTTTGGGTTGGGCGCCATAGTAACCTAGGTGGTAGATATCCAAGCTCCTGGTCACAAAAATGATTGCTAGAGGGAATTTTGTAGTGCAAAAGAGTGCATCATGAAATGCCATGGCCTACTATTCACTGGACACGTTAGAACACTAACTTGCAGAGTTTGAATGGAGATTTTCCTTCACTTGCCAGAAGGTGTCACGGCCGGGTTCCACTTCATGAGCTCAATACAATCAATTATACAGTGCGTAACACGTTTATCAAGACAAGCCTTTAGTCAAGCAACAGATTGATTGCAATTGTCCAGTCATCTAGTTGAGTAGGTATAGTATGATCCAACTTATTAGATCACATACTTCACTAGGGATTGTTCAATCCACCTATTACTTTAATTTCGGTCAGTCTTGCAACGGAGCTGCACAACAGCAATGGGAACAGCCTCTGTTGACATTCCTCTGACTTTCTCACAGGCATATGGCAGTTTATTGATAACATCAAAGCCAGTCTTTGCAACACGGGCAGTGGGGCATCAAGAGAGGTAACACGTAGACTTGGAATACATATCAAATTTGGCACAAAACGGCGTAGTAAACTCAGAAATAATCCCGCCATATGCCGTTGAACATCTTGTTTCGCGTCACACTATAAGCCCTGCTACATCCACATGTCTGTTTATCTGAACTGGCCTGGACCTACCATGCCACCCCTAGCGTCTCCAGCCCCGACTTGCCCAAACATATCCAATAGGTGCCGAGAAGAAGGCGGAGGTCCCTGTGGACCGGGGTTGCCGTCAAAAGGCCCCTGGCCACCATGACCAAGGCCCATCAGGGCTTCAGCATTGGGTGGCATAGGCGGAAAACCAGACGGGGGAGGGCCGTTAATGTAACCCGGAGGAGGCATCATCGGGGGAGGCGGGAAACCTGCCGAGCCACTACCGCCAGCACCACGTGGGAAGGGTTGGCGTTCGACGAGTGGTGGAACATTGCCATGCATTGGCATCATATTAGACATGAAGTTCGGATTGACGCCCCTCGTTGGGGTCGGAATACCCGGTGGGGGAGCGAGGGGCCCAGGACCACCACCTTGCTGGGGAGGGAGCTGGTGGCCGGCCCATCCCGGAGGCGGCAAGTGCTCAAAACCGGGCGGTCTCTGGACTCCCATTCCAGGTAGACCCTGACCCTGAGGAGCTCGGCTTCCACCCGGGGTGATAGGAACTTGGCGACCTTGAGGGAACGGCATGTCTTCGAAGTAACCCATCGGAGGCCCGTTCGCGGGTCGTCGTCGCAGTTGGTCATGATCCGCCCTCTGCATATTAGCAATCGCCGGGTCGTCAATGAAGTTAGGAACTTTAGGCGCAGATGCGAGCCCTGGAGGGGGTGGGAGCATTTCTGGCATGTGCATCATACCAGGAGCCGCACCGGCGCTTTGAGGTAGACCATGATTACCTTGAACCTGATTTGTGACTGGGGTGACACGGACTTGTTGCATCAAGCGAAGCAAGTGCTCCCGTTCTCGGGCTTGAGGGTCCACAGCGGGTCCAGCACTCCGAATAGAGCTATCCTGCATGAGCATGGGGTCTGGCCGTTTGATCTGCTCCCGGGAAGGAGAGGAGATAGCACTCTGAATAGAATCTATTTGGGGGAGAGAGGGAGGCCGATTGGGTTGCGCGGTGTCATTATGAGGAGTAGCATTGCGTGACTTGCTTCCCCCCAACATCTGTAGAATACGCTGGAACCCTTCCTGATCAGCATCAGTAGTTGACGGCAGAACAGTAGGAGACATATTTCCGATCTGAAAGTCGGACTCTTTCGCCGGACTGCCGGGAGGTGGACTGAACAGCCCAGCAAAGCGAGAAGATTTGAAAGATTTCGGAGGTATGTTTTCCTTAGGGGTAGCCTGGCTGACCACGGTAGCCTCCAAAGGTGATGAGGTACTGGTTTCCTGGGGAGGTTTCTGCTCAACTAGAAGCCCGAAGAAGCGTTCCATTGCCGTATCTGATTGGAAGGGTGCGCCATTGCTGCTGAAGATTTCACCGTCGGTTGGCCTGGGCTCCGGTTTCTGGGTAGGGATAGGAGTTGGTTCTGCAGAAGTCTCTTTCTTCTCCTCTACAGGAGCTTGCGAAGATCCTGCTTTCATCCTTTCTTTCCAGCGCTCAAAATCTTCCTGGGTGTGCACCCTTCGGGGTTCATCCTTATCAGTTGAATCCAACCACTCAGGCTCCTGTTCAAATTTGGCACCGCGGGTCCAGTCACGATCAGCTCCATGTCGGTCTCGACGCCAATCTCGGCTCCGTATCGGCGTCTTCTCTTCTTCGCCATCGGGTCCATCCTGGTTGCTCTCATCGCGGAACCAACTTCCTTCATGTCGGGCACGCCCCGGCTGGCCATCCTTCCGAGGAAAGAATCGACTGTCCTTATCTCTGGCTCCTCGTTCAAAATTCGGAGTTTGCTGATCGCGGTCCCGGTTGAAGTCACGAGATTCCCACCTATCAAATTCCCCGTTACGTCTTGGTTTCCTCTCGTTTTCATCCTGACCAAAGGGGCGACGGGGACGACCGGCATTCCAGTCATCTCTGTCCCCACGACGGGGAGTGAAAGGATCGGTTTTCCCATCTCGTCGGTCAAAGTTATTATCGCCGGCTTCCCTATCCTTGAAGAACTTTCCGCGGAAGTTTAAACGGTCATTTTTGGTATCATCCGAATCAGGTTGCCTAGACGGCCGTTCCGTAGCATCTATCGAGCCCTTGCCCGGTACGCGGGATGCAGACGCAAATGCAGTCTTCGGTGGCCCAAGGATAATGTCCTCTAGAAGGAATTCGCAAACCCCCGAGTTAGCGATGATCTCTTGCAAGATTCCGTCCTATTACAGCTGAACGGCAGCCCGTGACAGTGCCATTATATTTACCTGAATTCGAATTCCGGGAGATATGACGTGATTCAAAGATACTCGATCTTCGAGGTGTTGTCTCATTAGGATTACTGGGATCGCGAGGGCCGGTGGATTTTCGCTGTGTCGTTGGGTCGGGTATCGGGCTAATTCAACATCGGCCAAGTCAGCTCCCGGGTCATGATAGGTGCAATCCGCAGAGTCCCCTACCCCATCCATTCTTCTACCGGAGGTAAGTTGGTGGGCTTGGTGACCAGAGGCGACGAGCGTAGCCATAGCAGCTCATCGATCTGGTAACGTCGCGCCATGAGGATGGCTAGGGTATGTGAGATGTTATCGGCAGACCGTTAGAACGTTCTCATTGGTTCACAAGGATCAAAGGCGGGAGCTGGAGTAGAGTCGCAGGGGACGTAGAATCAGAAGGGGAGAGGGTGTGTGTGTATGTAGTCCGGGGTAACGGTTCTTGTGTAATGGAGGGTGCGGTGTAGAGAGATGAGCAGTGAAGCAAAAGCCACTTGCTAGTGGCAAGATTGCCGGAGTTTCAATCAGTTAGTCAACTCGGGGGAACTCGATGAGGGGCAAAGGGGTTTTTCGTGGTCAGATCAAAGGATTTTCTCTGGCGATTGAAAATGTAACGTTCGATGTAGCAGGAGATTTACAGGGAAAGAATAACGGGAGATACGAGCGTTGGAAAGGAGGTAGTAAATAATGGGGGTGGTGAGAGTTGATTTCAACTGAGAGAGCGAACTTGTGGCCGCAAAACGTTTGTTTCCACTGTCGGCCTCAGGCTCTTGGACTCGACTGCCCAATGGGGAAAGTCGCTTTCCACCCCGACCACAACAACAGCAATTCATATTTTTCACATCCGCATGTTTCTCTTGCGTATAAGCGCTGCTTGGAGCAATTCCCTTTTCACTAATCACCAGAGTCCAGTATCCATCGTAATTCCCTAGAATGGCCGACACGACTTTCAGGATGAGGCTCCTTCGCTGCTATATATTGTTCCAAAAAGATGTATAGTCATGGCCAAATCATTATGATTTACCACGTCACGAATCAAGAGGGATACAAGTATCCTGCTATGAAATATAGAAAGAAAAGGTCGGAAGAAAAAAGAAAAAAAATATAGCCAAATGAATCCTTAGTATTATGACTATAGAGTAACAAGATCTATGCCCACATGTATAGATCCACTGCAGCCTTTTCTCCATGGATTGGGCGTCTACTCAGCGATGTTCTCAACAACCTGCACCACAGATCCTCCACTCCATTTTGCGACCCGATCCTGTTCCGAGGATTCGTACAAGGACTGAGCCATGGCTGTGAAGGTCGGTACCTCCTTGCCGCTCAACGCCGGAATCTGGCTCTGGATCCAGCTAACAATTCCAGCCCGAGTAACCAACGTCGTGCCACCTCGGACTTGAGTCGTGCGATACAGCAGGTGCAAAATCTTTCGCTTGGCTGGTTGACTAATTCCAGGTGATTCGTAGAAGGAAAGTGCTCGCTCAAAAACATTCGCACGGCGGTAGATCTCCATATCCTGATCTTCATTAGTATTGTTTCGTATAAATTGGAGCATGATGTCATACAGTCTTGGTGCGAAGACCTTTGATAAGCAAATCCAGTAGCCAGTTTGTTTCCTCGAAATAACCATCGTCTTGTTCAGGTTCGTGCAGCAGGATCTTGTCAATCCAATACGACGGAATTTTCTCCAGCTCCCAGGAAGGCGCCTTCTGGAGAAACATGTTGACTTTCCCATACAGCTTGTGCATTGGATTGACGAGAACCGCGAGACAACTAGAAGCACACTCCCCCACAATCCACGGTATAGGAGACTCAAGACCAGTCTGCTTCACTGTCTCAAGCAGTTCACCAGTGAGAATGAACACTGACCGCCATTCGGCATATTTGGATTCCTGGTAGTGTTAATCTTGGTAATTCGCTAGTTCAATAGTATTGGCAAAACATCAACTTACTCTGAGCTTGGTCATCAAACGAGTCATGTTGGCGAATGCCTGTCTTCGCACTTCTTCATGCTCTGAGCACAAGCACAGCATTAGTTCTGCCACCCGGCCTTGCTCCACGGAGATTTCCAAGTCGTCCTTTTCCCATCTGTGCAGCCCATTGTGAGTTTTGCCTTCTGTGGGCAATGCACCAAATGTCTCTTCCAAGTCTACAAGCAATTTCTCATTTCCAGAACCTGGAGATGCCCACTGTGCCACACTAGACTCCTTCTTTTTTCTATTCTCACATGAGCCCTCGTCGATATCTTTCAAAGCCTTTTTTAGAGTCGACCTAGTACGCTTGTCCTCGGTAGCAGCTAACAGGGTATCACGAGCAGCTTTCAGCATTTTCGAGTCTTCACCGGCATTTCTTAACTTCCCAAGAGTATTAGCAATCCATGCACTAACGGCACTTTCTGCGTCACCTCCAGACTTAACAACGAACGGCCATTGTTCAGTGATCGCAGCTACAATGGGGCTGATTGGCTTTAAGATATCCTCCGACAACGACCCAAGCAAGTCCTGATAGTGAACTGGTTTTTTCGCTACCCGGCAGACACAGTTATCGAAGAACGATAGCTGATGGTGGAGACGCTCCGAGTTGGACGTTTCAAAGCTGGATAGAAGCGGCAAAAAGGAGCTTGGGCCCTGTAATATAGAGTTTTCCGTAAGGACAGTCTTCAGCAGGGTATCAATGTCCCCGAGAGAATCACGAGACGATGCTCCCACTAAAACCTTTAGAATAGACGTGAACGCGGAGAATTGCATGGAGCCTATTATCATATCAGCAAATCGCTCACAGTGGGGATTCCTGGTGGGGCTCACCTGGTTGTTGCCACCAACGCATTGATGCGGATTGCTGCGCGATCTTAAGGATGCTTCCTAATTGCGCAAGTAACGATACTGAGTCTTCTTCGCTAGAACTTGACTCATCTAGCCGTTTCAAGATATCAACCAGAACGAGCGATACGTCAAAATTTTCTTCAAATGCAACATCAGGCACAATCTCATAAAAGCAAGAGAGCAAATCTGCAACGGCTTCTTGTTGTTGCAGATCCTCCCTGGCAGTTTTTTTGTACAATGATACAATATCCTTCATTACAGGACACCGGCGGCAGAACTCCGCTACCAATTTACCAGTGGCTTGAGCCCAGAATGACTGACTGACACCATGGTCTGAATTAAAAAGACGAAGGACCTTTCGCAGTTTATTGAAAGAGATAGTTAGAATCCGGACTGCGAACAAAGTGATTACCTCCGTGTTTAAATTCAAGCAGCGGGTTAATGTTTTCTGTGTAAGAGGACGAGGCAGGATGTTCTCGATCACCACTGACACGGGGGGTGGCATAGAAGGTAGTTTATCCTTCCAACCAAAGTTCGTTGGAACGGGCAAGCTGACTGTGGAGAAAAGAAGCGCAGACTCTGCCATCCATGATGATGTAGGTTTCGGGTCTGAAACGAACATGGTTTTCTTCGTGAAGAAATCGGCAACAAGTTCTGGAGCTTCTCTGAAAAGAGCTACTAGAAGCTCGATCTGCAGGCTATCTGCATCCGGACGAAGAGTCTGGGCGAGATAAGATAGTGTTCCGTTACGAACAGGCACAAACGTTCTATATTTGTCGACGTACACTGCAGAATCGAGTCCCAATTCGATCGATGTGTCGTCTTCAGCCGGTAAGGACTCCGGATCGCTTCCATTGGGGTACCAGCTTGTCTCCGACAACAAGACACCGTGGTTTGAATTGGTGCAGATATTCATCATAATCTTATGGATTTCACTAGCGATGGACACGCCAGTGGGATTCGGCTCCTCAGACTCCCGGTCATAGCCGTATAGAGTGACGAGCCTCTCCAGGTTGCCTCGGTTGAAAAATTTGGTCTTCGCATTTCTAGAAAGCGAAGTATCTTGCAAAATATCCCTCTCGATGGCCTTGATAATATCCAAAACAATATCTCGGGGATCTTTTCTTACATACTCAAGGAATGCTCTGATGACCTTGTACTGTTCAATAATGTCGCTTTTCGCGCTAGCATGCTGGAATCTCAAGTTCGCCAGAACGTATCTTTGCGCATTCCGCCGGAGAGTTGATTTTTGGCTGTCGTCCAACACCTCCTCTAATTGAGCTTTGTTCGGAGTCAAAAAGACTTCTATGCGTTTAAAAGTAATATATCGCACAGCGTAGAGGTGCCGTGCAACGGCACCTCCATCAAATGTGACAATCTCAGTAAGGAGACGAAGACAGGGCGAGATCAAATGCTCCTTGGACTTCGTTGCTGTCAAACCGCGGTTGTAAAACCTCAGTTGTTCCTTTCGTAGCAAGAATTTGCACAAAGCCAATCCGAAATCCCGGAAATCCAAATTAGTAGATACCGTCCTGATAAAAAGAGCCAAAACAGACGGAACGACGGTTAATAAAGACTCATTGTTGTTGGTGTCTGCAAAATTCCAAGTTTGGATTATATCTGGAAAGCAAGAAGGTTCTTCTTCATGCGAGATCTGTGAATCGCAGTAGGCTTTCAGGATGCGGAACTTCTTGGCTTTCTCGCCCTCGTTCTCAGCCTGTCCAGTCTCCAGGAGAAATTCTTTAAATTTCTTTATGCCTTCATATTATTCTGTGAGCATGATTTTACACCAATTCAGTATTCAAAAAGGGCAATGGCGCGCTGACCTTGTTTGACTTCGTTTATATTCTGTTGGAAAGTCAAGAGAGTGCGTAGTTGCCCATGAGACGTGATGTTCGTGGAAGCTTCGGATTCCTGAGTAGAATCCAACTTTCTCCTCTTATTCCGATGATCTTGAGACATCTTTCCGGTTTTGTGACGCTCCGGATTCAACTTGGAGACTCAAGATGCTGAGAGATAAAATTGAAGTTATGTAAAGTTCAGCTCCGGTTCAAAATTTTACGTCATCTGATTGGCTGCCGACAACCCAAAAGAAGAAATTTTGACCCGTAATAAACGGTAGAATTACTAGTAGCAGCTGAATAGTGACTACTCTACCATGCCAGATCGAGGTAGGAATCTCGTTCACAGGTTCTGAGATTTATAGTAATATGTCTACATATCTATTCAAGTATCATTTTGAACATGTACAAGTCTCATTCTTAGGGGAATCTAATGGTACTTCCATCATTCTCTTAGCCTTCAATGAAAAACACTTTAATCTGGGTATTGTTGTTAAAACGGCAGGAATCGTATATACCTAAACAATGGCAACATGGCATGATGAGATCAAAAGATGTATGAAATTAACCCCAGGTTCCTCCTCCACCACCTCTACCTTGACGTCTCTGCGCAGACAGACGCCAATCATCCTCGCCCGCAAAGCGATTGTGTAGAGGTTGGATACGCTCGGCCTTCTTACGCTTCGACAGACGATCAGTGGGTGCGACCTTGAAGAAGGTTGGGGCTGCCTCGACAAGCCATTTGGGCTCAATAGCTGTTGTGCAATGCATGTATTCCTTTGTTGTAAGAACCAACGTATGATAGATGACATGCTCAGCCGGCTTGCCAAACAATGCAGAACTGGGATGCATATACACGGGTGTACCCTCAACAAGTGTTTTGTATCCTTCCTGGGGATCTTTGCGCGCTGCATTTCTAAAAAACCCGGTACACAGTGCTTGACGCACCTTCGTGGTGTTCCTTCCGCATGAGACGATCCGGTGATGGTATCGGTCCATGATACCAAGAAGCTGCTGGCGAACATCTTGAGCGCGACGGATCTGACGTGCCTGAATGAAGTTCTCGAAACACCAAGCGTTGTTGAACTTCGAGTTTTTCCAACCGTTATACACATTGAGCAGAGTCAGGTGATCGCCTTGTGGGTCGTGGAACTTCGCTTTCTTTTGGTCTGCCTGCTGCTGCTTCTCTTTGGGTCTGTAAAAGACCGATTGAATAGAGAGCATGGCAACAATGCTAAGCATTTCTTCGGAGCATCCCATATCGACTGATGCGATGAGGACCTTGGCAAGTGCTGGTTCCATGGGGAAGTCTGCCATCTTCCTACCTAGCCGAGTCAAAAGACCTTCGTCATCGAGCGCAGATAGAGCGTAGAGCTCCTCTAACGCAGTAAGCATAGTGTTGGTCGGAGGTGGGTCCATGAAATCGAAATGAAGGAGATCATTGATACCCATAGCTTTAAGCATGAGAATCGTATGTGAGAGATTCTGTCGCTGGATTTCGGGGATCGTGGTTGGCAGCATTTCTGATTGGTAGGCTGCTTCGGTATATAAACGGAAACACTTTCCTGGGCCCGTTCTGCCTGCACGACCGGCCCGTTGCTTGGCCTGCGCCTGTGAGATAGGGGTTACCACCAAAGAGTCCATGCCGAGTTTCGGGTCATAAGCGTTTTGCTTCACAAACCCAGGATCAATGACATAGTAGATGTTGTCAATTGTAATGGATGTCTCAGCAATGTTAGTCGCAATAACAACTTTCCTACCCCCAGGGGGCGCAGGTTCAAAAATCCTACTCTGCATCTCGCTAGGAAGAGCAGAGTAGACAGGCAGGATAACAAGCTCTGGTACAGAAGAACCTAACGCTTTCATTCGTTCGTACAGAATCTCACACGCAGTATCAATCTCTTCCTGTCCAGTCAAGAAGAGAAGCATGTCACCAGAGGGCTCTGTTAAGTGAATCTGCATAACTGTGATCAGGGCCGCATCCAGATAGTCGGACTCCGGCTCCTTTGAATACATAATCTCGACAGGGAATGTACGTCCAGGAATTGAGAAGATGGGGCATCCGTTGAAGTATTCTGAGAACTTCTCTGCATCTAGTGTAGCGGAAGTAACGATAAGTCGAAGATCAGGCCTCCGCTTTAGAGTCTTCTTCAACAGCCCAAAAAGGACATCAGTCGCGATTGTCCGCTCATGCGCCTCATCAAGCATGATAACAGAGTATTTCTTCAAGTCTGGATCCAGGAGAACTTCTCTTTGGAGCATTCCATCAGTCATATACTTGATTCGCGTCTCCGGGCTAGTGCAGTCTTCGAAACGAATGGTATATCCAACCTCCGCACCGAGCTTGCAGCCAACTTCTTCAGCTACACGTTTGGCAACAGACATTGCAGCCACACGTCTAGGTTGTGTACATCCTATAATGCCATTATTTCCGTAGCCACCTTCAGCTAGGTACTGCGTCAGCTGCGTAGTCTTTCCGGATCCGGTGTCTCCGACAACAATCAGCAACTGGTTGTCACGAACAGCATCAAGAAGCTGCTTGCGGAATTTAAAGACCGGCAGACTTTCACGTTGCTGCTTAATCGACATGGAAGTTCGCTTGCCGAAAGACTGATTCTTGCCCATTGTAACTCGTTTCCACTCAGGCACAGCGTCATCAGGCTTAGGTTGCTGTGCCGTACGAAGATCAGCTGCAAACTTCCGATCTTCTGGTGCGACCATAGGATCTTGCCATTGTGCATTAAGATCAACATCCGCAGCTCGCTCTGCAGCCTTATCCTGAGCCTCCTGTTGCCGAAGATCTCTTCGTTCTTTAGCCAAGTTGGTACCCGCCATAGCTGATCGATTCATAGATCCATCTGGAGCTTTGACAACTCTGATAGGGGATAGCTCCAAGGACATCTTAGTTTGGCCAGCCAAGAAGGGCGGTTCTTCATCTCGAACTTCGATATCAACATCTTCTTCCTCTTCGAATGTGCCCTCGCCTGCCAGCGTAGCATGATACTCTTCATCAAGATCGGGGTAGTCGGCCGCTGACACAGCGCCAGATGAGATAAGCTGCTTAATTTCCCACCTCTCAGGTGAAGTCAAGCGCTTTCGATTTTTCATGGGCCTACCGTCTGATTCCTCGATGACAGGCACCTCCGAACTCAAGTTACCGTATCGCTCCTTCGCTGAGGTACCATCGAGGCGTTCCATGTTGGCACCTGACGCAAGTCGGCGTTGCGGGATAAGATCAAGTCCAGTCACTTGATCAACTTCCTTCATCGACAGTCCAATGCGAGACCCCTGTATACTGATAACCTTGACTTTTACTGGTTGACCTCTGGAAACTAGATCAGACGGGTGATTTACTCGCGCTCCTTCTTGCATCGCAGAAACGTGTACGAGGCCATCCACCTTTCCTTTGACGCCTAAAAGGTTCACGAAGGCCCCAAAATCCTTCACTCCTGTGACATGCCCATCATAGACCTTGTACAATATCGGGGCATCATCCAGTTCGACAGGAGGGGGTTTCCGAAAATGGTCATCCTCCTGGCTCCGGTCACGCCGACGCCGCCGCTCACTGTGGCCATTGCGCACTTCATCCCGACTAGAATACTTCTTTCGAGATCGGCCGAATTCGTCGACGTCGTCATCTCTTTTACGATAACGTGGGCTATGTGACCTCGACCGCGAACGATATTTATCCTTGCGACGGCGCCCACGTTCGTAATCGTCGTATCGTGGGCTTCTGCTTCGTTTCCTGCTGCTCCGAGTCTCCTCCGTTGTGCAACCCTTCTCTTCTCGAGCCTTTCCTGCGAGCCCTTCAAGCATTGCAAATGTATCATCCATTGCATCGGCCTTGGCATCACTTTCATCTGCATTTTTCCTATCCGTGTAATCGTCTTCATCCCACTGGGGCGCCTTGTCAGGAACAGCTAAACCTTTGAATACGCGCGCCTTCTTTTCGAGTGCATCGAGTGCATCCATATCGTCATCTCCCTCAGCCTTGCCAGCATCATCCGCTTTCCTCGCCTTGTATTTCGGGTGCATGGTGAGCACTAAACGATCAATACTCTCCATCAAGCTCTGAGGGAACTCCGCGCCCATCTCGTCCAGGGTCGCTTTAAACTTCGAGAAGGAGTCACATTTTAAGTGCTGGTCAATCACAAATTCAGCTAATGTCTTGTCATTGATACCCAAGTGGTTCTGGAGTTCGCTGGTAATTCGCGAAACGAGCGAAAAGAGCTCCAGGGACTGAAGGTCATCCATGACCGGCACTGAAAAAGTGGTCGCAAGTCAACCGACAATTGAGAAGGTTCAAATTGTTTCAGGTTGGGTGAATAATCTGCAGAAGAGAGTGCTAGGCACCTCTCTGGTCACCAGGTCGCGTTTCGTCAGTCTGAGAATGCTTGAACGGGAAAGCTCATTGTCGCGGAAAATCGTTGTGGCGTTTTGCGGACCACTTGCCACTGATAAGATAAGCCAACTTGTATTGAGATGGTGGTTACGGAGCATATCTATAAATCATGGTTATTTGCCTTGATTTTTTGCACGCCCTGATTCTATGTACTGATTTAATATACAATTAATTTACACTTATATGGTACACCTAGATCCAGTTCCTATCGTCCAATAACGACCGTGTATCATTCAGTCCGTACGATAAAGCTTTAGCTTGTATCGTTCCCGCTGCATCGTGATGACTAGAAAGTCTAGAGGGGAGAAAAGTGCGATGATTTGTCCAAACGAGACTCATGATATAAGAATCAAGAAGGCACTGTATATTATGCAGCTTGCGCCTCCGGACCAATCCTTTCTAAAGAGTTATTATCAGTGGAGAGATCAATTGAGGCCGTGTCTTCACTCTCGATAGAGTCAAAATCTGCTTCAGCAAGTAAACGTTTATGGTCCTGGATCTGCTTCTGCAAAGCGATCTGGCGGCGAAGTGAGGCGTCCTTTCTCAGTTTCTTGTTAGCAGAGAATTCAGTCAGCGCCCTGACCATCCTCTCCTCGACTAACTCCTTCACATGGGCGGCAAGAGTTCGGTCTGTGAAGACTCCACCGAAACGGAAACTGAGCCACGAGTACAGGATTACAGACTTGTGCAATATCTCCAAATCGTGCAAGTATTCCTTGTTTCCGGACACGGGCTCTTCCAAGACCTCCAAGTTTAAGTCCGGTATGTCCAGCAAGCGACCTCCTGAATGCTCGGCGACACACTGCGCAAATGCACAGGCAACACCGCGCGAGGAGATATCCCGGGTATGCATAGGAGCAGCCATAAAAGTCATCTGATCCTCGAATCTCAAGCCGCTCACAGTGTCTATGACCTCGGCATTACTTAACTGTCCATGAGGGTCGCACATGAAAAACAAAGGATGGACTTGAGAGACTTCTATAACACGTTTGATAATGTATTCCAACGGAATGCTCTGTGGGAAGTATGCAGCGAAGTTCTGGAAAATAGGTTCGGGGGGGAACAGACCAGCTGCAGTGATCGGAGGGGGCTCAATTGCCATTGCCTGGTGGATATAAGGAAGATCTACCTCTTCTAGGGATGACACATAACCGACGTTTGTCCCGTCATCCTCGGCAGAGTTTCCATTTCCCTGTTGAGCAGCCGACCGATAGCGACCAGCGCGTCCTGCAATCTGTTTAATTTCAGGCACGGAAAGCCTCACAAGACCACCCGGCACCCTTTTCACCAGGGTTTCGAAGATCACACGCTTGCAGCTCCTGCGAAATTTTGTTAGTATTTATGAGGGTAACGGTAAAGTGACAGTAGACTCACAGGTTGAGACCCATACCAATAGCATCACTAGCAACCAAATAGTCATACTCATTGTTGGGGTCATTGAAGAGACTGGCTTGCTGAGTACGGATTTCGGCTGGTAAGCTTCCATACACGATCGCTGCTCGTTTCCCAGTGACCTTTTCAATGTCTGCTTTTAAGGCGTGTATTCCAAGGCGAGAAAAGGCCACCAGACAGTCCCCCTTTTGAAGATTCTTCAGGTCGCCCCTCAGACTTCGGTCCATAACCTTTAGAGGATTTAGTCGCTCATAGCGGTGAATCTCGAGCTTGTCTCCCGTAAGAGCGGCGATTTGCCGGATCAAAGGAACAACCCTTTGCTCGCCACAGAGATGAAGCTCCTTAGCACGCGCGCCAAGAACAGCACGCGTCCAGGCCCATCCGCGTCTGGAATCACCGATCATTTGGATTTCATCGATGACTCCTACATCATACGTTTGCCCTAAATTAACCATCTCAACCGTATTGCTCACAATTGGTGAAACCCCGACCTCAGGGATCTTGACATCATCACCCGTGACAAGGCTGCATGTGGTTCCGTTGGCTGTAAACCGATGGTATACCTCTTGCGCAAGTAATCTTAAGGGGCCAGCATAGAAGCCACTTTTGCTAGCCTCGAGTCGTTTCAAAGCCTGATAAGTCTTTCCCGAGTTCGTTGGCCCAACGTGTAGATGTATTGTCCGTTGTATGGAGCGCGCCTGTGGATACCACTCTGCTGGGAAACGCATATCCGCCACTCTCGCCTGCTGTTCTAAGTTGGGCACAGAGTACTTCGAAGTGACATCCTCCGCATACAGGAGATATTCTAGCTCAGCCCTTAGGCCCTTGGTACCGGAATTTATGTAAGCCTTTTGTAATGTGAGCTTCAGCTGCCGTAAAGTGCCCAAGGCCCTGGTTCCTCGGTCCTCCAGCTTGCATGCGTTCATCACATAGCGTTCGAATCTCTGCCACCCAGTCAACGACGATTCGGATCTCTCTGCTAATTCTTTTTTTATCTCCTGCAGTAGAGTCGCCACGATGATCGAGAAGTCAGGAGTGGTAACATTCTGCCTTCCACTTCTTGTAGATGAACGCAAGGAAGGTCTGGCTGGAGACTATTCCAAAGGTGGTCAGTTAGTAATCTAAGGGTCACTGTAGAAGCGAAGAGGAGGGTAAATACAGTGTCGGCCTTGGTCTGCTTGGCCTCTTGCGCCTTCTTCGATGACCGCTTCGATCTCTGAAGGGCTGGTGTCGTGGTAAATGTCCGTACCCCTGAACGGAAAAATGGCCGTAGAGTGCATGACAGGCAATAGCTGCCTCTATTAGCCCATGCCTGCATTCCTTCAGTGGGAAGGTGGGTTTCAAATGAGTGAGCGGTTTAGAACGGCGCCGCGGGCGATTCGTAACCGAAAGGTTTAAGCTGCTGCAGATTTTGCGAGGCCGAAACGCTGCATATAGTAGTAGTGCATGGAGCTAGCAGGGAAGCCTGCGACTAGAACTGTGCAGTGCATTTAACGACCGGTGACAGGTTGGTTGAAAATTTTAAAGCATCCTTTCGATAGTGACATGGGGAAATTGATAGTATCCATCCAAGTCCCAGTACATCTTCCAGTTTTGGTATGCAACGGCTGCCGCCTTAGTCATACAAGCGCTGTCCCCTACACTGTATTCTTTAAGGCAGCAAGGGTTAATATCCTGATGAGGTCAAGGCTCCAAGAGGTACCGACGCCACACCGCATGAATGCTGCCGATCCGCCGCAATCTATGATGGATTGAATGGTGGGGACACTTGGGAGAGGGTCTCTAGTAACAGATACGTTTCAAAAAGAAAGAACTTACTCCCCTTCCCAACCCCTCCACCCCCTGATTGGGCTTTCTTGCTTGTCGCCTGTTGCTCTCTATTGTTTTACCCGAACCAGTCACCTCCAAACTGTAATCCTATTGCTTTCCAGTCTACGATTTCAAACCTCCATAGCTGAGGGCTGCCGGTCAGCCAAGATGAACTCCTCCATACTTACTATCCAACGCGACAGTGAGTCTTCTTTTGTTCCGCTATTTCTGGCTAATAACGCATTTCTTGTACTTACTATGTTGTTTCATAAGTCATTCTCAATACTATCCGGTATACAGCAGGGGATGAGGTGTGTTGGGATTCCTGTTCCTTGCAGACAGCGGAACTGACGGTGATGATGTACAGTGGAAAGTCCTGGTCGTAGACGAAACCAGTCGGAAATTGATTGATAATGCTGTGAGCGAGGATGATATTCTCAACCTCAATGTTACCAGTAAGCACGCGCATCCCGACCGTTGAGTAATTACATCGGCTAATGACGTCTCTTGCTAGATGTCGAGCAGATCGAGGAAAAGCGGAAGCCGAACCCTATGGATGCGCTTTATATCCTATCGCCCCAGTCACATATTGTCGATTGCTTAATGTCCGACTTTGAGCGAAAGAGATACAGGAAAGCGTGGTTGGTTTGGACATCATGTCGGTCACATCTCTGTTCCTGCGCCTGCGAGTTGAGTCCTAACCTCACCTACAGACCTTGATCCTCAGCAGCGCACTAGACTTGAACGATCACAGATGGCTCAAGAACAAATCGCTAGCTTCCGAGTGATGAGTGCCGACTACTTTCCGAGGGAATCGCGTCTTGTCACATTCCGAGACCCCTGGAGCTTTCCAGTCTTGTTCCATCCTGGCTGCAACCACTTGATACGCGGACATCTGGAGGGGCTGGCACAAAAGGTGGGCTATCTTTATTCTCTTTGGGAAAGATCAACGGAGTGGTCGACTGACTGAGAACTCAGATTGTATCCCTTTGCGTGAGCTTAGGGGAGTACCCGATAATTCGATACTACAAGCCTAGAGCACCAACCCATGAGGCCAGTGTGCTGTGCTCGCACCTTGCCCGGTTTGTCCAAAATGAACTCGATCAATTTGCCCACTTTCAAAAAGACTTTCCGCCTCCTTCGCAAAGACCTCGGGGCATCCTTATGATCGTAGACCGCTCTATGGACATCGTCGCGCCCCTTATTCACGAATTCACGTACCAGTCTATGGTGCACGACTTACTACCGATCAAAGATGGAGACAAGGTCACTTATAAAACAATTATAAACGAAGGTAGCCGTAATGAAGAACTCAAGGAGATGGAAATCTCCGAAAATGATCACGTTTGGGTTGATTATAGGCATCTTCATATGAAAGATGTGCTTGGAAAGCTGGGTGAAGACTTCGCCAAATTTAGAGCAGCAAATCCTCAGTTTGCTGAAGAGTGAGTGCTCGCTATCTTGGGATCTTGTGTTTATAGATATTTCCACGTTGCTAACCTTCCCATAGAAACGACAAAGCCAACGTGAACACAATCAAAGACATGTTAGCAGGCCTCACAGAGTTCCAACAGGGCAGAGATGCATATACGCTGCATCTTAACATGGCGCAAGAATGTATGAAACACTTCCAAGAGCACAAGCTACTGGAAGTGAGCTCGGTTGAACAGTGCCTGTCGACTGGTCTGGACGAGAACTACAAAAAGGCAAAGAATTTGGCTTCACAGCTTGTTCAACTGCTTGACGATGATGCAGTGGCACATTTGGATAGACTGAGACTTCTACTCCTCTATATCATTTACAGAGGGGGGATTCTTGGTGGAGATATCAGAAAACTCATGGCGCACGCTCAACTGCAGCCGCAGGACGGAGACGCTATCTACAATATTGATCTACTTGGGTCCCGAGTGGAGAAAAAATTGAAAGACGAGAAGATACCCGTTCAGCCGCTGTTCAGCAGGAAGTCTCCGTCGCCAGTGGAATCCGATGAAGCTAGTCTATCAAGGTATGAATTGAATATGAAATTAATGCTGGAAGAATTAGTTAGGGGAACGTTGGATCCGGCAGTTTTCCCTCCCACTCGTCCAAATACGGAGACAGAGGGCATGGGAGGACATCAGGATACCCTCTCGCAGGCCTCCCTGCGGAGTGCCAAACCGACGTGGGCTCGGACTCGTTCAACCACAGAGCAACCCCGACAGCGCATTATTGTCTTCATGGCTGGTGGCGCAACCTATGGCGAGGCTCGTTCCTGCTACGAAGTCTCTCAGGCGTTCGGCAAGGACGTTTTCCTTGCGACATCGCATATGCTGAGCCCCGGCTTGTTCTTAAAACAGGTCGGAGACCTCAGTGTCGACAGAAGGCGTCTAGATATTCCTGCCGAACGGCCGAAGCCAACTGCACCAGCCCATTTATTCGAGAAAGATCCTCCACCACAACCCCAACCAGCGCCTAAGAAGACTCCAGCCCCGATGCCCAATCTCAACCCTCCGGCACCCCCTTCTGCAGCTATGAGCGCGATGTCCTTAGGATCAAATTCTCAAAACGGTTCTGCATCAAGCCATGGGAAGCCACATAAGGAGAAGAAGGAAAAAAAGCGACATCACTTCTTCGGAAGATCATAGTGCACTGACCTTTTTTTCAAGATCACTTCGAGGATAATAACACCACTCCTTGACTACTGACGGCTATACCCGTCTAAATATTTCATTCTACTATAGCGTCTGTGATACCAATCTCTCAGGTTTTATTTTGAGCACCGGAGGCGCCACGGCGCTAGATGGATAGTTTTTGTATCTTGTTCCACCTTCTCTGATATAATCTTCTATCCATGTATCTAGTTAATGTATGTACTATTTTAACGCAATCTCCCCATAACGGAGGTATTGCAAGTCCCGAATTTGAAAAAGAAAAGAAAGAAAAACATCTCAAACTAAAAAAATGGGTATCTATCAAGCACACCAAACGCCAAACCCAACAACCCAAGCGCCGTGCTACTGCCCCAGATACTTCAAGACCTCATCACTAGTATAAAACAACTCCCGCAACCTTTCTCCCCTCTTCCTAGCCTCCAAATGGCCTCGCCTGACCTCCTTGGCATTCAACTTCTGTACCTTAGCCGATCTCACAACCTCCCTCCCCTTCCCAACCTCCTTTCCCTCCCCATCATCCCCAGCCCCTAAACCAACCGTGTCAGCCTTCACTTTCCCCTTCAATGGCTCCCGAATCCCTTCCCGCCCCGCAACCCCCAATCCCACTCTACTATCCGGATCCCACCCATAAGCAGCCAAATATCTCAACCCCCGCCTCGTCCGATCTAAATGCGACGGCGGATGCGAATGTGCCAAACACACCTGGTGCGCCAAGGACGCCTCATGCGGCCGGTCGCCCGCAACCGTAGGCCCCTCTCCATCAATCGGAAGATCACAAACGTCACATCGCGGCGCAACAACAGCAGAAGGCGAACTCGGAGCCGACTGTACGGTCTCTACGGCCGAATCACGATGTCCATCTTCACATGATATCCTCGGCGTAGCGGGTTCCGAAGCCTGCTTTTCTTTTGGTAATACAATAGATAGATATGTGTTCGCTATACTGGGGCCTGAAGAGGCAGGTTCCGCTGGCGCAGTCTGGGAGGTAGAGGTAGTGTTGAGTTCGTGTTCGGAGCGAACGAAAGGGACTTGTTTGCGGCGGATGCCGGCACCGAAGGGTCGTTGGGCTTCTACTGGGAGGAAGTAATCGTCGTCATTGTCGTCCGGCATGGTTGGTTCGTACGATAGGGCGGGTGGTTGTAGTTTGTTAGGTGACTTTACTGAATGGTACTAGTTACTAGTATATATATAGCTTGCTTGCCTCAGGCCTAGTTCTATTCCGTCGAAGCAGAGGGCGGTGGGCTGGGCGGTGACTTTATTTCGGGTCTAGACCCACCAGTTGACCCATGATTAGTACAGCTTAATTGTCCCTTTCCCTTTATTTTTGTTTCTCCCTGGGCTTTGTGTACATTCATCAACAATGCCTATTCCCTTGCTTGCACAGGGGTACCAGGAGGGTATCTCCTCTATTCCTTATGCGTGGGCGACTCTAAAGGTCGTGCCATGGGTACTTTTGGTTGGTGCTTTGAAGTATTATTTTGGGGGTGCCCGGAATCAGTCGGAGCGGTTGCTGCATTCGAAGGTTGTGATGGTTACGGTATGCTTATATGTCTTTGTTCCTGGCCTGATATAGGCCTAAGATGCCTAATGTGCGTTTCTACAGGGCGGAACATCAGGAATTGGAGCCAGCGTTGTTCACGAACTTGCATCCCGCGGTGCCCAGGTCATCCTCCTTACGCAACACGCCCCATCGGACATCTTCCTAATTGAATATATCGAGGATCTACGGAAATCAACGAACAACCAGCTCATCTATGCCGAGCAGGTAGATTTAGCCTCTTTGCACTCGATCCGCACGTTCGCGACGAAATGGATCGATAACGTCCCCCCACGCCGACTGGACATGATTGTCCTGTGCGCAAATACGGCAGTGCCTTCTTCCAGTCGAAAGCTGACCGGGGATGGACTGGACGAGGAGTGGCAGGTGAACTACCTTGCCAATTTCCACCTCTTGAGTATCCTCAGCCCGGCACTAAGGGCCCAGCCGGCTCATCGTGATGTGCGGGTCATTTTCACGACATGCTCGAGCTATATCGGTGCCAAACTCGACATGAACCAGATAGAAGCGACTTCTATTCCTGGCGCTGGTGCTTCTAACCGGGGAACGAAGTCTGGCAATAATGGGAAGAAAACAAGGGCTCAATCGAAATCAAAGCCTAGTCTTTTCGGAGCAAGTAAACTTGCGTTGATGGCATTCGCTCATTCCTTCCAGAAGCACTTAAATGCTTATGAACGCCCTGATAAGATGCCTCCGTGTACGCGTGTGATTGTTGTTGACCCTGGCTTCAGCCGCACTCCGGGTACCCGTCGCTGGTTGACGGGCGGTTCCCTCTGGGGACTTCTTCTCTATCTCATTGCCTGGCCATTTTGGTGGTTGGTCCTCAAGTCACCGCAACAAGGCGCCCAGAGTATCCTGTATGCCGCCATGGAGGCCAAGTATGGCCGTGGCACGGGTGGTTGGATGATCAAAGAATGTCGGGAGGTTGACTTTGCTCGCACAGATATAAAGGATGAAGAGGCCGGGAAGCTGCTTTGGCAATTTAGCGAAAAGCAAATTGAACTCAAGGAGAAAGAAAGCGCTGTAAAAAGGGCACTGGCCAACAAGGAGCAGCAGGAGAAGGAAAATCAGACAAGCAATAACTCATCGAATCCTAAGTCTGCAGTGAAGGAACAGACCCCTGGGTCTCGACGAAGCCGAAAGGCGAACAAATAAACCACACGCCAAAAATGATTCGAACAAAAAAAAATTGATAGAGCTCCAAAAGCAATTTTTACATTTTCATGCTTTCTATATCTATGACTGTACTTGTGATATATGTTTGTAAGATCATGAAGGAGCACATAATAGCCAATTATTCAGTTAAACAAAGAGATATGTGGCTCGACAAAAGAAACAAAGAAAAAGAAATTCGTCTCATCCAGTCTACTGGGCTTTTTGTGTCTATCGAGGGGCGATTTCGATGATCCCTCCACCTTCGCATCATAGATCCAAGCATCCTCACGTAGATGATTCTTTAGATTAAAGTAATTTATTTCTTCAGCTGTTCCAGCAGCTCAGCAGGGGGCTCCTGGCGGTAGCCCTGAGGGTTGTTCTTTGTCCAGCGCCAGAGGTCCTCGCAAGCTTGCTCGAGAGTGCGCTCAGCCTTCCAGCCAAGCTCGGTGTGGGCGCGGGTGGGGTTAGCGGTGAGGTTGAGGACATCACCAGCACGGCGGGGGGCAACATCGTAGGGGAGATCGCGGCCAACAGCGGCGGAGAAGGCACGAATCATCTCGTAGACAGTGCTGCCCCGGCCGGTACCCAAGTTCCAGGCACGGACACCAGGGTTGTTCGAGCGCAGGTAGTTGAGAGCCTTCAAGTGACCATCAGCAAGGTCAAGAATGTGAATGTAGTCACGAATGGCAGTGCCGTCATGGGAGGCGTAGTCTAGCGCCGGACAAGTCAGTCAAAGCACATTCTCGCGCAAATCTGGAGAAGCTGGAACACTTACCGTCACCGAACACGAGGAGCTTCTCGCGCTTGCCAGTAGCGACCTGGGCAAGAAGGGGCAGCAGGTTGTAAGGAACACCCTGGGGGTCCTCACCCATGATGCCACTGGGGTGAGCACCAGCGGGGTTGAAGTAGCGGAGCAGAGCACCGTTCCACTTCTGCGCCTCAGCCTCGTTTCCAGCCTTAATGGCATTGTTGCGCTGAGCGTTGATAAAATCGGTGATGGCGGTCTCAACGGAGAACTTGGTGTTACCATAGGGGTTGGTGGGGCCCAGAGGGCACTCCTCGGGGATGGGGATCATGTTGGGGAAGCGGGTGGCATCACCGTAGACGGTAGCCGAGCTGGAGAATACAATGTTGTAGACATTGTGGCGGACCATGGAACGGAGGAGGTTGATAGTGCCGTAGACGTTGACATAGTAGTAGTCCAGAGGCTTCTCACCGGACTCACCGACAGCCTAATATCAAAAGCGCAGTTGTGAGTGATCGAGATACTCGAGGCGGAATTGGATAAGCATACCTTCAGGGCAGCGAAGTGAATGACGCTGTCAATGTCGGGATGAGCCTCGAAAACCTTGTCGAAGGCGGCCTCGTCGGTGATATCGACCTGGGCGAACTCGGCCTTCTTACCCGAGATCAACTCAATGCGACGAAGAGCTTCGGCGGAGGAGTTGTAAAGGTTGTCAGCAACGACGACCTTGTAGCCAGCCTCAAGAAGGGCAAGGGCAGTGAAAGAGCCAATGTAGCCCGTTCCACTATATGGTTGCGCGATCAGTCCATTGAGTCCATGGTGGGGCATACTATGCCGCGGAGGGTGCTATATCTTACCCAGTGACAAGGACTGAACCAGAAGGCATGATGGCAGCTGCAATTGAAGACGAGAGTAGGAGGCGTAGGAGAAGTGATTAGAAGGGGAGAATTCTCTGGAGAGAAAAAGAGAAGAAAGAAAGAAACTCAAAGACAACGAGCGCTGGTAACGGGATATTTAAGGGGTACCGCAAATGGATTGGTGGGGAGGAGGACAATTGCGGAGGGGCATCCGTTCGGGTGGATTGACCTGGAAGTTACGCATGTCACCCTGCAGGTGATGCTGGTATTGGTAATTTTGCGAAAATCAAATATAAACCACCAAATTCAAGCTTAGTATGTTATCTATGTATTCTTCACATATTGATAGACTATCATACGTGTTTTTATGCATTTTCAAAAAGACTATTCTTCATTTATTTATTTTATTCTTCCACTGAACGCGAATTCTTCTCTTTAATGAAATAACCCCTATTGCTCATCGCTAATTTTCTTTGATCGGTGATCAGCGGTACAGTCCCAGACACACGTAATGCACCTTAAGCTCTAACAGCCTTCTTGCGTGACGATCAACCCTTCAATTTTACAGGGTGGTATAGGATGCGTACCACTTATTTTCCCATCACTACACGTGCGTACCACGTACTATATACTTCCCATAAATCCATCCCGCTTGTCAATGGCAGGCCCCCCTTTCCTTAAATCGGACATATATATACGCAAAACAGGCTTAGGCTAAGAGTCTATACTTCAAACGAACTCCGGTAAGCTGTAAGACTGTCCATCGGATAATCAAACCCTGTGAGAAATCTGGTCAGTCACCCCATATCACCCCATGCGGTGTTCGCTCGGCATCATTCGACCGGGCACGGCAACCCCGGTTAGATGCCTTCCCCGGGTAAAGAACGGGCCATTCGGCAACGATCTCGGTTTGCAATGTCGGATAATATCTGGCATTTGCACTCTGGGGTCCCTAGAAGATAAACGAACGAATCCGAAGGAACGTGTTGGCGAGACATCTCGAGAGGGTCGATTCTCTCCGGTCCAGTCGTCCTACGCTGAGCGGGTCAAGTTCCACTTCGTCGGTGGATTAAACAGGCCCTACATACAAAGATGACCCAAGGGTCCAGCCCGTTAATAGCAGTCAAGTAGCAATGCGATTGTTGTTCCAACTTCGCGCCGAGTGTTGTCCGGTCGATTGGTCCCGAGCAATATACGGAGTGCTGCAATAAAGTGGCGAGCCATCTTACAGCCTCACCGCGTCCTAATATAGCAGTGCCATGAGGCTTCCTACGTATTTAGCGTCATCTTACCAATATCATCGCTTCTATAGGCTTTCACATAATGAACTTTGCTTCACAAGTTATCTCCTAAGGAAGATGGCGCAGGGTTGAGACGCTTTATAGAGCAACAAATGAACATACCCGCAAACCCACCTAGCTCATAAAGCTCATAAATGATGCTAGAAAGAATCCAACGTTATATTCCAGTTACACGCTTATTGTGCCACTCATAGAGACTTAAGTGTTAAAATTTTCTTGACTTTTGCCTGTCGACTTGAGATAGAACCGGGAAAGAAATGTACATTCAAAGAATAGAAACAAATATGGATATACGGCATCACCACAATAGACCGCAGAGGAAAGTTCATCCGAGAATATCTTGTCGATTGCCCTCTTCACTTATCGTTACTAGCGTCATCAAACTCCTGGGGAGTTGATCATGATCCTTTCTCACACATTGACTTTAACCAATTAGTGGGATGATCCCTTGGCCTTCTCAGCCAAACCCTTCGCCCGGCCATTCACTTCTTCATCCCGGGTCCACAAGCGAGGATGGCGAACAGCTCGTGAGGAACCCGGGTTTGGGGTGACAGAGTCTCTCCCAGGCTGGTGCAAGCACCGGTTAATTACTTTTTACTTTGCCTTCTTTGGCATAGAGGCCTATCCATGCCATGTCTTAAAAGCACCAGCTCTCAACAATGTATAGGTATGCGGAGCCATTCCCTCTCTAACCGAGCAGTTCAACATCAAGACCGATGGCCCGCATGAAGAGGTTGACATTACCAAGTCGTTGGCTAGCCATGTCAGCCGGGAGAGTCTTGCTATACGCCACGGTTTCCATAACACGATCCCTGTAAAACTGTTAGCACCGTTGCCTTGGAAGATTTACACCCACAGAAAGGATGAGCTCCAGGAGGCAGAAATCATAGAGACAACTTACTTCACGGCGATAACCAAACGTTGTTGTTGTTCGGGACTAGCTCCAATCCCGACCGCGGCCAAGAATTGCCACACATACATATCGTCGCCTGCATTGATAGAGCTAGGGAAGACGTCCCCAAAAGTAGGCTCTAGAGTGTCAAACAAGACGTTGAAATTTTCAACCCATTGTTGCCAGTCCCGTTCAGTGGCCTGTCCGGCTTCCTTCACGATCTCTGCACGGCTTAGTAGCATAGTCAGAATGCCTAGTCCGATGCGGGTCCTAGCAACCATGTGTACATGAGTCTGCGCGATAACCAACCCCAAGAGCCCGATAATAATGTTGAATGGAGCCTCATTAACATAACCCAGTAGGCTGGGCATAACCGCTTGCGAGAACAGATCGATAGCCTCTCTCATGGCTAGAGAAGGCTGCGTTTCACCAGGCGCTGGCTGTCCATGCCGAACCACGTCCAAACTATCCAGATGCACGACGATCATAGTAAGGATGGTAATCCGCTGTTCCTGATCAATGTGACGGAAGATACGGGGAATAGCCTTCTTGCCCTTGGGGTACGAAAGGAATGCAATGAAGGGGTGCGGGGTGCTTGTATTGGGAACGATAGGTTCCATAACTTTGAGCTCCTGCCACAGCTTCTGGTTGAGAGTGTGGACCTTCTGTCGCCACTCCATGTGCTGTTGAATCGCTTCGGGTTCGTTTTCGTTTGGTGGAGGCGGCATTGTGCGTTCCATATCTTCCAGTTCCATTAACGTGTCATATACACTTTCGATGTTTGTTAAGATAGACTTCCGGTCACTGAGACTAAGGTCGGTATGCGGTTTCTTAGTCACCTTAGCTCCTTCAGAGGTCTCGGGGCGCTTGATATTGAGCATTGGCTTTGGTGTCTTCGCATTACTGAAAGAGATCTTGCCCAAGCTTCCCTCGATGATAAGTTGCTTATTTTTCGGTTTAGCCTTGGCGGCTTCAACTGCACGCTGGACCTGCTGCTGCATTCTTTGCATGTGGTTATCGGCACTCTGTGCCTGTCGTCGGGATCCATGACCACCGAGACGATTACCCGTCTGGAGAAGGTAGGTTTGTGCAAAATGACCGAGGGGCTGATGCGGGTGCTGTCTGGGCGCACCTCGGATCTGGCTGTAGACTTGATAGTAGAAGTCCTCAGCTAAGACAGCCTCCGAGTCTGCGCCTGCAACATTACCCGCGGCTGCTACTAGTTGCTGGAGCTGAATACGGGTGATGAAATTCTTGTCTTGCGGAGTCATCAGCCCATTACCCTTAGAAAGAAGGAAAATCTTGTGATTGCGCTTTGCACGCTTCGCATCTTCCATCAAGTACGCTACACGCTGTTCCTCCGTCAGCTGCATCAGCTGCTGAGGGTTTGTGATCAACGGCAGTGTGCCATTCGTTCCCCGTGAACCCTGCGACGTGTGGTAGGGCATCGGTGGCGGCGTCTGTTGCTGCTGTGGCTGCTGTTGTTGCGCCTGCTGCTGGGTCCGCTGCGCACGCGGGGGCCCTTGATGGTGAGGGGGAACCATGTGCTGGGGAGGAATATTGGCATTCTGCAGCAGATGCAATGGTATATTGGGGGGAGGATACGGCTCATGAACCATCGGGGGGTGATGCATCATCTGTGCAGGCGGCACACCTTTGGCAAACTGGGCCTGTAAGAATTCAGGCGGCAGCTGTGGGAAGCCTTCTGGGAGACCAGGGATCTGCTGAGGCCGCTGCAGAGGATGGAGTGCTTCAGCCATCGAGTGAGGAAGGGACACTGGGGGTAAGCCTGGCGCGGGTCCAATGCCCTGGTAACGCAACTGCGCTTCCACTTCCTCCAAACTCAACATCTTCCTGGTCTGCAACGCCGGCTGGGCCATGGCTGCGGGCGCGGGCGCGGGCGAGGGGGTGGACTCGGGCTTCTTCTGCAGATTCCATACACTAGATTTCGCTTGGAGATCAGGGATGTAATCCGGGTCCGAATATTTCTCATATCCCGTGCGCTTGGGCTTCTGGGCTGCGGTGCTCGTAGCAAGAGTCTCAACGGGTACCTCGGCGACAGGGGCGACAGCAGGAGCTTGGGGCTTCTGTAGGCTATAACGGACCTGCTCCTCTCCAATCGCATCGGCTACCTGGGCAGTCTTCCCGAAGAAGTCAAAGTCCTTGCCGACATGGCCAGAGCCGAGCTCCTCGCCGAACGTATCGTCGTTAAACGCATCCTGGTCATCATCGAGCTGATCTCCCAGACCATCATACGTATCCTCGAAATCAATTCTGGAAATAGACGAGAGATTAGTTACTTGGTGGCGAGGAGTCCCTTCGTATATGAACTATGAAATTGGAAGCGACACCAAGGGGGATGGGCAGTCTTACACATCATCATCGTCGTCATGATGTCCTTCCACTCGGGCGCGAGCGACTTCGGCAAACGGGTCAGGGGTATCAAAAATACCCCTCTGTCCACCTCGATCCCTCGGCAGGGTCGTATCAAAGCCGAAGAAGGACATCTTCAGCGGGACGTGGATGCAGGAGGATGGGGTAACAGGAGAGCGAGATTTACCGCCGCATAATTGTAGTGCGGGATGAAGTTGACCTTCCGGTCTGATATCACCCGCTTACCGACTCCAGGTTAGTGCCAGCGCAGGATATTCATGCCTGAGGCAACAACATTTGACAATTCAAGTTCAACAAGTGCACGGGACCTCAACATGGATCTGTTCCTTTTTTGTTCCATTATGGCAGCGAAAGGGAATACATTGGCCTTGTATAACCTTCTTTCCATTCTCATCTGTGACAATCGATCCAGCTTCTGCCCCAATCCCCAGGCAGGAATAGATCGTCGCCTTCAGAGTTGGCTTTTGCCCCATTCAAACATAAAACACAGTCTGAAGAACTGATGTGTATAAATCAACACGTATGGAAAGATGAATCGAACCTTTTTCTTTTAAAATTTTTTTTTTTTTTTACTTTCTCATATTTAAGTATATAAAGAACTCCTTTCATTCTTAGTATTGAAATGTTTACCTCACTAGAACATAGCACCTCTAGCAATAAATTTACCTACTTCCATAGCTACTACTACTGTACGAATAGGGGAGTGAGTCTTGGCCAATAAAAATCATAGAGAACATTACGTTGGCATTCCGCAGCCAAATCATGGTCTCAAGACGAAAGGTTCGACTTTTTCTTCTGTTCCTATAATTTCTCCTTGACTTGTGAAACTCAACATTCATATTTGTTCCCGTCCCCGACGGAATTCCTGTAAAGGGTGGGGATCCTGCAATTTCCTTGCTGACTAGAGGGTGATTTCTTCTTCCTGAAAGTGTCTCTCCCCCTTGTCTCATTGCTGTGGCCTCCATCGCCGCTCCCGCTGTCATCCTGTACTAAGTTGGGTCCTTCGGACGACATACTTAGACAGCCCTGTTTCTGATTGTCGGCTTAATTTACGAAACCATTTAAATCATCTCCGCCCTTTTCTTCTCCTTGTCATTCGTTTAGTTCCGCGTGCTACATCCCCCTTGCTTTGCGACCTGTCCGTTTTCGTATAGAAGCCAAGTTCGCCCCTCAGCCTAGGCACCCATCGTCAACATCAACAGGGTTCCAATTGTCCCGTGTCTGGCACGGTAGGGACATCTTATCACCATGTCATCGGGACCGGTGAGATATGTGCGATATCTTCTTTTCGCCGCTGTGGTTAGTGGTTTTCTGTCCCCATGCTATTCCTTACCAGTGGCTAACTTGGGATATATCGATATAGGGTTTGGCGCTTTTCTTTTTCGTCTCCAGAAGCGCTCTTCCTATTCCCGAAACCATCGGGTCGAAGTTAAACCCGTCAAACTACAAAGACACTTCCACTTCCACTTCTTCATCCTCATCCTCTCATGGCAATGCAGCTACCTCGAAGGAACATACCAACGGTGTTCCAGGGAACGGGAGCGCCCTTCAGGGTGAACGGGTCAATGCTACTTTTGTGACTTTGGCACGCAATTCCGATGTCTGGGATATCGCGAAATCGATCCGGAGTGTCGAAGATCGCTTCAATCGCAACTACCATTATGATTGGGTCTTCCTAAACGATAAGGAATTCGATGACAACTTCAAAAAGATCACTACGGCACTGGTTTCTGGCAACACCCATTACGGCGTTATTCCAAAGGAACACTGGTCGTATCCTGAGTGGATTGACCAAGACAAGGCGGCCAAGGTGCGCGAGGATATGGGCCAAAAGAAAATCATCTACGGTGATTCCGAGAGCTACCGACACATGTGCCGTTATGAGTCTGGATTCTTCTTCCGTCACCCGTTGATGCTGAATTACGAGTACTACTGGCGTGTGGAGCCCAGCATTGAACTGTTCTGCGATATTAGCTTCGACCCGTTCCGATTCATGAAGGAAAACGACAAGAAGTATAGCTTCGTTCTCAGTTTGTATGAGTACTTCGACACCATTCCCACTCTCTGGGATAGTGTGAAAAAGTTCATGAGCAACCACCCGGAACACATAGCCAAAGGGAACTCCATGGGATTCTTGAGCGACGATGGCGGAAAAACTTACAACAAGTGCCATTTCGTAAGTTCCTCGCATGTTTAGCCGTGATTCAGCTTCACTAACGCGAATGTTGTGAGCAGTGGTCGAACTTTGAAATCGGACATCTAGAATGGCTCAGATCCAAAGAATACCTTGATTACTTCGAATCCCTTGACCACGACGGCGGCTTCTTTTATGAACGATGGGGCGACGCTCCAGTGCACTCTATTGCTGCTGGTCTGCTCCTGAAAAAGGAGCAGATTCATTTCTTCAATGAAATTGCCTACTACCATATTCCCTTCACACACTGTCCGACTGGTGAGCAGTTGAGGCTGGATCTCAAGTGCCACTGCAACCCCAGCGAGAATTTTGACTGGAAGGGCTATTCCTGTATGTTGATACTCACTGCTACCAGGATCAGCTTACTGACGTATATTACTTCATCCAGGCACTTCCCGCTTCTTCCATGTTAATGATATGAAAAAGCCCGCGGGTTACGAGGATGAAAGTTGACTAGCCGTCCTCGGGAAAGTCTTCCTCTCAATTATCATCATTGGTGGCATTGTCCTTGCGATCAGCAAAAGCGTTCGAGTGCGAGTGGTCCATGGCGGACTATATCTACTTGATCGAATTGCCGCTGTTTGGACGGCCTATCTCAGACGCTGAGTAGCACCATACGAGAAGGTAGAATCCTTCGCTAAAATTGGATCTAACTGTAGATGCTGGACATTGGCCTTGTGGGCCCTTCTTTGTTCTTTCCATACGTTCGTGCGTCGTTCGCATGTCTTATTAGAGGGATCTTTGTTCGTTTTCTTTCCTTGTTTCTAGGAAGTGATTGTGCATATTCATGGAGCGCTAAGGTTACAGCAGGGCAATTATCATACTGTGTTTTGAGTTGAGGGGGAAAAGCAATTAGCCCATTCAATATCAAATCCCATCATAAATGTACATAGCTATTTATAACGATAACGACGATAACAGTCCGTTCGACAGAACCAAGTAGATAGTACAATACAGGCATTCTAGCATCGCCTTCTCACCCATCCACCTTGTCAGGGTATCTCTCCTCTCCAAGCGCAATTAATTAATCCCTCTTCGGCTTCTTAGTACCATATTTGGATCTGCTTGTCAACCGGTTGGCAACACCACCCTATAAAAGCCGTCAGCAACCACATCACTCAACCAACCCATCGACACTAAAGCGGAAAATGGCGACTTACCAGATCCATAGCACCCCGAACCAAATGGTACTTCACACCAGGGCAATCCTGAGCACGTCCACCACGAACAAGAACAACACTGTGCTGCTGCACATTATGGCCTATAGATCATCCAAGTCAGCGTCAATTGCCGAACAAACTCCCTCCCAGACCAGCATCAGAACGGGGAAGACCAACCTTCACCAGGAATATAAGCCGTAACCACCTTGCCACTACTCAAGCGTACTCTTGCCGTCTTCCTCTCACCGGAGTTAGGCTTCTTGGGCTTCGTGATACCCGTCTTCAAGCACACACCCTTCATCTCAGGCCTATCTTTGAGCGCGGGAGACCGGGCACGGCGCGCCCGCTGAGCAACACGGCATCCGCGACGGACTTGGTTGTAGGTTGCCTGGCGGAATGGGGAGGTCGAGAACTGGCGGATTGCAAGGCTGGGAGTGGCTGCGGCCGCAACGGCCGTGGGTGTGCGGAGGATGGGTTGGAATCGGGGGATGGAGTATGAGGGCTTCGGAGCGGCAATGGCAGTGAAGGTGGGACGCTGAATGATAGTCCGCAGCGTACGGATGGTGAGAGATGAGACGAATGGCGGCATTCTGGGGTGAGAAGTGTGGCGATGGCGGTCCTGTATTGCCTTCTATTGTCGGAGGTTCTGGTATAATTGATCGGGGACAATTTGCGATAGCGCTCACGTGATTCATCGGCTATTGCAGACGTGGTGCGCAAGGGACACCGGAGGAGCTGGACGCGCTATCCTACCGCTGCCTTACCTGAGTAGGTCACTGGTCTATCGTCAGAGCTTCTGGTATCTCTCTAACCTCTACTGCTTTCTTGCCCGGCTTCATCTTAAACGTTCACTTCCCCCATCATCCTCCACCACTTATCCACAGTCTCTAGAAGCTGTTCCATCCCAATAGATCTCCCCAATATTACCATAAGTCTCTCTCCTTCAAATCCACTACAATGGTACGTACTCACCTCCTACCCATCACCACCGCCCTCCATACAACACCCCATCCAAGAAACAAGAAACACATCAATTAACAAAAAAATCAACCAGTCTCTCCGCATCGCCCCAGCCACAAACCACCGCACCCAAACAACCAACACAACCACCCGCCAAAACATCCCCATCTCCCTCCCCCACCCCTCCAAAGGTGCCCCCTCAGCCCCCGGTCTCCCCGACACCCTCCGCGACAACATTACCCTCCCCGCGCCTCGCGGCCCTCCCTCCTCTCAATCCGAAATCCCCGCCTCCGCGCACCCACTCGAAGCCCGTCTCCTCGCCTGGCGCCAAACGCAGGATGCAATGAAAATGGAATCGCTCCGTCGGGCATACGGCATCGCCGAGCCCGTCCGCCGCGGCATGGAACTGAAGTTGGTACGGGATGGATCGTTCCGCCCGGCTGTGCTGGGGGGTACCAAGGGCGGGAACGTCCATGAGGATATCCTAGTACTGGGGGGCCGGGATGCGGAAGTTGGATGGGAGGATGTGTTTCAAGGTTCGTCTTGTTTTGTTGCTATATCTACCCTGTCTTATCTTCTTCGTCCTCATCTTCATTGTGTCGGTTTCGATTGCGGGATTTTGGGCGGGGAGGGGTTGAAAAGATATTAGTGGGTTTTAGTAGTATTCGCGCGTGACTAACTTAGTATACTATAGGAGACGAGTTCAGGGAACCGGCCACTTTCCACGACGAGATGGAGAAGAGGCTACAGATGGATTTCTAAGGACATGGACATGGGGCTTTGACGGGGCTCCGGTTATGAAACGTTTCGTTGGTCGTTTTATTTTAATTCGTTGGATGGGTCGTTATGATTCTTTTCTCGATACAGGCAGGATGCATACAAGAGTATTTGGGACGCGGCTCATGATATGCTGAGCGAATACTACTAGATGCAATTTAGACATACGGTTGCATGGACGAATTTCTGGCTAACACGTATCGACCGTGGGTGGGATCGTAGGCTGGGTCGCAGATATAAAGGGAGCCTTTGTACACCCTATGTGTAGCGATATTGTCTCAATAGTGACAGTGTCCCGGGTCATGTTACGATCAAAGGAAACCACAAGCCTTGCACTACTTATGATTGCTTCTACCTAGATCTTGCAGAGGCTAGGTTTCCCGCGGTCTTGAAGACAAGATTGTTGCGACAATTCTGTCAGGGTGTAGTATGTGCGACAGAAATTCCAGCTAACATGTTTCCGACGGTAATGGACGTCACTTGATGAGCCATGAAATAGTAAAATTTTGCTAATATGTAGACACATGCTGATAAACAACAGCTTCGAGGATCAAGGAAAATAGGGTATATACGAACGGGGTGAAGGACAAGAGCAGCATCGAGCAACTCAGGTAGTTATGCAAGCAAACGGAAACCATAGGACCAGAACACTGTCAAAACAAAAAAAAAACATATACCACACAAATGCCTCAGTGCTAGACGAGCAAATAACTAACATCCGGAACGCCGTCCCAGTTTACGGTCACAAGTGGCCAACTAGATAACCCGCATCGAGGCCACGAAGCGATGGCCATGCCAAAGCGCTCACAAATAAAAAGAGGACAGAACCAAGACAAGATAGATGGACGGGGAATGCGACATTATGAGCCCATCGCACCCAGCAGGAAACCAACTGGCCAGGGCCTCTGCTAATTTGGGTAGAGGACGACAGAGCAGAATAGCCAGTACCGGATGTCCAGTTTATGTCGGAGCTGGCAAGGATACAACCCCCATCATCTGCTGTATGTGCAAGTATTCAATCCAATGATTTCATTGGATAATGCAACGGCATCCCGGGCTGCGTTCACTGGCTTCGCGTTCCCGTGTGTACTGTGCCTTGGCACCTTTTGCATCCTCTTCGTCGATAAGCTCCTGAGGCTTGACCGTCATATGCACCACGTTAGGGGCATCGTGGTTAAATTTAGAGTCTAGACCATAGGTTAGCACATATCCAAGCGTCATTTTAGATAGTAAAAATATCGCATACCTGATAGAGGGGCTTTATCGTCAAGCAATTTACCAAACGAGATCAGCCGAATGTAACTAGGCGACGATGGTCGCGGCTCCCAATCTATGAAGATGCGCACGTCAGCTTCAGTCGCACTCAAATCGGGACTGATCCATGATATCTAATACACACCTTGCCGCCACTCTCTAAAGATCAACTCCTTGAGTGTATATACGCTCATAGCAAACGGATCGTAGTTTTCAACATTCACCGACCGTTTTCGGAGATATTGCCCGTCGATCTTGAATGGATGCCGCGAACCTGACGTCAAGAGCAATGTAATCACCAAAGACGGGCCGTTGTCTTCTTCCTTTGCATCAGACTCTTGCGATGGCTGCTCTGCAGGGCGCGTCTCAAGTGTCGAGGCTCCCGACTCAGTAGGGGGTTGGTTGGGAGCATTCGCATCACTTGGTGAATGCGTTGTGGTAGCGCTTTCGCCACCGGCGACGGGCTGCGAATCGGACGTTTCAGTCACTGTATCATGTTGAGGGGTACTTTCATGATGGTCAAGAATTTGTGAGCTCTCTGCAGGTGCTGAGGGCGAGACGGGAGCGGGTACTGGTTGCACATTGGATGCTTGAGAAGGTGCAATAGTGGTAGAGAGGGAGCGCTCATTGTCGTGTCCAAGGCTCAGGCTATCCGTCTGCAAATTGTCGTCGTTGGAGGCCATGTTCTAGCTTGATTCCCCCGGATGGGCGCTGACGCTAGGAGAGGTAACAATGATGGAAAGCGATAGGGTGATGAGGATGGGAGAGGATGCTTGGGGTGTTAAACGAGGGGAACGGTGATTGATTATTCTACTCCGATAGGAACAAGGATGGCGAAAACAGTTGTTTGGCAAGCGGGGGGAAAGAGGAGAAGGAACGATAAACGAGAGGAGCAAACGAGGATGAGACCAGTGATCCGCGGCTAAAAAGGAGGCGGGAGTGGGTTTGAATAAAGGGAAAAAAAGAGGTTCAGGCCAAACGGAGGAACCAAACGGAGGGATTCTATTTCGGGAGAAAGATGAAGGGGGCCATGCGACCGACGAAAGATAAAGGAGAGAGAGAGAGGAACAGGGAGTAAACAGTGTTGAGCTGGGTGGGTGTACTTTTTGCCCGGTAGGTAAGGTAAATAAGTATGGGAGGGAGGCGAGAAAGCCAAGGAGGTGAGACAATTCGAAGAGAGGAGATAGAAATAAATGCCTCGAACTGAAGCAAAAGCACCGGCAACAAGAGTTGAAGTTTGGTTCTCTGGGGGCGGAGAAGAAGGGGAGAAAAAAAAATAAAATAAAAAAAGGGAAAGAAAGGCGGTGATCTGGTTGGTCTGTTAGTCTTGCCGGATCCCCTTCTGTAACCCTACAGGGGAAATAGCTTGGTTGAACGAGTGGAATGACAGGTTATAGATGAGCAATTGATTTGGTATTTCCCCCCCCAAACTAGATGGTCACTTTTCCTTTGTCTTCGGATTTGATGACAAAACTTCGGGAGGGCAAATAGAGCACTGTTAACTGATTGCCGATCATCTCGTCCCGTGCGGAGATCCTGCAGCAACATAAAAAGTACGGACATATCACATGTAGCCGGAAGTATGTATGACGTGGTTTGTCTTCTTATGTCTGATTAGAATAAATTAAAAATTGCGGTGCATATGTGTCAAGATATCTATCAAGAAGAACCTATTGCCTCCGTTTGAGGGATACCGATATATACATTTTTAGAGCTATCCCCCCCAACATGGTCCCATTCTCTCATCGTCAATTTAATTACTGATATCGGAAGTAATGCAAGTCAGTCCGGAAGTCAACAGAAAGCATAAAATAAAACTCGGGTTGTGTTTTATTCTCTGATCAACGTACTCATCCTACCAGTAAGCTCCTGGGTGGAAATGCTCTCACCTTGATTGTCTCATAGAATACCAAAGGAAAAGGACTACGCCGCAGCAGATGAACATGAATAACGCGCCTGAAAATATCCCACTTCAAATCTCAACGGATTCAATCCTTGAGTAGATAGAATTTTGTATTTTCAGTATTGTAGATTGGCTGACACCAAGCCATTGTATTCTTAAGTACTAGTGCCTCGGGATCAAAAGCTTCCATGGCCGGCCAAGCGTGTTACCAAACACCATTATAGGTCTTACAAATGATATCATGTCCAGTTCGCCCCCTATGCACGGAATAGCTTATATCATCCTCCCACTGTTATAAAAATTGGTCTACACTTTTATATTGATCAGTGTGGCAGTTTGCTGTCATGTAGTGAAATTCTACAAGTGACATCCGTGTACCCAAGGAACCCACTAGTCGATTGAGTTGCTGACTTGTTCCAATATTATCTATCTCCTTTGTGGCTAAGAAGTGTGCGACTGTATTACTCAACTAATTCGTCCGGAGTGGAGAATAGGCTCCTCTTCTAGAGCTATATGCCTTCCTAAGGAAAGACCTTTCTTCCACAGCCTCTGGGAAACAGCAGAGCGTCGAGAAAACGCCAATCTCAAAACAGAATCAGACTTGGCTGTTGGCGGTGAGCGTCTCCTCGACTACGTCATCTTATAGATACTGCTATATGAGGAATTCGGTAGAACTCTTTTCACTTCTTTGGTCCAAGCCCAAGCTGAGCTAGCAGACTTCAAACATCCTGTACGCGGAAACTCATAGCTAAACAGATCGGGTATGTGCGGCTGCTCTAGACTTTCGGCCGATACTTCATTCGATACTTCATTCCTATGCTAGTGAATAGCCTGCTTTTTCTGTATTGCTCTTCATTAATCCGTATTTAATACAGCTAACACAGCTAACAAAGCCCAGTTTATTTAATAATTGCTTGGAAGAGGAACGCTAAGTGATTAGAGCATTTACTAGAAAGTCTGCCGAGTCTGCATCAGCATAATGCCCATATTCACATATTCGGGCATTCACAGCCACAATATAGATTTTATGCTGGACTTTCAGGCGCCCATTTGATTCTATATTAGGTCTAGCCTCCGTTTGTTGGCTTCCCTAACATAAATAGGGTTGCCCTCCCTGTTCTCGAAGCCTTCCAGTGAGAGATCCATCCGGCAACGTGAGGACCTAGGTTCTTGATTCCTCGCCATTCTTTTCACTTATCACGAAGGTTCAGTATTTAGTTTGGCCAAGTCGATAGTCACAGAAGAGAGACATTTCTTCTCTTAATGATTATACACATGTGTAAATGGACCTTTACTCTAGCCGAGGACTTATACGGTCAAATAGTTTGGGGCCGCTGCAGTGTATCCTTGGACGCTTCTGGTCTTATGGTCTCTTCCCGCCACACAAGGTAAACAAAAAGGCGTCTGCCTGGCAGTCTAACAATCAGACTATATCCTGCTTTGACTTGCTTTGCTCTCTTAGGTAGTTACTAGGTAGAAGTTAGCCCCATACAGATAGTCAAGCGAAAACTTTGGTCTTTGCACCCACTGCTAAATATCTCTTTCCAAAGTTCATCCTCGTTCAAGAGTGATGATATATGGGGCCCTAGGCATTACTTTTAGCCTAGCAGACCTATAATTGTCCACGAGCCAATCGTTAGTACTTCCACCAATTCGATCAGTGTCTGACACCACAACAAGTGTAGGCTTTGGCGCATGGCGATCCTCGAGCTCCTTGGGCTCAAATCTCCAATCAGAATGGATGACATCGGATACCTCCTTAACTCCCGTCCCAATTCTGGTTACATCTAACCGTGCCCCGAGCCATTTGGTGGACAAAATCGTCCTCACTAAGGCTGTGAATTTCCAGAAATTGAAGGTTGACTTTTCCTCATCATCTATTTTGCTAAAAATCACTTGCCGTAGGAATATTTTTCGCGCCGTCCAAAGTGGTCAATTTAGACCCAATGATACTTCTAAAGAGCCACTGAAGAAGATGAGTAGGAACTAGCTAAGTAGGTGTCCCGAAGGAGAAACTAGTTTTGCCAACTCAGCGTCTTTGCGTAGACTTTAAGATATTTCAGAGGCGAGAAGCCGGCGGTCAAGAGGCAACCTGCCGTTTTGCAAGCGGGCAGAAAAAGCCCCTAATTTCGTAGTCATATTTCATAGTTGCTTAAGCATTCCAGAGACACGCAAGGAGCAATGGGATGTACTGACCGCTACCTATCCGGTACGCAGTTGAGGAGCCCGTTGACCAATCGTCACTTTTGCTAGAAACACTAAAGCTAATGTGATTACAAAATATATACCTTGCTTTGATTAACCAAGTTGCTGTTCTTGAACGGTACTCTTTCTGAGTCCGGGAGAAAGTACCCCAGATGGATTTCTGCAAGCGCGTTGAGAAATCGTTGATACTTACGCTTTGATTCTGTATATGAAGCAGACCTAGCACGTCTCCTCCTTCCTACGCTTCAGGTATATTCTTGCTTTCATGTTCTGTCCATTCTTTGAGCAAGATGAGCTTTTACTCAACCTTTGGGTTCAAATGACGCGGTTCTCTTTGTTAAGGAATAATTTCTGCCGTTTCAAGAAATCGAATATCTAGGGCATAGTCGCAAGGATCTATGCATGACTATTCCGAGGTCGGCGTATTGGTTGTCCTACCAGTGTAAAAACCGTCCTTCTCACAGCTCTTTACCCTGCATTCCCCATATTGTGGAGATGCATATTTGACCCTACCGCCGATTCATCCCGGAAACATCCTCGCAAGATCTACACATGGTAGGAAGATGAGCAAATCACCATTAAAGAACGAGTTGATCCGACGCGCTCCCCCTCGCTCAGTTTAGTGTAGGGGCGAGCAGCAATGTCAGGTGATATCTTTGATCCACTGTTGTGATACTCAGTGAAATAAGCACCTAAGAAGTGGGTCTTGAATCCTACAGGTTGTGTGGAAGTGGACGATTGATAATAAGTCCCCATATAGAAAATAATTTACTCATCGAAGGCCTTTGACAATGTGTATGGTGGGTCGTCTAGACCGACGAGACATGTTCCTACGCGAAAATATCGGGAGGAATTGGAATGATGTTGCCATCTCATAGATCACTAGAGGGGGAAGAATTTTTCACGATCTTCCGCTAAAGTTTTTCTATCTATAGAACGACAAGTATAATTTTGTTGATAAGGGCCGGGTAAAACGGCTATCTTAGAAGCGGGAAAAATTGCCGAAAATCCTGTTCACTTAGTGTACTGTACATGTCGCCTCATCAGTCAGACAATTGAGTAATTGCTAGGGCCAAAACTAGACTATCTCCACCTAGGGTCGCAATATTTTCTGTGCTGCGTCTCCCTGATCTACAAGATACAGTGGCTATATGCAGACAAATTAACCCTAGAGAAAGGGGGCTAGAAAGAAAAAGGGGAAGATAAAGAAAAGGAAAAATGAAAAAGAGCAACCAATTAGAGAAACCTAGGGTTTTACAGTATTCTGAGATATAGTTGGACCATTACTTTCCATGTTTTGGAATGGAGGAATATGAGGTTGATGTCACGGACGTGTAATTCCTTAACTACTACTAGCAAATTGTATCCCAGATGGGAGAGACTAAAGTGCCAATCTGATGACAGGGATTAAAGGCTCTCACGCCACCCAACCACTCTAATGTTCAAACATGTTACAATCGTTTCTTTTTCGGCCAGGTCACCTGCCAGGCAAATCTTCTTTCCTCACCTGACCATACACTTGAAACATTGTTCATTACTATTACTTAGGAAGAACAATACAGTCGAAGAGGGTCCAGATAAGACTCAGTGGGTCCCCTTACCTTCTGGAATGTCTGAACTATAGAGCACCCCCAATACTTGCTTAGCTCTGTCGTCGTCTGATCGCCACAACAAGATTTCTACCTCCAAACAAACTGGAAAATGGCATCACAACCCCTGACCTTCGTGACATCACTCGCTACTGAGGACGCGTCGACAATAGCAAGTAGATAGTTGGTCCTAATGAAATAAATTCAAGGAGAAAATGAGGTACCGAATCATCCGATCGCATTTCAATGTCAGTTGTATTGCGATACCTTGGGTCGAAATTGATGTGCCGGTGTCTGGATCGCTCAGCCGTGGTACCCGGATACACTACAACGTCTAGTTGAGGTCAAGTGGACCTTCAGGTGCTATCGGGCAATTCTGGGCTCTGATATGCAGACTCCGCTGCAGATATCTTTTTGATGCAATCCAAAGTCTCCTGGACTGGGCCTAGACTTGGTTGGGTCATATGCCTAAGCTCCCAATACATCCCGACCATTGTGCTTTAGCTACTAGTCTCTACTATTTACAGACAATGGACGCCCTCCTACATAGTTTGGTTTTTCTCTGAATCCATTGTCCCTTCTCCCTTTTCTCTCACACACAACAATGCGACAGCGCTCGCTACCCACCTCCGACATTATGACTCGGACAAAGTCCAGTGAGCCTGAGCTCACCATCAACTTCACTGAGCCAGCGGTATTCGTGCCCACGTACACAAATAAACCCGCTGTGCTCCGGGGTTCTTGTGAACTGAAGGTCAAAGAAACGTTAATGGTGAAAAGATTGACGGTGAATTTTCGTGGAGTCTCCCATGTACACTGGCCTCATGGTAAGAAACTTAGGGTGCTAATAAAGCACCCAATCTACAAACCGACACCAGGAATTTTGTCTGACCCAAAAAAAAATTAGGTCTTCACGACTCAAATACCATCACAGATCGTACATTGACGGTATTCGGCCCGAAAACCCCAGGGACCGTAGTACCAGATCATGTCGATCAGGAAAATCTCGGGACGCTGGACATGGGGCGTACAGAATGCAATACATCACGTCAAAAATGCGGATTGTGGAATACCATCGCAAACAAGTTTTGCCCAAAATGCAGGAATGCTGCCGCGCCAGATTGTCGGCTATTATCTCCCGGTATCTACACTTACGATTTCGAAATGATTCTGCCCCCTCAACTACCCGAATCCGTTAATGTACGACGGAGCCATGTTCGATACAACGTCCGAGCATGCGTTGAATGCCCGGGGCCTTTCAGACACAATATTATACGGAATATGCCAATCGCTGTTATGCATTGCCCGGCAGAGGACTTTGTGGAGGATGCAGAGCCAGTTTACATCACCCGGACCTGGAAACGTTTGCTTCGATGCGATCTCCTTATGTCGAGAAGAGGCGCTCCTCTCTGCCATAGATTACCTGTGGCCGTGTCCTTTGCCGAGCTGGGGAATGCAAAGTTCCATGGGTTGCAAATTTATCTGTCAGAGAACGTCCAGTTTCTCCGAAAAGACGGACTCATTTCCTGCCTCGGTCCTTTCAAGAGGGCCCTCTTATATGAGGCGACAGATGGTCTTGTATCGACTATGTCTCCCTACAGATTGGGTGAGGATGACCACCCGGCAGGAGACAAGAGCGGCTTTGGTGTACAAGAGAGTGTTGTGCTTTCGGAATGGGCGGAGAAATCCGCGAACTTCGAAGTTAGAACGCTAAATATCGACTTGGCGTTACCCCCATGCCAGGACCATTTCGAGGATGATTGGATGCATTTTACCACCGAGTATAAGAGTGTACGGGTGAGCCACTGGCTTGAGGTAAGACCATCAGTGATTTTTTTGGTCCTAAAAAGAAAACCATTGTAGTAATGACGTCTAGTTTGTATTCTCCATGTCTAGATATGGGGCGCCAATTACAAACGGCGCGCCAGTCGTGCAGAAGATCGCCAGAGCTCCACTGGCGCTGCGATCCTGTTATGCACAACAGGCAAACGCATCCCTACCAGCTTATTCACAGTCATGTGATATTCACCATTTTGGCGCAATTTCCGCTGAAGGATCGTTCGACCAAGATCAGCCATGTTGGGTGGGAGACGATCACAGATATTCAGTTTCGTGATGACGAGTTTGAGTTTCCCGAAGGATGAACATAAGCTTTCCAAGTTCACTTAGCTTTCCTTGCGACCAATGATAGTGGCAAGTTTGGTTATGAGAAACTTGAAGACAATGGTTAACCACGAAACTCGAACGACGAAGGAAAAATTTTCTTCTTACTTCGCATGTTGATTCCATGGTGGGGACGACTCGGGGTGGAAATAAAGATGCTCTGTGAACGGGTATTACATCATTGGCATGCATACAGATCCACCTTCACCCAAATTTCTAGACCCCGATCATGCTTCTAAGTGGCCCTTCGTGCATTCCCCCAGTCAGAGAAAACCCTCATGATGTCAAGGACAGTAGCACCACGGTCTAATCGATTGTGGAGGTGAAAAGCAGTCTTCCCATAGGTGTTCCTCCCATATTGGAGTATGTGACGCCACATACTACTATATGCGGTATCTCCCGTCGACGATTGTCGACCTGGTCATGCCCTGCTTAAAGTCTGTCTTCTCCTGTCGTCATGCTCAAAATTTTTCTTTCTCTCAGGTCAACAACGTCTTATATATATAACAATTTTTAATTTCTTCTACAAACCGGCTATTGTGCATTGCATTGTTCTTCCTACGTAGGATAGTGCTCTCATCATGGCGCCTCCGACTTATGCGGGGATGTCAGGGCGGAAACTGTCCCTGACAGTCTCTACCATTGCGACAATGGGCTTTTTACTTTTCGGATATGATCGTGAGTCTCCTGCGCTTGAATTCATTCAGTGGGAGCAACGCTGACAACAACTACAGAGGGTGTGATGTCGGGCATCATCTCGGATCCCGCCTTCAATGACATGTTTACGGCAACGAAAGGCGATAACACCATGCAGGCTACTGTAACTGCAGTCTATGAAGTTGGTTAGTAGTCAATACGTCGTCAGCACTGTATCTTCCTCCCGATAAAGCTGATCTTTGAATGTAGGTTGCCTCTTCGGCGCAATTCTTGCATTGTTGTTTGGCGATCGGCTGGGTCGCCGGTGGATGGTTATCATAGGTGCGACTGTCATGATTGTCGGCGTCGTCATTCAGGTGTCTGCTATGCCAGGCTCGCTTCCTCTACTTCAATTTATCTTCGGTCGAGTCATTACCGGCATTGGAAATGGAATGAACACCTCCACAATTCCTACATATCAAGCCGAGTGTTCCAAAACCAGTAATCGAGGACTTCTCATTTGCATTGAAGGTGGTATCATTGCAATTGGCACAGCCATTGCTTACTGGATCGATTATGGCGCGCACTACGGCCCGCAAGATCTGGTTTGGAGATTCCCAATCGCGTTCCAGGTCTTGTTTGGTATCATCATCATTGTGGGCATGGTATACCTTCCGGAATCACCTCGCTATCTCATCGCTCACGACAAAATCGCCGACGGTGAGCGGGTTCTAGCCGCGCTGGCAGGTACCGAGATTGATGATCACCACACTCAGTTGGAAAAGACCCTGATTTTAGATTCCGTCCGAGCGTAAGTTCCCTATCCTATTGACATGTATCTAGCCTGTGAAACTCATACTGGAATAGTTCGGGTGCCGTAAAGGCCAAGTTTACCGATCTGCTTACCGGTGGCCCCTCTCAACATCTGCGTCGTATGCTGGTCGGTTCATCCTCGCAGATGTTCCAGCAGATCTCTGGTTGCAACGCTGTCATCTACTATCTCCCAGTCTTGCTCGAACAATCTATCGGCCAATCCCATAACTTTGCGCTCTTAATAGGTGGTATCAACATGATCTGCTACGCTATCTTCGCAACATTCTCTTGGTTCTTCATTGAAAAGATCGGTCGCCGAAAGTTATTCCTCGGGGGCAGTTATGGGCAGTGCGCTGCAATGATCATTGTATTCGGGTGCCTTATCCCTGGAGACTCCCAAACCGCGAAGGGTGCCGTCTTCGGCTTCTTCCTCTACATGTGTTTCTTCGGTGCCACCTGGCTGCCCCTGCCATGGCTCTATCCTGCCGAACTTTCCCCTATCAAGACCAGAGCCAAGGCCAATGCTATTTCCACTTGCAACAACTGGCTGTTCAACTTTACCGTGGTCATGATCACCCCTGTGATGGTGGAACATATCGGCTGGGGCACATATCTGTTCTTCGCTGCCTGGAACGCTGTTTTCATTCCAATCATCTGGTTCTTCTACCCAGAAACCGCAGGTCGTAGTCTGGAAGAAATCGACCTGATCTTCGCCAAGGGCTATGTCGAGAAGATGAACTACGTGCGTGCCTCGAAAGAACTCCCCAAGCTCTCGGACGAGGAGATCGAGGCCAAGGCAGCCGAATACGGCATTCTCAACAACGACGAGAAGATCGAAGAGAGAATCGCCGAGCATCACCCTCCGGATTCTCAGGAATACTCCTCCTACCTGCCTACTCAGATGTAAAGACATGGTGGGAAATATCATTCAACAACCCTCTATTCTAAATCGAATAGAACCACAAACCTTGAAAAAGAACTTGTATTGCGAAGGCGTTTCGGACTGTCTGAACTTGTTGGATACCCATTGCACTAGGGGAGGTTTTTCTATATGAGAGGATGTATGCTTGTACATACGGTTCATGATTATGCCACTTATGTCTGTAGTTTATGATGAGTCTTGGAGGCTCATCATACCTCCTTCAATGAATATCATGATGTGTTTTAAGGTTTTGCAACACATCTTTCTACAGCTAGAAATCATCAAGTATGCATTATTCTAGCAATACGTCTCACCAAAGTTCCTAGATACACCCCCGGCATGGCGGCGCTACTTTACCTCTACACATAGCTCCAGATGTAGACCGAGCGTACCTATGTACATATACATACACAATATAAATGTAAATGAACTAATATTGAGCAGCCAGTCCCTCTCTCATCAATATCTAAGATTATGCCGTGTGAGCCTAGCCAAGTATTCAAACCCACAATTCTTGGTTCTACTGACAATGGACAACAACCAACCCTCCTACTGCATAGAGCAAGACAATACCCAGAAAGCTTATTAGCACCTGTAATCAATATAGTAACACTAATTATTATTCCCTGGCTAGTCCAATATGTTCCACCCGTACATGTACTCTACCCCAGCACCTCGGTAAATATGTAGCTACCATGGATGAACACAAAGTAAAACTGGCTGTACAGGGCTACAACACGATTGATAGTCAATTGAGGCTCGAGGTTACATAATCCTATAGGTAATATAGTATTATATTATTTCTTTGCACAGTTTCCCTTATGTGCATGGGTACTACTGTGATGTAGGACTTGCTGTTCACAGCGCTGAGATTCAGTTATAGCGAGATCGCAGACTTAGGGTGGGAAGAAGGGTTCGTAACTTTTATATGGAATACGCACGGCAAGTCCTCGAACGTTATGGACAGTGGTACATGGGTTTTATAGGGGACAGCGGAGGCTTTGAAGAGAGGGTGTGTTGCCTTAGAGACGGAGTTCATGGTGAGAGGGATGTAGAGTGCTATGAGTGGCTTAGGTGTAGGATTCAGGGGGTTATATTAAGCATCGAGATTGAGATATGAATTAATTAAGTCTGTTATTGACAACTGGAGTTTGATGGAGGGTTTGGCATCAAGCTCAGAACCCTACCCAAGATGTTGGTGTCCCTTGTAACCTTCTACTCGGCTTTATATTGTACATGTCTCCCTTTCAGCAAAGGAAAAAAGACCCTAGTTACCTTCCGAGCTGGAATCGTGTTGTTTTGCAGGAGTGCTTGAACTATATCCTCATACATCAGTACAAACCCCCGCACTAGACAGTAAACAATCGAGCACAAGCACTAACCTTGCAATCTTCTTTGAGACAAACCAAACACAAGTGCCCACGAGAGCAAATTTCACCCATACTCCGATGCACCCAGGATGAGCTCGGGGCATGGGTGGGCGGTGGTAGAAGTACCTGAAGTTGATGGGGGCGGAGCGCATTTTGATGATGTATGTTTGTTGCAGTGGTAGATTGGCTTAAGGTGGTAGAGGGTGAATTACTATATGAGAATTAATTGGAATTAAACCATAGACAGATAACACTGCTTGTCTCTCTATGATGGACCGGCTTTTATGTGCATATGTATACTGTTTTCGGAGTAAAGGTAATTGTCCGATCCTTAGGGCCGACTTTCGGACTCGGCGTATAGACCAAGTCAAAATTAGGGGTAGGGATGACGTGGGTGCTATTGTCATTATCTCTACGTGGGGAGTTTAGGGATCTAGTTAACTTTTCTTCTTAATTTCTTACTTTCCTTTCTTTTTGGTGTTAGTAAGTACATGAGGCTTGGTTTGTTCGTCTGCACTAGGCTTATGCAACTCGGGGTTTGTTGTTAAGGATGGCTTCATCTTTATCATACTACGCAAATAGGGAGGGAACTTGAATTTGTTCTTATTTGATTATTTTATCCTTGAATTTGATCCTTTCTCACACACACAAACACTCACACTCACTTGAGCTGGACTTCGAGATATTGTTTCCCTGGTCATCTGGTAGCAGTATATCAATTATCAATCTTGGGGAGCTAACTTGCGAGGTTTCAATAATCGTGGTCATGTTTAGGCTAGAAATGCTCTTCGTCACTGGCGTCGCTATCGTAACAGAATGCTTGTGGGAGTGGAAGTAAAAGGAAGAAAGCAGACATTAACGCTGAGATTGAGCAGTGGAAGTCAGTAAGTATTTTAGGATGGATATCAGACACAGCATCCCCCAAATACTATGTAGGCTTGGGTTGTTCATTGCGCATGATGAGCATGTAAGCTAGGGGCTGGTGACGACACTCAACCTAAATCCATCCGGCATACTGCTCAAGAACTTCATTCTTGACCCCATCAGAGCCGTGACGCACTCCAAGGAGCCGGACGTTTCCTATCTTGCCACCGAAGTCGTCCTCCACCTTGCTTTCCCAGTTCTCGAAGAGCTCGCTCAACTTCTTTAACACCTGTGGATCATCCCGGATCAAGACAGCAATCGCGTCATACCCACCCGCACCGGGAACTACACCCCCAATGACTCCGTCAATTGCTGACACGGCATCGAGCAGCTCTGTTTGTACTTTTGGCTCAATGGGGACTCCCGCCTTGCGGGTCATGCTGCGAAGGTGATTTCGTGAGCGCTGGATGAGGCTGCGGACGTCATTGAAATCTTCGGGAGATTCTTGATTGGGACTCTGTGCTAGCTGCTTAAGTTGAAGGCACAGTCTTTCATTGTTCGACTGGAGGGCCGCCCAAAGAAGATCGGCTTCCTGCTGGTTTTGCTTTCGCCACTCGAGCACTTTCTTGACCAAAGAAGGGGAGTTTGAGCCGCACTCAACGTCGCACAGGACCATCTGCATGCCTCGAGGAAGTCGCATGCCGAAGTCTAGGCATTCCGTATCCCAAGGATGATTAGGATCGGCATCCTCCACAACTGCAAATAGTCGATCTTCGAATCCAGGGGAACCGACATCACAAACGGATTCCAAGACGCTCGGGGAGAATCGACGATATAAGCAAGAGCCATAGATAGCAGCAGCCACGTCAAACCCAGATCCCACTTTACCCTGAGCGGCGCAGTGCGCAGCCTGTGCTAAGTTATGTAGCTTGTCCCGAGAAGCTCCGAGGTCGTCCGGTTGTAAAGTTCGATGAATGACCAGGGACGATACCAGGGCGGTTACCAGAGCGGCAGAGGAACCTAATCCTGTCTTATGCGCCTCATGGAGGGGAACACCAAAGTTCACGAACCTTCCAGGAGCCTTGGAAGCTTTGGAGAAGGCGGTCTCGGAGTAGTAATCATTGTCAGCGAGGATTGTCACGGAGAGAGATCCAAAGTCCTTCGAGTCAGCGACGTAGCTAATGTAAGTAAGGGCATAGTTGAGAGAAGTTTCGACAAATGGATTACGACGCCTGGGACCCCTTAGCGCTTTAATAGATAGTGGAGGCCGCGAACACGCTCTTACCCTTCGTTTTTCTGAGCCACCTTGATACCGCCCCCATTCTCACAACGCTGTATGCTGTATTCCCACAGAGCGTCGACAAATTGTGGCGAGCGGACAACCACTACGTCTTCTTTATCCTTGTCGTCCACAGCACTTCCGTCATGGACTGTCTCCGTTTCGGGCCCTCCTTTCACTGAACTCGAGGACGCACCACGTCGATGACCCCTTCTCAACTGTTGGACAATGACATGGATCCTAGCATCGAGCGCGATTACCGTGCCTGTATAATTGCGGTCTAGGACGAGATAACCACCAGTAAGTAGAACCTTGCCCGGAGCGGACAAGGCAGTGCTCACAGAGGGCGGAAATGACATGAAGGCGGCCGGCGATCGTTTAAGCGGGGGCTCCCTTTTGCTCAGGGAATAGTTAGATGGGCTGGTTGGAGTCCAACTGGATCGGCGACAACTGGATATCAATAGTCAGTCAATACTCCGTATGCGTCTAGAAACAGCAGTTCTGCGACTTTAAACAAAGACCCGGTTGCGCTCGAGTTGTACGCACCAATGCGAGGATACTGAACGCCACAAAGAGCGAGCGTGGGGGAAAGGTTGGTGTTATTGACAAGAAGTAATGTACCCCGGTCTCATGTAGTAGTCTATGTTATTTCTTTCCCGAATCGATCAACTCTGCCCCGCCTTGAATCGTCACCGAAGACAGGATAGAGAAATGCGAAACTGAATGCCCGCAGGGGATCTGACTGTTCCCCAAGAAGATCATACGCTTATTATTATAATTATTAAATATGTAGATAGGACTGTTTATTTTCCTGAGGGAGAAAGCCGGGAGCTCCCCTAAACTCGTATTATTGTTCCACCGTTTGGGGTTTCCTGCTGTGGCTGCAGCTGATATAACATTGTGGCTGAGCCGGAGGGCTTGAGCTCCTTCGCTGACTAAGAAGCTTTTTCGCTTCTCACCTTCAAACAATCATCAAACAATGTCACCCAGGAAGGTCGTTCCAGCGTCATGCTATTTAATACTAGGTTATGCATTCGGCCGACTACTTAACCGCCGAGAGCAGGTTTGAATGACAGTTGATGCTCTGATCATCGTATGATATCGGACATTTCCCCATCGGACATTTAACCTCTGCTTGTCCTGTACTCCGTACTTATATATCCCAACAAAGTAGTTTCCAAGAACGAGGGAATAATTTGTACCTGCTAAGCAAGGATTAAACATCATCATTGGCACTAGAGAGGACAAGTGGCCAATACTACACGAGATGAGAAGTTTATCCCTTTCCTCGAATAACATGTCTCAGACTCAGCCTGCGATTACGTACCGAGGTGGATTGCTGGATTGCAAAACATGAAATAGTTCTATTCTGCCGGTCCATCTCTCTCTCTAAAAAACAGAGGGGGGAACAAATAAAATTCAATTCTAGCATACACTACTAACTGCCATGGAACGGTTTGCTATAGACTCGTCTATTAATCTGCCTTAGGCATCTCCGTCGGTCGTTCGGCCTGTCGGATATCCGGAGATGAAAATCCTGACCCACTCGGGGCTTAGATGCCAAACTCCGGTCAGGAAGAAAAAGACCCGGGACGCGGTGAGTCACGCTTGGCCAGCCAGAAGAATTCACGCTCCTGAATCTTCCTATGGCCCCAGTGTGATCGGCCCGCCGATTGGGTCAAGTCCCCTGATGGCTTCTCATCCTGGGGTTCGAGAGGGCCACCTGACCTGTGGCATTAGCCTTAGGCAACGAGGGAATGACGGGGTCGAATAGTACTTTTTGAAATTTTTTCTGTAATTCTCGTGTTTTCTAGTTTGCATCGGATGGATTTGGAAAAAAGCATAGCCATGCTCAGTCGCTCCTTTTAAATTACTCCCCCCTGGTTCCCGGCTGGGTCCTTGAAATGTAGACTGTTCATACTGATCTTCGTGGATACATACATTCCTTAGAATTCCTTCTAACAGGGTACGATCATCAAAGGTACGATATTGCATTTATTATCCATAATGCAGTCAAGTCATATCCGGGATCGGCACTAACCCTCTCTAGGATTGGTCGACGGATATCCTCGCCCTTCTCTCAAATATCCATCCCATTCCCTCTAGTCCGATCCGTCATATTTTTCGACATCTTAAAGAGAAGATTTTTTTCCCTTTACCTTCTTTTCGAACCCCTTGTATATATTAGCGCGTTCCTTTGACGACCGTTAGTCGTCAAATGAACCTGCATCCTTACTATAATTTTGATTGCAAGGTACGAATCAGATAACACCTCATTAGGAACCGCAGAGGCAACATCAATTGAAACCGCACGTGTCTAACCATTAAAACAGCATCGCCTCTTCACGCTGAAGAGGGCTCCTGCCAGATAAATGGTCTTCAAACCGTTTACCCATCTCGCACGTCAGAGTTTCACCAAAGCCTTCACCCATGGCTATGCTCAATCGGTAGTTGCGGCGTCGCAGACGTCCTACGCGTCCTCCACCACATTCAATTCTCTCGCCAATCAGCCGGCAAAGTTCTCCCGAACTGCTTTGCAAAATGTATTCCAACCCTCCAGTTCTTCCGGCGCTGGCGCCAAAGCCAGCCAAGGAGGCTCGGGCTCCGGTGACTTGGGTCTCGCGGCATATTATGCCGCGTGGCAACAGGCCCAACAGACCGGGGATGACAGTGATTGGAAACAGTTTCAAGTGAAGCGAAAATTGGGATGGAAGCCGTCGACGCAGGAGGAAGGGGCAAAGTCTAAGGAGAATAGCGTGAACTCGAATCCTCACAACTCGCCCCATCTCACGGCCTCGGCCAACGCCGATGTTAGTGCTCAAGTAGAGGAAGCGGTAGCTCGGGAAATTCAGATTCAGGAAGAGCAAGCCCAAGCTGAGGAAGCATCAGAAACTAGGGAGAACTCGGCCACAGAGGCATTCCCTGAATTACCACCAGACGTGGCCGCCATCTCGGATGCCTCTACGGAACAGGCACGTGTGGCTTCCGATCAAATTGTCCAGCTCGCTCTGTCAAAGCAGTACGCGGAGATTCCCAGTGCTTTCGAGGCACTGCTCAGAGATGGCATGACTCCCACGGTCGGTGCCTATAACGCTCTGCTGGAATCGGCCGTACGGCTTCATGGTGACACCGCTCACGCGATTCCTAAAGCGCTGGATGTCTACTCCGATATGCTCCGTCGCAGGGTAATTCCCGATGATCAAACATACCGGACTCTCGTTCAGCTCTTCGTGGAGCGTGCGCATGATGCCCTGAAGTCTAAGGCATCGCTCGAGCAGGACCGAATCCGCTACGGAGGGATGGAAGAGCCTGGCAAGTTCATGCTCCACTCGAGCGAATTGGAACAAGCCATTCTCGATGAGGACCACTCACTCGGTATTGCGATCAAGCTCTTCGACACTGCCACTACAAGACACACCGATCTCGTCTTCCCACTGGACACCTACAGCTACCTGATCATCGCCTGTGCCAAGGAGGGCCAGGTGGAGAATATGATCCGCATCTACGCCCACATGGAGACCAAGAAGGTCACACCGCACGCCTCTATCTTCCCATCCATGATCGATGCTTTCGCTTCTACTGGGGACCTCAAGAGCGCCGTGGAGTGCTACAATGAGTATAAGGCTCTGGCGGTTTCAGACGATAATGGTACTTTCAGCATTGTTAAGCGCCTGGACGGCCAAGTCTATGCCGCGTTGGTCAAAGCGTATCTATCGTGTGGTAAGGAAAAGGAGGCCTTGCGCTTTTTGGAGCGGATCCGAGCCTCTTTCGATGAGGTGACAGAAAATCGAGAATCTCGGAAAGATGCAGTTGAAACGGTGATTGTTCGAGATGGCCTTGTTTCGCACTCCCTAAAATCGGGTGAGCATGATAAAGCGTTGAGTCAAGCTAAGACACGGTTGCGCGATGGGGCCCTGGATCATGCCATTGCCGAAATCTGCATGGCTGCGGCGGATGCCGGTAACCTCAAAACGGCTTCCGAAGCATACGATTCTCTGCCTACTGATAACGCAAAACGTCATGGCCCTGCTATCTCGATGCTGGCATTATACGTGCGTCAAGGCAACGTGTCGGCGGCTAGGCCCCTGTGGGTGATGCTAAGCACCGTGGGTCAGACAACACCGGACATGGTTCAGCCGACGGCAATGTATTCGGTGGCCTTATTGAAGAGTGGTCAGATCGAGGAGGCGTTAATTGAAGCCCGTAATATGTTTGGGCGGATCCGCAACGCCTTGATCGACAACTCTTATCTACTCAACTCCGCCCGGGAGCAGATCAATGAAAGTCTTCATCTCATCGGTCGCGTTCTTATTCAGACTGCTGCTGTCCTCACTCCTCAAGCTGTCATGACTCTCCTCTGGTCAATGGTCGAGAATGGCGGACTGGTTTCCCCGGTCGCTGATCACGCTGTCGCCAGCCTCGGTCCCATTGCCATCCAACAACTCAACCCCCGCGATTTAACCCTTGCACTCCAGGTTCAGGCAGGCATGCTCGTCAACAGCTCTGCGTCTTTGGACGTTGCCCACCCAATCCGCTTCTCACACATGCTCGACATTGCTTTGGCTACCGGACTTCAAATGGACCCGTACACTACCCGTGTCGTCGACCAGGCCGTTGGGAAGCTATTCAACAGCCGCCCGGACATGGTAAGAAGATGGCACGACCACCTTGGACTAACCTCCAGCCCCTCTTCGTTCCTGTCCGATCGCCACACTCCGGTCTCTGAGATGTCGTCGACCATGACCTCAGCACCCAGCGAAGACTCGTTCGACCCGTACGCCTATGCCACCGACTTCAAAGGCTCTGCGTTGATTGCCGAACAGTTGGAAAGCACGAGCGGTCGGCCGGAGTCTCATCTCAACGAGGCCTTGACTCGATTGCGGACCATGCGCCGCTCTGGCCGTCATCCTCGCTACATTACCTATGCCAAACTGATCACCGCCGCCGCTAAATGTCATCGCAGCGATCTGGTCCATGAGATTCTCAGCATGGCTCGGCGCGATGTCCCTCTTCTGCATCAGTATCATGCTGTCAAGTACGGTTGGGTGTCTATCCTTGATGCCATGGTTGCTTCCTGCCTTACCCTAGGTGACCGCAGTCTCGCCTCCAAGTATCACCAGGAGCTTTCCGAACTCGGCTCGGCCCCTTCCGCCAACACCTTCGGTCTTTACATCACAACACTCAAGGAATCCATCAAGACCTTTGATGAAGCAACGGAAGCCCTGAAGATCTTCCACCGTGCGGTTGCCGAAGGTGTTGAGCCCACTTCATTCTTGTACAACGCCTTGATCGGTAAGCTTGGCAAAGCTCGCCGTATTGACGACTGTCTTCTGTACTTCGCCGAGATGCGTGCCAACGGTGTCCGACCAACCAGTGTCACCTACGGAACCATTGTGAACGCCCTTTGTCGAGTCAGCGATGAACGGTTCGCCGAGGAGATGTTCGAGGAGATGGAGTCGATGCCCAACTACAAGCCTCGCCCCGCCCCCTACAACTCCATGATTCAGTACTTCCTTAACACCAAGCGCGACCGCAGCAAGGTTCTTGCATACTATGAGCGTATGCTCAGCCGTAACATCAAACCTACCATGCACACCTACAAGCTACTCATCGACGCCTATGCCTCTCTGGAGCCTGTGGATATGAAGGCTGCGGAGAATGTCCTCGAAACCATCAAAGCCGCCAGACAACAACCTGAGGCCGTGCACTATGCATCCCTCATCCATGCTCATGGCTGTGTGATGCATGACATGGAGGCTGCCCAGCAGGTTTTCGAGTCGGTCGTCTCCAACAGGAACGTACGGCTGCAGCCTTGCCTATACCAAGCCCTTCTAGAGGCTATGGTGGCCAACCACCAGGTCGCACAGACGGAGGAGATTGTGAAGGACATGGCCCAGCGTCGAGTCGATATGACTGCCTACATTGCCAATACCCTGATTCAGGGATGGGCTACTGAGGGCAACGTTAACAAAGCCAAGGCCGTCTACGATAGCGTTGGTGTGGACAAGCGGGAGCCTAGCACGTACGAGGCTATGACTCGTGCCTTCCTTATGGCTAACGAGCGCGAGGATGCCTCTCGCATCGTGCAGGAGATGCTGTCTCGTGGATATCCGGCCGCTGTCGCCAGCAAGATCGTTGATCTTGTCGGTGGTGGTGCTACAGTCGCCGCTGCCCTCTAGGCGCTCGCGTCATGTCTGACGACTTGCCTTCCAATTTTATCGTTTGAGGCCGCACTAGAGATGCTGTTTTTCAAATCGGAAAGGGAAAAGAAAAAGAATATATTCATTTTTAATCTGTTCTCAGGGCTGGATCCCTGTCTTCGGCTGTTCCCAGCCCGTTTGGTCTCTGCATTGGCATTTGGGAGGCAATACAATGCCTATTGGTGTACATTGCTTTCTACATTTTGTTTATGATTTGCATTCAGCGGGTGATACGGCGTTCATGTAAAAATGGGGTTATTGGTGCTGTTTGATCTCTGGGTCAAATATTTACTATTATCTTTGTTGTTCCTAGACACTCCCAACTCACAAGTCAGGAAGATATACTGACTGCGGTTCGTTTTGGATTCTAATGCTTCTGTGGAGCTCACAGATCAGTTTTGGATAATCAATACAAGAACACAACTAAAGGAAAATTCTTTGTACCTCCTAACTATTCCCGTAGGGTTAGAGTAGGGTAGAGATGGTTGTTTGCGGCGTTACCGCCTTCGAACAGCTCCGGCTTATCGGCCAACCCCGCGGAATAGATTAAGTCATACAATCCATATACCTTCTGACTCCTTCCCTTCCCTGTCCCCTCCACTCCAATTAAATCATAGTCGATAGCAGACAGCTTATGCGTCCTCTCCAGCTGTCATCTTCGGCTCATTCATCGTTCCGTCACATTCAATTCGCTCAGGGTTATCTTAAAACCCCGCGACGTCTAGCCACCATGAACTCAGGGAGTCCAACTGCTGACCATGCCAGCCCTGGTGGTGACCATGGAAAACACCCCAGAAAGCTGATCTGTAGGTACTGCTCTTTAGGTCTCCTCCAGCGCAGCTACAGCTCTAGGAACTAGCTACTAACACATCTCTGCATTTGCCAGTCGCACCAGGTGACATCGACGTCTCCACCCCCAATGACCAGAGGACGCCCGCCAAACAGCCAGATACTGTTACGCCCACAAGTGTTTCTCGCCTCATCGCTGAGGCTCTCCGCTCGGAGACCTCCACGCCTGACTCTGTCACTGAAAATGAGATCGTCTCCCACCCCTCTCGCGCACATCAGTTCGTGACCAACCCGCCCCTCACCGTCTCCCAGATGCACCCCACCAACCCGCTCCACCAATTCCACACCTGGTTCCGCGATCCACGGTTGTCAGCATCATCGGCCCCGGAGACTTGTACCCTGGCTACAGCGTCTTTGCCCTCGGGTCGGGTGAGTGCGCGCATTGTATATCTGAAGGAGCTCGACGAGCGGGGCTGGGTAGTCTATAGTAACTGGGGCAGTCGGCAAGGGAAGGGTGCACAGGTCTTCGGCACCCAGATTGATGCAGACAGCGTTCTGGGCGCCATGCCTGAGCCAGACGCAGAGGACGGGGAAATGCCCCAAGGCAACAAGTGGGCGGCTCTCACATTCAGCTGGTCAACTACCGAACGGCAGGTGCGTATCGAAGGCCTCATTGAACCCCTCAGCCGCGAAGAGAGCGAACTATACTGGCGGACCCGCGAACGGGGCAGCCAGATCGGCGGCTGGGCCAGCTGGCAGAGCAAGGTGCTCTGGTCCGCGGAGCCGGACAGTTTGATCGAGCAGCGGCGGAAGAGTCTTGCGCAGGATGTGTACCCCCAGGCTCAGATCCCGGGTGACGTGAACGAGACAGACATCGATGATGGTCGGGCGCTGCTAGAGAAACGGGTGCGGGAAATAGAGGAGAGGTTCGCAAACACGGACCAGATCCCGTTGCCTCCTTTCTGGGGCGGCGTGCGCCTGGTGCCCGAGTCCGTGGAGTTCTGGCAGGGACGGCGTAGTCGACTGCATGATCGGTTCCGGTATGTGAGGGTGCATGATCCGAAAAGTGATTCGTATAAGTGGCGGATTGAGCGGCTGTCGCCATAGACTAGAGTATAGAGTAGATGGTTTGGGTAACTATATAAAAGAATTGAATAGCGACCATTGACATTCGACGATGATATACTCCTAACATACTCATTTTCACCTCTTATTATAATACAAACTCGTAATCTCCTAATCCTACTCTGTACTCTGCTTGTTATACCCGTCATGTCTTCAAGTACCACCAACTTCACTTACAACGATACCCAAAATACTTGGCAACAAACCGCCAAGAACCACCATCGATAACAACACTCACTCCATCCCGCAATCAACAACTACACACAGTACCTAACGCCCCCAATCAACAATCCCCAACTCCCTAAAACCATAATAAAAAATGTCTACCCACTCCCGCTGGGTCCTCCTAGCCCTATCCAGCGGCGCCTTCGCCGCCCTAAACGGCCTCTTCGCAAAACTGTACGTACCCAGGGTCATCCACCCAACCCCGTAAGAACAAGAACCACCCCCTAACACAACAATAGAACGACAGACTCCCAAACAACAACCTTCGCCAAATCCCTCCTTGCCTTCCTAAGTCTAACAGGCGACCATCCCACTCTGGAGATGCTAGTCAGGGGTGTATGTCACGATTAATTAATCCCTTTTCCTTCCTACCCCTTCTCACCACCTACCATGCCCCCTTCATCAATTATTCAAGAATTTAACCACCTCCCCAAAGTTCCATTTGCATGTGTAACCATACTAAAATGAGAAACAGGCTTGTCTGGGCCTTAACGTCCTCTGCAATGTGATTATGTGGGCTCTTTTTACGAGGGCGTTGACGGCTGCGCCGTCGACGGTGAAGGTATCAATTACGAATACGGCGGCGAATTTTCTTGTCACGGCCGTTCTGGGGATGCTTGTTTTTCGGGAGGAGGTAAGGGGGCTTTGGTGGGTTGGGGCTGGGATGATGGGGGGTGGGTGTGTTTTGGTGGGCATGAGGGATAATTAGATTCTTTTTGTTTGGTAATAGATCCGTTTATTTGTAGAGTTGGGTTGGCTTTTATTCTTTGGAGTTCTGGGGGAATATACATACGCAGTGTTATATGATAGGATATGTATTGGGATTTGGACTTGTTGGATACATGCATGGAGAATCAGGGTCATACAGTCTCTATATCTATATATACATACAAACATGAACAGGGATATCAGTGTTACCGTTCTTCTAGTTCCATCAGTCTGTCATTTTCGTCATCAGTGCCAGTTGGCATGCCTCTTCCTTCGCGCTGGTCGGGTAAGGCGACTCGATTTGTTCGTCGCCAACGGGGTAGTTGGGAGCCCACCCGTTGCATGAAATGCCATACCCGCTCTTCTAGCGTGTCGCTGGAGCGAGCACTCACCTCGCCGCCAAAGGGACCTTCCGTGGCCTGGGTTGCGGCAAGGGCATGTTCCTGGGCTTCGACTTTGAATTGGTACTTGAGACAGTCTTTGACGGTGACGAGGCCGGTCAAGCGGCCGCGGTGCTCCACGAGAATCACGCGAGGTCCGATCTTCTTGAAGATTTCAATCACGGTCTCTAGGGGAAGACGTGGGTGCACGGTTAGTGGTGTGTGGTCCGCATATCTGCTGAAGTCAACGTAGCTAGAGCCGACACTGTCCTGGATGGCATCAAAGGTATCAGGAGCCAAGTGGTTTCGTGAGGTGGAAGACGCCCTATGCACTACGGAAGCCTCGGCGGCTTCTTTAGTGAATACGCACCGGGCACTGGGGGACAGTATGCCTTCCGCTCTGATACGATCAATGGCGTACCGGAGTTCTGTGCGGCCGATGTATCCTACCAGGGTCTTCTTTGTTCGGTTGTCTACGATGGGGAAACCCTGAAATTTGTTGTCGCTCAAAAGGTGCTCTGCTTCGCGCAGTGGGAAATCGGATGCAGGAAGCGTGACAGGGTCGGCCGTCATCGCGTGCGACACGGGGACATTGAAGACATGGTCTTCCTTGTTATCAAGGAAAGGGAAACCGTTAAACCATATCATTCGGTCCGCGATGCCACCATTGCCGAAACGGTCACTGACGGCCTTCGTAATTCCTACCACAATCTGATTGTCGTGAATGTTAGTTGCGTATGACAAGTTGTAGTATCGGTATAAACTTACCATGGTAGGGAGGATATAAGTCAATGCTCCAGTCAACTCAAACATAATAACAGTGACAGAGATAGTTAAATGCATAATACCACTCAAAGCTGCTCCTGCACCTAAGAAAGCGTAGGTTCCTGGGGTAATACATGGCACGTCCGGCTCACAGGACGCGAAAAATGCCGAGTCAGGGAAGTGCTCGTGTAACGCCTGGACAAGGATTCCAACCAAGCGGCCAAATGACGCTCCGATGGCCATCGATGGCACGAAAATCCCCGCAGGTACTTTGCAACCGTACGATATAATGACCAAGAAAATGCGGAGTATCGTGGCGATGGCAAGCGAGCTGACCGAGGACCACCGGTTTTCGGCCCTAGCATCGTTAGCAATGCTTGCGAACCTCGTTAAAAGTACTCACTCGCAAAGACCATGGTAGTCATGACCGCCTTCACACTCCCGGAACAGGATCTCCATCATCTCCGTCATATTTATTTTCAAGAACGTGTTGGGATAGCACAGTAACGCCGTTATGGCGGCCAATACTACTGTTTCCATAACAGCATGCTGCGAGAGGTATTTCTTCCGGAAGGCTTGAACTCGGAGGTTCCACTTGATCACAAATGCCCCGTACAACCCACCAAACACACCCAGAAGGATAAAGAATATCAACTCAAAAAAGTGCCACGTGCGGTCGTATTGCACTTGGAACATGACCAGCTGTCCAGTCCTGAAAGGGTTCATCGCCTGGGCCACGTTAGCACCTGACGATCACTTCATATGTGAGGTACATACCGCTAACACGCCGGTCGCGACCAGGGCGCAAAAGTAGCTACGCCATAGGGTCTTGAGCGGGAAATAGGATGCCATTTCCTATACTCGATCAGTATCCTCGCCCCTAAACAATAGATACTCATGTGCGTACCTCAAGGGAAAAGAGCACTCCTCCAATGGGACTACCAAATGCGACAGCCACACCTGCTGCTGCTGTGGCCGTCAAAACCTCCCTTGTCTTTGAAGCACTCTGTTTATATTTGCTAAAGAGCCGCGAGATGACATTTCCAGCGCAAACAGCAAAGTGAACACTAGGTCCTTCTTTACCCACAGAGAGACCCGAGGCGATGGCCAACGGTAGCGCAATCGACTTAATCAGAAGCGTCCATGCACCCAAAAAGCCTTTCATAACAAACCCAGCGATGATGCATTTTATTTCGGATATACCGGAACCTGCGGCATATGGGGCGAATGATTTAACCAAAATCGCGGCGATAAAGGCAAACAACACCTGTTTAGGATTTAGTGACAACCTCTGCAGAATATGAAACGTGGATGACATACCGCAAAGAAGATATACACGATATAGTTCATGAGCCAGAAAGAGGTCCATGTCTTCCATTCAGGACAACCTAGGAATTGGTGAGCTCCATCACAATAGCCAGTAAGGCGGCAGTCGCAACACACCTCCCTCCGAACCCCAGCAACAGAATGATTCATTGAGGTAGAATGCTGTCGTACAATGGCCCAACTTAATATCGGACAGCCACTCGGTGATGATGTTTAAGAAGGCCGAAATAAACCCTATCACAGCGCCCACGATCGTGATAACTAGCCAAGCTTGTCCAGCGTCGTAGGACTCGCGCACCTTGCGTCTCCACCCAAAAGCGCCTTCTTTATCCCAGAAACCAAATCCATCTCGTCGCTTTGCTCTCCGTCGCGCTTGCTCATGAACCGCATCCTGAACCCAATCGATCGTTGTAAAATCCTCATATCGTTTGATCTCACTGATTTCTTCTGTAATTGCGGTGGAGTGGCCATTGGCCGGTTGCTCGGCAGTCGAAGTCGTGGATAAGCCTGATAACCTCCTCCAACTCCGTCGCTCAGACAGTACTGAGGGTGAATGCGGGGAGGTTGATGAGTCAGGCATCGAGCTCATACCATGGACTGAATTTGCGATAGGAGCATAGTCGATGGCGATCAAGAAGAGTAGTAAGTAGTAGAACTGATCCTGGGTTATGACGACTGATCAATTGATCGCAGCTTCATTATTGGGCAAAGCCGCGCGGCCACGTGAGAAAGCAACTAAATGAATTTCCGCCTTTCGGCATCTGAAACAGAAGAATAGAATAAAATAAGACTATTGGAGCTATAGACATTATTATAAACTGCCTTTAAGAAAAATTGAATCAGGATGAGAAGGAAAACAAATGCAAGCACAATAACAGCTCACAAGTTTTAGTTGATTTGAGGTATTGAATCCACTGATAACCAAATGTGTATTTTATCGGCACTGACGCCACACGCTATATGGATTTCCACGCCGCACGCCCCAGTGTCAATTGGTTAACACACCTCCTTCACTCTTCATAATTTCAGGGTTCTTGATCAAACACAAGAAAAGCTGGGACTGGTTCCTCGTAACTATCGACTTTACTTTCTTCCACAATTTTCAGCAAACTTTCCCATTCTCTACGTTGAGCCAACGCCGCGACCTCTCGACGCGACTCCGCGATGCCTCCCAAAGAGAAGAAGTCCACCCCGGACTCTGCACCCCCTCATGAGGTCACCGGCCAGAGCGCTCTTCCCAGTACGCGGGCAATACCCTCCGGAATAGAATTCCTCGGTTGACTGGTTTTGCAGTTTCTCGGATAAAAAAAATCATCCAGCTAGACGAGGACATAGTACAATGCTCAAGCAACGCTACGTTCGTGATTGCGATGGCTACAGTGCGTGGTTCTTTCGCGCCAGCGTCCTACTTAACTTGCTCACGCTGACGGCTTTTAGGAAATGTTCATCCAATATCTCACAGAGCAGGGGCACAACGTCGTCAAGTCCGAACGAAAACCACGAAAGCTCATTCAATACAAAGATCTAGGTCAGTCACGCGCAGTGTTTTTCTGCGCCTTGCGGTGTACTGATGTGAATCATAGCTACGGCGGTTTCGCGAATCGATAACTTGGAATTCCTCTCCGACGTTATTCCCAAGACTACCACCTATAAACAATTCAAGGAGAGGAAGGCGAAAGAAGCCAGCAGAGAAGGCGAAATCGAGAAAGGACAGCGCACCCTGAATGGAACGGTACCACACGCCAACGGAGAGTCGGAACATCAGGAGGATCTACAAGCTGTGGAAGAAAAGCCATCGAAGAGCCCTCGGACGCCGGTGGTTATGCATGCGACTGGCGCAGTGAGCACGCTAGTAGTCGATCGAACTATTGATAGCCAGTATAAGGGAGAGGATGGGGATGTGGAAATGGCTGACTAATGAATTGGTCGTTCTATACTTCCAAAATCATTGGGGAGTTGCATGTATGGGGAGTTCATGGATTTGGGTGCTTCATTTGTTGGCCAAAACGATAGTGTTAGTATGGTCTCTTTTGCAATTGGGTTAATGGGAATGGACGGAACGGGAAATCACGGGCACGCTCCGTCAGCTTGGAACAGTTGTTGTTTGGATTGTTTTTATATACTAAAAGGGAGTAATGGGGAAAAACAAAATTCAAATTGAATAAAGAATATTATAGAAACTAGTACTTCAATCTTCCAAAACATAATCTCAATATTGGAATTGAGGATAACAATTCCCGAGTACAATGGGGTACTCGTCAAGGTAGAAAATAAGGTGAGTGCCGGAGTGTGACCCAATCAGCCAATGAGGCGCCCCGTGATTCCGAAGCGAAAGCTCTGGTTCGACTTTCCGTATGCCGCGCCTCCGACTTCAACCTCCAACATCTGGAAAATCCTCCCTCGTCCACCTTGACTCCCCCCTCCACCCTCCCTCAACCGGTCGTCCGTCTTTGCAATTGACTGCAATTGCTTTGTCCGCCATGTCTCTCTCCTCCGCTTCCAGCTCTCTGTTGCGCGCTTGCGCCCGCCAACAGCTGCCCACTGCCCGCGCTGCCATGGCCTCCTGCCAGCAGCGGAGGGGAGTCGCTGATGCGTCCAAGTCCTCCTTCGACAGCCCTTTCACCAGCGCCAAGGAATCCTCGAACTACAAGGTCCCTGATTTCAGCAAATATGCCTCCAAGAAGTCCCCACGCTCCAACCAGGTCTTCTCTTACTTCATGGCCGGCTCCCTCGGTCTGGCCTCTGCTGTCGGTGCCAAGGCTACTGTTCAGGGTAGGTCTTCCCTGGGCATTATCGATTGAAAAGGAAGAACGGCGATGTATCCGAATATGGAATTGGGATAGTTGGGTTGTTTGGATAATCGGCGGATTGGATCATTCGGAGCGTATGGCTGATGACATTTTCACCAATAGACTTCCTAGTCAACATGTCCGCCTCTGCCGACGTCCTTGCTCAGGCTAAGGTTGAGATCGGCCTTGCTTCTATCCCTGAGGGCAAGAATGTATGTTAAGACAGTCCCTACGAAGCCGCTTTCTGTGTGACATGATTGGCTGATCTCATATCAAACAGGTCATTATCAAGTGGCGTGGAAAGCCCGTTTTCATCCGTCACCGTACCCAGGATGAAATCAACGAAGCCAACTCCATCGAATGGCAGTCTCTCCGTGATCCTCAGGCTGATGAGGACCGTGTTCAGAAGCCCGAGTGGCTTGTCATGCTTGGTATGTGATATGATCCGGAACGGCTACATATATACTTTAGCCGATATCTAATACATTTGCGTCTGCTTTAGGTGTCTGCACCCACCTTGGTTGTGTCCCCATCGGTGAATCTGGTGACTTTGGCGGCTGGTTCTGCCCCTGCCACGGTTCTCACTACGACATCTCCGGCCGTATCAGGAAGGGTCCCGCCCCTCTGAACCTTGAGGTTCCTCAGTACAGCTTCCCCGACGAGGACACCCTCATCATCGGTTAAGCGAGTCAAACAATGCCTATTTGAGCGAGCGGTTTATCCGACGGACGGGAAACGACGTTGAAGGGGATAGGAGAGTGAAGGTTTGTAACTGCACTTTAGATGAAATTTCTCTGTGTCTTGTCAAGATGAAAGAGACCTTGTTTTAATACGGATCGATTAGAAAAACTGAGCCTTGTGTTTCTATTACTTTCAACAACACCCCCCGTCCGTTTCTTTTTCGCTCCTAGAGCCTGTATCACTCATTGTCCTCGGGATCTTTTGCTCCTTTTGTTCTGGGTATAGAACCTTTCTGTCACTGGCTACCTTACCGTGTCCCCGCTCATCTTGTTCTTCCAACGCCTTAGAGGGACTGAGGAGAGTATCGATGAAAACAGGAGATGGTTGACATATAGATGTATACCTTCTGTACCTCCTTTACTTGTATCTACATAGTTGTTTTTCTGGGTATATTGACATGCGATTTCTTTTGTTCGTTCTTCCCGTCCTCTGGCCTTTTGATCTATCAGTAACGTAAAGTTAATATCGTTGAATATCATGGAGAATAATGGCACGATACTACTAATAAAAGCTTATAACCAAATTAGCGGTAAGCGACCGCCAACTCATCTATCTAAAAGTACTATGCGAGAAACAGCGGTCATACGAACATTTGCCGGTGTGACCCAATGCCTAGATGCAATAGATAATCATTCATTCAAGTCTATTTTACACAAATGCTCTATGCGAACATCTATACCACGTTTATACACAGTATTTCAAACAATGGTAGGCTAATTACAATGGCACATCTAGCTCGATACGCTTACATGCAGTCAATTCACCGCGGTCGGATAAGAGCAATCACTAGGCCCATAATAGCTGCACCAGCAGCCGCGCTCTGGAGAGCGAGGGATGATAGGTCCCGTTGGGTGAGGACGATGTTGCGATCGCTGAAAAGATCGCCGATATACTGACGCCATGATTCAACGGATGTAGGAGGCAGGCGCGCGAGTTGAGATTTGGCGGATTCGAGAAGATCGTTCAGGGCATTCGGGGTGTTAGGTGCTGTGGTTTCGGGTAGTGTTGTTTCGGGTGCAGTAGTCGCTGAGTCTGCGATGTCTGTGACTTCGGTTGAAATCACTGCGTCAGAGGCTGTGTCCTCGGCCGCTAGGGATGGGGCAGCCGCGACGAGAGGAGCGGATGAGTCGGCGGTAGAGGGCACAGCGGGGGTTTGCTGGGTGGTGCCAGCAGGAGCCAGGATTTCAACGTGGTTGATCGTCTTTTCCTTCTCTATAGCTTCGATAACCTTCTCCTCGAAGCCCTTGACCAGTCTCTTCCGGCGCCAGGGTTCCACGGCGATCTGGAAGATCAGGAAGAGAAGAACGTTCATGCCCATCAAACCCCAGGTACCCCAGGTACTCATCCGACGGATCTTGTCCGACCAGACCTGCTCCTCGTGGTACCGGGAAAGGATACTTTTGTTTAATTGCGCGGCAGCTTCCTCGGATTCACGTTCCGCTGCTGTCAGAGCCTCCTGCGCTTCGTTCTCAGCTACTTCGTTGGTGTGGTCGTTACGGTAGAGATGGGTGAATCGTTCCAGGTCTGCCGGCGACCAGGCATGTTTCCGCTGGAGAAGTTCGTTGACTTCACGCTGCGAGGTTGATCGATTGTTGATGGCGGCCGCGTAAGCATCTTTGGCTTCACGGACTCGAAGACGGGCTGCTCGAACTCGGTCCTCTGTTGGGGAGATTGGCGGTCAGTAGAGGCGGCCGGGTAACTCTCCTCCGAACAGAAGTATGTAAGGGGGCAGGTTCACTTGATTCATACCTTGGGTGTGTATATCTTTCTTGAGTGCTTCAATAGATGAATATCCAGTCAAATCATTCAATCGCTGGCCCGCCACGAAAACATTGGATTGAAGGTTATCCATCATGTTTGTAAATTGTTTTGAAAGCTGGGACCTGCGATTCTCCAGATAAGACGGCAGGCCATTGCCTTCGATTCCCTGGGAATTAACATCACCATTTACCCCCTGTTGTTTTATGTGCACAGTCTCATTCCCCTCCTTGAGAAGACCAGGAGTCTCCAAGCTCCCCGCTTTGAGGTGAATCGTTGAGCTCTCCTCAGGCAGAGCCGAGGCAGGCTGGTCCTTGTCCGCCCACTGCTCAGCGGTCTTTCCATCTTTCAATTTGTCCGCCTCATTGGATGAGTACAACGCAGGATGCGATCGGAATTGGCATTGTACACAGACTGAAAACTGCCGGCGTAAATCTTGACCAGCCAGAAGAGGCTTCGGGCCAACGGCGGAAAGAAGCGGTGATCGGACCGGACGAGATGGCCTTGTGAAGGTGGCAGTTGACCGGAGAGACTGCCTGAGCAGCAATGGCATGGACTGCATGGCCGGTTTGAAGGGCCACGAGAACCTGACCAGGCGCTGGTTCGTTTGTTGAATGGCTGTCAGGTGGTTTGTGGTTGGGGAGTGGATTCCAAAGGGAAGGCGGGAAAGTCGGCGGAATCGAATCGCCTGCGGTTTTCTTCGGGTTTCTGATAAGAAACACGATAAGTGATTGTGGCGTGGGTATGCTCATTCCACCATGCAATATGTCTGGATATATGAGAATGGCTCCAGTAATGATACGCAGTTATCTACTTGTACGTATCTATGAGAATTTTCGATTTGAATTGTCGACGGCGGTTCTACATAGAATGGAGCGGATCTATCACTAAGTCCGAAGCACATACCAGGGTCATAGCGATAAGAAAATACACAAACGATATCTTTTCATCTCTTGACATTAGACGTAAGCTAGCCCATACAAATAATAGTTTCATGACCTATAAATCTGGAGAAAGTACAGAAAATTACAACCGGTCATACCGCAACCCAAGCGGCCCTTACACACAGCAGTGATCCCGATAGGTGACAAACAGATGGCAGTACCTAAAGCCTTCCATGCTTGTCTATTATATTCAGTCCTGAACCTTGTGATCACCCTTGACGGCTTCCGCATACGTGGGTGGTGGCCGTGAATCACTCTGTGTTTGATCGCTGCTACTACCGGCTGCGGGCTCACCCTGGGGCTTAGGAGTAGGCTGTCGCTGTTGCTGTGAGGGGTTCTGTGCCGCCTGAGCTGGCGCCACCGTACCGTAGCTTCTCTGGGATGGATTCTCAATCTGTTGGTGAGAGACGTAGTAATATGTCACGTGGCCATTCTCGACGTCCCTTCGATGGGCCTCTCCAGGGATGGGTTGGTAATATGGATCATCAAAATCCAGTTCTGGGTACTTGAGAATGATGTACCAGGCATGCAATAAGCCTGGTACATAGCCGAGGCAACAAAGGGCAAGATTGATGATCGAGTCGGCCGTGCAGATGCCTACTTTGATCCACACTGCGTAGGGTTAGCGAGGAGTCTGACATCTAAGTGATGGGGGCACGATAAAGTAGTGGGGCAGGCAACTGATTTAGAGGGATGCCGATACGCACCTGCGACTGGTGGGAAGAATATCGCGAGAATCGCCAGGAAGATGTCTGAACCGCACATGATTGCTTCGGTAACTAGGTGCTATCTGGATGGGCCTGTTATCATGCAAGTCTTCAATATGGCAGAGACGCGCGCGCTATGTATTCTATAGTAATGTATCACGAAGTGAGTAGGTGCTGATAGTAGATTGTAGATGTTTGGATGACGGCAGCAGAAGTTCCAACTGTAGATGCCTGCGGGTCAGATGACGTCGTTGCGATCACCTGATCCTTGACGAATGGGATATCTCAAGCAGTCAAATAAGTGCCTTTATATTTGAAGTATGGTTCAATTTGTTTGGAGTATCATTTTCTATCTCACAGTTACTCCTTCGCATTGAGAACTTATGCGCATGTTCTCTTCCCCTCTACTAGTACGATACGGGCAATCGCAGGGGGGGTTCCTCCAAGAATATATATATTAGCCGTAGTGCTATATAGTTATGTACACCACTCACTACACGACGTAAAAAGCCCAATTCAATACTAAGTTGCGTTAAATATCGGGTGTCTTTTTTCTCTTTTTTTCATTTTTTTTTTCAAAAGGAAAACCGTTTCTCTCATCAACGACCATACATTTCTAATTCAGTTTTTCAGAGATATGATATACTCAATGTGTGGTATATACTTTGTGACTCATGTGAACTTTCTTCGAGTCCGTCATCGAGACTCAAGAGCGCAGTACCTTACACAAATCTATACTATCGATTATGTACTATATATATCTGTTGAGATGTCTATCATGAAATAGATCAAACGATATGAATGGGTGCGACATCTATTCTGTATGGCTGACTCTACAGTATATTATTACTAAGCGCGATTATGATAACTACGGACGAGAAAAGAAAAATTCCCCGATAGTTCGCTTGAGATTTGATTAAATTGGGAGAGATCCACTTTAAGAAGTCTGGTGGATGTGATGGATGTGGAGTATCCTGGTGTGTTTGTGCAATTAGTCTCCCTATGATTACCCTTACACTCTTTACATGGATACTTTTCTCATATTCAAGGGCTGTAATCCCTCGCTCTGGCCTAGCTAGGTAAGGGCCGGTCGAGCCTTCGAGTCTCCGAAGCAAGGAAAATAAACTGACCCACAAATGGGCCTGTCGTAGATTTATACGGGAGTCTCCACAGTTTGCATAGAAGTAATTAAAAACTGCACAAAGTTTCACGATGAACAAATGTGCCTGATCATGCAGAAACATGGTGTTGTCTTACTCGTATGTCAAGTCACTCGAGAGGCTAAGATGGTGATCGGCCAGCTCAGCTGCTGCGCACCTCACTGGGTAAGTAGAAGCCTAGAAGAAAGATTCCGAAACACCGGCCTCAAGGGTTGGATATTATCGATAGCACTAGGTACCACGCTGGTTTTATACTCTTTCGTCTCTGTATCTATGGGATCAGTCTAGTCTTTTGTCTCTTTCAAACAGATAGTGCGTAAGACACCCATACCATGGGATTTGCCTGAAAATTGGTCAAGCTTAATGAGGACATCTAGTGTATACTATTTTCTCCAATGAAATTAGAATGGATTGAAAAATATTTTCTTTCCTCTTTTTTATAGCAAGCGGCGGCATAGTAATTCTCAGTCCCAAGGGTCCAACCCGTCCTGTAGTCTGGAACGCCATGCAGCCCCACTTGATGAAAGAGGAAACTTCATCACAAGACAATTTAGAACCCTAAGCCAGGAACAGAGGCAGGTAAGGTAATTCACCGTATCAATGCTGCGGTGCGATCACAGATTACTATCGCTGGATAGGTGTTGGTGATCTGGCACCTGTGATGCTGTATTGGACACCAACGGGGCGAAAAAAAAGAAATAGCGCAAGAATATTCGACGGCTGGTCATGAAATGACCATTGATGGTCTCCATGTGCCACGTCAGAATGTTGAATGGGAGGGACAGTTATCTATCATGTCTCGGACTTGACCCTGTAGTTTTTATATGTACTGTACCGCTTCCAGCACGGAGTTTAGTATCTTCAATGTGAGTAAACTTTGCTTTTCCTGCAGTCGTCTTTGGCTCGGTTGGTCTTCCACTCGACTGGTCAACAACATTCTACTCTCCGGGATATCTTAAGGATCAGATTTCCCCTCCCAAGAATATCTCCAAATAAACATTGAGTTCATATCGCACTGTCGATCGATACTATCACATACTCTTTGTTCTTGAAACCTTTAATCTAGTCGGACCACCATCAAGTTCGATTCCCGTTCGCGTGAAAGTGGATCTTGTTGGTGAGTTTAGTCAAGTTTAATTTGGGCGCGGCGGCGGCAGCAGCAGCAGCACCACCAGTTGATCGGGATCCTAAACCTTGCGGAGGCAGTCTTTCAAATGTTCTAGTCCACCATTCCATATAGGTACTAATTGTTGGACGAACGAAGTTTAGTGACGAGTGGAGTCTAGTTTAATTGGAACGACGCCGACCCTCTTGTGAACCGCCCATTTTGTCGCTTCCTTTCCCCCCTTTTGCTTGAAGGCTTAAACTTAGCCTTGCTTTTTTGCCTGTGCCCTTGCGACACGATCGACCGACCGTGATATTATTACGACTACCCCAACCTAGGTTGGAAAGCTTCCGAACCGTTTGCCGGTTACTCAGCCTGGTTCTGTGCCGTTCATTGTTGAGCTCCTCAGGCAAGGAATAATTCCAGGATCTGGAAACCACGACCTTCTAGCCCATTACCTTCTTCTGTTCGGGGCAATTTTCTTTTTTTCCCTTTCTCTTCCCTCTTGTGTTTCTTCCCGTTCTTCGCAGGACTAGGCCACTCGTTCACTTCAATTCTTCGTCCCGTCGACTTTTGCTGACCTTTTTGTGCGCTTTGTTTCTTCTTTCGGACCCTGCTCCCTTTCGCTCCTTTTTGTACAGCTTGACGCGCTTCCAGTCCTTTTCGATCAGTGGTCGAAACGTTTTCCCCCCCCCCCTCTAAACTTTTCCGAACACTTCGCCCCGGAATTGAGAATACAGAGTCGCCAGCTAGCACCAACATGAGAGTATCCGCCAACTAAATCCCTGGCTGAACTGAACATCCGACTTACAGTTTGAGTGAGGGTCTTCAACCGCACGCCTGCATCTCAGTTTCGTCTTGGACAGAATCTCCCCACTGCCATTGGGACTATCGAACTGTTGAAAGACAATCGTATAGTCGCAGGCTGACATGGCAACCTGCATATCTCTCAAGGGCTCGACGCAATGTCCCGCCTGGAATGGTTCCTCAATATCAACTAGCTCCAGTCTCTACACGGATTTGTACGTCTCGCGGAAGTCAAAACCCTGCGACACCCCGGATTGGTTGAACTGACATTTTAATAGCCCATTCATGCAGAATGTAACAAGCGTAAAGCAATTTGACCAGGAGTTGAGCGATTACGTCAAAGGACGCTACGTTACCCAGAAGTAGGCCTTCCTTGTCCGCTAACATGTGGCTCATCTAACCTATCCTGCTTACCAGATATGTCAACTACTTGGGTTGCCAAAGTGCTAATCTCACAGATACTGATGAATTTTATGCGCGCTACACTATTAGCGCCATATGCAGCGGGCTTGTTCAAAGCTCGAAGAAAGATTGCGATCTATCCGATAATGAGTCCAAACCGCTCTGTGCCGATACCTGCGTTAGTGCTCCCCTGCCTAGCCAGTGCCGTATTTTCTTTTCTAACCACCTGGGACAGGCATTGATGGCTACAAGCGAGGCAACTATCTTACTTAACCCTGATCTTTGCCCCAAAAGATCTGGTAATTATATGAGTCAAGTCCGTTCGGACTTTACCGTGTGCGCTCTTCCCGCAGATTCATTAACTGTGACCTGCATCTCGGGAGCTGACAACGAGTCTACCGAATGTGGATATGGGTCGAATCTGGTCGGCTTGTGCGGATTCTGCGGCGCAAGTTCACCTAATTCTACTGATTCTTGCTGCATAAATTCGAACGCCGCGACTCGATGCAAAGACGTGACGATCCCCACCTCATCGGCCGTCCCGCCCATTTTCACATCGACATCTAGTCCGACTGCAGGGGCGTCGTCCGGCCATCTCTCGGGAGGCCAAATTGCGGGGGCTGTGATTGGAGCTGTGGCTGGAGTGGCCCTCTTAGCGGCACTAGCTGCGCTGGCTTTAATATGCTGGAGACGAAAGCGAAGGGCTCGAAATGACAACGCTCTGAATCAGCCAAACCCCCAAAGGAAGGGGTTCTCTCCAATGCAACCTAGTCCCAACCAGCAAGGTTTTGCGCCAATTCCGGGGGGACGAGTGGCCAGGATGTCAGCCCTGCGTGAGGCCCCTAGCTATTCACCTGGACGCTCTCGTAATTCTGGGGCCCTCTTTGGTGCTGGGAAATACAGCGATTCCTCTAATTCGGATCATTACGGGGCGAGTCCCGGGGCTATGTCAAAGAAGATACCCCCAACCGCAGGCAAACGTACTGCCTCGCTATCTAGCGCATCGGCTTTGGCTGGCGCAGGTAGTGATGGGTCACCTCGCTCCGGCATCGGTGGTCAATACTCATCCCCTGAGGGAGTAGCCAGTGGCCAGTCCGAGCAAATGTCGTCATTCCATGATTATTACTCACAAGACGACATTCATCCTGGGGACAAGGTTGCCGTCCTTTGGGCGTATCAACCACGAGCGGGTGACGAGTTTGGTCTGGAGCGAGGAGAGATGCTGAAGGTAATTGGAATTTGGGATGATGGCTGGGCGACTGGTATTCGAGTCCCAGAGAGTGCAGAGGACTATGATACCCGGCATCGAGAACAACGCGACAGTGGTGTGTCAAATGGCTCACACAGACCGATTGCTTCTCCTTCGCCAACCGGAGAGATAAAGGCATTCCCCATCGTCTGTGTGTGTCTACCTCAGCATTGGAGAAAAATTATCGATGGGGGACAGGGTGATGATGGCGTATGATAATCAGCAGCTACTCGTGCCCTAGCTGGAGAGCACGATGTCCTTAACTCTAATGCCGGTTTATGTTATTACGATAGCGCTTTTTGTCACTTTTCACCCACGACCTTCGCCGGGGCTGTTTGATAGATGTCGTTTGCTGCGGAATCAGCGGGAAAGGATTTTGTGCGTATTGGCATCGAAGGCCACCATACACGTACGCTTCCATCTAGCCATGCTCCTGAGACTCTCGCATACATCATTTTTCACTGATGGTTTTATCGACAACACGACACCCAATTGCTTCCGAACACGCCATGACGCAAAGGTTTGATTCTTTCACGTCTCTCCATCACAGTTGCGGACCATGCATAGGCATACTTCCGCGACCACTCGATATGTTTCCTATTCGTTCGTTCATATACCCCTTTACGGCAATGTAGATTGCTCTCCCCTTCTTCAAATACTGTTTCTTTATCGATACATAACATTTACTTCTACCCGACTGCCCTCTGCTCCGATGTAAGGTGCAGCGTGCTAACTCTAGAGGTTCGACTAATGATGAGTCGACGTTCGAAACGGCGATACCATCGAATAGGGGGCATTAGGGCTTTTTCTTCTCCTTATCATCGGGATCTTCCAGTACATACTATTGAAGTATGATTTAGTATATACCAAATTCTAGACCGTGGCTAGAACCTAGTTTTTTTCCAATCTAGTCGCTCTTACCTGGATGTCATCTTTTCCTGTAGTGCTGTCGACTTAGACAAGTATCAACTATCTGTTCGAGTACAATATAGTAATTAGAGCCGACCGTGTAGTATTTGTAGACATTGTACTGTTACGGCGAGCATGTGCAATTGTGTCTATGTAGAGGACATGCTTGCAAAATTAAAAAGCCGTAAGTGAGGGTTGTATCACTAATACTAAACATATGTGCAAACTTGGTTCGCTGGATTGAAGTCCCATGGTTGCATGTAGTAGATACGGTCCATTCAATTGGGACTTAGTCATCAAGACCCAATAACTAACTAACTAGTTATACCAAAAAATTGATAAAAAAAGAAACAAAAGTTATTCCCTGCCAACATAATTAAGATCTATTTAAGTCTCTACAATCTAGTATTGAGACAAGTTCCCCACACTACGAACGGGAATACGTGTCCGAGAATAGGCAGTCCCATGAAGAACCTTAGGGAGTACTCCGTAAACACTGGCAGTAAGTGCATACAACGGACAAACATGCTGCAGGCTGCAACCTCAGTACAGTAGCTCGGATGACATTCCAACCACATACTCATTTTTACTGCTGGAATATTCAGGGGCAAATGACTTATGACGAAAACACGGCCTGGTGGTGCGACGGATATATCACGTGACCAGACCACCCCCACCGGCGGCGCAACACCGCAAAGCACAACAACCAAATGCCCCTCTATCTCCATCCCCCATTATTATTCCTCTCTCACCCCCTCACCCGAAACTCGTCTCCGTTAGCTTCGTTTACCTCCAGACCTCCGTGGACACCTTTCGGGAGCAATCCTTTCCTTCTCTGGTAAGTAACTCAGATCGAACGGTTTTTCTCTAGCTGTAACAGGCGTTGTTCTTCATGGACGGGGAATTGCCACTAAAATCAGGGGAAAATAGCTACTGACATCGCGTGCCGGCGCAGCCAGCTTATCAACTTCGGCTTTTGTTTATTTCTATATCCACACCGCAACCATGTCGGTATGTATTATACTCCCATCTTTCATCTCTGTGGACGACTGATCTTGTGCTGACTCGATGTGCCTGGTGATCTTGTAGCTCGCATCTGGGTATGTTGATGATCGAAGCCCACATCTAAATAGAGCTTGAAAATCAGGATGAACCAGAAGTTCGGAAATGAGACTAACATCATCCGACAAATAGTGTCTCGATCACCGATGAGTGTCTCAACACATTCAATGACCTCCGTATGGGCAAGAAGCTCAAGTTTATCATCTTCAAGATCGCCGATAACAAGAAGGAGGTTGTCGTCGAGGAAGCCTCTGCGGAACCCGACTATGAGGTCTTCCGCACCAAGCTCGATGAGGCCCGCGATGCCAAGGGCAACCCAGTCCCTCGTTACGCAGCCTACGATGTCGAGTACGATCTCGGTGGTGGCGAAGGCAAGAGGTATAATTGCAGCTGTGGTGTCCTTCACGAAAGATAACTTACTAATGTGCCGCTGTATAGGAGCAAGATCGTCTTCATTTCCTGGGTTCCCAGTGACGCTTCTACTCTCGTACGCTCCTATCCCTCTCTTTCCCTCTTCTATCAAAGCCGCCGCTGACAACCCATACAATAGTGGTCCATGATCTACGCCAGCACTCGGGAGAACTTGAAGAACGCTCTTAACATCCCCACCTCCATTCACGCTGATGACAAGTCCGACATTGAGTGGAAGACTATTCTGGTCGAAGCTAGCGGCGGAAAGGCTGGTAAATAAGTAACGGCGCCGGCTGGGCCCGGGCCAGGTGAGCTTTGTGTGTGCTGGTTATTACACTGCGCCGCTCCGTTTCCAGTTCACGGAGTGTCTCGGAACGAAACAATTCAATGACATTCTCCTGCACAAATTCTAGTTCAATATGAGACCGTTACGACTTGTCTGCTTCCATAGTGACCGTATCATCGTTTTGCGCGATCGTGGCACTCTCCGTGACCGAACCTTTGGGGAGGGGGTTTCTTTTTTTTTGTCAGCGTTTACCTGTACAGAATATTGCTGCCTGGTATGGGGTGTGATTTCACAGGATCGGTGTAGAGTAGAATACACGACGTCACCCCCATCTTTAATATATCCTTTGATGTCGGTCCTTGCGTAAGACTGATAGGTCGTGTTATGATCCCGAGATTGCCCGTCAGGTGACCCAGTACGACTGATCTTGGTAGCACTGTAGAGAGAGAAAATGGGTTAATTGAGGAAAATCAAATCCACAACAATTGGGATATTCTGTAAGTTCCCTCACCAATTAGATAATTGACTATAATTTGAAGATGGCCTTGGGGGGAAAAGAAAAGCCAATTATATTGAATAGGGATGGAAGCATCAGGTGTTTTGAGTGAAGGGTGCAAAGGTCGGGACGGTCTGGGACGTGGACCAATGAGGGCGCAGGCAAAACGGACTAACCTAACCGGCCGGATACTCGACTTTCCACCTCAAACCACAGTCGAACGACGTCTTCGTTTCCCATCGCGAAGTCTCGATCACCTCCTCCGCTCCCATCCCACCTTAATTCATCCTCAAAATCGAGGAATCACATCTCTCGTTCACTGAGAGTGTATTTGATCTTCAATTGGTCTGTTTTTGTCGCGCGCACGCCCTCCCACACAATGTTCATTCAGTCTATCTCTCGGGCTGCTGCTCGCAGTTCGGCTATGCCCACCACTGCTATTCGTTCGTACCGTACTGTCTCGGGCCCAATGGCTTGCCTGAATGCCCGTCCTCAGCCTGTAAAGAAGTCTATCGCTCCCCAGCAGACCCGCGCCGCTTCCGAGCACGCCATCTCGAATCCCACACTCGCCGGTATCGAGAAGCGCTGGGAAGCTATGCCCCCTCAGGAGCAGGCTGAGCTGTGGATGCAGCTGCGGGACCGTATGAAGGTTGACTGGCACCAGATGACTCTCCAAGAGAAGAAGGCCGGTATGCTTTACCTCCCCACACAATCCCCGCTGCTCCCGATCGATCAGAATTTTGCTGATGAGCTTTCCTCCCCCGCATTCTAGCCTACTGGATTGCCTTTGGTCCTCATGGCCCTCGCGCACAGGCTCCTAAGGGAGAGGGTCTCCGAATTTTCGCCAAGGTCGTCCAGCTCACTGCCGTCTCCGTCGCCCTGTTCTACGCCATCCACTACTTCGCTAAGCCCCAGCCTAAGACCATGAGCAAGGAGTGGCAGGAGGCCTCCAACGAATACGCTAAGGTATGTGGAGATTACTCCCACTTGAGATCCCTCAGTCTGCAGTAGCTCTGAAAAATGGATACTGACGACAATTGTCACTACAGGCCGAGAAGATCAACCCTATCTATGGTGTCAGCGCCGAGGGTTACGAAGGCAAGGGCTTCGTTCAGAGCCCTCCTGCTGAGAAGTCATAGATTGTAGGCCGGTGACCCGGGCGGACCAGGTATAGCAATTGGACAAGCTGGATAGGATGTGCTGGGTATCTAATGGATACCTATCGCCGTCCACCTTCCGTTTTCTGATGCCGCCGGTTCTGTGCCTATCTTTGCGTGCGCACTTCCCTTCGCCTCTGTCTTATTTGTTTCGCCCAATGTCAGCCCAAAAGACTTGTATCTCGTACTGTGCCATAATCAATGTATCTCCTTTGTAGCCATAGAATCTATCGTTGTGAGTGGTAGTAACCATCTATCAAAAATCTGTGGATGTCGGGTATAGATATATAATTTTTTATGTAGATAGCGATGATCATTTCCCTAAGGACTACTGGAATTTCTTCGCCCGGAGAATGGTTGGTATTACAATTGTCGACTGTGATGTTTACGCCGGAGTTACATGACGGTTGTTGGAGAGGTGCTTATATTATGTATGCAAACGCTTGTGATCTTTACAGTACCCGCGGCAATAAATTAGCTCCTTTCTTTTTTTCTTCTCCTTTTATTACCGTAATCTTTTGCAATCACTTCTTCAGGTCATAGCAAAATGTTATTGTATGTATTTCAAAGAAGCATTTTACTCGTGGTTGTGGAATGTCCATCAAGCCCCGGAGTAAATTAGTTAACTTGCTTGATGGAGAATCACGGGAACACGTCAGAATTTTTTTTTTCCCTTATGCTGGCGTTCGTCCGAAATAGGAGTATCACTCCTTACGGTGTAAGGCCGCATGTGGGTTTCAAGACATAAAACTGTCACAGTTGGGTCTATACCCATTATGAAGTGTTTATTTATTCACCGTATTGATTTGAGCCGCATATAGTCATGCTCTTGACTAGTCACGGCTCTACTGGATAGTGTGCTGGACAGATGGCATTTTTGATGGGGTTCATTACTCCCTTGTATCCGAAGACTGCCAAGAAGCTCCTCATTTTGTGTGTAAATTTCCATGACAACCAACGGGAAACAGATCCGTCCACGGGTTGTATTGGCGTAGACAAGACGTATACAATTTATCCATCAGATTAAAATATTGGAGGGATTATACTAGGTGTTACAAGAGAACAATCGCCTAGCAACCATGAAGCTGATGCAGCTCTTTTCCATGTTTTCTGCGCGTTGCTCGGTACATCACGGGATCGTCGGCAAAACCGCCCCGGAAAGGCTAAGACCGGACACAGTCGCCCGTGTCCACCTCAACCTCAACCTCTTCCCTTCCCTCCCTCTTTCTTCCCTCTCCCCATCTTCTCGTCCCTTTGACCTCATCTATCCCCATTTCGCTCTTAAACACTATCATAATGTTCAAGAGGTGTGTTACGCCACCAAATATTGCCTTGTCGGCCCTTTGACTTTTTCCCCCCCGCTTGCTAACAGCTGTTTTTCCCTTTCACAGCGGTCTTGCCCGGACCTTCGGGAGGGCTGCTTTTGCCCGGCCGACCCCCGTCGCCCGTCGCATTCCCTCCAAGATCAATGGCCTCCCTTCCCTTACCAGACTGGCCAGCACTGAGACCGCTGCTGCCGGCAAGATTCACCAGGTCATTGGTGCCGTCGTCGACGGTATGTTCGCGGCTCCCGACGGAAACCCTACCACCCGGCTACGCGAAAATCTTTTCCTGGCCTCAATTCCATCTCAAAAATCATCAACAACGACCCAATGACTGTTTCAAAATACGATATCTAACTTTCGATTACAGTGAAGTTCGAGGGCGATAAGCTCCCTGCCATTCTTAACGCCATTGAGACCGAGAACAATGGCCAGAAGCTCGTCCTTGAGGTTTCTGTAGGTACCCGAGGAGCTCGAATGACATCAAGTCAAAGTAGCTAACCGAAACTAGCAACACTTGGGTGAGAACGTCGTCCGTACTATTGCTATGGATGGTAAGTCACACTTTTACTTCTATTATCCTAGGAAGTGCCGGCGTGGGCGTCGATATATTCTCGTCCTGTCTTCACCGCTCTCCTATACGCGGCCACGACGAATCCGGCATTGTGGCTGACATTTTACTCTTTCAGGTACCGAGGGTTTGACTCGTGGTGCCGCTGCCCGCGATACTGGTGCTCCCATCACTATCCCCGTCGGCCCTGCCACCCTGGGCCGTATCATCAACGTCACTGGTGACCCCATTGACGAGCGTGGTCCTATCAAGGCCACCAAGTTCGCCCCCATCCACGCTGAGGCCCCTGAGTTCGTTGAGCAGTCGACCGAGGCTGAGATTCTCGTCACTGGTATCAAGGTCGTCGACCTGCTTGCCCCCTACGCCCGTGGTGGTAAGATTGGTCTCTTCGGTGGTGCCGGTGTCGGTAAGACCGTCTTCATCCAGGAGTTGATTGTATGTATATCCACAGCTAAAAGCTTCTCACTCTCCACTCCGTTCTAACCCTTCCTTCACAGAACAACATTGCCAAGGCTCACGGTGGTTACTCCGTCTTCACTGGTGTCGGTGAGCGTACCCGTGAGGGTAACGATCTGTACCACGAAATGCAGGAGACCGGTGTCATTCAGCTCGATGGCGAATCCAAGGTGTCTCTCGTCTTCGGTCAGATGAACGAGCCCCCGGGTGCCCGTGCCCGTGTCGCCCTTACCGGTCTGACCATTGCCGAGTACTTCCGTGACGAGGAGGGTCAGGATGTGCTGCTCTTCATTGACAACATTTTCCGTTTCACCCAGGCCGGTTCTGAGGTGTCTGCCCTTCTGGGTCGTATCCCCTCTGCTGTCGGTTACCAGCCCACTCTGGCCGTCGACATGGGTGGTATGCAGGAGCGTATCACTACCACCACCAAGGGTTCCATTACCTCCGTCCAGGCCGTCTACGTCCCTGCTGACGATTTGACTGATCCTGCCCCCGCCACCACCTTCGCTCACTTGGACGCCACCACTGTCTTGTCTCGTGGTATCTCCGAGTTGGGTATCTACCCTGCTGTCGATCCTCTTGACTCCAAGTCTCGTATGCTCGACGCCCGTATTGTCGGCCAGGAGCACTACGACACAGCCACCCGTGTCCAGCAGATGCTCCAGGAGTACAAGTCCCTCCAGGATATCATTGCCATTTTGGGTATGGATGAACTGTCTGAGGCTGACAAGCTTACTGTCGAGCGTGCTCGTAAGCTTCAGCGTTTCCTGAGCCAGCCTTTCACCGTCGCCCAGGTCTTCACTGGTATCGAGGGTAAGCTGGTCGACCTCAAGGACACCATCCGCTCCTTCAAGGCCATCATTAACGGAGAGGGTGATGACCTTCCTGAGGGTAAGTTCTATTGATATCTACCATAACTTTTGTGGAATCGTGCTAATCCATGTCTTACAGCTGCTTTCTACATGGTTGGTGACCTCGAGTCTGCCCGTGCCAAGGGTGAGAAGCTCCTGGCCGAGCTCGAGAACAAGGCCTAAATGTAATATTGTTTTTAAGCGCCCTTTACTTTTTTCGTTAGACATGGAATTCCTTTCTTCAGTTTACCGTTTCCTGTCGATACGTGTACAGTATTCGAATTGAGAAAAGGGAGTTGAACGAAAGGCTTATCCTCCCTGTTCAGAAGGAAAAAGGAAGGGAGCACTATTACACCCACCTTAAAAGTCTGGATTAATCGTCTGGACTTGTGTTACACTACGTGCTCATGTAAGTAAGTTAAAACGACCACATTCAGCCTGATACCCTCGGGGCTGGGACAATTGTATTCATTTCTTTTGTTGGACAAGACCTGCCTTCCTTTTCCGTAAAGCTTGTAGATCTATACTGCCGTAGTTATGTTCACCTTGCCTGCTATGTCAAAGAGTCTTTGTTTCGGCCCTTAGCGATTTATGCAGTATCGATAGTAAGCACTTGAAGCTGTCTGTATGTCTAATAAGTATTAACCATATAACAAGACATGACCGATCGCCAATCGGTGTCCAGTAGATGAGATATGATGACAATCGTGAAGTTCTAGACTACGTAGGAGTCTTCTCAGCCGGTTATTCAACTATATAATATCGACGGTGATTCCAATACATTCTCAGAGGCGAGGCCCCTGGGTCATTGTATTATACTCCTCGACAAAAGAACAGTAATATCGAGACTGGAAAGTAACTGTAAGTCGGGCGTTTGCCTTTACTCCCTCGTGGTTGATTTTGATCACCCAGTTTCTCATAGTGGAACATGCAGGTCTTGGAAGAAGATTGATTCCCTGGAACCCATCCAGTATCGAGCATGTTCTAGCAGGATATTAAGAAGGATTACATGGTACTACATACACATACATATATATAATAGTTATGTCGCAGCTCCTCCAAGCTTTTAGACTTAGCATTGGGCCTTCCTTTTTTTGGTGGATGCTGGAGTGTTGAGAAAGCGAGCATCTATATCTATGTCTGCTGTGTTGTGTCTGTGTCGTGTTGGAGAATGTTCGTGGCTATAACTTCGATTCATAAAATGTGCTCCTTCTCTAGTAGCGTCTTATCGTTACTGGCTGTTACATACTACTCGTGTATTGTCACACCTTGAGTTACAGCATAGCGGAGTAAGAATGTTGGCCAGATCGATGTCTACAAAGAGAAGCAGACTAGCGCTGATGGCCATATTGCGCGGAGGATAGCGGAGCGCTGAAGGCAGACTCCTGATATAACCATGCTTTTAAAGATCTACGGAGTGCTCTGTGTTGGGACTTTGGGTGAGGTTGTGACCTTAGTAAATGGGATATGTATTGCTGTGATGTGGATGGGGGTTTTTTAAGATATTGGAACAGGCTTTGGCTTGTGTGTTGCTTTGTCGCGTTCTGGGTGTATCTCTAGTTCTGGGGTTAGATTGTTTATGTTATTTATTCTGTGTCGATTCCGGCTGCTCGGTAGAACGGGGGGTAAAGAACACTTGTTGGCCTAAGGGCTTATAGTTGATAGGATGGAGGAAGTTAAGGCTGTGGAGGAGGTATCTGGTACATATGCGATGGGTGATGATCCTCTATTTACAGTTCGATTGACATTATAAGTTTCCTGATACGAAGGATTAGTATTGTAATGCCCAAGTCTTGGAGATGACTATATAAGGACTGAGTTCTAAAGACTGATTTCTAAGGACAGGCAAATGATCTTAATCAAGAACTATGAAGCTAGGAAGAGACAGGCGAGCAACTGCTGTTGTGGATGGTAGCTTTACTAGATTTACTAGAGCGAAAGGTGTACTCGCAAATGCCCCAAAGATACAGGGGTATTACAGTGTTTCCTCTAATGCTAGGACCTGTGATGAGAAACAATTAGTATGCGCGGTCCTTTCTCTAGGGAACTTCTGTGTCAGGAGTGGGACGAATCTTACCAGCGCGGTCCTGGTGGGGATGTAGACTTGAAGAAAGTTACTCCGGCCATTCCATGCGAAATCAGTAGTGAAGAATCGAGTCTCCTTAATATTGCGCTTTAGCCCACCGAATGCTGGATCATCGGTGTCGAGTACAATACGGTACGTGCCTGCCTTCTCGACACCAACGCGGTAATCGGTGAAGCTGTTGGTTGGGTGAAAGTTGAAAATCCAAAGAAGCCCTGCACGCTCAAAGACGAGAACTTTGTCGGTTTCATTCTTGAGGCTGATGTATGCCTGTGGTGAATGCAACCAACCATATTTCTCCTCGGTCAATTGAACGGCGCGGTCAAATTCGTTGAGGAATTTGTATCGCAGGAGATGGTCCTCGGTTAGGTTCAGCTGGCGTCGTGCATACCAGAAGGAGTTGTTATTTCCTTCTCGGGGGAAGTCGAGCCACTCTGGGTGACCGAACTCGTTGCCTTCAAAGTTGAGGTAACCCTCACCTCCGAGACTATGGGTGACTAGTCGGATCATCTTGTGCAAGGCCATGCCTCGTTCGATGACAGGGGTGAACTCGGTTAGGACGGACATATGAGTGTACATTTCTTTATCGCATAGCCACATCATGAGTGTTTTGTCACCCACAAGCCTTGACAAGAAATCAGAAAACGAAGCTTGGTAGGATGTGTTTGTGGGTTGGTACACTTACGCTTGATCGTGGCTTTCTGCGTAGGCGATCGTCTTCTCGCCATGGCGCCTGTTTGTCAATGTGAAGGACAAGTTTCCTATGTCCCACTCATCGTCTTCCTTCTCTTTCAAGAGCTTGATGTACATGTCTGGGATGGCCATGGCAAGGCGGTAGTCAAAGCCTACGCCGCCGATGGAGTGCGGTAGACAGAGGGCTGGCATCCCAGAGACATCTTCCGCCACTGTAATACAATCGGGATAGAGGTTATGCAGCATTTCGTTGGCGAGTGCCAGATACATCACACCTTCTTCGTCAACAGAAGAACCGAAGTACTCATGGTATCCTCCAGAAAAGCCCCTGCATACTTTTAGTCAAAATTGGGTAGCATTGGTGAGACGGTCGGGTACTTACGTTCCGATTCCATGATGAGTGTAAAGCATACTTGTGACACCATCAAAGCGGAAACCGTCAAAGCCATACTCGTCCATCCAAAAGCGCAAGTTGCTTAGAAGAAAGCGCAGAACTTCATGATTACCGTAGTTAAACAATCGACTGTCCCACAGCTCATGTCGACCTTTTCCACCACCATGGAAGTACAGGTGGTCCGTGCCGTCAAACATGTTCAATCCGTCAAGCACGTTCTTTGATGCATGACTGTGAACAACATCGAGAAGCACTACAAGACCCATACTGTGGGCCGTGTCAACGAGCTCCTTCAAATCTTCAGGTGTACCGTAGCGGCTGCTCGCTGCGAAGAAGTTATTGACCTGGTATCCGAAGCTGGCGTAGTAGGCATGCTCCATGATGGCCATTAACTGAATTGCATTATAGCCCAGATATTTGATTCGAGGGAGCATGTTAGCAGTGAACTCTTTGTATGTCGCAACCTTGGTTTCGGGAGATGAAATTCCCACATGGGCCTCATAAATCCGAAGACTTTCAGGCTTCTTCGGGTGAGTATGCTGGAACTTATACTGTTTCTCGATGGGTGGATTCCAGAAGACCGACTCATATGTTGGTGACACATCCAGATCTTGCACCACACGTTTGATCCACGCGGGGATTCGATAGATTCGCTCTCCGCTGGGGGTTACCATAGTTATCTGGACAATATAAGTTATATTGAACAACACCACAAGGCTCAGTATTTGGATGTATACCTTGATCTTGCTACCATGGGGGATAGCCGGAGCACCATCTTTTGCTGGCACTGTAATCTCCCAGACGCCAAAATCGTTCTTCGCCATTGGGTGGGTCGTAACATCCCAGTTGTCTGTCAATCTCAGCATTGCTTCCTCGAATGGGACCCTCCACGTAGCTAGACATACTGAAGTCTCCAACTAGTTGCGCCTCCACGGCATTTGGAGCCCATTCTCTATAGACAATCTCACCGTTGGGTTGAACGTTGAGACCGAACCTCTCGTAACCCTAAAAGGCGATTGAAGTCAACATACATGGCCAGTACGGATAGGTCTAGTAAGAATCGCAACCCTCCTAGACTAAAGCAAGCAAGGATCAATTGATATGTTACCTTGCTAAATTTCTCCAGGCCTCCTTCCGCCTCATTGATGGTCTTGACCCAACCTTCGATGAAATTGAACCTCTGCTTTAGAACTTCCCGAAAGGGTTCTAGCCAAGGGTCCAGCTGTATAACACCTAGAAAAATCTCAGCGATAAAGTGGAATTGAGGAAGCTACCCATCACTGGAGGACTGACCTGTACCGTCTGGTGGGGAGCTACCCGCAGCTTGAGAAGATGCCATTTCCGGCAGCTGACAGGAACTGATAAGGCCCAATCAGGTACAAAACCTTATTACTGAGGGTCGTGAAGACAAAGTGAAATCAATTCGAGCTCACACCACAAATAATCGTAACCACGGAGTATTTAATAATTGGGGAGAATGGGAGAAGAGGTGAGGACGGAGGAAAGCTGATGTCCTGATGCGGGGGTTGTTTGCTGAGAGGCCAAAGCTCTCCCGTGACATCACCGTGAAATTAAATCCCTGCATTTGTTTGCTTCTCTTGTTTGTCGACCACTTCACAATTCCCTCTTCTTCAACCCTTCTATTCGATCGTATGCGATGTCTTACTTAATCCCCGAGATAAGTGAGTTTTATTATGTTGGACTAGTCTAACTGAGCTCGCAAGTAATCAAATGGGAAAAAAGGCATAGGGATTCCATGTCCAACCATGTCCGAAGGAGAAAATAACTGATTATATTGACAAAGGTGCCATCTAATTATACAGACTAAGAATTGAATGCCTATCCTTGCACTAATCTTGCTTAGTGATGGCTATGACGCCGATGGTGATGGTGGCTAGCACTGGGAGGACCCGTAGGTGCTGACATGTCATTTCCGAATGGGCAAGCACCCAGCTCAGTGGCGACAGCAGGAACTGGGCTGCTGGTGGGCGTCTCTCGCTCAGCTGTGGTAGAAGTTGCCTCCTCAGCTACCGTTGTCGGCTCCGAGGAAGCCACAACAGCCCGGACCTTTGCAGCCCCTGAGCCGCTGTTGGCCATCAAAGCACTGTACGGGGTCGCTCCAGGGTAGAAGGTGGTAGGGATAGTCGGGATCGGTATAGAGGCTGTAATGCCAAAGTCCGTCTTGAGGTCGGAAGTCATGGTGGCTGCCGAATAGCCAGATGGGGCACTGGAGACGGTGCTCGTGGTCGCTGCATAGACAGTATAGCTAGAGCCGGACTTGAGGCAGAATCCAGAGCCATAAGCATTACGGCAAGAGTACCACTGTCTTGGCCTAGAGCTGTCCTCAGTCCACATGGCAAAGTCCTCAATGGTGATGTCGTAGCAAGGGGCACTATCCGGGCAGACAATTTTGATAGGTCCTCTGTTAGCGCCATTCGCCTCGGTACCCTTCCAGTTTCGGACAGTGACATTGCTCAGTTCGACACCCTCTCCTCCCTGAGAGTGCATGCTGGTCCAGTAACTATCAATATCGAATGAGTAGGCATTACCATGGCCTGATGAACGGAGTACAGGATTAGCATCAAATGCCCAACAAACTCGCTATTTGTCTTGTTTGAGTGCCTGTACTCACCGATGAAGTTCTCAAATAGCAGGTTCTTCGCGGAGCCACTACCACCGTTACTCTTGATGAACATCATGTTGTTCGAATTCCAGGTGTAAATGTTCCGGTAGGTGATATCACTGATGTCAGTATCCTTCCCAAGAGAGCCCATGCCGCATCCACCGCTCCGATTACAGTAGATGTTCTCAATCAGGATGTTCTTAGAAGGGCTCTGCAGATATGTTAGAAGCTATATCGTGGTGGAAAGAGGGTTGTGGTGATTGCATACCTTAACTGTGATACATTCGTCTTTGTTGGTTACCTCAACCTATTGGCATGTTAGCTCATGAAGGTCCCTTGAACTATTTTGGTCCGCTCACATCATGGATCCAGATGTTCGTCGACCACACATCAACGCCATCCAAGCCGCCATGGTTACCACCGCGCACTGCCATGTTGTACACTTCGCCGTTGGTGGTAGTGTCCAGGGAGAAGTGGAAAGTAGGCGCATCAACAAGAATGATATCATGAACCGAGAAATCTGTAACGTCCCAAAGTCGCAAAAGACGAGGTCCACTCCATTTGTTGTCTTTGTGGAACTCATATCCCAAGCCCTGCATGGCACCCGACGATGTGCTACTGAAGAGCTCAAAGTCGCTAGTATGTTCGACCATGATCATGTTTCCGCCATCCGTACCAGTACGGTAAATGGTTCCGTCGAGCTGCAGGGCCCATGCTTTGCCATTAGCTAGCTTGACCCAGGTTTTCATCGCATAATCTCCCGATGGAATTTTAACCAGACCACCCGACTTGCAATCGGCGAACGCCGATGCTAGAGGGGGTCCGAGATCGGTTGACTTATCCGCCTTTGCTCCATAGTCGAGAACATTGCAAGTCTTCGTGGCGGCTTTGGTGGAAGCCGAGGTCAACGGTCCCACAGATCCAGAAAGGCTGGCCACCGCAAGGGTCGGTACCAGGCTCACGAGGGAGAACAGCGACAATGTATTGATCCGCATCTTGTTGAATGGGATCGGAAGAGAATTAAATGAGCGTGTTGGTTAAAACAAAAAGAAGGGCAGAAACGCGTGGGCGAGAAGGTCTCTTAAGTAGAACTAGACTCTGTTCTCGACCTGAATCACTTCCCTTGAGATATGGCGCCAGCATCTATTAGCCCTAGCTTCAAACAACCTTGGGCTACTGTACTCTCCCAGGTCTGAGCGACAATCTGTCAAGTCACCGGAGCTTCTAGAACCAGACTTTTGTCTGAATCAGATAAATTAGGTGGCGCGCTAGGAGCAACAATGCATGCCAATGTGTATTAAGAAATCATGGCGTGCTTTCGACGATTGAGCCAAGCACGAGCACTCCATACTGTGTTTCGCATCGCATATCGCCCGCTGCCCCCGTTCTGCATTACACCAACTCTGACGTCCACAGAGCTCTGCAGAGCTGCTCGATGATGTACGCACAATATTCTGTCCTTCATGGCAATTTCGATGCCTTTGCCGGTTGAGGCGGAATGACTCTCAAAAGAAGTGGACCCGAGGTCAAGATGAAACGCTCTAAAAGCACCGCTTTCGGAGAATAGCCGACACCGAAAGAACAATTTTGTGCAGCAAAAATCAGGAGACAAGCAACTCCAACTGAAGTTAGAGGGCAAGTATAAATGAAAATCTGAAGTTAAATTAATAGCTCATTGACTAGGTCAGTGATCTGGCCAAGGGCCACAGAGATCTGTTGCGAACAGTCTTATATTGGTATTTGGTTCAGACTGCAATATATGCAAGTTGTACTGATCGAGGTCACTACGCTCTCCTTTATGTCTACCCAGGTCTGAACTCGGCTCTAATTGACAGTTTGCTACTGCTACACCTAGAACTACTGCATGGGTATCTCCTGCACCATCTAAAACGTTTTCTAAAATAAGAATGGTTTGAAAGGGGCGAAAAAGAAGCGTGCGTCTGAATTAAATGTTGTATTCTCGGAAAGCCCCCAATATGTGCAACGAAACAGACATCCATCTGGACTCAATCAGACAGCAAATCGATAACAAATATTTAATCCTTCACGCTAGTCATTGTCGGCATGCCGAGTACACAGGTCTCAAGAATTTTAGTCTAGTGTGGCACCGTGACCACATTTCTAGAGCCACTCGCTGTACACTTTCCCGGGGTTAGCGAAACCCTTCATATTTCATTTAATCCACGCAAGGCAGTTAAACGAAATAATCATTTACAGGCTGGCGCCAAGGGTTGCGACAACACTGCCGACCGAAGTGCCTAGAGCAGGCAGACCGACACCAGAAAGGAGACCTGCAATGTCAGGAGAGAGCTTAATGAGAAGGAGAGAGCCATCCTGGGCGACGACAGTCAGGAGGTTCTTAACAGGCTCGCCGAGGTCCTTAAGGAGGTCTCCAACGTTGCCAGCGGTCTTAACAATCTCACCAACGGAGGTACCGACGCCGGGCAGGCCGAGGCTGGCGAGGAGGGAGGCGATAGAAGGGCTAAGCTGGATGAGAAGACGCTTGGCATCGGGACCGGTGACTTCGAGAACATCCTGAACCTTGGGGGCGACGTCCTCGACAATCTTACCATCGGCGGAACGCTTTAGGTTTTCGCCGAGTGTGGAGACAATCTTGCCAATGGGAATACCGACTCCAGGGAGGCCGAGGCCAGAGACTAGGCCAGCAACCTCAGGAGACAGCTTGATCAAGAGAGCGCCAACGTCCTTGCTGACAACGGTCAGAAGGCCGTCGACAACTGGGCCAAGGTCCTTGACCAGGTCGCCTACCGAGGCAGCAGACTTGACGATCTCTCCAACAGGGACACCCACAGCAGGAAGTCCGAGACCGGAGAGCAGACCAGCAACCTCGGGGCTGAGCTCAATGAGGAGCTTCTTCGCGTTCGGGCCGGTGACGGTCAGAACCTGGTTGATACCGTGACCAGCATCCTGGATAATGTGACCGCTGGCACCTGAAGAGGGCGCTGGGGTTGCTGCAGGAATAGCATAGGTGGTAGAGGCCACGGAAGTGGACTGGGAGAGGATGCTGACCTCAGGGAGGCCGCCCGCGGGGGCAGCCACAGCAGAGGAGGCTAGAGCAGCGATGGCAGTGATAAAAGTAGCCCTCATTGCGATGGGTTTGTCTCAAAGAAACTAAAATGAATGGAAGGGTATATTATCTGAGGCTGTAGCGGTTAAGGAAGGACAGAAGTTGGAGAGGGAGCGAAAGAACGAACGAATGGTGCGCTGCTGATCGAGAAAGAAACAGCAAGAGCGCTGGGAGGCTTTACCCTTATATACTACAGCTTCTCAGGGATCGACCTTTCTTTATTGTTTTTTTTGGAGAAAGCAGCTGGACAGCTTGATGACCCAGCTGGCGGGTCAACCCTTTGGCAAGAGTCCTGTGTCATTGCTTAGGTGAGTAAAGCATTATCACAAGCTTGATGGAGACAAAGGACCACTAGGCTGTGGATACTGAATACAGACCAAGGTACAGGTTGCCCAATGTACCCTTCTTGTGTCTTTAGAAACTCTGTTCCGTATCTTGTCTACGTTACTGCGTTACCTATGTTAACCTACAAGGTAGGTATCAAGACGAATTTCGTAGATTCTCGCAATGAAGCTCTGGTGACTCTTACGACTCTAAGAATATGGAGTTTGGAGAAGAGACTCAACTTGGCAGTGCTAAAAATTCGTTCCATAGACGTCATTCAGGAGGCCGATACTGCAACAAGCGTGCAATCATTGCTCGTTTGGGGAGTGCCGGATCCGATGATCTACACGCAATGGATTTTAAGACATTATGTCTTCCACGCCTTTCCTAGTTGCCTTTTGACTACCACCGTGATCTACATCTTAATCTTACCAGACATCTCTTCCATCACATGCTTTGATAGGAGTCGATGGAGTCCCAGTTTGCTACTCACTATTGACTTTATCGTACTTAGTGGAGAGATTATTGGCTAAACACTAGAACGAACACGAGCTCATTCATCCGGCGCGATAAAGTGTATCTTGGTCTAATCGAAATAGACCTAGAGTCGACTTCCCCGTCTCAAGCATGTATGGCGTGTAGGTTCTAGAAAGAGAAAACTTTCCTTAGTATGTTGTTGAGGGCCACCCGGGAAGCCGGTCTAACCGTGACGATCTTCAGCGATATCTCTAAGCTAACGTTGCTGTAGCTTGCTCTATGCCCAAGAGTACGGGGAACGCCGGAGAAGCTATTGAAGGTTACATACAGAGCACTCCGTATATGGCGAGGCCTGTCGATGCATGGGAGATATAGCTTTGCACCGATGGATTATTATTTCGGATTCTCAGCGAGACCTTACGACTTCTTAGTGGTAGCTCACATCACTGGTCGAGATTGACACCCACGCCCTCTTGGCCCCTTGTAATGATACATAGACTTCGCGTGTCCACGGCCTAATACGAGACACTCAGCTTCCTCTGTATGAAATTTAACCCCATAGCCGTAGCCTAGGGCTGGAAAAAAAAAAAGAAACCAAATTCAGGAGGGAGCTTAAATGGCTCGGCGGCTCCACCCCGAGGGCTTCCGCACACGAGCTGGAAACCAGAGTACCTATCTATCCTACTTGAGCTCAGAACAAGCTAGTTTTGTATATGGGGACTATGCTAAAAAGCTTTCTTGAATGGGTTGCTTTCACATGAATTTTGCCAAAGATTCGAATTTTGAGCCTTCGAATACTCAAGCCCTGCCCATGGGAAGAATATAGAAAAGGGGCTCCTCTAGAGCATCACGACAATTGCAGAAGGGGGGTCTGATCATCATCATGAAAACAATCGCGTCAACGGAATCCCACGGAGAAATCCCCGAGAACCAACACGCAAGAGGGTGCATGATCGTTAGGACCGTTACGGTCGATGATCGACAAGCTTAATAACTCCATTGCCGATCGACTCCATCAGGAACCGCGAATGAACTCCCTGTAGCCGAAACTCGACGGAGTCCTTTGTTACTATTGTTTCTACTATTGGCAAATATTATGGATAAAACTAAAAGAGACCCTGACAAACTACATGACACTGTCCTACGGCCACCCTCCGTTACGGTATATATCGCGACATTCGGGAAGGAAAGGGGAGCCCCCCCCTAATTACCGGTGCTCCGGTGGTGGATCCCGAGCCATTTCGGGAGCCGCTATTCTTTCTTTCCTCTTCGTTCCGCCCGACGACGATCAATGACTTATCAAAATTTACCTGCTGGCTCCCAGGTGTGGCGAATGAAGAATTTGGTCTTGTCAGCTGACAACATACGAGAAGTTGTCAGGTATGGCGACTCTGGAGGTATATGGTGTACGACAGGGTCCTCAGTGCCTGTGAAATGGTCCACATCTGCTAAGGAGCTGTGGCACGGAGAGTGTTTCTGGCCATTAAAATAGTAATATGGCGAGCTAGTCATATCTATACAGGGTATGTGTGAATATATCTATTTACAATCACGTGTCAAAGACAAAAGTTGTGCAAGTATATCAACTTCACGAAGCAGGACTGGGTGGCAACTCGCCGGTGAACCAGTCACTCGCAGCCTCTCCAAGCTCGAACTCTATGGTTCCTCCCTGGGCAAAAATATCGTCCCACGTGAACCAGTTCTTCTTCCAATCTTTTCCGTTCAACCGAAGCCTCTGCACATGGATTTTACTGTCGCCGTTGCCGTCGCCGCCGGTCGCGGTGATCTCTAACTTCTTCCCGTCTCCAAGCTCAATCGTCAAGGACTCGAACCACGGAGAATGTACCAAAAAAGTCGATTGCCCCGTGATGGGATATAGACCAATCATATTCCATATGAGCCACGTTTGCATGGCGCCAGCGTCGCTGTTACCGGGGAGACCTTTTACCCCAGTACCATAATAGGTCTTTGCAATGTTGCGCGATCGGGAAACCGATAGGTCCTGCCGGTCGATGTAGTGGTAAAGATATGGGATATTAAACATACTAATGGGACTGTCAGCCAGGCTATCCGCGCTAATATGGGACTAACTAGAGTGAAACCCAGTGGAGGATGAGGAAAACTTACGGTTCGTTGGTGGGATCGAAGATTATGCCACTAGAGCCGCTGGCTCCTTCGGTGAACATGGTGTCCAAACGTTTGAGGACAGTCTGGGCCCCGCCCATCATCTCAATCATATGCTCCATATCGTGAACACTTGCCCAGGAGTATGCCCATGAGCTAGCCTCGTAGAAAGGATCCCCCCAGTAGCCACTGTCCTTCAGTGGATCCGTTTCGATGAACCCGGTGGTGTCACGTGGAACCACAAAGCCCGAAAATCCCAGCGAGGTCTGTTTTGGATTCCAATGGTTTCTCCAATTTTGTGATCGGTTCAGGTATTTGTCTGCATCTTCATGCTTCCCAAGACCGGATGCGACCTGATAGAGACCAAAGTCGTTACAAGCATACTCGACCGCCCGAGTGACAGCGCGGCTGAATTTGGGTGTGATGAACCCGAGACTAAGCCAGTCGGACAGCGCACCTCGTCCCTCTTTGGTCGAGGAGTCTGGCGCCATAGGGTCGGCCGGATCGTTTGGCGGAACCACTTCGGCATCGTTCACCATTGCCCGGTACCCATCTTCCCAGTCAACAGCCCCTCGCACGCCCTTCACATAAGCATCGGCAAGGATATTGTCAGCATTTGAACCACCTTGTGTTCTTCCATTGTAATTCGATGAGCGAGCGTCGGGGAGATAACCTTCAAACCGCCAGATGTCAATCAAAGAGCGGATCTGTTCTTCATATGCTGCGGGCTGCAGTACTTGCATGAGAGCGGTAGAACAGCGGAAAAGATCCTAAACGCTTGTGAGCCATGGGACAATTTATATCGGCGTGCGCGAAGCTGTCGGAAGACCACACGTACCCAGTAAGTGAAGATATCTTGATAATACGGCTCTGAAGACGTCCAGTCGGGGTTCTCCCCGGTCTGATTGGTTGGGATTAGATGCATGAAGTAGAGGGATGTGTATAACAAGGTGAGACTTTTCTCGTTCGTGTTCGTTGTAATCACCTTGGACAAGACTTTGGAGCTCCATTCCGCCTGGGCATCATGAACAACTGACTTGAATTCTGTTCCCTCCGGAACCTCTTCTTGGACATTTTTACATGCTTTTTCTGTGGATAACCATGAGATGCCAACGCGCGAAGTAACTACAGATTGCTCGAAGGTAAACAATCCTCCAATGCGCGTTGTGCTCGAGGATGAAGATGCAAATCCACTGGGTTGTTCGACGCTATCTCCCGCACCAGTTGCGATATATGTTTTGTTACGAACTGGAGCAGCATCGAAATAGCCACCTATACATGGAGGTCAGTTCCCCGGTCATGATTGAGGGTTAAAAGTCAAAATAAACCTACAGAAATAGATCGACCAATCGGGTGAACGATTCCAGCCATTATCATACACTCCCTGGCCTTCATAATGCCCGTCGGGGAAAAGAGTGATGTTTCCACCTCTGTACCCTTGGCCTAGTCCCTGTCCTCGAAACGAAGGAAGGACATGAGAGACATCAACCAGGACATTTCCTGTGGATCCAGTGGGGAATGTATATTGATACATTCCTGCATGAGCTGATGCGGTCAGCTCGACAATGGTTCCCTCCGATGTCTGCGCCTTGTAATAGCCGACCGACGCTTTATCTGTGCCCTTCCGGGCGACAGTCTTGTTTGACAGAGGATTACTGATGTTTCCTACCAAGGGCAGCTGTGAAACTGTTCCGTACTTGGGCGCTCCTCCTGTGCCTTGCTCATGCATCATGCTGAAGCCAGAAAATTGGCCATTGGGCAGGTAGCCAGAATAGGCGTCTGTCCCTGAGACGAATAGATCAGGACCCAGCTTGACCATGCCGAACGGTCGAGCGGCACCAGGGAAATCATTTCCTCCACCTTCAGTACCCAGGCTTATGAAGTTAGAAGCCGCCTGTTATGAAACTTGCGCGCGACCTGAGACTTGATACTCACAAGAGATTTACATAGGTCGTTAAATCCGCAGAGTGGACCAGTGGCTGGAGCAGTGTTAGCACCAGAACAGTGCCTAGCAACGCCATGGTCAAGAATATTCCTAGAAGGATGCTTGTTAGGGCCGCCAGTCTTCCTATCTTCGTTGGTGACTCGGGAGCTGTCCTACAAGAGACGGAACGCAATTGAACACGGCTTACATCAGGATGCCGCAGGTTGCAATGGCTTTTCAATATATCTGTTCTGAAGTCTGAATAAGCGCGCAGTTGTGGGGGAGTTACACAGCCATTTCCTGAGCTACGAGGCACTAGTAGTAGCGAGGAGGGGAAAGTATGAGGCCACCGATTGTGAGGCACAGCCGCACATGTCCTGATCACAGGCGAACCAATACATGGGCTTGAGAGCCCTGTGGGTTCGGGCAAAGCAAGGATAGGCTGCACAGTAATAGAACTATGGAAGAATACCCTGTCTAGTGTCAAAAGGGGTAAAGACTAAAATTTTAGGCCCGGAGGCGGTCCCCATATAGGTTCTGGATGGAAGAGTAGCCCGCACACAGTGTGCCTCGTTGGTACCCCGTACTTCATGACGAAGAACTATCTAGTTATAGGGAAGATGGTCCAAGCCCGTTTTCACGAAAGAGTGCGCATTCTTTCCCTTAAGCCAGGCTTACCGGAATGTCCCTTTTTCTTGTCCACAAAACAAGCCGAAAAAAAAGACAAGGGAAATATCCGAAGCCACGATAGGGGAGCGAAAGGATAGGGCAAGCATGGACAACATAAGCACTAGGTATGTACTCCATACATTCCTAGGCCCTATCATATTCAAATTTGGTCTCAGGCTAAGATCTGACTTCGTTTGAGCATTATTCTCCAGTCGTAAGCTTACATGGCGCACATGCCGCTATTCCCCTGACCACACTGGTGCTTTAGCCCCCACCCCTTAGGAAGCTAAGATTCTGAAGTATGTCGATCATCCTACTCTCGGCATGATCCAGAATCAAGGGTTATCCTTCTGATCATGAGGAATCACCAATAACATGCTCGGCTCAGGGCGCCTCTGGACTCGAGATCTGATTGGACGGTTCCTTGCCCTAGTTTCCGGTGACTGGCTCCTGATATTACGTAAGGCTTGCTGCTGCCTGAGGATTTCCCCTTGCTTTCCAGGCCAGTTATACCACAAAGTGTTCACTGGTCACGATGGCTTGATCTAAGACTATATAACAAAGAATATGCACTCAAAGAAAAGAGATATTGATATAATGTTGATGGCCATCCGTCCCAATGATTTTCGCATTGGCCTTGGCCTGCGTAATAATATGTTTCGCGAATCCCGAATGCAACATATCTCCGAGCAAAGCCTTGCTTTCCCTGCGCCCGGTCTGATTGGGGTCCAGTTTCGTTTTAATAATATATGATCCATAAGTTATGACCCATATTCTGATATTAATGGTTTACCGCGGCAATTGTTTTTTCTCCACTACAGAACAACGCCCGCTCGAAGGTTACACCACCTCTGTTTATGGTGCAATCGTGCCTTACTATAACGGTTTACACCTGATAAATGAGATACAAGGTGGTAAACTTGCCAGAAATTGTATCTAACCGTGCACTGAAGGCTGCCGCCAGAGGCACATATCATAGAATTAAGTAGATTGATAGTCCGATCAAATAAAAAGAAAAACAAGTGACAGCCTGTTCATCAAAGGCCAGGCTACTTAAAGTTCCTCCAGTCAACCTGGCACACTTCAAAGTCATCCCAAAATCCCCTCCGGCAAATCAGGACCTACAGCAAACCCCAAAAGTCAGCCCACACATCCCCAAAAATCGAAAAGAAAAAAAGGACAACCTACCCCAAGCATGTAGATTATCCGGCGAAGCAGGAGATCTCCGCATGGCATGATCCCCATTCACCAAATCACTATCGACATAATGTTCGACGATAAAGCCAGATGGATTGAACCTGCAAAACGCGTATTAGACTAGACTCGAGAACACAACATCCATATCTACAGCGTAGACTCGAAACAAGCCAGTAGTCGAAGTCGTGCGTCTCGAAGGATGAGTGGTAGACGTGGGAGCTAGGGCCCTCAAAGAAAAAGAGGCTGTGGTGGTCTACTAGTTCTTCGCCGCGGTCTAGGTGTAGGAACGTGGTGATGTCTTTGCCAGCTGGATCGTGGATGAGCTGGTATGTATATTTGAATTCTTTAGTTCTGGGTATATATAGAGACTGAGGGTGTTTTCTGGTGAACTTACATCTCTGGGTTTGAAGTTGAATCTGGTTGTGTAGAAACCGAGCGCCTTTGCAAAGTTCGTCACACATCCCGAAATGACCCAGTTTGTGGACTGGTACTGGACCTAATGCAAGGATTACTTCTCTGTGTTAACTTAACCCCGTCTCGGTTGAGAGGCTACCTTGCTCAAATCGCTGCGTCCTATTCCCTGGTCAGTGTTTCTCAGTTGGCTTCAGAAATTAAATCAGCTTGGCTCGAATGTGGGAACCTCGCTACTGACAAAGTTGTACTTCAACTCATTTAGTTTCAGTCTTGCTACCCTGGCCATAAACCAAGTGAAGTAGAAATCCGTCGACAGGGTCCCGGAATGTGACCGCAAGGCCACCACCCGGAGCTCGATCCAATTCATAAATCCCTGTTGCGCCGGGGAGAGTTTGAGAGGCGTACTCGAGGTCTTCTTGAGTTTCTACCGCGAAGGCAGCGCCTCCGAATTCATTTGTATTGCCCTGTTTCGCGTAATATAAGAACGGTTCGGGTCCTGTGCCGCCGTAATAGATCTCGTTCCCGGTTTGGGAGATTTTCTGAAGACCGAAGTATGAGAGAAATTGCGTGGATTTCTATATGTGTGTAATACACGCGGGATAGTCGGGCAAGTCGGATTTGGCGGTAGGTTGTGTTATTGTTGGCTGGAGAAGTCATGTTGAGAGGGTGTGGATGGTTTTGGAAACAGAAGAGTAGAGATTCTGATGATCAGGCTATTCACAATGTCGTCATATCTTTATTGGCGTGAAGCTCTTGTTGATATTTAAAATCTCAGTACGTATGCACTTGAAGAATGAAGTCGGACCGACTTGACGTGGTAGTATTTCTCCAGGAGCAGAGCCATGGTAGAGGGGACTAATTTCGGTCCATCTTCAGTCCGGGTCCAATTCTTCGTCGACTCCCACTATACTTCCATGTATGGGCTCGAGAGCTTTGTTCGATCTTGATTGAAGGATGATCGCGTGGAGTAGAACGTTGCATTCCGGCCTTTCCTACCCGGGGTTTGCTATCTTCGGACTAAATTCGGTTTAACCCCCTCACCTCACTTACGACTGTTTGGTAATTCGGGATTGTTTATAACTGATCACGGCTAAGAATCATGGAGTCACGCTGATTCTAAGATACGATGTCTGGGATGGAATAAATGCAATCGCTAACCTGTGCGGATTTAGAGAACTACCCAAGAGAACAGTCAACCTGGAATTATATCAGAAGGCATCATCTTATTGTTTATTCCTGGCTCCACAAATACCATCAACTTCCAATATTCAACCCAAGCATAGGCTGCCTTTCTGCGTTAAATAATAAGAATATGCAAGCTTACTTACGCAAGCGAGCTAGACCCTTCAGCTCGACCTCTCAACAAGTCTACCGCGAACCCGCCCGCAGCACCACAAACCGATATGGTCGGTACAGAGTTCCTAATCAGTGGAGCCGGACCAGCCGGCACATTCCTGGCTTGTTTCCTTGGCTCATACGGTTAGCAATCTCCAGCGAGATGCGCGTTAAACTGAAACACAGGTAGCAAGATATCACAGGGCTTAAGGGCCCAATGATTAGCTCTGCACCAGGGACAGCAAGTACCCCAAGAGCACATATCACCAAAACTACGCTGACAGATCAAATAAGCAGAGATTTGGAATAGAAATTCGAAAGTTATTGAGGTTGACAGAGTGTAAGGCATCGCAACTATTTGAGATTTGGTATATAAATATAAAAATATGGGCACTTGGTTAAGTTGTTACGGATATGTGATCCGTATTCAGCCACACATCGGTCCTTGGGTTGGTGGCAGCAGAATTCAGAGCGAAATTAGAGCCAACACTAGGTAGCATTCCTTGGAAACTCACGTTAGACGATGAATCAAGCTATTGCTTTAGTATCTGGCATGAATATGACAGTAGTTCACGATATTAATTTGCATGAATAGCTCCATAGATCATTCAGACTAATTCCGGGGATTGCTATATTAAGAAGCTGATAATGCGTGGCCCCAATATCCAGTTAAGAAGGAGTGAGATGGGCCAATACTTTACATATACATCGTTCTGTCATTGAAAAGATGTATCTAATCCCTGCTGGAGATAGATTACGGCAATGAAAAGAATATGGCATTGATGCCTTTTGACGGCATAACATTTGCTAATTAGGCAGCTTATTCTGGAATCGCGCATACGGTTTCATCTCGTACTTCCGCCGGAACATATCGTCGACGTGCGTTAGATAGTATGTGCCTGGTGAGAGGCTGTCAATGCTTCCCTCAGGAGTGTAGTTCCTTTGTTGGTATGCCTTCACGCGGAGTTGACACATCTAAATCGATTAGACTACCGTTGTTATGGGGGTACACGCGTATATAAAGACTCACCTCATCATATACATCAGGAGTAACCGCTGTACGCTCATCTAAGCGATTATGCAGCTGGATCTTTCGAGCTATATCCGTTATATCGCCTCTGACCTGGAAGCTGAACATGCTGCTCGCAAGACCACCGCCATAGCTGAACATACCGATGCTCTTGTCCTGCAGCTCCTCACTCGGGACATTGCTCAACAGACTCACCAGCCCGGAGTATAAGCTGGCCGTATACATATTGCCACAATTGGCCGGGGCCGTAAGCGACGGCTGGACGCGCTCCAAAAACTTCTCCTTTATTAACCCGATACAGGCCTTCTCAATGCTTTTATCCGTCAAAGACGCCGCATACTCAACATTGCGGATCTCGGACGGGACATCATCGAAACGGTTGGGCTCTAGCCGGAAATCGTTAAATAGCAGACGACCATACCCTTTAACCACCAACTTGCAGTTGGGGGCATGGAAAACCATATAGTCAAAGGTATCTAGAAAGCTGTCCTTGTTCTCCACCCCGTTTGCCGCGCCATTGGTTTTGGCTAGCCTCTTACTGCGATATCGTTCATAGCAACCATCTAGCGCCTGGATGTAACAAGTATTCGAGAAGTGCCCGTCGACAAGAGGGTACTCGGACTTGAAATCAGCCTTGTAGAAGTCGTACACATGCTTCATGTACGATGCACGGAGTGGCTCCAGCACCAATGGCGCGTCCGGGCCAATGAGCATGGCGACGCAGCCAACACCGCCCGTCGGGCGCGCCGCCGGCGTGTCATATAAGGCAATATCGCCCGCGACGACGATCGCGTTGCGGCCGTCCCAAGCGGACGATTCGATCCAGTTAACCGCGTTGAACAATGCGTTCGTCCCGCCATAGCAGGCGTTGCATGTATCGACACCTTCGATATCAGGGTTATCGCTGAACAGCTGCATGAGGACGGACTTGCAGGACTTTGACTTGTCTAAGAGGGTTTCTGTTCCGACCTCTAGGCGGCCGATCGTCTTCGGATCGATTGAATATTTTCGGAGCAGCGAGGAAACAGTCGTGAGGGCTAAGGAGTAAATATCTGTTTATTACTGTCAGAAAGCTGTGTTAACAGGATTTAGAGGTTTTGCTCCTGGCTTACCTTCTCGGTCATCACAGAAGCTCATCTTCTGCTGGCCGAGTCCAATGGTAAACTTTCCGGCACTCGCCCCCAGAAAGCTCTCTAGTTCGGGCTGCGGTACATACTAAATTTGTTTATGGTTAGTATGCTTTCAGCTTATCTTTGCACCGGAGTAAGAGCGTACGCGGCTGGGAAAGTAAATCTCGATGGCTTTGATGCCAATGTTCTGGGGCTTCATTGACATGTTGGCGAACTGTGAATAAAGAGCAACGTAGGATTTCAGTAATAGGATAAAACTCCAGGGTCTCGAGGGTGTGAAGAGCGATGAGGTGGTTATATAGGAGTGATATTCACTGCTGACGAGTTGCTGAAACGGTATGAGGTCTACTATGTAGAATTAGTACTATGTTCACCTAAACACGGACGAATGGAAGAAGTGAATCCACCATGGGAATCCTGGGATGGACACTACCGTGTATATTGGAGCACCTCAGGCCATAACCCTTCTTATTGGATAGGTAGGTAGTAGATGTTTTGTTTATCTTTAGAGCGCCCTGCAGGAGCTTGCTGGACTCAGGCAATGCTGTTGCCGAGGTATGTCGGCGTTAGTTGATCGTCGAGTCGTCTATCGACTTGCAGATCTCGCATGCAATGAATTGTGAGTTATTATTGAGGTGTAGCATCACCAGCCTCTTGTGTTCGGAGATCCTTGGATGTCATGCCTTTTCTCCCCACTCTACACTAAAAATACCTTTATTTGTAAGCTAATAGCTAAATCATTGTCGATTCACATAGAGCTGCAGCGATGGATTGCCTTCGGTTCATTAACAGGCAATATTGGCAATCTAGTAGATCCTACCTTTCAAATAGGGCTTACTTAAGTACACTCGAGCCATATACACCAAAATGGTCTTGTACGATAGATAATCTTGCACCGGGAATAGAACGATTCCAGACCTTTGTTAATTGTCACTACAAGTATGCTGCTAAAAACCTTGAATCCTGCTATTTAGTTTTATATAGTACTGCCTTGCTTTTAGCTAATCAGTAGGATAAGATATGGCAGATATCAATAAGGAACCCCGAGGATGTTTGGAAACGTTAAAGGGAGAGGACACTGACTAGGTAACACGGAATCAGTCTGAAATTATGGAGGTTCGAACTGAAAAAGAGAAAGAAAAAAGATAGCTGAGGGTTCCTGTAGGAATACTAGTTAGGCAATAGTTCATCTAGTAACACACCTTCTGGCGGATGACATGCATATTTACGCGTCGTATAAAAACATATAACTACATCGCCTATGTATAGAATTCTGAATCTATTAAAGCAAAGTTAAGCAACCACTAATTGAAGAGGTTGTTCGAATGGCAGATGCATTGGGATGTTTTGCGAGTATCTGCGTCAACAAGAACGAGGTATCAGCGCGCGTCTTCCTGTATACGCCGTCTCATTCTCTAAACAAAAATGAAACAGGCTAAAACAAAGACAGATCTGCCTACAGTCGTGTAGGCTGATATCTGCATATAGCGTGCCATTTTCACGAATCACCCCTAGTTGCGCCTCAAGCTAGCTGGTCAAGACTATCTCGTCTTGGAATACGTGTTTGGGTGGGCCCTGTGCTATGTGGCCAAGATAGTCTACATAAATCAGTACAACCGGATAATTCCTGTTCCGGGACAAGTCTCTAGGTGCTATGAATATACTGTGCAGACGGGGTGTGGTCAGGATGGGATTAATACAAGCGTGTTTTATGTACTCGTCAGTTCAGCGGATGAGTTCGCAAAAAGCTGACTCTCACTGATAAGGCAAGCCAAGGAGATATCGTTCCAAGCCACAAATTAACCGCAGAGTTATCGTGCCAGTCGGTGAGAGATGTTCATGCATGGGGCTGTCTGCATGTAACCTAGGGCGGCTTTTGACTTCGGCCGAGTCAGTTGTGGCTTCACCGGTGACGATGACGATGACGACAATGTTGAACCTTTGAAGAGGATTTGTCCATGTTATATGGCTTGAGATGCTATTCAGGGCTTTAGAAAGACAATCATTGGTGGCTGAGTGGCTTCTATTTGGGTGAGTGTAGGTCATGCCATGCACTGGTTTGGGGGAAGACCCTCTTTTATAGGGGGATCATCCAGATGAGACATATCGAGCAAGGTAGTATCATTGATCAACGATTCTTGCCTTTGGCACTGCAACCACAGTAGATTGAAAATGGAGTCTAGCGGGCTCTTGGCGACCGTGCTCAGTGGACGGAAAAATGACATCCGGCCAACAGGGCAGAATTTCTCCGTCCAGATCCACAATGCGGATGTCGAAAAGAAGCATTGCCGAGTCACATCGATTCCCCCGGACTGCTCTATGGAGCATCGTGCGCGGGGAAAAGAGAGGTTTTGCGGGCGGCGCCGCCTATGGTGCTTAGCATGCTTCGGCAACAACCTATCGCAGTGCCGATCTGTCCTTCTAATGAAGTAGAGCTATGGAGCCCCCAGTCTACCAATTGATGGAGACGAGCTGGGGAAGGACTGGGGAATATATTGAGGATCTCCCCAGAGGTCGTGCTGAACCTTTTTGTTCTCCTCGAGAAGGCCCTCGGTTGAGCTGTCTGCCACCCATAGGTCCTGACCAATTCCGCCAAAATGGGATTGTTCAAGAATTATCGAGTTTATGTCTTGACGACAGTGGCCTACTCCGGGTCCCTGCTCTTTGGTATGTCTTTATGTAGACATAAAATGACTCACCTGCATGGTCTAATCTCGCTCTTTAGGGTTTGATACCGGAGTAATGGGCAGTGTCCTAGCCATGTCCAGTTTCAAGAATGATTTCGGGCTCCCAACGGGATCCGATGGTTTTGCAGACTCACAGAATGCCCAGGTCTCCTCCAACGTGGTGTCTCTGTTAACAGCCGGCTGTTTTTTTGGTGCTATCTTCGCTGCTTTCCTCAATGACCACCTCGGACGTCGCTACTCCCTCATGATCCTTACTGTGGTGTTCCTGATTGGAGCTGCCCTTCAGGTTGGCGCAAGTCATGCTATTGGCATGATTTATGCTGGCCGTGTCGTGGCTGGGTTGGGCATCGGTGGAATGTCCAGTATTACACCAGTGTTTGTGGGTGAGAGCTGTCCCCCGGAGATCCGAGGACGGATTGCGGGTCTGTTCCAAGAATTTCTAGTCATCGGAAGCACATTCGCGTACTGGCTGGATTATGGAGTGGCACTGCGCATCGAGCCTAGCACAAAGCAATGGCGGATTCCCGTCGCCATCCAGCTCATCCCGGGCGGGCTTATGTTGATTGGACTCTTCTTTCTCAAAGAGTCCCCTCGCTGGCTGACTAGTAAAGGCCGTCATGAAGAGGCGCTTCACTCTTTGGCGTATATTCGAAACGAGCCTATCGGCAATGAGGCCGTGCAGACAGAACTGGCTGAGATCCGTGCCTCCATCGAAGAGGAAAGAGCCGCAACAGAAGGGCTGACATGGAAGGAGTTCCTTCAGCAGAGCAACCGAAACCGCTTCGTATTTGCGTTTGTACTCATGCTTTGTCAGCAGTTCTCAGGCACGAATAGTATCGGATATTATGCGCCGCAGATCTTCCAGACCATCGGTCTCAGCGCGACCAACTCCTCTCTTTTTGCCACCGGCGTGTACGGAACCGTCAAGGTCGTCGCGACGGCAGTCTTCTTGTACATTGGTATTGATCGTTGGGGACGGAAGAAGAGTCTTATAGGTGGCTCGATCTGGATGGCTTCCATGATGTTTATCATCGGTGCCGTCTTGGCCACACACCCGCCTGACACATCCGCGTCAGGAGTTTCCTCGGCCTCTATTGCCATGGTCGTCATGATCTATCTTTATGTCATCGGCTACAGTGCCTCATGGGGGCCAACCCCTTGGGTCTATCTGAGTGAGGTAAGACTAGCTCTTAACTAACATATCGTCTGAGACATACGCTGACTAACTTTCTTAGATTTTCCCAACTCGCCTACGTGCATATGGCGTTGGCCTTGGAGCAAGCAGCCAATGGCTGTTCAACTTCGTTGTCACCGAATTTACACCCCACGCGGTGCACAACCTGGGCTGGCGGACGTTCCTGATGTTCGGCATCTTCTGCGTGGCCATGGGTGTCTTTGTCTTGTTCTTCGCCAAGGAAACCAAAGGCCGCTCCTTGGAGGAGATGGACGTTCTCTTTGGGGCAGTCGATGAAAATGAGCGACGCGCTGCAGTGGAACATAAATTGAACAAGGGCGTGGCTACTCACATCGAGCGGACCGAGGATGACAAAGTCTAGACGAGACTACGAAGCGACGATCGAAATTTTGTACAGAGTATAGAACGGATGAATCCCGGAATAGAGTTTGGACAGAAATAGACGTTCGGGCTGCGTTTTCTTTTTCTTTTCTCCCTAATTCCTTTTTCATTGTTTTCTTGGATCGTGTGACAACCGGTAGGGAATTTGAAATTAGGATTGCTCAAGGGTCAGCCAACAACGGCTGGATAGACAAAGATGGTAGACCGTTGGCAGTCCTTCCAACAGCCGAGTTAATTAATATCATTCATTATGATCACCATGAGCCGGGGTCAAGTGAAGGAAAACTCACTCGTCCGTGAATCACCATTTTGTCGTCGTAAAGCAATTGCGACAGTCTGTCATATTTCTTTCCTACTTGGCACTGATGTAATCTAAAACATTGCAATCTCCCTATGTGACCCTCACAGTAACAACGAACCATTGCCGACAACGATATTCGAGAAAAGGGGGCTAGCCGCTGTGCATCTCAGAGCATGTGGATAGTATTATTGGCAAGGGGCCAAGTCGATCTTCCAATATCAAAGGCCTGTGAATGTAACTCGGTTCCACAGAACCTGGAGTAGTTGACGCTATCGCAGCTTCCTATTGTACACTGTTGCCCTGAGTTCGATGAATAGCTTCAGAATTTCCAATTGGGTGAAGCTAGGCATTTCTTTGCCCCCTAAGCAGCATGAATATAACACGACGAAGGACCCCTGCTAATCACCTGTGCTTTGACTTCTTTGATCTTGAAAACTTCCGTCAACCCGGAGTTACACCGAAATATCAGGTATTGGACATCTCTCGTGTCTGGATACTTTTGGTGAAATGTCTGTACCCACCCTTGATCAACGCGACGAGGGAGGACCTCTTTGATGACCTGATGGTACCAAAGTTATACCATCGTTCAGGATGTGAACTTCACGGCCTGGCTGGACTTTCCCAAGCAAAGCGTAAAACAGGTTCTTCACGCCGACTTCGTCACTAACATCGAGAGTTAACTCTCCAAGTTGGAGACTAATCCGAACAATATCCACACGCTGAAGGATCTTAGAAGTTACACATAGAGCGACCCACGCGAGGAATATCATAGACGGGACACAGCCGAATGGGATGCAGCGCTTGCTCTTGGACTTAACAATACCTTTCCGGGACTCTGACCAATGTACTATATAGGTCGTGAGGGTGGTGTTTTGGGGGCTCTCTCGCGTCACGAGCTTGATGCGCTCATTCTTCCTACACCTCTGGCTGCCTATGTCCCATCGATCGTAGGTACGCCGGTGATTACGGTCCCGCTTGGCGCGCACCCCGCGCGAACAAAAATAGCGTACAACGAATTCGGTAACTTGGTGCAGACTGCTGAGAATGTTCCCTTCGGTATTAGCTCCATGGGTGCACACTGGAGCGAGGAGACGCTGATAGGCATGGCTTATGCGTTTGAGCAGCAGACCCTAGCTAGGCAGAAGCTGAGGCGCTATATTGAGCAACGTGTTGAAGTGTCGAGGCGATATGAAGATGAGGAAACTGACTAGTATAAATAGCAAGCCTTTTGACTGTAAAGTAGGTAATACTTTATATAAGACAGTTGTCAACGTACTTTCGTCTGGACGGTAGGAGAGTGGGTATACGAGCGGAAATCTCCGAAAAACTCAAAAAGGTACTGCTACCCGAATAGGTTTAGCCTTAGATACATCGTCCCGATAAGAGCAACTGAGAATCTTTCTTCACGCGGGGTCATCTGCCGCCCTTGGTATCACGAGAACCAAGGCACATCTGCCTCTACGCGCTACTTTACCCGTTTGATACGTGCCGGGCTGACAATGGGAGACATCGAAAACACCTGTGCCTCCCTGCGCGCCCAAATCGCCGCCACCGAGGCACACCTAGCGGGGCTGAAACGAGATCTTGAGAGTGCAGAGCAAGCGGCTGTTAATGCCCGGGCGCAGGACGCTCCAAACGCTATCTTTACAGTTGACAGCCAAGGTGGTGAAAAGAGGAGGTGGCCGCTGCTGGACGAGGAATATCAACGATATGGACGACAGATGATCGTACCGCAGGTGGGGTTACAGGGTGAGTGGTTTACATTCTCTGAACAAACGCTGCTTGACCGATTTTGTTACTAAAATTTGCTCTTCAACCCAACAGGTCAGCTGAAGCTTCGATCCGCAAGAGTTTTACTTGTTGGAGCTGGTGGTTTGGGATGTCCGGCCGCGCAGTATCTCGCCGGAGCTGGAGTAGGCACACTGGGCCTAGTCGATGGGGATACGGTGGAGTCTTCGAATCTTCATCGGCAGGTGCTGCACCGGAGCAAGAATGTGGGGAGGTTCAAGGTGGATAGTGCGATTGAATCTCTGCGGGAGTGAGTTTGGTTTGGTTTGCGCTCCCTGGATACCAAACACGTTTGCTAACCGACTTGCTATAGATTGAACCCTCACCCTACGTACATTGCTCACCGAGCGCATCTGGCACCCCAAGATGCGGCTGATATTTTCAAGGGTTATGACCTCATTCTCGACTGTACGGATAACCCGGCGACGCGTTATTTGATCTCGGATACCGCTGTGCTTCTTGGAAAACCATTGGTTTCAGCTTCTGCCCTGCGGACGGAAGGTCAACTGATGGTGTTGAACAACCCTCCGCGACCGGTAGGAGATAAGACGGGCGGTCCATGCTATCGATGTGTTTTCCCGAGACCACCTCCGGCAAACAGTATTCTTAGCTGTGCGGATGGTGGCATTCTTGGCCCGGTTGTCGGCACAATGGGTGTTTTGCAGGCTTTGGAGGCGATTAAGATTATGACCGGTGCAGATGAAGATATTAAGACCCCATCGCTGCATATTTTCTCGGCTTATTCTTCCCCTTTGTTCCGAACCATCAAGCTGCGTTCGCGCCGGCCAAATTGTGCCGTATGTTCTACAGAGGCTAGCGTGACATTGGAGACCGTCAAGTCAGGGTCTACCGACTATGCTTTCTTCTGTGGAAGTGTCAGCCCAGAGAAGCTGTTGCTGCCGGAAGAGCGCATCTCACCACTTGAGTATCGGATGAAGTATCCATTAACGTCTTCTAGCCCGGCTAGTGAAAGTGCTAGCAAGGAGCCCACGATCATTGATGTTCGGGAGAAGGTTCAATTCGATATCTGCAACCTCGAAAACAGCATCAACATTCCAATCTCGTCAATCTTGTCGTCCTCGTCGACGACGAGTAGTCCCAACGGGTATTCAGGCGACGCGCTGCCTTCGTGGGTTCCGGCGGATATCGCATCACCGGACTCCATTGATCCGATTTATGTGGTGTGCCGGCTCGGAAATGATTCGCAGATTGCAGTCAAACGACTGAAGGAACTGGGTCTGGATCGCGGAGGCAAGAGAGTCGTGGCGGATATTCGGGGCGGATTGCGCGCCTGGCGCGAACAGGTTGACCCCGAGTGGCCAGAGTATTAACAACATAGACATATATGCACATACATACACGGGTGAAGCAACTTAGATCAAGCAACGCACAAACATCATTTCCTTACCAATCGCTTCAAGAATAGCATCTCAACTCATGAAAAAATCGTAAAACTCGTATCACATCAGACGGAAACAGGCGTATCCTGCAACCACGCCCACTCAACCTTCACTCGACCTAAATCCATGTCCGCCAACTTTTTAAAAGCCGCTGGGCTCACGTCCAAATCTTTCATTGCACATCCCACACCTAGGTACCCGTTAATTATCACATAGACCTAACCGGCTGAACCCCCAGGACGAAAAACAAAAAAATAAAAATAAAAGAAATATAAAAAAAATACATACACCGATCAACAATCTTGACATCAACACTACTACTCCCCCTCTTCAATCGAACCTTCAACCCACAAAGCGGATTCGCATTCGGATTAGACCCTGTCGCCGCAGCATCAAACAGAACATGCGATACCGCGCAGATCAAATCCGAACTAGAACTGGTTATTCCGCATGAGCCCACGGCGGGATCGTAGTAAGTTAAATCACCCGTATAGGGGCCTCCGTGCGCTGTGGGGAGGTGCAGGTTCTCGTGTCTACGAATCATGGTCACACGGTTAGGTGCTTTGTTAGATCGTTCGGAAAAAGATAGACCACTTACGATTCTCGGGTGAGGCCGACCGCGAGGCCGATTATGAGGGCGATGAGGATTATGCCGATGGTTGCTGAAATGAAGATGATGCGTTGTCGTTTGGAGAGTTGGGACCATTTGGATTTGGGCCATTGCGTCCAGGAGTGGGACTGGAGTGGGTTCACTGGAGGTGGTGCTGTGGCGACAGTAGGGACGGGTTTCCGCTTGGGGATTCCAGTTGGCGGGTAGGGTTGGGATTCTGGATCTGGCATCTTTTCCATTTTGTAGTTGATTTCTTGAAGACTAGTTAGTGATTTTAAAAGTTGTGTAGCTGGGTAATGGTTGAAGTGAGGTGGTTTGTTTGATATCTGGTCGTGGTTCAGGGGTAATAATGGTAATAATGCGATGGGATTCTTGGCGGCCTCTACTGTTTGATTAATGCATGGGTGTTATTAATGGTTGGCCCTTTGTGTAGCGATAACTGGGGGTGAAGCTTCTGGGAACATTATTGATGACTTTGGGTCCTGGTGAGGATTCAATGGCTAGGTTTGGATCTTGCCGTGGCTAGAGAAGCATATTTGTGCACAACAACTCATCCAGTTGATATCCCCACATGGCTGGTGATTTTTGATGGGGTTTTCTTGGGAGAGCTCATCCCTGTCAGGAAGTTATACCCAATTAAGTTAGGGGAAGAAGCTGAAGTGATCGCGAAGAACTAACCTATATTCAACTTAATTCGAGTCACGGGATTGGTTAATCAAGATAGACGACTGATATTTGGTCTAGTTTTGGTCATGCTTGTAAGAGTGCTGGATCATTACTTGAAAAGTCTTATTGCCTATTTGAGTATTGGCAGTAGATCACTTGGCCTGTAGGTAACACAGACGGGACTCATTGAAGGCCCTTAATAATCCTATTCGAGAATAGAATCCACACAGAACAGGTGTTTGTGAGGTGCTCCTCACGTGCCCGGAACAATTGGATTGGAGTCGAAAAAGCTTCGATCTGTACAATGACGCAGCCCCAGCCTGCTCTTCCCTTCCCCAGACTTCCCGAGGTCGCTGTATGTGGGGTCAACATCTTCACCGTTCACAGAACGAGAATATTCTCGGCGCCGATCCTCTGCCTTCTCGTCTTGGCTTAAGTCCTCATTCCACCCCCCACATAGAAGAACATGAATTTTTTGGCTTTCACCCTGGCGCGTTAACTTCCCCTGTCATGTGTCGAAACTGTCCACTCATTCCTGCCTGCCTGGACTGAAGACGTTGTCCATAGCCGGCGCGAAGAAAAGAACACAACTCTTTGTCACACCTAGATCACGTGACATAGGACGGACGGTCGAGGAGGGGTTTTTGATCGGCATCCTTCATGAGCAAAAGTTGAGTGACTGGGAAAGAAAATAGAGGCCGCCCGGCAGAGCACGACGACACCGCGACTCAACATGTCGTCGCGACCCAGTTCGGAGGACTCGCAATGGCCGTTGCCAGAAGAGCCTGAGGTAAAACCTGAGAAGCAAAAAAAGAGCCTTCCGGCAAAATTAAAAGCAGGATGGAGTAGCCTGGGAATTGATATGCCGACCCTACTCCTGATGATGAAGTATGGCCCCTGATAGCTATTATATGCATTGCGCTAATGAATGTACAGAGGCGCCATTCCGCCGACAATTGCCCTAGCGATGTAAGACCGGTTCTAGAAGAGATTGAGCCTGGCGGGCGAGCTAACATCGACCAGTTTTCAAGCAGACACTGTGGCGTCCGAATACAACACAGTTGGATACCTCATGGCCATCATATCGGTGCTGGGCTTTTCTATCATGCCCCGCGCCAAGTTCATCCAGATGATGGTCCTTGACGTATTGGCCGTGTGTGTTGCATCCGCAGTTACCCTGCTCATGATGTACTCCTGTGTAAAGGCACGACAGCACACTGAGGTGACGTCTAGTGCAGGCGCTAGCATCGTAACCGCACCGTACAACTCTTCTGCCTCTGCCATCAGCGGAGTTTGGCTGTTTTTTCAGATATACGTCGTCCACTCATTCCGGGCCAAGTACCAGCAGTTCCAGTTCCCGGTTATTATTTACTCGATTGTCGCCAACGTAACTTTCAGTTATGCTGCGCGCATGACGACTATGACGGCTGCTATAGTCATGGTAACGAAATTGCTCGAGACGTGCCTGATTGGCTTGGCACTGTCCACTGGCGTATGTTTATTCATCTATCCTGTCACTTCCCGAAAGGTTGTATTCAAACAGATGACTGGCTATATTGGATGCTTGCGCGGGGCTCTTCAGGCGCATACTAAGTACTTCCAGTCTCTGGAAGAAGACGACATGTTTGGTAGGGCGGAAACCTATGATTCAAAGGTGGAGAAAATCACCAAGGAAGGTAAGGTATACAGTCCTGAAGCACAGGCTATCCGGACAGCGGTGCAAAAGATTACCGAGATCCATGGTAAGCTTCACGGAGACTTGACCTTCGCGAAGCGTGAGATTGCATTTGGCAACCTTGGTCCTGATGACCTCCAGGCGGTCTTTCGAAACCTCCGACAAGTCATGATCCCGGTAGTGGGCCTCAGCTTTACTGTAGACCTATTCCAGCGTCTATCAGAATACAACAAGTGGAACTCGCCGATCGATCCAACCGCAACTGATATACCGGATCTGGTACGCCATCGTGTTGTCCAAGAATGGAACGATATCATGCGGGCAGTACATGACCCGTTCAAGTCCATGATCCAGGCAATCGACGAGGGCCTACAGCATGTGTCATTTGTCTTGAAGCTGGCAAAGCCACCAAAGAAGACAGCCACTGCCGCAAATGGTACCACGCCATCAAGTGGTGCCGAGGATATCGAGGCTTCAGCAGTTCCATCTCCAGGCGACCAGAATTTCGCGGCCAATCTTGAACAGAGACTTCGTGATTTCAAGGTTGCTAAGCGGATAGCCCTTCGAACCTGGAGTGAAGAGAAGGGAATCAAACTGCCTAAAGACTTCTTCGATCGCCCCACAGAAGATATGGAGGACATCAGCTATGGTGATCCATTTATTGGCCGAGAGCGCAGTCAGCGACAATTGTACCTGTTTCTCTATGTAGGCATCTTGCCCTTGATTCCTGTCTGGCACCAGGTATTGACTATTCAATAGATGGAGCAGTTGCTCAGCTCAACCGGTCAGATGGTTTTAGATTTTGTGAAGTTTGCGGACGAAAAACGGGACAGTGGAAAGCTCTCGAGGCGCCATCTCATTATACCAGGCTGGAAGCGTTTGCGAAAATGGGCCACAAGCTTGCTCAAGGCTGGTGACTCACACGAAGATGACAATATGGGCGACATCAACACGCAGAACCACGTTCTCCAATTGGGTGAAGCATACAAACACAGGAAGGATCCAGAACACCTCCCGCCAGAGACCACCTTCCAAAAGATAGGCGACAAGGTCAGGCTTATCCCCGCGATGTTCCGCACAAAAGAGTCCGCGTACGGCTTTCGGGTCGCGTGTGCCACCATGACTATCGCCATTGTTGGTCTCCTTAGCGATACCCAGACCTTTTTCATAAAGCAACGCTTTATCTGGGCCATGATCATGGTCAACCTCAGTATGTCCCCTACATCAGGACAGAGCATATTTGGCTTCGTGCTCCGTATCTTTGGTACTGTATTAGCTATGGTCCTCAGCTTCCTAAGCTGGTATATTCCGGGCAAAGAGACCCCTGGGATAATTGTTTTCTTCTTTATATTTCTCACCTGCGTCTTCTACGTGCCAATCAAGCTGTTTCGCTTCCGTATTATTGGCATAATAACCATCATCTCAACATCTATGATAGTCGGCTATGAACTACAGGTTCGCAAAATTGGTGAGCAAGTCGCAACATCGAACGGACAGCAGTTTTACCCTATCTATCTCCTTGCGCCATATCGACTGGCAACCGTCACGGGCGGTATCGCAGTGTCGTTTTTCTGGACGTTCTTTCCCTATCCTATATCGGAGCACTCCGTGCTGCGCCAAAGCCTAGGTGCTTCTTTGTACCTCCTTGCTAATTACTATTCAATTATCCACGAGACTGTTTCGGCAAGGGTGCGTGGTGAGGCTGGTGATATGGCACTGAAGACCTCAGCCGGGCGCAGACTTTTGAAGTCACGGAACCAAGTGTTTTCGAAGCAGATGCTGATGCTGAATGGTCTTCGCACGTACTCCGAATTCCTCAAGTGGGAGGTACCGATCGGAGGTCGGTTCCCAAAAAAGCAGTATGATTCTATAATAGCATGCATCGAAAAGTGGGTACTTCATTGCCTCCTCATGTTCAGCCAACTAACTGTTTGACTAGTATCGTGAGCTACCTTAGTCTTCTGGGGTATGCCTCTGACACATTATTACAAATTGGTGACGATGAGGAATCCAACTCTGCCTGGCTCCATGACTTCAAGCGACTTGTTGCCAGTGCGGGTGTTACAACCCACGAGATCACAACTGTGCTGTGTCTTCTCTCGGCTAGCATCACAGATCGCAGACCTCTTCCCCCATATCTCAAGACACCAAGACCGTACAGCTTTTCTAAAAGACTGGAAGCGATGGATAAGGATATTCTGAATGTAAAGCATATTGCAGAGCCGGGGTTCGCCACCTTTGCGGTACTACAAATCTCCACTAGGTGTATTGGTGGTGATGTGGAAAGACTTATGAAGTAAGTGAAGAAGTCAACATTATAGAGCTACAATCACTGATCAAGGTAATAGGGACGTGAAGAAGTTGGTTGGCGAACTTGACTTCTCGTTTCATGCTGTAAGCACCGCACATAGTGTCAAGTCGTCCTCCGAGGTATCACGCTTTTCTAGAGTGACTGAGCGGAATAAGCTTGAGTAGCCGATATATAATGCACGATAGAGTGAACATAGAAAACAAAAACATGGGATTTCTTAATCATTGAGCGATTTAATGATGGTCTCGATATATATCATCGGAGAGGAGCGCAAATGCGAGCGCAAGGGTTAGGGGTCTCACTATCCAGCATGGCTTAAGATCTGTCTAACGTTTGACTATGTATTTTGGATATAATACAAGAATAATGATTCATTTAACCTGTGTTTGACTGAGCATCGAATAACGAGAAAGGCGTAACGAGCAGTACATATAGTTCATTTCACAGCAAGAGCAAATGCCTGATAGCACTCATTTGACTTGGAACTGAACGGTGTTTGACTCGAAGTCCCCCCGTTTCGCGTCTGATAGCTGTTCAAGCTTGGCACCATCGACATCGCTCACAGGTGATTCCCACACTGCATGCCATCTTCCCTGGGCACGAATCGAGAAATTATGTTCTGCCATGAGAGGCATGGGCGGCAGGGTGACGACAGTGTCCACTGTACTCTGTGGGGAGATCTCAAGGAGGTCGTCCGCAGCAGGAGGCAGCTTGCGGGAGATCTTGATAGTGTCGAGGGGCACAGCCTGACCATCTGTCTCATCCTGAACATTGAAAACTCCGAGAATGCCGGCTTTAGGATCGAACGGGGTGCCCCACTTGAGCATAGTTACCGGCACATTTGAAGGGTTTTCGATTGACGCTTTGACGGAGATAGCCGCCTGCTGGGATGGTGATTGTTCTATGGAAACCAACTGCGGCGCGAGAAGGACTTGAAGCGCTACAGCCGCACCCATCATTGTTGTCGGAACTGAAGACTCGCAAGAAGCAAATTAGAGGAGCAGAAAGTGGGCGACGTGGAGAAAGTACAAGGTATCATATGGGGTGCATGAGAGAAGGAGCGGCACTTCTCAGTTGGTCAGATATATCTCAGCCATCGATTCGCCACCTACGCAAGGCAAGCCCAGCACACGTTTCAATTAAATGTCATCACGGCAGTCCCGATGAAACCCAAGACAAATGATCGGCGTGTCATTTTATATCCGCACCAATGATCGCAGGAGAAATGTCCGGCCAAGTCTGCGTGGCGTGGTGTCGCTATGAGGGGTATTCCCATGATTATTGATTTATGGGCAAGGGAATCCCTACATCCGAAATATGCAGGGCTTCTGCCTAGCAATTTAATTGCAATTAGCTAGAAACCCTTGGGTAGCATTTCTCGATGAATCATCCCGTGGTGGCCGTGCGCTAAGCATTTTGGCGTTGCTTATTCCGAGACTAGGGCGCCTTTGACTAACACCACGATCATAGGTCTTTTGACTCCGTATATACTCCGTATGTCCATGGCTTCCGATTATCGTTGCCTGAAGATCTTGACCGTGACGGGAACATGTCCAAAGAACGAGACTACAGCCAAGACTCGGGAGACCGGCGGCATAGTCGCTAAAAGGTGGTCTTTTGTGGCCAGATCCAACGGCCCCATCCTTATCGGTGGAGAGACAGTAGATCATATACTGAAATGGACAACACATATACTCCCGGGCTCCGCCGGGCCAAGTCTCGAAATAAGTTTAGGGTTGGGGAAAAAGGCTTCTCTCATGATCGCGATCCTCTAACTTGAGAGACATGAGGTCGAATTTCACATTTGCCAAGAGATCCCTGATATTAGTGATTACAGCTTCGGGTACTACCTTCTCTTTACAGCGAGGGATATCGGGGCCGTACCCGTGGTGAGGTTTCAAGAGGTGCATAATGGCGATAATAACGGCCACCAAGGAAGAGGGAGGCAGGACTATAAAAGGCCTTGTTGTCCATCGGCTTTTCACCTTGAATTCCAGGCAACTCAGCTTCTTCAGTATCAAACTCACTTCAAATCTTTCCTCACAACCTAGCCCTTCCTTCACAAAACCGCCAGAATGCGTGTTACTGCTCTTTCAACTGCTATCTTTGCGTTGGCTTCGACCGCTGTGTCGGCGCCGGTTGTTGAGAACTCGTCGCCTTCTCTTGAGGTCAAGCTGACCCAGATTGACAACACTCGTGTGAAGGCAGTCGTCAAGAACACTGGCAGTGAGGAAGTGTCCTTCGTTCATCTGAACTTCTTCAAGGACGCCGGCCCTGTCAAGAAGGTTTCCGTCTTCCGTGGAGGTAGGCTCCCCTTCTATACGCTAGGAACTACCAATGGCTCTTATTGACAATTATACAGACGATGAAGTTCAGTTTGAAGGAATCAAGCGCCGTCTTAGGTCCAGTGGCATCACCAAGGAGGCCATCACCTCTCTCGGTGCCGGAGAGACCCTAGAGGATGAGTTTGATATCGCCTCAACCAGTGATCTCGCCAATGGCGGCCCCGTGTCCATCCGCAGCCACGGATTTGTTCCCATTGTTGTGGACGGAAAGGTCACCGGCTACATCCCCTACAAGTCTAACGACTTGACCGTCAACGTTGACGGCGTCAAGGCAGCCAAGGTGACCAAAGCGCTGTCGCAGCTTACTCGTCGCACTAAGGTTGCTGACTGCAAGGGTGACTCGGAGTCTGCGTTAACCACGGCTCTTTCTAACGCTGCCAAGCTAGCCAACCAGGCTGCCGAGGCTGCCGAGTCTGGTGACGAATCTAAGTTCAAGGAGTACTTCAAGACTACGGACAAGGAGACCCGGACGACCGTTGCTGAGCGCCTGCGTGCGGTCGCTAAGGAGGCTAGTTCCACCTCCGGTGGCTCTACAACCTATCACTGCAACGACCCCTATGGGTACTGCGAGCCGAACGTTCTCGCCTACACTCTGCCATCGAAGAATGAGATCGCTAACTGCGACATCTACTACTCCGAGCTTCCCCCCTTGGCTCAGAAGTGCCACGCCCAGGATCAGGCTACCACCTCTCTTCATGAGTTCACCCACGCCCCTGGTGTTTATCAGCCTGGCACCGAGGACTTGGGCTACGGCTATGATGCCGCCACACAGCTCAGTGCTAAGGACGCTTTGAACAACGCTGACTCGTATGCTCTGTACGCCAATGGTAAGCATTCCAAATACGAATGAATATGTACCATGCATTTGCTAACTTGTAATAGCCATCGAGTTGAAGTGCTAAATGTGATATGATACCGCACGTACTCTGCTGATTGGCAGATGTTGTATATAGTTCGTTCCTAGTTGATAGGTTGGGGTGACATGAACATGTACTCTGGTAGTTCGTTATGTTCATATACCGAACGCTTATGCTTTTTATCCAGTTTGAATAGGTTTGATAAACTGCATTGGCCCAGGTGTCTTACCTAATGGCTTGGGCTTTTAATGGGCCTTTGGCTGCATCAGCCAATCGAAGTAAGATAGACAGTTTAAATATTTAGTACTGCGTAGAGTGCAAGCAACAGCCTGGAGGCACGCCCCTACATACTCCCATCGATCGTAATCAGGAATGTCCTTCTCGTAGTACGTCTCTCAGACATTTCCAAAGCCAACTTCAGGTCCTCGAATAGACCACGGCCACCCATTTCCACTAGCAAAGAGGGCGAAATTGGCCCCTGCAAACACAAGCTAGCCTGGTGGTGCAAGAGCTAGCTACTTGGACTCAATAGACATCACTTAGTGCACTGGCGCGTTGGGCCCATGATATCCAAAATAGTAATACAGTGGCTCAGTTCGAATATGTAGAACAAGGCCATCTATAGTCGACATATCGAGCCTCACTTGGCTATACTGTCGGTGTCAACAGCGCACTTCTATCAAAGATCAAAGCGCCATGCCATACGTCATTCGTCCCATTCTTCAACAACTCAGTATAAACACAAGTCCCGGTAGCGTTCACATATCCCCGAACCCCAATATCCTGATGTTGAAACTCATTCAAATAGACACTTATTCCCACCGTTTCAGTCTGCCGAAGCCCACCAGCAATGGGAAGCAAATCCGTACTAAAGGTCATATTCAGCGACTTCTGCCTGCGCGAAACAGCCACCGGAACATCTCTATCACTTAGCGAATACCAATTCGGTCAGAAGACTACCCCCGTTCTCATTCCCAAGAACAACAAAGTTCTCCGTATAGGGCGTACGAATATGATACCGCCCATCACCAAGCACTAGCCCCTCAAGCGAATCAACTCAAGACACGGGACCCCGTTGATCAGGCACATCACCAAACGACTCACTCAGTAGAACCGCCTCCTCCCGTTAACAGCAGGTCACCCATCTTCCCACACCATAGGGGAAAGAAAGGTCTCCCCCCTCAACTGCGACGACCCATTAACCTTCATCCTAGCTAAATAAACAGCATACCACTCGCCCTGCGGAGCCTCAAAAATACTCGCATGTCCCCGTCGACTACACAGTCAGATTATCAAACCCATACGCACCATTAAATAGAACCGGATTTCCCGGCGCAAGCGTCCATAGACCCTCCAGCGATCGTGAGCGGGCGATATTCGCCCGGTGCATATCATCAGCCCCCACTGCAATATTCCAGTTTAGTTCATAAACCCCTCCCTTCCATGTACATCTATAAAGGAAAAAGGGGGAAAGCAAACCATACCCTCCACAATAACCGAATGATACCACTCCCCTCTATTAAACATCTTCGGATCCTCCGGTCTAGCCCGCGTATCGCGCTTCGTCATTCTATTCCACAACTTCCGGTACTCTACACATTTCACCGTCCCCAGATCAACCTGGAACTGGTAGATACCCCAAAGCCCGGTCTACTTGCTAGGCGGTGCCATCAAGTTCAAATATACATTTCCAGACACAGGATCCTAAAATAGGGACGGATCTACACCTCATGGCTCTGCCCAGATGGGTTCGCACCGGGTAATCAGATCAGGAGATGAGACCCATATGAGGCGTAGCTAGGCTTTAGAGACCGGATCGTATGTCCAGGGGGTCATGGTTGTTAGGTAGGAAGGTATTGTTTGTGTGGGTGAGCGATGGGGCCCAGGGTTTTTGGATTTGGGGCTAGGATCTTGCTTGGTTTGGAGGATGGTAACTTTAAAGATGGGGGTCCGGACTTACCGGCGTCATTTGGTGTTCCGTAGAGCATTAGTTGGTCGGGCCGGGATAGGGCATGGAAGTGGAGGGACCAAGTGCTTCGGTCTGCGGATTTGTAGATTGGGATTCCGGGGATGTATTCGGAGGAGGATGTTGCGAGGTAGGATACGTTGTTCACGCGGAGGATGAAGGGATCGGGGTTCCAGCCGGGTAGGATTGGGGGTTTCGATGGCGGTTATGGGGAGGACTAGGGGAGCAGGATGGAGATTTTGGGTAGGGGGTCCATATTTGTGGTTGGTACTGTGCATTTATGGGATTTTCTTCTTCTGGTGAGCTTTTCAGTGAGGGTTTTGGAGTTGCTTTGATAGTAATCGGTTCGTCTGATGGGGTCCGGTAGTTCTTCAAGAGAATTTCTCTCGCAGAAAACCTTTTAAGGTTGATAAGCTCCAGTGGAAATGGAACGCTTCTGGAACTACGATGACTTGTATAGCAATTTGAGGTATATTTAGGAAGAGAGGGCTACTGTAACTCGGGCTTACTTGATTTGGTAGAATCTATGTACATTGGATGTATATGTAATGTGTATATACCTGGATTCTACCAGTAATATAATCATTTGAAGTCATTTTGGCATCGGGTGAAGGCGATCGTAAAGTATATTCAAGAACCTGTGGGATGTACGAAAGGTTGTTAACTACAAGTTAGGATTGAAGCCTATAGAAAGATTAAGAAGGCTCCAAGCTGATAGATATTAGATAGAAGGGTAGAGCTATCAAATAATTGTTCGTGATCTATCGTGTTGTCCTGTGGGTATTGTCAAACACCCCAGGTCTAACAGCTTTTTTTCTTTTCCTTGACTACGACCTTACACTCTCATGAGCCTTAAACCTCTCAAGTTCAACCCCAGAGACACTCATTACAAGCTTGCCACAAACATTTGCACACAAATGTGCAGACCTAGTCCCGACCATCTCACCATCTGGACTAAATAATCCCTTTTAGCAAAACCAATTACCATCCCGGTAAGCCCGGCCTCACAATCGATGAGAATAACCCCAGCTCAATAGCCTCTAGACCGACAACAATATGGCCAGTCAATGTGTTATACTCACACGCTATCGCGACGACAAAGCCAAGATCTCTAAGGACGCGAAGCTGAAGAAGCAAAGAAAGCGCATCGCAGACATGACAAGACAGGAAGAAGTTAAGTACGATCGATTAGAGTAGAAGTATCCATCCTAACTGGCTAGGTCCATGAGCTGGAGCTAATTGATATAGCGTCGCTCAAAGCAGAAGTTGAATTCCTCCTGAAGATTAACGCCGAACTGAGGGCCGTGGTAGGGGAGGATTTTGACAAGGAGTGTGTTGAAGAGGATGTGGAGTGATTAGTTTTCTAGTCTCTTGATACGCCAAAGGGAACCCAAGCAGGCTCGTATTCGCCTCGCGACTATGTGAATCATAATATCAAGTGGAGTAGGGAGAATGAGTGGTAGGCTATCGCCGACAATCCCGTCGGCGTCCCAATTAGGAAATTATTGCATGTAACCCTCCCTTGGCGTGGGACCATGAACCATATAACATAAATTGTATCAAGGAGACTAGTAAGAGAACTCGCTATTCTTTACCCCAAGATTGACCTTCATTGTTCGACCAAGGACTTCAACCACCATAAACAAAAATGCCCAGTCTATCAACAATCTCTCTCCTTCCCGCATTGCCAGAAGATGCGCCAATACTATCTCGCGTTCACTCCGACGCCTTCCCCAACAACACGCTCTTTGATCTCATGTTTGGCCTTCCGACAGAGGAGAACATGAAGGGATTTACGAGCTATCTCTCGGAACTTATCGCTAGTGACAAAACAGGACTATTTGTGAAAGCCGTCGACAACAGCACTAATCAGATTGTGGGCTGGTCTTGGTGGAACTTCTACCTCGATCCTGAGTCTCATTTAGCAGGGGCTAAGGCTTTCGCGAAGGAACATAGCTCGCCGCCTGAGTCAGCCATTAACCCCGAGACCTTCATGGAATACTTCCAAGCGGTGATCTCGAGACGAGAGAAGTGGGTTGGCGGAAAGCCTGCCGCGTGTAAGTTATGCTTTTTCTTTTTTTTAACCCATACTCTAGCTTCTGGTTCCATTTTGCTCTTGAAGTGTCTTATACTGGAACTAATAGTTGGCCCAGACCTCCAAGTCCTTGTTGTCATCCCAGAATACCAAGGGAAGGGAATTGGCACAAAGCTCATGGAAAGGGGGCTTGAGAAAGCAGCGACCCATAACCTTCCGATCTGGCTAGAGTCATCTGAAGATGGATATGTATTGTATAAGAAGCTGGGCTTCAAGGACCTTAACGATACCATTATCATTGACTTCGCCAAATACGGAGAATCAGGTAAATGCATCACGGCCTGTATGCTGTTAACTCATGACAGCTCCTAGATAGAATTTCAATGAATGTAGATCTCGTGAAGGCATATTTCCTGAGATGCAGGTCATTTTATTAGGGTTTGACAGTACTGCTACAATCCCAAAGTCACTAGGTGGGATACAAGAGGGCCGGGTGAAGAGTGTCCTCCCCCTACCAAATTGTGTGACGACAAAGGACTATATACAGCTCTGGAGTTGTAAGAAATTCGATCTTAGTAAAGCGAAAAAGGAAGTGCAAGGCTTTCAAACGAGCGAGAAACGTGAACTAGAATAGGATCATCAAACAGCCACTATTCAGTCATGGCACGTAAGAATTATTGGCTTAAAGGGGAACAATGACAAGTAAGTTTGGGACATACTGATGAAGAGATGATGGGCCATGGGAAAAAAGTGGGATAGTAGCCAAAATTAGCATAGAGCATCTCGAAGCGCAGCATGTTTGTGAATCATTTCCATCATTTGTGTCTGGTTGAGCGGCTTGGGAAGGTAGTCATCCATTCCCGCTGCAATGCATTTTTCACGATCACCGAACATTGCATGAGCCGTCAGGGCAATAATTGGTGTGTGTGGAAGTGTATGGAGCCTTTCGTACTCCCGGATTCTAATAGTTGACTCGAATCCACCCATAACCGGCATCTGTACATCCATCAAGATCACATCGTACTGTTTATGGCGAAACTCATCTAGAGCTTCTTGCCCGTTAGACACAACTGTCACGTTATGGTGATACTTTTGCATTACTTTAAGAGCTACCTTTTGATTCACCTCGTTGTCCTCGGCAAGCAAAATGACCAAGGGGTGTGTCTTTTCTGAGGAACTGCGTGAAGGCCGACCTTCCAAAGCCGGAAGGATGCCATTGGCTAATTCGATCGGACGACAAGGTGTTGTTACGTAGGATGTGATGCCCAGATCTAAAGCGGACTTCATGGGCACTGAAACCACTGGACACACCAGTACAGCAGGAAGGGTCTTGAATTGGTCGAAATCTCTCAGATGAGAGACAGAGTCTATCGTCTGGGCAATCAAGACATCGTATTGTGATTGCCGGCGGAGCTCTTTGCCGTGTTGAATCACAGTTTCTGGCGGAGTACCATCCTCAAGCTTCACGACATCCACGTCGAGGCCCATCTCTTGTAACATCTGTTGAATTGTCCGCGGGTCCTCATTGCAGTGGCCATGGACTTCTTCAACGAATAATACGCGACAGCATTTATATGGTATAACATACTTGGCAATGTCCTTGACAGGAGGATCTAAGGATGTAAACGCGCAGGTGAAATGGAAAGTGCTTCCGACACCCACAGCCGAGGTAACCCATATATCTCCTCCCATTAGGTTGACCAACTTCTTCGAAATTGACAAGCCAAGACCAGTACCGCCAAACTTCCTTGTCATGGAGCCATCGGCCTGTTGAAACTTGTCGAATATCAGATCCAACTTGCTTTTGTCGATGCCAATCCCAGTATCTGAGACAGAAAACTCGAGCATATACTTGCCGGTAGGACATATTGGCGTTGCCTCCTTGATGGTAAGCTGAATCTGACCCGTCTCGGTGAATTTAATGGCGTTCCCGATCAGATTTAAAATGATCTGCCTCAACCGGAAAGCATCCCCAATCACATAGTCCCGGACAGAATTGTTGATATGGTATGTAAGATGGAGGCTTCTTTCACTCGCCTCGACAGCAAGAATTTTTAGGGCCTTGAAAACCGTTTGCCCCAGACTGAAAGGAACAGCCTCAATCTTCATGTGGTTGGCTTCGATCTTTGAGATATCAAGAATATCATCAATAATCACAAGGAGGCTATTTCCTAGATTATGGACCACGTTTAACATCTCTCGGGTAGGGGGAGGGAGATCGTCGGTGTCAAGTGCCAGTTGAGTCATGCCAATAATACCGTTCATGGGCGTCCGAATCTCATGGCTCATATTTGCCAAGAACTCTGATTTACTCTGGTTGGCTAATTCAGCTGCCTCTCGGGCTGCAGTATTCCTCTGGATGCTGTCGCGTAGGTTGGAGATCATTTTATTGATCTTTTGCTTCAGTTCGTCCATTTCGCCTGACGCACTGACGGTAATCAGTTTACTGAAGTCGCCATCAGTGGCGGCATTGGTGATTTGTCCAAACGCTCGAACCTGCGAGGTAAGATTGTCGGCCATCATATTGACATTGTCTGTCAAGGCTTTCCACTCTCCCTCAACATTGGCGACAACGGCCTGGCCCCCTAGGGTTCCATCAACACCAACCTCACGAGCCACTTTACATACCTCGGAGGCAAACTGATTCAGTTGACCAACCATCCCATTGATAGTGTCCTTGAGACTCAGGATTTCTCCGTTTACATTAGCAGTGATACGCTTGCTCAGGTCGCCCCGAGCAACAGCGGTTGTCACGTCCGCAATCTCTCGAACTTGATTTGTAAGGTTCATCGCCATCCTGTTAACACTCTCTGTTAGGTCCTTCCAGACCCCTTCAACCCCGTGAACGGTCGCCTGACCTCCTAAAACACCGTCCGTACCGACTTCTCGGGCAATCTTCGTCACCTCCTGGGCGAATTGGCGGAGCTGGTCAACCATTGAGTTGATAATATTTTTCAGAGCCAGTATCTCTCCCTTGCAGTCTGCCCGGACCTTCTGAGTGAGGTCACCATTTGCAACGGCAGTAGTCACGGTTGCAATGTCCCGTACCTGCATTGTCAGGTTATTGGCCATTGCGTTGACATTGGTTGTAAGCTCGTTCCACATCCCTTGAGTACCGTATACGCGTGCTTGCCCGCCAAGGACGCCTTCGATACCCACGTCACGGGCGACACGGATAACCTCAGTGGCAAAAGTACGGAGCTGGTCTACCATGGTGTTGAACGTATTCTGCAACAGGAAGATTTCGCCTTTGGCAGGACGTTCGATCTTCTTGCTTAAATCCCCATGCGCCACCGCAGTAGTGACCACTGCAATTTCCCGGACCTGATTGGTAAGGTTCAAAGCCATGGTGTTAACATTGTCAGTGACTTCTCGCCAAACGCCGTGCATCCCAGACACTTGGGCCTGGCCACCGAGAATGCCCTCGGTTCCCACCTCCCACGCTACTCTGGACACCTCACTGGCGAAAACCCGGAGCTGGTCAAGCATGGCGTTCATCGTGACTTTGAACGTGATGATGTCTGAGTCCATTTCTAATGGGTGGATTGGAACTTTCGTGGAGAGGTCCCCATTGGCAACTTTAGTGATGACCTTTGCGATCTCCTGTAATGCCGTCTGAAATGCTTTATTCATCTGTTGGTGTTTCCGGAGGTCTACCTCATGATCTGGGTGTTTATTTGCTGCACGGTGACGAAGCAATTCACAGAAAAGGCTAGAGACGACTTCCCTCGGAAGTCTGATTTCTTCCCTCTGCTCATCAAGTGCCCTTTTCACGAGAGAATAATGATCCTCACTTGCAAACTCATTCTCAGAGCTAGTATTCACAGGGCGACTGATTTGTATGTCATCTAGCCTATCCTCTAGATTAGGGCTGCAATATGGCAGCTTGCTAGGGATCGGTGTGCACGTACCATTCAAACTTCCGCTTACGAGGTGAGGGACTTTTGACCCTCCTGGTGCACTCCAGGGACTGTGTAGACCGCGGTGAATAATCATTTTCTGTTTCTGAATGCGGAGGCGATATGTCGCCCTGCTGCAGTGCACTATTTTCGAGAAATCCAATATGACCAACGAAGGCCTCAAGCTGTTTCTCAAAAGCTACCTTTGCGTCGCTTGGCTCTCCTGGTAGCTGAAAAAGGATGTGGTACATCTCCTCCGTCGGCGAAATCAACGGCTGCACAGAGCGGGCAGTATCAACCTTAGGTGGTAAGGCAGCTTCCAAACCGGCTGCAGCAGTCCAGAAGGCCTTCTCAACCGCTGCCATGGTCATCGATTGTTGTACACACGGCTATTGACAGTTTCTATGTGTCAAGAATAGGTTCCCCGCCAATTCATGGTCGAGGTGAAGCTATATTGGCAGAGTAGTGATCAGACAGGGTGGACGTGTAACTTGCAGTTTACTTGAGCAAAGTATAGGAGAAACTTTGTAAGAATCAAGATATGCTGCTCTATGACCATGAAATGGAACGAGCTTTAACATAAAATACCGCAAGAAACAGATGGCAGATGGATCAATCTAGCAGTAGCCATACAACACAATTCATGGTGAAAGAAGGTAGTGTAATTTGCCTCTTGAGGCCAGACGTTGTAAGGACAAGGGATACCATGGGAAGGGTCTCCCCCCAACGAAGGTTCGCCTCGACGGCCAAAACAGCGAATCTCACAGAGAAAGCAGAAATGATTGGATTAATGCGACTCGGATTCTTTAACCCTAGATTTCCCCCGCAGGGAAAAAGGGCCATTGAGGCTAGACTCAGAAGAGAATGGGAAATGATGAGGAAGAGGCTTGACGTTTCTCCAGAGATTCCGGTGATTCGCCGCAGCCACGGGCACATGATTGGCCAAGCCCCAGACCCTTGGAATGGAAAGCCCATCGAGCACCCAATGGACCCTTGAAGTCTATATTAATATTGTCCATAGCAAGGGTCAAATCGGCTCCTGGATCTTTGGTTTCGCCGGTTCTAGAACTTGTCTATCAGACCATCACCGCCATCGCCTAACGGATGATGACTTCATGGCCGAAACTACCTCTTATTTCGCTAGCATTATAACCTTTGTGGCTTTCATGAGGATTCCTCATGCCAGGTGAATTGTAATACCCCTTCCTTTCTTCTACGATTCTTACTCTGGAATCTTTGGGGCACTACTGGACCAAGGCTCTATTATTCTAGCCAGACCATAAGAGTATGGGCTCGTGCTAGACTTCCAAGACAAAGTTCAGCCGATCGCCCTGGGTTGTCCGGCCTCCGAGGCCCAATGAAGAATCGTGGATATCTGTTCCTAACCCGCGGGCGCAATTGGGACTGATAGATCGGTTTACTGGTGGCAGGACATTAGCGGGAAGGGGCACGCATATTCCGAAAAAGCCGTTTGGAACTAACAGTGTTCAATATATTTGACTCAAAAGGTGCGTCTATGTTGTGCGCATAAAATTGCCAGATGTACATTAGCGCCTGTAGGATGAGACATTTCTCTCTGTAAATTGCTATGTGGGTTGTTTTCGATGTGTCAGAAAGACTCACCCGATAACGTCGAAATCTCTTTCACTTTATTTGTGAGGCGATGGTACGACAGGAGGTCTTTAATACCTGTCCTGGATTGTCTCTTTAGAGATGTTTTATTCCCGCTAACTGACAAATCTTTTGTTGTGGTAGAGATTCGAAAACACACCCCCCTTCCCAGCATCTGTCCCATTTTCCCCGAACAGGCAATTACTCTTTTAAGCTTAAGATCCTTGTTTCCTCTCCCTTGATTGTCTTCAGAGCTTCCAGACAAACAATTTACATTCCTTTAATCTGGCTCCATGATCCACCGATGGCCAGATGCTTTTCGCCCTCTGGTATTTGTTTTTGCTGTCAAGTTCTACGTGTTTTGAACCCTGGATGCTTATCCGCATTTACGTTTGAGAAAGGAATTCGAGCATGTGAGATTCTGAGATATCAAGTGACGCGTCCTTTGATAGAATTTATCGAATTCGCTAATTTGTCTAGACCTTGATCTGTGGCATCTTCATGGCCCTTAGCGCAACTATGGGCTGCTCATGAGGGCTTGGTTCTTTTCCCCCTTGCTTTAGACAGCGACAACTCCTTACCTATCAAGCTCTCGAGTCGTCCTTTGATATCACGCCAACCAAACTTTTGGAAGACAGATATATTCGGTTCTAGGTAAGGTCCGTGGATATATTTACAAGCCATTGCCGAACATATTTAGGCAAGAGAGACCGTATCGTAGGGAAACACATGAGGTCAGGATTCTCTCTCAGCGCATTCCACGAATTGTCTGTACCAAGGATTGGCATTCTAGACTGTAGCTCCCAACGTGTCTTGTTATCCAACACAGTCTCCTCTAACATTGGCAGAAGTGGTCTCAACAGGTGTTGGGCGTCTGTATGTGACTGTAGTTGGCAATTTTTTACCCACTCTCCGTATGGAACTTCAGTCAAGGAGCCTCGTGGAAGAGCTTCGTTTACGCTCTGGAAGATCTCGGAAACAGGAATCATCGCGTCTCCATGGGGCTCAATAAGATTGTATGCACGGCCAGCGGAACCTTGGGACGACGCGATTTGTAGAAGTGCCATTACGACAAAATCTACCGACACAAAGGCATCGCGGTGCTCTGAGAGCTCAGGATATTGGCCCAGGCGCACGCAGCTTGGAATCAAGCGACTGAAGAAATCATCGGAATTCCCCACCCCTGTCTGGCTGTGGCCGAGGACAAAGCCTGGACGATGAATGGTCACGGCTAGACCGTTCGCGATAGCATTCCACGCAATAACCTCGGCAACAGATTTGCTTTGTGAATATCCGGTGTCATATTTCAAAGCCTCAAGATAGGCTTTAGGGGTTTTATCTTCTGCAATGTAAGTGGCCCCGGACACATACCCTACGGGGCCGTATACAGAAGTACTTGATAAGTGATGGATAGCTTTAGGCCGTTTTGTGTTCGCGAAACGGACCATGTTCAATAATCCTAGCACATTTGCCTGTCGGTGAGGCTCGTACGGCTCGATCCAATTCACACGAGCTCCCAGATGAAAGATTACGCTTGTCCATTCCGCAAAATACATAAATCGTTCGTTAGATAAGCCTAGATGTCGCTCGGAAAGGTCTCCTGGGATAGCCCAGAGCTTTTCTATGTGGTGCGGTCGAAGCGCATACCGTTCGAAGGCCGCGATGATGCGCTTCATGGCCTCCAGCTCATCTGTTGCACGCACTAAGCATGCCACTCGCTGAACATTAGGCCGAAGAAGTAGCTCCTCCAGCAGGAAGATACCGATAAACCCAGTTCCACCGGTAAGAAAAACGCGACCTTCACTTTCGATCGTCCAGTCTGGTATGGTGCCAGGCATAGGTTGTAAGTCTTTCCCGAGATCTAGGTCCTGCCCCCAAGAAGCTGCAGTATTCTCAGTCCATCTTTCACCTTTCCGCAGTGATCCAATAAGTTCATTGAGCTCTCGTAAAGTTGGACGCTCGTATATCATGGCAATTCGAAGTTGAACGCCAAGGACATCCTTGACGCGGGTTACCAGGCGGGCAGCGTGTAATGAAGAGCCACCCATTAAAAAGAAATTGTCATCTGCGCCGATGTGGAAGCCAAAGACATCTAGAAGAATTTCTTGAATTGGCGATAACCGCTCATGCGAGTTCAGTGCCATCTTCGGCACTATCTGCTGAGAGTATCGCTCAACCAACGTCTCACGATCGATCTTGTGGGTATTTGTCAAAGGTAGACGATCTACTATTTCCAGATGTGGGACCATGAGATGGGTCGCAAGCTTGACATATGTCTGCGTGATAGTCGATGCAGTCACATCGTCAGAGATTGGTACCACGCATGCCAGCAAGAGCGAATCTCTCTGGCTAGTACTACTAGCCGCGATCTTCACGGCTGCTGCCGCAGTAACCAACCCTGTTGCCACCAGGATGGACTCGATTGCTTCGAGCTCTATACGCTGACCTCGGATCTTGACTTGATTGTCTCGTCGACCTACGAATTCGAGCAGGCCGGCAAGACTCCACCGACCGAGGTCCCCCGTTCGATATACCCGCCCACCGGACCAAAGGTGCGGTAGCTCAATAAATGTACTACTGGTCTTCTCCAACTCACCAAAATAACCCCCTGCGACTCCTTTGCCACCGATTAACAATTCTCCTACTTCTCCACAGGGCAAGGCGCTAAGACCTTCGTCCACTACTATGACATTGTATCCATCCATCGGCTGCCCAATGGGGATGCTACCCCTCTCCACATCTTCAATGGAGATACTGTGGAATGTCGAGAACATGGTACACTCTGTCGGCCCATAAAGATTCAGCAATCGCTTTGGTGGGCCATGTTCCAGGATTTTCCGGGCCAGCTGCGCAGTCACTACCTCGCCCCCAGTCAGAAGCGTGTCCACTGTCGTATATGCTTGCGGATAAGCATTAATCGTTGCCGCCAACAGCGCCGGCGTTTGCCAAAGCACATCAATCATATCGTCTCGAATACATTTTGCCAGCTGGGCGGGATTAAGTACTGTGTCACGGTCTAATACTACCACTGTGGCACCGCGAAGAAATGATCCAAGAGTCTCCATAATAGACACATCAAACGTGACATTGCTCAAGTGGCCGAATCGCTGGCCTTGCTGGATCGGAACAAACGTTTCGTTGAGACAGTAATTGATAATTCCGCTGGCAAGTACCTGGACCGGCTTTGGACGACCAGTCGAGCCAGACGTATGAAATATATGGGAGCGATATTGTACCTGGGGCCGGTCAATTGCCCCCTCCTTGACCTTCTCGCATACTTGAGTAGGTAACAACCTGTGATCCACCATTATTTGTTGAAATTCATAGCCTTTCAGCCGGTCTGAATTGCCCTGATCCGTCAACAAAAGAGTGATATTGATGTTCTTTAGGAGATCGACCAGGTGCCGATCAGGCTGGTTCACATCTAACGGGACGCATGTTCCTCCAGCATATATGACAGCAATTTGTGAAACAATATGGTTTATACCTCGAGGTGAGAGGATACCAATGGGCCGTTCAGCTCCTATCTGTTGACACTGGATCTGATATGCAAGATTGAGCGCTTTCGCATGGACTTGTGCGTATGTAAATTGACTCCCATCGTCCTTTACAGCTAGCGAGGATGCAAAGCGTTCAAATTGTCGCGCTAGAAGACCAGCAAGCCCTATCTCTTGCGGAGGTTCCATTGTCGCGGAACTATATATACTACTGAATATGGGTATAGTGCTTTTGCTGGCATATTGGGAGCTCTGCTCGCCTTAATGCATGCGTGTTGTAAAGGCCCGTGGAAGCTGAGAACCGGCCCTTTTACGCTGTCCTACACTGGTACTACCTTTTAAACTCATGAAAAAGCGCACATCAGAGTCGAGTATCTTCCTCACTGCCCTATGTATCTGCAGTGACACCTACCGGGCTGCGGTACGGACGCGTACACTCGCTCATGTGAAAGTTATACAAGTAGGAACAACAACCACATTATTGTGGAGTCTCTTAGTCGATTTAGGCTGTACTCTACACTTTATTTGCTATACTTCGCCAGTTAGATACCGATTGCTCGATCAGTGTGGAACCTATGGGGCTATTATTGTAAAGCTAACAATCGTGAAGATCTACGTCAACATTCCTAATTCGGGAACGATATATATTAGATAACAGTTTCGGGGCACAATTTGCCGTTGAATCGTGGCTATTCGATATTTCCAAGCCACTAGCCTCAGTATAATGCTGTCCAATTCTAATCTAGTTTGTAAGGCGTCCGTTGTGAATAGGATATAAGAAAGGAAACATCGTCGGTAAAAATTCCCCGACAACTGAACCTCGGAGTTAATTGAACCACGTCAATTCATTCCCCCCGCAATCTCACTACACTACCAAGTATTGTTTTCCCCCAGGCCCCTGTACACCAGCCCACAATGCTACAAATCAATCTCGATCAAACCCTCGTCACACAGGCGTCTGGAAAGGTCGTCCTAATCACCGGCGCCGCCAATGGCATCGGCGCAGCAACAGCCTCGCTCTTCAACGCCCACGGCGCCAAAGTAGTGATATGCGACCTAGAAACATGCCAGAACACCGCTAAAAACCTCATATCCACATTCCAAAGCCCAGAAAATGCCCTCTTCATCGCAGCCGACATCCTCAATTGGGACCAGATGACCGCGCTCTTTAAGCGCGCGGCGGTACATTTCGGGCCCGTCGACATCGTCATCGCCAACGCAGGGACGATGGAAACGCAGCCTGTCCTGGACCTAACAGATGTAGACGAGGAGGGTATTCTCAAGGAATCGACAGAAGGATTCAAGGTACTTGATATCAATATAAAGGGGACAATGAACAGTCAGTACACTCCCCCTAATCTACTGACAACCCCTTACACCACGTTAACAATATCTTAAGCCCTGAGACTCGCTCTCCACCACATGAAATCCAACCCCTCGGCATCAGGATCCAAATCCATTGTCCTAATGGCCTCTACGTCCAGTTACTTCGGCGGCACCGGTGTAACCGCCTACGTGACCTCCAAGCACGGCGTCTTGGGTATGCTACGCTCCTCGCAGGATGTCGCCGCCCAACACGGGATCCGGGTTAATGCCGTTGCGCCTTTCTTCACGCCGACGCGCCTTACCGCGGGGTTCGCGCAGGAGTGGGAGGAGGCTGGGCTGGAGGCGAATACGCCCCAGCGTGTGGCGGAGACGATTGCCTATGTTGCGATGGATGGGGGGAGGACGGGGTCGTGTGTTCTTGTGCGTTTCCCCCTACCCCCCACCCCCTTCTTAACCCACTTTCATCGTTTGTGGGTGGTTTTGCTAATGTGTTTAGGTGGCGGGGAAGTATTTAAGGGAAATGGAAGAGACGATTACGGGGTTGATTCCGAGGTGGGTCGGGGAGGATGTGGAGGAGTTTATGGGGAGGGCGATGCGGTTTTTTGTTGATATTGGGGGGTATGTGTTGCCGAAAATTCTTTAGGTTGAATTTTGTCTGGGCTGGGATGTTGGACGGTCTTAGAGGTATCGTTATCTTGTACCTTTTCTCCCCTTGTTTTTAAAACTGGGATAGGAGTTCATGGAATCAAGCCGATGGTGAGGTTAAGTGAGGCGGTACGTGGGTGGAGATTTTGTTAGCGACGACCTATTCAACAGTCGCAGTTCCCAGAATGTTACAAACATAGGGGAGAAAATAAATGGGATACATATTAGAGGGTTTTATAAACTTGGCCAAGAACGAAATAATTCAAATCAAAGTTGCGAAATATATCCTGTAGGCTGAACCTAAGATATTTTTAGCTTTCCCTGGCAGAGCGTCAACCTTGGTATCTCAAGCCAAGATAGCTCATTATGCTCGGTAACCGAGCGCAATATAAGATCCACAGGCATATAAGGAGTAATGAATTGCTAATTGTATATATGTAAGGATGCTGCCTAGCCTTGGGTGCTTGTTGAGCGTACGTGGCATTGAACTAAGTCAAAAGCTGGAGCTGCTCGGGGAAAGTTGATCGAGATCAGCATTGACTACAATAAAACTAAATACCTGATAGACGTATCTACCGCTAGAGAGCACAGAATCCAGCCTGCCGCCTTAATGACTCGGTCTACCTTTGTGCATGCGTGTCGGACAATACAACAGTACAATGATATCCATTTCTCTTAAAACTGGACTAATGACAAAAAGCAAAGGCATGAAAACCATTCGAGGCATTCGGGGTTCAAGCCTGCAGCAACCCCAAGGGTCAGTCTGAGATGTTAGGCTTGGTATAGGGGCGACGAAACACTTAGATGCCAGCCCTGGCTTCACTTTTTGTAACAAGCAACCCGAATAAACATAAAGGAAACTTCTGATTGGCAGCTTTGTGAAGCGAAAGATTGCTGGCAGTGCAGCTCAAATCACAGAGGCAACATTACCGGGTCCGATGGGCGATTACTCTACGACCCATCTATATAGCAGTCTTCATATACTTATATTTCTGGAACCTCGTGAAGTTATCCTTGCTACTCATACACTACATCTTTCCACAGCTGCGACGTAAATCCCGTTGGCGATATGGAGCATCCATCTTCGTATATCTATTCAAGATCAAACTCCGATACGACGCCTAGGTAGAGACGAAACTTATGTTATCTCTTAAACCAGAAAAAGATGGCGACCGCTTCACCATTATCCAGCCGGAGAAGAGGCCCTCTATGCAGGTACACTCAACGACGGTCGAGTAAAACCAGCAGCAATAGGCGGCGTCAACCAAATATTCAGACCACTCAGACAACAGCAAAAAAAGTAATCCCACATTTCCAAGGTGGTGGCTTCGTCGTCTTTGACGCTCGAGAGATGTCCTACGGAGTCCTCTCACGCACCATAAACAAATACTTCGACGGTGCAAAGGTCTTCTGCCCCGACTACTGCCTGGCAAGTGCCCCGTAGAGCTACTTTCCTGCGCAGTTCCAGGACGCCGTAACGTCATACTGCTACCTGCTGGATGAGCTGGAGATTACATCTGTTTCTGCCGCATGATTCATTTAGATATTTCTGCTTTTTGGCTTCGAAGGGACACAGTATATGAGAAAGTACTTCAAGTTTGTTCAATCGAGAAACATATGGAGAACCACAAAGCGCACTCTTTCTGGGCTAGACAAAGATTAGGCTCTCGAGAAATCTTTCCAATCAATTTTGGCCAATCAACCGACTTCTGTCAGATTTAGTTCGCATATGCAGGGGCATAAATAAATGACAAGCAGTTAGGACGATCATTTACCTGAGATGGAGCGTTGATCATTGAGACGTCTCGTATGCGATCAGATGCCCATTGGCTCGCTCGTCTCGGGCAGTTATGCGTCTAGCCCTATGGTAATCTCTACATGCTTGGGTAAATCACGTCCAGCTGCTACGGCAACCACAAGGGTTTTAACATCGTTAAATACCTCGGTAGGAAGTAGCACGAACAGAAGTGGCCTACTGTATGGAAAATGTAGCTTATCAATAATCTACTAGACGGAACAAGTTGGAAATCTATGAACCAGCGCGTCGCATCGAGTATAACATCATCATTAGCGAAACCTGACCAGCCCTTTTTTTTTTTTTTTTTGCTACATGGTCGCCACACATTAAAGTGCTGTTTCCAGCTCCCCGGAGACCTAGAGCGCCGAGGAGTAGGTTTATCTGCCACTAGTCCTTAGGAGGTGAGCAATGATGCTCTATGCCTCCGTTCGTGTAAAAAACTCACTGTTGGCTCCACTTGTAGCAGGAGCAGTATTTTGGGAGAGAAAATTAAAAGGTTTGGCATATGACATCCCTCCTGCTACATTTCCTGTGTTCCCTATTTCATGCGGTAGTAAACGCCTATTCAGAGCTACGATTGGCTAGCAAAGAGATGTTGAGTTGCGAACAACAAAGTCGATGCTGCAAGACTAGAACAGGTGCCACTTGAGCTTCATTACGTTTACGGAGAGCTTCGGTCATTACTCAGGATGCATTGGTCAGTAGCATTTAAATCAGAGCAAATTAATTGTTACTTATCCTGCCGGGTAGTCAAAACTATGTATACTGTCCGGTTGGTCCCAACGCGAATCACCCAATTAAAGCTGGAGAATATTCGAATTATGGAAGGAATGTTAAGGTCGGTGCGAGTAGCAGGTAATTATGCTGCAATCTTCAATGACTAAGGAACAATTAAGGCTCAGAATAGCTACTTAATAGGCTACCAACTGCAATTGAAGCACTTACCAAGCTGTAGCCTAATATGAATTCCTTCACAAGTCCTTAGATGGTCTTACTACAGTGTCAATACCTCATTAAAGGAAAATTAGGTTGATTATTGAGGAAAATCCGGGATGTAGGGTTACACCTATTTCTGTCCACTCGTGTTTCAACAAGTTTCCATTTTGGGACATTCTTGAACGATCAGTGGGGATAGTGAGGCGGGGCTAACTGTTGTCTTACATCACAGCTTTCTCTCTAAACGTACCTCACCTCAGTATAGTGACGTCTCTTGCAGAGTAGCTCGCAAAAAAATATCCCAACGATGAGTTGTACAACTACAAGAGCGCTTGGCCGGGGGTCAAGCGCCCGGAAGGGTTCATTCCAACCACATGTCGACTGACTCGACCACAATTACAGAGACGCGAGAGCTCACAAATCACCCCAATAGCTTTCTCGCTGTTGTGAAGTTGCTAGAACCTGTCCAGTCCCCCCTGTGATATTCCACATACCAACCGACTATTAAGCGAATCATGGTCCCAAATGTGAGCAGTAGCGGTAAATCTTCTCTCGACTGGAATGTAGGACACCAATGATCGGCGCAGATCATCAGCTTTTATCCTCTCTAGAAGCCCCGAGAGTACGTATCACTTGTGTCAATGCGCCCAGGACTTTGCAATATAGTAAATGTTCCGATATCGACACCCCTTGCATGGATGCTATCCCCGCTCCTTAAATAAGTTCTATAAAGTCATATATCGCGATATTCCGTTCTGCCCCAAAGATTCTTTCTTTTGTTGTCAATATTTCATTTCCTGTCAACTGGACTGACTGATACTGTGTATAGGCAGTACGCTTTCTAAACTTCTTGTGTCAGATAGTATTCTCATTGCGAATTTACATAACCAATGGGCGTGGAGTCCATTGATGTTTACCATACGGATAATGTGCCGGGACCGAATACCTACCCTGAAACCAGCCAGCAATGTTTGGTTACTTCGCATGCTTCGGACTTTGCCGAGGCGACTCAATATACACACCGAGAAGATACCACGAGAGGACCTGAATGGACACCAGGCGTGAGAGAGTGGCTCGTCACGATATGTATCTCAATCTTAGTAATGATGGATGCGTTTAACATGACTGTGGTCATTCCCCTAATACCAGTATGTTATGTCTACACAAAAGGGGCGGAGCGGGAAGGTCCCAGATTCTGACCTGGACGTTGCGTAGGGTTTCTCGGACGTCTTCCGACAACCTCTTGAAAACACCCTTTGGGTAAATACTTCCTACCTTATTGGCAATGCTTCTGGCCAAGCTGTTTTTGCCATGTTAGCCGAAGTACTTGGACACGGATCTGTTTTACTTTCGTCTGCTGTTCTCGCAACAAGTGGTACGGGCATATGCGGCGGTTCGTTGAACCTATCTGTGCTGGTAGCGGGTCGATTCGTCCAAGGGATTGGTGGAGGAGGGGTGATGGGAGTTTCGCTTTTGATTATCTCCGACCTTATTCCGAAGTCGCATTGCGTCCAATTTTCTACTTACGTATTTCGCGCACAGGTGATTGGTATGATCATAGGCTCCATCGCTGGCGGGGTGTATCATGACTACACTACTTATATTTGGGCTTTCTATTCAAGTTTTGTGTTCTGCGCGATTGGGCTCTTGGTGATTCCATTTGCACTTGACCTAAAGGGGCACGGTCAGGAAAGCAAGGGGACTCATACGGGAAGTTTCCGTACAATGGACTGGATAGGGGCCCTGTTGATCCTTCTTAGTATTGGATCTCTACTTACAGGAATCAGCTGGGGTGGGACGCTGTATGCCTGGGATAGCTGGCAGATATTGTTACCGATTTGCATTGGTGGCAGCCTAATGGTCATTTTGGCCCTTTTTGAGACAATGTGGGCCACGCAGCCAATGTTCAGCTCAAAGGTGTTTCGGGACCTCCCGTCAATAATGCTGCAGACAGGCGGTTTTCTGCATGGATTCATTGTCAGTCTACCCTGAGTTAGCTAGACCTGCTTGGAAGGAGGATGACAGCTAATGATAACTTCAGGTTTCTTCTCACCTCCATTGCCTGTCGCTGTATCTCATCTTCGTCAAGTCCCTCAATAGTACATGGATAGGACTGAGTCTAGTTGCTCTTACGGGTCTAGCTGTACCTACCCTCATGATATCGGGCACAGGGCAGCTGTTTCGGCGGCCACACCTTTCTGCCTGGATTGCTCGTATAGGTTGGTTGTTTACTATTACCGCGACGGGATGTTCCATCTTGCTCAACACATCGATCCCGACAATAGGTTGGCTGGTTATCTTCCTGACTGCGGGACTGGGTTATGCTCTGCTTTTATTGGGACATAACGTTTGCATCCATATAAATGCTCTGCAGGTCTACCCTAGTCGAGAAAACGGTGAGAGTGGGAAGGTCTCCACCTCGTCCATCCTGATCTACTCGATACTACGCACATGGGGCATGTGCATCGCCATACCCATCAGCGGAACTATCATATTCAACTACCTATATGCAAGAGACATCCCTGATGTATCGATCGGGTATACGGCTCGCCACCCTTGGGGATACCTACCCCAGGAACAAAAGGCCGCTTACGTCGGCGCACTTCGAGCCCTCTGGCAAGGGTACACGGGCATCGCCGCTTTGGGAGGAATATCGTCTTTATTTATTCGGTCTGCAAGTGGAGCATAAATGCCTGCTTGTCTTTATAGTGTAATAGTAGTCCAATGACATCCTCAAATGTGGTCAAATATACAGGCGACACATCTCACGCCTCGATATCTGTAACCGTCTCGCGAAGCAACCACTCATAAGAGAAGATCGAACTGAACTGCGTCAACTGTTCGCTCTTCTTCGATGCGAGCAAAGCCAATCAGAGCACCGTTTAGGTTAGCGTGCAGGATGCATCAAGGATTTCGGATGTGTCCGCGCCGAGCGCGCTCTTCGCTCTCTGTCTCATTAAGGTTATGAATAGCCCACCGACCTTATTTCCTTCCCAACCCCGTGCCCTGCCATACCCTACTTCTTCCTCCGTAGCATCTTCAATAAAAGAAAAATAACCCACCCATGCAGCAAGTCAAAAACACTCTCGGTAAAGTAAGCGACCAAAAAAGAAAAAAGGAAACGATTCACAATTACCTCCTCCCTCAAACTAATGAACGCCCGTCCCCACAAGAAACGTCGAACTCCATTTGCTCAAAACCCTTGGCACAAAAGCATGCGTGGCTCAACTTGCCTTACCGCAAGAACCACGACGTACGATGTGTTGTATATTGCAGCGCGCTCCCCCCAAAAATAGCTAGTTGGTCCTCCCTTTATGGCGCCTTTCCCCTTTTGCTTGCCTTGCTTTTGACTTTGGGTGAGATTTCAGCCTCGTGCGCCGCCTTTGGGCACCGACCTGATTTAGTGTGCACATCTCTCTCTCTTGTCTCTGCCTGAGAAGGCCGTTTATGATATATTAGATTTTAGTTTCTGCCTTTTATCTTTTCTTGTTATTGTGTTCTTGACGAGACGTGATTTCTGTTTGTTTGTTTTTCTTTCTTTCTTTCTACATCTCTTTGTAGTATTAATATTGGGGTATTTTTTTTTTCTACGACTATTTCTTCCTCTTCTTGATTTTTCTCAACTGATCGATACCTTAAACCGTTTAATTTATACCCAAATACATAACTAAACCCAACACCCCAAAAAAAAACCAACAAAATGTCCCTCAAACACACAGTTCCCCTATCATCAACATCGTCACCACCACTTTTCTTCACAACCCTCCAGCTCCTCACTCTTATCTTGATCCTGTCCATCGTCGGCAAAAGGATCACAACCCTCCTCCTCGCCTCCGTATTCACCTTTTGGTTCAAGACCAGACTCACCCTCTACCAGGAGTATGTCGAGGAGCGGCGGTCAACTCGGCGGGAACGAGAGCGCCAGCTCCGGAGACAGGAGGTGAGGACTATCTCGGCGGCGATTGTGGAGCAGTTACTGAGAAGTGACACTGGTGTTTCGGCCGTGGGTAAGGAGGAGGTTGGGAGTGAAATGGCGAAGATGGTTAATGGCGTGAAGGATGAGGTTAAGGTTAATGGGATTATGCATGAGGTTGGTGAGGGCGAGGTTGAGGGTGAGAGTGAGGTGGCTTTTGGAGAGATTGATGGGGGTGTGGTTGTTGGGGTGGAGGTTTGTGAGGATCTGGTTCACGAACAGGGGGACGAGGAGTCTGTGAAAGTTGGAGAGGTGGAGGAGTTGGAGGGGGAGAAGGAGGTTCTAGGAGAGTGGTGGGATGAGGAGGTTGAGGAGGAGGTCGGGGTGGCTGACTTTCATGAGGATCCTGTTGAGCAAGATGCGTTCGAGGAGAAGCTGGAGGCTGATGTCGTTGAGGAGAAGGTAGAGGTGACTTCCGCACAATGGATTGATGATATCACTGAGCACCAAGAGGAGAAGCAGGGGATTCAGGATCAGAAGGCGCAGGAGATTGCAGAAGTGCCCCAGGCCAAGCAGGATGACGCCCGTGAGGAAGAACAGAAGACGGAAAGCAACACACGGGAAGAAGAAAAGCAAGTCACCGAGGCATGGGAGGAGGTGGAGGACGAGAAGCGAGAAAAACAGGAGAATCCTGCTGAGGAGAAGAGCGCCGTCCAAGAAGACACACCCAAAGTTGCTGAAAGCCTTCAGCAGCCCGAGCTCGAGAAGGAGGTCGAAAAGCGTGAGCCAAAACCAGTCGAGTCAAAACCCGGCGGGCTATCTCAATCACGCTGGAGCAGCTCCAAAAAAGTACTTGATCCACGAGCGACTACCTTCCAGCCAACGGAATTTAAGACCAGTGCGAAAAGCCATTATCAGTATTCCGTCCCGACAACAACTCGTCCTCAATCCTCCACGCCGCTTGCATACAGCTCCATTGGGATTTTGTCATCGTCAAGTACTAGCTCTCCCTTGTCTGCTTACTCCCAGCCGAGCATCTTTAGCTCCATGGGGAGAAGTACGCAGAGCTCAACCCCATCTTATGATGATTACGCCCAGAGCCCTTCCTATGGGTATACCTATGCCACTACTTCCTCTTATGGGAATTCACCCTCCTATACCAATTCATCGACCTATGCGAATACGTCTTCTTACGCGAATACTTCCTCGTATGGGAATACTTCAGCTTATGGAAATTCGTCTTACAGTTGTTACACTCCGAGTCCTTACTACAGCAGCTATAACTATGCATCCGCGAGTTGAGGAGGGGGGACGGAATCACCGGAAGCTAGAAGCAGCAGATACCGTCGAGGGTGGTCGGAACAATTTTTGACATTCGCGGGATTCTGTGACACAAGAAAAAAAAAAAGCGAAAAAAAGGCGCCGATACTGCTTCATTTTACTTTCTATTGATTGTCTTCCTCCTACCGTTGAGCGTTTCACTTTTTTTAATTGCATTAGCGACTAGCGTGTTGTTATACAATTTTCGTTCTTAGACACTTGTGTGTACAACTTTCTTCGGAAGCTTTTCAGAGCAGAATAGGTGGTTTTTCTTAATTATTCAATAAAATGCGCTCTACAAAGTAATATAGTGTGATGAAATTAACCGCTTAAAGCAGAACCCCCGAGTGTGGGATTGGCAGTAGAGCATGAGCAGGTACACTACGCAAAAATGAGCCGCTCTTGCCTCTCAATTATGATAGTATCACGTTGGATTATCCATTCCCCCCAAAGCAAAAGGTACATGAGACTTGTTGAATATTAAACTTCTCCTAATGAGAAGATGTGTGTCCATATGCCAGTCCCACGCCCTTCCCACTCATACAAAATTATTAACCACAAGCACCATTTGCTCAATGAACCTTCAATAATATGATGAGCAGACAACAGAATGAAAGAAATATAGTAGATCAGATGGGATAAAAGGCCTTCTCTTTTGCAATATCACTTAATTCAGTGAATGCACCTGAGTTTGATGGAGCAGTGCCAAAGAAAGGATAAGGTGTCGGTACTCTCCTCAAGGGACTTCCAAACTGCTCAGTCTCGGACTCCGAAACAGTCTCAGACTCCAAAATTGAAGACTTAGTCGCAAGAGGGGCAGGAGCCTCAGAGGGAGGAAAATCCACAGACTTGCGAGGATCGACCTGCTCGATCTTCTTGGACGTTCTTCTGTGATGCCTAAGCTTGGAGAGCCAAGCGTGGAGTATGTGTCCGACCGCCATGGCAGAGCTTATTGTCTTGAGTGTACAATGTACGAGTAAATAAGAGAGAGAGAGAGAGAGAGAGAGAGTGTGTGTGTGTGTGTGTGTGTGTGTGTGTGTGAGAGAGAGAGAGTGAGAGTCAATGTGTGGGGGTGGGTTTGGGGTCAAGGAGTTGTAAGAGACTAGTGAAAACGCATGATGGAGGTTTTATAGTATGTCTGATTTAGTCAGATAGTCCTCAGAAGCAACTCGGGTAGCGAGAAAAGCTTAAACTACTCGTTGTGCAAATTTACTCCATGATGAGCACATAGGGGCGTATGCTCTAAAGTCGAAACTCTAGAAGATCTATATAATTCTCTACGACGACATCCAAGTAAACTGGGATGTACTGTGTGACTCAGAGTCTCATTATATCTCCGTTAGATTATACAATCACGAGTAGCACTAAACATTTTCTAGCCTTATATCTGATATCATCCCATTATTCAACTCACCCATTTGCTTTCATGATTCCTTTGCCTTAGGCCAAAGTGGGACTCATTCTTTTGGCCACCACGATACCCTGTCTTCTCGCGGCTCCAAGCATATGGAATCCTCGCGACATCCCCCTTCCCGATGGCTTGCCTAATCCCCGCGAAGAGCAGCTGAAGACAATCCAATTAAAAGCACATGGTACACTCCCCAACACCCCTTTTCCCCCCCAAATTAGTAACGATGGAATCACCAATCTCCAACTAGTAGCCTTGAATGAATTACTCTTAAACATCGCCAAAAAAGTAGATAGTTATCAGTTCCTGAACCCCCAGACTCGAAAGGCCATCATTGAAGCCCTACCAGCAATTCTCACCTTAAGCCTACGTCCCAGCTAGATCTTAAATAATATTCTCTAATCAATACACCAGCAAAAAGTACACGCCTTGACCGCCAATAACCGCCGGTGTTTGAACAAATACCCTGTCCCCGGTGCAGACACAATTTAGCCACCGATGCGGAACATCAGACTATATACCGGCTATCTTTTTAAACGGAATCTGTAATGTTTCGGTCAAAAGCTCTTAGCTATAAATTAGTAAAGTGTTAATAGTAGAAAAGAAGTACAAATCAGCTTCATTTTAATAGCCATCTACTGCTTGATTCTTAGCATTCTTATTGTATCCTTAATTAAAGTTAGTTAACAGGTCTTCAACCCTGTATTGTAGACGTCCTTACCAAAAGACGCTGTTTAAATAGTCACACAGTACGCCTGGGGTCATCAGGTGTGGCAGGCATGCAGAAGAAACGAAGCAGATAAGGAGCCAGAATGGAGGCCACGCGTATACCTAATAGTGAGGCAGCAGGACAGCACTGTGGCAGGTATTTTAGTTGATTTTATGCTTTTTCGTTGTGGTAATATGCTGATCTCATATGTCTACTAATTAGGACTGAGGACCTACATGATATGCAGTTTAGATTCTGTCTCACTGGTGAGATGCCTGCATAGCTAAATATTCAGTAGTTGGGCTTTATCAGTCTGATAGAGTCTTGATTATCTGTTTAATTACTTAAGTCTATATACCTTGTTTACTCCAGCTTACTTACAGTATTTGTAACTACAGATTCTGCGAAGGAAAAGTAAGAGAAATCAATGATAGATAAATAGACAAGTATCCAAGGCAAACAAGGTTATTCTTTAGGTAATCCAATAATTGCCTCAAAAATAGATAGCTATAATAAGAAAGTATAGAAGATGATACTGCTATCTTATATACTAGATTAGCTTATATATTGAGCAGCTATTTTAAAAGAACTATCTTAAATTATATTTAAGCTAGTACCTTATAAGATATTCTTCTATATATTGCTATTAATTACTAGCAGTGCGTCTTGTAGCTTGCGCCAGGACTGCCTGCCGCGCTGGGCAGCAGTTACTGACTGAAACTCAGCTACCCGCATTCTCCGGTCAAAAGTTTCTAATGAGACCCAGCCATTGAAACCTTTATCTGCAATCCAGGACTTTACAACTTCTTGTAGTGGCATATATGCACCCAGCTGGGTCTCCAGGGGAAATGGTCGAGCATGCCGTGACCAGATAAACTGCGGCGCTTCACCTTCAAGATACCACGGATGGGATGTTGAAAAGGGAGGATCAAATCGTTCACCGTCTGAGAGTTGCACGTAGAAGATATTATCCAGAGGACAATGGTCTTGAAGATCGCGCAGTGACACTCGTAGATTATGATCCGCGTTAGGTAGTTTACCATCCGGATCAAATGGACTGGCCCATAGTTTGGTGAGCTCGTGGAAGCTATCCAGGCAGAGCCCAAAGTTCGGTCGATCCACAGCTTGCGTGATGCGTAACGCGCTCTGCCATGTCGAACAATGGGTCGACCATGACATAGGCTCATATGCAATGGCGACAATCGGCTGTTGGGCACTGGCAATGTCTGCCAGCTGCTGTAGCTCCGAGACGACCACTGCCTCCTCTCCCGTGCTGTCGCTGCTATATTGCGCAGGCACTTGGAGGTACGTCGCTTCAAGGATTCTCGCTATGTTGATCCACTTCTTGGCGGTTTCCAGCCTTCCCTCGAGGGGTGAGTTGTGACCCTCAAAGTTCTCGAACGGAGCCAGCGATAGGATTTCTACCTGATGTGTTTCACATATCCTCCGAATATCCTCCGCTGCCTCGGAGAAGGATAGTTCTTTTGTCCGGGCGTACACTTCCAGATCAGAGAAGACAATTTCAATCCCCGCAAAACCGTGAGAAGCTGCGACTATGATTTTGTGGTCAAGCAGGTGAGAAGGGTGCTGGCCCAACGACAAACTGCTGATCGCTAATTTGTTGCCGAACATGTTCGCGGGTAGGATATGAAAGTGAAAGTGGCAACACGGGACATCACCTATGATTTACATGCTATTTGAATGTGTTGCCGGAAATCGATTTCCGCAACGGAAGAAGCAAAGATGAATTGATTCCCTTCATTTTCCGTAGTGAGGCTGCAACGTATGTCCGAATAAAATGTATCTGCGCTTATAATCCTGGTATTTGATTTCCAAAGAGGCTATGCAGGTTCGTTCCTCCCATCTCACGTGTAATGATTCTATACACCTTGATAATATGCATAAATTATACCTAAGTGGCGATCTAACGAAACATCAAACGTAGAGAAGGAAGAGAGAAAGAAAGAAAGGAAGAATTCTATTATACAGAAACTGTGGAATCTTGTATTGTAGGATCAGATTAACAGCCAATAGAGCAAGAGAAGAGAACGAAAGTCTATACTAAATACTACATACTCACATGCAGTACACACGCCCAAGCTACATGTGCAATTTAGGGTGAAAGACAGGGAGCACTCAGTCAGCATACGAGCTGTACCCTATAATATTATGGTACGCTGGTCTAATATGATCTTCCAAGGAACATTTATCGCCGATGAGAGGCTTACGCATCTAATTCCTAATGAACAGACTAAAATGAATAACCTTATCCGCGCAGAAATATAGTGTCCTGCCTTATACAATGACCAGCCACAAAGACGTAGCAATAAAATGTGGTAAAACAAAAAGAACGGCGAAAGTCCAAATATCACATTAATGGTGTCAGACATGCATTGGTGAAAAGCACAAGGCTCAGTATCATGAAGGTCATCGGCTATACCCGGAGGTGCGTTTATAACTAGCGTCGACAAGAGCGCGTTACTGTTTCAACCAACAAGCAGGTGGGATATCCGGTGCGTACTTGTCACCGTAGAAGTTGAATTCCACAAGTGCAACGGTCCCGTCCGTGGAATATGCACTGGAACAGAACTGATAGATCCCCGCTGGTTCATGGGCCAGGTTGTTGAGGCACTGGATGAAGTGTCCCTTGACTGGCTTGATCTTGATGAGGAACGCCCTCCAGTTGACATTTTTGAGGAGCTTCAGGAAGCCACATCTCCTGCATGGAGAGCATGTATCTGGTACATTCAATCGATCCTAGTCCAATGGTTGACTGTCCAAAACCATGGGTCCCATGTCTACAGTGGTTAAACTCCGTCACGGAGAACCTGCTCGTGTTGTTCAGGTAAGACGGTATCAGGTAAAGGCGGAGATTCACTAAAATTACACGGTTGAACCCCTGGTGGCGGAGTGCTATCCAGCTCTGATTGCAACCAAGACCACTATCAAAAAAGCCAACCAGGCCGCTCGTGAGTATCTCCGGGAGGAGCTGGGCCCCAAACACCTTGCGCGGAAATGGGATGGGGTATACAGGACTGGTGGCAATATCCGTATTTGAGCCATCTACAGAGACTACACCAACAATGTTAAGGCTATTGTACGGGTAGAAGAAATATTGATGAATGATGAAGAGGTTGACAACCCTGGTGTAGAGATATAACTACTGTTGTGCTAGATAGATATTATTGTATAATAACCCGGTAACTATTAGAGTGACATAGCCTACCAGTTTACCTGATTGCTGGAACCTAGCCCTAACCTAGACCCAACCGGTGGCAGATACCCGAAATACATCCCTCCGTGTTGTCCCGGGTGATCATAGTAACGTGCATAGTGATTGTGCAAAAGGCATTGCGGTTGAATCCGCATCCCAAGGAGAGTAACTGCCTCAAACACTTCATCATAAACCCAATCCAGCCCTGCCGCTACCAGTTCCCCATAGCCGACTTTGACGCAGCCATCGCTCTGGCCGCTACATTCACCGGCATCCTCCTGGGCACATTACAAGACGTAGTCGTGCGACTTGCAGGTAACAATGATGTCGACCTTACCCGAGTTATGGCCGCGACAATCGGTAACGAAGGGGAGTGAAAAACAGGGTTGGTTCAGAGTTAACCAGGGCAATATACTAAGCGAACTACCTACCTTAACAACCAGCGATGCAAGTTTTGTCTTCACTGCTGTTCAAGCGTTTAAAGTTCCTGGGCCTTACCTAATTTGCACGATATCGCCTTGCATACATTCCGGACGCTGAAGATCCGTACGTCGCGAGCCGAAGACGCAGGATATTATCGTAAACTGGGGGTTGGAGTATGACCTTGCTACAGATAAGTTTTGGTTTACGTATGTGAATCACTTTATTGAGCCTATTGTAGAGCTGCTGAAGATCGAGGCCAAAGAAGGTGGTGGGAAGGTCGTTGCGAAAGCTCTTTTCCCGCATGAGGAGAATTTGATGAACTGGGTTGACTATCGCTACAGTGACTGGGAGCGGTGAGCCGTTTGCGAATGGTAACGCTGTCATGCAGGAGAAGCTATTTGGGCCTGGTTTGGTTATTGGTAATTGCTTTTTGTTGGTAGTTTTGGTAGAGGTATGTGTCCTCAACTCCCCAGGGATGCATATTAACGCCAGTTATTCGCTACCCATGGGAGTAACTATTGCCATTGAACGCTGTAAGGCAATAGATAGTACACAATGCATTTAGAGTATTGAATGTTTCATGTAAACATCGATCGACAATGATCGTCGGAATTACGTACACACGGTTCGTGAGAAGATCGTAGGTGGGCTGGTGGATGTGTTCGTACATCCTTGCCTCTTGGAGGTATACTTTCGGATCTTATATTAACCTGACAGTTCCACCGACGATCGTGGATCCTGTCAAGCTGGTCTACTAGTAGTTCATGATTATATTGCGAAGTATATAAAAAAGATTCATAAAATTTGATTTAGATATGTTCGGATAATGCCATGCAGCTATGATTGCTATAAATCCTTTCGCGGATATAATATTCTCTGCTATGGTTCTACGTACTACTACTACCTAGTACGATCAGGTCGCTGATAGCTCCCTATACAACTATGTTTGGGCAAATTTTACTCCGGTCCAATGCCTGAATTAGATCGATCGAAGGTTCAACAAAATTAGAGATATACAATATCCTGCAGGGTATTGGCATAATAAGAGATGTCATACATTCCTACCGGTAAGGTCACAAAACACAGAGGCTTCAAACTAGGTTAACATTGTTTGTAGCTTGCTTAGAAAATAGTATTACATAGAATTAGATACACGAAGCTTAATTATCGCCCCTATAACCTTCTACAGTCTCATTCCCACAAATTCCCTAAGTGAAGAACCTTCATTCAATGATTTAGAGCTTGCCCTGGCCGGCATTAGCCATGACCCACCGGGGAATGTTGGAGGCAAGGTGAGCAGGAGCGATGTTCTTGCCAGAGAACTTGGAGATGACAGCGGTATCAGCCTGGCTGAAAGATCCAGAGCTGCCGAAGGCGTTAATCTGGCAAGTACGGCCGAAGACAGATTTGCACTGAGCGTTGGTAGTGGCATCAGGGGCGCTGAAGAGTTGGCCGCTGATGGGGGACTCCACGGGGGCATCGACATTCTGGAAAGCGTTACCCTCGGCAAGGACGTAGCCGCCAGAGCCGATCTCGAAGGCGTGACCCTCAACGTTGTGGAAGTAGTTGTTGACAGCGTGGAGGAGGGTGTTGCCCTGAACCTTGGGCATACGGCCGGAGGTGTTGTAGAAGTAGTTACCCTTCATGGTGACCATGTCGTTGGATCCATCAAGGTAGACACCCCAGTAGTGGTGGCCGTTGCAGGTAGCAGAATAGTCGGAGCGGCCGTCGATGAGGGAATTGGAGATAGTGACACGGTTGTCGGCCTGGGTACCGAGGACGATGTGCTGACGGGCGATACGGGCAGTGGTAACGTGGTCGATCCAGACAAGGTCAGCCTGGTTCAGGGTGATGGCATCACCACCCCAGACATACTGAGGGTTGATGTCAGTGATAGCGATGTTCCTGTACATCAATATTAGTATGGATTGTAGAAGGCTATAAAAGCGAAAATACTCACTGGATGATGACGTTCTTGGCGCCGCTGACGATACGGACACCACGGCCCTTGATGACACCGGCACTGCCCTGGCCAATAAGAGACTTGTTGGAGTTGATGGTGATACCGAGAACACCGGCCTTGTTGTAGGTGATGCGGGACACTTTAGGGGCGTTGGGCTCGTAGTTGTTGCACCAGTTATCCTTGTTGATGGCGAGCTGGCAACCGGAGCCAGTACCCCAAGGAGCACAACCAGAAGTGGTTTCAGTGCCCTCAGTGTGGGTAAAGTCGAAGGTCTTGGTAAGGACGATAACACGCGGCTGGCTGTCACCGAGATATGAGACCAGCTCATCGGTAGTGGATGGGTAAACCGGAGTAGCACTGCCACCACCAGTGACGCCCTTGGCAAAACCCTCAGCAGCACCAGAAACGCCGACGGCGCCAACGGTGCTGGCAAAGGCGGCCGCAGCGGCGGCCAGGACAGACACGTACTTCATGTTGAAAAGAAAGACAAATGGAAAGGAAGGAAGGACTAAAGGGTGAAGTGTAAAGAAAGAATGAGTTGTTAATCCGGTTCAACAGCAGGTAATGGTTGCTAGCTTTATATGTAAGAATCCAATCCTCCGGTGGAGCTGCAAAAGGCAGACACCCTTTTGATCATATCATGTTCTAGAATGGAAGTTAGTGGAGGCTAAACATGAAACGTCCGACAAACGCCGGGGGTGCAGTAGAGTAAAACCAAGTCCCAGTCTTCTGGGGCAAGAAATACCTGAGTAATTTTATACCGAGAGATCCATTCTCTTTAATGGAGGTATGGGTGCTCCACTTCTCCAGCAGTCCGTTACAAACTGAACCGGAACCATTCGGATCACTGGCCGTCGAGAGGTAGGGCAAGAACTACATCTGATGCTTACCCATGTTCCCCTGAATGGAGTTTCTGAGATGTGCCGACCAAGACAGGGCCAGTAATAACCCTTGAAGCTATGTGGCTAAGGTTCATTAACGATGTTTCACGATTGCCACTTCGGGTTTTTTTAGTTCGGTAGTCTAAAAAGTCTAGTCTCGGATGATGCGAAATGAGAATAATGGAGCAGTTTCTCCGGCTTGGCATTTAATTTAAGCAGCCGGAGATCTACCGACACCACGTTTTCAGGTGTCTTTGTACGGATTGGATTCGTACTTGCTAGGATGTGGTGTTCATTCCTCACGGGATCTTTGGATTAGGGTTGGAGACACAACATTGCACCGTGCAGTTGATCAACACTTTAAGGGGACCTCCATTGGTTTTTTCCTTCGTAGTTTTTAAACTCTATATTTCCGGTTCATCCAAGGGCATTATGTTTTTATTTTTCCATAAGGTCTCCCATTCCAATCGCTTGGGAGCCCCGAAATAGAATGGTATGCAGGCATACGGAGCAATATCTCCTTTTGTAGCGTTGTGGACATCCAAACTCAGCAACGGTGTGAAATCGATCCACAGTGGGCCTCTCAGCTTTTCGGTTCCTGATGATATCAGATCCGCATGAACACCTTCTCCATTGTGAAAAGCTCAGTGGGGATAGACTGTTAGAAACAGTCATACGAAAGTTGAATTCTGAGCTATCCGTAAGCCACTTGAATATCACTCATGCTCATCAAAAGCCTGAGCGACGGCTACTCAGTAAAAACGTAATCCCTCGCAAAGCGTGTGAAACTTGTCTGTTTGAACATCATGCATTCCAGCGCACCAGTTTCCTTAATCCTAGTTTCATTCCTGTGGGCATGTCTTCCACATTATGCACTGTTGGTGCACTGGAGCCTACTTAGATTACTCATCATTTATCTTCGTTGTCGCCTGTCTTAGCTTCTCCTAATGAGTACCACCCTATCGAGATTCTTACAAATACGAACTTGCGGAATTAATCAAAAAGAAATAATACGGAGCCATTCACTCCTAAACCACATCGAGGAGCTTTCAAAGTAAAACAACAGCTTCGTAGAAAGTGCACATGGTTAGCAATCTCACTGTGTTCGAATGAGACACTCTTCCCCATAAAGAACTAGCTTTCAATGACCAAAGGAAGACACTTCCAAGAAAGTTACTCATTCTAATTTAAAATACCACTTTCAAGGTAGAATGCAAAAGTGGACCCCATAAGCTTGTAATAAGCTCGAATGACAGGTGGGGTTCTTGAGGACTCATTCGGAAATGACGATATACCTAGGGCATAAGTGGATTGGTAGCCACAATCAGCTGATTCCAATTTGCTTTAGCCACGGCGAATCAGTTGAATGGGTGAGAATGTGCCGAAAAAAATGAAGAACGTTCCATAGCCCTAAGGTAAAATATGAATATCCACTAGCTTAACCCCTTGTTGGTAGAATATGAAATGACACTCGACTACGGAATAATCCATGGACTTTCATATACACCATCGCTTGAGCTACTCACGAAAGTACGGCGAAAGCTGCGACTCAACCTACCTACCTGGCTATTATGATACTCACAAGTTGGGTCTCGCACTCTAAATCGTTCCGTTGGATATTTCAGATTAACGACACCCAGTGTCTTAGGCGATATGTTCATTCGTTAGAGACTAACCATGGCTCTATCCAAGACGGTGGGGCTTAGGCAAGAAAGGCTGTCTACTAAGGTACGTGTACAATAGTTGGAAGCCAAGTGGGAACGAGTCGAGCTAGTATCAAGCTGTAACTAGTATCCGACTAGAAGTTGAATGCGAGAGACTAAAGCAGAAGTAGTTACATGATGGTAGAATACGTATCCTTATATATTCGTAGTCCAGGGCCATGGTATTTTATAGCGTTGCTATGTATTATTACATCGCTGCGATGCCCTTCATATCCCTGATATGTCCGTGATCAACATGCTTAAATCAGTAACTTCCTCTGTTCCATTATCGGTCTGATATCTTTATCCAGCCGCCATGGAGTTTGCTAGCAGTAGTGTCCTATTCATCCGGAGCTGGGAGTCTCGTAACGTTGACCATCGACACCAATCCCTCGAATCATTGAATCAACTCATAGCAAGCGATCTTTCCTATGATTCTCACTGGCGCTTCACTGCTGAAATTCAGTATATCTTCTACAAGTCCCTTGGAATCCTCCTCAAAAGCTTTGAGAAACCCTTCCTTTTCTTCGAATGTCAGAATGGTCTGAACAATGTACGGCGACTCTGCGGCGTCGTACGCGCAAACAGTCCCATGTTTCAGGCTGTACTATCTCCATGTAGCGTTTGACTAGTGGTATATGTGTATTCAGGTAGTAGTCGAGGTCGAAGAAAGATGTATTCGATGGATATAACACAGAGACTGTGCATGCCATTTTGTTTGTCCGTGAAGATCTCTTCAATTGGGCAATACTTGCTTGTCCGGGCTGGTACACTGGGGACTTCGGCACGAGTGAGCTATCAAAAAAGCAAATATACAAGCGTGCACAAGAAAGCAATTACTTATTATGGCTGACTTCTCATAGCATAACCTCCCGAGCAATAGTACAAAGGATGCAGTCGGAGATAGGACGTATGAAATAAGCCCGCACTGGTATAGGCGACATTCGGCTTTACGATATCGTGGAACATTAATAATGTCATCAAAGTCGCCGAGATGGAGATTCTGTCAGAGATGGGCCCTCCAGCATTTTTTAATATTTTGATTCTTGTTCCATGGTACTAGCGTGGTTTCCTCTCCAGAAGTCTAAGAGCAATAAGTGTTTCTGTACCCTATTGTTTATATATTTTTAACCCTCTACACACTTTCACCAGCTCTATTCGACCTTGAATATCCCAGCATTTACCCTGTATAGTTTAGCTATGCTACGAAGGGTACTTTGCTAATCTTACAGAACGGTATGCAATCGTTTCAGGCCACAACATGCGTTGTTCAGTATGCTCTATGGTGTACTCATGGCCAGGTGGAAGCAGTGTTTGTTCTGAATAGGAATAGTGCACGGCCGGGAGAAGCCTTTATGCCTCAGGCAGCGGCTATATGCTTGAGTCTTGGCAGTGCATGCCTCAGGGTCGAGACGGCAACTGGACTCGGTTCCGTTTCCCCTTTGGGCAAGCGGCAAATGGTGAACGCAAATTGACTCGTGATGTAATTGGGAACAAGAGAAGATGGATTGCGATGGTCATGGCGCGGATTTGATTATGTACAAGATAGTGGCCCCTCAAGTCTAATTAGAATGCATTCTTGATAAATCATTCTGCAAGGTCTATCCTTCTCACGTGCGAGGAGAGAGAGACGGATTCCTCCAAAGCAGATTCGCCGTGTATCCCCGACGCTTGCAATTAGCCTTTGCATGATTGGCCAGCGGGCTGAGTCAGCAACCGGCCGGCCGTCAAACCCGAGGTTACCTCTTGGGTAAAGCTCACAAAACATCACTCTCCAAACTCCCTTCGACTTCATCTGTCGTTGCCGCTGGCTGGCTGTGTACTTGGTTGACTTGACCGCCCTCTCTCCTCTCCATTGACGATTGTCACCCTTTTTCATTACGTCTCCTCCGCTTCAATCCGCCTTCATTCTCACTTTTTTTCTTTTCTTTTGCACGTCATAGCCGCAAGTGTCCTCTCGCCCACCATGGCTGCTCTTCGCTCGACTTCGCGCCTTGTCGCATCCTCCAAGCCTCTCTTCCGCCCCGCCGTCTTCGCTCGCTCCTATGCGACTGTCGACCCGGTTGCCCAGGTGAGCGGGACAGGTTACGCCAGTTCTAAAACTGTTCCCGAATCTAAGACCTCAACTGCACAGGATCCCAACCCATCGGAGACCCCGAGAGTGAAGACATTCCATGTCTACCGCTGGAACCCCGACCAGCCGACCGAGAAGCCCAAGATGCAGTCCTACTCTCTGGATTTGAACAAGACCGGACCTATGATGCTCGACGCCCTGATCCGCATTAAGAACGAGATGGACCCTACCCTGACTTTCCGGAGAAGTTGCCGTGAAGGTATCTGCGGAAGTTGTGCGATGAACATCGACGGTGTCAACACCCTTGCTTGCTTGTGTATGTGACTCGCAATGTTTTAGGTACGACAAGGCGGGAATTGAGGTATTGACTGTGCTATATAGGCCGCATTCCTACCGACACCGCCAAGGATTCTCGCATCTACCCTCTTCCTCATACCTACGTTGTCAAGGATCTGGTTCCCGATCTGACCCAGTTCTACAAGCAATACAAGTCGATCAAGCCTTACCTGCAGCGTGATACCAAGACCGAAGATGTGAGTCTTGCACCATATCCTTGACTTCACTCGGTTTTAACGGCAAATTCTAACATACACTTAGGGCCTTGAATTCCGTCAAAGTCCTGAAGACCGCAAGAAGCTTGACGGTCTCTACGAGTGCATTCTGTGTGCCTGCTGCTCCACCTCCTGCCCCTCGTACTGGTGGAACAGCGAGGAGTACCTCGGACCTGCTATCCTCCTCCAATCCTACCGTTGGTTGGCCGATTCCCGTGATGAGAAGACTGCCGAGCGCAAGCACGCCCTAGACAACAGCATGAGCGTCTACCGTTGCCACACCATTCTCAACTGCTCGCGGACTTGCCCCAAGGGTCTGAACCCCGCCCGGGCTATTGCGGAGATCAAGAAGTTGATGGCCGCTCATTAAGGGGCTAGTGAATTAAAAGAAAAAGGGGTGTTTGTTATATATTCTGAGATATGTCTTCTTCGGTGGTTTCTTTTTTGTATCCTTTCCTTTCTATTTGTTTAAGCTTTTATTCCCTCGGTTTTTGAGGCCGTCATGTCGGATGTTTCAATAGGTGTAAATTGTGAATATTGATTTCAAAGCAACTGGCGATGAATAACCGTGTTTAGATGTGTACCTACGGGTATTCAATTCAAACTGCATTTCTATTGACAGGATCAGGAAAGGATTGTGAATGTTATCCATATCTGTTCGGAAGAAAGAAAAACCCGATTTTGCCGACGGTCTGTCCCCTAACCGCACGTGAATGACATAGGTCGGCCCGCCGGGGAAAATATATATATCGGCAAGTTTTCAGTGTATGATATACCGATGATATATAGATCCGTGCCCTGGACTAAACCATGGCCATCGTCTTTGTTGGTGCTCTCGGTCTGATCCGATGTAATCTGAGCATGGAAATGAGGATTGAATAATAAATGAAAAAGTGATCGGTAGAGAATTAAATGCTTCTAAATAAACAACCTCACACAAAGACACGCGGATCAACAATGGCCTTCTAGAAACAAAGAAATAACAACGATCTCACGTGGCCTCGATTTTACTGATATTTTTATGTATTGTGAAGGATGCATATGTTTGATTGGTAATGAGTACACATAACTTCTCTGGTCACCATGCGCCTCCCTAGTTAACTCGCAATTAAGATACAAGTAGAGGCCGCTTGTGGGTTGAAGAATCTATGCCGGGAGCCAACGACTGGTCCTTAGATACAACATTGGCTTCACCAGTGATCCAGGTATTCTACTATTTCACAATCATACCATGAACAAGCGTGCAACATTCGATTACTCTAAGTTGTAAGCAATGTCACTAATAGATATTAAATGCATCCATTGGGACGAGGGGAGCATTCTTAGCCAATCAGCCCTGTAGACTAGGAAACATCGCCGTATCCAAATACACAAAACCACACCTTATAAGCCCGCCTTATGACTGCCCATCAATTGTCATCAGTCTCTATCACGATATGAACCATCTCTCTTTCAAACAGACTATCCATCAGGACTATCTTGTGATTATCTCGTCACCTAGCGTACACCAATTCTTCCACCAAGCCTTCCTCCGTAAGCGCACGGAGTGCATAGAGATCGATTTCTTATCCCGGCCTAGGATCAGTCTTTACACCTACAGAGCCAGAGTGCTTCACGATGCCGCTCTAACAAATGTCAGAAGCAAATAATATCTGAGCCGCATTGTCTGCAAACTCAAAGGTGGGTTCTAGATGGGCCGCTTGCGTTGGCGTTGCTACTGATACATGGCGCCATCCGAACTCTGAGATGAACACCATTGATTATCGTAGTCGCGCGAGAAAAGACCAGTTGTGTAGTTGGGAATGCTTTAGATGATGGGGACGCAGTCTAACCAAGAGTAGGTGGTCGAGCATGTCGATAAGTTCAGTGAAATGCGTCGTTGACACTGCCGTTGGATTTTTCATTTTCCTCTCACGCAATCTGCAGGCATAGCCTTTAGGTCGTGGACCCCAATTAGACGAAAGAGGGGCAGGAAGGCTACGACAAGATCTGGACAAGGGTAATCTAGATTTTTTATGCCCTCGTTCAACTTGCCCGCTTGTTTCCAGCCGAAGTCACGGTGGTTTGGCAGGTGAACGGCATTCTGCGAGGAGAAATATTCGATATAGTTGACCGTACGGACGAGGCTGTCTAGTTTCCGGTAGTGTAAGGCAATATGGCTGGAGTCATCCTTGTCGGGAGCGTATACATGCGCCACAACTTTGACCGTACCCCGTGGAAACTCCTCGAATAGTTTAGTTTCTTCAAAGTCTCTGGAAAGCTTAGGTGTCAGCACACTTCGAGTCTTCTATATTGGAATGTGAGCCAATCATCATGCTCGCCCCGTTGAGGCGAGAGAGTATAGGTTGGGATGATGGTTACGAGGATGGAGACGCCGATGAAGAAGGATGTTACGGTCTCGATATGCTAAATTGGGTTCAGTGAGTGGTGCTCTTAACCTGAGAAGTAGCGATAGTTAAGAAACTCACTACTCGACCTGGACAAAGCGATTGGATGGCGGCTGTCAGCCATTAGTCACCGCAAGACGGTTCACGTGACCTGAAACGATAGACTTTTAGTGCTTTACATTGATTTTCTAATGATGTCCATCGTGCCATACTCACAGATACTGTACGGAGAACAGAAGTGAGGTATGAATCCTATCGAACGAAAAACCCTACTTGTGCCTTAATATTGCCTTATTCAACACTGATATGTGCGGAAAGAATCACAGTTAACGTGGCACAGTTGGACATTGGAAGTAGGACAGCTCAGCGTACGTAGGAATTTCTTTAGTATGACCACTCGAGTAATTAAAGTTACTTCCACAGTATATTACGGACCCTCCCATTGCTAGCATTTCATTGTCTCCTAAATCCCTTTTTGGGACTCGACAGCACTTATTCTCAAGAATATTTAGTGGTAATAAGAAATATGAAGTGGAAATAGAGAGCGTGCCAAAACACTTCTACCCACATTGAGCCATAACCAATCCTAGACAACCTCCAGGGGGATATTTCAGGATGGTTTCATAGCCACAGATGCACCACTCATGTCACAGCAGAGACCTGTAGAAGACTCGGAGAACATCACACGAGCATGGACTGTTGCTGTGTGGATGATTATTGGATGACGCTGTTGTGCTTTCAACCTGTGATATCGCTGCGTTTAATGTGGTAGAGTGTTACCTTACTCAGTGATTTTATTCGACCGCCCAGTGAACTTATTCCTTGTCTATAAGTCTGACCTATAGTCTGCCGTGCAGCGCCATAGGCTACAATATAAGCCTTTATTGATTTCCCCCAAGCTCTGTGAGAACGGTTTGGGCGGGCTTTCCGGGTACGCGTACCCGCCCACCACGCTGCAAGGATCCCGTGGGCAATTGATTTTGTCGCCCACTGGATTATGTTTTACATGATATATTTTAGATCGTGTGGGTATGTACTCCGTATGTATACATAGAGCACCTTTCATTGAGCATACAGACTTGACCGGATTCATGGTTGAGGAGCAGTTGTGCTTCAGGTTTCGACTATCGGACCTGTGAGCCGAATGGGTCAGGTCAGTCAGTCGGACCGAGTGTACTGAGGACTATTTTAGGGGTCTTAAGCCCGACTCTAATTATGGATTACATCTTTATAATACTCATTTAAAATTTAATTTCTTGTGTCTTTATGAGTCAACAGCTATGGAAGTGAAATCCCCCGTTCCAAGCGCCACATCATTGCGGCCTCTGGGTATAATTATCTTTTCCTTACTCGAGCGATTCTCTGACAATCATCAGGACATGTCGAGAAGTATTCGACGACACGAAGTCATTTGGGAATCTATCTCAACGTCGGTCTGACCGCCCGCTACAGGCGACCAAGCGGGGGGACCGTGAAGCCAAGGCTCTTTGGCGCGCTCTCCATACTCATCTCAAAGCACCCGATACTGTCAGCTATCCCTGCTGGGGTCGATACACCAAGTCCTTATTTTGTTCGACTTCCCAAAATCTCACTCAGTGAGGTCGTGGAATGTATCGACGAGAACACCAAACCCCGGAGCTCAGATTGGAGAGAGGAGCTCGACAATGTGCTCGAAGACCAACATAATCGTCCCTTCGAGACATTGCCAAACCAGACTCTTCCATTCTGGAGGATCTGCGTTCTCGAAGAGCACTCAACCCCCACACATTTTACTCTCATCTTCATATTCTACCATTCGCTGATGGACACCCAAAGCGCTCTTTCTTTCCATGAGGAACTAGAACGCTACATGGCTCAGGACACTGCGGCCGAAGTCCCTGATATGATTTCTACCCCATCAACCCCTCTCCCCCCTCCACTGGAAGACTTGCATACGCTTCCCATATCGCAGGATTACTTGCGATCTCAGGAAAAGCAACACTTCCCTCCACCAGATAGCTGGACAGGAGCGCCCCAATCCCTCCCCGTTAAGACCCGCTTCTCTTCTCTATGGCTATCCCCAGCCGAGACGCATAACCTAGTAAACATGAGCAAGAACGAACAAACATCCGTAACAGGCGCGCTCCAGACCCTCATCACGACGAGCGTATTCACCGTCCTTCCATCCACATATCGCACACTACAGGTCGACTGTGCAGTGTCGTTGCGAAGGTTCCTTCCGGAGAATATCACAGCCACGCCTTTGGGATGCTATGTTGGCTCATTGTCTATGGAGTATCGCAGGATGACATCTTTTAGCTGGAGCGAAGCTCGCCGGACCAAAGCGATTATCGAACAGATCATTGAAAAGAAAGGAGGTGATATGTCGGTTGGGTATTTGCGATTCATTCCCGACCTGCATCTGTGGATGCGTCAGAAACTGGGTCGAAAGCGGATGAGTGCTTTTGAGTTATCTAATGTAGGGAGGATTCCTGCGTCGAGGGGACGGTTGCAGTATGAGATTGAGAGCATGTTGTTTAGTCAGAGTGCTAGTGCGTGCAGTGCCGCGATCAAGGTTAGTTCCGTGACAGGACGGGATGGGAGGTTGGTATTGGGTTTTACTTGGCAGGAGGGTGTTGTTGAGGGTGATATGGTTGAGCAGATTATAAGGGTACTCAAGGGTGAGGTCGAAGGGCTAGTAGTGCAGAGTTAGTGATTTATGATGGTTATCCCAAGGTTGAGTGGTCTATGTACTGAGGGAGAGAGGAAGTGCGTCGTGTAATAAACCGCTTAGTATTATTAAGATATTATCTCAGACAATGTAAGACTTCGACTACTTCTGATGGAGATACAAGAACGACAGTATAATCTGCGACAGCTTCTCAGGCTGATCCTCTGGTGAAAAATGCCCACAACTCTCGAGAATCTCCAAGTCCGATCCAGGAATCGCCTTGTTCAGTTTATATGCCCAGTCAACAACCTGCCACGCATCATCGGCACCCCATATAATCTTAACAGGTATCTTTCCCAGCTCATGAAGCCGATCCGCAATTTCCATTGTGTGTACCGGATCATAATGTCGCACTTGGTGCTGAAACAGGCTCCCCTGGCCGATCGGTCCAGAGATATACTCCAAGAAAGTTTCCAAACTACCATCTGCAAACTTCTGCTTATCATGTACAGAGTCCAAGAGCCATTCTCTGAAATGCGCACGATGATCAGGGTCACCTGCGTCGATCAGTTGTTGCAGGCCATTCTTCATTTGTTCTCTCGTTCTCTTCGATGGATAGCTGTCGAAGCTCACAACGTCGATGAGTGTCAACGAGCGTAGCCGATGCGGGTAAAAGATCCCAAAACGTTGGGCAATACCGCCGCCAATGTCGTGTGCCACGAGGTGGAATGTGCCCAGACCCCAATGTGCTAGCAGACCTTCGAGAATCGGGACTTGGCCAGACATTGATGTGTCAACATTTGGGTCCCATGGGCGCTCGGACAGACCATAACCCAACAGGTCGAAAACATGGACTTTGAATCCGGCTTCTGTAAGGCGTGGGACTACGTTTCTCCAGAGCAGGGATGATGAGGGTGTTCCGTGCAGGAGGACAACTGGCTGGCCGGTGCCGTGGATGCCGTAAGTGATTCTGTTGTCCTTGATCAGGACGTTATTTGTAACAATGGGCTGCATCTTGTACACTCCTTTTGTGGAGAGGTCTTTGCCTATTATGGTTTTAGGAATGAATATTGAACCTGCTCCGCGACTTCTTATATATCTTTCGCATATGTCCTATGTTAGATTTCCTTTAGCAGAGCGATACGACGTCATACCAAGCATTATTAATGCTATACGAAGTGATCGAGCGAATAGTTGCCGTTTTGGGGACTGCGCAGCTAGCCGGTCGATGAAATGCTTAGAAATCAACCACCTGTCAGACCGGTACCTTGCCAATGTCTTGGTTATAGGGACAGCGTATCTTGGCTGCTGAATTGCGATTGTATAACCCGATACGGGGATATTCTGGGGGAATATATGACATGACTCTAACGATTGTCTTTTTTCACAAATGGTAGAGGACCTTGGGCACCTTTAATCCTGGGAACGGTAAACTGCCCTGATTTACTCGACATAATGCTAGAGCGAAGCACAGAGTTGTAATTGTAGCCCAGGAATATTCTGATATTAGAAAGGATCGATTAGCCCGATATCAAAAATGAAGGTGCATGACTCGTAGCACGACCGGGTCATTCGTATCTCCATTTGGCCTCAGTCGACGACGATGCCCCCCCGCCTGTCCGCGGAACTAGATGACCATTAATGGAGGTTACGAGGTAGATACCTAAGAGTTAACGAGTACCACTTAGAATATGCGTAAATACCGTGTTCATCTGCGCGAACATAGCACATTATGTACGAGGGAGATATCCAATCTGCTCAATGAGCTATCGAACCCATACCCGATGTACCGGACCGATCTGGTTATGGATCTGCGACATAAGGTGAGTACTGCAGCCCTTCATACACCACATTCACTCCAGCTGATATAGCAGCACACAGAAATAGCCCAGAATGACCATAGCTAAGGGCTGGTAGTCTTTTACACCCGCATTAGCCAGATAAAGACATCTGCAGTCTCAAGCCTGAGGTTATGCTCCAGGCACATCACGAATGGCTGGTTCATTTAATTTATCGTTCCCATATACATCTGGACCATGTGTTGATCCTGGATCTCACTCAGGGCAAGCTGGCGCAGTCCTTCTAGAGCTTGATGTTGCGTGGTTGGTTCAAATTTACGGAATTGAGCCCGGACGCTTAGCATCGATGCTAATGGTCCCGTTTTGAGCGATTCGTCGACAAAGTTAAGGATAGTGCCCGTACCCCGGATAAGGAGAAGCCAGTTGGCTATGCTGTCCTCAAAATGGATGAAGTTACCTAATTAGAGCGGCTTTGCGCAGCTAATGAAGGATGATATGGCGGATAAGAGGAACAGAGGAGCCGAGTTATCTGGGTTGATGTTTGCCATTTCGGGTGTAGCGAGCCTCAGTGCTGCTTCATGACGAGTGCTCGCCTGAGAAAGATGGAGCTGTGTCTTGTCCGGACGCAGATAAGCTAAGTGTAGAGCTGAAATGGCTAGAATTACACGGAGAGTGTATGGAGCGGCAAAACCGATTTGTGGGACTTCCACTCGCCAGAATGTTTGCAGCAGCGGATGGAGTGAGAATTTATAGGCGGTGGATGTAGTATAATGTGCAGTAGCTCTAGATCCGCGAAGTGGAGCTCGGAAGTCGCGGTTATCTGCGTTTGGCTGTCACTACCTGGGGAAGTGGAAAGGATCGCCCCTGGGAGTGGAAAGGGGGCCACGTTTTGACTGGCAGATGATAGGTGGTCGATCTTCCTCGGAGCAAAATAATAGCCTACACTATGTTTCCTGCAGTTGCTACAGGTTGGCTTCTCTTTCCCACACTAGAGTTGACTTAGCCGATCCACTTCTGTCGGTCAATCATCTAGCATGAACTTACCTTGACCTTTCGCTGTCTGCACTTTAGACAACCACTGCGTGACTTCTGATGAGACCGGCGCCCTTTCATTGCTGAGCTATTTGGAATGAGGGAGACAGAAAAGAACAACACCTTGCCTCAGTGTAATGAGCGTCTTTAGTTTCAATGCGTAATTTTTCCAGAGGAATTGCGTTGATGTGTCGTTAGGCCAGGACGTTTTAGTGATGCAGATATTGGAAGTTTCTATAGCTCTAGAGCTAAATGGCAATCTTTTCTTATGCCCAAAAGATCTTCTCGAAATGATAGTCACGCATTCCAGCCTTCACGGGCTCTTTCGACCTCATCCAGCCTCAAAAATTGATAGGCGTAAAACAGATATCCTTCCATAATGAAAACGTCTCCGATCTGCCCCCAGCATACTCACCCCTGGCCTACTCGGTTGCTTCCTCTGAGGTATCGCTGTGGGAAATCGAACCGGATGTAGCGCCCGATTTTACAATAACTCGCAAAGGTGGGATGGTTGTGCTGCTTTGGATGGTAGGACCGCTATACCTCAGAATAATGCGACCCCAGTGGATTAGCTAACATGGCTTTCTACCACGCACCAAAGAAGACATAAGCTCACCACCAAACTAGGGTATGAGTCACGCATATCAGCTTTTGTCCTGGCTTTCATGCGACCTAAAGCGCAATTGGTTAGTGTTGGATCAGATTCACGGGTTGCGCAGGACGATGGTCGGTCTGAGAGATAGACGCTCTTAGACTCTAGAGCAGTGCCGCTCGACCTTGTGATAATGATAGTTGGAGGTATATAATACTGGGTTTCTTGTATTGACCTCAGACCACTCATTCAATGCTAATTCAATAATATTATAGACAGTATTGTAACATTCGTCGCAGTGGGCAAGCGACTCCTCCAGGAACCACACAGAGTTCGGATCGCAGCGCATGCCTCATGTAAAGACTTGGTGAGGAGCAATGAACTTGACCTTTTTGCCGTCAGTTACAATCAGACCGATTTCATGGCACGTACCATACCTGGATGGCCTGTGGACAACTGCTCTACTAACAGTAACGGCTAGAGCGACACGAAGACTGGAGAAATTGTTTCTGGAACTCACACAATGGACTGGAGTCTCAGTGGAACTAAACATGCGCTATATAAAACCTACCACGACCGTTGGAGAGCATGTATCGCATCTTACAAACGCGAATCGCGGCCATTTTTTGGCAGATACGATCACTGCGAATCCACTAACACAGGCCCCATATCCACTGCGCTGAGCGTCTTTCCATTCCTTACATATCATGTCAACGATATTATGGACTAGAACGAAGGAATTTCCTCCGCTAGTCCGTATAGATGGAAGTGAAGGCATGGACCAAAAGACAGCAGATCTCTTCTCATATGGGATTGTGGAAGAATCGATCTGGACCGCGTAAGTTGATGGTGACTGGTGAAGTAAGCTGTTAATTTGTAGAACTGATTAATTGATTACAATTAGTATCATCGAACCTAAGAACCGTTTCCGGCAACATGTCCTGGGCTCGCAGAACATCTCCTCAACTGTTGAAGACTTATGATCGACGATATTGCATACACTTACTTCTGCTCGGAGGGACTTGTTCCAAGACCAAAAGATTGGGACAGGAACACTCGTATGTTAATATATTCGTTTAGCTCTTACAAGAAGGGGTGAGAAACTGACGATGGGCAGATAATTCAGGGTACGTATTTGGGGAAGATGTGGTGCCGTACAGCCCAGAAAACGACCTTTGCCATTTCATTGGGTCGGGCCCACCACCAATCCATTTTATGATGCAAGAGGACAATATGGAAAGCCTAGGGATACTAGCACGAGCTATTTAAGAAGTCGTGATAAAGCACAAGTTCCGTGTGCTTCTGTCTGAAGGATGTCGTGACATCTGTAGGGTTTTAAGCAATGATAATGTACTACTAGCTGAGAGTGTTCCAGATGGTGAATATGACCGATCGACCTTCAGACAGATTTTAACTTATTTCAAAATACAGGGCGGCTCCTACTTCGGGTAGCCGCTGTTGTTCATTCAGGAAGTGCAGATCATATTGCATCGGCTTTGCTGTATGGGTAGCCGAGTGTGGTAATCTCGTATATAGGGAGTAAATTTTTAGCAGAGAAAAGGTCAGTTCGCCTTTTAGAAGAACTAAAGTATCTCTAGGCAATTGTCTCAAGGCAGGGTGATCTCCAAAATTGGCGCAGTAGCTCCACCATTTAAGGACAAAATGCTCTCTCCAGAGACACTCACCCAGGCATTGGTAGTCTGCATCCGCTCGGATATCTATGACTCGACTCGCGCAGTTCAAATACAGGCCAGGGATGAATCAGGTCCCGAAACCGCCACCCAAGCCTTCTACCGCTGGTTGCCACCACAGATTTAAAGCTGTAGCATCACGGAAATGGATCTGGTCATGTATCAACTATGGAATCGACTCTCATATAGAATATCTCCTGAAGCGGTTGCAATTCTGCTAGAAGAGCGTCTCATAAAACGAACGGACATCTTGCAGTAGGTAACTCGCATCTCCATTTTTCTGCGTTTTATTAGCTATTCGTGCATTATTGTATTATGCAGAATCACCCGTCAGGTTTAAACGTCTAAACAGAAAATCGAGCGCTTTTGAGTATACTGCAATATGTTACTGGAACGGGGTCTCAAATGCTGCAAAAGACACCGCCGCTGCCTCTGACCTGGTGAGCATGCTACCCGGGATGAAATGAAAGGTAAGAATACTCGCGAACTACTTGGAACTCGGCCTGACTACTAGAAGGAAAGCGTGTCCGACGACGACAGTGTCGACAAGCCAGAGAGAAGAAATCTGGCCAAGGACGTTGGTATCGGTACAGCAAGTTTCTTTGGAAACATCGCACTGCTTCCCTTCACCAGTGGGTGCCTTCGAATGAGCCCCTTAAATGACCTGTCTGTTGAACTATTCATCGCAGACACCGCACTAGTGGTGAACACTGTCGCCTACGGAGGAAAGGTATTAGAGGAAGTAAGACTCTGGAGGACGAGAGGATAGTGACTGTTATGCTAGTGTCTTTTGATGTATAAGATAGCTCCGACTTCCCCTTATGTCGGTTATAATTATTGACCGGGTATACATAATAGGCCGAAATATCTCAGAATGACACTTCCACATCGCACGAGCTGCATTCATCGTCGAGTCAGGGATATGCATTCAAAACTGCACAACAGGGCATAAAAACGATGGGATCCACACACAAATGGCTCTTCAACAGGTGAGTCAATAGGATCATACACATGGTATTACCTCATATTTAGCCTATGCTGACCAAGCATAGCAGAAAGTACAGTAGGTACGAGAACCGGGCTACCCATATATTCTAGTGTGCGTAAAATCAAGACCGGGATGATGAACATGTTGAAGCCATCTGCCGCAGACAACTTGATCATGGGTTCAAAAGCCCGAGGCTTAAATAGTTCCGGCAGATGGTGATTAAAAAATTCCGGGAATGACTTGATGGGTGCATATAGGATAATCAAGTATATTTTCTACAACTGTGTTGTAATATCATATAGAAGATAGATGGTACGAGAGCTTCATAGTATAAGGATTGGTACTATATTCTCACAGCAATTTTCATATGTTCTTGGACAAATATGGGACGGAAACCTTATTGATTGGGTGGCTCTAAAATGGTAGAAAGAACATCAGTCTCTGTAGGAACAAAATCTGCTAGCAAGTTAAACGTCTAGCACTGTGTTTGCAACCTTATCTATTTACTTCAATTATCTGGGACTACTGATGAGAGACCCACTGCGACTCGGGCTCGGCTTCGTGTTCGGCTTCGGGCTCGGACAGTCAAGGATTCTATCCATTATATCCTGCTAATGATGCTTAGATATAAGTGAAAACATGCGAAGCGTTTCATGAGTCTAGAGATTATCTTATCAGCAAAAGCTATCGGGAAATACCCTATGCTTAACTCTAACCCTTCCTATTTTCTTCCCTAACAAAATACACCTAATAAAACAATAGCGAGTATATAAGTAGATCATGCTGGTTTCGGCTACGGCCATAACCATCATTCAATACCTGTACTTAGTTTTCCGAGGATCAAGTCTCCTCGGATCAACAAGACGATGACCCCCCTGACCCTGCATCACGCCGTAGTACCCCTTCTGCTTGACCACAATCCCCTTACACCTGCCCTGCAAATTACCAAATTCCCCACCCCAGGAGAATGACGGCCATCTGATAGATGTCAAAAGCATAGGCCGCTTAATCAGTAGTACTCATAAACCCGTCCGACATGCTTATCTGCGCCAACTGCATGACATTATGCCCAAGCGCAATAATCGAAATTACCAGCCTAAACGACTGATTCCATCGTTTCCACTTAGGCATCACCTCTAGACTCTCCTTAGATGGGTTACGACCAAGCCAGAAAGACATGACCGCATTATCGTTGAAAGCGAAGAGCCAGAAGATCAGCTGGGTAACCAGACTGATTTTGAGGAATGTGTCGCTTGCGTCCACCTTATGCTTGTCAGTGGCCGTGACGTTCATGATGATGCCGAGGCTGAGAAGAAGGAAAATTATGGCGTTCAGTATAAAGTACAATGGCCGGGCGTCTCGTGGGTTAAGGAAAACTTGTTTCTCCGCTCTTAGGGCTTTGGTGAATTCGGCGGCGGTTAGGTTCACCGTGAACATGATTATAGTGTTACAGACGTCGCAGCTGACTTTGAATGAGTATCGAGCATACAATTTCAGGTTACTGCCAAACCAAGTGCAATAGGACTGTGAAGGAGAGGGAAGAATTAGTTAGTTCCCGGTCTGGTACTTCTGGGGAAAGATTGAAGGGGACACCCTCTGATAGGAGTTTAGTTTGTTTGAACTCATTGCCAATGCTGATTGACTGATCATAGGGGATGTAGGGGATTCAAAAGCAAGGGTTTGAGATATTTAACCTGGCGGTTGTCTTTTATTCAACAGAAAGATCTTCTCGAAGTGTCCGTTTGCCTCTATACTTGTCCATTTTTGCTATTCTCACTTCGAGTCTTTCCGGGTTTCCTCTATTTACAATTGATCTGAGGGTAAACAGTGTGGGGTACCATTTGGCTTAACGGACCCCCTACACCACGTTCCTGGGTCGGTTAGATTAACTTAAACGGCTAATATCTGCCCTTCCCGACGGGTATTATGCAGCCAATAATATGGAACCGGCTGTATTGAATTGGGCCGATTTTACCGGCACTTATCGAACTAAGAGGACAGCCGGGCCGAGTCGGCTATCGGCCGATGTGCAATGTGTACTGGGCTTCACTATAGCGAATAACTATAGATGGGACTGATGTATGCAGTAATTGGATGATTGGGAGTTTAGATGAATCCTCTAGCATTATTCAGAAATGCCGGATTTATAGAAAAATTTAGAATGTTAATTTCTGGACGAGGGAGATGAAGAGAACACTGGCAACTGTCATCAAATTAACCTGTATTTTCTGTCTATGGTCTGCATGCACGCTATCAAGGATATCTCCCCGTCGACTTCAACATATCCATACACCTTTCCACTGCCTTCTGCATCTCATTTGTAGCTTCCTCCAGCAGAGCCGTCAAAGGCACACGCCCAGCCTTCTCCTTCTGCACCCGCACGTACTCATTATTCAACACCTTGTTGATATTAACCTTGGACACACCACAGTCAATGCACTTGGAAAAGATCTCCTCCGTAAATGGATCCGCCCCATGCAACACCAACCGGACCTTATCCCCAACGGTGTCATGAATGCGCTTCAATCGATCATACTCCAGCTGAATGCCTCGGGGTCCATACTCGCCATGGACATTGCCGAAAGCAGGGGCTAACCAATCAATCCCAGTATCCACAAACTCAACACTTTCCTCCGGAGTAGTCAACATGCCCTCTAAATCTGCCGTATCCGCAACTCCATCCTCTCCCCCCTCAATCCGTCCGGGCTCAGCTTCTGTCGCGATGCCCCGTTCATGACAATACGCGACCAATTCTTTCGTGAGTGCGAGATTCTCCTCTTTCTCATAGTGCGACATGTCGACCATAATACCATCGAATCCACCTAGGTCTGCCGCGTAACGAATAATCTCCGGTGTTTGCGCGTGATCCATGTGGACAGCAATCGGCACGGAGGCCTTGCGCGCGGCCTCGGCAGCGGCGTGGACGAGGAGCCCGTCGGCGTAGTGTACGGCCCATGGGAAGAGGAGGATCATTGCAGGCGATCGCTTTGCTTCTGCGGCTCGGACAGTGGCTAGGATGCCCTCTAGGTTGTAGCAGCACATTGCGGGGACGCCATAGTGGTTTGAGGCGGCGTGGTTTAGAATATCGAGGGCGCGGTTGTTAGAGGGGGGCATCTTCGTTGACTTCTTTGGGTATCTCCCTTGTGGACGGGTCACTTATAGTAAGAATAATGGGTATTAAGGGGCAGCTATCGGCGCAATGGGATTATTATAGGTGTTGTTGCGATGGAAGTTTAAGTGAAACCCCACTCGGTGGGATGCCCGAGGCCGGACTTCTTCCGACTGACGTCACGGTGTTAAATGTGCCTGAACTGTGTGTCTTGAGTTGATGCTTGTATAACCATCACATAACTGAACATTATCTAGACTAATTACACTACCACAAGTCCTCTCTTTACTCCTGTCCAAATACCTTGATCACACTGGTCGCACCCTCTCTTCCCAACCCAGCCCTCCTAGCTGTGAAAAGCACATTCAGCGCCGCGTTGCCCAAATGCAACGGGCAATGAAGGTCTCTCGCCTTTTGTACAACAGTCTCTAATTTTGAAATGACTTCATCGATAGTCTGCGATCCTGTCGGTGCCTTCTCTGCAATCTGCCCCTGGATCATTTCCAGCCCCTTGGTGTTGAAGATCTTACTGCCGCCTGCTGCCGCGCTAACAAGGTCATAAAATTGTGCGAGATCTACCTTGAGATACCGCGCGAAAGCAATGGCCTCTGCAGCAGCCACGAGGTTGACACCGAGCATTAAATCCAACACAAGTTGCAGCGCATCGCTTGGGTCCTCTGTCGATGCGGTCACAGAAGCGATAGGAGAAGGGTAATACTGGCGCACCATAGCCGAGTCATCCTTAGGCCCGTAGCCCTGTAGTAGGGAAGAGAGATAGATCTGCTCGGCCGTAGTACAGAGGGGCGTCGGGAACCGGTGTTGACGAGCAGACGTAGTGATAATACCCTATGATAACTTCAGTACCGGCTCAAACAACATGAGATGAGCCAATTATCAAGAGGACTTACCGCATCCTTCAAAATGATCGTCAACGCGCTGGCCCCAGGATTCCAGTCCTCCTCTACCATGCGCGGGAACCGATTCTCGTGCATCCACGTCCATGCATCAGACCTGATGATCTGGCCTGCTGTCTGTCGAGCGTCTAGACCCAACTGCGCTGCCAGTCCCATCGCCTCACTGGCCCCGAGGATGTGAATCGCTGCTAGAACCTGGTGTACCATCTTCATGTTACTTCCTGCTCCGACGCCACCTGGCACGAGGTACAATTTGCTGGGGGCGGACATGGCCTGTAACAGATCCCGACCGCTTGCGAGTGCCTCCTCTGTACCGCCTGCCATGATGGAGAGCGTCCCATCAGCGGCGCGCTTCGCGCCACCTGAGACGGGGCTGTCGATGAAGAGGATATCACCGCGGCCGCGGGATTGAAGTTCTGCGGCGACGGACTGGGCGTAGGAGGCGGGGACTGTAGAACAAAGTAGGAGGGTCGCATTCTGGGGCAGGTCTGAACCTCACTTTTAGTATTTCATGTACTCTGGGTTCTTCTAGTATGGCAGTGAAAGATCATAGGGAGGCGGGGTAGTGTGGGGGGAATACATTGTACAATGCCTGCATCGTCAAATAATACTGATTGTACCTGAGGCGCAGAGGCAACCATGCACACGTAAAATGACTTCCCCTCTGCAGATTCCCGCAAAGATGAAGCGGGGATGCCCCCGGCTGCTTGGAAGCGCTGTACAGAGGCGGGGGATACATCAAATCCATGGACGGGATAACCCTCCTGGACAAGATGAGTGGCCATGCCGAAGCCCATGGCTCCTAGGCCCACAAAGCCGATGGCAGGTTTTGACATGGTGAAGTTGCAGTAAAGAATGACTTAGTTTTGATTTTCGAATGTAGTAGCAGTCTTTGTGAAGGGTATTATGAATTATATGGGGTTGAATGCGGTTAATAAAGTGGGATAACCCAATCGGCAGTCGCTGTTCTCGCCGATGGTCTCAAAGTGGGATGTCTGTGGGGGTTTCGGAGTTGCGCCGATGTGTACTTTCCGGCTGATATCTATACTCATTCTTAGTACTCAGGTTATTGATTGCTCGCTGTAGTTAAACACACGATCTATCCCGACCGTAAATGATACCGATTATGTATCCAGCCTTATCAGGAGCTCTACTACTCTTGCTAGCTCTCTTTATAATGTCTACAGGACATGCATCTAGTTAGAATGGTCCTTTTCCACTAGAGTTCTTCCGGAAGTTCTAGGATTCAAGAAAAGTCTGCCCATGCAGATTGCTATCTCAGTTACCAAGATGCATATACCTGTACATTCTACTGCCACTTTCGTACATAGTTATATAGGCTAATGTCTGAATCCTTACAGGCAGTGCTTCCTGGACTCAACTCTCACCTAAGGAGAGTTCATGACACCACTTACAGGAATGGGTCTCTCATTCAACAATCCATCAAGCACTGGGTATACACACTTATTGCGACGTTGATTATACAGCGTTAGCCAAATGTTGAGTGCGGCTATAATACGGAAGTGTTGGTATATGTGGCGCTCGCATCACCGTTGTCAATCCGAAACTATGATCTGCACAGTAAGGATATAAAGCGCAAACGAAACTATCCACTCTTAAAAAACATTCATTACCGTATCTAAGGCAGAGAGTTATCCGAAGCCTCTAACTACTGCCTGATATTACATCATATTGCCTATATCCATCGTTTTCGGAGATGATAGACGCAGGATCACGAGACCTCTCATTTGCTCTACGCCCAAACATACTACACAATCAGATATTCTAACCAGTTTAGCTCGGCTGATGCTGTTACAATTAAATGGTGATCGAGGCGAAATCACCTTATGCGACCGCAAGAGCCAGTACGTCCTAGCCGAGGCACCTTCAATTGATCAAACCCCTCTCCATCGGCGTCGTGACAGGACTACACCGTGTGATTATGCTGCCATTGCCTTCATTGAGGACGATCAAGATGTCTTCCGAGTTCCAGACCTTACACAGGATTCCCGCTTCGATTCATATCGGCCAAATTTCCCCACTGATCATTCCTATATCGCAGTCCCGGTTCGGACCTCAGATGACGACTAGTCATCGGATCCATTGGAGTATATGGGACCACTCGGTGCGATGAGGTAAATGGCGAACAGCTAAGGCTTCTTCAAGATGGGGCGGGTGCCGTGTTGGGCCATCTAGCGACATTACGAACAATCCGCGAGGAGCATCGGGGGGAGAGGATGTGAAGGCCCTGGGCGTCTTCATGGAAGGTAAATCTAATATTGATGAATGGCTGTTGTCCGGTCCTAGTGAAGAGCAATCGCCCGACTCCGATTCGTCAGAGATGGCAGACCCTGTGACTTCTATTCGTCTCGCCAACAGCCAGAGGACGCTAGATATCCCTCCATCCCACATACCCCAAGTGGAACGAGGCATGCCATTTCGCGGTCGTCCGAATTCTTATCGCTCACGGTCGCCCCCACGCAAAGGACGGGGAGGATTCCTAGCCTCGGAAGAGACTTATTCAGTTCTTCAGAGGGCGTCCGTCTTAATCAGACAAGCCCTCGATGTCGATGGAGTAGCGTTCCTAGATATACGCGGATCCAACCAGGGTCGTCATGGCATTTCACACGCAGCATCAAGCAATTCTCGATCACGTTCGCCGGATGAAATGCAGGGCGCGCACTCAGCAGGCCAAGTACTTGGATGTTCACTTTCTCGAGAGAATAACAAGGATATAGTTGTTCCAGTATCACTTCTGAGAAGCTTGGTCCAACGGTACGGGAGAGGGGCGTATTTTTCACCTTGACGAGGGGAGACTTTCGCCCTGGAGCGATGAGAGTACGTCCGACATTGATGTATCATCTTCATCGCTTGAAGACATGGCGTCGACCTGCTATGGTATCGATATGCACCAGCTTTCCCATACATTCTCGGAAGCGAATAGCATCGCCTTTTTCCCTCTTTGGGATTTCCAGGAGAGATGCTGGTTTGCGGGCTGTTTCGCCTGGATTAAAAATTACATGAGTCTGTTTGTCGAATCGAAAGATTTAACTTACCTCACAGCTTTCAATAATAGTGTTCTGGCGGAGATCTCCCGTCTAGACCTTCGAGCTGCAGATCGTGAAAAGGCTGATTTCATCTCCTCCGTATCACATGAGTGGCGATCTCCCCTGCACGGCATACTCACCATGCTTGATATCATTAAAGAAACCAACGTTACCAGCGTGCAACGGTCCCTAATTGACATTACTGTGAATTGTGGTAAGTCTCCTTGATACCGTCAGCCATGTATTGGACTACGCCAAGATCAATAGCCTTGTCGAACCAACGACCCACAATGGGCAGCCGGAACATCCAGGGGCGCCGCAGGGATCCCACTTCGATGCTCCCGCGTTGATTAACCAGGTGAACCTGGCCGTCTTGATCGAAGAAGTGGCCGAAGCGCTGCTCGCCAGCCAGGACCATCTAGGGCGTAATGCGGAGGCTCTTTTCTCTGCCACGGAACAAACTTCTGACCGCGCATTCCGTGAGTCCAATCTCCGCAATTCGGTCCCTAGAGTAATCTTTGTGATTGTGGATATTCAATGGAGGGAAAGCTGGGATTACTGTGTCTCCGCGGGTGCCTGGCGCCGAGTTGTTCTGAATCTGTTTGGGAACGCGCTCAAGTTTACATTTTCGAGGTTTGTTCAATTGAAGCTTCGTCACGACACACTTAAAGGCGGTCGTCAGAATCTACCGGCTGTCCTCATTCAAATTAGCGATTCCAGGAGGGGGATCTCACCAGACATCTCGTTCACAGATCTGTACATACCAGTTCAACAAGAAGATTCTCCTTCACCAGGCATTGGAGTTGGCCTGAATATCGTTTATCGCATTGTAAATTCGATGCGTGGGTTGATAGTTATACGAAGTGAACCTGACCAAGCCAAGGAACGGTGGTCAGCGTTCTCCTGCCCATCTCACCAGCTCAACAGGCTCCCCTCTACCTCTTCCGTATAAGGACCTACGCAACTGATTGAGGGGAAGAACAGTATCCCTCTTTCCAAATACCTCCAAGTACGGAGACCTCAAGACAGACCCGATTATATTCGATACAATGTTGCGTAGCCTGGAAGAAATGATCATACAGTGGCTTGGAGTGCGTGTTCTCACACCCCATCAGCGGGAGCATGAACACTTCGACATTTCCATTATTACAGAACATGAATACCGCTATGGCGGAGCTGAGGAAAGCTCTGTCATGTATGCCAAAAGGTCCAGGGCTCGAAAACACCCCGCCACATCATTTCCCATTATCGTGCTCTGCAAGCATGCACATAGTTGGTTTAATAAGCAGCGAGATCCTCGAGAGCCAGTAGTCTTTCTTCAACAGCCGATTGCCCCGAAGACCTTGGCTGCTGCTCTGATGAGCTGCCTCGAACAAAGTACTCAGTCTCGCGTCGTGGGAAATGAAGAAGTACGCAATGTGTCTAGGACCGTTGATGAAGACACAGGCGACAGCGAGTTGAATCTTGCCTCGTCTGCTCCGTTGAACAACACGGAGCAGGATCAAAAAGAGGCGACTGACAAGACATTGGTTACGCACAAGGTAAAGGAAATAAGAGGCAGCCAGGACTCTTTAGCTCCTGATCAGCAGAATCGAAGGCAATGATGTAATGTTCTCCTAGTGGAGGATAATGACTTGAATCTCAAGGTATGCATGCACCTACATGCCGCGTATACCGCCCGTCATTGACTGCCGTTTTTCAGATTTTACAAACTACGATGAAAAAAGCCGGATTTGCCTATCAGAGTGCCGTCAACGGACTTGAAGCAATATAAAAGGTAGAAGGCGAGGCTTTTGACGCGATTATCATGGGTAAGTTAGGCCGGCCTTCTTTTGGTTCGTTTACTAATAAGTTAGATATCTCTATGCCGGTCATGGATGGCATGACTGCGTCTCGACAGATCCGCAACTATGAAAAGAGCAATTCACTGAGTCCGATGACTATTATTGCATTAACTGCGATTGATACCCAAGCCATGAAGAAAGGTGCGATGGGTAGTGGGATTGATATCTTTCTCACAAAACCTGCGAATATGAATCAAGTGAAGTAGATTTTGTCGCGACTACCGAACTGACTTTTTCTTGTGAATCACAATTCCATAATCTATCGTACTAATAGTACGGGCTTTTTGCTATTCAAACTAGTCTTCTATATAACTTCTAGTGTCGAAGGCCTAGAACTGAACACACGGTCTCTGCCATGGTGTTTGGCTCAATTATGCTCCGTACAGTTCACTGAAACTCAAAACGGTCCATATCACCGAATCCCTACAAAACCGAGTACTTGGTATCCACAGGATTCAGTGGGCCTTGACTCCACAGCTATACACTGGGGTGATATGATAGGTTGTACCTCTTTTCCTCTCAGGATGAGACTTGATGATTCATGCAGAATTTATCTTCTATTTTCAGAATATATATACAACCATCCAGCTACCAATACAATACGTGGCTCAGAAAACAAGTAACAATATGGATGCATTAAATGTCGAACTTAACCTCCTGAGTCAGTTGCGATGCCTCAAAACAAATACTCGGCAGCCTTCCTCTCCTCTACCGAAACCTACCTGGGTATAATTTTCTTTTGACTACACCTCTCTTGCCGCACTGAAGGCATTTGCCGAGGGGACGATGAGCTCGGAATTTGTTTCTACAGATGACGCGCCAAGCGCGTTTATCTAGCAGTCTGTTTTACGTGCTCGTCTTTCACGGCTATCACCATCCGACCTAACGACACTTGGTCGCGCTGCCAATGTAAGAAAGTTTTAGGTATTTCTCCAGCACATACCGGACTTTTCCAAAACATGGATTATCACAGCAATACGTTACAAGGTTTACTGGATAAGCCACTGGGCATGATCGCATCACAGCTCCGAACTACAGTAGATCCGCGAACATCCTCTTTACCGTCTCACACTCGCGTGCTGGCGACACATATCAACCGTCTCGCTGACAAACCTTGCATCTCCTTCGGTGCAACTGTTAAACCATCAACTGATATCATGATCAGCTTGTGGGCGAGCGTGAACTGGTACGATTTGGATATTGGGTTGGGGCTTGGAAAGCCGGCGGCCGTGCGGCGACCTCAATTTAAACCGGTTGAATGTTTGATCTATTTTATGCCCAAGAGACTGGATGGTGAGGTTTTCGTTGCTCTCTCGCTGCGCGAGGAGGACGGTGCGGTTAGCCACGGATCAAGGGTTCTCGAAGTTTGGAAGGTATGTTGCTTGGTTAGAGATTCCCTCTTAATACAATTGCTCCATGAAATATTTTGTAGCTTGTAATAAGGTTCTCGTTTACTATGCTACATTGTCTGTATTTACCTCAATACCATTACCTATCTTCAAGATCGATTCAACGCACTTGGGGAGGTAGAGACCGACGTGGAAGGAAGTATCACACTGGGCAGAATTTTTGAACGTTTTCTGTGCAACTATGAATAGTTGATTTTTTTTTTTTTTTTTTTTTTGCAAAGTCAGCACACTCAACTAGCTAAAGCTAACTGTATTCTTTGAATTGCTTGTATAGCTTACTAGAGGTGTTAGTGGTGAGGATAGCTGTTGAGAGTAGGAATAAGAATCATGATTTGGATCAGAATGATCTCCACATAGTGCATTAACAGGATATATCGATGTGCAAGCCTAGTAGGTCTTCAACTAATGTTGGACGTTTTTGATAGGGCGGGAAAAGGGAAAGAATTCCTCAATCTTACAACGTTAGAATCGGCTGGTATTCTGGGACAAGAAAATTTGGGTAATGCTGACTATCTGAACGCAAGCCTTGTCTTATGGCACCAAGAAGAACCAATAGGGAGTTACCGAACGGTTTTCTACTAACGAATATATCGGACTAAATCTGATTGGAGTAGTAGTTAACTAGGGTAGGTAGGTGGCATCGCGGTCAGAATCATCATCGCCCCTTACATTGCGGCTGTGTTGAAACAACCCTAAAGTCTCAATCGAGGTCAACCAACTTGACAATCACAGATATGTAATCAGTAGGATGCATATTGTGTGGGGTTTCGGGCTGTTAGAATCCGCCCCCGACCCGTGCCCGCTAGCTGACAACGTTTATTTGCGGAGCCGCTTGATCCATTTGACCTCTAGATCTTCCCATTGCTTCAATCACTTTGGACTCCATGACAGACTAGCCGAAATCCCCTCACCATGGCTTTGAACATGCGTCAGAATAGGAAAGAGCGAGCATTCTCCCGTCGTTCCCGCACGGGATGTCGGACCTGCAGGATCAGACATATCAAGTGCGATGAGACGCCAGGATCATGCACTAACTGTACATCCACAGGACGAACATGCGATGGGTATGCTATGGTCGTACTCCCCGCGGCTATGAGGAAGGGTGGACGTGCCCTGGCCCGGCCCAGGGCATATCTCAGCCTGAATCTCCCCGGGGCGACCTCGACCGAACGAAGATGCTTTGCCTTTTTCCAGAACCATACGGTGCCCATGCTCGTTGGCTATTTCGACTCACACGTGTGGCAGCAATTAGTTCTTCAGCTGAGCCAAGCAGAGCCGGCCGTGTGCCATGCCGCGGTCGCACTCGGGGCACTTCACGAGATCACGGAAGCGAGGGACACCGTTGGGAAAGTTGCGGTAATGAATGGGCGTTTACATGACCTATTCGCTCTGGAGCAGTATTGCCGTGCAATCTCAATGCTGCGACAGCGCTTGGGGTCGAAAGACCCCCAGCTCCGATTTACCGCATTGATCTGTTGTCTCATCTTTGTTTTCTACGAATTCATCCAGGAGAAATATGTCACGGCCCTCATGCACCTCAAGAACGGGATGTACCTGCTGGCAAACCAGAAGGGCTACATTGCGCGTTCGTCCATCTTGACTAGGCTCTATCGTCCACTCAACCGACCCTCCACCGCTGAAACAGCACTCGCCAGCGCCTTCGCTCATTTAGAAATCCAGTCCGCGCACTTCGACTCCCCGGAAACCTACATCCGGCTTTATCCTACAGATTACCATCTAACCGAGATCCAATACGACTACCTTCAGATCCAAAGTCTCCAGGAGGCAAAAGAAAAGCTGGACCCAATCATAAACAACGTTTTCCGATTCTTGTCCACCAGTGATATCCGTGTGAGAGATAAATCAGCCAATCACCTGACACTGCATATCGAGCAACACAAAATGCGAACGAACCTGCTAGACCACATATCGGCATTCGAGGAATTTCTTCTGCGGTTTTCGCCCCGCACAGAAAAGGAAACACGTAGTATAGACCTGATCCGATTGCATCACCTTATCCTTCTAATGAACGTGGAAACCTTCCTCAGTCTATCGGAAATGGTCTTTGATGTGCACGTCCATACCATGGAGAAATGCGTAGATCTATGCGAGCGGATAGCCGCTAGCTTTAGGGCTGAGTATGCGGATAATCCTCCCAACTTGCTCATGGACCTAGGAATTATTCCACCCCTATCCTGGATATCTCTGAAATGCCGTGGTTTTGGACTTAGAAGGCGAGCGCTGGATGTTTTGCGGTCATGGCCGCATCGGGAAGGGCCACATCACTCGATGGATTTGATGTATATGTCCCGGGAGGTTGTGGCGATTGAAGAGGGAGGGTTTGATGAATTGATGGGGTGTATTCCGGAGCTTTCGAGGGTACGGACTGTTGGATTGGAGAAGTTGGATGGGTCTAGTGCTGTACTGCTTTATGCGCTTTCAGATCCGTGCGGGGAGCGATTGGATTTGCGTCGGCGCGTGTTTCTTATGGATGGTAGAGCGTATTGAGTGATAGAGAAATATGTAGAATAGGCTACTCGATCAGTATTATATGTTAAGGGTAGTTCTCTTTTTCCTTTCATGGTTTATGAGAAGACGGAGTTTCATTAAGGTGGCACGGATGTCACTTACATTACAAACCGTTCTACTTCATCATTCCACTTACTTAAAATAACGAAACAAAGCCTTGCTATTGATTTGTCCACGATCAAAACCCACAGCACAGCTTTCCATCATCTTGTTCAGTCCAGCCCTCGCTTCCTACACAATAGCGGCACCAGCGTAGCCCATCATGGCCGTACTTCTGCTTGATGGCTCGAAGCCTGGGATAGTGAGGACAAAAGGACCACTGCCAGTTTGGCTCGTGCTGATTGGCCTGTATTATCAATCTAGCGTCAGCTGTCAAGGTATACCACTAGATCATGAAGTGGCCTTTACACCCCATTAAGATATGCGCCTGTGTCGGGAGACAGTTGACGGAGTGCATAGCCCTTCTCGTACGTGATATTTTTGATTTTGTACGCCACTTCCGAGGGGAGAGAGTCATCCCAGCCTTGAGATGTAATTACATGAGCAATAGAGTCTCGCTAACCCCAGGTTTAGGGCGCTATCCACGGGTGTCCTGCTACCGGTCATCGTACCCGATACCGAAGGTGCGGAAACTCCATTCTGTGCGATGTATATCAGTCGCCCGTTTAATATAACGAAATATCAGGGCTGTGGCTTGCCGTCGGCATTCCTTGTGGGGAGGTGATCTCATCTAAGGCCTTTGCGAACAATTCAATGTCTTTGCACTACTCGGCGTGGAATGAACCGAAATGCCCTAGCACCCTGCTTGGTTCCGACGGTTTCAATAACTGGTATGCTTTTCATGATATCATACCACGGCGCCGTCGCCATAAGGTAGACACTGGAAGCCACGGTTGCTGCAGAAGCATTCAGAACGACCCTCAGGGGAGCGAAAACCCTGGCTACGGTCTCATTCTTGGAATCATAGAGAAGCAAAGCACCATTCAGCGCCAGGGGTGGTCCGCTTATAGTATAATAGCCGTGAACACCAGAGTCTTACAGGCGGCTCAGATGGCCCTGGACCCGGGCAACCAGTCGATACCAAGCACAAGGTATAGCCCCATTAGTTGCTGACATTGCCAGACTGACGAGAGTCAACGAGGGCACCGGATATGCTTTCAGAGCCATACTTAATATGACACCGAAGGTTCCTCCCACCTCCGCCGCGTATTGCCCAGAAGAGATCTTCTTTCCGACAGTCATTAACCGCCACAAGCTCACCATCAGGCGTCACGATCACAGCTTCAAGAATATTGTCGGTGCCTATGCCGTACTTGCCGGTGGCCAGGCCGTGTCCGCCACGAGTCGCTCATCCCACGACCCCAATATCCTATTGGGGCTTTGGTTAGCTTCGTGCTCTCTACTTAGTTGGACACCGGGAGAAACTGTCTTACAGCGTTTGTTCCGCACATGGTAAGGGCATTGTATCCGGCCATGGCGGCGAATAGCTCTCCATCTTGTACGCCCGCCCCCGCAGTCACTGTCTGTGGGGTCTCTTCCTTTTCCCGTCCGCGCTACGAGCATCGCACGGCTCCGCGTGAAACCGCTCATGAAATGGTATACCCTTCAAATGATGAGTCCAAATCCTGCAAGAGTCAGCAAAACCCACATCCCTAATAGCGAGCAATCCCAGCCAGTATATCCACGTACGACAAGCTTCTATACCCCGTACTGACAAACAAACCAAGTAAAGTCAAGTTAGCCTCACTATACACCTCTAATGCAAAGGGATATGCACCCAAGATGTAATGTATACCCCCTCTCCGACCCATGTCCCGCATTCTTGATATTCGCCCACAAACCCCACCGTCTCGCAAACCCAACGCAGCCTGCACATGGCCCACCTCCATCACATTCACCACATAAGCAGGATACTTCCCAATGATCACACTTTCTCTTGTGCCCTGACATCACCGTTGATACTTATCCCGTGGGGATAGAGCGTGCTGCAGCTATTATTAGCTCATACAGTGTCATCGATGCTGGCTGGATCGGCCGCGTAGAAGGCTGACTTGATCCAGTTCGATAACACCGTGTTTAGGGATGTCCATGCTGAGGTCGGGGGCCAGTAGGGGCCGGAAGGGGTCTGGAGGGGGTGGATGGGGATGCGAGATTTGGACCGGATTAGTGTGGATTGGGGCTTCTTTGTTGGAGGGATGGGGTTATTTATCTGGGAGATTATTGGGTTTAACGATGTTGGGAATGGATGGATAATGGTCTTGATTTGGTTTCCGCCTGATACCATCTTAACTAGGTTAGGAAATTTATTATGGAGTGATGTGTCGGATGTGTCGGATGATTACTTTCCGTCTTATATTTGTGGTTCCATGATCGGCGTTCGTAGTCGTGACTATAAGAAGCGAGATGAGTGCGAATACGCATAACTTCCTAAATGGGAAAGGTGGCCGCCCTGAGCCCTATCCACGTTTGAAACTAGTCTTCAGCAAGTGGTCTGTCTAGGGGCCATGGCTATCGCGAAATGTGTAAATGTCTGAAATTTTTAGGGCATAGTGACCGTTTGCAGGCACAGGCTACCAGGTGATACAAGCCAAATTACTTAGGGAATCCCCTTTGTCAACCCCGCATTAGAAAAACGATCATGTCTGATTTACTGGCGGTTGCCATCCGACCTGATCCATCTGCCACCTTATCCGACACCGTTGTTGCTCATCGAGCGATCGATAAATCTCACTCATTACATGCTCTGGCCATCCCTGGATGAACCAATACGAATCCAACTGCTTTAACAAAACAATGAAGTATGATAGTAGTAGTAAAGAGAGCCATTTGCGCTGTTGAAGATCAAGGATAAACTCCTCCGGTAGTTGGTAGAGCCATTGGAAAACTTTCGCACATTTTTCGCCCCGTGGAGCGTCTTCCCTCTGATAAACACTGTCAAAGGCCCCAGCAAGGCGTTCAACTACTCGGGAGTATACAGCGTGACGGTAATCATCAACGAGATATTCAACCGTGAATATGTCTTGGTATTCTTGGAGACGGCATTTCCATTCCAGTAAGGCAGCCTCAACCACAGTCGGATTGGCGAACGAAGATGGACTTTTGTTTTTGTCAGCCCCGGCGGGAGGGACTGGATCGATCGAGAACACATCTCGGGTCATCTCGACAATAGATCGGACGCCACGTAGCAGTGTCAGCCATTCGGGATGGTTGGAATCACTGAACGCGATGTATTCGCCGGCCCGCGGACCTTTTCCCAAGTGACACAGACAGATGAGCACTGCACCAGAGTACACGGCATGACATGTAGTTTCGTTCAGGTCGCGAATCGAGTAGCTCACTTGACGAAGAGAGATATCATAATGACGGTCTGCCTCGGCAATGCGCTCATTTACCGCGATTGTATTAGGTAAAGAAGACCGATTTTGGTCTAGATGAGCGATATGATAGCCGGAGAAGGCCAAAAGGAGATGCAGGATATGATGGAAGCGGAATCCTAATTGTGGGATAGCCGTTTGCATAAAGTATCTACTTTCCTCATCATCTGCCATGGCGGTAGAGGTTGATGTTATATAGTGGTGGAAGAGCCCTAGATCAGCTGTACTAAATTGGAACATATGGTTAGTCGGTGGTGGAGAGACGGTCTCTGATGCCGGCCCCGGATTGGCTGAGAGAGGTTGTCGTCGGCGCCATCTCCGCTTAGGCGGATTGAAGTCTGTCTGAGTGGACGATATATAGACATGATCTTTATTCAGTAGGGGTTTGGGAAGATCCGTCTCAGGGGGTTGCGATGAGGTAATTCCTGGTGGACCGGAGGGGGGCGAAGTATCTGACGAGGTTGGGTCTGACTGACCACCTCGAGAGAATTGGCACAAGACGGAGTGGTTGATACATTGCCCACATGCGGGTTTGACCTCATCACACTATAAACTATTAGTGTGATCGTGCGGTTTGGTTTTGAATATGGTAGTTATCGTATCCGTATGCGCGGTGGAGTGGAGGGAAAGGAGCATTCTCCGCCACCTTGGATGCTCACCTTAATTCTGCGCCGCTTACAATTGCTGCATCCATTCCTCGATTTCCGATGTGATCTCCGAGAAATTATGGTTCGATTGCAGCCTGTCATCTGTGGAACAATAACTTCGTGGTTAGCGAGCAGGTGGAAAATAGGAGAAACTAGGCTAGGAATACAATTCAGGGTACAGGGCACATTCGTTCAACTGCTTGACGGAGATTATTACGGGTCTATAAGGTTCGATCCCTACATCAGAACGTTGTTCTTCAGCTAGCGTTAAGTTAGGGCTCCAGAAGGAAACCCTGTGGACGTTATAGGCTGTAGCCTAGACTAAGAAGGGTCTGCCGTACTATCCCAAAAATAGCAAGCGGCCCGACGTCCGATTTGGGAGGATTATCAAGATTCAATCCACAGGACGAGTTTAGTGGGTCAACGTGAAAAGCCCCCGAACAAAGATAGACGAGAGCGCTCACAACTAGACCAATCATGTGCTGGCATGAAGGTGCTTGATGGCATCGTCGGAAAAAGGAAACAGCGCTCATTGGGTACATCCGTAGCGGACGGAAGTGCCCAGCCAATGTGGCCGCTACAGTTATCGGTTTTGCTTATTGAAGATAATCGAGAGCGAAACAACCCGCGTGCAGTAATTTAGATATAGCGAAGAGATCGGATCTCATAAGACTAGTAAAGATCTCACCCACCTCCGCCTGCTGAACGACTCGACTCTTCTTCTCGGTCGTATGCGATTAGCCTTTAGCGTTCTAGCGCTGATCTTATGTTAACCGACCGGACTCTTGAACATAGACAACTCAATGAGGCACATTTCCACTAACGTCGGTCTGGAGAGGCCGAATGAAGGGAAAGAAAAGAGAAGCCATGCCGGACTGGTCCACAGGCAGCACCTACCAAAGGTAAAAAAGGTAGGTCAAGGAACAGAAGGTGGAATAAAGAGCCTAGCAGCAGCAAGTAACGGATGAACTCTCCATCATAATAACTACGGGTGAACAAAGAAGAGAAGTTGAGCTCACGTTATAATTCAGGAGGCCAATACGACCGTGACCCTCCACACACTATCACGTTGCCAGAGAAGAACCTCCCGAATTTTTATATAGGAAATGTAAGTCTAACTCTGAAGGAGTGTGAATGCAAGCCGGTTGCTGCGGCTCCAAGGGCGAGGAAAGTCTACTACATGTCTAACTTCCAACCAGCGCCCCTTATAGTGTGCAACTTACAATGAGCTGAAAATACCTCGACAGCGGTCGAGCATGTCGAGACATGTGAGCAGCTGGTCCTAGATGTGTAGTGAGATAACAGACCTGTAACCTAGGACTGGGAGAGGAAATGGAATGATGGGCTACAAAAGGAGGGGAAGCCGGAGAACAGAAGTGCAAAGGTTGCTGAAGGCACAGCAAACGTTATGGCTCTCTCAAGGCGTCTGCAGGCTGTTCTCAATGCCAACCTTAAAAAAGATCACACATGTTGTTCGAGAAGAGATAGCAACAGTGTTTGTCTATTGTGCCAAAAGGTGACCGTTAAAATCTGGACTGGATATGAACCCCTTCACAGGGCGCAGTACTTAATTTTATTTAATTTTATTTAATTTTAATTTAATTTTTATTTTTTTTGACATAAATGACCATATTAATGGAGTCGCATATGATTTTCGCAGATGTTCCATGTAGCGGTCGTGAATGTTTGGCTTTGCTATTTTCTCCGCGGTATGTCTTGAATACCAAGACTTCTAGATGTACTAGCATTGTAGGGGACTCTTAGGCCTAGACTAATTGGTCAAGATATGAAATCCCGAGAAGAGACTTCTATTCGCATGGAAATATAACGCTAGTCGAAGGAGAATATCGCCTTGTGGCCAAAATTATCTTGGTTACGAAGACCAACAGGTGGAGGAGTACCGAAAGAATTGGCAAAAGACATCTGGACCTCCCCAACTTTATTCGGTTCCGTTAACGAAGCGATTCCAGGTATTATTTGAATCTAAGTCACATCAGGCTGCAGTTGAAGAGTTGGTTTACTCGATATTTGAGTGGACCAGAAAGGCCTAAGCCAAAGAATGGTGAGCCAAGGTCTGGCTAGAAAAAACGTATGTACTGTAGGGAGGACGTAAAAGGACTAAGCCATTCAGAAAAAGGCCAATGATAGACCTGTAAAGCTAATGCTCGAGACAGGCTGGACGTGTCGGACTTCTTGCTGCATCGGATCCAGTCATTCAACCCGTGGGTGTGGGCAGAAAATCTATAGAGAAAAGAGAATAGTTGTCCCCACCTGGTCTCTGGCTGCTAACGTTATATTTTCAAAAGTATACTCCATATGTCCTATGCAGGCCTACCATAACGGGAACAGCGTTTATTCGTTTACCTGTCCTGCTTGAAAAGCCATTAGACAGTGGATTCTTTAGTAAAGGTTAGAGTGAACAGGGGAAGGGACCGCACAGTATAGTATGTATGGTACCAATGTGAATTTCGAATAAGGGATTCGTTATCATGATTGAACAGCAATTTAGTTTACTTTGTTCAGCTGTTAGGAAATAGGCAACACCATTGCAAGGTGAACTTGACACCGTGAAATCGGAGTAAATTTCAACACAAGCTATAATCGAGACACGGATTCAAACAGCGAGAAAGTGTGAATCTAAAATAGTTATGTACCCCCTCCCAAAGGTCCAAATTATTGTGTGACCGTTAGTAAAAATGCGCGTTAGTCGCTCGGGAAAGTTGTCCATCAGTCAAGCTTTCCCTCTGCTGTGGTCGGTGTAAAGATCGTGGTGGAGCTTTCAAACCCACTGTGGCATGGCCATAGCCCCCGTCTCGCCTCCTATGACAGTTCTGTATAATAGGCATAATTATAAGGGGAAAGGATGCTGCGAACCCCCTCACGGGCTCACACCGCGATCCTTTCGCCCTGTACCACAGTATGTATGAACAGGAAATCCAATCCTCTCATTAGACGCATGATCTTTCAACTCATTCTCGTGGCGCTGGCTATATTCTCTCTAAATTCCTTTACCAGCTATAAAAGAAAGTGTACCCAATTCCGTGAACATAGACAGCATACCATCTGTATAATCCAGCGAACATGACCTGATCGCTGGATAATATCGTCGCGTTCATTACACTCCTCCACCCCCCTTCGCCTCAGCGGCCTTGCTGGTATGGAAATACATCATACGTAGACAGTGGCGGTCTGCCACTGACAGTTAGTTCTTCACTCTTCTCCCTGAAAGACACACTACAGTTCTAATGTATCTTTCGTTTTGAATAAGGTCCTGAACGAATAGATCGGTCCGATTCCTCAAGGCCTTGGGACGACTGGAGGCTTACTTATGCCGCACTCGTAAGTGTAGACAATCTGCTTGAAGCGGGTCTTTACCGCGAGAGTGTCCTGATATAACCTGACAGTCGACCCCAATGTTTGTTTGTTGTGGGCTTACTGGGATCCGGGTAGTATATGACACGACGCGCGGTCCAGACCAATTCCCTTAGATAGCGAATCTGATCCAACACCGCCACGGAGGCTGTGCGTTGCTGGAGGGCTATCGGAAGCTGCTTACGCTCGATCAAGCAGCGAGTTGGTTGCTGGACATGAGATCAGGATGAGGGTATTGATACCATGCTTAATGTTAATGTTTAGTTGTAGAATAATAGATTAGGTCATTAGTACTGATTGCGAACCTGTCAACTAGTTCCTATTCGCTGTTCATTTCATCAAAAAGAGTTCGGCATTAATCCAGGAGCTCTTGTGCAGGCCATCCTGGTCTTACACGCCTAAGAAAGGGGAAAAGAAGTGGGCTAGAAACTAACTCGCTTAACCATAGCCTATTATATCAATTGTCTATATAAAGTACAATATATGATCTACGCCAAGATAGTCTTATCAAGAAGGGTTCTGAAGATAGAGGAAGCGGAGCGTGCGTGTGGAGACGATGGTCGATAACTCGGTAGTTCGGGCCAATGAGCCTATCCGGCTCGCCCAATATCTCCAGCATGTGTGGCCCGTCGGCGATTCGACAAATAGGGAAGAAAAGGGAATATGGTAGCCAGGAATAGCTATGCACTATGTCCATATGATGAGTCTGAGAGGTACAACAAGCCCGTCAAGTGACATCGTGCATATTGGCAGCTCAGTGCCCAGTTCACATAAAATATCCTTACTTCAGAGTGACTTATAAGTACTGCCTGCTGTCTGTCTATGTTTTGCGCATTCATATACCTTGTTTTATTTGCACTTATTAATAGCTTTGTTTATTGGTCTATCTATTGTTTACGTGGATATAACCATAGTGATGCGTTCTACTCTATCTCGATCTCTATCTCTATCGGAAGCAGCAAGGGCACGGCAGGGCTGGACTTCCCTTCGCCGATTCTCCCTCACTAGCAAAAGACATGAGCAGGTGAAAGGGGAGGCCACACAAAAGAATGAACACAAGCAGAATCCTGCCACTTCAGGAAGTGGATACAATAGCGCCATCATCCATACCAGACTGGACACCCGCCCTCCAACAATAGTAGGGAGCAAAGGGAACTATTTAATTACCGATGGTGGGCAAGAAATCCTCGACGCCAGTGGTGGTGCTGCGGTGGCCTGTCTCGGGCACAACAATGCTCGCGTCAACGATGCCATAATGCGTCAACTGCAGAGCTTCAGCTATATTTACGCGCCATTCTTCACGAGCGAAGCATCGGAAAAACTAGCCAAGATGTTATCCGACTCGACGCAGAAGCAGATGTCAAAAGCGTTTATTGTTAGTTCCGGTAGGGGTCATCCATCATCAAGTCATAGTGGAAGACATCACTCATACGTGAGCAGGGACGGAAGCAATCGAAGCCGCCCTGAAAATGGCACGCCAGTACTTCTTAGAATTGCCAAACCCAGAGCCCTCGAGAACGCGATTCGTTGCCCGGCGCCAGAGCTACCATGGAAACACACTCGGTTCCCTTTCCTTGGGAGGCCATGTTGCGCGCAGAGCGCCGTATGCACCGATCCTTACTAACAATATTTCCCATGTCTCACCGTGCTACCCATACAGAGATAAGGCCACGGGGGAAAGTGATGAGGCATACGTCGCGCGGCTGGCGCAGGAGCTGGAGAATGAGTTCCAAGCTGTTGGTCCGAGTAATGTGTGCGCATTTGTCGCGGAGACCGTCTCGGGCGCGGTAAGATACCCAGCCAAGGTGCTATTTGCCTAACTAACAATAGTGCCAGACGCTCGGGTCTGTTCCACCAGTGCCGGGATATTTTCAGGCCATGAAAAAGGTCTGCGACCGCCACGGAGCGTTGCTCATCTTAGATGAAGTGATGAGTGGGATGGGTCGTTGCGGCACGCTCCATGCATGGGAACAAGAAGGGGTTGTACCTGACTTACAGACTGTTGCTAAAGGCCTGGGTGGTGGCTACGCCCCTATTGGAGCTTTGTTGGTCAACAAGAGGGTTTCCCAAGTTTTAGAGAAGGGAACTGGCAGTTTCGTGCACAGTCAAACGTACCAGGGCCATCCAGTCGCATGTGCAGCGGGGTATGAAGTTCAGCATATTATTAAAGAGGATAATCTCTTAGAGAATGTCCGCAGCCTTGGTGAGTACCTCGGCAACAGTCTGAAAGAACGGCTTGGGGATCATAAGCATGTCGGTGACATTCGAGGTCGTGGATTTTTCTGGGCAGTGAGTATATAGACTCTTGTCCACAAGCAGAGGACACTCCGAGGCATTCAAGCAGTGCTAACAGCAGGAGCAGATTGAATTTGTGAAGGACAAGGAATCCAAGGAGCCCTTCCCGGCGGAGCGAAAGATTGCAGCACTTATTCACAAGACCGGAATATCAGAATACTCCATTTCATTGATCTATGGCAGCGGGGTGGCTGATGGAAAGAACGGAGACATAATTCAAATTGCACCCCCATATAATGCTAGTCGGGAGGATATCGATCTCATTATGGAGAGGACAGCGCTCGTCATAAAGCGCGTATTGGGCTGAGTGTGGCAGTCCAAAGGAGCAAAATACTAGTTGGGGATAGCAAATAGGGGGCTATTTACATCTATTGAAGGAATCTACAAATCGATGATGCTAATCATATATTTAGTCATTTTTTACCGAGGCCTAACTCATGGAGAACCGTGCAGTTTTAAGGAATTCAATATATGTTCTGCTTCAGCCAAGCTATCCTACCCATCGTGCGGTAGAGAGTTCAAGCGTATGGCGTAGCTGGGCTAATATTCATCATCTTCCCCGCCCCCAAGGCTAAACCGGTTGGTACTGTTATCAATAGCCTTCTTTCCATCAGTCTTTGCAGTCTCTGCGCCTTCCTCTATAGCCTTCTTTGCCGGCGAAGGAGGAAGATATTTTGTATCGTCCTCTATCTTCTGCACTCGAGATCCCATTCCAGCTAGAATCTTCCTTTGCGTCTGCATTATACCGTTAGCTTCATGTACCAAGCAAGAGCAAGGTAGATAAAAAGTCCCGGGGAAAAAACGAGGAAAAGAAAAGGCGGGCTGAGGGTGGATTTCTTACTTCACCTGCAATCTGCTTCACATTAGCCTGCGCGCCATCACTCCAATCATCTAGCTGGCTTTGTTTCTGCATAAGCTCATTGCCGCTGCTGTCAGATAGTTTGCTCATGTCGTTGCACAGGTCTAAACCTGGCATGATGCTTTTCACCGATAGTTGGTTCCACATTTTGGCAATATCAGCGAAGACGCTGAAATAAGCTCTAATGTAAACCACAGAGCTGAAGATTTGCTGTTTTCACGTGTTAGCTCACTCTCCCGAGAAGACATTGTGGATTTAATAATGGGAAGAGCAAGGTTAAGTGGAAGGGACATACCGATCTGTGCAGATCAGTCAGAGTGAAATCACCGATCTGGAGGCCGTCGAGATCGGAGGACTCTCCACCTGTTATGGCGGCTGTGACAAGTTTGAGGAATTTCTTGACGCCAAGATCTACTGCCGTTTTGATCATGTTCGACAATGCGTCAAAGAAGGAGACAAGCTGGCGAATTTGAATGCGAAGCCCAGCAATGAGCTGGATGCTTTCGAGGAGGATCTTCTTAACCGCTTCCTGTAAAGGATGAATTGATTAGTTGGGGGGGCTATTGTTTGGCGGAGGGACAATTGTATGCATACCAAGGATAACTTGGTATTTGCCAGTTTTGTTAAGAGGGCTTTTGTCTTTGATAACTCCGTTTCCTTTTCACCTAGCGCTTGTACACTATGGTCATAGAGCGATTCAGCGTTGCTCATAGCTGACTGGGCACTTTCAAGACGGGCCTGGGCAGCTGCTAAAGCACTGTCTCCTCCGGACTGGCTTTGGCCGTTGGTATTATAATTCATGTTGGCCATTGGAGTCATCTGGCCTGCAGCAGCCCCTGGCTGGGAATCGGCGGTCGCTTTGAGGCGGGCAACATTATCGTAAGCTACCTGGTACTCGCTCTTCCATTGCTGCACCTTGGGATCATCGGCGGGCAGGGACGTTTGGCTCATCTGGTGCCGCTGTGTGATCTCATCTTCTAGCTCAGTCGCCACCTGATCTATTATAAGCATCATGAAACCAAGAGCAAGAGCCTATCCCAGTGAGGAACGTACCTTAACGGCAGTCTGTAGGTAACCTTGATATGTTGCATCTGGAGTTCCGGGTTGAGCAGATGCAAATGCTTGCAAAGAGTGCTCAAACATCTGTTTCAAGAACGCCGGCCCTGCATTTGGATTTTTCTCATCCGCATCCCATTGAACGCTCCCCTCCGGACCGCCCGTAAGGACGGTATGAAGCGCTGTGAACAAAGGCATATCTTTATGAACAGCCGCATAGACATTATAATACTGACTCGCATTGTTCATTTGCTGGGTGGGGTTTAATGGATTACCACCTTTCATACCCCCAGTATTGGAGTTATTTGTGTTTCCCATGCCACCCATTCCCCCCATCATTCCACCGGTTCGGGCGCCCATCATACCGTTTAGCAGTCCAGTGCCAGTATTGATCAAACTGCGAATCATTTCTTGGCCGAAAACCTCCCATCTAACCAGTAGATCGATTATTAGCATGGTCAATATGAATACAACCAAAAAGATGTTGAACTCCATGCACCTACCCAGATGGTATGGCCTCCGCCGCTTTCTTATATTGCTTCTCCATTTCATCTAGGTGCTTCTCGTACTTCTCGGCTAGCCTCTTATTCTCTTTGACCTGTGCTTCCTGATCATCCTTGATGGATTCCTGGACCGCCAAGTTGACCTTCGTGTCCTGGAGATCATGTTCCGTGTTGGTGGACTTCTGCTCGCAGGCTGCGTGGAAGTCGGACATGAAGTTAAGCCACTCGAGGAACTTATCGTCAATCTTCTTAGCCTCCTGGTAGCATTCGTCTGCGGTATCGCGGAGCGACTCCATTTGAACACGAAGGGAAGTGCGAGCATCCTCGGGTGTTTGGAGGCACTCTACGACGTCCTCGACCTAATAGAGGTGTGAATATTTGTTGATATAGGTTGGCAAAGGGGTAAAGAGGAGGTAAAATGTAAGGCCAAGAGGCAACACTCCCTGAAACATACCGTCTCATAAACACCAGATGAAAGCTGTCCGATTAAGTCCATCCCGCTTTGAGCCTCCATGAACGCTCTGCATCCAAGCGCACCTCCTTCCACCAGGTTGGCCCTCAGGGAGGTGTATCTATTCCATGGTAGGACGAGTGTTAGTGATGGACAACAACGGAGCAAAAAAGAAGGCCCACCGCCGAAAAAAAAAAAAAAAAATTAAAGGTACTTGTCCAAGAGGGAAATTTACCTCAACTTTGATCCGGCTACAATATCCAGCATGATGGAAGCGGCTTCCGGCGCGGAAGCCGTGACAAAACAAATGCCCATACTATGTAATGCAATAGGCGCAGCACCTAGCATGTCTTCCCATTTGTTGTCGGGGTTCATCAACAGTGAGGATTTGATCTGGGCTATAATCTTCAAGGCGACCTTGGGGTCCTTTTCGCGGTTCTGGTCCGCTGTCGCCACGGTGCTCAGGTGGGAGTTGTTGTCGACTGTCATCTTGCTAAATGATAGGATATTTTCCTGAAGTGAAGTAGTTAGGGAAATCAGTCCTTGGTGTACGGTACGCCGAAAGAAAGAAGCGAACCCGGCGAGGGGAAGCGGGATGCGGTTATATTTAAAGGATGGATACCTTGGGAGTGTATGCCTACACGCTAGGCATAATATGGAACATTGTATATATACGCTACCTCAACAACAGTCAGTAGTAGTCTCTTAGGTCTAAATGACCATCAATGCCGCTGTTCAATGCTATGCCATGAAGTTCAGCTGGTCAGCCAGCCACAATACCTTCTGGCTTATGGGACTACACGTATGTGTCTCGTTCATGTAGGTCCTAACCGCTTGGGTCACCTGGATCATTTGAGACTAATCACAGAACATGATCTAGACTCTACACTTCAGGCAATCATCAGCTAAACCTAGTTCTGGAGTATGATAAACCTGTAGACCCCGAGGTTGCCGGTGTGTGGGCCCATGTGGGGAATAGGTGAATCTATAACATCAAAGCCCTCATTGAGTGTAGCTTCGGAGTATGAGACGTTTTCGTATTGCCTAGGCGTTGACTTAGATGGGTCGCTCATGTCCTAGTCCGAATCCACCAAGGCCTAGATAGTTAGCAAGATAGCAGATGACCAGTGCACAGAGAGAGATCTACTAGGCTGTAGCAGTTGAAAGCAAAAATAGCATTAACTTTGCATTTGACGTCCTGACAGACGAATTCTAGGGCTACGTGGCTAACCTTGTCTAATCAATCGGAACATCTACAGTTCGTTACGGTAATGCCCGGTATACGCTAGACTAGTACTGAAAAATATACGAGCCCGTTACCCGCCAATAGTCGATGTTTCTGCAGATTTCTAACTCGCTTCGCCGCGATGCTAAAATCTCACCTCGTTCAACTCGGTAGTTCTGGCCGTTACAAGCTTGACCTTGGCTGCATGAACACCCCGGGTACCCCGCGGCCTAGACCTTACTGCCGTGTTCATGCATCGAACTAACTTTAGTTAGTTTTTTATGCACCAGCCTAACCCATCGGTCAGTCCGGGTTGAGGAGTAATTACTCGTCACAGGCAGCCACTAGCCTCTATTCGTGAGTTGAATGTGTGCTTTGCAGATTCACACCAGCTGAACCAACCGTTCATGTTCCGGCTGCGGATGGTGGGACATTTAACATCTTGGACGGTGGCTGACTGACACAGAGTCTGGATGTTCCTGTCAAGATGGCTTTTATTCGATAGCAAGTCCCTGACGTATCGTGCCGGTTCACTTTGAATTTCCCAATTTCCCTCTCATAGAACCATTCTTCTTTGCTCCCCTGCGTTTCTACTGTCGGCCTTTTTCTGTTCTGCCGTACAATTATCAAAATGGTTGGTCGTCGAATTAATTTCACACCTATACACCAAGACCATGACCATTTCAGAAGCGGCCTCTACCATGGATGGCATAGCCTGAGCAGCCAGGGAAAACCGAGAGACTATGGAGAATGGGCCCTAGCGCTGATCGGTGATTCCTCTAATCATGACAAGCTCAGGACAGCACTGAGGGAAGAGGTTCTTGATGAGGTATGACCCTTCGATATTTCCTAAGGTAGCTTCAACGGAGCTTGTGACTATGGATCTAACAGTCAGATTTAGAACCTTCATTCGATGATCGAGAACCTGTTCCTGGGCCTCCATGAACTTGAAAGGGAGCGGTCAACAGATCATGTAGTCTCGAAAGGTGAAAGAGACTTAGAATGGATCCTCCAAGAAGAAAACAACCTGAGACAAAGCATTGCTGATGCGGAGAGCAATCTAAAATCGGAGTGGCTGTTTATGGCAGCCCGCGCCATGGATTCTCTGACTCTCGCGATGGATCAGATGTGTGCTGCGGCTGCAAGGTTGAGTGCGCCGCTAGATGATGTTAACTGGGCGTTTGTCCGGTTGTGTTTTTCGGATTCATCATGTGCATTTGAGCTGGCGGATTTGACTGTTGACGCCATGTTAGAGCTAGTTGCGCATTCTCAGGAGGAGGTAATTGACTTGCCCTTTTGGCATCACTACTTGAACGGATGCTAAGACTCCTCTAGGTCGTCGATTTATGGAGTCGGGAATCGTCAAAAATCCGTAAAACGATCAGTGATACTCTAGTCGATATTCACAACGATGAGAGCTTGCAGAGCAAAAGAATCGAGGAAGAGGAATCAGAGATTGAGAAGAGAGAACGCAGTCTCCAGACATTTCGCGATACGCTGAGTACACTAGAGAAGAAAAAGCACGAATGTCTAGCGCAAAGTGGCGAGATTAATCGTCGGATGCAACAGGTGAACGAGCAAATCGAGTCGACAGGTCGTCGCATTGGTGAATTAAGAAGACAGCAGGCCGACCAGCGCAGAACCTTGCAGCAGTTGAGGGACTTGGAACGTATGGTCACGGCATCCAGCTCCTACCTAAATCAGATTCAGGAACTCCAGGACTCCTTTAATGCTGGTGTCGTCGCTCTGAAGAAAGTCCTTCCTGTGGTTACCGGTGAGATGAGGTCCTTGCACAGCGCAGAGATTAATACTCGGGAAGGTGATTCGAAAAGACGGATTGCAGCCAGGCTACTCCAGGGTGGTGCTGAGAAGGCCCTCTTCTGTCCGCAGTTGGTACCTTACGCTCAGCAGATCCATGACTTGGTGATGGTCGCTTACAATGGCACAACCACCTTGCCGGACGATGTGAAATCAGCCGCCTTGGAGCTTGAAGGAAAACTTGGAAATCCTGTCCCAGCATTTCCTCTTGGACTTCCGGTCGACTATTCGGTCTTAAAGCCCAAAAATAGAACTCCAATGAAACCTCAACAGAGAGAATTGGACTATCCGGTCAGCCACGGGTCGCTTGTTGCCTTTTAGCGGGTTTACCCTTAGCCTGGTCTATGGAATATAACGGAATTATGGCTAGTATGTTTAGGATCGAATATGAGTCGAATGTTTATTGTCGTCTTATTTTTACTCCAGCGTAGTACTCAAACTTCTGCATCTTTTGGTAATAGTGAGTTTATAGTATGTAGCGACATACGTGGGATCAATGTAGAGAGATCGTTCAAATTTGGCCCTATTCTGAGTATTGTCGCTGATAAGATGGGGAGGACAGATTGGAAGATAACTAGAGTGCCTTCGTTCTATAATGGCGGTCTTTTAACTATTTCAGATTTCGTATCATACAGTCATCTTTGCTGCGTATTATGTTCCAGCACTAGATCAGCATCCGTATACTCTCATCAAACATTGTTTATAGACGTCGCACTCGAAAGGATACTTAAATATAAAGCAAGACCTGCCTATAACAGCGAATAACACGATAACTTCGATCCATTCCCCGACCTCCGACTTCACCGTAGCTTCTCCCAGCTATATCCTACGTATCCGCAAATACTGCCAATCGATGTCAAACAGTACTTCAGGTCCCCAACCACAACGTCCTTGTTGCTGCGATTGTCTTCGATAAGTCTCCAACTGCCGTTTTCTGTATACTTCTAAATCTCCCCATTGCAATGAAGCCTGCAAAGCCCGGTGCAACCCGCGCTGGTCCGTTCGATATCTGCCTTGGCTATACCGCTCCAGTTTCTCTACCCAAATCCTGACCACTCCCATATCTTGCCGTGTTCATTGAGTTGAAAAACTTCCCAAGCCCAGTCGCAATTTGCCGACCGAACAAAAAGTCCTCTATTCTTTCCCGGTGTCCGCCGCCCAGGGAATGCCCGATTTGGCTGTTGTTATGCAATTGAAACAATTTGTACGATACGGGCGGAAAAGCTTTTAAACATGACAGGTCTCTGGGACATATTTGAGCACGACCTTAAATTCAAGGCTCTGGTACTCTGCGGCGAGCGCGATGGTTCGAGGGTTCTCGTCAATCCAATCCTGGTTGCAGCCATTGTAGCGCCAGATAGAGTCTGACAGTAGTTGATAGACGTTGTCTCCTGAGGCCCAGATTCCAAGGAATTCCCATACGGCTCAATACAATCCCATGGTCTTCCATTGTACTCCCAGCCGGTGCCATTACTGTGTCTTTGGTACAACGCGTAGCCAGTAGTAAGGGAGGCGGAGCCATAGCCTCAGTCGTCTATGACTTTTCCTGGTTCGTCATCTTCAATTGACATCAACTGCTTGATGGTTCCTTCGCAAAGTAGTTGGTAGAGCTCTCTGCAAGGCGTGGGCAGCGAGGAGATTGGGATTTTAAAAAACCCCTCGTGCAATCGCCCTATCATTGGCATCCCACTATTGGCCTCCATATCCATAAATTATGTTTGGTACCCATGCATGCAGTGTCCTAAAGATGAAAGAACGATATCCCTGGAGCTTCGTGCGAAAGGGTGCCTTTGCTGGCAATGGAGATCTTGTACGGAGTGTGGGGTACTGATTCGATGTCTCTTTGACAAGATTACATACAGCCATTCTGTCACATTCTGAAATATGTCTTCTACCAGCTGAGAAGCTTGAAGCCACGGTGTTCCCTATCACCAATCGGCCTTTCTTGCTGATTGAGTGTATAGTCCTTTACAATACCAAACAGAACGTCAGATGTATGGGCGCTGTATCGTGAGGACAGTTGGCCATCGGGAATGCCGCGGATGGGCCCGGAACCGCCGAAGCCACAATGTGTCCGGTGACAGACTATGAGATGGACTAACTATAGCTCCACCTTAGCTTCGTCACATTTCCTTCCACTCGTATCTCTCAGCCAGCCTCGTGTATGACTCTCCCTCTGTTCAGCTTGTATCTATCGTGGTAAATGTCTCATCGCACGAATCATGACCTTTGCCTAGTTAATGGCTTCGCCCAATGCGGAAATTTATGTCGCGTCCTGTCACCCAGCACAATGAGGTTACCACACTACAGCATATCTCAACTAATATGGTACTTTATATGCGGGCCTACCTGTCTCCCTGGCTCATTTCAGTCTTCCACTAGGTGGGGAAAGCCTTCTGTGTTATCAACTGGCATAATACCATCCGAACACTTCCTTTGTGCAATACCTAGAGCCTAAGGCCCAAATTCCTACCTTCAATCCTTGACCTGACAATGACCGTGAAATTCAATGACAGCGGCTTCTTTCCTACAGGAGGCCTAGGGAGCCTTCAGGGTCGTAGTCCAGGTATCGTAGCTACTCCACAAGACATTGCCAGGTACGAACGGCAGGCTGCAGAGACCAAGTGGGATAACTACGGAATAGTGAAGGATGTCTTTTCAAGCCAGATTGATTTCCTCAGCTATCTATCACGGGCAGTTTGTAGGGATCTTCTAACCATGCGAATTCCCTACTCCATGCCATTACCCAGTGGACCCAATGCGCAGTAAGTCGTCTATCTGACTTTCAATCATCGGTGCAAGCCATCTATGCTAGGGGGAACTAGTGCTTGTGGACCCTAAGTAGTCCTACAATTCAATCATTAACAAATATGCAGAGTCATAGGTAGTTACCATTTGAACTGTGCCCAAGCACTGATTAACGCCATATCACGCAGCGAGAGATGCTGGACAACCGTCCAAAATCTTGCTAGTCGTATCAAAAGTCCGCATGCTACTACCGGTCACGCGGAGGATATCATAACCCTACGAAAGGAAACTGCGCAGATCCGCGACCAGCTTGTCGAAATCTTCAATGCATGTGGCACCTTCATTGGGGCAATCGATACCCTAATGTCGGACCTTAGTGTGCCGCCAAGCATTTCAAACTCCTTGACCGACCGATCGGATTTCACAAGCAATCTGCGTACGATTTCTAGTCAGGTAATTGGGCATTGCTCAAGGTTCTTGGTACCTACCCAGCTGTCCAAGTTCGAGCAGTTAGAGGGGCACATAGGAGACTATGAGAATGCTTTGGTTCGTAACATAACTCCATTTCCCACACATCCTCCCCCATTCTCGTTCCCCTGCGTTTCCCGTGCGTTGTCTTTGAGTTAATAAAGGCGTGAAGTAATATGAACTACTACTAATACGCTACGCAGCAACTACACAAGAGCACTGCAAACAGCATTTACTCGACTCATCAAGCCGAATCGGCTCGAATTATGGAACCACTCCGAAAGCTGATTATTGCAATCGAAAATATGTTCCAGCATTGTATCAACGGGGACGCAAAGAAGTCAACCCAGGAGAGTACTATTGATGGCTTGTTCGAGACCTATAACTCATCGTTTTCCGTACGTTGTCCAATAAAAACCTTCGTTTACTGCGGCCTTTGAAAGCTCATATTTTCTGACAGGACAACTTGAACAAACCAAACCACTTCGCAGTCCTGGCTCAGGTAGCCGAGGCGTACGTACGCTTTTCACAAGATCATCTACAACCGGGAGCAGACAAATGGCAAAATCTGATTGATGATTGTCTTTTCTCGCTGAACCCACCATCTCAGGAAAAGCTGAATGAGTTCCAGAGAGCGATCCAGGCTTGGGCGGACGATGCCAAGAGTCATGTTGGTGATTTAGATAAGGCACGTTGGCACACTTCCGTTGTTCTACAGATTTCAATTGTAGCTAACATGGTGTAGGATCTGCATGGGAAATATGAAATTATGCGCGGAAATGGGTTGCCTGACTTCTTGAGGCATGGAGGCATAGTCTCCTAACTATCGGGATCGTCCAATGAATAGTTGAGGACCAAGCCTCCTATTATCGGTTAGGTTTTCTGGCAGGAGACTCATGGGGGCCTCACGGTCGCCACGTACTCAGCCCTCGTTACATGTAGATTTCGTGATGCGAAATCAACGCAATGATAGCTTCATATAACCCTAAATTTGTTAAGTTCTATTTACTGTTGCCTTTTGCATTCCAAGACTTGCATTCGTATGACGTCCCGCAAGTGGCTTACTGCTATACGTGACGTCACAGTTCCCTTATATTGTTGTATCTCCACAAATCCAAATAGGTATTTCATTAGGAGACTTCAGGTTTCATGGTCTTCAGGGGGATTCCTACGTTAACTGGTAAATAACCAGGGAAGGTCAATGCCTGAAAACCTTAAGACTGATGTACCAGGTATACATAGAGTACTAGCTTATGGCATAAACAAGATATTGGTAGGATTAACGTCAGAATGCAAGCTAAACAAAGATATTCGATTCTTCTATGCTTTAAGCTTTATCAGCTGGTACTATTAGTTATTCATGAAGATTGGGGACGAATGGAAAAGGGAAAGCCTATTCGCGCGATGATAAGCGGTTGCTGATATATATTGTTGAGGTATGCAGGACTCCATGCCCCTTACTTGAGCCACCTGGTCAGTAAGAAGCAGCAAGGGGTGCACCAAACCCCAGAACTAGGGCGGAACGGGAAACAGAGCAATAAAGCGTCCCGAAAACTGGCCAGAGAGGCGGTAGAATGAACATAACTTGACAACGGATGTTGCAACGCAAATGGGCTAGTTTCATCCAGGGTGATATCAGTCATGCCGTATTAGGCTAAGTGCATTCCCAAAGGTGGGTCGGTCCGCAACCATATCTAATTTAAGGCCAATCACATCGCGGGAGCGCATCTCGAGCCATTGAACGAACGGTGCGTGATCCCTATATCCAGTATATTCCCAAGAGGCAATACCGGATTAGGAATATTAGTGTGATCGGTCATAAACGAATACGTCATGTACAGTACCCTTTGGACTTGGTGGAAACCAATGAAAAGACTTAAATTTGCCTCCTACCAAAGCAGAAGGATGATTCAAGATGATATTCGAAACGTGCTTAGTGACGCTGTTTCCCTACAAACATGGCCCATCATTTATCGTTCAATAAACCTTCCACTATCGCACCCACTGGATGCTGCTGGAGGCCTTACGATTACAACTTTTGTGCACTTGCTTCTCCAGAGCGCATCCAGGTCTGAGCTGCTCGTGCCATCATGAACCACCAAGATCAGATAACAAACGATACTCTAAGTAATGATACTGAGGAAGGGAGGCCAGATAAGGAGAAAACCGAGTGGCCAGACTCTCCAACATCCGCTGACTCATTCTCCCATGGGAAGCTCATCGAGGAGGGGAACGATGTAGAACAGCGGATCATAGACGCCGGCGAGGCGAAATATCATCGCCTGGGATGGAAGCGCCTTACGATTATGTTGATCGTTGAAGCTATAGCACTAGGATCCCTATCTATGCCATCTGCATTCGCAACCCTCGGGATGGTTGCTGGCGTCATATGTTCTGTTGGGGTAGGTATGCTCGCCATATATACCTCTTATATCATTGGACAAGTTAAACTCGCATATCCTTTTGTGCGGCATTATGGTGATGCCGGCACTCTAATGATGGGACGTACCGGGTATGAATTATTTACTGCCATGTTCCTCCTTCAACTTATCTTTGTTACGGGCTCTCACTGCCTGACCGGTACGATCGCATTTCGCCAAATCACGGGAAGCGATGTTTGTTCTCTGGTCTTTGGTATTGTCTCAGCCATCATCCTTTTGTTACTAGCCATTCCTTCATCATTCGCCGATATGGCCTTCCTTGGCTATATTGACTTTGCATCTATCATTGGTGCCATTGGGATCACTGTCATCGCAACGGGAATCAAGGCTTCGAACGAACCAGGTGGACTCCCAGCGGTGAACTGGTCTCCCATTTCGCAGGACAGTCCGACCTTCGCCCAAGCATTCATAGCCATTACCAACATTGTATTCGCATATTCCTTCGCCACATGTCAATTCTCCTTCATGGACGAGATGCATACGCCTAAAGACTATATAAAATCGATATGGGCGCTCGGACTACTCCAGATAGTCATTTACACCATCACGGGTGTCACGATCTACGCATTTGTCGGCCAAGACGTCAAGTCACCTGCACTATTGTCGGCTGGGACGATGATAAGCAGGATTGCACTTGGTGTAGCGCTTCCAGTGATATTCATATCTGGTTCGATCAATATCATCGTTGCTGGTCGCTTAATCCACGGTCGGATATATGAAAATAGTGTGATACGATATGTCAATACACCCAAAGCATGGATAGCCTGGTTGGCTGTAATCAGTAGCATTACAGTAATCTCATGGATTATTGCGGAAGCAATTCCCTTTTTCTCCGATTTGTTGTCTATCTCTTCATCGCTTTTCGCATCTGGGTTTTCGTTCTACATTCCCCCGGTTATGTGGCTTATGCTTCTGCGCAAGGGCAAGTGGTATTCTAAAGAAAACGTGTTCTTCAGTGTTGTGAATGGGTTGGTGTTTATCATCGGCATTGTGATCTTGGTTGGGGGTCTTTACTCCAGCATTCAGGATGTTGTAAGTTAACCCATCGCCTTGACGAATGAATGTATGTGTATGCTTACGGTACTTTAACAGAGGAGCAACTACAAGGCAGGCAAGGTCCACGGCGCCTTTAGCTGTGGCCCTGTCTAGCGGGCAGAGCGTATGCTCTCTTGTATGTATTGGTCAGGTCCTGCTCCAATACACAAACGTTCCGTCGCCCAAAGATAGACGAGAGCATTACAAAAGAGCTGATTAGTCCAAAGGGGTATCCAGTCGAAGCTTATATACGTACCGCGAGGTCAGTCCTACTGTCATTATACACCATCAGGCGATATATATCAAAACCATACCTGAGACTTTCCGACATATGTCGAGTACATAACAGCACAGAATGATGAAATGTGTTAGAAAGTTTGATCCCATAAACACAAATACATGCTCAAATGAGTCAACCTCCGCGTAAATGCTAAGCTCTGGACTAACAGCGTAGGTAGTATCCACAGCCACTATTCAACTTACCTGTCGTGTATAATAATGGGTAGTGGCTGGTACTTGTATCATTTGTCACCGCTGTAGGTAGACAAGCTTAGAATATCTCATCTAATCTAAGTTTTATGTCTGTGGAAGGTATCGTAATCAAATTGTGTGATACGATCAGAAACTAATCAGATTGATGGTCCTGGGAACTCACAGGAAACCCTATCTAGGTGGGAATCATGGGCACTTTTATATGTTGCCTGATTAGCATAGTATTCAACAATCCGCATACTTCGGCAGGTGGTCAATTCGCCAGGCATATGTTAGGCGCCTGCGATACTAGATAATTTCATGGGCGTATTCAATAATAACGTCGCTATCTGTCGTTGGAACGCCGTAAATAAACATCGCTATAAAATCTACGGCGAGGAGAAAAAACATTCACACAACATTCCTACCCACCACACTATCTGGCAATATCTGTTGAATATATTTGTAGTTCACAAGATCTTTCAGTCTTTTTCATGTTGCTCAGTGAAAGGGGGACCTGTAAGACTTGAGGACCTTTGTATGGGCTTGGCTATATAATGGCCCTCACCTACCCCCTATATCGCTCTAGCTAAGCACTTAGGCAGCTGAAATTTATCGTTTTCATATTTCAGAGATATTTCCGCAATATATACAGGGTAGTACATTCAAATAATGCTATTATCTGTTGTCAACCTAACCAGCGATTAATCCTGGTTTTCTGTCCTCAGTGAACCGGAGCCATACTTAGTTTCCATTCCAATTGATGGCCCTATACAAGTTCGTATTATAGATCCTTCGATCCCACCCGCCGAGCTTTTAGGGCGCCACGTAACATTAATCCACATGCCCTTTCTCATTGTTTCCCTTTGTCAGCGGCCTTACAGAGTACCCAGTTGACACGGCTCACCAGCACATCTACCTGCCAGGCCACAGCCACCCCCCTATCTAGAATCCTTTCCTCGTGAATAGGCAGCAATTGTCCAATCGCGATCGTATTCGTATGCACTGCCCCGAGATGCTTAGGGCTGAACAAAAGGGTTAGTCCTCCGATAGGTCACGCAGTTTCCGTTAAAAAGACTTCTTTTAAACTTGGCTCCACATTTAAGCGTTGTGTGGAGCACACCATCCCTCTTTGGGGTTCAATAGCCTCTCACTTTGTCTAACACAGGGTTTTCTAGGTTAGATTTTGCCGAGATTTGTAAAAGCCTGTCCCTGGCGAGATTTTAGTTGTCTTTGTTTTGCTTCCTAGGCACCACCTTCTTTGGCTACCATCTCCCACTTTGGCCACAAACGCTCGGTTATTGATAGGCAACCGTGTTAGAGATCAGCCAGCCTCAATACCAAAGCAGCGGCATTAACTATTGAAGATGGAGGGTGGAGTAAGGCGGATTCCGCTCAACGGGGAGACGGGAGAACCGAAACATTCTCAAAAATAGTGTACACCGCAACCATTTGCCCTTCTAACATGAAACCGACTAAGACTTGGGGTCGAATCCACCTAAGTAGTAAAGTATAGTGACAAGCCACGAACCCAGAACGAAACTTTATCCGTAACAGGCAGAAAACACGATTGATGGCTTGCTGGGCCCGCGTATATTGGGCTTTCGTTATTATTTCGGAGAATGGTAGCTGTTGATTGATGATCATTCGGAGTTGGCTTCCTCAAAAAACTGGACGGAAGCCTCAAACGTGGCGAGATTAGCTACATCTATGTCCAAAAAAAAAAAAAAAAAAAATCTGGAAGTGTATTACGGCACTAGCCTAAATTAGCATGTAAAATGAGTGGAACCCCTTCTGCAGAGCCCTGGGTGCTGGTTGTATCATTGGGAAATTATTGGCCCTTCTGGTAGAGAAAATTAAGGTTAAGGAATTTTAATAGACAATCAGGGTGCTTCGTAGTCTACTTTGTAACAAAGAATCCTATTCTCGTAGGAAGGGAACATATTATCTATCGCTCCCCGCCTTCATAACACTATGGAGGGTGATAGATAGAACCTCGCATAGGAGAAGGTGGTCTAGCACCGTCAAAGTGAGCATGAACGACGCTCCATTTACTGTTTCTAGACCCCCAATCAGTGTAGGGTAATGGGTTGTTAGAACCCTACTTGCCCTTGGCATAGTTCCTACCTGGTTCTAGTGTCCGGGATAAAGTATTTTGAATGCGTTACATGTCAAAGTGATGTTTACGTATTTAAGCACTTTGGCTCGAGCGCAGTTAAAGATAGTCTAGCACAATATAGTATCAGGCGACAAGGCATCGTACGAAGCATCATGACTCCATCAACCCTGAGTAGATCCTGACTTACGACTCGATCCTGCGGCCGAGATGAACCAACCACAAAACCATCCACTAGTGGATCACGTCACGAAGGCCAAGGAGCGATGTCTCAGAGCAGTGGCTCAATTACTGGGGATTGAGCATGCCTCGTGGCGATGCAGCTGTCTTAGAAGTCCCTGAAACCGTTCTTAAGTTCTCAAGTGCGCCCCGTTCCTACACAGGGCCTTATTTATATGAACTGTCCGCAATGGATCGAAAAGTGAAACGGGTCAAGCAAACTTCTATTTTCAGTCCACCATGATTCCGCTTTCATTTGCTGCATCTTTTTTCTACCTGTATATAACCGGCTCGGTATTCTTCGACACAGCACATTATCTCCTGCACCAATGGTCAAAGTCACAATGGCGTTTCCTCCGATGGCTATCATGGTGTCACCAATTCCACCACCTTTACTACAATCGCTCGCTAAAGTTCAATGATCGATACCTCCGCCAAAACGCCTGGATCTCCCTGCCGCTGGAGATGTTCAGTAAAATCCTCGGAAGCATTGTCGGCTGGTTCCTCGCTAGAAGCCTAATCACAGATACCAATGGCAACCCCGACACCATGCCATTGGTGGCCGTGTCCGCCTTCGAGTTCATAAGGACCACGGTGGTCATCGGTATGAGCGGCCGCGACTCAAACCACATCACCTTCGACACAGTCCCCAAAGACCGCAGCTGGCTTTTCGTCGGCCCCGAATTCCACGCCCTGCACCACGTCTACCCCGATCGGTACATGGGCTCGATGGTCAAGCTTTTCGACTGGGTCATGGGCACGGCCTACTCCGTCCGAAACAAAAAGGTCGTCATCACCGGCGGATCAGGCGCTTTCGGACGCGCGATCCAGGGGCAACTCTTATCAGAAGGCGTGAAAGATATCCAGAAGCTGCGGTTCGGGAAAGACTGGACGCATCACGACTTCTCGCGCGTCGGCCCTATCTTCGAAAACGCTGATATTCTGATCCTGACGCACGGCACGAAAGGCCTGGATGCTATGAATGCCAACTGCAATTCGACCATTCGCCTCATCGAGCTATTCCTGGAGCAGAAGGGCCTGGGTAAGGGTGGGCCGAGGAAGACTGTCCCCGAGATATGGTATGTCGGCAGCGAGATCGAGATTCATCCAGCTTGGGGTATTCCCGAGATGCAGCGGTACTCGGCCTCCAAGAGGGCATTTATGCCCTATGCTCGTGCGTTGTATGAGGATCCTCGTGTAATTTATCGGCATATTGTACCGGCAGCTTTTGACTCGTCAATGGGGAAGGCGATTGTGTCCGCGGATTGGGCTGCCGGTGTGGCTATGTGGTGGATTCGGCGCGGCGCTTATTATGTCCCCGTTACCTACTCGGGGCTTGCATTTTTGCATTTTTTTAAGTTTCTGTACCTTGTTCGGCCGGATGTGAGTGTTGCTTCGAAACTGAAATGAGACTGGGGGTAGTGGACTTGGGTTTGGGTGATATTGTATATAGTTATTTTGATTTCCTACCTGTATTATCGCCCCTGCGTTAGACCTGAATTGAGTTTAGGTTTGTACATATCGCTCCGCTCTTTTATACTCTAGTATGTATTTGCGTGCCAGAAGCACCTTCACCTTATACGTCGGCTGCTTTATGACGGTTCGAATCTTCAGCAGTATTCTCGAGATTCGGGGCCTAAAGTGTCCTGAAACATGAGGACTCTCACTGTCATAATCGGGCCCAATATCTTCAAGTTCTAGCTGTACTGATTTGAAGGCTTTATAGCACAGAAAGTCTGCATCTAGCGAAAGTTCACTAAAGGCTCACTGCGGTTAATTATTGCCTCGTGAAAGCAGACCTTGCTAGCAAACTTGAGTAGAGAGTATGTCACAGCCGTTCCTGCAAAGAAAGAAGACAGGGGCTAGACAATGGGGCGAGTGACTATCCTGGCGATCGAGCATATTGACTGGCCATATGCATGTATTTCGCCATGCAACGCCCCAGACCTGTCAAATTGGTCTCAGGTGAGGCGACAAGAGATTGTATTTGGTCAAAATAAAATTCTAGGATAAGAGGGTACGTTGGCTTGGGGGAGGCATGATTTCGTAATCTATTATTGAGCTAACCCAACTTTGAACCAGTGTTGAGATTGTTCGCTGTCTAGAGTTTAATTACATGAGGGGAAAAAAAGACACATCAACGAGCGCACCCACCCGCTTTGCTGTTTCGATCTTGCGTCAACTTTCTGGTCTGATAGACGTGAAGAGCCAACCTATGATATGCCAATCCAACCGTTGCCTGTTTAATGCACAAATGTTGTGTTGTTCCCCCAGGCATTGAGAGGTTGGCCACTCATACTGTTGATCCATGTCTCTCCGCCAAAGGGCAAGTCGAAGATATAGAGTCAGCTATGGGATACATCATTTGGTCAGAGAACAACTGTCTGTACAAAAGGCCACCATCAGTCTTAGGTACCAACGAACCGATCCGCCACCAACGTCGAGTTATTTGGAGCCAAAGTTGCTATCTGGTATTCACGTTGAAGCCGAAATGCCTTCTGCTTCTGTCTTTCGTACCAGACCTATCAATGAGCCAGAATGTAATCTCCACTGACGATAGAAATACCTTGAGCTTGGGGAACCAGACCACATAATATAACGACCCAACCCAGGGCAGGACATGACAAACACCTGACTGATACCAAAATGTGAATTCATTGTTGGGTCTGTCAAGTTACGACGGAGCGCCGGAGCGCCCCTTGGTTCAACTTGCTGTAATTCTGGATGCGGATGGGCTCCGCAGGTGGAGCACACCCATCCGCACCCGGCGTGTCTATGTCGAAAACCGAGGCATCGTCATGTGGCCTAGCGGATGGGGATGCGCCGGAGCGCAGTCCCGCGAGGTTTTAGTAACCCTCGTGGGCCGGGAGGCTCATCTACATACACCGAGTCAGTCATTCAGTGTTCAGAGAATCGATTGTGCACCACATGGTAACAATATTTACCAAGGGCTTTTCAATACGAGTAAGCTTCGCTAAAGCGTGTTCAACATCTAGCCGACGCGTTTGACTAGCGACGGGGGCCCTGGTATCTCGTGTTGAGGCAGTGTTTTGCCTTGGTTGTAGCATGAAGAGCCTGGTTTCTCTCGTTTGGGAGAGTGCTATTGGGAAGGATGTTAGCTTCTGTCGCCAGATCCACGTTCCGATGGTGGTTGAGAATGGTGGAGATGGGTCGCGTACCCAAGAGGCAATATAACATTACGACGACCAGACCGTGGCATGCCTTTTGCCTAGAGGCTGGGGATGAGAAGAGGATGGAATGAGAAGAAAAGTGAGCGGTGTTTGTTGAGAAACACAAAGACGGTCATGTGAGGTCCCAAAAGCGGCAACCACGCAAACTGCCTCAGGCTGAGGTCTCCCTGCCTTAGAGCACCCACTCATTCCCCGTTTTCGATATTCAAGTACACACACCTTACTGGCTCTACTACTATGGGAGGCGGCAATATTGATCATCCTCCTCCTCTCCGATGCGTAACATTCCAACCATGCCAACGATATTAATTACCTCAACAGCATCCATATCAAGAGAGCTACGGAGTAGAGAGCCAGAGAAAATACCTCTAATGAGCTATGGGGTAACATGGGCATAGTTCTAGGGGGAACAGGGGGCGTCTTGCATGCCAACAGCTCAGAGATCTGGTCCTTAGCTAAAAATAGAGATGAAAAACATTTACTTCGACATCTTTGCTGTGCGAGGCTGTATTCTCTTGATGGAAACATTGTGAACACGATCAAGAGCCACAGAATGTGCCACTCATTAAGAAGGTAAAAGCTACAAGGATATGAGGCAATAATGCGCCGGTCAATGAGAGACAGGGCCTAGATGTTATGTAGTGGATCACTGCAATCTAGATATACGTTGGTTTTCACCCTGGTTTGTACGAAGCTGTTCCGATCTTGTGTAACAATAAATAATTCATAACAGCACAGTTATGATATCTAGATATCTACTTGGAACATCATTGTTTGTACCCGATAGGACAAGAGTAGGTATTACAGATATGGTGTGGTGGGCTGTTGTTGTTCATGGAGGCTTAATAATCATGGTATATGCTGCAGAATAAGTTATCCAATAGTGAATGGCTTGCTAGACAGATAGGCAACAGCAGATATGCCTGTCATGCTGCCGGCCAATCGCGATACAGTGTATAAAGTAGGATAGAACACGTTTTGTAACATGGAGACATAATCCAAACAATCCAAAAATAGCCCAGGGAGTCGATCATCGGTCGAGTGCAATCCTCTTGGAAAGACTGCTTCTGTCTGCCCTTTTCTGTCCAAGTCCCACATGTTGTCCGGCTTATAGTTTATGGACTAACTGATATCCCTTTAGAAGAAGCTGTCACTAGGTTCGGGCGGGTCTACCCCCGATAACCCCTATGCTATTGAACACCACCTCCACTACTTGAAGGTGGGGGTTGGAGTAAACGGTGCGCCGTACGAGGCTAAGATTCGGTTTTGCTATGCTTGTCGAGGTGTAAAGTGTGGATCATTTGTTCATCCCTGCTGCCTACGGAGTATTACTTGCGGCCCTACAAAGGTCTAGGTTGCAGCGTTTGCAGAACGCTAATTTGTGAGTGGTCTATAGCAGATGTCTAGCAGATATATAGAATGCATGCGCTAATCACCAACGGCCATTCTAGAAGGCAAGCGACTGACTTTGCTCCTTTACGACGTGTTGTCTGGGCGTGGGTGTTTCCCGGGACATCCCTGTTGTGGATTTTATATATCATGTCTTAACACCTCGCATGCCAATTCCATTTGACGTTACGGTCCAACCAAGGCATATTTAGAACCCAGATCTCGTTGGCAGAAATCCCCCAAAAGAAGGGATAGGGGCGATACCATACCATCATCGACGTCTAGAAAGCCTCTATCGGAAATATTGAAAGGAAGCTAGAGATAGGGGTAGGCTTGATCGGCTGGATGCTTGCCAAGCCCCATCCGCAAGCTTATGAGAGATTTGAAAGAGCACGGAGGAGGGAAACTGACCCAGGGCTCTCGCGAAAACGGGTTGCCTCAATAAAAGATGCTGACAAGTCGATTAACTCTCCTTTGAAGCTGTGTTTCAGCCACAGAGCACTTCATCTGACCAATATGGCGAGAATACTATGCAACTCCGAGCCCGTTCACAGCCATTCTAGACCAAGATATTGGAGAGTGATGAGTCAGAAATCATGAAGATCAGAATGAGACCCACCCTAATAGCATAGTGCACGGAGGGCAAAAAGAAAGGGGTACGGACCCTCGTAACTTTTGCAGCTAAATTGTCCCCTCTCTTTTTCAAGAAACTCGTGATAGAGCCAGCACATACAGAAAGTCTTAAGGCAAGGAGCAAACAGAATCTCACCAATGGCATTTACGTGCTGACCATCTGCTCCGAAAAGTAAGGATTCGTGTGCTTGGCCTTCGTACTCTGCCCGACAGAACGCAAAAGGGCAAATAGAAATAGATAATGGCTGCTCCGCACAGCCTCAACCGAAAAGCTCACTAGGCTAATTGCCCACACCCACAAGGCATAGCCTGCTTGAGCCTCGTAAAATCCCGTGCTAATCTCTGACAGTTCACTCTAATGAATATCAGTGGGGCTTAATCTTAGCTCTGAATGGCCCCGACACGAACAGGCGTCCATGGAAGGAGAATGGCCTGCACCGAAAAATGCTGTAATTGGATACCTAGAAACCGTGTCCATGGGTAGGGTTTGCGGCTATGACCAGGGTGTATTTGAAGGATAGAGAGATTTTTGACGTAAGATTTTGATATAAGTAGACGAGAAGTGCACGAGAAGTGAATGGACTTGCAAAATTCTCTCCTTGTCTAGTCCTCTTATCGTCACTGATCTCTAAGAGACTCTATACCAAAGGAAAGAAGCTAATTCGCCTAGTCGTCATCATGGAGAAAGTTCCTTCCAGTATGTTTGCACCTTCAGGCCTCTCCTCTCAGATATGCGCCCTTCATCACTGACACTGACCATGGTAGCCCCCGTTCCTGTTTACGAACAACAGCCCCAATATTTCCCACCCCAGCCAGTCGCGCCTCCTGATGCACACGTCCACTCTCCTGTCAAAGATCCCAGCCAGATGGTGCCCCAACAGCAATATGTGCAGCCGATGGGCGGTCATCCAAGCGGATACAACGCCGCAACTCCACTGCACGCTTTACAACGTGGCCCTACTCCAGTCGACTGCCCAATCTGCGGAGTGCGCGAGATGACAAGGACCGAGGCGGAGTCCGGAAACACAACACAGTACGTATACCCAGTGTAATCACGTTTTGAAGGCGTTCAGCAGCCTAACAGAGAGTAGTGGGTGGGCTGCACTTATTTGCTGCTGTTTCTGTCTGGGATGTATCCCGTACCTCATGTCATCACTCAAGGACTACAACCATTACTGTGGGAAGTGTGGTACTATGCTGGCTACATGGCACAACAGTGGAAGAGTTGAGGTGCATCAGAATGTGAGGCAATAAGTGGCCTCCGAGTGATTTTCTTTTTCATTGTTTGCCGATTTCTTGTCTACGGTCGGAGTTTGGGGATTCCCATGGTTGATACCAAATTTTATTCATGAGAGGTGCTACGTTATCAATAATTAATTACTGGATGCAACTTATCACGGAAATGAAGGTCAACGGTGACAAGGGGTGTATAAAATAACAAAGGGTGGCTATAAATAATGGCACTAATCCGAGCTTTTATCTTATCTGGCATGATTAGATTTGACGCCATATCCGCATATCATGGCGAGAACTCCGCACTGCGTCGCCCACTCCACCCCATTCCAAAACTCATATGTAACCATTGTTGCCCATAAAATGCCTCCAGATCGAGGTCGAGCTTCTCGAGCATGTGCATCTTGTCGAAAGCAGAAGACAAGGTGTTATGAATCAGGTACTGGCGGACGCCCATGTCTTCGCTGCGAACGCCTCCAGCAAAGATGTTCGTTCGAGCAGAGTTTCGTCCGGGACGATCGTCCTGCTGAGGATACAAGTGTGCATGCAAGGTATGCGCGCGGCTAGATCCTTCCAGGTGTATAACACTTATATGATGTAGAGTTGCACACCTCGAGAGGATAGTTGGGACCTTATTAGAGCGACTTGGGGAGGACTCGTCTACTATTACCAGCCAGTCCGTCGCGCAGCCAAACCCTTCAGGCCATATATCATTGTCCTGCAACAATGCAGCGAGCGTGGTGTCAAAATCGGATTACCCATCTGCTCCACCTGTTATGGTCATCCGCGATCTAGCATCGGATATCGGGGTAAAGTCACCAGATGCCAGCTCGCACGAGCCAATATTAGATGGCCTCATACCGGCCGGTCTCGCACTCGATCTCATAACTATGTACGTTGCTCCCCCCTTCTTCCAGCATCAATGCTCATAGATAAAGCTTCCTAGAACATTATGGTCGGTGGGTTCTATTCGATCCAGCAAGTGACCCCATGGCTTTACTAAAGAGGGTGAGCCAATCGCCGTTACTGTTCTGCGCTTGCTGCTTAATCGCTGTCCGCCATACGACAGAAAGCGTGGCGACTAATCTTGCCCCCAAACTCTATCAATCCGCTCGATCTTTGATCTCAGCAGCTCTACTCATCTCACCGCAGCCGTTAGAATTCTTCCAGGCGGCCATTGTCCTCTCCCTGTGGTCTACGACGGTGGGCCAGGTTCCGCTAAGTATCGACAGTTGGCTTTTGAGCGGCTTTGCCCTGCAACATTGTCAATCTAGTCCGCTATTCGATGCAATCAATCACAGCCCTAACCACACTGAACTAACAAAAGCCACCCTTGACAGTTGGTGTATCTGGAACCATCTCTGCCTCGCGCATCTCCAATACTGCGTCGGGACAAGTAGAAAGTCCATGATCGATGCTTCCCAGATTCCAAGATGTCGAGCGATTGCCGGATCCGACCATGCAACAAACTACGAGCTCCGGATGGTAGCCGAGATCTATCTCTACTGGACAATCTACGAGCACACAACGACGGAGCCGACGGATCTCTTGAAGTCAACAGCAAGTCTACAAGACTGGAAGAAGGAATGGCAATTTATCCTAGGTAAAAATGATCCTCTAACTAAGACATCCATCCATGCACTAACCAAGGCAGAACAACCACGCGCCCAATTCCTGCTCATGGGATTCCACTTCGCCCACCTTCTCCTTTACGACCAATGCTTGAAATCCAAAACTGCGCGGGTGCGCGAGTCAGTTATTTCCGAGATGATCCGACATTCCACCTCCATCATCCGACTAGCCATTGACACCGCAGACGACCATACCCGCCATTTAACCGACCATATCTACCATATGATCACTTTCGCGGCGATTATTATCTGTCGGTTGCTGCACGCATACGAGGAGCAATTAGTCCTAACGCACAACCTAGACGAGCTGGACTCATTGATCCTCAGTCTCGTGCAATGGATGCAATCGATCGGTCTTCTGTGCCATGCAGCACACACCCTCGGCCACGTCATTGGGAAAGTGCACCAGAGGCTCCGGCCAGCGGTAGTTGTGCCAAGCCAGGCTACAGAGCAGAACGACGCCTTCTTCGGGCAGGACCTGGTGAACTACTTTCCCGGGTTCCTGGGGGTTGAAACGACAGGCGACGGGAGTTGGGATCTGTTACCCAGCTGGGATTTCTTGACATAATTGACATATGTTGGCTAGGGATTCCGGCCGGTAAGCATTTAGTTGTTAGTGATAAGCTAGCTCTAAATAGCATCAAGAAAATAACCATGATTCTAATAAGAATGAGCTCCATATAAAGCTCCAAGAACATATATATCATTGCTGTCGGGATAGCCTCACCCGCTGATAATATTGTATATACAAACTCAACCCCAAACCATTTAAACATTCAATGCCAAACTCAAAAGTAAGCTATTTCCCAGAAACCCGTTTCTCAACCCACCTCAACCCCAAAAAGACAATTCCCGAAAAAGCACCCGTCAACTCATGACCAACATTTGCCCCATTCCCGATCAACCCAGCGATCGACCCAACATACCACGCAACCTTCATCCCCAGCGCAGCCCCCACAAAGCCCGCGCCAAACGCCCCGATGGCCGACCACCCAAACTGCATCTTTGCCGGATCACCCCAGGCTTCCAGATCGTAGCCCTCCCAACCGCGTCGGAAGACGATATGCTCCTCCGCTACGACGACGATGTGTATGACAGTCCAGTAGCCAATTACGCTAAGGAATGTCTGCAATGTGTCCTTGAAGTACTGGGCCGCACAGCAGCCTACAATTACGGAGAGGACGAAGCCGAACGTGACGAGGGCGATGCGGGGGATGCGGAGGGCCCAGGGGCCGAAGTTCTGCGCATGGAGAGCGAAGGAGTAGTTGTTTGGGATGTTGTTCTGGCAGTTCCGGGTCAATTAGCTAGTAATCGAGCAGGGTATTAGGAAGATATGTACCTACCGGGATCGCGCTCAGTGCAGCTAGAACCATTAGAAATTTACCAAACCTACCGGCTGGTTCCAGCGCCATCTTAAGTAGCCCGCCTACTCCGGAACTGATATATGCTGCCTTCCACTGCGGAGAATGTATCGTGCCGGTGTACAGCGCGGCGCCTAGGGCTTGGACTAGCACGGAGGGGATCAGGATGCCGATGTACGTTGCGCCGAAGATCTTGGCGCGGGAGGTGTTGATCGGCATGCGGACATTGTAGTCCGCTGCGCAGTTGACCCATGAGACGGAGAAGGAGAAGATGACCGCCATGAAGGACAGAATCGCAGCCGCTCTGTCCTCGCTGGTGGTGAAGCTCTTGGGTTCGTTGCTGCTGAAATGCGACGCTCCTGTTCCTGCGGTTACACACCAGACTATCAGCGGCGGGATCCAGATAAAGCTATCGATTTTGTGGATCCAATTGATCCCTAGCACGCAGATGATCCAGACAACCGTGCAGATGATGATAACCCCAACCCAGGTTGGGCATTGTCCGTCGGAGAGAGCATTGAGGACTGCGGCACCGGAGATAGAGTTAATTGCGTTCCAGCCGGTGGTTGCGACCATTGAAAAAACAACGACGAGCAGATTGCCCCAGTAGCCGAAGGAGTATCGCCTGCTGTGGATTAGCTCACTACATACCGGCATGGTGGAGTTGTACCTACGAGAATGTGGTCATGCGCAGTCCTGTGAGACCAAATGCTGCAGTCCATGCTGGAAGCAGGTCACTGATCAAGTTAACGACCAGGATGACGATCAAACTATCCCCAAACCTGAGGCCCATGGGCCCACCAAGAGCGCCTGTGGTAAGAGTGGCTACAGCCATGTTCGCACTCAGCCTGATTTTGTCAGCTGCGTTTTAGTTACACCAATGGTCATATGGCGTGTCCATACCAAAAGGTGCATGCATTCCAGAAATGAGTAACATTATCCTGCCGTTGATCTGGTGTAACCCTTTGGATCCCCCCTGTCTCTATGGAGAGAGTGTGTATCCATGATGAATAGGCCTTCTCAGAAGCCTCTATGCTCGACGAAGTCTTGGTATGTATATCTGTGATTCGGTCCATCGTGGTCAGCTCTAAAGAGCATACTGAAGCTTTCCACACACACTCACCTACTCGCCAACTCGCCCAGTTATATCTAGTTTCCACTGTACAACTCATACAACTAAACCCCGCGGCATCCCGATAACACGATAATCACCAAACTGACGCCATATCAACCACGCAGATCCAAGCTATCAACCCGCGGCATACCGCGGCAAGCCGGTCGACTATCCGGACCTCACAAATCTTACTATATATGCCCTCAAAACTACACCTCCAAACTCCATTGTTAAAAAAAAAAAAGACCAAAATGGACCAACACACCCTCCGCCGCCGGGGTCTCGGCCTCCGCGGGAAATCCCCCAAAGCCACCCCGGGCTACATCCTCTACACGCCCCTAACCTCACAAACAACCCACCTCATCTCCCCAACAGGCAAAGAAGTCCACAAATGGACCCTGCCCTACCGCGCAGGCCGTCACGCGCGCCTCCTCCCCGACGGCACATTAGCCTATAACGGCGCACACCCCTCCGCTCCCGCCCTCTTCCCAATGTGGACCAAATACCGCGGTGGCGCAATGCTCCAAGTTTCGCCGTCGGGGACCATCCTCCGCGAATACCACGATCCAAAAGCCCACCACGACCAACACCACCTCCCCGGCGGGAAAATTCTCTACACGACCCTCGAACCATTGTCCCCGGAACAGGCCTCAAAAGTCCAGGGCGGGATACCCGGTTCCGAAGCGCCAGGCGGAATCATCTACGGCGATTGTATCCGCCTCGTGGAGCCGTGGTCTACCTCTACCGTCTCATCATCCGCAGACTTCGAGAAAGGGGGGAACGGGAAGGGTGGCGCAAAGCTCCTTTGGGAGTGGCGGGCGATCGAGCATCTTGACCCCACGGTGTTTACCATGAATGAGCATTATCCGCGGGAGCATTGGCCGCTTATTAATAGTGTTTCGTTTGATCGCGAGGGGAATGTTGTTGCTTCGATGCGGAATACTTCTTCTGTTGTTGTTATTAGTCGGGAGACGGGGGAGGTGGTTTGGCATCTTACGCAGCCGATTGTCAGTCAGCAGCATTGTGCATATGAGGTTTGCGAGGGGCATTTCTTGATCTTTGATAATGGTGTGTTTAGGCGGGGCAGTTCAGTGCCGTTTTCGAGGGCAATTGTTGTTTCGCGCGCGAAGAAGGAGGTGGTGTGGGAGTATAGGGATAACAGTACCGGGGGGATTGGGTTGTTTACGCCGTTTATGGGGTCTGCGCAGAGATTGGGGAATGGTAATGTAGTCCTTTGTGAGGCGGCTACGGGGAGGATTTTGGAGGTTACGGAAGATGGCGAGGTGGTGTGGGAGTTTGTGGCACCGGAGTTGAGAGATTATCGGCGGGTCCTTGGCGATAATGAGCTGAGGCAGATGGAGAAGCTGGGGTTTGCGTATGAGAGTAATGCTGTTTTTAGGGCGTATAAGTATCGTCCTGAGGAGGTGCCGTGGTTGAAGGAATAAAATGGGGAGAGGAGATATTCCACTGCAAGAACAAAGAAATTTTCAAATTGGTATCATGAGCCCAGATTAAAGATTAGTAGACAAAAATATCGACCATTGTTATATTCGTAGCAGTCCTGGAGGTTACTATGCCAGGATCAAGGCCGTTTAACCTGACTCTGTCCATCCATCTCCACCAATGGACGACTGCCCATTTCCACCAACTGGCGACTGTTGCTCAGTTCCGCGCCAGCCTTCTCCCCCGGAAGCTCCACGACGTTAGGCATAGAGGGTGTATAGCCCGTAGACGGAGGCACTGAGGACACTTGAGTCGTCATCGTTTCTGATGTGTTTGTGTCTGGCTTCGAGGCATCAGCAGCCTCGGGCAAATTTGCCTCATGTAGGCCAGGGGCTGGAGTCGATGAAGCAGCATTACGCTTCCGTCGACCCCAAAAGAAGAAGGACGCGGCCACAATCGCAAAACCAGCGACAACACCAATAACAATGCCAGCAATAGCACCGCCCGATAATGAAGATCCCGAATTATTACTGTTCCCCGACTGAGCCGTTCCGGTTGGGTCAACACTCGTTGCCGCAGGAATCGTAGACGAAGTCGTAGCCGCCGTAGAAGACATGCTGGACCTAGTCTTATCACTCCCACCAACACCATATGCACTCACTGAAGAGGGTGGCATATCATAGACATTAAAGGCCAAAAGAGGTTGCGACGCGAGCTGCTTCCACTTCCACCCCTCGCACGTTACGCCGGCCGACCTTATGCATGTTGCTTCCTTCCAGAACTGCAAACAAAATTTGCCTTCTGGATCGAACGAGAATTCTGAACCTTTTTGGTGGTAGATTGGTGTGCAGTTTCGGGGTGAATTGCCTGTCACAACTTCAGCACCGGTATCATTTCGCCAGACAAGAGTCCATGCGTTGGCGCAGGAGAGTAGGGTAAGGGCGAAGCATGTTAGAAGTAGTAATGGTAGACGAGCCATTGCTATGGCTGGTAAATGCTGCTTCCGAATCCTAGAAAGTATCGGCTGTCAGCCAGTTAGTGGGGGCTGTCTGGGAATAAGTATTTGTCAGTTGCACCCTCATCCTGGTATGCGCTAGGGATCGGGCCTATCCCGCTGAGGCCGCAGGCATGGATAAAGATTGTTTGCACGGCGGGTGGTGTGGATAATCTTTACTTAAAAGGAATCCGGAGCATTTGGCAGGAGCTCAAAATGAAGCGCACTAGAACCAATTCAGACACAACGGGATTATCATGTCACGGCGAGGTCCCTTGATGAGGTTAGCCATGGTAAACCTTGAGGATTGCAGAGCCTCTGTCAGGGCAGGATATCCCCTGATTGGATTGTAACACTACCCGAAGGCCACAACTCGTGCGCCCCAGTGGGTGTTTGAGCCCCCTTGGGTATGATCCAACAATCTTGGCCCTGCAGTTAACATTTTGAAAGGGGCTGATTGGTGACTAATTGGCCGAATACGAGGAAATGGATGCAAGGTGGAAACAAGTCCTCCAATTGGGCTAATTCTAAGGGGTTCGATCAACTAAGGAGGGAAGTCCCGTCAAGATGAATACTTGAAGTTGGAAGACAACGGGCCTATCCTTGTGGAGACTGGGAATCAATTGGCCAGAAGCGAACATTGTGATCTGGAAGATCACTTAATGTTGCAGTCTTGACGCGGAGTTGAATAACATAAGGAGGTTGAATAACTTAAGGATCCGCACGTATGACTAATGGGTCGTCTGCATGGATACCCAAACAGGAAGGTGTTATCACAAACCCTGTGAAGCGCTGTACATGATAGTCAGCCTTACAGAGGACATTACTTTAACCCTCTCTCCGTAGCTGAATGAGATATGTATGAAGTGTTCTTCCATACATGCCTCGTCGAATCACTCCCATGACTCACTGATTATCTCACATCGTCCCGGATATGTATGACGTCATCACCTTGTACCCTAACCTGAGCAATTTACTGTCTAGTAGGGTATAGGAGCCCCTTCAAAAGGCTGAGTTATGGGTCACCCACTCATGAGCAAACCCCCCTCTCATGACGCCTGACTGTACTGAGCACGATCCACAGGATCTGATCAAGTGGTGACGCCAGCGGGGCCGCCGGGACTCGAAGCTTAATATCTTCCTGCGTTCAATGCGGCCGGAAATTACCTAATAAAACATACCTTACTGCGGTGAGAATTCCAATGTCCGTACTTCAATTCTGGAATCCTTTGCCGGTTCATCATGCATAGGGTTTTAAATGCCCAGGCATAGTGGATATAAAACACCCAAGTGGGGTGAACGCGGAACACCGGTATGATCGTTGTAGATCGAGTCTTAAAGGTTAATTGGGGTGTGGGGATTTGACAGAATATGCTCCGAGACAGCCTTGGAAGTCAAGGAGTCTTACTATTCGGGAAATAACCTTTCATGGAGAACCGCAGGCTCCAATCGGCCAGACAGCAATTCACCAATGGCTATGCAGGACGGGCACCACAAACTGTAACCCAGAGGTAGAAACCCTGAAAAGCAAAGAAGTCATCACTGAAGCTTCCAGCCTAGGTGGGATCCAGGTTTCCATTGACTTTTGAGCCCGTGCCCTAAACTCCCAGTCCGATCATGTTGCATAGACTCGTCTCCTGCACGTCATTCCGATCATAGCTTCCGCTGCTCCCGACCTGTTCCTCTCCTGGAGCGTCCGACTCTATTACCCCCTTATCCTCCCCGTCGCGTAGTCAGTAGTTGCTAGTTTCGCGGCAGTCTCAACACAAGATATAGACCGTTTTTCTACTGTGCTTCGAAGGACATTTTGTACCCATCACTTTGGTAAGCACGGCGAACTCTCTCGCCAAGATAGTGAAAGAGCTAACGATTTCTAGACTATGCCCGCCATCCAGGACTTAACTCCCCGAGCCCGGGACCACATCATCAAGCGAGGCAATTGGGCTAGCAGGAATCCTGGTGTTGTCTTAGTCTTTGTAATCGTTTTTATCGTGGGCGTCGGCATCATCTCTCTATTTTTATACCGCGCATGGATGGCTCGGAAAGCAAAGAAACAGACCTACGAGATAGAGGAGCAAAAGTGAGCCACGGAATATCGAGCGTATATCACCACGACAGAGACAACTACTCGCTGGGAATGTGATTCATGTTCGTCCGAATAAGTCCAATCTGGAATTGGCGATACCCACTCCTGTTAATTTGCGGTGTATGGGATGTGTGATGGAACTCGACGGATGAGGAGTGTCGGATGGAAAGGGGGCTTACACTATACGGCGTTTCTTCTAGTATTTACTGGCATGGTTAATGAGGTTGATATTCATAATCTAGGAGTTAATGAGAGATACTTGAGAATATTCATTCAACATGACTGAGTAGGGAACATATGTAGGTAGGAGTTAATACGAAGGGACCCATCAGGCCATCTATTCGGCACTCGTTATGACCGAAAGAATTATGCACTGCCGCATACTATTGGTGGATGGGATACGAGCTCTTGGCACTAGTTTGATATCTAGCTCTCGACTTTTAAAAACACCTGAATTTCCTTCTTTCCCAACACGCTTGAATATCTGTGCACTTGTACTTATATTGCTGGAAACATGCCTTCTCTGCTTTACGTATCTTCTGTCCTGCTAGCCACGTCATCTGCGACAGTAACATACCTTTATTTCTTCCACCGTTCTCTCGGACATCGGCTCCACCACGAGTTCCACCAAAACACTCTTCCCGATTCCGTTTCTACAATCGCATCGCTTCCCCCCAAAGTATTTAGTGGAGAATGTCGTACATTTTATGACCATGCTTCTCGCCGCATCGATCGTAAACTACTCCCAACGCGAAAGCTAGAAGACATATTTACTCTCTTTCTACGTCGCAACATGACAGCTTTCTCCCGCTTTCCTCAGGCTTGGATAATCCGGTTGAATGTCACACCTGTAGATCGCAGAACATTTCATGCGTCTCATATTCAGTCGCTGCAGTTCAAAGAGGGCGACCTCATTTGCGGTCTCTACCGCGTTCAAGAACGGGCAGACAACAGAGTCGTGCTAGAGCTTCTTTTCGAGGGGGAAGTGAGTGGACGACTGGTCTTGCGATATTGGGAGGATGGTGACGACGTTGTATTCTGCACTGATACGATCATGTGGATAGGAAAGGCTCCCAGCGGACAAAGAAAGCGAGTCATTGTGCCTCTGGAGAATCCCATTCTTCGTTTCTTGCATGAGCTGGCAGCGTGGTGGTTGATTGATTCCGGCGTGGCTTATCTGATGGATCTTAAGGCAGCCGAGCCGATGTTGGAGAAACGCGCTGAATGAAAATAGGCAGGTTCCTTGAGGAACACGATGCTAGTGTTGAATGGAGCTGCATATAGACTATTCCTCGAGATGATTTTTTGTTTTGTGACTTTGTTCTCTTGTTTTCCTTTCATTATGGTCGCTATTATCGTTTTAGTGTATAAAACACCTTCTGTGGGCGTTAAGGTCTTGTCTTCCTCCCATGGATATCGTATTTTTCCTCTCACTCTATCATCGCAGCCAAAGCTATTGATACCGACCACCATATTTTCATTTCACCTAGCATCACTGTGTCTAATAGGCACATTGCATCGTTCACATTTGACAGCTGTACCAAAATCTTCAACTCGATGCGAGCGGATAGTACTGGAGCTTGCCATCAGGTCCACAAAAAGCTCGATCAGTTAAGGCATAACCATTCCCTTGGCTGTTTAAAGTGTGATGCATACCAGACAGACGGTCCAACCGGCCAGTCTTCGTCAGCAACCCTTTCACGATATATACCTCTGGAAGGAGCCGCCACGGATCTCCGAATTGTACGTTGTCACGCGGTGGTGAACTTTCGCCTAACGGGGATTTTGGGCGAGGATTCTGGGTTTCATTCATGTCGGAGTGCTCCAGTGCTTACCAATTCCGGCAATTGGGCATTACATGATGGACCGGGACCACTCTCAAAAAAGATAGATTGAGGAACTACACTATGGTATGGCTTGCTCCTTCAGTAAGGTATAGGTGTATAGGTACCGGGCGATCGGGTGGCTGATAGTTGTTAGGAAAGGGTACGGTGCTAAGAGAACCTTGCAGAAGCTAGAGTTTTACTTACCTTGGTTCATTATCATAGCTCTAGAACTAAAGAGCATCAGTCAACAAAAATTGCGGAGATGGAAATAGAAAAGAAATGAGAGGCACGCTTGTGGTCGAAAAAATGAAGCTTCATTAGTTACTAGGGTTCAGTATTAAACGATCGCCACGTACGTTTCCCTAGGTAAGTACTAACCATACTAGCATGAGTTATTTAAGCTGTCTAGTTGGCAATCATGTTCCCTATTTGCCCTTCTGTTTGTTTACCCTCCTACATTACGTCCATGGCACGGTCCATCATTTTAACATAAACGGAGTACCCTTGACACTTCAAATTCCACAACTATAAAGGCAACCATTTTCTTGTCGTAACACATGCTAGGTCTTGATACTTTGACAAAGAATCCTTTCAAGTATCTATACTAGTATATCTAGTCCGTTGATCGCGGTCGGCTAAGTTACAACCAACCTCGCCTCTATGATATATATTTATGGGCACAGAGAATATAAATCAGCTTACCATCAGTTCAGCATATATACTTTAGCAACCATGATAACCCAATAATGACTCTACCGATAATTAGACACACTCCGGATTTAGATACTCCATGTTGAGTATAGCTTGGTCTGCTCTGGGGGCAAGCATACGAACGTGAAAAGTTTCAACTTTCGAATAGGCTCTGAAAGACAGGGTATTTGTGATCAGAAAATACAATATGAATTGGATGTGCCTCCGCTAGGCTGTTATCCGTGCATTGGCGTACAGAATATCTGCTATGTGCCTCATGTTTCACTTGTGATGTGGGACTGGTCGGGTTAATGAGGTTCAGGGTCGCCCTGGCAGAGGTTTCTTTCGAGAACAAAACTTAGTTCTAGAAAGGATTTACAGTGTTTCACTTGACGCTGTGAAAATCATATTGATCATGCCAAGTGCTGAGGCTGTGAATGTCGACAAAACCATGGTCCGCGTGGACTGTGGAGAGATTTTCGGAGGATACTCGGTGAATTTATATGTGGGATGTCATCGACTGGAACAAAGCACCTAGTATGTTGGGTATTGTAATCGTTTGTTGCTTTATGCTTCTATATAGTGCAAATTGTAGAGAGAAGAGGGGAGCCTGTATGCCAGTACCGAGGGAAGTCTTGCATTGGATAATTTGGCATGCTCAGGTTCAAGGCACACCCTTCTGTTTTGCTGCTGGCACCACCGGTGGTGGAAATGCCAAGCCTGCTGCCCCTTCCAGCTTGAAGGTGTACACATGTTTGATCTAGCGAATATCGTCTACGTTTGCGTACAGGTGTTCATATGCCTCTAGGCTTGTACAATGGCTGACAGATGACACCCCTCGTGCTCTCATTGATCGTGAGTGGAATTTCACTGGCACCGAGGATACTACCAACGACCGGTGCTGCGTCACCAAGGTTACTACTTGCGAGGGTGGTACCTCGAAGGGCCAGGCTTGGATCCAGGACAAGTGTGCTGATGGCAAGTTTGAGCCCTGCAAGTGGGACAACGCTGCTCGTAAGGCGATCGAGGTCGGCTCCAACAAAGAGTATCGTCGGTGTTGGAAACAAGGGTGTTATCCGTGGAAAGGGTCTCCGCATTACCAACGGCAACAAGAACGTGATCATCCAGATCATCCACTTCACTATAAGTTCCGATTTAGAGCACCGTTACTGGGCGTCCCAGCTAGACTCTATCAGGAATTGAACCCTCAGTCACTTTCACTGGTTGCGACCAGATCTGGATTGATCACAACAAGGTGAGGGTATTCCCGTGAAAAAGCATATATGTGCAAAACTGACCAAGTGACTAGTTCTCCCTCATCGGTCGTCAGCACATCGTCAGCGGCTGGCAGCCTGCCGGACACGTCACTATCTCGAACAACGAATTCGACGGCCGCACTTAGTGATCTGCTGGATGCAAGGACCCTCCTGCTCATCGGTGAGAAGGACTACTACACCTTCACCGGTAAATGAGTCCACGACATCTCCGGCCGTGCTCCTCATATGCGAACCACTAAGACCAACTCCGGAAACTCCTTCCACGGCGTGAAATAACTACTTCCAGAACATCAGTGGTCATTCCTTCGACGTCGATACAACACTTGGATGCCCCCTTGAGCGCAACGTGTGGGAGTCCGTTGGCACCCCAATCACCGATACTGCCCTCAAGAGCGGCACTGTCATCTATAACGTCTCCAACACCCGGGCTGGCCGTGGCCGCGATCGCTAGGAGCTGTGAGGTCGGCCAGTTGAGCAAGTCTGCACAGTTCCCTCGCGCCGATGCCGATGTTCTGAAGAAGGCCAGCACCTACAAGGCGTCCATTCCTCCTAACACTCCCGTTGCCAATGTCCCTAAGAACGTCACGGCCAACGCGGGTGTTGCCAAGCTCAAATAAATGAGTGAAGCGAAAACGAACTGACGCTTCGAGGGGAGATACATTGAAAGGTGTTTTTCACTTCGATTCTTCACTTTTTTTCGATTCTCCAGCTACCTTTTCGGGCTGTCCTGTAGATACTTTTATTTAGGCCTTAGAAAGGAACGCAGTGTGCCATTAGTCAGCTTTTACTAATCTTCGGCCTCGGCCTCGGAGTCTGCTGACCAACATGACATCACCATTCTAGGGTTCTCGTTGAGAAAAGTACGACCTAACGATTCTCATGATGCTACAATCCTGCATATAAACAGGACAGCAGCTTGAATCGGTCAGACACAGAATTCACATAGAACCATTAAGCATCTACCTCCCGTGGTAACGAAAATGACCATCGCCCTCCTGATCACCGGTGCGACCGGCAAACAAGGTGGTGCTGTCGTCGACGGCTTACTCGCCCAAGGCGCAGATGTGGAGATCCTCGCCGTCACCCGCAATGCGCAGTCTCCATCGGCCCAGAAATTGGCTCAAAAGTCGGAAAAGATCAAGCTCGTCCAGGGTGATCTGAACAACCCCGCGGGGATCTTCGACAATGCCAAGAAAACTTCATCTTTGCCGGTTTGGGGGGTGTTCAGTCTGCAGGTATGAATGCGGATACACTACGAGGAAATGAACGTTTAAAATAAAATAAAATAAAATAAATAAATAGAAATGGAGGCTAACGTTGACGGAACAGAACCCCTTTGCCAAAGGCGAGAGTCTCGAAAGCGAAGAACGCCAAGGAAAGGCACTGATCGATGAGGCTATCAAAAATCGCGTGCAACACTTCGTCCAAACATCCGTAGATCGTGGCGGCGATGCGTCGACCGATAACCCGACGAATGTCCCCCATTTTATCACGAAGTATAATATCGAACAGCATTTGTTCGAGAAGACTAAGGATGGATGCATGGATTGGACGGTTCTCCGACCTGTGTTCTTCTTTGACAATCTTACACCGGACTTTATCGGCAAGGTGTCTGTTACGGCGTGGGACGCGTATCTGGAGGGAAAACCACTCCAGTGCATTGCCACCAGTGATATTGGAATCATTGCGGCCAAGGTCCTCTTGCAGCATGACCGATTCAAGAACCAGTGTCTGTCCCTGGCTGGCGACGAGCTTACCTTCGAGCAGATGGCGAAGAAGTTCAAGACCCAAACGGGAAAAAGCATCCCGACGACATTCCATCTCGTGGCGTATTTCATCATGATGGTGGCTAAGGATCTGAGGCTCATGTTTAAATGGTTTTATACCCAGGGATATGGTGCGGATATCAAGGAGATCAAGAAGATTCATCCGGGTTTGAAGGACTTTGATACCTGGTTGAAGGAGGAGAGTCAGTTTACGAAGCATTAATGTGTAATACCTATGCTAGTTTATGTCTACTGCTGTTGGGTTATAGCTCTTTTAATGTTTTACTCATCTAATGTACTTAGTGGAGCTTGATCTGGGGTCTGGGGATCAGTTCTGTCTGGCGTTTCTGGGTTGCCAAAACGGGTCTGAATGATCGATAAAAATGAAGTTATTCCGCAATGTTGTTTGTCTTTCATCGTCACAAATTGCTTTCACTTCAAAGAACTGAATCTCCTCCGACATTAATGAAAGATCATAGGCCATCCTACCCTGAGGACACTCAAGGGACGGAAGAACCTTCCTTACCAGCGTTCTCCTTCGCATAAAGCTGCGCAGCGAAAGAGAAACACTCCCGATTACGAGCGCAGAACTCCATCACACTATCAGCGTACTCCTTCCCAACATGCAACTGCTCTTCCAATCTATCTACCACAACAGCACTAGATTCTTGCCTTGCATGACCCTCCCTCTGCTGAGCTCTCAAGAACAAGGGAGCAACGTAATCCCTAGCGGCAGAGAAGCCAGATCTCAGAGCTCGAGCAAAGTCATCTACACCAGTACGGAACGTCTTCGACAAATGGTTGCTTTCACCACCGGTCTGTTGGCAAGCAGACATACTATACTCAGCCGACCACCCATTACGAAGAAGCCCATTTTCATCCTTGTCACCGACTTTGGCGCTAATATAGTAAGCCCGAGGAATAAGTGGTTTGATATCTTCATGTTCTCCGTGGTCTTTGACATCGGCATCCGCCACAACACCGCTACGCTTGGATACCTTCAGCGTTGCTGGAACGAGGCGGAAGGACTTGGCTTCGGTAAACCCGAGCATGTGCGCAGGTAGACATCCCTCCGATCTGTGGATTACTCGGATGACCTCGCCATCGCAGGAATCGGAGCTATACAGGGCAATCTCGTATCGATCGTCGTGGGGGTTCTCCTTTTCCATGCGCGTTGATTGTGTGATGCCAGTTTGGAACTTCTCGCAAGAGTTAGGGTGGTTTGTGTGATGAGTGGCTAATGGTGTGCTGTCGCATTCCTTGTCTTGATACTCGATGATGCGGTAGGAGGAGGCATGCGGGGCTAGGAGGCATAGCAATGCAATGTGGGATACAACATGAGTTAAGATATTCATCTTGATTATGGTGCGTGAACCCTCGAGGAGAAGGCTTAGGGCCTCTTTAAATATAAGTAAGCTGTTTGAGGACCGATCCTAAAGGGGCGTGGATGTTGGGCGATGACTTGGCCCCCCATATACATGCAAGAGACCCACCGTTAGGACGTATGAGAATCAGATTTGACCTGCATCCTTACGCGGTTGAGCCCCCTAGATGGTAGCCCACCAATGCCACCTCAGCCCGGGTGGGCCTTCGGAGTGTAACCATCTGTTCGCCGAAAAATAATACAATTTCCCTTGCCAATGAAGGGCACGTAGACTGACGATCATCTGGGAATGCCAAAGTCCACTCTCCAATAATCCCTCTACGCCTAACACAAAGTGTCAGGTAGTTAAGGAAAACATCAGCTGGGTATCACCTGAAGAGACCGAACGGGTCAGTATTTCTCTCCACTAGGAAAGCATCCATATGCACCTCTTAATGAACACGACACAACCCCGAAAGCCACAAGGCAACAGTGAAAGTCAACTGGCGAATTTAAACTAAATTCCTAACAATCCCAGTACCCTCTGGATTGTCTAGAAACACGAGTAGCTAGCGCCCAAAGAAAAGCCCAAGATACATACGCCAATCAACAAGCAACAAGTACCCTACCATATCCCATGAGCCGCCAACCCACCCCATCTCAGCTCTTCACCACTATCAACAACATCAAACCGAAAATGCGACTCAGGCCCATCCTTCGCAAACTTTGCTGCATTTTCAAAAAGTCCTTCTCAGTCTTTCTGATGGGCAAGGGCCCAATCACCCGTAGGAGCCATCTCCTTTTTCACCGCGGGGATGTCGTCAAATCCATCGATACTCAATAAATCTTGTCCCTGAGGTCTAACACAATGGTCTCTACAATCTTTGTTTCCAAGTCATGCGCGCGAGTGTATTCCCTAATGGACAGCTTCCCGTTCTGGCGCACCTCTCTAAGAAGGTGATATAGTGCGTCAAATAATAGCATCCTGCCTCTTCCGCGTCTGATTTCATTGATCTAGATGGAAAGTAGCTTGGTGATTTCACCCTTGAAGTGCTTGAGAACGACTGTATACTCGGAGCAATAGCCAAGGGCTACCTTGTAGAGGAGAGTGTAGACCTCCGAGCCTGATAGACGGCGTTTCCAGGCGCTGTCGAGGTGTCTACGGAGACCATATCCAGAGGCGAGGAGATCAAGTGGGACGAGGCGGAAAAGGTCGCCCTCGTCTGTCCGGAGACTCTCCAGGGAGGAAAAAAGGAAGTCCCGCTTTGGCAACCTCCGGTGCGAGGCCACGGTCGACGGGACGCTCCTCGGCGGAAGCGCCCTCGAACGTAACTTTCGGTCTGAAAGGTAACATGATCACGTTCTGCGAGGATTAGGGTTCTAGGATCAAGGTAGGTGTGGGTTTTCGACATGCTTATTTCCTGGAAGGCTGTTACGGGAGAAGTCTATATCGTCTTCCGTGGAGTTACTTCATTCTTACTTACGCTTTCTGGCGGCTGTCATAGAGACATAACTTTGCCGAATACATGACGTCTATGACTGTGGGGACTTACGTTGCCTTTCTTGGGCGCTTCTCTTATTATCGGGGTTTGTTTTGACATTTCCAGGTGGAATTATCCGGCGGGAACCGTGGATGTCTCGAGCTAGTTGTCATGGCTACTAGTCAGGGCAACTTCCAGACTAGGCATGAATCTATAAGTATTCGAGGCTGTTGATGTGAGATACGTGGTATTGGTCTTCACATATACTAACAAACGCAAGCGGATGAAATATTTATGCCGAGGAATTACATACGATCGTTATAGAAACTAAGCGACTAGTACTACAACAATCCCAACAAATTAACCGCCGAGCTCCTCTTCGACTTCTTCCCGTCGACATCCAACCCCATCAACCGACGAACCGCCATCTGCGCGCCCCTCACCACGTAATCCATAGTCACAACCGAGTCATTCGGAATATCTACAAACTGCCCGATAAGCGCAATATTCTCCATCCCCTCCGGGATAACATGCGGCCGATCACCGCAGTTCCGGGGTAGCAATGTTGCAGTCATCCGCGGCACAACGGAGGGAATAGTGATCGAGCTTTTGAGAATCTTCTCCACAGGGAACTGCAAATGACAAAGTATCTCCTCCATAATATCCTTCCCGGGGCAAGCCAACATAGGCTTCATAACATAGTCTCCGACAGCCTCGGGGCTCAGACCATAGCCCCAGAGGACTTGCACGTCGTCGGGCTGATCAGGGAAAAGCGGCTGCTTCGGGATATTCAGACTAATGACCCAGCTACTATCTTTTAGTGTCACGAACGCCGCCGTCCCGGGTTCGTTATCTGTTAATTTGGTGAATCGAGAGAAGAAGTCAGGATCCTTAAGCGTGACCGTGAACGATTCAAGGCGAGATTCGGGCATGCGTGTACAAAAATTATACGCGTTCCCGAATTTGGGGTCCTTTGTACATAGCTCGAGCCATAGAAGCCAGTTTTCGTCGAGGTCCTTCTCGATCTCCGTTAGCGTCAGTGAGGGTGGTTCGGTGTTGCTGCCGGTCGTTGTCCCGGACATGACTGAGCCCAGAGAGACGATGACGATGTCGTTTGGTCCGACGTCGATCCTGTGGTCGCGCTCGTCTCCTCTGTGTGCGCAGATAGAGGATACGCGCTTTTGTTCGTTGGCCGTGTCGATGACGATATCCGAGACGGTCGTATTGAATTGGAAATCAACCCCTTGGGAGGTTAGAAAGTGGGCGATAGGAGCGACGATGGCCTCGTGACGATTATACCGGCCGGAGTCAAGCACGCGGGGAAAGTTGAGGTTGTGAATATCGTGCATAAATTGGGCGATGTATCGCCGGAATTCGGCGGCGCTGTGCCACGGCTGGAACCCGAACCTGGAGATGGTTATTCCTGATAGTCACATCACGTTTCTGGGTGCCAACGCTCACGTTGTGGCTAGCACTATCCAATAGTTACTCTTGAAGAAAGCCTCATTGAAATGGTCCTTAATGCGTGTTCGCCCTAGAGTCTTCTCTGGCTTTGAGGTAAGCATGAAGAGATCGATGCGGTCGCGCAACCCAAGGTTGATTTTCCGGGGATCGATACGGCCCAAGCTTTGTGGTTTATTAGTTAGAAGGCGTGTGTGAGATATGCGATCCACGAGGCCGGTATTGGCGTACTCGAGGATGTCGTCTAGGGCTGTTTTGTTTTTTTGTGTTCTTGATGGGACGAGTTTAAGTAGTTCCTGCATGGGAGCTCCATTGAACGGAGGCATTCCTCCGGCGCGAAAATTGTATCCATTTACTGGATCGCCTTCGCTAATTGATCCTCCGCCTGCCATCCGAAGCTTTTCTATTATATGGACTTTCTCTGGTGGCACATTGGCTTCCTGGATTAAGTGAACGGCGGCTGTGAGGGAAGCGATGCCGCTCCCGAGGATCCAAACGTCCAACCTATCGGGCGGGCGCTGCGACTTGCCAACGAGGTTCAAGGACGTGCCCGATCTAGGAGACCTGAGGCTGGGCATGATGATCGTGTCTTGTATAGCAGGACAGAGAATGAAGAAGGCAATTTACCAGGGGAGAGGGCAGCTAGAATACATCTATTGTGATCTCCATCGAGCTTTTATTGAAGACAAGTCCAGATGGACCGGTGGCAATGAGAGTTTCTCTGATGTAAGACCTTACGCTATCTTCTGGGTGAGCTTCAAGTCGCCGGGTTCTGATAGGAACCTTGGAACGAACAGGTCAAATGTCTGGTAGACTTACTTTGATTTGCGGAATCGATAAGTCTGGATCGCTGCCGTTATGACGCCACATAGCCAATTTCCTCCATATAGCTTCTTTACTTTCCGCGGAAAGAAGGAAAAGGGTCTGTACGAGGGGATTTTGCAACCTTAAACACACATATATCTCTCATAACAGGTGTTGATTGGTAGGTAATATCAGGAACGCTTCCAGCCACCATTCACAAATATAGCTCATGCCTAGAACGGTATCAGGACCACTGCAATACATAAACATTTAGTCCACGAACGGTCTTTCTTTCCTGGATTTAACAAGTATATCGTAATATTCCTGCATTGTTCTGCGACCCTTCCCTTCAAAATACTTAGGCCCAAGGTCAGCAGTATCATATCCGTTGGGATAGTACTTTTCTGCTTCGTCCCCGGGCAAAGGGAGCCCTAACAACCAACTAAACCATGCTGACAGACCCCAGCGGTTCCATAGTGTTGGCCGAACGTAGTATGGTGCGCCACTCCAAATCCGTACATAGTAACGACCATATTCGTTGACGTCGGGCGTGAAGACCTCCTGACGGAGGAAGTTTGGTCGTGGAAGACACAAATACCGCAAGTAAAACCTGCGGACGGCCACAAGGGAGGCAAATATGGCTGAGTAGATCCGCGGAGGTGCTTCATAGCTGCGATTCAATCAGTAACTGGAAATTCACGTCGCCAAAAAGATCTCACATCATCGCCTCTCTCAATCTTTCATCCATCATGCATGATGCGAATCTTATACCCACGCCTTTCACCCAACCGGGCAATACGTAGACCAGCACATCCATAGTCTTATCCGCTACAGCCTTGTTCTCCGGACTGGGCTTCATATGTTCCGCTTCGTACTGATGGCTCCACTCCGTAATCTCCTCGATGAAGTGTAGTCCATCCCGGAACCCGACCTTCCCTGATGGCAAGACGCCGAAGTCAATCTCTAATGCGTCACCTAAATTCTTCCAGTACGTGCCAATGGCACATTTCTCCAACTCGCTCAAAGTTCGCCATTCGAATATCTCCACGAAGCGAATCGGTTCGATCGCAAATAGGCTCAGGGTATATAGCATGTCGGATTCGAGAATCTTACCACTAGCCCGGTACCAGGTATGAAGGAACTTCGTTCGCGCGATAGCATTAAGGGCGCGGTCGGAAGTCGGGCAAAAGGTCATAAATTGGCCAATGAGAGCACCTGTGTCGGCGTATCGCTTGAAAGAGGTCGCCGTGTTGGAGAATTGAGATGTCTTCAGTAGTAGGCTTGAGATTGAAGGGATACCGTATGTCTAGTTCGGCTAATCAGCACTTGTCTACCTCGTCTAGGGTTGATGTGCCCACCCGAAAAAGCGCGAACTGAAGAGCCTTCAACGAAATCGACGGAAACTCAAGTTGGAGTATCTGTTTTTGAATAGCCCATGCATCATTATCGGTCATGTGCGCCATCCCTTGACGCGTTGAGTATTGGGGGTATTTTCGGTGCATTCTGCGTAGCCTTTGGAATCGTAGATATGTGACCAGTACGAGATAGGCTGCGATGAGGGTCGCGGACGTGGTTATACGCCTGGTGGGATTTGCCCACAGCACGGTCAACATCTGATCGAAGGGGATGTCTTCCGACAAAGGTATTATGCGAGAGAGATATTTCTCCATCATTGATATCAATCAGTTCAACTAAGCTGTCCTCTATGGTGTCTATCCGAGTCATAGAGGAGTACAAGAATGCTACCTTTATACGCGTCATCCGCAACTTCCATCTTGTAGCACCAAGATGCCCAACACGTCTGCATGTGCCCGGACACGACTCAATATCCGTCAGGCCACCATCTCGCAGGCTAGATGGACCCAGGTAGTTTAGCAGTCTCAGTCATATGCGGCGATCTCTAATCTACCGCAGGCCGAGGGTAGGGATGAGGAATTGCGGGGAAATATGTCGATCAGCCGTGCGGGGGACGAACGATCAAAAGATAATAGCAAAACGGCGGGCTTACCATCCGAACCTCCGATCCCTTCTAGCAAATAGAAGAAAGAGCATTGGTCGGAAGGACCGAACCGACATCATATGAGCCGCCGAGCAGCGATAAGCTGGCGACGAGGAGATATACGGCAGTGTGAAGAGATCCGGGGTTGAAAGTGCCGAATGAACAGGAGGATTTATCGATCAGGAGCACAAAACGGGGTCTATGAATTATGTACGTCTCATGGGTCATGTCAGAACTCTCTCGGTGGTCAAGGGCCAAAACTTGGTATCATCGCAAGCCTCAGTGTAAAGTCACCGAAAGCAGATCCCGAATATTACCCTACTAGACATATCGACGTCAGGACATCGGGATATAAAGGACTCCTGCGTGATCAGCATCTGATAGGATGAGGAAACAGGGTCATGGCAATGCTGTTATTGTCTATTGGGTACTGGGCTAACCGGTGATCGTCGCACAAGCCGGTGCGGCGTGAAATAGCAGGTGTAGGCAGAACCACGCTGTCACCAACTGGTTTGCTGTATGGTTCTTTAGCCCTTAATCTAATCGATTAAAGCCATCTATCTCCCCTACTCTTTTCACGAAACGTTTTGGACATGAGCCTGACATTCCTATACGGAGAGACTGAAATTATGGGCAACAAAGGAGTTCCTTTGTGGCTAAAGGATTAGATGGGACTCTACATGCCAGAAATTCTGTAGTTAATTGAGCTGATAGCTCTAGTAAAGGTATTCTCTTATGAATACAAACATCGAACCTTGGCTTTATAGACCTGAGTACGCCTTAAGGTATAGTAGATTCAAAAAGGTATATGCACCGCGAAGTAAAAACAGACCAAAGTACTGCAGACTTAAGCACCACATTCCATCAGGTTTTATCAGACTCATCCACGAAACGCTATCTCAGTGTGCATTACAGATAGTCCAGCCATCAAGATAGGTACAGTGTCCCCTTCGGCTGCCCTGTCGGGTGAAGAACATTGCTATAGAAATCTATCTAGTCTTTAGGGAACGCTAGCAACGTGACCAAAACCAACGCCAGTAAGATCAACATTCGACATATCATCCGACCATTTTCTCATTTCCCTGGTAAGCATCATTTGCGTGCCCGATACCAAAGACATACTCCTAGCCGGCGGCCAAAGAGCGTCGCGATCGTCCACGCATCGATTAATACTTGTCTCAACCCTAATTTCACCCGGGGCGATGCTCATCCGGCGTTCAGACTTGTGAGTATTGGGCGTACGGTATGCCTGCGCTCGCACTTCAGAGTAACGGTCCTGTGAAAAGTTCGTGCAGTGTTTTTGGAACGGCCAGTAGTCCTCAAACTCGGTATATTCGGATGCGGTAAGTCGACCTTTGGATTGATGATAGCGGTGTTTACAAGATTGCGCACAACGTCTAAATATTGGAGGCATTAGAACAACCGAGGCGCACACGATAGCAAGGTCGATTTCGAGTAACGTCCATACTCTCTCTTTCGTCCCGCTTTCTGAGAATTATTAGCTGAAGTTGGGGGTACTATTCCCATCTACACCATACTCACCACTTAAATTGCCGGTGTGGTAATCTCGAAATTCTATCAGTCGCATAAGGCTACAAACACACACCCTAAGCACGTCAATAAAAGGACATTTGATGTGAGAGACTTTCAAGAACCTTACACTCCACCGACAGCAAATAGGATCGTCACCAGTATCTTTCTCCGGGGAGACATCTGCAATCTCCACACAATGGCAATAGGGGTTATAAGGAGCACAATATCCTCGAGTAGTGATACAGCTCCAGTGGCCATAAAAAGGGCCTTCTGTCCATGGATACAATATCCATCGACATCTTTGTTCCAGAAATACTGTGGCGGCCAGCATTGGAAGGTATTTGCAAGAAGAGCCGCCAAACCCCATGACACAGTGAAGACAATAAGAAATATGGTCAGAGAGCGCACGATTTTCACAGTCCCCAGCAGCCTGCGGAGAAGGATTATGATCGACACCTTAACGCAAACCTGCGAAGGAGGCCAGAACTTCTGGGTAATCCAGAACATCTTGTATGTTTTAGCATATTGTCCATTCCGATGCTTAATGTCGCATACCATTGTTACGCGGCGAGCAGTCTTCGCCGGCAAGGTCGAAATATCCTCCCCAACACCCTCAAACGTCGCTAATCCTGTCAATCTTCACATAATTAAATTCAAAGCACGTTGTACGTACCGATGACCGTGGTTATGGTGATGCCATAGGACAAGAGAAGCCCTAGACCTAGAAATACGTCACCAGCGTCTAGACTTCCGGCGCTCAAATGATGGCTACACAGGCGGAGAAAGTAGAACAGTGTGGCTAACACAGCGCCAGCAATCGAAAGGGCGATGAGTAGCCGGCTCCAATATTCGGGAGTGGTCATTAGCTAGACCCGACCTCCACTTGTGTTGAGATAAGCCCACTGAGATGCTGTAGTCACAATACTGTATTGGATGATCGAGTTGGCACTTGGATTCATCATGGACCGACTCGCCTCACGGCGACTAAATAATATATGCGAGACAGTACAAGACAGAGGAGCATGCGGTAAGAAAGACTCGTTTACCGCAAGCAGCTTGGTGACAGTATTTGATTATAAAACGCTTGCTTGTTTTTTTTTTTTTTTGTGTATTCAGGAAAGTCGTGATGTCACAACATTTAGGTCACAAAGTGGCGTCGTGAACCATGGAAAGCCAGAACAACTTGCTCGGATGTCATTGCGGATTTTCAGGGAACCAAAATCCTAATTATTGGCCGTCGGTCAGTTCCGCAATGCTGATTACCTCGACGGAACGATTGAGCACAGGCATCTCATGCCTCTCATACCTCTCTGGGGCAATGGAGGGTGTCGTGGAGGCCCCATCTGGCATCATCACCAACTCTCTGGCCAACTTTGGCGTTGGCAATTTCTTCTTCTATACATCTCTATGTGGAGGGAAACAAATCCCGACCGAAATTCTAGAAGCTGCATTGGATCCATCTTTCTACTGGTATCAATTACCCTCAGCCTGATCCATCGCTTCCTTAGCCGCACATGCGACCCGTGCAACCTCCCCGCCCTCCGTGGAGATCTGACTCAATCTTTCCTTCCAGAACTTCCACCGTTCAGGACATAGCTTCGCCGGTCCCTGGTACAATGGGCCACCAGCCATAGCGCGTTCCTCCTTCTGCTCTGCAACTGTGGTTTGCTGTTGCAAAACAGGTCCGCTGTGTCTGAACCACTCCCTAGCCACGGCAATATTGCAGTCAAGCTTCGCGCCCGAAGAATCTTCCTCGAGGGCATCGCGCAGAGCCCATACAGCGAAATTCGACCATTCCACAATACCTAGGGGTAGTAGGCGTGCGATGAATGAGTTTAGGCTGATCCAGTCCTGAACGCCTTGGTCCGATTCTGTGGCTTCCTTGGCTGTTGGAACCACTAGTAGTAGTCTGTCAGCCTTTGTTGATACATGCCCGATGGTGCGTGGTATACGTACGATTCCAAGCTTCTCTCATCTCTGGCCCCAGAAGTGGTAGGTCCACCCAAAGACTCGTATCATCCTAGGATTCTCAGTGAGAGCTTAAGAAACGGAAGGTGGAAAAGGACACTCACCCCCCAAATTTGTATTTTTGTTGGTTGTATCTCAGTCAACGCCTTCACAAGCTGCACCAAACGCTCCTGCGATGGGCTATTACAGGGAATTTGTTTGGCAAGGTTAATGAAAATGACCCAGAATTCATAAAGAAAGTTCTCCAAGCTTTCCGCATTGGAAAGGAGTGGCTTCGCAAAGCCATGGATGCTCTGCGCCGCGTCGGAAGCTGTGACGGAGCTAGAGGGCTGGAGGTAGTCATTTAATATCGTGAAGACTTGATTTTCTCGATCCGACGGCGATTCAATTCTTGAAGATAAAGTAAAAGCAGACATAATTGTGGATAGTGGGTGTGAAACTTGGTCGTTACTGTGGAAGTGGACACGAAGGCTGCAAGAGCTGACCTTCTATTTAATGTAACCTGCTTATCAGGCGGGGGTCCATTTTATCGGGTGAGGGCAATGAATCATCATGCGTTTCTTAGGCACGCGCTGATCTGCAGCCTGGGGTGGATATGATTGGAGGCGATGCTACTAGTGTCGGTCCATCGATGAGAGAACACTTGGCATTCGGTGGCTAATTGGTCTATCCTGCAAACAAATCGGATCTTAGTCAAAATTGGATACATATTCTTAGAGTACATTCTAGCTAATAGTAAATCAAGCGCTGGAACTAGTCTTTCTCCTGCGGACTCCCGACGTCATATCAGATTCCAACCAGCTTCAGCGACACTTCCCACAACTTGGCCGCTTTTGCCTCATCATACGCCCAAGGTGCGTATCCCTCTCCTGCCATCCCGGTGCTAGGATCGTACGCCTTAGCGATGTGACAATCCTCGAGATACTTGCCTCCATATCCCTCTAGTTCCTTGGCCACGGCGGCCCACGCAGTAGTGGCCGCCCCGTGCTCCGGGGTTTTCCACACACTAGATATTACATCGTCTGTCTCCCATGCGTCCCTCTGCTCTTTGGGGACGTACTGCTGCAGACCGGTTCGAATACCACCCGGATGGAGACTAAATGCATGAAGGCCCTGAGCGCCAAACCGTTTCTCAATCTCGTTCGCCATATAGATATTCGCAGTCTTGCTCTGACCATAAGACTTCCACGGCTCATAGATCCCTTCCAGGGTAAGATTATCAAAGACAACCTCGCCCCAACGATGCGCCATAGACGAGACATTGACCACACGCGAGTTGAACTCGGGCGTCGAGGAAGCCAACAGGGTGGGCCTTAGTAGGTTGAAAAGCAGGAAATGGCCCAGATGGTTGGTACCGAATTGAGTCTCGAATCCATCCTGTGTCCGGCCCTCGGGCGTTGCCATGACCGCGGCGTTGTTGATCAGGATGTTCAGTTGGGTACTCTTGGACAGGAATTCTTCCGCACAGGCCCGCACGCTGGCCAGCGAATCGAGGTTCAGAGTCAGGAGGTGGACGTTGGGTTGCTTCAGGAGGTCTCCCAATGCTGCCTCTGCCTTTTTCAAGTCACGCGCGGTGAGGTAGAGCGACGCTCCGGTGACGGAGAGGGCTTGGGCTGTGTAGATGCCGAGGCCTGAGGAGCAACCAGTGATCAGGATGACCTTGTTCTTGAGCTTGCCTTCCAGGCCATTGTTCTGTACGATCTCTAGGGCAGTAGGATGGCAGTTGGGGCCATTGGTGGTAGCGGTATTCGAGGTCATGGTCAAAGACGAAGATGGTTCAACCTTGGTTCTGACAAAGTGCTGCGTTGATATATATTCTGAAGCGGATCTTGGAAATTGATGTGTTGTGTTGGGTAGGTCAGGAAGACTAGGGACTGCTACCCCTTTTATATTCGTAAAAATGCCCAACATCATGTTAATTATATCAGTGAAAGGACTGGAACTTCACGATGGAGTTAGATCATGCTTAAAGCCGTGGTTGAAGAAGATCTTCATTCTCCATAGGAGATGCGGCCGCACGTGCGGGAGACTACTTACTAAAGGGTCCGCACGGCCGCCCGCATCCCGCCCGCAGCTTCATTCTTGCATACGTGGAAGTCAATCTCATCATATCATGCCGGATCAACCAGACCTTAGCTCTCGAGCTACTAACGCATGTCTTACTTGTCGCAAGCAAAAACGGAAATGTACCAAAGAGAAGCCACGATGTTCGGTCTGCCGAAAGACCGGGCGAGCCTGCGATTACACTCCGATCAGCAGAAACTCTGGCTCCGCGAAAGACGCTGCGGAAAGCTCAGAATTGCAAGGAACTACTGGGAATGGCCCTCAATCGCCGAAAAGCGCTCATCTTACGGGATTCGAGTCGAATGCATTGAAGACCCCAACCATGAGCGGTCTCTCCACTCTATTTCTCGACTCTGATATTTCTCCGGAACGAAGCTATCTGGAGAGCAATAGAAACATTGCTTTTCCCCCGGTCTACTTCCGTTATCTCCGAGGTTCTGCGCAGGTTCAGCACGAGGTGGACGTCTATTTCAATAGTGTTCACACTTTTCTCCCTATAGGTAGGAGACCCGGCCATTATTGGCTTGGCACGGAATGGTGTGGACGAATTGGACTGAAATGTTCTCTTGGCAGTTTCGAAATTGAGGCTGTACCAACAGCTTTCGAGTGCGAACCGTAACTATAATGCCGACCTTGCTCTTCTGTTAATCGCGATGCAATTGCATACGCGACCATGCGGCGACATAGAAACATCAGACGTAGATCTCTACAGGGTGGCGAAGGCTTGCTATGCGTACGTGGAGAGTAGCAATGTCTTCTCGATAAAAGTATTACAAGCACTGCTTCTCATCGCATTGTATGAGATATCTAATGCTATCTACCCGGCGGCGTATCTGACTGTGGGAAATTGCGCACGGCTTGGTCATGCCATGGGAGTGCATCAGCGAAGTGATGCACCGCAGATGCTTAATCGACCAGGTGAGTAACTTCCGCCCACGCACGGGATCGGCACTTGCTGAGCGCACAGGGACATGGGTGGAGTTTGAGGAAAGGCGCCGGACCTGGTGGGCAGTTATCATTCTGGACAGGTGAATCATCGAATACGTCCGCGTCCTTTGTACAGACAGAACAGGCTAATGGCTGTAGATATGTCAACCTCGGTGGTAGGAACCGCCCTTTTGCGTGCGAGGATGCACAGCCAGAGGATCTACTCCCGGCGGACGACAAGTGTTGGGACCGAGGGGTATGCACAGGCTCTCGATATGACAGCGGTATAAACAAAATACTGAATATAATCAGGAAGTTACAGTGGTAGAGCCTCTTGCAGTCCGCGCGAACACGACAATCCACGTGTGTCCGTTTACTCGAACATGTCAAGCAGCGCATGTGCTGGCCCGCGTGCTGGGCCACCGCAATGATCGCAGCTCTGAGATCGATTTTCGACACGAAGAAGCGATGCAACTTCACCGAACCGCGCAGGCGCTATCACATACATTGTCAACCGAACTAGAACAATGGATCGAGAATGATTACGATCCAACCGGCTATCTGCCACTGTTCTCTGCCATCGGGATCTGCTATAGCGCCCTGCTCCTGCTTTATGATAGCTACTGCTGCATTGGAATCAAGGAGGTAGGCGCGAACGTGCAAGTGCAACAAACAGCTCTCTCTGGCCTAGATGAGGTAAGCCGGGCGGTTTACCACTTTGCGAAACGGATTCGCTCCTCTATGGAACTCGGCGGTTCTCTTAAGATGAGCCCCCTCATACTCGACTGTCTATACCAAGCTGCTGCCAATTTCGTATGGAAAAGCCGCGAGACAGGAAACTCTGCCATGTTGCAAAGGGCAAACGAAGTGCAGGGTACTCTAGAAGTCCTTGGGATGCGATGGAAAGCCCCCCGTAAGTCTCCCTACTGAAACCTTTTCGTTTATCACGCTAACGCCCTAGATTTAGAGGCATACCTATCAATTCTCAAAACATCAGGTGGCCTATGCTAGAATCTGGTAAAGTAACAGTATCTGCCATCTTTAGCCACATCTATACCGACCCAATGAAATACACACTGAACCGAAACCCACTCTAAACACCAAAATCTACTCCAAGTTAGCGCCATCCTCACTCACAAGAAACTCAATAACAACCCCTTCAGTGCATGATATGTTGGCCTCGAGGGAGGAGTCGTAGGGGCTTTTGGCACGATGGGGGTTCTAAACTGGGTGGTTGAATACCACATTGGACGAGTAGTCCTGAGCTGTGAGGAAGTCCCCGCTTAGTGGCCTGATCTGGAGGAAATGTGAATGAGTGTAGAACCCTAGTCTCAGTCGATGGAGGTGAATACTAGCTGAGTAGACTCTGAGCGAGAAGATGAGCCGATACTATAGAGACGGAATCTCTCGCAATGCAGCGAAGGGCTAGCCAGATGAATGGCCTATTCTGCGGCACAATCAAATGCTACCTTTAGTGCGCCTGATCGATTCGCTGTTTGAGGCACAATTCGCCTCCTTTTTAAATAGCCGCCATGTTGTATAGGTAGTTAGGAAATTTGGTGGGACCCATGGGCGACAATATTAATTGCAGCGAACAGAATACTTGAGACAGGCATTGTTCCGACCACTATGTTCATATAAGTACAACTGAAACTAGGCATGCTTAATCTCATTTTTTGGCAAGAGAGTTTATAGCTATACTACCCCCCAGTCTACTATCCAGGTTACTTACATCCTTACGTATTCTCTACAAGGATTATATGCAGCTCAAGGGTCTAGTCACTGTTTGCCGGGATCATCCCTGCTTTCACTATAGCGACTATGCTCCCAAGTCTATAATTCGCTTGACTGCTTTCCTCTCAAGTTCTCTCAAAGCTTGTCTGGCTTGGCCGCTCTTGGTTTATGATCCTCATCTACCGTAGGGAAATATGCGGGGCGCCGATGGTGCCCCATAGTGTGAGTATCCCTTGCATGGACTCCTTCTCTTCCCCGCTGCTCGGTCGCTTATGTCCATCACAACAAGCCATTCATGCCTTTAAACCATTTTCAAAATGGTATACTTGGGTTTCCGGGGTAGATCGCTTAGAACCGTGCTGAGCTTGGTGGCGGCGACAGCATTTGCACTGCAAGGATATGATCAAGCCGTCATGAATGGTCTCTTAACATTACCGACCTTCCTCGGTGTGTTCCCTGGAATGGCCAACGCCGCCATCGAAGGTACCACATAAAGGAGAAAGTTTATCGGACATCCATTAAGTTAACTTTGGATAATAGGAACCGTAGTCGCCCTTTATGAGGTCGGCTGTGCCTTGGGCGCTCTGTCCTGCGCATTTATCGGCGACCCCCTCGGCCGGCGTCGGACAATTTTTGCTGCTGGATGCACAGCTCTGGTCGGTGTTATCCTGCAATCCTCTACTTTTGTACTCGGACAGCTGGTTACTGGCCGGATCATCACAGGTGTGTTACTAGTTCGAGCAGGTCCTTCCTCCTTCGGTTATGGCTTAACTTTCTGATATAACCAGGGCTCGGCGTGGGCGCGTTGACGGCCACTGCGCCCATGTGGGTGTCCGAATGTTCCAACGCCCGTGAACGGGGCCAGCATGTCTTGATGCAAGGCTTCTTCGCTATCGGAGGTATTGTCGTCGCGTCGTGGTTGGAGTTCGGGTTCTACTTTATCAAGAATAGCTCCGTGAACTGGCGGTTCCCCATCGCCTTCCAAGCATTTTTCTGCTTAATCGTCGCATCCCTCGTCCTATTCCTACCAGAGTCACCCAGATGGCTCGTCAAGCGCGGCCTTTACAATGAGGCCCAATCCGTCATGGGCGCCTTAGAAGACTGGCCCGCCAATTCAGCCACAATCCAGCAAGAACTAGACCAAATCCGCACGACATTCGCCGACGAACAGGACAGACCATCATCAATATGGGCCATGGGCCCAGACCGACCATTCCACCGCACCGTCCTCGCCATCGGCGTCGCCCTCCTCGCCCAAATGTCCGGCATTAACATCGTAACATTCTACTCCACGTCCATCTTCGAAGGTCAGCTGCACTACAGCCCAACCGAATCGCGGATCTTCTCCGGTTGCATCCAAATCTGGCAATTCTTCGGCTCCGGCCTAGCTATCTTCTTAATCGACCGCTTCGGCCGCCGAAATCTCCTCATGGCTGGCGCCGTCGGCATGTGCGTCGCCCAAGGCTGTCTCGCTGGCCTAACGTCAATCCGCGGTAACAAAGCTGCCGGAGAAGCAGCTATCTTCTTCTACTTCGTTGCTATGTTCTTCTTCCCGGTCAGCTTGTTCCTCATTCCCTTTATGTATGCGGCGGAGATCTCGCCCTTGTCTATTCGACACAAGGTTACGGCTATCAGCGCATGCACGAATTGGTTGTTTAACTTCCTCGTGGCGGAGGTGACGCCGCAAGCGATGCGGAATATAGGGTATCGGTATTATATTGTGTATGCCTGTATTAATGCATTTTCGTTTGTGGTGTTTTATCTGTTTTATCCCGAGACGAAGGGGCGCTCGCTGGAGGAGATAAATGATATCTTTGTGAGATCGAAAAATGTCTTTGATCCTGTTAGGGTTGCGGGACCATTGTTTGTGGAGGATGGGTCTGAGGTGGAGCGGATTAGAGAGCGTAGTGATGTAGATCGGGTGGATGAGATTGATACGGAACCTGCTGAGGAGGGTGGGAAGTGAGGCGTTATTGAATACCCGTCCTGTATAATTGGCACTTTACGTGGAATTCTTTTGGCAGGTCTTCTATCTACCCATTGGGCTGCTTTAGTATTCATTGCTATCACAAAGTTCGTTTTATAGGCAATTATTATACAGTGCCCCACAAAAGTTTGCATAATTTGATAGCCGCGCACCTTACCATGGTTCAACCCTCTATATGAAAATATATATATCTTGCAATACAAGATGGATTATATTAGTCTAAGTATATTAAAAATAGAATAAAAGGCCAGCAATTATGAAAGTATGTCAAAAAAGAAGAAAATGTTGGGTGCTTCTGATTATGGTGTAGAAAGATCGATCTCTTCTAGTCCCAGGAACAGGATGTTGCTATCCGTCTCTTAGGTCAGCAGACCCACCCGCCCTTCGGCGTGTTGGTCTGCCACAGGCATACGATAATTCCCACACAAACAATAAATTTGATCAAAATTGAAGATATTCAAGGCTCCTACACACCACCAATATGACTAAATTTAACGCTGAAGTTGAGAAGCGTATCTCTAAAGCCTAAGAAATTGCCAGACACCAAAAAAAACCCAATATCAGTGCTTTATCGCGTGAATTTAATGTTTCTTACCAATGGCTTCAAGCGCGTATCTATGGCAGATCTACTCTTTCTTCTTGTCCAGCTCCCTCTATAAAGATTCTTGATAATATACAAGAAAAGACACTGATCCGTTGGATCTGTCAGTTGAATTCTTTATATACTCTGCCTACACCGATGATGATTGAACACAGTGCCAACCAAATATTGCGGCAGAATATAGATAAGGAAGATAAAGGCCTACCTTGTACAGTTAGCAAGAACTGGGTTTACTGTTTTATTAAATGCCTCCCAGAGAAGTTTAAATTAATTAAACAGAAGCTAAAGGAAAAGAATTGTCTTAAAGCTAAAGATATTAGTCCTATCCAGCACTGGTATAACTGCTTAGAGCGGTTTATTAGGCAGATTCTAGCAAGAAATATCTATAACTTTAATAAGACTGGCTTTCAGTTAGGATAAGAAAAGAATCAAAAGGTGGTAACTATAAAGCCTAAGTAAACTGCAAGAGATTATCCTGCTGGAGACTCTAGTAAGTTAATCTCTACAGTTAAATATATTTCTACAGATAGCTTTACTGTTATATTACACTTTATCTTTAAAGATGTCAATTATCTTAAATATTGGTACAATTCAGATATTCCTGGTAATTGGCATATTACTGTATCTCCTAAAGAATACTCTACTGATTTAATTGGCCTGGACTGGATTTAACATTTCTATCAATATGCAAAGCACTGTCTCTTTAAGAAGGATAAGCCTTAATTATTGCTGTATAATGGCCACGGATCTTATCTTATATATAAGTTTCTTTAATTCTATAGAAAACACTATATTATTCCTTACTGCTTCCTTTCTTATATAACACATCTTATCCAGTCTCTTGATAGATAACCTTTTCAGGTTTATAAATACTACTATTACCAGCGAAATACCTATCTTGCTCAAATAGGTGTTAAGATAGATAATAAGAGTGATTTTCTACAAGAGATTAGTCCAATCCGTGAGAATATCTTTAAGCAGTGTACAATTCAGGATATATAGAAGAAGCAAGGGCTCTATTTCTTTAATCCAGAAGAGATAATGAAGTCTTTATATAATGCCCAAGCTTAAGATCTTGATCCAGTACTGCAATATAATGTTTTGCATTATATACTGTTAAGGGCTCTATATATATAATCTTTTTCTTTGATTTCTTTTTAAATTAAGGCTTGCAATGGTGCAGGTGTCGTTATAGATCACTTTAAAGTTGACTGGCCAATTCAGTGATTTTAAAAGAACTTTTAAATATACGGTTAAGACACTATATAAAGCTCTGGTTAAGCTCAGGGCTATTATTTATGAAGTCCTGTACTTTACTAATACTGTGACGAAGACCTCTTATTATAGAGGGAGGTAATAAGCTTGATAGTAGTGGCGGTGGTGTTATGATTATCTTAAGATTACAGTGAAAAAGACAACAAGATCTCTACTGGATTTAGAGAGTATAAACTTTAGAAGGCAATTAATCTACCCCACAGGCAGATACAGAGGTTTCATCTAGTATAGAGGCTAGTCAGGTGGATAAAGAAGGCCCAAGATTACCATATTGGATAGATACTCAGGGTGATGTGGTGTAATTGCTCAAATTTTGATCAAATTTATCGTTTGTGTGGGAATTATCGTATGCCTGTGGCAGACCAACACGCCGAAGGGCGGGTGGGGCTGCTGACCTAAGAGACGGCTTCCCTTTTTCTATATAAACTGGTTGCGCTCCTCACTATCCCCTTACGCAAGCGTATCGTCCACCATGGATGATGCTATTCGTCCGAATAGGACGGATTTTGATCGAGTTCTCTGTGAAAGTTTCAAATTATGGTCCTCTTATCTTAACACTTCCGATACTCCACCCCAACTCCCGTTTGATTGTATCAACTTGAAGAAGCTCCTCAGGCGAACGCCTTCTTTTCTTGGATTCGGCCTGCTTCCCCAAGATGTTCATATTCCCTTGAGACTTGTGAAAAAAGGGTCCAGAGAAGGCCATTACGGCCTTATGTCCAGCTGTCGCTCGATTTGGAGGACTTCCTGTAGCAAATGCCCCCTTGAGCCCAAAGCCATACCCGCTCACCTAATATTGGGGGTTCAAAATCCACTCACGGTGCAGATTTCTGACTCTGCTCCCTTAACAGAGTGGCCAGGTATTAAAGGAATATCGGGCCATGACGAAGGCAACTATCTTGCAGTCTTATTCCTTGCTTGGGCTTATATTTTTTCAGCACGATGGGCAGAACTATTAAAAAGTGTATCGGGTTGCAATATCAAATTTACAGCTGAAAATAACCCATTTTCTATCATACCCGGCAATGAATGTGCGGCTGAGATCGACTTTGGATATCATGTTGAAAAAGACGAAGCTGGCTGGTGGGCTGCTATATTATCTTCCGGGGGCTGCCGGCACATAACAGCAGACTATAACCAGAGAACATACTTGTCCCCATGGTCTGTTACGATCTCGGATACATCGCGCATTGCTGTTATGGGAAGTCCCTCAGTTTCTGGTATTGAGCTGCCGTCATCCAGCGTTGCCCTTGAATATCTAGCTCGGTTTTGTTCCCACCATCGCCTTTACGGCCAATGTTCTGCTGCTCTCGCTGCGGTGCTTTATGTTCCTTTCCTTAATGGGAGATCGGTGTCACTGCCAACGCCAAAACAAATCCTACGCCCACAGTCACCCGCAATATTCGCTCAACCAAATATTGATGTCATTGGGGAGCATGGAAACCTCCTCCCTCATTACATGACACTGAGCTCCAATGTGTGGGGAGTGCGGTCCCTACTCTGCAGCACCTTCTTTAATGCAGATATCGAATGTAACCTGGTCAGTGCTTGGCTAAACCCTGCATTCACTATAATAGATCCTCTTCTTCAAGCGAATGATATGCCTATGCTCGTGAAGGTCCTAGCAAATCGAGAACCTAAATTTGGCAGTCTGTGGCTCGGCGCAATTATTATGGGCATTGCCAAGTCTACAATACAAGATATTCGGACTGGGCTCACAGCGCTGGACCTTCACGCCGCTGCCTGGACCGGGACAGATCAGTCATTTATAACATTGAAGCCAGGCATTAGCGACGGGAAAACGATACGCCGCGAAGATGAGTGTCGCCTACTCTTCATTACAGGTTGCGATGGATTTACTAGAGTTCCAATTTACCCTTGGAAGCCTTTTGGAGACACTCTGCTGTACGACACAGAACCCCAGGTTCAGCAGCATGCATGTTGCGGATGCCATTATTTAGAATATTACTCTTGGAACTGGAGTCTAGCAAATGGTGAAGAACTTGAAGATCTGGGCATAGGTCTTGTTCCTGATGACGAAAATGATTTAAATACAGATGCACGAGACCAATATCCAGTAGCACGACACGATCTTAAATTGTTTTCAGAGTCATTGTCAGAGGCGGCTACACGCGGAATATTTGGCTGGTTACGGTCAACAGGATATCCAGCTAATGAAAGGCCTATATACCAGCACTCATGGATTGATATTGAAAGCTCTGATGATGAGGGTGTGGATGGCATCGAATCTGGTTCTATTGAGGGCTCTGGCTCACAGGAATTCATCGATGAATGGCTTAGGAAGCTTGACTGAAGTTTCAGGTCGATCCACTCCATAAAGCCATCAGGGCCACCTGCGGGATGATCTTTGCATTTCGAACATATAGCGTATTTGCCGGAAATTCCGTGGTCCCCAGTTTGGCAAATTTTCCACTGTTTCCGACAGCCAGCTTCCTTACAGGTGAATCTATTATGCGCGTCATTCCAGTGACTGCATTTAGAGTTCCTGCTGGAACCTGCTTGTCCAGAACTCCCTTCATCTACTGGGGCTGTTACGTCGCGAGCAAAGTATCTTTGTCCGTGACTATAGCAAACCCAGATACATTCACTATGCCCTCTCTTAATAGCCTCGTCGCATATCTTTTGTACCACCGATGGTTTAGCGGCACTGAGAGTCCCCGAAAGGAGGGGGATTCCACCAAGATCACTAACATTGCCTAATTCACTATCAGTGTTTGACAATTTATTGACGTCAAAGTAACTCACCGCTTCGAGGAGACATGAACAGCACAGTTGTCGAGTATGGGTATGGGTATGAGTAGGCTTCAGGCGAGAATATTTCGTTAACCTCTGAACTAAAATTGAAATAGGACGCTCGCTCCCTTCCAAGGCCCCCCGGTACTTATATCAGGATGTTTTGCCAGGCCACGAAAAACGATGACTACAATGGATACCAACCACGTAGGCCAAACTTTGTTTATATTCTGCCACCAAATAGAGCATCTATCAGGGTAAATGCAGTGTCTGCGCCACCTGCGCTATAGCCGCCAACATACTCTTTTACTCCTACTAGCCGGCGAAACCCTCAATTAGCCGCTGCCAATATTTGCTCCTTGGGCATACTTACCGCTCACCAATTATAACCTACTATTCAATCAATTTGCGTCAGGGTCCTTATTGTTGGCTGTTACTGTTGCCTAGTACGCCGGGTGCCTAGACGCGCACTACATTCCGAAACGACAGTCGTAACAGCTATGCTAGAAGTTACTAGCCTGATATGATTCGCTGTTTTTGAACGCCACCTTTGATAGACGCTCCAAGGATGACAAGCATCAGACAGAAGGCAAACGATACAGCAAATAAATAAAAGAAGGGACTGCGGATGACCAGATGGTATATGGAAGGTGAAATACTTGACTCTAAGTCGATTTAAGCCTCTTTGGTTCGTGAACAAGGGCATGACGACTGTCAAAGTCGCTGGTGTTTGGTTTCCAGGAGATGTGGGTCGTCCTCCTCAGGCTCTTGGTCGCACACAAGGAATATCTCTCACATGTGGCAACAATCAAAAAAGGGCTTTTTCGCCAGGTAAAGGTGATTTCAGTGAGTAGAGAAGTATATATAAGTTATCAAGGCTACTTATGTATAATATACTATCAGATCCCAACATTTGAAGGAATTTGAGCCAGGGGCCTTATCAGACTGATACTTGGAAGTGCATCTCACGGTCGAAGACGGATTCCATGAACCGTTTGGGTATGGTCCTTGAAATGAGGAATGCTGGAAGGGACAAAATCATCGTTTCGTATGCCACATAATCCACATTGTCGGGTGCCGGTTGCGAATGCTGCAAGTTCTTCTCTACGCAGGTTTTCCACATGGTCCCAGAGCTTATTGATCTTGCTTTTCTTCTTTTCACGAAGAGCGGGAGGGAGTCTCTGGTCAGATAGGCAAAATGGGCATTGCAATAGATTATATCTTGCTGGAACAGTGTTGACTGGCACAGATGTTTTGGGGACCGAATGTTGAGGCACAGCTACTACTGTCATTTACATTCCTCTACGCGGAGACTCCTTTCGATCCTGCCACCGGATCATGAGACGGATATACTTCAACCGGTGACGAAACGCCTCTCCCTCTGTCTTCGGGGGCAGGGAGTAGAATAGTAAATCCACCAGCTCCGCGTGTTCTGAAATCTGATAGTAATGGAAAGGATGATACTGAGCCTTACTTTAGGCCTGGAAATTATTTTTGTATCGCTAGTTAAATAGATTTGTGTCTATATAGTGAAAATGTCTCTGCCAGTTTTTTTGCTTCTTCTTTCCCTGGAGTTCAGTAAGCTTGCTGCTTAGATTTATGTCTGCCTGTTTCTTTTTCTCTCCAAGCTCTGTTCCGGCTGCTGCCTTTACACTTCAATATTCTCTTTGATATATCTCTGATGTGAGTCTTTGACAAACCTTTTGTAGGCGCCTGATGTCAGGATCTCTGCAGATTTTGCACTTCTGTTAGTCTGTTAAACCTAGAGGGGCAGTGTTGTCTGCCAGGAGAGTTGCTAATTAGAGCTCTCTTTATAGAGCTCTATTTAACAGCCGCTTAAAGAACGCAGCGGCTGTATCAAAATCCATTAATTCATTAAGGTAATATTTGACAGTATTGGACTTGTGATCAGCAATCTGATCCTGTACCGAGACCAGTGCCCTATCTGTTCCGTAGTCAGCCAAAGTCCCTGGTAAACTAGGAATAGATAAGGGTTATACTATTTATAGTATTAATACTGCCATGTTATAGTACTTTCTAAGTCAGGTTATCTTCTTCACCTAACTTCTCTCTGGTCTGTTTCAAATTTCGGTTCCAAGTTTGGGCTTTGAGGAATATTGAGTCTAATATTCAGTAGCCTTTAGGGGTGCGCTTTGGTTTGCGAAAGATAGGTTTATTTAACTATTCTCTCTTAACTTTCAGATACATGTCTCTTTGATGGGAGAGGATTAGGTGAGTATAAATATCTTCTATATCTCTAATCTCAGGCGCAAAAATACCATTGTGCCAGGCCAGTGACAGAAGCTATAGTTCTTGGACAAAAGTCTACGTAATTTCCCGCAACCACCAAAATATATATAATAATCGGAACACCATAATCTCATATAAAACAACCAGATATTATTATTTTTATATGATATTCAAATATGTGATAGTTATATTGTATATAAAGAATAGTATATATTTTATTTTATACTAATAGCATGTATACCATCCCTTTGCCTTTAAAACTATATTCACACGGCTCTCTATAGACCTTATTAAGAAATCAAAATAATCCTCTCCTAAGCTCTTCTATATATCTTTAATTACCTTATAAAATTGCTCTTTCAATTGGCTTTTGGTTCCATTAAATAACTTAAGGTCTGGATAAAGAATATAGATACGCTCTTTTAGCTTAGCCCAGCCATGCTCAATAGGGTTTAAATCAGGTGAGTATAGAAGCCAGTTAACAAGAGGAATACTATTCTCATTAAACTAATTCTTAATAATATTGGCTGTATGAATAGAAGCATTATCTTGCATAAACTCCATATCAGGTTCCTATATAGCAGGTAGGTAATCTTCTATAATTTCTAAATAGAAGCGTGAAGAATACCCCTCTCAAGCAGATTCCTTATCCCTACTCATTTGGTAAATTTCTGTATAACCATCATTCCAGATTGCTGCCTAAATCATAATAGAGATTCCTCTGCCTTTTATATATGGAATAATATACTTTTTTTTCCATTTTTCATTAAGGTAATTGAGCTGCTATATCTATTAATTTTTCTTTTCTTTGTCAAGCTTAATGGAATATTCATCACTCCAAATAATCTTGCTCCACTGCTTGTATATCCATTCCTTGCGTTTATATGCCCATTGATAGCATAGTTTAGCTATTTCCTCAGTTAATTAAGGTCTTTTTTGCGCTCTTCAGTGACCATACCTAGATTCTTTTAATATACACGCAACAGTGTGTGCAGAAACAGGCTTGTTAAGTAATTTGCAGATATCTTCTGTTTTTATAAAGGAATCCCGCTTAATTTGTAAAAGAATATATCGCTTATCAGTATCAGAAAGAATCTCTGGCCGTCTGGAGCGAGAAGAGCTAGACCCAGTAGTAGAGGTCTAATATATTTCAATAGTGGTTTAAATTGTTGTATATGGCAAATTCATTGCGTGTTGAATATCGGCCTTTTTCTGGCCTGCAAGAAACCGACCAATTATAATCCCACGTTGAAATGGTTCCAATTCATGTCTACTAGCCCTGTTAGAACTAGTAGATCGTAAAGGTGTGCGAGGCATGGTCCAGATGGTTGCAAAGATGAAGCATAGTATTGGGTAGCGCGTCGCGTGATGCGGAATTACGTAGACTTTTGTCATGTGACTGTATAATAGTAAATTAAAAATCAGATTCTCTTTATACTCGATCACAAACCTCTTTCTACACCCGAGTGAGAAACTTAATTATAGGTAGATTTAAGGGCTGGGGCTTATAGTTAAGGCTTCTGATCCTCTTTCTTAGTATAGAGAAGAGTTATAATTGCAGTGAGGATATTTAGATATTTAGGCACAGGGTGTCTGATAATATAGAACTTAACATGTCTTCAAAGAATAGTGCCAGTTTTATTATTACTAGCAAGATACCCATTATCTGTAATACTGGAATAGTCTAACAGGTAATCAATATCATTCTTTATATTAGAGAAAGAACTGTCACTGAATATTATAGAAGCTATGCTATCTTCTAGCTTCCCGGGTTTATCACTCCAGTTTATTTTATAACCAGAATTGCAGAGAGCCTTCTTACTCTAGCTATATAGTAAAGAGAGTAATGATTTATTATCTGCTAGCTTATCTTTCCTATAAACAGCTAGGCTGCTATCCAGCTAAATATTGATTGGATATCTTATGTCAAACAATGAAACCGCTTGGTAGGCAGTAACATTAGATAAGTTAAGGCCTACAGTATAATAGAGCCGTTGTTTCTCATTGGCAAATACTGAATTATAATAGATATAGTGTGTAGTTTAAAAATAAAGTAGGTTAATCGCTTTTTCTGTAGGTCTAGGCCTAGGCAGTCTGCATAAACCTATCCGCTGGCTAACAATATTTATATATTATTGTCTAGATTAGAAATCTGGCTCTCACTTGCAAGGAAAAGAGTAACTTATATTAATATAATTATTCTCAATCAGCGGCCCTATAGTTTTAAAATTTCTCATGGAATAGAGTCTCTTAAGTGTTCTCTAATAGTTTAAGAGCATTCTATAAGCTTTGATTAATCCCCAAAACTTCTTTTCAATCTAATCAAACCAAGACTTAATATCAGCTACAGTGTGATTTTGGAGCAAAACATCTGTATTATAGCATGCCTCAGAACAGAATCTAGACAGTATAAACGCCTCCAACACTAAACACTGACATAGAGCTTACTGAATCTATTTGCCTCATACCAACGCAGCCGAGACATTTATTCTAGGGGCATACAGCAGGAGTATTGGGCTGTTTACAAGATATAACTTCCAGCACTGAGCATAGTACAGATAGGATTTCTGATCAGGGTTGCTCTGCAATCCTTTCTTCCGAGGGAGTCCTGAGAATATCATGGTAAAGAGGGCCTGACTGGGAACAGGAAACGCAGAAGAGATGAAGTTCCTGGAAACAATACTGGAAGAGGAGGACAGATAGCATTATTTATGCGAAAAAAAGAATAATGAAGGATCAGTGGATTGGATACTTATAATCTTCATTTTCTTTTCTCGCTCTTCCAGCACCAGCGAGCCTGAGGGAGTTCAGCAAGTATAGTTCAGAACAGACACTGAGACAAAGTGGGTCACACTGATGTTGTAACACCATGTAATTTTGGATCTCTAAAGCGGCGTGCTTGAGCTTCTTTTTTGGGTTTAGCCTCCGGGGCCAAGGCGGCTGGATACGGCGTCGAGGGATGCCGTTGTAAATTGGGTCGAAACACATATTTATACCGTTGGCCGGAACCCAATTCAACCAAGTACTTATCAGACTATATAATCTTAGTCCAATCAGGGTCGCTATAATCTTAATATTTTAGAGCCCAATTATAACGCTGCTTGGCCATGTCTGGCATTAATTTAGGGCGCTTTTGAGCACGCTATTTGCTATATTCTGATTTCTAAAGTATGCGGTATAGTGTGGCATGGGGAATTGTAAAATATAGTATTTCTGGGACCTCTTAGTAGGTAATAAAAGGATTTTATTTAATTAATTAAATCAGCGACTGTTCATCTCTACCTGTAGAGGGTTTTGGATGACCAGAGCATGGTTGGGATTCAAACTTCTGCCTTGAAGATGATCAGTTTAGCGTAGTATAGATAGTTTGGAGGGGTCGTTTTAAACGCCTTGTAATTTCAGTAGCTTTTACACCACCTTCATAAAGACCCCGTATATAAGCTCTTTCTGGTGGACTCAGCTCTTGATAACGCTTAATATTAGCACTGAAGGGACTCAAAGGAGCCCTTCTAGGTGTCATGGTGTTTGAAAAGATGAGGATTTTTCAACGCGTCGGTTGACGCGACCGGGTGATTAGCGCGATTATGCAAACTTGACTAAGAGCTGTATATGGAAGGCTTATGGCCTATCTTGTCTTATCTTATCTTATATTGGTTGGGTCGGGTCGATTGATGACGACATAACATGTTTCTCCCTTTGCCCCGTCAGTATCAATCAGTAAGTATCAAATGAACCCAATCAACCCAAGAATTCTCGCATTCCACCAAACAAGAGAAACAAATCACCTTAGCAATGTCCAGCGATGACACAGTCATCTCCCTCCTCACCTCTCTCATCCAAACCACCAGTACCAGCGAACACGAACAGGAAATCGCCCGCTTCCTAGACACCCACCTCACCAACCTCGGCTACACGGTCGAACGACTCCCCATCGCCAAAGACTCCACGAGAGAAAATGTTTACGCCTACCTAGGCACCCAGCGCAAAACTCGAGTATGTCTCACATCCCACATGGACACCGTCCCGCCCTACATCCCCCTACGAATAGAAGGGTCGACGATCTACGGACGGGGCGCATGCGACGATAAAGGCCCCATGGCGGCGCAAATCTGTGCGCTAGAACAATTGCGAGCAGAAGGGGTAGCCAACGAGGGCGACGTGGGGCTCCTCTTCGTAGTCGGAGAGGAGAAGGGTGGCCCCGGGATGCTTGCGGCGAATAACCAGGAGCTGAGCTTCGAGGGCGTGATATTCGCGGAACCGACCGAGGGGAAATTGGTGACAGGCCATAAGGGGCATTTGGTGTTTGAGGTGATTGGGGAGGGCAAGGCTTGGTTAGTTCGTTCGTTGTTTTATTTGTGTGTTTGTTCTTGGGCTAATTACGAGAGCGTAGCCATTCCGGGTATCCCCAGCGTGGCGTTAATGCTAACATCGCACTTGTCGAGGCGCTCAATGACCTCACGAAGACAGAACTCCCCAGCTCGTCGCTCCTTGGCCCGTCGACGTTTAATATTGGGAAGATTGAGGGTGGGGTGAGCTATAATGTGGTTCCGGAGATAAGTAAAGCGCTCTGTGCCGTGCGGGTCGCGACAGATATGGATGGTATCAAGAAGATTGTGTCCGGTACGGTTGGCAGGCATACGAATGTTCGCCTGGAGTTTAAGTTTGAATACCCTGAGACTCTGCTGGATCATGACGTTGAAGGTCACATCTAGATTCGCCCGTTCCCATGAGGTACGAACTAACTGATGTGACTAGGATTTGAGACCGCGCCTGTCTCTTATGGGACAGATGTTCCTCGGTTGAAAGGAGACCATAAGAAATATCTTTATGGGCCAGGGTCTATTCTGGTGGCCCATGGTGATAATGAGCAGATTGAGATTAGTGAACTCGTCGAGGGTGTACGTGCGTACAAGAAACTAGTAAAACACCTGTTGAAGTTTAGCACGTAATAAATGTGGTGGTTCTAGGGAGCAAAGGCAGCTAGCCAGATATTCTGAGGCAAATGAGATAGTAGTACCGAGTGATGCATTCGGGTTACCTCTGAAGACCCCGGTTGAGCGAATCTAATGGGATTGAAGAACTTGGGAAACCGAGCTTCTATGAGATTTCCAAGATATGAACATTACCAACCTTGTATCTTAAACTAATTAAGGTCTCCTTCATATATTAAACATTTAATGTATCCGGGCTGGGCTGTCTCACCAACGGTCACAAAATGCAGGGAGCGTTTTGTTACGACAACGCGAAGTTGCGACTGTTTGGCGCCATCAACTAGGTCTAGTCTGCGCTGGCCGACTATCAAGCATTTCTCGAGTACTTGAGGCAAAGTGTTCTAAGCTTACTGAGATAAATAAGCATTAGCAATCACGATTTGGGGGCCGGCGCCTCGACCGCTGAGTCAGCGGGTAGCGGCCATATGAATAGCCCGAGAGATCTCGTGTATAGCAGGACCCCAGGTGGATTGTCCTATGAAGGGTGATGCGTCCCGATTCTAATACCTAAGACCAAATCATTCAGCGTTATGAGATCTATCAACCAAAATGACCACTATTTCAGAATTAGGAAACGCCACATTAGTCAGCCATCACCCTGACCATCTTTGACCTCACTTGTCCTATTTTGACTATTGATACATGTGTCAAATTGAGCAGTATTTAGTAGTGAGACTAGAGGCAAGAGATTCAGGAATTCAGAGCCTCGTGCATTAATATCTTTGGCCATAGAATTACGAGTGTATTCCGAATACAATAGATGTTGACAACATCAATCAAACTCAATGGAAAAATACTTCTGGAATTTTTTCGGGGGCGCTACTGGTTAAAGCCCGGTAATCCGTAATTCCGCACTGTCTCTCTAAGCAATGGGACTTCAATTCCGCTCCACCAATGAGGAATATTCTGGCGGATTATAAATTTCCCCAGTGGGCTTACAAAGCTCACCAGATTGCTTTGGCTCCCGCAATATGATTGGCTGATGATGGGGCCATCGGGGTGTAGGGACAGAATTATTAGAATTACGAATTTTATGGAGATGGAAACTAATGGCGGGGTGCCAAATATAGGGCGATTGCACGAGGGGCTATATAAAATCCAAATCTCCTCGCTGATCGACCTTTCTATCTCATCAGCTTCCTACGAAAGACTACCACAGCTACCAATCTATCTTCCACACTTCCTGCCTTTTCATCACCGCCAATACCGTCAAAATGGGCTCCACTCAGGTCGAATTCAAGAACGCTGCCACCTCCACTCTCCTTGAGTTGGTTAAGGCTCGTCGCACCTACTACGGTCTCAAGGCTGAGAGCCCTATCTCCGACGCCGCCATCGAGTCCATTGTTGAGGCCTCTGTCCTCCATGTGCCAAGCTCCTTCAACACCCAGACCTCCCGTGTCGTTCTCCTGCTGAAGGAAGAGCACCAGAAGGTGTGGGATATCGCCATCAAGGCCATGGAGGGCCTTGTTGCCGCCGGCCAGGTTCCCAAGGAGATGTACGAGAACCACACTAAGCCCAAGCTTGAAGCTTTCCGTGCCGGCTACGGAACTGTAAGTCCAATTACGCCCTCCGCTTTACTGCTGAGACGGACAATTAATGTGTATCTAATTCTACAGGTTCTCTTCTTCGTTGACTATGAGTCTCTCGCCCCCATTAAGGAGAAGTTCGCAATCTATGCCGACAAGTTCGACCCCTTCGCCCTCGAGTCCAACGCTATGTCCCAGTTCCTCGGTATGTCTATACTCAGAGAAAGCTCACTCTCATAATGGAAACCATATTAACACCTTGCAGTCTGGACCGCCCTCGAATCCGAAGGCTTCGGCGCCAACCTCCAGCACTACAGCCCTCTCATCGACGCTGACATCCAGAAGACCTGGAACCTGCCCGCCTCCTGGAAACTCGATGCCCAGCTGGTCTTCGGAACTCCCACCTCCGAGCCCGGCGAGAAGGTTTTCGCCCCGATTGAGGACCGTTTCAAGGTCTTCGGCAAGTCTGCATGATTTCCACGATAGATTCCTTACTTTGTGCACTTTCAGCGTCATAAACTAGATTAGAATACTATTTTTTTTCCATTGAATTTTGATCGCGTTTCGAAGTAAGTCCTGTAGAACCGAAGCCTGATTGGTGCGTGTCATTGTGGGACATTGTAGTATGGATTGTCTAGCAGATTTATGCTTGATGTAGCGTTACTATTATTGGTAGATGAGGTGTTGTGAATGAATGGGAGCCGTTGCCCCACGATCAACCACAATTGATCCCACTATCTAGAGCCAATGGCCATGGGACGAGAGACTATGCCTCAATAAGCGTGTCTAGATAATTGCATGACGCGGACTTAATCTGATAGTGTTGAATGTGATCTTCTATACGCCGCCACTGATAGGCCAGAAGCAACAGTAACGACATAGGACAACCGCAGCTAACTGAAAAATGAAAGCAGGCAGCAATGAATCGGGGAATCCCTCATGGTACAAGCCAATGCAGCCAAGTATCATATCCACGGCCAGAGACGCAGCGATGAATCAAAATCCCACGCCACAAGCAAGTCTACACGAGGGCACAAAGCACCATTCGCCAAAATCATGAACGGACCCACCGAAAGGAACTGAAACTCATCACCAGGAACCGCATCCAAGCATAGCTAAAATTAGGGTTTCTCCACCAATCCCTGCGTTAAGCTTTTTCACAGGGGGCTCCACTCGTATTCGTGCCCAGAATTCCCTAATCCGGTAATATCCTCGTTTTTCTTGTACATATGGTCTACGACATGGTCCAGATAAGCTATAAAGTAGAGACTGGGCTCTAATCCCCTGGAAGGAATGCCATGTCCCTTTCTCAGTCCTTTCTCTATCCTTGGAATATCCTGTCACCATCTCAAAAAATGGACTTCACCTTCCACCCCGGCGTAAACGGATCAGCCCCCTGGGTCGACTTCTACCCCTACAACCCATCCAAACCAGCCGGCTACGCCTTCGTGGCCATCTTCGGCATAATAACCGTCATCCACATTATCCTCATGTTCCCCTATAAAGCAGCCTACTTCATCCCCCTAATACTTGGCGGAATATGTACGTACCTGCACCTACAACCCCTTCTCCCCAATCCAACCAACCAATACAACTAACAAAATCCCCCCAAAAGGCGAAGCATTTGGCTACTACGGTCGTGCCTGGTCCCACAACCGCACAACCGCCATCGACTCCTGGTCCCTTCAACAAATGCTCATCCTGTGCGCCCCCACCTTCATAGCAGCAACAATCTACATGGTGCTCGGCCGCATAATCCGCTCCTTCGACGCCGAACACCTCTCCCCCATGCGAACAAAGAAAATAACCGTCATCTTCGTCCTCAATGACGTAATCTGCTTCTTTACTCAGCTCGGAGGCGCAGGCGTCCAGGTTACCGGTGATGCGAAGGTCATGGATATAGGACGCAAGGTCGTGCTCGTGGGCTTGGTGTTTGCGCTCGTTGTGTTTCTGCTGTTTGTTTGGGTGGCCTGGGCGTTTCATCAGCGGTTGGGGAGGGAGCCAACGTGGATTGTGGAGCAGAATCCTCAATTGGGGTGGAGGGAGTATATGTGGGCAATTTACGGGAGTTGTGCGTGTTTGATGGTGAGGAATTTTGTAAGGTTGGTGGAGTTTGGGGCTGTGAAGAGTGATTTGAATCAGAAGGAGGTGTATATTTATGTTTTTGATGCGTCTTTGATGGCTGTTTCAGTGGGGGTTTTGGTGGTTTGGCATCCTGGGTTGCTGATTAAGAGAGCGAGGAGAGCGGGGGTCGCGGGGAGGTTGTGTGCTGGTATGGGGGAGGGGGGTAGGGATGGGGTGCCCTTGACGGGGGTTAAGGGGTATCAGAGGTGTTGAGGGTTGGGGTTCGTGTTTTGGTGTTTGGGGTTTACGGGGTTGTTCTTCTTCAGTATTATAGACTTTTGTGGTTTATGTTGGGTATTAATTCACTGGCTGATTAGCATGTATGCTTGTTTACAAGATGTATATGAATTCTGCCAATGTGTATGCTAGTTTTCGTCCAAAAGTTCAAGCAAAGATTGGTGAGGGCGAAAGTTCTAGATAAGTGTAAATTATAGGCCTAGTATTGTTGTATCCTTTACGTTCTTCACTACCCTCCTCGAGCTCAAATCCTGCAGCCTTGTGAGTATGTGTCACTTTCTCGATTCTCCCTTCGTTTGTCCAGACGACTGCGTCGACGCCGTCTCGGAAGTACTTGACCATGCTACTCACCCTATGAGCTACAATGGTCACTGTGTGCCCTTGGCGGGTGAACTCTTCCTCTATAACTTCCTGCAGAACCGCTTCAGTATCCGGATCCATAGCAGAGGTGGCTTCATCCAGTAGAAGAATAGGTTTGCGACCCGGTGCATAATGCGTCTCAGTGTCATGGATTTCCAGATACAGAGTAGACCGTGCGTGAACGAGTGCACGTGATAACAGTAGTAGTTGCAGCTGTCCTGCTGAGAGTGCAGGGAGTGAAGACATTAGAAGACCAAGAAGAGGCTCCCCGGTCGCGGAAAGACCTTTCGTCGAAAAATTACGGATATGGTCCCAGAGTCCAGTTTTCTCAAGTGTGTCGATCAATGTTGCATCCGGGAGATTCTGCTCGGGATCAAAGTTGAAGCGGAGAGTAGCTCCTGTTAAGGTAAATGGATCTTGGGGAACGGTGGTAAAGCAATTGCGGCGTAGATATATTTTTTGATATGATCCACACACTGGTATCTTGTCTAGCAGACGACTGTGCAGAACAGTACCTGATCTCGGAGCGATCCTCGCACTCGTGGTCCTTGTGATATCAGTCATTGTACTGTAGAACTCGTGAATTACTATCGAGATCGACGACAACTTACCACATCGTACCATTGGTAGACACCCAACCGGTAGAAGCCAGAACCATGTAGCCTCCCATGTAGAACAGCGTTCTATTATCACTGGATACGCATATGGTAATTGCGCGACCCAGGGGCTTTGGCCGACCAAGTGGTAGCCACTCTCAACTAGGGGAGTAGGCAGAAGCCCAGTCCACTGAGATAGCCTATGTTGGCTCCGTAACCATTTCCACGCCTCATGGGTAACCACCTGACTGTTGGGCAATGATATGAGGGCCATTGGGAAGCATGTGAGCTTCGCGCTGTATGCCTTTCGATATAAATGCTAGGTGGAAGGGCGATTAAAATTGGTAACAACAAAGCTCCGGTAAGGAAGATTTGTGGTGATAATCAGAGTCACATTGTGAGCCGTACCCGACGGGGATTAGATCCAACAGTAAATAAGATTAGTGCCTTATCAAAGTGGTTATTGCCTCATATCTGCATGCATGACGCATCTAGGGTCCGGCTACCTAGTCTAACACTAAAGGTAGAACAGTCGCAAGAAAGCTTATCTGCGCTATTACAACGATAAGCTACTAGCCGCGTGGTCTGATCACGGCTTCCGGCCATTGAATCCATTCAAGAAACTCTTCGTTCAAAGACGACCGAATGCCCTTGATAACATGCTCATCCCAGCCGATAAAAAGCCAAGACGTGGTCATATATTTTAATAAAATACTCCAGTAAGCCAATATAAGGAGCGCTAGCGGTTCCTTTTCCTCCAGAAGTACGACAAACGGCTCTGGTCGTCGGTATATCCAACCTATAACCATCGGCAACAAAGCTACACCGTCTCGTCCGGCGCTTCGCATCTTGTAGACTTCCTCAAACGTTTCCGGCAGGGCGTTGACAGCGTGGATGAACAAGTCCCTGTTGGAGCCAACGGCCTGCGCGTCGATCAAAGCTTTCAATTCGGCAATGTGAGTACAATGTTTGAGCAATTCAGCCTGTAGTTCGGAGGTGACATGTTGAATGCTATCGTCCGACTGAGGCTCGAGTATACCCGAGAAGATCTCATCACGCTTCGATGACAGTATGGAGCGAACCCCTCGCATGAGGACTAGCCATTCAGCTCTTCCTTGGTCGCTGAAAACAAGATATTCACCAGAGCGGGGACCGTGTCCGAAATACACCAGGGAGATTAGAACGGCCGACATATATATCAGTTGGCAGTTCTCGGAGTTGAGCTGCGATAAAACGGCAGTAACAGATCGGACTCCAAATGTAAAATGGTCATCTGCTTGCATTACATACTGGCGTCGCAGGTCTGGTTGCTGATGACAAAGATGCAGAGCTGCCAAGGCCAGGAGTAAATGAAGAATTGATGGAAAAGAAATACCCCATTGCGGGAGGTGAATGAGCCACACTCGATGTGAATCTATCGACTCTTCCGATAACGTACGATAGGTCGACGTAGTATAGTGATGAAAGAGTTCAAGATCCGCAAATGAAATCCCTCTCGCACTACTGTCGCTGGCTGAAAGATTACATTGGACGGCGACGGAGTTCGTGTCGGCGTTCTGGCCCCCTTCATTGGGTGACGATGATGCGAGAGACTGATACTTGGATTCCTTGAAGCGGTACCGATGACGGGCTGGTGAGGCAGCCGGCGCTGATGGTGATAGGGATGTCGGAGTGGATCTCGAGAAGTCGCAGTCAATGGAGTGGTGCAAGCAATTGGTGCAGGATGGCTTCTTCTCGTCACACTGTGATGTGTAAGTGGCATACCGAGGTAAACGCTGATCTACCGGTTCATATCCTCTTAGATGGAAGCAAATGAGAGAACGTAGGAATGTCCACATGGTGAGGCTTCCATTCCATGTAACGAGGGTATGCGATCGTAGAGAAAAGGGAAAAAGGTCCCCTAACTTTGGGAAGGGAGGAGAGATGTTAAATACAAACGGATACTTACTTTTACACGCCGTCTCTTACAATTTTTGCAACCGAGCCGAGACTTCTGATGTGCTCTGCGAGAGCGAATCCTATGCGTGGTTTCGCTCTCCATACCTGTGGTGCTGTGTTGTCGTATTCGTTTCTATTTTATCCGACTTGGGCTTGAGCGGAAATAACGAGGACGTTTGTACCACGTTCGGTATGTTCACGTGACCTTTGCTTAGTCACCCACCTAGATAAACAACTCACCTGAGCCCCTTGAATACAAGAGAAATGTGCCTTGCCAACAGGTTATGAGATTTATATATCTTCTTTTTAGAGCTGAGAATAAGTGGCTTGGAGCCACCTGTTTTGTCTATTCAATTGCCTCCCAAGGAATTGATAGTAATTTCAACTGGAATGGCGCCGAAGAAAGGAAAAGCTTATACTAGGGATAACTCTCGGGATTCTATATCTAAACTGGGCACTCCAGCAGCACGATTACTACCATAAGATAATAAATTAGAGGATCCTGTACAGTGTCAGTTATATATAGGGTATATAGAAACATCCTTATATATATTTCATCCCAACGCTGGTTGACGGTAAAATGGCGGCCAAAAACGGCAGCCTGTCGATGCCGTTTTAAGCACCCTTTGTACCCAATAGCATCTCGCATCCACGTTAGTCAGCTTTAATCACGTGGGTGTGCTCACCCTAGATCACTGAGTGCTCAGTGAGCGCTCATGGTGCGCTCATCCCTACTCAGTCCAGGCTTCCTGAGCGCTCCCTGATCAACTCGCCCTCTATTCAGTCTGCTCAGGACACATTACAATTATATCATGAGCACTTCCAGGATTTTCACCATGCATAACGGCCGCCTGATGATTATGGTACTCATACTCTACTCTAAGTGGTTATACATATATTTCCTTCTATTTAAGGACTACTCCTAACATTTAATATTTTTCTCTTCATTCGCTTAATTTTTATTTCCTGTGTACTATATTTTTTAAGGATTTTGCTTTTCTCTTTTTGTCTTCCATTTGATTTCTCTTATATTTGACATTTATTCTAAATTAAAGAGCCAGTCTGGCTTCCTGCCCCTTCTCCCTCAAAATCATATTTTAATAAGGAATCTCCGCTATGGGTACTGCAGCTCTTTGTGGCTTCAGGAAAAAGAGTATCCTTGGCCCAGAATACTATCGGCAACATTGCTGAGACCTAGTGAATACAGGCATTTCTCAGAAACAATATAGCAAAGCGACAAAGAATAATATTAAAGGCATTAAGGATAAGTAGACAAAGTGAGAACTCATTCCATGTACTAGAGTAAGCTCATAGGATGCTTACAGAGGATTAATATCAGGTACTGTGACTTTCTCAGGGAACAATGACTAGAATTTCTTGTGGCTGCCTGAAAAGAAGATGTCATGATCTTCTTGAAATAGATAATAACTACACAATAAAAAAGTTCAGCAGTTTACATGAATACTAGAGACTATAATATCAGCTGTATTGCCAAGCTGTTAGCCGCAGTCTCTATACCAAATACTACAGTGACATCAATGATGTAAAATCCATCAATGTCTCTCCCTGTTCTATCCACTAACTACTGGCTAGTATATGACTGGGACCCTGGTTTCCTTATATAAACTGGACCTGTCTGTCAGAGACAAATCTGTCATGAATATTAATAACTTGTATCTGGTGCTTTATCATCACTAGGTACTAGATATAATGCTACATCCTGATAGCAGGTAAATTATCCAGCTAGCCTTTCTTCTCCTTATTTCCGCTTATACTGCTAGTCGGCCAGGGACATTAGTATATATGGAAAGGAATAAGCAGACTAATATTTCATATTTCTATAGCTGTGGTAATAATGATAACAATGGAGACAAGGAAGCAGATTAGGAATTTAGAATATAATAAGCAAGGACCTAAAAATCCTTTGCTATAGCTAGATAAGTTTAATCTTGTTACTAAATCCCTATAGCCCCCGTGACCACTTAGTAATGGAGATTGATCTGAAATACACAAAAGATTACTATAATAAGCCTAAGCAGTAAGTATTCTACTGAGAAAAATTATTACTAAAGCTAATAAGATTACAGTAAAATTTTTCTGATATCTGAAGTAAAAATGTCAGTATTTAATATTATAATACTTGTTATTATTATGGCAATTATTGATAATATATTTAAGAGTAATATTTATTCTGTCAAGAAAGTTTTCTCCAGTTATATACTTACTTCTTAACACTCTAACTGTATAAAATTTTATAAGGACAAATTAAATATTCCAGTATATTAATAACCTATCTTGACTGGGTATAGGACTAGGATGTATGATATAAAGCTACTGAAATATTATATATATCTTTATTATCTCTAATGGCTGAGTTTGGCTGTTGGTATGATTCGGGCTACAAGACCGTACAATCTATAGCAAGGCAGAGATAAAGCAGTTAACAGTAAGTTATTTGAACTGCTATTTTGTTATATATCTATTTGGACATTACTGAACAGCTGTTAACATATTAAACCCCTAGATATTGCATCACTTCCATTTCTACAGTAAGTTATGGAACATGTGTATGCCAGTGTCTTCCAGAAGTATATAAACTAGTGAGTCCAGTGCCTTGTCCAGACAGTATTTCTTGGAATACCTTCAGAGAATATATTGATAAATATCCTCAGTTATCAGAGTTATTATATGGATTCTCATGCACCAGCCTACTTTGATAATCTTACATCTACATAAAGAGCTTCAATCTCATCTTATCCAGAAATAATTTATCTTCAAGGACTATGAGATTCTTTAGCTGCAGAAGCGAAAGAGCTTTATAGATTAAGCAAGAATACAGCAGGCACAAAGATTGAAGAACTTAAGGCTAAGACTGAGACTAGCCTATGCTATATAAAGATAAAATTAGAAAAGAAAATTTTTAATACTACTTAATACAATTGACATAAAGGAAAAAAATAAGCAGCATGACCTGTCTTTTATTAATGTCAATAACAATGAATATTGCCCTGAATCTGTCGTTCACAAGCTGGAGAAGCAAAGACGCGTAGCAGACCTGATAAGACTCTCTACCAAGGATCTCTCAGAGAAAGAAGCTCTAGACTACCAGCTTGTACTGGCAAATACGCTGATTAATCTCGGCTGTGTGGTAAAAATACTATCAGAGAGAATATTGGAGAGAATACCTGGGAGAAGATATGGCTACCGACTCTGACAGGGCACTTCCGTGCCTTCATCTTATGCTTCGCTTAGAGAGAACTATGACCTAGGTCTGAGATCACTAGGCGTACGGCTAACAAAGCCTGGAGGCTGCCAACCCCACCATCCTCTCTACAACACTGCCCCAGCGAAGGACCAAATCATATCAGTACTATACTATACTAAGCACATGTCCTAATCCCCCTAACCAAAGAATTGTTTCCCAGCCCAGGCAGATGAGATGCCTCACAGTAAGTGCTCGCCAATTATCGTCTCAGCGGCCTATATAAAAATCAACAGTACAGGGTGTTTGGAAACTGAAGTCACCACCTATTACTCTTTGATTGTTTCAGTAACCCTAAGCCGAAACCAAGCTAAACTGAATTTGGAATGGAATGGAATAACAATTCTTCCGTGTCAGGCAGTGTACTGTAATAACAGATAATATTAGTTACATAAATGACATGACCCAGATCTCGGCTTTTGTCCCTTGACATGGAAACTTCTAGACTAAGAATGAGCGGTGAGCTATTTATGAAATTATCTAGAAATCATTGGAGAGTTCTTATTTACAGGAAAGAATTGTATATAAACCTCAACTATCCCCGGCCCTTCTTTTGCAAAGAAATTATAAAATAAGAAACCGGAGTGGAATATAAAGAACATTAACCTACTGTGTATAGAATCCTATTATAATAACCTGACCACGCAGATACCCGAGAGCAATTGTAGCGTCTTTGACTGCATGACAAGAGAATGAACGATACTCAGCAGGGAGCCACAATAGGTTCTCGCCTCCTAAAGCGATCCAAGTATTCGACAAAGATACTAGGGGATTAGAAGCGGGTTCGTCCAGATATGACACGACCGAACGTGAATGACCCTTGAGCGTCTGGCGCTCTGTGCCAGTCATGGTATCCCAGAGCTTGATAGTACCGTCGTAGGAGCGTGACGCCAGAGTGTGCCCATCGGGCGAGAAGGCCACTGAATTGACCGAATGTGAATGACCCTTGAGCGTCTGGCGCTCTGTGCCAGTCGTGGTATCCCAGAGCTTGATAGTATTGTAGGAGCCTGACGCCAGAGTGAGCCCATCGCACGAGAAGGCCACTGAATTGACCAAGAGCAAATGACCCTTGAGTGTCTGGCGCTCTGTGCCAGTCGTGGTATCCCAGAGCTTGATAGTCTTGTCATCCAAGCCTGACGCCAGAGTGCGCCCATCGGGCGAGAAGGCTACTGAAAAGACTGAACCTGAATGACTCTCGAGCGTCTGTAAGCTTGGACTCCATAAATTTTCCATGACTGGCAGTCTTTGTATATGTTTCAATATTTTGCTATAAAATATCATTTTCACAATACTTTGGGCAGGTGCGAATACCAGCCCGGAGCCATAGAGTTGAAGTGGAGCAATTCCAGCTATATAAGTATTCTGAAGAGTAAATCTTTTTATATCATACAGAAAGTCAGAAAACTCTGTACTAATACATCTCTATAATATAAATCAGCCACTGCTTAGCTATAAGGTTTAAAGAGACTTACCCATGTGCTTGACTTCAGTGTATCTATCATCTCCACCGCATCAGATATGCTTTCAATTAAAGTTAATGCCTCTAACCAGTGAAGAAAATGCCTTTTTAGAAAAGAGAGAACTTCAAACTCAGAGATATGACCTTCACTCTGTTCAAGATGATACACCCAGTAGCGGGAGGAGTACTGCAATTCAGCTGTCAGGTGCTGCTTAATAACCGGAGGGTCGATATCCTTGCGTTCTGTACCGTAGCTTGCTAGGCCACAGATGTTGTGTATAAGCCGATTTTCCATAACCCGGAGACAATGCAACGCTATTTTCGCGTGTGTATCCTTCTCGTCAATATGGAAGTCACCATCTGTGCTAATTAAGAAATCTCGAAATGATAAATGCAGAAGTCTGACTGGCATATCTAAATCACTTGGAACATTAAGCACCGACCGGAATACCTCCACTCGCCTTTGTATTAGATATATAGGTTTCCCAATGAGGTTTGCAAGCGCGTTGACTGAAAGGGGACTGGCAAGCACAATAATAACACCTAGTATTCCATGGAATTCCTGTTTGAGCTGTTGTGACTCGTTATCGTTTTGACCAGTAAGAAGCTGGGTTAATATTGGTAAGTATGTTCTGTCCATCAACGAAGCAGATTTTGTTGCCGGATCTCTAAGAAATTCGCTCAGACGCTCTTGAGGTGACCATTTCATATCCTCAATAAAACGGCACACGGTGGCGGCGAGAATGAATAGGGGAACTGCGGTTTTTGCAAGCTTCTGGATATCTTGATCTCTAGGCCAGCTGTTTGGAAGTAAGTGCTTTTTCCTGATCTCCAAAAGCCTGTGAGTCAGAAACAGGGCTATATCATGTGCAATTATTGGCTCGGGTATTTCATGAAGAATAAGATCTTGACGGTCTGTTTCTTCAACTTCCCTAAATCCTAGAACGGTCGGTAGTTCTGGGCGGCTGGTCAAAAATATCCGTATTTGTATTGCTTCGAGCTGTTTCAATCGAGGTAGAAGCTGTATAATAGAGCCTATATCTTTTGGAGATTCACACTCGTCCAGTGCATCAATAATTAGTACTATGCATTCATCGCGTTGGCCTTTCTCTTCTAAATCACGTAGCGGATTGAGCACAAGCTTATCGAACTGTTCTTTAAGTGACTTTACGGAAATATCAGGGTCATTATTGAGCGCTGTCTTGATACTGGCCGCGAGTTCTGGGAACTTGGCCAGTAGTTGCCATGCAATTGTTGCAAAAAGTCGTTTTGCACTTCCCCGGTTACCTTCGCCTCTCTTAAAGAAAAAGCTTGCTCCAAGGATTTTTTTCCCCTTGAATAATGCACCCAGTGTTCGTGATATTGTCGACTTTCCAGTTCCAGCCATACCATTTAACCAGAATATATATGGGCTTGAGAGCGAAAGCCCCCACTGTGACACTTGTGCTAGAATCTCAGTTCGGGTTCCAGAAAGACATTGGCCTTCATCGTCTTCCATATAAGAGTCAAAAGAGGCCTCCTTAATTGGATGGAGCTTTTTAAAGATAATATTCTGGTCTATATTATCGACGACGCTCTGAGTATAACTTGGTACTGTTAGTTTGCCAGATTATTTGAATATAGATTGGGATATATCGTGCCTCTGTCTGTCACGAAGTTTATCAACCTCTGCAATCAAGCCCTTCGTATCCTTGATTACTTCCCTCATGCTCCTTGTCTCTTCTACCTCTTGGCTATCAACCTTGCACAAAAGAGCCCTGCAATAGGCGGCCGCAACAGCAGCCGCGTAATAATGCCAGCTATCTTGCTTATGAGTGTCAGCGTAGTCGCAAATGCCTCGCACTACCAGACAGGAAATTTCATCCATAATGCCGGCAGCCTCCATCTCAAAACAAACTGCGTTGCTATAACCTCGTCGTAACTCATCTCGGCCCTGGGGGTTCTTGACAACACCATTTCCCGACAGGATAAGGCCCCGGTGAATAATAGGCTGGTGATCCGAGCGTGGAGAGCGCAATAAGATCCTTCTTTCACTGGAAGCCACACACTCACTGCAATCGGACCCCTCGTTGATATGGTGGAAATTTATATCGAACAGGATATCATCTGTACAAGGCCGAGCAAACTTCGGGATTTTGGTAATCTTCCGTAGAATCTTTTTCAGTGGATGTTTCTCCATCAATTCATCTTCCTGTAATGACCCATCCGCACTTATTAAAATCGGTGGAGGCTTATTAAGGTATCCTTTCTGAGCAACACCACCTTGCTCGTACTTTACAAAGTCATATTGAATAACACCAGGATGTCCGTCTTGAGGGATGCTGATAGCGAGATCACCCAGGCGGATGTCATGCTTGGGGAGGTTTGGAATACCGGCGCCGATTCCAACCATCAATGCGAGTCGGACATTTGGGAACTGTTGGCTAACTGCTGTTGCACAATGGGCGGCTTCGATTGTTCCCATTTGATGAGGCCGGGCTATAACCACCTTGTGCTCAGCAATCCTTCCAAAAGAGTAAACATATTTTTTGGGTCCTATTCCTTTGGGGCGACAGGAATACTCTTCATCCAAAGTGTACCTGACTGCGACAGCCTCATATACCAGGGCACAGAATATAGCTATTGTGATACTTTCGGGAGATATCTGCTCAACTTCATCGGAGCTCGCTTCCTCGTTTGCAGTCTCTGATGACACTGGGGATCGTCTTTGTCGTTTTCCCACGCTGGGCTGATATGTTGATATTGTACGCTTCTTTTCTGGCATAGTTTTATTTCTCTATTAATATTAATCCACAAAGTCCTGATGTCAGGGGCAATACCATGATCAGTGATGGCTTGTGGTCAATGCTGTAGTAAGATGAAAGAGATCACATTCTAGATGAGGGGGCAAGGCTGACAGCAGATTAGTCACTAACTAAACGGACGTATGAATACACACACACACACGCACACACACATGCCCTGTAGTACCTATACTATTCATGAGTAACAAAATACTCAGACTTTTCTGTAGTCCCTTAACTTTCAACCCTTTGTGAATTAGCTTCATCATTCATGTTCTTTCATCTCTTAGAGGTGTCCCATGAAGAGGGTAAAGGCTTAATCCTTTGACTCTGCCGAGAATTCCATTAACCCTTTTGAGTAGTAAGTCGAATTCCAAGTGGAGAGGACAGGAAGATTCAGCCTCGCAACTGTGCCTCAGAAACGACTTTGTATGTGAGATATATAGTGCGATTTCCTCTGCAGAACAATTTTGGAACGGTTCTAAAGACGGCCAGAGACTTGATTTTCGTAAAGCATTGAAATATTCTGCTACTCGGTAATCACTGGTACAGTGCTTGATATACAAGTCACTGTTGCCGCAGGGATGGCATTTTCGTGCTGAAATCGGGTGAGTCCTTCCACAGATCATGCAGATCCTGCCTTGCATTGCGTGGCACCTTTGGTCAGCCCTTAAACGTCCTTCCACGGATTGTAGTTCTTCATGTATCTGATATAGTACTTTCTCGATCCCATTTGCCAAATCACCTGTTGATTGTAAGACAGTCTGCTCTAACAGTGTAAGGTGAGCCTTACTGCGGACTCCGTCAGGTAAAAACCTTAGCATATCTATAACCTCCCACTTAACAAAGAAATCAGGAGAAAGTCGGGTCTGGGCCTTCACAGATATTCCGGTAAATTGCTCTGCAGAACGAAAAAGGTGCGCAGCAAGAAGAAGGTAGCCATATTCCTCTGCAGTTCCAAGAGATGGAAAACCATAAAACCAGTTAATAATCCAGGGCCGGAGCGCCTTAATGCAATCATATTTATCACAATTAATAGCAAGTACGGCGAGTCTCTCTGCATCCATTGGATCAACCTGCTCTGGCTCCCGATAATGAAGAATTTCTAATATAGTCCTCATTGCAGCCGGATCGTCTCCATGTAGGGGTATCGTGGGGCGGTGTGAACTTGCGATCTGCTCACCCTCATAGAAATTGGAACTGAATAACTTTGCAAGCATTGGAGAGGCCAAAGTGAGAACCTTGGATGACACAAGAAACCGTCTTGCATTCTGACCTTCAACAAGCAGAATAACATTCCCGTCTGGATCGAGCTGTTCAAGGCCAAGGTCGTTATCTGCTATTTGTGCTAGAGCAGAGTCCATGCCTGATATGCTGATCTTGTATGCAAAGGCGATATGAGAGAGATTGTTATGTGGGAGGTAATACTTATGTACTCGTGAAATATGAGGGGTTTACTGAGGTTGCACTTGTATTGTCAGTACACGTGGTCTATACTAGTACTACTTAGGCAGTTACTTCTACCACCTCCATACCCCACCCACCCTTGACAATCAATTATGTATATACACCGTCATGACTTATGTATATCTCTACAGACCTGATCCCTAGATACATACACGTGATGGTAGTAAAGCTCGGAAATATTTCGCGTAAATGACGCGCCTCGAGTGTTAATCATGATCTGACTGTCTCACTTCATACACGTCCACAGACATGGTCGGTGACAGGTTTCCTAAACTCGCGGTTCTCATTGATGCGGACAATGCACGGCCATCCATTGTTAATTTCATACTCTCTGAAATCGCGAAATGTGGTACAGCTCATGCAAAGCGGGCATATGGGGACTCGACTAGACCAAATCTATATAATTGGAAGGATAAGCTCCTTGAGCAATTGATCCAACCAATCCAGCAGTTCGCGTATACCTACGGTAAGAATATGACCGGCTCTGCTATGATTATAGACACGATGGATCTTCTGTACTCTAGCCGGTATAATGGGTTCTGCCTTGTCTCAAGCGATAGTGACTTCACTCGGCTGGCCGCTTGTATCCGCGAGTCAGGACTAAGTGTACGGATTCGGGGAGTATAAGACATCCAAGCCCTTCGTCACTACCTGCGACAAATTTATATACACTGAAAACTTCGTGCGTTTCAATAAGCTTGTGCCGCATGCTGACAGAGTTATTGGGCCTGAAAGTCATTCGTCGACCCTACTGACTCAAAAAGATAGCTACTTAGCAGGCCAGTTACAAATGACAGTAGAAGCAGTCTCTGATAACAATAGCTAGGCAAGGCTCTCTATTGTTGGCTATCTTCTCACAAAAAATTACCCTGACTTCGACTCGCATAGCTATGGATATCATAAGCTCAGTGATCTTATCACTGCCTCATCTTTGTTTGAAACTGCCCGCCGCTCCTTACGAGAGGGCTTACCCACAGAGATCATCGTACGCGATAAGCGTCGGATGCCTAAGAGTTCTGCTAAATAGGTGGATATAAGTAATTTCTCCCTCTTTGCCCTTTATCACTATTGGCAATTGGAAGTAAATCTTATTTGCGTATATGTTTTTTTATCGTCCCCCTCTTTTATATAATCTGATGACGTTAACTAAGTACTCTACGGTTTTTTTATAAGTGATCGAAGCGACCATTAGCTACAGACGCGCCCGAAATCTCATTCTATACCTCACATATAATTTTTTGACAGGGAATAAGGGAGGGAGGGGGGGGGGGTGTTTATTTAACGGCCGTAGTTCGTGACGGGTACGGTTTCCACCAATGACAAAGGCCGCCAGGGGGTAAGCCCTGAGTGTCAACAACTGTGCTAGCTTTATATACATGGAATAGACTCTTTGGCGCATCTACATAGCTGCCGTGATAAAAGGAGAGTCAGTATACTGAAATTCTTCCCATAACAGAAACCCTATATCCCAGGCCCCTAACCCCGCGATGTTGCGGTTCCTTGAGGTAGCTACTTCCTCAAGTGTACAGGATTTTGATGGCATGGAGGGAAAAACTAACCCAAAACCCAGTAGGAGAAAGGGAAAAGAAACCTCCACGAGTACAGATGTCGGAAGAGTGGTAGTACTCCCACTCCTAGGGAGCTCCGAGGAGCAGTGTTGTCGTACCTCATGAACAGCGGAGATTGTAGGCCCGTAGGCTGATGGAGAAGGACGTGAGAGCCGTGCGGTTGGCCGGTATAGGAGACGTGAAAACAATCGAAAGGCGTCAGTATCTGTTCGTGGAGGGCCAGCTCTCTCGTGCTTGGCGCAGAGCGTTCGATCAACTTCCAGGTCGTCGCGGTATTCATTTCTATCTCCAAGAAATGCTGGGTTCATGAAGATCCCATAATTGCCGCTCTGCTTTTAGCCATCGCTACTTGAGCGATGTTTCCAGGTATCTTTTAGGCTGACTTTTCCCGCTAGGCGCCTTTTCTAGAGCAGAAAGGGAAAGAAGTCGAGGTTATGGTCTTACCTGTTAATGCCGATCTAGAGAAGAAAGCGATAGAACAATACCTACAAGAGAGTCTCCTATCCGGCGAATGTGATGCTGGTTTCAACAAAAATGGATTGCTTCAGTCATGTACTTTGGGCTCACTTTGTCCAAACACGAAGATGGGTGGCCCTGAGTATTATCCCTATTTTTATTACGCCCAGGAATATCATCATGAGCTCCGATTACGAAAAAGATATCTCGCACACAGAGAAGCGTTGCTGGATTTCTATTGGAGCTTATAAGGAAAGAGTGATTCTTATCAGTTCCTCAAGGAGTCAGGGCTGATTACTCAGTACAGGTAGGTACCAACCAATATATGGTAGTAAAGAGGTGCATGCTTACCGTTAGCAGTCATCTAAAGACAACACAATTTCTAGATGCAACTGATTCCTGCGGTGAAGGTATTCTGGCACTATTGCTGGTCAATGGATGGCACAAGAGAAACCTTCTTATTCTTGCTGGGCTGGCCGTCCTGATCAGTATCTCTGTCACTGCACTCACTACAGCTGTTGCAAGGGATTTGGATGCCGGGCTTACTGCGGGAAGCTACACTTCTGGAGTAGCGGCATTATTGATCGCGACCCTGACGTTCTTTAGTGCTATTTTATAGGATTCGCAACGTACTCTGAGAAACAAAGACTGGATTGTCTAATAATATCGGATACAGACCCTTAAGAATGTAGCGCGCTTCTGGATAAGCCATTTGTCTATTGGCTATTCGCATGGTTGACACTTGGACATTGGGAGCTATAAGTCTATCTAATCATCATCCCAGTCGCCCCACCCCGTAACGTCCTTGGCAATGAATTAACCACCAGCTAGTCGAATACCAATCTCGTGTCATCGCAGGCTACAAGCGAGACCGACACATACTAAATGGGGAATGAGCGCCTAGCTTTTGTGAATTGCGTAAGATGGCACTTGTGGGCCAATAAATTCAGGGGATGTACTGGTGTAGATAAACTGTGCTGGCAACTTCATGCAAGAGTAAAGAATCCTTTGTTCAATAATATCATGATTTCTGGGGTCTTCCAGACCTCCCTGAAGCACATGCGGATCTGAAGAGTTTCCCGTGGCCACTCTCCTTTTGGGATGTTGAGAATATACAGGTTGGATTCAAGGAGCTGATCATAGAGGCTGGTCGCTCTTTAGGCAAAGACCAGCAGGAAGATGTTAACGAAGCTCTGGTAATCTTCTCTTCGTGCTCAAAATTACAGACGCGTTGACAGGGAGGGAAAATGGCGAAGTTGAATCACTCTATCTGGAGACTGCCCGCCCTTGAGTTCGTTTATATCCCTCTCGCGTCTGTTGTCGACCGCTGCTTGGGCAAATATATGTACGATCAAATACTGACAGTTCAAACAATATGTTTTAAACTATAGTTATCAGACAATCATATGTACAGCTTCACAATCTAGTACTGCATAAAAAGGGATTGAGTAGTTCTCGGCATAGAAACATGCCTTTATACTAGTGATTTGGTCAATAAGAAGAAATTGTGCTGTACGTGCCTGCATAGCGAAAATGCCCGAGTGCCCTCAACATTCTAGCAGAAACTCAACGATCGCTGCGATACACCGGTGAAGCCCCAGAAATACCCATAAATAGCCCTTGTGTATCGATGTAAGGAGTATAGATAGAACAGGAGGGATAAGTTAGTAGAGCAGTAAAATTAATATTTGACACTTTATTTAAACGCTTTGTAGATATAGAAACTGAAATTTGTCCGTTATCCTGGGAGGACCACTCGTATACGTGACAGGCGGAACAGATGAGAAAAAAGCAGTATGGTGGCATGTCATCTATCAACGCAAAACGGCAGATCAGAGGTGGGGGATCCTATTACAATCGAGGATATCGACAATCGAACTACGCTAAGTCTTGGGTTCATCTTGTTGGCACTCCCTCAGGGCTGCAGTAGTGCATAATATCAACCAGCCTTCCTCTGAATTACAATAGTACCCTCTTTTCCGCTCTTCAGGGAAATACGGTATATAATTGGGGAGTCCTTCGGAGGTGGCAGTTCTACCGTACGAGGTTAATTTTGTGTGTACAGTACCGTATTAATATGCTATGTTAGCCACAAAGCCCAAGTTCAATGGCATTTTTAACCTCCAATATTCTAGCGAGACAGCTGCTGAACGAATAGGGAAACCATCAAGGTACTTATACGAAATCAGCAAGGCGTCCAGAATAATGGTTGATCTAAGGGAGGCATTCTTGATTCGATGTACTATGTTAACTGGAGCCGATGGGCGCCACTAAGCTGAAAGTATCTCCAGCGACTTTCAGGGATGTGCGGCAGCACAAGGCCTGCAAGATTTGCATGACATGCAGGAAGCGGAAGGCAATGTCTCTGTCCTATCAAGGCAGAGACGGGCACTCCCCACGTCCTTTTGCGAGGAGGTTCACCTAAAAGGGCGACGGACAGGCCAGCGTATGGACGCGTTCCTGAGACAGAACGCGCTGTACTCTCAATACTTGCCCAACACATATACTACAAATTCCTCAATATAACCTACGACACTGGCCTAGTTCAGAATGGCCAGTGATGTCTGCCCCAAGTTCTATGTCACAGGTTATTGATGGTGTGAGCGGCCTGGCAGCCGAGAGTAACGGAAAGTGAAACGAGAACCCCACCTCTCAGTAGCAGACTGGCTCTACTGAAGCAATATATTAAACTGTATCAGATATAGGAAGAGGCAGAAAAAATCTTCTTAAAGTAGATATATGTGTGTACTTTTATGCGCTTGTGGGGACCTGCTCAAGACACACAGCTTCCGCTACAGTTCTGATATTCACCAGAGATCCTGACAAGGCAATATAGGACTCGGTCGATTCTCGAATACCTGGTATATTCGTACTTACAGTTCTTCACTGGTGTTTATTTCCAGGCACTATAGTCTGAAAGTACTAACTAATCCATGCTAGCCGCACTAAAAAAAAATAAATAAGCATATTACAACCGAAAGAATAATAAAAGCCGCCTGAAATTTCGCTCTTCTTCTTTACAGCTTAGTAAGGCTTACCCAGTGTCGCTTGTCCCATGACTATGTACAGTAGCAGAAATGGGTTCATACTACAATACTCTGTGGAAAATGCCGAGGTATGATTGAACATTAAGTATCCTATAATCTGCTAACTAAACATATAACTGAGTGTCAACTACCAACTGTCTTATCATATATACTAGCATTTCTCTATTTATATTTTACTCAGAAGTGTGACTTATATCTAGTTAAGTTAGAACAGTCTTTTTGTTAACTAACATATATCTATGTAGAGTGAACCCCCCGCTTCAAGCAAAGCCCTGGACTTCTAGACTTGGGTAGTTTTATAGATGTTTATGTTGTACGTCAGTATGTGGCAAAATAATTTAGGCGAATAAAGCCAGCTACACTCGAGCTGAAATATGCCTCAGACAGACCTTATCCTTTGGATCTTGGGACATGTTTGTACCATCATAGATTTTGTGTCCATTTTAGCCATACATCTACATCAAATGCGGCATCTAGATTAGGAGCTGGCCTTGAAACACTAGTCCTAACTAGTGTATTCTTATGAGTACTTTTAAGGACTGTTTTCTCAGTAAGTCTCTTCTTAGGCTTTTTATATTTCTTCTGGATTATCCTGTGCTCCTCAGCCATGCATACGCCTTTAAAATAGACTTTCTGATCTGAAATAATCGTATATTAGTGAGATTTAATAAAACAACAGTTTTAGGTTGACACTCTAGATCAGAGCATAAGCAAGTATTAATAAGATTTATAAGCCCTGGAGAATACATCACTTGTAGACTGTCGCGTTTATATTTCCCATCTAATATTTTGTCGAGTATCTCTTTATCCGTCTTACCATCAAACGGATGTTATAATTGACACATTTCATATACCGTACAGCCAAGTGCCCAGACATCTGAGGCCGAGGTGTACTTCTTCCCGCGATGATGTTCAGGAGACATATAATAACCTGTGCCACTGTGGGACGTAGCGAAAGTCTGGGGAAATACAACTTTTACCAATCCAAAATCACCCAGCTTTACTGTCTCATCTTCTTTGCAGAAGATGTTCGCTGGTTTCAAATCACAATAAAGGATCATGTGGTCCCTATTAACTGGTGAGGTTTTGAGAAAGTCAGGCGGGTTTGTGCCGTAGTGGCAGCGGTATAACGCCATAACCAGTTGTGCAAATATGCGCCACGTATGCTTCTCTATCAAATTTTTGGCTTGCTTCCTCTTATTAACCAATCCTTTTAGATCTCCCTTACCGCAGTACTCCATGTAAATGTATACAGTCTCGATGTTTTTAGCGTGGTCCATACCGTGGTACCTGACAATATTTGGATGTTCCAGAGAACAGAAAATCCTAATCTCATTTTTAATTAACTCATGTTCTTCTAATTTTCCTTTGTATTTAATCTCTTTACGGCAAAGTATCTTCCCTCATCAATTTCAGCCCTGTAGTATTTATCTGTGATCTGAGGCCTGTACTTACAGCTCCATTCAATTTGCAATGGACTCTGTTCACCACTCCAAAACTGCCACTCCCTATCTGTACATGTTAATTGTGCCGCATCTCAAGATATACAGAGGAATACAGGGTCACCTAATTCGTTCAGGATTTCATAATTCTCTGTCGCTGGTGGTCTGTGTGCCATTCACTTGAGGTGTATGGATTTGGAAGGGGCAGTTAAGCGAAGGCGCCTCAATTGAAAAAAGCCCCCACGTCAACTAGCATATAATGGTTTTATTTTAGCATACATCAATTACATCAATTACGAAAATAGTTCATCCGCTTCCTGTCAGGGCCTAGGCTGAATCCTGCCTGGGGCACCAAGTCTACTTTATTCACTGTTGATTTAATCTTACAATATAAAATCCCACAGTTCCTGTATGATAGAATTATTTCTCTCATCCTTCTCTACATTTGATGTTTTGTTAGATCGCCATGTTAGATATAAATGATATTATCTTCTAATGTGAATAGGATCAACTTCCATCCGATGCTCGCCACGCCCACTTGAATCAAGAATTCAGTAAAATAAAATAAAGTGAAAAATAAATGAAGAATAAAATTCAAAATTCAAAAACCGCTTGGGCTATAATTTCATAAGTGTCACGGGTTTAAGCAGATCTAGTAGTAGCTTGAATTCGGTTGCTGACCAGGCATTATCGATTCGGTACATACGGGAAGCAATCAGGAAAACCATCAGGCTGATGGGACAGACCTTATCGGAAATGGGCTAAAAAGCATAATCCTATATAAAGGCTCTGAAATGCAAAGATTCCTCCGCTTAGTATACCTTACAACAATGTATATTGCTTGTATATAAACCGCTATTCTTCGGCACTAGGCTAGGGTTTCGCGGGGGCCGTCAGGCCGTCATTTAACAAAGGATAAGCTGCTGTAGCACGAAGCTAAAAATATTTATCAGCCGGTATTAGCTTGAAACACAGGAATCCTATACAGTGCAATCGCTACTTAGTAGCAAAAGAAGATACTAATTTTCTGCCGATATAAAGTTGTAGGTCAAAGCATCAATCTGCGGGGGAAAGGGTTAATTTTTATACGACAGCACGCATGAGATAAAGATAACTGCCTGTAGGCCGGTCACCTACTAAAGATATGTGTAGGAGGATGCGACACCTCAATAGATGGGAGTAAGTTGAAAGGGCTAAGAAGGTTTTATGATACACAACTGGGGATGTATTCAGTTCACACAGAAGGGGAGTTTATGCTGTAACTTGGATACACAAGCTCCATTTACACGGTGTGAGGCATACAGACTGGGATCTAGTACTATGTAACCACTTGATTTAACTTGCCCACAGTACCCACGAATTCAAAGGCACCCAGTATGGTGCCCTTTTGATTTTGAAAACAACATAGCCTCATCCATATTCTCTGTCTATTGGACCTGACTGTTTATTGCGACTATCTACCCGGTGGAGGAACATAACTTATCCGGCCTCAATTGTTCTTGGCGCGATTAAATCCGTGTAAATTGATAGCACGCTTGGAATTGGGGAGCAGGGGTCCCCATATATTGGAGAATGTCTGAGTCCCGGAGAGTCCGAGCCTATCAACGTCACGTCTTACCGCTAGCTTCATTGACGCTCTAAATTAGTAGGTAGCAAGCATAATCGCCGAAATACGGGTTATCGTCTCCACTAGTACAATCTGTGAAACAATCTAAGTCCATGCATCCCTCTCAGATTAAAGAAACTGCAATCCCCATGTCCCGAAGCAACCGCATATCACTCCATCGCGTCCTGCCCACGGACGCGTCCGTCCTGGCGACAATTCACAACAATGCCTTCCCCGATGATAATTTCCTCAAGCTTATATACGGCCCTCCAGAGGAAAATATTGTAGGCTTGGCCAAAGAACTTGAACAAACCATCCGTGACAACCCCAACGCTCGGTTCCTAAAGGCCGTAGATAATGAGTCTGGAAGCATCGTGGGTTGGTCGTGGTGGAGTATCTACCGCGATGCGGAGACCCATATAAAAGCGACGGAAGATGCACTGAAGAAGAGTACTACGCCGCCGCCGGGATCGAGATGCCCGCAGGCGTATGTGGATTATCGTCGTATGGTCGTGCAGAAGCGGGAGAAGTGGATCGGGGGCAAAGCGGTTGCCAGTGAGTTTCTCTACGCTTTTGGAAGACTTTCTCGCACAAGTTTGACTTCATGGAATCCATTTTTTGGCCAAGTGAGTGGATGTGGCTAATTAATATTATATAGTCCTGCAAGTCTTGGTGGTTCTTCCCGAGTACCAAGGTCGTGGAATCGGAACCAAATTACTGATGACTGGGGTTCAAGAAGCGAAGGATCTACGTTTACCGGCGTGGTTGGAGGCTTCGCCGGCTGGGTATGCGGTTTACAAGAATTGTGGGTTCCATGATGTCGGCGAGAGTCTTGATTTTGACTTGGTCAAGTATGGTGCCGTGGGTGGGAGGCAGGGGTATTGTATGTTGATGGACCATGATGGTACGAGTTGAAGCGCGACCGGGCTCTGTTTTCGTATTCATTTGTTTTTTTGCAATCCTCATTTTGAAGTTAATGATTTTGTTTTTACTGTTCAAAATAGTATACCATGTAAGGTGCCAGGCTTCCTTGGGCGGGTGATGAGATAACATATGGAACCTTCCCAAGGATGCTGCTTCAATATATACATGTCCTTGAAACTGCCGAGTCCTCTCACATCTGCCCTTGCTACAAGGTTTCTGGAAATCGTTGTTTATTCCTTGTTGTGTATCCAAAAAGGACCTCAGTTTATCATTTATTTTGTCAATTCTACAACCCTATTATGGCTTCAAAATGTATTGAAATCGAAAACCGTATCAAGGAGGCCTGTATAGCCTATACTAGCAGAGAAATCACAAAAATCGCACTATTGGCGCGTGAATTTAATGTGCCTTATAAACGCCTACTTGCTAGAATTCAGGGAAGAAATTCTTAATTAACCTGCCCAAGCACTAATAAAGTGCTTGGTGATTCCCAGGAGGAGGCCTTGATTCAATGGATTAGTTGTTAGGCGCACTTTACAGCGCCTGCGGTTGGTATATTCTTGATAGAATACAGTCCCTTAATACCATAATTTATTGATATCAATGTGGGTAACTAATATATTTACTGTATTTTATCTCTTGGCAACCCGCGGGCTAACCCGTTGACCCGTGGCCATCCAGGGAAGTAACCCGGCCCAAGCCGGGTTATTGGACGACCCAGCCCATTTCTTGGCGGGTTGGGCCGGGTTTCGTGGGCTGGGCCTAACAAGTCTAACTACTGCTCAAGATGATATATCTCTTTAAGGATAAAGCATAGAGTCAGAGTAAAGCTATCAGCTATAATATACTTAGTTATTGAGATTATTTTATCTATCTATCTAGTTAGATTATTTTTTACAGCTTGTATAGTCATAACTTTTTAACTCTTTCCTAATTTCAGTTGGAAGCCAGTTTTACCAAAGTTATAGATATTCTTGAGTGGAATCTGCTTAATAAACTGCTCAAAGTAATTGTACCAGCACTAAAGAAAGTATATATCTCCTGCTTCAAGATAATTCTTATCTCTCAGCCTTTACTAGACTAGCTTGAACTCCTCTGGAAGATATTTAATAAAGCGAGAAACCGCAAAAACAAATCACACACATCTCGAAAAAAGAAAACATTGCCTAATCAGGAAAACTAAAGACTATACTTGCCATGCATATGATACGAAACACATACCTCAAGGACTGAATCTGCCTGGTGTGGCCCCGTAGTTTCCGCGCAACGCCATTTGTCTCCAAATCGAAGATGACTACGGTACCATCAACCTGTACGAGAGTCAATAAAATGATTGGCTGCGAGTCAGAAATTCTGATACGGCTAGAAGAAGGGAATACGGACGACTTTGTTCTATATTTTTATCTGTGGAGCTTAGGAACGACAATATCGGGCAGAGCAATCTCTATCTATAGACTTCGGTGAACACGGTCGAGTCAGTTGGCTCTCTTTTACTAGTAGAGCAAAGCAAAAGCCATTTAACAGGGAATCAGAGAGGCCTGCTATGCTAGGCTTGAAGAACAGAAGGATAACATGTGTCTGCAAATGGCGAATGAATTTCTTAGAAGTTAAGAGCAGTGGGAAATGACATTGGTTGACAATTAATTCACTTGAATTCCGTCTAACAGTCGGGAGCGCCAGTAACATGCCCCTGTCATGGGATTTTTCACCAGTGTGGGCAAAAGAGTGACTTACTTGGAAGAACTGCGTAGCAAAAAAAGTCCGCGGCTGGGCATCTCTCGCAAGCGATCCCAATTCAAGGTCCAGTGGCACTGCGCGAGCTCGACAAGAAGAGTACATGGCAATCGATAGACTCCCCAAAGTCTTGTTCTTTCGACGTGTTCGGAACCGTCGTGGAATGGTTTCCATCCGTCATGAGGGAATTGCAAGAAGCTACCGAACATGTCCTTCATTGATCCCTGCAAGCCTATACCTACGGACGAACGTGCACGGGTCTTGCAGATGATATTTACGGATTGGCTCTCGATTGCAGAGGATTGGCGTGAATCCTACGGTCGGTTTACGGGGTAATTCGGGCCCTTCCCAGGGGTTCGTCTCAGTCGACCAGCGTGCTCCATTACACGCTCTATCCGAGCTACTCCAGCAACGGGGAATCAAGTGCCTCTTCATAGAGAGCGAGAAATGGGACCTGGCTTTCTGCTGGTACCGACTTCGTCGGTGGCCTGACAGTGTGCGGGGTTTGGAACTATTGAGCCGAAGTTCCTTACCAAAGGACCTTTGACGTTATGGCTCCTTGCCTTTTACAGATATAGCCAGCGCAGAGAACTTCGGAGCCTATAAACCTTCGCCTCACGTGTATCGCGGAGCGGCAGCCCGCTTCGAGTTGGGCCCCAGCCACTGCGTCATGGTGGCAGCCCATCTCGATGACCTGAAGTCGGCCAAAGCACAAGATTTTCAGATAGTCTATGGTGAATGATTTCAAGAAGAGATGAGAAACATGTGACTTGGGCAAAGAACGACGGATATGTGGATATCTACATCGCTCTGAACGAGGGCGGTTTCGTTGAGGTTGCGCGACGACTCGGCATTCCTACTGTGATCACGCAATAATCTCTAGATATATGTTTATGTCAAGTGGGGCGCGTTTTGTTTCGACCCTGACGTTTGTGGTTCTCTCGCGATGCAAGGGCATAGTTTATCATAGAATTTCCTAATCCTTTGGTTTAATTCGGGTTCCCCCTCTGGATGACGTAGCGGGCGTAGCCATCGATTGCAACATCGGTCATCAATTTGTCAGCCCCCTCAGCTCGAATGACAAATTCGAATTTGAAATCAAATACATATATTCAAATTCACTGCCGTTATATGTATTCGATCAAATCGCTTTCCGAATAAAAGAAGCAACATGGCGGGACAGGTATGTCATGCATCTTAACGGCACCAGCACCTCCATGCTAAGTAAGACCTTCAGGAGCACAACGTCTACCGTCATGCTGATGCTGATGGTCACTTTCGGCGGAAGGACTCGGTTTTCCGTTCATTTGTTTCCAGCGATCCCACGGCTGAATTCCCTGCGGAGAAAGACCGCTATGTCCTATACTTGGGTTACGGCTGCCCATGGGCGCACAGGACTAACATAGTTCGATCGCTGAAGGGCCTGGAGGAGATTATCCAACTGGTGGTTTTGGATCCCGAACTGGGGCCCGACGGATGGTTCTTCTCCGGTCGGTGGGGGTCGGCAGAAAAAGACCCTCTCTACGGATTCACGTGGTTAAGACAGTTGTATTTCAAGGCGGACCCGGCGTACGAAGGGCGGTACACTATTCCGGTGTTGTGGGACAGAAAGAAGGAGACCATCGTGAACAATGAGAGTAGCGAGATAATTCGGATGTTCTATACCGAATTTGACCATCTGCTTCCAGATGACCTGCGCGAAGTCAACAATCCGGGTGGGGGACTCTACCCTCAGCATCTAAGAAAGGAAATTGATGAGATGAATGAATGGGTCTACCATCAGATTAATAACGGAGTGTACAAGACCGGATTCGCAACAACTCAGGAAGCATACAAGGAAAATCTCTATCCGCTGTTTGAAGCGCTGGATCGCATCGAAAACCACCTGGCACAGCAAAGACACCAACCTTATCTGTTCGGCAAGCACATAACTGAGGCGGATATCCGGTTGTACACGACAGTGGCCCGGTTTGATGTAGCCTATTATCTGATCTTCCGATGTAACCTGAAAATGATCCGGCATGACTATCCACGGATCCATCTGTGGTATCGTCGCCTGTACTTCGACGAGTCCAAAAGGACGCAGGGAGGTGCCTTTAAGAATACAACTTTCTTTGATATTGTAAGTGGTATCCTTAGGGCATGTGGCTGGCTTGGAACAGTTGCTGATTACTTTTTGCAGTACAAATTTGGTTACCTGAAGGCAATGGGCAAGCGAACGGGCAGCTCGCAGATGATTATCCCTGCTGGTCCGCTGCCAGATGTCTTGCCACTGGAGGATTCATAACACATTTGTAGCTCAAGGTTAAACGATGTATTTCAAGTCTTGTCCTAATCATAAAATCTGTGCTGATATGAGGCTAAATTCGGGTAGCTGAGCACCCTTTTGGTCAATCCCATGTGAGTCCCCGAAATGCTGGAAACGTACGGCAGACTCTTGGGACAAAAAATGTCTTACTTTTGGCCCCAACCTAGTAAGCTAGCCCTTTTGTTTCAGAACTTTTTCGTGAGACACATTTCAATGACACCATTGATTCAATGTCAATGATGGGGCACATAGTGCAAATGATAGCAGCCTCGTTGATCTTGCGTCCTACGACCATCGCCAACAGTATAATATAAAGACCGTAACTCCCTGTGGGATGAGAGACTCTTATTTCAGGCATCCTTTCCTGCACAGGTTTCTAAATACCAGAGTGCAGATTATAATCGTCACAACGAAATTCACCTAAATTGCCTTTAATCTCACTGCTGGGCCTGGTTCCGTGTACTACCAGAATAGGGCGTTTCTCGGCATGGCGTGGAGGTTAATCCAATGCTTCATTATCCGTTTTCTAAGCTGGTATCTAGTGGATCAATACCAGCTTCAGCTTCGAGAACAGGTAGAGAATTGGAGATAGAGGAGAGCTTTAGCTAGTGAGGTGGATAAGGAAGGCCCTAGACTACCTTATTGGGTAGATACTCAAGGCGGTGTTGTATAGGAGCTTGAATAGCTTCGTTTTTTTGCGTTGAGATGGGAATTTGCGTTGAGGTGAGGCAGACCAACACGCCGAAGGGCGTGTGGGGCTGCTGACCTAAGAGACGGCTACTGCAAGTTTGCTCAGATTGTAATTTCTGTGGATGAAATAGGCGTTCTAAGCAGCGCTCAACCCGGAGAGAGATCTCTGAACCATTTAGTAGATTGTATAACTTCTTTTGATTCTTTTCAACCTGTAGAGAGGTCTTTGGGGGCGTGTTTTCAACACTTGAAGAGAGAGGATTCAGAGGAGATATAGTCGCTCTGTACATGTGTAGATCAGGTGCGGAGATCTCTGGCACTGGAGATAGAGCATCCTGAATAGCTTTAATTATAGAGGATCTATCTGGAGGATAGTTACTACGCTCTTTAAAGGAGTTGTGAATAACCCGCTGCTTTAAAGGTCTTCTTGCGTACAGCCACGATATCACTTAGAAAGTTCGCTTTATCTCCCGGGGGCCCGGTCCACTGCGCGATGATATTATTCGCAGTACGAAAGTGTGTTTTGTATATAAGAAAGGACTTTCCATCAAGCGGTTGACAGAGATAAGTTATATGAGGTCTAAAACTGAAGAGAAGGATCTCATAAATCTCGCAGAGTTACAGAAATTCAACTGTTTTATAGGCAGTATAACTGTCAAAGATAAGCACATGTTTTCCCCTTTCTTTGTACGATTTTGGGTCTCTTTATGAAAGTTATGAAGCTATTAGACTATACGTTCATCATCTATATAGCCCTTTTCAGAGACTGCGGTATAGAAATTTGGTAGTTCTTTATTATACCAGGCCTCCATAAATCGCTTGCCTTTAAAGATAAAAAGCGGCACCATGATCTAATTGTCTGCAGCAATATATTTAAGCGCAGTTATATTCTGAAATCTCTGCTTTCAGAAGATTATGAGCTTTTCTTCCCTTTGTACTCAGCACATTTTTGCCTTTCTATCACCTGGTTGAAATCCAGATTCATCAAAGTTATACATGAGACGATCGGGGATCTCTTTAAGCAAGCTTTTAAGCTGATTATACCAGTATTAAAGCTGCCTGATATTCTCTGTATCTAGACGCCTTTTCTCCTTTGGTCTCTGAATTTCTGGACCAATTTTTAGGTCCGGAGGAAGCCTTTTAGCAAAGCGATACGCCCACAATTCATTAATATATCACTTAGGATCATCCCGCCTCATAGCTAGATTAGCCCCATCCATTAAGCAATCTAAACGTTATAGGAAGTGTATATCAGCATTTCAGCAATCCAGCTGACCAGAGCAGCCTCTTAATACTGATTAAGCGCTGTATTTACAGGGATTCGAGTCGTACGAGGCTTTCTTTGATCATGGACGCGGCCGTGAAGTGTGCGATAGGGAACCCGACTCGCGTGATTTTTGCTATATTCTTTTTTTTTTTTTTTTTTTTTTTTTTTTGAAAACGAGCAGCTTCATATGTTCAATTGACATGTGCACCGTCAAATTTAGGCGTTTTAGGCATATTGGGCGGCTTGTATAGCTTCACAAAAATGAAAGGTTGATAATATTCCTCTACCCATCTCTAATACCGCTGCTGGTTAAGGACTCCATTTCTTCTGCTTTTTAAATTCCTTAAAATACTCGCCAGCTAGATCAGAAGATCCGCAGGCTACAGAATAGCTTTAGTGTAAAATGGAAAGCTTTCTAGTAGCCCAATTGCTTATATTCAATATCTTGAGAAGACCGCGCCAATGGCAATACATACTAATCTTCTTTTATAGCAAGGAAATAAGGCTGTATGAGCTTAAAATAAGTCAAAAATAAGCAAAAAGACAAGATAATATGCTTTATTAGGTAACACATCCTTTTATCTATACAGGAAGCTAAAATCGGGTTTAGCAACTTGATGTGCAGCTTAATGAGCAGTCTGAGCAACATACACCTATGCCTTGACGACGAGCTCCCTAACGCTGCAGTGGCTGTGGGGATAGTTGGACATACTATAAGAATTGCTATAGTAAATAGCTTTATATCCTACTACTCAGGCTAGTTGAATCCTATTTTATAGTTGAAAGGTGTAAAGGATCCGCTGTGGCCTCGCCAAATCCGCGGAACCTGGCTCACAGTCAGTCGGCAGTAACTGATCCCGGCCCTATTTGCCTTAGAATAGTCATTCGGCAGCTGCTGACTTGCCCGCATGGGAAAATGTCCTGGTGCAAAATAAGTACTTAAAGGGCGAAGGAAGATTCCAGTTAAAGCATGGGGTGTGGTCTTCAAGTTGGGAAAATGGGAAAAAGATAGACCAGACGGACATAAATGCACATCGGCGGTTCTCTGGGTACAGTAAAGCACACCGCTGCAACGACGGATAAAATCCACAATCATCACCACTCTATCTAGTCGAGATTTGCACCATTCTGGGAGAGGGTCGCATATCGCTAATGCCATAAGAAAAAAGTTCAATTGTCCGTATCAATTTATCAATAAACGACAGTGGCACAGTGGGTAGTCTCTCTCAACAAGAAAAAAAAAAAACACTGCTCAGTTCTCGTTATTCTTCTCATCAAAGCAGATGCACATTGCAGCAATGAGAGCCATATCAATACCAGGAGCAACTGAAACAGCATACGACTGCTGATCAAAGATTATATCACGGCCGCGGAATAGCTTGCGATCAATACGCGCAACCACAGAGCCCGTAGCTTCATCGACAATTTCAGCCGCACTATCCAGCCAGTTGCCGCGCATGGCCAGACTCTCGGTATTACCGGTACTCGGGGATGTGAAAGTGGCGGTCGCTTTGGATCCGAAAACTGTAAAGATGATTAGCGACTGGGTTATCGTCCCCATCCAAGGGGATTCCGGAAGTAGACGGGATCCATACGTTTAAAGCTACTTTTGACTTCTAGGAATTTCTTTCCAGCTGGTTCTTGAGCGGCAAACGTGGTATGCAGGTGAAAGTGCTCTTTCACGATGTTGAATAGGTGAGTGCCAGCCATGTCGTATACTGATTTGCGACCGGAGATCGACATGACTTTCCCTTCCACCCGTAGTAAGGGCTGGCCATTCACAAGCTTTATGGTGAAGCTATCACCGGTTAGCGAGAGGACCTTCTCTTTAAGCGCTAGCGTCTCGGTCTGTTGAGCGATGAACTGAGGGAAGATCGCTATCGGCTTGGGGACCGGGGATAGTTGCGGCGCGCCCATTTTGATTTCAGTTTCGTGTCTGGCGGTGGAAGTGATTTGTCTTCTCAAGATAGGCTGTTTTCTAGGAGGGGGGGAGGATCCAAGGCAAGCGAGAAATGGAGTTCGTACTCTGTAGATATGGTCGGTCCATGCCTTTATATCCTCCCCAAATGCGTCATTTCACCCTCAGCGGTCACAAGATTACGGGTCGCATCTCCTACCATCCGGCGAGCGGAGCATACACGGTCTCTTGATTGGCTAGTGGAAGTCTCTGCTCGCTCGTTTGGGTAGCTCGTAACCTTGTTCCTATACCTAGCGATTAAAGTGAGTTCCACCGGTGTCTGATTGGCACTCATTCCGCCAGAGGCCCCACAGATGTACAAATGGAATCATAACATTATCTACACTACGCCGAGAGTACTCCGTCGATCAGATCTAGCTAACCTATCTCTTATTAATTGGAGAGATCAGAAGGAATGGATTGTTAGAATGATCATTCCCGAGGTAACTGGTATCCACAACACGACGAAGGATACTCTAAAAATGGCCGAAGGACAGGGTCTTGCGCACCATCCAGATACATGCATATTGCAACACACTCCGGGTGAATCCTCCCTTCCACCCACGGCTCATAGTGAGACAGAGTGCACATCAGACCCATCCAGTGCGCAAGCACCACTAGCGCCCGACAATCTCTCTGTCGTAGTAGGCCCACATACTCGTGTTCCAGTCGACCGATCCACGTCGCAGCCACAGCCGCATTCTCCGCCGTTGCGGCAAGCATTAACAGGGGACTCAAGAGCTTGACAGCGTTGTAGTAAGGGTTTGACGCTGGTGTGGTGGACAGATTGTCGACCTCACAAAGCGTAGCCAGTGCTTCGTGGAACTGGTAAGGCGGGAGGGTGTACTGCCATAGCTTACCTTCCCATTCTTCACTGTGTAAAAAAGGATCTGCCCAGATGCAAGATTGTAGCAGTGGACCGGCTTCAGCAATAAGACAGGTGAGACCGCTTTGAAGGCAGAGCCAGTTTATGTCGCTGGGGTTGCCAGTGAAGACCCAGGACTCCGGAGCAGAGAACGAAGCAGGGTAGAGAGATAAGAGCCCCATAATCATGCAAGCGGCGATCAAACCATCAATGCTTTTCTGCGTGAGTCCAGATTGTAGCGCTGCTTGGAAGAGGGCGGCTGCGTTCTGTGAGAAGTGCGCCTCGGCCAGTTCGTAGACTTTGTTGCCAGAACATGTCCGGTTAATGTGAAGTGTACCGGCTGCGAGAATGGTGTACATTAAATAAGGTGCCTGGTATACCTCGTGCTCAGCGATGATATTCTGAGATTACAACCGACAGGAGGGGTAGAGCATCAATTGAAGAACAAACCTCGCAGGCGACATGTATCATCTGTGTTCTCATGACATCGCGAATCTTCAGCGTCCCAGGGCTACCATTAGCGGTTGAATCTAGGAACTGGTCAAAAGCAGCCACCGCTATTGAAAATGCCATGCTTGAGTTGCCAGTAGCCCAGGCAATCTCCTTGTTCAATCCCTCGCTGAGCCTGGTTATAAATTGCGCAACTGAAAGAGTGGGGTTTGCGCTAATTGGTCGTTCTGTCTGCATTTGCAAAACGTTGCCGCTCTGAGTCAGGATGAATGATTCTGGAGAAAGGCCAATATAGATACACCGCGCCCCATATTTCTGACATCTGTGGCAGACTGGTTGACGCTCATCACACTACCATCCCCGTTAGATGGTTCTCGCTTGTAGCAGGTGTATGAAGGGTCTTAAAACACAAGTACACTTGCCTTGACCCTCCGTCTTTTACAAGTGGTACAACCATTTTTTGAATTCTTATGTGACCGTCGTGGGTGATACTGACCCTCGTTTACTCGGAATGAGGTCTGCCACCTCTGGATTAAGTTACGGTGCATAACCTGGCTCCTCGGGTCAACAGAGATCGGCTTTAGTAACCCCATGAAGTAACCTTCGATTGTTGTCGCGAAGCGGAAGCTATTTCTGATCTAAGGTATTCTGATGTCCGAAATACTGAACAGATAAGGAGCACAGCCCACTCAGCATGAGTCTGGCCTAAAACTGCCGCCCATCCAGGCAGCCGGCGCAGTGTGCTTAAGCTGTCAGCTTCTCTAACCTCCACCACTTGAATACGAGCCGTCAGACCCACCAGGTTTCATATTGTCGAGAAAAAGAGTGGGACTCGGCCAATTTACATGGGTGACCATGGGTCTTGCACGTATTGCGGATCCCAGTTGGCGATCCTCGGCATTTGCTGGTTGTACGACTACAATCCTTCGACCACTGTCAGTCGGAAGCACAGGATCTGGCAACATTACAAGGCCTGCGCACTTAATCTAACAGCCCGGTCTGTCAGCGTCTGGGCCTACCACACTAGCCCTCCGCTCGAGTCCCTTCTCTATTGACTCCGCGGCCGAAATCGCCTTCAGGCATTCAATCCACTAGCCTAAGCCCGACCCCTACCCCGACCCAGAACCTCAGGCACACCAACCAACAGCTGTCCTTTACCTATCACCAACCACTTACCCTACCATGCTGCCTCACCTAGGCACTTGCTAATACATAGTTGAATGCCACGCCACACCACATACACCCAGTCAGATTGAACCTGGGAGCCTGACGTCTGCCCCCCCACCCCTTCCCTTCGCTGCCCAACTCTCCCCTCTATCAACGCATAAAAAGAAGATCAGATCACGGAAGAGAAGTAAAAGTTCCACTCACAAAAATTCGAGCATCATCCGCTGCGCAAATACTTACCACATTATATCCAACTAAAGCCTGCATCTCTCTATCTTATCGCAAGCAAAGAAAGATGCCCGGATACGCTGCCGCGTATGTACCGTACCGTGCACACTCTTTAATTACTTTGGCCATCAGGGACTAACTGGTCGATTACCTAGCTACAATCCACCATCCGCTCCCCAGGGACAAGTACGCTCCGCATATCATTTCGAATAAGCTATTGGTGGTCTAGATTAGGTGCTAATGATGAGAACGTACAAAGACTCAGGAATCCAATGGAGGAAAATAGGTATGCGGGACGGGATAGAGATTGTGAGAGGCGGTGCCTTATGTACGTCGAGCTTATTGAGGGACGAAGCAGTGAAAAAAGTTGAGCTTGGGCATGTTGATGGGAGAGGTGTTACTCATATGAATGAATAAAGCCTTTGCTGGAGGGGTGACATTGACATTAACATTGTTGTTGTGATCTCAGGGGCAAGATGGGCAGAATGATGCTGTATCAGCTACACGTACGTAGCCTACTGAGGACCGGATGCCATTTCAATAGATACTCAATTCTATGGACGACTCTATCGACTATCTTGACTGCTTCTTCTTCTCTACTCTACTACTAATGGGTAAAGCCTTCAGGGGCTGAAGTTGGTGATCAGCCAAGCCACTAGAATCACGTGGTCTCGTATAGATTCATATCAATTATTCTTGGTTTTTCCTGATATTCTGTTATGAATCCTTGTAGCCCAGCAAACTGGTGGAGCTCCTCCACTTTTCTCCTCAGATCAAGGTCGAATAAAAGAGACAGAATAAATCTCAGAAATCACCTCTTGCAGATAGGAAAGGAGACAATGGTTGAGCAGAGAAGAAGCCCTCATTTAAGCTGGCGATGGAGGTACTAATAATGGGCTACAGGGAGTCCAGTCACCACAGAATCACTCTCTCCCCCACTGACCACCCACACTCACCCATGCTGGTGGATAGCATCGCTCAGCTCACCTTCACTCACCCGCACTCTCCCTGTGGTTTAGCGTCTCTCACCCGTAAAGCAGCAGGCCTTCAATGGCGCATATAACTTCTGGCCGCGTTAATAATACTGGCTTAAGTACTGCTGAGCGGACGGGAAGCCCCGTTCTCCTTTCCCTATGGGCGTATGTATCATTTTTCTAAATAAAATGGCTTATATAGACGGAAGGAGGGACTGAGGATGTGCTCAAAGATGTTCCCAGTCCATCGGATGGAGAATCAATAGAGGAATGGTGGTAGCTATTGATAAGGCATGATATGGAGTAACATATGTTATCTCTTGAGGCACTATATGGAGCTCACTCTCATGGGAATCATCATCTCCTTCATGCCTGACAGTCGGAATCCGCCAACATATTTTCTTCAGCTCTACTGCATACACTGTGAAGATGAATTCAGTTTTAATGTCAGGAAGCTGTATATATATCCCTCTGAGCTCTTTATGCCGCTTAAATCTGTATATACAGCAGCCAATGAATCGGTGAAGAGCCGCTGCATATGTGACACTAAGGGGATCCGATCTGAACATGTTGCCAAGATAGGGTTTAATATGCTGACCATAGCAAACAGATTATAGGAATATACTGAGCATTCTGGGCCAGCAGAGTAAACATAGATTAAAAATATATATGGCATGTTAAGAACAGATATATAAAAACTGTCATTATCTGTATCTAGTTCTGCTTACTGTTGTTACAATCATACTTCTGATGACTTTCATATCCTGACATTAACTACAAATGCATTATCCTGGTTCTCGCTTGGTTTCCATCCAGTGGCTACCGTTATCCTTGTTATTTCCGTTTCTTGAATTTGACAGACGTACCCTACGTCGTTCGCTCATCTAGCATTGATTCTGGTTGATTTCCAGCTTGCCAATATTCCTGTCCTGCAACCTGCTGGTCGCCTGCAGCCGTTCATGGTATTGTTGCTTGTCCTGCACATACTTTCTGCTTTCCTTATTCACTTGTTGTTCCTTTCATGCGATGATGCGTACATGTCATTCACACGCAAGGTAGTCGCCTGTCGCCTTGCTGTTTCACCGTTGACACTCCATTCTCCCATCCTCTTAACGCCTGCAAACCCTCGTACACTTCTCTTCCGACCTGACATTTTCACCATTCGCGTTCCTTTCGGATCTTCGTCTCGTTTTATCATCCGTTATCTCGTCATCTTGGCCCTTACAAGTGTCACCATTTCGTCGTTGGCATCCGCTCCGGGGGAACGTCCCGTTCGATCGTTCTGCCCCTAGACGTGTGCTTGACATACTCATGTTGATGCCTTGACATCTTCAACGTACCACATGTCGTTTATGGAAGTCCGCGTAACAGAGTTTGCCTACCAAATCTGGAACTTCTACCTGTATTCTCAGAACGCGGAGGTAGCCAAACAATTTGACGACAAGACCCTACTGTGGGCTGAGTAGCTTCACCTGCATTTGACCCTCCTATCAGCGAACGACATTATATCTATCCACTGTCCTGGAATATACAGCGATCAGCAGCCCACCGAGGCGTTTTTGATCAGAATTCATCAATAAATTCATCAATAAAAATGGGTAATCATCTAGTCTTGGTCCTCCAAGGATCCAGTTCTGAACTTCGCTTTATATCTCTTTGGGCTTTTAGGGCCAAGTTCGTTCTGCAAGCAATGTGGCATATCGAATCTCCTTCTGAGGTCTCTATACCTCCACCTGATATTTACAATGAGTGCTGGAACGAGCCATCCGAAATCCGGACAGGGGTGCTACGACAACTGAAAGCCATCTGTGAAGAGATATTAGGCAGGGATAAGTTCCCGCCTACTTTCTGGGCATTCTGCCAGGTTGCCGACATTACAAGGCTAGAAGAAATGATTAATGATGTAGACTCGGCTGATAGTCCTAGAATCGGACGACTTTTACTAGAACCAACGATTAAGGATTGCGATTCTATAATTGACCAATGTAAGTCCTCCACATCTTACATTGGAGAGAAGATTTAATTTTAAGTCTTTATCAGGGCTCCAAAATATAAGTGTTCGCAAGAGTTCAAACTCTGGTACAAGTCATTCAGAGCGCTCGGACAGAGCAACTCGTAATGTTTGTAATCTTATTCTAAATCTACTTGACTTTGCTAATGACTCAACAGTGCAAGAAGCGAGACAACTACAAGTGTATTCTGACCGAGACACCGGACCCAGCGGCCGCCCATATATATCCAAATTGCCTTCTCAAAGCCTCCACACGCCAACCGAGAACCGTTGGAAGATTCTGGGATATCATGAACGTATTTTGGGATGAGGGTCGCGTACAGAGATGGAAAGCAGAAATTTTTGGTAACGAAAGCAGCCTACAAAAGCCTCAGCATGGATGCTTTAACATGCTGAGTCTCGACAAATACGCATACATTGTGAGGTAGTGGCCGATTTGCGCTTCGACCAATGGAAAACGCCGATTCTAGGACCCTAACGCTTCAGTTTTACTGGCAAAAAGGATTATCAGATGCAGTGGCTGAAGTTGATCTCATGACCGATCCCTTATCCTCTCGTAGGCTATATGGTGCCAAGGGAAATTCTTTAGCAGATCTTACTGGCATATACAGGATAATGGAGAGCCAGTGTTCAAAACTATTGCTTCCGGTGATGTTTTCACCCTCATTACCAACAACCCTGAGACTATGCCACTCCCGAGCCAGCCGTCACTGGAAATGCAGTGGTATCTCCAGCGAATTGCAGGATTGAGTGGCGCCGCGGAGGCGGAAGGTAATTCAGGCGATAACGATGATGACGCAGGCACTACAGCCCTCCGCAATGCCGCTATACAGCGTACTAGAAGTATCTATAATTGGTTGGGGGTTTTCACTTATGATGATGAAGGCTTTACAGTCCAACAGCCGCCGATTCAGGTCCGGCAGGTTATGATACACTCGTGATACTGCCTCGGCCCAAGAATGTTCCACAATTGCCTCTATCTTGCTCCAAGCTGTAATATATGGTAGATGGGTAATGAGTAGCGGCACTATATTAATGAGAAGAAATGAGAAGCAGATAGAAGGAAACTTAGTGTGTATTCCGTCATAAGTTTAGTAGTTAACGTCTTCGGACAGCGAACAGGCCATGGTAGCGAGCGGACCACCTCTGTATTCCATGAAAAATGGCCCACCTGAAAAGCCTGATGTTTTAACTATGATCCGAAGCCATATCTGTCAAGGCTTTACAGGGTAGAAGAGCTGGGCAGAGTCAAGACACGCGTTTTGAGGTCAACTGTACCTGCCAGTTTGCTAAAGGGGCGAGCACCCGCCGGCCTTTTCCACAATGGACCCGTATCACCGCTATCCATGGTGAAAAGATCAGGCGGATATCCATCACAAAAAGCACCATTATCTCGCCAATTGGATACGCGGGTTTCAGACTCAACATGGGGTACAGGACGCAGGTCTCCAGGGATTCTTTCAACTTGGTCGAATTACTTATATGCAATTGATAAGCACAGACTTTTGCATCAATGAAGTCGCCACCATCTCCAGTTTGTTGTTTCCGCCTCACCCATAACTCCTTATCGGTGCTCTCAGAACCGTTGACGGTCAATACCGGTGGATCACGCAGCGGTACCTCCCAAACCTTCAGCTTGTAATTGCCACAGTCTGCCTGTCCGGAGAATATATTGAAAGACCAGCCATGCTTAGGAAAAGTGAGTCAGGCACTGAGAACAACACACGAAGTCTTCAATATCAAAGAGGCTGCCCTGAGAAAGGGGGAATGACGAGTGTGGGCATTGCTAGCATGGGTTAGCTCAATATTAATAGCCCGTATCCGACTCACTTACATGATCAATGGCATGGATTTTCCCCTTGTATTTGAGCACAAGCACCTGGTCCTTCAGCTGTCGTGGTAGATCAATGTCTGCTTTGACCGGAGGCCCAGTGTTTGTGTTAGGGATGCTGAAAGCTTTTACAGCTCGGCGCGATGCGGGAGCAGTCATTAGCTAGACTAAGTTCTAGAAACGCAGAGGTCAGGCCAATCAGATGCCAGGCTGCTAGTAATGGCTGTTGTATAAAGGGGTCCATCGCTGTTGCATAATTATAGCTATTGAGACACTTGGTATGACGATGACAGGGAGTAATAGGACTCCCGCCGAAGATCTGGCTAAGAGGGTTGAGTGTGAGCAGATTAGGGAGACGGTTAGGAACTTCCCCATGAAGGATATTCGGCTGATGGATATTCTTACACGCTAGGCATTTGAGAATGCCATGATTGTTGTCAATATTATAGGTGGTAGTACGAATGCTGTGTTGCATTTGATTGCTGTCGCCGGCTCTGTTGGCGTCAAGTAGACAATTGACGACTTCCAAGCTGTATCTGACAAGACGCCATTCTTGGCTGACTTGAAGTCCTCCGGCAAATATGTCATGCACGATCTGTATAAGGTCGGTGGCACGCCTGCTCTCCTGAAGTTCCTCCTCAAGGAGAGACTGATTAATGGCTCGAGAATCACGATTACGGGGGAAACGATGAAGGAGAATGTTGCCTTGTGGCCTGATTTCTCTGTGGCCCAGCCCATCATCCACCCTCCCAGTAGCCCCATCAAGCCCTCCGGCCACCTGCAGATCTTGCGCGGATCGTTAACGCCAGGTGGGTCCGTCGGCAAGATCACTGGACAAGAAGGTCTACGGTTCGAGGGAACAGCCAAGTGCTACGACTATAAATATGCGTTCATCGAGGCACTCGAGAAGGACGGGATTAAGAAGGGAGAAAGACAGTCGTAATCATCCGGTAGGAAGAATCGAAGGGCGGATCCGGCATGCCCGAGATGCTCAAGCCGAGCGCAGCCATTATGGGCACCGGCCTTGGAAATGATCCCTCACCGTTCACTGATGGACTATTTTCTGGTGGGAGCCATGGTTTCTTGATCGGTCACGTTGTTCCAGAAGCGATGGAGAGTGGTCGATTGCGCTGGTCAAGGACGATGATAAGGTTGTTATTGATGCGGAGAAAAGGGTGGATGACAAAGAAAACGGCCAATTATTCACTGTAGACAGATTCATAAACTTATTGCGCAAAGTCGTCTGCTAGTATCTGACTGGTAGTTGGACTCGTGGAGAGATGATGGTAGTTTGTGGAGCTATATATTGCGAATGTGGAAAATCACGCTACTTAATTAGCTGAGATTAATTTTTAGAAGCTTTTAGTACTATTTCTCGTAAAAGTCTACACCGTTCCTAGTATCATATCCCCTTTCTACCGCTAGTAAAACTGATTATTCGAACAGCCCTTCTAACCGCCGCGACAAGTTCGATTGCTATAGAAACCCTGGCTGGCTACCATGGCCGAGAAATCTCCTACAGTGAAACAATAGTTGTGCGATACATTTGTAAAAAGAGAAAAGAGAAATATATTTTTATTCCGGAACCTGATTTCTCTTGGGCTTATTGCAAGTGTTCTGTTGATAGATTTGTCATATGTGTAGAAAAGTGGAACGGAGGCTCTCGACATGCATATATCGCGGCAAAATGGGAAAAGTAGTGCCTCTGAAGGTCGCATAAATCCGGCTTACTCCGTCCGCACTAGAGCATCGAATGGATCAGCGTCCTGGCGATCAATATCTTCCCTCAGAATAGAACTCGCACGGATACATGAATGCTCCGTCCGATATGCAAGGGATAGAATCACGCCATATTTCCGAACAAGCCCGGAGAAAGAAAAGCAAACAAAACACTAATGGAGTTAATGCTGTATATCTACGCTTGAGCTAGATGGCGACCTTGTCCATTGTTTCGTATATGAATAGCGCGTAGTGAATACATATGAGAGAATGAAAGAATATCCCAAATGGTGTTATAGACGGTCGAGTGAGCATGCCGCGCACCGACATCATAAACTAAGAACCACCTTGAAGGTCTCGTCGGGGGCCACATAGTCCTATTGAGTGAGACTATGTTAGGCATGATGACTATAATCTTTATCATATGTTACCGGATAATCTGTTGACTTATAGATCCTCTGCGGGTCATCGTTTCCATCCGGCTTCACTAGTTCTTGAACACTTTCGGAGTTCTTTTGGCTCTCAGGATCCTGTGTTGTGAGCTGAGTATTGTTCAGAGTTGTCAGATGGTCCCAGTTCCTGATCTTCCTGCGTGGCTTCAGGGAATAGCTACCGCCTGAGCCCTTGTAGTTATTGCTTCTGTCGATGCTACTGAAGATCCGTGGGAAGGAACGCGCCAGCAGCGGTCGCATAGTTGGGAGACAAGCGCATATTATACCAACGTTTATTTCAATCATGCTATGACCACAATTAATATACTTCCTTACGGTACGGAGGTACAAAGCCAGTGACGGATGAGACATACCACCAATTTGCAAGGGTGACCTTGAAGTGCGTAAAATCATTGCTGGATATATACGGCATCATCGTGATGATTCGGAGAATCGCCACGATGCAAGCGCTAGAAAAGCATTATTAGCTGCGACTGTACTCTGGATGGGGCTTGAGCGTACTTACAATGAGCCCGTTCCAAAGACTACCATCAAGAGCATCCTTTGCCTTAGTGATGTTTGTAACGACCAGCATAGTTTTATTGGGAGAATCAAGGTGACAACGTCAGAGAACACATTGAAGGCTGCATTGGCGTAGACGAACGCGAACGCGTCGACACATTTAGCCCCCTTAATAGTAATGTCCCACATAGCCTGCACTGGAATACACCCCATGGTGAAGATGAAGATGCTGAGCAGACTGTACACGGCAACAAATGTCATGATAGCAAACGTCATTTTGCGGAAGAGTTTGTCGGGGTTAAGTCTGAGATAGAATAGAAGAATCGCGGTTTTGACGAACCAGACACCGAGAGCATAGATACCTTCTTCTGCGAGGTCATACTGTTCTTGGTTAGCACATCGTCAGTGTTTGGGGACTTAAGTGAAGTTCACACCTTCTTGAAAGGGGTAAGTTTATCAAGATGTAAGTCCCAGATATGTACCCCGTATCCATTCCGAATATCTTCGCGAGTCAGATCATATCTAAGTGCAGTGATATGGGGCTAATTATACATACTGATCAGGCTGAGAATGGCAAATATCCACGCACATATCTGTCCAACAATACAGCAAACTATAAGGGAGATTAGTAACTAACAATCAGAAATGCGACAAGGCGAGTAGGCGACGAAAGGAATGAAGCGTACAATCATCCAGGCCGGACGTTCTCAAAAGGACAAGGCGGGTATATAACCGAAGAAGTAAGATGAGTGTTGCAGACGAGCACATTGCGATGCTAACAGAATAGATCTTGAACTCAGATCCCTCGGGATTGTCAAAATTAGGTGTAACTCCGGGTGGTGGAGGGGCGGCTGGTATTTTGCTCAAATTCATGATGGCCCGCAGATGTCGAGTTGGAAATCTTTGGGCCTTGGGCTGGAGCAGTGTACACCAGGTGATGAATTAATAAAATAAGGTACGTCCCAAAGGTGGACAATCTTTAAGCCGAACCAAATTTCTGACGCGAAGGGGTTCATTGTTATATCTATAATATTGCCCTTATAACTGCATTGGTGATATATCAACTGAATGTACTGATGCATTCTCGATAGGGTTCGGACCTCATCCAGTCACGACATCCATAGCACAAGCACGGACTGATCTTCGCAACATCAGCATCTCCGGAAGAATTCAAAATGTGCGCCATTACCATTTCTCTGGCTGCAGCAGTGTAAGCCTTTGGAATACATTATGCATGTAGATCATCGGCGCCAGTAATGCGTCGCAGACTGCAGGGGTGCATTCCGATACTCAATAAAGGCGCTAATAATATTCAACCGTCTCGGCCGCAAAGCTATCTATGTCATCAGTATGGCTCTAAACTCTAGACCATTTGATTATACGATAGATCATATTTCATCTAAACAAACAAATACGAAGCTATTCAGAAAGGCTTTTTGAACCCCTATTCCTGATCCCTGGTGTTCTTGATTATAGAGTCCTCACAGAAAGCTTACACTCCAACACTATACGCGGTCAATTTTATGATATTAGAACCCATGTTCAGGCGCTTACTGTATATACTGGCGGCGCCCCTATCGCACAGCTTAAAGTTAATACTAGCCTGCCTTGAGAGTCCATCTATTCCTAGAACCAAAAGGCGAAAGTACGCGATTTTAATTCTACCGTTAAGTGCTAAAATTTCATTACATTCAAGGCAACAGGCGTACAGACTGACAGCCAAGTAAAGCTTCTACTTAATAACTTATTATAAAAGCTATACCGAAAGATGGAAACGGCGGTGGGAAAACCTATAAAGTACTATTAAAGTAGGTATATCTACAATCCCAGCTTAGCACATTCCTGAAAAGAACAGCTTCCATTTAGTTAAGAAAATTAGTAATTCTAGCCATCTAGAAAAGACAAAGAAAAGAATATTTGTATTTCTACCTCATCTACAGTAATTAAACCTTGCATAGTTAGAAGAATATTACTTTTAGCGACAAGTCTGTCTCCTGTGACTTACTTCGGTCAACAGTGTGGGGGGGATACACGTATAGAGCAAAAGGAATTAAAAAACATGACCCTGATAGTACACATCATTCCTACAAGACCTAGATAGAGTTCATACCCTGGGGCTCTTTTGTATACAGTGAAGAAGGGCCTATTCACATCTATCAAACACAAACTGTAGACTGAAAAATTCAGATAGAGAGAACTTCCAAATCTCTGAATCAACAGTTTAAACCGCTTTTTTAAAAAGAAAGGAAGCTACAGTACTCCGTAGGGCCTAATCGATTACTCTGCACCGGGAGTTCAACAAGTAGAATTACACCTCGTTTTTTGCCTTGAAAAGCGGCTTGCCCTTGTCTACTAGTACTAGATGCTACTCAACGGACTGATACAATAGTGTACTACTACGGCTCTTTCCACATTGAGTATCTCGTACAGATTACACAGCGTGAACATACTTGAACTTAGGGATATATATTGGGTGTTGATGTGCACTCGCTGCTTGTGGCGCAATGTAACATTCCGCCGGTTCCAATTCTACAGATCCGAACAGCAGGTGGTAGGGAGATCTACTACGAAGACAAACCGCCATCCCGCGGGTGGCATATCAACCGAGACGCCACAAAGGTAAATGCTCCACACGATACTATTAGTTGGCTTAGTGGCATGGTAATAACATCCTGACCTATGCTGTATTGGGTAAAGATAGTCACTCAGGCGGGGTTAGAAATGGATATGTCAGAACTGCCGATACTACAGTACGGGAGTCGATAGTTTTCATGATTCAGTATCGGAAAAAGCATTGATCTTCTTGGAGAATAATATCACTCAACCTTATTCAGGGACAGATGATCTGACCTACACGCTTTCGGGGAAGAGATCGTCTTGTTGAATCTATGTATACTCTTTGAATATGCAAGCGAGGTCGATCGTCGCCTCATTACGAGGTCGCGATTAGAAATTGGAGATTTGAGTTACGCTACGCCCCTGAACTTTGGCTATAGTTTGAAGTGGAGCAGCAAATTTTGACATCTCAATCGATCTAGGTCAACAACCTTACACGGCCAGGGTGAGTTCTGGAATTGGGACGATCCCATTTCGCACCCCTGCTGTTTCAAGGCTGATGGTTGGTGGTGCATCACATCTAGACCACTCATACTCCACATTGCAGCCATGTATAAGTTACTTCTCATGTCCGAACATGACCGGGGTTCGTGTCAGCAAGCATACGTCCTTTGCTACTTCCATTGTTACTTCGATTGTTCTCAGTTCTTGATTCTCTCTGCTTGAAATGGCTAGGACATATCCAAACGATGACCTCATCCAGGATGACCTGGATCAGGTTATCGTGGCTGTTGCCCGGTATAAGGAGCGGTCATCGGAAGCCGACAGTTTCGACGCCAAATATGACCTGATGGCGAAAACCGCGCGCCTTTACCAAACCATTCGCGGACCTGCAGATATGGTTTTTGCCAATTTCGAGAACGTACGCACAGGCGAATAACAGGACTTACTATCCCCGACTTCAGGGTATCTGTTACTAACTGCCGACATGTAAATTAGGCTGCGAATATTGGAGCTATTAGAGCACTTCTTGAAGCTGGCGTCTTTCACGCCATCCCAACCGGGGGGAAGAGCATCTCTGCCAAAGAGATATCAGAAACGACAATGGTAGATAAGGACGTAATTGGTATGTGGGAATGACACTCTTCACCATGGCCGATGGTAGGACATATCTAATTAGGAAGATAGTACGACTCATGCGGGCTGTCACGCCGCTCGGGCCTTTCCGTGAGACTGGGGTGGAGCAATACGCTCACACCCCATTTTCGGAAATGTATATGGCCCCTCAAATGATGGCGGTCTTTAAGTTGATGTGAGTAGCCACTGGCGGCTAACCACACTCACTTAATTAACATTCCCAGGGTTGACGAATACTTCAACCCTATGTTGAGAAACCATGAGTTTCTGCGCCAACAAAATTGGAAAAACAACTTCCGTCTGCGTAGTAATCCGTATACGTTCGCTCATAATTGCGAAGGGGAAACCATGTTCGAACATATAGCAAAATTCCCGGATCGCTTCACCTGTTTCAACGAAGCCATGGTGGCACAGGATTCCGGGCTAATCGCAATTGGTCTTTACCCCTTTGCTGAGCAATTGGGTGACTTGGCCAACGACGATACGGCTACTATTGTTGACGTAGGAGGTGGTCGCGGCCACATTTTACGTCAGATCAAACAAAGTGCTCCAGAGTTGAAAGGTAGATTCATTCTGCAGGATCAAGCCAGTGTAATTGCCGATAATGGAATGGAAAAGCAACCACATGGCATTGAGACCATGGCTCATGATTTCTTCCACCCACAGCCAGTTAAAGGTATATGAAACTGCCCTGCTGCCTTTCCGCAATGTGTTGGTTTTGTGGCTGACTGTTCTACAGGGGCGCTAGTTTATTATATTCGGCGATGCCTTCATGACTGGCCTGACGAGCCAGAGTCAAGACAGATCTTGGAAAGCTTGGCGGCAGCTATGGATCGCGAAAGGTCCAGAATGCTAATCACTGAATATATTCTACCCGATGTGGGCTCCAACATGTTTCATGCGTGGATGGATCACACAATGATGGCATTCGGTGGACGTGAACGCACGGAAAAGGACTGGGAGCGCCTGCTTGATAGATCCGGTCTGAAGCTAGTCAAGGTGTGGAGGGCCCCAGGAATCCCCGTCGGTGTCATTGAAGCTCACTTGAAGTGAGTGTGTCATGTTATTTGATTAAACATAGCTTGCACATGGTCAGCTCCTCTCAATAATTATATCCCTATGGCTATCTGGCAGGTGTATGCTGCATATCTCATGTACGAGTGGAAATGTATACCGTTTCCATCTTAGATTCTCCCGGATCCATGCACATAAGTAATAGTGCTGTCTAGTCACATCTTGCTCTATTTCCTTTCTTTCCTTTCTGATAACATACCGTAGTGCATAAATGGCCAGGATCTTACTTCGCTTGTAGCTTTCCTTGGTATCGTTACTAGCGAAGGTTACATGTCTTCGGGTATGGTGATGTCTTCGTCCACGCATCTCACCCACCTAAGAACGGTTTTCGGCGTCTTTTAGTACCAAGTACAGTACCGTTTGCCGGATCCGACAATGATACCAATCAATGTTTGGGGATGTTCGGGGATAGTAACATAAATACCTACCCTATTCCCCATGGGAGGCCTTTTCCTATTTACCTAATCATGTAGCTGGACAGCGGGTGTCCAACTCTATCTAAACAAACTGATTTGATGAGCTTAATTCGAATCTGGATTCTAGATGCGGATCTTTGATTTCTATGAAGCCCAGTAGACATTGTAGTATTATCATGAAGCCCTGTATAGCAAGCCAAACACATGAAACGACGAGATACTAATAGACATGCCATGCGCGGCCCTCCAGTTCGCGTTATAAATATATCGCATCCAACGGCAACACAATTATTCGATTATCTACGAGTAAATGATCAATGTGTGAATCGCCAAACGATCTAAGACGGCTCCCGAGAAAAAAATGATATTAGCAGTGGAATGTGCATCGAGCGATGGCATTGACAGATATGGTCTAGAAGTAGTAACGCGTGTTAACTTCATCTTGGCGAGATCGCGTCATCAACGAAGGCGATGATACAAGTACGAGCCAACCTATCTCGGTAGAGAGATTTATCAATTCGAAGCCGTGTGCATTCGGCAGTCACAGACCGGCTACCGCCTAGGCTGCATGCCAAATCGATAATTGCTCACGCTCTTCGACAATGGCGTTATCAAGCCATATCCAAGATGTAAACAATCCCGCCAGTCACAGCAGCCCCAGAAGATGTTCAATCATTATGGCGAGCGCATCATTTATAAATGTCGATGCGACCCAACTGATGACACGTAGAATGTTCAGACAGCGAAGGGAGTTTCCAGCCTAATATCTGTTAACTCTAACATTGCACCCCGGGTAGGACCATGGGATATTTTTCCCAATTCAGCCTGCTTCTAGCAGCAACAGTGGGCCATCCATTCAGTGAAACAGGTGGGCGGTATCTATCTCGTCCGGACTTCACGCCTCCTACACTAAATATCACTGTGCCAGCGCCCAATGCAAATGGCTCCGAATATGTTTTTGTCGCTCCTTATTCAGACTCTATCCAACAGGGCGGGGCATACATTTATAGAAAGGATGGCGATCTAGTGTGGTCAGGCATTGGATACTACGCTGGATTTGTTGGGAACTTTCATCCGACTATATACCAAGGGAACACCGTGCTCCAAGCCTATCAGGGAACTATAGACTTAACACATGGTGAGGGAGTTGGTCAACATGTGTTGCTAGATCAAAGCTATAAGCATGTCGTGACTGCAAAGACTGGGAACCATCATATTCCGTCTATCCACGAATTTACCGTTGTCAATGGCGAGTCTGCCCTGGTTGAGATTTATGTTCCTACTGTTGCAAACCTGACAGAATATGGCGGAAACTCATCTCAGCAGTGGCTAGGAAATGGGCTATTCCAAGGTTCGTAAGCTCAAGGTTGTACGATTATATCATCTAACAAAGAACAGAATTTGATATTCGTACTGGGGAGCTTGTTTTTGAATGGAATTCCCTGGATCATCTGGACCCTGCAAGTTTGTTCTGCTTTGCCCTGCGTGTTTCAATGTTCGTTCTCTGACACAAAAGCATCTAGATTCCTGGAATCCCCTAGGCTCATCTCCAGGTAACAGTGGACTTTCCACCGCCCAAACATGGGATTACGTTCACCTAAACAGCGTCGACAAAGATGATGAAGGAAACTACCTCATTTCATCGCGGCATTTCAGTACAATCTATAAGATAAACGGAACCGATGGCTCCATAATATGGCGGCTCGGAGGAAATCACTCCACCTTCACCCAAGACTTCACTTTCGGGTTCCAGCACGACGCCCGCTGGCGATCACAGTCAGACAATATCGAAGTGATATCCTTTTTCGACAACTCCGGAAACGACAAAACGACCATCAACGATGTCTCAAGAGCGTTGATAGTCCAGCTTAACCATACGGATAGTACTGCGAGTGTTGTCCGCAAAGCCACTGCACCATGTGACCTACAGGCTCGGTCTCAGGGTAACGCGCAGTTCCTTCCGAACGACCGGTTATTCGTTGGCTGGGGGTCCGCAGGCGCATTTACCGAGTTCAATGCCGACAACGAAGTTTTGTATCATGCTTTCATCCAGGATGCTGTTAGCTATCGTGCGTTTCTGGCAAATTGGACTGGTACCCCGACGGAAGCCCCGGTTCTTGCGACGTATGTAGATTCTGCGAATACTACTACATTTTATGTTTCATGGAATGGAGATACCGAGACTCGGGTTTGGAGGTTTTACGAGATCCATGCGGGTGCGCTAGGCGATAGAACCCAATACCTTGGAGAGCGAAATAGAAAGTCGTTTGAAACGAGGTTCGCTTGGGACAGCGGGTATCGTTTGAATAGCAGTGTGAGATTCTACGCGGAAGCTGTGGGAAGTAAAGGGGAGGTCCTTGCACGTACCCCCCCCTCTCCTGCGGCTGAGTTCATCGAGTTAAAGGGTTGAACTTCGGACGAAGACGATGACTTATTATCTTAATATTTATCACAGGATAGACCTTCTAAATAAATATTCACGACATATCCATTAACCTACCGAAGGGGAACAGTCTTCATATCCTATACTTGTATGAATCTTAGAACAAACCTTTGTGAGCCCTGAGGTCAGAGTATATTGTCTAAAAGTATAAGTCGAAAGCATTCATGGGTGGGTCAGAAGGTGATTTGTCGTCCCTCTTTAGCCCCTTGCCCTTGCACACCCGGCAGCGGCACCTTTTACAGGGGGCCACAGAGGCTAGACAAAAGCATGAAAATACCTGACGCTAAATATCTTGTTAGCCTTGATAACCTGTCTGCATGCAGGACAGGCTGCAACGAACGCCCGGGCTTGCGTTCCGGGTATCTGTTCGAGGAAGGAGGAAAACTTGGAGGCTTAGCCACGCAGGCTACTCTGCTTTTCTTCGAAGTTCTATATGCACCCATTCCTTAGCAGGGATTGTCAGATGGGTTTTGGGTTGAGAACAAAATTTAACGTAGGAGGGAAGCAGTGGTTCTCATCCCCGGATGAGGGATTCCGCTGAAGCAGAATCGATTAACTATCACCGTTTTTTCCCCTCCAATAACGTTTAGCGTACGGGATCGCGCTTGTTGGCGAACCGTAGAGCAATTCCAATTATAGATTGGATGTGCGTCTTATGTCTCCTAGGTGGCCTGCGCGTTGGTCCTGCGGTTGGCACCCTGGGAGCAGGTCGGTCTTGCTGGAGTGATGAGACTGCAGGCTACGTGAAACTCCTGATAGCTGTGTGATTCACTCTGGTAATTCAAGGAATGCTTAATAGTCACCTATTATGGATAAATGCGCCCTAGCTGTCACCTTGAGCGACATGGAACACTGAATTATGCGTAGACCCGAAAATAAAACAAGAAAAGAAAAGTAAACGAGTGAGAAAAAAAGCAAATCACACAGACAGTCCCCGTTGGAGTCCAAAAAGGATGAGGTTAGCGCCACAAGGTAATACACCCACCGTCATGGCATAGCGTATAATTTCGAGAGTCAACAATTATGGTCAACATGACCTCATCTGTGACCATTACCCTCCAGCGAATACCCTGGAGAAAGCCAGTGACCAAAACAGGATCGAATTCGTGAAGCTGACATGGGCATGAAAAACAGTAACAAAGCAATCTCTATGATATGGGATTGGATCAAGGTTTAGTAAATGTGAGCGTGTAAGCTGGGAGATTTTCATCTGAGAAAACTGTACAATATAAGTCGTTAGGCTTAGTATATAAACGCCCTGAGGAGTTTAACCAAGATGCCGCCGAACCATGACTGTCTAAACTTAACCCTATGACCAATTAAAAATATATAACATGATCCTTTCGTTGATACATTCACCATACTTCTAATTTTATTCAGAAGACAACTTAACCTCATGACACTACGTGTCTGCTTTGGAGTTTTAGCTGGTCGACAAAAACTGCTCATGTGGTGCTATTCTGTTCCATCGGTGACACAGAGTACGTAGAGATGGTAGATTCTTGATTTAATTTCTTATGTGAAAAACACTCGGGCAACGAAAGGTGCTCTGAGGTCTGACTGTAGCTCTGGTGATCTTCTGCCTAAGGCCAGCATGTCTTTCACGCAATATAATATCAGTTATTGTTTATTGTGAAACTTCGTGTTCCAGCTCGATCGCATTCCGTAGCCACAAAAACGCGTCAGTCTATAGCCAGCGAGCGCGCCTTCTCTGAAGATGTGATTGTGGAAGAAAGGATACTCGATATACCACAACATCAGTAAACTGACCCGGCATCCATTTATGTTTCACAACGCAAACTGCTGCTAAACTAGCCACCAAGGCGCGACGCAATTCCGCTGGCAAGATATGCCATTGAGGCCCGCTTCTAGTTCCCGTTAGATGTCGAAGCGAAAGATACCAAGCGCGAATAGCGGCAAACACTCACCAACGGTTGGAACTGGCACACGACGCGCAGATAGTCAACCACGAGCCCCTTCTGTTGCTGGAAGCCTTCACACTCAATGATTTGTGTCTTCAGTTTTTGCTTGGTCTATGGCTTCCATCATCTTCAAGGAAGGCCTCCGGGCGGTACCATCTAGAAGGACGACTCCTACAAAGAGGGCGCCACCTTGTCCTGGCAATTGTCGAGTTTCATGGGCGTATCCGGTATCAAAATTTCCATGAAGGTCGCTCAATATACAGAGTTGATTCGAAATGGTCCTTTGAATCAAGCATGAACAAAGGTCACAGCGACCAGTGCCGTGGGGAGACAGAGTAAGGTTTTACAAGTCCAGGTAAGACGAGCGATGGTGGCCGTATTTTGAAGTAAGAGAGCATTTCCGATATTTTGGGCCATAACAGCTCAGAGAGTGCAAAATTTCGCAAATGCTAACTACACACTAACGCAGTACTATCCCGAAGGACGGACGACCGAGGACCGCCCGCCACATTCCACCGAACCGCACCCTGATCATCACAACATCAAAACCTTCGTAGCGTACGTCCAAATGGCTACTCAATCGTGGTGATACCCTTTGCATAAGCATCAAGATATTCGCTTAGGGAAGCGTCTAGAAGAATCAGCTACAATCGAAACAGACAGCTAAGCGTAGAGAGACATACAAACTCGAACCCCATGATTAAGATACATTTCCATATATTCCGGAATATCCTGCGTAGAGTCAGATACGGTTCACGTAGTACAATGGTTATACTCTTACCGCCCATTGAGCCCCATCGTCCAGCCAACCCTTGATAGTTTGAGCCTGCGCCGTGGTGTAGGTCCAATAATTGGAGAGGGTCTTAATGCTAGTGGACAACACCGTATACTTCTCTTCTCCAAGCTGTTGAAGTGCCTGGCGGGTCTGCTGGATTTGTTCAATCTGGGCCTGAAGATTGTCTCTTTGCGCCGTCTTGTTCCGGATTTGGCCTTGGATGACTGCGAAAATGAGCCTATATCCGACTGCGGCTAATGCCATGTAAAGATCAATGCCCCGTTTACATACCACCAATAGAGATAGCAATTCCAGCAATTGCAGCAGCCGACGCTCCAAAGAAGATCAACCCTCCGATCTGTACAAGTTAGCAAATCAACACAAGCACAGATCGCTTTGGGGCTGCATACGATAACAAGCGGTGCCGCTGGCCCTGCCATAACGGCTCCAACGCCTATAACGGGCAGCCCGACGGCAAGCGCTCCTCCGAGCGCCATCAGCGCGATGTAGAGATCACCCAGCGTTTTGTTCAAGTCAACCAGATCTTCATTAATCTTCTTGATCTCGCTGGTTAGCTCCCCTTCCTTGTCCTTGGCCCAGTCCCCGAATGTGGCAACAAAACCGGCAAAATTGTCCACAAGTGTCTGGAAGTCTGACTTCACATTTTCGGCTTGTTGTTGGTAGCTCGTTGCTTTCTGTAAAACGTTAGCGTTTCCCGCTCCAGGAAACAAAGTAACAACCAAAAATAGAAGCAAAATATAAATAAAAATAGAAACGAAATGAAGAGGATACGCACGTCGATGAATGAATTAATTCTTTCCTTGCGCTGGTCCACGGTGTAGTTCTGATCAGCACAAAACTTAACAATAATTGCATCGAAACCTGCAGCCCGTCACAATTAGCAACCAGAAAACCCCCACGACAACTGAGACATATACATACTCGCGCCGTACTGGCTAATATCCGCCGCAAGCATCCGACTGGAATCAAGCACCTTGCGATAGTCCTGCATACCGATTAAGATATTACCCCTTCGCATCACTCAAACTGGCATGGGAGAAAACTCACATCCCTGTGCTTTTTCAAAGTAGGAGCAAAGTTCGACTGGTGAACATTATCGATCTCCGCAATCTTCAGTGATAGCGAGGTGAAAACGTCCTCGATGTCTCTGGCAGCCTTATTGGCCGTGTTAGCCTCCTCTTTGAGCTTGGCTTTGGCTTCGTCCGTGGAGAGTGACTGAGCAGCCCCGAGAGTGTATTTCTTCTTGTCCTCATCTGTCTTGATGGGGTTGTGCTCTTCAGCTCCGGCTTGGAGAACGGCACGCTCCTCTTCGGTGAGGGAGGTGGCTGCGTCGAGATATTTGGCTGGGCTAGGATTGCTGCCGACCAGGCTGTCGACCTTTTTGGCGACCTCGTCGTAGGATGGGGGAGAGCCGCTGAGCATGTAAGGGGGTGGAGGTGGAACAGTCATCATTTTGGTTAAGGAGAAAGATGGTTCGTGTTATTTACGCAGAGCGTCATGGTGAGAGGAGACTGATTTCCCTGAAGAGGTTGAGAATTGTCATGTTCATATAGCTTTGCTTGCACAGAATGCTGTCGAGCCAACTGAACAAAGAACCAAATGTGGAGGTGTTACAATAGGGAACATTCAGCTGAGATCGAAATGTAAACATGGCACCATCACCATGTTGTACGCGTCAGCAATGACATTCCTGGGCCGGAAAGCATTGTCGCCACGATGCGATGTAACTATCATAGGGCATAGCCAAACCGGGCCATTGTCGGAGTCTTGGGATTCCCCGCTTAGCACAACCATATTTGCCTTGTTAAGGCCATTTCTGTCGACACGCTTGAATCAACGTCATATTTACAGAATGGCGTCTCCGCTATAAAGACCAATATACCCGGTCGATGCATGCAGGATTACGTGTTATTCCTAGGAATTTTTACAGCTTCTGGACAAGGGACTCGTTGTTGGCACCGGGTGCGGGGAGGGAGGTGGCGGAAAGGGGAGGTTCAGCTCTGAGATTATGGAGCAATTTGCTGGCTTATGCCTGTAAATATTGCATGGTTCTTTAGCGTTGCATTACATATGTAGCTAACAGATTTTAGCAGTGTCTGGGCGGCCGTCGGCCATGGTGCATGAATAATCGGCTGAGGTTCTGTGGGTACCTTGCTAACGGAGTATAATGCTTGTCCGTGCTAGTAACGGAAGATATAGTCCAAATGTTTCTCCTACATTATTGGCTAAGTATATAGGGGAAAGGCCGAATTGACCCTTTCGTGTTTAGTTACAATGAACCGAAGAAATATAGGAGTCGCTACTATTAAGAACGCTAGCGTGTACCGTAAGCGGTGCTATAACAGGATACCAGTGGGAAGAGTTAGAATAGCCTAAGCGTAACCGGCTGCCTCCAGTAGCTCATCGTAATGGAGACTGTCGATCTGAGTCGCGTACGACCTCAGGTACTTTGCAATTTTCACATCTGTTGAAACGATCAGCTAACATCCAATCCATTAGGCTCCAACACTCACATGTTCGGACTCCTTGCTTGAGGTTTAGTTCCATGTACTCCGGGAAGTCCTAAGAATGTCAGCACAAGAACAGGATACCCGTGGAAGGTCGAAGTCATACCACCCAAGAAGCCCCATCCTCCAGCCAGGTTTCAATGGACCTAGCATCGACAATGGTGGCACTCCAGTAGGTATTCAAGACACTAACATTGTCTCTAAAATCAGAGAAGTACTTTGCGTTGACATCGTCCCCGTTGGCTACGGATCGAAGTTCGTGAAGTATGGTGAGAGCAGTTGGTTTCTTTGCGGACATTCGTACCACCTCTGATAGTTGTTAACAAAAACCATCAATATGAGAGAGACCGACTTACCGGATGCCGCAATTGCATACGCAGAACGTACGGCCTCAGGATTTCCCAGTCCAAGAAGTCCTGCGATCTACCATGTAGGCACTTAGTATGACATGGTGGTAATTCGAGGCCAGCTAGTTAGACATACCATGATCAATGGGCGGAGGGGTGTAGAAAGCAGGGCATCAAGTACCGCTACCCCCAGTTTAAATGGCGGTTTCGCTGCCGAAACAGCCAGACGAGGAGCTGAGGGGCTCCTAGGTTTAGCCCACATTTTGACGCGGTTGTTGATCTCATTGAGGAGGTCTAGAAGCTCCTCCTGAATTTTGTCGAGGGTGCTCTGTATTTCCGTTGCCTTGGCTTCGAATTCTTCAGCATCCTACCTAAATTAGAGGTGGTGTTCCTAGTGGGAATCACAGCTTCTTACAGAAATGTATCCCCTAATTTTGGAGAGTCTTTGATCAATGCTCAGGTCCTGATTTGCGCAGAACGCAATCACCTCCTCGTCGAAATCTAAGTACCCATAAGTCAGGTGGCTATATGAATAATGCTGGATGACACTAACTTTCTCCATACTGTGCAACTTGGTTGGCGAAGGGAACGCTGTCTACCATTGTTTTAATATATCGCTATACGAGTTAGGCCTTGTTACTCATTCATGTGTATGGACGCCTGCACTAACCACAAGTATTGGCGTAAGTTTCTCATCGGTGTAGTTCGTGCCGAACTGATTATCATAGCAAATGCAGTTGAGAACGAAAGACATAAGTAATTCAAAGATATTATTGGCTGCATCGTAGGCACCGTTAGCAGCGTCCGACAGTGTTCCGTCAACATCATCGGCTGAGAGGGCCTGAATTGCAGCTCTTGTAAATGCCTGTCTGTCTGCGGCTGTCAGGCTATACGCTGGCTCAAATGCAACCAGAGCATTTTGCTCCTCAGCCGAAAGATTTTGGACGGCTTGAATACACAACTGCAGAGATGCTGAGCTGGTACTCTGTTGCTGAAGTTTGGTAAAAATGGTTTCAACTGGTTGGGAAGCCATGGCGTGATGTTTGGAAAAGTAGGGTTGTGACGAGGGGGAATGATTATTACAGAGTTTTATATTCTCAAATGAATCAATGGGAGTTTAAATCTACTTTCGAAGATGATCGTCGAAGGGTCACCCTAAATTCTACTAGGCCTAATCCCTGAAGAATATACATATAGCCTTCGTGATACACGATACGTCGCATCAGATTACGTAGCACACCGTTAGACAACGTTACCCTCGCCAGCAGTTCAAATTTCAATTGATATGACGATTTCGTGCCCTTGCGAGGGCCATAATGGGCGGATTGGCTGTGCGACCCTCGAGGGCTGAAGACAAAAGTACTGTGCATAGACTAATTCCAGTTCGCCACATAACGAGCTTAGTACAACCCACCATTGACAATCGATTCGGAACTTCAGCTATGGAGTAAATAACAGATTGCCCAAATAGCATTTCCAGACCCGATAACGCTCATACAGCCAAGGCCAAGATGAAACAGGCAAAAAGCCCGGATCATGCCAGCTGCTAACGCAATTCTTACCTACCCATGACCTTGAGTTGCAGTTCAAGTACTACTCTAGCCCTTGTAGAGGGGCGAATCACCTCGTATCACCTCACTCGGTTGATACAAGCTGAAATAGCCGAATTCTGGTGGGTGGCTTTTATACCCATCGATACAGTTCCTATAAGACCGAGATCGCAGCCCATGACTGAAGGAATCATTCAAGCCGTTCCTCCCCAATTCAATTAAACAAAGCCCTCTTAAGCCATGATGCACCCTCTACCAGCTTACACCACAGACAGCTCTCCGCCCTCGTACGATGAGGTCGCTAAAAAGCTTCAAGACCTTATCGGCGACAACCAATCTCCAGAAAAAGTGCTGGATATTGCCAACACTCTCTCCGACGATGAGATTAACACTCTCGCGAATGGGCTTGACACGCATTACCCACTCCAAAACGACCAGCAAAAGGCTAATTTTACGGTCGGTGTTGGCCAGACGTTGTCGTCCGAGGAAGGACTGGCTCGCCTGAAAATAGCCGGAAATGCAGCCTCTCAGGCCGTGAAGGAAATTGACGAGATCTTCACAAAGCTGCAACTCAAGCTCGCACAGATTGACCAGATCTATGAATCCGGGTTTCAAAAGACATTGATCGGCCTTCGGGACGTATGTGAACACTGCTGAAGGCTCTCCTTTCCGGTACTGACTCAAGAAGACGTTCCAAGGTATCCTTCGGGACAGCAGGTATCTTGCAACTAACATTGGTCAACATGGAGAACGTAAGTTATCCAACTCATTCCTATTAACTCATATGGATCTAACCACATAGTAGAGTTTGACAAGATAATCATCAAGTTTTGTGCGGACACCAACTATACCGTGGAAGAGCGAAAGACTCGCATTGCAAAGTTCATTGCTGTATGCCTTTTGCCACAATTGTGGTGAAGTGCGCCATCGCTAATCAGTACCACAGGATGCCCAGGAATTTGAAACTAGCGCAAAGGCTGTACAGGAGCGATACTCCGAGCTTTCTTCCAGCTTCCAGGCTTTCATCAGCTCCTTCTCGGGCTGGGCCAAGGACAAGGAAGGCGAGCTCACCAACCAGATCAAGGCCTTGGTGGAAGAATTGGAGAAGCTAAACCAGACGCTCAATGATATCAAAACAGCTCAAACCGCCATTACCTCCATTGCTGGAGTTGCTATCCCCATCGCATCATTGCTTATTGCTAGTAAGGTCTTTCCGGGGCTCGAATCGATCATTCTTGTAAGTGACTGTGTTTCATTACGACTGTCCAACGGTAGGTCTGACTGCCCCACAGATCGGAGGACTCATTGCCGCTGGTGTGGCCATCTCGGCTGTAATTGGACTGGCGATCGCTGCCAACAGTATGTCACATCGCCCAGTCTATAGGTATAGAGCGTTTTATTTACTCTCCCTAGGAGTCCAGAATGACATTGACGAAAAGACCCGCGAGAAGAAGAACCTAGAGGAGGAATTGGAGCAGATCCGTAAAGCACGGGAGGAACTTCAATACCTGGGTCTGACATCCCTGTCAGAGTTCAAGTCTTGTGTCCTGGTTCTCTCTAATTATTGGCAATCTACAAGCCGGGATGCCCAGCTCATCCAGGCATGGCTGGAAAAGGGAGCTGACTATGCAGTAAGCCAGCGCAGTCTCAGTCAACTTCCGGGGCTAACTAGTGTAGGATCAACCCGAGTATATGAAGATGAACTTGGAGAAGGCTGTGGATACCTGTAAGTTCATCTCTATTGAGGCATATCATCTGCTGACCTATTATAGACGCATCCATGGCCGTCTATCTTTACGAGTATGCAGCTGGAGTGCAAGGGTATATGGGATCTAAGGGCTTCGTGCGGTTGAATGTCGAGTGATAGGATATTCTAAGAGTGTTGAGATGGGCCTGGAAGCTACGAGAGCGCCAATATCTAGAACTATTACTCATCTGTCTTATCTCTCCTTTGTGCGCATGTACGTCCTGGGACAGAAACGCATAGGGATTTACATTTCCACTCTTATTGTAGCCCAGTGCTAAAATATATGAATTTGTTCGGACAATATGGGTTACATACTTTCCAAGCATACCTGCATCGTCAGTACCGCAACGTAACTCCAGCCCCCAAATGGAAACAATAATATCAACGAGGCAATATCGATCAGATGGGGGTACCTTTGGCTCGCGTAAATGAAACCGGACGGATATAAATCCAATTCGGGCCGAGGCGAGCGACAGATGCATCGAACCCTAATCCACCACTAACATCCAGACCCGCAGTTTCCTACAAAAACTGGATTTCTTCATATCTTCTGACATTTTACTGCATCGGATGCACACCAGGCTAACAGGTCTGACATGGATGGCCAACGCCAGCAGGAACAACTGCTCATTTGGTGACGTGTACTTGAGCCAGGGGTGGGTTAGAAACTTGCACATTAATGTTGGCCGCGGGTGATCAGGCGGAGGCTTAACAAAGGTCTTGCTCCGAGTTAATTATTTCCCCGCTGTTGATTGTTGATTACCCATCGACTACCACAGCCGATAAACGACTCTTTCTATTTGTACCAGCCATCATGGCCGACGTATACTCCACCCATAGTACATGTATTCTTTTATATAGTAAGAGGGATCACTAGTAGTGCTCGTTGTCAGGAAGATAGAAGATAAAGATCATCCATATTCGAACATCAATGAACGAGTCGGACTAAGCTTCGGATCCCCCTAGAGCTGGAAACCACCACCATTGAATTATTTAAAAAAAAAAAAAAAAAAACCTAGAAGGTCGCCCAGGGTGCAAAATGTAACCTATAATCCACGCGAAGGATAAAAATCGATGTTGGGTGGAGATAGGCTTTCGTAATTTGAAAGGTGAAAAAAAAATAAAAGAGGCAAAAATTGCTCCCAAGCGGGGTCGAACCGCTGACCTCCAAGATGCATACAACCCAGCGTGAGCCGTGATCATATAAGCTTGATGCTCTAAAACCAACTGAGCTATGGGGGCAAGTTAGTCGAGGACTTCGTATTTATGGTTCTTAGCGTAGGGTGGCTATCAATAGTGAAATCACTCCGTACTTCCTTCTTCGCCCTCGGCTTAAGAGTAAGCTTTACTAACAACTTGCACGCTTGACTTATGATTAGGATAGCCCAGACCATATAATCAAGCTATGAGCAAGGAGCACTGCATTCGTTTCTCTAATATCAAGGTACGCAAGATCCGATTGACAGTAAAGACTGCTCGAACACCACATAAATACAAGTTAGAAGAAAAAGCGCAATTATCCCACACTAATAGTAGGCGCCCACAAATAATATTCGCAATATCATCAAGAATCCTCTGAGGCTTCGCTTCAGAAATTCGGTTCGCCTTTGAGGTGATACTAGCTGGATCCCAGCCTAGCTTGGTCGCGAGCACATCGGTCCGCAGGCTTACGGCAACATTCGCCGTATCTGGGCCAGCACTCGGTTTGGTCTATGTTTTGCGAACGTCTTCCCACTAGTCGTCCGATAGGGCCTGGGCCTCTAAGTCCCCGCACCGTGGTTTTGTAGGTAGGATAGAGGAGGCCGTCAACCCATCCAGTTAGAACTTTTCAACCTCATAGGCGATTGTCTTATCATTAGAGAGCAAGGGGTCGGACTTGGTTACGTGGTCTCCGGTCATGAGTCGCATGGTTACTTTTGATGTTCCGTTTAGAAGCTCACTGAGGTTTTTGACCTTAGATGGGTCACTGGACTCGGAATCCGATGTGTTGTTTAGTTGTTACGATAATGATAATACAGTTATAATACGAGGATACTTACATTTTCCCTAGAGGGCGTCGAAGACATCGCTGTAAACAGCTTCATTGGTTTCCTACTTGGGGCCTGTGAAGTCATCGTCTTCAAGAAGACTGGCACCAGTACGTTGAATCGTGACTGTCATGGAAGACTCAATGTCCTTGGCCTGCATTGGTTTCCGCGTGGATCACGTCCTCTTTTCCTACAGCAGGAGCCTCCCAGCTACCGCTTTGAGGAGTCATGGTGATGACGACAGCTTCATTTACCGCAAATTTGCAGGCGATCGAGAACTCAAAGCTGGCGGGATGGATGGTCTACGGGTCACCACTCGGTTCCGATTGAATATTCTCTTTGGGGATGAGGCCTTCTTCGACGGAGAAAACATGTTTCTTGTGCTCGTCCTCCGCTGTAGGATTGTCGCCCGTGGTAGAGCCCAGGAATGTAGGTCCTCCCAGTGTCTTCGCTTAGGACGCAACTTGGATGAAATCGTCGAGGCTCAATGGCTGCGCGGTGGAACTACTGTCTCCGAAGTCAATATCGAAGCCGAAGGCCCAGAAGTCAACATGAACACGACCGTGGACTGAGAAACCGCGGATGTACAGTCGGACACCAATCTCAATACTGGTATTGATGGTAACAATCAATAGGTCGAGCGTAAACCGAGCACCGACCAGATGCCTCCTTCAGCCATGAAGTAGAATGGCTTGTAGTTGATCAAGAAGTCAACGAAGCATTGAAGTATACAAACAGTGGGGCTAGGGAAAGTTGCACATCGAGGCGGCCGCATTCTATACAGGCCTTGGGCGTAATAGCGAAGTATGCCTGACCTGAGATTCTTTCGCCTGGACGCCCAGTCTACCACTACCGCTGGGCAGAACCCCTCAACGTCAAACAAGACGTTATTTCTTGTTTCGTATACGAGGAATCCCGGTATGGGAAGAGTACTCTAGGGGACAATACGTGCGCAAATGTGAAAACGTAAGCTTGCCTCACCCTTCCTACGTATTTCATATACTATGACGTTGCCAAAGCATCTACGGAATCTTCCCTGACCGATCTATTGTACCAAGAATAGACGGATTCCCAACTCAACCCGAAAGATACGCCCACACCACCAATGAATACTGCATACCTCATTCCGGGCCATATGATTTAAGATATCCCCATCTGTGATCCCAAACGCTATTACTAGAGCCTTTATCTGCTTGTCTACAACGGAGGTGAGCATAGGAGCAACAATCAAGGAGAATAAGATTGAAGCAGGAAGTGTGCCGTAGCCATACCTTGGAGAGCTCCAGTTGGGCGCTTCGTTTACTAAGGGTCATAAAAAAGATTTCAGCTTTAAACTGTCTGTAGTGGCGGGTATCCGGCCAAGTTTAACATTAGCACATCCCAAAGCAACGGTGTTGACTGGAGATTTGATCTACCAGGCGTCATCGTGATGGGCATGTCCCTAAATATTTCGTATCCGTCCGAGAGTCTGAGGTAATTTGATTACCAGTAGAGAATAGTTAGAAAATATACATGATATTCAAATACTACACAGTTGAGGTTCAAGGAGGTTGAAGGAAATGTTGTAGACTACAGAAAGTAGTAAGTCTACTGATAATGTCCAACATGCACTACTATATATGTTATCTAAACGTCGGAGATATCTTCCTGGAATCCTGGCTTTCGAGCAGAAAGGGAATGCACATATGCGTCCCTTCGTAATCAGCCCCGATTACCTCTTATTGCAGCGTGGTATCTATGTTTGTCATAGAATAACTATGATCCTCTGTACTAGGACATTACGGATAATATTTTATATGAACTTTAATGTGATGGTTCCCAAAGTGTTTAGCAGTTTCCAACTTACATGTAGTTATCGTGACCTGAACAAGACGTCACTATGGTCGTCGTACAGAAACCGTTCATGGACAGTGAAAGCAATCATGCAGAATATGCATAGCAACAGGACACAATCTTAATATACAAGTACTACTGCGTCAGCTCGTAAAATTTATAAAGCCCAGACCCTACTTCCCTAGTCACCTTTCCATATGGCAATGTGATCTCGGCCCTCGTATTGGGAGGGACTGTAACTTCCAAGTCGAATTTGTCCCCATCTACTTGCCACTTTGCGCTAACCTTCCCATAGGGACTAACAAAGCAAGAATCCGCACTGGTGATGTTCCCTCCAGGAACTGGTGCAATCTTAATCTTTTTCCACCCAGGCTCCGCCGGAGCAAGCCCACCGATAACCTGGTGGATCCAGTCCGCGACGGAGCCAAAGGCATAATGGTTAAAACTTGTCATCTCCCCAGGATTAACAGTACCATTCGGCAAGAGACTATCCCAGCGCTCCCAGGTCGTCGTCGCGTTCTGCACCACTTGGTACAACCACGATGGGACCTTCGTTTGAAGAAGCATGCGATAGAAGTCGTCTGTGGCACCAATCTCGGCCAAGGCAAATCCAAGGGGAGGGGTACCGGCAAAGCCTGTACCAACGAGGTAGTCATTATCGGCGATGATCTTGCGCAAGGTCTCACCGGCGACGGATCGCTCTTCTACCGTGGTGAATATGCCGAAGTGCAGACCTAGAGCGTATGCGGTCTGTGTTCTGTTGGCCATTCCGCCGTCTATTATCCACGCATTACGGAACTGTTTGATCAGGCTGGCATGCTGTTGATTGTACCTCTCAGCTAAGTCGTCATAGCCCAGTGCAGTGGACATATTGACTAGAAGCTCGGTCATGCGCACTAAGTAAGCATCGGCGACAAGATGGGTGGCCGTGGTTGCATCACCAGGGCTGTCAGGTGGTGCTTTTGGGTCTAGCCAATCTCCGAACTGAAAAGTGTCTCGATTCCAGAGGCCACTGTCATCGCGCGGAATTCCGGTCTCTATCCAGGCCTGGGCCTGTGAGTACTGTTCTTGCAAGACAACCAGATCACCAAACGACTGGTAGTGGTTAAAGGGGCCGCCAACAGTGACATCACCCCAAACTGCGGCAGTTCCTTGCTTCGAGTCTGTGTTCGGGGGGATAATAGGCACATAAGGCGGTACTTGCATTGTGCCGTTAGCTTGCATCTCAGACCAAACATCGCGATGCCAGCCTCGCCAAAACCCAGCAGTGTTGTAAAGGTAGTCAGCGGCGGGACCAAATGCGTGTGCATCTCCGGTCCATCCTAGACGCTCGTCTCGTTGGGGACAATCGGTTGGGATAGAGATAAAGTTGCCTCTCATGGACCACAAAACATTGTTATGGAATTGGTTGAGTGACTCATTCGAACATTCGAACCAGCCCGTGCGCTCCATGTCGCTGTGTACTACCACTGCCGTAATAGAATCCCCGTCCAAAGTTGTCGTTGACTCCGGCCAGCCATCTACCTGTGCATATCGGAAGCCATGCGTGGTGAATCGTGGCTCCCAGATCTGTGTACCATTCCCGTTCAAGATAAGCGTGTCAGTAGCTTTAGCTAGACGCAGTGGGCGAAGAGCAAGCTCTCCGCCCTCCAAGACCTCTGCGTGATGAAGAGTAATGTTGGTTCCGCGCGGCCCGGCTACTGACAACCTCAGTCTACCGGCTAAATTCTGTCCAAAGTCAATGAGGGTCTTGTTCGAACTGGACTTGAAGATCCTTTGGGGCTTGATTTCCTCGACCCGCCTCACGGGTGGGCCGTCCGGGGGAGTTAGCTTTCCTTTCAGCGCAGGTAGCCTCTTGACAGTCAACCAACCATCAGGATTGAACGACCCAGACGACCATCCTGCAATACTGGGCTCTAGCCGTGAGTCATATGTTTCCCCATTGTAGATTTCAGATGCGACAGTGGGCCCAGTATTTGCTTGCCAAGATGTATCGGTTGGGATATCTACTTTCGTCCCGTCTTGCAGGATGACAACGAGCAAGGAAAGTAAGCCGATTGTGTCTCCATAGTTATTCCGGTACTTTCCACCAAATCCAACAAGTCCAGAGAACCACCCCTCGGCAACAGTGGCGCCGATTCCATTGCTACCTTGCTGAATAAGATGGGTAACGTCGTAGGTATCATAGACGTGTCGGTTGTTGTATGATTGCCATCCAGGCGCCATAACATAATCACCCACCCTTTGACCGTTAATTTCCGCTTCGTAGACGCCCAACGCAGTAATGTAAAGACGAGCGGATTTTACTTCCTGATCCACGGAAAAGGACTTACGGAAGTATATTGGAGGTTTAGGAGCATTAACGTCGGTCTTGCGGTCCGCAGCAATTGGGATAGCGTTTCCCCAGTCTGACTCGTTCAGTAGACCTATCTCAACTGAGCTCCAGTCCGACCATGGAGTAGAGGGCTGATCCGGTTGTCCATGGGATCGTGCTCGAACACTAGCCTGCTCGGCCGTCTCTAGAGGAGTATCCGGCCATGGCACAAGAATAGAATCAGACGAGTTGGCAGAGTAAACTCGCGGTACGCCATTTCGGAGGACCTCAATGTCATACCCAGTCTGCGTCCAGTTTGGTGCAAGGCCTTCGAATCTCCACGAGATGCGAGGCTCAGACTCCGCAACACCTAGTGCAAGACGGTGGTGCTCAAACGATAGCTGCGATATAGACACTGACATCGTAGTGAAACTATGAATTTTGAATTACGTTTGGAGCGGACTGGTATTTAGAGCCGCTAGCAGCCGAATTGCCACAGCTAGCAACACCAGCTGTTCATATACCCCTTGAAAGCATTCTCTACGCTATAGCAAATCTACATGGACGGTCGCCTTTTCCCCGATCACCGAAATCAACAGTCACCTAACTCCAGCAAACTTTGGTACCACACTGATGTCCCTTCGGCTTTTCTTCGGTGATACACCGAGATGTTACTTGCTCAGGGGGCGGGGGGCACTATATACGTCATTTCAAGCACTTTCCAAGCACTTTCCAAGCACACTTGAAGATTTCCCCTCCCTTGTGGCGGCAGAATGGACCGGATTCCCTGCATGGTAATGTGGGGCAATGCTCTGGAGAAATCCCACTGTCTGCGGGGAATCCGGGGAATCGCTGACTATACTGTCGATCGCCTTATTTCATTGCGGACAGTCTTGCTCATTGGACTTCTCATGGCATTGGCCTTCGGTGGTCATTCAGCCGAGGGAGAGGTTGTTGCCTGTCAATCAAAATCAATATGCCCCCGACCATTGCGAATGGCGAGTTGAGAGAAAAGCAGATGAACGGGGAGAGGAGAGCCGACGAAGGCCTCACAGGGAAGAGAATAAAGGCCCGAGAAGCGAGGAGTTCCACGACCAAGCCCTAAGCTCATTGTGCGAGATAGAAAGCTTCATACACTTGCAGTTGGTACCATACATCAGTAGTATCTGAAATGGGGATTGGTCAAGGGGGTGCAACTTCAATGCAGTAACAGTGGAGTGAAATTCATTGGCTGTTCTACTCACCGCATTGGACAGAATATCAAAACTGGTCTAGCGCAAGAACCCTTCTATCACAGACGAATTAAATTAAATATAAGGGATAATAAATCATGCCACCCACTTACTTGGTCCACGCGGGCGTTCTAATCACTTTTTACTGTCATGGACCTCATCGGGAAGATAGATGGGTCTTTGATTGAGGGCCCTTTGGCGTCTTCTAATCATGTGTACTAATTCTGCGCGAACTCTTTTAGCCGTGCGTGAGCGGTTCGCTTCGGAATATATATAGAACATCGCTCCCCAGCTAGGTGGAAGTATCGATTATCTTCTCAAGCTTCTGAATTTGTGACAACGATATTTGTCCTCTGTTGATAATTTTGGAAAATAGTATGGTATATACATATCAAGTTGTGAACTAAAAATTAGACATACTATGTCTAAGGACCCCGTCGGTACAATGAAAGGCGGGGCCTCCGTGCCCAAGCTCGGATAATTGGCATCTTATTGCAAATGCTCAGACATCCACCATGAACCTTCCATACATAGTTATTCATTGGCCATCCAGACCATATATCCGTGACGGATAAGGTATGGTGAATGCAATGTTAGCTAGGTCCAAGCCTGAAGAATATCTAGGTCAGACCAGTCTTATCTCTATTAACCGAGGGGGGACTGCATTAATCAGACTATCTAGAAAAATTACTCAACAACCCCTCAATTTTTGTCTCCACCGTTGTCTTACCTCTAAAGTATATAACTTGGCGTTCGACTACCAGATCAAGTTCCCTCCTCCTGATCATTCAAGAAAAGCTTACTTTACATTTACATATATAAAGCAAGTGATATTGGAAGCTATCATGACTGGTTCCTTGATCAAAGCGCTAGGGCTGGCGAGTGTCGCCTCGGCTACGCTGCAGATTGTTGGTGCTTATTTACGACTCAGCTGATACCATCTTCTTGCTAATGTCGGCATCCAGGTCCCGGGCGCTACATGGACTGCGGCCGGAACCAATCAGCATGTGCAGGCTCATGGCGGAGGTATCATATGCATTAGCACCTTTGAGCACTCTCGACCATTCCTGTGTACTCACGAGCATCAGGGATTATCGAAGTCGACTCGACCTTCTACTGGATCGGTGAAAACAAGTTGGGTGGAAGCTCCTTCCAATCTGTTAATTGTTATTCAAGCAAGGTGAAGATCTACCGAATGATACATTTTTTCAAGCAACAAAATGGTCCTTCAAGCTTACACATGGTAGAACCTGGTGGAGTGGACGTTTGTAGGAGAACTTCTTTCTCGTCAGAGCAGCGGAGACTTGGGCCCCAACCGTGTTCTCGAGCGACCACATGTCATCTACAATGATGCCACTTCGAAGTACGTGATGTGGATGCATATCGATAGCAGTAACTACGGTGAGGCAAAGTCTGGTGTTGCAACTTCATCAAGCGTGTGTGGTGCATATGAATACATGTAAATTTACACCTTCTTTGGTACTTAAGTTGTACGACGCTCGGGCTGATGCACACATTTCCAGAGGATCTTTTCAGCCCCTAGGTCATGAATCGCGTGACATAGGCCTGTACAAGGATGATGATGGTACTGGATATCTTTTGACGGAGGATGTAAGTGACCAAGAATGCAGGCCCCATAAGTGCGCATCGTCTGACCCGCTTAGCGACCGAATGGGCTGAGAATCAACAAGCTGACTGATGACTACACCAACGTCACCGAAACCACCCATCTCTTCCCAGAACACATTGAGGCCCCAGCTATGTACAAACAGGATGGTGTATACTTTCTATTTGGATCTCAGTTAACAGGTCTCGTCCTCACCTATCCACCCAGTTTGAGTCTTATTATTTGCTGACTTACGATACAGGGTGGTGTATGTGAGAATTCGACGAGGGCGACACAAGGCAAAGGCGGTTCAGTATGAAGAAGGCTAACTACATGGATAGCAAACAACGATAATAAGTATGTCACCGCAAGGAGTCTTAGTGGGCCTTGGACCGACTGGGAGAATTTTGCGCCATCCGGAGCTAAGACATTCGAGTCGCAAACCACCTTTGTTGTTGCGGTTGGCGATTCCGTGCTGTAAGTGACTTATAGGAAACTTGCCACAGCGCGTTTTAACATGTTTAGATATATGGGTGATCGGTGGGACTCTGAGAATCTCATGAGGTCAACGTATATCTGGCTTCCCTTGACTATCGATGGAACCAAGGCCACACTAGTAAGTTGTCATATAAAGCAGCGATGCTTTGAACATAGAGTCCACTTCTCTGACCTGATGTTTTCGAAAATAGCAAAATGAAGCCAACTGGGTGCTTCCGCTTGAGGGGACTTGGTCCACCGGCGGCTCCGAAAAGAATTATGCGGCAGAATCATCCAATAACATGCTCTCTAACGGTGCCAAGGTTATTTCGTGTAGCAGCTGCTCTGGTGGTAAGTCAGTTGGTTATCTCGGTGGCTCCGATGATGGAACACTCCGAATCAGCAATTTGGCGGGCGTAGGATCTGCCCCAATCACTCTCCGTATACGGTATGCGAACGGGGATAGTTCTCAACGTTATGCGAACATTACGGTTAACGACCAATCACATGTGTTAGCCTTCCTACCTTCTGGTAGTGGGAATACACCATTACCTCGACCCTTCATATTACATTGGACAAGGGCGATGTGAACACCGTCACTTTCAGTGGATACAAAGGAGGCTGGGGTATGATGCCCAATTGTCGCTGAATCGTATAATGTCTAACTCGATACATTATAGGTCCCGATGTCGATGAGTTGATAGTTCCCCAGGAGTAGATAATTGGCTGCCCTGATATGGTTCATCTCTTGCGTTGGGGTTGCTGGAGTCACGGGATTGTTGGTGGTGTTAATGGAAAAGAGTTATGCATCTCTACTTCTAGTCGTGATAACCGGTAGTGGACAACTGTACTTCAACATAATGGCGCTTAGCTTGAAGTTCTCGCGAGGTCCGCCAGTCTGTGAAAACCTCCGAAATGATAATACGATAAATTCAGTCTGACTAAGTGCTCGACCAAAACTATCTGAGGTGTAGGGGAAGCCCTTTATATAGGTAAGCCCATACAAAGGTCCTCAAGGTCCTACATTCCGCCTTTCATTGAATAACGTTGAAAATCGCCGAAAAGGCTTGTAAATAACCAATATGGTCAACACAGTCGAATACATGTTTTTGTGAACCAGAGAAGTATAACCTCCATCTAAAGTTGAGGGGCACGGACACCAATCACTCCACTTGGTACACATAAATCCTCTACAAAGAATCCAACACATTGTTAGCCCGGCTATCATCAGTCGCTTCTGAACCTGTTGGCATTTGGTTTACACTTTAAACTGACCTCACCTTCAGGTCGGTTTCCTAAGCTTACCTATCGAAGTCCGCAAGAATATTTACGAACGAGTGCTCGACGTGCCGCACCAACTCTATCTTTTCCAAGATCCAGAATTTGGAGTAGAGACTTTCGTGCCCGAAAAGCCCCTCGATGGCTTGCATCGTTGTACACCAATCGAGAAGATATCACGTGATGCTATGGTAGTTCTATACAGCACGATTCACCCTCCATGAAGCAACACAGCCCCAAGGATGCCTCCTAGCATCCTTCCTACCCTGCATTGGGCCTATCAATGCAATCTGACCGTCTCATCTATGTATCAGCCTTCCAGCCATGCAGAGTATAGGGCGGCTATAGTAAATAGACAGGAGATGACTGACTTTCCTAGCGATGTGTTTGTGGGTCCCTGAGTAAGATCATGGTTAGGGATTACAGCAGAACACATTCACAAGTCCTAGAAATCTTCTCTGCCTAGGCATATCACCTCCGCCGAGGTGGAAACGTCGAATAACCGTTCCAGACCATGATTACTATTGGATATAAATTACTTGAGCTGTGAATTTCCTCGGCATGATTGTCAATACACGCTCATTCGCCCTCTCCCAGACCAGAATGACATCTTCCCCACCTATAAACCGGTGGTCCTGGGTGTGGTGTCCCGACTCCCGACGGGTACCCCCCACAAAAGGTCCGCGAGCCAGGTGTCACCAGCAATTACCGACAAAGCCCAATACAATGGCATTCATCTGTTTACAAATACCTGGCCAATATCTCACGGAAACCTCGTATTCCAGGACTCTTTCTCTAAGCCTTCTAACTATTTTATAAATCCTGACGATTTTCCTAAGAACTATTGCAAGCATGCCTAGAATCCAAGAAACGGATATGTCCACCCATTTCAATAACTGGCCCAATGAGCAAGGAGTAGGCATGATACACTGATGTTCGAAATTACCGCTTACTGAAAAATCAATAGTTTCAGCCCAACTACGAACAAAAGATCCCGGTTGAGCTCCAAGTGACCGGAGAGATCCCGGCATACACTGCTGGAGTTCTGTACAGAACCGGTCCAGGTCGGTATGAAGTCGATATAGTGGAAGGAAACACCTTCCAGATCTCTCATTGGTTTGACGGATTTAGCCAGACTCACCGGTTCCAATTAGTAGCTCCAGAAACAACCAGCTCAGGTGTCCGTGTTTTCTACAACTCGCGCATCGCTACGGACAGCTTGATCGAGGAAGTGAGAAAGACAGGATCGTTGGACCACTTCAGCTTCGGCCAAAAGAGAGATCCATGCAAGACAATGTTCAAAAAGTTCCTGAGCTCATATCAACCAAACCAAGGAGCATCTATCTCCAACATTGGCGTGACACTATCCATCAATATGCCTGGGCTGGAGAGTTACTCCACCAAGCAGGGGGGTGGGCGATGGGACGGTATAACGACACTATACGCGGAGACCGACACTTCCAAGTTTAAGAAGATTCATCCTGAGACTTTGGAGCCAATCGGGCTGGCTGAACAGAGAGACCTCCACCCCGACTTAGACGGCCCACTCTCGGCCTCGCATGCTAAATCCGACCCTAAGACTGGAGATGTTTATAACTACAACATAAGCTTTACCCCACGGCCAACCTATCGTGTCTTCCGTGTCTCGGCCGCAACAGGAGAAACCACCATTCTCGCTACCTTCCCCGCTACACCCGCGTACCTCCACTCTCTCTTCCTAACAGAAGACTATGTCATTGTCAGCGTGTGGAATGCCCACCTGTCTCCGGCAGAGCTCGCAAAGGGTTCCCTCATCGAAGCCTTACAACCGTTCGACCCCTCCCAGCCAGCAAAATGGTATGTTGTCGACCGCAAACATGGCAAGGGTCTTATCGCAACATACGACAGCCGCGCATTCTTCTGCTTCCACAGCGTAAACGCTTGGCAGGAACCGTCCCTAACTGACCCATCCAAAACCGACATCGTCGCAGAGTGTGTCATGTTCGAGAGTTCAGATGTTCTGTATAGACTCTATTACGAGCTGCTGCTGTCGAATTCACCCAAGGCTCAGCAATCTTCGCACAAGCACTTCTCCGGTTCAAAGATAGCTCGCTTCCGCCTTCCCTCCATCCCCACTACTCCGACCGCTGGAACACAGACTGCATCTGTGGATTGGACAGCCGGGGAATTTCCTCTCGAACTCCCCACCCTGAATCCGGCATACCTTACCCGCCCGCACCGGTACACGTATGCTGTGGTAGGTCGGGGCGAATCGACTTTCCTTGATGGAATTCTTAAATTTGATAGTCAGACTAAAGAGTCCTACATTTGGCACAGGCATGCGCAATCTCCTGGGGAGCCTATTTTCATTGCTGACCCCAAGGGGGGGACAGAAGACGCTGGCGTGCTTCTCAGTGTGGTTTTGGATGGTATGACTGGAAGAAGCTACTTGCTGTGTCTGGATGCAACGACAGTTACGGAACTGGGTCGCGCTCAGGTGGAGGGCCCTATAGGGTTCGGGTTTCATGGCCAGCATATTCCGACGAGAGGAATGCCTACGGGAGATTTCTAGGCCGTTCTTGGACTGTTGTGTATATGATCCTAGCAGCGACTTGTCCTATTTTTATTGTTCTTTTAAATTAACGGTATTCTATACTGATGCATTTGTTAGGTGATGAATAATTCTTCAAAGTAAAAAAGGCAGCGGTAGAGCCAAATCGGGAGAAAGCTTATCCGTATTCGAGAAGATTTTGCATATTCAACTTCGCATATGGTCTGAGTAATCTGGGCCCCATGAATTGGGGAAAATTTGTGGCGTTTAGCTTAGGCGAGGGCATTCTCCTGAATTAAACCGCTATGTTCCCAGTCAATTGACTACTTGAACAGACTCCAACCTTCGTTTCCAGCTTCGGCTACATCAGGGCAGAGCAAGACAACCCAACCTAGCCGTTGCGTAATTCCTCTTGCCAAAGGGTCCAGATCTCAATGTCATATGTACTGATACGAAACGTCTCTAACCGAGATCTCAGGTCAGCGTTCCCTAATCAAATTGGTTGGCGAAGGTCCATTTCAGGATATTCACCCTGACCTGGCCGAGAGCTGACTTACACATCTCCACTTAAGTGGCCGTGATTTTAGTGTATTAGCCAGATGTTGACATGAACATGCTCTCCCCTGCGAGGAGAAATTGGAGCGTTGGCTGTTCTCTAACATAATCTGTATAGAGAGGCGGATCATGGTCGAATTGCGTGGCAACCGGATCCTTAAATCAAATGACGGGGCTGTTAATAAAGTGGAAGAAATCAAATGAGCGGCAATGAAGAGATCCCTCTAGGATAAAAGCACTCTGTCCAAATTTGCTAAGTAGTATATTCAACGGGCCACCCCTTCTCCCGATATGGCTTCACGACGAACGAGTTGTCTGTGCCTCACGTCCCGGACGAGGATAGCACCTGATAACATTAGCGGAGTATGATTTATGTTCGACAACGGCGTTTGATGGTGGGGAAAGATGGTGGTCGTGAATTTGACCCTGACCTGTCAATCAGGGCCAGTGGAGTAATGTACGTCTGGCTGACCTCAATCAAATTCCTTTTCTTGCTGTCTGACTACCTGACCCGCGCACAGCTGACGGACTATGGAGCATATAAATCCTAAGTTTTGAATAGAGAGGAATATGGAATGCAAAATGGGCCAGACTCCGAATAGAGACGATTACCCACTTCAGTGATGTAACCTGTTGTTGTCTTTAAAGGTTTGACAAAAGTTTGTGGACGCATAAAGTATTTCAAGGAATTATACGCGTTTTAGAATACCAGCAAACTTCCGAACGTATGGATGCCCAGCCCTATGGAATAGGGAATTGCTTGCAGAAAGGGGAGGAAGAAAAAGAGGAAAGGATAAAAAGCGTACGAAAAAGCAAATTCAAGCAGGACCTGCAGAGGAAAGTCTCCTAGAACCGTTTAGCGTTGTAACGCAAATTATTTTTCCAAAAGCCCAAGAGTTGTTTTGGGCGTAGTCCCATATACTATCGTTCCAAATACTTTAGGATATGTTCTAACAAAACGATCTCATACCTCAGAATCCCGAATCACGGACTTACCCAATTTTTCATCCCGTGTTACGGGATTTCCTAATCTGCATAGCGGATAGTTGGTTAATAAGTAATTAAAGTTGGATGGTCGATAAGATTCACGAGCGGGCTAGCGCTAATGTAGCTCTAGTTAGGTCGTCCAACATGGAGAGCAAGTCCTCGGCCTGCTTATAGACAGACGATAGTCAATATTGTATATCTCAAGAATTAGGAACAAGTGAAACATTTCCTTAGCGATTACTTTATGTGAAATGGGCAAGGCAAAGGCATATAGGAGAGGACCATACATATTTGGGTATTTTGGCACCGCCATAGGAAGGTGGGGACAACATGTGGCCAGCAAATAATGCTCACTTCAGAAGACACGTAGATTCAGTGTTAGTATGTGAATATTAGGCAAGCTGTCTTGTAGATGGGTCTGGCTGCGGTAGAGCAATCGAGCGATGCGAGTCTATAATCATAGTGGGATTGGTCGGCTGCTAGTTCAAACTCATGCTTTCTGGTAGCTCATCATATTCTGCTTAACATAACTAGAATAATGATTTAATTGTGACATGTAATTTGAATAGCACTAGTAATCAAACACCGGTCAGGCTGTGAGTTGACGCTTCTCGTATATCTCCCGGCTCCACCATCAATTATCGAGAATGTTTCAGTGGATGTGTTGACCAAGCATCCAGAAATAGAACTCTGCACAATCCTTTCCTGCCTCAACTGTCTCCTTCAATGCATCCAAACTGCCAAATAGCGTCGGAAGTGACACAATGTCAACGATTGCCACCCAGTCTTGAATTGGCAGAGTGCACAACCCACTGTCCACGTAGCATGAGGGATGCGTCCCAAATGCGAATGGACTCAAGTCATCACAGGTGGTGTTCTGAGAGCCGCCAACGAACGGAACAAGCTTCCGCTGGAGACACAGCATCACAGTTCGCATCCACTCTTGGCCTGCGGTGCTGAGCTTTTCGCGGTTCGTGTCGAATTCAGAGCAGTATTTCTGGCCGTAGCCGATGGGATAGCCTGATGGGCCGCAGTGGTAACGAGATTCAAGGCAGAGAGAGTAGAAGCTGCAGTTGGTGGGTTGGAGATTAGAGCATTCGGTGGACGTGCTTTCATTCGTGATTCAGCGTAGTTAGAATACTGTTATGTTGGAGGTAATACTGTTGGGGCATAACTCTTCCAGATACCTCAACAACTCCCTTCCTTCGGCATTGTATAGGCCGCTCAAAGCTAACAGGGCAATCAGGAGCATCGTGGTTCTCACAAAGGTGATCGGTAAGTGTATCCTTGGCAACTAGGTGTCGTAGGAAGAGAAGAGAATTGTGGAAACACATGGCAGCCATCCTCATCGTAGTGGATATTTAAAGTGGACATACAAAGGGGGAATTACCGGGAACAAGTCGATAATTGGAATGGGGCTTAATGGAGCGAGTGAGTGATCTTCAGGGGGTAGAGGCTTAGAGCGTTTTGGACGGCTGAAATGACTGTAGAAAGTATCAATATGTGGTGGGATCCGGTGTGGGGGGGGATGCCGCCTGTGTAAAAGGATTTCTACGCGTTCTATTTTATACTTACAACGATCGGTGGAGGAACCCGTCAGAATTCAACTGAAACACAATTAACATAATCAAGTCAAGCTAGACCAGCCGAAATGACCTTTTTAAGACTTTTTCAAAATCATGCCCTACCTAGTCCCGGGATCCTCGAAAGACATATGATCTATCTGGCTTTCACCCTGACCATCAATTCCTTCGGATTGTAATTGAACCGCTCCACCATTTCCATAACAGTACCCGGCTCCGCAAGTTCCTACTCAAAGTTGAGGACAAGGGCTGCTGTTACAATTGAAACCTCCATATATGCCAGGTTCCTACCGATGCATGCACGAAGGCCTATACTAAAGGGGATACAATATTCTTTCAGGTTCCGAGCTCCCTGTTCATCTTGACCAAACTCCTCTTAGAGATCCACTGCTCCGGAATGAATTCATGTGCTTGGCGGAACAGCCTCTCATTATGATGTAGTGGGTATATAAGGGCAGAAATAGTGACCCTAGCGGGAATATAGTATCCCGCGATAGTAGCACATTGGCCTGTCGTGACACGCGGCAGGCCCCGTGCTAACGGCGGTCGACATCGCCAGTTTTCATCAAGGACCGCACGGAGATATAGAACCTTCTGGAGGACCCTGGACGGTAGGATTCTAGTTGAGGTATATTCTTCTGTCACCACCGCCGCCAAGGATATGTATAGTTTCCGTTGCTTATCGGGGCTTGCTGTCCTAGTCGTCTAGATCACAATTATCCAATAGAGAGAGAATTTTTGATCCCGATCTCCCCGCGCAGCAGTTTTTGCCATCGTCTTGTATGGCACTGTAAAGTACTTTGAACTTATCGGCGTGGAAGAAAGCCTAGACAGGCCTATTGAAGAGGCTACTCCAGGGAAAGTACTCCCCTCTGGGCTTGCAACCAGTCAACCCCTACTTAGTCTGATGCGTGCAGGTATATACGCCGCGGTTATATACATGCCTTGGCTGTTAATCAGTCAATCTTCCAAAAAGAGGCAAACAGTCAATAGGTGGATGATAGTAGCCTTGCAGCTGAGACGTATAGTACTTAGAAATTGTAGCGATTCTCCTCTTCTCCATCATCGACTGATTATATTAATACAGCTTTAGGATGATGAGCGCCTCCCTAGTTAGACACTTGAGGACTGAGTCCCTGGGCCATTGGCTAAAGTCCCAGATCGAAAATTAAAACGTCGTTCAATGCATTCTTCAATGAAGACGAAACCCTGCTATAGAACCATACATATTTCTTTCAAGTTACAGAATTCTATCTACAAGTTTCGTGTTTGAAACTACTATTAATGCAGGCCCACCTCTAGGAGCTCGACAAGTTTCTTCCGTCTTGTTCGCTTCCATCAACCAGCCAAGCAGTAGACCAAGTCTCCAAATACTCCTTACTCCTACGTGTCACCAAATCTAGCAATAAGTAAGTCAAAGTTCCTTCCGAAACATTTCTCTCTTAGGCAAGTTGCAGCTGCAGGATCCCACCCTGTCCATAAGATCCAGATTAATGCGACATATTATGGATGCCAGGTCTGAATAGAAAGTCGGGAGTTGACTGCATTAACTAGGTAGACGAACTCGTTTCCGTCCAAGCTATGGCCCGTAGATCTTAAATGGGCTGTCTCCATACTGATAGCTCTATAAGTTCTACATGTTATATACGTACGTACGATACGGTTGTTACGATACAAGCGAAAACATCGCAGTTACTAATCACAAGCATACTCGCAGGATTCTTGCCAAGGTAAGAAATATAGTACAATATTGTCTAGTTAAAGGAAGCTATTGATTAATCTCGCACTTTGCTGCTAAGTTCCATTCCACAGTTGAAGCGGACATCCTCCTATGTAATATTCTGAGTATGACGGGATGTGGGATCCCTGGAATATTTTGATCTAGGGCTAGGTTATTATGTACATGCGCGAATTTATCCGACTATAGCATTAGATACCCAGCGTCCAAACAAAGGACACACCACCACTGACAGTTTACAAAGCAATTGTACGCACATTGGCGCAATTCAACTTGATCGACCAAGTCTTGGTATCCTTAAAACTAGCGATGACAATATATATTAGCCGCGGGGTCCAGGAAATCTACAAGAATGCCAGCTGAATTCCTATATAGCTCTGCAAAAATGCCATCAGTAGTTTATATATTCACAATTAGCTCCTAACACTGATATTTAAATAATATGATACATATAAATAGTATTTATGGGTCAAGGAGGCTAAGTCCCGTGACCGATATGACTCAACGGGAGGAACGATAATCCGGACCGAACGGCGGGACTAAAGAACGACATGACTCCGAGGTCGGGAGGGGCTCAAACTTGAAGCCTTTCCTGCTGTGTTGAAGTATCGAGACAATTGGGACATCATGACTACCAACGCGACACCAACTGAGTCGCAGAAATACCTGTCCACCCGAGGGGGTGACTACGGCGTGCGCCTCGCCCTATGTTATCGCCTAATGACAAGCTGCTAACCTGTGGAAGCTCTCCTTCGAGACCGTGGTGCTGAAGGGATTGGCTGCCGATGGTGGCCTTTTCTTGCCGCACGAAGTTCCGATTGCAGAGAACTGGGTATGTGGTGGACATGCGCCCATACTTGATTCCGAATTCCTAGAGGCATTGAAGACTAACAACAGATCACAGCAAAGTTGGAAAGATCTCTCCTACGCCGAACTCGCCCTCAAGATTTTCAGTCTCTACATCTCGACTTCCGAAATCCCCACAGACGAGCTGAAAGGCATTATCGATCGCAGCTACTCCACATTCCGCGCCGACGATATCGTTCCATTGGTTCATCTGAAGGACGACAACCTCTATCTTCTTGAGCTATTCCACGGACCAAGCTACTCGTTCAAAGATTGTGTGTTTATTCTTCGGGCTATAACAACCTTATCGGGCCTACGAAGCTAACGGCTTTAGGCGCCTTGCAATTCTTAGGAAATCTTTTCGAATATCTGCTAGTACGGAAGAACCGTGGTAAACAAGGCAAAGGTTCGGAACGCAAGGATCATAGCCCGTGGAAAACACGGCTATATCATACAAAACCGGACCAAACTGACTAGATTACAGATAGACATCATTTGACGGTTGTTGGCGCAACGAGTGGCGATGTAGGTTTCTGTTAATTACACTTGACCTAGAAGGGGGATTGACTTTCATACAGACTGGGTCTGCCGCAATCTACGGTCTTAGAGGCAAGAAAGATGTATCGGTCACTATCTTGCATCCCAAGGGCCGTATCAGCCCCATCCAAGAGGTGCAGATGACAACCTGCACTGAAAAGAATGTCCACAATCTTGCCGTTACGGGGACATTCGATGACTGCCAAGTAAGTATTCTGAACCGGGTTAGTCTGTAAGAACGTGTCATTGAACTAAGAACGTAATAGGATATCGTCAAGGCGCTGTTTGGCGATGCTGACACAAATGAGAACGTGAAGCTGGGTGCTGTGAACTCGATCAACTTTTCGAGAATCCTCGCTCAGATCGTGTTCTACTTCTATGCATACTTCTCGCTTACGAAAAAGTCGCCCACCTTCAAGGTAGGAGATAAAGTCCGATTTGTCACCCCCACTGGAAATTTCGGCAACATCCTTGCTGGTTACTTTGCGCACAAGATGGGCCTCCCTGTGGATAAGCTGGTTGGTGAGTTTCTCCTCTGCCTACTTTGAACTACTAACTCTATACCATGTGCTAACATCGGACTTTCACCAATTTAAGTGGCCACGAACGAGTAAGCCCCTTCGGACAGAACTTCCTATCTTGGTTTTGTTGAATTTGGCTAATCTTCTTTCAAGGAATGATATCCTACATCGGTTCTGGACAACTGGCCGTTATGAGAAGCAACCTGCTGAAGATTCTGCCAGCAAGACTGATGAATGCAAGGAGACGCTGAGCCCGGCCATGGATATCTTGGTCTCTAGTAACTTCGAAAGACTGTTGTGGTTTCTGGCAAAAGGTACATGAATCGCTTTTCTGAATCTCGAAGCTTCTGCTAATTATTGATAGAATATGCCGCGGCGAATGGCAAAGATAACCTTTCTAGCAAAAAGCAAGCTGGTGAAGACATTGTGGCCTGGTATAGCTCACTGAAAGCCGCAGGTGGCTTTGGACCCATCCACCAGGATATGCTGAATAACGGCCGACAAATTTTCGAGAGTGACCGTGTGAGCAACTCGGAGACCTCGGCGACCATTCGGTCTTGTTATCAAGAGACCAAATACGTCCTTGATCCCCACTCCGCTGTGGGAGTTACAGTTGCCGAAAGATCGATTGCCCGGAAGCCCACGCATCACATCTCGCTCTCAACTGCTCACCCAGCGAAATTCTCTGATGCTGTCAACGAAGCCTTGAAGGAGGAGGCCGGCTTTGATTTCGAAACCCAGGTGCTCCCAGATGAGCTCAAGGCTCTCTTGCAAAAGGAAACACGCGTAACAGAGGTGGAGAACTCATGGCAGGCTGTGAGAGAGATCCTTAAGAGTCAAGTACAAGAGGATGTGAAGGCCCAGGAAGGGGGTCTTTAGATGAAGCCCAGCCCTGTGGGAGAGAAAACGAGGTTCATGTGATCATATAGAATAACTAGACCTGGAAAAGCGACCGTCATGGGCCTCATGAGAGTTTTCCATAGTTTGGAGACTTTTTAGACGCCTTCGTACGAATACCTGACCTGGCCAAAGACCTGTATTTGTGTATTGACTGATACTCCTTTTTAATGTACATCATGAACTCAGAAAAATCAGCATATTGTTCCACATTTTCATTGATTGATTTTGCAGGATTGAAGAACCAATATGACTTCTTACCATGTCTTGCGCCTTCAATTGATAGGCCTGTATCGAAGCAACATGGCGTGCCGTCCAGCTTTCCCTCGCACATTTTCCCTCATCTAACCGGTGACAATGCCCAAAGAAGCTTGTAACAATCCCTCAGTGCGTGTGACTATAGACCTTGCAAATTAGGCCTCCTGAAAATAATTCTATCTTGTTCCTACGCTAGCTCAAACCTATATCTTATCCGTCATCATCAGGATAGCCTACCCTAGATATTCAAAGTTACCTACAATTCACGTTCACGTCCTATAGGATTAGTTCTCGGTGAACAATATATAACACAGATGAACGCGTACGTCTCATTAACCTCATTATAAGTGTTTGCATTGTCATCCATTTCCACCTTCAAATGGTAGGAAGGTTATCACGTAGTTATATTCTGCTGTCCTAACACCTCTCTAAAGAACGACACCACCTAGCTGTGCACATAAGTTGCAACGAAATCTTTTGCAAATATGCAAAGTCATAATAGGATAATCGACTGTCGTACTTAATTTCCACTGTGCACCGGGACTACTTGAGTTTGAAAGGTCTTTCCCTGGTCGACGCCGCTCCCCTGGGATGAGATAAAGACCTCGCTGTGTTGAGACGCCGATGACGAGCCTTTGTCTTCTTCATAAGCAAGAAACTGCTTCCTTTGATCACGTACAGGAGTAGCTGGATCACAGCCATGACAATGACTTCAATGCACCGATTACTCGTTAAATATCCTGGCGATAGAAGGCGCGGGCTGTAAGAACACTCACTGCGCAGAATCTGAAGGATAGGGGACCACAGGTATCCCTTCTTGGCGGCGGGGAAGCCCGTAGTCTTCCAGACAAGGTTCGGGGCCTAGGGTGATATGTGAGATCTGTTGAACATTGGAATTAAAGAGGTTGATGGCCCTTACGACTATCAAACGGAGAAGATATGTATGTCAGTTGAGCAAGATTCGCTTGACCTTGGCTACTGTCCAAGGCTCCTTTCCAGCACGACCAATGGCCTCCATGCGCTTGACTGAAAGAATGTGCTCTTCCTCTGTCGTCCACCATGTTTTCTTCCCGTCCTGTGGGAGGTTGGGAAAGAAGAAAAAGCCAGCTAGCGCAAGTGGCAGTGTGATAATTCCATCGATGATAAACAACCAGCGCCAGCCAGCGTGACCGTGCACACCGTTTAGATTCGTGTAGGCAGCAGACTGTGGAAATCCACTGAGTAGAGTTCCAACCGACTCAGCAAGCCAGAAAACCATTGCTCGCTTGCCAATTTCCCGAGGCGTGTACCACGAACCAAGCAGATAGTGGATGCCAGGGTAGAAGCCTGATCTGCACTAAAAGTTTCGGCATTCTGCCAAGAAAAAGATGTGAGGAGCGCCCACTCGAGAAGCCCGACTAAAAAACGGATGGCATAAAGCGAACGATAGGACTGCACACTAGATGTACATGTCGTGGCGATTCCCCATCCAACCTCCAGCCTTGCCTGTGTTATGTATTATGGAGAAGTACGGTACTTACCGAGGCAAATGTCAAGACAAAGGCATCAACCTTGAATGAAAGCCAGCGCTGATCCGGTAGAAGCTCCCATATATCCCACATCTATATCCCTTCCATGATTTAAGAGCCTCCATCTTGACCTGGTTGTTGGAATGGGTTGGTTCAGACTCTGGATTTAGAGTGTAGGACGTGCTTTCCTCGTCTCGGTGGATCATGATCAAGGCGTGCTCAGGATGCAAGATCTGAGTTGGCCAAAGTTAGACAGGGCTTTTGGCAGTATTTGAATATCCGTAGACATAGCCTTAGCGCCCGAAATTTGCTAATCGGTACATTCCATCACCCCATATCTTATCTTGGAGCTAGCTGTATATCCCTACTACGTGCGTCTGATTGCATATCTCGCCTAGGTGGAGACTTTAAGGGAAGCGAAATGTTGCATTGTATCCTGTTGAGGCAATGTCCTGAATAATGAATTCGAAGTAGAATACAAAACTTCAAACTGACAACTCTATGCTCACTATTGTATTCGATGTTTATGCTGACACTCTGGGGTTGCCCTGCTATACGCGGCAGAGGATTGAGCCATAGTTTGACGCCATTGTACATTTACCGAGTTTAACGGCGAGACACAACGACCAGACTATAGATCCCTATAACCAGCAAAGATAGATGACCTGGAGTTTTGCCGGCCCGGGTGGGGGGACTGTAGTGAACCTGCTGATGTCACCATTTGATGTCATGTCTGGATTAGTAGATAACTCTCTGCAGTTAAACTAGCCGAGTGATGATTGGCTAGTCGAACTTAACTCTAGATCCTAATCTTTCGGTCAAAATCAAGGTATAGGATTTCAGTTAAGTTATAGCGAAGCATGGACTGCTACTTAAAAACACCTCAGCTTTTATACATGGATGTATCTTTTTAGATGGCATCTCATACATATATGAATATCAGAAACAGTTCAGAATGGAGCATGGCTCAGCCCCTCTTGTGTTAAAATTAGCTAACTTAAAACTAGTTCTTATTTATGTAAGCCATAGCTAGACGCCTATTCGGTGATTCGGCGCCAAGTTTAAAATTACGTACAGAGAGGAGGCGTTAGGTGATTGCCATGCTGTCCACGTCAACTGCAAGGCTGTAGCACAATTGAGGAGTATGTTCAGCTCTTTCCTGAAATCATTTGAGGGTCACCTAGCGTATAAGCTACAGCCCTGTCACGTACTTCAGAATTCAGACTTATCCCCATCACAGCTGCTCTCGGCATTTAGCTCTCGACTATGAAAAGACGCCGCTTACGATTCGAGCATTGCACGGTGAGATGGATATGTGCTCTCCAGTCGAACTTGCGGCAGCAGAGAAGATTCTTGATGAGGAACAGAGGATCTCCTACTGGAAGCTCATGAGACCAATCTTTACACCCTGGACCGCATCGGCAGCCACAACGTTTAATATCTCTTGCCTCCGTGCGGTTAGGTAGAAACCAACTCAGCAGCTGCGAGTGCAGTTTAAATGAAAGCCAAGTCCAAGTCTCTCAGATTTGGTTACCCCTGAGCCGATCTCTAGATTTGACGCCCAGTGGGCCAAAGCGAAAGTATATTTATAACCCATATTCCAATTCCTTCAATGAGAACAGGGTATGCTGCCCTGCTTATGCTATATACCCACAACAAGCTGGCATTAACCGGTATTTCTGTTAAGTCATTCAGCCTTGCGATTGACTAATTTCCCGTGTTCATGTCAGTGGGGACTGTGCTCATCCCGGGTATGACACTGATCCCAACGCCACGGTTTCATCAAGGGTTAATAACGGTACTATATATAGATCTACCTTATACCTGCGCTGAATGCTTTAGCCTTCAACTGCGTTTCAGCCACATCATGGAGAGAGAAAGAAGCACGGGATAGTCATCTCCAAGTCTACCCAGTGACTTGTTCTACCGCTTATGAAATTCTAGCCGGTTTCGACTAAATCGTGGCATTGTGAAATGGTCTTACTTTGTCAATTCCCCATCATGCACGCTTCCCAAATATGGACTAGACATAAGTCAGACGCCGGTGGGTGTCATTTAGTTTTATAATGACCAAATCTTGGACTCAAGCTTTGATAAATGGACAACCCGACACACTGGCCTAATATCGCGGTTGACAAAAACTAGCGTGGCCGTTGATTTGACACAAGACTCCAACCGGCAGTTGAGATCGCTTGTCAATTCACTCGAGAGTGATTCTGCACTCCCTGATGCTATGGCATAAGGCCCGCTGGTTCGTTCTGATGATCATCCCCACATCATGATGGATATTGAGATGTCTCGGAAATCCTTGCGAGGACGTTGAACTTTATTACTAATTTACTTCTCAGAAACAGTGTCATCTTAAAAAAGAAAAAAAAAAGAAGTAATTGAATGCAGGGGTAACAGGCTGACAGATGGTAAACTTCACACTGCAGAGTTGCCACAGATCGCAGAGTAGGTCAATATCAATCACCATACACTCTACAACAGAAGATACCTGGATTAATACAACAGAGCTATATACATAAGAAGTGATGAAACCGCCAAGAAAGGTTACTGACTAGGCAAAGGCGAAGTGCAACGTGGAACGATCAGACCTGCACGCCACATTCTCGCCTAGGGCTCCTCCATATTGACCCAGAAGCATGAAAGAAAACCCATGCGCTGATAAAACCTATCCTACCGAACGTCTAATCATGATCGGGGGTTTATCTAGATTTGGCCAAGCTATATCCATGTCTGCGCTAATACATATCAATCAATGGGTTCAACCTAGGTTAATCCCAGCTGGATGATGATTGATCATGTTCTTCACATCGGCCGAACCCATAGGGACCTAGGGTTGCAATCGGGGTGGGTCAAGACCAGTTTTTCGGGCCAGTGATCCACGCCCGGCTACTACATCGGCCCAAAGCATTCTGCGCTGGCGGATGTCATTTGTTACCTACCCTTTACCTATTCCACTCTGAGCGTGGGGGCTAAACCTGCCTCTGTGGTTCAGTAATGTTAAGCAGTCTTTAACATACTACGTAGGGTCGCATGTGGCGCTTATTGCACAATAAGGGGTATCAAGATTGCCTAGAAAAGGACTTCTAGACCTCAAAAATGCTTTTGTCCTTCTCACCAGAATCTATTTTTACCCCCACTGTTACATGTGTTGTAAAATGAAGTCCAAAAAAGAAATCTACGAGGGTATGACAGTGACTCCGGCGTACCCAACCCGAAGCCCCACTATTCAGACCACCTTTTGTCCCATGCTTCAACTCTGAAGCAAGTCGAAGCAAGGGTCGCATATCCATCACTGACAGTGCTAAGCACCTAACGACGGCTCCAAGACATGCGTTTGTGGAGATCCGGTTCCCCGATTGTCGATCACTCGACAAATGATCCAATCGTTCGTCTCGATAAGGGGGTTCACTGCCCATGGGCCGTTTCAGTCGACCCAAAATATGTGAAAGTCTATCCGCAAACGGCCATAGTTAGGTTTTTATGAACAGGAGCTCAAGTTTGAACCGGAGGATCCTAACGCAACGTCCGATTAGTTTGCGCATGTGTCGGACGAACTGTTGCAATGGATCTGCGTCGTCAAATATAGTTATGCTAACAAAGCTTCGGCGATTTGTGTTTCTGTGAAGAAGATCAATATTCTTGTCCATCAGTGATATGTTCAATTACACCCTGTCTTCTATACGTTTCAAAATCGCGATATAGATAGCAGATAAATTCTAAACAAGTGGTATAGTAGTATCAAGTCTCATCGTAAAATCACCAGCGCACCAAAGCCCACCTTCATAGCCCATAGCCAACCCTACCAACTCTCATGCAACTTCCCCTCCTCCAACTCACTCCCATTACTTCTACTCCTCTCCGCCCTCCTCTCCTCCCGCGTAACCTCAATCTGATTATAAACCATGATACTGTTCGCCGAGCCCGGTGTAGGCGGCACCGGGCTCGCCTTCAACCTGTGCATCTTAACATCATCTACCATCCGCTCCTCACTCTCCGTATAAGTCAACGTAGTACTCATCCCATGAGCACCAGAAGACGGCCCGCGCCGACCCCGACTCCGCGGATGACTCGCCCCTCCACCACCGATACTCTTAAAGCCCGACGGGGTCTTATACGCCTGTGACGACTGGAACGAGCTGCCGTAGAACTTGCCCAGCCAGGATTTGAACAACCCGAAGATCATGGGGAGGTTTGTCGTGATGACTGCGACAAAGGTTTCGCGCGTGCCCCATTCGCCGCTCAGTGCGGCGCCGTTTTGGGGGTCCTGTGCCATTCAGGTTAGAAGGTTGGGTTATGGTTATAATGTTGGGGTGGGTTATTGGGGGGGGTGCTTACGACCAAGACGAAGATGCTCTTCAGGGTTGCGCAGACAAGGACGAAGACGCCGGAGCTGAGGACGAAGGTTGAGGCAAGCTTTTTTAAGAGGCGTAGTTTGGTATTCCAGAGGAGTGGGATAGGGATGGTTATCAGGTAGAGATCGGTGCTGACATTTGCGGCGAAGGAGACCCAGACTATCGGTTTGGAAATGGCGGCCTGGCAGACATCTAGAGTAGGGTTTGAGATGTTAGGGGCATGACCATGGTTAAAACGGGGTGGAATACGTGCTGCCAGGGTCTGGGTTGATTTGCCAGTATTTGTGGAATGGTCGGCATGCGGCGAAGATGGTTACGACGCTCGCGATAAAGGTTCCGATGACGAGGAAGAATCCAACGTATACGGGGATACGATAACGACGACCGAGTCCGTCCTAAGTGGTGTCAGTGCTGATTCGTGGTGTATGGGTCGTCAATGGGTATACCGTAAGTCGAATGTAGAATGCCAGCATAGAAAGTTTGAGCGACCAGATCAACGCGGAGTAGGTCGTCCAGCCTGCAACCTGGATCTTGGACCCAATCACCCTAGTAGTGGTATTGTTGGTAAGTGCCCCCAATACGCTCTTCACGTAGATTCCGACATACCTCTCTCGGTATTCCTGGTTGTTGACGGACAGCGTAGCCCGCTGCGCATCCGTCATACCATTGTTTGCGAGCCCGTGAGCAACATTGCCTACACTGTATGCAAGGGCTGTCTGGGCGGTGTAAAATGCCTACAAGGATTAAGATTAGCCGTGAATGCAGGTAGATGGTTTTGGCTCTATTGTGGGTAACGAACAATTGCGACCCATACAAGGTAATCGTCAGCTCGTAAATGTTTAAATCCCACAGCACTCCATCGAGAGTACGTCCTCAGTAGCGTCGCAGCAACGCCAAAGGCGTAGAGTGTCCATGACTCGACCGCAGATTTGTGGAAGGCCGCTTGAGCAGCATCTTGCCCAGGATCTCGTGCCACTATGCTAGAGGCGATACCAGACCACATTATTGCACACTAGGCTAGGTTCACGAGAGCATGGTGGGACGAGACGGCAATGGGAGCATACAGAGCACGGAGTAGAAGAACAGGCCGCTTGGCTGGCCTTTTGTAAGGTAGAAGACAGGATTTACTTCTCAGCACACCATGGGTCCGCCATATCTATTCATAATTGAATTGCCGACCCCAGGGGTGCAGCAGTGCCCTACCAACTAAAACCAATTTTTGCGGTGACCCCATAGGTCAGCACAATTTCCGACCTGGTCTGGCAGGGCGACTGGTTCAGAACACTTTGGGAATGAATGCCGTTAAAGTTTTCAGGCATCCGAAGGGTCCGGAGCATTGATGACTATTCAGACCCACGATTCGGATTTTCCTTTCTGATCCAATCGCGTGGCAAAGGATCCACTGGAATCTCGATAGATTGAGCTAATCCATTAGTAACGGCACGCTAAGCAGGGATCCCAGAGCATAATTTTATGGAAATGTGGAGCTTAATGTGAACCAGGGTAGCATTCGCCTAAGATGGTATGAGACCAGGGGTTAGTCAGGGCTTGCATTAGCTCGACAGGCGGAAATGAATCAACCCCAACCGCTGTCCACCAGTGAAGAAGATAAATAATTCCAAGGTTACCCATGCTCTGGCGGTACCCGCAAGGATTCCAATCCGACAAAAGTCTATTTTGAGCCCTCACCTCTCCCCGGTCAGGTCCATTTTTGCGATTGTAGGGGCAGGCCTGCTCCCCTGACTACTTTGACTCTTTATCTTTCCACGGTTTGTAACCCTTCGGTGATTCTATCGACCAATGTATCCGTTTAAAATAGAAGTGGCCACGGCCCTGGCGGTGTGGGCGATAACCTCGGCCGGTCTCAGCACCAACAATTCGCTTCATGGCCTCTGCCCACGAGGAAATGATCTAGGGGAGCTCGGAGGCAAGCTTTCGTCCACTGCGAAGGTCTATTGCCCTGGCTCGGAAGGGTTCAAGGTCGCATCAACTCGGTGGTCAGTATTGGACGCCCCGAAAGTGAATATCGTCGTAGTCCCAGGCACAGAAAATGACGTTGTGGAGACGGTAAATTCCCCTTTTTTCTACTTCCGTAGAACCGCCAGCACTCTTGATCTGAGTACAATTCGAGTATTAGTGCATTGCTAACTAGGCTGGATAGGTGAAATATGCAAACAAGAAGGACCTGCCCTTCCTGGCGTACAATGGCGCTCACGGAGCAATCACTACCTTGGGCAAGATGGACCATGGTATCGAGATCTACATGAATCAATTGAGCAGCGTCGACATTTCCAAGGATGGAAAGACTGTCACCATCGGTGGAGGAACCCAGTCAAAGGCTGTTACAGACAAGCTGTGGGCGGCAGGAAAGCAAACAGGTCAGTCTCGTTTGCCCAAGTTATCACTGGGAGATACTGACCTGGGAAACAGTCACCGGAACCTGCGAATGTGTCAGCTTTCTTGGACCCGCTCTTGGAGGAGGACATGGGTGGCTGCAGGGACATCACGGGCTCGTCGCGGACCAGTTCGTCTCCATGAACATCGTCCTTGCTGACGGAACCCTCAAAGTACTCGACGCAAGCTCTGACCTCTGGTGGGCGATGAACGGTGCCGGCCACAACTTTGGAATCGTCACCTCTGTTACGACGAAAATCTTCGACATCCAGCACCGCGACTGGGCAATCGAGACTATCACGTTCAGCGGTGATAAAGTCGAGGCCGTCTACCAGGCAGTCAACGACCATCTCTTGAAGAATGGCACCCAGCCCGCGGGTTTGATCAACTGGTCGTACTGGATGAACAACCCAGACGCTGACCCCAACAATGTAAGTGCATATATAGCTATTAGGCCCTCGGCATTTTCTTACCATGTTAGCCTGTCATTCTGCTCTACATCATCCAAGAAGGAGTGAAAGCAGTCGACTCAGCCTACACGAAACCTTTCCACGATATCGGTCCGTTGTCCACCGAACCCATTGGAGGGAGCTACACCGATCTCGCCGGATGGACTGGCATCGCGTTATCCTCCCCACCATGCCAAAAGGCCGGACTCGTTAACCCTCGCTTCCCCAACTATCTCGAAACATACGACGTCCCAGCCCAGAAGAAGGCATACGAGGTCTTCGCCGACGGAGTGCGGGGAACCTCTCCCTTCAATAACTCCATTTTCATGTTTGAGGGCTACTCCATGGAGGGTGTAAAGGCAATTGACAGCAAGTCGAGTGCTTTTGCCTTCCGCAGCGAGAATATCCTCTCCGCCCCCCTTATCACCTATGCACCTGCCGGGGCCGACCTTGATCAGAAGGCAGCTAAGCTAGGTAATGAGCTTCGTCAGATTCTCCACAAGGCTAGCGGACGTCCGGATGTGCGCGCCTATGTTAACTATGCATATGGAGACGAGACACCAGAACAGTGGTATGGCAGCGAGAGCTGGCGTCAAGCTCGCCTTCAGTCTTTGAAGAAGAAGTACGATCCGGAGGGCAAGTTCAGCTTCTTTGGACCTGTTGCCTAAGGTGGGGCGAGACCTTGGAACTTTGTACATAATGAGTAGTGTGACCGGGTGCCATTAGGAACCCGCAGCTCCATTTTACATATTAATCAGATTTGTCAATAGCTATTCCTAGCATATCGCTTACTTTCTTGATTTAGGCAGGGTCTCCCAGATTCTATCTCATCTTGAACTGTAACAGCGAAGCCATACTCTTAAACGCCTAAAAAAGCATTAAACAATATCTACTGAATCTAGAGTGTGCCCACTGTCGCGACGCTAGTAATATGTATAATCACAAAACTAACACGTCACATAGCAAATATGTACGTTGCATAGCTGTGGAAACCGCGACCAGATTCACAGAACAATCTCCTCCTGTCGCCGCCTAATGGCAATCTCGGTGGTTGGATCAGCGTTCCATTGGAGACCCTCCTTCCTGGCCCGAGGTATCGACTCGCCAACCAGCTTAAAATCGTATTTCAACAGGATATGACACAGGGCAATCTTTACCTCATTGATAGCGAAAAACCTCCCGGGACAAGCATGGCGCCCGAACCCGAACCCCATATGCTCCGGGGATGGCGCAACTGCCTGTGAAGATGTCTCATGGCCCGGAACACTACGCAGCTTGAGGAAACGATACCCATCGAATTCCAAGGGGTTTGGATATATCTCTGGGTCCCACATACGCTCGCTAGAAACAAACAATAATGTCCCTTGGGAAATGTGTGTGCCATCGGACAACTTGAGGTCGGCCATAGCCTTACGCCGCATAGAAACTGGCAAATTGATCAGTGCTCTGAGTCCGCGCAAAATGTATGAGGATTAACTCACTAAGACCGATCGGCTTGAGTCTCTGACTTTCCTTCATGACACTATCCATGAGCTTCAGCTTGTACAAAGTGGGCTTCTTCCATCCTTCATCCTGGATGACTGTAATCACTTCTTCGCGCAGGGCTTGGATGAGCTCATGGCGCCCACAAAGATCAAAAAGGACTTGTGTTAACATATCAGTCGTAGTATGGATAGCCGCAAGGGAAAATGACATCTGTGCGAAGGCAGGCTCGTATGGCCGACCCTTGGCGGCTTCCTCCATCCATTGCATAGCATCTGCGTACCGTTTGGGAGTCCTTTCAGCACGAATAGCAGCGTCTTTGTCTCTTCGTCGGTTCTCTATCACCGGTTGAATAATCGCCTGTGCCTCCAGTAGCTGGGAGCGAATCTTCCGGCACGATGGCAGAAGCCGGGCAACGATTGGCCGAAACACTTTCGGCCACTTACGTAGGTCCCGGGCTGCCATGAACGAGTCGACAGTATAAGCAACAGTGATGCAGAGCCAGTCTGGGTTGCGGCAGATCTGCTCTCCTAGAAACACGCGCGAGGACAGCTGGGCGACAATGTTCAAAATACTAGACTTAAGACAGAAGGTGTGCCAATCTAGGTCATTAGCTTTAGTTGCTTCTACCCCCTGGGACCCGTCAATGAACCTACTAGTATCGTCCGTCCAATTCGTCTTGAGTGCTATCGCTGTCTCGTCCACAAGTGGCTGAGTCACATTCCCTGAGGCATACTTTAGATGGGAATCCGTGTAATAACCACGTCTTCTATCTTACCAAGGCTCTGAGTCAATCTGGTCCGTACCGCGTCCTGAAATATGTCATCATCGTTAGTTCCCTGCCGGAACGGCTCAAAACCAGCGACATTCGTGTGGAAGTCCTCCTCAATGAAATGGCCAAAGCTCAAGACGTCGTGACTGCGGATCTCATTTGCATACTTTGCATCGAGAAGCACCATGTACCCATTCTCCGTTACAATTCGGGATACCGGTCCCTAGTTCAAGTGAATAGCCATCATCAGTTCCTGATCCTGCAGGTTCCATAGAGACATACCTTCGCTAGACCGGCTCTAATAATGTTATGTGCGTTAGCTAGGAAGCGTTTCCGGGCGTTCGTGAATCGGATTTCCAATGGCTTTTTGTCGTTGATGAGCGGGAACTTTGACTTTGGGGAGCATATCAATAGTGCAATTGCAGTGAGAGTAAGAGGGAAAACGAGATAAATCAAATTCTTGGCCAATGCTCTCTCGAACAGGTTGAGCAACATTGTGCATGAAATATTGTGTTTATGATGAGGCTGTTAAGTTGGGCATATGGACAGCCAGAGGTGTCCAACAGGAGAATTTATACTAGGGCAGTCAGAACATCTTCGACAGTTGTTGATGCTGTTATGCTTGAACTGGTGGTATAACCAATCTATTCACAATCCAGTAAGGAGTATACCCATCCACATCTACCCGTGCAGATCAATAAAAGTGCTTGTTTGCCAATGAATCAGTGCTGGTGCTTTACCGGCCAATAGGATGCAATATCGGCTTCAAAAAACAACTTCATTCGCGAGACGGTAGTGGGGGCACTGACTCAGCGTTAAGCCCAGACCAGTAAGGGTTGACCTTTTCTTCAACCATTAGAGCAGAGAATGATTCAGTGTTATCCCTGACTAAGTAACGATCGGCCTTGGCGAAGATGTTCTACCCCAGTTTAGAAACCGAGTGCTTCTCATTCCCTACTGTCTCGACCCTCAACTCCCCTGCAACAACTATTTTTGAACAATATCAACGTGGGACCCCACCTGGAAGCGGACCGCGTCAACATCCATCCCCTTCAATAACCCGGGATACTTCTCGATAAATTCCGGCGTCAGACCCCACCCACTCTCCCGCATAAACACATCATAAAACTCCCTCCTAATCCGAAAATTATCGTCACCATCGCGCTCCAGAATATCCTCCCCCCACGGCCACCGCACCTTCTGACAGCACGCCAAGTAATCAATAATTTCGGGAAAGTCAACCATATCCCAGTTCTCAAGAAGATTGATGCGTATCTGCGGGAAGACAATAACGTCCAACCCAGATGGATGGCCCCGTTGGATCTGCATCAGGACGGGCCGGAGGAATGGCGGGATCCGAGAGAATGTCTCAGGGCTTTGGGATACGCGCCATTTGCTGTAGACGTAGATCAGCCAGCCGTTTGCCAGCCGCTCCGGCTGCCGGATGGCTCGCAGCCGGATGACTTGGCTTATTTTGTCTGCTAGGTAGTTCCGTCTTGTGCCGTGTAAGAGGTCGAGTGGTGAGGGGACGGGTGGGCAGGCGGCGACCAGGTCTGGATTAGCGAGCCAGGTGCACGTCACTGACGAGATGGGGGGTATATGCGCGCCTTCGTTGATTGGGGTTAGACACCATGCTGGGACGGATACCGGCGCCGTTTGGGTGGGGTAAAGAAGATCGACTGAGTTTGTAAAGGTGGAGTTGGGTCCAAGTGAAGTATCTTCGGCTCTGTCATCTTCCGAAAGCCTTGATGGTTCTGGAAGAGGTCGTCCCTCATCTTCCCCATGGGAGATATTCAAAGGCCGGAGCCATGTCGGCGATAGTTCGCCTCCCCGGCGGTAAGAGGCACCAGGCAATAATAGTTGTTGACCAGTCTTCTGGATGGGATGGTTGTGCGTGTTCGCCGATAGTAAACCGCTCTCCTCGCGTTCCCATGAGGAGACAACGGCGCGAAGACGTTCCTGGCGTGCGCGGAGCATCTCATTCTCGCGCCGAAGAGTGTCCATGGCCGCCATCATCTGCTGCATCCAGCCAGCGCCGTGATGTCGTTCGCAGTAAGCAACACGGTCCTCCAGCGCTTTGATTCGTCCTTCCCGCTTCTCTCTGAGAACTTTTTGGGCCTTGCGGTCTCGCATGCGCTTTCTGTCTGACGCAGATAAGTTGCCATTGTTGGGGCTTGGTTCCATTGTTACTGAAATATTGGTTGTGGCTTGAAGGCGAGTGGAACGGCCCGAGACGTGAAGAAACCGGTAACTCCTTGTCGGCACAAACCTTTTAACGTAATCACCCAAGTTATCTTTTCACTAACAAACTTTATCAAACATTCTTTTCAAGGAATTTAGCTATATTGTTTGACGTGCGAAACCAGTATTACTTAGGAAATCAAATCATTATAACTAGAAGTGTACCGTTGCTCCCCCAGGCGCGATATACATATTTTTTAGCAGTATGTCATTAGGCCCTTGGGGCTTACCTGTGACATCGCCGGGCTTTTATTACTCAAAATATCCAAGCATGCCCTAAATGCTCTGATCTAATTTTTAGATAAAACACTAATAGAAATTGTCCCCGGATGTCTGCATTATAAGGCAAAAAGCCTATTAACTAGATAAGAAATCCAAAATATGTAGGCGAACTAGAATGAAGACATGAAAGAATTAGAAAAAAAAGGTATACAATAAAATTCAATTTTGACTTTATTTTTGTTCTTATTAATATATCCTGTGAGCTTTACTACAGATTTTATATGGAGAATATATGGGTACTTTTGATTTCTTCATAATCGCACTTTCGTACAGCCCAAACCACCAAAAAGCAAGAATCCATTTCCCGTTCGTACCAGTCTCAGTGCAGAAAGTGGACGTGAACTGCCGATTAGCGTTTGCCACCGTATCGATACATCCAGGCCGTAGAGCTCGGCCAGATACCTTGAAAAATGTGTACGTGAAGTTGAGGTATTGTCAATATATCGAGGCCCTCAATGGCGGGAAATATATGAAAGTAAGGTAACGACTAAGTGCTCACGAATAGCAATGCCGGGTTCTTCTCTATCCGACCATCCCCAACATGCAGCTCGACGAGCATACACGCAGACTAACACTAATTCTAGCCCTTGGTAGGCACCTCTAGAATCCTCGTAAGCTAGCTTGCACTATCAGATTTGTGTCACAACCAGCGGTACGATCGAATCCGGCGTTCGCTGTGTCATACGAGTCATGTAGATATAGCTTCAATCGAAAGTAGTCATATGAACCGTATTATCCAATACATATATATATAAAGAAGGTCTGATCACGAAATCATACGTTTATACTCGCTATTCTTTCTTTTTTACGCACTCAAAACACCTCTCTTGAATATGGATGCCCACACCGAGGAGGGCATAACCCAAATGCCCTGGCGCAGGCAGGCGGCTCGGGCGAGGAAAAGGACTAGGTTGAGTAAACAAATGATAAACGGGGCCGACAGAGCCCCTAGGGTCAATCTAGAGGCAGTGGCCTGGGCCACTGCCTAGGCACATGTGTCTGTCATAGCCAATGGCTCGATACGGACGTTAAACTCGACTAATAAAAATGTTAATAATGATAATATGGATGCCCATCTTACTATAAAACCTTTCGCGTACTTTTTCGACCCGGCTCCAGTCGACGTCGATTACACATCTAACAATCTTTTCCTGTTCTTGGAAGCTGCTACAGGAGAACCAATTCGTGGTCAATAAAATAGCAATTGTGTCAACCCCCTTGACATGGGTTTACGGTGGTCCGCCGCCACCTTGTCAGCCGCGGTGCAAAATAAGTGTACTGGCGTGACGCCGAAGCAGCAGCAGCGAAGCTGCTTGAAGAGATAGGCTCCGCCGCTCAGGCCAGGGGACATGAAATGCGTCACAACGAAATTGCAAATCAGGAAAGATCAAAACGACGAGAAACGCCACTTATTGACAGCACCACCTCCGCTCCAATGAATATGTTCCCTGCGGCAAATGCAAAACAGGCGAGAATTTTGGCGGAAGGAAATGTGTTCAGATTTATTTATGATGGTGGGCGCTATACCATCTGCTCCGTAGTGGATTAAATCTGACTTTATATGCTATATATACACGATGCTGATTGCCAGAACTATGGACCAGTACGTATCTCCACTTCTTTTAACCTTCAACTGATACCTCGCTTACATAACCACAGGGGACAAAACGTCCTTAGGGAATCCTTGGACGACTTCAGTCTTTACCCCAGGAACCGAAAAAATATCGAGGGCTATGGAATAACCCACTTTTCCAAGAATGGGCTGGTGAATGTGCCGAGGCAAACTTTGCGGCTAGTTTGTATTTGTCCGGGGGGCGCTCCTTTAGCGTATCCGGGGAAACTGCGAAAGCCTCCCTTCGGATGATCTTAATAGATTTGGAGAACAAGCTCCATGTGGGTTAAAACGGTCATGTTCAATAGGGAAAGCTGAATGATGGACAGCTTCGGTACGCAAGGGCGATGATCGAGGGACTTTCCGGGAGTTTATTCTACTCAGCTACCATTGCTCGTTATGCTCGTGAGGTTCCAGGTTACCATTTAGCAAGTTAATGACAACCTGATAAACGCCGTTACCACATATTTGGCTATATAGAATGCATGTTATAGCCCTAGTGGCTGTGCTGTTTGATCGTTTAATCATCTAATTTGTATTGACACAGACTGTTATGGAGTGGACGCTAGTTAAATAGTGCTACCGGTTCAATACCTTCTTCAATACAACAAGCGGCAGGCGGTGGTTAATATATCCTAGTACTCGGGCACATCAACGCAGATATTGCGAGACACGGGAGCTGATAAGCAAAGATTTTTACGTTTCTATCTAGCCACAGCCTAAGATTGCCGAGGAAGGTTATGTAATAAGAACTGAAAGATATGAAACAATCGATCTGTAGCAAGAGAAATTCTACAGCACTACAATCATCGAACTAGATGGTGCCGTTATGTTTGGTAGTGTATGCGTGCTTAGGTACTACCGGAGAGTAATAGTGTCACTATTATGGTATTCTAAGATGTATGCTTTCACCTACCTAATGGAGCAATGTCTAGTACCAATAGTAAATAGTATATAATAACTGACTGAGGAGATGGTCTACTGGTAGAAGGCCCAAAGCCGCGATAGGAATATGATTTCTTGTTGCTATAGTTTGTTAGTGAGGGTGATGTGGTTTTGACATCTCGCAAAGGGACTAACATTTGTGAAATTCGTATGCTGCACCACTTCTCATGAAGGTCAGGGGCCTCAGTAAAGTATGAGGCCAATGGGCGCCCACCCACTGCGGATGGGGGCCATGAATCACAACATGCGTTGTTAAGGTGGGAACACCGGATAGACCTGACCAGTAGGGACGGGTAACTGATTCTTTGTGATGGGCGTGAAAGAAGAACAGTCGCATGATGGGATCCGAGGGAACTGAGAAGCGTTCTAGAGACTATTACCCTCCAAGTATTTTAGCCCGAAAGTTATGCTTGTTCAGGGAAATGGGCAGAGCTTGTCTAAGTTTGTTTAAGCCACAATCAATGAGCTAACGCTTACAGACGAGAGCCCAGATCCTAGCCTAGCCCAGATGAGGTTTTGAATTCTGCGAAACATCGCAGTTGATTTATTACGTCACGGACGGACATAGAAGCAGCCAATGTGGTGGCTGAATGCCTAATAAGCTCACACTGAAGACCGCGGCAGATATTGATGGGAAAGCTTCTGAGCTTACTGATATACCCACCAACTGTGCGACACCTTCGGCTGTTCTTGCTTTTAGCCCCCGTTCATTCATTTTCCGTTTCGGGCTTGGTATGGCGAGTGCTCGCATCTTCTCGTATATTCACCCAATAAGATCGGCGTCGTAAAGGGTCACCGACCGACTTCTAACCCTTCACCTAGCCATATCTAGTACGGGTACTGCTCCGGGAGCAAGAGACATGAGGCTACAACATTGCTTCAGCCTTGCATGGGGGAAGTATAGAAGCCTCCCTCAACCCCATGTAAAGGCAGCACCAGCAACACATCAACAACAACACAACACACTCAATCTTCTGTTCATCTCTCCTTCAATAAGCAAAAGCCTTTCCTCGATCATCATGCGCGCGTCTGCCATTCTTTCTTTGATCCTCTCCGTTAACCCCGTGGCATTCGGCTGGGAGTTGCAGGCATTCACCGCGAACAACTGCGGTGGAACTGCGGTTCAGTCAATGGCGTTGAGCGGCAAGACTGACTGTGAAAAATTCGACTCCTTGGTTCCCATCAAATCAGCTCGCGGCAACGGTGCCCCCGATGGGCAGCTCTGGGCATCGTACAACGACGACTGCACCGGTAACCTCTGGACTCTGTCCGGTAATGGTGACTGCTATAACTCCCCTGACAACTGGCAGTTTAAGAGCTATATCGTAAGTTACTAGACGTTTTGGAATGAGAAACGCTCCAACCCATTGGCTAGGTTCGGTAAAAGGGTTTGGATGGTGACTTGGTGATACTTATGCTAAGCCTACTCAGAACTTTGTGTGCATCAGGAGAGGAGGTACTGTTCGGGGATTGGATAAGGATATGACTTACCAGGAAATAGGGCGTAACTACATACTATGTACATACTTCGATCGGCTCTTACAATTTACTGGACGTTCAAGGACAGTCCATCAAATACCATTTCTAGACTGAATATATTTTGCACTTAGTCCATGGTAACATGGTGGTGGACATATTACCTGAGTAGGTCTTATTATCTCAAAGTTGTGAATTAGGTAGGTCGAGAGTAAGCCTCATGGAAAGCAGTGCGAAACACTTTATTGGAATGGATTCTGGTTAAATAGGGGCATCCCTATAAGCCAAACGACAAGTAGTTATTATCCTCACCTACTAAACGGCGCTCGTCCACTACTCAGTGTAGTATTCTGGTGGTACGCTAGAAGTACCACCTAGGTGTTGGCGACAACCTCCGTACGCAGGTCTTCGGGCCAGCGAGCGGCATCCTGTCCATTACTCCTTGTACCAACGTTGAACCTAGGAATAACCTTTTCACCCGTGAAGCTGAGGACAGGCCGAAGCACCTTGAAAGAACGATCCACCGCTCCCGAATACCGGATTTCGAAGAAGCGTGGGTTGAAGAGTTGCGCTCCGCAGTTTTGCACCAGCGACCTCATCATAAGGGGGATAGTGATAAACATGTTGTCATTATAGCGGAAAGAGAGCTTATCGTGTCGCTGCCACACTTCCTCCCAGACGGTCCGTGGATAAACACCCACACTATTCACGAGCCACTGGGAGTAGTAATTAAGGGCGGTCTACCTCATGTTAGCGAAATGTTGCCTCTGACACGTATTCGAGGATGTGGTGGAAGGGACAAGCCACCTACATCCATGAAGAGTGAGCCACCCTTCTCGGCCCTTTTAATTACGGCATTGATGATACCGCAAATGCCAATAACACCAGTGCTGCGTCAAACGTTAGATAACGAGGGGAGACTCTTGTAGGAGAATAATTGTTCATACCAATAGTCCGAATTAGGAAAAACGGGAGTAATAGCTTCCTCATGTCCGGTAGCACGACCATACTCGAGCGAAACACCGCAGTTCTAAGGATTGCAGCGTTAGAAGTCTTGACTGTTGAGTATACGGAACACTACTTACTGCATCACTGATCTGCTGCCAGCCACTCCTATACTGCCATGGGCCATGCCAACCATAGCAGTTTTCGCGAGCATAAATGATACCAAATGGACGGTCTTGCACCAGATCCAGGACCGCATCCCTTCCAAATCCAAGCCTCTCCATCACACCGGGTCGGTATCCATCCAGCACAACATCAGCCTCGTAAATAAGCTCGCGAAGTTTTTCCTTCCCCTCTTCGGTCTTGAGATCAATCGAGCAATTCCACTTGCCCCAGTTTAGATCAGTATGCAGAGAATACATGTCCAAGACGCCAGGCCCAGTTACTCTCATCACACTTGCACCAAGCTCAGCTAGCCCTCGAGATATACTAGGTCCCGCAATCACACGACACAAGTCAACGACTTTGAGACCGGCCAATGGCCGAGAAGCCCCGCTGTCCGGAACAGACTTCCACCATCCGGGCTTGTGTATCTCATTGGGAGCGTGATTGAGGTCATAGAGACCCACATGTGCATTTGCCCTACCATGCTCACTAGCTTTGTATTCTTCAATGGAGTAGCATATTGTTCCCGCTTGTCGGTATTTTTCGTTCATCATTTCGTCGAGCTCTTCTGCTGTGAACTGCTGCACGTGATCCTGAATAACGTCCCTTGCTTCTGCGATTGAAGGGGCTTCGCGATTGGGGTCAAGGCCCAATGCTGTCGACGAATGTGTAGCATCCATGCCACCTACTCAATGTCAGCGCCCAGATTGACCTACGGCACAATCGCCTATGAGATAGGGGAATCGTATCTACCGTGAACATGGTAGCACCGTCCATCTTTAGTCTTGTAGATATTGGTAATCGCTCCCCGGTGAAATGTCCCCTGTCCTAAGTCTCTTCCTGGATTAGGAAATATCAGTCGAAGTCGCTCAATCGGCGAGAGATCGGGGTCCGTGGATTTGCCACTCGTGTCGACAGTGTCGATAAGAAGCGTCGACATGATGAAGAGGGTAGCATGGTCGCTAGTAATACTTCAGTTAACAGCGCCCATCACCATAAAGTGAAAAGTAGCATTTCGATCTATGGTCGGTAAAACTAGGGGAAAATATCAGGGGAAAATTAGTAAACCCACGTATCAATCATGACTTCCACAGGCTCCTGATTATATTTTGCCTTGAGGAGAGCGTTTATCCAAAGGGCCTCAAGTCCTTTGAGAGCTGAGATACTCTCTGCAAAACGCCAGTTTATCGGAATCTTCGGCTTTGCGTTCCCGGTATATGTAACGTAGTCTGCGAGAGAACGGGCATGCTTGGGGATGTTGGACGCGAGCAAAGTGTTTTCCACAATACCCTTGCGGAGAAGTTGAGCAGCCTCTGTGGGGACCGAGTACGCCATCGTCCCTTAAGCTTCGCTCAAGTATTGCTAGCTTTAAATTTGGGTTCTCTTTGCTCTGTGGAGGGGGTCGGAGGATATATGAAATGTGTGTCTTGGCGGTTTACTCTCCGGCATATCTAATAATGCAAGGTTGCGGTGTATAGGCACCGGCCGTTCATGACTGGTAGATTCGGGACGCCATGTCTCTGCTGCATCTTCAGTTTTTGGAGAAGGGGGTTTGCTGTTAATTCAGTGGATTTTCTAAAGACTTGTTCTGCAAACTGTATTTGAGAGTGAAGCTGGGCTGCTTCCTGATGGGCAGTAGGCGTGCGGTGTAGAGACCTAAAGATGCACATCACTCGGCGATCACAGTTCAGATGTAAAGCCGATGTATGAATGGCACTAGAGGACCAAAGTCGCCATGGGCATGAATACGTCCACCTAATTAGCTTGGTAGATAAGCCTTAACCTTATGGCCATGTAGATCTCTAAGAAAACTGTATGGAACTAGTAGTTATACAGGACAATATGAATGTCCTGTCAAGATACTTGCTGCAAGGGCTGTGTTATCAAGCCAGACTACGCATCCAAGTCTTGGGAGTTCTCGTCGTTCTTGGGCCGAGGCGGAACATAGTTTCGCAATGTCGCCTCGTCGCAAATGATGCCACCATCGATAGCCTTGTAATATAATGACATAATTGGGAGGGGGTATCGCTCTCCTCACGAACATTAGATGCGTAAAAAATATTTCCATTATATTGTATTGGTGTTCATCTAACAACCCTCGTAACGAACATCTTGAGTTACCGTACATTTCTTGACAGGACTATCCCTCCTTTCTCTGTAAGATCAGAAGTAAAGAACTCTCAATATCTGCTCTAAACCTTAGAGTGTAAAAGGACCCCAAATCGAATCTTAAGATGACAAATAAGCTTAGCTGGAACGTAGGCGTCAGCTTTTCTAGCCGTCTCTATCCTGATCTCTCCTTTTTTTTCTTCAAGACGTCCTGCCTTCCGCATTATCCATCAAGGTATGTTGCTAAATCCTGGAAGCTGGTACCGAGTAGGGATTAGCGAGTATGAGGCTTCACAATGATATCAGACTAAACGTACAGCGATATCAGTCTGCCAGCATCCTCCAGATATCAATCAACCCTAAATCGATCCATTCCTCGAAGATGTCCCCGTAAATGTCAACATCGTGGCCTGGAGAAATGAAGGCAATTGTATACTCTGTGCGTACTTTCTCAGTAAGGTCTGGATTGATTTGCTGAAGGGCTCGAGTGACAAAGATGATATCCTCTTCGGGCGTCGGCTTCTTCGAAAATGTAAGACAGATGATAGTCATAGTGAGTTCGAGCGCCTCTGGAAGGGAGAAGGGGGTAGAATAACGTGATTAGGTAGAGGGATATTTCCTGCACAAGTCAAGGGGTTAACTGCAAGGAGAGGCGTCGCAATGTTGGATGGATGATCGGTCTCGGTTTTAGTCTTGGGAGTCAGCCTAGTTTAGAGATACGTTTTAAACAAGTGGTGCAGGATATAGGAAGGAAAGCTATTGTGAATGAATGAATTTTTTGCTGCCTGGGTTATGCGTGAGTATCGATGAAGGGTAGGCAGCAGCTGACTCCCAGTAGCCCTAACAATGTAACCATGGCAGTGCCCCAAGTCAGACCCTGAGTGGAGAACGATCCATTCCCAATTATTCTAGTGGTTGCTGTCAGCCCTATAGGTGGGCCAAAATGTAAGTCCATTATCGTACACAATCTGAGTGTGTCATACCAGCACGGGGGGTATTAAGCCATGGAGCAGATGCGAGTAAATTTCAGGTTGGAATAACGTGAGCTATGCTCTCACACTGCTAGGGGACTCTGTTACCCAACAGCGTGTACATATAAGTTCAAACTGTCGATGAATGCATGGGTTCCAGCGTCAGGATAAAAAAGCCGACAAAGACTTACCAAGCTTTGGGCGCACATTGCGAAACCCACGCTGCAGCTCCACTTTGAACTACTGACAGTCAGATCCATGGAGATTTCAAGACCCTTGAGGCCCGCCACTACCCTTGAATACGTCGTCATTCTATTTTTGGCTACCGAATTAGATCGTGCAGCCCAGTGTTGCATTAGATTGCAATACAAGGCGAATAAATTGCTGATGAGATCGTGGGACTTGTGCGAAATGGGTGTCAAACGCCGAAAGTGGAGCAGATCCCGAGCTGAAAGATCTTGATGGTAGCAACCAATCTATGAGCCTTCTTTGTATTTCTCATGCCCATACCAAGGGAGTTTAGCAAATCCCGTCGTACACTTGCCCCGAGACGACCCCCAAGAATGTGTAATACCCAATACTCAGAGCTAGCTGCGAAAATTAGACTACAGCCCCAAACGCCAGCGCAAGTTATAAGCGAGATTCAAAAGCGTAGTTCAAACCAAACTGCCCAGCTGAGCTATTCAACTCCTGTCGGCTAAACTAAACTCCCTCCCGCTTCTCACAATGGCTGCTTCTCCGGAAGTTATCCTTGGCCCAGGTGCCTGGAATACCCCAGAACTCTGTGACCGATTCGGTTCATGTCTTTCAGCGAGGGGGCTCAGAACTGGTTCTATACAGCATCCGTCAACCGGCACTGAGCCACGCACCAAGTTTCTACGAGCTGGCGTTGACAGCCTCCAAACCACCCTTGAACGGCTTCGTGACTCGAATGATGTTAGCGTTGTTGCTCATAGCTAGAGTAATCTGGTCAGCTCCGGAGCGGCGGAAGGGCTCGCCACACGATAAAGATACGAGAAAGTCAGGGTATAGGGATGATTATAAACATAGTGCATCTGTGGCCCCAAACGGGAACAGCCTAGTCGGGGCATCTAGAGGACATCTCCTTCCCTGTATAAAAACCGAGGCATGGAGGCTAACTGCTATCGTGAAGACTGTTGAGAGTTACGAACCACCGAATAACCATTGTTTCGCTAGGGAGGTTATGCATACAACAACGTCGGTCTCGAAGGCTCTTTCCACGACCTCCCGCTATCTGAAGGGGTCAAGTGGACTACGGCCCTTACCCATACCTCTTTTCCAGTCTTTTACGGCTCCGCCTTTCATCGGACTTGGTATGTCATTTCAGCTGCATATATTTGGGGACAGGAAGATCGGATGCTGCTGCTAGATATACAAAAACGTGTGCTGAATCTGCTTGGGACGAGTCGAACATACACCCTTAAGACATCTCATCACCCGTTCTTGATCATGCCCCAGGAAGTTGCAGATATGGTCCAGGGCCTATCTACACAAGTATCACAATAACACGTATCCACTGCGAAGAGGTGTCAGTTGATGGGGTGTCTATCCTTCGGGTCTGTTTTCCCGCGATTGTCAGGTGACCGGACAGACAGTAAAATTGTAGTGCCCATCAGTGCGTAATATTGTTATAAAAAAAAAAAAAAAAAAAAAGAAAGGGAAGAGGAAAAAGCCCCGGGGCCAGAATTTAAATTTAGACCAGCGTCTTTTGCACCACCCCAGGATACAATAGGGAGACCCACTCCGTCTTTATGTTAAATATCGGCGGGATAGTTGTGCACCCTGGAGGCTTAAGGCATACAAATGAACACAGAAAGGTCAGGGTCTTATTAACTATTATGCATAGTTAGTTACACTAATAGCATACACTGGCATGCCATAGTATAGCGAAGTCAAATTGATTGAGTCCCCACATAGCTTAGGATTTTGATCAAGAGACCTCGCTCTGGATTTTATATATTTAACCTCCAAATAGTATATATCCCACACTGTTGGCGAATTTCAACTTACCAAAATACCATTTCAAGCTACCCTCAACTCTGCCAATGTCCAGGAACATTACACACAACATGTTCAGGCACCAACAACTCTGTTCCTGGAATCTTACCATCATAGTGAACCTTCCAAGCTATTATTCACTCAGCACATGCCTCTCACTGCCTTGAAAGCCACTTACTCATAGGGAATGGCCAGAAACTGGTCTCATCTTCACGCATATAGCTGTAGAACTTATTTGGCCGCGGGATCTTCTTCAATTCTCCCTGTCCTCCAGGGGCACGACGGAGGTTGTCTAATCGGCCAACGACACGTAACATCGCCGTCAAAGCAACCTTACTCGCTTCGCCGCCTAGGCATGTATGTGGACCGACACCGTAGTGGATATATGACTCCATGGGACGGTTGAGGTCAACTTCATCCGGGTTTGGGAAAACCTTTGGGTCGCGGTTGGCGTCGACCTGCACTCTTCGTTAGACAAATAGAGTAAAGGTGAGAAGACTACACATACAAAGCTGACGAACACGGTATCGCCAGGTTTAATTTGAACCATGTGGTTCTTGTCGTCGAGAGTGAGATAGGTCTGGGATTTCCTGTACGAGCCAAAAATGCCGTTCAGGCGAATGGCCTCCATAACGTAGCGGAGAAGCATCTCATCCGCCTCAGGGGAGTCATCCTTAGCGAGTTGGTTGATGTTGGGAAGATGCTTCTTGCCCTTGTCCGAGAGGTAGTAATCCATGATCTGAGTGAATACCTGGGCTTGATTGGGCACCATCGCCACGGCTGTCGGGAGGATCTGGGACCAGGTAACTTCATAGGGGTCCAGACCACTTTCCAGTAGTCTCCTAACCATGTGAACCCCGTAATCCGAAAGTGCATTTCGATTAACGCGGACGCCATCGACTAGTGAGGACAGGAAACTGGAAGAGCCCACAGCTTTGACATTTGCCTCGACAATTGGGCCAAGCTTTTGTGCCGCTTCGCGAGCCTTGTGGCGGAGGGGGAATGACTTCGAGGGATCTACGTCGAAGAAGATTGCGGTAAAAATCGCTGCCATGATTAGGTACATTTCGTGCTCTGTGAGGATTCCGTGGGGATGGTCCTTGCTCTTGAGAGGCAGTGAGAAGACGTTGGCTGCGAAATGGACGTGGGCTAGATTCCCAACGCTACATGGGAGAGGCCCGGTCAGTAATAGCGTCGTACACACATGCAAGACCAAAAGGTGCAAGACTTACTCTCGACTAATATCGACCTGGTTGACGTTACCCACCCTGCATGACTTCTCCGCGACCAGCTGCTCGGTGATTTCGAGATAGAACTCCTTGACAGCTTCGTGCCATTGGGACCGATACAAGGACTGCGCCATAGTTTGACGCTGGTTCGCATGGAAAGGGGAATCACCCGACAACATGAAATCCCATCCGCCTTTTCCAAATACATAACCTGTCGCCTCACCCCAGGTCACACGGAAATTTGATGAATCCTCAAGAATGCGGCGGACATTTGCGTAGTCAAAAATCTCCGTGCGAGGGGGGATATATGCTGGTCGATCCCAGGAGTAATCCTCCTCACGTCCGAGGGCTCTCATAATCGTACGATTTTCACTTGGTACTGTCATGGGGTAGTGCACGTAGATAGAATCCTGTTTAAACCATTGTGGAAATGCTCGCAAGGCCAGCTTATAGAATACGCAACCTTGGTTGGTGTCCAATTCATAATGCGTCTCGGTGAAGCCCCAGTTCGTCAGGTTTCGTGCATTATAGTCTTTCTGTTTTGCTGTCAGTATGCTATTCAGCAATGAAAGGGTGGAAATCACGAACCGTGTAAAATCGATCACCCCTAACCAAGGCGACTGCGTCGGACAGGACGGCCCGGGAGACAGTATAGCCAGGTGCAATGCCAACACCAGGGATCATAGGTTCCTTAGGCTCCTCAGCCACGATCCCAGGATAGAGCTCCACATAATCTGGGTGCTCATAAAGATGTCGTAACTGATCGGCCACTTCCGGATCGGAATTGATTTCCTCGAAGCTCTGGTACGGCTTCAAGTCAAAGAACTTACGGAACTCATTCAGTGACCCAACGTTCCACTTGCGTGCCTGCTCTATGCCAAGGATTTCCACCGATCGCAAGACTTTGGGAACATTGCGAGCCCCAAATGAACCCGATACCTCTTCAATGGCCCGGGTCAAGATATCCACTAGGTCTTCGTCTCTAAACTTACCATTGGCCTGTCGCTTCAGGGAGGCGAATTCGCGCTTGGAGGGATCTTTGGGCAGATCCATTGCAAACCTCCTCATGCCTCCCATCAGGTCCTCCAAGGTGGCGGTCTCACCAGGCTTGCCAACAATTGCTTGATATGCCTTTTCTGTCCATGCTTCGTCTTTGCGACTAATTGTCGAGTGCCAACGATAGGCGAGGTCGAATTCCACCGAACACTGGTTCCCAAGGGCCATGGGAACTCTGTCGTGTTCTGTGTGCTCGCGTGGATCCAGGCTCCATGTACTGTCTGTACGGTTGAGATTGATAATTGTTCGTAGGTAGTCATAAAGCGTAATATTTATGTACAGGCCACAAGTGACAAGACGCCCTGTTTGGAAGAGGTCATTGTCGTACTTATCCCAGGCGGCTCGGGCTTCAACTGGGTCGAGGATGTCGTCTGGCGGCTGGGTAAATCGACCATTCTCGTTGATAGTAGCAAGCTGCTCCACTACATAATTATGGAATCGGTTCAGCATGACTAAAATCACGCCGGAAGCCGCTGGTAGGGCGAGCAGACGTGGCTCGGAGAAACAGTCTGGCTTAATCTTCCCATCTTTAAATGTTCGCATCATGTTTTGCTCGTCTTGGTTGTCACCATACAAAATAGACAAATCTAGATACGAGGAGGTCTTGTTTATGTTTTGATTAGGATAACCAGTTTGGAAAATATCTGGAGTTTCTCAGCTCTGCGACCGACATGAATGGTCATTCATACACCCACCGTGAATTATCAACGACGCCCAAGTGAAGAAAATGCTCGAGACTTTGTTCGGATGCGGCTTGAATGTGTCTCGCGCAAAGAGACTATCAAAGATTAACCCAGGGTCAGGGAAGCTGGCTGGTCTGACCTTTGACGGCTCGATAGTCCGGGCATATTCCGTATTTGCAGCACCCAGCCAAGGCATGGCAGGATTGTTATATGAGCCATCGGCTGAACGGTAGGCATATTGGTCACCGACGTACCTATTTCGCGTGAGTACCACCATTTACTCACGTCCCAGAATCTTGGATACTGACGACAAGGGAGGATGAGGCAGTGAGTTCCAGAGTTCACCCAGAAACATGTGAGTAAGCTTAACCCGTGTATTAGAGTCAGTCGGTAGTTTAGCTACCAACTAAAGATGACTGAGTTAGCATCGTGGCTCTCTATCTTCACTGTCCATGTGATTACCTGGATGACCCGTTCCATGAGCATTGTTTTGTCGTCGACAACCTGTCCGCTGGCTTTGTTCTCAACCACATTCTTCAAGGTATTGACGTCTTGAAGTTTCAGAGCGCGCAAATCTTCCCAAATGCTACCATGTTCTGAATCGTCTTTGATGTAGCTCCCGTCTCCGGTCTCAGTAGGCAGAGGCCGACGGGCGGCCTGAATTAGTGCCGCATATTTCTTAAAGCTGTCTACCATTCCACCTTGCTCGGGACTCATGTCTTGCATAGATGGTTTCCTAGGGTACTCATGGTCCTGCTGATGGTGGTTTATTGATAGCTTTCTGGCGTGTCCATTGTGCAGTTGTGAGACCTGCGCAGACGTGGGCCTGCTGCTAGATGCTTCGGCGTCTGGTAAACCTCGCATTGCTATTCACATATCCGTAATGTAGGACTTCCAAATGATTCATCAAAATATTTTCCCTTTGATGTGGTGTTCTACCCGTCGACATGGAACTGGGAAGTGCGTGTTTAAATGGCCCCAAATTCTCTCCGATCTCTCTTACATTGACTTTATCATCCTCTGGTTAGCAACGTAATATACCGAAGCATTAATAAATGCTACGCTATGCGCCAACGTACGAAATATCCACAGGACAAGTCCATTCAGCCAGTACTACAAAATCAAATCACCCTGAAAGGCAAGTAGCTATCAATTGACCTCCACGGCCCCATGGGGCAGCATTTCGGTATGATCTAATTGTGGGTCCGGGATCGTAATTAAGCTCCTTATTGACATCAATGACTTTATGGGACAGATGGGCCACTTCGCTCTCACGGAATAGTGTTTGCTAATTCTAGTTTACAATTAACATTGTACTTGTAACTATGGTGTCGCCTAAATGCAACATTCTGTCCGATCCGAGTAATGTTACTATTTCCACAGAATCTACATCCCCGCGTCTTCGTGACTCCCCAGCCATCGGGTCAAATTAATGTACAGTTTCGAAGGTATAAGTGAGATACATGGGCGGATTTGAATTTTGTTTCAGCTACGGTATCCTCGGTGAGAACCTGCGAGAAGGTAAATTATGCGAATGCACACACATTCGGAAGATTCGGGCGATTGACTCCACACAGAAGATGTAAACTTGCCACTTGAGCATAATCCTGGATTGGATGAACTAATGCTATGATTAACTTTGACTGAGCTCAAAAGACGTTCGGGGAGCACAAAAATTACTTCATAGCAAAATTGTCCCAAGGTTGCCGCTATGACGCGACCATATTTATAGTTATATTTTATATTAATCGCGGGTTTTTGCGTGGTATATAGGTCTTACTGGTGTTCATTTTTCATAAGGACTATAGTAGTATGCTGATTCTCGGATATGGTAGTCGTCCATGGCTGAAAGCCAGGCTCCTCAATCCTGGCGTGCCGGATCCTGCGAAGGTCGGTTCAGGAGCAGCTCATCAATCTCTGCTAGGATATCCGGAGTAAGCTGCGGAAGCAGCTTCAAGCTTTGTACGTTATCCACAATCTGTTCTGGCTTCGAGGCGCCGGTAATGACGGAAGAAACATTTTCATTTTTCAGACACCACGCGAGGGCGAGTTGAGACAACTTGAAGCCTAGTCCATCGGCCAACTCCTGTATTTACTTTAGTCCGTGGTTTCTTTAAACAAACATAGAGAGGCATAAATGCAATCCTGACCTTCAGCTTCACAATCTTCTGAATAGTTGCCGACCATTCCTTGTTCTCCCAGTCACTCCTAACTTTATTCGCATATTTATCTTGACTCTCTGCGAACCGCGAGCCAGGCGGTGGCTGGGTGGTCGCGTCGTTATACTTGCCGCTCAGCAGACCCATCTTCAGAGGGGAGAACGTGGTCAGGCCAATTCCGCACCGGGAGTATAACCGTTGGAATTCTCCCTCAACCTTCTTCCGGTCTAGCATGTTATACAGAGGCTGTTCAACGATGGGGCCCACCAGACCCAAGGCCTTTGCGATGCCGCAGGCTTCACTAATTTCATCTGCAGACCACTCCGACGTTCCCCAATAGAAGGCCCAGCCTTTGTCAATCACAAAGTTGAACGCACGCACGGTTTCCTCCATTGGGGTTAGGCGATCGGGGCGATGGGCGTATATAATATCGACATAGTCGAGTTGTAGTCGTCGGAGCGAAGCACGTGTGCCCTCGACTATATGTTTGCGCGATAGACCGTGGTTATTGATCAGTATCTCGCCGTTCCCTAAGCCCCAATTCAGCTGGGCAAAATTGATTTGAGTTAGTTCCTGGTTGCCACGACATTTTGTATTCTGGTCCTCTACCTTGGTACTAATCACTAAATCGCTCCTCTGCCATCCGAACTTCTTAATCGCTTTTCCCATAACGATCTCCGACTGGCCGTTGGCATAGCTGTCTCACTTCAGTGGGCGCTCTTGGATATGAGTCGGGATCAATACCTTTCCGCTGTATCGAAAAAATTAACACCGCTGTCGTAGGCTTGTTTCATGCAATTGAACGTAATCTCTGTCGCAAATCAGTGCCCATACCCGCATTATTCGTTGTAGTCGTACCATCATCAACGTGGCCCCCGAAGCTTTGCAGCATGAACTTGTTAGCGACGGTACTTGTTTCTGACCATCTTTACCCGTAAAAACTCACGTCAACCAGCCTCCCAATCCGATCGCAGATACATGGAGGCCCGAGTTGCCAACTCGGCGATAAATCATGTCTCGGTTTTTGTTTGGCCAAGCCATTGTAAATGGTGGTTAGTGGAAATCCAATATGCAGCGTTGCTTTTCCGGACACTTCCAAGAGTCGGTTCTCACTTGCGGCAGTGCTGCAATTTATTGCGCTGACGACTTAGTCCATGCCACTACTTCCTGGTACGCTTGTCCGGAGCTTGCAGTTAGACCAATGCGTCGTCCACTCAGCCACCTGTCTTCCAATATCGAGAACCACATATTGCAAGCGATAAGGGACTGCCGTGCGGGGCTCGGAAGTGGAGATCGGAGAAATGCTCGGAGGGGCAGTCTGCATGGTTCCCCTGTTATGTTTTGTATTGGCATCTTTCTTAAAACAGCCAATGGTACTTCACTTCGGCTAGGACATTGCAGTAGAGCGACAAGATCACCCAATGGGCAGCTGTGAGACTGAGGGTCCGGGTATTTTAGCCCTAAAGTCAACAAGTGGAGCGATGGCGTGCGGAGTGGAGGCCGTCGCGCAACTGCTATCCATGCATGATTTCTCCCTTGCCCTCGCTTTCCTGATTCTGGACTTCCCCGCATCGATGATTACTTGCTGTCGCACGTTAAAACTGATCTGTCACTGTGTTGGCTGGAAGACCATCCGTATTGCCTATCACCAGCTACACTCAAGGAGGCCAGAGTCTAGCCATCGGCTCGGAGTTACGCTGAAACAAGCGTTGAGAGCTAGCGCTCTTCCATAATGCATATTACGCATCTGTTACCAGGTTAACCGTCAGCATGTCCTCTGTCAGACCGGGTGTGACCAAGCGGGCTTGTGATGGGTGCAAGATTAGAAAGATCCGCTGTGGCGGCGGTCAACCGTGTCGGTCCTGCACCAAGGCAGGAATCAAGTGTACTTATGTTCGGGTTCAACAATGTCGAGGACCCCGGCGATTGCGCTCCACGACCCAGCTTCTCATTGAGAAAGCGCAATCCGATGCCCAAAGCCATGCCTGCGAAGCGTCACACCCACCTAACGACCTGGATGAGCATACGATGCCTTTGCGACAGAGCGCTGACCTGAAATGGTCTGTCACATCACTGTCTCTAATCTATCATGCCCCATTCTGATGACCTGCAGTTCGCGCATTCCTATCGACGTCCTCACGTCTCCGCTTTCCATTTACCACGTGCGCATGTATCCGGTTTGGCCCATCGTCAACGTCGAAGAAATTGTGTCCGCGCTTCAACAGGACGTCACTTACCAAGAGAATGAGGCTTATGCATTGGCAACAGCGGTTGCGGCGGCAACGATCGCCCAGCTTCGCTTAGAGCAAGTCTCCGGTGTAGGGGAAGCAATAACGGCTGACAGGCTAGCAGCAGAGTGTCTGCGCTCTCGCGACCTGTGTGGTTACCGGTCCAGGGCTAGCCTAAATAGTATCCGGACGTCCTTTTTCCTACATGTTTACTACGAGAATCAAAATTCCGGAGGGAGTGAAGCACTCCTATATTTGAGGGAGGCTATTTCCCTAGCTCAAATGATGGGCCTCCACAGAGAGGCTTCGTACAATAGCCTGTCATTCGAGCTGCGTCAGCTGTGTCGCCGGGTCCTATGGTTACTTTTCGTCACTGAACGGTAGGCTACTTGGGCCTCCATCTATGCCATATTCCGTTAACTGATGTCAACAGAGGAGTGTGCATTCTTCACAGGTTCCCAGTCGCCTTAAAAACAAACATCTCACCACCGGAAATAGACGAGCATGACGAATCCCAAGTTCTCCCCGCATTCATCAAACTCCTCAACCTGTTTCAGATGTTCGAGAAATCAGGGATGTTCGATATCATACAAGATGAGCACTCGGACCCAGCTCGCGCTGGACATGTCAACTGGCCCTTCTTGGAGCGTCTCCAGCAAAACCTGCAAGATGGATCCATGGTGTTCGACCATGTCTCGGACGTTCAAAAGGCGGACTTGTGTGTCACGCGGCACTGGATGCGAATGATTCTATGGAAGTTGTCCCCGAATAAATGCCTCGCATCTTCTCCACCTGCCGATGCGACCATCTCCGTCGGCTTCCCAGTCATGGTCGCAAAGGAACTGGTGGGGATCGTGTCTCAATTACCTCGATCGGCAGTTGAGGCTCACGGCCTGGGCATGGAGTTGAAAATCTACGAGATTGCCAATTCCCTTGCGGACGCTATTACTGATCTCACTGGACTGCCACATACTCCGGAATGGCAAGGTGATAATCGTCCAAATTATATATTACATCGTCTCCACTCGATCTTATCGACTTTCCGCGGTGGGGGGAACAAGAAACTCGTGGATGTCCTTTATAGAAAAATGGCCGAGGCGCAGCTTCTCGTTGAGCCGGTTTTGCCCACACCACTTCGAAGTCGGACTAAAAGGCGACGGGTATCTTCTCGAGAACGCGAAGCACGGGACAACGACCGCCAAGGGAGTGGAATCCCCGAGCATGATCCTGTACTGTCTGTTTCTGAAGACCTAACCACATATCCCTTCGACAGGGATGGAGCTTGCGAGCTGCCGTTGGGGAGCCAATCCGGCGCTCAATACTTGAACCCTAACGAACCAAGTCAGCCGACATATGATGAACTGACTTCTGATTTCCTGTTCGATCCAAGTAGCGTAGCCATTGCCTCGGAAAATATGGTGATGGATTCACCATTTTTGGATTCACCATTTTTGTCATCCTTTATGCCGATCAATACAGTTGACGAAGACTTGTCCTCGCAGATTCTCTGGTCGTCAACCCAAGACTTCATATTCCCCGGGGCTGACTTTACAACATTTGCAACAAACAGCGAATCCGTCGGTCTCCACTAATGCAGGGTCCTCTTCCTGAACAATATTGAAATAAATTAATAATAAATAATACTATCTACCTCGCCAGTCCCACCAGAACTCAATACTTAAACCGAAAATCAAGTCTTTTGTTCCCCTCATTCTTCCGCGCAGCCTGATCACTCTGATACGCCACCTTATCCTCCGGACTCATATCAGTCCACTTTCTCTCTTTCTGTCGGTTCAGATACCTGAGATACTCCCTCTGAACGACGAATACCACCATAGACAAGGCACAGATCGCAATAAGCACCTTATTCCCAGTATAATAGTATGGCTTATCCCCATCCCGATAAATCTCTGATCTACATCAGCCAACCAGCCCTTCAACTTTCCTTCCACCGAACGAAAACAAAGGCACTCACGAGAAGAAACCACTGACCCAACCTGCACAATAACATTATACGTCGCCGCTGTAACCGCCCTCTTCTTCACATCAAACGTATTCTCCGAAATCCAGGCCGAAACAATCGGATGGAAATACGGATACCCCGAGATCAGGGTGGTGATGGTAAAACGGCCCCAATCGCGTCCGCCGCTAGGCAAGGCCAGTAATGCGGCCAGTAATGGTAAGGACCAGAATTCGCCGACGAGGCAGTGGAAAGTGCGTTCACCGAAGTATTCACTGCTGGTTGATAATGCCAGCATGAGGGTTATTTGGAGGGCTGCGGAGGGGATGGACAACATGTTTGAGTCGAAGGTTGAGAAGCCGATTCGTTTGAGCGTTAGGGATAGATAGGCTTGTACGGGGCTTTGGGGGATGTAGGCTACCAGGCCGATTAGATAGAGGCCCCACATAGATTTGTCAGACCAAGCCTGGAGGACATCTCGTAGGGTGGCACGTTCGTGGATGTGGGTGAGGCCTTTAGAAGGGTCGTCGCGGAGGAGGCGCTTTGGGTAGATTAGTTAGAGGGTAATCGGAATGGGGGTAGGGGTGTGAAGGGACGTACGTTTATCATGATTACTTCTTGTCGCTCTGTGTACCAGGGCTTTGGGCAGAGGATGCTCTTGGTGTTGGTTGGGGAGCTGGGAAGGTAGAGGATACTCTGGGGGAGTGGATTAGCCTTCTGTTAGCAATTATCCTGCCTTCTTGGAATGGTACTATAAATAAGGGTACGTACCACGAGTCCGATGACAAAAGTCAGAAGACCTTCGATGAGAAACAGCCAAAACCAACCCGTCTCTCCGTGAACTCCGCGCATCTCCAGGATTCCTGCGGCGAGTAGGGAGGAGATGATCCGGGCGACCTATGTACAGTAAGGCTTTCGTCAGGTGTTCATAGAAGCTTCTTAAACTCACATTCAGTGTCGACCAAAAGAACGCAAGCCGCACGCTCAGCTCCCTCGTCTTGTAGAAATACGTGGCGAAAAGAATAGTACCAGGAATAAAACCACCCTCAAATACTCCGATCAAGGCACGGGTAACGTAAAAGCTAGCTCGACCTGTCATCCATGCTTGGGTCCAAGAGACTAGAGACCAGAGCATCATCATAATGGGTAGAACGCGACGAAATCCATATCGCTTGATGAGAAGCTGGGCGGGAAATTCAGCCGCAAGAAAACAGACGAGTTGGATTGTAGTTCCCTAGAATTAAGTCAGTACGGATTCATGACACGGACAATTGAACTGTCATCTGTACGCACGTTATTATAATCATTCGACGAGAGATTCAAATCGTCAAGTAGGTTATCTGTAAGTGCGTTGGACAAATTTCCGCGGTCGAGCTGCAGGCCAAAGAACTATATTTGATTAACATCAATGGCCACCAGAGGATCAGGTTACATGGAAAGAGCGCATACCATAACACAAATCCAGGTCAGAAGTAAAATATCCGTCCTGAACACTACCGCTCTCTCCTCCTTGGCCGTCCAAGACACCGTCGGGTCGAACCGATGATACCCTTCAAAGGACTCATGCGGCGGTGTAACAGCGGAGAGGTTCTCTTGTCCGACGGCAATAGAGACCTTCGAGGAATCATTTTCTACCGATGCGTTCTGATCGGTAGGACCTTTGTAAGCCCGTTCGATATCTGCCATCTCTGATGTCGTCTTCCACTCACACTATCCTTTTCCCCTCAAACACTAAAGGCAAAAATAAATGAATCAAAAAGACACACCAAGTCGAGAAACACGAAGAATATCTACCTACCGGGAATGGGAATGACAGACGGGGTTATATATACAAGCCATGGCCGCCACACCACAATCCAATTGTATCGTACCGCACTATTTTAATTTCAATGTGAACATAACCTAGTATTCACGGCACTTGGTAGCAGACATACATCCTTATGTTCTAAAGTGCAGCCAATAGATGGTCCGGCGTGCACTTTGCATCACTGAGCCTTCCGAGCACATCATCAGCTAGTCTGAGCTTTGACTTCTGGGGCTTTACTTTGTTAGTTTAGCTCTGCCGATGTGTGTTAGTCAAGTGTCTTTTTCATCGTTTATCTGCTTCCTTATGCATAAAATTATAATTCCAGTCTATCGAAGATGAATGGGATTCTATACAGTGTACGGAGTATAATTCTACCAATTCATAGGAATAACCTCGAACCGTGGAAATCTGCCGGTTCAACATTTTCTTTGCATTTTCCCCGGATTTTTGCTCGGCTCAACTCTAGTCCTTCCGAGGGAAGATTTGCCATTACTAAGTCTAGTCTAGTCTCGAAAACATGAAGACGAAGTATGCTTGGCAATATCTGAACTTCCGAGAATTTCGCCGACGCCCCACAGATCCATATGTCAGTATTAGGGAGTAGAGATTTCGATCATATACCTATCGTCCAAAGTAGTTTATTAACCGGCTCAATGAACCATGTGGTAACTGTTAGTGAAAGGGCTGTGAGCAGTTGCTTGATTTTGGATCGAATCACGCAAAGATAATATATTGGACTTTGTGCTTTTGGAAACCAGTGATAGAGGTAATATATACATAGATAGTGTCTACTAGTGAAATGAGCAATGCTTGAGCGACTACCATTTCTCATTTGTTTATTGGATGGTAATCATGCTCACATGGCTTAATCCAATAATACAACGTTATCTATTACGCTTTGGTCTTGGGAAACGGTTGTAGATATCGTGGGATAATAGATCCTAGGTCTTATTGATTTCGTCATTTTTGAGAAAGGGATATGGTCGCGTGGAACACCTCGTCTTCTCTTGAGGTAAGCAGGTGAAAGGTAATCGGTTTAGCAACAGCCCTAGAAGGATAACACGGCGCTTAGAGCAACATTCAACCCAACCAAAGCCTACTGGATCAGAGAAAGGAAGCCAGTAGTTATACCCGCTCCGATGTCTAGGTCCTTGCTAAATTCAAGCGTGGTCCCTCTTAAAGGATGCAGATAAATATGTAGATGAAACCTGCCTCAAGCCATCATTGGAGCTATACCGAGTGACTCTTCCCTACTGTATTCGGCCCCTTATCTATATATTCAAACAGCTGCATTGTTACAAATAACCACGCCATAAGACAGAGTCTACCAGCAAGGAAACTCACAATATGCAACTCTAACCACCACCATCCCAATTACACTGCAACATTCCGATACAGGCCGAATCAAATCACCTGTATCTGCGCATATTCGCCTCCAACGCGGGAATCTCAAACCCCAACAGCATTACCACGGCCATCCACCCCAAAGATGAACAAATCTGGCGCCCGACCATAGACCATAATGTCTAAACTTATCCGCATCCATCCATGGCACACAACTCGGCGTCCTAGCATGAGCAAGCTCATTCTTATCCTATAAGATAGCCTAAAGCTACCTTTAAACCCCCAGCTTTCGTCTCTGTCACCAATCCAGTAGGATACAACCTAACACTCAGTGCTTTAGGATCCTCAACCCTAATCAGTGAGTTCAACGTCTTCCTGAAATCTGTCCTGTTTCTGATTAACCGATAGTGAATCCCGGTATCTTTTTAACAGAAACCGTGATTGATGAATTTAGCCCTAAGGAACTGGCGAAGACGCCCCCAAAGTGAGCGCCTGTCTTTTTCATATCCATTTTCATTAAAGTGGGAAGGACTATATTGCTGATGATGTCAGTGTGGGCGTTCAGGTCTGGCGCGGAGAGGCCATCGGCTGTGAGGATGCCGAAGCCGATATTGTAGTCTGGAACTAGGCCAAGGTAGGAGCTGTAGTGGCTGATGCTGTTAGTGAAATGGTAGATATCTCTCGTTGAGGTGCTGTGGTAGTTGCTGCCCCTGTAGATGATCTAACTGCCTCTATGCTGGTTCGGAATCCAATGGACTTTTCCTGTGTCCATTTCCTCTTCCACGCTGGATGAGCGATACACCAATATGGCATCTGGCAGCAAGTCAGGGAAGATAATATTAAGAAGTACTCGTCGGATGACAGTTTCCTTCCCATCACTGGAGGCGGAGTACAAGGAAGAGCGTGACGGTATTGGCTGGGAGTGTCTCGATATCGTCTAGGTGAAAGAGGATAGGTTGCCTACACTCGATCGGCAGAGTAAGCAAAGAAGCTTGGTGGGTCTGCGCATGAGGGTAATCCACTCTGAAAACAGTGCATTTCTAAAGAAAACGTATGAAGTGAAAAAAGTGTTACGGGGCTTATGAATATAAGGGGAGAAAGCCTTGTAGTATCAAAATATGAGTCAATGAGCGCCGCAGTGAGTCTAGGAAGTAATAAGGCTGCGAACCAATCGGAGCCTTATTCAACCTTACCGGGATTACCCGTGCTCAGAGGTCATTCCCTTGGTCAACCCTAGTGGGTTTAGTCTTCAGGGAGCTCAATTTGTATGCATGTCTTCAAAATGTGTGGGTTATATTCTCTGTTGGCTGGGGATTCCGGCTGGCGGTCCTGATTGGACCGGCCAGTGGGATGATCCAGCCGGCAAGCGTTTAGGTGTTAGTGATAAGCTAGCTTTAGATAGCATCAGGAATAATAACTAATCATGATTCTAATAAGAACAAGCTCCATGTAAAGCTCCAAGATTCTCTACTTCTATCCGATTGCATTCTGCTTTCCACTTGGCCCTTCTCTAGTCGTATACGAGGGTTGCTGCATCACCTGGATTTATGTTATATCACGTAAATTGTGCAGCCCTCCGTGTTCTTGTCCGTTGAATGTGGATAATATCTGTAGTAAATGTTAGATATATGAGTCTGAAGTTTACCGCCATCGTCATGTGAATGCACTGTAGTGAAAGGTTGGTTCGTTTTCTTTCAATCGAGACACCATGGGAGACGCAATATACGGAAAAGAAAGGAAAAGAGAAAGACAACCAAGGAGACAGGACGAAAAAGCTACGATAAATTCTATCAGTCCGAGAATCCAGTTGTCTATCATGTATAAAGTGCGTCTCTCAGTATTCCAACTAGCCACATTCTCAAATGAGCTGTTCTCGGGTAGCTGGAGGCCCTATGGAAAGACGAAAATGCAGGAAATCTCACGACATCCGAGACGCAACTCAAAGCACTAGTTGCCAAGTTTCTGTCTTTCGAGGTCTGGCCCTAGATTAATATCAAATCCCTGTTTGGTGACCCTGAATTACATGCCTTTTCTTTGTCAAATTCGATTTTTCATATCATGTTCTGTTACGTATTTTCTATATGTAGTTGATCCTACCTACCATGACATTCCGAGTGATGGGAGGTCATGACGGTATATTTTCACCGTAGCGATGCTACGAGAAGCGTGTACACATATAAGTATGCAGTTGATGATACTGACCTTGGAAGTTAAAGTGGGACTACGGTATGCCGATCATGGTCTCTTGGACACACAACAACTGCCTCATCACAACCGGAATCAGTGGCCACTATCTCTCGTACGATCTTGCAAGTGAAGCATTGGACAATGTGACGTAGCCCCCACGGCTTTGGTCAATTTCTCAAAGGGGCATTTCAACACCACCTAGGATGCACTGCGTCATTGTGCATATGTTCCCCTCCATCAAGGATAAATGTAGGGCAGCAATGCGTGAAGAGCGAGGCAATAGATATGGATGGTATCGGAAGTTGCAGAGGAGTACTTTAAAGCCAAAGGCCCCAGCATTCCCCTGCCGCATTTTTTTCTCACGATCAAGCCCCCTGTTCGTTAACTGCAGAAAGCACGAGGCACTCCGGAAATCTTTATCAACATGTCTTTCCACCAGTCCTGCCGAAACATTCATATCAAACCTGAAAATGGGTACACGATGCTCCTAGCTGATGTTCGTGACATGCGTGGAAACTACATCCATCGCAAGATTCGCCTAGATGACCATATTGGGAACACTGACGGTATTAACTCCCCAAGGCGTTTATACCTGTAGGTATTTTGCGAAGGATTGCCAATGACTAAGATAGGTTGGTTCATTTGGGGTGGCACCAACTTTACGCGGTCTGCCCGTAACGTTGTCCTTGAGGATACTCCCTGGGGCCCCAAATTGTGTGCCGACCTACCCATGATAAACGGTGGGTCTCGCGGACGCCAAGGAATGATGCTGTCCGATAAGATCCAGAATGTAGATGGTCGTCTCAAATTCCTTGTGAGTATATGTTCCTGCCTTCTAGAGATAACTTAATAACCACATCATGGTCCAGGGGCCTTGAGGGTGATCTGTGAGCAAGGATTGGTGGTAACGGAGTCGTGATGATATGTGTGCCTTCTGCTCGCGTTCGCGCGAAACAAGTTTTGTTCAATATTTCATCACATCTGCCCATTTAGCATAGCATATGATATGATGTTCGCATTTTCGTTTTGAGGCCTAACTACTAGATGAAAGCTGCAGGTATTAGTGCCTAAGGGGAATTTCTACCCAATCATCGACCCGTATGCCATGTACATGTCGACTAGCTAATGAGCATCATCCAAGTCAGTAGTTCATGCAGAAAGATACGTCCAATTTCTCCAAGAGAGATCTTGGTTAGATAGAGTTGCAAAGTAATTACATGGCCAGACTCTCTATCTATGTTGCCAAAATTAGTCTCGTACAGATCGTGACTTGCCACATTCGTGTGCATGCAGTTCGCTCGCACAGTGGGCATATACTAGGCGTAATTTGATAAAGTGGTTAATCAAATCACGTAGCCTAGCACATCTCCGGCATCTCAGCCATACTTAGGCGTCCGAATCTACCGAAGGATTTCGCATGCTTCCCATACAGCCCGTGGCAGTATTCCATCGAATTCGTCTCTACCGCAAACTATGTACTATTTCTAACTACTATGCTTCCCAGACTAAGTCGCTCGGTGAATATACTGTGTCACGATTATGTGTTTTCAGTTTGTGTACCCTTCGTTTGTTTTATTTCCTCAAGCTTTTATTTGGTTATCGGTATTTATGCCAGTGGCTGTGGTCTTAACTTCAGTATTTTTCATTCTTACATATGTACGCAGAAACTAGAAGAGCCTAGATTGTTCGACCTAGAGAACCAATAGGTGGATTAGATACTTTCGTAGTATGTGGTAGAGATCGAAACAAAATGCCTCATGTAATAGGCCTATTTTGGGTACTCATTATAACTATCTATTCTGCAGCCCTCTCTTCCAGAGGAGGTGGTTGTCCTGCTAGATACATCTTTTCCAAAGTACTTGCCTTGCATGGTAATGCCCAATGATTTGAGTACGTCTAACGTAGCAGGACGGTCTCATTTTTAGCGATACGAGCGCATGCCCTAAACACCATACTTGGCACGCCTAGAATCTTGAGTATCGCAGTCAGCTTGCGAGATGGTGTCATCTACACGCCGTAGAGTGGGCCCTATGGAGTATAGCCATTAGCTGAGGATTCAGCAAGTGGTCCATGATGAATTGATAAATAAAGCTAGTAGACAGGTATGTTCCCTACAGAGGAAATTTGGAGGGCAATTAATCGATTCACGCTAGAAATGTTTTTCGAGGCTATCGAAGCTCGACTATACTATCGTCGTCGTACGTCTTACGATGAATCTGCATGTTTGGGTCCCTTTCTAGGTTTGTTACAGAACTTACCAGGGCTACCTGTTCAACCTACTTACTCATTGCGGCATATAATACTGGTAGAGAGGAGAGTTGCAAGAGGGGCAGTTCAAGTAAGGGTTATCAGTAGAAACACGTGCTGATAATCTTATCAAAAATCAAGGGGGCATTGCCAATACTCGCTGGGAGTTCCGTCCGTTGTTGCCAGCACTAGGTGATTCTCATGTGCTTCAGTGCAGCATTGTTCCCACAAGCTCTTCATAGCATCTTCTCGCTCAGACTCTGTCTGACTGCGTATTGTCAAGGCCTCCGCCATGCCCATTGATAGGTCATCTTTCAGTCTTTCTATCATGGCTATTCCTTCCTCCAGTAGCGACACAGGGTGGCGGGAGGCCTCCACAGCGGCCCGATGCCTGCCACCAATTTGTTGTCGTGGTGGTACGTTCCGGGGGGAGCAGATTCGGTAATGTGGATCGACTAGATGAATCATGATATAGCGAAGACGTCCAGATTTGGATGGATCTGGCAGTGTGATACCGCAGCGTATTTGGCCATACGACTAACTGGCCAGTCGAGTCAGTAGCAATAGAGCCGAGAGACTGAAGCGCCTTGGTAGGGCGTACTCCGTCGAGGTCCAGATTCCGGTATGGGATATCCCAAACCCATTTGAGACTCGTATGGTGATAGAGCTTGAATTCATATTCACTCCTGTGTGCTTCTTGTTGCAAAGAGATCCGAGCTTCTTGGATGTCTTCAGCGTCGTAGCAACGCACAGCCGTAGCCATAATATGCTAGTTAAGTAATCCGGCGACATGAAAACCACAGTCACCATTGTAGCTCCTTCACCAGATCAGCCCCAACCAAAGTATCCGACCTGATGATGGGAGAGTCTCCTTCTTTGATGGATATATAGCAATTCCTTTTGAAATCAATGGCCTTGTCCCTCAACTCCTTTAAACACCAATGTCACGCGCGGCCGTTTAACCGATATTTATGAAAAGCCTCTTCGTACGATCGAACAATGGTGGCTGGTCATTCCAACAAAGCATCTCTTTGTCTCGGATGACTACGCAGCTGGGACCGGAGAAGGCTCCCTTGCAGGACTATGTAGTTATAGCTGTGGGTACGGCTTCTGCCCCCTTCATCAGTGTACATGTACTGGTGCTGGGGCTTTGGTCGAGCTACCACCGAAAGGTACAAGTATCACCAGATACTCTCCCTCCTGGGCCGAGAGTGATTCTTCATTATGCCAGCGATGATATTGCCGGTCTCTAATCTGCCAGGGTTATAGTGATGATAGCTTTGCTTGCGGTGCACCTGACAATGACATTGATACCGGTGTGGACTGAGGTGATAAACTGACCTGCGGCTTTACAAAACGCTACACAACCTTGGACGAATTGGCAGGTGATCTTACGTCGTTGGATACATACTGCGTGGATTACTACTACCTTTACATCTTAAACCGGGTGCTAGATGATGCATTAGTCGACAACACCATCTCCAAGGGAAACCATGGCCACAAATTCGACCTTTATAAGCAGTACCTGGAGAAAGCCATTCATTACCAACTAGAATGCTTCGAAGATCTTCCACCGCTGCAGTGGTAATAGATATTTTAAATGCACCCCCAAATTTCCAGCAGGCGGCAACGGAAGTACAGTTTTTTATCCAGTTTACTTTGACTACGTCACGGGGCGGACGGAAGTTTATTATGATCTTATTGACGTAGATGGATTCTTCGCAGCTATCGCTTAGACCTATGGAATCCAACGGGATTGGGTCAAGTACGACACTATCGCCTATCCAACCAACGACGACTGTCTGTCTGCCCAAGGTGCTCCAAGGGGAAACCTGTCACGTCTACCATGGCTTCCTCATGAGGGCTGATAGCTTCACTTTGCAAAACCCAAAAGACATTACCTCCAAGTCTATTCCCAACATTCATAAATTTAGATCAGCGGCCTACCTAACACAACTCGAGATCAGCATAGGCACCTGGAGAGACGTGCTCGATGATGAAGTCCAAAGCTTTTCCACAGCGGTTTTCACAGTTTAACAAGCGGTTGTTAACATGAAAAGTGTGGTCGAAGCCGGGGATAAATATGGGGAGTGAGAGAAGAAAGCCCCGCAGGGATAATCATCTCAGTGGTCCTTTTAGTCCTTCCCTTTGTTGGTGAAGCGGAAATCTTCACCGTAAGCCTGGTTACTTTAGGTCGGATGTTGCGGCTAGCTACCGATGCTGCGTTTGTGGGTACCACAGCTTGGAGTGTGGTGGAGGATCCTACTATAACGCCATTTACCATACTCATGGCTTTTGTTGGGGATGCGAGGAGACCTAACCCATTTGAGAAACATTACGGCATCGCGACGAAAAATGACAATGGACAATATTGGAAAGATGAGGCCAATCTTCAAGCAGAACAATGCCAGCTTCCAAAGTGTCATTGATCAATGGAAAAAGGAGTTATGACCACTCCGTGAGGAATGATTTGCGGCGCACAAGGTGGATATCCACTCTTTTACTCCTTTCAACGCTGACTCTCTCAGAGATTCTATGATAGACTATTGCAGGGGGTGATATGTTATTGTACTACTAGGATGATTATGGGCTTTCTTTCAGTTCGGCGTTCAATGTAAGGCGACTAATCTGGACCAATAAAAACAAAACAGCTGAGGTAGTACTTGTGACCGGCTGCGCAAACAGAACATCTGCTCTTAGCGTAGGCCGCGGTGACTTTAGCGTCTTCATATGTTAGCGAGGTGCCGAACAGGTTCCATGAACAAACGGATTAATCTATCGCTAGGGCAGGGGAGACACGTGATCCCTTGGGAGGTCTGTTAGAGACCGTTCCGAGGCGTTGAGCCGAGTAAATTCTTTGCCAGTCCAGCGCCTTCACTTGATTCCTTCAAGATGGGCGATACCACCTACTGTACCGGCCAGGATTACCTATCCCAACTACCGGCTGAGTTACTCAGCGAAATCTTCCAGTAGTGCCCGGACCTTTTTACCCTCTAGAGCCTACTGAATACATCATCGAGGACATGGGCTGTCTTTAATTCAAGGGCGTCAGAGATAGTCAAGGCTGTATTAAACTCGACCGTCCCAGTCCAAACTCGAGTACATATGCGCCAGGTTCTTACCCTTCGCACAGGAACACAGTCCTATTCCAGTTATGCCTAGGCAAGGTATAGCAGGTAGTGTCATTCCCAGCTCTCTCAAAATATCATTGCAACACCTGCACAGCTACGGAATTTTGCGAGGTTATCTCATAGCATCCATGTTCTCGCACATCTCTACATCGACAGATGCCTTCAACGTTGCTTGAACAGTCCTCTCCTCCAAAGAGGATACCCCATGGGATTCAGAGATCCTACATGGACAGAGGAGCAACGAATGATTCCGCCCTTCTGGCGTGTGGTGTTTTTCAATGAGCTTAAGTTGGAAGGGCTTAGGAGCCATCTAGACTGGTCGCCTATAGACCTTGAACAGTTACGAGACCATGGTCCTTACCGGCAATTTGGAGGGCTCACTCCAAGATTTCAAGCCAGCACAGCATTGCGCTATATTTTGGAGGAAATGAATCCCGAAGGCTCGGAGGAAGAATTTTCAGGCGATACGGGACAGCCATTCGAGCTGCCCAAGCTTCCCATGGGCATGGAGTTCGGCCTGGCGGGTCAGCCACCTCCGTCTCTACGGGCTGTCAATCAGGGTTGGGATGCTGCTGACCCACCGCCCAAATCGACGGCAACACCGAAACCAGAGACGAGGTGGATACCAGAGCGGAGAGTGGCTTCGGATACTGTTTCCTCACAACCAGGAGCTTTATAGTAACCAAACTAGTGAGCAGTCAGGAAGTGACGAATACGAGACCGAGGACACCGACATCGATGAGTATGAGAGTGATGATTTCGATAGGGATTATGGATTAACGTATCCGATAAGCGAGTCGGCCACTCCATGCGTTTTGACTCCAGTCGGAAACCTCATTCAATTCAACCATCTACCATGCCTCGAAAAGCGCGTCAAAATTCAAGAAATTTAACTGAGCAAGAGGGAAGGCTTCTACTTGCTATGTCTGCTCTCAAAATGAACTGGCCTTAAATAAAGCAATCCTTGCATGTAATGAAATAGGCAAATTATGTGCTGCTAATAAAATATAAGTTTAAAAACAGAAGCGCTCTACTAGACAGCTAACTACTACAGAGATCTTTACTATTCAGGAGAGCTTAGAGCAATTCCAGTGCGAGAATAAGATCCAAGAAGCTCAGGATATTATATCTATAGATCCAGCACTTTCTGCAGTTAGACCACGCGTATGAGCGCCACCGCGTCGCAGTGATTGCCATATTCTAGGACATACTCACAGACAATGTCCTAATCGAAGTCCTAGTTAGATTTTATATAGAAATACAATTGTTTTGTTGATAAAGGCCCTAGAATTTGACTCTGTGGCCGACTGGCTTACGGGATACGTTACGATTGGGTTGCTTATTAAGGATGGAATCTTCATCTGAGGAGAGTCTCATAAGCGAAAGCCCTCCCAGTGGCCCTGACAACATCCCACCAGTGCCTTTCCTGATTCAGAATTTCGGACAAATTCCACCCAAAGAGGAGTGGCGAGTGCTCCACGGAAAAACGATCGGTGTACACTTCTGGTACCACATGTGTGATAATCGCAAGGAAGGCCCATGTCAATATACAAGCAGCGGTCTATCTTCAATATGGCTTTGCTATTTGGGATGAGCAAAGAATGATTGACATGGGACTGTGGTCAGCCCGAGCCCTAGTCGATGCGTCCGAGTATGTCAGAAAATGGTATGACTTTCTGAGCAAGGATGATCTCAGATGTCATGATACTAGACGCTGGTAATACGTACATGATTTCCGAGGAAAATTAACCTTAATCTGGATCATATAGAGCACCGACAGTAAGGATTGTGTTCATCTCTTGGCCTGAGAGCTCTATCTGAGTTTCCAAGATCACGACCAAAGCTCTATTGATGAGGAAGATTCGCACCCCCTGACCGCAATAAACGCGCAGGATCAAGATCACCAGCACGATTACGACCGAATCCCATAACTGCACTGTCAAGTAACTATGCCCATGAACAAAAACATAAAGTTGGGGCCCGTTTATTCTAGATAGACGGCAGGTATCAGCGTGTTGACGCTATAATAAGAAGACATACTAGAACACTGTACATGACTCAAGCCTGTCAAAGTTCCAAAGCTTTGAGATAGAACAGTCCAACAATAAATGTACTGGCAACTAGGGGGATCTTTCTTGAATAAATACCAACGCCCGGAATACAATTGCTATTTGTTAACTTAACAAAATAGGCTTGAAGACCTCATAGGTCCTATCAATGGTAGCTGTTGGAAAGGCTCCTGCAACTTAAAGAGGCTCTAATACTTAAGGACTAACGTTGATTCATCTGTTACAATGGTGCTATTGCTACGGTGTGTAGATCTAATACGGATCACTATTCCACTCAGAATATGCATACAATGAGTGGTGAGTGTCCGAAGTAAAGTCTCCTCGAGAATGAAACAATCTTGGTCGCTGTGAAAAGACCACACGGACCTTCCAATTCACAAGGCTTGCTCTCTTATTTCTTATTCCTCCACAATCCTCGCATGGCTAGCAGACCAGACCCTGAAATTTCCAACCACAGAACCAGTAGACAGAACGATTCCAGCATTTTTGATGGAGGCAAAAGTAATCACAAAGATAATAATAAGATATGCTCAGCGCAGTGCAAAACAGCGAACAGGTCCCAATCTACCACTACTGTTCAGCAACCCCGCATTATATATAGGTAACTACTTTACAAATCTTGGCATGCAGCCCTGACCTTCACTTCCAGAGCCTCCCGGACGGAAGAGAATCCCGCGCAGAAATTATAAGACATGAGAAATACACTTCAAACTATCCAAGGGCAAAAGGAAGGGCTATGACAAAAGCGAACTTGAAAAGTACCCCACACGGTAGGCAGGCAAGATTCATACTCTAAAGCATACCCTTCTAAACTGACCATGCGAAGGCGACTATGTACCGTTACATTCATAGGTACATGGGGAGTAGTAAGTTTGCTTGACTCAGCACATCCCATTCTATTGGTTAACAGTACAAAGATTCAAGGGGTGGTTACATCTCAATTCGGAGTCGCATGAGAAAGCCCTCGTTGTCACTAGTAGACACCTTGCTTAGTGTGCCAGGCGTGCATCAACAGGCAGTTTTCTCCAACTCTTCCTTGTCGTTACGACGGGAAAATCAAAGAAGCACCAGTATTACTACTCTCTGCTTGTTTTCGGGGCAGGTGGTACCATTAGGAGAGTGACATCGGGCTCCAACAGCCCAACTAATTCAATTTTTTTTTCACTTTACCCTTATAGGAAATGCAATAAGAATGAATAGCATACCACTGGGTACGTCAAGTCCTTGTCATGTTGATGCCTGTGTGGTCTACAAATATGAGCTCGAGATCCCGCTCCTATCGGTAATATTCATCTTTTCATTCACATTTTGTCACCACAGCAGCCACAGGCATTTAAGTACAATGAGGGTCTCTTGTACCATCTTACCCCTTCTTGTATTTGGACAATATAGCCCTATCAGCACCGCACCTCGTCAGGAATGAGGTTGCTGTATCAGCTCCATACAGCACGGATGAGACCACCCTTGAGGTGATCGAGTTCAGCGAACACGACGCCGGTGTCGCACTCGCTGTTCTTGAGAAACGAATTTCCATGTCTTGTAGTGTCTTGGGCGTGTATGTTAAGAAGATAGGTACCAGTTCCAGTATGTAAGTCAACCTTCCCATCTGTGCATCACACCTTATTCTAACGATTCTCCCCAAGTAACACATTTCTAAACGGAGCCTTCTGTCTCACATTAATGATCTGCCGTGGTGAAGGACACAAGGATTGTAACAGATACATTAGTTACATCCTCGTCGGTTATAATCTGATCTTCTCCACCGCTGCCCGCTACTGGGGGTCAGTCGGTACATCACCGACCGGCCCGGTTGAGCAAAAAGACGCCGTCGTCCGACGATCACTTGATAGCAGCGAATTCCTTGAAGGCTTTGACCAGGAGCTCCTGGAACAGCGGTCTCGAATTTGATGGACTGGAGGAGCGCCTACTTTCCGAGCTCGATATTGCCAGACGGGACACCGATCCCGCCGTCAAGCTGCATGCCACAATCAAGGGCATACGGCGACGAAAGATATGATACTACCTTTACCCTGTTTGGTAATGGTGATGGCCATGTTATTCTGCCGACAGGGCTTCAGTCCTGTGACAACTCGACCGACACGTCCCAGCTGGGCAAACGTACTGGCTACCATGAACATGCTTTCAGGATGGTTTTCACTACGAGAGAGAAGTTGCTACTTACGAAGGCTCATCAGAAAGATATGTAAGCCGCGATGGCGCGGCGCTGGGCTGAACAGGCTTGGCATTATGACGAGTCTTTGGACAGATCAAGACATAGCACAAGGCCAACTTTTACTTCAGAATCAGCCCGGAGGTAAAGGGCTTCGGTTTGAACTATGAGAGTGTTGATGTTTGTGGCGAGATGGCCGGCATCATTTAGTCCTCGCAAGCCGGTCAGGTATCCATACAGAAGGCTTTTTAGAGTGCGCGACGTTCGCCTAGTTACCTGAGTCAACCTAGAGTATGGAGTACATGGTCTTTCGCGTTTTTAAAGTTTCCCTCTCAAGATCAAACATTTGCATCATTTGGCTTTCTATAGGCCGTGTTCCGCCATCCCTTTGAATAGTTGAAGTTGGATGAAGACTAGACAGGAAGGCATTATATTCTGGAGACTGGCAACGAGCGCCGGTCTTTCATTTTCCAACGAGGAAAGACTTAAGCTCTGCGGAGTCAGATGTATATCCACGGCATATATCGGGGTTTGTGCAGCCTTGCCTTTGCCTCGGCCTCGGCCTCATCCTTGTGAACAACGGCGTCTACCTTTTCACTGATAGGCGCCAAACGATTCTCATCTTCCATCACCAGGCCAGGAGAAGCAAGTTGTGGCATTGGTTGTCACACACATTGAGCGAGCTGCCGCTGTGTCGCCCAGTACACAACTACCACTACTGCTGCTGCTGCTGCTACGAAGAAGGATTTACACCAAATGCCGCTGTTTAAACGCATATCCCGCATTAGATGGGGTTTCCAAAGCAACCCAGGTCGCTCGCAGATATTCAGACGCCAATCATATGTGCATTACCCACAGAAGCGGATGCTGTGGAAGTGGCATTCGACAAGTTCTGGGAAGATCATGGAGATAAATACGACAAATTAACCACCGATGTAAACGTGTATACGCCGGGGATGGTTTGCAACCACTATGTTGTGCTCGCTCATATGCCAGGGATTTGCAAGAGAAACGCCGCCAATGTCGCAGCTAATTTTCGATCGAGCTTTCCTGGCATCAAGTCCGCCTTGCTCGTCAATATCTGCTGAAGAGTTTCAAACCGATAAGATGGCGCCGAGATTACCCTGGGCGACGTGATCATCAGCGACGGCGTGACAGAGTTTGACTTTGGGAGACGGTTTCCTGGGAGCCAGTTTATACGAAAAGATACTCCGACGGACAATCTCAGCTCACCCAGGGCCCAAATTAGAGCAATATTGGCCAAGTTGCAATCGCAGCAAAATAGAAAACGCCTTCATGACAAGCTGGCAGTAAATATCGATGCATTGTTCCCAAATCTTGAGACTAGAAGGATCAAATATCCCAGTGCTGGATGAGACCAGCTGTTCAAGCCTACTTATCCCCATCGACATTTCAGGTCTGGAGACTGTGAGTTTTATGAAGGAGGAAGAATTGCCGTATTGCCCAGAAAGCATCTTGCCAGCAATTAGGATGTGATCCGACACACTTGGTTGTTCGTGAATGAGTGCCGGTTGCGAAGACTATCACGCGGGCACCGTCGTCGCTGATTCATTTCGGTCGGATTGCGACTGGGGACACTGTGATGAAGGCCGGGGAGGATCGCAATATTATCGCAAAAGACGAGGGGGTCATACCATTCGAAATGGAAAGTACAGGGGATTGTGACTATGCAGACAGCCACAAGTTGGGACAGGCATATGCGGCCGTAGCAGCAGCAGCTGCATGAAGGCCTTACTAGATCTTTAGGCTATGGTTGACAGGCCAGTAAGCTCAGAAACGGCAACAGTATGCACTATTTGTAGGACCCACGAGGCATGCCAGCTAACATGTATATGTGTAGTTCAAAGAGTAAGGCCTACATTTATCCCTATGTCTATCCCGCCGAAAATAGAGAAAGAAGGTCACTGACAGCAAATGGCTCTAACTTCTAGAGCCATTTTTCCGTTCTATGCGGCCAATTTTACGGATGAACTAACAACAATTAGATTGTGGCCGCTCCTTCAGCTTTCACAACATCGATGCTCGTCATCAAGATTATTTCTGTTCCCCATCGAAGCACTTGCAATTGATTTTTAGAAACGAAGGCTTTCTAGTAGTGGCGACATCATGATGGCCTTTTGAGCAATAACTGGGTCTTTGGATCAACGGAAAGTCCGTGCGGGACAGTATCCTACGGTCAGTATGAGAACATCCTTGCAATTGATTATAGAGCAGATGCGGTAACATGATGAAGATATCCAAATATACATTGGGAACCAACTATAGGGCTAACCTAAGAAATTGAAGACCAGCTTCTGAACAAAATCCTCTGGTATCTTCATGTTTGCTGACCTTGTCGTGGGCATTTAATCATGGAAAGCTGCAAACGCTCCTCAAGGAACTCCCTCCTGATCTTGAGGAAGTATTTTAGACTCTACTAACCATAGACATGGCTAGTATACAATGGATTCTGGTAGGGACTACCCGGCAACACGTTGATCCCTGGGACAACCCTAAGATGAACAGTGATCCTGCGGTCGCCGTATTATCCATTCACCAAAAAGCCTGATCGAACAGCGACGCGGAGGGACTACACTCCAGTTTATCTACCTCTCTATTCACGACTCTTTGCTTCCTAATCAAAGGCTGAGAACCTTTACAGGACAACCCCGTTGGTGCCAGCCACGATTATCTAAGGAGATGTTGCTTTCCGTATGTGATGGGATGAAACTGCCCATTGAGAAAGATTATCATGTTGTTCGGAGCTATCCTTTTCTGCCCTACGCAGCCAAGTACATATTCTACCATGCTGAGTCTGCGCAAGCCTCTGGTGTCTTCCAGCGAAAGTTTCTGCAGGCATTGTTAAAACATTCCAAGATGGACAAGATTCTGACAGCATTCTACAGACTCCTCACCGACCATCGGTGTGGATATGTACCGCATTTTCTACTACTGGATGGCCCCATCTATATAGTTCGCGTCTTTTCATCGTTCAAGGGGCACGATGTAGACACGCAGAATGGCGTATACTACAGAAATGCACTGCAGGTAGCTATAGCCGGTGGACATATAAAGATGGTGCAATTGCTTCTGGATCCTAGAGCTGACGTCAACACAAAGGGGGCCAAATATGCTTTCCCCTGCAAGCTGCAGCGTGGCATAGAAAGGAAATCTGGAAAATCTTGCTACGGCATGGTACGAATGTCCTTGCTAGGGGGGGGCATTATGACAACGCCCGTCGAGCAGCGGATAAGGTCAGAAGGACGTCTATCATGAAGCTATTAGGCACGGTAGATGATGCCAAAGTGAAGCCTAAGGCCACAAAGTCCGCTTCTTCTGCTATTATACAAAACCACGACGATTCACAAAAGTGATGATTAGATTAGAATCACTTTATCAGAAACGTATTGTACGTTGGTTCCTTATCCTTCCCAGTCTGCAAGTTTTCATAGAGTCCTTTATCGGTCTCTACCAATGTTAGGTCTATATATATATTGTGTCATAAAATGACAGGGCCAATAGGGTTACTTCGAATAATAGCTATCCTCTGCAATGACTCATATATTTGAAAGAAGATAGGAAACGGCCATGTATAGGCTCGATAATTAGCCGGTTGCCAGGAGGAGTATGTGTCTTTTGGAGTAGGGTTATTTGAAACAGAAGGGAGATCGGAGAATGAAATACTACCGAGAGGAAATAGTCCTATGATGGCTCACTGGTCTATGTAAGGATATAAATGTCATTCCTCGAGAAAAAAGGGCAATGCACAGACACCTAATTCGATCTCCCTCTCTAGCCGAATGACCACTGGCTTATTCAACTAGGAGTTCAATCGAGTCTCCATCTGCAGCGGTGATGATTGGACTATCTATCATAGTCTAGACGGAGTAGGTCCAGTAAGCCAAGTTGGCTTCCCATAGGCTCCTCGACATTTGTTAGTTGTCACTAATGATGTATAGCACGTAAGCTAGGCTACATATAAGCTTTTGATCAAACAATGCGTGTCTGAGATTCGACAGTAGCGCAGCCTCTATGGGGGCTTTTATAGGGGAGGATTGCGCCGGACATGCAAGTGAGATTGGATAGCCGGTGACGGGATTTATGGCGTCCAATGAGTTTCCGAAGTCCCCACCGGTTATATGATTGATGACACACCTCTCCCTTAAAGGGCCAATGATTATCAGGACCTATTTGACTATTAGTATTAGGTAGTAAGGAATTGGATCTATCAGATGGGGGCCTATATCGTCTCTATATTGATTGCTCTAACCCAAGCAGAGCGGCCCCATATAGTGACACAAAGAGCAGATGCGTCTACAACAACAGCGCTTGAACGAACGCAGCGGCATACTACACAGAGTCTAGGGTGCCCTCTCATGGTTAATCAAGAGACAACACACTTAGCCCAGAGTACAGCCCGATGCTTCTGAGTAAATCACAATACCATGTCGGATTGACAGATAGGGTTGATCCATTTACCAATGGTCATCATTCTTGCTAACGCCGAAGTAGTAGCTGAGTTCCTCTATGCCTACACAGCCACTATCCCAGCTGAATTTCTCGATCGGTTAAATGCTCCCTCTAAGCAGTCTCCGAGCCTCTCTTACTGCCCCTGTCGACATTCCCATACCATGATATAGGGCAGGTAGCCTGGCACCGTACTTCTACTTTGGGAGCAAATGGCGAGATCACGAGAAGCAAGGTTATTGTTAGATGACTACCGTGCATACAGACATGGGAAGGGACAAATTAACACACAATGAAAACAACGAAGGGCAGAACGTACGCGCTAATCGCAATATACAGAGAATATACCGTCTTTCCCCCATAACTCCGTCGACGATTTGTTATATGAAATATGATTCAGAAATGCCAATCTGAAGGTTGAATCTGAAGTCCGTTGCAACATGAACGGCCTTCTAGCATACGTCCATTCCATGTTTACTCGTTTTCAATCACGTATATTAGCATAAATCAATTTGCGAGCCTGATATTTACTTCTATATGTCATGCTACCCTGTGAGAAGTCATACGTAAGGTATTATACGGGGTACCACATCTCCTGTTTTGAGAAGTACATCCGCCAGCAACAGCAGCAATTACTCATTCACGTTAGTAAGACTTACTTCCCTATAGACACTTCTCAGGCGATGGTGATCGTGTGCCGTAGGAAACTACGCGTGTGGTACAGCCTCGTATATATCCCTTGGCAGTCCTAATGTCAACTCGGATCCCACATTCATCAGCCAAATGGAAGGTTTTGAAATGAATACAGGAAAATATCCCGAAAGCTTATCTCCTACGATTTGGGTTTTCGCAGAATAGACCTTACTATAATTGTTTGCGTATCACCATCGATGCAGGGTCTTGCAAGATATGCCTTGCTCCCTGTCTGCGTAATCATCCTCAGCAAGAGATCTCATTCAACGACTGTGATAGCCGAAGCATTCTTTGTCTCCTTGAATCATCTGATATGTCGCTTTGTGGGAATGTTACCAGAATAGACCAGCAATCAATACGTCAAGGCTTCATTAAGAAGTACTGCTATGATCTCACATCTAGATCATATGCCGAGTTCAGAGACTGTAAGCGAAGCTCTTTTTCTTGTGAACAGTTTCCTTGGGCATTCACGGCTGGATAGTATACAAATACCCGTGCAACCGTATCACGTACTATGGAGCCGTAAAAAGCATCAATTCGACAGAAGCAAATGTTTTTGTCAAAACTTCTAAGGCTTACGCCCAATTTGTCGTGCAACTATGCCCGCAGCATTGATTACATCACGCCTAGGCCGCTTCGAATCATATAGAATTATCTCGGGCTGGTATGTAGGCTTCTCGGATTTGTTACCATCCTTACCCATGAGAAAAGCTCACGGAGCCCCAATCTCTCTTGTGCGTGCTCTAGTATACAATTTCCGAATGATCTATATTTATGTCGTGCTCCGTTGCGCAAACTCCCGCGTTTAGGTCATCGGCATGCATATAACATAAGCAGTCGATGGTTATTCCATAGGGTTCAAGTTGGTAATTGTTGCCACAAACAAGATCTTCTGTTGGGCTTGAAAGAATCAGGCATCTTAGTCCGCCAGAGCCAGTTAGAAACTGATATTGAAGGCGCTCTCACTTATTCGTCGAGAAGTTACCGTGTGACCGGTCACACCGATCTTTGAGAGCTATGCGGCTGCATATGCTCCATATCAACAATGGAGCTAGACAGCTTGCCAAAACAGAGTAAGAACTAACATTCCTACCTCAATACTCTCCGCCTAAGAAGCCGTTCCATTCAATCGGATGCATATATATTGGGCTTCTATCTTCTCTCGGAAGACATACAACAGAACAGGAATCTTTCCACGAACGACTTACACGACTTTGTCTCCCCATGACCAACATGAAGGATCTTCTCTTTCTTCTCATTATCGGTATCGCGCTGGCCGCCAATGTCTACCGTACCGACTCGGCTCTGAGTTTCCTCATCTCACCCTCACGTGGCATCCCGAAAGGTCCGCAACCACAGCAATTTGACATCAACACCAACTACTACACAACAGTTCCCACTTCTGGCGTTGTCAGAGAGTATTGGCTTGACATCTCGAACGTCACCGCGGGCCCCGATGGGGTCCAAAGGCCCATGATGGTAGTCAACGGTCAGTACCCAGGCCCCACCATCGAGGCTGACTGGGGAGACACCGTCGTGGTCCATGTCCAAAATAGCCTGCAGGACAATGGAACAAGTATCCACTTTCATGGAGTACGGCAGTTCCTTAACAACCAGATGGACGGCGCAGTGTCAGTTACTCAGTGCCCTATCGCGCCTGGAACCAGCTATACCTATATCTGGAGAGCCGAACAGTATGGCTCTAGCTTCTACCATTCCCACTTTTCTCTTCAGTCATGGGAAGGGGTGTTCGGTGGCCTTGTAGTTCATGGCCCTAGGACAGCTGACTATGATGAAGACCTTGGTGTGTTGTTTCTCAATGACTGGTCACATCGCCCGTTCAACGAGATGTACATGGGCCAGCTTAGGGCTCCCACCACGCCAACGATAGACACCGGCCTGATCAATATGACAAATGTTTGGTCCACCAGTGCTACCAATACTGTTGGTAAACGGTTCCAAGCCGAGTTCGTCCCTGGAAAGAGATACCGAATTCGACTAGTGAATGCCGCAATGAATGCCCACTTCAAGTTCTCAATAGACAATCACAACCTAACAGTCATTGCTAGCGACTTCGTCCCAATCGTCCCATTTATGACAAACAATGTCGCCATCGGCATGGGTCAGCGCTACGATATCGTTGTCGAAGCAAATCAACCTGTGGACAACTATTGGATCCGATCAGTCCCTCAATCAGCATGTTCCAACATACCCACCGGCGATAACATCAAAGGCATTCTCCACTATCACGGGGCAAACGGAACCGCAGAGCCCTCAACGAATAAATGGGCCTACGAAGACGACATTCAGTGCCAGGACATACCTATGTCCGATCTTGTGCCCTGGGTTTCACTAGACGCCTTGATCTCCGATGCAATCAGGATTACAAACCCAATAGCGACTATTGCCACGATTAATTCTGGGGTATTCCTATGGACCGTTGGTAGTGGCGCCTTCAACCTCTCCTGGCGCAACCCGACACTCCAACACCCTCCGATTCCAGGTATCGACAGCATGATCCCAGACCCTGGGGCGATTGAGCTCCCCAATGCCAACCAATGGGCCATGTTCATCATCACCACCACCCTAGGGGTCACACATCCAATCCATCTGCACGGTACATTCCCCCCTCACACCCCATTACTCCATATGCTCGATCCTTGCCTGTTGTGGGCGATTTAGCTAATGAACTCTCCGTTTCATGCAGGGCATGACTTCTTCGTCCTTGCTCAGGGTGTTGGACCCTTCTCAACGAATAGCACCTTGCAGACACGCAATCCTCCCCGGCGCGATGTAGCCATACTGCCTGCTGGAGGACACCTTGTGATTGCGTTTCCGGTTGATAATCCCGGAGCTTGGCTCCTGCATTGTCATATGGGTTTCCATTCATCATCGGGCTTTGCGCAGCAGATTGTTGAGCGAAAGGCTGAGTTTTGGAAGTTTCTTAACCCACGTGTCTTGAAGGAGACCTGTGATGCCTGGGATGCTTATGCAGCTGTAAATCCGCATGGGGTGCAGTATAGGGGAACCGAAGGTCCGTATGAGTCTGGGATGTAATATTCCGAGCTTTGTGTAAGGGCCACAAATTAGGTGTGACGCTAAAGGGTGGGTCTAGTAGCTAGTCGTGATATGCTGTCAGTCCGATACAGGGTGTGATTACGGCGCAGCATTTGCCGAGATATATTGCGTATTTACTGGCTAGGCCAGATGGCAACTGTTCCTTTTCATCGGACAGGAAATCTGTTTAGGTCATATGTGTAATGCTCGCGGAGTAGATAATGAGTGTCAACTGCCTTGATTTAGGCAGCATTTTGCACACTGCGGCGGAGACTTGCAGGCGTCACGATTTCCTTTGGAGTCCGATCAACATATACTAATTTGTTAAGACGGTCGTTGGAAACGGAGAGTTATGGTTGGCAGATAATTCCATTTGCCCTGAGTACGATTTAAAATTGTAGGTGACACTGAACCTGATCAGGTCTTGTTGAACGTGGCACAGGTAGCATAGCTCGGATATATAATTTTTTGTCACACAATGATTCAATATGCGGCGATAGATAGTATTTAGGGCAGTAGTAGGTAGCACCATAGGCTGATCTAGGCTACTAGCTGACATCGTATCTATCTTGATATACGATGTGGATCTCATCATCGTACATACTGATAGAGTATAATGCAGTTAGTGATGAATATACTGTTGTGGCTGTGCGAAGTAAGGTTAGGCCACAGCCACGTTAACACCAATTAGAGGCGTCGATCTCCCATACCCAATCACTGCATAAAGGTATGCCCTTCCAAATCCGGCAGTCGATTTTACTTTTGCGAGAGTTCCAGACCGCCCGCAAAAGATCTTCAGGTGACAACAAACCTTCCTGATCGTGTGAAATGAATTTCTACCACATCACAACTCGCTCATATCACAGAGAAAAATACGCCAGTATGTTATAGCAACCAGGAACTTCTAACGAAAGATGAACGTGACCCGGGAGTCGCCACTCTTCGTGGCACAAGAGGTCCTCTGCGTCTACCCCATTAGCACCATCTATGATTCGTGTCCACGATACCTCTTCTACGCTCTGCTCCTAGCTGTATGCGTCACGCGCTGGACTGGCTGGTTAGCTGACGTCTTCCTTGGTGCCGCTGCTACGTATGCCGGCTCGGCTGCTATTCAGGCATTTATTCTTGTCTCCAGCTCAGCAAAGCATCCGACACCGCAGCCGGTCTCCATTCCATTTGTTTCCGATAATACTACCCTATGGGATGGCTTTCCGGCGTTGAAAACCGGAACCAACGAGATTGACATTAGTCCTGCAGCGATCGAGCTCGATGCAGACGCCGTTCTTTCCATCGTAGTGACGGGATATCTCGTGTTCCTACCACTGCAGTGCTGGTCTCGAGTCTTTGCCCAAGATCGTATCGGCTACATTATTTTCTCGTTGTGGAATGTTTTCATGCTAGCGGGGACCATCTGCTCTTTAGCCTATTGGCCTAGACTGAAAAAGACCCCAGCACAATATACCTTCTGCTTACCGCAGCTACCTCCCCAGGATACGATATCGAGTGACGGATGGGAGACATGGCAGTACCAGTCATCGTGGAACAACAGCGTGTGGGACATCTTTACCAATGATACACTCTTACTCCGGCTCAGCGACGTTTGCTTATACCCGTGCTTCAATTCCAGTCAGGTGCTACGTCAGCAAACCTCACTACAAGCGGTCGTAGCGTCGGGAACCAACCGATTCGCAAAACGCCATAGGTTCTGGGGCAAGGTGATCTACTCCCAGCGGTACATCTACAGCCTGGTCGGCCTTACTATGGTCCTGAACGTCCTGTTGCTGCTCATCAGAGTGCTACCGTATCGCTCCCGAATTCCATCGGCGCGAGTCCGGCAGGTCTGGCAAGAGAGAAAAAATATTATCGGGGGTCTGAAGGAGGACTTTTATATTGCGGTCCATGCATCTCGACACAGTCGCGAGTCAGTGGTAGAGAAAACGAGAATAAAACTGTCATCATGGAAACCGGCATCGCAATTGTTTACTCTACGGTCAGCAACCTCCTGGGCGAAAGTGATCTTTGACGTCATCATTCTTGGGGCGTTGCTATTCAGCATCATCATCAGCCCACTCACTGTTATCGCCTTTGTGGTTTGGATTGAATACTATATTTATCACGACGGGCCGTCCCAGGAGGAACCGCAACAGGTTGGACAATGGTCATCCCTGGTGTCAGTCGCGCTGTTGATGATCTCTGCGATGATTTACAAGTTCAGGTACTGGGTGGCACCGCGACATGAGATTGAGCATGACATTGAAGAGCTACGAAAGGAAATTAAATTCCTGGAGAAGCTGAGAGACGAGAAGTCGAACACATAGCAGCTATATACCTAGTTACACCCAAACTCACAGATAACCATATTTCTGATACAGGATTTGCTTGATATGCATAGTGATCTCTCTTCATAGCACGTAATACATCAACATATCGCGAACCATCCAACCAACATTGACGCAATTCAATCTGCCCTGGCATATACTTTACGGCTGCTGCCGACCAATTGCTGAAGATGCGTTGGGTATTTACCTGTCTAGAACACCTGTGGGTCTCACTTCCTAACTTACCCTGCTATAAACTTGTACTAGATAGGTCATGTTAGAATTTTCTCGTCTATCTGCCTAGCCGGGAGGGGACTGTGGGTGTCACGACAACGGATTTTTTGCAACCTCAAGTTTTCCCGCCTCCCAAGGATCTACCCTCTAGGCGTCCATATTGTTATAACTTCGCTTGCTTACCCCGAATGGCGAATTTGTTGCCAAGACAGCGCCCTGAGACATGAATCAAAAAGCCAATTATTAAGAGAATACAATATGACAGAGGGTTCCTGCTATATAATGGGTCATGTTCAGGCAACGCTAATAGAAGTCACCGCTAACCTAGATTAAGCATGATTTGGTTCCAATGTATAATAAACACCACGTTGTCCAATAAAAAGACCACTGTGGTCGACCCAACCCTAGCATGCTGACGATACCTGTTTGCACAACCTTAGTCGCCAATATTTCGAACGCCCAAGGCCATATCTGCACGGCTCGATACGCCTTCCTGCCTTCCACTACATTCTGCAAATGCACTTACTACCTATGATTCCGCATCGCACTTTTCAAGGCTGTACCATAGTTCCAAACGCGGGAGTCGAACATACTACAATTATACTTTCGAATGGCGTTCTTCAGACATACATATGGGGGAATAGGACTCTGAACCGTTCTTAGGAACACGGCTGCCTACTTTTATTTCCCCGCCCTGCACAATCCGTATTCTGGGCATTCGTTGCCTTGGCACCAAACCAAGGTTTTGCCATGCTGCCTGACTCCAGGCAAGCACGGTTATGGGCGGGCTTCATGGATTGCTATTCTTAAACAGGCTATAGCCACGCCCTATCCACTACTGTTTCTTCGTATACTAAATTATAGACTGAAGACTTTGTTACTTATCCGCCCAATATCCAGACTTAACTATAACTGGGGATTTGCCATCAAAAATCTAGGCATTCTTCAGTAAATCCCTCAAGAGAGAATGTTTATGTCGGCTACAGTATTTAAACCCGTACACCCTGAATATTCGATATACGTCCCAAACTATACCTCCTAATCTGGGCCTATCTAGGTAATGCTCTACCGTTAGTTACAGTAGCTAGCTGGCTAGCGGCGGGCTTATATCGGGATCTAACGACAAAAATAGGAGCAACCACGACAATTGCGTGCATAATTGATATCTACAAACGCCCATAAACAGAATCCAGACCTTAAACCTAACCCTCAACCACCAACCCACGCTTCTCAACGAGCACTTCCGGCCCGTTCTCAATCTCCCCATCGGACCCACCCCGCTCCCTCCGAGAAGACCAATAAGTGACAGACTTGCTCACCATAACCCCAATAATACAAGTAATACCACCGGCCATAACCCCAAGCAAGAAGGGGAGGATAGCAGGATATATAAGGCGCATGAAGTCCACGATCAGCATACTCTTTTGTCTATGGCTATGCAGTTGACACGAATACTGATGGGCACGGTGCGATTTGCACGCCCGGGCTTTAGGCGTGGTGAAAGATCCGTAGAACATGCGGCCGACTCGGTCGATTTGGTGTTTTATTTCGGAGATGGAGTTTTTGCTACGAGGCCTGCCTGGACGTTGGGTCTTGTCCCCGTCGCATTTCTCGTCGCATTTCGAGTTGGGTGGAGCTGGGTTGATCGTTATCATTGTAATGCGTAGATTGGAGTGGGGGTCTTGGGAAAGACCAATTGAGATTAAGTTGGTACCCTCTGCGGGCTGGGTGGTCTGGTCGAAGAGCATCAGGTCCACGCGGAATAGGTTAGCTATTGCGCCTGATCTGAAGCGCTGGACTGGCAGGATGTTCATTCCATATCGTAGAGTGAGGGTTTCGGGATCTGACCCTGAGTGTTTGATGGCCGTGAGCTGTGGTGGAAGGGGCGCTGGAAGGGGCGCTGGAAGAATGGTGTTGTCGTTCACTTTCAGTGTGTCATTTATGGTTGCAAAGGTTAATGCCTGCGAGATTAGCCGGTGGAATACTTTACGGTGTCGTGATCGCTTACGATGTAGTCGTCTGGGCGGCGCTCCTGAGCCGTGCCCTTGCCGCATATCGAGGAACCAGCGCATGGGAGATGGACCTCGTGGCCGGATACAATGGGGCGTGGTGCGCGAGAAGTATGGCGGCCGGTGATGTCCGAAATACCAGGTCCTGTGCTCGAGGCAGCGGCATAGGTGGCAAACCAGAGAGTGGCCGCCGCGGAGAGAGGTGAGAGACGCATGTTGAAGCGGGAGAGAGCGAGCGGTCATATGTTGATGGTTGCAGTGACAATAGTCGTAGCAGTCACCTTGATCTTGGACTTGGACTGTTCAATCCCGGTGTCATGATCGCCGATTTGGAAGGAGGTTGGCCTCAGAAATGGAAGGATAGAGCCGCAGAAACAATAATCGTCGGGCGGAGCGATGGAATGCCACGTACCCTACATCAAGCCCAGACCGCTGGAATCTACCTGTTGTACTAAGGATAGGATCGTTGAATTTCTTAATAGACAGGAAGCCATATCGTGAAGGAGGAGATGGATGGAGCCAAGTCCGAAGTGGTACTGGTGCGACACTTACTCGGTTGCCTATGTACTGACGGCCTTTTCTCCACATTGACGCGGGATAGCGTCATATTTGGCCACGGACTCCTCGGGCTCCGTCGACACTCAAAATATAAAATATACATAGGTTCGGTGTCTTCAAGACTAAGAGAGCTAAGGGACTGCAGGATTCTTGTACTGAGTATTTTAGTGTACTAATGATAGTCATCTTGCATGTGTAACTTTAAGGTCCGCTTATCTGATGTATAGAAATACCACGTGAACAGTGCGGCTGTCAGAAATACAGTTAAATCCTCATACCCTGATAGGCATGGGCCCCGAAACCCTTACTCTAGACCAAACAAGCCCTAGGTCGAGAACGCACCGTCAAGCACCGATTTATGATAGGGTATTGTCGCCGAAGGATTAACTAAGGAATATGCATGAAAAGACCAGTAGGCAACCACATTTTGTCCGGTGGAATGGGCATCAAATCTGATAAATCGATATTTTGCGAAAGAGCGAACGTCTCTCTGGAGTAAGCACTCGCCAATGTAAGATGTTGAGGGGCCACTATCCCTTACTGTGTTGTATTTGAACCACATTGGATTTAGAGGCAGTATCGTTATCCGGAATAAATTCGGAAGTAAAGGATATTATAACCATCCAACTTTATATATACATCAAGCAACTTATTGTGTATCCACTTCTCCATCAGGAGGATGGGCAATATGCCCTCAAGCGGGTATCAACTAACACGACCGACCCGATTGAGTTAGACAGTGCGTGCAAACTTAGCCCTAACTCTAGGCGCCTTTTTTCTTCTTTCTTTTTTCTTTCTTTCTTTTTCTTCTTCTTCTTTTTTTTTGGACGTAACGCGCCTATAAGATTTTAACTAGTCTTAGGAAGGACTTATAATGACCGCTAGGAAAAAAAAGCTTAAACATCCCGTCTAAAAGAGTAAATATATAAGCTAATCTTAGTAGTATTAGGAAAATGCTCTAGATCTACGTTCCCGTATAATAGAGTGCTAGTGGTATGATACACCGAGGACCGAAAGTCTGAGACACTGGAACTAGGGAGGAACACTTGGAAAAGAATAAAAAGTTAAAGTGACTTTGGACTGTCACGGATAGACCAATAATGTTGGATGGTGCAATGGGTCCAGCCCGAGGAATCAGACAGGCAGCAGTGAGAGTGCAATTAATTTGACTGCAAGCTAAGCTTTTCCCTACCTTACATTTCGTCTCCAGCCTCGGGGTCCGAGGACCCAAAACAAAACAACCAATTTCTTTTAAAAAAAGAGATCTTCTCCGGATAGTTTTAGGCAGCCATTTTCTATGCGTGAGACTTCCTCCGAATCGACAAAATTCTCGAGTGGTACTAAAGGATCTGTTATGAGAGGGTAGACCGAGCAGGCTCGTGGCTCACGGAGGCTTTATCACTAGCGCGCTCCAGACGGCGCTGTGCTTTTACTGGGATTTCGGGGTTCGGGACCTGGATTCACTAGATGGCTCATCTTATACCCTTGCAACAGCGCGTAAAAAGGGGGCGGGGTAAAAGCAAAAGTTATATGAGGATACCTGAGAGGTGAACTACACACCTAGGCACCGTTCCAGGCCCATTTCCTCGTCAGATCTGTGGTCGCATAACAGTAGTCTGGCTTTAAGCGCTGTGTCCTATCCTCTACCACGCTCTAGGTCGGATGGGAAAGTGGAGTTAACAGGCTGAAAACTAGATTGTAGTTCCATATAGCGTACTTGAAAAAAGATTAGGTGCATTTGCCTTCAGGCAGGTAAGTTTATTGCACAAGGATTACTATATGTTGTACTAATAGCGCTAAACCCCCAACTTTTAACGCGATCAATTTCGTCCTTGATAGGTCTATTTAATATTATCAGAAATGGCGCTATTTTAAGATGATCATCCAGGAACATAATGTACCCCAAACGACTTGTGAATCTACCTCCCTCTGTCTCCAAAGCTTTAGTTGATGTGCACCCCATTGAATCATCATGATCGGTAATAGAATACGATTGATCATAGTGGTCACAGTGGCATTGGCCTTACTATGGCTGTCGACATGTTCGCTGCAGCGGTTATATTACCTTCTCCGATTACCGTTTGTGTGGAAAACGTCCGCTGCGGAGTCGATCATATCTCAACAACGAGATGATTTCGATATCACATTCGCCGAGTACGACGCAGACTACTCCACATATGCAACAGGTATACGGCCCTATGTACCTCGACGGCTTCATCATATTCACCTCGGATCGGCTGCACCGCGGCAAGAATGGCTGGATGCCAGAGCCGAATGCCTCCAACATCACGAACACTGGGAATCCTTCCTTTGGACCGACGACAATGCGGACACTTTCGTGCGCGAGAACTATCCTCACCTTCATACAATGTGGACAAGCTACCCGTTCATGGTACAACGTGTGGATGCACTGCGCTACATGGTTCTTCAAAAATACGGGGGTATGCGCCTGGGATCCCATCCCATCGCACTACAGGTGATCGATAGGCTAAACTACCATGTTGTACAGGTGCTGTCCTTGACTACGACCTGGCCTGTAAGCGATCCTTAGAACCATTGCGCCGATTCGAGTTCGTGGCTCCAGCCGCCCATCCCGCCGGATTCTCCATTGGCATGATGCTCGCCTCCCCGAACAATCCCTATGTCCAGGCTCTCGTCAACAATCTACCAGAATATTACCAAGTATGGCCATTGCTTCCCTACGCAACGGTAATGTTCAGCACGGGGTGTCATTATGCTTCGTAGGTCCTACTTTGAATGTGTCATCACTGTACAATGCGGCTCACCGTCCCTGCAGAACGATCTATACCCTACAACCAAACCGCACCAATCTTCGCATCCTATCTGGCCCAGCAGACCAGCCCAAACTGCACATGCTAAACGGACTCGTCAACACACCGCTGTTCCAACACCTCGGTTCATCGTCCTGGCACGGTCGAGATGCGCATCTAATCTCCTTTTTCAAGAACCTTGATCAGCGTATACTCTTCGCAGGTCTCGTAATCGCCTTAGCTGGTACTGGAGTCACCATACTATTCTGCGCCAGTCGTCTACGTCCGTCGAAGCTGGATGACGAAGAACGTCAGTCGCCGTCCTTTGCCATGAAGCTGATAAGGAAAATAGCATAGGGAAAGGTGTTTAGGCAGTGACTAGGTGCCATGTATTTGAATTCTATTGTAACTATTGTAACTATTCGGTTCTATGTATGTTATTTATTTACCTATACAGTTTCATTATATCGTGATGGATTGCAGAAGATCCGCTAAAGACTAGTCCACTCTCTCCAATGTGTTGAACCACATGTATCGGCTTAGTACGAGGTATAGTACGCGATCCCATGAATACTGGCTCTCATGTTGGCTGAATGCGGCTCGTGAGACCTTGTATGTCTTCCATGAGCTGACTAGAAGCGCCTTGCCATTATATTTGTCCAAGGGAACGACGTCGTGTACTGCGCGCCGTTCAATCGGCGTGTTTATAGGCGTGGTGAGGAAGGCTTTGAGGATGCGCCAGGAGAATGGGATCGAGGAGGGGATGAGGTCAAGAAGTGACGAGTATTTTCGTAACAGAGGTGTGCTTTGCAGCATGTATGTCACGGGCGCTTGGGGCGTGCTTTGGACGTATTTCCTAATCGCGGTATATTAGCATAACCTTAGCTTCGGATGATATAAAAGGGTCTTGACAGCATACCGTACGCCCGCGCTGACCGATCGATGGTTGATATGGCCAGATATGCCGCCTTGGTCGAATGTCAAAATCTATGCGACAGCATCGGTTAATAGATACATGGCAAAGTGGCTTAAATGTACATACCACATCCACGTGCCACTTGTCCACGTGTGCGGAAACAAGGTCCTTTATTCTCTCTTCGTCCCACCACTTCTTAGGGTTGTCCTGAAGGTCTGCATCGTCCAGTACAACACAACGGTCTTCTGAGATGCCTATGCGTGCGCAACTGTTATGGAGCTCCTTTTGTCGCTTTTCTCCCAGTCCATCGTAGTTCCCTAGTGGCACATTAGGTGACCCGTCTCTTTGCCGTGAGGGCCATCTACCTACCGGAAGATATGACTAGCAAAGAGCGCTTCACATCCGGGTTTTCTCGGCCATAGGTGATACTGGGACTGAAAAAAAGCGTCTCGTCATCTGGATGTGCCGTGACGAGTAGGAAGCTCCGAGCTTGCTGGAAGGCAGTCGGAACGAGGCGTGGGTCATTTGCTAAGTAATAGGCAAGAACAATGTACAGGGTGAAAGTCGTAGCTATTATTCCGAACGAAAGCGAGACTGCGAGGCGCCTAAAACTTTGTCCTTGAACTTTGCGTCCGAAACGCCGCACAACCCCCATAATGCGCATTGTAGGAGTAGGCGACGGTCTTAGGACCAGATAAATGGGTATAGCTGTCGCACTGAGGTCTTCTTCCTTGCTCGTATTTTTGCTACTTTAGCTTAAGGCCAGGGCATCGATCGGAATCCACGGGCCCCGTCAGACGGCTTTCTCGCCAGGCGACTGTCAATCATCAGTGGGGTGGTCTAGAGCCGTGAGTTCAGTGGGGTAATGCTAAAACGAATAGAGTGACCCACCCCGAATGCTTAGCAGAATTTGGGCAAGGCTTGGCTTTTCGACCAATCTGATTTCACGAAATGTGACTGCCTAGGAGACAAAACCCTTAGTTTAGCGCGTTGATGCAGGGTTCGGAATGATCAATCGGCCCCGAGGCGGGAAAATGTCTCTTATTTGTTCGGGAGGAAGCACCTAATTCAGATGTCACCCGGCGGAGTCACGACTCTGCAGTAGTTTGTTGGTTAGTGACTAAATGAACAATCCAATAGTCTTTCCGCATGTCCCCATATGCTCGTTGGTGTTTTATTTTGTCTTTTTTCGCTCTTGAGGGATATTTCTCTGTGCATTTACTCGCGATTTGCCATCTACGGACTCCGGCTTGGGACCGGAAATACTCCGGTACTACACAGCGCTACAAGTTGGCATATTGGCATATCGAGGCTGACTAACACTAGACTGTTCAATACATCAATATGAAGGGTCCAATATACAAAGTTATATGGTATGAGAAAACAAAAACCATAGAACAGGTAACTTCATAACCCAAGAGCATAGGACGCCTTGGACCAGTCCCTACAGAGCCCAAATATCGTTCGACAAAACTTTCCCAACTCAACCTTGATGTCAAGCCTCCTCCATGACCCCTGTGCATGATGAAACAAACGTGCCGACGGGTCACTGATGGGCTTCGACCCCATGTTCCCATACCTGCCTCTCCCGGGACTACCTTGGGTCAGCACTAAAGCAAAGAGAGAGATAGCTAGGGGACCACAGCTCACCTGAATCCAGTAATAGGGAGGACTAAGATATCCCTAACCACTTTGCTTTCCCCTCCATCGTCCAAGCCAGATAGCGCATTCCATCGAAGGCCAGTGGTTGTCGCCAACCATCCCTTCACTACCTCTGTAAAAGCGGCCGGGCCTGTAAGAACAAGCGGGTCTAAACCTTGCAGTGTCTCCTGCGGGGCCTTTATCTGTACTGCACTACCATTACCGTGTAAGAATGGGTCAAGGCTTGCGGAAAGGCGATCGATGAATCTCTGAAAGATGGGATGCCTTGGCGCCGACGCAAACGCCCATTGTGTCAGCTGGACAGGCTGCGCATAGCCCATGCGCCAATACTCATCACCCTGGGGAGGACAATCCGCCTCCAGGCCCACAATAGCTCGTACTGTCCCAGTTGCACTGTACATTTCGTTGGTCTCTGGGTCCTTCCATTTCAGAAGATCACCAGGAGCGATCCAGGTTGACGGGTTTCGAAGTGGCTCGGTGTCCATGTCGCCGTACTGCCCTCGTAAATCACACGTTAGAATGTTACCACCAAATCAGTGTCTCCCCAAAGCTTCACAACGAGACTCACAATACCGCCTATCCATTTCGCTACCAAGACCCGAAATACATCCGACCTCTCCACATCGCTCGGAAGAGCATGGAACTTCTCTTCAAACTCAGGCTCAAACCGTTTCACAAACTGCGCGACACCATCATCATCCCAGAGAAAGTATGCCATCTCGGTCTCCTCGACATCCTCAAGCCACCTTTCTGCGCTGTGGCGCATCATCTGCGACCATGTCTCGATCTGCGTGTTTTTCCATGTTTGGTGTACAATTAGGGGGATCGCCGAATGCCGTATATTCCTCTCCGCGGTCAATGTCGACCGCTCCGTAGCTATCTTCGCCGCATCGACAATGGTCTCCGGAGGTGTAGTGAGGTCTTCGATCCATTCATGAGGAATGTGCCATGCTACCGGTTTGTTAGTTGCGATGTAACACAACGATGAGCTGGAATGGTACCTCCTCCGTGCCCTCTTTGATTTTGCACGTATTTAAAGAGCAAGGGGTATTGACTCTCGAGGCCCGAAGGCGCAATATAAGGCCAGTGGGCGGCGTAAATGAAGATGAATATCAGGAGAGACGAAAGAACAAGTAATCGCCGGAGTCGCCAGCGCGGCGGCAATGACATGATGAGCAAGGAAGCGTTCGTTCCTTAATATAAATTAGCCGTCCTTCGTGCTGTGTAACGTTCTATCTGATCATGGTCGCATCGTAGAGCGAGCCAACACCAGGGCCACCCGATGAACGATTCTCAATACGCGATTACAAAAGAAAGCCCAGGTATGTCGGCATATTAGGGGGCTGCGAGACATAGTCCATGGAACCATAATTGCTCTAGCCTTAGTTTCAAGATGATCTACTAATTTACTCGGGCAGCAGCGTAGTGATCCACCCTTGTAATATGGGTCTGACCACATTAGTCGGTATCCTTGGTTCTTGTATGACTTCCCGCTCCCAAATTTTTTTTTTTTTTTTCTCTCTCTCTTTCCCATCTCCACCACCAATCACTAACCAGATTTTCTCGCCAAGGAGAAGAGAGACGGAGAAAAACGGAAAAGGAAGAAAAGTACTATGCAACTAATTTAGCTCATCACACAGGCTTACTAAATGCGACCAGAGAGCACTCTAGAACCCCTTGACTTAATTTTTGAAAGCTTATCCAGAATAGGCTATTCAAGAAAAGTGCTCTGACCTTTCAATGTATACCAATGGTCAATTCTAATTTATCCTATCACTGTGCGTCAAATCGGCCTTCAAGGCTGTCCTCAGTAGCATCTATCACATGACCACATTACAATTTCAATACTTTTTAACTAGATATCCCCTTTACCATAGGAATATGGCCTGACACTCTGCGTATAGATGGTCCACTCAACGCGGATGCCTTTGTAAACGTCGGTGAATCGCCTTGCTGTACATTGCTTGTCTAACTAGGGTTGTGGACTACAATTATATAACTCCCTATAGGTCGTGACTTCATTGTAAGTAGTGATGGTACGTCCTCTTGGACTATGTGGTAATAGCATCTATGGGGTTTGTTAACTCCATAGTAATGAGCAGCATGGCCCCAGGTGCGATCTTAAAGACACCATACATCTCCACTAATGTCGTCTGGGTTTTCATATGTAGGTAGGTGAGGTCGGTTTAATCAAAGGCACATTTAGATATGTACAGGATTGTCTAAAACAGACGGGGCCATCATATCAGCTGTAGTCTGCGATTAAACAAGTTCGAAAGAGAGAAGCAAGTGCCTCGTTCATCGACGCGCCCTAGATTGCAAACAGAACCCCCGGTCTCTCATGCACTGGTCATTCCCTGATCCCAAAATGTCCATCCCGCTATATAAGACATTTAGCAGGCGATTTCGCCCCGGACCACCCTAGTACCACAATATCCGCAGATGGATACTCATACGTTCGGAGAATGATCCCTGGCAGAAGGCCGATCATCGTTCGTCGCGCATGTTGAGGCTAACACGCCCTCTGGCGGATACCCACCGTGCTTGTTCCCAGAAATCAATAGGACACTAAAGAGAGTTTGTACTATTGACTCTCAACCTCTCACAATCAGGTACATACGACCATAGGGTGTGGAGAATAGGGCTTTCCGTCCATTCAGCCGTACTTAAGCCAACTGTGTAAGCTCGACCAGAAGACAGGAGCGCCCGCTAGGGCTCGCTGCTTTACGAGTGAGCGACGCAAAATTGTAAGGTGAGATGGGTGAGCTAGATGATTTAGTGCAATCGCATATTGAGCAATCTAGTGCCTCCATCATATTAAATAAATAGGGAGAGCGCCTTTTGTGTTTCGCCCAAAATCTTTTCTCTCTTCAAATCATTTCGTAACTTTACCCTAATATATTGTCATCTATATCTATAAATATCACATGACAACATATCGGATTTATCTAAAGAGAAGTAACAAAGAAGAAAGATAGAGAAACTCTATAAACTCGGTAAATTACGCGGCTTCACTACAGAGTACAAATAAAAGCAGAAAAATAAAATAAAAAAAACTAGGTTTACTATAAGTAAAGAACTCCAGCCACTGATTAAAGATATGATCTAGCTATTAAAAAGTAGTAGTTATAAGATATATATATTATTCTGCAATAAGCCTGAAAATAGATATTTTATACAGGAGAAGTCCAATCTGTTTAACCAATCTTTTTAACTAGATTTTAAAGCTTTTCTCTAAAAGTTATATTTTGTCACGGTGTGCCTGCGGGCCACCTATCTGCCTGTCTGAATCCTGAGCATGCTTATATATGTGCGTGCAGTACAAAGCCTAGGGCTTTGCATCCTAGACTTTTGATGATAACGCAGCGGTTAAGCTTCTGAATGCACGCAGAGGTCACACTGTGACATAGTACTTAATATTAAAAACATATTATTTAGTATATTATGACCTTTCTTGCTTTAACATTATCATTATCATTATCATTATTAATCGAGTTTAACGTCCATATAGAGCCGTTGGCTATGGCAGACGGATGTGTTCATTCTAATCCTTTTCCTAGCCCGATCCGCCTATCTGCGCTAGGGCCTTGGGTTATGCCCTCCTCGGTATTCATTACCTGCTGGGCGTCTTCTAGGCGTGCCTAAATTGCCCTTTGTACTATACCTCCCCTTTGCTTTCTGCTTTCTCCACTAGCTCTAGGCCCCTAATGTCGTCCCTATAGGTCCTATCTATCTCCCTGGCCGCTTCCCCTGGGAAGTGTTCAATATTTGTTGTTACAAGAAGGGTCACTAGAGCATTCGTGGCCCTCTGATCCTCAAAGAGACGGCATTCTGGGACTATTTCTCTCTGTAGAGGTAGTGACACTCCTGCCTCGACTAGAGCCCTGTACAGGGCCTATCTCCGGTGGCACCATTGTCTACATTCAACTAGTAGATGGCCTGTTGTTCCCTGTGGAGCCTGGTAGCGTCAGGACCGAACCCCCTGAGGCACCAAGTCTACTTTATTCACTGTTGATCCGATCCTACAACTCAATATCCCACAGTTCCTGTGGATAGAATTCTTTCTTTCTTTCTTTCTTTCTCTTTTCCTTCTCTACGTTTGATGTTTTGCTGGATCGCCACGTTAGATATAAACGATATTGTCTTTCAATGTGAATAGGATCATCACAGGCAGCTCTGACATCTAGGTGAGTCTTGGACCCCTATCTGACTGAGGTAGGTCGATATTGCTGTATGCCTAACCTTTAGCTGATAGTATCGACGAGCGAGCTGTTTTGGTGCTCCTCCTGCTACCAGATCTAGTTTCCATCCTTTCTGGGATCGAATGCGCTATTGGGCCCTGTAGGATCATTTCCCCGGGGCCTGTATAAGCCAATGTTGTCTCTAGGCCTGCTTTGCATCAGTACACGTTCTGCGTAGATACATTAGACTAAGGCTCCTGTCTACGTCCCTGGGGCCCCTTTCTGCGGCTATCTCAGCAGCTTGATCAGCCTTCTCACTCCCTAGTATATCTTGATGGTCTGGGACTCATTAGATAGTGGTTTGACATCCTTGATTCTCAAGCCTTCGAGATAGATCTTGGGCCTTGATTATCCAGCCTTGCCCTGGACCAACTATATTGCTTCCGTCTCCATCTCCATAGCTTGGCTGGGATGCCGATATGGGTTGCTACAAGTCTAGCTACCAATTGGCCCCTGGCGGTGTAGGTAACTAGCAGTATGCTAATGAGAGATATCAGAATGAGGATCAAGCTGTTAGCAGAGGTCTATAACTAGATTTTACAAATATTGTCTAGGCCGGGACCCTGGAATGCCAAGCTTCACCTAATAGCAGTCTGCGGCGTTCTTATTACTCTCCATGATTTGTAGCTCAGTGCGAGACTTGTCGCTAATCTTTGAACCTCAGCAATACCCATATTGGGTCCTCTCCGGATATACCTTCCTATTGGCAATGTGGAAACCCCTTTTTCGTTTGTACAGGAGTGAGCCGTTGCTTCGCCTACAGGTCTGGAAAAGTAAGCATTCTACAACCGGCGACGGCCTTTGCCCAATCTGCTACGGCTTTCTCGGTTGCTGATACTGTAGATATCCAAACAAGTCCGCTATGATCTAGACAGTCGGTGGCATTCTACCTATACGATCATACCAGACGCGCTTCGACTTTGGACAGAACTCAACCTTTGTGGAGCTTTCCGGAGCTTCAAGCGCTTTAGGTCTCTGACATCGATTGGTTAACCCCTTCAGCGGATAGGCACAGCCCCAAAGCCATTCTGGAATCATACCAACACAGTGTGGAAGGCCTGTCCGGCGATCGCTGAGAGTTTGCCAATTTACTGGAATCTTGACGACCTACTGGATGGCATCAAAACCGCAGATGAGAGACTTCAAAGACGTGAAAAACGACATCCGAAATGCCATCTGAAGGGGGGCGGCGCTTTTTGAAAGATGAATAAGTTTGCGAAGCGGATTGATAATAATATTCCATATTATGTGACTCCAATCCTTGGCTCGCTCTTTAAGACATCCTATATCAAGGCATAGATGGGCGACGTAGATGCACAATTGATCGTCTCTGAAATTCGAGAGTTCCTGAAGCGGCAATACCCCTTCGAACCTTCAGCCGTACCACAGCCGGAGCGTCTTCAGGTCTGCCGGAGACGATGTGGGGGACACTCCAGAAGTTCAGCCTTTAGCAGAGATTTACAACCCTACTGAAAACAGCCAAAAACTCAACCCTGAGAGGAAAGTTTTTACTGGCCATCAGGGCACGATGGGAGAGTGAAAACAACTGTTTCTATAATGCAACTAGTAGCCCACTACGACTATCAAATAACAGAAGCTTGAAGACTATCAACCGACGGATTCTGCTTGTTTATACCTTTCTATTTGAATAGTAATATGGGAGATGATGTCAGGATATGAATAAGCCTTTCGGAGATTCGCTAAATATGCGTAGCATAACAGGGTTCCCATTATTGCCACACCTGATGAGATGCTATACACATTAATTCCTCATCAGGAAGTAGTGTCTCAGATCAAAAGAGCCCCACCATTCGTACTTATCACGGACCCAGTAATGAAGTTGTCTTTCATCACATAGATGTATGCTTCTGCAACGTCTTCAGGTTGACCAACCACTCCAAGAGTTGTTTGGCTCTTCAAGACATCGAGCAACCCGTCCTGAGCGCGTGCAACTCTATCCAACATCTCGGTATGCACAGCACCAACTGCAACCAAATTCACTCTCAGAGGCTTGAGGTCAACTGCAAGACCCCTTACTAACCCCTCCAAACCAGCAGTATAAGCTCCTGCGATAGCAAAATTCGGAGGCGGCCGCTGCGATCCCGCTCCCCCAGTGAATGTCATTGAGCTTTCTGGGCCAACTTTTAGGAAGTCGAAAGAAAGTTTGGCGAGGATGACAGGGGCAAAGAATCTCACAATGCCGGCAGCATAAACTTCGTCAATCATGATGTGAGACACGTGACCTAGGTGGAGATCGTTCCCAGAGGTGAAGACAACGTGGTCAATCTTGGAGGACCGTGTGGCTGCTCTCAGAATATTTGTGAGGTTCTCCTCTAGCTTCTCTGCTACAGAAAGGTCACATGTCTTCCCATCCAACCGGTTGTGTGCTGTTGGGTATGCCTCCAGTAGCTTCGCCAGGGCGGACTGGAGTTTATTTGGATTGGAACCAGAGATATATACGCTCGCACCCTGCTCGAGAGCTGCTTCCGCAACACAGAAGCCAATCCCTGAAGTGCCACCGAAAACTAATAGATGCTTTCCCTCCAGTTTTGAGGAGTACTTTCGTCCATCCATCTTTGCAGTGGGAAAAATATATATATATATATATCAGGAATAACGTTGGTTAGGATATTGCAACCTAACATATTTTTACTCAGTCTCACGCGGGTAGATATGCCCTTATAGTGTTTTCATCATCTAAGTTACGACGACCATCCAAGCAATGTTCCGAGTCACTAAACGGCATCTCAAACTCCACTCACAACGACGATACGGCTGCCACTCCAGACCCACCGGTTGCTGCCGTGTAGACGTCATATAATCGTGCAGATCTCGCGCCTTTTTTACCTAATATGGGCTGGGGGCTTGAGGTACATCTCAAACTTTCTTTTAGACTCGCCTGAGTGGTGGACACGGATATTCTTATTAAACTAAAATAGATTAACCCGATTTTAAAGGAGCGTCATGGGCATTGGATACCCTGAAAAGTCAAACATGCTACAGCGGCGTAAAGTAATCCAAGAATAAAATGAGCGAATGCTGCTGGGTACTTATAGGACGTTGATTGCTAAAAATGTTTTCTAGACGGCATGAAATTGGTTCCCAGAAGCCCCTGGTCACGTCCTCGGCATTTGTCGCTGGAAAAATGCGTCCAGTTAGACAAACACAGGTTGTGTGGTTGCTGATGCAGTATTGTGTAATATTCTATGTCAGATATCACAGAGGGGTTAATAAGATTTCCTCGAGGACGAGCGAGATAGATGTTAACGATGGGAGGTTTGCCGATTCAAGCCAGGATTAATACGGGTACCTGTTTGAGTATCACCCAAGGCTATGTAGCCCTAGGCTGGTTGGTGAACTAACTAGCTAACTGACCGACTGTCCCACCTAGCTGATTAACCATGTTGACCGAGAAACCATCCGGGATATCCGAATCGACACGGCAATTCCGACGAAAGTTCGATTGCTTTCGCAAGCGGCAGGCCCTCGGCGATAAAAAGGGCGCTCGAGCATCTTTCGGTCCTCTCCTCCCACCTACATGATATTGTCATACGACACTCTAATCGCTCCGAAATTATTCCATTAGTGAGATCAGCACAGAGACTACTTCAACGTGTTCATTTACAAAGTCTAAATACTTTGGTTTCTAGGCCCGTATGCAACTAGCTTCGCCGGTATGGCAATTTTCAATTGACCTTGGATAGTGAGATAGTGACCAACATGGCCACCGACCTACGGGACAGAATGCGTCGGTTTGTCGACTTCATCAACTCGAACGACGAAAACGTTGGCAAAGAAGTTGTTTCCGAATCCGCTGTATTTCATGTTCCGTTCAGTGACACTCCCCGTAAAGGACTAGCTGGCTACATGGAAATCCTCGCGATGATGCGGGGTGGCTATCCTGATATTCACTGGTCTCTCGAAGAGACGGTTATCGAAGGTGACAAGGTGGTAGCACAGTTCACCATACGTGGCACACACGGGGGAGAATTTTTTGGCATCCCTGCTTCAGGAAGGCGGATTGAAACTATGGCAATGAATCTTTACCGGTTCACGGATGGCAAGATTGTCGAAGAGCGCGGGCTCCCGGATTTGTTTGGTATGATGATTCAGATTGGGGCAATTAAGCCTCCTGGCCCCCAGTGAGCCTAGGTTGTGAGCAGTTAAATTCAATCATCTATAAACCTAACGGTGTAATCAAATTGTACACATACTGCCTTTGTAGCTAAGGCCAAGGTTTAGTAATTTCAACGATCTTTGTGACACCAACTAGTTATTTCAAGCAACTTCCCGCTTGTGGCCTTTGCAGAAGGTTGTGCTGCTTTAATGTGTCGAGGGGTTTACCTGCAATATTTGTGCAAGTATTCGCACATAACTGAGCACTACAAGTGTGTTTTCTGTTCACACCGATGAATATTCTATCAAAGTACTTACAAATATTCATGATCTTGGTGTGCCTTCTTGTGCGCAAAGATAATTCTCGAACAAGTTTCTAGATCCTGCCATACCGACTCTAGTGTGCTAGCAAGTCCAAGATGCCTAAGAAGCCGAGAACTTGGAAAAGCACAACTGACATGTCAAATTCAAAAAATGCTATAACCTCCGCCGCAGCCCGTTCACCGAAGCGTATAGCACCATCCATATATCCGGTCCAGTAGGGAGAGGTTTTAGTGCCAGCAAAGTGTATATTGCCGGCAGGGTTGCGTAAGTAACACCCGTACTGTGTAAGCACTCCAGGGGGACATAGGCAACAGGCCCACCGCGTGAGAATTCCTCCATATCCCATTGCTGTAAGAGTACCTGACTGGCACTAGCCGCCTGGGGCCCGAAGAGCTTGACCAGGTCGTCTATGACTAGCCTTTTTACTTCGGTTTGTGAGACTTTGTCAAGCGCGCGCGTCTCATCGGCTTCGATAAATTCCCAAGATAGCACCAAAGGTCACATTGGCTGGGGTGTTATCAAATGCTGCTCAGATAACGCCGGTATCACTCTGCGGCTGTGCGTTCAGCCCTAGCTTCCGGCACTAGGGCTTGGGATAGATTGCGATCGCCTTGCCAATGGAACCCATTGGCATGCGCTGAGTGAGCTGATCCCGGCCCGCGGGCAGCAATGGGTCATAGAAAATCCGTCCTGCCAATGGAGGAGACATGGCAACAACAACGTGTTTAGCTGACACTTGCAGCCTGTTGGACATTACCGTGTATCGGCCACCATTGAGCTTAACCTTGCCCACTGGTGAGTCTAGGTAAATGTTTTGTGCTCCAAGCTTCTCGGCCAACGCCGTCGCCAATAACTGAGTACTGACAGGCAGAATAAATTGAGCTGCCAAAGTCACCGCCCTCAACCATATCAGCCTGCTTACTTCCTACCTTAATGTATCTTTACGAGAGTATCTCCTAGAGAGCCAGAGAATGAAGAAACGAGTTTGATTGCTGCCCATAAACATCAGAGCCCTAGTAGCGGCTCTCAGTACCGCCATTTATCCGGCTGTCCTGGGCTGACCCGGTGGCGCCAACAAGTCGATTGATAGATCCTGGGGTTGTCTGGTTACCCGCAGCCGCGATGTATGACAGCATGTACAGAAGAGATGGTTCTTTGGTCTCTGTAGAAAGAATAGACCGTATAGCAGTCTCGAAGAGGAACAGCGAATCTTGCAGCGTGATCCGAGCTTCAAGGAATGATTTTAGGGTCATGCCATCCCATATTGACGCTTTTGGATATCTCCATGGGGCATCCACGTCCAGTTCACTCGCCAACTTGTTAAGTTCTGTCATCAGACTAACGAGCTCGGCCTGGGCTTCCGAGCCCACGGGGGGCAGACCACCATTGGAAAGATTCGCCCCTTAAAAGATAACCCTACCATTTCGATACAGAGATCGATTTCCCAGCCGTGTATGTTGGGTATGCTGTCAGGCTAAGCTCAGCTGCGAGGGCGAGCACACGATCCTGGGTTGGGCCGACGAATTCCGCCCCGAGCTCCTCAACCTCTCTCCATTGGGAAGATGGGCGTTGATTACGCGTAGGCGGTCGCGAGCCTCAAGGATAGCAAAGCTCTTGCCGGCCTTTGCAATCTCCTTGGCTGTGGCTAGACCCGACAAACCACCGCCGATGATAGCGACGTCGACATTCTGAATACCTACCGCAGACGCAATGAATAAGGGAATATGCCAAATGGAAACAAAGAGATGCATGTTCATTCAATTTTGAAATCTTGAAGTTCCTGCAAGTAAAATCGCTTCAATGATGGGTGACTATGTGTTAAGAGCAGAAGAATAGTGTTTTGCCGTCTGAGGACTTTCACTTATGCTCATATATCACTGAGCATACACTATTCCCGTAGCTCTATTCCGGAAATTCACGGTATCGACGTACTCGTTTTGTGATAGGTCTCATGATTCTTGTAGAAACAACGTGTGTGAAGATTACATGTTACAATAACTGTCCTGTTTCTTTCCATTCGACGCTGCGCCTACTAGGGAATTCTGATATCCGAAGCCCGTGTCTTCGCACTACAAGGACTGATGCGCCACTAGTCTCGAGTGGGAAACAATAGCGCGATCCCGGGATTAAGTTTGAAATACAATTAACGCTTTATTTGATCTTCGGCTCTGATTCTGATTCGTCTCCCGATTGATTAGGATCCGCAAGTTCAGTATCTTTACGAAAAAGATGGTTTTTGAATAGATTTTCATCCTATATTTCCTCCTTCCCACTTCATAGATACACTATTGTCGACAGGTTAGGTCGTAATAAAAGCCGTTTCATGTAGCGTACGGAACCAACCCATTGAGTTTGCAGGCGAAAAGGGAACGCTTTCATTACCAACGGCCGTTGAAAATCTAAGCACACACTTTCGTTCGGTGGGGCGTTCCACTCACTAGTCAGCTGCTAGGTATGGAATTATAAATCAAAGCTTGAAGGGCGCGGAATCACTGTATTGGCAGTGAAAACAAATCTACAAATGGACGCAAGAACTCGGTGTTCGGAAAATCAAATCGATGTGGGTCACGTTCCCGAGTTTGGTGTGAACGTTCTTACTATAGAGTCCTGTTGATCAAATATAGCTTCAGCTGGTAACTACCACTATTGATGATGAATAACCAGCTATGCATAGTTAACCTACCGCGTATAGAAAGCATCTTGTCGGTCATGTGATAAATTCATCCGTATTATAATAGGCTTTGTCCTTGCCTCGTTCCAACACCAGTATTCCGGATACTTCGTTAGGGAACAAAGTCTGTTAAATATGACAAATATTTCGCTTGAAAGCACTTGCCACGCCTATGTTACAGGCATTTCAACTCCTTACGATTGTGTGCCCCCTCTAGCTGCTGGCATAGCTTTCTGTGCTCTTTTCGGAATATCCAGGTTACCTTAGGGCGATCCTCACACGACCTTATTTTCAGCACCCGCCTTCTTCACTGCTGGTATATACTTTATACTTGGTCGACTCATGAATTTCTTTGGACAGGGATCATCTTTACTTAGCCCTAGGATGTACCTTTGGTTTTTCTGCACCTACGACTAGATATCATTAATCGTCCAGGCCGCTGGTTGTGCCCTTTCCTCAGCGGCACTTTCGGACCCAAATGGAGATACGAAGCCCGGAACGTACATAATTGTGGGTGGTATAGTGTTCCAAATGATGACTATCACCGTGTTTACTATTTGTGCCGCTGATTTACTATGCCGTATCGTCCGCCGCAGATTGCTTTATCTGATAACAAGAGAAGTGAAACTGTTTCTGATTGATACCACAACTTCCGTGGCGTGCATATATATTCGAAGTATTTATGAATCATTGAGCTGCTGCAGAGTTGGTCTGGTTGCCTTATAACGCATGAGAAGTACTTCGTTGCCTTCGATGGAGCTATGATGGTAGCAGCAGTGGCCGTGTTCAACTTTTTCCACCCTACTCGACTTATACCGGCCGATATGGTTCAGTGAACGGGGCGTTCGCATCTATAGGTCATGAAATGGCACCTTCCAGGACGAATAGTTCTCCCGCAAATGTACTATGGTATGCTTGTAGATACGGGCCTACACAGTCAAAATAGATCGGCTCACCGAAGCCTAGGCTGAGCCCACGAAAATGGGATTGGATGCCTAGAGCCGATGGATGAAGGATCTGTGCTTCCTATTTTGATTTTCATCCTTTCATCTTCCTTGCTCCCCTCTTTTTCTAGCGTATGTACTCTTGTTTTACTTTATGAACCTCACGTCATCTAGGCAAAGGGAACTGGCATGCAATACCTGGTAGACAACAAGGTCACAAAGGGCGATTTGGTGATGGGAATAAGGGACCATTGCTTTTGCAAACGAGATCACATCTATACCTGAAATAACCCCTTCCTCCTTGGATGAAATATCGAAACATGTGACTTAGAGCATATTTCGAGCTGGTGGCTCCGTATAAGTGGAAGTATTCACTGCTGTGAATACAATACCAGTAGACTGTTATTTTCTTTTCTAACTTGATCCGCAACTAGCACTTCCATGGCTATCAGGGATGCCAAAACCGGATCGGGGTATTTTGTAGCCATACAGTATGGGCAGCTACCTTACACCTGGAGCTCTTATTTCTTCTGTTTCACTCGACGGACTTCAGGAACTGACCATAAATACGGCCACCAAAGAGAGTAATTCTCTTGTTGTCCGTTTGCACAATGCCGTAGTAAAATTTCCCAAACAAGGCAGACGTATGCGCCTGTCCCACTCATTAGATGCCTAATATGATGAAGGTCTAATTAGTAACAACCTTGAAACAGGCCGTACAGGAATTAAAAAAGGATGGCCTGTAATTATTGAGGGCTGAACAACTCACCACCAGCCGTGACCTTCGAGAATAATGCCCCATGGAAGGCCAATTATCCGACGCCATTTACGTAGGTCGTTACACATCTGATTATCAAGGTTCCAGATAATATATCCCGTAAAAAAAAGGCCTAATCCATACAGGCCAAGATGCCACATTGATCTGAGTATGGCGAGATCACGGGCACTCTGATAGTCTAACCCTTCATTTGTAGAGATGGGCATGTCTCGCTTTCCGCTGGCAGGGCGGCCCTCCTTAGTTGGGTACCGGAAAAGGGGGTGCAGAGCCATATGCATACTATATATGCCATGGAATATAGCAGCCAGAGAGAGGATCGCAAAGACCCTTTGATGAAACGTGGGATCCCCGAGGAAATGGTAATATAAAGTGACAGACACCGCAATGCAAAATAGAAGTATTGCTAGAAAGAGGCGGAATACAGCAGACCGTTGGTGCGAGAACGAGGAATAACATATCACACAGACTGTGTAGATCATTGATAATTCATCTACAAGTTGCATAGGATCTGTCCATTTTTATTAGTCACATACACTGCCCTCCTTCATTGCATTGACTTACATTTGAGAGTCGCATGAAATAGAAAGCTGCCAATTCCAACGAGCAAATATCCAGTATAAGCGACAACAAAAATCGGATCGTGTCCATTGCGCCGACAGTTAATAATGCCTTTGGTTCCCAACCAAACGAAAAGAAGATTTGTCATTGAGTTAACGATTTCAGCCGCGTATATAGTTGCATAGTAATCCTAGAATACCCATAAGAATCTTGTGCAGATCACTATTTGCATCATATTGTATCATATATAGCCGCTATAGGCTTTCATACCTCCTCGCACCAGTTCAATGTTGATGTTGCAGGGGTCCAGAACCCCGATCTTTGAGCTGGATACTGAATCGACATTGTAAAATGCCACCAGGATGACCGATAGAAAAAAGTAACTGAAACTATTGTGCTGTGTAATCAATAGCGCTGTGCGCCAAGGAGAGGTGATTTTCCACCTTCACATCTGGCACGTATTGCCCTTTTATACTTTGCTTCTAGTATAGAGGTTACATATCAAGTGTTCTCATTTGCCCCTTTTGACCGTTGAGAACTCCTTTATTTTCTGTGGGAGCCTCACGATTGGGAAACAACCTGCTAATGATAGTCTATGCACACCAACGGGTAGTTAGTTAGCTTCCCCGAATACCGAGCTAAATGTCTCAGTAGGATCTGAGCTCCGGCTCTAAACTGTATCTGGCAAATATGTCGCGAGATCGGCGGCGGCCACGGATCAAGGCGCTTTCCCTTCCGTGGATGGCAAATGTAAGTAAGGCAGAAGAGGCAAGCCGCATGAACCCCTCTTTAAGCCCCAGTCAAATCTTGTGTACCTGACAAGATACTGATTTTCCTTGGATCACTTTTTTCTGTAGTAGTCCTGATGCAGATGGCTGATGGGCTTGCCTCCAGAGCTCTTCTTTACCCGACTACCGACGCCTTTCAATTCCCTCCAGCATGCCCTGTGGGTCTAATGACAGCCGCCGGGGAGGCCATCGATGTGTGCGCTGTCGCATGGCACATTTGAAAGTATGATTGACTACAGCTTTGGTAGTCTCACCAATAAACGAGTCACTAACGTGTGGACGTGTATCAGTGCGACGGTCACCGTCCATGTTTACCCTGCAGCCAGCGAGGTTTTGCCTGTTCCTCTCCTAGAAGACTTAGCACGATGATATTTGTCTCATCTCACCCAAAACCAGCAGAGGTTTCACCCGGCTTAAATTCGCCCAGCGGTCCGTGGATATTTAGTGACGTATTTTTTAACGCTATCCGTTACTCCTTTTCTCCCCTAATCTGCATTTTCTCGTTTGACTCGATTGGTGCAATCTTTCAGGAAAACAAGCTAGTCCAGGATGTAGTATTTCTCGTTGGTAAAACGTATTTGCTTCATATTTCTTACCGGAGGACATATGACCTACGAGAGAGCCTACACCGTCTCCAGTATCAAGTGCTTCAGGAGCTCGATATCTCGAACACGAAAAGATTCACGGCTGCTCTCTTATCTGCTTGTCTTCTGAGCCTTGTCGAGGTACGTCTTTAGCGTGGCGGTTATCTACCTAGAAGGCTAACATAGCGGAAGCTTATAATAGATGAGAGCGCGAAGGGTTGGCGGTCGCTCACTCGTAAGATACGAGCATTTATCTTATTCCATGCTGGTATCACCGAAACACAACCGCATTTAAGAAGTTCTGTCTACTGGTTCGCACGAATCAGTAATGCGACCAGGGCTATCTGCTTTAGTGAAAATTTACCATTGCCACTCTCTTCCATGACCTGCGTAAAATTAGAGACGCTGCGCTACCCTACTTCTCAAATCTCTATTTCAGCCAGAGTAGAGGAGAATATAGAATTGCTGGCGATATACCTTGAGTCCTGGGCTAGAGTGCAGAGCTGGTAAGGCCAACCCTTGTTCTAAGTCCTGTGACCTAATACTTATATTTCCCCTCAGGTCGATATACTGGGTCAAGAAAAGTGAGGAGCTTTATTCTAAAGATAATTGTAGCAAGACGCATATCAGCAGCTGCCCAGCATTGGGGAAAACATACGGGAAGCTGCCATCTGAGCATATTACACTTGGTATTGAGATCATCTGTTCTGCGTCCAGATTGCAGCGGGCTATTATCACCACCATCCTTTCATATGTCGATACTCCGGTATCTGGTATTCAGCCTGCAATACTATCTTTACTGCCATATTACCAATGGTCGCTTGCGGGGCTTTCGAGGCAATTCGACCATCCCGCCTGGTCCTCTCTCGGCTGCAGTCTTCCTATAATGCATAACGATCTTATTCATCAACAAGCATTACAGGCATTTGAATTTGCGGAAGAAAGCCTACGTAGTACAGACTTTGAAGCACTTCTCTATATCCCTATTATGAACGTCGTGGGCTTTGAAATGCAAACAGAACAAGAAAGAACCCGGGTGCTTGAATTCGTGGCGACGCTGAAGACTAAAGGGTTTGCTGTAGCAGGGAAGGTTGAACGAGACCTGAAAACAGCGTGGGTAGGGAAGATGCAATAGATATGGATGCAGAAATGCCGAAATCATTACTCCTTGGCTTTGTCCGTTCTGTAGAGTATCGAACTACCGGGTGACGCGATGTGGACCTTCCCCAGTAGCTGATCGGCCAGGCAATAATATAAATACATCGGTCCAATGCTTCTTCATGTGTCATTTCAGTATAATTATCAGCTCATCGTGCAATGGCAAGAAGGTATATACGTAACAAAAGTCGACAAATTTATACTATATTGTAGTCGTTAACATCATACAGCTTGAATAAGGTCTATTCTAATAATTGCCATTAAATCGAAACGACTCAAAATTAGAGAGTCAAATCTACTTAATGTATAAATCTAACGAATAAGATGGTATAACTTCAGCTGATAGGGTACCTAAAGGTATATATATATTAAAAATAACGCTTTCTATTGATTATAGGTAGCCGGCCTGAATACCTGAAGAAGTGATTTCTATACCTGTAGCCGGTATCTACCATTTACATATATCATTTTGGGTATTTCCTTAAGTTAATCGCACACGATTCAGTACTAAGAATGCTTCATTGCCAAGCTGTGGTATATGGGATTTTAGACAAGCCTCTTCTTCCCCCCAAAGACATATTTAGGGGCATTGGTTGCGGTTTGGCCATACGTAGAGTACACGATATATAATTCCACAGTTGACAAGAGGCCCCTGTTCAAAATTCTCATACTATTAATCTACTCAATAACTGCTAGTGTTATTTGGAAGTGTTGTAATTCAGAAAAAGGTTAGAATTGCTGTTCTTCATTATATCTGTAAGCCTAAAGATTTACATGTAAGATGAACATTAGATTGTCTTCCAGTCAACTTGATCCTATACGTCATTTACTTCGTATCTGAAGTTCTATAGTTTACCTGGTCAAGCCTTAATTCACAACAGGAAGGCTGTCTAAGTATATATTATTCTTGTTCTTCCATTAATTGTGTTTGAGTAAAGACATCGGATTATGCAAAGTAATTATATTATATAGACCTCCAAATACAAAATCTCAACTCCCGGGGATATAGAATCTTCGCATTTAGCATGTCAATAATTGTAATATTAACTATAGCAGGTTTTAGTTTATCTCGTTATTTAATAAACTGGCTCTTTAATATTAATCTTATTCCAAAAGATAACACCTGTCAGGCCTTATTATACTTATTGGCCCGTTTAATGACCTGGGGGGCCATAGCGCTAAATAACAGGTCAGAATTCCCCGCAGCACATTCACTAGATATTCTATATTAAGGAAAGAAAATACCCCTGAATATCAGACCAGGCTATAATTAGCAATTTTTAATATATGCCTATTGGTAGCGGGCAATATAAGAATTAGAAGTAGAACTTGTCTAGAGAAGATCCTGTAATAGCAGAAGACCAATATTCAATCATACTATCTCACGGATGCCCATGTCTGTATCATACCACAGCTAAGAAGAATGCCGCTCGTGCTATCTGTCAGAAGTAATATAAGACTAATTCTCTCCCTCTTCATTACTAAATACACAGCTGGAGCATTCATTTATCCTGCTGAAGGGCCGGTAGCTGATCCCTCTATTACCCAGACTACAGATATTTTTACAGATCTCTACTATACTATTCTTGGTAATAATATAGCAGCACCGTTAGATTATACCAGTAACAGCTTAACAAGCGTGGACCCCGGCATTAAGAATAATATAGCTAAGATAGATAATATAGATCTGGAGAGTGACAGTAATACTGGTAGCTATAATTATAATAATAGTCAATAAAGAGAGTACTGTGTTCTTCTGTCTACTATGCCGGAGCTATAGTTACTGACAGATTTTCTTACTAATTTACAGATAGAGATAAGTTGCTGCCTTCTGGAATGCTAGCTGCTACTGACATGGAAGCCTCCAGACTAGTATATATAGAGAGGTTGTGTGCCCGGTGATGTCTCTAGCAGCTGATAATATTTATTAATAGGCAATTCTTGCTCAGGAGCTTACACAGCAGTTAATCCAATATTATAGCGGTAAGAATTATTATTAATCTAACCTATTCTCTTGAGAGTACAGAATCCGATATCTTAATAGCTATACTGCTGTTGTCTCTTATATAGTCTCAATGCCTGAATATTCTTTCTTAAGATAGAATCATGTCTTATTCTATAGATTAGGACTGCCAGCTGCCTGTCTATAAGTACTGAAAACTGTTCAGTAACATGAAATCTATATATACAGGAGATAGTAAGCTAAGTAAATTTACAAGAGTCCAGAAGGAGCAATACCCGTCCCCAGTCTATAATCTAGAGAAGGATAATATCCAGCCTAATCACGTATTTCAGATCCAGTTTAATATTGATAGTACTGGAGGGTTTGTTTCTAGCCTGACTGTTGCACGGCAGGCACTTCACTGGACTGCGATCTAGCTATCTATTAGTAACTTAATAAGCTTCTTATAACTTGTCTCTATCCCTATTTAATTTAAGAATTCTGAGACTAAAAGATAGTGACAGTCCTAGTAATCCCTATACTGGATTCTATATCTTTCCTTGGGCTGACTGTACAGGTAGAGATAATAGAGATATATATTCTCTTTCTGTATCTTTACTACCTGAAACAGGAAAACTTGGTGATGACACGGGACAAGTATAATATTATGGACAGATAAGGTATTCCTACCGGCCCTTTATATAACCTATCTGGAGTTGATTCTATAATATCAGCCTGACAGTGCTGCTAACACTCAGACTAAGGCCACGGCTATATCTGTTGAGAAACACTCAATATAATGAACAGTCCCGAATACAGTTGCTAAGGTATAATTTATAGTCTGAGTATCTATATATATTATGGAAACAAGTGCAGGTTTTGATCAATAAGTGAGATCTAGCTAAGTTCTGGGAAATAAAGCTACTTCTTATATCCAAGAATCTGAAGAATTTGGATCCATAATCAGATCTAGATCTCAGTACAGTCAAAGTTCTTTGGCGCATGGTCTGAGGCTGTTGATGCCACCTACCTAACGGAGGACTTTTACGATATTGGAAAGGAGATCATTCTACCTGGGCGGAGCCACCATTTTGACACGGAACCGGAAGAGCCCGCTGTATTTCTTACCTGGCGGCGGTGCTGTTTGGAGGGCTTCAGCCATTGGCTCTGGGATATTATTAACCAGATTGACCAGCTCCCGGAGCCACAGACTGTTTCCTATCGTGTGACATAATCTACTCATTAATCTTTCTCTTATTCTGCTATGGGTACGCGCAGCGATCCACCCCCTCTAAAGAACAGGCATGAAGAGACTGAAGAATCCAGACCCGAGAATAATAACTTATTATCCCGGAACAGTAGCCTATCGCGATCTCACATACAATAATAATCAGTAGTATCAGATAAGCTGGAAACTCTCCCGCAGAGGAAACAAAGCTAGAGAGAGAAAATCTATCTTATATCATTGACCTGGATAATAGGAAGCCTCCCAATAGAATCTTCCTGCAAGTCCAGCCTGCAGAGATTAGGATATCTGTATAGCCAGTATTATAATTCAGGAAAGGCTATCTTTGCTGCTAGAAGCCAATATATCTTTGGAAACTCGGGCCTTAAAACCCTGGCTATTGATCCGGGGCTGGTCCGGACCTGGGAACATGTAGGTCGCGCGGTCAGCCACTCTCCATTAGCTCTGCTATGGGCATACTGCTACACCAAGCACTGATACTATGTCACATGGACTGACTACCGCAATTGTACGTACAGTATCAGCGAAGAGTACCGGGTTACCGGAACACTTCTGGTTGCCCTTGACAAATGTATACAATCCCTGGGGATTGCCAGCGAGGAGCTGACGGTGCCCAATAAATCCCCGGCCCTGTCCTTACCGGGGTCATTCCTACACCACCGATTTCCATTCTTCTGCCACGAGACTGGTCTTATACTGGACTGGCTGCGCTGGAACATCAATAAGTTCTGCCTAGGGTTTGAAATGGTATACAGCCTCCAGCCGCGTACCCTGGTCCACTGGGAGCACACATGGGTTATAATGATGTTTCTTCGGTGCCTGCTCTACACATATGGCGGCCAGCCAGGGAGCTCATTCCCGCCGCTGCAATGGACTGTGACTGGATCGTCGTGTCCGACCACCCGCGGAGGGCTCCGACCTGGAGCGGGTTGATGAGGGTTTGGGCATGAACAGCCTTTAACAGGTAGTCTAAAGTAGTTGAAATAACTAATATATATCTTTCCAGCGGCATAGTAGACATCGCTAGTAGTTCATTAGACTATCAGGATCTTCCCATAATAGGTGAGGGTTGTTATCGGGATCTGTCACTGATTTTGCATTTGGGATGCATACGTCTACACCAGAGATCTCGTTCAGCGATGGTAGCTTTTGCCGGTTCTCCATGAGCAACGAAACTTGGACATCATACTTTGGATTTGCCCCAGCAGCATATCCTTTGATGCATAGGTACTCTAGGTTCGGTGGCAGCATATCCACTAAAGAGAAGGAAGCTTCCTGTGGATCGTTCTTCCGAGCGCTGGCACGTGCCAGGGCGATCAAGAGCTTAACGCCAATACTGAGCCGCCTCATGGCTGTAAAGTCTTGGAGTGATGTAGGGAGTGGTTCGGTGGAGTTCGCATAGTCTGGGTCAGGATCGACCGTATATTCGTAGTCTTGCATATGCGCAGGTCGCTCGTCCCAGAACTCTTCATCCGCATCCAGTTCGAGGACCTGGAGAGACTTGGTGTGCCATAACAATGCGTCCAGCAAATGCCTTTCTTGGAATATAGGGTGACTGTCGTCGCCCGAGCTTCTCCCCCCGATGGAGTACGAAAACTCTTCGAGCCTCCTGCACGACCTGATAATCTCAGCCAGGCTCATACTCGAGTAGTTCGAATGGTGGATGCGCACTTTCTTGAAGTTAGTGGATCGTGGTTCGAGCTCAATCTCTTCTTCCCGGTCTTCGATGGCGTCCACGCTGATCGTCTCAATCGCAGGCAAGTTGCCGACTAACTTAAGGTTCCGAGCTAGATTATAGTTCTCGTAGAATCGCTCATCGCTTAAGATCATGGCTTTATTACTTAGACAACGAATTGTCCGTAATTTCTGTAGATATGGCAAACCACTCGGACTGACATTCGCTCTCTCCAGGAACGCCTGCAGCATCAGATAACATTCACTCTCTGACTCGAACTCGGTACTGATTTCCGGGAAGGAGAACGACTCCAGATTCGGCGATACAGAGATAACCAGAGCCGCCAGGGCCTGTGACAGATGCATCAGATCCTCGGTAGCGCTATTGTCGCACCCCCTGTATCTAAGAATAAGTACTACAGGCATCGTAACTTGGCACAGGATTCATCTGCTCACTTATATTCCCGTGGTTTCTTTGTCACTATATCCATCATCATATCATACTGTTTCCCGGTAAATCCTGCATCGCGCACTGCACGCTGTAGTAAGTGTCGATCATCGTCATTGACCTTTCTTGTGGAAATTAGGGCCGGCGGCTCAACTCGACAATCGGACAAAGAACGATCCATCTCCACATGGCGAACGTACTGGCCAAGGGCCGGCTGTCGCAGGATTGACAACAAGGCATCGAACGTCCGCTCAGCATCCTCGACCTGCCGTAGTCGCACCCGATGAAGGCCCTCTTGAGACGGTGCGCTATGCAGCTGATCAATTCCGGGGCATTGGCCCGGTAAGGAGGCCATGTTTCTACACTGGGCGATCGGGACAAGTTTGGTAGAGATGCCCCGAGAGGACAGCAGTGCAATTTGGATTATGCGATACCGCCGCATTGAAGAGGATATGAGACAATATACCGGATTTATATCCAAATGTGATATCGTTAGGTGTGGGTAAACACCCAGGCAGATGCAGGCTTCTGCCTGAAGTTAGCGTAGTACTCGGCGCTAGTGCCATTTCAGGTTTAGTCTCGTTTCCCCAGCCTTATTATATACCCCATAGTGTCTCGTAAAGTGTACACAACTATGAATGTTGTCAGTAAAGCAATCCATCTATCTAGAGGCCAGGTCCTGTTTATTATTCGAGGTTCGCATGCACGAACCCTCGGATAAATATCCGACCGCACAATATGCGATCAAAGATGCGGAGGCCCATTGTTCTTCGGCTTGAATTCATCGTTCTCCCAGATGCTAGAACCCATTCTTGATACACTCTCTGGCCTCTGGATTTAAACATTGAGGCAACATTCCGTATCGTGAGTCGAACCTGGAAGCAAAAACCCATGCAGAATAAAAGGAAATTAAAAGAGCGCGAAAGTAAAAATGAACATCTATGAGGGCATTCGAATTCGACGACGTGCAGAGCGGCCTCCTACTGAGATCAATACCCCATCCGCAACCGGAGGAAGGCCAGGTGATCATCCAGGTTAAAGCTGCTGGTTTGTGTCACTTGGACTTATTCACGCTTCAAGATGATCAATATGGGATGATCTTGAAACGACCCATGGTGTTAGTCATGAAATGGCCGGAATCATTGTCAAACTCGGGCAAGGCGTCTCGGATCCCAAAGTCGGCGAGCGGGTGGTGACAGGAATCCCCACCCGTCCTGTATCAGACCAGAGTCTTTAAAAGCCATTGGACTTGGATATGATGGCGGCTATGCAGAGCAAGCCATGGCTTGGGTTGATAATCTCATCCGGATCCCGACGGGTGTCTCATTCGCACAGGCTGTTGTAGCCGCCGATTCAATCTCAACCGCTTATCATGCCGTGATTACAGGGGGTCGCGATTGCGCTGGTGGCACCGTGGCCACCGTGGGGTTGGGCGGGTTGGGTTTCGCTGCCATCCAGATTGCCGCCCTTCAAGGAGCGAAAGTATATGGGCTAGAAATTGATGCAAGCAAGCTGCCGCTTGCTCAAAAATTAGGAGCTATTGAGTGTGCTGGTGGACTCGGTCAGTTTGTCAATATCGCATGTGACACGGTGGACGACTTTGCCGGCACCAATATCACAACCCTCACGGCGTTGAACACGGCCAAATCAACTGGTTGCGTGGTTGATTCCAAGGAATATCACCTTGCAAGTATCGATCGGTGCAAATCTAGATGAGCTCAAGGAGGTCTTAAGACTCATCGACGATGGCCACCTTTGTCCTATTCTAGAGATTCCTTTCCATAGTATTCCGCAGGGACTCGAGCGGTTGATTCTGGGGAGGGTCACCTGGCGTTTGTTCGCCAATCCCAGTGTGAATGGCTTTGAATAGCGGAGAGAGGTTTAATTAGATGGATCTCACATATCTTTCACAGAAGAGGCGGATGATGAGGAAGATATTCCGTACTACACGATTGCTATATGCTCCCACTCTTTCCAATTGGCATTGTTCTTTCCGCGGTATCTTGTGGGATCCCCAAATAGATAAACTCGTCAATCATCTATTTGCACAGTCAGCATATGCACAACTCAAAGCAAAATATGAGACCCGCTATCTTTTGTTTCCGAATCAATTACGGGAGACTGATGATACTTACTTATGGTTATTAACACAATTGATGAAGACCCGGCGGAGGTGTTCATTTTGATAAGTGGCTACTTAATTCTTATCTGCCATTGGTTGCACGACCGGGGCATGACTTTTAAATGTGCAAGATATTATCTTTAACAAACTTGAGTAAGCATTATAGTGAAGTTATGGTTGTGAATATTGTGACTATAGTACCATAAATGTGGAAGATTCCACGTATTCGACAATTCTAGTAATAAACATATACTGCTAACATTTACTTATAGCTTGTTAACAATATTGTATTAACGTATTCCTCAAGCGAGTGGCCACTCCAACCGAGCGGCCATCTACTGTACTCCATATAAAATAGCACTTTTTAATACCCAAATATCTCGACAATCAAAGATATTAGAGCTATGTTATTTATGATCAATATATGTATAGGCTAGCTAAAGCCATTCCCTTTTTTAATCTTTTTTTATGTTTTCCTTAAGCCGTATAACACTAGAATAGGCAAAACAAACCAAAATTACCAACAAAGCACCAATATCAGCCACCACCCTACTCCACTTAGTTTAGCGCCTTTGATCATTAGCAACACCATGAATATCGCTATATTGCTATGATATCGCGTGTATCGCGTCGTTTGAATGATTATTTTAGGCCTATAAATATGCCTTTTTATCATTAGATCAGAAATCAGAGTCCTTGCCATTTCTTTATTGCGCCCCTTAGGATTCGGCGCAGATTACCAGGTAATACGGAATCCCGCAATCTCGATAACGCGAAAGATACAGCCGTAATTTATGTCAGAGCATACGGGAGCCTAAGGCATCAACCACGTGACCTGACCACAACACCAAGGAATCTCTGTAAAGTAGATTTAGACCTTAAGACAATCAATCCTATACACGTGAGCTACACGAGCTCCATCAATTTATATTTCCTTGTATAATATCTATTCAAAAAGTTTCCCCACCAGGCATACATAAGCAACGCGGCACATGACTCTGACTATCAATTTTAGATATGTACTCTTTTTCGTTGTTGAGATATTAGAGTATATTAAAGAGCTATTTTATATGAAGTACAGTAGGTGGCCAATCGGTTGGACTTGAGGAATACGTTATATACCCCTTTAGTTTTCCATTGCTAGTTTATGATACGAATCTATACGAGACCACGTGATCCTAGTGCCTTGGCCAGATCACCCACTCCATCCCCTGAAGGCTTTACCCATTAGTAGATAAGAGAGAAGCGCCTACGATAGTTGATACAGTCGTCCATAAAATTGAGTGTCTATCGGAATGGCATCCGGTCCTCAGTAGGCTACGTGTGTGTAGCTGATACAGTTTTATCCTGCCCATCTTTCCCCTGAGATCACAACAGTTTACAACTTTGAAGTGGAGGTCACAGTTTTATTTATTTCAAGTCTATTATTTGTTTTTTCCTGGATATTTATATCTGGCAGCTCGGCTGCCGACGAGTGAGTATCCGACTGAAACAACATAGCTATCCAATTATACAAAAGCAGACTCCGTCCCGTCCCCGTGGTCGGGATGATTCCCCAGAACGTGCATAAATGTGTATCATGGATCTACGTGGCTAGAACTGTTTCGGAAAGCGCAGGTCAAACGAGGCAAACAATAGGAGTTTAATAGATCAGTCAAATCGGATGTCCCCACCGAGCCTCTCCTCCTTTGAACTTCTGACATCCTGAATACAAATACAGTACTTCAAACTCCTTCGTCTGAGTGTTACTGCCAACTATGTACGACGATTTCGAGTGTCTGAGCTGTACAGATACGTTCTACTATGAAGATGAATGGGAAGAGCATATGTATGACTACCGCCACTGGCCTGAATGTGAAACCTGCCCCAAGACCTTCCGCACCTGGCGTGCTTGCAACCAGCACATGGATAACACAGGTCACCGGGCACCCCGCTTCGATTGCGAGACTTGCTATCGTGACTTTAGCTCCCAGAATGCTGCCAATCAGCATATGACGGCCGCGGGACACTGGGCCCCAAGAATTCCCTGTGAGACTTGCAACCTAGTTTTCCATACAGAGAAGGGTGCAAATCAACATATGAAGAGCGAAGCCCACTACAAGAATTACTGCAAGAATTGCGATATACGGTTTGGGACTGAAAACGCCCTGCGGATGGTACGCACTCTTTAACCTCATCACATCTAGTCTCTCAAACGTAGTAGTACCTGTCGCACTGATATATCGATGTGTAGCACCTTAACTCCAAGGTTCACCGCGGACGGAATATCTCGTGCCCATTCTGTAAGGATGGCCATACAGCTGCTAGCGGCCTTGCCCATCACCTCGAACGAGGCTCTTGCCCGAACGCCCCCACACTGAACCGAGATACTATTCTCCGCATCCTTCGCGAGCGTGACCCAAATGGACTCATCACGAACCGGCATATTAAGTGGCACAAGGAAGACGCTTGTCAATACTCGGCAACGGAGTATGCATTTAATGGCAACGGGTGGGAATGTTATCTCTGTCATCGGGAGTTTCGCACCGCAACATCCCTCAACCAACATCTCAACTCTATGGCTCACAAGCAAAAGGTGTATCATTGCCCGAACTTAAAGGGCAGGTGTGCAAAGCAGTTCACTACCCTGGCTGCACTATTCAATCACCTCGAGAGCGAATCATGCTCCTTCATGCGTTTCGAAAAGGTACAGCAGCAGGCCGGCAACATTCTTCAGGGACGAAGGGCCATTACCTTTGGATGATGGCCGAAGCTCTGCAGTCTATTCGCGACATGACATACTATACCGTCCTTGAGACCAATTCGCGGTAGTAATTTGTTCAATGTGGGTCGCAGGAGGCACTGGTTCTTCCAAGCTTCGTGTGCTTTATGTCCGCGGAGCTAGACGGCCGCGGAGTTCTATTTCTTGTATTCATCGAACAATACCTAAGTATGGAATTGTGCTCAAATCCAGTATTTCTAGTATTTCATTTTAGATATCTTACCCCAGTCTACAATCCAACCTCGGCACATGCCATCTTCCGCGACTCATTGCGATCATCACATTCCCTAACAGCTTTCAACTGCCGCGGCATATGTACCTCGTGTTCCTGCAACTCCAAACTACGAGTCAGCGAAACGGCCCAACACGCATCCAACGGCTATCCCCAGATGAGTATCCTTGGCTCAGAGGTGAGTGAGGAACGCATCACCAGATTAAAAAGCTTCAATTCCGAGCCGTGCAAATTCCATAAAAAGCCCACCCAAACCCCGACCTCCTTCTCCAAAATACCCTCGCAGCAATTGAACACACCACCACCAGAATGCCATCCTCCAACCCCCTCATCAACGTCTCACCCCACATCCGCGCCTTCCTCACCAACCTCCACGCTCAATCCACCACCCAAGAGTCCGCCCTAACAGAGGCCGACTTCCACACCCGCTCCTTCGACGACGTAATGCACGACAAATTCATCGCCCTCGACGCAGACAAATCCCAGTACCTCTACCAACTCTGCCGCACCATTAACGCCAAAACTGTCGTCGAAGCTGGCACCTCCTTCGGCGTGAGCACCATCTACCTGGCCCTCGCCGTGTCCGCCAATATTGCCGCGACAGGCGGAACGGGCCGGGTCATCGCGACAGAGAACGAGCCGACAAAGGCTTCCAGGGCAAGGGAGAATTGGGCAAAGTGCGGCAGTGTTGTTACGGATGTGATTGACCTCCGAGAAGGGGATTTGCGGGAGACCTTGAAGGAGGGCGTTGAAGGGGTGGATTTGCTTTTGTTGGATAGTATGCTTTGTTTCCGTTTCTACATCTAGTACAACTTTTGGGGTGATTACTAATTTGGTTTTGGTTTGTATAGTTTGGCCGCCGATGGCGTTGCCGACGTTGAAGTTGGTGCTGCCGAAGATGAGGTATGGCGCTGTTGTTGTCACGGATAATACTATTTCGGCGGAGGAGAGGTATGCGGATCTTCTTGGGTTTTTGAGGGATGAGAATAGCGGGTTTGTGAATATGACTCTGCCGTTTAGTAATGGGTTGGAGGTTAGTGTTTATTTGCGCGGGAAGTGAGCTCCTTTCGACTTTCCGACTGGGGGTACATCTTGTTGATTTTGGCTTTTGTTGGTTTATATCCTTACTTCAGTGCTTGGTTTGATAAAAGAACAGATACAAGGTACGAGGAGATCAAGAAACAATGCCAATTAGCCCGGTGGGCTTATAGTTAGATGTTTTACCTAGTTATTCCTCATTTCAGGGAGATGTTGCTATGTATAAAGTTGTATGTTGTCTCGCGACTATATATAGATGTGGGGATGATTCTATATATTCTATATACTGTAGGGGTTAGTGGGATTCCGTTGCCAGTCATGGATATTCTAGACTAAAACAATGTAGTTTAATCTCTTGAAATAGGTTATAAGTCATAAACGCACCAAGCTCGATGGAACCTCTAACTTATGATATGCCCCAATTTATTATTTCATATTTAGGAAAGCAGACGAAAGCGGTAAGCGGTAAGATGTGATTTGTGATAGAATGGCGGGTCACGGGACAATCCCCTTCCACTAAGCCTAACTCGGCACAGTCGCCTAGCGCATTCAACAACAACATCAACAAGACTGACCTGAATTGACCAGAATATTCCTGCTCCGAGACTTGACCGACTTCTCCACATCGATATGTACTAACTTCTCATACATTTAGGGTAGGGTCAACTGATTTTGGTCAATGAGATGGTGGGAGGATCGATACCATAGGCTCGGTTCGTCGATGCGAAACCCTACCATTAGACGAGACACGCCGCTGTCCTGGAAAAGTGACTTGAACGCCCACGAAAGAAATAACCTCAGTCAATAGTGGTTCGCGCTCCTATTAGGCAATATGTTTAGATCGACTGGCCCACGTACAAGTGTTCCTCTTGGGGGTGCGCGTACCTACCGAACGCCGAATAAAATTGCCTCGAACGGGCTTAGCAGGTATTACAATTACTGGCGACGAGCACCATTGGACAACGACGAAGGGTTATTTCCACAGTATCGCAAACAACATTGGTAGCCGTGTTGCGGCTGGATGAATATAATCAGCTCAGCTGCAACGTTCATCGCCGTTTCCGGGATGTGGGTCCGGACCCTGGGTAACGGCTGGAAACGGTAGTAGATTGGGATCTGGAGAGATTGAGCAGCCTGGCTTGGATAACTTTTCATCTCTTTGATTGACAACTACATAAGCGCAGTGGACTTATTATACCCGTCAACTTGAAGTATTCCGAAGCGGCAAGCTCGGTGAGGGCTGCTGAGGCTCAAGATTCGATATACACGGTTTATAACCTGTCGCCCAAGACTACGGACCTGAAAGCACGCAGGAACTTTTCTCCAGGATGATATCTGACTCCCTTTTTGGCTGCCTTCCACGGCGGAGGGGCCAGTTTATCCTCGGAATCTCAGTGTTTCTGCTGCTCCTCTTCTACCCCTTCCGCTCATCCATCGTACCCTCTGTCTTGCCGCCATCTGCGCCTCTAATCGCTCGTCCGCTGTCCGCTCGCACTCTGCTATCGCGCCCGCTATCCCGCGACGTGACTACGATCCCTAAGATAATCCATCAGACATGGTTCCCCGCGGGTAGCAATATGAGCGAGCGTGCTCAGGTCTGGGTTGAGGGCATGCGTGCCCAAAACCCGGACTGGGAATACGTGCTCTGGGACGACGAGACAAATCGAATGCTTGTTGAAAAGTATTGCCCTTGGTTTCTCGAAGCCTATGATAGTCTCCCGAAAGAGATTCTCCGGGCTGATGTCGTTCGCAATTTGTATATGTATCTATTCGGCGGGTAGGTCCTCCTAAGCAATTCGGCCGGCCAACGTATCTCATTGTAGCTAATTGCACAGGATGTATGCCGATGTGGACACTGAAGCCCTGCGTCCTGTTGCGCCACTGTTTACTGGACACGGAACCGCGCTTGCCGCACATCAGGATACCCTCTCGGCGACAGCACTATTCCAAAACGCCAACGTGCAACGGGCATTCCTGGGACGTATGGCCCGCACTGTGGATATTCTGAGCTCCGCTGCGGTTCCCAACGGCTGGATGGCATCACCTCCCGGTCACCCGTTCTGGCTTCTCCCTGTTCTCAACGTCATTGAACACCCAGAGGGAACTGGTGACGGGTCCGTTGAAGGACTTACTGGACCCGGTGCGCTGAGCTTGATGATTAAAAAGTACTGGGACAACTTCAAGGACCGTTCGCTGCGGCAGCATGCATGCGACACGATCCAGCGGCGACAGCCATCGTGGAAGTTGTTCTGCGATGAGAGCGAGATTGTTGGTGGTAAGACTGTGAAAGACGCGTTGGTGCTTCTGCCAGAGAAGCAAATCTACCCTTTTAGCTGGGTGGATGATGCGAATCATGCTTCTGTTTGCCAGGCAGCATGGGAGAACCCAACTTTCGATCCGGAGGAGTGTAAGCGACTCATGGATGTGGACGCCTGGCCTAGCTACTTTATTACCTATTGCACGCATTCTTGGTGAGGCGTGGATAGTAATTCTTCATAGCATAATATTAAGTTTTTGAATTTACTCATGCCCGTTTTCTTTCTTTTTTTTTGGAGGAAAGCTTTGTTTTTACTTGTTATTTTAAAATTTCCCTTCCCACTGAAAGAGCCAGGCTTACCCCGAACTAAGACCAGTGCATTTATTGTCTATTGTTAGGTAGGGTATCCTAGGACTATTATAGTGCGGCTCGAAGGGAAGACTAAAAGGCTTGAATGCCCGAGGGATCCGATCTCCTTGGCAGCGTGGCCAGTCCGGTCCATGGCGTGTCTTCCGCATTCGGTCCGATGACCTGATATCATAACCGGACTCTAGAACATGGTATAGACCATATTTGGTGCGGAATGCGAGATGGCACCAGTGAAGGTTGTATCGTCTCCAAGATCTTGAAATTGGGACGCTTTGTAAACTGGGAAATATGTGGAAAGACCAGTCACCCTCACAATTAAAAATAAACATAAGTATCCCTAACTGATTCCCCTGAGACTAATGTAACCTTGGGTCAAAAGTGAATTGGTTCCTCGGTCGTCGTTGCCCTGGATTTTGTCGCAAACGGACAAGCGCGCGTGTATTCTAATTTTTCAAATTCTTTTCATTTTTTTCCCCGTTCACTCTTCTCGCCTTAGTGGAATGTGGAGCGCGTTCGATGTTGCACGGCCAGGACGCTCCAGGCAACCATTTACCCCATCACCTGGTTAGGGCATGGGCAATCACAACCTTCCCGCTAGCTCCGGACGAATAGCACATCGAATGGCCGACCTTGACGCCTAGTTCACAAATTTAAGCAAGCCCTGGTGCCGTCAAAAAGGAGCTACTGCCCTCTTTCTTCCTCGTGTTATTGTCGTACGCTCGGTAGCAATGCTTGTCCAACCGGGCTAGCTCTACCCAATGGATCCCACTTAATGAACTTCTCTTACATTGCACCGCCACCTTTTGCTCCCCTCTGCCTGGGGTTTATATTTGTCTTCTTCAATTAGAGAAAATTCACATAAACTTTTACTTGTCGGAGAGAAAATAAGGTAAAAGGAAAGGAGTAGGAATGGTTCATCACGAACTCGATGCCGGCAAAAAGCCGACATGGAATATCACGGTGGATATTCTGTATGTAGCCCGGCCTTTCGCCGATCTTGCCCCGGCTATAACTGTGGACTTATTAACGATGATTAGGTCCTGGGTGTTCTGGTCAAACCTTACGGTCCTGTTTAATAAATGGATCTTAGACTCCACTGAGTTTAGTAAGTGTGATACGGTCGCTTTACCCCGACGAGGACCTCAACTAACCGTCTTTCTAGGATATCGTGAGTAATTGGCCATCTCACTATGCTTTCGCTTGCTAAGTTACTACAGCAATTCTTCTCACAACATGGCATCTTATATTCGCTACTGTGGTCACTCAAGTTATGGCGCGGACCACCACGATGCTCGAAGGCCGCAAAAATATCGAGATGAACAGCCGGTTGTATGCACGCACAATGCTGCCCGTTGGCATATTGTACAGCGGTAGTCTCGTCTGCAGTAACGTAGTCTACCTCTACCTTAATATCTCTTTCATTCAAATGCTAAAGGTACGATCTGTCCACTCTCGCCGTCATTTGCGCCCCCACCATGGTTGCGTTTGACACTCACCTCTCTTCCAGGCCGCCGGACCAGTCATCACTCTCCTCGTTAGCTGGTCATGGGGAGTCGCAACACCCTCCATGGAGGTTCTGATCAACATCCTAGTCATCACCTGCAGTGTGGGACTTGCCGTGTCCGGCGAAATCCAGTTCTCGCTGCTCGGTATCTTTTTCCAGGTAGCTAGCCTCGTCTGCGATGCGAACCGGCTTGTCATGATGCAGATTTTGCTCTCGGATGAAGGCCAAAAGATGGACCCCCTCGTCACTCTGTACTATACTGCGCCGATTTGCGCCGTCATGAACACCATAATCGCCTGGCATACGGAGCTAGTATCCTTCCATTGGAGTGTTGTTCCCAATACTGGCTACCTCACGTTGCTGTCTAATGCTGTAGTGGGATTCATGCTGAATGTTTCGATATTTGTCCTTGTAGGGAGATACCTAGTTCCCATAACGAATGAATGTACCATGCTAACCATCTCTTCAGATTGGAAAGACATCCGGACTGACTACGACGCTAGCCAGCATTCCGAAGAATATTCTGCTTATCATAGCCTCTGTCGTAATCTGGCATACGCAAATAAGCACGATTCAGATTGTGGGGTACTCCATTGCACTGCTTGCCTTGATGTACTACTCACTGGGATGGAAGACGATCAAAAGTGGTATAGAGAGCGTTAATGCTTGGTGGAAGGATCCGGGGAGGAGCACATACTCAGATAGAGTTTGATTATAGATCCTAGATAGAATTAATGCATAATGTGTTTTAGAGACTTGGTTCTCGTTGGGCTGTTGGGGGTGTGTGTGTATCTGTGTCTGCGCTAAAAATCTTCAGATTAGAGTGAAGTAGATGTTCTGTTACACTGAATCTCGCACAGGCGATTGCTTGTGTGACGCGAAATAGATTGTCGCAGTGTATGGATCTTATGGGATCAAATGAACTTAGCACTAATGGCACCACGCTGATTTACAGCTTCGAAAACACTTCGGAAATTTGTCTATCACCGACGCCCACACTATTTGAGGTACCTTGTCATCTACATATATGCCCAAGATGCTAAGCAAGAGGCAGGGAAGTTCCTACCTGACCTTACATGTCCACCGAGCTAGCGACCTGTCTCTCTCGGCGTACGAAGGGATATCTCTTCTTTCGTGTCTTTATGCCAACCATACAGTTGATAACTGAGCATAAATCTAAATACTTTTGTAGTGAGTACATGTACGACTTGATAAGAATGGAACCCTCTGCAGTATGGGTGGGTGTCAAGAGGGAGTGCCACATAAGGCCTCGCCTAAGCAAGGGGGTTCATTTAAGTTTCTTCCACATTACTCTACATCATGTTTCCTTTCTTGTAGGAGCGAGATAAAATATGAGGTCATTGCGTATCTGATCGAGAGATTATGGGTAGAACTGTCTCCCCCAATCGTTTCGCCGAGATATCTAACCATCTCAGGCATTGCACTGTACGATGCAAAGATACTGATAACTCTTATACCCATTCGTCCATCGCGCCGCAGTTAATCATGGGAATTTATCATTAGTCTTTCCCTACACTCAAAGTTTTAGGGGTAGATGGTGAGTATTGGCCGTTCAATTGGCGCATAAAATTTGGGAACATAGTAAATTATCGTAATGATATTGTTTTGTGGACTATTGCTACTGACCATTCAGAAGCTCCGATGGATTTTAATACATTTTATTACAGCTCACCTGAGCGACAAGTGGCTTACACCGATAATTTCGTGCGCAAGGGGTAGTCACAGCAATTACTCATGACTTGTTAGGTGCGAAGACAGGCGCTACTTTACTGAACCATGATGGGTGCACGTCCCCCCTTCCTGCACAGTGGATCGCACGTCGCATATAATGGGGAGTATCTCCAAGTTTATCTATCATATTCATGTAGATCTTCTACCTGTCTGAGAGAAGAGGGTTAGAGTTCTATGTACGTTCCTCGCAGCCCCATAAGTCTTGCGGACTTCATGGGCGATCGGCATGCGGCCCGAATGCTAGATTCGATAGTGGTGATTGGATACATCACAAAATTAGTCTCGGCTGATGTTCAAACTATCAGGCTGGTAGGATTCCCAACTACGTAGGTTTATTATAAAATGGTAAGGCAACGCTGCTGTCGGCCTGATCTTTTCATCATTCGATGGATACCACATTTGTACGCCCTCATGACATACGAATTCCACACTCTCGCCGCATTTGTTTCATTTAAGCTAGGCAGGATACTCGTTATGACCGTTAGATTTTTCTGGTAATGCGATGTTTTCAAGGATCGAAATGTCACTGTTATTGATTAGGGTTTCCAATTGCAGGTGGGCATTACCCGATTGGGCCATTCGTCGACGCATTCGGAAGGCCTCCACTTCGGCGCCTTTAGCATAAAACATGCATAACAGTAAACTTACGGCTAATAATAAGGTACAAAAGGGGTCTAGCCCACTCTCTGATGGCCATCCTTCTCATCAGTCGTGGTCATGAGTAGATTCAAATGGATATGACAGCGCGGGGGTTTCGGTGCACGATAAAGTCGACGAAAGAGCTTTTAGGCACAAATTGTAATTTGTGAATGCAAGCAGATCTCGCCGATATGATATTCTCTGCCACTATCAATTCAATAGTCCTATGCTTGGCTATCATCGGCCAGTCAACGGCGCGAATTGTGCCGCCCTGGAGCCTGGCGAAGCGGGGGGAGCCTCTTCTACCAAGCCAGGATCCTTTCTATAAACCCGACAATGAAGATTGGAGGACATCAAAACCTGGGGCCATCTTGAAAACACGAAATGTCACAATCGGCTCATTGACCGGATTGCCTACATCCCTTGGCAGTGCCCACCAGTTGCTGTATCGCACTACAAATGGACGAGGTCAACCTAGTTATGCGGTCACGACGGTATTGATTCCTCTCAATGCAAAGCTCGATCGTCTACTATCTTACCAGATAGCCTACGACAGCCCCAATCCCGACTGCGTGCCATCCTATGACCTCCAATTTGGAGCCTCAACGAGCGGCGACGACTCGGTGATAGAGCTTTCTCTACTAGCTCAAACATTTCTTACAGCAGGAATACCTGTTAGCATGCCCGACTACGAGGGTATCGAATCTGCCTACACGGTGGGTCCTCAAGCAGCATACGGAGTTCTCGACTCGCTGCGCGCCGTGTTGAGCTCCACAGACGTTACCGGGATGAACTCGGCAGCGAAGACAACATTATTCGGCTACTCCGGGGGCGCGTTCGCATCGGAATGGGCAGGGGAACTCCAGTCATCGTATGCACCAGATGTCAAGATTGCGGGTGCTGCCATCGGTGGTGTTCCGGTTAACAACACAAAGTCCTTTTTTACCATTGACGGCACCAAGCATTCGGGTCTCCTCGTGGGTGGTCTTAACGGCGTTGCGAATGCTTTCCCCCCTGTCGCCCGCTATATTAAAGACCATTTGAGACCCGAGTATGAACCGCTTTTTAATCTCGCCAAAGCCACTTGCATTGCTAGTATCTTTGATCCCGCCTACGGCTACGTGCCCCAATTGGCCAACAAGACGATCTCAGCATTCTTCGACAATGGTTGGTCCCTTGTGGATGAATTCGCGCCGCTGCTGGATAGTATTTTCGTTATGGGTCAACATGGGGTCCCGGACTTTCCCATATTTATGTATCAGGGGACTGCGGACGAAACAGTCGGCGGATTCGGAGATGTGGGTGACCTGGTAGAGCAGTTTTGTCAGAATGGGGCTATTGTAGAGTATGCAAAGGTGGAAAATGCCGACCACATACCCGCGCTCTTCAGGGGGTTTCACAGGGCCAAGTCATTTTTGATGGGTGTCTATGACGGTGCTGTACCAAGCAAGTGTACAGAGATAGATATACAGACCGTGTCGTAATTAACGAGCGGGAATCTGAAAAAAGCTCTTTCATTCGGACCAACCTACTGGCTAGAAAAGTCACAATAGAATATGGTCAGATGATGCTTGGGTTCAAAATTCCGTGCCTCCTCAAGTCGAGACTAGCACTGGACTTTCGCAGTGTGCTCCTATATTCGTCTTCGTTTCGCTTAACTTGAGACAACGCTCAGCAGATGTAGAGTGTTCAGATTGGGCCAATGTGGATCGTGACGATACTTCCGTCACAGACAGCACTCACTGCTTTTGAACGGAGCAACATTCTTGGGATTCAGCGATCTGGCATCAATCATAACACAACCAACCTCACATTGCTAATATCTATCCCAACTGGAAGTATGCGAACGGGTACCTCTCCAACTTCAGATATTTTGCCATGTACATGCAAACGCTATCTGCACCAAGGTACACTTGTGTATCTAACCACAAGCTCACTGCTGTCATTCTGAGACCTACACGATATACAAGATAAGTCTAATCATACTGTTTCAGACACTCCATGAGTCAAATATCTCTTCTGAATCCTCATCCACAATCCAAACCATCCTGTCTAATTCCTTAACGACCCACCATCAGAAGCAGGCACCTTATCTAACAACTGCGCCATCCCCATGGAATGCGGCATCGCATCCACAAACCCATTCTTCGCATACAACTTGCGGCCCGGCTCATCACCAAACAAGGTCACATAGGTACCCATCAACTTCCCATCCGCCGACCACTCCGGTTCCGGCGCCAACTCTCGAATCCTCCCCATGAGACTTTTCAAAATGACATCGCCCAACCCCTTGCGCTGATGCTCAGGTAACACGGCCATATCGGCGATGTGGAAATACCAGCCTCCGTCGCCGATCACACGGCCCATGGCGACCACGACTTCGTCGCCGGGTGTATTCTCTGAGGCCGAGCCATTCGTGTCGTGGTTCTTTGCTGCCATATTCCGGTTATATGTGACGTAGCACCCGTACCAGCTTCCCCGCATTGCGGCTTCTGCTTGGGCTGCACTGTGTGGGGATAGACCTGATGCCGAGCGGAGGTGAATGTAGTCTTTCACCGAGGGGTAGCCTTGGCGGAGGGTGTAGCCTTCCGGGCAGGTGCGTGGCTCTGACATTTTTGTGTTGTTTTAGGTGGTTTTATTGAATATTGGGGTTGGGTATGAGGGGAGTGTTGGGGCTTTTATATCTTTTGTGTACAATACGAGAAGGATGAGACTAGTACTCCGTATCCATCGGAATTGCGGAGTGGGATCGGAGCTCGAGTTCAATGATTCATAATCTTGGGTCTAAGCCTTATATGGAATGGTGTCTAGGAGAACCCTAGGATATGTTGGAGTGAACCTGCTATCCTAATGACTTTGGTGGTAAGCTTAAGATCTGGATACTTAGAGGGTGGAAAACATGACTTGAATGTTAATTGAACAATGTGAGGCGAAATATACAGTGGCAATCCAAGATACCCTTGCCTTTATTTTCTTCCTAGGCCCGAAACACACATTTATGCCGCACCCGCAATGTTAAATTGCTGTAAAAGTGAACGGACAACCCAAGATGATGGTAGCTTGGGTTGGAGAACGATTTGTTTTTTAAGGACGGATTGATATGATTAAAGATTCTTGGCTTCATGCAACGGGCAGATTAGGCACCAGCTTGGAATGTGAGTGACCCTCTCAGGGCCACCCTAGCCAAGAGGGTTGTGCTCGTCCCTGGCAGGCCTTTTTCAATAGTTAAGACATACCGGGTTGGGTTAATTCTTTTAAGGTATATGAAGGTGTATACCGAAGTTATTGTTTGACCCTCTATGTCATCATCCCCTGTCGAACACGTGAACTTGAATGTGTAGAAGGGTTTAGTGACTGAATTTAAATTTGTGAATCACGGGTACAATAATTAGATACTCTGAAAAATCTTATAATACTCGGTATTCCAGAGTTAGTTTAGGCTATTTATGGATCTAATTGATATCCTATGATCTGTTTAACAGCATACCAAAGGTATATCAGACAAGACAGAATAGTGCGTAACACAAGCTCGTATGACTGCGGAGAACCATACACTAGAACGGGATGGCAGTGGGCCGAGGGAGACAGTGAGAGACTTACTTCTGGGTTACGTGTAGTACACAACGAGATCTATCGCATGATGCTAGATGGTGTGTGACACGAGAAATAACGAAAGGTTGCAGCTGACCTTGTGCATCTGACCTAAATCTAGCTCTGTCACTCTCTTTCAATTTCCGTGGTTTCATTTAAGCTATATGAAAGACATTCAAACCGGATCTATTATAATAGCTTGAGACACCAATCTATTGGACTAGATGACCTCTGATAAACACTGATCTATCTTCAAAATATCAAGTACTGCGGTATCTAATACATCGGATACCTTTCAACGGTTTTGTGGAGGCGCGACTGCCGCACCATGCGAATCAATCGATTAATTAGACTCTCAATCCTGCTCATTACCCTAACTAATGCCGTCGATCTCAACGGCTATGAATACATCGTGGTTGGATCTGGAGCTGGTGGCGGCCCACTAGCAGCTCGACTGGCTCTTGCAGGCCATAAAACCCTCCTCCTGGAAGCCGGCAACGACCAAGGGGACAATCTCAACTATAGTGTTCCCGGATACGCAGCCAAAGTTACCGAAGATCCAGCTCTAGCCTGGAACTTCTTCGTCCGGCACTATGCCAACGAAACACGCCAAGCGCAGGATTTCAAAACGGTCTATGAGACGCCAGACGGCAAGGCGTATACAGGTCTTGACCCTCCTGCTGGTTCGAAAATGAAAGGAATCCTTTATCCGCGAGCGGGAACACTAGGAGGGTGCACAGCACACAACGCGTTGGTCTCTATGTACCCGTATCGCTCTGACTTTAACCATATCGCCGAGTTGACCGGTGACCCCTCCTGGTCGGCAGAGAATATGCGGAAATACTTCGTGAAGTTGGAAAGGAATAGATATTTAGTCCCTGGGAAGCCAGGCCACGGGTATAACGGCTGGCTAGGAATTGAAACGCCGCCGTTAAGACTTACTTTGCAAGACCCACAACTACTAAGTTTGGTCACCGGTGGTGCTTTGGCATTGGACAATGGGGCTAACGCTTTGGCTCATCTTGCTTCCTTGATTGCTGGAGACGCAAATGCTGATACCTTGATACGTGATACAACATCTGGGTACTACGCATTCCCTATTGCAGTTAATGATGCGAAGCGTAACGGACCACGGGAGTTTATTGTTGCCGTTCGTGATGCGGTCAATCGCGATGGAAGCAAGAAATATCCGCTTGATGTTCGGACGGATTGTTTAGCCACTAAAGTGATCTTTGATCATTCTGCTAGTCCGCCTCGCGCAAGGGGAGTCGAATTCCTTGACGGCACGTACTTGTATAGAGCCAGTCCATTGTCTAAAAAGGATAGAACGGGTACTGGTGGCACAGCCTCTGCATCCCGCGAGGTTATTCTCTCCGGAGGTGTATACAACTCGCCGCAGCTCCTAAAGCTAAGCGGAATCGGGCCAGCACAGGAGCTCCAGCGACACGGAATCCAAGTCATAGTCGACCTACCTGGTGTTGGGAACAATCTACGAGATAATTATGAAGTCATGGTACAGGGCCACGTCCCGAAGGACCTGAGAGCCCTTAAAGGGTGCACGTTCAGCTTCCACGGACAGCCCGACCCATGCCTTGATCGCTGGAGGAAATCAGTCCTCGGCGACCGTGGTACCTACGGGTCTTCCGGCCTCGCAGCCGCAATGCTTTTTAGAAGCACAGGTGCCACTAACAGTGACGTTGATGCCGCGCTTTTCTGTGCTATAGGTAATTTTCGTGGGTACTTCCCTGGACACAGCTACAATGCCACTGCGAGGCATGACTGGTTCACCTGGTCTGCGGTTAAAGCTCATTCGCAAAATAATGCCGGCACCGTGACCCTCCGGTCTGCCGATCCGCTTGAACCGCCAGATATCTTGTTCAATTACTTCGACACTGGGGCTGGTAACTATACAGCAGATCTTCAGGCAATATATGAAGCCATTGAACTTGGGCGTGAGTCATTCAAGCGCCAGCTTGTTCCTATCTCGGAAGTGCTCCCAGGTGAGCACGTAAGGTTGCAAGAGGATATCGAGACCTACATCAAGGACACCGCATGGGGCCACCATGCCGTATCTACTTGTCCGATTGGTGCTAATTATGACCCAATGGCTGTTCTAGATTCCAAGTTTCGGGTTCGTGGAGTTCATGGGTTGCGCATCGTTGATGGGTCTGTGTTTCCGCGTAGTCCGGGTACTTTCCCTGCTCTGGCGACTTATACCGTGGCGGAAAAAGCGGCGGATGTCATTCTGAGCGAGATCCGCAATCGTTGAGCATGGTAGATGGTATGGTTCGCGGTCTTCTTACTGCTCTCTAACTTTAACCCACTTTCTTTTCCAGGCAATGACTCAACTTCAACTTGGTTATCTATAAAAGTCTTCTATAAACACTTCCTACCCCATCCAAGCATTTACCTCCCCCACACCGGCAATTTTTGCAAACTTCCTTACAACTTGCAACGTAGCCCAATAACTAAACGGTAATGCTACTATCCACAACCCCAAGTTTATCCCCGCTGTAACAATCAACGCAGTCGGCACAGCCTGAACCCCAAACCCCACCGCCACGCCCGCGGTCTCAATTCCCCTCAATAACGAACTATATCTAATCTGATCTCCCGGTGAATCTGACAGATTCCCAATACACCAGTAGATATAATTCTCAACGATGCCCAGACTAATGCGCTCGAACAAGTAGAGCCCGAACCCACGGCCAAAGGCCTTCTGATCCACCCAGTCGAGAACGGGCTTCGTATGTCGGTATTCATCTTGGATAATCACGGCCCAGATCCAGGTTGTGGTGTTCAGCATTGCAATGAGGAGATACGTTGTTATTGCTCTTGTTTTCCGGTTCGAAAGCCAGGGGAGATCGACGAGCGAGCCACCAAGCCAGGTGGCTAGTGAGCCGACGATGGCGGAGAGAAAACTACCGAGTGCGCGGGAGCGCACGGTGAAATAAGTTGCTAAGTATGTTCCTGGGTATGCTTGGATCCAGCCGAAGTACCAGAACAAGGGGATAAGAAGGAGGATAGGTTTACTCCGGGCGAGACGCCACATAGCGGAGAGCTCTGCTCGCCAGGTTATGTTTCGGGGTGCTTCGATGCGGGTGCCATCATCCCGTTGGACGTTTTCGGGGTCTGAGAGGAGAAGGCCAACGGGTAATCCTAGACATTGGATTGCGATAAAGCCGAGATAGGTTTGGTAGCCTACTTGGCCCCGTTGGTTCACGTTGTGGTTGATGCCCAGGGAGATCGCGCCGCCGATGACGTTTCCGAAGTTCCGGAAGGTGAACCACGTAGCGATGTATCGGCCTCGTTTGTGTTGCTCCGGGTATCCTGTTGCGATGGCGCCTTCGACACTCCAGAAGAAGCCGGCGCTGAGGCCGCAGCTTACGGACCCTAGGTAGACCAGCCAGGTTGCGCCGGTGCGGTTGTTTAGGTAGAGACCTGCGGCATAGAGGGGGTATCCGATTGAGCCGAGCGCTAATGTGTAGCGGAAGCCGATGATGTTGGTTATCCATGGGCCTGCGAAGCACGTTACGGTCATGAAGGCGTAGAGGAGGGCATTGGCGGCGTTTACAAGGTCCGGACTTTGGGAGCCGCCCACGCCCAGGCCGTTCATGGCGCTCCAGATACCAGGAGCACAAAAGGCACACAGACCGACGATCAGAATTTGAAAGAGCGTAGTACGGAAGAATATTCGTTTTACTTGTTGGTGTTGCGATACATTATGTGGCGGTGTTGCTGGGAGTTGTGTGACTTGTTCGTTGTGCTTCGGTGTTGTTGTCATGCTGGGCGAGAGGGGGGTCGTCTTTTCCTCCCTATTCTACCTAATAATTTTCGGTGCTTGGAGAGTCGATCTGGTACTCCAAACGCACATATTCATCTACTATTGATTATATTATACATGGTGTTTCTTATCTGCCCCGAGCACGTAAGACGATACCTGCATTGCACGATAGCGACATTGCCTCGGGCATTGGTTTTTCATGCAGCCGAAGCAACGATAGATCGGAATCCAGACTTGCCTAACCATGCAGGGATTGACCAGTCACTGCAATCAGTCTTTGTCTATCACGTTCATCTGAGAAATAGCGGGGGTTGGCGCAATCTTGGCGCCGCTGAGCACATCATTGACCTATTGCAGATGCGGGGATATATCATATCATATCCATGACACCTACCTATATACCGAAGAAAACGACAGCCCTCTCTCCCAACCATCTAAATCTTACAATCCGAAAGAACCCAAAATGGCCACAGCAACAGAACAGCTCAACATATCCAACCTCGCCATCACCGACAGCACCGTAACATTTGAACCCTTCCCCCTCCCACCCACCAACCAACGCATCCTCGGCGCGCCCCATCCCCCAAACACCGTAATCCCTCTAGCCCTACGCGCATCTGAAGAAAGCCAAAGATCCCTAACCCTCGACTCCATAACCCAAACCATCCAAACCCTGCAATCGCACAACCAAACCTTCACCAAACAGCTCGCCCGCCACGGAGCCCTCCTCTTCCGCGGCCTCCCCATCCACAACGCCACCGACTTCAGCAAATTCGCTCATGCCTTCGGCTACAAGCCGCACGAAATCATTGGCATCGTTGTCGACCGCCCATGCCTCGCCCCAAATGTGGCTCCCGCAAACGAAGCGCCCAAGGAAGTCCAGATCTACAACCACAACGAGTCCCCGCAAGTTCCGCACGCGCCGGAGTACATCTTCTTTTATAACCAGCGGGCTCCAAAGAAGGGAGGCGAGACACCTATCTCGTCCTCGTTGGAACTGTTCCGGCGTGCGCAGGTCGAGGTTCCCGAGTTCATCGATCAGCTTGCGGAGAAGGGGGTGTTGAGTCGGGTTGTTTATCATGTCGAGAAGCAGTATGAGGGAGGGTCGACGTTGCGGCAGGCGTTTGGAAAGGAGATTGATGATGGGGATGATGAGGAGACGAGGCGGAGGAAGATTGAGTCGCAGATTGCGCGGTATGGTCGTGGGAAATATACGACATGGGAATGGGTTGATGGTGGGATAGTGGTTACGCACCGGTTACCGGTGATTCGGACGCAGCCGGGGACGAATCTGCCCTCGTTGTTTACGGGGCTGGCGGCGTATTATAAGCGGGTGCAGGCGAATGATGAGAGGAGAAAGGTCACGCAGCTGCTGTATGGGGATGGGACGCCCATCCCGGAGAGGTATTTGGCACATTTGGCGAAGATCACGGATGAGATTCGGGTATTGCATCGGTGGCAGGAGGGTGATGTGTTGGTTTATGACAATATTATTGCCCAGCATGGGAGGGAGCCTTGGGAAGGTGAGCAGGGGGATCGGGTCGTTTTGGCGAGTTTGTTTGATGGGCCGGATGTGCCTGGTGCGTACGGATTTGGGGATTGGGCGCAGGTTGTCCAGGCGCTCGATGGGTAAGAGGCACTTGAGGTCTATGCCGCGATTGATCGACCATGTTTCGTTTCTTTGGTCAGGTCTGTAACTAGCTGATGGTTACTATTTTACTATTTTTCGAGTAAGTGTCTTCTAGCACGAGGGAATTGAGGTTGAACGCTTAAATTAGGTATATGTATGGATTGAATTGCCATGATTAAAAGCAACCATAGTAGTAAAACATGATGTACGAAAGCTATTTCCGGAATAGAAGATATGTCCCACCTGACCGGCTTCAGGACAAAGATAAAGATCTGTACAAGAATACTTTTAAAAGCAACCCGATCGCTTATTGCGTCTTGATCAACCACCCCACAGCGCCCATCGCTCCGGCCGCAATCATGACCGTCAGGATCCAGGCTCCGGCCCTATCGGCGGTCTGAATTGGCTTCGACCTCGTGGGGTCCTTGCTGTTCTGGTCGTTGTTATCAATGTGATGTTCCGCGGCGTCGGGATTCGTATCAACCGTCTGCGGGGACTTGCTCTCCAGCAGCATCAGATTCGACGTGATCCCTCCCAGGGCAGCCATCTGCACCTCTAGGCCCGACATCCCATCCCAGGTGGGTTTACCCCATGTTTCACCGCAGAGGTTTCTGCCTTCGCCAGAACACTGTTTTGCAATTGCTTCTGCGGAGCCCTGCAGCTTGGGGACGATTCGATCCGCCGTCGAAGGGACTAGGATCGCTGTATGGGCCAGCCACATGGCTGTGTAGCCCTTGAAGCCCAATTGGTTACGGTCGCAGCTCATGATAGGCTCACATGCCACCTCAGACAGGACATTGCCGCCGAAGTTTTGGGGGAAGAATGTGGCAAGAGTGCTGTCCAGCAACCCATTGACGCGCTTCAGCCACTTTTCGTCGCCATTCGTCTACTCACAAGGGTTAGGGGTCATATTAGAGGCCTGGATGGAATAGGATGAGGTGACTCACGTAATTATACATAAACGCGCATCCGGACAGGTACGTTCCGTAGTTGTACGTCCATTGGTTGTTGCCGGAGTCTTTGCAGTTGTTCTCGTTCGATGTCGAGTCCGCCACATACCACTTCTCGGTACGAACGAGCGGGGAGCTCGCCGACCAGTCCCAGATCTTCTCAGCCCACTCTGCATAGGTGGCGTTCTTGGTAAAGCGGGCGAGACGAGCGGACAGCTCGAAGAGACCACCATTCGAGATGGAGTTCTTCATGGTGTAGCCTGCCTGGTAGGGCCAAATCTGCCACCGCAGGCCACCATTGCAAGCACTCTCATCCCACCGGCCAACCTGCATGTTGAATACTGCGCGGGCCAGCGAGGTCCATGAGGGCTTACCCGAGATTTCCGGGAAGCCGGTCTCCGACGCGGTGATACTAGCAAGACCCCAGAACATTTGGTCATCGTTTCCCTACCGGATTTAACAAGGTGGTTTGGTTTAGTCCAACCGGGGGGAATATCGAGATAACTTACCAGCCACTGACTGTAGTTGGAAGAGAAGTAATCGTAGTTATCACCCGACTGGAACATGAGATCATGTGACACAACCTTGTTGTATTGATCAACCCCGGACGAGGCCCAGTACTGAATCAAGGTCATGAACATAGCACCGGCGATATACCAAGTATCGGTGAGTTTGCCGGGAATACCCTCCGTTTGATTTTGGGCATAGAAGGTCATCATAGGATCGGCGATATCCTTCCCCGCATTGGCCAATGAATCTAGAAATGAAGCAAAGCCCTAAGAACTTGCACTCTTCCACCCGCATAGCCGAACTAGGAAATAAAAAACAATCGACATACCCTTACTATTCACCTGGACTGTGAGCGCCGACAGAGCCGCCTGCCCTTGAAGAAGGAGCAAGACGGCCCCACCGAGCTGTCGCCAACTTAGGCGCATCGGTGCTATATTTCTGATTTATGGTTTAATTCTGATTTAGTCGGTCTAGGTACTTTCAGGTATGGGAAGGGCTGGTTTTGACGGCGCTTTATTTGGTTCCAGGAACGAAGGGAAACGCATTATTATTATGTGGTGGAATTTTAAAGGGGGAACAGAAAGAGAGATTTGGCAGTGAAACGCCAAGGGTCTACTTTATCCGCCAAGATGCCCACGCCACTGTCGCTTGGACCAATAGGCTTCGTGCGCTACTGGCTAATTTGGGGGGTTTTGGCGCGTGCCGAGTCCTTGGGCGGTTTTGTTTGTTGCCTGGCTATACAAGTTTAGGGGGTTCATGTCATTCCCATGTAGATCTTCATTCAACCTTGCATCTTATCACGCATCATTCTTCCCCGGACGCTTACTTCATTCAAGGCGCATCATTACCCGTCCAAGAAATGACAGGAACTTCTTCCTTGGTTGGGTTTCTGGGCTTCCTTCCATAACCCTAGGAACAGGGCGCAGCAATAGAAAATTCAGATATTAGGGGGCACCGACAACCGACACGGAGGCATATACTACTTTAGTATTATTACCATTCTAACTAAAGAGATCAACCTCAAACGGATCCTTCACAATTTCAAAGCCGATCGAGATCACACTATGTGATTGCCTGCAGAACCATGCTATAAATAGCACTGAAACCGGCATTCCAGGGCGGATCGTGTTCGTTTAAGAAAAGGTGAAAGATCCCACCTCAATGCATCCAATGTTCTTCTTTTTGTCTTTGTTCTTGAAATATCTCCTCTTGCCGGACCGAAAGCACAACAAGCAAGGAAATGACTGAATAACGGGGTTCTCTCATTCTCCATCGTCAAAGTTAAAGCAAAGAGTGGGGGGCACGTGCACGCTTGGCCCTTTTCCTGAGAGGCTCACGGGACTTCGGCATGCATCCAACTCATTCTCCTTCTCAACTCTTGCCTTATGACTGACGGATACCACCACTACCATGCAACGGAATGATGAAACGCTGTCGATACTCGGAGTGTGCAAAGAGTAACCCAAATAGCACACCAAAGTCGGGAGCAACAGCTACAACCGAGCCAATGGCCCATCGCTGCGAACTACCCCTAACGAAGCGGGAGAAATATCCGCAACGCTCTTACACCCCGTCAGCTGCATGCAGTGCTTGAATTCTGTATACAGAACTTCCAGCACTTTACTCGCCCCAGCCTCCCCATCGTACTGCGCCAGGAAAAAGGTCAGCCACTCGACTCCACGGGGGATATAAAAAAGCAACGACCCGATGCATGACTTACCGCAAGACCCCAGATGATCGGTCGTCCGATCCAGCAACATTCCGCACCAAGCGCCAGCGCCTTGAAGATGTCAGTTCCGTTCCGGATGCCCCCGTCAATATGTACGCGGATCCGACCCTTGGCGGTTCTAGCACATTCGGGCAGAGCGTCAATAGTGGCAGGAGTGCCATCGAGCTGCCTGCCACCATGATTACTAATGATAACTCCCTCGCAGTTGTATTCGATTGCAAGCTCAACATCCTCCGCCGTTAGGACACCCTTGATCCAAATTTGCATTTTCGTCACGCTTCTCAGCCAAGGGATTTCTCGGGCCCACGAGTGCGAGCTTGAATTGACTCCCGTAAACCCATCCTCGTGCGTCTCGGCACGGATCATCTCCGACGTCTTCTCCAACATGGGAAAGTTCAGACCTGCGGGGGTTCGGAAATCGTTGCGGTGCTCGCCATACCGAACGCCAAGGATCGGACTATCTGCCGTTAAAAAAATCGCAACGCAGCCCGCAGCCTCGGCACGTTTTATGATACGCTCCTGTTTGGCCCGATCTTGCATGGTGTAGATTTGCATGGTATGTTCCATTGGTCCGATATCAAGTCCGGCCGCGCGAATTTCCTCCACAGAATAGTTGGCGAACGACGAAACAGCCATGTGGACCTGCTGTTTAGCACACGCTCGACTCGTCGCCAGTTCACCGTCGGAGTGTGCCATTGCCTGAATCCCCGCCGGCGCTACACATAGTGGAAAGGCGATCTTCCGTCCAAACACGGTGGTGCTGGTGTCTGCGTTCGAGACGTCCACGAGCACCCGTGGTCGCAGACGGTACTTGCTATAAGCTGTCGTGTTTTCTGTTACAGTGACCTGGTCTGTTGAACCGGAATTGTAGAAATCTAAATCCTCCCGTAATCAGCAACAATGGAATTTGCACGCGGAATATCGGGGTCTCGTCGCCCCGCACCTCTGGATGATGCGGCCAACTTTTGCCCCGCTGCCGATTTGATATCTTCGATGCAGAGAATCATATCTTTTGGTGACTGGTCAATCATCTTCTCTGCAGACCGGATTAAAGGTATGTAAAATGTAACAGAGGACGATGTTCATCTACTCGTAGTATGTACACCACGTACATATATCTTGCTCTACCTGGTGAATAAGTCAAGAGGCGCTTCTTATCAGATCACGTGGCAGCCTCTGTAGCTGCAGGTTTCATCTAAACGATCGGCTTACTTGTCAAATAATAGCGGGCGATTTTGCTGAAGATCGGCCCTATACTCCTATCACTGCTCTTACCGCCATGTAAATACGGTTGCTGAAAATGCGTGAGGGGTTACGGTAATTTGTCTACATACAGGCCAGAAGTCTGATCCATTATACGGAGTACAGCACCACTATCCCTCTCCAGGCTTCTGGCCGCTTACACATCATAATGGCTTCTTGTGCGATAGATGCTTATCATCTTCGATCCGGCCGTACGTATGCTGCTATTAATTGAGTAACGTAGATGTAACATACGCCAAAGAAACCGGTCAATAGGAGGGAAAAACATCGAAAGATACTGAGCCTTGATATATATCGCAACGGACCTCATGGCCCGGAGCACGGCGGCTAGTTTAAAGCATATATATAAATATCAACACCACCCCTGCATGATAACTATAAAGAACCCCCGTGTCGTAAACGAAGGATGAACAGAAGAAATTAATCTTACAGAATTCCATTGAACCATTTGCGTCGGAGTCGAACCATCCAAAGACCGTAGAAGCTCCGCCTGTTATCCAGACATTGCACATAAATGCACTAACACACTCTCAAGCATACTGTATCAAACCGAGATAGTATGCACGACATCACATTGACTTTATCTATCCTCACATAAACATCATACATCATAACAACCGACCGAAACCCATTTACTTCTTCTCCTCGCCCTCAACCAACTCTTCAAATCTCCTCAGGTCCATATCCTTCTCCAACAATGGAATCACATAGGGATCAAAAGTTTTCCAGTAGGGGTTCTCGAGATGATACTTCTGCGATCCCTCATTCAGGTACCGCTCCACGATACAGAAATCTTGCTTATCATGCACAGACTGCATAACGAACCAGGACAGAGTCTCCTTGTCCTTAGAGTAAACGGCCGAGGCCTCGAGGAGTTTAGCGTGGAGCTTGGAGATGGACTCCTCATCGGGCTTCGCGCGCATGTCTGTTCATACCATCGCCGTTCCATCAGCCTCGATCCAATTCAGACGCTCAATGAAGGTTAGAGATACGTACGGACAACGATTGTGTAGACCATTTTGGGCAGTTTGGGGATCTTTGATTCCGGAATGGCGAGGGTTGGAGGGGTAATGGAGCTAAGGCTGGGAGTTCTTATATGGGACTGTGGGGCGCAGGTGTTACTTTTGCCTTTTGGGGCTTCTTCGGTGAATACTGGGCTGGGTGGTGGTGGGGTGACCTTTTTGGAGATTGGAGGTTATGATATCATGGGGTTTGGGTTTTGATGCGTTGTGGTAAGTGTTTGTCTTGTCTCTTATGGGGATTATTCTCGGAATTGGGTAGGGAGGAGCGAGATCGGAAATTTCTCAAGAGACTGTAACGCGTTTATTCTTTGGATGACGAGGATATTAAAGCTTATCTTATCGATATAGCATCATATCTCGACGGCCTCAGACATAGGGGATATAATCACGTGGTTGGATGTTGTCCCGGTTTTACCCGCTGCAGGTCTCGTCTCGGATTCGTTCATGCCTTAGGTCTATATCAGGGTTGTGCCCTTGTGGCCTTAAGGCACATATCGTGTGAGTTCTGAATGATCGCTGGAGGGCTTTAGCTCGGTGATTGTTTTCACCACTTGGTAGGCACAGTACTTTTCACTGTTAAATATGAGAGACATCAAACGCCAAGGCCCCACTGGGATGTCCTTCCGGATTGCCGATCCGGGTGGAACTCGGATACCGAACATACGAAAGTCACCACCGGAGTAGTATATGGCGTAGACTTTTTGGTCTTGGCTCCTGAATAACCTAGAAAGTTAGTGTCCTCATGACACTCTGGAAATAGCGGATGTTGTCATTACGTATCAAGTTTGCAATCCCTGTCTAGGACTGCGTATTGATAAGTAGTTTATGCCTCAACCACTAGTGGTGCTTGGTGTTGTATCCTGGGCGGTAGAGTAAAGGACAAGGCTTCTAGTCATACATGTGCCGCTCGCTAGTGACCGAATCCTCAAGGAATAATCCCAGAACGTTCGTATTGTAGACCGAGAAAGGGGAGTAGATTAAGTTTATAACCCACAGTATTTGACAGGTGCTACAAAGTAGATACATAGACAAAAGACTCTCTTTGTTGTCGTCTACAGCACTCCTTTCGGACATTGCTATTCATTTAGACGAGATTACCTTTAAACACGCTAGGTCAAGTGTTGAATCCTTTGGCACCGCAGCTGGACAAACATGACCATTACTCCCGGACTTTTGCACAGACGCTTAACTGGTTTAAATATGGCCGAATGTAAGTCATTAAGACATCCGATCCACTTTAGAAGTCTACGGTGCGTAAAATTGGGTTGGCTAGGGGTGAACGAGAGTTGATTGATAATATTGTTTACTGATGATGAAGTGGATCTCTCATGGTGACCTCATTCATAAGGGTTAGACAAGGAAATAAAGTGGTCTATTTATTTTTGGTCATGAAAGTCATACTACAAAAAGAGTGAAGCCCTTCAGTAAGAGATATTTAGCTCCTAATAGAGAAAGAGAGGAAACAAAAAAACTCTTCTATACCCCTAATTGAATTTATATAGTTCTATCTTAAGCAATTAGGCGATCCTCCATGTCGCGTGTCTGTCGGGCATGCTATGCATCGAACGAGTGTTGTATTCCACCGAAACATCGTCTGTCCGCACGATAGCACCCAGAGGATGGCTATTTTTGTGACGTTCGTCACCAAGAATACTCTCCTGACTTTCGACTTGCGTAATCGAGCGGTCTGACCGTCTGTTTGTCCTGTGTCCGGTTCCATGAAACGTGTAATCCCGTAGGTAGTTCGCATCTTTCCGTTGGGGACTTTTCGCGCGGACGTGACCTCTAAGAGTCAGCTCAAGAATTGGTTGTAGAGTCGGGATGCAGGAGGCTAGGATGAGGACATTGGCTTCGACACTGTGGCTGTTAGTATGAGCTTGTTGCTATGGGAAGCCGTTGTCTTACTTTGTCCACATAACAAGATCCGCAGTTTCATCTGGTGTCATTAGTATCATCGGGTACGATGGTATATCCGGTCTCTCACATGTATAATCGTCCAGATGTGCTAAGTCTGGGAATTGACTGCTTTTCACAATGGCCATGGCAGCGGCTCTGTCTATTTTATCTATCATCGTCCGTAAAAGGATATTGTTGACGGGATACATACGCCAAGCCCATACCCAAAGCAGCGCAAAGCGCCAGCCGTTTCCGCAAAGGCATATGAAGTTTCATTAACACCGTACTTGGATAAATGGCAAGATACAGATCGACACATGCAGAGATAACTAGCAAATTATAAGCCGTGGTCTGGGCGGATGGCTTTTAGAGGAACCCACCTGCATTAGCAATACCATACCTAATGAGAAGCCATATGTTGCATGTTGCCCGGCCCTCATTCACAAGATTGTGCTCCCAAGTTGCCTGAGGTGGATCACATTGAAAGAATATCAAGAAAATACAGGCAAACGAGACTGTGGATGTAATTCCAATGAGTGTCCATAGCACTATACGTTGTGTCCTGCTTGGATTAAGAATCCGAGTCAATAGAGTCGTCACTGCGACCTTTGGAAGGGTGAAACAAAAGATGCCGACAGCGAAGCTGATCGTGTTAACCATGGTAATCGTTTGCACTGTACTTTCTTCCAAGTACCATGCGTGCCTTCCGTATCCCATATGTATATTTGCTGTAGTCATTCCAACGCATGCTAGAGTTAGGCACTATAGGAATTAAGTTAGGTATTCTCCAAGCGAAAGAATGATCTAAGGACACTACCAATGAACCAAGGATGATATAGTCATCAATACCAGCATTGCGAATTAAGTAGACACGGATGTATAATCGTGCGCCGACAACAAGGAATGTAATGGTCGATAACGCCCATATCACAGCCAGAATTCTAGGACCTTTGTTAAGGTTCGAGTTAGCACTGGCAGACATTTTGACAATGTCTGCCTTCTGGGAACGGGTTGCGGCAGTGATCCAGGAAGGAGAATTGTCATATAAACCAACCTGCCTTCGACTTGGGTAGGGCAGCCCACATCCACTATATGACTGGAGACAATGCAGAATTGGTGCAAACCCAAAAAATTCGATATCGTTGAAAATGGAGGAGGCTAAATCGTCGCTACAGCATGATTCCGCAGGGTCCGCTCGCCCTTATAGCGGTTGTATCCAATCATAACGGGAGAGCAAAGGAGATCAACTCAGGGATTGGACAGTTGTGAGCGTTTGGAATATAATTTATTCTTTCGGAGCATCCTCTGCACCTCTGTTCCCACTTCCAAGAATTTTAAGGTACTGGTGGATACATCCCGACTAATCAAACAACAATCTGGATTGTGATACCCTATAATCTGGGAAACTCTGCAATGAAAAAATAACAAAACATGAGTAGGCCTCTGATCGGCGGACACCACTGTGCAAATTTTTACGCTGCTTGACCTGTTGTGGAATCGTGGCAAGTTGCATTGCATATATGCCAACGCGGCACAAGAACGGGACAACCGCGCGAAGGATTCGATAGCTTCCCAGGGTGTGATTTCATATATGTAAGACTATGGGATATCCGCCCAATACTCTAGCTTGCTCTTCAGCTTTAGATAGAAGACCCCACATAAGGTGAACTCCAGGCAGCGGCCACAAGATGGCGTGTCTTGGCCATGCTGATCTTCGTTTTAGGGTGGAATAAGATCCGTTCGCTGATGAATCCGCAATCATAGTTTCTCCATCGTTTCCCCGAGTAACTAATTTGAGAAGCGGAAAACCACACTGTTTGTTGTCAACGCCTATATAAGGCTCGCCACCTTAAGCATTCCTTGAAGATTCGGTGAATCAACCAAGAAAGGGTCCTTGCTAAGCGTAGTAGTTGACTACAAAAGTCCAACAATCCTAATTTCATCACTCAACTCTAGACAACAACTCTCAATAGCACATTACAGAGACGAATATTCCTACTACACTCTTCAGATGGCATATGAATGCCCCTGACAGGGATCTATGGAGTGATGGCCCACCATGTGTAAGACAAAGATAAACCCGTGCCGGTAAGCCAAAAACCCAGAGTTGGCTACCACCAAGAGGTCTGTGAATAAGCTTATTGGGCTCGGAGGTAAGCCGACCATAACGGCTGGCTGATCCGCCGATTCTGTGACAACCGTGGATCAGCCACCCTTAGCGCCTATCTGCTGACCGAATTTTATGCGAATCCTTTCAGAGAATGCATAAGCCTTAACGTCTATCGTTAATCACCGTCTAGCCATTGAAAGGGGGGTTTTTCTAAGAGTGGAAACTTAGTATAAAGGCCTCCTTCTGCACAAGGCTTGGCGAATGCCTGTTCTCCTAACAAGGAGATTGGCTCTTCAACAGGGGACGACTATTAGTCTATGCCCGTTCGGGGGTTTAATGTCGCAATGTCTCAGAGCACTGCATATGTACCATACGAGGAAGCTAGACCGATTACTCAACGGCCGAATTTGCCACTGTCCTTGTCACGTAGTGGCTGCGTTCTGCTTGATGAACCCGCTATATTCTTCTCAGACTATCAGATCGCTTCATGCTAGTGATAAGTCCACAATTGTCAGCCAATTCATTGCTGTGGTTGCTGTTAATTTACTGAATGCTCTTCGGGAGGATACTTATGGAACATGATTCCGGTCTCCGGTGGCTCTTGGCTTCTAGGTGTCGGCGAAAAGCACGGGCGAACCTAAGGACGCCTTGTGAATATACAGAGCCTACCCTCTAAAGAGTCACCTTATAAGGCCTAAACCAGACTTGGAGGACACGCGTACGGTGCTTTTCGCACTAGGTTGTACAATAAGTGAAGCACACTAGCCTTGGACTCATCGCCGTTTAGAGATTAAGATTAACTTGAGCACGTCTGACACATAATTGGATTTAGGTAGCTGTGAATCGCTGCGCCAAAGGCTAAACTTCGGTAATATATGCATTTCTCTGGAGTATATACTATCCATTCTCCCGCCAAATTTTTTTTAGCCCCCGTGTAACTCGAATATTGGAATTTGAGATAAGAAATACTCGGTGCATTTACGCAGGAAAGCTCCTAAGAAGCAAAGCGCAGCTAGGAAACACTCGCATATCGGAAATGGTCTTGTTTCAAAAATTTGCTATCCCAGCAGTTGCAAAGGAACATTCTCCATATATTCGTCAGTGTCGCCCGACGTGTAAATTAAAATATGTATAACTAGGAAACCTTCAATCAGCTGTATCGAGTTCTTTACGTGGGCTTCCTGGGGAAGATGGCCGTCGTGGGTGCTGAGTATACTTTAGCTCTGAAGCCTGCGGATCGAGGCCCAGTTTGGAAATCGGATCCGACAATCGATCTTCCTTTATGAAACCCCGGGAGAGGTCAGAAGCCACTACTACGCCTCGATCCAATGGGATATTTTTGGGGACACAACCCAATACCAATTACATACTTATCCACACATGCATTGCCGGGGCATTGCCGAGGCATTAGAGGAAGCACAACGAATGCAAGCAGATTAGAAACCGTGAGCATCAAGCTCAAAGAACCCACTGGTGTGGAAGTACACCGTGTGGGCAATGCTTATCTATGACATAATTCCCTGATATTAGGCGACCCTCGGTAGTAGACATCGATTTGGGGATACAATGAGAAGTATCCACTAGCGCAGGTACGAATGTCCCTAGGAAAATTTTCAAGATGCGAAGCGAAGTTTCCCAAGACCGCATCATCGGCTCGGTCTTACCACTTAGCTTAGTGATGATTGGTCTGGTCTAAAAGCCAGTCTTGAGCTTAGCCCAATCCTTACCTTGATTATGACGGCAAGCCGATCAGTCGGCTACAAACCGATCTACTACAAAATGCCTCTGCCGGGACGATGGCCTTCCCACTGTAGCTGGCCCGGTACCTGCTAGGCTATGGCTAGCGATTCCGTATGCCAAATCACTTTCTACCGGCCAATTTAGACCTGCTTCCACAAAGTAAGTTTTGTCCGCATATAAAGCTGAATCGGGCCGTTGGGTATGTCTTTGCGGTTTGAACGATGCAATAAACCATCAGCCCAATGTTCGGCCCCGATCTTCGCATGGCAGAGCGGAGGCCTGGTACCTGACTCATGTAAACCCAGGGTTAAAAACTTTATCAACTCAAAATGCATCGCTTTGTCGTATTCGAGTCGCGTGGTCTTAGCAAATGTGAGAATGAAGCAGTTCCCTGTCTTTCTTCAAGGTGCTCTTCGTGAAGATTATTTACTCCAACAAGTTCTCCTAGGATTTATGCGTAGGAGTTTGATCTTCGGCATTATTAGGGCTATTTCATATGGTAAAGAATAGGCAAAATAGAGCATATTAGCATATAAACTAAACATGAACCCACTACGACTTTGCGTTGTACATATAGTTTTAGCTTCGCATACTATTGGAAACTCTTTACGGTATGGTGGTAGAACGCTTGATTTTGCTCAATCAAAAATAGGAACTCAAGAAGATCTATTCTCGAATGGCCAGAAATCTGTCTAACCCATGCGCTCCAGGGCCATATCTATATCAGGTAAATCGTAGTACACCACTCCAGCAAGAATAATTTTCTGAGCCAAAACCCATTGCTCTGATGTGTAATAATAGTTAAATGGTAGTTTGGAATGCTCCTTTCCCAAAGTGCAAGCAGTAACGTCTAAGTAGCCCTAGTCATCGTGCTCCAAAGGAGTAGCATCATCCACAACCGCATGCCTTAATATCTAGAACGCGTCCTCGTATACACGTTCTTGGGGTTGAGCTTTGAGGAGTACTGTCCTATCGGTCCGAAGAAATAAAGCGGATTTTCGTGATTCGCTGCAGCTTCAGGTTGCTCGCAGTATTGCATTGGGGTGATGTTTCGCGACGTGGACTGTTCAAAACATGGTTCATCATTACTAGTCTTCCCTGTACAACGCCGGCCCCTTAAACTTCCCCAAGAAGCGAGTATCTTCGGAATTAGTAATCATTGTTCGTCTTGGCGATACAGAAATACTAAAAGTGCGCTCTGAAGCCTCGCTGGCGACACGTTGATGAGCTGAAGCGCGTGGTGGTCAGGACGGGAGTCACCGATAGAGCATACTAGACTTAGTGCTAACGATATGCTGGAGGTTTACTTCTAAAGATACGTTAATATTACTCTACCATAAGTCATTATAATAAGCTATATTATTATTAACCTATAGGTCACGACCATAATTCCGATCATATGACATAGTAACTTGCGTCGTCTTCGAAATCCCGGACGTGGCAGATGGTCGTTCACAGGAGTGGCCATCAACCAATTCGTCTTCGCGGCTTTGTAGTAAGATAGAAGTATCGGACGGTGGCTTTGTAGACAGCATCCGTGTCAACCCGTCGTGTCTTCGCGGAGAAATATTGTAGGCCGTGGCTATTTCCTTGAAACCGTCCATTCGTACCAGTAGTTCCTTTGGAGTTCCAGCGGAACTGAGGGATCAAGCGCTGGATAGAGTACTTCAGCATCGGAATGCAAGTATAGGTGATTTCAGTATTCGCCTCGACCATGGTCCAGATGCCACGATTGATGAAATCATCTACAGTCTTGTTTAACTGTGAACCTGCCATTAAGGGGAAACTATATACTTACGCATAGGTTCCATTTTGCAAACTGACGTCTTGGTCACAGCCACCGTCCGAATAATACTTGCTGCACAGACACTGGTATATAGGTTGGGATGCGGTGATGTGTATTGATAGGGGGTGACCCACAACCCGTCAACTGCAGGCAATCAACAGTCCTATCTTCTCCCACGGGGGAAGACGAAGCTGGAAAACGGGGCATATTGGCAGTAAGAGGATGATGAAGTCGGTTATGGTGTAGGTCACAGCGAAGGCATACCAGAAAGCATCTTTGCTGATGCATGTTTTATCGTGAATCGCTTTGTTCCAGCTTACCTCCACTGGGATACATTGAAAATATCGACGCCATAATTGTTCCCAAGCCCCAGGTAGTAACGACAGCGAGAATGATATAGGCAATCAGTTGAAAAGTCGATATGACGAAGATACGAATGTAGCGCCATATAATCGATATTTTGGTCAAGCTTAGTATCAATTTGTAGAATATCTGGGCGATGAAAAGCCACTACATAAGTTAGAGATAAACTGTAACAGCTTTCTGACGCGGCTTGCCTTCAAAGCCACAGTCTTCTGCAAAGGGATGAGCTGGGTTGAGTAGTGCCCGTATTCATTTATAACCGCTAAATGAGACTGTCAGTAAGGCAATTTGATATTCTAGTAACCGGAGCAACCTGGCCTAAGTCCATGAAAGCAGTGAGAAGGATGGAACATGTCTTTATATCCGTTAGTTACAGTCAGGTAATTAAAATGCTTACACATACCAATGCCAATGTGATATATTCATCATCTACGCCAAAATTGAAAGTGCTAGTTCTGGAGAGCAATCGACAACCAACAAAGATAGACGAAACAATTGCCATCGCAGTGGAAGTAATAAAAAGCTTTCTCCCACCATTTGACGACGAGATACCCGGGCTTGACCTCAGACATCATGCTGTGATGGACCCTTGAATGCGATATCGATAAACAAAGCTACACAAGATCATGGCGAAAGAAGCTGCCGTCTTCCGTAATCATCAGGAGATAGCAAAGTAATGCTAGAACAAAATTTTTATCGAGTTGATTTGGGGCGACGGTGAAACTCTCAGGAATTGGAAGCTGTGTGCGGGTGTTCCACACGCGATAGAAGCTCTAGACGCATATTGTCCAATATAATAACAAAACCATTTGCCCATGAGAATGGCTGACACCGTTCTTGGTAGGATGAACTACCTGATAGCCCCCATTTGTCTCACATCCGATAATGCCGCGTTCGTGTCTACCACCAATTAGTTGTAGTATATCATGGCGATGTCGTTCTCCACACGACGATTAAGTGCCGGAACTAACGCCACATAGCGCAACGGATGGAACTTTCCGTCCGCCTCCAATTAGGCTATTCGATAAATATAACACCTCAGCCGAGGCACACGGGAACTCGATTTTTGTTGTTATTGTTTTCTGATCTTCTTTTATTTTTCCCATGTTTGGGCGGCATATAAGGGTGCCTGATCTACGCTTCTGCCAGCACCCCAGTTTAATAGAGCAGAGATCTAACCACGTGGTTCGTACATTAGCCCAGAGCGCTAAATTAGTTGTGAATACCATGATAATTTGCCGGTGCTGGTGCGAGTCCAAGGTTCAAAAAATACCTGAGAGTGGGGATAAGCGCATAAAATAACGCATCCATTGCATATATACCACTGGCACCCCTGTCAAAAAAAAATCTTCCACGTTCATCCTGATAAGTATTGCAATGCTGGTTTTCGCCCCCGTTCTTCTACTAGGGCTGATCGCACGGTCCGTCGCCGGTCCAGTAGCTCACACATCGAACGGTGACATTGTTGGTCATAGCTCTCCCGTACACCCGGAAGTGACTGAGTATTTGGGAATTCCGTATGCTGCTCCGCCAGTTGGTGAGCTGCGCTTTGAGCCACCGCAAGCGTATCATGGGAGGCCAAGATATGTTGCCAGCCGCTATGTATGTTTGTGTGAAATCCTTATTTCCCTTTCTCGAGAATCCACGTCTCTGGATTTATTAACATGACTTGCAGGGATTGTAAGCCACTGGAGGGAGGGAACAGGGAAGAACCATTGTGATTGACTAAATATAGTGACTGCCCATACACTGCTATGTCAACGATAAACTACCCCCATAAAACACCCCAGTTCAATCGGATTATGAACGCCTTTACCTCCATGAACAACAATAACAGTCACAGCGAGGATTGCCTAACACTGAATGTTTGGAACAAGTATGGACGGGCTAGTACACTAAAACCCGTTCTAGTTCATTTTCATGGAGGGCGTACGTCTAGAATGCATATTAAAAGATCTGACTGACGGCAACGCAGGATGGACTTCTGGAACAACTAATACCCCTTATTACGATGGGGCGAATCTTGCCTCTACTGAGGACATTATCGTTGTTACTGCCACATACCGCATGAACGTTTTTGGATTCCCTGGTATTCCTGGGAAACAGTCCAACCTTGGACTTCTCGACCAGCGCAAGGCAGTGGAGTGGGTACGGGACAATATCAAAGCATTTGGCGGCGACCCTGACCGAATCACCATGTCTGGTCAATCCTGTGGTAGTGCTGCAGCTGACTATTGGGCGTATTCTTATCGCAACGATCCTATCGTCGCTGGTTTCATCTCGCACTCAGGGACGGCGGAGAGTTTCCCTGCAAACTCCCCAGAGTTGTCCGCACAGCACTGGAAGGAGCTTACCTCGCTATTAGGATGTAACTCGGGAGATGTTCTCAGGTGCATGAAGAAGCAGAATATGACTTCATTATTGAACGCATCCGGCAAAATCAAGCCTCCTGCGTCTAGCAGTGCAGCTCGGACACCACCTGCCTTCCAGCCAACTGTAGACAATGTGACTGTCCTCAGTGACTACCAGCCACTTGCGAGAGCAGGCAAATTTGCACGTATTGTAAGTTACAGCAATAGTGCATGCCCCACGCCTACAGCTAACTGGTTCCAAACAGCCCTACCTCGCTGGCCACAACCATAACGAAGCTGGTTTCTATATGGTTTCTGCCTGGGCCAAGGGGTCTCTTCTACCCGAGTCAGAATGGCAAGCCTTCAATAAGGAGACATTCACCTGTCCTACTGATGACGCAGTCATGGCTCGGATACGTGCGGGAGTCCCTGCTTGGCGATTCCGCTACTTTGCAGATTGGGATAACACCCGCCTCCACCCAACCAGTGGTGCTTATCATGGCGTTGAATTGAATATGATCTTTGGTGATTCAAAAGCCATGACACACATTCCCGAGAGTGCTCCACAGTTACAACTACAGAAGAAGATGCAGCAAGCTTGGGCCGCCTTTGTGTTGGATCCTCGCCATGGTTTGGAAAAGCTTGGGTGGCCGCAGTTTTCGTTGAATGGTACGTGTCCGAAAATATTATTGAGAGGTTTGACTTTTACTAACTTACCGCAGAGAGCACGTTGATCTCGTTGGGTGAAAATAATACCCCTGATGTGAAATTCACACATCCGTCGGCATACAATGCGGAGTGTTGGAATACTACGGCATAGATAATTTGAGATTGTGATTACTACAATAAAAAATTCCTTAGAAGCCTGAAGGAGTAGATAGAATAAGGAACTTTCAAATTTCACCTAGGAGCTGACCACGGCGTAAACTAATTATCTTCTCTGGTTGGATTAAGCAAGCGAAGGGATACCATTCCAGCTCCCAGTATATGCTCAGTGTAGGTTAATATGAACCTATCAAAGTTATTATAAACATTGAATAACCCCTGCCACGGTCAAAGCCAAACATATTATTGTATATGTATCTGCCATACTAGAATATCTGCCCCAAGTTAATTAGCACGTAAGTCAAGGATGCGAAGCCCGGAACCACACCCACCTTTATCACTTATGGAAGACTGCTGCGAAATTCTCAATGCCACCATGGGCCTTTCCGACGGACCCATTGAGAACATGATTTCCGGGCCTTTCCTCCTGTCGCATACCACCAATACCGCCAACAGCAAAGGGGTAATTTTCCTCAAAGTAGAGACCCTCGCAACGACCCCGCGAGTCCGGCGGTGCTCCACTTATAGCCATCCTATGAACCCTTTCACTTGGTGCAAACGAGTAGCTTGTGTCCAAGGCATCGGGTGGTGCAGAGCCTCTCGTATCAAAGTCTTTTCCCCAATTAACTCGTATTTCCCTTTCAACACTGTGAAGTCCACATCCCATGCATGACCATATCAGGCCTCAACTCCCATAATGGGCTTGTCTCTCAACAGGCCGGCCTTAAAGTCGTCGCCGCCACTTCCTCCGACGGGTTAGTTGAAAATATAATCGTTCCGGTTGAGTATTGTGCTTTTGGGGAACGTAGGAGAGTTAGGTTGATCAGGTTTAAAGTTAATTTATAGGGTCTAATGCCAGTATAGAGAAAAGTGTAGGATGTGAATTAAATAACCATGTATTTATAGGTTGTAAGCCAGCTTCAGGATGGACCCGGTAATGAAGCGGTCCTTAAAAGTCCTATGTTACTAGCAAGTTCATAATTTAGGTCAGCTTTTAGGGCTAGAATGGACTATTGTGATCAAGTAGCCTTGTTTCCTCACTTTCAGTTTGCCTTTACCACCGTGAATTATCCAATCAGATTGTGATTAGCTGTGTTGTCCCCATAAGCCCGAAATCAAGGAGCAAACAGCAATACTTTTACTGGGAATGCGGGATTCCGAATTACCTAGTAATCTACTGCTGAACTCTAAGGGGTGCAATGAAGAAATGACGAGGTCTCTGATTTCTGATCTAATGATAAAATGAGCATATTTATAGGCCTAAAGTGATCATTCAAATGCCGCGATAACCGCGCTATCATGGCAATATAGCGATATCATGGTGTAGATAATGATCAAGGGCGCTAACCTAAATAGAGTAGGGTGGTGGCTAATAGCGGAGCTTTAGTAGTAATTTTGGTTGGCAACTTTGATGCGGAAAGCTTCCTGTCGAGTTAGGGCTTTTTGCTATGGTGGAGGCATTAAGAGAACTCTAGACTTCAACGTCAACCACTATTAAGCAGTCAGGGCTTCTGGTGATATCATCAATTTGGTATCCGTTCTGGCCTTCAGATTGTAACTGATATTGTGGCTTTGTAAATGTTGCCTCTTGCGAACTGACACACCTTATGGCCGGCATCAATCGTGTGACGCGACAGATAACCCTACGAAAGATGTAAAATATCCCTCCGTCAGGATATCCCTGGAAAGAATTAAGTTTCATGTGCACAGTAAGCTATTGCTCAGTGGAAGTGGACCGTCACCGTAGAATGACTCTATTTACTAGTAATCATTGATTGATTAATACATTTTACCAATGCAGGCGAACTCTTACGGGAAGTGCGCGTCTGACTTCAAAGAATGGTGTGCCATGTTCAACTATAAATATATTGTCCCATTCCATCAAACAGGTACTTTGTATGGCTAACAAGCTACAAAGCTATTCAGCGTGCTTGTTTGATCGTGTTATATCACTTTGAGCTATGTACCGAACTTTCATAAAACATTAATAACTATTCTCGAGTAAGCTGTTAAACTTAGATATTCTGAGTTCGTTAGATCCAAATGCACAGCTTGCCTCTTACCGATAACATCGTTCAGGTTTGGTAACGCCCCTAGGCTTTCCTCGAAATAAGATGTTCGAATTATTAATGATGATCCCATCGGTGTAACACAAGCAGACCCATAAAAGAATGGTCATGAGTCAATTTAAGTCAATGATGCTTGTAGTCGTGACCTAGTAAACTGCCATAAACGGGTGGCAACGGCTAGGGAACGGACCGATGGAGCACAGAAATGAAAATTTACTACTACGAAATGGTGCCACTGTTCTAGATACTGACTGTGCTACTACCTCTGGAGCTTTGATGACTTGCCTTGCTGTACCTAGGAGCTGTGAACCCTGGAGAGTTATTGGTTAGGGATAGCGATCATAACACTTTTTCATGGAATATGCAGAGCGAAGCAAGAGGACTAAGCAGCACATGCATTGGTGGTCAAAAGGTAAGGCGAGACCCGATTCTCATGACTTGACCTTACCCTATCCCCATCGTCGTCTGCCGACGCGACCTGCAACCTCCCGACGCACAGGATCGCGCCTAGTTCTGTTGCTCCTAGATCTGACCAAAGGACCGATCCTATTGGTTCACAAGAAAGGCCGTTTAACGTACCGCGTAAACTACCAATCAAATTATTGTGGTCGTCGTGCGGGAATGCAGGCGTGATGTTGGGCAAGCAAGGGAGTCGCAGGTATCGAGGGTGGAATGGCGCCCCTTCGAATAGTCGCACGGCACCTGGATACCGCGTCTGGTAGACAATTTAGATCTCTTGAAACCTGTGTGGTGATAGTGAATTCGTTCCTTCATCCCCGTTTTCCTCCTCAGCAGCTATCCGGATGATTTCCACAGTCGATGAGGAATGACAGTCAACCCCGAGATTTTGTCAATCACAACTGGTGTTCTTGGGTTGTTATTAATAGCCCTGAATACAGCACCAGCAACACTCAATGTTGTCCACCGACTGTCGAGCAGATCTCAGCCCATACGGCTGGAGACATTGCTACTGAGCGAACCGGGTTACCAGGATGAGGATGGAGAAGCGACCGAGTCATCCCTGCTGGAGTTCTCTGATTCCTGGCAGAGAGTTGCCATCGCGATATTATCTGTGGTCGGGCTAGAACTTTCGCTCGCGTCAGCAATTGTCTGCCTCCAGACCGGCCAGAGCTACTTCATTATCCCTTTCTGGTTGCTCTTAGGGAGTTGGGTAGGTTCCATGGATTGATTGATACGCATATGCTCAACTGATTACTAACAAACGCAGGCTCTGCTTTGCCTACAGTCTGTTGCTTTTTTTACAGAGTCGTCGACGGTGGAACGGTATCGGCTGAGCATCTATTCGTTCTGGGCGAGCTCACTCACAGTCGCGGTTCCCTGCATTGAGGTCAGCTTGCTCTGGTCTGCTGGCTACAACGTCAACCCCGGACACGTACAGACGGTCCTTGTCATAAGTCAACTTATTGCAGCATCACTGCGCAGCCTGTGCTCGATTCTTATACCCCGTCGGCCGAACGTATATCATGATGGACAAGTCGTTGACCAAGAGCTCACCTACAGCGTATATAGTCGATTTACCTTCAGCTGGGTCAATGGATTGATGAAATATGCCGCGGAAAATAGAAGTCTTGAAATTGACAGCCTACCGAAGCTACCGTTCGCCATCCGTTCCGAAAATCTCTACAGGTGTCTTGAGGAGACCCGTCAGTCACGCAAGCTATGGAAAGCACTGTTCCTCGGACATATCCGACCACTGATTTGGCAGGCTGCGCTGAGCTTGGTAACTTGCGTACTGAGCTTTGGGCCACAAGTTGCCTTGTATGGTATCCTGAAATCGCTGGAAGAGCGGTCCGCTGGGTCGGGAGGTAATCTACATTCTTGGCTATGGGTGGCAGCCTTAGGAGTGGTGATTGTTGTGTCCTACAGCATCGAGTCATGGCTTTGGTGGATAATCTCATCGCAGCTTTGGGTTCCTATCTATGAGGGGCTATCAGCTATCGTGTTCGCCAAATCAATGCGTTGCAAAGATGTTAAGAATATGAAATCAACAACGCAAGACAGTACCCCCGATGAAGAAGAAACACGAGAGGAAAAGAGTCGCCAGAGCATCATGAATCTAGCGGCGGTCGATTCAAAGCGGGTTGCCGACTTCGCTACCTTCAACTACCTCATTCCTTCGTGCATCATGCGTCTCTTGCTGGCTATTGCTTTCTTGGCCCATTTGCTTGGATGGCGAAGTCTCCTAGCTGGACTGTCGGTGTCGGCTGTGATAACTCCGCTGAATACTTTCGTGACGAGGCGGTACTCGGCTGCACAGCAGGAATTCATGAAGGCTAGTGATCAACGTACTTCAGCTGTAACCGAGGTACTGCAGGGGATCCGACAAATCAAGATCTCTGCGCTCGAGCAACAGTGGCAAGATCGTATTACGGAAAAGCGTCGTGTTGAGCTCGGCCTTCTCTGGAAGACTTCGCTCTATACTACGGGTTTGGTATCAGTCTGGATCTTAGGGCCGCTCATGCTCTCAGCTGTCTCTTTGACTGTATACGCCTTGAACTACGGGAACCTTCCTGCCTCGGTCGCATTTACTGCGCTCTCTGTTTTTGGAAACCTGGAGTCTTCACTAGCCGGCCTTCCGGACCTCATCTCGAAAGGGATGGAAGCCAAAGTCAGTTCTGACCGCATCGACAAGTATCTTGCATCCGCTGAAAAGGCCCCTTATACCAGCGACGTCGATTCGATATCGTTTGATAGTGCCACCATTGCATGGCCAAGCGCAGAAGAAGAAAGTCGCAAGCTTCCAGATATGGGTGACCGCTTTGTCCTCCGTAACTTGAACGTCCAGTTTCCTTCGAAAGGGCTAAGCGTAATTGCAGGAAAGACTGGGTCCGGTAAGAGCCTGCTCCTTGCTGCAATCTTGGGCGAGTGCGACGTTATACAGGGTTCGATAGCAGTGCCGCATTCACCTTCTCTCGAGGAACGACAGGACGACCGAGCTATGCGTGACAACTGGATCATAGATACGGCCCTGGCGTATGTGGCACAGAACCCCTGGATAGAGAATGCAACCATCCGAGACAATATACGCTTCGGCCTACCATACAACTGGCGAAGATACCGAAAGGTCTTGATGGCATCCGGCTTGGAAAAGGACCTCACAATCCTACCCGACGGTGACATGACTGATGTCGGCGCGAACGGTATCAACTTGAGTGGCGGACAACGGTGGCGCATTTCCTTTGCCCGCGCGTTGTACTCCCGTGCTGGGATTTTGGTTATGGACGATATCTTCAGTGCTCTAGACGCCGAAACTGGTCGCCATGTGTACGAGCAGGGACTTACTGGATCGTTAGCAGAGAACCGTACAAGAATCCTCGTTACACATCACGTTGGACTGTGCTTTCCTCGCACCGACTATTGTGTTCTTCTCGAAAATGGATATATGACGCACGCTGGACCGGTGGACCAACTACGGGCTGCGCAAGGCCTGACAGACTTCCTGCAAGATTTAAATGCTGAGATGAGAGGTTTACAGGATAGGGAGGTTGCACGCGATGCGTCGCGTAAAAAGCGCTCCTCAGTTGGTCCTCCGCCGGCACCAACGGACAGTCATGCTCCAAAACAGTTCACACAAGATGAATATCGTGCCACCGGGTCCATCCCGATGAAGGTATACACAGCATACATGACAAAGGACAATAGTTGGCTGGCATGGACGCTCACTTTCTTAACGTATGCAGGCTTTATGGCTCTCTTAGTCGGTCGAGTAAGTCAATCTTTCCCTGTGATTTTCCAATAGTTTCTAACTTGCTAGTCCTGGTGGGTCAGTGCCTGGACGAGCTCGAAGCCAACGTCTGGTACGGTGAACTCAGGTACAACATGGGATTATACAGTGCAACGATTCAAGGAGGTTCGAGTTGACAATGATCTTATGTTCTACCTTGGTGTCTACCTGGCCTTGTCGGCTGCCGCCTGTGTCATAGGCACGCTACGACAGTTAGCAATATCTTACGCATCATTGAAATCCTCCCGTCAACTGTTTGACGATCTACTTGCGGTGGTTCTTCGGGCGCCTATGCGATGGTTGGATACAGTGCCTCTCGGTCGGATCTTGAACCGATTCACATCCGACGTCTATACGATAGATTGGCGACTCGCTTTTGACCTTGGGCACTTTGTGTACAAGGTGCTGGAACTGGCAGGCATTATGGTTGCTGGCTTCCTCGTCTCGCCAGTACTCCTTGTTTTTGCCTGCCTGTTGCTCGTCTTCTGTGTCTACCTGTCGAACTCGTATCTCGCTGGTGCAAGAGAGCTCAAACGCCTGGAAAGCAATTCGAAGAGCCCGGTGATGGAACAATTTGATTCCAGTTTGGCTGGCTTGACCACGATTCGTGCGTTCAATAAGGTAGAGGTATATGTCCGACAGATGTACTCAAAGATCGACCGACACGCACAAACAGTATGGAATTCATGGCTCTTTAATAGATGGTTGGCCTTCCGAATGAGTATTGTTGGTGCCATCTTCTCTACAGGAGCAGCCGCCCTAGTTGTGTACGTCCCAACTATTCCTGCAGCCCTAGCAGGCTTCGCAATTAGCTTTGCTCTGCAGTATAACTACGCCGTGTCCATGGGCCTCCGCTTCTATGCAGAGATGGAAATGGACATGAACTCCACCGAGCGTGTTCTGGAATACTCTGACCTCGACACAGAAGACCAGGGGGGCTACGAGCCACCAGCCGCATGGCCTTTGCGCGGTCGCGTCGAGGTAGACAACCTGGTAGTCGCCTATGCGCCCGATCTCCCACCAGTGCTGAACGGACTCAGCTTCAACATGGAGCCCAACCAAAGAGTCGGTGTTGTGGGTCGCACGGGTGCTGGAAAGTCATCATTGACATTGGCTTTATTCCGATTCTTAGAAGCTCGAAAGGGTCACATCGTTATTGATGGTCTGGATGTGTCGAAAATGACACTTCAGGCACTCCGGAGCCGCTTGGCCATCATACCCCAAGACCCTGTTCTTTTCTCGGGAACCGTGCGGTCTAATCTGGACCCGTTCCATGAGTACACGGACACGGAGCTCTACAATGCGCTGGAACGTGTACATCTCCTTTCGTTTGAGGATGCTATCACCCTTGCTTCACAGTCTCAACATGATTCTTTTAGCGGAAGCGATACATTGGCGTCAACCCCCATCTCACCTACCACAGGATATTCCAAACCTTCCAGCTTCTTTACCTCATTGTCGGCTCCGATTTCCGAGGGCGGATTAAATATTTCTCAAGGTCAGCGCCAGCTACTCTGTCTTGCTCGGGCCATTGTCGCCCAGCCGAAGATAATGATCCTGGATGAGGCCACTTCCGCTGTGGATATGGAGACAGATGCCCTCATCCAACGGTCTATCCGATCTGAATTTGGGCGTCACGACTCCTCCCTGCTAGTCATCGCTCATCGACTTAGCACGATCGCTGACTTTGATCGGATCCTTGTAATGGACGCAGGTAAGGCCGTTGAATTTGGGCCACCTCTAGAACTACTCGGAATTGAGGGTGGAGTATTCAGAAACCTAGTTGAGAACAGCGGCGAGAGAGCAGTGTTGGAAGAGATGATTCTTGGAAAGCGAAATTGAATAATATCCATTTAGTAATGACATGGGCATAGGGTGAGGCCTTTTGATTTGGACAAATTGTATAGCTCAGTATGAATAGTTGCAATGACCGTAATATCCAATGTGAACCAATTTACCATCATAAAACCACAACTTAATTCCAGAAACCTTACCACCCTCTCGGACAGATATCACCCCCAACCACAATTTTATACCTCTTCCCCTGCTCAACTACACTCCTCCGCTCCACCACTTCCTCAAAGTTTGCGACCCAAGTCCGGGGCAATGCTATCTCAAGCCTTCTCCAATCGCGGCTAAGCGCCAATGCATCCCACGGCGCAATCCAAGACAGCACATCGACGCTCTGCCACCCAACCAATCTCTCAGCCTGACAAGGCAATCCCGCAATCGAAAACCTCAAATCCCTCACATGCGCAAGCTCGCAGAGGAGTATCTCAAAGAGAGCATCGTAAAACGACTTAAACCGGGCCTCCATCCGCGGCGGCTCCCTGCAAACCCGATAAATATCAATTTCAACAGACAACGAAGAAATGAGAGCCAGATACTCCCGTGGCATAACGCGCGAAAGCCGGAAAATTTGGTCAATGCCGTGCGTGAGAACTAACGTGTTGGATGTGTAGAGAATCTGGAAAGACTCTTGGTATCTTGTTTCGGGGGTCGATACGTTACGGCTATTAGTGACAGTGCCGGAAATGTGTTTGGTTACAACTTTTTGGGAGAGATTATAACTCACCCACGCCGACAACATCGGAACCAGTTTACTGCGTCCAATTTGTACTCGAAGTTCTCTTTTACCCAGGAGCTGGAGGCGAGTTTGAGCATTGCTTCTTCTGCCCCCGCGTGCTCGGGACAAGGGAATGGCTTATCGGGGCAGTTTTGCGCATCGTCGCAGATACGATGCCACCATGTCCACCGGCCTAGTTGGAGGTTGAAGTCGAAGTCTAGGTGGATTCGGCGGTTGCCAAATGCGAAGAGATAGATAAGATGGCGGATCTCGGGGGGGAGGAGAGAGAAAAATGGGCTTTGGCTTTGGGGATGGATGTTTACAGGTGGTGATGATGCATTATCGCTTAGAGTAGAAGAGAGACAACGGTAGTCTGAGGGCAGGCGTGGGAGACAACTGGGGTCAGTACGACTGCCATCAGACTGGTCGGACAGTATATCATTCTCGATGGATTCAATAACCGCTCGAGACCAGTTGGGGATGCTATTGATTGGGGGTGACCCAGGGGCTGATATCGGCGGCGGGTGGGTTGATTGGACGTCATGAGGGTTACGGTGAAAAAGCCGACGAAAGAACAGAGATGCCGACATTTATCATAGCGGTTTAGCGTTTCTAACTTTAGCATCCCTTAGGGATGTAAGCAGCGTGGCATTTATCACCCCTCGGAGGACGAGGCTGAGGTTGCGCCTGACTGTCGGTCAGCAGCCACCTTACTTCCGACTAATCTTGATCACGCTTAGCTTACAGGTCTACCCTGGTATAGCGAGGGCTTGGCTGTCTAACTTTTAGGGGCATCGATCTCAAGTTGGATGTATTAGAAGTTGACCAGGTTATATGCTATTTAGAAAGGATACACCTAATGATAGGACAACAGTTGCAACGCTTGATCAGAGAGACATGCAGAGAACAAGTATCCAAACCTGTGAACAAATAATACGTAGTCTCTGCGAATTCATGCGTAGCAATTTGAGTACCTAGGCTAGCCTTGACCAGCAAGGTCTCAACCCCCTTGTCGCCGTACACTCGCACCATTATTGTGAAGTTGCTGATTCTCAAGCCTTCGGGTGTCACAATGTTCCCGTTTTAGCAGTTTTCCGAGTCAATGTCTTCTATGCCCGTTATGTCAGCTCGGTGTAGAACATAAATTAAGAAGCCAAACGAGCCTGTCAGTTTTTTTCATTATTCGGCAATGTCGGAAGACAGTCCGTTTGTTTATGTAGAGCACGACATTGAGCCGAACACGGAGAGTTAAGCTATTTCGTAACTCTAACTAAAATAAAGGTGCTTTTTAGCTCCACTATAAGCAATTCTAACCAGTGGGAAATATCCATTACCCCCATTTTTCTTCAGATCGGGATATGTCGGCAAGACGAAAAGAAAACCATTAGCAACAATTATTGCCGGTGAATAATAATAATTGGGTAATAATATTGAAGGCCATCCAATCAGACTCATTTGTTAGGTAAGGATAGAAACCCCACGGGGTCAGCATCCTAATTGATTGGCTGATCTTCGATCAAAGTTAAGCTTATTGGGATGCGATGTTCTATAATTTTGGGTCTCTGGTTGGAGTGCTTTGGGGTATCTTTGTAGTAATCAAATCTACATCGCAATTTCAGAGCAAAATCCTTTAGTTTAGCGTCAAACACACTGTGGTAACATGACCATTATCCTAACGGAAATGTGGAGTCAGTTAGAATGTATATAGCCTGCGACATCTCCCGTCAGAATTCCCCAGCCAGATCCCCATCATCCAACCCTATACCCCGTACTGACCACACAAATAACCCTATCCTGCTATCAAAATGGCCCGCAATATCCACATTGCTGTCCTCGACGTTGACATCCCCCCTCGTAAACTCTACGAATCCCATGGCCTTTGCAGCGCTCACTTCCGTAACATCCTCCAAGAGACTGCCTCACACCTCAACCAGACCTCTCTAGTCAACGACGACCCCATTGAGATATCAGTAACCCCATACGACATCCGAGGAGGCCACTATCCAGACTTCCGCAGGTTAAAGGGTCACCCCGGGTACATCGCTCATCCCGATGCTGTCCAAATCGATGCTATTATAATCACCGGGGGTGCACCGGGCGTATACGAAATTGACCAGTCACCCTGGATGCAAAAGCTGGCAACATTCCTCAAGACAGTGTTTGAACAATATCCCGAGGTTCGCATCCTGGGTACATGCTTCGGTCATCAGCTTATCGGCCATACATTGATGAGAAAGTCGGACGATCCCGAGCGCGACGTCTTTGTCGAGAAGTGTCCCCTCGGAAGAGAAGTCGGCATATACACCGTTCAGTTGGAGAAGGATTTCGTCCAGGCCTTCCCATATGCACTCGGCCATCTCCCGCAGGAACAGCTGAGAATCCAAATGTTCCACGGTGACCGCGTCATGGCAATCAAGAAGGGGTCGGCCGGGACTCTCGAGGACAAGGCTTCTCTTCCTGCGCCTTGGATCAATGTGGGAAGCACACCAATTTGTCCCATTCAGGGACTGTATTACCCTGGGAGGGTCCTGTCTGTTCAGGGTCATTATGAACTCGACGCATTCGGTATGCAGAAGATGTGTTTGGAATTTGCCCCCAGCTTCGGGTGGAAGGACTCAAAGCTCGCTCTCTTCCTGGAACAGGTCGGCCCGGATTTTGGAGAGAGGAGGGACGACGCGAGGTCGTTTGCTGCAGCCGTTGTTTGTTTTTTGGCGGGCCTCGAGGAGGTACGGGTGGGCGAATAGCTGATATGTATGTACAAGACATTTTGGACATCGGCAGAGATACTTTCTCGTTCAATATCCTCACAAAAAGCAGAAGTTTCTTTCGATTTTCTTTTTTCTTTCCTTGTGTCACACGTAATCCACTCCCATATCCCTTTCCTTTGACGCTACGCTTCCGCCAGCAACCTTCTGCCAGCCTCCACTCAAAAGGCTCTACATTAACACCTCCCTTCTTGATTGCTGGGAAGTCTCATGACAACACATCTTCAGTCCGTAAGTCCAAACAATCCCGAGTCCCTGGATTACTACAAAGCATATCTATGTCAAACGAATCGAACCCATCCTCCAACCTCCAAGCTTTCAACCTCTTACCCAGCCCTCGACCAACACGACCAAGTTCTCATACAACAAGTCCAGAGCAAATGCTCAATAATACACTGGATTTTCCCGTATCCATCAAGTCAAACACATTGCTCGAATGCGGCTTCGCCCCACCCCTCTCAGGAAATTCCTTTCTAAGATCAGTCGACCGATTGAAGCTCAAGTTCCTATCTTCATTCAAGTCGAAATATAGCGCCTTAAAATCAGCTGTTGTATTGATCAACCCTATCTCACCTGCCTGCACGAAATGGTCCGTGACAAGGAGATATTTCTGGTCCGGCGTCACCTTGACATAGTGCGGACCGACAGTAGTGTGGCCCTCATCCGGGTCGTCTAGACGCTTGACGTTGTTTAGGTCGCTGATGTCTAGGGCGGCGATATGGTTTGCTGTTGTTAGGGCGAGGTAGATGAAGCGCCCATCTTGGGTTATGTCCGTGCTGATGGGGATATGATTAGTGGTGTTTATGAGGTTTAAGAGTGGTAGTTTAGGGGTGTTCTACTAGGTTGCAGTCGTATCCCGTGCTTTAGGCCCGAGTTCGTAGAGCAGCTCGGCTCTGCCGGGCTTGCCGTTGGCGTCTTGTTGTTGGGGATAGATGATCCAGTCTTGGCCTAGGTGGACAGTCGTCGTAAAGGCAGCACCATCGGGGATTCCCAGGGAAGAACTTTACATCATGGATGCCGCCGCCCTAGGTGATTGTCAGCGAATATGAGTCTTTGAGCTGATTTTTGGTGAAGACAACATCAGATATGGCGATAGTGTTGAGGATCTTCTTGGATTTCAAATCCCATAGTCGAAGAGTATTCCCACGCCGGATTTCGGTGCTCGGTTTCAAGATACTAATCTGCTCGACAAAGTCGGAAGTGGGAATAAAATTCCTCTCCGAATCGCTGCTGAGGATGTTAAGCGTTCCTTCCACATCTTCAGGCCATTCGTGGATGATGTTGAAGTCTGCGTCTGTCCCAACGAGACGTCCTGGGGATGTGCCTACTGCAGAGTCCATGTAGGTAATGTAGAATCTGCCATCAGGCTTTGTGCGGATTTCATCTGCAATGGACGGCAGAATAGCCCGATTGCTTTTCTTGAACGCTAGCCGGTAGGAATTGGTAGTGTCGAAGTAAAAGGCCATGTCCTGGAGATTATGAGGATCGCTACTTAATACTGCTATAGTATAGAGGTTTAACTGAGCTTTAAGCAACGAGAGGAGCCCACCACCGACTAATGTCTTGCCATCGAGGGAGGGCCCAAGGTGATGCGGGTCGTTGCCACTAGAAGGGACGTCCGTGACCCAAAGGAGAGAGCCAAATGTGTCCTGCACCTCAGTGAGTAAAGTCAAACTTCTTAGGGATAATCCATTGCTTACATCGTCTATACTGTATGTCGCAAGAAAGTCTAGAAGCCACATCAGATAACGCACCGATAATCACAGTCGCTGATACGGATATACATATCCTTATGGAACTTATCTCCAGAACCAGTCCAGAAGTACCCAATTTCCTTAGGCTTAGTGTTACTTGGAGTGAAGGGTGGGCTCTCAAGTAGAGGAGTTAGCACTTGCAAAATGGGTAGGGGAGGAGCATCCTCAGTTAGAGATTCCGTCACCCCTGGAATGCTAGGGATAAGAGGAGGCAAGGAAAGACATTTTCCGAGCGTGGCCAGTAAGGCCAAACCAGGCATACGAGAGATGACTTCATTTCAAGTCCGATTTCCGATGGACAAGGGCATTAACATCTTGTATTGTAACCAGATTAATAAACGAAAGTGAATTCTCGTCGAGTGAGAAGATTTGAGCAAGATACATCCTTTATATATGTGTCTTCCACTGCTTTCTTCGCAACGTCAACACTGAAGTTGGGAAAGGAACATTCGGTATACGACATTCTCGCATAGAAGCACGCAAAGCTCTTCCATTAGACTATATTCATTCATCGGCACTATTTGGAATATCGCAAAGCAATGCAAGAAGCAGGGACATGATCTGCGATGTTGAACGCCGGCCATCGGTATTTGACACTTGGCATCTTAAATGAGAGCAACAGGTGCGACTCACCACAGGCGAATACTCTAACATGAAATGTGTTTATATATGATGCTCTGCGTACTATGCGATGTCGTGATCAGGTACCGCTATATGAATGAGTATGCAAATCTAAAGTAGGGGCCGCCGCACCACTCAGGAACGCCTGCCAAACTATGCAACGGAGAGCAGTTCGTTTGTTCGTCAGGGCTAAAGCGATCCCAACTTGAGAGCTAGGTCTTGATGTTTAGGCCATACCGATGGCGAATACGAGTGCAGCTATGAGCATTAGGCAGTACTCATGTCAAGGCAAACTGATTCTCCTCATATGCTAGTAGAGCGAAGACCCCTTCGACCGGCAGCACAGACATACAGCAGCATATGCCCCCACTCTGGCAGGCTATCTTCAGGTGAATCTACCTGTGATCGGTGCTTCACATTCAAAAATATACTCAAAATGAAGGCCTTCAACCTCCAAAATCCCGATAGCCTTGGTCATCTGAGTACGGGTAACGGCTTTGTCCCTAACTTGAAATGGAGCTCTTCCGACTCTAAAACGCGGCTCTTCCTAGCTGGCTGGGTGCGCGGGCAAGTCATCCAGGATCTACTCCAGAGTCATGACATCTCCGGCGCACAACAGCATCTAAAAAAGCGCGCCATCTGGGAGCTATACTGGCATCGCGTGGTGAGAACCCCCTATTCACCTCATTCTAGTTTCGTCTGTAGTGGCTTTGTCGGACCAGTCTGTGCCTAGGCGGAATGGGTTTCCTATACGCCGGTTCCCTCCTACTCTCCGGAGTAGATGAGAATGGCCAGTCCACGACCGAAAAGCTGGAGACAGATGACATATGGTACTTCCCGAAGGGTGTCGCGCATAATGTGCAAGGTCTAGATGACGAGAATGAATACCTTCTAGTCTTTGATGACGGTGGCTTTGAAAAGGTCGGGTGAGTAGCATATCTGTTTCCCCTGCACTGCCGAAGTTAACAACAAACAAGTACAACATTCATGGTCGATGACTGGATAACCCACACACGACTCGACATTCTTGCGAAAATCTTAGGCGTTGATCCTTCGGTCTTCGACAAGGTGCCGGAGAAGTTTCCCTAAATCCTCAATGGCACAGTCAGCGAAGAGGCGACTGAAACTCCCAAGGCACATTAACTGGTAATAGTTCATACGTGTATCACACATACAAACATCCTTCGGAGCCTGTCCCTGGAAGTGGTGGTACGTTCAGGAAGATTGACTCGAGAAATATCCCCGTCAGCCAGACTATAGCTGCTGCGCTGGTGGAGCTTGAGCCGAAAGGACTGAGGGAGTTGCATTGGCTTCCGAATGTGAGTTTCCACACTCTTCATGTTTTCTCTCTGTAAGATAGATGATGAAGATTGCTGAGACTTGAACAGGCGGAAGAATGGCTTTACTTACATCAGGGTAATGCGCGTGCTACTGTCTTTTTAGGGGATTCAGAGGCTCGCACTTTTGGCTTTACCGCTGGTGATACCGCTGTCTTTCCTGGTATTAGTGGTAAGCCCGCATATACGAGCTTTGCATAATGTGTTATACTCTACTAAGTGTGGATGCTAGGCCACTACATTGAAAATACCCCGGACACTGATAAATTGGTCTAGGTCGAGATCTACAAGAGTGACAGGGTCGCAGATATCTCGTTGGCACAATGGCTTGCTCTTACTCCCGCCGATGTCGTGGCCACTACCTTGAAAGTCGATATCTAAGTCGTGAAGCAGATCAAGAAAGAGAAACAAGTTTTGGTCCGGAGGTGATTACAGCCTGCCTTGGTTCTTCTTATATCCAACCTCTACCGGTTACATGAAAACTGGTGGAAGGGGTAGCAGGGCAATGTCTTGTTGTTCATTTCTGGACATAGTTTAATTTCTGTGCACATTTGGTTTTGTTTACAATAACAGTGGGGATATGGTAATGCTGGTTAATATTATGTACTACCGGCATAGAATAAGCACACCTTGTAGGGGTTGACGCTGATACTCCACGCCTCTATCACTTATTCAACAAAGCCTTTGAGTAATGATATCATATTAAGGCTAGCTCCGTACACTATTTAATGAGTATCCAGTATACCACCCTCACTCTTTCCAGGTAGAAGCATGTTTGATATCCGCCCCTTCTAAGAAGTCCTTGATCTTACCGAACTCTTTAGACCTTTCTGACTCTGCAAACTGTAAATGATCCTGGACTTCACCCCATCCACTGAACAGCACAAATTCTTCTTTTTCAATCCCATCCCCCGCTTTATCCTTAGGCGCGACTCGAACACCACCCCTCAACGTTCTCGGAGCAATATACGCCTTCAAATGACCTTTCGTCTCCTGAAACTTGTTCAGGAACGCTTCCTTTTGACCGGCAGTAAGAAAATAACGCCCAATTGCGATGACGGGGACATTCACAGGGATTCCCTCATTCGCATCGGAATTTGTAGGGCTTTCAGACCCTGTGGCCGTGGCGTGTGTAGAGCTCTGGTCCAGTTCTCCATTTGATCTCAGATCGGCAGGATCGATATCAATGTGCATCATGTAGACGAGTTCCAATTTCTCCTTGAGGGATTTCATCAAGCCCTGATTTATAGGATTAGGGATCCAATCTTCTAGATGAGTTGCGATTGACCTCCATCCTCCAAGGAGGTAGATGTACGACGGGTCCTCGATCTGGGAGAACAGATAGACGGGATACTTTGAGTATTCGGTCTGGGCCTTAGCCGCTGCTAGGAGCTCGGATCGGATAGTTGCTCGGTCGATTGACGGCTTTAGATGGAATAGAGCTAGCTCCGTGATTGGTTTCGAATTCTGGGCAGAGCCCATATTTGCGACCACGCTAGGCTTGATTATCGTGGGAGTCGTCAATTAGAAAGGGATCGGGAAACCTTCCACTTGGTAGTGCGGACGTAAGGTAACTGACAGTTGATAGAACCTTTGAAGAGAATGTGAGTGTGTGGAGGTGCTGAGCAAGAGTCTACTTGAGTTGAATGTTATGCGTGATGCATATCAAGTGGGCCGCACTATTTTATAAGGTGCAGTGTTCTTCGTGTCCACGTCACCTCGGCCGCCTAGCTAGAGGGGAATCCCTCTACCTGACTATTGAGGTCATTGTACTTAATTAAACAAGGTGTGAAGTACAGAGACGTACACTACGTGATAATCTAATAGAAAGACGTCGTGTATGAAAGTTCGGCAATAAGAAAGCTAAGCCTAATGATCACCAAAGCTCTATATATGTAATTGCAGGGTGGATGCCGTATGGTGCCCTTTTGAGTACAGGCTACATCTGGCTCCAGCTGTGGTAATTTAAGACATAGTTAATATACACATACCGAGTTTGCGAGGTTATTGAGAAACTTTCAATGCCATTTTTTGAAGTTTTGGCAATTTCCACTTTAGGAAAATGGGGTCAGACACAGAAAACTGACTGAGATAAGCGGAAACGTGAGAAACTCCGCGCCGAAGAGGGACATACATACATCCTCACCGCCTCCATATATTAGAACTTTCCAAGGAGAGCTAGTCACGTGAGACATGGCCCCGCCTGCGGGATTCTCTAAAAAGATCCGATACTGCTTTCATGGTATCTACCATCCATCGTAACTTGCCAAGATATGTGCTTATGTTTCTATACGGGGGAGGTCGCCAACAATGGCAGAGACGCGGCCTTTTTTATATAGGCTAAATTATCATTTTTTTCATCAATGGCACCTCCTGCAACCTCTTACCGTCAGCCAGCAGTACGAGTATCGCTGGCTTGCACGCTGTGTCGGTGTGATGCCATGACCCCAACCTGCTCTCGATGCCACTTGGAAGGTAAGATCTGTGTATATCCGAAGTCTCGGCGTGTGGTGGCAGACGTCAGCCGCCATCAGCACAGCCCTTGACTGGCCGGGTGGCTATTCCGGAGCCACCATCATGCATGGTAAATGTGACGGGTTTGCAGTCAGGGCAAGACTTCGAATTGATCTCTGTAGACTAGCAACAAAGGACTTCCGAATCTACCACTGGTGTCTCGACCTATAGCGATACCCCTAGTGATCCTGGTATGACTGACCAATACCTTCTTAATTTCTACTCGTTCTTTTCACGCTGCACATCCATGTCTACTCCCATACTGGGCAATGAAACGACAAATGGCCAGTGGTAGTGGACAACTTCTCCTCCTCACCTCAGTTATGCAGTATATCGGGTCTATATTTGCATAGTCAGCTCTATCCGCTGTATGTAAAGGGAATGTAGAGCGCGCCTTGTTGACTTTGGAGGTCATCACTGGCTTCGACATGCAGGCCGTGTTGCTGTACTCTATTGCAACTTACCGAGGGAATGAGACTAAGAGGGAGTTAGATTTGCTTGATAAAGTAATCGGAATGGCCTTGGAACTCGGGCTGAACAAACAACGCTTTGCATTGGAAAACGAAAATGGGGGGGTGGTCCTTGAGGAGTCTTGGAGAGGTACTTGGTGGCAGATATACGTCACGGATGCCCATATCACGGGAAGCACACACACATTTCCCTTCCGAACCAGCAATGTTGAGATGGATGTGGATCTACCGTGTAAGGAGGACGAGTATGAGGCTGGCGTAAGACAGCTCGTCTCCTGATACGGTAGCACCATCTAACTGCAGAGGTATATAGAAAATCCCTCGTCCAAGGTCCTTGCAAGGATACGAGATGAGGGAGTTTTCAGGAGATGACAGTCCAGGGCTATCTTCCTTTGCGGAACTAGCTAGGCTGACTCGAAGCCTAGATCTGGCGCTGGCGTCCCGACAACTCCAAGGTGTCGTCAATGCGCAAGCGACCTGCGCCAACCTGGATGCCACCCCTCACGGCATGGCGATCTTTGTTGCCATCCTCGAAGAAGGATATTGTCCGTGCAGATGGATCTTTCGATGAGATCCTCTTCTAGGCTAATATAATCATCCATACGTACGTCGTTTGTCCCAGAAACCAAGCGATTGCGAGCTGACATGGATCCAGATACGTCATTGACGTCCATCGTCAGCTTTCAATGCTGGAATATACCCCGATTGAATCGATCGCTCATTGTGTACCACCTCCCCAAATCGCCATCCGGGGTTACAATACGCAGGACCGTCATCTGCATACAGCGAAGGTGCTGCGCGCAATCAAACAATCCGACAAGCTTCTAACCCTTCCAACCAATATTGCCGCACATACACCATTTATCATCTGCATGATCTCTAATATCACCGTTGCCCATCTTTCAGCGTGTCGTTTCGTCGTTCAAGGACAGCAATTGAGGCCGGCCCGCTAACGCATGGCTGAGCATGGGCGCTCTGAAGGTCCTAGGTGAGTACTGGTCGATGGGAAAACGAACCTACCAGGAGATGGGGATCATTGCTCGAGAGATACTCAGATTTGAAAAATAACGCAAGCCTGCATAGTAATAAGCCGGGTACACCCTGACCCAGGTTCGCCCTGATCAAGTGCTCCTGCGCCTGGATTCACTCCCAATAGCCCCTGATCTTGTATCATTGGATAATAATCTCGACTTCTGTGCACTGTTCGAACGAGTTGTTTATGATTGATATTGTTTTGAGGCGTTTCCTATCGTATCATCAGCCTTGGAACTGGTTTAGCTTGTCCGTGACGAATAGAATGTTGCCTCACCTGAGTAGCGATTTCCACAGTTTCTAGATCACTGAGCCAACTATGGACATCAATACTGCGGGTCATTTATATGATTAGGTAAGGATATACCGATATTCCTTGAAGATAATCTAGTTAGGCTAAGAGTTCAATGTAACATACTAAGTTATTGTTTTTCTCTGTTGGGTGTTCATTCGGGATTCGAGGCTCAATAGGCTATTCGGGAATAGCCACCGCCGAGTCGAGACAACAATACCCATGTCACCGACACATCGTATCCGTGGAGGAATCAAAATTAAACTCAACCAGATAGATTAATACGCGAATGAGCATCCAGAAGAGGATCTACCGGCAAATGAGTTTTGTGCTCCCGGGTATCAACCTCCTGACCTCCTCGACCACTTCCTCTTTCCGGATATACAAAGGCTATTCCCCAACGACATGAGAGCTATAAATAAAGGATCTCGACACCAACGAAATTAAATATACAATCAGTCCAAAAACAACACCCCAGAACCTAGTGCCAATCCTCTACCATATTGAATAAAAAAGTATCTCAAGCAACACGAGCCCCCAAAATGTCATCCACCATCCCCAAAACAATGCGCGCCCTCCTCCAACCCAACACCCAAAAAGCCCGCCTCATCCAAACCACCTCCGACATCCCCACCCCAGACCTTACCGCAAACGAACACCTCATCCGCGTCCACTGCGTCTCCCCCTGTGCCAATGAACTAAACTGGCTTAAATTCTTCCCCCCACCCAACCCCCGCACTCAAATCCCCTGCTACGACATCGCCGGCACAATCGTCCAATCTCCAGACACCTCCCCCTTCCACATCGGAGACGAAGTTTACGCCAGAACAAACTACCTCCGACCCGGCTGTGCAAGCGACTACGCTATCGGTGTAACTGACGAACTAGCCCATCGGCCAAAGAACCTGAGCTGGGCTGAATCCGCCGCCGTGCCGCTCTCCGCGCAGACGGCGTGGCAAGCTCTCTTTGTTCAATCCGGGGTAGGGGAGTTTGGGACTGAGGAATGGAAGGGGAAGAGGGTTCTTGTTACAGCTGCTTCGGGGGGAGTAGGGATCTGGATTACGCAGTTTGCGACACTGGTTGGTGCGACGGTTATTGGGACATGTGGATCCCGGAATGTGGAGTTTGTGAGGGGGCTTGGGGCGAGCGAGGCGATTGATTATCGGGTGACGGATTTGAGGGAGTGGGCACGCGAGCCGGGGAATGAGGTTGATGTGGTTGTTGATTGTGTTGGGGGGAAGTCGTTAGAGGATGCGTGGTGGTGTGTGAAAGAGGAAGGGGTGGTGGTTAGTATCTTCCAGCCGCCGGAGCAGGTTCGGCCGGAGGAGCTGGGGGAGAAGTCTGTGAGGAGTTTGTTCTTTATTATGGAGCCTAAGAGGGCGCATCTTGAGGCTATTACGAAGCTGGTTGAAGTGGGGAAGTGTCGGCCCGTGGTAGATAGTATTTGGCCTCTAGAGCTGTTCGAGGAGGCCTTTGCTCGGTTGGATGGGGGTCATGCTAGGGGGAAGATTATCTTGGATTTGTCTCTTAATCAGTGATTTGATCTGATCTGGTGGAGGGACACGGGGGCCAGACTGAGCCTTGAGCATCTGTTTTTGGGAGTGGTTCAATGCGTTGTATGAGCTGTATCTAACCTTTGTGTCTCAACGCCATTATTAGCTGCTGATATGAATCTATACGAGACACGTGATCGCTAGCGCCTTGACTGATCACCGTCTCCGACCCCTAAAGGCTTGATCCATTAGCGGTTGAGATAGTCGATAGAGTCGTCCAAAGAATTGAGTATCTATCGAAATGGCATCCGATCCTCAGTAGGCTACGTACGTGTAGCTGAAGCAGCATCATTCTGCCCATCTTATCCCCTAAGATCACAACAGCTGCTAGGTGGGTTATACACGAAATATGAAGGGATTTAAAATCCCAAGTACCACCTTAGGGCAATTAACTATAGAAAGTTCTGACAAGAATTCTATGAAGAGGGTAATCAAGAAGAGGTAAGAAAGAGTATTCTATTTTTCGAAATGCCGAGAATTCTGTGAAATTCATGTTTGAAATTCAAAAGTTTAGTAGAAGTCTGAAATTTTAATGAACACTGTCAATTAATATTACTTATTTCAGAATTTTCAGTAAAATTGGCAATAGCTATTCTGTATTTCAGAGGAGCTTTCTTAGAAAACAGCAGTTTGAACATAACTCATCACTACTTCGGTGCCTAAGGTTTGAGATTCACGATACGAAATGCTGAGAAATTCATTAACGAAATTCTTCAGTATGAGTGAGTATGCATTCTGTATGCAGATGACTAAGCCGGGCATAAGAAGTGCATAGAAGCAATCCCACATTTGGTGATCAGCGACTCTTGTCCAACCGCCAACAAGGTCCTTTGTTGTTTGAGAAGATTGCCAGTGGACGTTTGATATTTCTAGAAGTTGTAGCTGGACATCCGCAAGATAATCACTAAGGTCCTAGCTCCAGTACTGACAACTGGGAATGTTCTTACGATTGATTGCAATTGCTTCGTAAACACGCCCCGCATCACAATGTCTCACGACCCATTTCCCTCCATTCTCGTGACTCCAGAGGAATTCCACAACGCGATTAACACAACTACCCGCCGTATCGTTCCTGTAGCAGCAGGCCGTGATACACTACGCCCTTCTTACGAGAAACAGCACATACCAGGCTCCGTGTAGGTATACCACCCCACGCAGAAGAGCATATCTAATAAGAAAAATAGGTTCTTCGATATGGGTGTTATAGCAGATACAACATCGCCGTACCCGCAAATGCTTCCTACGGCAAGCCATTTTGCCAACTGCATGGGGAAACTGGGTATCCAACCCGACGACATCCTCGTCGTGTACGACACAGTGGAAATCGGTATTTATAGCGCACCGCGCGTAGCATGGGTCTGTCGACTGTTTGGACACAAATCGGTGCATGTCTTGAATAACTTCCGTCTTTATACAGAACAAAGGTATCCTGTTGCGGAAGGGAAGATATCGCCGCTCCCAGAGGCCGTTTATCCATATCACGAAGCAGATGCGAAGCAAGTGATCCCCTTTGAGGAATTGCGAGACACAATACTTCATGAACCAGCGAAATACCAAATTATTGACGCTCGGATACCGGGGCGGTTCTCAGGAATACAGGACGAGGCCGATCCCGCTCTTCGATCGGGTCATATGCCTTTTGCGATCAACATTCCACTGGCAGCTATGTTAGATGTGCAGTCTCACGCTTTCCTTCCCTTATCCCAATTGAAGGGACTTTTTGAGAAGGCGGGCATTGATGGAAAGTTGCCTGTCGTCTTGACCTGCAATTCTGGAGTTACTGCAGCGGCGTTGGATCTGGCGTTGCAGGAGACGGGGTTTAACATGGATCGGAGGGTGTACGATGGGAGTTGGATGGAGTGGACACGAAGAGCTGAGAGTGATCTGGTCGTCAAGGGTTGATATCTATTTTTCCCACTCTATTCTTGACTTGGTGAGACTACCGGTCAGAATATTATAATTGTTTTGTAAAGCATCGTCTATGCATTTCACCTCATGCTTGGGGCACATTCCACATCATGGTCATAACAATGACAGTGAATCAATGAATGTACAGCACCTTGATGCAAACCGCACCAACCCAAGTCTGTCACTTGGAACAATGATTGCCTTCGCCTTCTCACCGGCTTAACACCACTCCAAGAACCTTTGTCCAAAACACCTTGCTGGGTACATGACGAAGGAATTGGGTTACTACGCTATTTGCTCCAACGGCAGGTTTTCTGGTGTGTCATTTCACCCGGAAGCCATATCCGAGATGGAAGCGAGAGGGGGGCTCCAATTTTAGTCTAGATTATTGACAGCTCCACTAGCCTTAATCAATTTAAATGACCTCGCGGATTGCTTATATTATTTATTCCAGTCCAGAGTGCATGCTTTCATTCGTAATGTGTGGACTCAGATGGTGTTTAGTTGCTGTATAGATACCCTCACCGTGAGGCACTAGACGCTGTAGACGCATGACCCTGTTACCAACGTACTGCGAGAACTTGTTTCAAAGCCAACATATACCATGGCCTTCCCAATTTATTTGGAAGATTATAAATCTGTCAAGTCGTTGTATATTAGTAAGAATATCCGGAGACAGCTTAAATCCAGCATGCTGTGGAAAGACGCAGGGGAAACCGTGGAAGGTTGAGGTTTAACTGCAAACCTGGCACCATCTATATGAAACGTCATGACGCAACTGATGGCCGATATTTACAAGTTTTGCAACGTCAGAAAATCAGGATAGGGTATTTTCAATGATGGTATCTTGCTTTGTAGTAGCTCTATCAAGTGATCACGTTATACATACCGAAGGGGACAGATGTTCCATCCAACGGCCGCCTGGGATACGTTTAAAAATAGGGTTATGAGATGACATACTACAACTCCCACCGGCCGTATGAAAGCTCCCTTTAAAAGGTCCGTCTATGGCCGAAGCCAGCATCCCTGTTAGTACGAGGTCGGCGAATCCCTTTTTGGTTATCTCCGACCGAGATATTGATTCGGCCGTAAGCACTCGTGGCTATGCTACATAGGCAAGCGAATACTAGGTACGCAAGAGACTATAAAGTCTTCATATTTTCCTACCTTTCGTTCTAGCTATTATTCTACTCAAACAGTCCAGTTTACGAAGCCCAAAGACAGAGAAAGAGCAATCAACAATGGCGCTCTTTAAACCCCTTTTACCGCCAGTCAACGTCTCCAAAGAGTCCCAAGGCATCGTGAATCTCCCACGAGCCGAGGGTTCATTATCAGTCATAGTCCGTGACAGCCTACAACTCACAACATGGCTTCTTCTCGGGGGACTCCTACAAGGCCTCGCCGTGATGCTCCTTGGCATCTACGCCCTCATCCCCACCATCCTAGTCCTACTATACCGCACCGCCGACACCCTCCTAATGGCTGCCAACATCACGCGAAACCGTTACATGGACGGCGTGATCCGCGCTAAATTCTCCGCACAATCCCCTGACGCGAACGGTAATTTCGGGTCTGAAATTGCTTCGGAGTCAATCGTCGTCTTTCTTCTCGGCGCCCGCTCAAACCATCCTCTTGGTTTGCTCGCCCCCGGTTTCTACGAACTCAGTCAACGAGTCATGGCAATGCAGCGCGAGTTGAATGCCGACCCAGTGAAACACGGTCTTCTCGGCTCCTCGAGCTGGATCAAGCAAGACGACCCCGCCACCAACGAGAATATGACCGTGTTCTATCTACGGGACTACGATGCGCTGCATCAATTTGCGCACGGCAAGCTTCACGTGGAGGGCATGAAGTGGTGGACGGACATTGTCAAGGATCATCCGCATCTTGCGATTTACCATGAGACGTACATTGTGCCCAAGGGGCAGTGGGAGAATATCTACATTAATTCAAAGCCCACAGGGATGGGGGATACGTGGTTCCCGGCGGCTGGGGAATGCGAGGAGAAGGGCCAGGTGTCGGAATATGTGCGCCCGATCGTTGATGCCAGGCATCCTTCTCTGAGGTCTGCGGCCAGGAGGTTGAGAATAGGTCAGTTGGAGGCTAGGACGAAGGACTGGGATGCGCTGTATGATCGCACGTATATTTCATGATTAGATTTCTTCTGTGCTAAGGCCCTCATTCAGCCCTTTCTCTTTATCTCGTCCTCGGAGTGTTTAATATCCGATATGAAGCGTTTCTGACTTGTTTAATTGAATACCCATTGGTTGAATGGTTTATGATCAAGCCACATCGTAAGCACTAAGATCCCCACTTGATTATGTGCTGGGCTAATTGGATGCTTAGGCCATACTCAGATCTAATATTAGTGGACACTAAGCGGGCACAGTCCAAGAGCTATTCGAGCTATCCCAATTTCTAGCTATTCGTTGTCCTTGATACGTCATAATTCTATGCTTGTTAGATTGTTCATAGAACAGTAACATGGTCGCCTATCGACGGCCACGGCCACAACCACCCCGGATTTATAATGATGTTCTTTTGAATTGGTCTCACCCAGCGATTATTTTCCTCTTACTCCTTCTTGTCTTCTAAACTGATTAGGACTGCCTCAGGCAAGTCATTCCCACCCATGAAGATTATGTCAGAGTCTTATGGGGGCGCCCGGCCAGTGGAAAATAATGTAGGCTGCAGGAAATCAGGGCTATGGCCCCGTTGTCAAGCTAGGGAAAGGATCATTAAGAGTATACTTGACGGAAAGTAGTAAGCACGAAGACTAATAAAATTTCCTTTGCTCCTGTAGGTGTTATTCCATGCAATATGACCATGAACTACAACACCACCCTACCTAATCCACCTCCCCATCCACTCTCTATTGACCTTCTTCGCCTCCTCCACAAGCCCCAATTCCAACAACAACTGCACGACACCCCTAACAGACGACTGCAGAGAGCTACTCACCCAGGCATGCGTCGGAGCCGTATGCTCCCCAATAAAGATCGTATTGTGCTCCGTCCGATGGTAAGCCGGAATATACAACCGATGTTGCTCAACATCCGGACGGCACCACGATGTAGCTGTATGTTCATCCTGTAGCCAGCAAAGCCTTTCGTAGTCGCCAGTAAATAGCTTCCGAGCATGTTCACCATGCAATGAAACGACGGCATCCAGCGCAGTGTGCACATGCTCTTCATCTGAGAAGCTCACAAATCGATCGCTCCAGTCTCCGCCACGGTAGTGCATAATGAGACCTGGACGAGACTCGTTCAGTCCGTACACGGGATAGTACAAAGCCCCAACAGAGTTACTAGGCGGAGTAGAGTAGCCCCCGAAAATAGGCTTATCCCCCTTCTCCCAGAAACGCTCAGAGAATAAAAGAGCGACCTTGCAGGCAGATTTGAAGCGTAGACCAGCCTCACTGATCGCGCGACCTAGAACCGACGAGAACTTCGGCAGATCCATAAATCGAGCCATGGTGAACGGAACTGCCATGATGGTATAATCATACGTCTTGCTCTCGTACGTCCGATTCTCGACGGACGGATACCACGACAGCCTCGTCTGCGTGCGTTCATCGGGCCCAGAAACGGCCTCCAACCTCCTAACCTTCCTCTCCAGAACCAGCCGGTCACTCACATGCGGTAAAAAGGCATCAGACAAACGATTAAACCCGCGTTCAACACAAACCCACTCTGTCTCCCCGTAAGACCCCGGACTCCCATCCAACCCAAGGTTAGAATTATGATGCATCTCATCCCAAAACACATCATAATCGCTATCCGTCCAGATCGCATCCGTAACATTCACACTGGCATTAAACACATGCCTCATCATCCCCTGCTCACTCCACTCATCCAGTCCGCGATCCATAACCACCCGATGAGCCCGCCACACATCCCGCTGAATAAACTTCAACATCTCCTTCTCCTTCAAAATCCCCTCCATTTTACCCTTAACCCGCCCATATTCCTCCGTCGCCATAGGCGCCTTCTTCCCCAACCCCGACTCGTTCCTCAACACCTCTCCCCTCGTCGGTATCGTCCCATCAGCCAACCGCCCCGTCCCCCGCCCCAACAACTCATTCTCATGATGCTGTATCCATGGGATAAACTCGATCTTCCACCGACTCTCATCCCCATTCATGCTATTCAACAGCTCCGCAAGCTGAAAAACCATAGCATGGTCCGAGTACTCCACCGTCTCGCCATCGGTATACCGGACCCGAACCGGAAGCCTCATAGGCCCCATTTCGGCCCATTCGTCTGTCCCCCCGACGTATTTCGTGCGGAACCGTCCCCCGACCCGGTTGCTTGCTTCTAGGATTTCCCAGTTGTGGATTCCGACGCTGTCGAGGAGGAGAGCGGTGGTTAGGCCGGAAATGCCAGCGCCAATGATTGCGATTGTGGTGTTTTTGGTTGTTGCATTTTGGGTGGTGTTGGGGTTCTGGGGGGTGGTTAGGGTGTTGAGGTCATTGAACCAGGCGCCTAGGGCGTCGAAGTCCTCGAGTTTGGGGGTTGCGGTTGTTAGGGAGAGGAAGAGGAGAGGGAGGAGTTGGTGGGGTTTCATTTTTGAGGCTGGATGTATGATATTGGGGGGGGGGGAGGAGAAATCTGCTTTGTGGCGAAGTTAGGGATGTCGTCTTGTTGAAGTTATATTTGATGAATAGGGACCCTGCAGATGTATACCTTGAGGATAGTTTTGATCGGCTTTGTGTGTCGTTGTCGATCATTATTAGATGCGTCCGCAAGGTACTGATTGACGGACCTTGCCTCGGGAGGATAAGAGGATAGATTTGGTCTGCCGGAGGAAAGGCGTACCCATGAAACATGGAAGATCATCATCTAAATCTATTTCATCAAGGGGTACAAAGAAAAAGTTAACCCAGCGCGAATTTTGAAATCTATGTACAAGAACGCCACGCCATCCACATGCACCGTTTTATAATCCCAAAGAAACCTAGAAATGCGGAGTATTCAGAGCCACCAAGCACAGTAAGCCGGCCACCAATCCAGCACAAGGCAGGGTCAGAACCCAGCCCAGGAAGATGAATCCGAGCTGGCGCCAGTTCAAGGCTCCCATATCGAAGTTCATGAGAGCCACACCTGTAGCCGCACCGGTCAGACACTGCGTGGTGGAAACGGGAAGACCCAGCCTCGATGCCAGAAGGACAGTGATGGCGGCCCCGAGCTCTGTGGCAAACCCACGGGTCGGTGACATCTGTGTAATCTTGTTTCCCATCGCCCGCATTATTTTATAACCATAGAACCAGAACCCAGCGCCCAGCAGCAGACCAGCGATGACAAGAAACCAGATAGGGGTTTCCGACTTGGTATTCACCTCGCCGGAGAGGTAGGTGGCATACGAGCCGGCCCAGGGGCCAACGGCATTTGCGACGTCGTTAGAACCGTGTGCGATGGACATCATTATGGCCGAGACGACTTGACAGTAGGTCCAAAGATGCTCGACGCGATCGTCATAGCGATGGGCCCGGGCATGAACGGCGCGGAGATGGTCGGAGTCGTGGGTGATTACGTCGCGGGTGACGCCCTGGAGGAAAATAAATTTGGTCCAGCCCCAGTATTTGGCTGGGTTAAGCCAAGAGAGGTGTTCGACGGGCTGAAGGAAACGCTCGTGGGGTCCGATGATGGCTTTCTTCGGTTGGATCTGTGGAGTAGCCATGGCAGATTCTGCACTCCTTTCCACATCCGTGTTGTTGATGTCTTTCTGGTCAGCTGTTTTCTCGGTGTCCTTCTGGCCGGCGCGGACTTCGCCGTAGGCATCTTCGTAGTAGTTGATGACGAATTTATCACCCTTACCGGGGAAGTAGATGGGGCAGTTATCTTTGAGCAGCCAGGGTCCAAGGGGGAGGTGGTAAAACTTGATCCGGGCATCTTGTTTCACGAGGCGACGATGGAAGTAGGGGAGGAAGAAGACGACAGATATGAGAAGGCAACCGAAAAAGACGCCGAGGATAATACCGGTGGCCTTACCGGCACCGAAATCTTCCAGGGATGGGGCAGTGGGTGCTTCGACAACAATGAACAGAGCGAGTATAGCTCCAGTCATAGAGAGGTAGATAGGAATGAGTCGCATAGCCCACTTGAACGAGTCTTGCCGTTCAAGCACGGTATACTTGAGGATGCCGAAGATGAGGGCCGAGAAGGCACAAGCTATGGCCGGCGCGATACCCCACGACGCCGCGATCTGCGACACGCTACCACTCTTCCACCCCCAGGAAATATCTGCTTGTGTAGCGAAGCCGACACCGACCAACGCGCCGACAACGGTCTGCGTGGTTGAGACTGGCCATCCGTAATGGGTAGCCGACATCAGCCAAGCGGCACTTCCAACCTCAGCACAGCCCATGGCCAGCATGAAGGTACCTGGCTTGCCCATGAACCTATCAGGAGAAATAATGCCAGATTTGATTGTCGAAGTTACTCGACTGCCCAAGGCCACTGCACCGACGAACTCCGTGATGGTAGCTAGGATACCGACCTGCCACATCTCCAGGGTCCGGGCAGCCACGGACGTCGCGTAGGAGTTGGCCACATCGTTGGCACCATTTCCGAAGGCACTGAAGACGAAGGCAATGGAGGTCAACGCCAGAATCCAGTCATATTTTGCAGTGATGGCGGGAATCATGTTGGGCGGCGTGCCAAACCGCGCCGTTGAAAAGGAAAATGGAAAGAAAGAAGATTATAGGACTGATGTCTTTTCGAATAACTAGATATCTCTGCACTGCCAAACTCCCTTACGGGCAGAAGAGCATTAAGTAGTAGCCCTCCTATACTGGAACCCGAGAGACTAGGTTTGGTAAAATCTTGCCTACGATCTCTACGCCAAGGGATCAAGTGCTGCTTCTCCTCTCGGCACTTTAGTTTCAAATGATTCGTATGCTGGAGAACGTGAGCTCTGTGTTCACACGCATTGGTCCAGGGCACTTCTTCCGCTCGCAGCATGCCGAGAGGAGCGGACTTGGCGCCAAGGGCTGCCGAGCCGCCGTTTGCTGGTACTGGGTCTCACTGTTACCAATCAGAAGAGGGTCTAGAGCACGTTCCTGATCTTCTGGATGAGATTGAGGTTCGCAGTTGGAGTGAAGGGTTGCTGTGTCGGGGGAACAGTATACCTAAGCCCATCGTGGTATCTCGGCGCGTGACTTGGCAGAACCCTATTTTGCCTCGAACACTGGCATGATTTCGTGCTCACGAAGCAATTCGCCAGTTTAGGAAAGTGCTCGGGTGAAATCGAGCTTTCAAGACAATATGCCAGGCAATTGAAGACCACGTGGGTGCATATAACGATCTTAGTAGCACTTGCGGCGTCACAGACTTGCCTCGGACGCAGTGTGTGGGTCATGGGGGGCAGTGCACATGCGACCACTTGCCACAGCGGTTTCGAGTAGGGCTCAGGTAATGTCAGATTAGATATGAATCTAACTTTGAGGAAGATGGCTATGTTCCCAGTAGTCAGTCTTCGCATATGTCTAACATGAGGGAAGGTATAAGAGTGGATCATATATATGGATCTCTCCCCGAGATACGCATCAAAGGCGAGATGGCCGAGCGGTCCAAGGCGCTGGAGTAAGGTTCCAGTCTCGAAAGGGGCGTGGGTTCAAATCCCACTCTCGTCAGCATCTTTTTTTTCCAATTTTTGTAGTCTAATTCTGTTCAACTCCAAAAGTAAATACTAGCTTGACGCAAAGACTAAAACGTCGACTTTCTAGAGAGGCTGGGCAACGCTTAACAATGAATAATGGAGACGCTATAGTGAAGGTAGACCTCGGTCCCTAATAAAATGGCCTTGATCATGACTGTCATATTCCTAATTCCACCCAGTTTCAGGAGACCTTGTAATTTGAGTTTAGAAAACTTATTAAAAATTAAATTACTACGCTTTCTGCGCTTTGATGGTGGGTGATCGAATCATATAGATACTTGGACAATTGTGTATACAGATCTAAGTTGGGTCTTGTCTTTGGAAATATATATTCGACGGATCACCGTTAAGATCTTAAAACTCCTGAACACTTTTATCCACCCAGAGATAAAAAAGTCCAGTTGCGTACCCAGTAGTCACCAAAACCATCTTCCCAATTCATTTCCATGAGGGTAGCTTGCCTAAAGAATATGTTGGTAATTCCAGAAAACAATTATATGACTTGATATTATAGATGCTATGATATATCCGCCATTCATAAAAAGATCGCTATTTCTCATAAAATATCGTGATCGGCGCCTCAATGCCTGAACACCTGTTATAAACATGGCTCTCCTTCTTCGACATATTCTAATTGTCGTTCTCATCATCTAGATCATAGTCCAAACCATCCTCCTGATCATATATGGTACCGTGTATCTCTGTCATATGAGAATATATGAGACCTTTGTCGAATTTGTCACCACAGAAATAACACCAGTGAGTATGACAATCTTCCACTTCACACTGAATGTGGCCACACCCACTGATCTTTTCCGTCATGACTCCACAGCCCGGACATGGTTTGACTGCTGACTTGCCTGGCTTAATACATTCTTCGCAGCGCCAGTTCGTGACTTCGGGAGGTGCCCCCTGGGCACATACACGCTCTAGATATGGCTTTGCTGTCGCACAAGACCGGCACCAGACGTAGATCCATGTTCCACGGTCTTGAATCGCGCCTTGGAGGTTTCCAACGGCGTGGATGCCCATTCCGTGCTTTGCCAATGTACGGGCGGAGGGTAACCGTCGACAGAATGGACATGACAAGGCTGCCGTATTGATTATCCTGCCAGGGGCGTTGAGACCGTACCATTGCGACAGACATTCTTTGCAGATCCGCTCTTGACACCCTCGACGGCTACAGGCAGAGCTGAGAGCTGTGGGATGGAAGTTGCTGAAACAGAGGGAACACGCGACCTTCACAGAACGTCTCCGGGATACGTGGTCCTGTAGCTTGGAGATTATTGATTCACTGTTCCGAACCAGTTTGCCTCGAATAGTGAGGTGCGGGTTTGTATCAGGAAAAAGCATGATTTGAGCGACAAATTTATCGGGCCCGATTCTCGATACGGTATGGAAGAGCGATCGGTTGCTGAAAGTATGGCCGCTTGGCTGTTTAGTGTCCTGGATGAACCAGCGAACTGTGTTTTCCTCTTTCAGCTGTTCTGCGGAAGTTTCCACGTCCACTATCGTTTGCCGTCCTGTAGTACACCCCGGACAAAGATATTCAGCCTCCACGAAGTCAGCGGGACGGTACGGCTCTGGCCAGATAATGCGACTCAAGCATCTATGGCACTCCACATAGGGCGCAAGGGGAACTTCGTCCCTTGTAGAGGGAACTGCGGCATTCCATACTCTGCAGTAGTGGCATTTTGGCCGGACTCGTAGACTTTCCACATCGTAAACCACATACTGTGCCCTACAATTTGTGTTGTGGCATTCCACCCATGCCGCTGGCGTCTTGTCAGTGTCGTCCTTGGTAACACTACAGTGCGCGCGAGTCGAGTTGCCTAGACAAACGCCACACTGTCCATCATGACCCATGATGGTGACGGATCGTGGGTAATGACAGGACTTGCAGGTTACGACTGGACCAATAGGGATCAAGGTTTTTTCGGGCTTCCATCCAATCTGAGCGGTAAAGGTTGTGTGGAGGTTGAGTTCTAAGAACCGGTACGCGATCAACTTTTCAAAGAGCTCCCTATCGCTTGGTTTCAAAACGGTGGGCATTTCTGTTACTGCAGAATCTCCAGTGTCGTTTGTCGTCTGGTTTAATGACTGTCGCTGTTGGTACTTGCGATCAGCATCAAGGAGTAACGTCATACAAGAGATGGTCCAAGTCTCTGGCACCTCTATGTCGTTCCATCTGTCCTTCATAGTTAGAAGCTGACTCTCAGCCGCAGGGAGTAGAGGTGTGATGCCCAGCCTCAAGGCCAAGGCGGCGAGAACGCTGGAAGGCCGAGTAGATAACATAGTTCCCGGGCAAACGATATGCAGTAGGATCTGCCAGAATTTGCGTTTATACTTCTCTTTTGCGAGAGCGATAGGTATCCTTGGCATGTCTCGGTCCGTCATTGATGCAATGTGCTCCGGAAGGTCTGCTGGACTCTGAATGTACGTTAATTGAGTAAGAACACGGCTTAGACGGCGAAGGATGTCTGGATCGCAGGACCGGCCTATCTCCAGAAGTTCGGCCCTCGTGAAGGTCGTAATGTCCGTTGTTGTCTTCTTGTAATTCTCATTTTTGTCGTGATCGGGGTGCGTAAAAGTGAGAGTAGGATCGAGGCAAACACAGGGGAATCGCTCAGTCTCTGGGACAGTGTTGATAAGTTCTACGACTTCCCCAGTGTAGTCATATGATGCCTCTAGCCAGTCTGTCATCCGAGATCTGTCCACCGGGTCTGTTATACGACTGACCTGTAAACTGAATGCATTGAGCAACTCAGATCGCGCCGGGTGTGCTCGGTCGGTACAAATGTTTCGCCAAAGCGTGGCGAAGATTGCATTGACAGCTATGACGGTAACATCTTCTATGATAATTTGCTTTAGGTGTTTCACCGCTAATGCTTGGTACGATGGATCGGTAGCCCATGACTTAGTAAAGTCAGCGACGGGAGCGGTTTTCTTTTGAATAGAATTGTGCATAATATAGGGGGACAACCGTTGCATTTTGAGACTTCCAGCAAGACGGTGTGAATCTGGAGTTGGGAGGTACGAACGCGCCTCCTCATCTCTCTCATCCCGGAATTTATCAATCCCCTTCAGGTCAGGGTAGCTCAGGAGATACGGAGATGTTTCCTCGCCAACATCGTCGACAGCAGGCTTTCCCACTCCCATCCAGGTCAACAAGACTTCAATAGTCACCTTTGATATTGCCGAGGGTTTGGCTGATGGTAAAACAATACATGACCCTTGTGTCATGGTGGAAAGATAGGTATAGTAGCTAGCAGAGGCATGGTTGTAGGTATGGCACATGGATGGATCGAGAATGCAAAAGACCTGAACCCTTTTCTCACCCTCGCGTAGGAGGTTGCAGGCGGAAACCCAGTCCTTGAACTTGGGGCCGAAGCCACCATAGCAGGTAGAAATTGATAAAGCGATCTGTTCCCTCCCGTGGTTTTCGTCGGGCCCGCGGTTGTCTAGATTCGGGTTATTACCCCAAGCATGAGGGGGTGCGTCTGCATAGAAGAGTATAACCGTTTTGGCGTCTGACCGCATGACTTCGTAAGCTTTAGCTAGTCCTGTCTTAGCCGCTTCCGGGACGTCATAATTCCCTTGAGTATCTAGGGACGCAGCGATTGCGAGTAGATCGGGTTGCGTATCACTTGTGGTCAGCGAGGTATCGAACCACCCAGACCATTCTAGCAGGTCTTTGCAGACATAGTCACGATAGGCTAATAATCCAATCCTCGAGAAGCATCGAGTGAGCTCCGAGATGGATATGATTTGACGGAGGGAGTTGTTAAGCGACTTCAGGAAGCTATGCATGGAAGCGGTGGCATCTACGACGACTAGCAGGTCATACTGCTCTGCCTCGTTGGGGTGTAGCCCTTCCATCTTGATGAGCAATGTAATTGAGAGAAATCTGAGTTGGAGAGGCTAGAGTTACTTCCTGCTGAGCACACATATATATCCCCTTCACTGTGAGTCATTTGACTGAGGGTCAATGCGCCTCAATTCTAGTTAGGCGGGAGAACAGTATTTTCTACCTTTTCCAGCGTCCATGGGTCATTTTGGGGAGCCAGGGAGTGCGGCCATCTGGTCGAGTAGGGGACTTGATTAGGGCATTGCTTTCAAAGCCTCGCCATGACGTGCACCTACCGCCTTGGGAACGCTAAATGATCCAGGTTACATTCTGTGGCGGCTTATTCCGTGTAGCTTCGGCTTCATTGGTGGTCAGTTGGAATAAAGGGTATGAATGACTCACAATAGAAATTGTTGAGAGCCGCATCCCATGTATCATTCAATTAGATGGGATACTTGAGGCTAGAAGTCTTGCCCAGGTTGTATCTTATCGTACTATGCCAAGCCCGGACCAAGACTAGGCCCTCAATGTGGGGTGGGGGGGGGGGGGCGCTACTTAACTAACCTCAATATAACCCCGGATCATGCAATACGACAATTGCATACTTACCTATAGTAGCGACTATTCAGATCAGACGTTGGGTGTAGAGAACAGTAATTGCGATCTACCCTTAGTGGACTACCTCTGAGATCTATAAGCATCTGGATGAGTGCTCTCCAGTTCTCTTCCAGAGAGGACGACAATAAGTTCTCAAACAGCCATACAGTGTGATTTCCATAAAGCGAAATTCTAAATCATTATAAGTCTTCAGTTTGAACTCCGGCCTCGCAACCTAGGCTGGGGACATATTGAATTAAATAGTCTGAGTAGTATATATAGATGTATGTATCTAGTGACTCACCTTCTATTGTCTCATGCGACAAATTACCTTTTTCCTCGCCACCGATAACTCGGTTAGAGCTGTGAAAGGGTTTATTATGATGCTGCGAGAGCGAATCGAGGAACGGCTAGAGCTTGAATCTAGTTCCTATGTAGAAGAGTCACTGGGGTTCCACGTAAAATGGCAGCGACAGCGCCAATGACGTGTTTCATGGAAAACTCGGGAACGAAAGAAACTGTACTTGCCGACGCGATTAGTGTGATTCTTATGGCCTATAAATCAGGGGAGGGTACTGCCGGAACCATAGTCCTGTATATGTACGGTATTCAAATGTTATACACATCGGGTTCTACAGAAGTACAACAACATTTCCAAATAAGTGGTCTTTAAATGCCAGGCATCGACAAGTTCTATTCAAATCAGATCCAAGCTCCATTGACTTCACTTTGCGATAGCGTTCTTTCTGAGGCTTAACAGTCGCATTTAAGGGTGCATGTACTGTGGTATCAACTTAAGGGCCTGTCCTCGAAGTCCGGTCCAGAACAAAAGTGGACCTCTCACCGGCAGACATGCATCGCATTGTGAAGAGTAGAGATCAGTTACTAGCACTGACCTAACTTAAATACCCAGGAAGCCAGAGGTAACAGAAAGGCTACCTTAGCAAGCCTGGATGGCAATACAGGCCTGAGAAGGCACTTCGATATCGAACATAAATTTATCCGGATTATCGAGAAAAGCCCGGCGATATCGTAGACACCGCTTGCTAATCAACAGTTGGCCACGACATGATACGTCTGAAGCGTATTTGAAGAACTGCTGATTTCCCCGGACATTGTTGCCACGACGAATCATATCATCTATACGGCTTGCATAATTGATGCAATCGGCACAGTAGGCATGCCGGTCCATAGCCTCCGGCGGGATCCGAGTCTTGTTGTGGAGTAAGATGCCTGTTATTACTTAGCTATCGGTCGTGGTAGGGAAGGATTCGAAAGATATCGTACCACATCCTACGAGAAATAAACAAACGGCGGTAAGAGCTACCGATACAAGAGAGATTCTCATTTTGGTGATTTCCGTAACGATCAATGCTTCATTCTGACCAGCATGACTTTGAAGGAATGTTGGCCTCCAAAGTCGCTAAACCACTTCGGGCGTCATGCGACCCCCCTCTTGGATTACTATTCCTGGTCTAGCGTCGGGCCAAGGGAAAATGGCAGCACGTGAGGGTTCATCCTATTTTTGGAAACATCTGAATATTTGAGTCGGATTCTATGAAGTCCATGGATAGCTAGAAATCTTTATTTGCAAGTTTGATTGGTGGAACTACGACAATGGCGCGGGATGCCTTCACATATCTTCGACTCAAAGATATATTTACTCATAAAAATACATATTATAAGGACACAGCGCCTGGGTGAAGAACGCTCCATCGCCCAAGGTCAGCACTATACGAGCAGAACTGCCGCGGCCATTCCAGCAAATCCGCATACCCAGAAGGGATCAGCTCTGAGATCTCAGATAGTAGCAATTCTGCACGTCTTCCCACAAACCAGAAATCTCGAAATACATGTAGTTGTACGCAGTAACAAGCGAGTAATATAAGAGCAAATGGATGCCTCTGCTCGATTAAAGTGACAAACTTGTTGCGGATCATAAGCGGCCAGACATAGATCATACCGATTCGAGCGCATGGGTCTGCATGTTCAATCCGCTGGCAGGTGTTCTCCAACTCAGTGACCGCATTCTCGAAAACTGGTTTCTCTTCTTCTCCAAAGGTCTCGACCGTGAGCCGGTATCTAAGTGCAGTTATCTGACCTCCCAGACCACGGAAGAGACGGAATGGCGTACCGCTGCTCATTATATTAGCCAGAGGGACAGGGATCATGAGGAAAAGGGCGTTTCATACGGTTTTTCAGACCAGTCTTGATCTACTAATGGCCCAAGAGGAGACTTCCGAATGAGGGGCATAAAGTCGGCAAGAGTAGATACCCCGCGGCATAAGTTGAACATTTCAATTACGCTGCTCAGAGGCTGCGCATCCTTAGAGTCAGTGGGCGCTGCGCCTGTCCAGACAATGAGCAAACTTGAGAATGAGAAGAGCGCAAGGCAGTTCTCCTCTGTTGGCTTCCGGAGAATAGTTCGGAACGTTTGGAGCCCTAGAGCCATATGAAATGTGGAGTTGGTGAGGTAGTGACTATGCTTTTCCGGCTTGAGATATGACAGATGCATCGCGGATAGAGATAAGATACCGTGCATAAGAAATTCATAGGAATATGCGATTGTTGGGATTACAGTTCTCCACACATGACGGACCTCTTCTTGATTTGTGAAAGTATTGCATGTCGATATACAATAATGGTGCATCAGTTCGGGATCTTGCCCATTCCATTCGCGCAAGAAGCATGCCGTATGTGCTAAGCTGCTCTGAAAAATGTTCAAGGCGGCATCTGTCCGTGCCGATATCTCAGCAAGAGAGTTGTTGGAAGGTGGGGTGCATGGATCTATTCGTTGCTCAAAATGCTTGTTCTTATTTGAAAGCCGTGGTGCAGCTATAAGAGGCGGATAACTACATGCAAGGCCACGGCGGGTACAATTCAAGCATGGGTCGGCTTCATCGCACTAGAGGTTTGTTAATAAATACGAGGAAAAGACAGCTAGGGAATACCACGACAGACTCCCTATAAACGTACCTTGACTCTCCGCTTTTTGCACTGGTCGCAACCATTGCGGGACTTCTTGTGTGACCTCCGAGGCGGCATATTCCGTTTAAAGCAGCGGCAAAAAAGGTCTTCCGTTATGTATTGAGAATATAAACTACTTGTGTGAAGTCCGAATAAGAGATGTCGCCTGCTTTAACACGCGCCGTATTTCGTCAATACGATAGCGAAAACGAGAAAACTGATTCGAATACGGTGGTTATCGGCTGTGATTGGTGGTATTTATATAGCAGGTATCCACATTTCAAACTTTTATTTCAGTTGTGGCAAGTGTGGATCCTCCATTCCCTATAGGAGAAATTGTTCCTGGAGCGCGAAGCAGTTCCATAGAGATATCATATAAATGAGCCTCCAAGCTAGAGCCTTAATCTCGGTATTCTACCGACGAGAACCATAGATTTAGTCAAGTATAGTAGTAGTCATGCTGATTCAGTGCGTTGCAATTACGCGTCGGGTTTCTCGTTAGGGCTATTCGTGCTTCGGATGCGTACTTGCAGTGATTCCCTTCTACTCTGCATACAACGTTTACTGTCAATTTTTGCCTAATCTCAGTCATGCAGATAGATGCCTTGATTCCTAATCTTAGCTATTCTAAGCATCCGTGGCAACGATGTCTGCAATCGATCCTGGGGTAGGAGTGGAGACAGCCGCAGGCTAATAAATAGTAAAAATTAGGGAAACGAGAACGAACTCGAACTCGAGAAGGCCAATTTAAAACGATGGGCAGGCCCATTAAAATTAAAATGCAAAATCTTCAAAGACTATTTATTCAAAGACTATTCAAAGACTATTCAAAGACTATTCAAAGGTGAAAATCTAGCACGTCCTCCTTGCACGACAACTACGATTAATACCGATCCTATCCTTCGCCTTGTGATTTTCGGCGCCCATCAGATCTCCCTCAGCGATCATCATGAGTTCCAACCAAGATGGTGGATTCGACTTCAAACTCTACCGCTACACGCCTTCACTTGTCGCAGCAGTCATCTTCATTGTCCTTTTCGTTCTGATAACGACTTATCATCTGTGGCAAACCTTTCGTTCGCGGTCCTGGTACTTTCTGATCTTCGTAGCGGGTGGAATCTGTAAGTCTATTCTATTCAGATTATATATCAAAGCTGAAGCCACATCGCTTTTGCATAACGTGGAACTGATATAATTTCAGTCCAAATAATAGGATACATCTGTCGCGCGCTAGCTCATTCTAACAAGGAATCCGTACCCATCTATGCCGTCGGAACGGTGCTAGTCCTACTTGCACCGCCTCTTTACGCTGCGTCAATATACATGACACTAGGCCGAATCATCAGATATCTAGACGCAGAACGGCTGAGTCCCATATCCACCAAATGGCTCACAGCGATCTTCGTCACCGGCGACATAGTTGCCTTCTTAGCCCAGTCAGCAGGTATGCATATCTCCCTTGTCTTTCGCCTTATTTCACTTACTCCCTTGCTCACTATGCTCCAGGAGGCGGCATCATGTCAGCTGGAAGTATCAGCGCCATGCATACGGGAGAAAACATCACAATTGCTGGTTTATGCGTGCAACTGGCTTTCTTTACCGTTTTTATTATTGTATCCACCATCTTTCATAGACGCATCGGCAAGAATCCGACCCCGAGGTCTGCTGGGACTACTCTGGTTCCTCGTCACTGGCGCGAAGCTACCTGGGAGACTGTCATGTTGGGATTGTACATTGCCAGTGTTCTGATCTTGATCCGCTCGATCTTCCGTTTGATTGAGTATGCGCAGGGCAACGATGGGTACCTGATCAGTCACGAGGTATTCATGTATGTGTTTGATGCGACCCTGATGTTCATCACCATGGTGGGAATGAGTATATTCCATCCTTCCAAGGTTTTGAGTCCGTCGGCAAAGGAAGAGGCGGCTTCGGAAGGATCATATACGATGACCACGCAGCTACAGCGGGATGACTCCGTATGATTTACGTTATTGTTTTGGGCCTGGTAATGACTTGCCCTGTACTGTACGTATTAGAAGGATACATTAATTATGAACGATTATTCTTACGTTGTTGAACACTTCCTAGTATGACACAATTTATGCCCCATGGACCTACTGCCGCCAGAAGCGAAATGATTGGATACCTCTTCTAACTGCCCTCGAGGCTTCAACGGTATTTCACTGAACCCCCGATTCATAGTATACCGCCAGAGTCAAAGCGCCGACAACGACGAATTCTCGCCGAAGCCAAATGAGAAGCGTTTCTGGCCCGAGAATGCTAGTCTAATCATAAGCCGGCGTCTTGGCAGCCGTGCATTGCCACGAAAAGAACCGAGGTATGAGACATGTCCCCCATATTCATAATACCTGAAGTATCTAAACTCATGCTTCGGATAAACCACGCAGATCAGCCCACAGCCACACTGATCGTACGTCACTAACCAAACACACTATTAGTTGTTCTATTTGAAAACGACACCAAGTTTAGACCTTGAGGCCGTGAGGTATTCATTTACAACACATGGAGTCTAACACCGTGGTCGATCCGGCTTCTGACCTTACTCGATATTTATACAACAGACTCTTCGAGCCAAAAAACTACAACCATGGAACCCAACCAGAGAACCGACGGCCCACCACCACCCTACGAAGAAATAGGCAATAAACGCCAGGACGATATCCTCAATCCAGCTGTCCTGACCCTAGCAAACCAATCCATCCACGCTGAAACCACGCCTTCAACACCACTTTACCGAATAAGCCAAGATATCACCTCTACACATCAAAAGTTCTCATCTCTAAAATTCGAACGGATAGAAACGGCTCTATCATTACAGCCTGACAGCAAATCTTCCCCAGAGGCCCAACATCTATTCTTTCTTGCGCACCCAGCACACGCACAATACCGAACGGACATTCCTGCATATTATATCACATCTGTATCCTCAAAGACATTGGGCAATATCCGCTTCGAGATGACTAAATCTCGACTCCAGAAAATAGAGTTCAGGGCACTTTTAAGCGCTAAGAAAACTGCGTGTGATAAGCCGTTGTTTGATGAGGGAATTGAGGAACCTCTTTTCAGCGCCAAGCCGAAATGGTCAGGCAGTCGATATAGATGGCTTGTTGCCGGTGGCAATGAGGTAGCGTTTGAGGATGGAAAGGGTGAGCGACAGAAACTGGTCGTTACGGTGCCCCTGCAACGGGACAAGAGGGACGCCTTGGTTGCATTGTGGATTTTGAGGCTGTGGCATGATACAGCTGAGAGCAGGCTGGCTAGACGAGAGGGTATGTTGAGTGATTAGATCCTATTAGACTGGGCTCCATGATATCGTTTTGTTCGGTTAACCTTTCTACAGCTCTTGAAGCCTTGACGCCGCATACAGCGTATGCGGGTATGGATCTCAAGTTCGCCAAAAGAGCCGGGGCCCTGGGAGCTCTTGGAGGAGGTGGTGCTTAATTGGTTACATTGGTCCTCTATCCGCGAAGTTCAGAGATACAAGCATGGTCCTCTTCCGAGCCGTCAAATCCGATCTATCTGTATAGCAGGAACGATTCTATTAATTTCACATCTATCCATGGCTCTATCCTGCAGGCTCTATATACTACATTCAAGAAGAAAGAAGAAAGAAAACCATCTCAAATCTTCGCTCCATATACCTTCAACAACTCCCCCAACGCCAACTTCTCCTTCTCCGCCGGCCTCTCCCCCTCCGGAACCCCAAACACCAACTGCGCCCTCAACTTCCACGTCCCAGGCACCCCCCAAGCTTCCGCAACCCTCTCATCAATAACCGGATTATAATGCTGCAAATTCGCCCCAAACCCCTCCTCCTCCAGCGCCATCCACGCCATCAACTGATGCATCCCACTCGTATGCTCCGACCACGCATCAAAGTTCTCCGCATAGAGGGGAAACTTCTTCTTGAGCTCGGCGATCACGGGCTGGTCTTCGTAGAAGAGCACGGTGCCGTATGCGGCCTTGAACCCGTCTAATTTTGGGCCGGTTTGCTGAAAGCGTTCGGGCCCGATCTTTGCGAGGAGGATTTCTTTAGTTATGTTCCAGAGCTTTTCGTGCTGGTCGTTTAGGAGGAGGACGGCGCGGGTGGACTGGGAGTTGAAGGCGGAGGGGGTTTTGAACATGATGGAGCTGACGATGGATTGGATTTTTGTGTCCGGGATGGGGGAGGAGTTGCGGAGGGCGTAGTAGGAACGGCGGTTGGCCAGGGAGGCGAGGAGGGAGGCGCTAGCTTTGGACATTTTGGTGGTGGATGGTGGAGGGTATAGCTGGTTATGGGGAAGATATGTGGCCTCCCGGTTGTTTGGGATGTACTGAGTATTTATAGAATGACGCTGTTTGGGATCGGAGATATCGGGGTTTGGTAGAAGGCGGCAATTCCGAGTTCCAATTGGTTCTAGAGATCGAAATCTAGGATCTCAAGAGCTTGATCGTGCTCGTGGAGACTTGGGCATTCTTAGGTAAATATTTGTCATGCATGGTCCGTCGTTAGGGTTACTTCCTGCTTTTGCCTTTTTGATGCGTTGATATTCTTTGTAATTCTTAGATAACGAAGTTTATGTCTTAGTCAGAGTGTATTTTAAGTTAATTGGACAGGAATGCGGAGAGCGGAATTATTATTAATATCTAAAGACTTTTAACTTTCAATGACATTCGCATAGACTTTAAGTGGCCTCGAATTATTCAAATAGGGGTATTTTGGAGTTAAATAGTAACAATATCATCATTGAATGATTCGCATCAGGGACGATATTTTTAATCAGCTATATATCCACTCTATGTTGTGTACGATTGAGGCATGGAGGGGAAATGCTTAAAAAGGTGCCAATAGAGGGAGCCCTTGAAGGACTATTCTGTGCATTTCTTTCGAAACACACCCTCGCCCACAGTCTGTCCACAGGATCATCCGATTGACCTGGGGCGTGGCGCCGAGCGAACCATAGGGCAAAATAACACTCATAAGGGATCGCACTGCCTCCTCCAGAGACATGCACCGACTGATCGATCGCGGGCATGAAGCTCCGGGTCGGATAGTCATTGATAGCCATCGATAGTCATCGATAGTCATTGTGTGTTATAGTACCAGAATCCAGGTCATGACGCGGCTTTGGAGAAGACTGGGCCGGGCGCTTGAAGGGAAGGGAATACCTGAGGGTAGAGCCGTACTCGCCTTCCTTTATCCTATGAAACAGGACTGTAGAAGCAAACCGGGCTGTATACGGGACGAGTCCATAGAAAAGCTGTCAAAATTTGCTTTCCGTGTTTCTTCTAGCCCCAGCATAGCAGTTGTCAACATCTGTACAGTCTGAGGGTTCATCCGCTCAGACTTCGCCCAGTCTTTACAGCAGAATAGATTAAACGGTGCAACTGATTCGCCTTGCGGGGGCGTTGGCAACCATAAGTCTTCCGTTGTGTGATGCCAACCTTCTCCCAGACCATTGGGCTTCGTCAGGAGCGTCAGCTTAAAGAGAGAGTATCCGTTGACCTTCGTTGATGTCGGTTCAGTATAGAAATCATGCACTCGAACATGTTCAGGAATAACAGTAGCATCCTCGGGGATCTCGCCGTCGTGCAGATCCAGACATGCCTCTTCGAGTTCCATGACTCGTGAGAAGATAGCGTGGTAGTGGTCAACCCTATACCACCACTCTTGTCTCGGCATCCGCCGAAGCAAGTCCAGACCTTTGCGGCGGAGGCGCGGCCAGCGGCACTTCCAAGCGACGGCGTGGAGGGGGTATAGGAGACCAAAGTCCAAGCTTAGTGTCTTGGTTAGCTCGTCGGGGTAGCGGTCGGGGTTCGACACGATGTTCTCGCCGATGCGAAGGATCCCCTCAAATTCCTCTCGGTGGTCGTCCCAGGCGCACTCACAGCCAACACGGTACGTGGTGATCCCCATAATGGTCGAGTACCACATCAGACGAAGGACATCCGCAGCGTCTTGTTCATCCTTATTCCATGTTGACCCCTTCCGTCGAACAAGGTCGTCAAAGTTGGCCTTCCAGCGGTCGCGGGTTTGCCGAAGTCCCCTTGTGATGCTCAGCATTTCAGCACCCACTGGCCGCCCAACCATAAGGTTCTCATCTAGCAGTGAAAATACAGCCGTAGTGGCAGTGACCATGTCGACCATCGCCACCCTGACCTCACGGAGGCTTTCAAATCTGTCTGCTAGAACAAGCATACCGGTGTCAACCGGGTTAAGCAAAACCTTTCGTCGAGTTCCGGGATGATACTCGGAAGTGTTCAGGTTGAAAAGGCTAATAATTGGGGCCAATTCCGTTTCGACGAAATGCGACTGGAACGAGGAATATGCTTGGCCCCATGGAGTCTTCGGCCGGCTACCGGTCTTCTCGCGCCATGCCCACAGGAGATTAATACCGCTGGATATATGCGACGCGGCAGCAGGTGCGTTCCCCCGAAGAAACTCAAAGGCCGTAAAGAGAATGCTAGCCACCACTACAACAGGAATGGCACTCAAGTCGGAAGCTGTCTTCTCGATCGTCGCGCGAATAGCCCGGTTGTACAACTGCACGGCCGGGTCCGCATTGCCACTTGCGGCATTAAACGAGGGGAGCAATTTGCAACCTCCCTTGTGTTCATGTAGAGAGCCTATCGCGGCGATTGCTTGGCGAATGGCGGGTTCCACAAGACTGAGTTGGAGGACAGTGGCTCTCCAGAACCCGCCCTCAAAGAACCCAGCCAGCTGGGTAGATGACTTGTGAAAAAAAAATTCCAGCGCGTGTGACTCCATACTGGACTTGGAGGCCGTGACGGTCTTGAGCGGCTGGGATATCTTCGACGGCACGATCTCCAATGCATACCCGTCACATTTTCGTCCAGTATTCGTACACCTGGAGACCGGTCAGTCCAACAGACTCCAAAGGCCCGCTTTTTCTTTGCTCTCGACAGTTAGTCGTACCGGGTGCATGCGGGCTTGCCTTCGTCGCACTTGACTTTGCGGATCCTGGGTCGCACATCTTTTAGCAACGATCGGGCCCCTGTTTGTGCTTCCGTGGTACTACTAACTTGCAGGTGATACAGCCCGTTCGCACCTTTGGTTTACTTGCCCGTTTTCGTTTCACGGGAGGGGCCATGCTGAATCCGACTACAAAACAGTGGTCTATGAGACTTTTATGGCGGGTATTGTCAAGGGGTGGTAATATATGGAAGATCATGAAAGTGAGGCTGAGACGATCGACTGCCCGTCTCACCTCACGTGATGACCATTGCCTCTTTTGGTAGTCGTACTGTTGCACCCTAAGGCTGCGCCCAGGTTACATATTGCTCTTAGTACAGAGCGGCATCCGATAAGAAAAGTCCTTAGATATCCTCCCGCGTCTAGCCTAGATGGGAAATGGCTTGCGTTTTCCTCATTTGCCGAAGCTTGGTGCTACATAGCGTGTGTAGTGGTCTCACGGGATGTGGATGAAAGGTATACACATCCTAGCAGATCCTACCATATCGAATCAATTTAACGATGGGAATAGAATCCGGGCAGTGGTGTAGAGGCTCAATTCAGAGGTTAAAACCGTGTATTTCGCGCACCTCTATGTGGTATTAAATAGAAGGGAGTTACGCCACCTAACTATCTGACCCCACGGTAACAAAAGGTCAACCGGAGAAAAAGAAATTGAATCAGCGGGCTTGTCTCAGGCACTCTCATTAGGTTGTAGTAATCCTGTAATGTCGGTCACCTAAGATCGATTCTGGAGACATACGTCTTGCAGTGGAGACAATGAATCATTCGCGCGAGGACCCCTGGGGTTGACATGTAATCGCGCTTCTCGTTTAAAATGGCCATTTTAGTTACCCAAGACCCATCGTCAGTAAGGTTGTTTGGAGCACGCTCGGAAAGTAAAGAAGGAAAGTGTCGCGGCGGACTGTCGTGCAGGGTGTACTGTGAACGCTTATATCTGACGTTGAGTATAGGGCCCAGTCACACAAAGAACGGGCTCGATAGCCGCAGTCGGATGCAGGGAGATCATGATTCCCGAAACTATATTCCAGACAATGAAAAAATGGTATGGAAAATGACTGAATCCTGCCAAGGCGGCTCGTTGCTTGTACATACATGGAAGATCCATACTAGTATAGAATAAGATAGAGGACGAAAGATCGAATGAATATAGACTTGACCTACTTACTATCATCACAGTCAGACGTATCCATCATAATTAAAACAGTGCAGCGGTAAGCCGATAGTATAAATGATGCAATGAAATACCACGCGAAAAAAAAAAAAAAAATTTCAAGACTTCGAACCGCCCCCTAGCGAGACATGCAATAATTCGCTCAAAATAAAACACAAACCCATGCTCAGATGCAAATTCATTAGCTATCAATCATCAGTACCGGCTCACAGCGCCCTCTGCCCGTAAATAATATGGAGTCGCGAGTATAGATGAAGCGACGTATCCCGTAATTCCTTCCGCATGCCTGCCACTAGGACTTCAATCTCAGCACGACTCCATCCCAGCATACGTGTAAATAAGGCATAACAGTAGGGCGGCATGGCTTCAATCATGTTGACCTGGTGGTAACGCCCGAGCTCCTTCATCTTGGGGTCTTTGGGCCAGGGGCTTTGGGGAAGCTGTTGCCGTTAGAATTTATATTTGACCGGCCGATGGAAAAAGGGGGGCAGATACCTTGTAGACATCTTCACGGACGTTGACGAAGCCCGCCTTTTCCATTCGGCCCTTCCAAGTCGACACGGTGTCAAAATCCTTTCCGAACTTCCGGGCACTTAAGTGCATGTTCTTGACCCCCTCCATCATGGACGTAGCTTTAAGATGCGTGTCATCGTCAGAGAAGGAGTTGACTTCGATTGATGCGATTTCCATCCATCCACCAGGCTTTAGGTTGTTGAGGGCTTGAACGAAAAGTCGGTCGTGGTCACGGATGAAGCCTTCTAATTCACGCCCGTGGATGTAGTCGAAAGGTTGGCTGTAAGACCAAGGCGCTTCAAAATCGTCGACTTCGAAGCGGAGGTTGGGAGGGACCCTAATCCATTAGCAATGGCCAATAAGTACGAGTGTACCACGCCTACCATGACGGTTGAATGGGACTGAGATCGTTTCCTAAGCCGACCGGTCAATACCGAGCATCTCATATATAGAACGATATACCTACCTATCACCTCTGATTCAGGATGTTCGCTGTTATCGTTAGTATTCCGCTATTGATTTTCAGACCCGGACTTACTCTGCAAAGTCAATAGCCCAGATCCCGGTTCCCGTACCGATATCCAGCACACGGGCAGGGTTCTTAATCGGTGCCGCGTGTAGTTCACCTTTCAACACCATTCGGTAGATATGATGGCTCTGTTGTTGTTAGTCTAGCCATTCCGTTGGACATCCATTGCTCTGTTAGGCTCGACTAACCAAGTCCAGACGATCTTGTTCTTGTTCGTCGTTCGGCTGTCCGGATCAGTATGACTACTGAATGAGGCAACGGGCTACTTACCAGAATATATTCACCCTCATGGTACGAATGATACCGGCGACCATTCTACATACTTAGCAAGCGTTACGGAACGGCTAGTGGACAGAGAGATACCTCATATCTGTCTACTGTTAGCCTCGTTGTAACGGAACTGTGGCTGTTACATACTGATAATGCATCGCACTGGAAGTAATACTGGTGGTATAACTGGCGTCCCCCACTCTACAATCGTAAGTCGACCATCTGTGACGACACAGGGCCTAGTCACTTACGATGAGGCATACAAGGAATCGTTGTCCCCATCTGAGAAGGTCTGAATATTCTAGTTAGCTGGAATCCTTGGGAGTTAGGACCAGGAAGAACCAACATCAGGCTCGATAACCCCCTGAATGTGTCCCTGGGGTGTTTCCTCTGGGTCTTCTTCTGAGACTTCCTGCGGTACTTCCTCCGTTACTTCCTCCGGTACTTCTGGCTCATACGGTGGACTCTGCGGTGGAGTCTGTTTCCGTACGTGCTCAGATGGTCCTTCGTTACGAGTCGCCATCCTTGCAGGGACCGAGGCGATACGACCACAATTCCAGGGAGAAGGGAAGAGAGGGTGATGGTAGAATGATAGGGATAAATAATCCGGGGCAGGGGGGAAAGATACTAGCACTATTTAATTAAGATAATAATCATTGTAAATAAAAAGACGAAAAAGAAACCAAAAGAAATGAAAAAGAGAAAATTTAACCAAAAAAAGAAAAGCCGGGACAGAAAGGGGAGAATGGTGAAGAATGAATAACTGTGGTCCCAACTGCACGCTTGAATCAGACTCGTCAACAGGTGCATAGCGGGACCGCCGTTGAGAGACAGATCTGCGGTGTCTAAAAAAGCTGGCCGAATCAAAGTACAACAAGTCCTATTCGGCAGCTGGACTATTCCGTCTATTTCATCATAATATTACGCTCATCACTCGTTTAGACCACATTTGCACGGATGCACCGACAATGTGCCGCGACCGTCGATCGAGGAGGCCTGGCTTTTTTCGGAGGCCAACAGGCTTAGCCGCTATTAGTCGGCATTAGTGACCGTCTAGTCTGGTCGGTTAACTGGTTGAGGTCTTGGGTGGATCCACTACCTTGTCTCTCCCATTTTCCCTTTTGTGCTCGGGGCGTGTCGATTTCTTCTTCCTGTTTCTTGAGGTCGATTAGGGCATACCCGCATTTCTTTGTTAGGGGGGAAAAAATATGGAGAGACAAAGAGAACCATTCCGCCACATCGGATGTTGGGTAGCAAGGATTTAACAAAAATAAAAAGGAAAACGAAGATCTTCCGGATATATCTCGATATAAAAGCCTATACTATTTACTATATGCTATCGTATGTTGTTGACAATAGCTGCATTTCTGCTCGATACTATTCTCATAATCCCAGTCAGAATCGTAACCCTATGAGGGATACGCTCAGTCTATCTCCACTACCCGCTGTCAGCAATTTCAATCATGCCACGTCAATTTCTTCACGTCCATGTGGCTCCCTCCAGATAAATGAAAAACCGCAAAAAAGGTCCTTGGAAAAGAATGCCGAGAAGATTCCGGATCGAAATGAACCGTTTCTACGATGGTTCCATGTGGCGGTGGGGACTTTTTCATATGCACGAATCTTGTGCATAGAGAAGTTATTGACACTAAGCTCCACAACGCCCCACCCCCTAACAGATCGATGCATCACATCCCCAGATAGGCAAAGAGGCGAGATGATGCTGTGTTGGCGAATGCGATATTTTGAATCCTGTTTCGTACTTACCAGCCCACGGCGGACCGAGCACCCAGCACTTAAATAGTCTAGAACGCGATATGGGAGCGAAGGATGGCCATTTGCAGGAGTGGCAGTGATTCCACAAGTACGAAGGGGAAGACATGCCAATCAGATCCTCCTCTTGCCCTAGTGCGCCATGGGCTTCTGGCAATCTAACTAAAGTACACCGAATCTGGAACCCCGTGACCAATAGGGGTTCGGACATCGGGGTGTGTGGTTCTCTTTGCTCGTTTCTGTCAAAAGGCCCAAACCTACATTTAAGATTTATTTCAATGCTGATGAAGAAAAAGGTTTCCCCCATCCTGCGGGGGGATAACGTTCTGTCCAACTTACCGAGTCATTCTTACCCTCTTGGTGCACAATCTGAATCGACTACTGATTAGGGCTCTGAGTACGGAGTACAACTTCCGCGGCACACACGTAGCGGCTCACTAGTGCGCATTCAACGTCCTTCTCTCCTAAATCTTAGTGTGTTCCTTCCAAGATATGTGCATAAGATGCAATTTTTTATCTCCTGGTCGGTGGCGGGGAGGGGGCGCACCGTCTCTTGGCGCCCTATGATGGATCCCGATATACGAAGAGTCATCGGAAGACGGACGGCATCTCGTCGGATATTGCCCGTTTCTCTCTAACTGCAGGGCTTGTGCTCCTCAACAAGCCTATCACTCTCTCTCTCGGTTCGACTGTGAATTCGTATTCACTTTCATGCTACCTCCTGAAAGCAGTAACGAAGAATGGTTGGCGTACCGCGCAGCACTGGCTGTCGCGCCTGTCTCCAGCGGCGGGTCAAAGTGGGTGCTCCTAATGTTAAATTTGCCTCGGGCCACGGTTTTCCAAACGCAGAAGAGAAAGAAAAGAAAAAGAAAAAGAACGGATTACATGAGCCAAAAAGAAACAAAAGAGAAATTATACTATGCCTATCATATTATGTCGCGCAGAAACGGACCTTCCTAATGAAAAATAGTGCGACCAAACCCGTCCAGCGTGTCTCCGCTGTGTAAAGCGAAAAATAGCCTGTCCCGGTTATCAAAAGAGATTCCAATTCTACCATAAAACTGCCCCCGCCGTCGTCAAGTCGATTCCCGATCGCGACGATCAACGACCACCGCCGCAAAATGCGAAGCACCAACAAATGCTCCTCATCCGTCGGATGGACCAGACCTTGGCCCCCAACCTGACCGCAACCGCCCTCGATACTCAGCTCAAAGAGGTCTTCTCGGATGTCGTCTCCGCCATCTTCCCGAACCTATATGCCGCCTTCTCCGCCCGCGTCGACCTCACCTGGGTCGACTTCGTCCGCCACCACTCGGCCGCCCAGCCCAGCGCCGTGAACTGGGGCATCCGCTGCCTGAACACTTGGTATTTGGCGCGGCGACATCGAGATGACGGCCAGCTGCAGGTTAGTCGACATATGTATAATCGGGCCCTGCGCGGGCTGGTCCAGGCGCTGCGTGACCCGACGAAGGTCAAATCGGATTCCACGCTCGCGGCCGCGATGGCCCTGGGTGTATACGAGATGCTGGACGGGGTGGGCCCGAATTCATGGTTGGTGCATTCGCGGGGGATCGGGGCGCTGTTCCGATTGCGTGGGGCGGATGCCCATCGCTCTGGCTTCGGGCGGACCATGTACACCACGTACCGGGCGTTTCTGGTGGCGGAGGCGTTTGTGTGCCAGGAGGCGTGCTTCTTGGAGGGTGAGGAGTGGAGGAAGATGAATCGGGACGCCCTGCGGGCGGAGGAGCGTGAGGGGAAGGCCGGGCAACTGGGTGAAATCACCGAGACGGCGTTTGGCGAAGTCTTGCTTTGTCCGGGGTACTTGGTGCGTACGCGCGAAGCGATTACGGGGCCGACCTCTGAGGAGTCGAGGGAGGCGTTGGCGGCGGCGATTCGCTGCAGTCGAGACATTCTGCGAGGTTTGCAGGGACGGTTGGCGGCCATTTTGGAGCTTCGTTTGAATGGTCCGGTCGTTCAGAGGAGGAATACCCTGCATGGGCATGTTCCTGAGGAGTTCGCGCATACTATTTCGCATAGGAGTCTGCGGGGGATAGACTCGGCGCTGGCGCTGCTGGATCAGCTTCTTGTGCTGCTTGTTGCTAAGAAAATCCGCATGCTGGGTTCGGTTGATAGCGAACCCGGAGAGAGTCCTTGGGATACGGTCACATATCGACCGGCTCCGGAGGGCCCAGCGCCCGTCAGTGAAGAGAAGCTGGGTGAAAACCCGGTCGAGGCCCTCGATTGGCTCGATCAGCTTGCACTGTCTATGGGGACTCTGGCACTCAAGACATGAGGAATTTTTGGCTCCGCGTCATTGAGGCCCGGTTACCATGTCGACCAGGACCATTCCTTTCATTTATTCTCTTGCCCAGTAAATCGGGCCTGTTCTGCGTTATTTTTGTTCTATTTTTGTTCAGCTGAGCATAACTACTGCCTACAATGCTTCGTTGTCCCCGCAACCTTAAGAATGCGGAAGAACAAGCCTTGAGTATGCTGTCGAACCGATGGCTAGTCCCGGTCGCCACAAGCTCAATTTCATATTGCATAGCGTTCCTTCTAACAGAGGCAAACTCCGACAAATGTGCTGTATGAGAAGCTAGTCTGGATGAAAATTCGCCCAGCTGTGCTTGCCGGTCCGACCGGTTATTTGTTACCAAGCATCCTTGCATCGGCGTTGAATGGTTTTTTGGACGCATAGCCGAGGCGCTTGCATTTATACCTAAGAAAGTACACAAATATCTCATGCCCCTGTGTTCTGATAATGTGTACTCCAAACTCTGGCTTGCGTTTATATGAATTAACGAAGAAATCTGAAAAATATATATGTATAATTTTATTACACATTGTAATTTCCTGCCCAGCCTCGTTGAGGTATTCCCTGTCCAATAAGATTATATGTCTTCAACCCCCCATGTGTAACCCTAACACCAATTACATTAAAATTAAGTCATGAAAGAGACTCAACGTACGAAATTGCAATCAAAAGATTGAATGAGACTCATTGTAAACGCTAGCATTGCAAAGATTGGTGTTGGTCGACCAAATCTCGAGAGGGTGCACAGAGCTTACACGAATAGCAGAGGAACTAGGAGTTACCCAGAAGAGCGCGGAATATAGACTCGGGTAACCCCGAAGCACTGAAGGCAAAATGAGCATCCTTGCGAATGTGCGCCACACGTACTTTTTGCTGCTGGGAACGGGGAATATCGCCATGGCCAATCGTGTCTCCCAAGCGCAAGGCAAGAGTTTCCTGCAGGCTGACTCACCGTTACGATATTGATTGGCCGGGATGAATAAGCCAACTACTAATGGTACATTCAAACTGGCCAAGTCAGATATATAATTGGGTGACTCGGAGTCGAAAAAGTGGACCATTGTGGGCAGAAACGCCAGGGTGGATACATATGTGTAATGGCGGTGGGAGGAGAAAGCGGTTCAAAGATACAAATTGAATACTGAGATGTGCCATTATAGTCGGTTGCAATCGAAAATCGAGGAATAGTGGGGGATTTCTCGATGTAAGAGACAGAGGAACAATATCTAACGGGCGGCTCTTTTAGCCGGTTCTACGGCAGATTTATGCTAACCCTAGCTGTGTCGGAATTTCCCCGTGGGGAGATATCGGCGTCACGGAGAGAAAATTAAGCACTAAGACGGTTGCCTTCATCTCCTTTCTTTGGTGCCCGAGGGCAGTCACAGACACAGCAGTAAGATCCCTCCGGACAGTCCGATAATGCAAGGCTGGAGGACCTCAACCCCTCGTGCCTGTGCAAGAGCACCCACAGCGAAAGGTAAGATGGCGGCACCGCGACCTCCAAATGCAGCTGTTAATCCAATTGCGCTGACATGTTGAGCTTTGGGAAGAAGCTTAGTGGCTACAACGACTACTGCAGGGAAAAAGAGACCAAGAGAAAAGCCCTGGAGGGAGGCCGCCACTGCTGAAGCATAGAAATTCGGGGCAAACCAAAGGACCAGACCCAGTCCAATAGCGAGCAGGGAGTATAAGCATCGACTTTGTTAGGGGTTGCAACTGCAGATGAGACATTTAACGTACCACGATGGATATCTTCTCTCCTACTTGCGGGGTTACGAAGCCTAGGAGTACTCGGCCTAGCCAAAATCCGGTGGCCGTCATACCACTGGCAAAGGCTTCGCCATTGCGGATTTGCTTCATGAATGTGACTCAATACAACCCCTGAGGGGACTTCGATTCCCACGTAACCGAGAAAAGGGAACCGCGCATATCCAAGTGACCCTGGCATAACTCTTCCGGAACACCACCTGGCGAAGGTCACCTTCGTTTTCAACAGAACGAGTTTCCAAAACAGCTGTAGCGGGGGAGTCCCAGAAGACTGTAAGAAGGAAGCCAAGCTCGAGAGCAGCGCAGCCGATCTATAAATTAGCTAGTGATTCTCCATTCCGCAGCATAGAACATACCATAATATAGTAGAAACAATACCATTCCAAATGGGCCTTACGGATGAGGGACGTGGTAATTAAAAGGGCTTAGAACTCCGCCCCGCACCGTAAAGACCATGTAATAGCCCAAGCAGCTGGTTTGCGTTGGCCATATTACCGAGCCACGCATTCCAGGCTGCATGTCCAAGACCATTGCCAAAGCCCGCAAAGACGAATGAAATCATTAGAACCGGATACGGAGGTTGCAAGCAGTTAATGATATGTGCAATCAGATGACAGCCAGCCAGGAGACAGCAATGCTACGCCGCGGCGGCCAAAATTGATGTGGATTTTATTATTCAGGAGGGAGGAAAGGGTATAACCACCAAGGGGCGAGAAGAAGACGAGCGACACCACTGCGTAAGAAAGACTATAGTGGGAGTCAAGCTGCGTACTTTCAGTAACTGTCCAAAACGTCTACTATCTGTGTCTAGAGAGTTAATATAAGATATCGAGGGCTAGGTCTACTAGCAATGACTAATTAAACTAGACAGTTTAAAACAATTTACCCCGTACGCGGCGTCATTCATTCCCGTCACTAGAAAACTCCAGTAAGTCGCAAGTACTTTGAGTACGTTTGATCGGGGATGGTTCCATCATTCGGTCTGGTGAAATACGTGGGGGAGGCCCCGATATCTCGAACGATCGTCGAATTTTCCCGCCGTGTGATACAGGCCCGCCTGTTATCGCCATGGTATTGCTCTACGACTCCGATCGTTGGATGGGTCGAAAGAAGTGATTGAAGTGACAATTGATTCTGATGAAATGTGATGGAGTATGCCATCCTCCTCCGCGCAATTTTATGCCAAGTGCCAAGATGAACAACTAGACTGGGAGTACGACGTCGGATCGGCTGAACTTCGGATAAATTACTGAATCTCGCAAGTTGATGTTGAATTGGGGTGGATTATCATAGAACGAGAAGTTCCAACTTGAACCATATATAGTATTCTTCCTCATAAAGCCAACATTCTCGATAGGGTGAGACATAGTTTGGCGGTATATGCGACATAAGGAGTTTGGAGTGAACCGACAAGTCTTAAGACAGCTGGTCAGCAAATTAAACCCCCACCCCATTTAGCAAAATATGCACTCCGCGCAGAACGCTGCAGCTGAGGTGACTGGGACGTGGACTCTTCGAAGCTTTTTCCATCAGGCTCGCATTCCAAGGATATCTCGCTGGTGGTGCTTGAGGCCTCGCACATTGGCTCTGAGGGCCCGTGCTCACTGGGTTACCCGTGTTGCGACAGAGCACAGCAGACGTGGGATTTGTGCGTCGCTCCCCTAATAAAGCGCTGACAACCATGGTTTTCAGATAAACAAAAAAAATATACGGAAGCACGTTGGTCAATGCACAAAAATTAATAGTCGATAGTTAAACTTTGTGGCGTCAATGGTTTGGGCCTGCTCAAGTCACGGCTAAACGTGTTTGTGGGAAGTTTTGTACTCCAGCTTGGGAGTTGATTGACGTTCTTGAACCCTATTGGAAACTCAACACAAATCATGGGGCTGCGGATTCCATCACGCGCCGCCAGACTCCCGCTACTAAGCCAGTGTTATTGACAAGACACCAATGAACTCGATCGAGGGCGCGACCTGTGCCAAACCGTTCAGCAACTAGTCACCCCTTGAATATTGCGGACCATGCATGCCCTGTCGGTTAGACTTCGAGGGATACTTCAGAGATTCAGTCGTGCGCGCGGAACATAGGAGTGCTTGTCGACTACCGTCAGCTCCCGGTTCCATGTCTCCAGCAACACTATATTTTAGGATGTCAAAAATAGCACGACAGCTTCGGAGATCCGGTCAGGGCCCGCTCCGCCCGAGGATAATGTTTTTATGGCCATCCATGTGGCTATGAAGGTTCCACTGGTACCTGAACATCTCTTCTCTGCAAGGGGATGATGGTCATGGTCACGTGGGGTGAGGTAGCAATCGGATCGGATGTCTTCCCGAGGTTCTTTCCGACTCTGAATGATTCGGCCAAGACTTGGAGCAACTATTTTTGCACGGATCCTTCTTCGGAGTGGCCCCATTATCTGCACTAATGCGATGCCAACAAACATGTGTCCTTGGTACTGCGGGGTGGCTCAGAGAAACATATGTCTCAACTTCCGGAGGCCGAGGGTGCCGGAACCGGAAGAGTACGGGATGGAGAATAATGCTCGAATTTGTGGCATCATGAAATGAGGATTTCTCGGTGAGGGGGAAAAAAAAAAGAGATCACATGTTACACCGGGAGGATCGGCCAAGACGGCAAGAGAAGAATTGTTTCTTGACCCCCTGACAGGTACACACCATGATGACAGTACCTGTTGATCGTTGATGTCACAGTGGATGATTGACACCGCATAGGGTAGCACATTATGAATCCGTGTGAAAGAAAGAGATATGCAAATGGCAAAGACTTCGGAAGGGGGGGAAGATGACAATATCAGGAGTGGGAATGTCTCCATGCAGGACCATCTTGGGAAAATCCACGGACAATCCCCGGAGGTCCAGAATGGTCCTTTGCCATGCTTTGGTCAGGGACAAAACAGGAGCCACCAATGAGGGAAGGATGGGTGCCTAATTTTGGAGGCATTGCCACACTCTGGTCGCCCGTGCTTGCGTGTCCCATTTTTTCTGACTTGAGATCTCTGATTTATCATTGGCTGCCATTTCGGACCAAGCCTTGGGTTTGTTGCATTAGTCGAAGCTTGGCCTGCCGAGAGCCAATCAGAGCTAGTAATAACGTCATAGATGATCCAATACGGCCGCGTCACATTCATATCACAAAACCCAGGTCACGTCAAACGATCGCCATTGGCCGTTGCGTGATTCCGTTTCTAAAAAAGAATATTAATAATTCTTCTTGGATTTTAAGCGACAAAGAACGCCAGGGGTCTAGACGGGAAAAGCCAATTCCAGCATCAGACTTATTGTCCTTGTCGTTACATCCGGAACTCCAATGGTTCATCCCCACACTATTACATATATATATAGGGACCTCGGTGCATATCCTTTTTGACATCTACCAGGAAGAAGAAGAAGAAGCCTACAATCCTCAATTGTTTTACATATACTACCACTAGCACAATGGCGTCCAGAAGCAGTGTCAGCGAGCGGACGGAATCCGTCTCCTCCCATAGCTACAAAAAGTCCCTCTCGAGTAAGGCCGACCCCAATGCGGCCCTCAGAGAAGACCAGCCGAGTAAGTGTCTCTCACACGGGATGGGTTGAACATGCAATTAATAAAAACAGTTGCCAATGCGATCGGTGGTACATCCTTGTTCTCTTTACGGTCAATGCAGCATCGCGATGCAAAGGGCGAGATCATCAGTGAGTTGTGAGCCACAGCCCTAATTCATGGTCCGTGGTTAACAATTCTTAGCCGACCCGGATCGATCTAATCCGACTCGTCCCCGTCTGGAACGTCCGCTAGATACCATCCGTGGATTTGAGGCGGCTATCGAGGCCCGACGACGGGAGAATGCCATGTAACTGATGGGATACTGGGTTTGGGTTTTCGGTGTTTTGGGAAATCTTTGGGTTGATATGATATGATGGGAATATTTGATTGAGCGATTGTATGCATATTATGAATCGGGGCCTTGTGAATATATGATGGTCATTCTTATAGGTTTGGGAGTTCTCAAAAAAAAAAAAGAGCCAATAATGTGCGAAAGGTACATTGGTCAAATGCTGTTAAAGTGCTTTAGGCAACTATCAAAGCTCAATCGAAGAATATTTGAATGCCTCCACTGCCCATAAAACCGCCCGAGGGATAAGAATTCAATATCGTCTGCTCGGAGATAAGGCATCCACTCGGCATCCACATCTACACTACTTAGTGATGCGCCGGCATTTACCTTCATTGTCCCACTTACTCGCCTTTGGCCAATCCCAGACCGACGGCGGGGATCCGATGCACCATGTCCACGACGTTAATTGCGAGCTAAGCTTTCCCGGTATAGACCTAACTGCACACATAAAGCGACGCCGTGGCCGATGACGCGTTCGACGCTGTATAGCGACGCTCCTCCTGGTCTGGGGACGGCGGATAAAGCATAATGGGACGTTTCTATTAATACCAAATTGCAGAGTTTGTCCTGGGAATTTAACAGGAGCAGATATCCTTTTCTTCCCCCCTGTGTTGCTCAGGGTGTTATTGTTGCCAGTCGCTCCTTCTATCCCTACACCTTGACGTTCGTTAGACAGCATAGTATTTTCTCTTCGCTAGGGTGAATACTACCCATCTTTCAACTTTGATCCACTATGAAGCTTTCGCTCGCTGTGGGAGCGGCACTGTTGGGCGCCGCGTTGGCCGACGTTGACCCCATCGTCATCAAGGGCTCCAAATTCTTCTACTCGAGTAACAACACTCAGTTGTGAGTGCCTTACCCCTCACCCCGACCCATTTCATGGTATACACTGACTGTATCAGCTATATCCGTGGTGTTGCATACCAACGTAGGCCCTTCTAATACCCCATATCCACCCCTCATTACTAACCCTCGCAGAGGACTACTCTAGCAACGGCACGACCAATGGTTCTACGAGCTACAAGGACCCCTTGGCTGATGCCACGGCCTGCAAGCGTGATGTGCCAATCATGCAGGAACTGCGGACCAACACCATTCGGGTCTACGCTATCGACCCAACCGCGAACCACACCGAATGCATGCAGTTGTTGTCCGATGCAGGCATCTACGTGATCTCGGACCTGTCCGATCCCAGCCAATCCATCAACCGCGACGATCCCACCTGGGAGACAACGCTCTACTCTCGCTACACCGCAGTCATTGATGAGCTGGCTCAGTATGACAATACTTTCGGTTTCTTTGCGGGTAACGAAGTCTCCAACACGGTTGACACTACTGATGCGAGCGCGTTTGTCAAGGCAGCGGTCCGAGACATGAAGACTTACATCAAGCAAAAGGGCTACCGCACCATGGGTGTTGGATACGCTACCAATGATGACTCTACTATCCGTGTGCATATGGCCAACTACTTTAACTGTGAATCTGAAGAAAACAGTATCGACTTCTGGGGTTATAACATCTACTCCTGGTGTGGTGACTCATCGTACTCGGCCTCTGGCTACAAGGACCGCACAGAGGAGTTCGCCAACTACTCTGTTCCTGTTTTCTTCGCCGAGTATGGTTGTAACGAAGTTCAGCCTCGTCAGTTCACCGAAGTCGATGCCCTGTATGGTGACAACATGAACAGCGTATGGTCGGGTGGTATTGTCTACATGTACTTCCAAGAAACCAACGATTACGGTATGTCGTGCCATCCAGGGATGAACACCACACCAGCTAATCCAACCTTCTCAGGCCTTGTTTCCATCGTCGACAGCACCAGCGTCAGCAAACTGGCCGATTTCACTTCTTACTCCAAGCACATCGCGAGCGCCACCCCCTCCGGCGTGAACAAGGCCTCCTACACCCCCACCAACACTGCCCTGCAAAGCTGCCCTGCTGTCAACACCGCCTGGGAAGCCACCTATACCCCCTTACCCCCAACCCCCAATGAGAATCTGTGCGGCTGCATGAACGCCGCCGCAGGCTGTGTCGTGAAGGACTCCGTCGATAGCGACGACTATGCCGACCTGTTCTCCCTGATCTGCGGCTACACCGCCTGCACAGGTGTCTCTCGCAACGGTACAACCGGAAGCTACGGCGCCTACGGCATGTGCAGCCCCAAGCAGCAGCTGAACTTCCTGCTTAACAAGTACTATATGGAGCAGGACTCGGCTGCCTCGGCCTGCAGTTTCGGCGGGTCCGCCACGGTGACCTCTACCACTAAGGCGACCGGCACTTGTGCCAACCTGATGAGCCAGGCTGGTACCGCCGGCACCGGTACTGTGACCTCTCAGCCTACTGGTACTTCGGGATCGGGCTCGTCTGCCTCCTCTTCCACCTCGTCTGGCCTGGCACCGACCACCGGTAGCACTATGGTGACTGTTGGACCTGTTCAGTTCGTCGCTTACATTGTGACTGCTGTATGTAGTGCTTTGTTTATGATTATGCTGTAGATACGTCTGTATTAGGGGTGTGGGCTTGGTGGTACACTCACTTTAGTTGCTCATTCGTTTTTCTTGTATAATAGATCGTTTACTATTAGTAAATATATCTAGCAATCTTCTATATACAATTGATAAGGTTATTGTTGTATATATATAGAGACATGAGGTGCTCGGAGAAAACGACACCTAATGAACTACATATCGATAAACATCGTCTGAAATACAAGACAATTCCTTGCTAAATACTCTGATTACCCGACGGACTTAGAGAACAACTATGATAAATAATAAACAAAAGCAGAAGTGTATAAAATACCAAATAAACCAGCAACCCCAAGCTTTACCATACTGTCCAGGGAAATGTATCTCCATGCAGTTAAGTTACCACATTGAGCGATTTTGAAAACATATATCACGTCTGTGACGATTGGAATCAGCCTTTTTGAGCTTCCGATTGCTGAATTGATTGATGTTCCTGCGGTGCTGGAGCTACTTGCGATGAGTCCAGTTGTTGTTCCCCCAGTGGCTGTTCTCCTAGCCGTACCTCCCATTCCTGCAACCTGACAGATAAATCTATTCCGAGAAACTTGCCTTGAGTGCCCCCTTCGAGCTGTACCAGGGCTTTTTGGTTTTCCTCCGGCGGTTCAACTTGAGATCTAGTCGTGGTCGGGCTTTACACGTTCTTGTGAGCTCCATATCCGCTTTTGCTACAGCGGCTATAGTTCCGACTCTCGTTCTTGCGTTACCTCTTCTTCTTTACGCTGGGAAGGTCCGGTGCGGATTTCATCACAATGTGGCACATACAGGTTTGCTGGTGAGTTCCTGGTGTAATGGCTTTGACCTCTGCAGTATCTTCTGGCTTGCTGGTAGGTAGTATAGTCGTCCCACTCGCGCTGAGGGGATGTAGAATGTCTAGTAATTCTTGAAGGGGTTAGCTTTAGAATAGATGATCGGATAGGTATGATGGGTCATAAGGAATTAAAATGGGTAACAGCGCCACCATGAGAGTTCAAAGCTCAACTGATCTCTTCCTTCCAAATATATGTTCCTTCGCATACATAATAACGACTTATTGATAAGAGCTAAGGTGGGAGTCATAATGCGTGTAGTATTGCTAAGATAGAATAATTATAATTAAACGCAAGTCAAAGCATAAAACAAACAGCCTTCCCATATGCACGACACCCTACTCAGGGGATGCCTAATAATGTACAAGTGACAACCGGCGGAAAGTTGGCAAGTCCCATGTATGTAGGAATATCCCTGTCTGGAAATACTCGGAACAATTGTTTCTAGGACGGATAGTGCCCTAGCATGCCATGTGTGCTAATAGAACGAATGTAGACAGGCAGGACCTCCATGGGCATTATTCGCTGCCCTTGGTCTTTGATGTACGGCGTTCTGCGTGATAGTGAGTAAGCAGTCTTACAGGGGGGGAGTTTACATTGCCCAGGAGATTCATCTCCACGTATTTTCACCCTTAAAGGAGCATATACTGCTATAGATGAACCGAGGATATTGATACTGTCGGAGCAGCATGTTTCATAATCTACAGATTGTAATACAGACAGCGACTGGTTAATAAACCGAGCCTAATCATGATATGCGGCACGTATGGCAACCTCATTTACATAGTCATACCAACCAGCCTATCCGTCTGATGTGTCTATTTTGGCCATTCAAGTGCTACCGCCACGGCTAATTCCAACCACACCCTTTCTTTCACCTCTTTAATATTGCGTTCGTTTCGTTCGTTTCGGCCAAAATTTCAAATCCAATCATTTCATCATTGGTTTTGATAGCTACTAGCTCCTTTCTGATATCTACGCCCTTCCACTTTGTCGATAAGCTTGCGTCTCAATATACACCATGCCTTGTAGTACATCTCTAAATTTATTTTGATATTTCTCCCAACTATAGCATAGACATAGCGGGTGTAAAGACGGCGGGGCTGTGGCTCCCATCCCCCCTCCCCCTGGTATAATTTGAATAACTGAGGAGCATTCATTCGATTAACCATTGCACATCTTTGTTTGGTCGTAACCTTGGGCGAAACGAATCTTGATGGAGGACTAGGAACAGGTGATTTGATGCGGTAGGGCGACTCTATTATCAGACCGTCTGTTAGGATTATGCTATAGTAGAGCCATTGTCACCGATGAAAGAAACGATGTTGTGTGTTTCATTGATCATGTAATGCCTTTGTTCGCATTTCAACACCAGAGAGCGCGAAACAGCTTCTAAGGAGATTCCCATAGTTCTTGAGGCCTGCTCACAAAGGCGATTCTGTAAGTAACCACTCATAATCTAACACTGTTTCGGTTTTGGAAGGTCTCGTTAACCCAGGATCTTCTCTCATACTCAAGGCGTCTTACATGATATGGGAATTCCGTACCCATTCCCTTTGCCCTGTTGGTCTGTTCGGGCCAGGTAATTCCCTTTGGACAGTGACTCTGCATGAGATAGGGCTTGACTTGGTCTCTAGACTGCACCTTCAGCAAATGACTTGCGTGTTCAGTGTATATGCCTATGATACACCCGCTCTGTCCTCCCGCTAGGAAGTATGCGATTAACTCTTCTTAGCCACCCAGAATTGTGCCTGATATGCATTCTTGCTCAGCCCCTTCTTGTTCTGCGCATAAGCCACTTCCTTGCCACGAGCTGCCATCCCAGGGATCGTAATATCCCCACAAGACGCATCCGTCTCCTGGAACACAAACCCAATATCCTCACTAAGAGCCAGAATTTCATCTAACGACAACTGCAAAAACGGCGCACTTCCATATAACAACGGGCCTAGATTGACCCACTGACCTCCGGGTCGGAGTAAGCGATGGATGTTCTCCAGATAGGAAACCAGGTTCCGCGCGGTATCAATGAAGAATAACGTGACTATCACATCGTACTTTCCAGTGTCCTCTGCAAATACCGTTGTGAAATCGCCTTCTACCAAGACAACAGAGCGACTTGCCAACCGATTCGGAAATGAGACCGAGCGTTGGAGGTCAGCGGTCGTCGCGTGATGCGACCACCAATCGATGTACGGGTGGAAGGAGTTACTGTTCGTATCTGAACGCCCGGCGAGATACCTGTATGCGAGATTCATATACATGGACCACTCGTTCATGGTCACCTCAAATCCTGCGAGGGTTAGTCTTTTGAGTTATCAGCAGTACGCGACTTATAAGTCTCACCTCCTAGACCATCAACCTCATGCGCCAACCGTCCCAATCCACCACCAGGCAGTAATACTCGCAGTTGCTGCTCCACTGTTCTCGACATATTTGCAAGAGTCCCAAGAACGCATGGGAACGCCTTCTGTCGCTCGTCATGTCCTTCATCGGCCCAGTCGCGAACGAAATGCTTCATTGCCTGTGAAACGCTCGTCCGGTCGGTGTTGATGCCCGGTTTCTCGTTCTGTTTGATGAACTCATCTAATTCCCGTTGGGGGATATTGTAAAAGCCCATCCCATGCTTGACAATATCATACGCCAAACGCTCATTTGATTCAAAGAGATGATCCACTGTATTTAGTTTGCGCGTATATTTAACCGTGGATTCGACCCTCTAACCACTTGTTAGCATTGTGTACCAGAAGGTTTATGGGGATACATGCCGCGCGCTGTCGCTTCGGGATTTTCTTGTACCAATCGCGCCATCGTTTCGTCTCGACTAGATTGCGCTCTTTATAGCGATGGAAGGCGTGTAGAGCTGTGAGTAGTCTATGGCGGGGGTGTGATGTATCCCATGCCCCAGTAGATCGTTGAAGGCGATGCTGGAGACGGGAATATTCTTCTTGTTGGCGTGACTCGGCAGGGTCAACGATGGTGATGTTAGTGACGAAGACTTGGGTTACTGTCTAGGAGGCTTTTAATAAAATTGTTTTTCAATGAGGTTCAGAGATTCTTACGTCCAGTTGGGGGATGTATTGGGGAATCGCATCTTTAGCCCATGCGAGGGAGAGAATATAAAGAAAAAATAGAGTATACAACATGACGTTCTACGCATGACGGTCCCGCTATAGAACCAGGGAAAAAAAATGAAGAAGAGAAAAAAAAAGAAAAAGAAAAAGAAAAAGGAGATAGTCCGGATTAAAGCTTCACGATCCATGACACCCCAAAGGTCCTCGCTTCGAAGGTACTTGGAGCATTGCCAAGTCCGGCGGGCTGATTTGGACGATATTGTTGGAGATTGTTCCTCTTGGCATTGAGAGCCATGGGTTTTAATAATGAAGACATATAATTCAATTAGTCTTATAGTCTATATCTGATACTATCTCACACACTAAGAAAGGATGAAGTCGGTATCTCACTGCTTGACATCAATATCCAAGGCGAAGTGAAGATGGTAACAATGGTCTGAATACTATTTGAAGAGATTCCACAGTCTTCATGCATTCTGAAACACGCAAGCCTTTCAATTCCAAACTATCAATGACTGATTGTGCTTTGAGGTGTCACTCCATATTGGTTCTCTATCTTCATGTCACGCCATATTCCAACAGCAGACGACATTGTCAACGAAGCGAGACACATTATAATCACCGGCTTTGAGCACCACCGCGCTGCCCAGCGTCTCTATATCTTCAGCAAGCCAGGCGATTGTGAACATATCCTCTTTCTTGATACGTTTGTTGTCCAACAAGTACTCCGACATCGTAGTATTCCAGATACTCATGATCAGCCCCAACACGCTGCACCTTCGGTGTGTGGAATGTCTCAGGTTAAGTCCCCACTCAAGGTAACGTTTCATTCGAGCTATATCGCTCTTAAGCACTTAATTACAGATTGACCACTTTCGAAGATCGAGCGCCCCATGAACTTGGCCTTTCCGTATTGTTCGAGGGTCTCAAAGAGACCAAAGTTTTGTCTTTGAAGTTCTTGCTTAAGGACGCTTAGGACATGTTATTGAAACTGTGAAGATACTGCCATGATCGCTCGAATAGCTTTCTTGTCGCTAAGATATATGATATGTTGTATTAGTTCCGGTAGTAGGTCTGTCAAGAACATGATCGTTGTTCGATTTGTGGGGCTTGAGCCGATGATTTTTGTATATCATAATGTCAGGCATGGGACTCTTGTTTTCATGAGCCTTTATCTTAAGGATATTGCCAGTGAATATAGTTACATAATGGCTAATTGGCATTTTTTTTTTGGAATGCGCTGTTAATCGTATTCTCAATTTGATTAGCCTGGGACTAAGGTAAAGGACAAGAAGGCCCGCTCTATTATATAATGTTGCTAGAACATCATCGTGCAGTTATGTGCGGCGCATATAGCACATTACACTGTTCAGCAGACTCTTTGATGAAATAGCAATATTGGATTTCTTTGTATATTGGACCTCAATTATAGATTTCCACCATCGGCCTATATTCAATCAGTAGTATGGCGTTCATTGTGGGTATTGCCTCAGTATGCTAATTGAAAATATAACAATGACTAAAGGTTGTGTTTTGTGGTTCTCTTTATTGAAAAGAGTCAAGACTCATATCCGATTATATCATTTTGTGACTTTTTAAAGGAGAATAATAATATGATAAAGTTAGGTGCTCTAAAAGAACAGGAGCACCTTTTATATAGCCACAATGACATTCAGTGATTTATGTTAAATAATGGAAGACTAGGTGACTTGCCCTAAAAAAGGTGAATAAGTAATATTAAATGATTATAACCTCCAATCACAGACCCCGTAAGGAATGCGAGGAGGCAATAGTGTAGCGTATGCATACTTATATTCATATTAACATTGCACTGTGTAGCATGACAAGGGGGTCCTAACTTCTATTGCTGGCTCTGTTCTATATACCCTGAACCTGGAATTTCGGGTTGGCTCCTTTCTGGACCATAAAAGCTGTCTGCCTTAGTCTGCTGATGGAGAGGACCACAATTAGTGAAAGGTATTAGATTATTGTGCCTGTAGATATTCCAAGCGCTGACAATAGATATCCTTTCCCCCAATATTCAATTTATTCGTAAGTGAAGGAGCTGCACTTATGCTGTTGAATGCCTAAGCATAACATCCCTTTTCTAACGACTATATCTCTTGATATTTCGCCTTGCATTCACAACAAATCATACTCAGCCGTGACTTGTGAACCCACCGGAAATACGGATTTACGCATCTCTATGTTGCTCCGCAATCTCCACATGTATGAAACCCACCCTCATTCTACGAGGTGGAGAGCAGATCCCCTACGCTACTTAATAAGGATGTCATGAACAGGGAATTTACTTTCAATCCTTGCAGCGTAGTCGTCGTACACTCAATATGGCATGGACACATCTTATTCGCTTCATCGCTTTTTTACTACACTGTTTGTCTACTTGTAGGTTAACATAATAAGTAGAGCTCTCTTCTGTTTAGGTTACCTCAAAAACCAAGCTGGCACTTCAGGTCCCCAAACTGCCAGCGATTCATCCCCCGCAGGTCCGTACCCAATTGGCGTCTCTTCATTAATAAGGTCACCATCTGCATAATGTTCCACCATATTACCAGTAGTGTCCCACCAGTAATCGAAAAGTTGGGAGCCGAGGATATGTCTCCCGACGCCCCAAACAGACGTATATCCCTTATCAGCCAGCCACTGGTGACCAAGGTTCTGCGTGTCAAAGTCATGAACCTCGAAAGAGCAATGATGCACATGAGACGTCTCGTTCGCACTCAAGAAAAAGCTATGATGGTCGACATAGTCAGCCCCGCGGTCGATGTGCGCAAAGAGTGCGACGTTCTTTCTCTGTCCTTCTTGTTCAACATGTAGGAAGTCGCTGGGGACGATGTTAAAATTACTCGTATAAAAGTTTACCATTTCCTCGAATCGTTGGACACAAAGCCCGAAATGTCCGAGCTAGTCGGTGCTTTAGTGCTTGTCCTATAGACATAGGTGTCAATGTAGGAAATACTGTACGTACTTTATGCACGGCGGCGGGACCGGGTTTAAATCGCTGAAATCTCCGAACCCGCGGCTTGTCAGACTCTGTATTCACAATAATCTTCATACGGTATTCAACAGGCCCAGCTGGAACTTGTCCATAGATCAGATTGACCGGGAATCCCTCTGGATCGGTGAGAGTCACCATATGTCCTCCACCAGGAGCATCCGGTAGCTCTTGTATTTCGCCGCCTGTAGGCAGTTGTGCAGCTCTACACCATTAGCGATCAGTCCAATATCACAGAACAGATAAAACTAACTCACCTCTCCAAGTCCTGGTACGACTCCACCTCGAAAGCCCCTCCCAGGAACTTCCTCTCCCCCTGCTGTGCATAGTACACATACGGGTCTGTCCCATACCCCCGATACCAGACCCCGTCATCCGTCCTCTTAACAACCTCCATCCCAAAGTCCTGTAGAAACGTTGTAATCCCATTCAAGTCCGGGTGCTGGTACCGCATATGTGACAACTTGACCAATCGAATCTGCTTTTCGCAGTCGATATTACATCGCTTTCTCCACGACGCGACCGATTCTTGGTCTGGGCCGATGGCGGCGATATCAGGGATCGAAGCTCCATGGCATGGGGTGGGTAGCGTGCGCTGTAATTTCTGTAGCCGGTTAGCAAGTCCATCTAGAGATCTGTAAAGAGAAGGAGTTTCTTGCCGCTGTCATGTTGGAAGGTCTGTTCGAGGTGTTGGAAACGTTTTTCTCCTAACTCACATTATTACCCCCATGTTTATTTCCCCACACGGCGTAGGTTAGGAGTGGCGTGGAGTCCCACCTCCCACATATCCTCGTTGGACGTTGGTTTATGAGGGTGGTTGTGTGCATAGGTGGGAATAAGCCCCACATGAACACTGTTTATCTGACTAATGGATATCAAATTATCTTGCACTTGTCAGGCCTTGATTTATTGTCCAAGATTGCATCCTATCAGAGGTTGAGAATATACAGAATATAAGGTTTGGGCGAATATAATTTACATAAATTTGTAGTATTTCCAGCCGAATGTGACATCGACGAAAGAAAATAGAATGAAAAGCTCAAACGCAAGAAACAGACAATTGAAGAACAGACATATGAAAGTCTAACGGGAGTTAAGGTGGGAGGTTTCCGATCTATATGGGAAGAATGAGACGACGTATACGAGCTGCCCTCCGTGGAGGATCACTTAGACCAATCCCCTTCCACGCTGCACTCTCTCAGTTCCACGGAAGTCGATACCGATGCCTTCCGAGCCTTAGCAATGAGAATGGCAGGATTAAATATGTTGAAGACCAAAAGTGAAAGCAGAACCATCACAGCATCTAAGATAATCGCGTATATCTCATGCGTGAACAAATACCCCCGCCACCCCTGAAGTAACTCTATACTGCGAAAGACACCACGAATAAGGAGAAACACAATGGAGAGGTTCACCGCGATACAGAAGTCTCGAAGGTGTTGGTCGCGCATGATTTGGGTGATTGCACGGAACATTACACACTGGAAGAAGATGGCAAAGATGCAGAGATGCAAGCTGGAATATAATTCCGGCCGCCATCGTGTATGTGCCAGGCCACTCATTACCATGTTTGTCTAAGGTGGATGGCGACATGTCTCCACCGATTCCTTGCAAGACCAGGGAAAGAAAATAGGCACCGATGAATATGATTAAATAGGACCGAGGGTTAAGGAGCGACTTCTCTTTTCCGAGAACTGAAACCATCATACTAAGGATGCAGTAAATACCTGCGGTCGTGAATGTAGGTGCTTCGGATTCTCCACATTAGCTTTGTTCATCAGCATGGCATAGGGAACTTACCTAGGATTAGCAGGACCAGCTGCTCCTCTAACAGGATAACCGAGTAGGGGCATCTGTAAGCAATTGCACGTCCAAGCCATCCGCCAAATTCCCCGAACGCTCCAAGCAAGAAAGTAATGCCCAGGAAGAGGTTTTTGGGCCCGGAGTGTCTGTCCAAAATGCTAGGCAAAGGCGATGGCATAAAGCACTGTAAAAACAATGCCGGCAGCTATTAAGGGCCGGTATCCAAATAATGAGTGGATATTTGTATCGTATACATGGCAATCCGGAACTTTCATCGGAGCGCGAGAGGTCGCTCTAACAAGTAGATGTAGATCAAAGGAAGTCATAACACTGCTTGACAAACTCTAGTTCAAAGCTGATGAATTGGACCCTTTCATATTTTGGAGGGGCCGAGTTATAAATACCTCTCCCTCAGGTCCACTCATCATTTTGGACATGCTTTAACTGCGCGTAAGCAAATATAGAACAGATTACTGCCTAACTGACTACGCACCAATAAAACAATCTGGTTAATGCGACAAAATGTTTGACATGATTGTGGCCGATATTCCTGTGTCTAACATTGGGCGGGTGGCAATGTCTTACAAAATTCATTCTCGAACAGCAAGCACATATGTGTACAATAGCTGACCTTGTCGTGAAGTCGCCTAAAGTCATAAGAAGCTACCAGCCTTAGTGACACGCAACACGGTAGTCTAGAAAAGAGCCTATTCATGACTACTCCAGGTAGCCCACAGGAGAAGGTGCTAGGCTGTCGTAGATTCGAGCGAGCTATACAGAATTTCCAACATACAGTTAGTAGCAACCTTCAAGCTCTGATCACCATCACACGCTGCGAAGACGAAACGATCCGGGCGCACGATGATATACTCTCCGCACACCTCCTTCCGGACGAGGAATGGTTCATAGTAGGTGGGCTTAGGTCGACCATTACAGAGTGGCGACTGTGCAAAGTCCTCGGCGTTAGCTATCTGAAAGAGGTTTTTATAGTCCGAAGCTTCGTCGCAAGTAATTTGTTCAACGATAAAGGAGATATTGTCGACACCAAATTCACCCCGCGATATCTCCTGTGTTACCCGCATAGCGTTTCGAGCGGGCTCAAGTTCCTCATCGTTGCGCAGATATACGAATAGCCGGAAAAGACTATTTTGCTCAGATCGGAATATAACATCTTCGGTGAAAGACACTTTTCCGGACATATCCTTACAGAATACTTGAGGAAGTTTCAGGCTTCCCTTAAGCTCCGGAACAACGGCGTCCCATCAGAATGTGTATATCGGATCAACCTATCCTTTCTTGGTGCCAGTTCTAGATCGCGTTTCCACCTCGGAATTGAACGAGCCAGAGATACCAGTCCTGTACGAAGATTCTAGCATAGTGTGCTTCACACGAATTTGTCGTTCAGGATTGTAACAGCCAGGGACTTTTCAAGCTGTTGCTTTCGTTCTGGCACCACGCGGACAGAAATTGTTTGTGGATTTTGGGCGTGGTTGGATGATATCGGCATAGTAGTGCGGGTCGCCATGCAAGAGAAACTGCATCGCGAAACCCGAACGCACTTCCTTGTCCCCCGACTAGAATGGCCAGCTTCGCCGTTACGTACGGTTGTGAGAGACGTACAAGGAGGGAACACATGAGCAGCATCGCTGCAGAGAACCACACGGCCTTACGCCCAGGCGTTGCAACTGCGTGCGGAAAGGTAAACGGGCGGAATCGAATAACATGTATACAATCTTCGGGGAATTGCACGCCATGAGAGAGGCCGGATAATCAGCAGAGGCTAGGTAGTAGCAAAATCCAGGTCCTCCTTACTTATATGGGCTTCCATGGTATGTCACATTAGGAAAGACAATTTTCTTTATCCATTCTGGTTTAGCCTTCTCGTAACCATCCTCTCCTAGACGAACGACAAATTCAAATCTCCACAGCCGGCCATTTTGGACGCCGAATCGTCACACGGCTGGGCGGTTGGGGTTGCAGAGAAAGCGGAATTCATCTGGAAAAAAGATGTCATATACTTGTTCCAGAGTATATCCCAGTTTCCACAGTGGGCATTGGGGATGCGACTCGGGCGTTGGCAATGTGATGTGCCAGTTGAGAGCTACCCAAGTCTTCGTAGGGACCCCTACTCAAATATATCGGTAAGGCAACTTCACATTAGTACCGACAGACACGTACTCAGTAACCTTCTCCATATGTACCCCTTTCGGCCCGAGATAATTTTCGCGCGTGAACCCTGTCTTCCCATCGGCACCAACGGGAAATCGTGCCCGAATCTCCCACTCCATCCCTTGCGCATCATGATATTTGCTGTATGTCCAGTTCCCATCTTCACGCAGTTCAAAAACGGTTTCAAATCGCAGAACGTGGTATTCGACGTCCTCTTCCGGAAGCTTTTTTCGAGTTTGGGTTGCTTGTGACAGTAAACCGATATGGCCGGCTCCACCAACTTTTTGATACAATCAACGGACGCATCCTAACGGACACATGCCACACTCATTGTGCTATAGAGAGAAAATGGGCTTCTCTTCAAGGCTGTCTCTGTTCCACCGATAAAGTTGAACCTGCCCATGCCTATTTCGCATCAATCCTGTCGAATATAGAAGAAAGAAACAGAAATAAGGTAGAAATCCACGACTTCCAATTTCGCTGTAGATGGGATCATATATACCGATACCCTGTAGGAAAAGAATGCCATCCTCGTCTAGAGCGTTACCGCAGGATCAGTGCTGATATCAGCTTCTCGCTCTAAGATGACATTCGATATTGACATTTGACTCAAATAATTCAATAACATCGCCTCAGTTGGGCCACAACCACAAATCACTACATCAGTCATCTCCCAATCTTGGTTCTCCATGGCTTAAGAAGGAAATGTCTCTCTGACAAAAAAACGCGACCATATGGAATGCACGGAGGGCTGCAGTTAGTATTTGAAAACGAAGATTACCGCGTTCATTCCGCTTAAAGCCCGCCTCATGTCCCTCATCCTGCACCCCTGCTAGTGAATTATAACTATAATTGCACGATCGATGAACGTGGCATTTGATTGCATAGTTATCGGCAAGGCATACCTATGGGACACGTAACAATCGCGAATAGCTTCAATGCACCGCATCCAACGGCCCGTCCTAGGAACTCCACCTTGAGTATACAGTTAGAGCCTATTGGTCACAAACTCCGGATCGACTGCTACTAAAGATCCTACTGTTAAGCGCATGGGGCCGTTTGGGTGTCCATCTCCGATCAGACCACCTTTACAGGTTACATTTCTTTGTGGTCCTTTAATCAAGTGCCACCGAAGATACCCGCCAAGGTGCATTATGCGTCTGGGTGAAGATCCAACAAGGGGTAGTCTCTCGCCTGCGCCACAAGTAGGAACTCCAAAATCCCTTCGTTGAAAGTGGTAATTAAAGTGGGCATGTTGATGCCAAGAAGGTACAACAGTTCCAATTCCCAAGATATATATACTTCATCTTGATGCCATACCATGTTATATCCTCACTACATATTGTTCAACAACTAGGATATTCACTTACTAGACCAATAAGGGTTGAATATATTGGGTTACAAGGTAGGGCCTTCAGCCAATGCTGCTTTTTGGTATAGTGGGAAAAGCGAAGGATTCCTCAATTAGAGATGCAATATCTATTTGAACCGGCTAGGCAATTTCAGATGAGCGTAATTAGGTATATGACCCATAGAAGTATATCTCCTTTGGAGCACTGCCCTCGCGGACTATTTGACTGTATGGCTACTTGATCGACTATCGAGGAGGATATGTAAAGGAACTTGCAAGTCCTAGTTGCTCAGTCGGATATCCAAGGAATCCTTGCTACGGCATGATAGCTACTTTAATACCGCCAGGCCGTTCCTTGCAATCGGAAAATTGGCAATCAATATATGTGATGTTCTTTCCTGGTGCAACTGCCGCCATGGCCTAGAGCATTAGTATGTTGATAGGAACGTGCTATTCCTATCGGCCGTATTATTGCGGATTTCTGATGTCCTGCGGGGTATCAAGAACGCAATAGTCTCAACTGGAGAAGTGGGTGTAGCACATTTATGACAAACCTTTTTAGTTTGACGCCGAGACTCGCTGCTACCTCTTATCGCTAAAATGACCGTAGGTTTAGGGCTGATCATGCTGCCCCCACACGCCAAGGGTAAGGACGTAGTGTAGGTTATTGTAGTCAATGCCCTTGCACACAACGAATCATGGCAAACAAGGAACCAGACATCTGGCCTTGAACTCATGATATGCGTATAGATGACAGCTCGGCGGAAAGAGCAATTGGTTGACATCTAATAGTCTACGAGATTCGTAGCAGAACTGCCAGTGTCACCTGCCGGTCCGTATAACTGGTGAGGGAAATATGATCTTGAAAGAAGCTTTGGTAATGATGAAGCAATCTGCCTAATCCCGCAAATGTCACTTCCCCGTAATATGGTCTTTGGGGGTATATAGTTTTATAGGGTAGTGCTCGGTTCAATGTCCTTGAATGGGGATGATGCGGCATATACCGATCTGCAAGAAGGGCTGAGTGCGCCCTTTCCTTTGTTATGAGAGATATAATGGGATTGCATTTCTCCCTAATTTCTTCCTGGCGGTTCGTGCAATATACCTACAGGTTAATGACTCGAGCCGGCAGCCCACAATCAATGAAAAGTCAGCCATTGGCCCAAAATCGCAGGTCATGCGATTTCACGGGTTAAAGACACTGCCATAACAAAAGAGGAGCGATTCGTCTCACATAATAGTCAACGGGTCGTACCAAAGGTCACTCCCAAGGTTCTCAAGCAACCCTTGGCATGGGGCTACATGAGACTTGGCATCTTGAAGGCTTATGCTCGAATGCCATCGCTGTGTGACGTCCACTACTTGTACACCCAATAGACATGCAGCCTGCAATAGTAAGAACGTTCCATAGCTGCAGGCTGGAAACATCCACAACCAAAGCTCTTTTGACCCTTCATGAAGTGATTCTTTCACCGTGGGGATCTCGATCGATATAGATCTTTCAGGCGTGATGAGAACCTTGGAGACGCCAAGTATTTCCATTGTTCTTGGCATGCTACACCCTTGATAATGTCTGTAGCAAATGGGCTATGTCGGCTAATTCTGACCGAAGAAACGAGAGGAGTTAATGGAAAAGTTTCTTTGAGCAATTTGCTACGGAGTTGTGGGTATAAAGCCAACCCAGTTTTCCGTTGTTGCACGTCCTCCTTCTGCCATTCGCAAACTCGGATCAACTTTTAAAAGGCGTTTCAGCACAGCCACAAGAACCATGAGATACTCAGTCCTCGCTCTATTTGCCTTGGCCTCCGCCGCTCTGGCTCAAGAAAGTACCAGGCAAGATCCAGGCCCGTCTCCAACTGCTTCGGTTGGTTGTCACCCGCACGGGGATCACTGGTATGACTCCGCACCCTTCTGCAATGGAATAGCACTGATAGCCAAAACTTGAATAGGCACTGCGATGGCCCAGCATCGGTGTCGGAGACTGTCACTCCGGCAGTACCCAGCCCAACTGAATCTGTAGGCTGCGAGCCGCACGGGGACCACTGGCATTGCGACGGACCCGCTTCAACCGCCGCGGGTGCCACCACAACTGGCACCCATTCTCATACAGACAAGGCTGATGCCACTGCAACTCCAACTAAGCCCAGTCCAACTGAATCCGTCGGCTGTGAGCCTCACGGAGACCATTGGCACTGTGATGGTCCTGCGGAGACGGGGACCTCGACCTCAAGTGGCAGCAGCAGTGGCTCCGGTTCGACTGCAAGCAGCACAAGTACGGCTGCCACTGCTTCAGGGACAGGATCAGGAGAGGATAATGCAGCCGGGAACGTGGGTGTTCGGCTTTCTGTTGTGTTCGGCTTGGCAATGGGAGTGGCGGCACTGCAACTGTGAGGTAGCATCGTCGAGGGCGGACATTGTATATTCCACTCTTGTCAAGGGTCTAACGAACCTTTAATGTATCTACTAAAATTGTTTTGGATTTGATTAGGGAAATGGTACTATAGGATTGTGGAAATTTCTTTTTTTTTTTTTTTTTGTTTCATTAGGGTTGCCTGATCATATGATTCCTCCCGTATCCGAGTGGTGTGTCCTGTCAGACCATCCGGATATCCACACCTCTTGGCTTCGTTCCAACACCATGGTCAGGGTTATATAACGCATGAAAAAATCATCTTGGATCTGATTGGGACTTGTCACCTCCCAGCGCAGGATCATCTCAGTATGGAGTCCTTCAATTCCTTCAATTCCACCTCCCTTCCGCAAATGGCTTCATATGCAGATCTCGTGAAGCTGGCTCACCGGAACCCCAACCTATCCAGCTTCGAAAACCTCTGGGAGGCATACTACTCCTACTGGAATAATGATATCCTCGCCACTGGTAAGCTTTACGAGATTTGATTGTTCCTCGAGCAAGTACTAAGAATCACAGGAATCGTTACTTTCATCGCGCACGAACTCATCTACTTCGGCCGCTGTCTACCATGGATAATCGCCGATGCAATGCCAGGCACTTTCAACCGATGGAGAATCCAGGATCACAAAGCACCACCCTCGTTCGCGACTCAATGGAATTGCACCAAATACATCCTTGCCATCCACTTCATTGTTGAACTCCCGCTCATTGTCCTCTTCCATCCCATGATGGACCTTTGTGGCCTCAAGTACACCTCCCCCTTCCCAGCCTTCAAAACCGTCGCTGCCCAACTCGCCCTTTTCTTCATCGTTGAAGATACCTACCACTACTGGCTGCACCGCGCCTTCCACTGGGGTCCCCTCTACCGCTCCATCCACCGCATCCACCACCAATACGCGACCCCCTTCGGTCTCACGGCCGAGTACGCCAGTCCCTGGGAAACCCTTCTGCTCGGACTTGGCACAATCGCCCCGCCGCTCGTTCTAGGTTACTTCACAGAGAACGTGCATTTGATCACGGTGTTGGTGTGGATGGGTCTGCGCCAAGTCCAAGCCATCGATTGTCATTCGGGATATGATTTTCCCTGGAGCATGAGGCGCATTTTCCCATTCTGGGGTGGGGCCGACTGGCATGATGATCATCATCGCTACTTTGTGGGGAATTATTCTAGCTCGTTCCGTTACTGGGATAGTAAGTTTTTCTCCCTTTCCCCGGGATTTGACTCAGATGGCTGACAGTTGGGATAGTCTTGATGGGTACCGTTGCTGGCCCGAAGAATGGACGCGAGAAGAGACGTCGCGATTAGATTTTGATTCCTGACTTGAGAGGTAAAAGCTTTTGTTTTTGCTCTTGTTCCTTAGTATTATTTTTAATAGGGCTGTTCGTGTACAGATGTGGCCTTCTTTTTTGTATGACTAGAATGTGTACTATTACATGAGATAAATAATTAATATGAATAATATGCCTACGATCTATTAATCTACCTTGTAAAAGTATACAGATATGGAGTTCCGAAAGAAATATCAAATAAATTTCAAAATGAGCAACGAGATGCAGGAAAAGGGGGAGAGACAGAAAGGAAGACCGTCTCGTCCGAGAGCTCGGATATACATCCTCGGCCAAAGTTCGGGATTTAGCAAACACCGGATTCAGTCTGGACCGAATGCGAAAAGCTATGGCTATACTGCGCATGTTCTCTCATTCTGTCCATTTAATCCGTCATATCCACATGGGTGCTGCAAAAGTCAGCTTGGGCAGTCCTCTTTTCGTGAACGTGCTGCGACGTCACAGCCCATCTCATACAGTTTGTACTGTGTATTCGTTAGTGATGCCCTCACCTACAGATAAATATACATCATACTTTATCGCGGCCATCTTTCGGGACCATTTCTCTCTTTTTGCTTTTTGGTAGAGAAAATCAACATTGTTTAACCTTCGACGACGCAGGTAATTAGGCATGCTCTGGCACCTAGACTAAGCAGAAGCACTATCCACTATCCAGAGCTATACACAGCCACCGTGCGAAACTTCTAGTCTGTTGTAAATGAACGGCGTGTGCTCGGCCAATATCTCCTTGATAGTATTACATTTTGGTTTCGAACGAATGATCTCTTCCCGTACTTCTAGCCTTAGAATGTCGTAAGAAGCTGATATTCTTTCACTCCCAGGGTAACAAACTGCTTAGTTCAAGGATCTGTCTGTAAATATCATTTTATCATACTCTAGGCTCTCATTTTTGTCAGCATCCCTGCCCTTTCTAAATTTCACCTGAGCACGAGTATCAAAGGCTGTCAGGATTCGCCTTGTACTCATGAAACTCGGCAAAAGAAATTGTAAGAGCTATTGATTGATATATAACAGCATCAATGCCTCAAATGTTTGGACTCCTGCTAATAAAAGGGCTTTATTGGCTTCCCAATTCACCGGGCACTATGACACAAAACAAGATATAGTATATTCTTAGCCTCTAAAGAACTATCAATTAGAGGTTCCCTCGCCTAGTTGGGAAGTTCCAAAGAGGAAGGAGTAAGAGGTGTAATACACGGGGTACCTTCTATTCAGTGAGTTCCTTTGAGATGGTTGATTAACGGTACAAGGCTTTGTTAGCTCTCACCGTTCCATACCTTTGTTCCTTAAGGCCACGCTGTCTGGGTGTGGAGATCTATCACGAAGCAATTCATATGGTCTGTTGCTCAGTGCTCGCAGATAAGCACATCAAATTTGAAAACTCCGTACCTCTCCCGCAGTACATCTGTACTATTTGCACAGGGCTTCAGAGACATAACGAATACTATGTCGTCCAACAATCATCATATATGATGATCCCTCTACCAGTGTCCCCGACCGGGGAAGAGTGTTGTACTCCGGAGGAGTTTGAGTAACCTTGTTAACTTTCCAGATCCTCTCAAGGGTATAGCAACCGCTGACTTGTAATCAAGCATAGTTGCTATCCATGGCGCAGATCACCTTAAAGACGAAACCGAAGAGGGTAACAACGTTAGCTGGCTGAGTGACTCGCCACCAAGTGTACTCCGCAAGGTCCGCAGCATGACCTATCAAAATAATGCACGTTTCGCAAACTTCTTTGTGCACCAGGATCTGCATGGTATTGCTTCTGGATTACTTAATGAGCTAGGTAAATGTCGGACAGAGAAAGTGGTGAGTGAACCAATGTAATGTTTGGAATATCCATCTAGCAGTACGCTAAGCTACGCTGCGTGGGATAGGAAAAGCTGACGCCGATAATGTTCACTTGCCTCGGTCTTGGAGATATCATTGTGAAGACGGTATTTACTCTTATCTGAAAATTTGAACGTCAGGCTAAAGGATCATGCAGACATTATTCCTTAGTTCCTGGAGGAGGAACAGAACGAACCAATAATTGCTAAACACCAAAACCAGTGTGGGTTGTCTTATCCCTTGTGGGTCAACCAGCCCACAAAAGTACCGCTATTAAGCCGAATTAGCTTATGTGTAATTGGCCATATTCGGAAAAAGGGCATGTGGAAACGTTACTTATTAACCGTATTAAAAGTTCTCCTCTATTCATCCCTCTGAGAACAAGTTCATTTCCATATAGGTGGCCTATTTATGGATATCGCGAATAAAGTGAAGAGCGGTTCCCCTTTTAATCCCTTGGTCAATAAAAAGGCCCAGATCTGGATTATTGAGAATTAGCTCAAGCTCTAGATAGTTTTCTAAACTTACTTTATGTACTCTTCGATAGTCAGCATTATATGCCTTTCTATAGCCTGTAACCTCAGCTATCTACAGTATTTCCTCCCAGCTGCCTCCCATGTCCCAGGTATTACAGGATGCCCACTGGCAGATGCAGGCCCAGGCGTTGACGCAATCACTACGGAAACACGGACTGTCTCTGATGGCAGAATAGTGATACTAATTAGAGGATATAGTACTTTCACTACGAAGTGTTAAAAAACAGGCCGGAATTGTTCCGATAGTCCAACAAATGGTTCACTCCCTAGGTAATCCGTAGCGGTGATGCCCGAGCGTGGAGGTAATCCAGTTCTCACGACGGCAATGCGCTATTTCACCGCTTTACGCTGCCCGAAACTGGCCACATCAGTAGAAAGAAAAGCGGTAATGGAGAGGTTCCACCATCGCGCTTTAGAGGCGTTGCGATAACAGGAAATCCGAGGAGATCAGTTTCCCTCCGCCAAGACTCATAGGATGAACCATAATCTAGATACGCCCGCATAGCCCGCGTATGAGGTCGCCGGATAAGTTAGGTGGCTTGTCCACAGCACAATCACTAAGATTAAGTGTGCATTAGGAACTGGCGTGTCATGAAATGCAGCTGGCGTGAGGCGTCCCTTGGTGTCTGGATAGAGGAAACAAGGTTGTATCCATGACTTATGCACGGTGCGATGATGTTCTAGCTGTGCAAATGATAAGCGATACACAAATGCTCAGGCAGGTCCTTCCTATGCTGTAGATACGTAATATAACCCGCCTCAATTGTTGTTCATGTACTCGGACTTCTCATAAATTCCTACACTGCAATACCACGTTTCCACGGAGCGGGTAGCTTGACAATAATAGGAGGTCATTCGGCAGGTGACAATGGCGATGATATTTCTTGGGATTTTTTGCAGCATTCTTTGCTACTACAGCAATGAAAGGAATCCCTTGTAGGGTACAATCCAATACTGTTGTGGTTGCTTTGGCATGTTCGTGAAAATGTACATCATTAATATCCGATAAGGCAGTGCGATGGCTCCTTGGATCCCTTGACCCCAGTGTATCTCCCTCGAGTGCATGCCTGGGATATCATTGGTTTTAATATAACAGGGACAATGTATTTAACTCTTTTTCTCATGATGAACATGGAGTTGGAACGGAGATAGTATCTAGATTGTCGTAGTCGGTTAACAGAGCACTCGGCATATTAGTAACATTTCCCGGAACCTTTTCGAACAGAGAGAACTGTCGACACAAACATTAGGCCGAGTTTCAAAAAAGTCTCCGACGGTATTGCGAAGGGGCCCTGGTTTTAAGCATTTTGTAATCATAAATCCAAAAGTGGAGCCGCATAAGCAACCTGCATTAGGAAGCCCGGAGATTAGCAGGAAATATGCCGGACCAGAAGCCGAGCAGAAGGTTGAAGAAATCTTTTCTCACTTGGTAACCAATTATAGTTGGGCTACTTGGATTAGTAGTGGTTGAAGACCCACGTAGCGGATGCCTCATAGGCCCACAATGAACCGTCTTCATCCATTTGAAGCCCTCGAAAAAAACTAAAGTCAGCATAAGTCTTCATGAACTATGCGGCGGTATCCTGTTAGAGTCATCATCTTATTCTAACGGTCTTTACTATGGCTATAAAGTCCGAGATGGGTTTATCATTGGTAATTCGATGCCATTCTGTGCCCTATCTCGATGTGTATTTTCGTCCCCTCTATACCTTCGGAACCATGGAACGGATACAGCTCCACTGTCATCGCGGAGATAAAGGACATTATTAGTGTCTATGGATCATCTAGAGAACGCATTTATAAGCTCTTCTAACTTTTTTTTTCGAGTATACCCACTTCCCACGCGGACCGCCACTAGCGAACGTGCTGTATAAATCGCGCGAGGACCTTCGAGGAATCAACTGCCCAGATTGAGATCCCCATACTATACGCAGTCAAGAAAGACTAGACCTTAATCGAAATACAATGGCCGCTACCGACTACAAGTTCGAAGGCTGGATGGGCCTTGACCCTAAGGCCGCTGAGGGCAACATGGTCTGGCAGGAGTTCCAGCCCAAGACTTGGGAAGAAACCGACGTTGACATCCGTATCACACATTCTGGTATCTGCGGATCTGATTTGCACACCTTGCGCAGTGGATGGGTATGTCTTCGTTGCTCGAGGAGTATTGAGGTTCGGTTACTGACGGTGTCTAGGGTCCTACGATGTACCCCTGCTGTGTCGGTCATGAAATCCTCGGAATCGCCGTTCGGGTCGGCTCCCAGGCCGAAGGAGATATCAAGGTTGGCGACCGTGTTGGCGTTGGTGCGCAGAACGATTCCTGTCAGGGACGCAAGGGTGACTGTGAAGAGTGCGCCTCGGGCCTTGAGCAATACTGTCCCAATCTAATGGGCAGCACCTACAACTCGAAGCACTTCAACGGCGATAAGTCATATGGTGGATATGCTCTCTACCATCGGTCCCCATCTCGCTTTGTTATTAAGATCCCCGACGCTATCCCCTCCGCGATGGCTGCTCCTATGCTTTGCGGCGGTATTACCACCTACTCCCCACTTCGTCACAACGGGTGCGGCCCCGGAAAGAAGGTCGGCATAATTGGCGTTGGTGGTCTGGGACACTTCGGTATCATGTTTGCCAAGGCCCTCGGTGCCGATAAGGTCATTGCGATTTCGCGCAAAGCAAATAAGAAGGAGGATGCGCTCAAGCTGGGCGCCGATGCCTACATCGCTACGGACGAGGACGAGGACTGGGCTAAGAACAACTCTCGCAGCTTAGACTTGATCGTCTCCACAGTCTCCTCTTCTAAGATGCCCATAATGGACTATATTACTCTCCTCAAGCCCAGTGGGAACTTTGTGCAGCTGGGTGCCCCTGAAGACGGCGCTCTCACCATCCCTGCCTTCGCATTGATTGTCAAGAGGATCAAGTTCGGAGGATCCCTGATCGGAAGCCCCAGCGAGATTCGCGAGATGCTTGAATTGGCCGCTGAGAAGAATGTCAAGTCCTGGGTTCAGGAAGTGCCTATGAAGGATGCCAACAAGGCCATCGTCGACATGAACGCTGGCAAGGCTAGGTACCGTTACGTGCTTGTGAACGAGCAGTAGATCAACCATTCATGAACAGACATTGTACATAGTATGTAGATTAATAGAGCGGACAGTTAACGATTTAAACAATTTCTTCATATGATCGAACCGTATATGCCTCTCCGTTGATAAAGGCTGTTCCGCCCGGCGTGCGCAATTGTTCTCCGTCGTCAATATCCTTAGCGGAGGGTAAAACGTCACCGTCAGGACCGAGAACATACGTCGCCGTCCATCCGTCATTCGGATCCCATTCCTCTCTTCTGGCACTAACGTCCTTTCCCTCCCGGACAACTGCGGCATTCGACCCTGTCAAATGTGCGTATACCTGTCGCTGCCGCACTACCAAATAGGTCCCCCAAATCTTCGCCACAAACGTCCTCGCAACCTCCATCTCGGCGTTTGCCCCAAGGTCCACACCATGCTTAGATTCCAAGACCCACGATACACCCTTCCTCGGTCCCTCAGGGCCCTCCCTGAACTTCAATTCCCGCCACACCTCCTCATATTCCGTCATCGGTGTCCCGGGCAGGTCCGGCCGCGGCATAGATCCAACCTCAAGATCATCTCCGTTTGGCAACGTACTAAAAGTACCACAATCAACGGCATCGAACGAATTACGCGAGTCAATCTCATGAGTAAACTGCACGCGACCTAAGACCGTCAGTATAGGCTCAGTAAAGCAAGGTATATCCGTAGCCTACGAGGTTCATTACTATCCACCACGCGCTGGCCTGCAATTGCCCAGTCGATGTCGCCGGTGGTCTTATCTACCCGAAGATCTACGTACCAGCCCTTCACGGACATGACGATGGTGTCGGTCGTTTCGGAAGCGGGTTCCGGGAGCCATCGGAGGGAGACGCGTGTTGAGAGACGGGTTTCGGTTGGCGGGTTCAAAGTTGCCATTGTTTTAGTACTATTAAAGAATTGCAAGTGTTTGAGGGAGATTTGGGGGGAAAGAATATTGTAATTCGAGTTGGAAGGATTGACGATGTTCTCTCATCTGTATTAAATTTATACCCCGCATAAAGTGGGCACGATTCTTATTGGTGGGCTAGCGCCATTCCATTAGTAGTAATTAAGGGCTGATATGAATCTATATAATGATATCGGCTAGAAGTTGGGCAGTTCTTCCTTCAGCAGATTGTTATATCTTTAAGTGTAGAAGAAGCTGGTGGTCGATAAGACCAACAAAACATATTGTTTTCACCGAAGGCCTCACTGAATGAACCAATGGGTTTATCAACTCTGCGCTGATGAACTAATAGTGTCTTGTGCGACATTTGCTGCAACGAAGTAGAGACTGTAGGTATGGATAGACCCCCTTTTTTTTCCAGATAACAACTGAATTCGCAACCGCAATTGCGACAATTATCAACTGAGCAAAGACGCTTAAATGACCTGTCTCTCGCTTCTATCACTTCGTTCAGTAATGTACCGGTCTTCGGTTTAGACTCTTCTGCTAATTGGCACTCTAGCTCCACACTTTCAAGACGGCTCCTAGCGCTCTGTAGGTCCTGTTTTGTTCGCTGAATAATTAGGCCCTGCCCTTTTACCACCGCAACCGCCAATCCAACGTCCATGACCTCGAGTATATCTTCATCCTCGACTAACTGGTCAAAGTGTTCTACTATAACCACGCCAAGGGTCTCACGCAGCCCTCTGTCTCTGGTAGACTGAAGTGCGGTCGTGACAACATCTGAATCCTCGGGGAGACCAGTTAGTCTTGAGCATATTCTCGATCTTTGCATTGGCATTCTCCGCCAATGGCGACATGTCATAGTATTCTGCTATAGCAGCGACATGTACCTGTGGAAGCAACTTTGTAGCCATCGATACCTCAGGCTTCTCCGAGTGCATGATCGTAGTGGACTCGTTCTCCGACAGATTATATGTTATTACCGAAGCGGATAAAGCCTGTGGTAAGTCTTTAGGACTTAGTAAGACCACACAATGGACAAGGTTGTTTGATATTCATTACCTTCGTCTACAGTACCGACTCCTAGATCTTCCTCTGTCGCATGGGAGGTATCGTAATCCCCCTTATACATGAATTGTATCATGCATTCCACCGTCCTTATATCGAACTGGGTAACCTCAACAATTTCGCTTGATGCCTCCTGGATTACTGTCAGTTGTCCATTACATGTCTTTGGGATAGGGATACTGCCACTCCAGACCTCCTTCCATCGCACGCTGCGGCGTGTACAGGTGACTGAGAACACACAACTGCCTTGCGTACAGGGAATTTCTTCCCTTGGCAGACTAATGTCAGGTTACTATATTTGCCTGTCTCCATGATACTCATTAGACCCAAGGGCTTTGTAACTGTTGTAGGCATTGTACTCCAAGGTAAGGCTGCCATACTCTGCTAAGGAATAATGAATGTTGCTATTTCTACATAACAATGTATGAAGGAGGCCGGGTAGATATATGTTATTAGTTTGATAAGTGACTTCACATAATGCGCATTCTGCCGTTAGCTGTTCTGCTCCGGAATTTGACATCTTAACCTTATTGACGTCAACAATACAGCACCGGCATACGTTGTGGGAATATTCCATTACTTGTATAACTTGACAATTTAGAGTAGCTGTACAGGCACCGTGCAGACATGATCAGTGAGATGGCTGTCCAGAAAAGCCGCAACGTTTCCTTTACATTCAGATACTGTAGGGCGTCATAATCCTTCCTTGGCGGCACTGGTCGAAAGATATGTTCCATATCAATGTACTATTTGGCTGCTTGCGATTGAAGTTTGGATCTCCTCCTAGCGCAAAACTTAGCAGCATATCGTGAATCAACATGAGCTGATATAACGTTCATTATAGCGGAGTAGCACCTATTGAATGTTGTCCAAATACCCTAACAAATGCATCTTGGTTCATGAAATCCTCTATTGGCACCCGTCGCAAACCACCTTGTGGCGCAGATGTTTCCCAGCGGCTTGAATTCTAACAAGGTATATGAACGTGTTCTTGTACGCATAGCGAAATGTAAAGTGCTCGAGTATTCTAAGAACACTGCCTCACGATTCACTCATACGTTGTTGAACTATAGATTCGATCGCTAGTTACTGTTCCATCGTCCGGTACCTTAATCTCGAGTTCCCTACGACTTCAACTTCCAGGAAACCCCATGCTCGAGGAGATCATGTAAACGACCAAATAACGACTCGGCCATCACTTGTCATAGACTCCTATATCTAGTCAACTAGAAGAGATAATATAGATATCTGAATTGAACCTGCGAAATGCGATGGCTGTGTCCCCTTTTTTATACCAATTCTGGGTTTTCCAGGCTATCTAAAATCATGAGGTGATAGCCATGTATAGCGGAGACTGAACCTTCTTGGGAATTTTCGCATGGTGCTCTATCCCTGCGGAGACTAGGTCTGATTAGGAGACGCATACAATTGGCCAGGCGTTCCTCAAGGTGGTAATCTGTATACTTACTATCATATCACACTGCAGGCCATGATAGTAAGTCTATTTATCAAGAACGGACTTAGGTACTACCTTGCCACTAAATCCACGATCTAATCCCCGCAATTCTCTGCATACAACAGTCCAGAAACGCTACTTTGACATATGTGGCAATAGAGCAAGGATTTCTCGAGGGGATGCAGGTTTAGTCTAAGCTCCCAAGAGAATCTATGCCGCAGAGACTTAGAATTCGTTGAACGGAGTGCAGGGTGCTCTTCTTCGCATGGGATTTCATTTGACATCTCGGCTGCAGAACAAAGATAGAACATATGTAGTCTGCACATATCTATATTGTATACGCTAAACCTACATTAACTGCCAGTGACAGCGCTAGTGAGACTATTGTCGTAATTTCACTAACCCCCATGCATCAAACAGCCTATATATGTGAGCTCTGATCATAAAAATCTATCCACCACCTACATCCCCTTCTCATTCCTCCTCCCCTAACTCCACCCCCCAAAACTTCCCCATCCTCTCCCTAAACAGCTCATAGCAACCCCCTTTCCTCACAACCCTCATCTCCCCAAAATCAAACATAGTATTCGCCCTTCCATAAACATGATACCTCTGTAACCCATAATCAATCACCACATTCACTGCCTCCAAAAGCTCCCCCTCAATATCCTCCACCCGAAACTTCTGACCAGCACCAGTAACATTGGCACTAGACCCCACAACAACCTTGCCAACCTCATAATGCAACCTTACAATCTCCAAAAGAAGCGACCCGCCACCAACATAAATAGCCATCTTCCCGTCTTTCGTCGTCTTACTCAACGTCTCAGGAGACAGTCTCTGCAAAAGTGGATGATCAGGCTTATAAGGCGCAATGATCCCAAGCGACATATCTAAATCGTGCACTAGGGCTTTCGTCATATTGAATCTATCCTCGGGCAGATCATGTAGTGCTTTATGGAGGTCGTAGTTGCCGATTATGCCCTGCGTGTGTCCTGGGCGACGTTTCTTGGCTTCAAAGGCTCGGGTGACTGCGTCGCTGGAGGAGGCGATTATGCCGTAGCCTACTTCTGCGGGGACGATGGCTATGCCGCCTTTTTCGAGGGTTTGGAAGACTTTTTAGGGCGTCTGCTTGGACGTTTGGGGGGGCGCCCGGGGTGGGGATTATATTTGTTTGGGGGGTCATCGTAATGGTTTGGATTGGGATATGGGAGGCTTATGGCACCCCGGTGATGTTATGTCTAGGGTCTAATGTTTAGGGGGGGGGCACATTGTTTCTTTTTAATGTAGGATGGTAGAGTGGAGGGGCTAGTTGCAAGTTAGGGGCCGCGATGCTAAGTAGGTTCTTGTCTGCGTAATTCTTGTTAGTGCTTATTGTTTCTAGTGCTTAGTGAGGCTTGTTGTTGAATTGGATTGATACCTCCCCGCGTTTTTAGGTTTAATTTCTAGGATATAATTAGTAGTAGTAGTAGTAGTAGTAGTAGTAGTAGTAGTAGTAGTAGTAGCAAACAGTTATTCCCATACGCACCCAACGTGTCTTTCTATAGAAACTATATATGCGAGGGGCATAAAAAAGAATCGTCGTCCCAGGAAAGGCTTGAACTTTCAACCTCTCGATTAACAGTCGAACGCGCTAACCAATTGCGCCACTGAGACGATGTTATGATTTTTGCCAAAAATAATGCCTCTATAAAACATAGCGAAACGTCTTGTTGTCGATCTCCGTTTGATCCTGCTCACGGTCAGCTTCTTCTGTATATTCGACACGCACCGATGCGAAGGAAAACTTACCAGCATGCCCTTTTCGACACCATTACTCTCATCGCCCTCAAAGTTAGATTCTTCCCGATCCCTTCTCTTATTCTCCAAATACATATAAAGGTAGAGAGCGGTAATCGATGTCAGCTTAACCGCGTACCCAACCAACATCCTGAAAAACAGTTAGCATTGATACCCAGAGTAGATCTCTCTGGTCATGAACTCACGCAATATAGGCACTATGATACCCCGGTGCCTCACTGCTCTTAAACGTCTGCGGCCCAATGATGTTTCCCACACAGTACCCCGTAAAAAGTAGGGCACCCGTCACTTGTTTCTTTGTGTATCCGGCAATATTTGAACTCACGACGGTAAGACTCATACTGAATCCCAGTCCTTGGAAATAACACAGCCAGAGCGCAACAAGACGACCCCACTTATTCGAGTCCGGCAGGCCGACGAGCAGCCCCGAGCCGATGATGCAAACCAAGTTGGCGAATATCATACACGCGAATCTCGAATGGAACTTGTCGCTGAATCTCGTCGCAACTACACCTCCGAAGAGAAGGGTGAGGAATTGGACGGCTCCGCCGGGGATTTGGAGATATTGGGTTCCGAGGGTGTCGAAACCAAAGGATTTGACGATGATGGAGGTGAACTGCCTCTTTCGTTAATATGGGTCTCGGGCGGAAATGAGGATATCGAAGTAGACATACACTAGTCAAGGCAGAGTTGGGAATTTGGGCCCCAATAGCCATGACAAACAGTAGCCATGTTTTGGGGTCTCTGGCTGCCTGCCAGACCTGGTACCATTTGAAATGGTGGTTTTTTACACCTTGTCGGTTGACTGCCACACGGTCGACGGCAATTGCTCTTTCGCGGTCGGTGAGGAATTTGGCTGTTGATGGGAGATCCGGGAGAAAAAGAAAGGATGCAATGCCGATGACAATTGACACCGCGCCGAAGATGAGGAAGACATACATCCATCTGGGGAGGCCGGTTGTGATGTGTCCGATGGCGTAGCCGAGGAGGCTGTTTTCCGTCAGTTGTCTACTATTTGTTAGGCCCAGTTTATGAAGTGGTGCTCACCCTCCGAACATGGTGGCAATGCCGTTCGTGCAGTAGTAAGTCTCCAGGCGCAGAGGCTGCTCGCTTGAGGTATACCAGATGCTCATCATGAGGACGAATCCGGGGTTAATGACGGCTTCGGAGATTCCGAGAAGGAAGCGGTTGATTGCGATCCCGGCGAAGTTGTAGCAGGCCGGGGTTGTCATCAATAGACCTCCCCAGACTATACCCCGTTAGCTTTGCTTCAGCTATTCATCCACAAACGACCTACCAATAGTCGTGGTACTCAAAAACTTCCCAATTGGGAGTTTCTGAAGAGCCAATCCCGCCGGCCACTGTGCGACCAGATACCCAAAATAGAAGATGGACCCTTGTTCCGATTAGCTATACTCGATTTAGTGCAGAAGTAAAAGCCTACCCAGCCATGAGTAGTCCTGCCCTTTCAGATGTGTGCCTTCTTTCAACCCGTAGACCGACGAGAAGTTTAGACTGTTTTTATCAAGGTACTAAACAGTGTGAGCCTTCAATCATGGTTAACCGTTGCGTCCCTCTTACCTGCAATAAGTATATAAGAAATAAAAGCGGCATTAACCTTGCATCAATCTTTCGCAGAACATTCTTCGCCTCCTCAGGCGTGTATTCCAATCCACGGGTTTGCTGATAAACTTCATAATTATCATCTAGCTCTGACGACCCTGTAGACGAGATAGAAGGCGACGAGACATTTGTCTCGAGATCCTTTGTCGAACCCATTCTGCAAAACCTCTCAAAGCTACTACAAAAGCAAGTCCAGCTCGCGCACTTTTACCACCATTTCCTCTAGCGAAAGAGCCGGCTTTTATAATCCATCTTGCGAGACGGCACGAATCGCGTAAGTCAACCATGCGGGCCAAAACCCCACAGACATAGCCCGATCATAACCATGTTGGGGAAACTCGCAATGGGCGTAGGTTTCAGACAAGAAAGATATAATTTGACATTAAGAGCTGTTTTCCTTGCAGTGTGCTTGATGTCGAGTGGATGGATGGTTGTTTTGGTGCGATCACGACATCGACCCCACGATTGCGTCTTCCCGGCAGTTGCTGATGGTGTCATAGCTGCAGGTGTTTCTCGGGGAAATTCCGACCCTTTAATATGTTATTCGGGGCATTTTTCGCTATAAGTGAGGGCCGGGTCTTGCGTTTTGTCGTGAAAAATAAAGGTTGGTTGTTAGATATCCCTTTTTTGCGGCAATGCTATGGGGCAGCGATGTCGACCTGTAGTAATTACCTTGACTCTAATATTCAACGAACGATAGATTCTTCTAATATATTTTACGCAATTTATAATTAGATTTACTTTATTCCGAAATATTCTCCGCCTGTAGAAAACGGGTCCTTGGGCAAAATAACCATTACTGTATTTATAACTCTGCCGCTGGAGTAGTATTTGAGCTCAAAGTCGCCATATTATTTCTCCAATCAACCACGTTTGTAGTATCAGCGGATTGGAGCAGGAGTCCATGTGGATACTTCATACTGATTGAATGAAAGACAGACACGTTATTTATAGAATCTGATACCAAGCAAGATAGTAATAGCAATATTCATAAATGCCTCCAAATGAGAAATCCCGATAGACGGACATAGATAACAGCTGAATAGTAAATTGACAACTCCCTTAACTCTCCTTTTCAGTCCCTTCTATTGGCAAAGTGTCCATTGGTGCGGCATACTAGGCTGGTTGGGATCGGTAAATTCTGTATATCATCATCTATATAAGTCCTAGAGTACAGGTTGGGTTAAACATTAGCCATAAATACATACACAAAGCAGCTATATAATACAGGCGAAGTAAGTACACCGAATGAAAAGCCTATATAACAATCATATAACAATCCATGGCAGGCCTCCGAGACATTAATGTGCCAAAGCACATAACCCCCGGACATAGTAGGAGGCTTGAACGATGAGGCTAACCGTTAGATCCGAGGATCGAATAGAAGATTACTTTCTGTCTTTACAAAACAGCAGCAGCCAATGCTATGACAGCACCTCCGAACAGCATACCACCATCACCCGTAATCTGAGGCATACCACCAGTGCTGACAGCGGAGGAGCTGGAGCTGGAGCCCGAAGAGGAAGCAGATGACTTCGAGGTGTGAGTTGTTGAAGCAGCACCCTTACTGCCCGACTCGGACGTGGTGGTAGCCGAAGCAGACGCAGCGGCACTAGTAGTCGACCCGGCGGTGATGGTCACTGGCACGTAGACCATTTCGCTTTGCTGAACAGTTCCAATTGTGGTACCGGGAAAGTTGGCATCAGGCCCGGCTGCGATTGCTGTGCAGACGGCAGAGGTTGTTCCGGCCAAGGAGCAATTAACGGTATAGGAGCTGTCGGGAGAGACATGTTAGCAAGGGTCTGAAGTAGATTCAAGTTATTGGGGAGGGGGAGGAAAGAGAACGCACAAGTTTGGCTTTTCGTTCAACTCCCAAATGGTTGTTGGGGACATGTCGGTGAGCGTGAGACCGGGTCCCAAACCACAGTCATACTCATCCTCATCGTTGCTCGCAGTCGTGGTCGGGCTCGGGGCACAGGTGATGCTATAGGTTGTCGCGGTAGCGTCCTATCTGCATGTTAGTCGATACTATGAATTGATAGCCGCGCGGCCAAGTGATCGTCCGATCGTCAATCGGTGGGGCACTGACATTACCAACAATAGAAGCCTCGAGGGATGATGGGTCTAATCCGAGGAGAAACATAGAGGTGACGCTGGAGTTCGCTGAGATGAGGCCGGCCATAGCCAGGCCCATTAACAATTTCATAGTCATAATGAAGTGAGTGGTATATCGTAGATCTTCAAGCGACTAGAATATCAACGAAAGGGGGAATATGAGGTGAGGAGACAGATTAAATAGATAATCAATGCCACTCTGAAGGAGAGCCAGGGGCAATAAAAACTCAGAATCCTATCTAGCCTTCTTTTGGGTTAGAAGCATGAGGCCCTAGAGATATAATTGGGATTCTAGGCCTGCTTAGCGACATTTTCCCCCGAAGCCCTACATCGCTATTGGCGCTGATAAAGCGCTAATAACCAGATGGCAAACCAGGGTTGGCTAAAAGATTAGGTAACAGTTGGTCCAATCAAACCTATGGATTGCCACTTGGTCTGGAGAGAAATTTGAGTTTTGGTACCTCTTGAGGCCCACTTGTGCCCATGTGGCATGTTCGGTACTCTCTCCATAGGTTGAAACAACCCTAATGTCCTTGCACAACACACTCTATACAGCTCTGAATCGAAATTCCAGTCCAATAAGCACCACTGCTCGCAGGTAACGATCGCTTCAATTATAACGACCTAAAAACGGTAGTTATCACGATCATTCAGCGTCAACACTCGTTCACTGACGGGGACCTGAAACTGGCATCATCGCGATCGATGAAACCGTCGAGAGTACCAGAATTAATTGAGCCATCTCGCCTTTATTCCAACTCCTCCACGGTCGTTGGAAGATAATGAAGGGTTGCAGGAGGGCAGTCGCAAAGGGGCGCTTATAAACTTATACTAAATTTTCGTCTTCTGTCCAAGTCAGTTGAGCTGGTGTAGCGACTCTCGAATTGTCGTGTTGCCTTGGTGGAACCAATGGAATAACAGTGCTGTTTTGATCAAGCGCCCCAGAGGGTATAAAGTAGCGGGATCCGAAGATCTGAAGATCAGAGACCTCCGTATCCCTGCCATCGCTATTTTCGATGAAAGCCAAACACAAATCACCCTAGAACCCACACAGGAATAGGCGTTTATGCGTTAAAACCCTCGCCTTCACTACTCTGGTCACCCATGAGTCCACTGCCATCTGACGTAGAGGAGATCCAGGCATCGTGTTCTTGTAGGCATAGGCTACGGCATCAGTTCCTATTGCGCCGCGCTGCATCTGCTTTTTGCAGAGCATCATTGCATGATTTCGCAGACTATGCATCTCAAGACCCTCGGCCAGAACCCACGGTTTGAATAAAGTAAGTACCCGGGGATCTTGATCTACGAAGACCCTGCCCCAATACATACAGCAATTAACTCCGAGAGCGTATCCGGATCTTGCTGCGGCAAATGGACATTGTCCTCATCCCATCGCTGCTTAGGGTCCTGAACACATCGAATACGGACGAAAAGTTACTTAGAATTCCGGCGTGGACCTCGAAAGACGCCCACGTCAAACCACTTGACACCGGCACTCTATGAACTACAAGAATACTTCATGTTAGCAGGATGTAGCATACTCTTTGTCTATGCTTCCTATCATATTGGCTTGGGACGAAGCCCGAGAAATTTGGAAACCTGATTTGCGTGGCATAAGTGGGATAAAAGTCCGGAACGCGTTTCGCGTTTCCATTTATCGGAAAGAGTAATAGTAGGGCGTCTAGGCTAGTAGGGCTTAGAATAGACTTGGCCAAGAACTGGATAGCTGTCCGCGAGAGAACTAGGTACACGAATTATTTCATGGGTAAGGCAAAAAAGAGCGAAACATGATCGATAAGCTGGTAGCGCAGACACCGAGTAATCAATTCCTCGACTAATGACTTGTGCGCCATGATTGCGTGAAACTAAAGAAGCTTATGATATCCTGACTCTTTTGTCTCTCCTCCATATAGACCTTCTCAACGGCAAGAGCAGCCAAGATAGTTGTTAGTGCAGCGACCGTTGCGACCATCGCAGCCGTTTTCATTGCATGATCCGACATTGCTGCCACATCCATATCCACACTGACAACCTAAATAAGAGCCCTATGTAACGCATCAGTTCGATATCACATTGTTTTCAACCGCAAGGTGAACCTTGAAATAGACATACAGAGGTGCAGGTAATACGATCACCGCTAAGCTCGCCATGGCAGTTGTTATCATAACAGTTGCCGTTAGGATAGCCACAGTTGTTGGCAGCAGCGCCTTCCTCGGGGCTCGCAGAAGGGTGCGCAGCAACCATGGAGGCCAGGCCGACCAAAAGAACTGTTGTGAAGCGCATGGCTGTACGTGTTGGGCGTGCTTGTATAGCGAGAATGTGGCTGTAGAAGATGATATGTTTGATGATGTAGAAATATCACCTTTGGACGAGGGTTAACTGCTCGTATTTATAGCTTTTCATGACCTGCGTGCTCCCCTCCCCAATATCACAGTCATGGGCACGTTAGCCGGTTAACCGAAAGAGGTGTATCTACTTGCTTCTTTTTCTCAGCTCTACAATCACCCCTTATGGTTACTCTTCGTACAGCGGTCGGAGTCATCATACATGTGGTAAGACATGCAGTACTACAATCTCAAGCAAGGGATGGGTCAATATTTACGTAACTGTGTAAGCGTATGCTTGACAAGTACATTGTGTCGGTTTTCTTGTTGCCTATGACTATTCTGCATCGCAAACATAGCCCAATAAACGACTCTTTATATTGACTTCCAGCTTGCCAGACATACATTTGAGAAGTCAAAAAGGACATTGTCAATTAGTACGAAGCACTTCCACTCTCGGTTCCCTCAGTGCTCAGTCGAGAACAGAGGACATTGAAAATGTAGCCTGATTGCTTACGCAGCTTGCAGTCTCGCTAATGCTAGAAGGCCCTTACAGAAAGCGGAGAACAGTCAGATGTTGTTCCACTTGCAAGCATCGTGACAGTCAAAAAGAGTAGTCCAGACTGCTGCACCTGGGCTAGCCCCAGGTTCCTTGTACATAAAAGTAGTGATGAGTTCGACGGAAGAGTAAAGGCACGCCTCATAAGCGTAGGTGATAATCCAATAGACTATAGTAGTGATTCGCTTCCGCCCAGCAGATAGCTTTACACGAAGGATCGGGGATCCATTTTAGCATCCTGGCCTCGCGATTACCCTTCCACACCTTGGAATTTGGCGTTGTGGGGAAGCGCGTCGTTGATGATTTTGTCTATGTTCTATTTAATCCACGCTTCAATCACTGCTTCGCCTAGCATTCATTCTTTCTTCAACGTACTTATAGTAATGCTTGTAACCAGAAAATAAGCTAGACAGCAATAGAAAGCAAAGCCCATCTGTTCCTACAATAACAGACTGCTTTTTGAGGGTTTCTCTTTTCCCCCTCGACTAGGAACCAAATATTGGCTGAAGAGTCTCGCCTAGCACCTCAATATATATAGCGTTTTCTAAACACAAGTTATAATACACTGAAAATTATATGTAACGAAAAGCCGAACAGGGTCTCATAATTTCGGTGGAGTAGCTCGCAATATTAGAGAAAATATAGCAGCTTAGCAAAAGCCTAGTCTATTAGCCAAAAAAAAAAAAAAAAAAAAAAACCCTAGACAATTAAGGAATATTCTTTTCAGCTTTATGGCACCCAATCCGCCCCTACCCCTCAATTTGTTAACCTGTTAAGTGATTCTAACTGATTCTTATCGCCTCTGCACAGCTTCGCTGGCAGTGTAATGAAATAGCATTCCCCCGGCTGCTCCTATCGCATTCCTAGAAATTTCTGCCTTCGTCTTTGTGGTGCATTCATGAAAAAAGTCTCGAGTGACACTCGCGGGGCCGGTGATATAACTGATTCTACTGCACAATACAACTATCAATATGAGCGCAGTGGATCGGCGCATTGCCACTCGAGATGATAGCGGCCAAGTTCATGCTGGACAACGTCCATCCCAAGCTCCTCCTGTCGAATTATATCACCGGGTTTAACAATACTTCCAACATTTTTAGATACTTTTTCACGATATCCTGGGGCGACTGTTACGTTTGGTCACCCCGGGCTGGACACGATTAGCTTTTCATATCGTCGTACGACCATGAAATGTCTACTGCCGACTGTTCTCATTGCGACAAGAAGCAATTGGTCTTGAGACCCACAGGTTCACTATGGGCTTATTGCATTTGCCAACCAAGTGATAAAACATGGCGCGACGCGGGACTGGTTAGCTGAATATTTGCAGATCCTGTGCTTTGAAATGGCGGCTGCAGGGCTGATGAACCTCTTTCTGTGTCTGGTTATTTGGGGGATCTGCGATTATTCCGACCCACAAGAATAAGAAATGGCAGGGGTATGCAGCTATGACAGCAGCTTTATACGCAAAGACCTACTATCGGAGACTTCAGTGACACACACTAAGCATTGCAATCCGGTCAACGACTGCGCCAACGTAACAGGTACGTACCCGTTTACAAGTGCAGACGGTGCACCGCTACGCTGCACCAGGTTGATAAATGGCGTTCGAGCTTTCTAGGGTTATCTATCTACTACTAATAACCTATTACTAATGCTTCTCTTAGAGCGTATTCCAGCAGTCTACACATCGCCTTTTCCCATAGACGACAATATGCGACAGGACAGGGCTGCGACACTTTGTTGTCTGACAATGGAAAGTGTGGGGGGGAGGATTCCGTACAACTTCCAGAGCCTCGAGCGCCAAAAAACCTACTGAAGACACCCTTGTAGCCATGTCTAGTTTCTATCATGGGGTTGGCCACTCTCACTATGAACAGAAGGTGTTTTGCTTCTGTTGAGAAACCATTGCGGCAGACAGCAGAAAGACGAAAGAAGGCATTTTGGGAAAGAGAATATTGACACTCTCGAATCTTTCCACTGGCTTGGCTGTTCGCTGGTTAAACAAAAGAAACACCAAGTGGCAGAGCCAATACTTCAGCGCGCATTGGAAAGACGTGGCAGATTGCTCGGGGAAGAACATCCAGACACACTTATGTCCATTCAGCTACTTGGCTGCTCACTGTATGGACAGAAGAGGTATAATGCAGCAAGGCAACACTTCCAAATGCTGTTAGATACACAAGAAAGAGTGTATGGGAGGGGACACCTGCATACACTTGAGTCAATTTTCTGGCTCGCCCGCACACTGTATCAGTTGGAAAAATACAAGATGGCGGAGCCACTATTCCAAGAAGTGGTGGAAGGAAAGGAGAATATTCTTGGAACTGTGTGCGAGGACACTATACAGGCAATCTACGAGCTTGGCCGTTCGCTATTTAAAAAGGAAAATATAAAGCAGCGGAGATAGCATTCCTAAAGGTAGTGGAAGCGCGAAAGGGGGTTCTTGGTAAGGAACACGAGGACACGAAAGCCTCCATCGGGTGGCTCAAAGGCTCACAACGTCTACTTTTCCAATAGCCCATAGGTAGTTCATTTATTGGTTTTCCTTTCTATCCGTTTCATTTTTTTTTCCGGCTATGGTCATCTAAAATCTGCTTACCTTTTTTCTCATCCAATGGCTACAGCCTTGTTGCATAGAGCCAGCACACAGGTGGGCCCTTGGGCAACTACATCAGCAAGTACCTTTAGCCAAGCCAGTAGGGAGGTAGCACTGAAGAGACGGAAACCAAAACCAACTGACAGATCTAAACTTCTCAGAATATCTATGACCTACGGCTGTCTCTGTGCCGGCTACGGGGCGGGCTGTAGAATCATGCCATATTGAATAAGGACGTATACCAATTATATCTCAAGACATTAAACTAGCTAATCCGAACGCGAACGCCCTGCGATCCAGGCTTAACATGCGGCAAAAACATATCGCGATAGCAATCCACAGAAGAACGATCTGTCTCAAACAGCTCAAAGTCGAAGTTACGGAAAACGTTCGCGATGGTCAAATACATCTCCGCGTAGGCTAAATTGATACCGAGACACGACCGGGTGCCTTTACCAAAGGAAACAAGGTATCGCGTCAACTTTCTTCCATCAGGAGCGAGAGGGTCCCCAAGCCAACGCTCGGGTTTGTACGTATACGAGTCGGGGAATATCTCTTCGTCGTGGGCGACGGAGTAGTTATCCATACTAACTACTGTTCCCGGGGGTATCACGTAGTTCTTGTAAGCGAGAGATATGTGGTCCGAAATTCGGAAGGCGCGCTGGCTTGTACCGTAGGACATGCGGACACCTGATGGGTTGTAAGCCTAGGTTTCGTTTGCTTTGGCACAAGGAGAGCGGGCTACGCACATTCTTGGATACAAGCGGTTAGATAAGGAAGCTTTTCCAGGTCGGTTAACGATGGCATATTGTTGGGATCGGGTATCGTAGCTTGTAGCTCCTCGCGTAAACGTTTGTAGATGTTGGGCGTGTTGATGATGTGAAAGCTCGCCACGGACAGGGCATATCTTGTCGTATCGAAGCCTGCTCCGATAACAGTGATAGCCTCCTGTTGTAGACGGGTCAAAGTGAGCTCTTCTGGAGGCAGATCAGAGTCTAGCAATGCATTGAAGACGTTTGTCTGCTCTGAGCCTTTCCGTTTTTCTTTGTTCGCAAGAATATCGGAAACTTGATCGGCCATTTCCTGCTTGTATGTTAGAGACACTGAAACGCTATTTTTACCATCCGCATCACTCTAACAGAGTGAAATGGATCATGAACTCATTCATAGAATACCTGATTATAATTATGCACAGACTTCAAGCCCGGCTGCAATGCCTCCACCACACCCTGTGGCAGAGAATTAAAAATAGTGGCAACCCAAGGGAACTGTGTAATCAAATGAACTCCATCCAGTAGATCGAATAACGCTTGGATGAAGGGAGATTTGAAGTCTGGTGCCTCGAGAAAATCATATCCACGATCGAGACAAAACCGGACAATGATATCCGATGCGATGCATCCCATCATCCAGTCAAGACGAAAGATCTTCCCGGTCCCTTGATACTCCCGTCGCAAGCGGCTGCAGAGCTTAGTGATCTGCTCCTGCATCATCGGTACGGCGTTATTGATTGCGCGTTTTGAGAAATATGGGTTGAGAGCTGCCCGGCGATGACGGTGGACCTCGTGTTTGTGTGTTGGGAATAAGCCATTAGGATTGTTGAAACGGTGCTCGAGAGCTTTCGGTTTATCCCATGGTAGTGATTGCGAGTACATCTCCTCGAAGAAGGAAGAATCCTGAATATGGATTTCATAAGGGCTTAAACGGATAATGGGGCCTTGGATTTCATAATTAACTCAGGTTCTTTCCCAATTGCCCAACCTCAACATCAAGGATTAAGGAAAAAACAAAATACATATGCTTACCATACTTCTCATGCAATTTGCGGTAATGCCACAGGTACTGTCCACCTGGAGATTTGAAGAATTCATAGTACGTTTCGTACCATTGAGTAAAAGCAGCAAGCTTAGGACCCGGAAAGTTTGCCAACGGATGCAATGTGATGCGATATATACCTAACACCAGACCGTACAGGAGAACAGCCACCACGGTCGCTGTGAAAAGAGCCACTGGAGACTGAAATGGTGGTCCAATAACCGTCACAAAGTCCTGGGTGAATCCCATGGTGCAGGGGTAGAATATTGTTCAGAGCCAAATGCCTAGGGATTTTTGCTCCGCAAGTTCGATACCCATAGACCCGGCAGTCTGGCACCACGATTTCTGCAGGAAAAAAGAAAGCCATTATCTCAAATATGACAGGCCCCTATAGTGGGTCATGGCTATGCGAACATGCACATCGTCGTCGAGTGGGAAAGTGAACGGATGATACGTTTTCGGTTATGGATTAGCATTGACCTTCGCCGAATTGTGTCTAGTTTCGGGGGTGTTGCCATATCGTCAAAGTCTCGTCTGAGTCTTCCTTGGAAATTGAAGGAGACCCACATCCTGCAGAACCAGACGATTGGTACGATCCGTAGTGCCGAGTATGCAACTATTAGACCCACCGCAGTAGTGAGAACACGGAGTAGTCGGCCACCTATCACATCCGTGGGAATAATCCACCGGATGTTCCTGATGGGCGACAGTAACTGCCAAATCAGTAAGCAGAAGCGACAATCTCTCGGAATACGCCGTATGAGGCCTGTCGTTGAGTTTAGACGCGGAATTGTCTGGTTGTCTGTGCAGGATACGTGCATCTTATTCAATATTTGATGTAAACATGCATTATACCGGCCAAATTAATCAAGCCTGTTTGTTTGTTCCTTTTCTTTTTTTTTCCAGCTCACGGGTTCCTAGAAATTAACTTATAACAGGTTATCTATAAGTGAGGAGAACTCGAAGCACTGGCCAAAACGGCCAGAATGTCCCCGTCGCACGACGTCCGTCTCCATAAATGGCGTAACTTAAAAATATGTCAAAGCGTTCGTACAGAAGTTCGGTAGATGGTGAAGTTAGTGGCTAGCTGTCCTCGTTGTAGATCCAGCACTAGGTCTTACAGGCTTCACGTGTGAGACTTAAGAATCAGTGCGCATGCAAGTCCCATTTCTTTCCAATGGTATCATCGGTGTTATAGAGTGATGGTTAGGGCTAGATCTCCCAGAGTAAAGCTCTATTCTCTATGAATTTGCCAAATAAAATCTTCCTTTTTCTCCTTGTGCGTTCCAGTTGGCGGACTGACTATAGATGGAGTCGAGTGTGTATGGATGACACCGTTCCAAGTACGGTCCAAATTATTCGAGGCATAGCTTGCGTTCAACTATATGAGATACCCACTTTCGCTACACCAAGAAGGAAGGAGGATGCTGGGGCGGGAAGGCAATAACAACGGCTTATATGCCAGGTTTCAAGCTTAACAGTTCATGCTCGATGGGATATATCAGCTGTACTCCATTTTACAAAGCAATCCAATTGGAATCAAAGCCGGTGTGGTTAGGCCAACGAAGCGAATCCTGTAAACCAGGAGGGAGATCCCTGCAAAGAGTCTAGGCTAATTAACAGTATCGCCCCGTTTCTTTCTTTATTTCAAATTTGCTTTCTGTCTGAGACTTTTTTTTTCTTTAGTTTGCTTGGACCGATGAAATAACCTTTCCTTCAGTTAGCGCGGACTTCATATGAAGATCGACAGTCGCTCACTGAACACCCGAATATAATGTGGAGCAATAAGCCAATCCTAGACACTTGGGGGATACGAGGGGCACCGAAACGATGATGCTATCTTCAACCAGCTTAGAAATCAAAAATATTTTCTGCGCCTGCATTGCTGCCATACGCGAATTCATTTGGACCGAAGGGCAGGCCATGCCGAAGACGTCTCGTCCGCACAGCCGGTTCACCATTGAGATTCTACTCGCGGCCCACTTTCATCGCACACTGTAGTAGCGACATTGACATTACGATAGTTAAATCCTGATGATGGTGCCCGGGAGGCACGCATGCCGCAAATGGTAAGAGTTGTGAGTCGCACAACTGACATGTCTGGGGCATAGCATGCAGACGCTGTCATCAACCTTACATATCATTCTCCTATAGCTTCCCAACGGTTCACGAGGGGCTATCATCAACCAAAGCATAATGGAAGGCGATTATCCTGTGGCAAATGGTAGATGCCGAACAGATTGCGCTAAATATTAGAAAGGCACTCTAAGACGTCATCGATCGTTGAGATTGTTGGCGAACTGCCATCGCCGTACGTACTTTTGTGTTTCCGAGTTGTCACAGGCTCCAAATGGAATCTGCAAAACGGCAAACCAGATGGTCCTGCAATTGAGGGCCACCGAGACGGGATTCAGGTTGAGCTGTGCGCTAATGATCGCCCTTATTCACTCCTTAGTTGGAGCATTGCAGGTCTCAACATCCTTCCGCCTTAAGACATGCTGAAGGACAACTCGGAATGTGCCCGCATATCTATTAGAAATAGTCCCTCTTGCTTAGGCTATTCAGCATTGTAGCAGTTTACATCGAAAGATGCCGAGGGATGCCACTAGAGGCTTCAATAATCAGCACAGATATACGGTACGCTTCGGTGCGGTCAATCGCGAACTCCGACTTTGTCAGAAGACCGAAAAACGATTCAACCTTCCAAGTTCCATGAACATATCTATGTAGCACTCAATAGATATTGTCGAGCTTGCCCGCCTAACATAGCCATCTCCCTTTATCACAACAGCACCATGTGGGTAAGACCATGAGTCTCTTGGAAACTAACCGCGGACCTGCACCCATCCAAGCCTATGGTCGAGACCAAGAATCTGTTCTAAAGGCTTGGTAAACAACAGAGGCATAGGTGATGTCCATGATTTATCGTATTATTAGCTCATCAAGCCCCTTGCAAACATGAGACGTGTAACCGCAGATCTCCGGGCTCCGAATCTGCACAGGAGCAAAGATTTGCAGAAATGTGTCACCTAACAACCAGATCTAGACCGGACCTGAATAGCAAAGAAATAGAGACACTTCCTCGCGAATTTATGTATAACTAACCAATTAGTTGGACTGCAGCCTCCTCCAGAGATCGTGAGCTTGAAATTTCTTTGGTGAGATTAGGGGTTGTTATCGCCTCGAAGGTGTTCAATAATTGACTAAGACTGTTACAGGCTTGTGATAGATCCGATGAACCGTATAAATCGAGGGATTCTCCACCAGCCTCCCCTAAAACTTCGCCCAACCTCTCCAGATCGGATCAAGCGGTGAGAGTCTGCAGGAAATTGATCTCTAACCTCCTAAGGCATCACGTCTATACTCCGACCAAGTGGCTTTTGACATGTTACCAGCGCATATATCGCGGATTTTCCATCGGACAACATTGGGTGAGATAATGGGCGAGGGCAGCCACTATGGGCTTGCTAAAGTTAATGTCAACCTTCGTTAAGAATGTGATAACATACAGTACGTGGGCGATATTGTTGGCAGTAACTCAACCTCGACACCTCAGAGGATGTCTACTCGAGCCTATCTAGTGTACGGATCAAGCTATCAAGCTTCGCAACAGCAGGTGAAATGGACACTATTCGACATTCAAAGACATTCATAGTGCAAGATTCCATGTGAATTTCTCACGGAGAATTCATACTCATCGCGGTCACAGATCCTCAACCCAAATCCACAGAGGTCCGTTCAGCCGCAGGGAGTATCGTATGCAGCCAGCCCTGCTGATCGGGATGCATAATTGATGCGACTACGTATTGCCTTCAGGAAGCAACCTCTCCGCAAACAATTGTTTGCGAATCACATCCAATAACCGTCGAGGAGTGCGTCCGAGTGCAATGCAGAACCAGGCGGGATACGTTTTATGCGATAAAAGTGGCAAATCTCAATGTGTGCGCCCATTTCGCTAATTCCCATCGCGAGCACATTTCAGCATGCTTTCACTCTGCTGGACGACTCTTTCGCCGAGGATCAAGGACGCTGAACACAGCCCGGTTTATTGTGGCGCCTAATCCTATACCAGCCGAGCTTGCCACACGGGTGGATACCAACCATCTTTGTTGTCTTGGGGCTGATGCAGTCCTACCTGCGGGTACCTCGCTCCTGCTTGGCACAGTTAGGGTCTCATACTCACTACAACTGGGGGAGCTAGGCAAGATCTTCACCTAGTTACTCGAACCTAGGAACACTCATAGGGCTCGATGGACTTCTCAGCCTTGTACACAGCCATCCGATAACGTCATGGTTGACTGTGATGGGCTTTGGCAAATTGCGCTAGAGGCCCAAACATGCTAGTGGATGGGCCATTCTATACCCCATCCACTTTATCGAATGCCGATATTGACAAATTCAATCGGGGGCGATGTAACACGAAAAGAGTGCCAAGATCGAAGATCTCCTAGGTTTGAAGACACACGAGCTCCACCAGTAGCTTGCCAAATCAGATCCTCTCCACAGGTCCCGAAAATCTTATAGCGGAGCTTGAATTTAGGTAACAGCTTTTCCCCCTCCTTGCCACGGCCGCTACGTTATAAATACTGGACGATGCCGTAACAACTCCTCAGGTCAAGTTAAGTCCTACGTCTACAACCCTGTCATTTTACTCACAATCATATCAGAACGTTCACCATGGGCCTTACAATCCACACCGTCGGAACCTCCACCCTCCAGCGCGGGGCCGAGCGCGCCGTCATCACCCTCGACGTCGCCAGCGATGGAAACGACCAATCCACCGTCTCCCAAGATGTAACCCGCACCTCCAACCGCCTCCAGTCCCTTCTCAAAGCGATCGCGCCTAAGCAAGAATCCGGCGACCCCGCCGTCGACGCCCCCGTCACATTCTGGAGCATGAGCTCCATCAGCACCGGCAGCTATATCCCCTGGGACCACGAGAAGCAAGAACACCGGGCGCGCGTCTACACGGCGCGGACGAACTTCGAGGTCAAATTCCGCGATTTCAGCAAACTAGGCGAGTTTGTGTCGGACGTTGCGAAGGATCCGTTTGTATCGGTGCGGGACATCGATTGGCAGTTGACGGACGAGACGAAGCAGGCGCTGGGTCAGGAGAGCAGGAAACTGGCCGTGTGGGATGCCCTGGCCAAGGCGAAGGATTATGCTGGTGCCTTGAATATGAGTAATTTGCGGCCCGTTGAGATCGATGATGTGCAGGGGCACTCTGCGCCCGCGATGTATGCTTGCGCGAGGAGGGCCCCGGCCTTTGGGGGTTCGGCGGGGGAGCAGGCGTTGAATTTTGTGCCCGAGGATTGTGAGATCCGCTGCTCGGTTAAGATGCGGTTGGAGGTTGAGTAGGTTTGTGGACGGGCGGAGGCTGCGAAGTGAGGGCATGCTTTAAAGGATAGTTTGATACCACGGTTGTTGACTTTGGATGCCGTTTTATATACCACTGAACAAATTGCGGGAATCTGTCATATTAGGGTCAAAGCACAATTGCTACCGTAAAAGTCAGGTAGGGTAGAAAAGTAGGCAACGAAGATATAAAATAGAAAGAAAGGAAAAAGTGGGCGTGAGGCAGAGTTGCCCCCAATTGCCTTGGCTTTCCCTACATGGTGATATAGGGGCATTAACCGGATGGCAAGAATTGCATAGCAGAAAGCAGAAGGTGAAATATGCAGCTAGGCGAAGAAAACGAGAGAATAGGACGAAATCAAAGATTTAAAAAGAAAAATAGATTGCATCATCCGTGAATCGAACACGGGCCTCATCGATGGCAACGATGAATTCTACCACTAGACCAATGATGCTGGAAAGAAATGGTCCCGGAGAGGCTCGAACTCTCGACTTCTGAGTTATTAGCTCAGCACTCTAACCGACTGAGTTACGGGACCACTTGTTGAAGTTCGCTGTTGCTATTATGCTAATTGAGCCTGTGCTATAGTAGTGCTGGGCAGCTGCTTGCAGTGCATTCGATACAGCCTATTGATATGCTTGTTCTTGCTATAAGCTTGTTTTATCCCTTAGGGAAACATTATATGCTTCCCTTAGGCCGTGTTCTAGCAGTCTGATTGTTTGCTCTGTTCAAGGTTGGGTTGTCGGTCTTCTTGGGTAAATTTATATGACAAGATCATGAAGCTACTCATGGTATCGTCATTCAGGCCAGTCTCAATACAATAAATATATTTGGGTAGAATCCAACTGACGGTTAGAGTAAACTAGTGGCATGTGTGGTAGTATAACAAGACTTTAAATGTCCACAGCCAAAAGGGAGAAGACAAAAAGCTACGCGTGCACGCATCCATGCATACCAATAAGCCCGTTTGAAAACCCAGAGATATAAACACTCAGTCAGCCTGCTTCAAAACATAGTATGTCTCATATGAAGTATGGAGGGCTTCAACGAACTCTAGGCCGGCCTCTTTGAACCATTCCAGGAGCTCCGGCTCTCTAAACACCCTCAGCACAGTTTCAATACGATTCTCTTCTATAATATCCTCACCGCCGGCATCAGTCCGCTTGACCACCTGAAGCAGATAGCGATCAGTCTTGATTGGCCCATCGACGACCGAACTCTCAATCGGCAGTTGCCTATAAACAATACCGTCATAGAGCTTACTCGGAAAATCACATTGATCGTGCACATCTACACCCGTTGTACTCCCTTTCGTGGGCTGCGGGGACAATTGCGTTGATGTCAGATCATTTCGCACAGATAGATAGAAGCGTCCTGACCGCGGTCGAAGCAGCGCAGCAGCCTGAGCGAAAAACCCCAAGGGCTCATTGGGACTGATAAGATGACTGACACTGCCGCCTGCGAAGAGGAGTAAATCGACCTTGTTGATGTGGTTCTCTAGCAGCTCTGACGAGGTGAGATGGAGGGCTTCTCCGACGAGCCAATCAATGCGACCGACTTGTGACATGCTCCGTGCCTGCTGTTGCGCGGACATTGCACGATGGATCATCGCTGGTTCCTTGTCGACCCCGAGGAACTCGACATTTGTCAGAGGGATATTTTCTCGCACGGCATGGTCGGCGAGATTGACAAGTACGCGCCCAGCGCCTGTACCGACGTCTAGGATGACGAGGTGTTCACCGTGGTGGTCAAGAGGCGAGTAAGTCTCTAGCTGATCCTTGAAGGCAGAGGTGTAGATCTTTGCATCATCCTGCGCATTCAGGGACGTACCACATGCCCTCGCTCGCAGGTTGTGGTATTCCGCCAGATAAGCGGAGTCATGGAGCTCACTCTTGCGTCCTTGGCCGTCGCTCATAGCGCTTTCTCAAGAGAGACAAGATATGGTTACTATAACGGGTCTATAAGCAACGCAGCGAGCTTCAAGATAAGTAACTTGTAAAGACGCTGTACTAGCTAGGTGGGGTACAATTGGCATATGTATATACCAGGCCATCCTTAGGATCGACTTATCGATTCTTGGTGTTTGTGAAGGAAGATACAATGATGAGTAATGAGGGAAGTGGCAACAGAGTTGATGTAAGACGTGGCTCGTGCGCACCCAAACCCTGGGAACTAAACGTGGGGAAATTCAACATCGACAAGCTAAATATGGAAAGTTTGAGAAGTATCACGGATGTTTCCCAATAATAAACTTGAAACACAATTCAAGTGGTAATAAAACTTATAATATACATTAATGCGAAGTAAACATGGGCAAAGTTCTCCAGTGGTAGGTGACATATCACGACGCTAATTCATGTTGAAATCGGTGCCCGCGAGCTTCTACCGGACTGGCCTGTTGCAGTCTGAACATGCATTGCTTCTCTCCAGCGGCAGTACTGCCAGAAAGATAGATTTAGGCCCTGTTAGCCTGAAACTCCCTTGCGCATCTATGGGAAAACCAGACTACGGCCGGAAGGGCCAGCAAATTTTGCACATCCAAGCCCGACACCAACACCGAGTCCCACCTTTACCTGCGTTGACATTTCAGATGGATCGGAGGGTACGGTGGGTAACGAGACGGGGATAGACGAAGATTTTGATGTGCTATATCCCACGGATGTTGGAGCCCCTGTCATGCTAGTTGGTGTCAGTGCCATGGTAGTAGGCAACAGTGTCGTGCTAGTACACATCGGTATAGTGCTAGTAGGTGTCAGTGCGTCGTCGTCGGATCTTTCGCTCTTTTAGTGATATTGAAGAAATGGCTAGCAAAAGAGATTTGGGCCCATTGGGTCATTAGCATTCTCGGATCTGAAGATAAAAAACGTTTCCACCGTCTAAGTTTCGCTGGGTTGACACTATCCAGTTATATTTCACTCGCTCGGATAGGTTTGCTGTTGTTTTCTGTCAGGCTGGAAGAAACGAGAACCTGAGAAGCATGGCGAGTAAGGACATACTTTGTAGCCATTCGTAATAGGGATTGTCCTTTTGCCGTAGCAGAATCGAAAAACCCTCCAGGCTGGTGGACTCTCGTAGCTGAACCACTTGCTCAAGTTCGTAAACCGGATTATGCCTATCCATATGAATAGCATCCGCTAGTGGCGGATTATAGATGGTACCCAGCTCCACTTGGACCGAAGGATGGAGCAGCAGTGCAAGTACTAGGGGTACCTTTAACATGTTCTTCGAGGGTCTTGCAAGAACAGGACATCAAACTTCAAAGACATTCAGTGGAACGGGTGCAGGTGTTGATACAAAGACTTCACAAGTGAGGAAGTGTTCATTCTTGGGTTCGGAAAGAAAAGTCAGGGTTTGCTTGTGCTACCCTAAAGACGATCCATTCTGTAGGGCTGTAGGGCATTGCTTTCACTCTTTGAGGGAATTTGACCTCTAGCGATGTTTGAGTTGTCTTAAAAATCCGACATTAATATAGAGTCTCTCTTTGGCGCTGTCATCGGAGGAAATGGTGCCTCTCTCTCCTTCTGTATGTGAAAGGGAAATTCCTAGAAACATATCCAATAGAAAAGGATTGGAGATATAATGTTTTAGTTCAACAATTCTTCCCATAAGAGCCCTCAAGGGGCATCGATAGGGTTGGCAAGGACCTGTGAGACCTTCGAGTCGAGGTATTAATAGACAAAGAACTCCGCAGGGCAGAGAAACGGGGCTTGTTGGCGGGAAGGAAGATGCACCATTGGATCCCGTTCATGCAACTAGGGCTCTGGTCTTAGGGACCTGGGGCGGAAATACCACCCTGGGGGTGGCGCCAAACTCCTGAAGAGGAAAGATTGGCGTTTTAATAACCGCCACTAAATGTCTCTTTGCTTTGCTTACCTTTCAAATCCCCCAATTCTCTCCCCAGATTTTCTCTGTAATCCTCACACACCATGGCTGCTACTACAACATCTTGAGCCTGAAGTTGCGAAACAAAGTGAATCATGCTAGTCGCGACACGCCAGACTCTCTTTATCGGAATTGGCGTTAGCCTTCTTTTGCTGCTTTTGTATATCTCGAGGAGCTCTCTGTCCCAAGCAACTCGGATAGTTACTCCAACTCCAACGGCCCCAGCCCCGCCTCTTCCACCGATCCATCACAGTGCAGACAATGCTACCTTGGGGGTACGGCTCATCCGCACACCTTGCGCTTTATATTCTATTTGGTCCTCCGGAACGTTACCCAGCTGACCTTTGACGAAATAGTTTCAAAAGATCCTCGCTCTCTCCACGGGTCCTTCATGGCGAACTCGGGGATTATTAGCTGCCGCAAACCTGACAGGCCTCTCCATTGATATTCCACCACAGCCACCAATTCACCCTGACCTCGTTACAACATTTGAAACCCTAGGACAAGATGGCATTGAGCGACCTACCCACGGTGCAAGCATTGCCTGGCTTGCGCATCTCGATATCATCAAATACACAATCCAAGCAGACCTCGACACTGTCCTAATCCTCGAAGACGACGCAGACTGGGACGTATCCATTCGCTCGCAAATGATCAAGGTAGCCGAGGGCGTCCGCAATCTGACAAAAACAACCGAGATTGGTACTGCACCGTATGGCCGTGACTGGGACGTCCTTTGGATCGGTCACTGCGGGGAATACTGGGAAGACATGTACGAGACGATCTTATTCGAGGATCCCACTGCATGCCCCCATAAATACTACTTTGGCTGGGCGAAGTCGTTCGTCGAACGTATGCCGGATCACCAGCGCGCAGTGTATAGGTCGGTCAATCCGGTGTGTTCTTTCGCATATGGTTTGTCACGGCCCGGCTCTCGGAAAGTGCTGGAGCTGCTAGGTGCAGGGCAGGACGAAGCATTTGACGTGAGCATGATGCACTCTTGTAAAGCTGGAAAATTGAACTGTATATCGGTTTTGCCCGAGGTTGTGCATCAGTATTTTCCCAGCCCAGCATTCGGAGTCAAGAGTAAGGTAGATATTGGAAATGGGGAGCAGGCTGGTCCTGACGAGGCTGAGTTCGAGCATATCAAGGGTTCGACGGAGAATATTCTTGAAAGTGCGCGATGTCGTGCTTTGTGGGATCAGAGATGCTTGAAGGAATGATTTTCTTTTTCTTGTTCTTCAGATCGGTTGGTTATGTTGCCGTTTTTTTTTTTTTTTTTGCACATCCCTGGACACTTCACCTATGTCTACCAAGCCATGCTTGGCGTTGGGAGTTAAATGTTTGTATTATTTCAGGATTTCTATTTCGTTATTTGTCTGTTTGTCTTGAACGGATACTGTAGAAGTGATTCTGGATACAATGTGAATGAGGGCACCTAGATCTTTCTGCAAACTCTTACGCCTCATATACTTAGCGAGGAATTGTTCCATGCTTTAAATGGAGTATTGAAGAAGAATAAGTAATCATTCATCATTTCGTTATTTGGCATACGAATTATTATCGTCTCTAGTCACATCATTCGTTCCCCATTACAGCTTCTCCAAGAACACAACCTTGCTGCCATAATCCGAGTTGAAATAATACTGCAGGCCCATGTTCATCAAGGTCGAACCAGAGTATGATCCACTTCCATCGACACTATACAAGGCCTTGGGATCCAATCCTTGCAGCCTGATCCAAGGAGTAGCATGATTGACATTAGCGGCAAGCTGGAAATAGAAGAGGACTGCATGATTGCCATCCTCCGAGATGAACAGCGCCGCCGGCCAGTTGGACTCTTCAGGCAGGCTGAGACGCCACATATCACCAGTCAGTACGATCGGGTTGACCTTCTCAGCCAAAGCGAGGAGTCCAGGGACTTCAGCCTTCTCGTCCTCGTGCAACTCAGCTGGGTCAAGCTCGAGACCAAATGATCCGCCCATCATGGCGACGTGACCGCGAAAACCTACCGGAATGGTGCGTCCTGTCTGTGCATTCGGCACTGCGGAGAGATGTGCACCCATTGCGCTGGGTGGGTATGCCAGCGAGGTACCAAACTGGATCGTAATGCGTTCTAGGGCATCAGTGTTGTCAGAAGTCCAGATTTGGGGGAAGTACTCGAGCACACCGGGATCGAAGCGTCCACCGCCTGAGGCGCAACCTTCCCAGAGGACGTCAGGGAAGCGCGTGGTCAGAGTTTCGAATACGCGGTACATGCCGAGAATGTAAGCATGGTCACTGCTGGGTGAGGATGACTCGTGCATTGCCCGGTTAAAATCCCACTTTACGTAGGAAATGGCTGAGCTGTTCAGAATGTTGGTAACAGAATCGATGATATAGTCCTGCACCTCGGGCAAAGCAAGGTTCAGTACGAGCTGGTTACGTTGCAAGGTGCGTGGGTATTGACCGGCATGGAGCACCCAGTCCGGATGTTCACGGTATAGACTCGAGTTGGGATTGACCATTTCTGGCTCAACCCAGATACCAAAGCGGAGGTCGGTCGATGAGTTCGCCGCCTTCAGCTTTGTGACATCCTGTACCAGAGGACCTAGGCCATCGGGGAAACGGTCCGGATTGGGCACCCAGTCGCCCAGACCGGCGTTGTCCGAGGTGCGTGGGTACTTGTCGCCGAACCAACCGTCGTCCATCACGAAGAGTTTCACTCCTAACGCGGCCGACTCTTCCGCTAGGCGATAGATTCTGCTCTCGTTGAAATCAAAATAGAGACCCTCCCAGCTATTGAGCAGCACGGGGCGGTCCGACGTGGCAAACTTGCTCTTGATCAGATGATTGCGGTATAGGCGATGCAACGAGCGAGACATGCCGCCGATACCATCCTTTGAGTAGACTGAAACACATTCCGGAGAGGTGAGCGTTTCACCGGCGGCCAGCTGCCAAGACAGCTGACTGGGATTAAATCCCAGAAGTGCGCGTGTGAGACCCTGGGATCCCTTCTCGACATCTACGGCGAATGAGCCAGTGTAGACAAGCGAAAATCCCCATACCTCGCCATGAGCTTCGGTTGTGGAGGGATGCGTTAACGCAAGGAAGGGGTTGTGTAGATGAGAAGAGAAACCAGTGCTGCTTCCGAAGCTGTACATTTGGGAGTGTATCGTCAGTTCGCTGTTGCCAGCACAAGTGTTTTCTGAAAGTCACTAACCCTTGAGTTCCATATTCAACCTTTCGCCTTTGGCGATGGGCTTCTCTCGCCCAATCACCTCTGAGGCTAATCATATCAAGATCCTCGTAAGGGAAATCGACGCTGAAACTAGACAGGGCCTCGACCGTGATGTTTTGAGTGCCCTTGTTCGTAACATTTGCACTCCGTACAATCGCGTCGTACTTGGGAAAGATGGAGTATGACAAGTCGGCCGCGATAGAGCTGTAGTTGTCGTACAGATGTACCACCAAGGTCGTGACATCCTCCTCAGTACCGTAGGTCGCAGGCAGACCCGGCAAGGCAGGTTTTCCCCGAATCACTGAATGAGACTGATACTGCAGATCGGTTACAGTGTAGCCTTCGGACTGGCGAATTCGAACCGCAGGAATACGGAAGTCTCCTCGGCCTTGATCTGGGAACTCACGGCGAAAGCGGCCCTCCAAACCGACCCAACCGCCAACTCCCTCAGGCCCAGATGATGGAAACAGGTCACCCGTGATGCTACCACCGAAATGATCGGATACCAGGTCGCCATTGGTCTCGTTTACACGGAAGCGGTATGAGACATTCTCGCCATTAAGGGTGAAGGTCTTACCGTCCACGACAACCGCTGTACGTGTGTCAATTGATATGGGAGCTCAATAGATGGTTACAGAGAACTGGCTTATCATTGTTCACTCACCGTCGCTGGAAGAGTCCTGCGCCATGACTGATAGGCCGTTTCCAAATACCGTCAGAAGGCCTGCAGCTGCCAAAGCAGCTCGCTTTGTGGAGCCAAACATCTTGTGTTAAATGAGAGAGAAGTGCAGTTGAGGCGATCCGAGCCCCCAATAAGGATGGGTATCCATGCATTTAAATAGTCTCGGGGAAGCATGCAAATGATTATTCCCCCAATCAATTGCCAAGTCGCATTCCCACACAAGCATCGTCATTATTGCCCTTTTCACCGACGAAGAGTTGGATTCGATGTTGACAGAAGGCATTGGAAGTGGGCCGACGAAATTCGCGCATCTATTCGAACAGAAATGAACGCTGATTTCTCTTCCATCGTCACGTCATGGTTCCTTTTGAGAAGTTGGGATGAACAGACCGATTCCTCATCTAGGAATGTGGGGGTTTATCTTGCCAAATGCGGAGGAATATCGGGGAAATTGAGTAGTGTTTTTCTTTCCCCCACATACCCCGTACCCCCATGTCCACTCTTTCCGAGGGAGACTTTGGACTCTGGAGGACCATTGGGGTGCATTCTTATGCTCGAACTGAGTAGGACCTACTGTACGAAGTCTACGCTACGGGCAAATCTCCGAGAGTTTGTAAAAAGCTCGGTGGAGCAAAACCATATAATCCTCGATAGACTGACTGAATAAACTTTAGTGATAAGTATGCGGGGTGTTCGTTGCTTTAGATCGGATTTTGGGGACCTTTCAGAATGACGGAAATCTAGCCCACGGAGTCTATCCGAAGCCGGGGCCTTCTTTCGCCTCGGAGCTATCTCCGTCGCTCGTATGTGCAAATTATCCTGTGCCCCGAGGCCATACCGCTATGGTTCTTACCGAGTGAGGCTGCCTGGAGATCGGACCACTTCGGTCTCTTCCTTGTCTTCCCCCCCAAAGTGATTCTGCTATATAGATAGTATGATCAAGAATGAAAGAAAGGTCACTAAGGACATCTAGCCAGGAGCCTGCATGATCATACCATTTCGGTGCCCATAGATAACTCGTCTTGGCGTACCTGAGCCGAGAGTATAGGTGAAGGACATATAGCCAGGGAAGAAATTCCATCTTTAAAATGAAAAATTCTCTGCCACTAACCTCCTAGGGCGCAGATTTCACACAATGCACCCCCCATTCGTGGGGAAATTATCCGCTTACATCTCTAGCAGAACTAGCAGGCGTGGAGCAAAAGCAGAAGGATGTGTCAGAGCCAACAAGAAGTCTGTTAATCTATGCAGTACCATTCCTTGAGGCCCACTACATTTCCTTTGCAAAGTTTGCTCGCCCCTCTCCAGCCATGCCCTGTAATGCACGTTCTCGAGCTTCAACAAACATTTCAGGAGCTGGCTCGTAAGTCCTATTGGAGGTCTAGCCATCACGGTCAACAAGTCCGTCCAGAAGATCCCAAAAATCCTCTTGATCATTCCAGCCTTCTCCTTCCCTATAGTGTATTTGTTTATCCTCATCGGAAAACAATATTGGACACGAAACCTTATTGTTAATCTCTCCCCAATACCTGTATCGGTTTTGTTGGTCAGTCACAGGGCCACTATACTCACTGGAAAAGAGAGACCATACCGTGTAAGGCGAATAAGACACTCGCTGAACGCTAAAACATCATCATTCCAGGTATTTGTGGAAACTGCACAACCTAACATCTCGTCCGCCCATGAGGTGTGTGGAATTTTTCGTGAAGGATAGGATCTGCACGCTCCGTGTTAGATTTGTATGCCTGAAGTACTACCGACTTCTCTACGCATTGTCTGACTCGGCATCTCTCATCTTCGTTCTTGATAGAACCGTAGTATTTAAGGAGCTCTAACAACATCTCTCCTTCGTACTGTACGAACTTTGCATATCGAGCTTGGAGTAAAAGGGGACCGGGGCGTCCTGCCAATCGATCACTCCAGTAATCTTAGTCCCGACGGCAAATATATTGGGGAATGGAGGTCCCAATGCCAGATGGTTACTTGTTTAACCTGTGGTCATTCGGAAAAGATAGTCGAACACACTCAGAAACTTTTCGTAGAGCTCAATATGGGCATCAGAGGAGTGTTGTGCTTCTGGGTTTTCGGGTAGATCTTGTTCCTTTGGAGTTGCATAGCGGCTAATCCAAGTGATTTCTCGTTGAGCGATTGCCTTCAGATAGCCATTACAGTGCTTCACTACGTGAAATCTTCAGTAAATCCCATTAAGAGTAGTAGAGAAGCACTCAGAAGGCCCTTGATCCATATCAAGAACAGCCCGCTCTTTATCCCAGAATTCCTTTTTGGCAACTGGCCCTATAAAAAAGCGACGATCCACTTCCATCTTCTTTGACTCCGGTATATCACTCGTAGCCTCAGCCTTTTCACATCCGGGAAACGAATTGTCTGCAAAATATAGACTCCCGTAACTAGAATGACTTACTCAGGTTCCCAGGAGAAACATATCAGTGAAACAATACACAGACAGACTAAACGAGAACGATAAACGTTTACTTTCGAGCGAACAATCTCATCTACAATCTTCAGCTTGTCTTGTAGTTTTAGATTGACCTAGAGTTCATTAAGTTGTGTCCTGGCGGCCTCTTCTACCAGGATATACTCAGATTCTACAGGGTTTTCCGCATCCCCACACTAAGACAAGATCTTGGGAACCGGAATTTCAAGAATAGCCCTTGCCTGTCTTGTTAGAACGGTACCTACTAACGAATGCACGCATTGCCAAACGCACGAAATCCATGGCCGCGACCTCCGACACTGTGGTCTTGCACGAATGGCCCACATTGGGGTACGATATACGTGCTGTGACAGAAGCTCCGTTGCCCATAACAAGTCGGAACACTTTATTGAACCCTCCCTCTGCCACCTTTGTCACCGATATACATTCCTTCCTTCGCACCGGGTTCTCTGGCGGCGAAGTTCTTGAGCTCAGGGACGTTGAATCGTCTGTAGCTATTTTAAACCTGGGACTCTTCATCCCATAGCCATCGTCCGCTGGTATAGTGGAAGGGTTTCTTGTATTCGGATTTCGATTGGTCGGATATAATGCTATAGGGTTGTCGTGGAGGACGAGATGTTATGTTGAAGAGAGAATTGCGGCACACGCGAACACCCACTATGCGGCGACACGATTGGATATATAAACGCATGGTGGCTTCTGAGTAGTGTTTTAGCTGTATCTTCTGATATCTAAGTGTATTGCAAGAGGCATGGGTTAGTACTAGAAGTAGCAAGGGATGGCTGACGTCCAGATATGTTGCCAGATCTACGGCAATGCAAGGGAGATCCAATTAATTCAACTAACAAAGATCCATGTCACACAAGTTTCCCAAAAGAGCGTTCTAATCTTCGCTGTCTCGCTGAAGTTGTTTTATTAGTGAATATGGTAGACATTCTGATTTTTTGTATAATCGAAGTAGTCATCTCAGTGTAACCATCTCTAAAGAAGGGAAGATCTAAGATTCTCACAGTAGTTTCGAGATACACCGGCTGGTGATCCTGTGCCTACTATATGGGTCCTACAATCACTAGATCGTGATGCCCTCAAACTACGAAGCTTAGATCAGGACCTTCCGATACAGAACCAGGAATTGACATAGCTTATAGTAATCACCTACTCGAAGAAAAACGCTTATGCCAAGGCGAATTGGAAAACAACTTGAGATATCCAAACGCTAGTAAGGGCAATTTTGTTAAATCAGCAACAATCGCTTTAGGCTGTCTTCGTCCTCCTCTGCCATTGTTAAACCAAGCCCTAGAGAGCAAATGTCCACCACTTAGCATCCACCCTGAAGTATCCTCCAGCCAATGGGTGGTGCACCCTGTTTGCCGATGAGCTGATTCCAGAAGACAACCTTTCCGTCGCTCCGAGGATGGCTCAGCTCAACCATAAAGCTCATTTCCTTACTACAGGAAATGGGCATAAATCGCTGGATCCAGCCCTGGTGTACTTGAAACGTGGGGAAAGTGACCATTCCTACAGTGTGCCGCTTACGTGGCTGGTTATCCCATGTAGGCGTATCAAATCGATCAACAGCCCAAACCTCCATGGTCGTGGTGCCTTCGGCATACCGATTCTCTCGTATGGCAGGAATCTCGATGACGAGAGTGCACGTCTGGTCGTGGTACATGATAGGCTGGAATGTCACGACAGATTTAATTCTCTGGTCGTCGCCGTAGCGGCTTACAGCGAAGCGCTGGCCTGAGTTATGTTCGTGAGGATTGTGCGCGTCGAGAATCTCGATATATGATGGACCTTGGATTGTGCAAAAGTCGGAGGGCACGAGTATCTCATCCAGGTGGCAGGTTCCCGGCTCGGTATAGGCAGCGTAGTGTCTGTCGTGGATGGGTTCAATAAAGTCATCATCTAAGGGGTTATCGGGGTACTGAATGATTTAATAGTTAGACTTGTACTGTTCAAACTTTGCTTCTGAGGGTAGATAGCTCGCTTCAGACAAGCATGAAATAGATACACATGGTATCTTACCGGGCAATGAAGTGGCTTCTGGGTCTGCCATGGAGCGCCCGTTGCAACGTGTAGAAGGCAAGGAAGAACAAGCAGCAAATGAAGCATTTGGACTAGTAGACACAACTCCTACAATCACAATGTCAGGGCTTCGAAGGTGTTGGTTGATTAGAGAACGGACGTCATGGATCCTTCTAGCTGGATTGGTAGACAGGACGGGAGAAGGAAGAGAACTGTCCAAGCATTTATATGTCCACAAAGTGCTTACCAAGACCAAGTCCATATCACCTTACTGTTTTTAGATCTCCAAGGAAAGGTTCCCCGCTCTACGACACTGTTACAGTATTATAAATTGCATCTTGCTTCCTCCAAGTGACCCAGCCCAACCAATACCAAGAGATATTGCTCGATCAGCACGGCAATGTGAAAGCTTTAGTGGCTCATAATGTATCTGTTATGCCACAACCATCATGGGGAATCTACTTCCAGAACGAAGATCTGGTGGTTTAGACAGACGATCATCAAGCGATAGTCAAAGTGGAAGTTTCCGCGACACTACCCTTACCGGTCCAAATATGAACAAAGATGACAAGGCGTAACGGTCGGGGTTGAAATACAAATCCGGTATGCTTGGAGACAAGAAATAGAACCATAGAGCTTTTGGCATCATGTCGGCTACCGAAAATTTATATCGGACAAGTAACCCATTGATTCTAGCTTAGGTTTCACAAGCCTGCAGCAGGAGCTACCTACACCTGAGGATTTGAAATAATCAGAGCTCCATATCAATACCGCGAATGCTGAAGATCAGAGCTAAGCAGGAAGAACTCTACATAGCCTCCAGCCCATCATAGCATGACTACTGTATCTTAGGTTTCTTCCATTTGCACAAGCTGCGTTTATACCGCATAGAAATTAGATGGCAAACCCCAATAAAGCTAGGTACCTTTCTATCCAAGGAAACATTGGGGTCGCTACTGTAGGAGAAAAGAAAAGCCCTTCTCACATCTCAGTAGGCATTTCTTCAAACACAGTGATTATATGACAGTAGGCTGAATGATGACGAAGGCCTTTATGCGCTCACCGCACATCAAAGACATCCCTGCGTTAACAGCGCCCATACCCAATGACTAGTGAAGATTTCGTAGCGGACCTTCGTAGGTACCCAGTCTGCTACGCCAATGCGAAACACTCTGCGGCCTCATTTACAACAGCTAGAGTTCGAATTCGAAATACTGCATAGAACCGATGCCCAATCATCCAAGTATATCATGCAGACATTGCTTACCCATGGAGAAATGATAGTTTCCCGAACCTGCCGGAGTGATTGCGTGTACCATAGTCCCGAACGCAATGGTTGCTCCGGTTATGAAGTCACCTAGTTTACCTGCAGCCATTACACCCAGAGCGCGGGATAATGACGCCAGATTTTGACTAGTGCTAAGCGACGTCAAGATGACAAATCAATCGGTAGTTTTGTTGTGACTGGACAGTGCAGGTACATGTATTTTGCGAGGGTAGAAGAGCAAAGTTTCAAGATATGACATGTCATCTCGCCACAGGATATAAGAACTGCGAAGATCAACCACCAACTTTAGCAAAGTCTACTTCTTGAATACTTTGCTCCTTAATCGGCCTTTAACTAGATAAGGATCTAATCCCTTTCAGTTGCTCTCGACACGGCAATGCATCTCATCCGAATTTTGCCAATCCTAGCAGCCAACCTAGTGGTTGGCTCCTCCATTCCCAATCTTTTTATCGGTACTATTGAAGGGTGTGGAAGCAACAAATATGGACCGGACTGGTATGTTTGGCCCGAGGATGTGTCAAGATGCGCGGGAACCGACCTAGGCCCGGTCAACTCCTACCTCGAACACGGACTATGCGACAAACAAACAGTCATACCAGGTCATGGAAATATTTCGTTTACCGGTTGCACAGCTCGTATCCCTCCTTATGGACAGGGGGGACCCCCTACTGGCGTCTCCGAGAGTGGCGTTCCAGTATTGATCTGCACACCCGCAAGTCTGCCCGAAGCGGATTGTCCTTCGCCCTGTAACTACGGGCCACCCGTGACCGTTACTACCAACTACACATGCGTGAAGAGGTTGAAAGACTCAAAAAGATGACCCATTCTATACTTCAGTCTGAAGTGTCCATTTGCTTGTTCGGCTTCACATCGTTGAGCGCGCACCATCCGCCAATTATCCTTTGCTTCAGTTGTCCAATATGGATTATTCGCAAGCATTTCATTCCTTTATCCAGAGCTATGTGTCAAGAAATTGTCGGGTTTGGAATAGCTACTGATATCCATGATGGGAACTCTCTATCTATGTTAATAATGAATATTCCACTGTGCGTACTCCACCCAATTATTCACGTAGAGATCCCCGCCTGAGCTGAGTCCGACGTAGATAGCAGATCTGGCGCATCATATATACCCCGCATGCAACACCATGGTACATATTGAGATAGGATCTCTCTCCCGAAAATAACGTAACATCTTCCTCACTTTAGCGCCACAGTTCAAGAATAGTACCATTGACCAGCTCATGCACCTCTCTCGCTATATCAACGACCCTCGCAACTTATATAGGATAAATCCTGGAGACAATCAATACAAGAGGAGCATTAGACTGCCGCAGTACAGGGTGATCAGATTACCATGATCTATTTGGAGTCGGTCGTTGCTGATGCCGTAGGATGGTGCGGTCCTTCGTCATCGAGTTGGCAAATAAGACGAAGAACGCAACCGGTGCTGACGCTGGCCTGACCAAAGTTGTTCGTGGATATGTACAATACTTGCCGAATTAGTTGTCTCCATGGGGGTTTTAGTGTGCTATGCTATGATACACTCAACTGTTAACTTGGGCTACTCGTTTTTCGGTATAGTACCTTGCAATTTATTTAGTCAGGGCCATTGTTCTCGGCCCATATCTTAATGAATACAAAACCTGTCGATAATTCCTGAAACCAGTCACATCATATCCACATTCACAAAGATTCATAATCCCTCAACTACACACAGGGCGTGGGTGGGGGGGCCCCGAGCGTAACCGCTCTCCACCTATAGGCCTGATCGCAAAAAGACGCATGCACTTCGATTTACAATAACAGGTACTGGGGGTTTGACACATCCCTTAAGTAGCGGGTCACTCTCGATTAAATTATCCGAAATTATTCTCGTTCCCGTTACGGGTCTACAATACTCGAGTATCACCGTAATGTCCGAAGAACAGGCGTCATATGGTAAGGAGTCCAGGCCGATCATAGCTGTAGTCCACAAACTGACGCTTCACTAGTCACTCTTGATGTATTTTCTTCAGAGATGTACCAACTGATGCCCGGGATTAAATACCCGTGTGCCTCTATCAGCTGAACAACTCATCTAGACTCAAGGGAAACCCTCTCGCCATCGTAAAGACCGGCGATTGCAAGCTATCGCAGAAACAGAAGCAACAGATCGCAAAGGAATTCAATTTCTCCGAAACGGTCTTCTTGCACCGTGCTGACCAGGATAGGTACCCTCGGGCAGACATTTTCACCCCCGTCAATGAGATGGAATTTGCTGGTCATCCTATCATTGGTACCGGTCATTTTCTCTTCCGTCAACTATCAGCCAACAACCCCGGCGGATCAAGCAATCTGACCAGTATGACCAAGGCAGGACCGGTTGCAGTGTCCTATGGCCCGGCCAGGCAGGTCGTCTTCGCGGAAGTCCCGCATAACATACACATCCACTCACAAGAGGCGACACTCAGCCGGATTCTCCCGGTCTAGGCCGCTGGCATCAGACGTGCGTGGCGTAAGAGACACATCCCCGGTAGTTACCATGGTCAAAGGTGTTACATATGCCCTAGTGGATCTAACTGAGAGGGTGGATCTTTTTGCCGACCTTGTCCCGGGGGCTAGTCCTGAACTTGAGCTTGATGAGGGATGGGCGCCGTCTTTCACTGGTATTATGTATTACCGGACACTAAGATCTCGACCAGAGGGTGAAATAACTATGTGGGAGCTTCATGTACGCATGATCGCCGTTAACTTGGAGGATCCTGCTTGTGGAAGCGGCAGTTGCTTGCTGGGCGCTTATGTTGCGTTGTCGAGTAGTAAAAAGGGTCGGAAGCATCGGCTTTACATTAACCAGGGCTCTGAGATGGACAGAAGAAGTCATATTATTGTGGATGTTATTTTAAATGAGGAGATGGATCAGGTTTCGAGTATTAGACTTGCTGGCGAGGCTGCTTTTGTACCAGACGGGAAAATTTCTGTGAACTAGGGACATTTTAAGATACTACATTCAAACCCAAGTAATCCACAACGCTGTACGGGGTATATTTCGAGGTTATTCGTCATCAACAATCCAAATGGATGAATTGAACTTCGAGATTAAGTCTTCTCAATGACTGACTGTAGCGAAAGAGTTAGGACCTGCGGCTACTTCACTAGATAAGGAGAGATGCCTTCTAGCAACAATTGGCTGTACAATAAAGGCCATGATCATTGATCTTGGCACATATCGACCCGAGACAAATCCACGATACCGAGATCAGATCTTAATGCAGATGCGAAATATTGTAGTATAGATAACTGGGTGATAATCTGGCTTCACGCCCTGTGTCAACCCTTATCTCGGCTACCCACGGCCATGTTAATTTCTACGCCCTATGTCTTTCTTTACGCCATACGTACATATCTTAATTGAGTAGAGACCTACTTGAGAGCTTCGCTATGATACTTCGTCCAACTATAGTCTTGCTATTCTTTTCGTAAGTTCAATATGGCCACAAACATCGATAGACACCACATAGTCGCCATTGAGACCGTCCATTGCCCGATCCCGAGCTTCGACGTAACCCAGCAATATTCTCTAGATGTGCATAGCTGGACCAATGAATCGGGTCTGGCTTCTCGCGTCAAAGATGCCACAATCATTATAACCACGACGATTCGCCTCTCGGCGGAGATCCTAAACCCCGAGATCACGCCAAAGCTCCGCCTGATAGTGATCATGGCGTCCGGCACTGACTGTGTTGATAAATCAGCCGCCAAGGCACGAGGAATAACCGTGTGCAACTGTCCGGGCACAAATGTCGATAGTGTCAGCGAGCATGCTATTGGTCTTTACTTCGCCACTCGGCGAAAGCTGGTCAATCTACATAACACCACAGTTGCGGTTCCAGCAGATCCGGATCATGACACAGAATGGAAAAAGATCGGCTCACTTCGCAAGCGACTTCGTACCGCTGATGGGAGAGCCCCATTGCTGTGCTGTGATGAGACTGTCGGTATCATTGGATACGGATCATTAGGAAAGCGCCTTGAGGCCTTAGCCCGCGGACTTGGGATGAACGTGATAGTGGCTGAGCGTAAAGGTGCGCTGCCCCGGCCGGGCCGAGTTTCCTTTGAAGGAACTCTGAGGCAGTCAACTGTGTTGATTTTATGCCTGCCGCGAGGCCCGGAAACAGTTAATTTGATCTCAATCGAAGAACTACGCATGATGCCGTCTCATGCTGTACTGATTAACGTCGCTAGAGGTGGAATTGTGGATGAAGGCGCTCTGTTGGAGGCGCTCAAGCGAGGGGACATCTCCGGGGCAGCTATTGATGTCTATTTGAATGAGCCTATTGGAAGAGGGGACTCACCTTTGTTGTCCCGGGAAGCTACAGATCTGAATCTGATTTTGACGCCGCATCTCGCCTGGTTTTCTGAAAGAACATTGCAGAATCTTCAGGCTGCAGTGAAATGTACAGTTGAACGGTGGTGTGTTGGTGATACGATAAACCAGGTAGAGTGCTGAACCATAAATAAACACGGTGACAGCTTTTTATATCTGCTCCTCAACCCTACAAAATAGTACTCATCTTGTTTCGAACTACCACTCGCTTTTCTAGTTTTGCAGTATCCTTCTTTGCTACACGTACTCTATGTCAAAATTGGCTTCACTAAGCCGCCATTGACCTAAATAGTAAGTCCACCGCACAAGCGGGAATATAAAGCTTGTCCTCACTGAAGTCTGGAAATCTGCTTAGTGTGAGACCTAATATCATATTATTTGACATCCGGTATCTTACAGTCCGAGCCTAGCTGCCTCAGAGCGGATAATTTCAGGGACCTCTGCCTCGAGGCTCTGTTCCTGGGGCTTCCAACCTAGCGCATTCCTTGCTCGAAGAGCAGTCGCTCTGGAGTTCCAACCCCAGCTAGCAGCCTCGAAACCAGCGGGTGATTTTATGGCCTCGTCGAGAGACCATTGTTTCTGCTGGGGTTCCTGTGAGAGGTAACCCAGCTTGAAAGCTTGCTGACCTATCAACCTAGCCAACTCGCCCCAAACGTGCTCTCCATTCTCCGAAAGAAAGTAGCCCTTTGCACCCCAGATTTCATCATCGTTATTTCTCGTAGGATCAAGAGCCGCCCGCACTAGACTGTCATACAGCCTACTTAGGTCATAGACATGCACGTTATTCCACCGACTCAAACCTCTTCCAATCTGGGGGCTATACTTCTGTTTCAGGACAAACGAGGCCATCTCATAGACTTGGCGACCACGACCTGAAATAGGGCCCCTACCACGACCGTAGATGGTCGGAGGGCATACAATGACCGTCTTGACACGGTCGGAATATTTGGAACCCACGTTCAACACGATCTTGTCCACATTTCGATGGAATGCAGCCGCGGGCAGATTAACCAACTCATCCACGCCATCCCAATCATTGAACACCTTATCGTCAGGTTCGCCGGAGACCTTGCGTACTTCCGAGTCAAAGTAGCTCAAGATCCCATTCCCTCCAGTATGCAGCCAGTATCCCGGTCGCTCGGGGCTGTGGCCTTCAATCATGCCTTTTGCGATAGCATTCGCGGCTCCAACATGGTCCGAAGAGTCCGCGGTGTCTGCTTGTTTCGTCCCTGCTGTCAGCCGGAGAAACTCCGATTCCGAGGATTTATACAGCTACTCAAGCGTACGGATCACAATGTCTGCCCAAGCAGCTTCTTTGGCGATTTTGTCTGCGTCGTCCAACCCGCCCAGAACTACCCGTACTTTTGGGTACTTCTCCTGAACCTTCCGGGCTTTGTCTTCGGTTCGAATTAGTGCTGAGAATTCAAGGTCCGGATGGTTTTGTTGGAGGACGTGGAATGCATCGCCACCAATATAGCCGGTAATTCCGGTCACAAACACCTTATTGGGCATTATAATCATTTTGAACGTATAGTTGCGAGAGCCTAGAAAGCGGATTTACTTATGGGTTTTATAATGACCTATGTTATTATTAATTGGGGCCCATAGTTTCAGTTTTACTCACTCCAACGTGGGTAGAATGATATAGTTATGTTGGGGGGTGGGGGGAGCTTATTAATATCGTCAGTCAAATTCCGCTTTCTTGATAATCATGAAATATAGGAAAAGGATAGAGATGGTGGAGAATGGGTCTTTTTATCGATCAGTGAGATTTGCTAGAGAGAAGAAGTGACGATAGGCAGTATTCTTATATTTATTCGTCTTTATAGTCTTGCTGTTGATGTGTTGTTCTAGCTATACTATCTTGTTAACTTTTATAGAATCTTCATATACAACTAAACACCTTCAACATATGTATCTGAACGAGGGCTAGTAATGTGCAAAGCCTTTTGACCATCGCTTTACTACAACTAGGGCAAGAAAAAGCGGTATACACTGTCTTGCAAAAACGGCGCCCGGGTCTTCTATTTCACTCTTTTCAAACCCTAATGCATAATGGACCAAACCTTATTAGGGAAAATGGCGGAAAAAGTATATTCCTGATACATTTCGATACTTTAATCGCATGTAAAATACATTGACGTCATATGTAACCATACAGGTATGCAAAAGTTAAGTGGGCGACACAAATGACCCTGCTTATCATTCCTCTCAGCTTGTCAGCATCGGCCTTCCCCGATTTATGAGATAAATTTACTATGTAAAGCTAATATATTATGATTCTAATATTAAGCTCCTTGGTGGCATGTTTTGCCTTGAGGAGACAAGATCCGACCCCCTCAACAACTATATTGTCTCACAAGCTGGTACTTGGGAACGATCCCTTTCATATGCCCCAATCCCCGGTGACTTTGGCCGTGAACATACGCCATCTGAGTATAGCTAGACCGCGAGTTGCCTGACTCCGAATTACCGCCCTTTGACCGCACCAAAATACTTGTCCTCCCTATGACATGGAAAAACCCCGTGACAGGCAAACCGTCCCTTCAGATTCATGCCACAGCTGCACGCAGGATTCACCTGGCAGATGGCAATATCATTGATGACCTGGTACGGGTCCGTGAAATGTGCTTAACATTGAAGAGTGGTGTTCTTGCGCTTGACCATAAAAATGGATGTATTCCCATCTCATATTACTATATTTTATTAGTGAATGAATGCATTTAAATGCTTTAAAGTGGTTAATAAGCATTTGGAAAATGATTGGGTGATAGAATTTATGTAGTAGAGAATGAGAACAGATATCATTGTACGGTAACAGTATTTATTTAAAAGATGAGACCTTTTCGCAAAGTGCACATAATCTGTGTTCCCGTATAATGAATTAATGTGTTGAAGTGATCAAATTGTCAATACTCGGTGTACCTGCAAATAACGATACACAGGTAATTAGTCTGACAAATCATTTCGGTCGCCAGGCCTGAAATATCTGGCGCGCAGAATCCAAATCCTCACCGCCCAGATTTAACCATTGCATATCAATGAATCCCGCTTCATAAGCACAAGAGTTGTACACTTCCCGCCGAAGCAGGTAGGCATCAAACGAGACAGTCGAATCCTGATCTGAAAAAAACCGGTATTTCACACCGTCTGGAACATGCTCGAGGAATTGCATATCACCAGAAGAACGTTCTCCATCATCAGTAGACAGACTGTCAAGCCAGTCGAAATTAGGCACAATTCCGATGCATCTACCACCGGGCTTCAAGTTGCACATGATATTCTGCCACATTTTCAATTGATCCTCGGCAGTAGGAGCATAGTTGAGAAACCACATGGCAAGGACAAGGTCAAACTTTCCGACCTCCAAGGGCTTGCTGCAATCTGTAACACGAAACTCAAAGCGGCTGTCACCTTCATGCTCACGCTGCGCGACTTGGACCATAACGGGTGAGATGTCTAGCCCTACCACTCGTCGCGCTCCCTGATCGACTGCTTTCTGTGAAAAGTAACCTGTACCGCAGCCTAGGTCGAGTACTTCCTGGCCCTCGATGTTGCCAAGGTATGCTAGGATCGTTGCGGTTTGGGCCATATCGCCGGATCGCTTCTTGATGCGATTATAGTTAGCACCAATCTGGTTATACTGCACCGACATGGCTGGAGAGTGAAGAATATAATATTATGGACGCAGCGATGAACCGAATACGAGGAGGCTTGTAGCTTATAGGCTTCGTAGTAAGGTCTATTTCTGTCTGGTCCACGCATAGAACATCGATGCTGCCATCGGAAAATGGTCTGTGGCCATTCAACATTTCGGTATTATAGGTGGTCATAAAAGCGGTCTAGCTCGATCACATGAGTGACTCCCGGATGCAACTGACTTTTATTAATACTACAGTAGCATTGGCCGAGAATTAATATCTTATCCTATTATTTCTACTATGGGCCCGTTATAATTGATAGATTTTCATCAACAGAACCCAACAATATAACATTAGTTATGGGGTACCTAGGCCTCGCCATAACCCGTTACCCTAACCCGCAACGGGTAACCCGCGGGTTATGGCGAGGCCTAGGGGTACCTAATGATTAACAGACAAATTTTGGGAAAGGGGATCATATAGTACAAGTACCTCCCAAAATATATTTCCATGATATACACTTCGAAATTATCTTGAACCCTACATCTAAGTTTATACTAGACTGTCTGTAGTTAGTACCCCATAAAACAAGCCAACCACGTTGCAGAACTCAATATCTAACTATATTTAGATTGTTTGAACCTTGGCACTAGGGTTTGAAAACAGTTTTGAAGTGCATATCATGGAAATATATTTCTGGAAGCACTGTACCGCCCCCTTCACCGCTTTGTATGTAGAACTTGGCAACATCCTGTTCCTGGGACTAGAAAGGATCAATCTTTCTACCCCATAATCATAAGCACCCAACAATATCACACTTTAATGCTGTTATGAATCTATACGAGACACGTGATCTCCTAGCGGCTTGGCCGGATCACCAACTCTTCAGCCCCTGAAGGCCAACCATCTCAAGGGGAATAGAAAGACCCCTAATACCACACATTTGACCTATATTGCCTACTCTGATCGCTTGCTCCCTCCTCCTGATGGAGGTGGATGACCCTCCTGCGGAGGGTGCACCCCCGGGGACCCTACCCGTACCTGAAAACTCTGATTCCCTCCAGGGGCCTACCACCCCTATCCCTCTCCCCCGCATCTTCCTAAAGCGGAGAGCTCTATTCTCCCCTTAGAAGACTCCTACAGCACATCCTGCCTATATACCTGACAGGGCCTCCTCTCTGTCTATTCACTAACAGGTTAATACAGTTGCTAGTAATCAGCTCCTTCTCTTCAGTGACTAGAAGCTGGCACTATCTTCTCTTGCAGAGGCACTGGATTTAACTGTCTCTTCTCTACAAGACCAACTAAAGGAACTTATCCAGGATCTAGCAGCTAGATTTATTACACTAGCTAAGCAGAATCCCTTCCAGTAAGAACTATCAAATCCTGCAGTAATATCCTTCCAGCCAACTAAGCAGCCTGTATTAGCAAAGCAAGCAAAGCATGCCCCTCTAGCCAGTCAGGCTATATAGATACCTTCCTGGGCCTCACTAGTAGCACCTAATAATAGCCAGGTAAACTGGCAAACTATTGTCCATAAATATTATACACTAACTAAACAGTAACCGGTATAATAGAAGCTATAATAGCTAAGAAAAATAGATTCCTATATCTTTCTCTGGCTATTAACTTTCTCTAGTCTATATACTATTAGACCACACAGTATCTGTATCACTCTCTCAGAGTAAATTCCTGGCAGGATTAAGTAAATATAGACTATATCTACAGGCTTTGCTATCTCTATCACAGAAGAGGGCAGGGCTTTTCTACTCTCTATATAGACTAGGGAGCTAGCTGGAGATAGATTCTTTAAAGCTATAACAGAGTATCACTAAGTTATTATTTCCTGGATCCTGAGGTAACTCTGGTTCCTGAATGGATAGGCAGATACCACAATTAATAATATTAGTATAGAGACAGAATAAGTCTCTAGTATTAAGCTACTCTTAACTAAGCTCTCTAAATATTCTGTTAAGAAGGACTCTATTACTGCAGTTATAGTCTTTCTAAAGAAGCTATACTATACCCTATAACTCTTTAACTTCTCTAGCCTGTTCAGGCTAACCTATCCTAAGCAAAAGTCTCTTCAGTACTTTTATTGCTACTATTTCTATGATTTCTGGGTCTGCTACTCTAGCAAGCACTGTATCTCCTGTAGATTCTCTAAGCAAGACTATATCTGCTATATCTAATATATTAATTGCTCTGGACTCTATACAGCAGACTATTAGAAGTGTTCTACTAGGCTACAAGTATAAAAGAGCATTGTCACCTGTCTCTCCTAAGATACTCTAGCTGCTATTTATAAAGCCGGCCGGCTTGCCTTCTAATAATAATAAGTCAAATAATCCTATACTGATTAGTCTACCAGTCTATACTTTTCAGGCTAACTATAAACCTGGCTTCCTAATCTATTACTAAGCTAACTATTAAGCTAGTTTTTTCAAGTACTTACTAGCCAAGCTCTTTCTCAGCTAGAACTATAAAAATAATTCAGGCTAATATTAGAAAAAATAGCACTATTTATAATTTACTACTATTATTTAAAATAGATATTATTCTTATTCAGGAATCTTAAATAGATAAAATAAATTATTAGACAAAAATATATTCTTACTACTAACTTTTTAGTCTTACTATATACTGGGAGACTAGATCTAGAACTCTAATATATATATACTAGAATCTCTTAGTATACTTATTTTCTTAATCTATCTTATCTAATATTATAGCTATCTATATAGCAGGTCTCACTATTATTAATATCTATTACTATCTATATAATCCAGTTATTCCAGCCTAATCTGGATTAATTCTATTAACTCTCTATATACTATTCTAATACTCTTCTCCACGGAATACTATTCTAGTAAGAAATTTTAATATTTACTATCTTCTCTAGCAGCTAGATATTAAACTATAATTAATCTTAGCTAACTTAATAGATTTAATAGAGTGGCTTAAAATCTATAAGCTAATACTTTATCTTAAGCCAGGCATTTCTATCTATAGATATAATATTCTAGATCTTGTTTTCTTAAATCTATCTATAAAGACTATAGTTAAAGACTATTTAAGTATCTCAAGTAATTATATAACTATCTTAATAATAGTAGACTGGGATAAGTCTTTATCCCGCCTAAAACTGGGCTTTACTAACTGGAAAAAGACTAGGGCTATTCTGATCTTACTGCTTTTAAATCTCTCTATTAATATACTAGTAAAGAACCTTATTAGTAGAGTATAGCTAATAATTTATAGTATATTAGATTATAATATCTATAGACTTTTATAAATTCCTTAGTGAACTCTAGAACTTACTATCTTACTATAATAAATATAGCAGTAATAAATTCTAGACTATATCTTACTTTAGAAAGCAGTCTCCCGCGTGAAAGCTAACTACTAAAAGAAATAGATTAATTAAGTTATATTATTTACTGATATCTTTATTCTTATAAAGTAATATAAGTATTTAGACTAGCTTATTATTTCTTCTCTAAATATCTAGAATATCTAGATTATAACTTTATAAGACAAGATAAATATCTTTCTCTTATATCTCTTAAAAAAGAGAGTCTCTTTTCTAGATTAATAGAAAGAAGATTCTTTTACTAAGTCTCTGGATTTACTAGGTCTTCTATTTAAGGAAGACTGCTAGTCTACTCTCTATATCTCTACTCTATTTACTTTTGGAGAGAATAAACTTGCTATTATAGTCTGGAGAGAGTTCTAGCCTATTCTGGATAACTTAATTACTCTATTCTACTACTACTGCCTATAAGAAGGCCGCTACCTATATATTCTTAAGACTGTAAAGATTATAATACTGCTAAAGTTAGATAAGAGAGATCTTATCTAGTCAAGTATCTAGTACTTTATTAGCCTACTATCTATCTTAGATAAGGATCTTAAACAGTTCTTTATATAGTATATAGCTATACAGGTAATTCAGATAAAGCTACTATTACTCTACTATTTCAGTATACTCTCAGGCTACTCTGCAGTAGATCTAGTCCAGGTCCTTATTCACAGAATAGAGAAAATCTTCTAAGCAGGAAAGATTACTTTATTACTATTACTGAATATAAAAGAGATCTTTAATACTGTAATCTATCAGTAGCTGCTCTTCTAGCTATGTCTACAAGAATAGAATAATAGCTTAATCTAACTGATCTAGAACTAGCTATTAGGCCATTTAGTCTTAGTAAAGATTAGAAATACTATAGTAATAGACTTATTAAAGAAAGATCTATTATAGAGATTTCTTCTCTTTCTAATTCTTTTTTTATTATATATAGTAATAGTATTCACTGCCTATAAAGAGTTCTTTAATTATATAGATAATCTAGAACTGCTATTTATTAGATATATCTTTAAGAAAATCTTCCAGCAGCTTATTAAAACTTATTAGTTAATTACTATACTCAGTATAGAATCAGGCCTTCTCTTCTCTTTAGAAAAGATAGAGATATAGTACTTCTCTAAGTAGTAGAATTAATCTCTTTTTACTATTCTTTTTCCAGAGCTAGATATAGTCAAACTATCTAGTTATATTTACTGGCTAGAAATCTTGCTAAATACTAAGCTTATCTTTAGACTATATATAAACTATATCTTCAGCCGGGACAAGTAGCTAGTATAATATCTCTAAAAACTAAGTAATATCTAATAAGATTGTCTAGTTATCTCTATATAAGTAGTAGTTATATAATATATTATATTAATAGTACTCTATAGAGCAGAAGTATTCTATACTGGTATTAAGTAATAATAGATTATTAATTCTCTATAATTCTTGTTCTACTTAGCTGTCTTAGCTATTCTTTCTATTTATAAATTATTATCTACTGCAGCACTATTTTATAAGATAGATCTGTCTAATCTAAGAACTTTACTCAACAGTATCCTCTAGAGAGCATATATTAGATATATAAGTTTAGACACTAAGTATTTAATTATATATATAATAGATAAAACTAGACCTAAATTCAAAACTAGACTTAATACTATACTCTGATATATCTCTATCCCTGTACTAGAACATGCTTAAATAGAGATATCTCTCCTGCTATTATCTATACTTCTAATATCCTATAAAGAATATACTCCCGTATTACTGTAGATATTAGTCTACTTAGATAGCTTATAAACAGGACATGGTACCAGTTATAGATATACAGTATACTATAGCTCTATTCTTCTTATCTAGGGATCTGGCCCTGCCGGCCTGAAAACTGAGGTCTATAATATAGAGCTTATAGATATAGTAGAGAGTCTCCAAGCTATAATTAAATAGCTATATATTTAATATATTATCTGCTTAACTATCTTACTTAATAATTTAGCGGTAGCCAGTCTTCTTATATATAACAGGCTAATCTCTCACTGGTATAGACTTACAGATATCTTCTAATAGCTCTTGATATAATAGAAGAAAGCCTTATTTCTTCTAGACTTATTATATAAGTCTCTAGAGATGCGCTGGATTCTAGGTCACTCAGAAATAGTAGAGAATAAACTTACAGACTAACTTACTAAGTAAAGTATAATAATTAACAGCTTCTATATTTCTTTCTCTCTATCTTATCTCAGGCAAAAGATAAAACAGCAACTCTATATAGACTTCTTAGCAGTATATATAAAGACTGCACTACAGGCCTATTATAATCTGAATATTAGGCCCTATATAAAGAGCAGTTACTCCTGGGAATATAGTCTTCTTTACTGGATTCTAGGCTGGCTAATAGCTATCTATACAGGCCATGAAGACTTTATAGTATATTATAAAAAATACTACTATCTAGACTATCTGGTAATCTACTCCTATAGCAGACTAAAGTCTTCTGCTTACTTTTTCTTCTGTCTATATACCAGGAAGCGCTGGAGGAATAGATAAAAGTATCTAAAGGCTGGTCTGTTAGAAATAATTAACTAGCTCCTTAGTACAGCTACTAGAGCTAAAGAGTTCAGCTATATTATATAAGTTTTATTCTTTTTTAAGGATATATACCCAAACTGGGCCCGCTTAAGCACTAAATAGTGTAACAGTCAATACTTCTACCTGGATAGAGGCAGACAGCATCCCTTTCTATCTATAGGTAGCTAAAGCAGGTTTCCAAGCCTAGAAGACCTGGCTAGAGTAGTACCAGGCACTTCTTCTACCCTTCTCCAACATATAGTATTCAGATTTGCTGCTTCAAGCATGTACTTAGCTAGTTCCTAGTGAGATTTCTGTTTAGGTAGCACATCCAGTTGCCCCTAGGGAGGCCGCGGATCACGTTGCCGCGTGACCCGCCGAGTGACGCTAAATAGTAGCCATAGCCCCTGAAGGCTTTACCTATTAGTAGTTGAAGGAGAAGCAGTCAAGATAGTGGATATAGTCGTCCATAGAATCGAGTATCTATCGGAATGGCATCCGGTCCTCAGTAGGCTACGTACGTCTAGCTGATACAGCATCATCCTGCCCATCTTTCCCCTGAGATCACAACAAATGCAAATGTTCATGGGAGAAGAAATTAATTGTTCATCAATAACTTTAGTCACTATATGCAGAGACAGACATGTCAATTGAAGGGAATGTTCCCTGTTGCTGAGTTCAAGAAATGACTGTATTACCTTGGGACACCAGACGAAGCTCATTCCTCACAAAATCATGATTGTCTTTTAGGCCTACCTAGACACCAGCGCTAAAACCCTAAAACCTACTGTGGGACTTTAGGCCCCCTTACCGGCCGGATCATACGTTACTAATGACTGATCTATTAGTGGCGGACCTGACCACCCACCGCCTTCGCCGGATGGGTGGTCGGCGGCGTAGAGGCATTTTCACCGTAGAGGCAGATTTTGAAATTCTCATCTTTTTGAAGCTATACAAACCATCTAATATGCCTAAATCATCAGAAATTCATGATGGACGCGTTGATAAGGCCGTTGAAGCTATACAGCAAATGAAAAATCCTAATATCGCAAAAGTTGCGCGGGAATTCGGGGTTCCCTACCGCACACTCTATGGCCGCGTACACGATCGAAAAAAGTCTCGTTTGACTCGCATGCCTGTAAATAAAGTGCTAAATCAGTATCAAGAGGCTGCTCTAGTTCAGTGGATTATCAAAATGCGTGATCTTTATCTCCCTGTCACTATTCAACTCCTTCTTGACTGGGCAAATCAAACCGTGCAGCATACTAATCCTGAACAACGCGTTGATCGATCATGGGTGTATTGCTTTGTCAAAAGACTTCCTCCTCATCTAAAAATTAGCCCAGAGATATAGAAAACAAAGGAGAAGAAGCGTATAGAAGCAGAGAATGTTGGACAGCTTCAATTCTGGTATAATCAGCTTGCAAACTTGCTCAAAGGGGTCCCCGCTCGCCTTGTGTATAACTTTGATGAATGCGGATTTCAACCAGGTGAAGGAAAGTCCCAAAGCGTGCTTAATACAAAGGAAAGAAAGATCCAAGATCTTCCTAAAGCAGAGCATTCAGATAATATAACTGCGCTTGAATATATTGCTGCAGATGGTTGGATTATGACACCGCTTTTCATCTTTAAAGGCAAGAAATTTATGGAGGCCTGGTATAATGAAGAACTACCAGATTTCTACACTGCGGTCTCTGAAAAGGGCTATATAAATGATGAATTATTGATTGACTGGCTTTATAAATTTCATGAAGAGACCAAGAATTGTACAAGAAGAGGAGAAAAACGTGTTCTTCTCTTTGACGGCCATACTGCTCATAAAATGCTTGAATTTCTACAACTCTGCAAGACCTATGAGATTCTTCCCTTTTGTTTTAGGCCTCATACAACTCACCTCTGCTAACCGCTTGATGGAAAGCCATTTCTTACATATAAAATGCACTTTCACAGTGCGAATAATCTCATCGCGCAGTGGTGTGGTGTCCTGGGAGATAAAAGGCGCTTTTTAAGTGATATTGTGGCCATACAAGATAAGACCTTCAACTCATGAATTATTCACAACTCCTTTAAAGAACGCGGCATCTTTCCTCCAGATGGATTCTCTATAATTGAAGCTATTCAGAATGCCCTATCTCCAGTGCCAGAGATCTCCGCGCCTGATCTACACGCGTACGGAGAGACTATACCTCCTCCTAATCCTCTTTCTTTAAGCATTGAAAACACGCCTCCAAAGACCTCTCTACAGGTTGAAAAGAATTAAAAGAAGCTATTTCATCTACTAGATTCTACAGAGATCTCTCCGCGAGTTGAGCGCTGCCTAGAACGTCTATTTGATCAGCAGAAACTTCAATCTGAGCAACTTGCAGTCATGAACTCTACTTTAGAGCAAATTGAATCGGTCCAGGCAACACAACGCTGTAAATCTACTAAACAAGAGATTCAGCGCCTTGGGGATAGTGGTATACTGACCGTACGGGATGCAAATCGATCTATTGCAGATAGAAGAGTCAAAGAGAAGTTGAATAAGAAGAAGAAGGCAGATAAGGCATATAAAGAAGCATATGGTCATCTCCCACCCGCGCCTCCTGTGGAAGATCAAAAACCTGCTTCATATAGTGAAAAGGCAGCAGAATCGGGTAATCAGTTTTATTTTATAGATTCTATAGGATCTAGGCGTTGAAATGCGAATTGCTTCAAAATCTGCCTCTACGGTGAAAATGCCTCTACGCCGCCGACCACCCATCCGGCGAAGGCGGTGGGTGGTCAGGTCCGCCACTAATAATTAGGACTGTCAGCCGGAATCCCTAGCTAACATGCCTTTTCGCTGGGTGGCCCGAATGCCACTGATATATTCTTGCAAGCGATAAATTGATACTCACCTCATTTCTTCGGGGAAAAAATAGTATACTGAAAACGGCGAAACTAGCCACAGGAGGGAATTCCCAGGTCCATGCTTTTATATGCTAAAGTTTATCTTCCTAGTTTCTAGATTTCTCCAGATAAAATATGTTGCTGTCAAGCACTGGACCCATTATGGTGTTCAGACTAAGGCATTCGCTAGTCTATAACCAGGCCGGCATTCCGGAAATGCCCCTCTGCACTTTCTTTTCTCACACCAACAGTTTCAACACACCACTCAAGGAAAGAATCAAAGCCCTGGCCGGGGTTCTCTTTGTAGGTTTGCCAATGCTTTATTATAAGGCTTTTAGCTCAGCGAAGAGTTCCTCGATTGGATCCAAATCTGGCGAGTACAGGGGTAAATATACAAGCTTGACTCCTGCTTGCGTGCACATTTGTTCTATTTTCTTAGAGGTATAAAAGGAGGCATTATTTACAATAAGAAAAGATTTTGGTTCTGGCTATTTTCTACAGTGTTGAAGAAACTGTTTAATAAAGTCTTTAAAGACAGAGGCGTCAGTCAAGCCTTAGAAAACACGGGATAAAACAACTCTATCCTGAGTATAGATTAAAAGAATCTGATACCGTTGGTCACAATGGAATTTGGTCTCTTGGGAGAGTCTGATACTAAGTGAAGACCAGCCGGTTCTTCTAAAGCCTATTCTTTTATTATATCCAGATTTATCCACATAAATAAGGTGATATAAGCAAAAATCAGAAATAAAACCAGAGTATATATTGCGCAAATCTATATTTCATTCTCTTACTTTCTGCTTCGCGACATTTTTGAACTATCCTTCACGCCTGAGAGCACAACTAATACAGCATGTTATTACTATTTCTTGGAACACATCCCACATAAAAAGCGCCATCTTATCAAGATATAAATAAGGCTTCTTATGTAGATAATTATAAAGGACTTGAATAAACAGGCATAAGACCTCGTGGCCGCCCTTTTTATTAGAAGGTGCCTTCACATTGCCAAATTGGTGCATATTGGAGCGAAGCCGTCTGATCGTACGCTCATTGCAGCCAGCAGCCTTAGCCATCTGGGGACAGTGAGTTCATTACTGATGATCATATCATGGATTAATGCCAAAGTTGAGGCAACAAGATTGGGTGCCATCCTTACAACTGCACTCGGATGGATCAACCGGAAGGATTTCTAGAGAGGGGAAATATATTGAGGGAGAGCAACAAGGTGCTGTATACGTGAAACAAGGTACTGTAAGCTATATTTAGTCGTAGATACTGTACAAGGCCAAGAATCAGGGTTGTTCGGAATAATTCAAATGTAGTTTAGCCTATACTGGCATTAGGGTTTGAAAAAGAGTGAAAGAGTGTAAGACCCGGGCTCCGTTTTTGCAAGATAGTGTATCAATCGGCCCCTAGCATGTCGAGATAGAATTCTATAGTCCTTGTTCAAGTTTGTAATTCACCCTCCTTGATCTTTGCGAAAATCTCCATAAACACAGACGAATCTTCAGTCCCAACTATTCGATGGACGCCTTGAATGACATACCGAGGCACACCAGAATTGCCCTCTTCCTCTCTATTCTTCCGCGCTTCCTCATCCACAACATCTGCTGCCAGCCCAGAATCTAACCACGCGCGCACCTCCCCAGAATCAAGCCCAGCATCCACAGCCAGCTCGGTCAGTACCTCTCTAGAAGAAATATCCTTCTCCAGCTCATGATACGCCTCAAGGATCTTCTCCACCAGTGCATTCTGCACCTCAGAAGACTTAGTCCGGCTCAAGTAAACAAGACGATGTGCATCGCGCGTACTCCCAATCATACCCCCACCTTTGAAATAGATGTTGACCGAGCGCCCAATTTGATTCATGCGGTTGAAAAGCGTCATCCGCTGTTCCGACGTCATGTCGCTTAGTCGCTCGTCGATTAGTTCGCTCTTCGGCGCGCTGTATGGGTGTGGGTTGTAATCGAGGTAGTAGGGAAGCCATTTGATGGAGAAGACATCGGACCTTCCACCTGGATAGACCTTTTGGAATAGTGTGATGGCTTTGTCTAGTTTGCGCTTGCCGATGTAGCACCACTATACTTGAGCGTTACATGTCTGGGGTGTTGTATTTTAATGCAAGGGGGCGTGGAACCTACTGCGCAGACAAAATCGAAAACGACTTCGATTTCGATGACGGTCATGTTGGAGAGGAGAAAGGTGGGAGATCTGGATTTAGAGTGGAAAAACGGATTCAGACCAGGTTAGGTCGGCCTACAGGAATTTTTGAAAGAGAAAGCGTAAAAGGCGAGTTCTGAAGGAGTTTAGAAATCGTGGAGGGTAGGAGGGGAAAAGAAGGTAATATAATAATCAAGTGATTGATGCCTATATTGGCGAGATGTGCTTCTCAAATATTAAAAAAAAAGACAAAAAGAAACGGCTTCCGATGCGGGGAATCGAACCCCGAGCTGCTGTGTGAGAGACAGCGATGTTAGCCATTACACCACATCGGATATTTCTTGAAGAACTGGCTGAGTATTTAACTTTACTAAGCTATTGCTCGTTAAAATAGTTATTCTGAGAAAAATAAGATAAACTTCTATCAATATTACCAACTCACTTGGCAGTGAACATTCATTTTTCCTTTTTTAATCCCTCTAAAAGCTTTTCTCTAGGGTATTACCCAACAATAAAACCCCATCAATGGCTTATCTGATTGTGTCTTCATCCTTCGATAGGAAAACTCCACTAAGACAGTATATATTATGTGTTGACCTACCTCTCGCGAGCATTAATAAGGTGCAAAAATGGCACAGGACAGTCACCTTGGCAATTTCAGGCCACTGATTGTGCTTATTTTCTCAAGAACGAAGAATGTTGGGCTCTAATCACCTGGTATGTCTTTTCGTTGAGTTTTACTAAGTGCAGCATTTCGACCAAAAGGTCAACTCCACTAGCTGTTTACCCCGCTACCCGGATGACCCAGTTTCGTAAACTCGAATGGTCTCCTCATAAGCGAAAGAAAACATTAGTAAGAATCGAATCCTTGTATAGCATCGTTATTATCATTATGAGGGCCACGGAAACCAGAGCCGACTCAACCTTCGAGATAGTAACTGGTTCTATCTATCTCCTACACGGACGTATAATCAGCTAGTAGGCAATGCTACCTGTTGACAAGCTATGGCCATTGCCTTTACTATAGCAGCAATTGGCCTGAGCGGTACTCGTTCCTCTGTTGCCTTCTCGACAAAGTCTTTAAGCCAAGCCACCAGGACGATATCATCCTGAACTTCCCTACAACCGTGGGATCCAATAATGTCCGCACAAAGGATGAAGAATGGGATAAACTGGTGCAGCAATACGAGACTATAGAATGAAACTTGTGATCAGTAGGGAAAGCCTAGTCTCTGTTAAAAAAACATACCTAATGCCCCAGAACGAGTGCAAATCCCTATGCATCAGAGTCTGAAATGTTTTCAAAGATTTCCTCGCAATATCCACGGTGTGTCGGGGTAGGAAGTGACTGTCGCGGTTGCATTTCTTGGACTGAGAAATTACTATGAGCATCTTATAGCTGGTGAATAGGATGTCCACACAAAACCATGTATCAACATGATTAGTTGTGGTGCTAAGAAGTTCTTCCTGCGTCACTTTAGATAAGAAGCCGCACTTATTGGCAATGGATCAGAGATGTTTGACGACTTACTGCGCTCCAGTCGGACATGATAGACTGCACCTCTGTGATGAGGCCATCAAGAGCCTTGTCATACATATCCGTATCCTGAGCCATTCCACCGTCCACTAAATCCAGGTATCTCATCAGAACTAGAGTGAGACGCATGGATGCCAGGAAATGAATCTGAATAAAGCGAGTAGACGCATCGTCAATACCAGTGATGGTGGGATCAGGGAAGTTTACTGTCCAAGTCCCACTGGGGATGAGGGCCGGCTTGCCGAAGGACAGACGGAACAGACAATCCATTCGTAGAAGGTGCCAAAATTCGAATCGTTTCCGATTCTTGTCAACTTCGCTTTCACAGTTACCAGGCGACGCAAGCCAAGAACTCTGTTCTTCTGGATGCTCGTCAACGGAGAAATATCCCAAGGCTCGAGCAATTGTACAAGCATAGCCGAGTATCTTCCAGGACAGTTCACTATTGCACCCCTCAAGTGTTAATGATATCTAGTTGGAAGCCATTAGTTTCTCCATTCATCAAAAGGCTTTACGATAATCCTACCATAACAAAAGCTGCAAACATATCCTGGGGGGTATTTTCGATCTGTCCTATCCAGTCGTCCACCAGCATCATAGACCTGTGATAAAGATATTGTACGACCTTACCCTTTCCGTCATGGGATTCCGGATCTTGCAGAAGGCCTTGAAGAAGTATGTTGTAGTAAATGATTTTTAACGTGCTGTCTAGGTGGACGTGTGGCATTTCGAGCAGGTCAGGCATAGACATGAGAAAGCTCTTTTCCAAAGGAACTCGAAACCCCTCAAACTGATAGGCTCCGTAGTATACTAGCCAAGGAGATCAGCGCCAAGTCTGTCCACAAATGATTGAGAAAGACATACTATCAATCCATCTCATTGCCATATCTTTGGAGATTCCAGGAAAATCTAGAACATCGCTTTCTAGTGGATCTTCCAAGCGCCCAACTTCCACCATTGCAGCTTCCATCGCTTTCACGCATGTTTCATTCTCCAAAAGACGAGATTCAACGTTTCGCAGATGGCAAAACACATTGGAAGAAAGCAGTGATTTGGCTTGAGCATCTTTGATGCCATTCAACATGCTATTTACCATGGCCGGTGACTTAGGGGTTTGAGATTGGCTACTGTGAAGCACACCGCTGGTTGTTGATTGAGTTCCATTGACGTCTGCGTCTGAGGACAAGACAGACATTGAGCGGGATGCGTCACCATGGTCCCTAGTACCTCGATTAATGTCACAGTGGTCCTCGAGTCTCTCCAATCGCTTGAGAATATCCAGCAAGATGTCTTTCTCCGAGGCACCGCTAATTTATGTTTCTTTCAGCAACGAAAGCTCGATTCTGCCTTAAGAGGATTCGAATGATGCAGCTCACATTTGCTTCTTTACCCGAGGTTTCCGAGGCACATACACACATTCTTCATTGCTGGCCTCACATTTATCACATCGAGGTTGGACTTTGTTACATCGAATCTAGCCATTTGCGTCATTGCTGGTTCTCAGGGGGATTTTATCCTCCAGACTATTACCTTTTTGGACTGGCAGCGGGTGCACTAAGCTTGATTTTTAGTAATAATGATGTTTAAACGGAATATAGTGAGGCTCGTAAACATACCGATATGCGCTTCGGCGACTTTTGGCCGCTCATGGCTTGGATTGGAATGAACTGACAAGGTTCAATGGAACGGGAAGTTACAAAGTCCGAAATACCGGGAAAGAACATCTATCTGATTGATGGTCACGTTGCCGAGCTTTGAAAATCCCCGAATCACCGGGCATTAGGGTCCCACCCGATCATCTGTCGCCACTTGTCCGTCTATGACTAGAGGGTCTATTCCAAAAGTGGTAAGGGTAAAGGAGCAAAATTAAGAATAGACTCATCGTAGGCCCTAAGTAGTGGGTCAATACCCCCATGAGTCCTTAGAATTGGTAGACGAACCCCTAAATGGAAAAGAAACTAAGTAGAAGAAATCTCCAAGATTAATATACTGCTCCATGGTATAGACGAAAGTACAAGACGAGGTAAATCAGCACTAAGGGTCCTGGATCATAATTGGATGCGCCATGGAAATGTTCCACGTTTCACAGAAAATGATCCTGCCTAGACGACCATGCTCGTATTCTATGCAGTCAAACGTAAGCTTCCTTGGCCCGCTTCCTAGACATTCTCCATGACTTATAAATTAACTGTTCCCTCAGTGTTATTAGACAGACTCTGTATCACAAATCTATCAGAATGGGCTATCTGTCAGATGGTTCTCCGCCAGAGAACTTGACTGAACAGCAATGTGCCCCCGGAGAGCACCATGCCACTCCCAAAATCGCAAACGGGGATGCAGAAGACATTGTCTTGGCCTCAGACCGAATAGGCCAGGCGACTGTAATTAAAGATGAAAGCGAAAAAATGGCAGAGCCCCAACAAGCTGCCTCTCTGGGCAACTACTTTGTATGTCGTTCTGCTCTCATGAATAATTGGGCTTACACTCACATGACTACAGAGAGTCCTATCTTACACCAACGGCAAGGATCGCATCATACTCGCGATGGCCTTATTGTGCTCCATTGGATCTGGTGTGGTATGTTCATCTCTCACTCTAAAGATACACTCTAAAGATACAGGAGTCTGATGATTGTCAAACAGCCGCTGCCCCTCATGAATATAGTATTTGGTAGTATGGTTGGTGAATTCAACGGATACTTTACTCCTAACACAGCAGTCACGGAAGCACAATTCAAATCAACCGTAAGTAAATTGAGGTAATTAATCACCAAGTCTGAATGACGGCCTTATCCATTCATGAGGCTAATTACGGATTTAGCTTATATATCGTTTACCTCTTTATCGCAAAGTTCGCCTTAACATATATCTCAATGGTACGCTACGCTCTCGGAGGCACCAAGTAGCGACATACTCACTATTGGCAGTTCTGTTTCCGCGTCATCGGGCTTCGGGTCTCAGCTGCCTTACGACTGGAATACACGCAGTCACTTTTCGCTCAGCCGATTACTACCCTCGATCAAGTGTCAGTGGGCACAGTCACGAATACCATCACGACCCTGTCCAATTCGATCCAGCAGAGTATTTCCGATAAGCTTGCTATCCTGTTCCAATCGCTAGCCGTAGTATTCACCGCATATATCATCGCCTTCAAATTTTCATGGGCTTTGACTCTCGTTACCAGTGCCGCCCTTCTCTTTATTCTCATTGCCTGTAGCGTGACGGTTCCCCTTATCACTAAAGTCCAACAAAAGATCGACAATGCCGATGAAAAGCACTCGTCAATAGCAGCCGAAGTCTTCAGTTCGATTCGGACCGTTGTTTCCCTCGGAGCTGAGGAATCTCTCTCAAAGAAATATGCCGCCTGGATTAAAGAAGCACAGAGACGAGGACAAGGCATGTCCATTCTCATGGGAGCTCAATTTGCCCTCATGTTCTTCGCCATGTATTCGAGCTTCTCTCTGGCGTTCTGGTTTGGACTGAAGCTATACAGGGAAGGCCACATTGACAATATCAACACGGTCATCACGTAAGTATATGATCATGACTTAACGGTTGTTTGAATGTACTGAGTGACTCGACAGTGTATTTTTCTCGGTCATGATTGCAGTGACTGTTTTGGGGAACATTGCAACCCCCTTGATCTTGGTCTCTAAGGCCGCCAGCGCTGCAGGGTCGTTTTTCAAGATGATAGACTCCGAAAAGGTTACGCTTGGCGGTCTTCGTGATCCTGACGCTTCAGCCCAAGAAGACATTGTCTTTCAAGATGTGCAATTTACGTATCCTGCGCGACCAGATACTGCAATTCTCAAAGGGTTGAACGCTCGATTCGAAAAGGGCAAGACCACTGCACTGGTTGGTCCATCAGGTTCTGGTAAGAGCACAATTGTGGCACTAGTAGAACGCTGGTATCAGCTTGGAGCGGGCGAAGAGGACTGTAATCGAGGGACCATCTCCGTCGGCAAACACAACATCAATGACTTGGACCTCAAGTGGTGGAGATCACAGGTCGGGCTTGTTCAACAAGAACCCTTCCTTTTCAACGACACAATTTTCAACAATGTTTCTTTCGGCCTCACCGGAACGAAATGGGAAAAGGAAGCAGATGAGGTAAAGAAAGAGATGGTGAAAAATGCCTGTCGAGAGGCTTTCGCAGAGGAATTTATTAATCGACTACCAGAGGTATGTTAACTTTCTGTTATGCGTGGCTGCGTCTGAACTTTATAGGGTTATGCGACCGTTGTGGGCGAAAATGGCACGAAGTTAAGTGGCGGCCAAAGGCAACGTCTTGCTATCGCCCGAAGCATAGTAAAGGAGCCCACCATTCTGATTCTGGATGAAGCGACAAGTGCAATTGATGTTCGCGGTGAGAAAATTGTGCAAGCAGCCCTTGATCGAGTTTCAAAGAATCGTACTACTATTATGATTGCTCACCGGCTATCTACTATTCGACGAGCAGATCAAATTGTCGTTCTGAAAGGCGGCATCAATGTGGAGCAGGGAACACACGAAGAGCTCCTAGAAAATGATACTGGATTGTATTATGGTCTTGTGCATGCTCAAAAGCTTGAGCTTCTGGCAGAAGGTGACTCTGATAGAAGTGAAATTACGCATGAGTTGGAAGAGGTCAAGTTGGCCCATTTTGCTCTGAATGAGCAACCACAGGCTGAAGAGCCAAACAAAGCAGATAAACGCCGAGGCTTTTTCAGTAGTATTGGTCTCATCCTTTACGAGCAACGTGCTTATTGGCCATTTTACCTGTTGACTGTGATCAGTGCAGTTGGCGCGGGTGGTAAGATTCTATAATTTTCCACAAATGGTGACCTTTTAACTAACAAGTTATGGCTGAAAGCGGCGTTTCCACTTCAGAGCTGGCTTTTTGCAAAGCTTATCAATGTGTTTCAATATACCGGCCAAGAGCTTGTTGATGCCGCCAACTTTTGGGCCTTGATGTTCTTCATTCTAGCCCTCGCGGTCGCTCTTTGCTACTGTATTGTGGGATACTCCGCCAACTCTCTCTCAGTGGTATATATGACTATGAATACATACTTATGCATCTTATGTGAGCTAATCTAAGTATAGAGGATCTCTTCATCCTGCCGAAACGAGTACTTTCAGAGCATATTAGGGAAGCCCATAGCGTTCTATGATCAGCATGAGAATGCCTCTGGTTCTCTGGTTTCTCGACTTTCAACAGACCCGAAGCAGGTCCAAGATTTAGTCGGCCTGAACGGTGTCTTTCCTGTTATCTCTATATTTAGCATGATTGGCTGTATTGCAATCGCCTTCTCATTCGGTTGGAAACTCAGCCTCGTTGCTGTATTCGCTGCCCTGCCGTGTACCTTTCTGGCTGCCTTCATGCGCATCAGATATGAACTACAGTTCGAAGCAATGAACGCAGAAGTATATTCTGGTAGCTCGCAGTTTGCAGCAGAGGCTATAGAAGCCTTTCGAACAGTATCGGCATTAACAATGGAGGACGCGATCGTTAACCGTTATGAAAATCTATTGCGACAGCAGCAAAACAAGGCATTTCGAAAAGCCTGGTACGCAACATTGATATTTGCTTTCTCTGATAGTGTTGAATTGTGCGCTATGGCGCTCACCTTCTGGTAAGTATTTCCCCTGGTGAGATGTGTTTTTATTATTACCTACTTACTTAGATTTCCTACTAGGTACGGCGGCCAACTGCTCGCATCTAGGGAGTACCAGCCGACTTCGTTTTTCGTTATTTACATGGCCATCATACAGGGAGGGCAATCAGCGGGTCAATTCTTCAGCTTTGGACCGAATATCGCGCAAGCCACGGCATCCGCTAACCGGATATTGAACCTACGACCGAGCTCAGGCGCAAAGGGTAAACCGAATATCGAAGAGAAACAACCCGCCCTGTCGTCTTCCCAATCCGGAGCTAGTGTGAAGTTCTCTGACGTTGCATTCAAATACTCGTCCCAAGATGTTCCTCTTTTTACCGGGCTTAATGTTAACATTGAGTGTGGGCAGTTCGTTGCCTTCGTTGGACCATCCGGCTGTGGAAAGACAACTGTAATATCGCTATTAGAAAGATTTTACGATCCATTTCATGGAGCGATCTACCTTAACGGCCAAGATATTCGCTCCATGGAAAAACCGTCGTACCGCAGAGCATTATCTCTAGTGGCCCAAGAGCCAAGGCTCTTTGAAGGCACTATTCGGGAGAACATCACTCTCGGTCTGGACAAGTCGGACTTCACCGAGGATGAGGTGATCCAAGCATGCAAGAATGCTGAGATCCATGACTTTATCACATCTCTACCTGAGGGTTATTCCACCCAGCTCGGCATCAAAGCGCAGACAGCTTTTAGCGGAGGTCAACGGCAGCGATTATGCATTGCGCGCGCATTGTTACGAAAACCAGCTTTACTTCTTCTAGATGAAGCGACCTCCAGTCTAGACTCGCAATCAGAGAAAGTAGTACAGGCAGCCCTTGAACGACTAGCGAGCAAAAGGAGCATGACTATTGTCGCCGTCGCACACCGACTCGCTACTATTCAGAAGGCTGATACAATCTTTGTGTTCGGCGAAAGCAAGGCAGGTCATGGATCTCGAGTCGTTGAGCAGGGAACACACCAGGAATTGCTTCGCACAAAGGGAATTTACTGGCAGATGGTTAGTATTTATGCTCTACTTCTGTAATTTTATTTTCCATAATATCTTTCGCTAATGATACTATAGTGTCAAGAGAATGCGCTAGATAGGTAGTGGCCTGCCCTATCTTAGATGTGACTTCATGCTCCGTTTTACGTTCTGTGCTCACCCTAGGCATTCAATTGTCTATATACATTCTGTTCTCAATAGTATTCAATTATAATAATATCAACATTGAGCATAAATATTTCCGTTGTATATCAGAAGACGCCAGGGATCATCCTCCATCGGACCCGACGACGGTACATCTCCCAGTCTTTCCCATAATTCACAGCACACTTTTCGTCGTCACGATAACATTGATGAATCTACAATCCTACCGTTATAATCACTTCAATATACGCGAAGATTCCTCCGCAACCGCAGGGAGCATAGAGACCCTAAAGCGTACAGCGTGCTCCCTATACAGTTCGTGTGGCGAGCTAATCCCCACCACCCTATGAATATCAATTCTTTATTTTTCTTCATTCTACGCCAATACCCTTTGATAAGTAAACTCACCTGAGCATAAAAAGTAAAGACTGCTGGACTTTTCCATCTGCAGTCTGGTATGACGCTCTGATTGTTTCTGCCTTTTTGCTCCAAGTTGAATATTGAACTCCTGCCCGACGGAACTTGACTTTCTGGTTGTCTTCAGAGAAGCGAATAAACCAGCCAATGACATGGATTAATATGGCACCCGTGAAGGTCAAGTGGGAAAGCTCATTTGGATGCTTGGCTAAATATTGTGCTTGTAACAACCAAAGCACGAGCATCATTGCTGAGAACCCGTAGATATTGTAAAAGCCGAAGGACCCGTACATCTCGTCAAGAATTTGAGAAACCCTGGTTAGGTAAGTCTACTTAGATGCTTTGAAAGTAGGCGTAGCTGGATTATGTCTTACCGCTCCTCGTTGACAAAGAAGTCCACCACAACCCACCCGCGTAAGACGACGGCTGTCACCATGATGTTCGTCAAATATCCGTAAGTCTGGTGCTAATACGCGGCGAAGGATAGATCAATACAATGCTTGGGTTAGAAGTCTTGGGTTCAAACTTATCAATAGGATATGGGGATGTAACTCACACCAGGGTCCAAGCGAGAATTCCACCTATCCGGGTACAGAAAAAATGTGTCCAATCCCACATTTTCCCGATGCGAGGGTGAAGCTCACCTCCTTCAAAGATATCGTACCAAAGAAACCTGCGCCTAATTGATTAGTAGTGGTTAATTAGAGATACGGATTGGGAGACTTTCCTGTTAAGAGGGTTTCACTCTTGTTATCTAGTGTCGTTCGAGCTCTAATGTAGAATAAGAAAACAATGATCACAGAAAAGACATTGGTTGTCTGTCCATACCAACCCTCTGCTCCCAGCGATGCATGCAGGACCAATGATTCCCGAGGCAGTCCCAACAGTCCATAAAGTGACGGTTGCGCTCCATACTGCTAAGCTGTTTAGCTTGTATCTTAGCCTTCTACTAGTCGGTGTTAAGGGGCTAAGGGCTGTTCGTCCAGGCAAGTGAACATAGAGGATTGTCTGAAGAGCAAGCCAGATAGCATAGCCTAAAATAGTTTCTTGGCTTGAATCAGGAAAGCGAGAGGCAAAGAACCGGAAAAGCCCCTCTGAGAAGGCGGCTCTAGCTGCAGCAGTTATTGAGGTATCAAAGTAATGATAAGCAATCCAGTAGCAAATCACAAAAGCCGGACTTGTGGTAAACAGAATGGAACTTGTTACTTCGGTAAATAGGGTTGGTGTCGGCAGCTGGTATTTGATATATCCTTTCAAAGATCGTTCAGATAGAATAGGAAGTCTTCTTGTTTCGCCATCTTCCATGTGTCTCTGTAATGATAAAGAGGACAACAACCCCCAGAATGGTGCTGTAAAAAGTGTTAGCACAAAGCATACTCGGGGAACCTGGATTGTTCTTTACACAGAGAGGGAATCATCTAGCTAAGGGGGATCATTAGGCTGTAGAGTTTCCGCAGCGGCGTGCTCAGCAGCGACGATCTAGCCGAAAAGGTAGGGATCTGTATAGCAATTTGACCATTCTAATAACTTAAACGCTCTGATCTATCTCTAGTATTGCTCACTTTGCCTTTAAACCGAAGTGCCAAAGCTAAAGAGGCTAAAAAAGCCTTATAAGCCTCCATTAAAAAAGGGCCCGTCTATAATTACAATGGCCAATATATTTTACTAGTGATTCAAATTCCAATAGCCATTCCAAACTTCATTTCAAGGCTTTGAAATTTCAGTCAACTTCAATTTCAGGCCCCACCCCTAGGTAGAAAGAACAGTGCAGACGGCTTAAATAGGGCAAACGGTATTTCGGACGTGCAGCCTGATCATCACGGACACTGAATCGACCACATCACCTATGCAGTAACAACACATCAACAGGCTACTGTCTCAAACAAGCCGAATCTAGCATCCACCAATGGTAGGACTCGGGCCCTAGATAGAATTCATTAAGTCAATCTTCCGGACTCCAGCCTTTAACATACAAGGTACTTACGCATTTAAATGACGCAAGTCCGTGTCCCCCCCTGTAGTTGCACTTGTCTGTAGTAATCGGTGGATAAGTCTCAACCTCGCAGTCGCGCTCGTTGTAGAATGTACAGCTCCAGCAGGAGTTTGTTCCGAGGACTTGGGTGTGAAGATCGTTCAGGAAGACAGAGGTGGCTCGGAAGTTATCACTAGTACAGGCGGTGTTGCTAAACCCGCCGTTGGTGTACAGGGAGCACGAAGTGTCTGAGGGTGCGGTGTCAAACAGGTTAATGCACTGGTCAGAGTTTCCCTCGAAGATCTTGTAATTAGTGTTGTCATTGGCGTTGCAGTCCATCACGTTGTCGTAGAATGTAACTGAGAAATGTTGGTTAAGGACAGTTTAGGAATTGAATTGGATGACGTACGATCATAGGCCTTAGCCTGCATGGCAAGGCCAGCACCAAGCATTAGGACTTGAAGAAAACGCATTGTAAATATAGTCGAGAGAATTCGCTATACTTTATACCTAGATGCTTGCTTTGTCTTGGTTACTTAGAAGCCCTTGAAAGGACAACAAGGGGATATTTATATTCAATCTACCAAGCTGTGATCTAGCCAGAATTCTATGGCTAATATATTTAGGGAAAAACGGCCCCAAGATACAGGCCCACTGTTAGGCCGATCTTTATAAGTACTCCTTGTATTATATTTTTCCGTTTCCCTCTTAACTCGGCTGATAGCAGAAGCCTTGCATTGGCCCAAAAGACTTAATATTGATTGTGAAGGAACTTGAAAAGTGATATCGGCACTCAATGGAGTCTATAGTAATTGAGTAAATAGGTCAGTCAAACCTTCTTTTGCCTGCTATCAATTTCACAATCTCAACCGAACAAGGGAGTATCACTATACCATCTTGAGAGTAACCCATGCTACAACCACTATAACCGCAATTGGGAAAAGCAAGGCGTGTCCACTATATTTGGTTATAGACGTCACTATATCCCGCCGAGAGATTTTCCTTCTGCCGGTAGAGCCGGCTGGGAACTCTTGCTATTCCCAAACAGGAATGTTGATAAGTTATTTAATTACTATTCTGAGTATTCGCTCGCCAGCGTCCGGTGGAGAAAATGCGCTCTCGGTGTGGGTATTCCGAGTATAAGCCCTCTCCGCTTATTTGGGGGCCAGGACTGAATCCCTGTGAAATTAGCAGTCCTCTGCTGTAGAAGGGCTACACGAAGTAATGTTTTTTCCTGCATCTTCTATCGAGTAAAATATGGGAATGAGAACAACTGCCTCAGGTGTTCATGCTATCCACTCTTCAATGTGTTTAGTAAAAGAATAACAGGAACTAATATGTGCTTGTTTGTTAGGCAAACTATTGAGGTCTGTTTGACCTTGAGAAATGGTGCTTTAAACGCTCAACTTCAACTTGTTAGTTCAGCATTGCCTGACGGGTGTGTTTAACTCTCATGCTATTGAGGAGCATAACATCTATATCCCACGGCCCTACTTTTAGTAATTTATTTTATTTTATTTTTTTTTTTTTTTTTCATATGTTGGAGGGTGTTCGACAGCTAGCAATTTGCATTGCAGCCTAAGCTAGTTCACGTGAATTGGTGTCTTGAGTTACAATATTCGACAAGCTTTAACAATGCCATATAGCAGAACCTAATTCTTACGGCTGATAAAGGGAAGAAGATGTGTGCTGCAACAAATACATTGTGTATCCTAATTTGAACTAGTCTTCCAGAGAATTGAATTGAGGCACTCTTTATAATTGTTTAAAAGGGACATAAACGTGGCACCAAAGGGCTATACATCTTTCTGGTTCAGATGGCACGAGATGTCCTGCCCGGAAGGCGCAGCAGACAACAGATGGATGTCAGTAACATCCTGGCCTGGTAGAAGCTCTGACTGGATCTCCAGCCACTGCGGGTTGGCTGTCATAGTTAACCAGATCGAGGGCTTTCCTAACTGTCTCGCGATTGCCAGAGAGTCAGTTACTTGATCGCAGGCCCAGGCGCGGGAGCCCATAAAGTTTGCGGGGATCTTGTTCTGGAAAAGATCAGGACTCGATGGGTCAGCGGCCTCATCCATAGATGCTGCCTGGGTGCGGCGTCCCTGCTGCAGGTATTGTAGACGCTGCTCTTCGGTCCTGGATAACATGTCAATCACGTACTCACGAGCAAGGCAGCCAAGGGTCTGGAAGCGCGGCTCAGTGAGGAAGAGATGGCGATACCACTAGATCTATGTGCAAGGTAGAGCTTTCTCGAAGTCATTAATATAGCCCCAACCCCGTGTGCCGTGGGGGAAGAGCAGCGGATACTGCAGCGGCTCGTATAAACAGGACAGCACAGGGACAAATCGCGGTTGCAGGCCCCCTCGGCGGAAAAAAAGAACCTTGCGAGGGCTTACATTGCGGAGGCCGTCGGTGTTAATAATGGCAGCAATCTCACCACCTGCTGGTGGCACGGACAGTTCCACGGCCAGGGGCGCGGCCTCGTCGCCCACCTGGCTCATGGCGTAACGCAGAGAGTGAACAAATGGACTCACTTGTTCCAGGTACTAGCGCACTGCGTTCACAGCATCTTTGGCCACAGTCTGCTCCCGGGCCCGCTCAGCCCGTGCCTACTCATCGTACAGGAACCAATGCATGCTATGGCCCTTGTCGGCCACGTCCAGCAGGCGGTGGTAGACATGACCCTCCAGGACAACATTCGCAAGTCCATGGAAGGGCACGAACCGGCCGGTGGTACCGATCGCGGAAAAAGCGAAGAGATTGTTCAGTCGGCGACTCATACGGGAGAGCTGGCCTTCATACCGCAGCAGCAGGGGATCTAAAAGATTGTCAGAGGGGGGTAGGCACGGTAGACGGTAACGTCCCTGGCGGCAGCACCAGCCATCTTGCTCTGTAAATAAAAGGGTGGTACTGCAGAAGGAGCAGGTCCTGGACCAGCACTGGGAAAAAGGGGTCACGACCATAGCCGCCAGCTCGTCCCACCAGCGGAGGGGTGGGAGGGCCAGTCTGGGCATTGCGCGGGATGAGTCTCTCACAACGGCGGCCCTGGCACGGTAGCGATAGCATACCTGATGTGCTGCCGCTGCTGACAGCCAGGGTTGTTCACACTGTGAAAACGTGAAGAGAAGGAGCCGAAGCGATATACAAAGTTCGGCATCGCTGATCCACACCTTAATAGCCAAGTCAATAAAACTAGGGAGTTGTTATTTGGGCCTCACACTAAACTAAAATAGGAAAGAAATATAGACATACTCATAATACTGTAAATAAGATTACTCATTGGCTTTGACTCCATTAGTCTTTTCTATTTAGGAAAGATCTTCTAGTACGATAGGATTACCCCCTGCCTGAGTGTCTGCCTGCTGGAGTGCTTCTTCGGTCCGCTCAAAGCCTGAGATCTCTCGATTTCTAGAACCCCTAGGTCTTCCACGGGCTCGTATAATCAGTGGTTCTAGTAGGTGAGGCCATTCAATTGGCGGATCTGGATCTAGATCACGCAGATCAAGCGGTTCTACCGGATCATCCCATGATATCAACCATGAAGAATAGAATTCTGAGATAGGTAGTGGTTCCCTAGACACGCGATAATATAGAATAATATAAATACACGGGATTCCTAGTGTTCTAGTGGTGATCCCTGTACAATTTTCAATCGGTGCCTTTCCTGGACCTATTGGAAGATAGCGATTTTGGATACTAAGCACTTTATTCAATCTGAAGATTATGATTGGTAATCGTACGCTCGATTGATCTGACCACATTTAGTTAATCACCTAAGGAGCTCTGGAGATCTCATTTAATTCGCCAGTGAGATCCCTCACTGCGCGATATAGCTATCTGGCCAAAATGTAGATAGGTATTTGTATAGCAGCGGAGAAAGGCTCTTTCTGTTTAAGATTATAGCCATTCAGATCCCATATAAAGCGAAAGCTTTCAAAATACTGGATATTAATATATCCGCTTAAAACAGGCCCATTCATAATCTTTCTAAGAAACTGATTGTGCTAATATAACGCTATACCATTCAGTCAGCATAGCTTTCCATTAAGTATCAATCTGTTTGAGAAACTCTTTTATATTAATTGTTGAAGCTGTTGAAGTAACTGAACTTGTAGATATAGACTGCATAAGTAGATAATCGCGTATAGCCCATTTTGTATGATGAGGATATTCTTATTAATATACCATACACATAAACGTGCAGCAGAAGATAGCCATATATTCCATACAGCATTTATTAAAGCGTCATCTTTATCAGTAACCACTTCTGCCGGGGGTTGAAGCCGTAGAAAGGTATATAACTCAGCCAGGTGTTCTAATATATAGCAAAATAAATCTTTTCGTTCATCAGATATAAAGCCAAAGGCAATATAAAATATGCCTCCCTGCAGTGTCAAGCCAATAATATTAAAAAGCAGCATATTATATTGATTTATTTTGTATATACAGTCCATCATCAGAATATAAGGATTTCTGCGGAGATTCTCTATTAATGACTGATGACTGAGGAGTACTGCAGGGACACGTTAATTCTCATATACTTGATATTTGATATACCAATTGCCTTCCCGAGGTATTAAGCTAATCAAGGCTTGAATTGGTGTATGACCATTAAGGCGCTCAATATCAACTCTATATCGCATATTATAGAGATCTCGGGCTCTAATTAATAGAGCATGGCCTTGGCGTAGAATAGATGTAATATAATGTATCGGAAGACCTTCATTAAGCATTCCAACAATCTGATCATATCGCCGGCGAAGCTCACTACATCAATGAGCTGGAAGTGCTGATATAGCCACAGAGCCATGATTATGAGTAGGTTCAATAGTCAAGCACCATCTCCCAAATATACTATTAAACTTAAGCTGCGCAGTAAAGGGGCAGTCAATTTGACAAGACCGGCCTATACGGATTCCCTAAGACTGGTTCTCTGCTGTACAGCCTCTATCGCAGACTATATCAATATATTTAAGGCTTCCAGTTCTAGGATCTTTTCTTGAGCGACGCTGAACAGCTGCAAAGCCGTTAACCAAGCCAAAGGCCTGCAGCGAGTCAAAAGCCTCGTCAGCTGAGCTGAATGTTTGATATAGAGGCGGTGCCGGGATAGTAACATTGCTATCATTCTCATCTTCGGGCTCTGATCGGTCAGAAAAGGTAATCTCATAATCATCAAGAAAATCGTCCATTTTAAGCCTTTTTTTTATAATTTTAAAAGCACTTTTGAATAGGGATATCATACAAATGCATTGAAAGGGTTTTACTAGCGCAGTTTTATGATCCTTCCTATTAAGGCTACGCGTGAGGTCCAAATAACAACTCCCTAAAACTAAAGATAGTTAAGGTCTCCTGTCATGAGCAATCTAAACTAGAATGGGTTAGAGCAGAGAAAGCCCAAGCCACTAGAGCCCATTGTGTTTCCGCTTTTGGTTATTGCATAACTGCCAATTTTGTACTAGTTATGCAGATTCCTTCTAAGTTGGGTAAATGTACCGTTGGACGTGCATATACGCGAATACTATGTGCGACTTGGTCATGCTAATGGAGTACCTAGATATTGAATAAATTTAGGCAGGTAGTAAAACTTCTATTGGAGATGTTCAATCCGCTTCTATCCTGCTAGTCATATCCTAATGTATAAACTAAAGAAGTTCCCCATGTGAGTGGTAACAGAAAGGAAGGCTGATACGAGTTGGACCTGCAACTAATGCAACAGAGGTTCTGTGCTCTATCCTGGAGTCATTTTAGGATAGAGTGTCAGGTTGTAATAATCCCAAATCGCAAGACCGGGTCCAGATACATACGGTGAGGCCCTGAGATGGACGCAGTCAGTAATAGGATCAATCAGCTGCTCACATCCGTGTCTATGACGATTGATTTGCTCTTTCGTGGGCAGAGAGATTCAATAAACCGACTTGGAAAAAATCTGCGCTTATACGAGGCCAAATTCAAGTAGCAGAGCACCCTTCTGGTCAATCCCACGTGGGTCCCCTTGCTGGATATGTCTCACTTTTGGCCCCAACCTGGTAATACGCGAGGCCCTTTGGTTCAGGAATTTTCTCGCAAGACATTTCAATGACACCACAGAGGCAATGTCAATGATTTTTTAGACATAGTGAAAATGATGGCAACCTCGTTGATCTTGCGTCCTACGGCCGTCGTCAACAGAATATAAAGACCGTAACTCCCTGTGGTATGAGAGGCTCACATATTTCAGGCATTTTTTCCTGCACACGTTTTTAATACCAGAACGCAGATTATAGCGTCATAATGAAATTCACCTACTTTGTCTCTATTCTCACTGCTGGGCTTGGTTCCGTGGTATGTCTATGTTTTAAACCACCTCCGTTGTCCAATGGTAACCTCTTTCAGGCCTATGCCATCGAAGCTCCTATCCCTGGATACGGTGTTGAGGAACTTTCCTGGGAAGTCCAGACCACCCCTGGCGGCCCAATTGTGAACCTCAATGGAACAGTCCAAGAGGTCCACGAACAACTGTTGATAATCAACCCCAATTACGAACAAGAATTCGCTACCCTGAACACCGACGAGAGGCGGGAGTTTGCTACCCAGAAGCGGGATACTGTTACATGCTACCAGTATCCCCAAGCCAACCACAAGGACGTTGAGAAGGGTATTGCGTACTTGCGTAAAGTTCCTGGACAGCCCACAAACGGGCCAGGGCCCAACAACTGCGGACGGGTCAGCTGTGGTTACAATGCTGGCATCTGGTGGTGCAATGATGTGAGTAGATCAGTAGATCATTTACCTGTCGTACCCTGGGGACGAAAGAGAACTGTACTGACGTCTCTTCTAGAACTCTTTTAGCAAGACCCTTCCCAGCTTCAACAACATTGCTGATGGAGCTCAGGTGGTTGAGAATAAGTGCTGGAGAGGAGGCAACTATTTCTCCGGAAAGTGTGATCATGCCGATCACTGGAGTGTGATTGTCAAAGGCGAGCGCTGCTAGAATAGCACGAAAATACCGTTTGCGAGAGAAATGACTCATATATCACCGATATTTGATGGTGTCAGCACCATATGCTGATTCAATTTTCAGCCAATATCGAATGAGCGGCAAATCTATCGTACATTTCTTTCCACAGGATAGTGCGGCCACCTGTAGCCGTGAATCATTTCAGAAACGTCTCGTGCGAGTCTGAAAGGTCCGAAGAGTTGAATGTCCAACAGTGTTAGCCGAGTGCTTTTATATCTCAATTCTTTTTGTTACTAGCCTCATTCAGTTGGCTAGCCATATTAGTTCAATGACTACCAGTTGTTGTTGGGACTGCCACTGTACCATCCCTTTTGATACCGCCGCAATATATCCATTGCTAGGAGCGTTGTAGGCTTGTCTCTACGTTAAGTGCACTTCGAGTGATAGTGTAAGTCAGGGTATCAATGGTCGAGACCGGTGTAGTAAGCCCCTTGAACGTGAACGTATCCCTAGAATAGCTCATTGCAGATGTACACCGAAATTTGTAACCACTTGCGATATTAAAATTGGAGGGGCGTTTAATAATATATCTGAGATGTTGGGAGGAGCAGGCAAGGTAGGGAAGGTAGGTTACAAGACGCCCCGCGGGACAGTAGCATCTTAGGTGCCGTACTGGACTTTGCAGAGGCATCTCAGAGATTTAGTCGCGCGCCACGAGGGCCGCAGAACAGAACACCAGGCACCGGCCAACCCAGGCCTTGACGAGGCTCCGAGTTCGTCAAGTAAGTAATAGTTTACTGTAAATAGACGCACGCATTGCTGGGAGAACAGTGGAGCATGGAATTCACCTCGGTCCCCTGAACGTCCATATATTTCGAGAGAACCGCGTTTTCCCTCACAGGCTGGGCAGATGACTACATGCGTGCCAGATCCATTACACTGCCAGTAGTCATTTCGGACCTTTTTCGTCCCTAAACAGTGCTTGCAGTCTACCATATGTCTCGATGGCGTTGAGGTCAAAAACAACGGAATGCTCTATGTTCATGTTAGTCACAGTAATTATGGGAGTTTTGAGATGTTCCTTGCGGCTTCGGCAGATCTGTATCACTTATGGTCCCAAGTCGTTGTGACTTTTGATTGATGGAAGAACTAATCACCTTGCTCTAACCTTCAATGTTGCTGAGGATGACACCGCGGCCACTTCACAATTCTCAATTCTTCTCTTGGTAGAAGCCTGCTTAAGTAGCTAGCTCCTATACAGCCGTTAGCACATCAGAGGACATATCAACCGTAGGGGCGTAGAGAATTATTGCGTCCTCGTGTGAGTAATACCGATTAATCTTCCGTTCAGTTATGGCAAAGCCCACAGGTTTATGTTGCTCTAGAAAGTGAGAGAAATACTTCTAGGAAGGAATAGCAAGCAGTGGTAGATTGGTAGATGACCATTTAGCTTTGGGAAAACGGTACTATGTCTGGCGTAGTGCCTATCTACATCTTATGATCAGTAGAAGACCGCAGTTATGCTCGGGACGGTGATATTCTATTAGCCAGAACCCAAAACTGGAAATAAACGATGTAAACCTAGACAGAGACAGTCAGCCCACTATCAGCAGTACCCGATATTTATCGGAAAAGCCGATAGGATTTACCCCCAGGTAAGACTTGCGCGGAAATTAATGACACAGACGAGTCTAGTGAATCTTTCAGATTTCGGACTTTCTTATTTTCAGTTCATAGATTGACATTGCATTAGAATGCCTTTGACAGCAACATCAAAAAACCCTGCGGTCACATCGTTCTCCGCTAATTCTCCTTTGAAGTACATCCACTCCACACGGTGATAAAAGTTATCGTAAATAACCCTTGAATTCCTTCAGCTTCGCCCGAAATCCACCCTTGTCCGACCGCTTCGCTCCCAGCAGATTACCCTCAGGATGGTCGGATAGTATGGTGTCCGATTTTTGCCCCTGGGATTGTGGCTTATTCTCAGCAATACAATCGTGCCTGCCATCTACTGGGGTATTAGGTGTCGAGTAAGGTACGAGAGTGGTCTCCGACACGCTATCGTCTGTCAACCTGCCTTCTTTCAGGGCAAGCTCCCTTTCTCGTTTTTGGCGTTCAATATAACGACGGGCAGCTGCATCGAGACCACCGCGCTCTCCTAACATGATTGTGCCTCCCGGACCAGGGGCCAGGCCACTGTAGTAGTAACGTGGATTGTTGATTTGATGGTCCACAGGAAAGAATGTGGTTTGTAATCGGAGGCGGATTGGTAGATGATCATTCAAGCTCTGGGGGCATTGCAGGTTTACATAGTCTCGAAGGCCCGCACTTTCTGGAAAAGGGCCGCGGAGATCTATCGAACGTTCTGCCCTCGATTGGCCCCCAAGCACTTGGATTGAGGGCGCTCACTCTTGTCCCGCGTTCAGGAATGGAGTCCACGGACGTCATAACGTAGTACTACTAGAGAGGCTTGGTTTGCACAGCACGAGAATGTATCGAGTTCTCACCAGGTGCCGGTTTTCCGACCTGAATGATATGATGTCGGAGACTATACTGTACTCCGTAGAATACGGAGGGAGGGGAAGAGGGGAGAAAAGAAAACTGACTCAAAAAAAAAAAAAATAATAATAATAATAATAAAAATAAAAATAAAAAGACAGAGTCGAATTCATAATAACAGTGAGACTAGTTCAGTGGGCTACATAAAGGAGATCCATTGAAATTGATTTTTATTGCTCAGGGAGGTTCTTGTCATTTGACCACTCTTGGGGAACTATTATTGTTGTTGTAATTATTTTGTGAGACAGGGTGGATCCATACGTGCCATTAGCTTTTCCCTTTCTCTATACTATTTGATACTAGACTCAGGCTTAGGAGTATCTACCGTACCTGGAGAGATCAAATCATAAAATCTACCAATGCAATTTATTCCCTCGGTTTGCTCCTCACCAGTTTGTTGTCTTTCTTTCTTCTGTTTTATCCCCCTTCCTCTCTCTATCTCTCAAAGTTTTGATTGCAGTTTTCTATTGATGCCGTTCTAATCATACGATGTCTGGTGGGCAGGCAGGCCGTGTAGAATAGCAGTTTTAGAGTATCGGTTGATATTATTGTTTTAGTAGAGCTTTCCTAATCAAGCGAGGATAAAAGTTGTTTTTTTCAATGTAAATTCTAAAGATTAGTCTGGCCACGATATAGTATGAGACTCAGACTTGCATCTTGGATCTTATTGTAAAACAATGAAGAATATCGGTAGAGACATGTCTCTGAAAAAAAGTATGCTAGCATTGAGCAAAATAGCGGCCGGCCCTGTAACCAACTAAGAGACCTTCCAAACGCTTGAGTAGGTTATTAAATACCCACACATTAATCTTTTGAGTGTATAGTCCATTACCCTTGGCTTCGCGCAATGCAAGGTGCATTATAGGAGTATAAACAGTGCCATGATAATTGCGGTCAATATTGGTATTAAAGGAAATACAAACCTAACCTTGCTGCCGTCGCTATATATTACTTTAATAATATTGCAGTTATTCCTTCTGTAGAGTATTTGTAATAGCAAGTCTTCTATTCTTGACTGCAGTAAACTTACTGATATTATTAAGTAGTTCTGCAACTGTATTCTTCAACTTGAGCCATTCAGCCGACTCAGTCTCCATATCTATACCAGATACATTTGTTGTAACCAGAATTCATTCATGTGTAGAGATGAAAGCCAAAAATTTCAACATGGCAGCAAGGACTTTATTAGCAATAGTATAGAAATCATCCTTTAACTTTGCCTTCCATTCGTCACAGGAACTGAAGACTAACTGGAATATGCTAACAAGAATCTTGTCTAAGCGTGCCCTCTCTTTGCCGGTCTCGTAGTTAAGTTTAGCTGGATGAAATGCTTGAATAACTCGCGTCTTAAAGCTATCAACAGTGGCGGTATGAACGCGTTGATTTTCGGCTCCAGAAATTAATAAACACAAGCTGTCATTGAGTAAATGATTGAAAGAGCTGAAGTATCCTGGCAGAGACCGCGCAAAACACTGGCAGGAGATTATAATTAATGGCTTGATATCACTCAGAATGCTAGCGGTAAGATTAAAAATTTTATAAACAATATTATTCTTCTGCCTGGAGTCAAGCCTGTCCAGCTGAATGTCTGATAATATAGGAAATAGATCCATTATTATAACATCTTTCAGGGTCAAGCCGCACAAATGTAGGACTGCTTTTAATCAGGAAAGCATTAAGGTCTTTATAACCATATTATCAAAAGGTAAATAATTGTTCTTTGGGTTTGTCAGAAGAATGAGCGGCATGTTACAGCAGCCATATACCAAATCTCTGAAATTAAAGAAGGCCTATTCTGGCCATCAATATTTCTTCCAGATAGTTTTCACCCGCAGAAAGCAAGGATTATCGGGGGAAAGCCAATTGAACCCGCTCTTCTGTTTCAAGTTCTGCCTTAGCATATCAGTGATAAGCTCTTCAAGTTCTGTTTTCTTTGTTTTAATACTGATAAAGGGCTCTAAAGGGTTAAAAGTATAAGAATCAATACTTCTTTTCTTTCAACTGTCTTTAGCATAGTTTGAAGGCGGGTTTACCGATGCAGTGACACTGTCACTGCCTGATAACTCTATATTATTAACCCGCAGTTTGTTAAAGTATGAGCACAGATAAACAGTATCTGAATAGTACTCTTCTTTATAGACAGTCGGTATTGTAAAGAGAGAAGGTATATTTTAAATTATAGTACTGAATCTATATTATAGAAAAGGGGTAAACTATATTATTTCTTTTTTCTTTTATCTATTTCAGGTAATCTTTAGCAATATATACACGAGCACTTCTCAATGTAGTATTTCCGCTTGCGGATGTTAACTACCACTATCCATTTTTAAATGAGGATTCCGGCGCTTTAGCTTCCCGGAATAGGAGCACCAGTGAAATTATTACCTAGCAACTCTATAGACAAGATAATTAAAGGATAACTAACAAGAAAAACTATCTAAAAGTTCTACAGTCTTTTTAGCTCTTCAGTCTTTTTAGTTATCATTCCCTTAGTATAGTGTTCTGCAGGATTTTGTTCAGGCCCACTTGTTGCTCTCAATACTAACCCAATTTATCTAGCCCAGCCCTGAAAGAGCGGAGACAACATAATATTACGATATTACAAATATACAGAAGGCACTCAATCTACTACTACCTTGACCTTACCCAAAATGATTCCTATCTACCAGCAGTGGTATAATACCATCAGTTTTGCCCAAGGCCAGCGCAATGCAATCAATCTCTGCAGGCCGGCAACAATTCTACACCGCTAATGGCCGCACCACGCAAATCCGGCGTGCACGGATTGCAGACCGGTGATCTCTTTAATCACCACCGCCACTGCCCCGGTCGAACTACGGCCAAGTCAGGCCCTTCAGGTTCTAATGCAGGTCCCTCAGGTTCGCCTCAGGTTCAAACCTGACAGAACCTGAGCTAGTGGGTCTCACTGACCAATTATTGCACATGCAGGTAGATAGCCCATATCAAAATAGATGTATCCATGCCTTCATCCAGCTCGCGTTAGTAACCAAATTTCAAAGTTTTTTGCTCTTTCCCTCAGCTCTGGCGTAATTATTCTCTGGTAGGTCTCTTCCAGTCCTCCTCTATTATCCTCACTTTATTATTTACGATGTCACAGCGTCAAATCTCGGTTCTCGGATAATTATCCCTCATCTATATATGAGGATACCACTCTAGATAATTATCCCTTGCTTCCATCCGATGATCCACAGCTATTTATCCCTGATGCTTCATATAGCCAGCAGACGCCTGCTTCTACACCTGGCGCCGAATTCACCCGGCCTCCAGTACCGCCCCTCCACCCCTAGCACCCTCGAACGCGTTGGCCCGAGAAACAGAAGACCAATCTCCTCTGGACAGAGATGGTAAATGACGAATTTTTCGTATGGTGGCTAAAGTCTGAGTTTGGAAGTCAAAATGAAGCGGAATATTTATAAGAATAAGCGCCAGGGGCAGAGTATTGGACGCATGTTTACCAGGTCGCCCCTATTCAAGATGGGTCTCCCAAGGTTATGTGCACGATATGCGGCAAAACCCTTAATCATCCATCAAATAGCCATCGCAGAACATCTTCTATGAATAAACAATTCTTGCAAGGGGTTAGCTGTTAGTAGGCAGCACCCTCATTCACAAGATAGCAGAAAGCTTATACGAGAAGGGGTACAGTTAGTATAATGTTTATCTCCATTGATTTATTTTGTCTCTACTAATTTCTATTTGACTTAGGCCTAGCTAGCCTCTCAACAACCTACGTTTGCTCCACAAGCTTGGATGGAAAGAACAATCACATTTAATACCCACTTAATACTGCAATTTCAACTCGTAGATCACGATCAGTTTCGTGCTCTTATTGAGACTGCCCGGCTTGCGCTATCCTTACCTGAAAACCCTTCCGTATATACAATTCGACGTCATTTTCACGACATGGTTGAAGAACAATAGCAGAATATTCTTTACAAGCTTCCTACAGGTACTAAGCTCTCTATTGTATTAGATTGCTGGACCTCACCCTTTTGCCAGGCCTTTATAGCTGTTACAGGCTGTTTTATTGAAAGGATTTGAACTATCCTGAGATCTTGCTTAGCTTTGAACCACTTTCTAGCACACATACAGGAGTCAATCTAAGCTTATTTTTGCACAACCTACTTCAAAAGCATGCGATTAGGGACCGGGTCTGAACTATTACCACTAACAACGTGTCTAATAGCTCAACATTAATAGAGAGTATCCAGGACTTTCTTGAGTCATTTGAGCTACTAAATCAGACACCAATCATTATTATACCATGTATGGCACATGTTATTCAATTAAGTCTGAAAGAGCCCCTTGGTAAGATGGGAGCAAATCCAACAGCATGAGCTACCTATCCTCGCAAGCCTAGAACGAGATGCTCTTACAACTCCTGCTGCTGAATCTGGTGTTGGATGACTATTCAACTCAGCTTGTGATGTATACCACTATCGTCAAGCGCACAGCCCCCATGAGTCTGTACATCACCATTTACTTGGTCTCCAGTAGTATGGGACCTATAATTGGTGCGTCGATCCTCCAATTCCTGTCATGGCGCTGGATCGGATACCTATAACTCATTTGGACTGGGTTCTTCTTCCCTCTCTTTCTTTTCGCACTACCAGAGACACGTGGCTCTGCTATACTGAGGGCACGGGCCCAGAAACGGCGGAAAGAAGGGAAGAAGACTTATACGAAGGAAGAACTCGATACCATGCCCTCTCTGGCAAGTTGTCTGGAAGAGCGCCCAGCGACCTTTATATACATGATATGCACGGAGTCTGTGGTCTTTATCTCAACGCTATGGTCTGCTTTCAGCCTGGGGACCATCTACTTGTTTACCCAGTCGGCGGAGCAGGTATTCGGGGAATTGTATGGCTGGGATGCTATCAAGGGAGGATATGTGCAAGCCGCGATCGTTATTGGTGAGCTCATTGGTTGGGTATGCCGTCTGCTCACCAACCATTGGTACTACAAGTCCGCGCTCCGGAATACCGAAATCCCCGGAGTCGAGATTCCGGAGGCCCGTCTCTATCAGGCGCTCGTGGGAGGTTTAGTCGGCGTCACCGGAGGTATGTTCGTCTATGCATGGACATCATACTCTTTCTTTCCGTGGATCGCTCCAGCCATTTGCTTGGCTATGGTCGGCGCTGGCAGTGTTTGTGTTATCGTGAGTACCGCAAACTATCTTGTTGATGCGTACAGCATGAACAGGCAGCGTTATTCCTCCATGGGCCCGATCTCACAGGATAATGCTTTAGCCGCTTGCTACCAGCTGGTCCTAAGCTGTGAGGAGAAAGTTATCGTTAACAAGATTCGCCTTCGATTGCTTTACGTTGCTTTCTACCGTGTGAAACAAGACATACAGCCAGGAAGCCAGTACGAGTACTCTGACGCTGCCAAGTTCATCGCAGAGGCCATATCCCATGCCAGTTCAATCGAGGATTCGTTTGATATAATCCATAAGAAGATAAGAACCTGGATTGGATACGGAGAAAGGTTCACTTTACTCGCAAACGATCTCGGAGGGGTTGGGGGTGTTATACATACTTCCCGATAGCGATTCCGAAACTCTGTAAGTTGATGCATCCATCACTGTGTCTCCTTCCTAACAGCCCCCTTAGATGGACGAAGGAACTTCCCAAGAGTTCGACCCGAGGAAACCGTGTTTCCATACTGCAGAAACTGAAGGAGAGTGGAATTTGTGAAGAAGCGAACGTAAGATCTCTGCATAGTCTTGCGGAACAGGAAGTTGAAAGGGTATCAAAACCTCTTAAAGATGCTGTGCACAGAGGTATAAGTCGACGTCTGTCACAAACGCCCTTCAGCGCTACTAGAGAACCATCGGGCACAGGAATACAGAGCCCAGAAGATATGTCAAGTAAGACTTGTCCAGGTTCGGCGCACTCACACGTACTAATCAATGTCAAAGGCAATGCACCAAATAACTTCGAGCAGCCATCCATAATGAATCCTTCAGTCATCAGGGTTGAGGCCACGTGTACCCAAAATAGGCCTAACTCCGTCTCTCAGAATGCTATTTGTCCTCCGATGCATCTCGAGCCTAGTTCGATACACATACCAGATGCGAACATGGTAGCTGGCTCCTCGACCACAGAAAGTCATCAGAGCTCAGATTCGTTGGATGACTTGCAAGCTCCGATCGACACTGCATCCTCATCATTTCACTTAAATGGGGCACTTCCTGGTAACCACCCTGGGCTAGGCCAACAAGCAATTCAGCGGTGTACCAATGTCTCCCCTCCGGCCGGATTCTTCCATGTGCTACAAGCCTTCCAAGGAGCTACAGTGCCTACAGGATACACCGACGCGACGGAAGCAATATCCACTGATTTTCATGGCCACCCCGGTCAATTTTGGAATGCGATGCAAGATGCCAGCAGACGGACCAATACCCAAGCCAACCAAAGAACGACTTGGCTTGAAGGCTCCCAACTCTCGAGTGATAATACAGGGATAGATGGCTACCATAACGTCTATCAGGCGATACAACCTTCATCGCTCTCGGGGTTTATCGATGCAAATTTCGCAATGCAAGGCGGTTGGGATACTTAGCTTTTATATGCGGCCTTCCGTTACTATTTTATTCATGAAGTAGCATTGTTCTGACTTAGTATGGGGCGTTCGTCTAGTAATACAAGGTAGAACATTCGTATTAGCATCATCATGGTCGCAATGTCTAGAAAGCATGGTTCGGCGTAAGAACCAATGCTGCAAGACGGCCATCACCTTCAACGACAAGAGTGCACTCGCTATGGAAAGATGATAGTTTCCTGGTAGCTCCAGCGTGCGTGTCTCGCCGGCATTCTCTATTCGCATTGTCAGGGCTCCGATAATCGCCATGGGTATCATTGCAGTGAAAGTGTGCCCTATGGTAGGACGGCCAGGAAAGAACAGAAGCATTTTTATGAATTGGTGCCCGAGACTTAGCTATACCCGACTCGCATGACGTCAAATATGGCCATCCATCAAACACATTATCTGATAGAAGCATATCGCGGAACGTACCTGACGCTCATGCTGGATCATTATCGTATCATGCATGTCGCTTGAATTGCTTCTGTTTACAGTACCTATATGGTATCTATATGAGTGGGGCCTCGTGACTATTGTAATATCTATCCAACTTGCCCTGAGGGAGAAGCGTGATGGACAAGTATAACATCGAAATCAGAGGGAACAGCACGCTGTCAAAACTGTGGGCGGCCATGGGGCTTAGGAGTTTCCTCGTAAGGGGGAGGAGAGCAGGAAAGCGGCTCCCCAACGGATCTACAGTGCACATTCAGCGGAGAAACACTTTTACCGAAGGTTCAGCTCTGCTGGCATTCGATGACAGGGAAAGTCTTGACCAACATCATAGACTGCACAGAGGAAAGAACCCTTGGTATATATATTGAGGAGTACACCACGGTTCGGTGATTATGCCACGGTTTTCTATTTCGAAGATCAAGGTCATGGCGGGTCAGTGAACTGGTCATGGAACGTACCCACGCTATCTGTGTCCTTTGTGGCGTTTATAGATATTCTAACACCAGTCCCAGAGCTGAAAGAATTAAAGTAGGTCTCTGTATCAACGATACATTCGGTCATCATTCGATGAGCAAAGTCAACAACGCTTCTGCATGCAGACACTGCAATGCTGGTTCCTGCCTACGGGTCGAGGAAGGCTCGAAAGGATGGGGTTCGATACGATGTGGCAGGTGCAGAACTAGACACTAAGCGAGCCAGAGGCCTGGGTCTTCCGCCGTCCTCACTTCGGGCAGACAGAGAATATAATCCCAGCCTTACAGTTGTTGTGAATGGGCATCGAATAACAAGTTATTCCTTCCATGGCTCTTGGATAGCCATGTAAATAAGTAGTGGCGCCCTGACATTGCGCAGTGTGAGAGGGCTATGGACGTCCTCCGCAACGAGGCATTCGCGATACTGGGCCTTTCCTGTCGAAACGAACTTCAGGAGTCACTTAGAATATAAACCAAGAAGAGTCTATAAGTTGTCATTCAAAAAAAGGACAAAGACACCTCAATCGGTCATCTAATGGTACGGCCATACTGGGTCAACCACGATTTCGGGCCGTTCGGCTAGCCAGCGCTAGCAGAAATCAGTTGCTTGTGCTGTTTTGCTTCGGTTGAAGAAAAGGATGTTCCGCCAGGTTGCCTGCCGTTGGTCTCGCACCTGGGTTCCAGGCGAGCATTCCCTTGGCAAGATCCAGAAACGCCTCTCGCTCCTCGCCCTCAAGGAAGAAGATTGTATCACCTAGTTTCCGGTCGGGAATGAGGCTCTCGTAGAGAAAGCGTCCTAAGATGTTTCGTGAGCCAGGGAATAAGCCATTCGAGAGAAGGAGACCAAAATACCATTAGTGTCAAAAAATGGCCCGCAGAAGTACTCTTCCGCGGTACGGCATACCGTGTTGTCTTCTCGTCTCACAGGTTCCGGCCACGAGTATTCTCGCATGAAATGGTACCTTTGTACAACTTCTTGAGGGGGTGGGCCGAGTAAGGCTATCATTTCAGCGAGGTGCAATTTTGCATCGTAATGACCCTGTTGATTATGGATGTGCCGAAATAGCTCTTTACCTTCGATCATATCCCACAGCTGGTCAGGTATTTATTAGTGGCGGCAATACCTTTTCAGAGAAACGCGGCGTACCAGCGCACCAAGATTCCATACGTCCGCTGGCATTTGCCATCCGTTACCCAGTATCACCTCTGGCGCTCGATAGTGGTCTGGCTGAATAGGCCAGACGCCCCAGTCGTCGTCTTCCTCAAGTCTCGTTGCCAAGCCAAAGTCAACAAGCTGTGGAATACTTTTCAGGCTTTTAAGTGGCCCAAAGTCGTTCCGCGACTGATACACCGGTCGGCCCGTCAAATCAATCTTGAAAGCCATCGGCCTTTCAAGCTGGGAACGCATAAAATCAGCAAGGACATTCGGATCCTCGAATGAAACCATGATGTTTTCAAGCTTTAAATCTAGGCAGTACTTAGTATCACTGATGGCAGTCGAGAGACACAGTATAGACTCACCTGTATGGACTACCCTGCACTCTTTGTGGAGATAATCAAGCCCAGTAAGAAGAGCACGAATGTGGGCTTTAATAAGGGGGAGGGGCATCCTTTTGTCGCCAAAGCGTCGTTGATACATCGACAATGGCTCCCTCATTGGTGGATACACAAGACATGAAAAAGTACCTGCTGGACTCTTAAGTTCGAAGGAGTCGAGTAATGTGCGTATGAGCGAGCGACCACGGTGAGATGAGTTCGCCATGGAAACGTGCTCTTCAATTTCACGTTCGTGACTAGCGAAATTCCCACTAGTGTTAGCAATTTTGAGCGCCACGACGCTCTCTGTTTCCTCGATATGCCTGTACGTCTGTTAGAGGCAAATATTTTCGACTTGAACTTATCCAAGCCTACCCTTGCAAGTCACGTGCAAGCCATACTGTGGAAGATACGCCCCAGCCAATTTTGACCAACGCCTGATAGCGATCCCCGAGTATCTCTCCGGGCTTCGCTGGATAGAAATACTTGGAGTCGTACACTGGCGAGATCTCTTCATCAACGAGTACGCCGGGCGGTAATGGTGGCCCTGGAGGAGACATGGGAAACGGTCTTTTGCGAATCAAGGCAGATAGACGAGGAATGGACGGCTTAAGAGCGTTCATTACAATAATACTCCCCGTGAGTTGGCCAGAGAACGTGTGTCGATCGATGAAGGTGAAACGGAGGGCAAGGAGCCTGAGCATGGATTTGTAACATATCACGTGATGGGATCATCAGCTGACTGTTCCTGGTACAGCTTATGGCAACAAGATGTCAGCCAATAATATCGACAGGATGCCTCTTCTGAAAACCGAGGGATCCGATCATATCTTGCAGGCTTAGGCTGCAGACGGAATGCAGGCCTTAAGATTAATGGGTGGAGCTGACGGGCGCTTCAGTAAGTCAGTCAGGATGACTACCTCATTCTCGTGTGATATCCGTTGGCTGAGAGAATGTATTGGGAACGCCCCGGAGAGTCCCTCCAGCTACTTACAGTTCCACGGCGCGGAGGTATCCAATGACTTTTGCATCACTACAGATGGATACCGAGTTGCATTCGCCATGCTCTGACCTTGGCGCCGTGCACATCAATTGATGTGATGTCAAGGAGTAAATCTGCTGGGTTGACGAATGCAGGCGTTTCACATCCACAACCCTTGAAATATTCGCCCACCAAGCTTGATAACACGATTTAAATCAAGTGGCCGCCAGATAAGAAGATGGCATTATCAAAAGGACCCCATGCCTCCGACCTTGGGAACGGAGTGACATCACTACTGTCACGCCAGCATCTGCTAGGGGTTTCAATGTCTAAATGGTATGAAAGGCAGTTGTTGCATCAAGCGTTGCATCAAGGCCTGCCTACGAAGCAAGCAAAGTGCTTGGGCTGCCTTAGTGCTTTGAGGCTCTTGTATTGGAGATCACCGTGGGACTCATCATTACAGTTGTAGTATTATGAAGTTTGAATGGTTCCAAGTATAGAATCCATGGTCATACTTGTATGGGGGCTCTGACTGGCCCATCGCAGCATCAACGGATGTGTTGCAATTCCAACAAAGCTTGACGTAATGTGCTGGTATATGTGGAGGCAGGAAAGGTGGAGTCCAGTCGAATTGGCCTAGACAATATTCATATGTACTGTCCAGGCGGCCTGAGTGTTTCATAGCCCGGGTTCCAACTGGCCACCAAAATTTTCATAGATATTGAGAAGAAATCCAATTGACTGAATGCTAAAAGTCAGAAGACAGCTTGTTCTGAGATTGCAAGTGTTACCCATGTTGCTTATGGTTGCAAGCTCTTGTCCAATGAATTGAATTTATGGATTTATCCAGGCTTGTCACTAGGTGGCCGGCGTCATACACTTCCTTCCACACTATACGTCTCTGCACTACTTATTAATTTTCCAATTTTAATTGCTTCTCCTGATGATCATTATGACAGGTCAGATATTCAAGTCGAATGCGGGCCTATAAAAGTACGTCGTACGCCCGTGCCAAATTCTTATTTAGTTCACAAACAATACAATTTAGAAGCCTTCGATTTCATTGATCTTACATGGAGTGATCAAGGAAAAGAAGTGTTGTATGACACGTTCTTTCCGCTGGGCCTAATCGGAGCAACAGCCCCCTGGATTAAGATTACTGGCAAGTGTATTTATTTAGACGTCTCGATAAACTACTCCACCTCATAGCAGCACACAGCAGTACTGTACGAGCAATATCGAAAGGGACTGTACAGAAATCCCTTAGTTTTATATTTTGATTCCCTGTTAGACAGTCAATTGTAGCTTCCATACTTGTTGTATTTAAGAGCCTCTATATCCTCATCATTTGAGTTTGATGCTTCCTCTTCAAACAATGGCCTCCTGCAACCATTTCAAATACGCTCATCGGCCAACTCAAGGCTGCGGTGGAAAATCCAGAACTGTACAGCAGCCATGAAGAAGAGATTGTGTCCCTTGCATATCGTGCTGCAGTCGAACTGCGATGTCCTTTCGACTTCTTCCAGGATATAGCGCATGCAGTTAGTGTCCATGCTAAGGGAATCTCTTACCGATGCTAATTCTACGCTAGGCTTTACCTATTGTAGCAATCTATGTGTGCCAGCAACATAAAATCCTCTATATATTGGAAGAGAATGCTACAAATGGCAACCCTGCAACCAATACGGCAGCCTTAGCTCACCAGACAGGCCTCAGCCCGCCGACGTTAGAGACATTGTTAGAGTATATAGTAGCAAAGTCATTCGTGGAAAGGATGAGTGATGACTATATCATGGACCAACTAGTGAAAAGTAGGACGCACATTCCACCTTAAACTCAACGACGATAGGGATTATGACTGGCCAATTCAAGGCATAGATGCGAGAGCGTATTTCTTCCGGCGAGATCCTTCATAATAATAATGATAATTCTTGCATTCGTATCATCCATGCTCTTCTCTCTGCCATGGGCCAATCGTCTATGCTTTTAATAGACGAAATTGTACTGCCATATGAAGAACCGCCTACGGAATATATGGCAAGACTTTCAATGACAATGATGGCCTTATTCAACACATATGATAGACGAAAGCCTCATTGGCGCAAGCTCCGGGATATGGCCGGGCTGACAGTTACCTATACAGGAGGCTTAGTCGGTCTGGAGATAGTATTATTATGCCGGTGAAGAAGTACATTAGTGGGTCGCATATGGTTTGATCGGGTTGAATTCAGGGGTCAGTTACATCAACGGTTCGTGACCATGCGGTTCATCTACAACTGGCAGAACGCCTTAGCACATAGCCGTCAAATTGACAATTTGAGACTCAGGATCTGTGGAAACTGTCATATTACGTACAAGTAAGTAACTGTGCATATTATCGCCCTACACCATTCAAATACTCCGGTAACTCAACCAAGAAAATGAGTCAGGACCAATACCAAGGGTCGCTATCACTGACTCGCCAATATACGGAGAAACCTCCGACTTCAATTCGGGAAAAGCACGGCCTGTCTCGGCCGGGACACGGCAACCACCTGCTGGGCCCCATATACCTTTGCTCAAAGCAGGATTTTCAACCCACTTGCTAAGATTTAAGGACATGAGTCAGCTTTGCATGGTGAATGAGCAAGGGCGAAGCCGATCCCCACTGTTAGAGTAGTTTTGTTTTTGACTGATATCTCTAAGATCGGCCAGGCTGTGGATACGATTACGAAAACCACGCGACCAGAACTGCCGATCACCAGACGCAGGAAGTACTCCTAATACTGCAGACCCTATAACTCGGATACCAATCCGGCCGTTGAGATAGGATATTGCCCCAATAAGTGGAATTTGCGCCCTGGCTATCCGTTCAGGTCGGATCTCTTTCGGTGTCGCTAGTTTGTCTGGGCGCGTAGGGAGGTTGAAGGGGGGGATTTCCTTTTTCGGGGTTAATGAAGCTAAGGGGTACTTCTATTGGATATCGTATGATGGTAGCGGCGATAAGTGATGGAATCTAAGCATGAACAGAAGAATATTTCTAGATAGTTGTTGGCGTCGCCCATTTGGAGAAAGACCTACGGAGCTTGGAAAATAAGCAGAGCTTGTGGTAGATCCTGTCATCTACTATAAAGGCAGATGCATACAAATGGTAGGCATTATCAATTAAGTGATCAGTACCCTTAGGCTCCTCACCGACCATCCAGACGTCCGTTCTAAATCTATATATGTTCGTAATATCGTTCAGCATGGCTACTATACATGTATATGCCTGTTTCAACCTTTTTTTGTTTTAATAAAAAATCGCACTTAAGAAAAAGACAAAGGAAAAAGAATAGCGTATCAGCGATCGGGATTTGGTGAGCTATGCACCGTATACTCCACGTCTTTTTTGATGATCATCTTCGTGCTGCCATCGCTGCCGATGCTATTTCGGTCATCACGATCTGAGTGGCCGCCCGTCGAAAACCCTGGTTGAGTGGAGGTAACCGTCGTCTCCCCGGTGCCAACCTTCGGACGGAAGAGATCTGGCTCGGGCGCAGCAACAGATCGATTCTGGAGCGACTGTAATGCATAACTGCCCTGGTTGCTGCGACCTCGATCCGAAGCATAGGGATAACTCCGGCTGGTGCTTAGGTTAGAGTCGCCGGCTGTACCGTAGGACGTCGTCACAGCGTTCATGAAGGGGCGGAGGCAGAAGGCAGTGCATGCGATTAGGGAATAGTTCAGGGCAATTTGAGTCCAGGTGTAGTGAGCGATGGCGTCAAAGGTAGGGTTTCGAGAGGTGGTAAAGGAGTGGAACTCGGAGAGGCGGACCGCTTCGAAGGCGACAAGGCTAAGCAATAATTCTATTAGCATTCATTCGAGCAGTCCTGCTTGAATCGCATGGAATACATACGGAATCCTAGCAGCGAATGCCACCATAATCACCAACTTCGGCTTAACAGCCATTTGGAGCCCGTAAATTAAGAAGATGGAAAACACAAACAGCGCAATTTCCGTAATAATATCGATCGCCGTAATAAATTGCCATCGGGCGAACTATCGTCCAGGTTAATAATGGCTGCCGACATACTTGGGTATCCCGAGTCAGTGGGATATACGTACCAGACTACTGCAATGCTCGACTGGAGTTACCCATGGCTTATTAAGTGAGCAATTGATCGTGATCAGGAAAACTGAAGCAATTATGCCGGCTGTTGAAAAGCCAAGGATTCCCCATAATGTATTCTTGTGCCTTCTTCGAGGTGTCAACCGCGAATAAATAGCCACGACGCAGCATCGTGAAAGGTACAATGTGATGAGATAGAGGACGTCGGCCGCAACAACAGACTGGATCTCTTTTAGAGGCTGTCTTTCTTCAAAAAAAAACAAAATATCTCAGGGTTCTATAGACAGCAAAAGTGAACATACGTTTTGGATTCTTCTGATAACATGATCGTCGAGGAGTCGGATCGCCGTTCCAAATCCGAGGTGTGCCGTGTAAAAAACGACCACCGACTCCACCACCGCCGAAAGCTACAAGATATGAAGTAAGCAAAAGTGGATGGGGCATTTTGTGAAACAAGCATCTGCGTTTGCCAAGTCCATTGGAATAAACTGTACTTACAGTCGCTCCCAGAAGAATCACGTCGTCAATTCCAAATGGTGGACTGAGAAAGAACCGCACGTAGAGTCGAATAAGCAGACACACCAATGACAACACCAGACAGATAGCAGAAACAATGATGATAATTCCAGCATGGTGGTCACCATCTACCGTTTCGAATGGTGGTGATTGGCCGGGAGGTACTTTAATAGCCATTATCTTTTAATGGCTGCACTTGCTAGATCAGAGGCTCCATGGGAGCCTGCGCCGAGTGTGTAGGTATCAAGGGTGGTTGTAATAAGGATAACTCTGGAAATGAGAGATGTAACAGGGATCAGGGTGAATAATATGTATATGGAAAGGACCTGATCCACTGCATGGGGAGGCCAGCTCAAGCAAGGGACAGCTCGTGGCAATCTACGGGGTGTTCCGTATCATATGCAGTACACTTGCATGAACCATAAACGTGGTATTGGCGCTACCGTATGAATAGCATGCTGGTGGGTGCATTTGTGCACGCGACTCTGGAATTGATTTAGAAGCAGTGCAGTTTCTAGTCTCAGGTTACTTCTCTTACTATGGTCGGGCCTGATCTGGGCCCGTAAGTCCGATCTTCGTGTTGCCTCTAACACTCTAGGGCTTAGCCAACTCGGCATTTTGGAACATAATCCCTGCAAAAAAGGATTGCATTGTTGCATTATAACTACCGTACAATCCTTGTTACATCGCTAGCGAGCTACTAATAGATCTAAGGTTTCAACTATACCTGCAGAGTTATTCAGACGACGAGGTTTTATCACGACTCCAATAAAAACCTTCTAAGATTTACCAGGCGTCGAACTCCAAACAAGAATCAACCATGGCAAGTCGCACACTCAAAATCGTACGACCCAGCACATTCTATGAACTCTATCTATTCTAACTAGTACCTGGGAACGCAACTGCCACACACTGGCCCATAATCTCTTCATTAAAGTTTGATCGTAGGCTCTTCCGCCCCATCCGAGCATTCCACTGCTGAAAGGAGAGAGCATTTCTGTCCAATTGGAACCCCAAGGCCAGGTGAGCCATAATACCGAAATTGAACCTATGACAAATTTGACATCAGCGGTAACTCCGACGCAACTACCTAATCATCGCTGGCCACTGGCCGGTTACACTTGGAGCTGAACTAGTGACGCGTTAGGTCAAAGAGGCAATATGCGGAAGTACTTCCGAACTATTGTTTACCCGTCGGATTCAATATCGATATGTTTCAGATTACTTGAAAACATATGTTTAATAGGGGCTCACTATGGCATTTTGGGTCCTATAGATAGTTCTCGTCCGAAGAGGGAATGTCGAGCCTTTGGTCATGCGTAAACACGGATACCTCGGCCAAAAAGCCTTTGATCTCAAGTAGAATGGAGTCCTAGACTTCAAAAAATTTTTTCATTCGCCGACACTGATCTAATATCGAAGGAGATTCCACAACACATCGACAAGGAAGGCTGAGCTAGAAAACTGCGGGCCCACTGTTTTTAGGGCAACGCACGTGCCAAGCCACTATATGTCATCTATGGCGTTATTAATGCTAATATAATTGATTGGAGTCAAGCACGCTACTGATGCAGCTAAGAGACTTTTCACAATTAGACCGCGTCCTTCATTCCACCCGGCAGTCGGCCCATTATCTCGGAGTAAGTACTGAATTCAGGTCAACACCCCTGCCCTGCCTGAATTTTTCTCTCAGCCCTGCTCAGACAAATAGTGTTTCGCATTAGCCATGACCAGTGACCACATCCTTTCCAACGTCTCCACTACGGGATCGGCATTCCCACCAAGAGGGCTTCGTAATAAGCTTCGGGCGGACCCTGACTATCGAGATTCTCACGGCCTGAGTGATCTGGTCCTGTAGACCAGCACGGCTAGTGTGGGTCGGCTATGGAGCCTTTGTGGACCTTTTGGAGGTTCGAGTTGATTTATTCGCGGAAGCCTGGAGTTGTTGGTTGCACTGTCCAGCAAGGTACGATGGAAGGGGGGGGGGGGAGTTTAGCAGATATTTGTGCGTTAAAAAAAACAAAACATACGGAGACATTCCAGGAGGGTAAATCAGTATTCGAAAAAGAATTCGTCTATCCGTTTGTTAATTATAATTAAGTGTTTACAGCGAAGGACAATAATATCTAGCCTTCTCACATTTCACGCTTCACCAACGCAACCGGAGGAACATAGACATGGCGGCCGCGGAAGATGTAATATAGGATGGCAATGAGCATAACGCCGCCGTACATCACCGCACACCAGTTCATGGTCTCCTTGTCGACTGTCGAGGTCAGAGGGAAGAAAGCAAACACAAACACCGGCACCAAGAAGCACAAGGCTCCGATGTTAATGGCCATTCCGTACCGACCCAGAGTCCACCGGCGGGGCGGGAGAGGCTCGCCACGGATCCGCTTTAACAACAAGCATCCAATCGTAATAACGTACGAAGACATAAGTGATCCGATGGTTAGGGTAACGATGGCCAACAACGCGGTGGTTGACCCAATGTTGATCAACGACAGGAGAACCGTTACCATAAGGGAAACCATCACCGCATTAAGAGGAATATTCCACCCAGGAGTGACCTACATAGGTCAGCACTAGTGGCCTGAGAATAAGTGTGGATTTTCACTTACGTATCCGAAAAATCCAGAAAAGGGGAGTCCACCATCTCGGGCGAAGGACCAAAGCTGGCGAGAGGCCGTGGCCAATTCAGTAATTGTACTAGCAGTGAGCGTAAGAACCAGGATAGCGGTCATGGTGTTCGTGCCAGGAAGACTGTTGGTGGCATTGTAGAATACTTGAATGAACGGGTACCCAGTGGGGGTTGCGAGGACCTCATCGATATCACCCAGGGTGAAACAGATCGTCACCAGCATGAGAAATCCCGCACAATCATTAATGAGAACAGAAGTGATCATAGCCTTCGGGAGAGTCTCCGATGCATCCTTGATTTCTTCGGCTGCGAACATTTGCACTATGTTAGCAAACAACGGCCAGGCGGAAGAATGTTTCGCTTACACATATGGACGGCACAGTCGTATCCGATCAAGGCCGTAATAGTAGTTGAGAATCCCACCAAGGTTGCTGTGCCGTCACTATTCCATCCACCACCGTTGTTGAATTCAGTAAAGACCTGCTTAGCGCTTCTGCGAGGAGCCAGAACCCAAAGAGGGATGACAATGGCGAACAGTCCAACAACATGGAGAATAAGAATTAGCACTTCGACAAAAGGCAGTTTCTTGGCCAAGAAGGTATTGAACAAAATCCCAAAGAAGGTGATAGCAATCACCAGGAGTGTTCCATGCCATCGCTCAAAGACATAGTCCTCATGGTTGAGCACGATGAGGCCCTGGATGATAGTTCCCGCAATAAAGGCAATTGAGACAATAGCGCATTGCCAGCCCATAGCACACAGCCAGCCTAGTTAGGTGATAAGCCACATGAACCACAATTCCTTAAGAATAAGGGCTCCTCACCAGTGATATAGCTCAGGAACTTTTGGCAGCTAGGAGGTGCGAATTCGGACACCCAATGGTATTGACCTCCAGATGTCGGGGCCCTGTTACATATCAATGAGCATGGATGAACGAATTCAAGGTCGGGAGGAAGAGGGTATTACATAGAAGCCATCTCTGCCAAACTCAGGAAAACCAACAGAAAGCCACATGCCACGATAAGGAAACCCCAGATCAAACCGGCCGTACCTCCGTCAGTTAAGCCTTGTTCGAGCAATCTGTAACATGGTGTTAGACTCTAAGTAAGCGGGTTCCGATGCAACCAAAAGACATACGTCAGGACAACCTCCCATGTTGCGATCAGTGTACAGCCAAAGCCGACAATAGAAATATACCGGAAGTTTCTCTGTTACGGAGTCAGGGGCTAATCTCTCAATATTGATCAATGGTGACAAGGTTCATACACGCAGCACCTGATCTCGCCCCAGAGCACTCATGTCCGCTTGGTCCTTGACGGTACCACGGTATTTGGCGGGCACGAAGTGACCTCCATGCGCCGCTTCATCGCCATAAGTGGTCGAAACTTGGGGGCCATCTTTCAAAACGTTGAGCGAGACCATATTAGAAACTCCAGCGCAAACTGATTGCGCATCAAGAAATGCTGTGGCTTAAGGAAAGGGCGGGTTCAGCACGACAGGGGGGTGTTGAAGAGGAAAATCGGAAGTTTAAACCGGAACGGTTCAAAATAAATTAGTCTTAAATTAAACTAGAAAAAGCAGAAGAACGATTTGAAACGAGCACGTTGGATCTACCAACAGATTTAGATGCGCCACTCGCTCGGAGATTTCTCAGCCGGGGTAGGCCAGGGGGAGTTGGAGACTTGGAGCGGCGTTTGGAATCCCCTTGATATTGGAGTCATCAATCATGCTAACGCCGTTCTAGAATCAATCTGGCATGCTAAACGGCACTTAGCCACGCGACTGACTCGGGAATCGCAGCCGAATTAAGACATGCAGGGGGCGTAAGCGAGCATGCAATACGGAGCAGTAACTAAGTTGATCATAAATTCCTTCAACTTTTCAAAAGGTTACATACCACAGTAGAACCCAAGCCCTACTAGGAAAATGAACAATTAGAAATTGAAAAGGAAAAAGATTAACTCTGTGCGGTTACCATGGAAAGGCCAATGTTAGGGCGATATTTTGATTGATATCCACTCAGGAAACGCCATTGCATCAGCCCATCCGTCCACTATCACTTTAGTTCGTAAACCAACCACCAACCGGATCGAGTAAAGGACCCCATCAGTTCCCCATACAACCCATTCAAAAGGAGATTTCGGCCCATCCCGTCACAGGCAGAACCAAACAGCACTTTTGAAGACAATCTGGAACATCGACAGTGGGGATTGAGAGAGAAGGAGGGTGTTTCTGTTATGCAAATTCCACGACCATGAATGCAACCAAACAACATTAGCGCATCTTCCAAGAACTGCCACTCTAGTCGTAGTCAGGGTTCGATCCTCGCTGTTAGATCGGGCTTTTGATAATGTCGCCTGTGATTGGTTGCCCCTCAGTGCTTGCCTGACACTCGATAACTTGGTTGTTCGACTGAGTCTCGTCGTCTGCACTCATGAACGAGATAGGGTTTCATAAGCCACGACCGATGTAAACCCTGAACAAACAAGACTTCAAGACTCGATGAGTATCGTTGGTAGTAACCATGACCTCGACTACCGCAATCGCGATTGGCGTTCTTCTAGCGGTGATTTTATACAAATGTCTCATTTATCCGTACTATCTCTCGCCACTCTCCAACGTCCCCAACGCACACTTCACATCACCTATCTCAACTAGGTGGATAGAAAGGCAGCGCAATGCGGGAAAAGAGGTCCTTACTCTCTATGATCTCCACCAGACACTCGGCCCAGTGGTCCGACTAGGCCCTGACGAACTCAGCGTGAACTCGCTCAGTGGCCTGAAGACAATTTACACGGGCGCATTCGAAAAGCACTCCTTCTACAGCGATGTGTTCGTCAATTTTCAAACGCCAAACTTGGTGGGAATGCTGCATAACACCCCGCACGCTCGTCAAAAGCGTATGATCAGTAGGATCTACTCCAAGTCGTATCTTCAAGAGTCGCAGGATCTCCGCGATATCTCGAGTATTGTTCTATCTCAGCGGCTATTTCCCATTTTACGACGCATAGCAAAGTCTGGAGAGGCGATCAATGTGTTGCCTTTGTTTCAAGCCGTGGGGATGGACTTTACGTCGTCTTACTTGTTTGGCACGCAGAATAGCACCGAGTACATCTTCCACCTTCCAGAGTGGCAACAGTGGTTGGACGAGTTTGAGAAGTTCAAGTACTTGAGTGTACAGGATCGATATATGGGTTTCATCGAAAATTGGTGTCTGTCACTTTGTCGCAAGGTCCAGAATAACGACCAGCCGAATGACGTGCCCATCGCCACAAATGCAGTGGTATATAACCAGCTTCGACAGTCCCTCGAGAAAGACCCCGACAACCGACCACTTGAATTAGCTATTGCCTCGGAGATACTTGATCATCTTGTGGCAGGCCATGAAACTAGCGGAATCACCTTCACGTATATGATGTGGGAGCTCTCTCAACACCCGGAGCTGCAGGCTGAGTTGCGTCGAGAGCTCCTCACGCTGACGCCGAATTTAAGATCCTTATCCATCTCAGATGACACAAGGGGGCTCGTATCTCTCCCGTCTCCGTCGGCCGTTGATGCTCTCCCTCTACTCGATGCAGTTCTCCGAGAAACCCTACGGCTACATTCCCCCGCACCAGCGCCACTACCTCGCGTGACACCAGCATCTCCGACTGGTGTCTCAATTGATGGTTTCCAAAACATCCCTGCCGGTGTAAAGGTGAGCTCCTCGGCGTATTCACTACACCGCATTGAAGAGGTTTACCCTCAATCCTCGGATTGGCTCCCGCAACGATGGCTGGAGGCTGGACCGGACAAGATCCACAATATGCGCAGACTGTTTTGGCCTTTTGGGAGTGGTGGGCGTATGTGCTTGGGTAGCAATTTCGCTCTGCAAGGTAGGTCGATCTTGCTAGTTTAAGAGTACTATGAGCTTCATGTTTAGGTACCTGTGCTAACACAACGCTGCAGAAATTAAACTAGTGATGGCGGCGGTTTACACAAACTTTACGACTTCTATCATTGATGACGAGGGCATCGAGCAGGACCATGCTTTCATTTCCTTGCCCATCGGGCGCAAGCTTATGTTGAAGTTTACTCCTGTCGAGGATGCATAAGTTGGAAGTATTGGGGGAAACATCAGAAATCATAACGGGTTAAATGACGAATACATGAATCAATGATGTCTTTTCTATTATTTTGTATCCAGCCAATCGACTACTTCCTACGACAGTACTACACAACTCAACGCGTACATGGTATGAGGTAGCGCAGTGGCGATCGCCTTCTGTTGGACGCCAGGGATAGAGGAAGCGGTTATGCGAGACTGCCAAACGTAGCCCAGCTCTCCCCTTTTGGTGCCTAATCCTGTGCTAAAGTGCCTCATATATGCTTGGGTGCGTGTCATACAGCAGGCCTTGTTGAAATCTTTAGCCGAATAAGCCAAAACCTGTCCGCGGATTAGAGGGTGGAAAGGCCCCTCCTTTGGGCTGTTCGGGTGAGACGTGGTCTTGCAATGCCCATTGACAAACGGTAATCCAGAAACGTTATTATGCGTAGCTCCATGGTTGTTCCCAACTGGTGAAGCAAGATGGCCGAAATGAGGTGGCTTACGCTGTGCTACTCTGACGTGTCAATGCATGACACGCAAGGCTACCCTAACACTGCTGCTTTACCTTGGTCAGCTACCGCCAGTCCAGTATTCGAGCCCACGACTAAATTTAAATTGCACACTGTCGCTTTGGTATGTGTACTTTCAGAAGTATACCAGCCGTGATCGCGACTCTTTCCTGTGTCTCATAGTCACTTTTTCCTGCTAAATTTCGTGCAATGCTGGACCTGGATGATGTGAGGAAGCGGTATCGAGAATTGAGCAATGTGGAAGATAGTAAGGAGAAGATCATCGAGGTTAGTTGCATGGTTTATCCTATATCCTGACCGTGTTTATTTACGATCGGCATGTAGGAGCTATTGTCTCAAGTTGAGGAGCTACAAAAAGATCTCGTAGCAGCACATGATGAAGTTGATAACTTTAAACATCTTGCTGGAATGTTTAAGGACAGGTCAAACAAAGATAAGGAGGCGCTAGAGGTGAAGAATCGTGATCAGGTAAGTAGAATATGGATTCACTCGCGCCTTTCGAACTGCAGAAAATGTCTCCCTTACAATTTCTATCTTAGGCTCGACTAAGCTTTGTCTCTGTTCTCGTTGATGGCGACTGTATGAATGTGGGTACCCTGGTTTTTCAACATTTCGGCCCTCCCTTTCTTCGCTGACCCTTCTATTACTTTGTTAGTTTCAAGATAACCTCATCCAAAGCGGATACGACGGCGGGCAAAAGGCTGTGCAGCTCCTGAGGAAAGCTGTTGAGGACTATCTATTCCAACGTGAACCTGAAGCAAACCCCAGGATCCAATGTAAGATCCGTGTATATGCCAACGTGAGCGGACTGTCGAGGACGTATCGTGATACCAACATCGCCCCTGCCGACGGAACGTTGGAAGCGTTCATTCAAGGATTCAATATGGAAAACGGGCTATGTGATTTTGTGGACGCAGGCAACGGAAAGGAATGCTCTGACGTGAAGCTACGAGGTGAGCTACAGACTTTCCAGCGCAGGAATGAGCCAAGTAGGCCTGCTTACAGTTTCTCTCTCTCAGCCCTGTTCGAGCAAGACATCCTCGATGTTCATTGCCAGCATATCCTATTCTGTGCGTCTGCAGACAACGGCTATGCACGCGTGCTGGGGCCACATCGAGAATCCGACCGCATCTCCTTGGTTGAGGGACCTCCCTTCGCGCGTGAGATGAAAGAGCTAGTGTCCCATTTCACGGCCACCAGTTTCCCTAACGTATTTCGGCCAACCAAAATACTCTCCAGAAGGATTTCTGTTAGTACCATCACACCACCGAGTACCCCGCCTCAGAACTACGCCTCTGCTGTCAAGGCCGCAGCCCCTCTGTCACAATCAATGTCGGATATGAATCGTCGCTCACCTTCACCCCCTACCTCGATTCGGGCGTCTAATCGCAGCCCCGTCCGGCGGACGCTATGTAAGAATGCGGCAGGTCAGCGTGTCGACCCCCCCTTGCGGTATTCCTCCAAGGAAAGCGTGGATGCTTTGAAGCAGCGCAAGTTGTGCAATCCTTATCACATCGCCGGCTCATGTCCGTACGGGGATAACTGCAATCATGATCATGAGTCGCGGCTTCGGCCCCAGCAAGTGGAAGATTTACGGTACATTGCTAGGTTGAGGGTCTGCCCGAGGGGCGTATGGTGTACGGAGGAGAGCTGTATCTGTGGTCATCGATGTCCAAGGGAGAATTGCTTGGGCCCCGGGTATAACGGGTGTAAATTCCCCAAAGTCATGCATGGGGTTGATTCTACCATTGTAGTTGCCGCTTGATGAGATGGTACCGTTTGTGTTTTTATGGCTCTATGGGCCTGGTTGTCTGTCAAATCCTGATTCTATCCTCTTCTATGTTAATATGTTTTTGCTCGGTGGCGGGTAGATTTAATCCATGTATCTCGCCGTCGCTCAGCCCATTCCCGTCCAAGAGATAACGAGAAAGGCACGCCAGTTAGATGTGCCAGTTAATTGCATTGCCAGTGCGTCCGACCCGGAACTCACAATTCTGAAACGGAGAAAATGGAGAAAACGATAGGAGGAAAAAATTAACCGTGTTATATAATTCGAGAATTGGTCCGCTTAATATCTTCATCTTGTTTGATACCCTCTGCAGCAACGAAATCAACAGCATCACTCTCTCCTCTGGAGACATCAACACCGTCAAAAGCCATTGTAGTATCATCTCTAGCGGCATCATGCACATCAACATACTCCTTAGGCTCGAGCCAGCCCCAAGTTCTCACCATACCCATGACTGGGAAACAAACACACAACACATAATAGCCAAGAAATGCAATCAATAGTCCTGTCGGGTACGAGATATAATAGAACCGCTGGATTGACAGCGGCGCCTTTACACCAAGCTGATTTAGAAACCCGTAGAAACTCGGCGCTACTGAGATAATGTAAACTGCGAAGGCACGGATGTTAAATCCGCGGAGGTAATAGAAACGACCCTCAGGGTTCATGGTGTAGAGTTCTTGGATACAGAGGCGGCCTCGACGGATCAGGTAGTAGTCGCAGATCAGGATGCCTGCGATAGCAGAGAGAAAGATCTGATAAGAGGAAAGAAACATGATGAAGACTGCGGCTGATGACAGTAGATACCATGGACAAATGGCATAGGATAGAACTGTGTGTGAATAATCAGCGACCGTACATAATTGCATGATTTTGAGTGAGGGTCACTTGCCTGCGCATACGAAAATGGCACGTTTGACATTAAGGTACTTAGGAAGCAACGCCGCTATGTCGTTTCCCACGCTGTGTATCGTATTAGAAACGTGTCTTATGCTCACATAGGTAGCACACCGTAGACTTACGGTATGGAGCTTTCGAATATATTAGAGAATATGGTTGAATAGACAAAAGCAAGGGAAATAAAGAAGCATCCCGCTCGATTCCCCGCCGTATATCGATCGCCTTCCATAAGGCGCTCAAGGATATTAATAGGGTTCCATATAAGCTGATTCTTGAGTCAGCCTGCAGAGAAGAAAATATCTTTTTCCTTGAAACGTACTTCACCAAATATAGGCTCACTAGTGGCCGCTATGACACATCCCATGATGGCAATGACGAAGTTGGCTATAGGAAAGCTGAGTACTTGACCTAGAATGACATCGTTCGGTCGCCTGGTATATCGCTGAAGATCGGCAGCATTAGAGACGAAGGTCGCAACACTTGCTAGACCTAGCCAAAAGAACTTTGCAAGCATCCAGGACTTCTCAGTCCCATGAATAGTTGAATGCGTCTGAAACGTGTGTTTGGAAGACCCAGACAGAGAGAGCGTCCAAGCCAGCATGGCAATAGTAGCACTATAGTAAGCAGCTATTTTCAGGTACACCAGTGCCCTCATCTTTGGTATCGGAATAAACAGAAACGCGCAGTTGACGAACCTAGATAATGTCAACTCTACTGGTGAGCGGGGAACTGGAATATATACGTACCAGAATACAAAGAAACATATCATTCCCGCGCTGGTGAGAGCAGATTTGGAGCCCATAGTATTAGGAATATTGGCCATCGACGGGAAAATCGACCGCAATAATACGCTGTAGCGGCTAATATTAGTGACGACTATGGCATTTTAGTGACAAGCAAGACGGGCGTACTTCAGACATTGTGCGCCCTGGACAGCATTTACACCATTCCATACAATGGCCATCACAGCACGGTTAAATGTAGGCCAGAGAGCCCCAAGCGGACCCCAACTGGACCTGCAGAGAACAGGAAATGGAATCCTATACAGAGCTCCTGCGCGACCATTGATAGCCATCAGGATGCCTGCCAAAATCTGGCCTCCAAATTGGCAGATGATTGACTCCCACATGGACAAACCAACCGTCAAGCCGGTAGAAGCAGCATAGAGATTGCTCACATTCCCGGATGCCGAGAACCAAAAGGCGAGATACGTGATATGAGTCCAAGTTCGGTCTTGCACCCTTGTCGGCCTGATCGAATCATTATCGAGAAACTCCACTGTCCGAGGCGCCCCATCCCTGGTAACGCTTTTCACTATCAATTTCTCGTGGAGAGCAGATAAGGCTTTCATCGTGGCTCATACACAAGTTGGAACACAACTTTGCAAGGGGCTGTGGAACGGGCAGCTCCTGAAGGGAAGGTTTATACCTGACGCGTACTGGACTACGGAGTCAGCCGATCGGCGACGGTTTGCTTTTTCCCAAAGGTGTCACAAGAAGATAATAAGTTCAGTGAGACAAAGAGATTCCAAGATCGCCGGGTCTTGGCTTCTGATAAAGCTTGGACTATAACAAGGTTCACCTTCTGGAAGAACCAATCTTCGAGTCAAGGTTAGGTCATGGCTTATCTCCCCCGCATGAACTGTTGTGGCAACTCGTCGGCACTCCCCGATATGGCGCTGGGTATAAATTCAATCCCTTCAGGTTCTTATCATTCAAAAGAAAATGGATCCCTTTCACCTGTCAACCTCTGGTCTTTGTTAACTCACCATGGCTACCCAAACATACACTCAAATCGAACTCTTGAGCGCCAATGGCACGGTATATCGTCGTGTGTCCACGGCTCCTCCCAGACTGCCGACAGATGATGAGATTCCAGTTGTTGATTTAGCAACTATTGATGCCACCTGGGAAGAAAGAAAGGCGTTAGCGGCGAAGATCAAAACTGCATCCGAGAACACGGGCTTCTTTTACATTCGCAACCATGGGGTCCCAGAAGACCTGATCCAAAGCGCCCTGTCACAGGCAAAGATCTTCTTTGAACAACCTGTAAGCGACAAAATGAAAATCGACTTCCGCAATTCCAAGGTCTCAGCCGGTTACCACCAGGTGGGAAGTACGCAGGTCAACCGTAAGGAGACTCGAGGTAAGCCTACTCACGCTGTGGTGGTTCTTGGTTAATATTCTCGCGATTAGATCTGAAGGAGACCTTTTCAATGCGATACGACCCGAGAATGGACCCGTTCTGCTCCAACTTCAAGAACGGATTAGAGAAGCACGAAGATGCTCGCTATGATGGTGACTATATATGGGTAGGAACTAGCCATCTTCCAGAATTTCGCGACGTAGCAGTTTCCCTCTGGCAGAGTCGCTTGGCATTATCTCGAAAACTGGTTCGCCTGTTTGCTCTCGCGCTTGGAGAACGAGAAGGTTACTTCGATGATGTCACGACCCATCCCGGTGCAGATGCACAATATATCCACTATCCTGGCGTCCCTGATGTTGCATCTGACTCGGAGATTGATGTCGGCATCGGATCCCACACCGACATCCAGTGTTTTACTTTACTCTGGCAAGACAGATCCGGCGGCTTGCAAGTATTGTCTGCCCAAGATGAGTGGCTCGATGCTCGCCCAATTGAGGGAACTCTTGTAGTCAATATCGGGGATTTCCTTCAACGCTTATCGAATAATCGATTTAAATCTACGGTCCATAGGGTCTACAACCGCCAAGCAGATTCACGCTACTCAATGCCTTTCTTCTTTGGATTCAACCCCGAGGCAGTCTGCCAGGTGGTTCCTTCCTGCGTGGACGATGATCATCCACCTTTGTATGAGCCGATTTCATGCGGCGAGGTATGTTATCAAGTTTCCGTTCAGATTTGACCCTCACTCACTCCCGTAGTGGCACAAAGTGCGATTGGCACGCTCTCAAGTCCAGAACAGAGCACAATAAAGATTGGAAGATATGGGTGATGGTGATAATCTTTTGTTCTCGGGCCAATAGCGCAAAGCTCTATCTAGTTTTCAAGTTTTTACACGTTGATTATTCTGCTTAATTTTCACATACGACGCAAGATTTAAGATAGATTTCATGATGGGCTCCTCGCACGTAGTTAGTGTACGTTGCAATCGTTTCCGTCTTTCAACTCCTTAGAAAGTCCCGGCTTACGCTTTCGTCAAAGTCCTGGCAAATTTTTGCTCTGATTCAATAGGTCGAGTTTGATATTTCCGAAAGCGGCTGAAGAATAGTGAGTGAGTGGGTCCCAAACCAATACTCGATGCTTTTGAACTTCAATTATGCCACAAGGTTCTATGGTACTGGTATTTTTTTTTTTTCTTGAATTGTTATAAATACTAATTGGTAGCGCTAAATATTTTATATATACAATTTTCTTATTATAATCTTTGATTTAGGGTGGTAGGCGTATGAAGTAAGATAAGAATATAAAAACATATTTTATGTTTGGGGATTCTGTTCGCCAAGAGCTAACAGGACTGAGAGGGTTAACTAGAGATGTCCTTCTAGATAGCAGCCTTCTTCCATAGAATCTTGCGACATCCTATTGATCGCTACAATTGTGGCTTGGTCAGCCAACGAGCGATTGGGTCTAGTAAGTATCTTCTCAAGTATACCTGAAGGCTGCCTTTGGCTAGCAATTAATAGATCAGAGTGTGATAGTTTGACACACATTACTATGAGTGGTCAGTAAAACCTTCTTTGGGCGAACTTCGCGAGGGATCCTGGGAAATGTTTCTACTGATCCAGGAGTATGACTTGTCCCATAAGGATTGTCTGGAAGGGCCTCGGCAATATTGCATACGAGCGAAGGCCGAATAATCTACCAATAGCGGTCCAATGAAATCTGTTTTATCCTATGGCTCAGACGCCTTCAGGAAAAGCAACTTTTGCTTTGTGAGGTTTCATTGGATGTCTCCCCAAGGAGTAAAAGCCCTAGAGGATCATCCAGGCGCAGTCGTTAATCCAGGCTGTGTTTGAGATCGTCGCCTTTGCTTCACGCCCTGAACGTGGAAAGAAAAGAATAGTACTCCCGTAAAAGTGGACGGCATACGCATAAAACCTGCACTATCATATATCAAGTGAGTTCCTCGAACGATCCGATCATTCGCTATACAATCTTTTTCGTTCGTCACTCACTTCAAGATGTATATCTCCAAGATAATTTCCATCGCTCTCCTCGCTAGCCTCACTACTGCCACCACAACATCTTCCGATGCATGCCACCAGGCCGAGTCTGCGCTTAACCAAGTCGCTCAACATTACGAAACACTGGCCGATGCATGGAATGGCAAAGCAGGGATAGGATTCTAAATTTGGTCTCCGAATAGCTTCCCGATCCTAAAATACCTCTTTTAGGATGCGATAAAGAACGCTGTTAATTAGCTATATGTCGAAACTGCCAAGATCAAGGAAATATGTACCAAGCTTGCGGCAATGGAGAGCCAAGGCCAGTCTTAGTGTGTCCCCCTTTTTTCGTGGCCATCAAGTCAGATCTTGGACATTAACAGAATGATTACTAGTGCCGATGCTGAGTCCAACATCAGTGACATGTTCTCATAAGGGAGCGGCGCCCAGGATCAAGCGAACAGATGGTTTTACTCGAATACTCATGGATATTAGAATATTATCTAGGATACAGAGCATCAATATGGACCAAGTATCCAGTGGTCTACCACGTTGAAAGCGATCATCTTGCTTTATCCACTTATAGCACTCGTAAGCTTTACGTGTAGGTTTAGTCCTCTACTATACCCACCAGCACACTAGCTGTATAAACGCGACGGTTATTATATCTACTAGGTATCCCGTCACATTATTTCGTACATTGAAGATAATAGTTATTAATAGATACAGATTTTGCTCGATTCCGACTTAATCAATATGTTAATCTGACGCTCTAGAGCCTTGCTAACCTGCTTACTGGGAGATGCATGTTCTACATTGAAATACCGGAAAGTAAAAACATGAATAAAGTACCCTATGATTAGAAGAACGATTCAATTATCTTGAGCTTAGATATTAAGTCTTCCTGAGCTTTCCTTAGCCCCCTTGATCAGATGATACATACCGCATCTATACCCCGAGGGTGGATTGACCTGAAGAGGCAAAACCAGAATAGACACATATTCACAGACATGAAGCCGCATCAACCTCATGTCTCTCTCCCTCCTTTTCCATTTTTTATTTCTGCCTTTGCTCTAGTGGATGCAGTAGAATAACCAAGTAGTAATATAGACATAATAGTATCGTACATCGTACGACAAGAACAAATACCGTAACGCAAAGCCAGATATACCCAATAGAGTCGCCCCGTAGTAAACATATATCTCTTTCTCAGACCAAAGAAGATAAAATGTGAGTCAAGTCCAGCCTTCGTAAATGAGCATTCACTGGTGTTGCACACTCAATGTTATTACAAAGATGCGAGGTAGAATAATGATTGCCTCTCTCATTGTCAATCAGACGATTTGACGGTAATGGTTCTTTAAGTACGAAACAGCATGTTGGGAAGGAAAGTGTTCAAAAACAATGTATAAAACAACTGTATCTCACTGATCACAGATATCTCTATCTCTCATATGATGTTTGAATGCACACCTACCTTGGGCAATTCAGTAATAAAGAGAAGATCTCTTGAAGAGTCCCACAAATAAAGGCTGCTAAATAAACCCACATGCATTTCGGAGCCATGCAAATATTCCAAACGCCATAGCTAGGTGACCAAAACTAAGAAAATACAAAGGGTAGTTTAACTATTCCGTCTTGTATCGTGGCGCCGTGGCATGCCAATAACAGCTTCCCCCAACGTACAATTCGATCGCCTTGATGTACTCGACAATCGCTAACGAAGGCGAAGAAGCCAATATCTTCTCTTTCAGTCGGCAGGCCTTCTCTTCTTCGTCTACAATCATACCTCTAAGTAATGTCCTCGCAACAGTATCTAAAACCCCATACTCTTTCATAAGTACACGCACTGCATTCCGGACACGGTCAGTATCCTGATCTTTCTCCACATGCCAGCTGAAGTAGTCGTTTGTCAGTCCGAGGATAATTCCCATACTAAAGTCGAACTCGCGTATTGACTCGTATTCTGCGTCTGTAAGGGTTAGGCCCATGCCCCAGCGGATGAAAAACGATGATATCCTATTCCTTGCTTAGCATCAAGTTCAGACCCGACCGTTGGTAGCCAAGTTCTATTACCAATAACCACAGTTACCAACTCGGTAAGGGTTGTAGTCCTCCATTCTAGTGAACTCCTCATCGCTACTGTCAAATGTATCCAGATAATGCGACAGTACCTCTACAACCTTCGAAGCGGAATTTGGATCTATAACGGCTGCCTTCTGGACGAGGAGGCCAAAAAGAGTTTCTCGAGGGTTAAATCGACCAGGATGGCCTTTCAAGAGCTTCTCGAGATCCATTGCCCGCTTGAGGATTTCATGCTTTTCGCATGCGGTTTTGTGATCTAGCTCTTCTGTGACGTCTATAGGAAGATTAGTCTGACATATGCTAGAGGAGCTGTGCAATTGCTATAAGCTTACCGTCATTGATCCATGCTAATTCAATTATAGATGACAGAATGACCAGTCTTTCCGGAATCGCCGTGCAATGGCAGATTGCGAAAGGTTCGTTGTCAGCAGTGAGGTGGCGCGTAATTGCCTTCTTTTCCTCCTTGGACCCTGGGCTACAAGAGAATTCAATCACTTTCCGGAGGGCTGCGACGACCTCTGCAGAGTTGTGAGCAATTCCCGCAGGGAATCGGCTAAAATGTTCTGAGACTTCAAATGCATCGATCAGATTCCACGTCTCTTCCATCATGGGAAGCACGCCAGAACAAAAAACGGTATAACAATGCACGACGAAACAAGTGGTGATTAGCAGTGGCTGTATTGGATGTAGCAATTATTCTGTCTAAATTAACGGTTTATATAGACAAAATGGCCACTTCTCACGCGCAAGGAAGGGCTCTACCGCCATCCCTCTTCCGGCTCGCTAATACCCCAAGCCATTTGAAAATGTCGACAGCAGGAAGCAGAGCACCGAATGAGTACTTGCATTGCCAATGAAGCATACCCTGTCATAGGTCCGGTTTCCAATTGGACCGGCGAAGGCCGTATGGTAACATCGCTAAAGAACGATATCCCCATGCGTACAGAGCCACCCCACTTGACGCAGCAATATCTGCGACGGGATTGATCCTGATTTCGTAGTGAGAAGTTTTATTATACGATTGACGGTAAAATCATAGCGTGATATCAGCCGTAATGAGGAGCTTATACGCGGGTGCTCATAATGGAGCTATAATTGGTCACTTCATAGAAAGCTCGCAATCATGAAAATATGCCCCAATTAAGCCCACATAATTCAACAACCGCAGATCAGCCTCAAGAGATCATACAAGTATGTGTACTGAAACAAATATATAAAGTAATTGAGAAGTATCAACCCTGAATGGGACAGATTATTGCAGTTTCTCTCAATCGCGAGAAATGTGGCGTGCTGAAACTTACGTGGCATCTGCATGTCTCGCCGTAGCAATTCTACTTGCATAAAGCTAGTCCGCGTTTAGCAGCAAGTATTATCTTTAATTTCGGTCTCAAGCATGTGTCAAATACTACGTTAGGTGTTTTGCAGGGAAATTCTACCCAGATGACCCCTCTGTAGCATCCCTATCGACAACCTATGCAGTCCCTAAGCCTGTCTACATCTCAAGTGGGGTACATCCTACCCTCCTTGCGCTTGCCCTGGTATTATGATTTTTTTCACTTTTCCTTTTCTTTTCTTTTTTTTTGGCGAGTTTATCTGAAAGGGGTACATCGTCGAGGAATGCTGAGGTCCGACATGCAGCTGAAAGGATACAAAAGCAAGACACCCACTCTGTAGAGCAGCTCCTAATGTCTCTCTAACTTTGCTCTGCATCAATTTCTTTGTGGACACGAAAACCGCTCTCTCCAACATGTTGGTGGCTGAAACCTTGTCGAAACTCATGCATGATGGAATGGTGTTATATATCTCAATAGCCTCGTTGCTTATCTTGTTTGTAGGCTTGAAGAAAATCCTATCAAGGGAGTCATTGAGTCAACGGGCAACTCTGGCAAATGGATACAATAAGGTATAAAAGTGCTACTCTGTTTTGAACTTAGCCGGGCCTCTGACGGTGGCTTGGTAGAATTCCTCAACATGGAAAATGTGGACGTCAGATTATCCACTGTATATCATTCCTGTCGGTGCTTTGCCCTCTTTACGAACCGAGAGAAAAGTTGATCTACCTACTCATGTTCACGATGTAAGGCGACCCAAAAGGTATTGCGGTCCTCAGCTCATACCCTGTATAGCAATATCAAACGAAATATACGGGAGCTATGTGCTCTTCGGCGTTTATGCGAAGTGTACAGGTCGACCTCAACAACCACTTGAGTAAGCCAAATCCGGCTGCATGATCATGATCTATGGAATGTAACAAGTTTTTGACTGCTGTGTTTCCTTGTTAACCCAGGCGATATTCTTCCCGAGACGATTGAAGAGATGGCGTACGCTTTCAAACGTGAATTGCCCGACTCCGGAGGTATGAACCCCATCGATCTTACTCTATTGAGGAGTACTGACACAGCTGTCAGAATGGCAATCGATATTAGCTTTTGACAAAGCTCTAAGAATAATCGGTCTCGTCTCGGGAAGGGCTAATGTAGGGCATCACCTTAGCCGTAAAGCCGAGTGGCTCGACCTTTATTGCCTGTACCCTATCCTGTTTTTCTCCTCCATCACAGCGATATGTAAATGGCCTTCCTTCCTGCGACCCATCGTTCAGTATATGACACCCCAACTTAAACAGATGCGGAAGGTTCGAGCCCGCCTTACCGAGATGCTTGCTTCCGAATTTGAGGCGCAACGCAACGGCAAGTCCCAGGCGCAGAATAACATGATAAACTGGGTGTGGAAGAACTCTACCGAGAAAGATAGGACTACCGAAAACCAGAGTTTGATCCACATATTAGCGACCGTTCCTAGCACATATACGGTGTCTTTTGCTATTGCGCAATGTATCTTTGACCTCGGAGCACGGCCGGAATACATCCCGATACTGCGAGAGGAATTCCAATCGATTCTTGATAGCTGCGGCGGCACCACGGGGTTAACAAAAGAGTCATTTAGTAGGATGACAAAACTTGATAGCTTCATGAAAGAGTCTCAGAGGCTAAATCCATTAGCACTTGGTATGTCCGTTCAAGTAAAGAGGCATCGTGGTCTACCTTGTCTCCTTTCAGACCATCAATCTGACGCTTAGTCAGTCTCTTTTGAGAGAACGGCTTTGGAATCAATCACTCTTGCGGACGGCACCCATATTCCGAAAGGTGCGCATATTGCAGCGCCATCCTATCACATCGGTCACGATCCAAAGTACTTTGAAAATCCCGATGAGTTTGACGGTCTTCGATTCCACCGCCTGCAAGAAAATGAGAAAAATGGAAGTGGAAATCTCAACAGCAAGCACCAGTACGTCTCGGTCAATGAGACATCCCTTCATTTTGGCTATGGGCTGCAAGCATGTCCTGGGCGGTGGTTTGCGGCTATTGAGATTAAGCTGTTCCTTGGGTTCCTTCTACAGAAATACGATATAGCTCTGGTTGATGCAGGCAAGGGCCGCCCCACGAGCGAGATTGACCGGTTCTTTATCTACCCTGATCCAGAGAAGATGGTTATTTTGCGAAAGAGATCTTACTGAGGCCGCTTGGTGGATGGCTGAGCAAGCCCATATATTTCACGATCACCCAGCATGGTTCGCTGTGGTCCGATATAGGCTTGAGATAGTTGTTAGTTGTTCTAGATTAGAGGTAAAACCTCCAAGTCCCAAGCATCATCTGGGAGGTAATTTAGGAAGGTTGGACTTACTTAAGAAGTTACTCGCAAGTAGCCACGGTCACCTTGATTCTAAGGTCCATAGAAAGGTACTCTTGCAAATATGTAATCATTAAGCGTGAGCGCTGTGGGCACAGTATCTGTTTCTGCTGGCAACCCCGTCACAGCAGCCGCGACAAAGCTGACGCAGACAACAACAATAAGTGAGGACTTCATGTTAAAATATTCAGGAAACTTTCAACAATGTTTCAAGAAGCTCTTCGCTCGACTGGAGCTTTTCTGGCGTCTAGCTTGGTCGCAATGAGGAATGTGCTTTGGCTAGAGAGGAGCCCACTATTTATATCCGGAAGGAGTTGCCCATTGCCTGTGCTCGTATGTTTAGGTGTCCAAAATTAGGTATACGATATTGATCACTGCTTCTTGTACGACTCCAACAGACATTGAGGCCTGTATCACTAGATTGATTTTGGAGCCCTCTTCAGCTTCACAATCCTAGGTCGTGCCAATAATGCCTCATACTAGAAATGCTGATCTACGCGCAACATCCGCCCACACCTTCTCTGAATCGTACCACAATTGAAAATCCAGCTTGTTGAATTTACCAAATGGAAGAATATTTCTAGACAGTCACGGTATGCTTGTATGTGATCTACTCCGTGTCAGACAAGATTCCTGAAAGATGGGTAGAACAGCCGCCAGAAGGAGACACAATGAGATGTAGCATAGGTCATGAACCATTGGGTATTCTACACTTCACTTCGGCGGTTCCCCGCTTTTATGTAGTAATAGAGAAACCGCAAAATGTTTCTTTGACTAGGCTGTGAGCTCACAGTGGCCCGTCGAGAAAGGTCAATGAGCGGTGGAAGGTATACAGAGGAGTCAAGAGAGACGAATTTAGTGGGCACACATCCATATCACCCTTCCGTCCGTCAGATGTCACACCGGTATAGGAAAACTGATCTTGTCCTCCTCCCTGGAAGATACACATAAGTACATATTGATTGTTTATCTCACGCGTCGATCACGCTAGGCTGTATCTGGTAGTTCCGGGGGATCATGCGGAATGTCCCAGCTCGGAGGCGGTGAGGACGCAATTGATAAGGAGTTCGAGGGAAAATGACGTCGAGTTCTCTCTCTTCAATTCCTTTTGTTTTCTTTTTCTTTTTCTCACTCTCAATCCATTCAGGGAGAAGGAAAGATGTTCCTTAACATATCTGGTCTCTCCCGAAGAGTCCTCAAACCCTATGCGGCCGAATTCCTTGGAACTGCCCTCCTAATTGTACTTGGAGACGGAGTGGTCGCACAATGTCTCCTATCTGATTATCAGTATGGCACCTGGCTGTCCATCAACATGTCCTGGGCTGCGGCCGTCTGTATTTCCGGCTATCTTGCCGACCCCAGCCCGACCATCAACCCAGCTGTGACCATCTGCACTGCTCTTATTCGTCCGACTCCTGGGCAATGGAGAAAGCTACCAGGTAAGCTGTTTGCCCAGTTTCTGGGTGGCTTTGTGGGTGGCGCAATTGTGTATATCAACTACCGGTCGGGCATCGAATCGTGGGATCCCGAGTACACGATTCCGGGTGGATCAATTCTGAGCCCACAAGGACATCATTCCGCTGGTATCTTCTCGACCTATCCCGCCGCCACCTTACGGTCGAACTGGGAGGCCGCCTTTTCCGAATTGCTCGGGTCGGCGGTGCTCATGTTTGGATCTCTGAGCATCTCGGACCCGGCCAATGCGCCTCGCTTCTATTCCCCTCAACTCTCCGTGTTTTTGCTGCTTCTGGCCATTGGCGCTTCCTTGGGCTGGCAGACTGGATATGTACGTAGCCTGTTGAAACCCAGGCTTATAGGTGTCTGCCCTGTCAACTAATACCCCTTTATCTAGGCTATTAACCCAGCGAGAGACTTCGGCCCGAGACTGTTTTCTGCCATTATCTATGGCAGAGAGGTTTTCACAGCGGCCAACTACTATTTTGTCGTCCCTCTTTTCGCCCCAATTGTCGGTTGTATCGTGGGGGCTGCAACCTACGACTCTCTCCTCTACGAGGGAGAGGGATCTCACATCACCGACGCCCTCGACAAAAACGAAGATCGACACGGCGCCCTTCGGCTAGACTAAGTACAGTATATGACCGATGTCTGATGAATGTAGTGTCAAGCAAAGAATGTGCTCTCCATCCCCATGTTGGATTGGGTTAGAGAACAAGTCATTTATCGATAATCTTTTACTCTGACACGCAATGATGGTTTGTATGGTGACTTCTGTTTTCGAGAATGTCGTATGAATTTTGGACGAGCTTTGGATGGTGCGGTGTATAGATGACGTTATAGAATGCCAGAATCTTAGCGTAGAATGTCTTGGTGTTTAACCCTGCTTGGATATACTTTGTTCATTGAAGAGATCTTTCGTGGATACGAGTTAGGAAAATAGAAAGATGTTCAACGATGTACACAAATGGCTGTGTCAGTGTTGTACTAGTATCATGTAGTAGGTGCAAGGCTTGATAACGCACCAATTGAGAAGTTGGTGTATAATAGATAGAAGATACAAGAAAGGCATAGGGAAGAGATGCAGAGCGGGTTTTGAAGTTCCAGACCTCGTTTAATAAATAAAGGAGTTTTCTCGGCCTAATCCGCCAAACCTTTTGATCTTCCTCGACATCCGTTACACTTCACCTCACCCTATATCATGTCTAGAGCCAAATCTCGAGCTGGTTCGCAAGTAAAGACATTTGCAAAACAAGCACAACGGACCTCAAGGGTGTGAAGGACATTCTATGGCCGTCATGGACGTTCTTCGCTAGCTCACATATTTTCCATCTTCATGGTAGCCATTAGGTTGAGTGTAGGAGTAAAGAAACCTGTACCTGGACTTATCCTCTACTATCAGTACGGAGTATATCCTTGGCGAGCCATAACCACAAGACTTCCAAGTTCTCATACTCTCTCGGCAAAGTGAGAGCTCCACTCATGGACTCAGGGCCAATTATTGATTGGTTGGCTTAGTGTACCAAAACTTTGCAGACGGGAAGTCAAAGGAGAGAAGCCGGCTAAAGTGTCAAGTCCTCAGGTTCGCTGTTAATGATATCTGGACTTAGTCGACAAATTGCAACCACGGTCCTGTTCTCCAACCTCGTACCTTAAGCCTAAAGAGGCTTCTTTTGCTCGTATCCGGCGACATTTTGCCAGGTCATGAAGCCTTTATGTGAAGGGAATAAAGCAATTACTATAGAGAGTAACAGGCACACTAAAGTACCGGGGCCGCGGAGGTCATGACCCCGATGCCCCCGGCAGCCAAACGAGCGGTTTCAATATTATAGGATTCTCGCTGAGCTAGTCAACTCGTTTGGGTGTCGGGGCCGGTTAGATACGACAGCGTTGTCATATGCCCCCATCGAGGTTGGCTTGTGTTCGTGGGCGTAATTTCCGGTTTAGCCTATTGGGATTGTGAATATTTGTGTGGCGTGCTACTATCATGGACCGATTGGCTATCCTGATGGTGAGAACTTTACAATATCGCGGCGATACTGCGGTGAATTGACTAATGAAGGGACGGGTCTGGGCCATGTATTCTGTGAGTCGACTTGAAACCTAAGCTCGGCTTGGCAAGTCTTGGGGTCACTTGGCTCACTATCGGTAATTTGATGCTGTGGGATTTATCCTGGGGATAATCCCATCTTCCCGGTCATACCATGGACTAGAAGTCACTAGAAGGTAGCCCATTAGATTATCTCGAATATAAATATGCAATATAGCATGAAGAACATCAATTGGCCTAGGTGTCGTTACCCGCAGACCATCTGCCTTTCCGCGGCAGAATTTCCCACTCCACCGTTCCACGGTGGAACTAATGCTCGTACGGGCGTCTCTAATAGCGTCAAAGTCGGGCTTGCTGCGCCACAGAAAGGGTTCCTTTAGAGTGAGACAAGGAGGGCCTATTGGGGAAGAAGGGTGCTCCTCGACATTGCCTAATGAGGAGAGCTAGGCCGGAGTTATATCCCAATATTGTCGGAGATATACCATTCACAAAGGCTTGGCTAAAGTTGATCCGGGCTGAGTCGTGTTGGCGTCGGATAATTCCACTCCTTGATTCGGGACTCTACTTTCCAAGCGCTCACTAGCTATTGATGGGCAAACTATTGACTCATGACCACCAATGAGACGTTTAGAATCCATGTCAATTGTCGCAGGTTGATAACGCAGGAGGTTTTGGTCATTTAGGCCCAGAAGGGGCCTTCCCAAACTCCAAAGGGAAGGGGTTCAATATATGCTCGACGGATGAAGGTTCCGGGTGGAGATCTCCATCTAAAGAGCTTAAGGTCATATTCTGGTTGAATTCTATCAAGAGCTTCAAGCTGACCACCGTTTCGCCCTAACCTCCCATTCCTCAGCTATACCCGGTCTGGAAATTGAAACAAGACATACCAAGACTCTTAGATTGCCCATCGATACAGAGCCATCCCACTTTTTAACCTGTACGCAACGGAACGGCGTATAAAATCCTCATCAATACCCCCCTCGTTCTCTCCCCCAGACAAGCAAAACAATCGTCATATCTACCTTCCTCGTTAGTACCCAACCACTCTTCGCATTCACCATGTACCAGAAGCTTCTTCTCGCTCCCCTTCTCCTCGTCTCGGCTCTGGCCAGCCCTCACGATGCCTCCTCCCATAACCAGTTCCACCAGCTGAGTGAGCGCGCCGCTTTCCCCCTCCCCGCCTCCAAGGGCAGCCAGACCTTCAAGGAGCCTTACTACGTCAAGGGTTCCTACGACGGTGGCATGAAGACCTTTGGCCGTGGCGTCAAGTGTACTGGTCAGAAGGAGGGTGGCGACAAGGACGCTGTCTTCATCATTGCTGACGGCGGTGTCCTCCGCAACGCTATCATTGGTGACGATCAGATTGAGGGTGTGCACTGCGAGGGTTCCTGCACCCTCGAGAACGTCTGGTGGAAGGAGGTCTGCGAGGGTATGTTCATTCCCTCCCCCCATCTACCCACGACCAAACAGGAGCTAATAGTCATGCATAGATGCCCTGACCTTCAAGGGTACCGGCAGCGGTGTCCACAAGGTCATTGGCGGTGGTGCTCAGGGCGCCGACGACAAGGTCATCCAGCACAACAGCGGCGGTTCTGTCACCATCAAGGACTTCACCGTCCAGAACTTCGGCAAGCTGTACCGCTCCTGCGGTAACTGCAAGAAGCAGTTCAAGCGTACCGTTGAGATCAGCGGCATCAAGGCCAGCAACGGCAAGTCTCTTGTCGGTATCAACCCCAACTACGGCGATAGTGCCAGCATCAACGGCTGTGCTAGCAGCGTTAAGGAGATTTGCGTTGAGTACCAGGGTACCGACAACAACGGCAAGGAGCCCAAGAAGGTGGCCTCCGGCCCTAGCAACAGCTGCAAGTTCAAGGCTCCCTTGGCCAGCTGCTAGGTTTAACATTGACTAATTGGGGGGTTCCTAAATTGTTGGAGTTAGCTGTCAGCGATATTGCTTCAGTACTTAACCTTCTGCCCACGGTTTTTTTTTTTCACTATTAGTTAAAAAACCATACACTTTATCAACACTATCCCTTTCCACATCTAGACGAACATCGAATCGAATGCGTGCAGATTCTCACCTCGCATCCTTGGAGCTAAAAGTGGTAGAGAACAAGTAGTATGTGATTAGATATCCTTCGATATCATTGAAACTATGCCCACATTGAGGGTGAGGCCCATATAGTGAGGGATAGTTTGGACTTGTTTCATGAACCCCACTTATACAACAGCCGTGGCCATCTTGGTCCTGAGTGCTTTTGGCGCAATGCCGGTGACCATGCTTTGTATCCTCTGTTTAACGCGTTACTAGTTTGCACAGGTCACGGTTCCGGGGTAGCTCTTCCATTATCATGGTCGCATGTATCTCAAGGATCTCTTCGTAAATTTTTCATATTATGAATCTATTTCCAAATGTCACACAAGACAGAAGAAAATACTACCAAAGGTTATTCCAGAACTGCCAAGACCAATGTCTGGACAATATTGTTGCTTTCGCGCGTTATATAGAAGTACAACGAAGCTGCTTATGAATATAAGTCTTCTATCGTATCCACCATCACGATGTGAGTCAAGTCAACTTTGGCATCAAAACAGCCAAACCCTATATTTATAATCATGATTATTAATAACATGGTAGTTCTAATGGCAGCCAAGGTCGTCAGTGGTACATGCCAAGCAAAAGTACGAGGCCCATCACTCACCAACTACCACGTACGATGTCCTTCATAGTCCATATTCACGACTTCCTATACTTCAGAATACGAGATATCGTTAATTTCAATGGCTATATAAACGGTTTTGTGACCAGGCTTTGAAAATGTAGCGCTATCAAGGAAACTATCCCAGCCATCACCAACAACACTTTGTTAAATCCTTAACACAAACAAAGATTCCAATTTTTACCTCTTCCAACACCCCTCCAGCCAATATTTGAAAATGGCATCGTACACGGGCAAGAACGCAGTCATCATCGGTGGAAGCCACGGTATCGGTCTGTCAACCTCTCAGCTTCTGGTCGATGGGGGTGCAAAGGTCCTCGTCACTGGTCGGAGCCTTGGACCCATTGAAGCAGCAAAGCAGCAGCTGAAAGAAAAGGCCGATGTTGTATCCTGCGACATCACTTCAACTATAGCCATCTCCGCTCTTGTTCAGAAAGTCGAATCCTACTTCGGCACGGGACAAAATATTGACCTGCTCTTTATCAACGCTGGATATGCAGCTTTAGAACCGTTCGATGTCGTGTCAGAAGACTCTTTCCGTCGAACATTCGACACCAACGTGTTCGGTGCCTTCTTCGTTGCTCAGAAACTGTCCCCTCTTCTTAGAGATGGTGGCTCCATCGTGTTCACTACCTCAGTCGCCAACCGGGTCGGTATCCCCGGCATGGCGACGTACTCGGCTTCAAAAGCCGCTGTCCAGTCCTTTGTGCAGACCCTGGCTGCAGAACTAGTTGGTCGGAAGATCCGGGTTAACGCGGTTTCCCCTGGCTTCGTGAAGACCCCAACCATGGGCGTTGCCGGTGCTTCGAATGATGATCTGCGGGAATTTGAGAACCAGGGTGTGCAGACTACTCCTCTGGGTAGGATCGGCGAGCCAAGTGAGGTCGCGCGCGCCGTCATCTTCTTAGCGTTTGAGGCGACTTTTACAACAGGCTCGGAAGTGGCCCTTGATGGTGGATTGGCGTTGTTGAAGGTGCATTAGTAGTGTGCCGTCGAGCTTGAGTGAGACAGCATCAGTGCGTATCTTATGGCAATCTTGCTAGATAATGCATTAACATTTATTCAAAGGGTGCTCAGAGGCTTACAGTCTTAGTACCTAGCTATTCTATGTTTGAACTTGTGGTAGTGTTTCAATAGCTCTCAATGACCTTTCCAGTTAATCATCATCAGAATTGACCACCTCGTTAAGTTTGCATTATAGGCCAGGATATGCCCACAGTGTGTATAAAGAACTCAATGAACTATTCAGTCTATGACAACGCCAGTCATGCAAACATTGTACATTTTCAATATCACATCAGAGGTATACTAGCTATCAGAGATAGGGCTGAGCCACAACCGATCAACATCATCCTTCAATGCAGATCTCTTCTTGGCCATACATACATTTACCCCATATCTTGGCCCAACGCCTGAATTTCTCTGGTTCGTCCGCGGTTTCATCCTTCGAAGTTCATATTCCCGCTTTTCACGATTGCCAGATCTTGGAGGGACCCGCTTGCCAACATTGGTAAAGAGTTTCGAAATTACACGGTAAAATAAATTGAAGGATTCGGTTGCTACATGATGCCAGATTGTGGTGATATTGATAATGAAAGGAGCTTAAGCATGGCTTTATTTTGACAGTGACTCCCTAACTCGAACCCTTCTTCAGCTCGAAAAATTCTATTAACGCAGATAGATCCTCGGGCCCATGTCCCTCACCCACTGCCTTCTCCATCAAGGCTTTCATCGGAAGAATTGTCTGCGATGAGACTCCTTGTTCCTCCCCAGCTGCGATAATATTTTCCACACCGGCCAGTTGCATCACCAAATTAGACCCTTGCGTGGCGTAACCTCCCTGATCAATCTGGTTCGCGATGGAACCAAGATAACCCATCATTGCCGACAGCCAAGGGGTCAAAAGTGGCAACAGACCCGTAGCGGTATTGCCCTTCTCGGACTTGATCAGAGCAGTTGCATGGAGGAACCCTGAAAAAAGACCGTACATGCCCGATAGCAGAGCCAAGTCATGTAAGGAGGCAGATCCGGCATCTAGCCCAAGATATTTTCCAGTTCCGAGGAGAGACAGGTGGCTTTCAATGTTTTGGAACAGTTCAAGAGATCCTCCACTATAGAAAAGAACTGCGTGCGGAGACCCAACCATGGCAGGAACTGCCATGATACCGCCGTGGATGTACCGTGCTCCGTGAGAGGTGACCAGATCTGCAAGTTTGCGGGCTTGGTTGGGTGTACCATTGGTGAGGTTGACGATGGTTTTGCCGGGCAATATGTGAGACGTATCTCGAAGAGTCCCTTCCACTGCATGATTGTCAAGGAGGCAGAACAGGATGAGGTCACTAGCGCTGAGACCATCTGATATGGTGGACGCTAGCTTGGCACCTTTTTCGACGAGCGGACTAGCCTTAGCGGTTGTTCGATTCCACACAGTTGTTTCGTAGTCATGGTCGAGATACTTTTCTGCAAGGGCCCTGCCCATGGCTCCGAGGCCAAAGATGCTGATTTGCTTAGGCATTGTGATAGACAGAGGTTGGTGCTTATCCTGGTTCTGTGGAGAGGCTGATAGTAGACCACCATAACAGCCCTTATATATAGAGACCCCCTCAGTACAACATATCCAATGCCCTCATTCTATCCAAACTACTGTGACTCAAAACTGATTTCAAATCAAACATTATTAATTCCTAGTATTCCTTCTAGTTCCAAATCGCTCGGCGTCTTTAGAAATTCGTATTCAAAGCTTGGCATTCCGTAGCTTGCAAGAGCGCACCAGGCTTCGAGCGTATCTTATAGGTCGCTGTATTTGATAGTTAACTGATAGGTATTGAGGTAAGCTATATCTCCCCACGGTGAATTGAGAGTAATGCATGCCAGCTTAGGGCCTCAGCTCCCAATTACATATATGTCTTCGTGGGGATATATATAATAAACCAAAACATTGAGTTCATTCATAACTATCACGAATTCATGTCGAATAAACGCTCTAAAGCCGTAACCTAAGCTACACAAAGGAACTAGGGCAATAAATAGCTAGAAATCGCTGGATGGTAAGCCAATGACCATTGAAGACTCTGTAGATGTGTTACCTTTCCATGCAAAGTTAAAAAGATTGCTGAGATACAATTTGGAATATATTGTCAAATTATTACAAATAATCTCAACAGTTGGCCGGCTGGCCCAATGGTAAGGCGCTTGACTACGGATCAAGAGATTGCAGGTTCGAATCCTGCGTCGGTCATTCTTTTTATTTTCTTTTTTAGATCCCCCATTATCTCGGTATCCACTTAAATAAAAATACTTTCAACTGCCACCTCATTCTCAAGGACAGTGTTTCTGGCTGTCTCTATCAAACCTTTTACAATCTAGATAGAACAATTTTCAACAGTCTTTGCCAGAACAACTAGGACTAGTCGAGCGTTGCCATGTTACATCAAGCACAAGGTATCTAGTTCGATATTTAGCTCCAACAATGTGAGAGCATGCGAAAAGCTCAGCTTTCTTCAATCTTTCTACGAAAGATCCTGAACTATCAGGTACCTTATATTTTGAAACACCGTTAGTGATGTTGTTTGTAGCTCAACAGTTGGAGCGAACATACTTTACACCTGTGAGCTAGACATTATTGTTGGATACGAGTAGTAAACAGCCTTAACTCCCGATGGAGGACAATCTAAAGTATATGGACCTAGATGCCGATCATATCTCCACGCACAGCTTCTCCCAGGCGAGAGGCGACCCGCACGGTCTGAGATACTACTGTTGTGGGGGTTTACTTTCCTCTGGAGGTATATATGTACCAACCTAATAATATACTAAATTCTGAAGCAATCTGTTACCAATATTGACAAGCAAACATGTACCCGTCCGACATACAATTCGTTGTCTGTCTTTCTGGATACTTCGTGAAAGACCTACAAGCTGTTCGACAAAGTCCAACGTACGATCCACTAATAGACAACATCCCCCCTCAAACACCTGGGTTCAAAAGTGTCGTGCAGGCTGGCCATGCTATCTCCATCTTGATACACCTTCCGGATGGAGCAGTAGCAGTTGGTGACTGCGCCGATGTTATCTTTTCCGGGGCTGCGTCGCGGGACCCCCTTTTCATCGCCGAAGAGCATCTTCCTATCTTAGAATCTATCGTCAAACCCCGGCTCCTTGGATGTGATGTCACTGGATTCCGGCAGAATGCAGTAAAGATAGACGGTCCGTGGCCTGAGCTAAAATGTACTAAGTTGCATTCGGCCGTTAGATATGGGATTACGCAGGCGCTACTTGCGGCTACCGCGTTGGTACATCGTTGCACGATGGCCGAGATTATATCTCGAGAGTGGGGGACTACACTGTCACGTCATCCCATTGACATCCTGGCCTCTTGTCACCGGAATGACTATCTGCAGCTGGACCGGATGATTATGAAAAGAGTTCCGATGCTTCCCCATGCCTCCTTCGTCCATGTCCACGATATAGGGCCCAATGGCAGTACCTTGATAGACTATATCAGGACAGTATCTGAGCGCGTTCAGAATAGGGGAACCACTGGATACCACCCCCGTCTCCATTTTGATGTTTACGGAACGATCGGTGATCTGTTCTCCGACAATGAAGATCTAGCATCTTTCCTTGGCCGGCTGGAGCGATCCGCTCAGCCGTACGGTCTACTTATCGAGTCCCCAATCATTGCACCCACTAAGCACGAGCAGATCCGACAACTAGCGAGTCTCCGACAGCTTCTACGAAAGCGATCCCTCCGTGTTCAGATTGTCGCAGACGAATGGTGCAACACTCTAGAAGATATGCGGGAATTTGCGGACGCGGGGGCTGTTGATTACGTGCAGATCAAGATGCCTGATCTCGGAGGAATACACAATAGCATTGATGCAGTGCTTTACTGCCAGGAGAAGGGTATAGGCTGCTGCCTCGGAGGGTCGGCCAATGAGACTGATATTTCTGCCCGGGTTACCGCGCATGTTGCCTTGGCCACGAAGCCTGGTTTTCTTCTCTCCAAGCCTGGGATTGGTGCTGATGAGGGGGTCATGATCCTTACGAATGAGATGCTCCGTGCGTCTGCATTGGCGTGGCGGACGAGAACGAATAAATTATAGCGTTTGGTTGGAGATGCTGGGGCGGATGGTTTACTTTACTGCATGACAAGAAGTGCCTCACCATGGGTTATTAAGTATATGAGTTACTCGCTGCTCCTTTCTGTTTACCCCTCTTCTTGTTCATGCAGGCTCCTCTTTCTAATATTTAGCTGCATGACCTGAGAAATCAAACTGAAACCCTAACCGGAAGAATATGATGCTGCGGAGATCCTTGGATTATGGAAACATGAGGACAAAGCGCTGATCAATCTCATTTAACTGACTCGCCAATAATTTCGCTGCGTGGTCCTTCCTATCTCATTAGTCCCGCGGCCTTCCCGGCTATAAGTTGGCAATTAGTGTGCTGCATGACTTTGGGGTGGATCCTGCGCTCATACGAACGTTCCCACTTGATCTGCATGAGCAAAGCAAGATTTGCAGCGTTTATACTGCGCATCGTGGAAACAATTCCCCACCTAATGGAGAAATCCTAGACGTGAGATGATCTCCGCTGCACTTTTTCTGTGCTTTTGCCACGTCACGGCACAGAATGAACTATCGACGATAGTTTGCAAATCGAGTGTCGAGTAATTTCCCTAAGTAGCTCTACGGGGAGATTTTCCTGACTTGCACAACATAGCTAGTACGAATGGATTCATGGAAGAACTGAGCATCGTAGCTAAGGAAATGCTTAGGCACGGGTCCATCACTCATAGAATACCTTTGCCTTAAAACCGCCCATGGTGACATTCTCAGTTAGATCAGTGGGTGACCTAGTCCAATTCTTCTTGATTCTCGCCCTAGTCCATTCGGGTGCTGGAATATCAATGTCCGTAGTATCCTTATGATACCCCTCCCTCCGAAGTAGCGGACTATCCACACTCTTCAGCTGCAAGCGATCGCTCGGCCGCACAAAGTACAGTATCCCGAGCCGATCGTGGTGCTGCTGATCCTCAGGGGGAACAATCACGCGGTGCACGCCGCTCTTCAACCACCCATTCGACAACATGGTCATGATATCCGCGATATTCACCGCCAGCGTTCCCGGGCGGATCGCGAGATATTCCCATTCTGAATCATCGTATTTCTTGACCTGGAGGGCGGACACAGGCTGCTGAAATACAAAGGTGATGGTCCCGTTGTCGGTGTGTCCGCGGGAATAGAGATGCTTGTATTTCTCATTCTCCTCTGGTGTACGGGCTCGGTAGCACATGTAGCGGAGACCGCTGTCGCACTCTGCCTCGTAGCGATGTCCATCTACGAGCTGCTCTTCTGGTAGCTCTAGGATGATTGCAAGGAGCCGGAAGAGCTTGTAAGCGATGTGTTCGTGGCAGTGACGGTGGAACTTCTCGATTTCCTCCCAGTAGCGTCGCACTACGTCTGGGTGACTTCGGTCGTATTGGGGGAGGAACTTCATGATGTTGTAGAATTCGATATTGTCACGGAGCCCGGGGAGAATCTCGATCGAGCCGAGGGGTCGGTAGCCATTGTAGATTCCTTCTTCCAGGGGGGCGCGGAAACTGCGTCGTTCTTCCTCCGGAAGCGAGAAGAATTCTTTTGCGATGGCGAATTGCCGGTCGATCTGTTCCTGGGTGAGACCAAAATTGGCCACGTAGAAGAAGCCTATTCGGTTTTATGTCAGCCAGTTCAGGGTGGGATGGGAGAGGAGGTTCCTTTTTACCAACTTCGTGGGCAGCGTCTTTCAACTGCGCTGCCAGCTTCTCTTTCCCACCGGGACGATCAAACTCGGACAGGTCGATTGTGACCAGGTCTGCATATTTCACTGTTGCGTTTTAGTATTTTATACTTTTTCTGACCGAGCACTGGGCTCCTCACAGTCTTGCTTTGACTCAGGCGGATGAATGTATTTTTCTAGTGGCTTGGTGGATTTGGTTATTGGTACTTCCACTACCGACTCCGTTTGAGTGGCCATGATGTGTGATGATGAGGGTAATTGAAGAGAAATTAGACAGGGTAACAGTAAATGTCGAGTATCCTGGCAATACGCTTCATTGCACCATTATAACAGGTACTCGGAAGGAGAACTTGCAGTCCAATGACGATCAATCGGATAACCTCGGTCTTGTGTCGCGCATCAGACATGGTCTACCCCTCCTATACCATACCTCTTGTCTTCCCCTCCAATATGCTGTATCTGACTAGAGTTAGTTGATTCGTGGAGATCCCTACCCCAAGAGTAGTATGACGTACCCGGAATGCCTCGTTCTCTAAGACCATGCAGATGAGGGGCTGGCGTGCTGCAATACCCCTCCGGTGAAAGATCAAACTTGACTGGCTGAATATGGTCATAGTGAAGAGATGCGAGTCTGATGGTTTCCAACGTATGTGTGGTTGTGTTCGAATGATCCCTCAGTATATGGTAGTTGGTCTTGTATCTCACGTCGATTAGGGCTAACGACTTGTGCCAGAGCTATTCACACAACAGGGACGAATGTTGGCTGATTTACTACGCCGAAGGGTCTCTGATATTGGGCTTTTTATATCTAGTGTCGTTATTATATTACAAGGTATCGTTGCACCTGGTCTATCATACATCTATAATACATGAGACGGGAAACTTGGAGGCCTGGACCTCAATCAAACACGAGCCTACCGACGCTCCAGGACCTTGAGGACCAGCTCATAGGTACCAATTGTGAGAGCAGCAGAAGGAACGGTCCGAAGAAGATGCGCCGTCAAACCGCCATACAATGCCGCCGCGCCCTCCTCTTTCAGCATCAACCGCGCACACTGGACGATCCCGGTATACTTCTGGCGACCGTCCGCCATGGGAGCCTGTCGTAACCTTGTTCTGATGACCTACGACGGGTTAGAAAAAAGATTCTCATCCAAGGCAATAGCTTAGAAGCTTACCTCATGAGGGTATGCAATCAAACACGCGATGAACTTCGACAAACCCGAAGCTCCACTCATAGCAAGGCCCTGAACAAACCCACTCGTATCACCGCTTTTATCATCCAGGTCAATTCTCTTTGAGATCATTCCCTTAAACTTCTCATACATCGCAAGGTGCAGTGTCGTCTCAATCGTACCGAGGAAACTCGCAGAGAGACCCCGATAAAGACCTTTCGGTCCCTCCTGCTGTATGACCTGTCTGGCGCAGTCCAGGCTGTTCTTGTATCGCCGGGCCCCAGCCTTATCGAGCTGGAGTCGCGTCTTGACCACCCAGATGGGATTCGTGGCCGAACCGGTGGCGATTCCAGCACATGCAGCAGACATAGCATGTACGAGGGATGAGTCCTTCTCACATCCTATGATCTCCGGTAGAATCCGTTTGCAGTTTCCGTAGGTGTAGAATTTCACCGCGCTGGCCGGAACAACACCAGTCAGACTGGGTCCGAGGCCCTTGAAAAGACCTCGCCATCCTTCTACGCGATGAATGGAGAAGAGAATGTCGAATGTGTCGCGGAAATGAAGAATGGAGGTGCGATAAAATGATGGGCGCAGATGGGGCTGTGCGGGAACCGGGCGAATTTGAGCTCCCTGGGTTCGATAATAGTCTGTTTGCAACCTGCACTCATGGTGACCTTGATTAATTTACTGGCACTAATCAGGAAGTAGAAGGTATCCGAGGATCGTATCATACCTAGTTCGTAGGACATCGAGTGGGCTTGTGAGAATCGCTGTGACCATTCCACCTGTGCTGTATCGGGACGGGTGGTTAGTACACAAGTCACAGCATAAATCATTCAAAATTACTCACGCGCCAGCGATCAAATGAGACCACGATCCTAAAGACGAGACATGGGGTTTTGCATTAGTCGGGAGTGGCGACGTGAGTGAACCTTGGGCAGAATCTCCCGGCTTATGTGCGATGTTTTGCATTTCTGGACAAGAAAAGGTGTATTTATGATATTTTTCACTCCGTTTGCTGCATTGGAAAAGAAACAAGTAAACGGCCAAACCAGAAAACGAGAAAAAAAAGAAAGAATGGCGCCCTTGTGCTGGATTGTTTTGCGGAGATAATCCGGAGTGAAAATTGAAAGTCGGACTTTTTGCTGCAAGTGGAGTCCCAATACCCTCCTTCTGATTGGATGACCGTTCAGGGCCGACGGTCTGGCCTCCTTATCGATAAGAACCAGTTATCGATAGCAGAGTCACGTGGACAGGATATAGAATCAGGTTGGAGCATCTTCGTGTTATTTAATTATTGCCCATGATATATTCTCTGCGCTATACTAGATTACACTTATACTCTGAGCTTTCATAAATCAGAATCTGACCCATCGTTATGATACTTGTCACTAGCAGGACACGAGTAGACCAATATCGTTAGTGAAATCATGACACTTGTAGTATCCATTACTGGAGCTCAATGGCCTTTACATTTCAAGCGCCATTAGGATTATTTCCCCACATACTTGTCAAATACTGAGCCATCCCATGTCGGTCTCAATAAGGTCTGCAGAGATCCATATGCTGTTGAAGTGTTCGTGGTTTCGAATGAGCGAACATCGTCTGAGCTGGATCATCCGTTTTCCCCCGTAAAGCCGATGATAGAAGCATTTCTAGACACCGGAACGCATGTTTTTCTTAACACTACATTGGTAATACCCACTGGGATTTAGATAACAGACGTGAAAGTAGGAGGATACCCGAGGTCGGCCGAAATCGATGTTACCCCAGTTGTTAGAGACAAAGCCATGGCCTGTTTCCAATATCGACTGAGTGTCTAGGAGTCTGCTTCTCTCTCTAACTATTTCATGATTGAGCTTTGAAATCAGCTCCGGACAGTGAACATCTATACCAAACGCAAGGACCCTCGTGAAGTCACCGGCAAGATGGCCACCAGCAGTGCAATGTACTCATACAACATTTCACCGTTCAATTTCCTGTAGCACGACCATACGTCGCCCTGTTGAGATCAACCGCCCAGAAAAACCGAATACTTCCATTGAGCCGTATGTTGCAACTGGGCATAGGGACTTCTCGCGAGGATGTCTTGGCCAAAGATAATCTGGACATAAGATGTGGCTCGAAATGCGCCAGGCTTTTGACCAACTTTCTTCTGATATCTCTGTTTGTGCAACTACCATCACTAGAGCAGGCGACAGAGCCTTTACGGCAAGCTTCTAGAAGAATGTATGGTTGCTAGGAACGATCATATTGATGAAGAGGACTTTTTATCTCCATATTTAAAAGCACGCGCTAAGGTCTTTACTTTAGCAAATATAGTGTTTTAGGCTATTTGATCAAGAGCCGTTCTTTCCATGCTTACATCTCAACTACGTACGCCAACACCACCACTAGTCAAAGGCCCAATTTCCTCTGCTTTTCAAACTCCTGGAAATACCCATCAGCTAGATCAAAAGATCCGCAGTCTACAGAATAGTCTTAGCGCAAAACGGTAGCTTTCTAGCAGCCCAATTGCTCATATTCAACATCTCGCAAAAGCTGGGCAAATAGCGATGCATACCAACCTTCTTTTACAGCAAGAAATTAAGGCTTTACGAGCTGAGAATAAGTGGAAATATAAGAAAAAAGCTGGAAGACGTGCTATAATAGAAAATAATAGGCTTTTAATGGTACAGGAAGGTGAACATCACTTTCAGCAGCTTGATACGCAGCTTAATGAGCAGGATGAGGAACCTCCACTTTTGCCTCGACGTCGAGCTTCGCAACGCTGCAGTGGCTGTGGGATAGTTGGACAAACTATAAGGGATTTACCTAGTAAATAGCTTTATACGTCTTGAAGAGTTAGGTCAATCGGGTCTGGTTTTATGGTTGAAAAGCTTTAGGTTTCTCGAGGATGCATGAAAACTGCCGGCTCGGCCGTGGATTATGTTACACCTCAATATTCTAAATCAATTCATTTTCTCCCGCTGTCAGGGCTTCACTCCTTGTAAGTAATAGAGCCCTCCAGGGACCCTTAAGCCTTTTATTGGCTTTCCTCAGCCCTAACAAAATGCAAAACGCCGGGCTGAGAGCTCGCCGACACGTATATGCACTTCCGGAAGGTCATCATCAGTGAGTACAGGAAGCTCTCATCCTTCTGCTCGACATATTTCTCACCCAGCAGAGGCTGGATGGCCCAGGTTGCTTCTTCGGCCTTGTAGAAAGGAATGCGGCTGAATAGATGGTGGACAACGTGGTAGTCGATAATTTCGTGGAAGAAATGGCGACCGATGAAGCCAATTGTACGGTCGACGGTAGCTAGAGCGCCCTTAGTGTAAGTCCAGGCTTCGGCGGTATAATGCGGGAGTTCGGGGTGAGTGTGTTGTAGGTAGGTAATAGCGACTGAAGTGCCATGTTAGCTTTACAAAGATAATACATGGCGGGGAAGCGGAGAGAGACATACTCAGCCAGTGGTGAACCCAGAGGTAAGGAATAAAGTACAGCAGAACGACGTTCCACACGCCAATCTGAGTGGACGCATAGTACAGAATGGAGGCCATGATCAACAGTCCCAGATCAGACAGCGCAATCGAGATCCGTTGCGAGCCCGTAAAGAGGGGACCAAGAGGATTGAAATGGTTGGCAGGTCCAAATTTTCCTGCTCCATCGGGCAAGCTCTTCGAGCCGGCGGTGGCATTCAGGAGCAGATAGATTTGCCATCCGAACAGCTGCTGGCCGATCAGCTGCACAAAAGACACAATCGGAGTCTCCTCCGCGAGATGCTTAATTTTTTCAATACGCATGTTCTTCTTCTTGGCTAGGTCCTCCTCTGTCCACGGCACGTACACGGTATCCTTCTCCATGTGGCCGGTGTAGCGGTGGTGGCGTGCGTGGGTGATCTTCCAGGAGAAGTAGGGCACCATTAGGAAGGAATGCGCAGCCCATCCAACGAAGTCATTCAGTTTCTGGTTAGGAGAGAAGGCTCCGTGACCGCATTCGTGTGCGAGAATCCATAGTCCAGTACCGACGCAGCCCTGGAAGAAGCCATAAGTGATCCAGGCGAGGGCACGAAGCGGTAATGAGGGGATTAGGTGGATTTGGAAGGCGGCGACTGTCAGAATGATGCAATACAGGACATCACGAGCCAGGTACAAGAGGGATGTTACGGTCGAGGATTCGAAGCACTCCTTGGGGATTGCATCCTTGAGCTCTTTCAAGGTAGGAGTGGTGTCTTTTTCGTCAGCCTATGAGACTTGAGTGTCAGCAATGACTCGCATCTGTTTTTCCTGTTCCCTCGCATTGAGCACTCTTCATTTCTGGGGTCAGATCCAAGATGAGCGCATACCTTCCCGGCTTTTCTGTTGTGTAACTCGGCCATGGCTGTCGCACGCTCACACTCGATATAGAGCAACAGCTACGAAAAATGTCTGAACCCCTCTGTTTAAAAATAAAAAAGGGACAAAGGAGTGAAGACTAGCTGCTCAAAAAATAAAAAATAAAAAACTAAGCTCTGTCAGAAATAAAGAACCAAAGATAAAAAATAAAATTAGAATTAAAATAAAGCCCTAAGTTACATAAATCCCAGCATCGCCATTGGTCTATGAGCCCCTGTCTCCTAAATCTTCCAGAAAAGGTATGGAACCCTTGAGGGATACCTTTTGGAAACCAACCTTCCCATAAGTCTAATTCCCCTGATAATACAGACTGTTTAGCAGCGGGACTATTTGACGATCCAGCCACTGATGTGGATCCATGGTATGATGAGAACCAATCTACGGCCGCCTTCCAGTTTTTCTCCACTAGAGGTTTTTTTTTTTCCTTTTCTCTTTCGTCTAATGAAAACGGTTGGGTGTTGACTCCTAATTCTGAATGAGGAAGGCAATATGTCTCTGTATCATACTGATAGCTCAACTGGAACGAATCGTATAGATAACAGCACTAGGGAATTTGGGAAGCGAAGACACAAACCTTGCAGATGCTTTTCTCCTTTTCCCTTTTGCCCTGTCGATCAAATACCTCTTTTAGGCGGTTCTTTTTCCGTTAACCTTTCATTCTCAACGTCTTCTAGCCGCAAACACTACCGCCTCAGCAGATTCCCCTTAGGGTTAGTATTCAGACACGGCAGAGTTTCGCTAGGAGTATTTTTCTCTGGACTGAGCCACAAAATGGTAGTAAGATTACGGAGATAATGCAGTATGCCGAGGCTGCGACAATTTGCAGGGCTCCAGTATCACGAGATATTCACATGACATGTCCCAAACATCGAAGGATTACAGCAGAATCTTTTTCTTTTTACGTGAAAGACTGGGCACTGTCCTCTTAAAATGGCAGAAGGCACGATAACCCCTTCATTAGGCCGAGAGAAGCGCGCGTTTCGTTTCCATGACAGATTCTAGCCCGCCATATCCGCCACCAAATCCACAAACTTAGTGTGGTTCTATTTCAAAATGATAATATGCGCTTTCCAACTACTCTCCGTAGGGAATAAAATCATCATACGGAGTATAGAGACTATTGTATGATCATAAAAGCATGGACATGTATAACTTCTCAACTTGCTGGTCTTCTGCCCTGGGTCCCCTCCCTTTTTGTCCTCAGTCATTCCGTAACCCTTCTCTTGCTCCTTACGCAGAGTAATCTGTCTAAAAAACCATCAAGATAATTTATACTAGAGGAAATAGATGAAGCTCCTAGATGAGCTTCGAAGCATCAACGAAAACACCAAAAAATATGCCCTTGCAGATGCTCCTGAAAGCCTTTAGTGAAGTCTCGCAATGCGTTCTTAGAAACGTGTCCATGCGACAGTATTTGCGGGACCACGACATCTGGTGTTCAATAGGAATGCTTCACAATAATGTTGTGAATTTGCTTTCTGGGATTGCTACTTTCCAAATATTCGACACTTTATTAAGATAACCAGGCCGCAACGGCGGCTACGTGATCTGACTCTGAGAGAGTTGCTTGGAAAGAGATTAGAAGCTCTAGGAGCTACCAATAATACCTCTTTCAACTTACCTCGATCATACGATGTGGACATAATGGTTACCAGTTAAATTCCTGAAGCCAGCTCTGACAACCTTGCCTGGTGGGAAAGCAATGGAAAGTACATATGTGGAGATGAATCACTGTACGTACAATCATATTGCGGCTCAAGGGGCGAAGAGGGCTTCGGTCACAATAGTTACAGTTAAAGTCATCCCAGATATCCTATCCACTCCACGGGAAAGCAACAAACGGTAAGAACGTCGACACAATTCAGAGGTACACAGGTAGATGGATTGAATTCGACACCGTCAATCACAATCATGACTAATGACTAGTATGTTGTGTACGGATAGCTTGGTCGATGAGGATGCAAAAAATTCCAATTCCTAAGCAACGCCCTCGAGAGTATTTCCGAGTTCATGAACATCCTTCAAGCCATAACATTGAATTCTACCACTGCCCACCCATACCCCGGCGAACAAGGCCCATGCCCTAAAAGTCCAGTAATGACTCGCCTCCATAACTCAAATTCCCAGGAGATATGGTTCTCTTACTATAGGATGGCAGAAAATCTCAGTTAGGTAATCGAACCACTTGAGGCCAACTCTTAACCTCAAGATTATGTGTATGATCCCAAATCATCATCTGCGCAAGAACTCCTCGGTGGAAGTTGGACGCCAGTTCTAGTGTTGGCATGCTGCATCCATATCTTCAACGTAATTTTCATGCACGTGCCTGAATCATGTCAGAGACGACGAATCAAGCTATTGTATCACTACATGCAGTTCTAGGCCTCCACGAGATTCAATATCCTCTGTCTTTTTGTAGTTCGCGTTGCGACACTGGAGTCATTTTAGGGTCTTTCCTCGGGCTTTACTAATCGATGGCCTTGAAACGGTTAGTTTTTCCTAATTCGGCGAAATCCATACCCCAGATCCATTGGAATGGAAAGTCAGGTACTGCTTATTAAAATTCGATTCGAGACCCAAGTTGCTTCCTAATGTCCAACTTACAGTTCTAGCCTTTCAAGTCGACAACCGGCAATTGATATTCAAATCGTTCTTATCTAAGCCATCTAGATCGTACATACATGGGGCTATTACAGATCATTCTCCTTCAGAGCTCCCTCCAAGTTAATCGTGTTCTCTTGTTATGTCAATTCGCCTGGTCTAGGCGATTTTCAATCTGGCTATTGTTCTAGTATACTGCCAGATAGCTTAATCTTCCTTCTGATGGTACGACAGATGACGTCGCCTGAGTGCTTACTATTCATAGAGCGATGAATGGTGGGTTTCCTTCCACGGCGCATAATCATGCATGGTCGAGAACCTTGTACAATTCACCCCGCTTACGCTCGGACATCGACGTCTCATGGAGTAGTACGCGTTACTAATGAGGGTGTGCGCGTGATCCTGAATGAATAATATAAAAGGCGGGGTTGATCATCGCCAGTCTGCTGCTATGCCATGAGACAAGTACATTAATCACAACTTTGTTTCTATCCAACGAACAAGTTCAAGTTCAACCCACCACAGAACGCCCTTCACTTGCATCCATTATGGCAGAGAAGTGTCCCTTCCACAGGCAAGGTCCAAAGCCCAACGTTGCTGGCAGTGGCACTCAGAATCGCGACTGGTGGCCGGATCAGTTGAAGTTGAACATCCTCCGCCAGCACACGGCAGCCTCGAACCCGCTAGATCCAGACTTTGATTATGTCGCTGCATTCAACAGTCTGGACTATGCTGGTCTCAAGAAGGATTTGCGAGACCTGATGACAGATTCACAGGACTGGTGGCCAGCAGATTTCGGTCATTATGGCGGCCTCTTCATCCGCATGGCCTGGCACAGTGCAGGCACATATCGCACCTTCGACGGTCGAGGCGGCGGCGGGCAAGGCCAACAACGGTTCGCACCGCTCAACAGCTGGCCGGACAACGTGAGTCTCGACAAAGCCCGCCGCCTGCTGTGGCCGATCAAGCAGAAGTATGGCAACAAGATATCCTGGGCCGATCTAATGATCCTAACTGGAAACGTGGCGTTGGAGTCAATGGGCTTCAAGACAATCGGCTTTTCCGGTGGCCGTAAGGATACTTGGGAGGCGGACGAGTCTGTTTACTGGGGTGGTGAGACGACATGGTTGGGGAACGATGTGCGCTATTCCCATGGCTTTGCCGGGTCCGCTAAGCATGGCACTGTCGTTGCCGATGAAGAACCCCATCGTGACATTCATTCTCGCCAACTTGAAAAGCCGCTCGCGGCCGCTCATATGGGCTTAATCTACGTGAACCCAGAAGGCCCTGATGGTAACCCCGACCCAGTCGCTGCCGCCCGAGACATTCGCGTCACATTTGGTCGCATGGCAATGAACGATGAGGAAACAGTTGCGCTGATTGCTGGTGGTCACACGTTCGGCAAGACTCATGGTGCGGCGTCTTCGGACCACGTCGGCAGCGAACCGGAGGCCACTGATCTAGAGGCACAGGGGTTGGGCTGGCAAAACAGCTACGGCTCCGGCAAAGGCGCACATACCATCACCAGCGGTCTAGAAGTGACCTGGACGAAGACCCCTACTCAGTGGAGCTTGAACTTCCTCGAGTACCTATTTCGATTTGAATGGGTACTGACCAAGAGTCCTGCCGGTGCGAACCAGTGGGTAGCCAAGGATGCAGATGCCTTCATCCCGGATGCGTACGATCCGTCCAAGAAGCACCGGCCACAGATGCTTACCACTGATCTATCATTGCGATTCGACCCCGCTTACGAAAAGATCTCGCGCCGCTTTCTGGAAAATCCAGAGCAGTTCGCAGATGCCTTCGCTCGGGCCTGGTTTAAGCTGACACATCGGGACATGGGGCCGCGTGCCTGCTACATCGGTCCGGAGGTCCCAGCTGAAGACTTCATCTGGCAGGATCCGATTCCGGCAATCAATCATCAGTTGATTGATGATGCTGATGTTACTGTACTTAAGCGGAGCATCATTGGGACCGGGGTGGATTCCTCCAAGCTTATCTCAACCGCTTGGGCATCCGCATCCACTTTCCGGGGCAGTGACAAGCGCGGTGGCGCCAATGGTGCGCGCATTCGCCTTGCCCCACAGCGCCATTGGGAAGTGAATGACCAGCCATGGCTTGAGGAAACCTTGTCTGCATTGGAAGACATTCAAAACCGCTTCAACCGTGCTCAGGGAGGCGAAAAGCGAGTATCCTTAGCGGACCTCATCGTACTCGCCGGCTGCGTGGCCGTAGAGAAAGCTGCCAGTGATGCCGGCCATGTGATCACTGTGCCCTTCACTCCAGGGCGCATGGATGCCTCACAGGATCAGACAGATGTTGAATCTTTCAACCAAATGGAGCCCGTGGCGGATGGATTCCGGAACTACGGCACATCCACTGCTCGGGTGCGAGTTGAACACTACCTGGTTGACAAGGCGCAGTTGCTCACCTTATCCGCGCCTGAAATGACGGTCCTAGTCGGTGGTCTGCGCGCTCTGAATGCTAACTACGATGGTTCCGCTCATGGTGTGTTCACAGCCAGACCAGGTCGCCTAACGAATGATTTCTTCGTCAATCTCCTGGACATGAACACCTCATGGAAGTCATGCGGTCATGGCAATGACATCTACGAGGGTATCGACCGTAAAACCGGCTCCAAGAAATGGACTGCTACGCGGGCTGATCTTGTGTTTGGCTCTCATGCCGAACTACGGGCCATCGCCGAAGTGTATGGCAGCAGTGACGGCGAAGAGAAGTTCGTGAAAGACTTTGTTGCTGCTTGGACTAAAGTCATGAACTTGGACAGATTTGGTCAGAACTAGGATGTTACTTTTTTTTTTTTTTTTCCCCGGTTCTTATGCATTGTTATGTTCCCTGGATATACATGTTGCACGTACAGTACAAAGATCGCCATATTAGCTCTAATAAGATTTCATACATAGTTCCAACCTTATCTCAGATGTATCATGATTTCTAGGTGCCTTTGGCAATATGCATTCCTTTTAGGAAAGCTGCAGTGGTTCTGTAAAGCATCCAATGAACACAATTAATTAACGTAATTCAACTTCCACTACAAGACTTACGCTGCGTCTATCTGAACCAATCACCATGCCGAACGGAATTTTAAGCGAAGTGCTTCGAGCATTCTATTGCCTGTTTGTTTTTTTATCTGGATCTAAATTCTCTTGGCTGGACTTAGACTGTGTTAGAGCGTCCAGAGAAAGACGTTGTTTGGCATTGACGCGTAGATAGCTTTGATTGCGCCATCAAGCCCCAGTCTCGCAGCATAGCGTGGATAAAACTAGTCCAGACACAACGTTCCTGTCCTAGATAAAGGAAGTAAAAATATAAATATCGTGGAACTGCCGACCGGAGAATCCCATACGAGAATGAGACCAGATAAAAGTTGCCCCTGTGGAGCTGCTAGAAGTAGTAAGATCACAACAGTACCCTAATTGTTCTCCGGTATTGATGCCATGATGGCCTCCTCACTTGATCACCATCCATCGATTGGTAACGAACTACCACAAGAGAAGAATATCTTAAGTGAAATATCTACGGACCAGGAATCCTTGGACGAAGAGATTGTCAAAGATTGGGATGATAGGGAGGAGAATGCGCTGCGCCGAAAGTGAGCAATCGCATCTTCAACTTGATACTCTATACAGAGAGCTTGTCCAAGAGGCCATTGAATAACTAAACCACCATACCTCAAACGCAGGATTGACTTCATTCTCCTCCCAATCCTCGGTCTCGCCTTCTTCGCGCTTCAGGTTGACCGTGGAAACATCAGCGCAGCCCTCACGTCCACCATCACCGAGGATCTGGGTATAACAACCAACCAAATCAATATTGGCACGCAGCTGCTCTCTGCAGGTATTGTGATCACAGAGATCCCATCAAATATTGTCCTCCAGCGGATCGGGCCGCAGGTTTGGCTTTCGATACAGCTGTTCGCCTGGGGTCTTGTCGCGACGTTCCAGGCGTTCGTGCAGAGCTATCCTGCTTTTCTAGCGACGCGGTTATTGTTGGGGCTTCTAGAGGGGGGATTCATTCCGGGTAGGGGTCTCTATTCAGTACACACTAGACACCGCTAGATCGCTCATGAATTGACATGACTAGGTGCTCTATACTATCTGTCGACATGGTATAAGAAAGGAGAAACCAGTTCCCGTACCACTCTCTTCTTCTTCGGACAGATGTTTGCAGCTGCAACATCAAGTCTTATATCGGCCGGTCTTTTGAAATTATCAGGTAGATGCGGACTCTCCGGCTGGCAATGGATTTTCCTTGGTACGTATAATTCCCGGTTCGAAGATAGAGGGCCATTTCCATTGAAAACCCTCCTCCCTAACAATGCCATAGTCGAAGGCCTGATAACAATCTTCGCTGGCATCCTCTTCACCCTCCTCATCCCACCATCTGCAGGCAATGGCTACGCCATCATCAGTCTCAAGCGCTGGAGCTACTTCACTCCCCGCGAATCCCACATCATCCGCAACCGAGTTCTCCACGACGACCCGCACAAAGCCCGTGGCCACATCAAGATCACAGCGAAGGATATCTGGAAAACCGTACGCCAACCGACCACCATCCAACACTTTTTCATTACCCTGGTCGCCATGTCAGCCTTTCAGGGTCTTACGCAGTATACGCCGAGCATGATCAAGTCGTTTGGATTCAGCGCCGTGCGCGCAAACGCGTTAGCTTCGGTGCCCGTTTACTGTGCCATGGCTTGGTGCTTGGGGTTGTCTTATTTCGCGTATGGCTTTTTTTTCTCTCTCTCTCTCTCTCTCTCTCGCGTAAGGTGGAAGGCCAGGAACTAATTGTTCGAATAGAGACCGGCTCGGCCATAGAGGCCCCTTCGTCCTCTTGGCCATCACCTGGAACGTGATCTCGTATGCCTGTCTCAGGACCACACCATATTCCTCGTCCAAATGGCATAAATATGGCGTTATCACCGTCGCTAATGTCTCTTATGCTAGCATGCAGTGCGTCCATTTCTGCTATCCCTCTCCCCCGCCTTTCAACGATGCTAACCATGGGAATGGAATAGCGTCTTGAATATCGGCTGGTTGTCGGTTTACTGTAAAACGCCCCAGGAACGGAGCGTCTCCATGGCGTATGTGTCTCCCTCAACCCTATTCCCCTCGTACTTTTTCTGGGTTCATCCTTGGCTAATGAAGATGATAGGTTGATCATTATGGCGGCCAATTGTGCCGGTATCTCTGGGTCGCAGATCTTCCGTACGTCGGATAAACCCAAGTATTTGCATGGTCTGACGGCGATTTGTATCCTGGCGGGCGCTTCGTGGGTTTTAACGGTCGCGCTGGGGTTGCAGTATTACTTTAAGAGGAAGGCTGTACGAGGGCGCTGAGAAGGTATGACTTCCCTGTTCATGTACGGTCTTCTTAGCTCGTATGATTTATAAGGATGGGATGCGTATATATCTGGTCCATAAACTCTTTTGTTATTAAGGGTTTCAAGATAGAAATTCGTTCTTTGTGTCGAGACTTGGTTCATTTCGCATGCCGCAGACACACAGCGGGCCAGTATGTAGTGGTTAGTGTATGGCAATCAGTGCCCTAAAAAGAAACAGAGAAACGGAAAGAAAACAAAGAAGAAGGGAAAAAAAGAAAGACAAGAAAGGAACAGCGGAGAAAAAAAGGGACAATCAATGCCCAAGGATGTACAGAACCCAACCGTCGCCCTAGCAACACCATGAAAAATAAGAACATTATATACATACAATCCGGCCACCCTTGGGCCCTTCACCTGCTGGAATGCCTACGGCTTAACCAGCCAGCCGACTGCGCCCGTGATTGCGGCGATCATGATCACCATGAGGATCCAGGCGCCCGCACGATCCGCGGTCGTGATCGGTTTTGGCTCATTGGGTTTCTTATCCCCCCCCGATGACGGGACATTGTGCTCTTTCGCATCGGGGTTCGTGTCAATCGTGTTGGGGGAGTCCGTTGCGGACAGCATCAGATTAGCCGTGACGCCGCCCAGGGCCGACATTTGGGCTTCAAGGCCCTTGACTCCGTCAAATTTGTTGGCTCCCCAAGTGAGACCGCAGAGATTGCTCTGGCCATCGGACTGGCCGTTACACATCTTGGAGATGGACTCCACCGAGCCCTGTAGCTTGGGCACGATCTGGTCCTTGGTGGACGGCACGAGAATGGAGGTGAAGGCCAGCCACATGGACAGATAACCTTTGAAACAGATTTGGTTTCTGTCGCAGGACATGATGGGCTCACAGGCAACCTCGGACATGGTGTTGCCACCATACTTCTCCGGGAAGAAAACCTTGAGGGTCGTCCCGAGCAGACCGTTAACGCGCTTCAGCCATTTCTCGTCGCCGTTCGTCTACATAGACTGTTAGCGGGGGTGGACCTAGGAGAGATCTTCCTTTGAACAGGCGGCCGGAGTAGATACTTACGTAGTTGTACAAGAAGGCCGCTCCGGATAAGTAGGTGCCATAGTTGTAGGTCCACTGGAGATTGTCCGGGCTCTTACACTGATCGTCGTTGTTGACCGAGTCGTTGATTGTCCACTTGTTGACGTCCATCAATCCCGATTTGGCCGACCAGTCCCAGATCTTCTCCGCCCACTCGGTATAGGTGTCGTTCTTGGTAAACCGCGCCAACCGCGCCGCCAATTCGAACAGACCGCCGTTGGAAATCGCATTCTTCAACTGATACCCAGCTTGGTACGGCCAGACCTGCCAGCGTATACCACCTCCACAGGTCTGACCGTCCCAGCGCTCAACCTGCTCGTTGAATACCGCACGTGCCAGGGAGGTCCAGGAGGGTTTCCCTTCCCTCTCGGGGAAGCCAGCTTCGGATGCAGTGATGGCCGCCAGGCCCCAGAACATTTGATCATCGTTACCCTAACCACGTGACGGTCAGCGTGAGAGGCAAGGGTCTCATGAGGGCGACATACCAGCCATTGACTATAATTCGCGGAGAAGAAGTCATAGTTTTCGCCCGCTTGGAACATCAAATCATGCGACACCACCGCGTTTTGCGAATCGTCGCCCGTGGCTTGCCAGTATTGGATTAACGTCATGAACATGCTGCCGGCGATATACCATGTGTCGGTCAGCTTCCCGGGGATTCCTTCGGTCTGATTCTGTTTGTAGAACTCCATCATCGGAGGGATGATTTCCTGAGCGCCCTTTTTTAATGAGGCTAGTGTCGCGCATTAGCGAAGTTGTAACGGTGGAGCGTCCGTGGGGGCATTTTGCGACCGCGATATAATATTCTGGAGGAGAGGGGGGGGGGGGGGGGGGGGGGGGGGGGGGGAAGCAAAGCGGCATACCGTCATCATTGGCCACAATGCCCAAGTCGGACAAAGCCGTCTGGGCGTGGAAAAGGAGACATATCGAGGTGGCCCATAGCTGTCGGCTGGTGAGAAGGTGCATTCTCTCGTTGAGGTTTACGTTCCAGTGGAGATCGGACGCAGTAATCGCAACATCGAAAGCTGAGAGAGAGTGGGAGAGTGAGAGAGAGAGAGAGAGAGATTGCAGAGGGCAAAGTGCATCCCGCAAGGCTTAATTTAAGTGACCCGTGCCATGGCCCCATCTTGTCCTGACTAACTCCCTATCAAATGGTCTCCACGCTGCCTTGGCAGATCGGCCCTGGTGAAACGGGGCCAATCATGATGGAGAAGTCGCTTTGGACGTCTCGCCCAAGAAAAGTCTTGTTTTTCCTCTGGTTCTCTTTTCCCGTTCCTTAACCTTGCCGGGCTCTCTCGCGCGCGCGCTCTCTTTCTTGCCGCACGGGGAGCATCCCGGGGTCACCTGACTAGGGTTGAGGTTACAGTGAGCCAGACAAGAAAGAATCAACTCGACTCTGCTACACCTTTTGGACCCTGTCTTTCCCTGTCGATCGTGGAGTCAGGGGTTTTTGTTCTTGCTAATTCAGCGAGCCAATGTAGAAAAAAAATTGGATCCGTGCCCCAATGCGGCTATGATACGCTGAGAGTCCCGTCCGACCCCCACTGCCACCGCGTAAGTCCTTCACCAAGAAAGATAATTATAGCTCTCCAGGTTCGTCAACTGGAGAGTTACATTGAAAGAGAAGCACAGTGCTACCCTGGAGGTGGGCCTCACTGCAGCACGATTGAAAAGAAGCTTCAGCAAGCACCCTTCTAGTCTGATTAAGAGTATTTTAGCACAGGAATGTATGACATAATGCACTCTCTTTTCTTCTACGTTTCTTTCTTTCCTTTTTTTTTTTTATTTTTTTTTATTTTTTTTTCCCTTTCGCCCTTTTCCCTCCCCGGACCCCACTCATTCCGGAAATGTGGAGAGTTAGTCCGAATTACGTAGGACTCATTGAAGCCACTTGGACTCAAGAGGTTGTGGATGTTGAACTGCTTGTCAATCTTACGTTATCAGTTACGCCGGCGTATTCCGATATGGACGGGAGTAGATCGGAGGAATTAATGTCCTCCACGACGCTTGTTCGTCGAGACATCGCCAGATGTAATTAGCGCTTACTTGTCGCCGGGGAATGACCCAAGATCGGTCATCTAGAAGCATACTGGTAGTCTTTCATTCCAACGGGTTCATTAGCCCTGACTCAAGTCTGACTCACAAGCTAAGCCACTGCTTGTATATATATATATATATATATATATATAAAGAAAGAAAGAAAGAAAGTGAAGATGGCCCGGAGACCCTCTTCGTTTCCCTTATTCAACCCCTCGGAGTGATCCATCATACCACGGTGAACAAAGAATGGAGGCACCAACCCCCATCCTTCAGCTCTCCAACTACGTCGTCCGTCCCTACTATCCCGGCGACATCGAAGCCATCAGCCGAGAAGCCAACAACCCCCAAATCGCCCGCTGGCTCCGCAATCAATTCCCCCACCCCTACAGCCTCGACGACGCCAAAGCCTGGATCTCCCTCGCGAACTCGGCGTCGCCAGTCCTCGACTTCGCCATCTGTCTACGGGAGGATAATGTCGCCATTGGGAGCATCGGCTTAAAGGCCAAGGGGGACGTGTACTATCGAACCATGGAGATCGGGTACTGGCTGGGCCAGGACCATTGGGGCAAGGGAATTGCTACGGAGGTTCTCTCGGCCATGACGGCCTGGGCGTTTGAGAACTTTGCCCATGTTCTGCGGCTGGAGGCGGAGGTCTACGAGCCAAATAAGGCGAGCCAGAGTGTGTTGGCGAAGGTGGGCTATGAGTTGGAAGGGCGGAGACGGAAAGCCGTGGAGAAGAATGGGGTTGTCATGGATGCGCTGATTTTTTGTACCTTTAGACGAGAGGGTTGATGTGTTCTTTTTCCTACCCTCTTTTATAATATATATATATATAGAAGGGGAGAGAGAGGGGGGGGGAGAGAGAGAGAGAGAGAGAGAGAGAGAGAGGCTGAATGTAAAGAAGAATACCTCCCTACTTGGGAACTAGACGGATCCACGCAGAGCTTCTCGGGACGCAAGGGGGTGTTTTATATGTACACCATTCCGCGTACCTGGACGAAAAATGTTCTTTTTGAACATTGAAAATGCTTAAATTAGAGAGCATATCGGATAGTTCCTTCCGAAGTTGCCCAATTCGAGTTTGACTCTGAATTATTGGAGTGTCAAAGGATGATCATTTACGATATGGCCCCCCTTCATGCAGACAATGTATAAATCCATTACTAAGCGGCATTGTCCGAATGCGGTAACCTCGGCATATCTGGAGTTGAAGAATTGTGGGAACAATTTCACCCAAAATCATTCGTTCCGCGACCACGACGGGGAAACATTGGGGACCCATCGTGCTTTGAAATCAATCGAATTTCTGATTAGTATACGGAGTTGCCAAAATGGCGGTAACATGTTCGACTTGACGGGAATCTTGTGTTCTACAACACTCTTTCCGCACATCTACCGACTATTCCTAGAGCCGGATACGGACTTCAGAAGCACCATGGCCGCCAGATACCACTCTGACCGCGTAGATGTAACCCCCTTGGGGGAACCGCTCCACTTCGCTTTCAGCCAGCGAACCGCCCCGAACCGCTTTTACAAAGGTGCCATGACGGAGCGGTTGTCGTCCTGGTCCCCCACGGATCTGAAAGCGCGAGGAGTCCCCAGCGATGAGTTGATCAACCTGTACAAGCGCTGGGGGGAGAGCGGCTACGGCATGATCTCCACCGGAAATATCATGATCGCTTACGATCAGCTCGAGGCCCCGGGAAACCCCATCATTGACCTTGAGAATCCCTACCACGGCGAGCGTTTCGTCGCCTTCTCCCGCATGGCGGCCGAATCGAAGAAACACGGTAGTTTGATCGTCGCGCAGGTCAGCCACCCCGGTCGCCAGGTGGAAGAGCGGGTGAACTCTGATCCCGTGTCGGCCAGTGATGTGCAGCTGCACACCGAGGCGCTCAGGATGAAGTTTGCCAAGCCGCATGCGGCATCGAAGGATGAGATTCAGGACTTCATCAAGAGGTGGACTCACGCCGCCGTCTATCTCCACAAGGCGGGATTCGATGGGATCCAGCTCCATGGCGCGCACGGGTATCTGCTGGCTCAGTTCCTGTCGCAGACGACGAACAAGAGAACGGATGAGTATGGTGGAAGCTTGGAGAACCGGGCGCGTTTGATTGTCGAGGTCGCTCGCTCCATCCGACAGGAGCTGCCGTCATCGTCGGGTTTCATTCTGGGCATCAAGATCAACTCGGTCGAGTTCCAGGCTGATGGTTTCACCCCGGCCGAGGCACAACAACTCTGTCAGATCTTGGAACAGAGTGAATTCGATTTCGTAGAGCTCTCCGGTGGCACATATGAAGCACCCGCATTCTCAGGGGAGCGGGAATCTACCGCAAATCGGGAGGCGTTCTTCCTGGAGTTCGCCTCGCTGATTACTCCGGTGCTTAGCAAGACGAAGAGCTACGTGACTGGCGGTCTGCGGTCGGCTTCGGGAATGGTGGCCGCTCTGAAAACGGTAGACGGTGTTGGTTTGGCGAGACCCGCCTGTCAAGAGTTCAGCCTTCCACGGGATATCCTCGATGGCCGCGTAACCGGTGTGATCAAACAGAAGGTCGACCAGCAGAACTTTGGCTTGACAAGTGCAGCAGCGGGAACCCAAATGAAGCAGGTGGGCAAGGACGAGCAGCCAATTGATCTGAGTGACGAAAATAACCTGGCACTGTTCTTGAAGCATCTGGGAGAGTGGGCCTCGAAGATGCAGGAGGACGCACCGAGGATGAACCTGTACGGTTTCATGGACTTGCCCAAGGGAGAGGCCTATCGGGGATAATCGTTACTGAAGCGCGTTATTATATGATGGTTAGAGCTGTCATTTGCGATTTATAAAGCATCAGCTCTATAAGCTGACCCGTACAGGAAGGAAACAAGGCAATGACTGTGGATCAAGTTAAATAAAGAAACAATCTTCAGGGTTGAAGTGTGCTCACATTTCGCAACGTCATCCTCTTGTCCGTGGATCTCCAACTCATGGACCTGTTTCTTGAAGTCTCTTTCGTCGAAATTCGGTAGATTCTGCATGACCTTTAAGTAAAGCCACACGCGCTGTGCGGGAAATCCTTGGTAAAGCTGCTGCAAATGAAACTTGACGTCCAACCTGTCATCCTGAGTCAATTTGGAGCGAGCTAAAATCACATCTATTTTAGTCTTCTAGAAAACCATATGTTGCGCTTGCTTGAGATCGTCAAAATATGTCTTCACTGTCCCGTCTGTAGATTCTTGTTAGTTTGTTTATCCTACTTTGCCAGGCTGGACGAGTTGGAACCTACCTGGTTTCATGAGCTTGTACACTTTTAGTACTTTCGATTTCCTCGACAACTCAACCATCTTCGATCCCACGACTAGTGCGACCCATTGGGACATGTGAACCTCAGGCTTCGGAAGTTCGATGGTTTTGTCCCTGAGGTGGACGCTTCCAACAGATTATTGTGCGATCTTTTCCAATTTCTTTAGGAATGCCAAGCGAGGGCCAGTGGCATTGTCCGTTACAGCTTTGAAATAGGCCCTATCGTCTTCGAGGTATGCTTTGAGGGTTCTTCCGAGAGCTAATCTAGATTTGTACACTAGTTTGCTTTCAACGCTTCCTCGAGAAAGACACTGTTGATCAGATTGATGTGGTAGGATGATATGCGGAAACAGGTAAAGTAGAACCGGTCTTCAGACCGCGAACCCCGATTTGGCTTCAAGACGGGTTTACCGTTGATGATGGTCGAGTAGGAGTCCCCGCATTTCTTGATAGGAAGACTTTTTGAGTAGTGAGATGGCGCTGTCAGGGAACAGATGCTGTTTTCTGACCATTTCACGCATCCTATTCCACTCACTCTGGAGATCCTCTGCACCTTCTTCAGCGGGTTTTATAACAACGTACTTCTCAAAACAATGATTAGTTTTGCAGAGATCGGCGCAAAATTATGATATTCCGCGTACGCTCCTTCAACGAGTTTCTCGGTGGCCTGATCGAAGAGTGAATCTGAAGAACCTTTCAAAGACCCCATACGCATTATGAGTCAATGTAACTCTTCCTCTTCTGCCACAGGCTGGCAGAACGTCATGAATTAAACTGCATGTGCGTAATAAACATCATTACGTCTTCCGGGAAAGCTTGGCCATGCACCTTGCTGATCCACAGCATATCTGGACCCATCTCAAGATCTAAAAATGCCTTGAGATAGGTGTACCAGACATCACGGGACGATTTGAAACCCTTCTCCCTCATGTAGATCTCCAAGCGATGTTTGTCATTGGAATCGTATGCCGTGATACTGTCATAGTTGTAGCGATCGCAAAGGGTAGAGTTCCTGTATTTCATCAAAAAGAGAGACTTTCTTAGGGTATCTCTCTCGTAACGAGTTAACTCTAGTGTACGGTCGGCTTTGAATGTATCAGATGATCTTCTGATAATTCTAGTAGCACGGTCTTCCAACCTCCCGAGATCATCCTCGATATGTCTGGGGTTTTGGTACCCACGATCCGGGTACATGTCGACCAGCCCAAACTCGCGAGATACCAGTACTTGGATCAAGACATTCCTTGTTAAGCCTATCGCGTTGACGAAATTGGACGACTGCGCCTGTGGCCTGCCGTTGCCTGGCCTTCTTCTTTGACACCGTGTGAGGTGCAGTGGTGGGGGTTGCTCGGCCGCGGCGAACTGGCGAAGGAGGAAACGTGGTATAAAGCGATGATACTCAGCCTTGTACAGTATATATTTGTTCATTGGACATTCCATAATTAGCCAATAATTTTACCTGCATATAGGCGCCGTGGCCATGGCATAGCTGACGTGGCTAGTGGCCGCTTCTTGCGTTATTGATTCCTTGTGCCAAGAGGGATGGCCGACGAGATGTTGGTGATAGGTAATCTTTTGACTTCGAGCCACACACTTGTTGCTGGGTTCATTTGGGTTATGAGAAGATCCTAAATTGTTATGTACATAATATAGAGCGGGGATTGAAGGCCTTTACAAAATAAAATAAAGAAGATATCATCATTACGGCCGATAGTTAGTATAGTGTATCCAGGGTGACAAGCCAGCTTATCCTTGACTAGTATAGACTCTATCCAGGAATTGTACTGCGTCGTGAAAGACCTGGTCTCTCAATTTTGTATCGATGAAAATCGAGGGAACTGCGCATCCAGTATAGTTAGCGCATACGGCAACTGATAGAACAAAAATCACATACTCTCAACCCATCCATGCAGTTGATCATCAAAGAACCTTCCCTCAATACGATAGGGCTGTTGATTAAGTGTATTAGAATTTGGTAATAGCAATACCGGCTCTTCAGCATCCTCATCTTGTGATGCGTCCTTTGAGAGGTTGATCTGGCGATTCAGAACGGCGGCCTCCTCTTGCAGTCTGCTTATAAACACCGTTTGCTCATGCAGAAGTATATCGATTTTCGCAGAAAGGAACAATATATTCCGCGGCAGTGACTCAATATCTGCTAGAATGGGATGGAGTAATGGGCTATCCCAATACTTCTCCCGCTCCGGACCTGCATAGGAATCCATCAACGGTAAAACAAAAGCCAAGGGATCTTGTTCGGGGAAACTGGCCGGTTTCGGCTTTTCCCACGGTGGCAATCGCAGATCAACCTGGGGATCAGTTAAGGGGAATTCAGCTGAGCCTTCGACAAGCCAGGAGCCTAGGTAAAACCCACGGGTGCGTAGAAGATCACCGCCGCCTTCACATTGAACTCCGACCGGGCCAACCATTGCGCAACGCCCAATGCCAGATTCCCTCCGGAGGAGAATCCACTCACGCTCATTAATCTCGGATCGGCGGCCCAGAGTCTCTCGGCATTTTCAATTAACCATTCTGCTACATCCTGGATATCCTCGTGTGCAACCGGAAAAGTATATCGAGGGGCATACCGATGTGATGTCGAGATCACCACCGACCCAGTTTCTACCGCAATTCGTTCACAGAACGGTGTATTGCCTTCAGGAAGACCGCCGAGGAATCCACCCCCATGTATGTTGAGATGGAGAGCTCGTGGTTTGGATTGTGCCACTTTCTCTGGAGGATGATATACGATGGCGCGAACGGAGTGGCCTGGTGTGCGCTTTAGAGGAATCCAGATGGTGGTCCTGGGATGTTTCGAGCGTATACTACGCCAATACTGAATTGTATTGGCGAACAAGACGATGGGCTGGAATACTAGAAGGCGCCAACGAAGACCAAATGGAAGACCTGGGCATAGAATCGCCTCGTAGACGGGACCAAACCAGCGGTAAAGGAGCGACATTTTTGTCTTTGGTTTCCGCGGAGCAGCCCTGCACAACGTATATTAATAGAGAGAGCATGACGATCCGCGATCCTCGGATGAGTTCGTATTCGGCTGCATTTCCCACTCTGCCACATGAGTCACTACTCTCGTGTGACCTTTTCTGAATTTATCCTGCCAAACAAGGGTTCTCAGATTTCTGTGATACCATGTTTCTGGTAGAATGTCGATGCTATTCTCAGATGTCGGGGGATAAGTCTCGTCGTCTAAAGAGGTCAAAAAGAGGGAATAGTAAGAGAGAAATGTCCAAATCATTTGGAATACCCTCTTCGGGGTCGAACAGGATTCTCTTGTTTTCCATGATCATTGAGAAGGGAATAGAATAAATATCTCTGTTGATCGTAGTATAAAATGCAGGAGATGTCTCTTGACTACATCCGGACTAGTGCTCAGGTGATTCGATCTACCTTTGCAATCCAAACAAAAAGGAATGGCAATATCTCTTTCCTTTCCCTTTGAAAAACACCTCTTGGACTTCTTTAAGAATAATGATAATACTGAATGAGAGACATTTGTGTCCAATGTCAGACATCACTGCCGGGGTAACTGAGCTGACATCAAGCAGGTTGAAGCGCACTGCCAACAAATTGTTGTGTCAGTCAAAGATTTCATATATTAACCAATCTTGCCAAAGACATGCAATTCCACAGAAACATGTTTGGCGAATAAAACCAACGCTTCTACTGTTGGATGGAGAAAGAAGTTTTTTTTTTCCGCCGCCAAATTTGGGCGCAGTTTGTTCCCACTACTGAACCTGAACCGCTATTTTCATTTGTCATTCGAGAAGTCCTCCTCCAGGTTAAAATCTTGGCACCTATAACCACATCAACGATCGTCGATGACTTGGGCCTCTCCGCTCGGAGGGATGGCATTACATGGTTGAGCTGATAGGCTGCTCTTGATCGATCGTTCTCCCCTCCAACAACATCAATTCACAATTGAACAACATAGGGACCGAAGTTGAACTGCCTCATACGGAGTGGAGTGGAGAACCGTCCTCGATAGTACAGACTAGTCTACACGCTGGGTCCTGGGGCCAAAATAGGCAACATGGCTCAGTTTCCGTGGTTGTTCTTTCGCCCCCTAAAATCTCAACTCACGCCAAGTCTTCACTGCCATTGTACCATGGTTTAAGGGAAGGCAGCAGTCGAGAGAGCCTCATCAACAAATCGAACGTGGGGGCCAAGGACCCTGAGCATGTTTACTATTCTTCATCAGGAAAGTGACCTATTGCCCTATGACGCCTTACTGGCTTAGGCAACATGCATTGTCGATACAAATTTCGGAAACGGGATGTTAACATACTATGGCTTCCTCTTATGAGGACTATTAGGAGCGATACCCAAGGGCAAGTGGTAAAAGTGACCGCTAAAAAAAAAGGTAATGATAATTATAATACTTGATAATAATGACAAAAAGAGACGAGATGCCTTGCGGTTGTTTCACTGCCGTATATATTTCGACATGATTACGGAATCATATATTGTCGCAATGCTGATCTTATCTTAAGTATCAGGATCAAGATATTTTTAGCTGGAGCTCACCCTCAATGTCACTAGTGGTGGTGATGAAGAAGAAGAAGATTTGAACAAGTCGGATTGGTTTTGGACCCCCCGAAAAAGCGAACCGTTCGGAGAGCCCCAGTGAAAGTTCTAACTGACCCACCTCAGCCTTGTCTTTGGACAGGTGGGCTAGGCTGCGCCTCTCTTTTCACTGCTGCCAAGATCGCAGTGCGCTGGTTCCTTCGAGTTATAAATCCTGCGGCCTGCAATGTAAGTCTTTGTTCAAGGGGACTTTCCTTTGTCGATTACTCCTATAATCCTATTGTTCCGCAGCTTCCGAGAAACGCAGATTCCGGACGCTGTTCGATAATGCGTCTCCTCGGCATCATCCTGGCATCAGCTGTGCTGGCTGTTGCCCAGAGGTCTACTCCTACCTCTTCTTCCACTACTCCGTCAAGCACCTCTGAACCATGTGCAGTCGCCAGCCGTCTCGCGGAGGAGAACGACAATGTCGTCCCAGCTCAGATCGCCTATGAATGTTTGACCTCCGTTCCGGTAGCTGTGGAGCAAGATAAAGCCCTCATTGACCAGCTCAAACTCTTGTGGGAGTGGCATTCGGAAACGGGCTATCTGAAGAACACTCCTGACACGTGGGAACTGGGCTCCGTTGACCTTCTCGCGGAGTTGGACAAGATTAAAGAGAACCTTTCCTCTTACGACAGTGAATATGATGTGCAGGTCGCGATCAACACGTTGACTCTGAAGACGGGCAACTTTCACTTCAACTATGTGCCTGATATCCTACAGGTCTTCTGGTTTGCGCGTTTGCTCCCCGTGACCACCGTCTCTCAGGATGGAATAAGCGTGCCGGAAACTTATGTTGTCGCGGATCTTCGTGAGAAGGAAGCTGACGATAGCGTTAAGATCTCCCCCATCGCCAAAATCAACGGTGAAGATGTGCAGAAGTATTTGAACAGGATCGCGACCCAGGAGCAGTATATTGATCCCGACGCCCGATTCAACAGCCTCATGTGGAGGGGTAACACATCCCTAGGCAGCTTTGTCAACATGGGGTTCGGTGTTTATGAAGGAGCAACGACGAACATCACTTTTAAGAACGACACTACGCATGCCGTGAAAAATGTCGCCGAGGTGCGTCAGAACCTGACCGAGGTGACCAACGGAAAGTCCTTTTTTGAGGAGCTTTGCACCGGTAGCTTTGCTAGCGCCGAGGCAATGGCCACATCTGACAAAAGAATCTCTTACAAGGGGACTCCTCACCATTGGAAAAGGCAAAGCATCCCTAGCCACTCCTACCCCAAGCCAGTTGTCGAACACAGTTCCGGCATGGTCGCTGGTTATTATATGACCGAGTCTGGCTTCGAAGATGTTGCTGTCTTGAAGATTATCACCTTCTCCACGGGTGAGGAAGAGGACAGGGGTAAGGCCGCTATCGAGTTCCAAAGTGTTGTGAAGCAGTTCCTAGGCAATGCTACGGAGGCAGGCAAGAAGAAGCTCGTCATTGATCTTCGAGAGAACGGTGGTGGTGACACTGATCTCCTCCTCGATACCTTCATGCAACTCTTCCCTGGCGAGGTACCCTTCAGCGCCCAGCGATACCGGGCACAGGAGCAATTCAATCTCATTGGCAAGGCCATCAATTCAGTTTATGAGAATAAGTCTATGCAGACTTTAATCAAGAAAATGACTGGTCAAGGTAAGCAGAAGAATGTCAGAAGCTGGTCCCACAAGATGCTAATTTCTCCCTCCTTCAGCTTTTGCGGATACTGATCTCGTCCGATATTGGGCTTACTGGAATTTTGTCGATGTTAATGGCGACAATTTTGATTCGTGGGACGAGTTCTACGGTCCCCACAAGTACAATGACGATGAATTCACGACTATTTTCAGGTACAACGTAAGTACAACCCAATTGGCGTACGGAAAACTTGAATATCCTGGCTCATGTGCCGTAGATGTCCAACAGCAACCCTATCAGCATCTTGGATCAGGAGGGCTTCACTTTCCTGAATCCCCGCGCCGCAGATCCTCCCTTTGCTGCTGAGAACATCGTGATGCTCTCTGACGGACTTTGCGGATCCTCTTGTGCTTCATTCCACGAGGAGCTGAAGAACATTGGAGGCGTTAAAGCCGTCGCAGTTGGTGGCCGTCCCCAGGAAGGTGCCATGCAGACCATTGGTGGCTCCAAAGGAGGAGAGGTCATTCCCTTGAGCACTATCCCTATTTATCTTCAGACAATGATGAACATCACTGCATCCTTCGGCATTGATAGCCTCGATCACGACTCTCTCAAAAAACTTGCTAACCCCGACGTGCTTCTCACTCGCGCTGGTGACGCTAGCAGCCGCATTCAGGTTCAAGACCAGATCCGCAAGGGTGACGAGTCAGGCACCCCCCTTCAGTACGTCTATGAAGATGCCGACTGTCGTATCTTTTATACAACGAAGATGCTGCTCCAGCCCGAATCTGCATGGGCTGCCGCGTGGTCAGCATATACCGATGACAGCAAGTGTGTCAAGGATTCTACCAAGAAATCGTCCAGTATTAGCGGTGGGTACAAGCCGTTTGGCCCTGGTGATCTGAATGGCAAGCAGTCAGAAAACAGCACCTCGTCGGACAAGGGCGAGGAGAATGCCGCTCCAGCTTGGAGACCTAGCCTTGCTATCTGTGCCGCTGTCACAGTACTCGGCTTCCTTCTCTAGAGCTGAACCCTTCACGGCAGTTTGGATATTATGGTCAAATGTGTTGAGCGGTTGCATTGAGTGTATGATACCATATATTTTATAATGGCTATTTCTGGAATTATGGGCTAAATGTTTTGGGAACTGTACATACATAATGCGGTATTGAGTTAGACGACCTCTTCGACTGTGGATCAGTAGTTCCTCCTAGCTCTAAAATTTCGCGATCTGCTAACTATCCGTGGTTTTCAATTCTATTCGGCTTTCCTATGCCTGGCTACTGCCTTTCCTATTTGCCGCAGAAAGACCGACCGAATAGATCCATGGCTCTGCTCGTGTGCTTCTCTGCTAGATGTCCGCGCACATTTCATCCGCTCGCTTCCATACCTTCACTAGCATCGGCCCAGAGGTGAGATTAGTCCTTTCCCGACTGACTGGCTCCCAGGACGACGATGGTAAAGAGAATTCGAAGCATGTACGAGGGAAGCCTGAAGAACAGTCTGTTCCAGATAGCTGATGTTGCGACCAATGTAGCCCCTTGTTGAAAGCAACAAAATACGGCTGTAGATCCCTCCTGTTTCCCCTAGCCGGCGCTCTGGCTTGTATGCTTCCGGGTCTAAAGATATGGCCTCGTTGCGGTGAACCACATACGTTGAAATCTCGACCGAAGTCTCACCTGCGACGAACTCACCTCGGACGGCGGCGGTGCCTTCCAGAGGTGTGCGACAGGGAATATGGAGTAACACAGGAGGGAACATGCGCATGCTTTCATCGAAACAAGCTCGAAGATATGGCAGATGTTTCACCTTGCCATAAGGGACAATGACCTCATCCTGGTCGAGCACTCCGACGATCTCCTCTCGCAGTCGCTTCAGACAATGCAGATTTTTCAACAAAAGAAGCATCACATTTGCTTAGCGCGATGCCTGTAGTATCGGATCCCGCATCCATCATGATACTCACTCCGGCAGCGATCTCCCCCCATTCGAGGCTATTCGGGGAACCGGTATTATCCTCCATCAGTGCAGCGAAGAAGCCACCCTGCTATTCTCCCCTCACCTACCGCTTCGACCGCGTCGTGGCCCGGTTGTACACGATCCCGCCCCAGACCTCACTCAACTTCCATTTCTGGCGATACATCGAGGACACCAGTTTGCTGACTCGCGCGAGTGTCTTGTTCCAGTCATACGCCCAGACCAGGTTTGAAGTGACCCATGCGTTGGTATAGAGGCATTCGCGGAAGTGCACCTTTTTCAGGGTCCTGTCTTTTGCTTCCGAGGTGATGATGTCGCTGCGTTGATCTAGGAACCGTAGATCCTCGCTTAGTGTCCGATATTCGCGATGGCGGCGATGGTATACAGATTCATCCACATGCGGTAATCGATCGTTAGGTCCTTGGGGTCTAGAATTTGGCCCTTCGGTAGTGGGCTGGTAAATCTTTTATCGAATGTCTTAACTATATGCTGCGTCATGTCGGGCTACCTTGTATTCCTACTCTTCCATACTATTGATGGCATACGCGCTGGGGAGGATCAGGCATGGTCTTCTTTATCGACTACGTCTGCCAGGTGGAAATGAGACCCGGACAGTGTGTAGTAGAAGACATCTTTGGTACATTTTGCGCCATGTCCGTAGATGACTTTGATAGCAACGGGATCTGCGTAGGAGAGTGCATTCGGCCCGATCCGGATGACTAGATGCTTTTTGTGGGCTTCGAAGATGATATATGAGCGGAAGCCCGTGTGGGAGTAGTAGATGAGGGGGAGGTCCGAAATTCAAGATAGAAATTTGATTGGGATATTTCCGGAGACTTTTGGCACGAAAGAAGTTGATTATTGGTATAACTAGGTAGTAGATGAGGAGGATGTGGAAGGTGACGATGAGAAGTAAACTGTACATCTTGATTCGCAGGCGATATGTGGGATATTGAAATATGGGCTTCTTTCAATCTATCTATTCATCTTTCATCTTGTCGTTTGTGAAGCGGCACTTTTATACCAGGTCCATTGCTATCTTTACTGGCATAGATCCATAGGTTTAGGGCACGATTAATGTACTGCTCGAAAAGGTAAAGTTCGCCGGGATGGTCGCCTAATACTGTAAGTGCCGGCGAGAGTGCGTCTAAAGACGGCAATGAATTCCATGCCACGTTTCACCCTGCATAGTAAAACGCACTCATCGTCCTGGAATAGATCCACGACGCGGGACTCTCGTCCTATCAGAAATCATGTACCTAGTGTATCGTACACCGCTATGGAACTGAGCGACTCAGAAGCTGAGAAGCTGCCCAGCTGACCATGCGGGGGTGTATCGCATACTTATATTCCCCCACAAACTGACTTCCAAATGCCGAAAATTCCGTGAAATGATGGCTTCAAACGTCCTTTCATGTCTGTATATTATCCTGACTTATCCTAATTAGGCATGTAGGGAGTCGACATTGGTATGAGGCTTCTGAACGTGAGTATGTGTAGTTCCGACCATGAAAGGAACACCCCGTACCCCTTTCCGTGCAGCAGTTGTCCTTAGCATTTCACCTTGAGCATCTGTCTGGGATGGAGTATCTTTAAGGTGTATCCACTGCCTGCAGCTAAGATCGTGTACGGGAAAAGAACACAGTCTAGGCGCGAAAGAAGCCTAACTTGTCCGTGCAAGTGGCACACTCAGGACCAATAAAGATCAACATTTGGCGATGAGAAGGTGCGGTGATAACAATCACTTTACATCCGATTCTTAGCGTCCCACTCTCTTCAGCCAGACTCCTAGATCAAATGCTCCATCACTCAGGTCTTTCACATTACCAACAAACTTGAAGGTATACCCAGAATCCTGTGCTGGCTCATAGCCATCCGTATACACAATGCGACAAGGCTCGGCACGATAATTGCCGGTTTCATACGCTGCCAGTTCGTTGCCATGTTCCTTTGTCAGAACATGATATACGATCCCCTCCACGACCGACTCGGGTTCCTCTAGGAGAGCCGGATATTGGCCCCAAAGCTTGCATTTGTATCCTTTGACAAATGCTGGTCGGTATTCCGGTTCGTTTGCCAACCCGAGAATCTCACTAAGTAGGAAGGGATCGGCTAGGGTGCCGTAAAGGAAGTAAGGCCCAGTGGGTGAATCTGTGATTGGAGTCAAAGTAGAGGGCTGAAAGAATTGGCTTGGGGAGGTACTCTTCAGTTTCAAAACTAAGGGTGACATTTTCGACTGCGGATGTTCCGGCGGCGGCGGTGGAGGAGGAGGAGGAGGAGAATCCTTGATCTCCGTTCTTTCTTTTAGTGGGATAGACATGGTACTGTGTACTCTACATAGTGGACGGAGTATGGTTGCATTTAACTAGGGTCTATTTTAAGCAAGATCCGTAGTACAGTGGGATTGTATGAAACGGAGGGTCCCCCGCACTGCTCTAAAGTGGGGTAATTCTATAACTTCGACCTCTCTCAGACAGCAAATCGCAACTCTAGAATATCTGAAATCTATACTTGTTTACATTTTTATTATACTAGTAACTATTTAAGATAGCATTTCATTAAAATAAATAGTTATTTTCTAGCTAAATAGACAAGTCTAACTGGTATATCCACTGAGCAATAATAATTTGAGGCTACTATTGATCAAGGTTTGTACCGGGGACCGGGCCGCGCGGGGAGGGCAGAGTAGCCCTATAGTTTAATTTCTCTAGTACGCTGTTCTCTGTACTCCGGTGCGATATTGAAGATAATACACGGTAGTCTACATTATATAAGTTACTTCATTTCAGGTAGCAACTCATTCAATTCATCATCCACTTCACTCATCATCTTCCTTCCACTTCGCCAGGGTCAGAAGAAAAAGTAAAACAAAGTCATCATCATGACTGCTACATATGCTCAGTGGTTCGCATCTGCCTCCCAGGATGAGGATTTCTTCCTTGAACCCAGTGAACACTCGACCCTGCAATCCTACTTCGAAGGCAACTTCTCTCTCCAGGATGCAGTCTCCCGGCTGACGGGCCCCTCTAAGCCCCAGTGGAACTCCCACCAGGCCAGCCAAGTGTGGGAGGTCCTCCTAACCCTGGCCGAGGACTACGACGAAGCGCACGATGACATAATTTCTCTCGTTAAAGCCTTGCTCTCCCAGTCAGACGCGAAGGGTCGGGCAGACGAAGAGATGTACGGCTTCCCATTCTGCTGGCGCGCCCATCATGATTGTACGTATTAGCTAGAACCAAGCTCCCTGGTTGAAGGTACATCGACACTAATTCGCGGATGTGTAGCGTTGTGGGCCCAGGAATGCAATATAAAATCCTTCTCGGACCCGGTTGGTTCCAAGTGGGTGACTTACCAGGCCTTCACCGCTCGCCTGATAGCTTCCTCTCTTGTCGGAGCTTATGGCTGGGTCCTGTTCCATACCGTTGACGCTCTGGAGAAGCCCGTCAACCCGGAGAAGCTCACAGCGAGACAAGATGTTGATATCGCTGCTGCTGCGCAGTACTTTATCTATGCGGCTAATGACATTTTGCACCATCCGTTGGGATCCAATGGATATGACGAAAATAATATTAATGTATTATGGCAGGAAGGGAACGAGTTTTGGGAGGGCGAGCAAGGTTTTACTGTGGAGAGATGGGAATTTTGGAAGAAACGCTTTGGACAGGTGCGAGACCTGGAACAGTTGCGCGACGGCACCAGAGAGGCCGCCAGGAGGGCCGAGGTGGGAATGGAGAAGGCTGAACGGATTGGAACGAAGAAGGGAAGGAGGTAAAGGATCCAGACCTCCGGAGTAAACTAGAACCGTGGATTTAGAGGACAAATTTTTGGACAGATAGGGCGTTGGGCTATAATGGAATTTCTTTTTCTTGTTTCATGCTAAATTCTATCTAGCTTTTTCCGGGTCAAACTCAAGGCTTAAGGCGACGAGTTGGGATCTAAATTCCCGCTATCCATCCAAGTAGTAGAACTCACAGAATGCTGCTTATGACCCTTTCCACCTTTCTTCTTGTTTAGTTAAATGGAACACCATCTGTCACATCACCATATGTTCCCACCGTCCAATTTCCTCTACATGAATACTTAAATTTCGCTTTCTCTAGACTTCTTTTCTGGATCTTCAAGAATGTGGATAACTCACACCACCCATCGCTCCGATATTCACACTCTCTAAAGCTGCGATGCAACGGCAGAGTCCGTTGATTCTGCAAGAAATGCACATAGGTCGTCTCGCCGGTACCATGGAGATAAGGATCCATGTGTGGCTCGTGCGACCGCCGTGGGTTCACCTTATGGGGTGTCTTGATGATTTCAATATTCATCCGTGCAGCAAAAGGGACAACCTGACTAGTGTGAAAACGCTGATGCCGAGGAGGACCATCAGGGGGAAGGTATTGCGAGAATTGCTTAAACCCAAACGCAGTAAGAACAGCCACAATCATATTATCGTGTGTAAAGTCCAGATAGAGAGACTGGTTAAGAGGAAAGGTGATCGGATTGGTGTTGAGAGTGACGTTCGCGACAGTTGTGTCGGCTGGGTGATCCCAAGGACGACCTTCGACTCGAGCGATAAACTCTTCAACCCAAGTGATCCCCTGTGCACGACCTGTAGGGCACTGGAATCCTGCCACGGCGTTGAAGGTGATATCAATGGCATAAGCGAAGCCTTCCCACTCCTCGTAGTTGAAAAGTTGACAGAAGGAGCTGTACCCAATGCTGACCGTTTCGTAGGCGCAGAGTAACTGCGCATTGAAGCTATCCTCTACTGTCCAATTATAACCACCGGAAAACATCCTCAGTTTCCGTGTCCTATTTTCGAGGTAGATATTCTTCCATGTCTTCATGGGCTCCGTATAGAAGGAGCCGAATGACTTGAATGCACCAGGACAGGCGTTCATCGATGCCAGTGAGTTATTAAACCCTGTTTCCTCGATGATTGCCAGTAGTTTTGCATTCTCCGTCCATTCGAGGCCGAAAAAGCCAGAGAGAAAGTTCTCGGCACTCTTCAGCATCCGGTCTTGGGTCGTGGTACGCACCACAATCTTGGAGTTGTTGTTGTAGAGCGCTCCGTAGTTGAAGTAGTTGAGTACCCCACTGTCGAACAACTCCTGACGGCCGTTGGGGACTAGGATTTCCGCTCCCAGAGGGTACGACCATTTAGTGAGAAAAGCAAGAGGACCGGTGAAGACCGTGCCTTGAGCGATGGCAAAGGATATGTTCTTGGCCCACTTGTCTAATGCTTCCCCAGTTGAAGGGTAACGAGAGCCATGGCGATGTAACATATGCATTTGGGTAATGTTCGATCCTACAGGTCGAGGATACTCATCGACTCCAAACCCGCGCTCATCCGAATGGTAGGGGCTATTATATGTGAGCGCTTGGAGCCTTAGTAACGCCGGGCTTTTATGTACCTCAAATTACCCATGGAGTGAAAAGCATTCCGTCCCCTTGCTCCCGGTATCGGCTGTGATGTTTCTATCGGATGGTTTGGGAGATATGTTCTGTAGCCGAATGGCGCCGGGTTGGTCAGTGCCAGAAAGGGCGCGACACCAGTGGCAGTAGGGCCTAGAGCATGTCTGTCAGAAGAACGCATAGTTTGTATCAAACCATATTAAAAAAACACATACCCTGGAAGCTTTGAGGCCTCGTTTGGAACCAATTAGGCTCGGCACTAGTAGCAGTAGGCTCTGTATATTTGCTAGCCTCTTCCTGAGAAGCAGCACTAGCACACGAAGCTGCCGCTAGAAGCCAGAGAGTCAAATACCGGTGCATCGTGGACTTTTTTTGCCGCCTCCCCAGATAAATTTGTGCCCACGTTTGCGAGAGTGGGGGACAAGGGAGCGAGTCCTTTATAACTGCTCACTCCTCTTGCTTTTTGCAGTCCTCGATTATCCTTGTAATACCTCACTATAATAGGAATGTGAAGGGACATTGTCTGCGGACCAATTGAAGAGGTTCTTAATTGTTTATTGATTCAATCAACTTAGGCGACAGTGCCTTCGACATCTAGGATTCTCAGATGTCGAGCAACCCTTACTGCTGGACATGGAATGTGGTGGTACACTTCATGCATGCCAATGATTGATCGTCGTGAGCTGAAATTCAGCCAGCCCATTTGATGGTGCCTGTCAAGTTGTGAAAAGCTCATGCTCCAGCAAATCTCTCCGAGTGAGCTACAGTAAACAAAGATCTCAGTGCTGTTTTGTGGGTATGGATTTAATTTATTAGAACCGTCCCGCGTAAAGGGACTGGGATTACTGGTTCAGGCAACGGCAAAGATCAAGAATGCAGGGAGGCATCTCAGGTGAAAAAGTAGGAACAAGAAAACGAGAGAGGTAAAAAAAACCAAAAAAAAACCAAAAGGAAAAGAGCAAAAGAGTAGAATAGCTCCAGAAAAACTAATTGGTGCCTGTCCCTTTTATTTACTAGCCGGTTGGCGTGTGGTGTGTAGTAGTTCATGCGAAGAGTATTCTAAGCCTTAGAAATCGTAGATCACTTGCCAGTTAATTAAGTAGCATGTATAAAATAGAATGTTCCCTTATTTTTCGCGATTGCCATAGATACTATGAAGCCTATCCTGGGAACGACCGCTATTTGAAGACATACTATCTATCTAGGTGGGATTGGATATGCTGGAACCCCGGTTTACTTCTTGTGACGTATTCTGGTAGGCTACACTATATTAGCCAGTGGATGGTAGCTGGCTGCTGGTATGTACGTACTTCCATTTTCCTTCTATCACATTAGCCAATATTAAAGACGGTTAAGTTGCGCTTCGGTGATCTTAAAAGGGGGTAGGTACATGGAGTTCCCAACCGAGGGAAGATAGGAATGTTATACCGATAATACTTGGTTGGGAAGGGAGGGAATAAGTCATGGTCCTATTTTCTTGCTGTGTTAAATAGTATAGGTCAACTGCTGGATTCATGTAACATTCATGGTGTCTTTCTATCCAGCATTGTCATAAAGAATACGAGAGAAAGAGAGAGAGATGAGACTGCGGAAGTTTAAGCACGGTTGATGCAACCATAGCGTACCGACGTTATAAATCAGGTTCTTCCTTCACAAGGGCATTCGAAGGATTTGTGACTCATACGAGGAATACGCCATAACTAAGAGTATAGACAAGCCAATAGAAATGTAACCGAGAAATCTCCACCTTCCTCGACGTATGTTCCCCTCGTATAAGGTTACATGAGAGAGACATTCTAACGTCCCATCCACCAAGAAGGTTGGTTAATAAGTAGCTACAATCCAATCCTCCTGTTCGAGTTAAAAAGGCAATAATGAACGTCTCCGCAGGGGTGTTGCGAAGTCTTCCTTCGCCTTTTTCTCTCCTTCCTGACAGTCCACAGTCAAATAAATGTCCAGAATGGAAATAAATCCCGACGATCCCCTATCGGTTGTAGTGGTTGGAATGGGGCAGATGGGTCACAGCCATGCGCTGGCCTACCACCGGAACCCAGGGTTTCGGATTGTCGGCCTCTACAACCGAAGTCCAGTCAAGAACTTACCCGATGAACTCGCACAATATCCGTTTCTGCCAAGTTTCGAGGAGGCTCTCACGCTCAAACCCAAAGTTGTGTCGATCAACACGCATACTGCCACTCATGCGGACTATGCCGTGGCAGCGATGGAATCCGGAGCACACGTCTTCGTGGAAAAGCCTCTGGCAACCACAGTCGAAGAGGCAGAGCGTGTGGTAGCGACTGCTCGACGAACAAACCGTAAATTGGTCATCGGTTACATCCTACGGCATCATCCTAGCTGGATCAAGTTCATCCACCATGCTCGGCAGCTCGGTCCGCCATTCGTCATGCGGATGAACCTGAATCAGCGATCCAGCGGTGATGCGTGGGCCATTCATAAACGTCTCCTCCAGGATGTCAAGAATCCGGTTGTTGACTGCGGCGTGCATTATGTCGATGTTATGTTGCAGATTGCCGATAGCAAGCCGATTCAAGTGCGTGGCATGGGCCTCCGTCTCAGCGATGATCTTCCGGCGGATGGACAGGTAAATTATGGGCATCTCCAGGTCCTCTTTGCCAATGGGTCAATCGGATGGTATGAAGCTGGATGGGGTCCGATGATGTCGGAGGAGGCGTACTTCGTCAAGGATGTGATGGGTCCTCGTGGCTCGGTATCGATTGTGATGGACGAGAAAGCACCAAGCAACGGCAATCCTGGCGACTCTGCTAATATCAATAACCATACCAAAACATCGAATCTACGTGTGAGCACGGTGGTTGACGGTCACTCTCAGGACGTAGTCCTATCAATGGAAGGGGAGCCAGATCATTATGGATTGTGCGCACGGGAGCAGCAGTTTTTGTTGGATGTCATTCGCGAGGATCGAGACCTCGAACAACATATGGACGCTGCCGTTCTATCGCTGTCTATTGTACTTGCAGCAGACCGCTCAATGCGCGAGCATCGTGCAATTGACATTGGGTAATGGCCTCTTTACGAAACGAGTCAACGGAGAAGTTAGATCTCTTGCATCCTCAGCGCTTCCGTTGCGATATATACATATAGGTAAATCCGGCCAATTCTTCACACTGCTACTGTACCCTGGGCTCCTAGACACAATGTCTTAAGAAAAGTCAATAACAAATCTATTAGGCTTATGTATCTATATCTCCTTGATATGCTTCACCCAACACTTGTGTACTATGGTGAACCAGTAGAGGACCCCCCTTATCCGCCTAGGGAAATGCGTCAGGTAATATCATTTTAGTAGACACAATCCCACGAGACAGATAACGCAAGCCGTCAGACCTTCTCGTCATCCCTCATCTTATTCTCTTCTCCTTGTCCCTCAAGTGCACTCCCTGCAGTTGACTCTTTGCCGGCCACTACCTCTACCTTCTTCCCATCTCCACCGTGCCCCTGTGCTCCAATCCTCAAGAACGCACACAGTGGAATGCCAAGCGCCGCAATACCCGCACAGTACAAGAACGCAGCGCTATATGGCTCAATCGGGTCACCCTTGAAGTACCCGCTCGTTGCCGTCCCATTCGTCTTCACTGCATCGAAAATGGCGGTACTGATTCCCATGCCGATGGCCACGCATAGCTTCGTCACCGTCTGGAAGATCCCGCCCGCGATACTCTGTTGCTCCGCTGGGAGGGAGCTCATGACGTACATGTTCGCCACGCAGAACTCGAAGTCCGCCCCAACCACCGCGAGGAGCAAACCCGGGAAGATGAAGGCCCAGTAGCTGCTGTCTGAATGCTGGAGGCCGATGAGAAGGAAGGATCCAACGTAGGCGCTCGCGCCAATGAGCATGAGGAGATTGTTGGGCACGCGATGCATGACGAGCCCCGCGATGATGTTGACGATGATGCCCCCAATGGCCATGGGCAGCATGTGCACGGCGACGGGGAGCGCGGAGTAGTGCTTGACCTCCTGCATGAAAAGGGAGACCCAGAATACCATGATCGGGAAGGCGAGGAAACCGAGAAGAAGGACCACGATGACCAGCGAGAAGTCGCGGTCACGCCAGATGGACATGGGGATGAGGGGATAGGAGTACCAGCACTCCCAGAACACGAAGGCGATGATCAGGAGGGCGCCGAGGATGAGGCAGACGAGGACGTACGGGGTCTTCCAGCCTTGGGGGGCGTCCGAACCGAGACTACGGGTGGAAGTTGTAAGCCGGAGGCCCTGTTCGCGACTGGAATGGGTGGACTCACCTCAGTGCACCGGAGAACAACCCGATGCCCGCAATGGTCAGGATGGTGCCGAGGACGTCGAATTTCTCGATGGCTTGAACGGATACCTTTTCTTTAGCCGAGTGGTCGGGCGGGACGGTGAACAATGAGATGGCGACAATGACGACGTAGATGATGGCTAGTAAGAAGAAACTGGCTCTCCAGTTGAATAGTTGCGTGGCGATGCCGGAAAATATGCTTCCGAACACGAATCCCATGGGGTTGCCGGCACTGAAGCAGGCAAAGACCTTGTTCTTCCTTTTCGACGGTTTCTCGTAGATGTTGGCGAGCATACCCTGCGCCGGTGGAACGGAGACAGCCGACATCAGGCCCATGACGCCGTTGAGAATGTCGACTTGTATGGGCGTTTTGGAGAAGCCAGCGGCCAAAGCGAAAACGGCGAAGAGAGCCATACCCCCGATGAAGAGTGTCTTCCGGCCAAATAGATCCGCCAAGCGACCAAAGAATAAGAGAAAGGACCCAGAAGCCAGACTGGTGACAAGGCATTAGTTACGGGCCGATTTCTATACAATACATCTCAGACGACCCACGAAGATGAAGCAGTCAGCCACGTTAGCTCCGCGGTGGTCATATTCAGGTCCCTCTGAACTTGCGATGTGAGCACGGTAATGGCTCCCGTGAGAAGGGACGACATAGCGATCGCCATTGTCGCAACGGAAACAAACAAGATCTCTTGGACAGTGGATGAGAAGACTTCCGGTCGAGCTTCCTCGTCGCGCGGCGTGGGAGCCATTGTAGAGTTGACATTGGCATCCAATTTCTTCTCATCGCACCCGCTGGCCACCGCCCGTTCGGTTTCCTCCATTTTATGCCGTGAATGAGGATTACACAGGGAAAACCCTGGATATTAGGAATGATGACGAGCTCATGTAACCATTTTTCTTGTTTTTTTCTGGTTTTTTCTTGACACCATTACCAATGGTGCGGAAGATTTTCCGCTGCAGGCGGGAGCTTAGCCCATCAATTTATCATATTATATCGGCAGGGGATTCCGGCTGGCGGTTCCGATTGGGCCGGCTAGTGGGATGATCCGGCCGATAAGCGGATTTAGGTCCTACGAGAGATGTCAGTGCTGAAGATAGCTCTAGATAGCAATAAGATGATCTTGATGAGGATGAGCTTCAGATAGCTTCACCAAAATATTATTGGTAAATGCACCGGAAAGAGATGGGTCCCTTTCGGATATCATTCTATTCAACATTTTCCGGAGAGTCTTCATGACGAGGGTATAGGGAGAACTTTCGGAGTATATTCCTCGTGGACTGTACTGTAGGTAGAAATGAATGTATATCACCTCGAAGAGAACAAACTGCAACATGGAGTCAGTTCCGAGGTAGGGGCGAAATCACACTATGAGAGGGCAGGTGAATTCTAATTACGTATATACTAGATAAATAGTAGTCACTGGGTCTTGCACTAGCCTTGGTTGTCTAGTTGGCTGAGTGCCCGTGCCTCTCTAACTATCCCGTCAAGCTATCTAATTCAGCTAGGGTTAAAGCCGTCTCGTGAGCTAAATCACTTCTGTCTCAAACAAGTGTAGAGCCTCCCACCAACTGTTTTATTAATACGTGAATAAAATTTTGGTTTTCCTTTTTTTCGATGGAATGGAAATGCTCACCCCGGCTGGAGAGTGATTTTCCTCTGTGGTCAGAGCTTCACAGTTACTCTAGATCATACCTATCTTAGCCTAAGCAATAGTTCGTCTGATCACAGAATCCAATGGAATGGGACGTACTCCGTACCCTTCATTCTAGGAATCTATCCAAAGAAAAGCAAAATCCCTTTTGAGCAACCTAACTCATCGGTCAGGTCTTCAACATATTACATTTAGCACTCCGTATTCTGCGACAAGGGCTTCAACCACTCTGGCGATTCCGGGGCAATCTCCACACCTAACGAATAACCTTTTCTTCCCTTTTTTTTTTCTTTTTTTTTTTTTTTTTTTTTTTTTTGAAGAGCAAAAGCCGGTCCCTATCTACCCTAGGATCTAGGTATAGAAACAATCTATTCCCGCAGGCATGGTCGCGTAAACCTGGGTACGACGCCATGATGGTAAGGCGGTATTTCTCTCCATTCCTCCCGCTACCGTACTTGATCACCTGACGCACGTCCCCACCTGCCGCACGAATTTCTGTATGGCAACCAACATTAAAAATGAAGCTTTAAAGCAACATACTAAATAAATTATACTTAGATTTTTTGATGAAG